CCCAACCCCAACCCCAACCCCAAACCCCAACCCCAACCCCAACCCCAACCCCAACCCCAACCCCAACCCCTAAGTTGTGCTGAAATTTAGCCCTTGTCATGTCTCCAGTGTATACCGAGGAGTGTTTATTTACCTCCAGTCGACCCCAAGGCTTTACTGCACATGTGAATGCGAATAGCCATTTCTTTCTCGAGCCCTAACATGTTTACGAGACCTGCTCCCCTTGGTCCAATCACGCCGCCACTATGAGCTTCATCAATGATGAATTGGGCGTTGCCAAGGGGGAACAGCTCTTTTGCCACCTGGACCAGCTCATTGAGCGGGCAAATGTCTCCATCCATACTGTACACGGACTCTACCGCGATCAGGATCGAGGAGCTCCCCGACGCAAAGGCCGTATGCGATCCCTTTAGCGAGCTGAGAACCTCACGGAGAGAGTCTGCGTCGTTGTGTCGGAAGGACAGCTGATGCGAAGCCAGCGACAGCTTCATTCCCTCATGGGTGCTAGCATGTACAGCATCATCATAGACTATCGCATCACCGGGCAAAGGCACCGCAGCCACCGTCCCGGCGTTGGCCATGAATCCTGAATGAGCAATGTAAGCTGCTTCTGCCCCGTGGAAATCTGCAATCTCCTGCTCGACCTGGATGAGATAGTCATAATTTCCGTACTGAACCCGCGAGCCCGAGGCGCTGAGCCTGAAGTTCTCATGGCGACCCAGCTCCTCGAAGAAAACTTCGCGGATGCGACCGGAGCGGGAAAAGGACAAGAAGTCGCTTGACGTGAAGTCGAGAACTGAGTCGTCCCAGCGAGGTTTGGCGACGTGAAAGCCGTGAAAGCTGGGGTCTGCGCGGGAAATATCCATGGCTTGTTCGAGGTTGCGATAGAAAGCCGGTTGATCCTTCATGGCAGCAGCCCGGGGCTTGTGGTCCTTGAGCCATTTTGTGAGCATACATTCGGCGTATCCGCTGGATGTTTTCGCCCTCTGCGGGCCTAACTCGTTGCCGTTGAGTGCATGCATTGGAGAGATGGGGATATTGTTCTGTTTTGGCGAAGGGTTTGGTGGTAGTGCTCAACTGATAAGATAATAGTTAGTTATGGCACGCTCAAGACAGTTTTGGCGAAGGGTAGTGCTCAACTGATAAGATAATAGTTATGGCACGCTCAAGAGCATCAGCCTCTCGACTTGAAGCATTGATTTTCGGGGTTTACCATTCTCGCCATGGAGGGATCTCGAAGCACAAACGACTGCAGACGTCGCCGTGGTCCAGATTAGAAGCGCTGATGGCGTTGTCTGCTTACTAGGATTCTAAAACGTAATAAACACACTAATATACGAGCGTGCAGCTTACTATAAAGCTATGAGATGGACTTGGCATTTGGCATAATGTCATAAAATAATAGCGTCTGCTTACTAGGATTCCTTTCAGATGCATAAAATACACTAGTAGTTATAGACTAGCATAGAAACGAGCTTACTACAAAACTACGGGATGACTCAACATTTGGCATAATCACCACAAGTCACAGTAAAGACGATTATCAAACAATGATCCAGCTGATTGCGACGGCATGTCGGCGGCTGATCTAAAGGAAAAAAAACACCATCGATGTTACATAGGAGGTCTTAGCATGCTCTTTTAGTTTCTCCAGATGAGAAGATCATCACGTATTTCCGTCAAAATTTGGTCTCGTCCTATATATCCCCCCCTGGCAGGAGGCAAACTACCGGCTATACCGCTGGAGTTTGGGCGATTCATCCCTAACTGCATATGCCATGGATTGGTTCTATACTCAAAACTTCACGTCACACGCTTCATGATGTCAAAAGCAGAAAGTAATGATGCACGCATTCATAATTTCCAACTCTCTATCCGCTAACATGCATCAGATCTTGGTGAGCTGGGCTCAACTCAGCCCGGCACTTCTCAGTCATCAATGTCGACCTCAATAAAGGGTCGATACGTGACCTTGGAGAGCATTGTTCCAGCACATATTCCCCTCCTATTCAAAAGCCTTGGTTTTCCAGAGAACAATCAGATGCTCGACTGGATTAACGGGTTTCCTTACATCTACACAGAAGACGATCTTTCCAATCACATATTCCGCTATTTGCGAGACCACCCGGACCTCACCATCTATGCCATCAAAGCCTGCGAGTCTCACCTCGGTCCACCGTCCCCCCCTAACGTTCATCCACACACCGACGTTCTAGGTATCTGCGGCTACCGGCTCTACCCACAATCTCGTACTATTAGACTGGACGATCTTCTATTCTCCCCACGGCTGCAACGTACGTATGCCTCCACAGAAGCGAGCTACCTCCTGCTCCGTCATTTGTTCGAAGAACAACCAATAGCATACTCTAGAGTCTCGGTGACGTCAAATTCACTCAATGTCCAGTCCCGGCAATATCAAGAGCGGATGGGATACAAGTATGAAGGCACGTTTCGCAAGGACAATATAACCCGCTGGGGCACCCCACGGGATACGGTTTGCTCGAGTATGTTGGATGACGAGTGGCCGTCAAACAAAAGCGCACTGCTGGCGTTCTTACGTACGGCCAACTTTGACTCCAATGGCAAACAGATTAGATCACTCCGAGAGTTAAGAACTCTGCAGACAGAATGTTTAGAGCATGCTTTAGTCAAGTCCTATCCCTGAAGGCGATGCAAGCATGAGACACTCAAGGCTTGAGAGACAAGGTCTTGTGAGGGAACCTGGTTTGATCGTACACTACATGCTTTTTATTGTCTATGTGGAAGGGAGAGGGGGTCGTGTATATACATGCCTATCACGAATCGGTACCTGTTGTGTACGTAACTAACAGGGCGCGCTGATCACTGTCATCTCAAACGACAAGTGACATACTACAATCGTTTACGAGGCATGAGAACATCTAGATCATCTTCATATTTATATATCTGATGTTAATACATATTGAACTTTACAATTGCTGTAAAGAATACTATGTTGCTGCCTATGTTGTTATCTATTAAGCAACCGTTGAGAATCTGTACATTTAGTGATCAAATTCTCCCTAAGAGGATCACTACCGGCCACTTCCTTAGTAACACACTTAATCAATGGCTCCTGTAGTTCCTATTTTCTAACAATATCTACAATAAGTTTTTTCAAGTATCTAAACCAAATGTATATTTCTAATCAAGACATTGGATATATGTTATAAATTTTTACTGACGAAAAAAATAGCACTCGGAAAAAAGGTAAAGTTGTCACCTCACTACGTTTACATATAGTCCCCCATACGTGTTAGCCATGCAACACTGACAAGCCCTCAGCAGCTTGCTTGCCCAACGCCTCGAGCGTTACCATGCTCAACATTTCCAATATGCTGATATCGAGCCCAAATATCTGCTTCCACCAGGCCCGCATCTCTACGGCCACCATCGAATCCAGTCCTAGCTGCGCAAGCGACAGAGATACATCAATCTCGTCGTCCATAGGCCGCAGTACTAGGCCCAGCAGTTTCTTCCCAATCTCCCGCGATAAGAAGATGACTGACTCCGGTGTGGTGAGCGTCTCTGGGCTCGCCTTGGCTGCGTTCAGAAATTGCTGCAAACTGTCGCTCGAGGCGCCGCCCTTGAACTGGCTGCGGATGTTGTGAAATACCGACATGCGGACGTCCTTGCGTAGCCTGGCGCTGCTGTCGGGACTGCTGAGCGGAATGACTGGTGCAATGCCTATGAGAGTGCAGTTTGAGTTGACGAGGCTCGACTTTGCCCCATCATCTTCGTTGACCGGGTCTTGACCTGGTGCCGAAGGCGATCGTCGCATGACGGTCCCCAACACTTCCAGTAGTTCCGACTCCTGCACCGCCCGCCAGCCTGTTCCTTTCATCTTCTTGAGCAGCTCATCGTTGTCGACAAGGTAGCCTGCGCCCTCCACGGCTCCAATGTTGAGGGACGTACAAGGTAGCCCCTTGCTTGTCCGAAACTTGACGAATGCGTCGAGAAAAGTGTTTGCGCTGGCATAGTTGGCCTGTCCGGGCTGGCCCACGATGCCAGAGAGTGAGCTGAACAAGATGAAGAAGTCGAGATTCAGGGACTGCGTTTCGTTGTGCAGATTCCATGTTCCTTTCACCTTTGGCGCCGTTGCTCCGTTCCACTCGTCAATTGTCATCTTCCCCCAGGCTCGGTCATGAAGCACCATTGTCATCTGCAGTATTCCCTTGAGTGGGCAAGGCGACTCCGCAACAGCGCGGGCCACGTCTGACGCGTTAGTGACGCTTCCGCGTACTAGATGCACCTTACAGCCCATGCTTTGGACCTCTTTGACAAAGAGTTTGTCTTGATCCGTTGTTCCAGCGCTCCGGGAGAGGAATATGAGGCTTCGGGCTCCATTTTGGATCATCCACACCGCTACTGAGCGGCCCAAACCACCAAGACCGCCCACGAGCAGATACGAAGCTGAACCATCAAGCACGGCTGTGGTATTCGTACTCGCAGACTGAATTTGTCCAAGGTGAAGATCCCCAGATTCCGGATTGCGGACTTGGAGCACAATCTTGCCAATGTGGCTTCCTTGTTGCATGTGCTGGAATGCCTCTTGCATCTTGGAGCCTGGGAAGATCTTGTCGATCGATATGGATCGAATATGCCCATCGCGGAAGAAGCCCATCATCGATCGAAGTAAGCTGGACGCGACGTTAGCCTGATTCATCATGTAAGTGACAGCCCTGGACTCACCGGCCGATCATCTCGGGCCTCTCCTTGCACATCTGGTCAATGTCTACACATCGATAGCTACGATTGGCAAGGAACACCTCCATATTCAGCTTGCCAGCACCAAGAAGGTCACGCTTGCCAATCTCTACCAGAGTACCCCATTTGGCAATGCAGCGCCAAGTTGCATGTAGCAACTCACCGGAGAGCGAGTTGAGCGCCAGGTCAACCCCCCTACCGTTGGTTTCCCTTAGCAAGTCTCCTTCGAAACTCACGCTTCGCGAGTCGAAGATGTGATCTTTTGAGATGCCAAACTCTCGTACGAGGTGTTCGATCTTTTTCTCACTGCTGACGGTCGTATAGACTTCAGCGCCAATCATGCGGGCCAGCTGGATTGCGGCTAGGCCGACTCCCCCACAACCGCTATGGATGAGAATAGACTGCAAGCAGCGTCAGCATTCCCCCGTTCATCAGAGAGAGACGTTTCACTTACCTGGCCCTTTTCAAGCCTGCCGACGTTGATGAGCGAATAGATGGCTGTAGCATAGACCAGTGGCATGGTAGCTCCGTCAGTGAAGTCAAGCTCGTCTGGGAGCCTCTCACACAGCTTTTCGGTGGTCGTGACGGTCGACGCAAAGACAGCCACTCCTGTGAGGGCAACTCTGTCTCCAACGCCGAGCTTTTCTGCCTTCGGCCCAACGCGACGCACGATTCCCGTAGCCTCGTAGCCAAAGGTAGGAGTGGGCAACTCGATGATTCCCATAGCAACAAGAACATCCTACAAACGTCATTAATATGGTCATCTCTTCAGAACAATAGCTGGCAAACCACTTACGCGAAAATTCAAACCAGCGGCGTGGATCTCTACTTGCACCTCATCACCCTGGGGTATATTCATAATCTCACCTCCCCAGTAAAGGGTGTTAAGGCGTCCTGGCTGAGCAATAGTCAAGCGCGCATCCTTGGTCGTCTCAACGACTGCAGCCTCGCTTGCAGAGGAGAGCGGGAAGAATCTATTGACCCGCGTCAAACCCTTCTCAATAACATATTCAAAATCGGGCTCAATCTCTCCGTCATTGACGCGTTCTATAAAACTTTGGAACACGCCAGCAACCGCTTGACATCCTTGCAGGCTCTCCAAGTCATCTGCCTCACAAGTTGCAAAAGCAATGCCTAGCTCTGATCGGATACACCGAGCCAGGCCATGGATCTGGGCGAAGCTTGGGTCTATGCAATGACTCTGAGAAGGCTGGGTTATCCACAGAATGCCTGAATCAGCGATGTTGTCAATGAAAATTTTCAGCATCTCAAATTTGGTGGTATCTAGATGTTCCAGGAATGACGTAGGCCAATCGAGGAAGGCGATTATGTCTTGACTAGGCGGAGGAATATCTGTGAGGCTGCAATAAGAAACTTCATACCCCCACGCAAGCAATTCTTCAGTGATGAGATGAGACCTGAAGGATTCATCTGAAAACTCGGAAAGAATAGTGACCTTCTTTGCTGGAATGTGGCTGCGCCTGGGTTTCGCTACGATAACGTGGCTTATATGACTTGACTCGTCAGAATCGAATGCAGGCTCGCTAGCGATTTCTAAATCTGCCGTCGCGAGCCTCTCTTGCCAGACTTTCACATCGACATACGGTTCCCCAGCTCTGTCATCGTCGACGCCAATATCCCAAGCAGGGAGGAGGCTAAGGACATATCTGGACCACGACAGACCGGGCCGCAAGGACTGCAGCAGAAGCCTTCCTGATGGAGCGAGAAGCTGACGAATCCGGACGAGGGATTCTGAAAGCTTGGGCGTACTGTGAAGAACTCCCGCCGCAATGACAAGATCAAAGTCTCTCCCAACAAAGCCCGGGAGCCCGGCATCAGTCCCAATGTCGAATGCTTCAAAACTCATGTTGGGGAGGCCCTGGAAACGCGACTTGAGAGCTTCGACCATGCCTGGGGATGGGTCGGACACCATGTAGTGCGAGAAAAGCACCTGCCCGTCAGGCCGTGTCAGATCCTTAACAATGCCAGCTGTTGCGGACCCAATGCCTGCACCCAGCTCCAGAACTCGAAGGTTGGGCTTGTGGTGGCCTAGTCGATTGAAAAATGTAGATCCATCGAATTCCTCTAAGAAGCGATGGAGTTTCCCGAGGGTGTCTTCTGTATCGAAGACTTCGAATGCCTTCTTTTGACCGGAAAGAATGGCAGGTCCATTGTCTGTGACTAGAGTAATGGCTTTGGAAATGTGGGCAACTGGTGTTGATTTCAGGGATGTAACGAGAGATTCGATACGACTGTTCAACGTGGCATCATCCAATTCTTCTGAGCACAACGGGGTCTCGTCAAGCCATGCCTTGTATTGTCGAAGTTCTGGAATGACATCTAGACCGGCTGTCGATCTCCGAGAGGCAGCAATCGAGTGGCTGACAAGCTCATCCAACGTTGCGGCGTAGACTTGATTCTCTCGTGTCGGCTTCACCAGAGTGCTGAAAGCTTCAGTCTCAATATGTGGTACCCACTCACTCCGCGCGGTGATGGGCGCGCTTTTTTCTATATCACTATCACCACTTGTAAAAGATGTAAGGCGGACATTCGAGACCTCGATGATGAGTCTGTCCCCAGCTGCAATCGTACCTGTTCCGCAGACCCCGCTGCCGACGGGCTCAGCTATCGCTGATACCACAAGATTGTTAACAGCACTGCGGCGAAGGATCAACGAACCCACGCTGGCGGGAAGGACTTGACGGTAGTCATGCGTGAGTCCGTACCGAGCCGCAATACTGAGTAGTTGGAGGTATGAATCAAATATGACAGGATGAAGGTGGTAGAATTGCTCATCTCCATGCCAATTGTTGCGGACTTGGGCCTGAGCAACTCGTGCGCCGGTCGTCGCCGTCGTGATGTTTTCGAGACTCGTAAAATGGTGGCCATAGTCAATGCTCTCACGGCGCATCGTATCGTACCAACGTTTACTGGAAACTTTACGCGGTAGGTCTTCCTGCACAGCGCCATTACGCATGGCGTTTTTTTCCTCCCGAGCAAGAATCTCGCCGGAACAGTGTTTTATCCAGGTGTTTCCGTTATGTGATGCGATACGGAACTCCCACCAGTCACTGTCCAGTGAATCTGTTAGACGGAGGTGATGAAATGAGGTCACAAGCTCTTTGGGAGAGTTCTCGTTGAGAACCAAGGCGGTGGGCACGACAACATTTCGAAGCTCAACCGCTTCTTCGACACCGGTGATCTGACGGATAGCCTCCGCCGCCATGGCGACGTACCCGGCGAAGGGGAAGATGATATCTGCGTTGATCTTATGGTCACGTATCCATGGAGCATTCTCAATGTGCAGCAAGTTCCGCCACACCGGCTCGAGGTCTGTCGTGTCAGGGACCTTTGCACCCAAAAGGTCATGGTGTGGGTATTTTCGCATGCGCCACTCACGAGCGATGCGGGATTCGCTCCAATGACTGCGATGATGGTCCCAGGGGTAAGGGGGCAGATCTGAGAGGGTGTTGCCAGCCGGCATTAAATCCTGAAGATTGAAGGGCACATGGTGGACAAAGAGTTGCCCAAGAGCTGACAGCCAGTTTTCGGCACTGTCATTTCGTCGGGTCAAAGTCGAAATGTATGATGCGCTGCTAGATTTATGGGTGATAATTTGACGAAGGGGTCCGGCCAATGCAGCATGGGGGCCAACTTCAAGGAAAACCTGCGTGGAGGGGCCAGCGTGCCGTTCAATAGCGGAGCTTACTGCCGATGTGAATAACACAGAGCACTCCAAGTTGGTCTGCCAGTATTTGGGTCCAAATCTACTGCTCGCGGCGGGGACGAGCAACTCTCCTTCAACGCTTGAGAAGAATGGAACAGTGTGCACCTTGCCCACAACGCCGGCGTTGGTCATGGCCGCGTGGTATTTAGCCCCAATTTCTTCCATATGTGGCGAGTGATACGCTTTATCAACTTTTAGTACGGTGGCTGGAACTCCAGGTACCGACTTCTTGATGCTGTCAACCGTCTCTATCACCAGACCTGCATCTCCCGATATGGTTACGCTGTTTGGCGCGTTGTCACAGGCGAGCACCACGCCGGGGACGAGACGCTTCCTGGCAGCCTCCCAACTCATGCCCAAAGCTGCCATGGCGCCCTTACGAATGTGTTGCTTGGCTACTGCTAGCCCACGCAGGTAAGATACAATGATAGCGTCATGGGCGCTGAGGCCACCAGCGGCGTATGCGGCAGCAATCTCGCCGCTGGAGTGGCCAACCACTGCGGCCGGGCGGATCCCAATCGAAGCGTAAGAGTCTACCAAGGCGATCTGCAGGGCTGTGCACAGAGGCTGGGAGAACTCGGCTTCATCAACACGACTCTTGCGTGCAGGTTTGCGGAGCTCTTCATCAATGGACCATGACGGAGCTAGCAGGCCTAGCTCTTGGAGCGCCTTGTCGAGGGATGCAATCGTGTTGCTGAAGACAGGATTGGTCTTGGAACGGAGGAGCTCGTAGCCCATGCGTGCCCATTGTGCGCCTTGGCCAGTGAAGACCATGATCAGGGATATTTCCTGTGTTTGTTCAACTTTGGTGGGGGGCGCGGTACTAGCCAGCGTGATATTGTCACTCGTGCATACCGCAAATGAGCGATACTGCAGATGTTCTCGCTTATTAGCAAGGGTGTATGCCACATCTGGCAGCAGATCTGGGCTTTTGTCAAGGAAACCCTCGTACTTGTCGACAGTGGCCGTGAGAGATGATGGGGTGTTAGCAGAGAAGAGCAGCAGATGCGGTGTATTTGGCGCTGCTGCTGCTGCTCTACTGGTCTCGAACTTGCGTGTCGCATTGAATCTTGCTGCTGACTCGATGATAGCATGGGCATTGGAACCGCCGAGGCCGAAGCTACTAACGCTGACGCGCTCATCGCGATCTTCAGGCCATGGTGTTGGTTCGGTAGAAACAATGAGATTCGCATCGATTGTAGGGTTGAGTGGAAGAGATTTGATCTGCGGGGGAATGCTGCGGTTCTCCAAAACAAGGACGGCCTTGAGAATTCCCACAAGGCCAGCCGCGCCCTCCGCGTGGCCAAGATTTGCCTTGATTGAGCCAATGTGCACACCGGCTTTGCCGAAGCAGGCAGCCACGGCAGCCAATTCAACGGCGTCACCAGTCCTTGTCCCCGTGCCGTGGCACTCGAAGAAGCCCGTTCTAGTAATGTCGGTGATGCCAGCATTCCGATATGCTTGCTTGATCAGCGCCACCTGCGCCTGGGAGCTGGGTTGTGCAACTGTTGATGTGTGGCCGTTGTGGTTGGTTGCCGAGCCGGTAACGACGGCGCGGACAGGGTTGCCGTCCCGAATGGCGTCCTCCAATGGCTTCAGGTAGATAGCAACGATGCCCTCGCCGCGCGCGTAGCCATTTGCGTTGGCCGAAAAGGTGTTGCATGAGCCATCAGTGCTGAGAACGCCTTGCTGAGTCTCCGCAGCGGTCACGGCCGGAGCCATGATGATGTTGGTGCCGCCGACAATGGCGGATGTGCAGTCGCCGCGCGCAATGGCCATGCATGCCTCATTGACGCCGATGAGAGAGCCAGAGCAGGCTGTCCGCACCGTCATGCTGGGGCCGTGCAGGTCGAGCTCGTGGGAGATGCGATTGGAGATCATGAAATCGTGTGGTCCGAGGATTTGGTAGATGCCATGGGCCTGTGTGTCGCGGACCGAGACGTCATACCAGTCCTGGCCGTAGCTGCCCACGTACACGCCGATGTTGGAACCCCTCCAGCCCGTCTCGCCGGCATCGTCGAGGGCCTCACGGGTGACCTCGAGAAGCATGCGCTGCTGGGGGTCAAGTGTCTCAACTTCGCTGCGAGGCATAGAGAAGAAGGACGTGTCCAACGCGGCCAGGTCATTGGTGGAGTCGAGAAAGTATCCCTGCTGAGAAATGACGCTGCCGGGCTTCTTGTCCGGCGAATGGAAAGCGGAGATGTTGTACCGGGATGACGGGACCGGACCGCGAGCGTCCCGGCCCGCGTGGAGAAAGGCCCACAGCTCCGAGGGGGAGTGGATGCCCCCTGGCAGTCGACATGCCATGCCGCAGATGGCCACAGGCTGGAAGGGCTGTGGTGGTTTTGGAGTCGTGTCGATGGGCCCGTTGCGAGGGTTGGTGCCCCTTCCGTCTGCCTCGTTGCTGTCAATGTGTCCATTGGTGTAGATGCCATTGACCCCCTTCGCACCCATGGTACCATTCAGGTAGGTGTTTCTTGAGCCGGTGGCTTCGTCGGATGGGCCCAGATCGTGTTGGCCAAGGTTATTCGGAGGCCCACCCTTTCCGTTGGCGTGACCGTGACCGTTCATAATGGCCTGAATTTCTCGAACGGAGGTAATTGCCTACTGGCGGGAATGGCTAATGCTGTCTGTCTGCCCTATTTGACCTGTACCATCGGTCGTTCTTGGGCACATGAGAATCTCTGGGCAGTGTCTGGATTTGTAGGTTGGCTGATGGCAAAGCTCATACTAAGTACTTAATGGCGAGTTTTCGAGCCTCGAGCACGCATACTGTTACAGAAGGGCATCGTGAAGATGTGGAGAGCGGTGGACATGCTCTTCATGAGCAAGGCCAGTATTCTAAGTGTCTAGCAATCTGACAGTTTACTATGTCGACCTTATGTTTACTATGTCGAAATTTGCTTACTATGCCGAAACTTGCTCACTATGTCGAACTCTGCTTACTATGTCGAAACTATGCTTACTATGTCTTACTGTAGGGGCGCTTTTTTTTACCTAATAATAATGGCAAGATCTTTACATCCCAGTCAGAAAGTCTCGGAGGGCGCCCAATCAACGGACAGGGTGGCGTCTCTACGGAACACAGCGGAACAGCAACAAGATGCTGTAAAACCCGGAACTCCTCTGTACACGATCAGGAGCTCAAAATGGGCGTAGAAATGAATGAAAATGATTGTCTCTAGGTCTACTGGCCATTTTGGGCCTCTATACTCCGTACTCCGTATGTGTGTGCGGAAAGGGCTAACCCTACGATATCCTAGGGTAGGTAGGGGCCATATGGTGTCACGTGATCCAACATGTCCGACAGAAAGCGGCGGCTGGTGATAGGATAGGAGAACAGAACAAGGAGGCGTAGTCCGGTTTCCAGAAAAAGTTAAGTAGCGGAAGGCCTCCTCGTAGAACTTTCGAAGATCATTGCCCCCGGCTTTGCTTCCGAACCACGCGATTTTTTGAATTTTGCGATACTGCTGCTAGATGGAGAAGGTCGAGAGCCGCAATGGCCGTCCTGGGTCGCAGACGGAGCCGGATGCCAATGAGATACGGGAAGACGGTGTCACAAAGGCGCAAAGAAAACATTATTCCTTCTACTTGTCAATACTTATGCTGGCTGCGATCGCTCTGATTGTGGCTTGGGATGTCACAGCTCTATCTTTGGCTTTACCTGTGAGTCTCACTGGACCAGACAGCATTAACTAGTGACGGCGACGTCTGACTATAAACAGATCATTGCCGAACAGCTACATGGAACAAACTTCCAATCATTTTGGGCCAGCTTAGCCTTCACCCTCGGCATTGCCGTCACTCAGCCTATCTATGCCAGTATCTCGGACGTGGTGGGCCGCAAATATGTTCTCTACGCCTCCATTATCCTCTTCGGCATCGGATCTATTATCTTTGCTACCGCAAGAGATATGAACGTTATTGTCGCTGGCCGGCTGATCAAAGGTCTTGGTGCTGGCGGGCTAGACGTATTACAAACTATCATCCTTTGCGATATCACAACCCTGAAGGAGCGGCCGCGATGGCTAGGAGTCCTGTCCATGGCCAATGCGGTGGGAGCTGTCAGCGGGCCGTTCATTGGAGGTGTGTTTGCCGAGAAGGTCGGATGGCCATGGCTTGGCTGGATCAATCTGATCACAGTAGGCATCACTGGTGTGCTGGCATTCTTCTTTCTTCACTTAATGCCCATCGAAGGTGACATTAAAGACAAGATGAAAAGGCTTGACTGGCCTGGATTTGCTCTTTTCGCAGTCATTGGTACTACTATATCGCTGCCGTTAAGCTGGGCTAATATGCCGTTTGCTTGGGTATCTTGGCAGACTCTTGTTCCTCTCATTATTGGAGTATTACTCCTCATCCCGCTTGGATTTGTTGAGAAGAGGGCGGAGGTACCCATGATTCCATATCAAATCTTCGACAACGTCTCTATAATCACAGGGACTGTGTCTGGAGCAATATACGGCTCATTATTGAACCCTATACTCCTTTATCTTCCGCTTTTCTTTCAGGCGGCATATCTCGAAACTCCTATCGAAGCCGCCAAGTCGACTCTACCGCTCTGCTGTCTAGTCGTGGGAACAAGCGTCATTGTGTCAATGCTAATAGATTGGAGTCGAAAGTACCGCATCGCGTTGTGGGTAGGCTGGTTTGTTACAACGATATTCCTGGGCCTGAGCTACACTATTGGCCCTGATAGCAGTAGAGCTCGCACTTATGCCTTTCAAGCCCTCCTCGGTGCTGGTCTTGGCACGGTTCTAGTCTCAACCCAGATATCAGTCCTGGCGAGCGTTAGGAGGGTCGATGACCACGGGCTTGCCTCTGGGATGCTTGTCACTACGCGTTTCGTAGGCTCCCTGCTAGGTTTAGCTATCTGTTCGACTATCTTCAACTCGATGTTCGAAAAAGGTCTCTCCTCGCTCAAAGGTAACCTACCTAAAGAACTTGAAGCACTGGAAGATGCAAGCCAAGCTGTTGGATTCATCCCACGACTGAGGGAGGTTCACGTGTCAGAGGATATCATGGATGCCGTGAAGGGTGCGTATACGGATGCTTTCCAGACTATCTGGGTGGTATTGGCTGCCTTTTCGGCTTTGGCAGCGCTATTCTCTGTGCTGACTAGAGAGAATTCTCTGGAGAAAGACGATGTCGGTCGACAAGGGTTCAAAGCACCGTCGTCAGAGTAGCTTATTCTAGATGTGCATAATGTTGAATTTCGCCTTGAAAAGATATAACCGGCCCCGCCATCGGAATGAGAAACCGCATCTTAATTATAAAAATCCTATATAGTTTGAAGTATAAAGCTATAACCACCTAGACAAATAAATAATGTGGTAGAATACGTGTAAACCCAGTTGCGTGGGCGTGAGTGAGATAGTGGAAGATGACGTACGTCCGTGACGTGCAGGATCCAGGGATAAAGTCGTGAAGTCCACATAGAACGACTAGTGCAGGCCGGTAAACGTCTAACTATATATCAAATATATCAAATATCTCTCTCTGTGTGTGTGTGTATGTGTGTGTGTGTGTGTGCAGATGTACATATGTATGAAAAGGGGTAAATCGGCTGGAACAACATATATCCGGTTGAGTCATCAGGGGCATCACCAGGTTCATCACTACTTGGAGGAACGAACACACGCGAGATAATAGCCCACCGCATCCCGGACCTGTTGCTCATATGAGATGAAGTCCATCCCCAGAACTCGTGCCGACTCGCTCGCATCCACCTTGAATACATATGAAGGCAGACTCCCATTATTGAGCAACGTACTGCCAACGTGCTCCGGGAAGTGACGCGCTACAATCTCGAAGCAGTCATCAAGCTTGGTTCCCTGCACTCCTCCCGAGCTCAAGATATAGAGTCGATTACCAGGGGTTGCCGGGTTTAAAGCGCGAACGTGCGCTTCAGCTACATCGTCAAGGTGCACAGTCACTCCTGCCTCCGTGCCGTATGCTTCTCCGTTGACGGGCGCGAGGATTATCCGATTCGTCCCCGTCCGCAACAGTTCCTCCGGGTCGGTAACAAGCTCGTTTGGGCCGAACACGTGTCCCGGCGCTATGTGCACAAGATCAAACACGGGCTTTTCTGACTCCATCCATTGTTCGGTCAAGTTCAGCGTGCTTACTTTAGCCGCAGTGTAAGCTTCAAAGGGAGAACGGTATGGCGGCTGTAGAATATTCATGGCTCTGGTCGACTCTGTGTGGATAGTCTCATCTGTGTCTGTAACATGGTCGAAGATGGCGGCCAGCGAATTTGTAAGGATGATGCGTTTAACCGTGGGATGTGCTTGCGCCGAGGAGAGCAAGTGTAGCACCGCGTCTGTTGTAGGCTTGAAGTAATGCGTTGCTAGGTCTGGCCCGATCGATGCTGGATCTGCCGAAGCGATAGGGGCGGCAACATGCACTACGTAATCCACATCTTGCAGGGCCTCGTCAAATGCTGTCGGTATGGAAAAGCTCGGGATTTCCACAAACATGAGTTTGGCCTCCGTGCCAAGACCCCGGATTGATGGAGTCCCAAGGATCCGTGATTTCTTGGCAAGGTCCCGCACGACCACGCGCACTCGATAACCTCGCCGCAGGCAGAACACAAGAACGCGGAAGCCGATGAGTCCGGTCGCCCCAGTCAAGAGCACAAGTTCTGAAGCCATCTGATATAATACTATGATCATGTATTTGGATGGCGGAGTACGGATACTATAATATTTTCCAGTAACATTGAACTTCTTCTCTTCCGTTTCCTGCTTCTCCAATACTTCTGTTTATACTCCGTAGCTACGTGACGTGTGATTTAGTAAGCAATTGGCTGACTGTAATCTCATAAGCAATATCTAGGATTCTTTCTCTCAGGAGATGCCAACAGGGTTGCAACGTCGATAGTAAGCCATGTATATCATGAGTCTATTCTTATTTATACGACGAGCTAGACTTAGGATCCACTATCGAGCAGCGAATGTAATAAATGTATTGAGTCTACCTAAGAGCAAATATACGGTGCGAATGCGCCGATATATATGCGCAAATATGAAGGTGATGACTAAGCTAACTAGCCTAGATAGACATTCGTTGGTTCGTTGGAGGTTTGAAGATGAGGCGTAATACGCGTAGGATAAGGCGAATATATAAAGAAATAAGGCCAAATGAATGTAAATGGGCTGATTAGGCGAAGATTGGCCTGAAGTGGGCGAGATAAGTAGGCGTATACGTAGGTGGCGAGCATATAGGTTCATTGGTTGTGTGATTCGGCTGTCAGGCCGGTCATGTAGCCGATCCAGGCTGATATCCACGTCTCGAATCCGTAAACAACCCTAGAGGTAGATCACCTCCTCTGACGGGCCCGTATCAGCACTATGCTCAAGCAGTAGCTTAACAATCTCCGATTTGCCGCTCATAACGGCCCGCTGCAAGGCTGTGAAGCCGTCACTGTCTTCATCATCAATCATGACTCTGTCGTCCTGCAGCAACACCTTGATGGTTTCTATGTGATTCCCCGCAACCGCCATATGCAACAACGATGTCGGCCGTTGGCTTTTATTGACCGGTTCAGCCATGTCAAAAGCAAAGGTCTCGTGCATTGTTGCAGAAACATTGGCTGAACTCAGTGGTAGCATATCATCGAACCTGAGTCTGCTTTCCATTGGGAGATTTGGTGTAGGCGCTAGGGGCTCGGTAATAGTAATTTGGCTGTTGGTCGGCGTCCAGCCTTTCATCCGCTGCTGTGTCGCTGGTCTCGGGCTGTTTACCGGTTGCCGATCTATTGGAGCTGCTGGGCAGATTTGCGGTTGTACGTGGCTGAACTGAGAGTCGTTTGGAAATGGCATCTTATACCGTTCCTCGCTTGGTGCTACTGGTACTGGCAAAGTAGCTTGCTTTGGAGGACACCAGCCTTCAACGCCCCGCTTGGTAGGCGGCAGTATTGGCGGGCTGCTGCTGCTCTGTTGACATGTGCTATCTTCTCCTTCCGCGATATTTAGGCGTGACTCCTCGTACGATCTAAGCCGTTCCTTTAACTGTTTGATCTCATTCGAACTCTCGCGTATGTTACGTCCTACGGTCATATTCAAGCGTTAGCATATGATGCTTTGAGGTATCCATCGCTGCGATGATCAAGATACATGGCGTGAGCATGGGAGACGTACTATAGGCGCGCTGCGCAATGCGATTTTGAATCTTTCTTCGCTCCGAGGGGTCTCTTAGTCCTCTCTTACATCGTGTCAGTTCCATTTGGAGTTATTGTTGTTTATCGGTTGACCTTACCCAATCTTCATCAGACTTCATAAGGTCAGGGTACTGCATAGTCCGGGATGTAGGACGCAGATCTAAAAGTATTTTGTGTTCCCTCTTAGCAGGTTAGCAAGTATATTTATATAAAGCTAGTGCTTAAAGAGGTTGAAATGGTTCAGCTTCTTACGGCACAGTGTGAGGGTAATATGTAATATCACTTAGATTTAATGAAACGCGGCTTGTCCAAGTATTGAATTTAAGAGTATTTCGAGCAAGGTTTTATAGAGAATGCGAGTGCGCAAGTGCCAAGAATGAGATATACTGTTATGGGCACACCTGCACCCGCGGAATGTCGGTCAGTGACCCGAGAACCGGGCACGCCAGGCGCCAGGGTCCGAGCAATACAGGAAAGGGGTTCAGGGGCTGCACCCGGTGCAGCCCATATAACCCAGTAGGGCCCCCGGGGTTCCAGGGGCCAGCAGTTGTTCTCAGCGTCAACCATACAGTATCTTCCCCATCCGTCCACGGTTCATCTCTTCGTTACGTATCCGGGCAAAACCACCCCAGTGCAGAGCTGGGGTCTTGACTTATACCTTATAAAAACTATCTCTGTAGAATATATTAGAATAGCAATAAGATATAACAAATGTAAAACTATAGAACTAGAAGTTTAAAATAAATATAGAATAAATAAAGATAATAGTTATTAAATTTATTAGCTATTTTAAATCTTTATATATATATATATATATTAGTAATTAATAGTTAATTTTAATAATAGTTTTCATATAATATTTTTTTTATTTAAATAATTTTTTTTAATAATATTTAAATAAGATTATAAGACTTTATTTAAATTTTTGATTTTTAAATATTTAATATTATATTTAAATATATAATAATAAGTTAATAATATTTATTTCTTTATATTTTTAATTTTTAATAATTATTTATTTATTTTAAAAAGCTAAACACTATATAAAGTTATATAATATAATAAATTTAATAAAAACTAATCCATTTTATTTATATAATTAATAAATACTAAAATTTCCTATATATATTTGTAAAGGTTAATTTAGTAAAGTCAATATATTCTTCTCCCCTGCCCGTTTTTTTTTAATCCTTGCCTGTTGGCGTCTCGGACTCTCCGTTCTTGCGGCCACCGCCGTTTCACCTTTCTCCACTTTTCTCCCCTTGCTTTTTTTCTTGATTGCCTTGGCTCTTGCTCGAATACCCCATCCTCGTTGTGTGCGCCACCCCTTCATATAATACCGCCTACGTTTAATTCTGTCGCTTTGTAGTAACTATTGACGTTAATCTCTACGCCGCGGCTTTTCCACCTTAGCCCGTTGCCTCTATAAGCTAGAAGGAAACCCGCATTTCGCCGCCTTCCTTGTACCTTATTGCTTAGCCCAGCACATTGTAGAGCATGTGCCCCTGTCTTGTTACAACGCAGCTGCGCTGCCAGCTGACTACAGAGTACATATTTACGTACATATACTCCATAGACCCAGGCTATATACTCGTCCAATGCCGCCTCATTACAGTGGATTCAAGGCCTAGTATCTAGAAGTACGGAGTAATAACCTTAAATTCCTTTTTCTGCGCTGCATGGGCAAGGGCACACTCCTGCTCGTATCTACGGCGAATATATATTGCCCAGGCACAAAGCTAAGATACCTTGCCAGCCGTAGACAAGTTATCGGAGCGCACACATATTTAGCTTGGCTTAATAAAGACTAAGGCACGAGCTAGATGTAACATAACCTATATTAAGACCCTTAAAATTCTATCATCCATCTCTTATTTGCCTCCCTTACGGAGTATACTTACTATTTGGTACTGGCCTAAACGCGTCTCTTTACTATGGCCAATTCTCTAGTTTCCCATACTAACTGGCCAGCCCAGCTAGAATAGTCAATTTACATCCTACGATGAAGCAGCCAAGTCATCTAGGATGAAGAAGGTTAGTGAAGGAGACTCCATATAATCAAGTCCTGGGTTGGCCGTATACAAGGCGCAAAAGCGGGAACAAATATCTTATTGTATGTCAATGTGGGGCCGAGCAAGGGGTTCAGCGCGCAACAGCCATCGCTTTCGCACGATACGACTGGATCGAAGCCACCGCTCTCTTCGACAGGGCCATGGAGCATGGGTATATTGGAAAAGCAAAGACGATGTCTGGGGGTCACCCTGCCGGAGTCCGATGCGTGCTAGGGAAACGTTGTCGTGGGTACGGCGTAGAGATGCAAGCTGTGAACTGCTGGGGTCGGCGCTGACCGTATAAATATCCCTACCTACCTACGTCGGAGGTATTGATACGAGCCGCGGAAGTATGGCAAGTTACCGAACATATCACGCATTATTTGATTACTCTGCATGCCACTCTATCCCAACTGGAGGCGTGCATGCGTTAGGCTGACTGCCTACTTGTCTCGCTTGATATCTACGCAGAATGTTCTTCTCAAACTTGGGGAATGGGGATAACGGTGTTGGGGAACATGGATAGCTCGGCCATCGCGGGACTACACGCTCTTTCGATATCATCCTTGAGCTCTGTGCAGTCCGTCCACTCATGGCTGCTGCCAGCTGCTATGTTCCCTCACAGCTCTATCCAAGGGAATCTCGGGGATGATGATGGGGTCGACAGAGCCAGCATTTGAAATAGGAAGCAAGGATGGAGTACCGTCCGGCGTTGCTATTATGGACGGCTGAGGAGATTGCCTTGGTAGAAAATGGATATTAATAGGTGGATAAGCCGACTCATCTTTGGATGGTCTAATCTTTTACTACCTTTCGAGCCACTGCTGCTCCTCTCTATAGAGCTGTTCTTGGATGGTGTTAGGGATGTCACCATGAATCTCTAGGTCATTGCCCTCTTTAATAAACTAAATAAGACTCTTTAGATGATGTGTTCGGAGCCTGTAGTGCTTCTTTCCCGCAGGGCCTTGCCAGCAGTGCCCCTCTAAGCTTTAGCGTGGCGGGCTAGTGCAATGTATCTTCTTATACACGTTACGCCAAATAAACTGCCCCCCGAACTGCGTTCCGCATTAATCTGTGCGTCTTGTTCAGGTCTTGGTGACTGGCCCGGTGCCTCTTTTGTCACCTTTTCTTGGTGAAGCCGTATTGTCCTCAGCTATATAGTTAATAGAAATATCCAGCCTAAGCTTCTTGTCATTGAGAAATAACTTACCCCACGTAAGGAGCTGTTTTTCTATAACTGTCCAATCAATATCAGTCTCAAACTGCTTGTGGAGATCCTGCTGTGAATAGCTATTTACCGCCGATGTTATAATAGAGGTACCGTCAAAGTGGAATACCTTATGGCATTTAACCTTCTTTACCTTTTCTTCTAGAATGTTTTGTTATCTACGTACTTGGCGTTATTACTAAATTTGGCTCTGTAACCCTTGAAATAGTTCGATTATTAAGAGTAACTTTCTAGTCAATCAGGTAGTATATATAGGTCGCTGGGTGCTCATCATAAGTCTCTTCCTTGTCCCAAACGGCTAGTGTGATAAAACCTAGTTGACCGGGCTGTGCCTGCGAAAAAGGTTGCTAATTATTGAAAGGTATGGCAAATGCTTCCTCCGAAATTGTGTGCTAATTTTAAGTTAACTAACTCAGCCTATGAATGTAGATCATGATCTGTACGACTTGAAAAGACTTTCCTAGTGCTTCTCCTGAGCGACAAGCTTGCTGCGATAAGGATTAAAGAGAACATGAATTGGGTCTTGCTCACCAACCATAGATCGACATATCGCTCTTGCAATGGCTGGGGCTTGGGCAAATCCTCCTGTGTTGTTTCCGCCAGTTATGATGAGATGTCCACCACTTTCAGTGGGAATATCTTCAAAGATACCCAAACCTGTACAAGTGAACGGCCGAATGCAAAATTTCCGCTCTCCATTCGGCCACAGTGTACCTCGCTCCTTCGCGCGCCGGTATCCCGCAGGGAAGTATATGTGTGCCACTTCCTCGAGCTCCTTGAAAAGTGCTTGCATTTCTGGAGACTCCGGTGCCGGGTAATCCAGCCCAACGTACCCATATCCACCCCCCAATATAAGAATTTCTTCGCCCGTTTTAACATCTCTCGATACAGTAACATTAATGTCTTCGACAAGATAACCGCGGCGATGGATTTTGATGGAGTTTCTTAACATCGGATCCAAGTTGGGAATCTGTAGCCACACGCCCAACACCCCGTGCATAAGGTTCTCCGAGGCCGTTCCGTCAAGCAAACCGTTCCGCGTAACCCCTGTGCTTATCACGAAATTGTCCGCTTGGAGAGGACCTAGCTGAGATTCTAGCGCAGTCACCTCACCAAAAGCGTTACGTCGAATTCGCTGCACGCAGCAGTCCCAGGTGAACACTCCACCAAACTCGGTTATTCGGTCGATCAATTTTTCCACAAACGAGTGAATACGGAGTGTAAATCCTTGTACGGTGAATCCACCAGCGAGGTCATTCGATTTGGCAGCCGCACAAAAACTGGTATATTCTCTCAGAAGTTCCGGTTGGGAAAACTCGTCAACGACCGCCCCGAGGCCTCGGTTTAGCTTATAAGCCGCAGTCAGAGCGACTTCTTCGGCATATAAGCGCAGGACGTCGGTGTAAAGTGAAACCCCTTCGAAGAGCTCTGGAGCGCGGTCCATGTATTCAGCCCAGAGCTTTCCAGCTTCCCTGTTGACATAGTAAATATCTTCTTTCATAGTCTGCGCCAACCAAGTTGGAACTTGCTCAAAAGCATTGACCCAAGCAAGCTCAGCAGCGCTGAAACCCGAGGGTGGTTTCATGCTCCAGCCCCCAGTGAGAGCAGTTTTTCGAAAAACATGCCGCATATCTTGATAGATGTCGCCAGCTCTCTCATTGTAGCTATCCGCTTCAGTATAGGAGAACATACGAGCGTCGCCGCCTCCATGTGTGGCACCTTGGCGAGTCCAGTCCTTGCAAGTACGGGGATCTGGGCTGGCGTCGACAATTCGCACTTGAAACCCGCGGACAGCGAGGAACTCTGCTGCCACAAGGTTCATGATCCCTGCTCCAACAAGTAAGACCGTCTTTTTGGTGCGGAGGTCAGAGATGACTTTCTTGTGAACAACTGCGCCGCGGGCACGACTGCGCGCGTAGAGCATCTCTGCCACCCGAAGAGTCGACACCACCCATGACGGCTCTCCTTGCTCCTGGCTTGATATCGCTTGGATCTCAACCACGCGGCCCCTGCAGAGGTTCTCGAGATCGGGTATCAGCTTAGCGTCGTGGACTAGCAGCGTTTTTGGTGAGCCCCTGTTGCGGTCTAACCACCGATCCACCAGCACCTCGGTGACTTCGTGACCTTCGCATATCCACACATCTATCACATCGAGACTGTTAATTTGCGTTTCGAGGCCGGAATCGTGTTGGTAGAAGCAAACCTGCGAAGAGTCATCGCCGAGCACAGAACGGAACTTTTGTACGTGCGTGCTGATGAGGAACTTCATTTTGGCGCCGTTTCAGACGAAAACGATGAATTCTACCAACGGGAATATTTCCTGCTTAGATAAATATCCGATGCAACTTCTTACCTGAACCTTTGCCATGATTTGCACCGCCGTGATGCTTACTATTCCTCCATACGCTTACTATTCCCCCTACCTACGCTTACTATTACTTCTACGCTTCCAAGTTTACTATTCCCCCTACGCTTACCCCCCCCCCCCCCCCCCCCCCCCCCCTCTCGCTGCGCTGAGTGATGCGTAGAAAGCAACAAACGCAGTGCTCTAAGTAGGCTTGATGGGAATCACCTAACTAACTAGTTCTCTGAGCGCCACCTTATCTGACTGGCCTGAACGAAGTGTTTTTTTCCTTTCGACGCAGTGTAGCAATAGAAGCACTGCCTTTCTTTTCTTCTGCTAGTATTCGGAGAAGCCAAAGAGACTTCAGAATGGCGATTGACCACCTGGAAACAACGGTCGTCGACCTCTTCGATGCCTGGGCGACGAGAACACCAGAGGCCACTGCAGTCGAGTGGAACGGACAAAGACTTACTTTCGCACGCCTCCGAGATGCATCACTCCATGTCAGCAAAGCTCTGCTCTCAGTTGGTGTTAGATCCGGCGACATGATTCCCATCCTTTCCCGGATGTCTCTCGAGCTTGTTCCAGCTATCTTGGGCGTTCTCAGGGTCGGCGCTTGCTACATACCGGTTGATATGGAAGCTTGGAGCAAGGCGAGAATCGACGCCACGCTCCGTGATATCTCACCGCAAGTGGTCATTGGGACAAGCCAGCTGGACACACGAGGTGTGCCAGCAGTTGTGTATTTTCAGGAGCGATGGCTTCAATCGTCGTTCGATGACGAGGATGATACTCTCAGCCAACTGGACGCCATCCGCAGGAGTCTCAACACGAAAGCGCTTGTGTATGTCATGTTTACGTCGGGAACCACGGGGAAGCCAAAGGGGGTGATGATATATCATCAGGCCCTCTCTCTGTTTGCTACACTGGCAACTGATAATACTAATAACACAGTTCCTGGTGACCGTGTGCTACTGGCCATCTGCATCTCGTTTGACGGTAAGCAAGCTTCAAGATCACCCTAAGCATGAGACTTCCCGTTAGCTAAAACTTGCCCCAGCATGTGCTGCCATTATCTGGTCAACAATCACAAAGGGCGGAACCTTGGTCATGGCTTCATCGTCAACGTTTCCTGAAATTGCCACTACCTGCACCACTCTGATAGTGACCCCGTCCATGTTTGCGACCTTGGATCCAGCCGGATCTTATGACAAAGTCCGCAGTGTCTTTTTGGGTGCCGAATTGGCCAACTTTGAAATAGCGCGTCAATGGATTACTCCTACGCGAAGAGTAATCCACACCTACGGCCCGACAGAGGCGACCATTAACATCGCTTACGGGACAATTCCTGAAGGCACGGAGCCAGACATGGGCGTGTTCAACACTGGAGTGGAAGTCTTTCTCGTCAACGAAGATTTGCAAGAAAGCGACATGGGCGAGATCTTGATAAGTGGTCCGTGTTTGGCTGCGGGATACCTGAATAACCCAGAGCTCACAGCCAAGAGGTTCATTGACTGGAATGGGAGGCGCGTATACCGGACTGGTGATTTGGCCCGAAAAACCAAAAATGGACTATCATGGGTAGGTCGAGCGGACCGCATAGTGAAGAACCGAGGATTTCTCGTCAACTTGGAGACAGAAGTCGAGTCAGGGATGCTTCGGTTCACCGACGTTCGAGCAGCTTCCGCTTTCGTGTGGCGTGGTAAGATTATGGGATTTGTGCAGCCAGCGACGGTCGATCTTGAGGAGCTGCGCGCGTTCATGAGAGAGAATTATGACCCGTTTGTGGTCCCGGACGAGATATTAGCGTTGGACCAATTCCCTCTCACCGCACATGGAAAGGTCGATCGAGCTGCGCTGAGCTCTGGACTAGAAGACAGAATGGTTAAAGAGAACGCGCTGCTTGACACCATGGTGTGTACTTCACCTTATGATGCGCTGCGGTGGGCTTTCACCAAGTGCCTTCAAGTTCCCCTCAGCGGCCTCGACAGGACATCGTCTTTCTCCCACCTTGGAGGCCACTCCCTGGCAGCTATCCAGCTGTCAAGGCTCCTGAGGCAGCAAGGTTACGCCATCCCCATAATAGACGTTCTTAGAGGAGATACCATCGACCACCTGGAAGAGAAACTTACAAAGATCAACGAACAGAATGAGGCACCCGATTCCAATGGTACTGTGCAGACCGAGTTCGAAGCAGCGCCAGTTACCGACCTGCACAGACTTATGCTGACCCAGTCGCAACGTAACCCAGCGACTAATTGCCAAATAGCCAGCGCCAGGTTCGTTGGGCCACGAGAATCAGTCCCAACCCCAAGCGAATTGCGAGTCGCTTGGACAGCCACTCTTGCCGGCCACAGCATCTTCAAAACGCGATACGACCTGCAAAGCTGGACGCTCCATGACCTTGACCGTGTCAACTTTGACTGGGAAGAGGTCAGTGTCGCAGCCGAAGAGTTTGACAGTGCTCTGGTGTCTGTTGAGGAACAGGTTTGGACACACCACAACAGTCTCAAGAATCTCCCAGATTCCAGTCTTGAAGTGCCATATTGCCATATGACCTGCGTCTACGCGCCCAGTCGTCAGGCCATAGGTTTCGTCTGGCGTGTACACCACGTCCTCCACGACATATTCTCTGGAATTATTGTCATGCGTGATTTAGAGCGCGCTCTCGCAAAGGGAAAAGTGACCCCCGGACCTCGCCTTCAAGACTTCTCGCGCTTCATGCAAAAGTACAAGGAGGACAACCTAGGTGCAGCTACTGAATACTGGAATCGCATGATGAAGCCGCTTTATGAGCAACCTTTGTTTGACTTTCGACCGCCACAGGCATCTTTCGAAGGCAACGCCTGGCGAAGTCTGACATTCACGACCGGGGAGACTTTGAAGTCCATCGAAGCGTCAGTGCGCACGAACAACATTTCAAGCGCGACATTAATCTTCGCTGCGTGGGCACTTGTTTTGGCTAAGTACTCACGCTCCAGTTTTGCTTCATTCTATCTTAGTCGCTCCGGTCGGATGATCCCTTGGCCGCCAGCACCAACTCTTGTAGCGGCAATGAACTGCCGCGTACCGTTTACCACGGGCATTCCCGCCGAAGCAACGGTACACGAATGGCTGGCAGAGTTGCACAGTACGCTGCTCCGTGTTGCGGAGCTTGAAACCTTGTGCCAGTCACTTGACACATCGATTTATCCCATGGAGCATTTCAGGTCGTCGGTGCAGGCTTTTCTCTACATGCCACAGATGCCGGCTAACTGGGAGGTTCACGACAGGCTTACTGGTCAGGCACAGTCGGTAGGGATGGTCTGGAGAGTTCGGCCAACAAGCAGTGGGGCCGTTGCGGCCGATCTGGAGATTGACCAGAGAACGGTGGACATTGAATTGGCTAAGGAGGTCGGCGCAGTCGCTGTACGGATGCTTGAGGGGCTGGCGAATGCCCAGAGGAACACCAAGTTGCGAGACCTAAACTTGGACCGATGATTTCCAATTTGTTAATTATTGTGATATTGTGCGTTAGGTGGTGAACTACAGTATACTTTAAACGTGTCTACTATCATTGGCTGAAGAAAAGGAACTATCTTTCTTCTTGCATATATAGTCTTGTTTAGGGGCTGTATTGCTTAGTGTCTGCTTACTCCACGACGGTTGGAGAAGTAAGTAGTAAGCAGTTATCTACTAAGCAATTTTGCGTGTGTATAGCTAATACCTTATGGCATCTGATTCAAAAATTAACGGACCAATTGAGGGATAGCAGGAAACCCTACACATGTCAGGAGATACTAAACATTATTCTTAGCTACTTAAGGATAGACAAACAATTCATGATACTCTTTTCGCTGCGCTGAATACCCGCCTATAACCAAGCTCTGAACCCGAACTCGCAGTACCACGTCACTTATGGGAATTGCTTCCCATATCGCACTAAGCGTTTTCTTTGGCATAGTCGGACGACCAAAGTGAAATGGCCTACCACTGCCTCCGGGGCCCAAGGGCGTGTTTTTACTGGGCAACATCAATGATATGCCCAAATCTGATGTCCTTGAATCTTTTCACTGGTTGAAGCACAAGGACTTATATGGTGCGTGAACTCGAACTAATCAAATACGACAGTGACTTACAAGACTTCATGCAATCGTAGGCCCAATTAGCTCCGTAACCACCATGAGTCAGACTATCATTCTTATTAACGACTCTGAGTTAGCGACAGAGCGCTTGACAAACCGGGCCGCTCTCCGTTCATCTCGTCCAAGACAAGTCCTTGCTGGTGAAATTGTTGGCTGGACCAATTCCATAACCCTTACCCCAAACAACGATAGGTGGAAGCAACTTTGCAAAATAATCTCACAAGTTGACAGTAGCAATAAATCCGTCACTATGTTTGACAAGGTTTAGGAAGCTGAGTCTGCACATTTTCTGCTCAGCCTCCTGGACTCCCCAGATAATCTATTTGGTCATCTCCGAAAGGTAGTAGTGAGATCTGACTAAGTAGCTATATCTAACTACATTTGACAGAAGTCCTTGTCTAAAGAGTAAGCAAGCTGCATTTACAGTAAGCTAAAGTCTACGGGGTTTAGGCGTAAAGGACTTTTGACATGAAAATCTGAATTAAAGCTGTCCTTGGAACTTGATTGAGGACACAATCACCAACACAGTCAAAGCATTGATCAATCAGACACTATGCTTCCGCCTCTGCGTATTGCAATCCTCGAGTGTGATGAGCTGACCGGAGAGACTAAGAAGGACTACGGTAGCATTAGCAATGTATACAAAAAGTTCCTTGAGGCCGGTGCATCAAAACTCGAAGCGAGCGGTCTCTATGACCGACCCAGTCTCGACATTTCTTCCTACGATGTGGTAAACAAGCAAGAATATCCAGACACCGAAAGTATCGATGCAGTATTCTTGACAGGCAGTCGTAAGTGACCCAAGAAATGTCTCGCCCTCTTGCCCAGTGACGGCCATGCAGCTCACTTCTCATTGTTGGTGCAAGGATATGATTCTTTCACGCCAGGTGAAAATGACTGGATATCAAAGCTCGTCGACTTCATCAAAGTAATGCTGCAAAACCAATCTCGGGTTCGGATAATGGCTGTCTGCTTTGGGCATCAGATCGTCGGACGCGCATATGGAGTTATGCCAGAAAGGAATGATGCCGGCTGGGAGGTCTCTGTTACCCCTATGGTACTAACAGAGAGAGGGAAGCAAGTCTTCGAACAGGATTCACTAGTATGTTCCATCAGGTTCATGAAGCAACGGCTCTGGAGGCGCTGGACAGTACTAACGAGAATATCCTGACAGGCGCTTCATCAGATGCATCGCGACATTCTCCCACGGTACCCACCGTATGTTGAGAAGCTTGGCCACTCGGATCTTTGCGATGTGCAAGGTATCTATGTCAAGAACCGTGTCATTACTTTACAAGGGCATCCGGAGTACAACACAAAAATTGCCAGCGGGTTCCTAGACAGGCGAGAATCAGTACTGGGTTATACAACATACCAGGATGGAAGGAATCGAGTAAATAATCCGCATGATGGCGTGACCGTTGGGGCTAGCTTCTTGAAATTCTTGTTAGAAAATGATCCATAAGCGTTAATTCTTATAAAGGCTTCTGATTTATTCTTATTCTATACTCTTAGAAAGATAAACTCGCCTAAGTAGCCGAAATACTATTAATAACCAAGCAATACTTAAGCCTTATTTTCTCGACTACGAATCTAGAGTACTATATAGTGCCGATGAAATATTGTCTCTTAGCATATTGATAACAGTCTTGATAATAATCTCCCTATACTAATATTTAAAAGTTATTAATACTTCATCGAGCCTCACACGTCTGATAGAATTTCATACGACCGTCTCAGCAACAGTTTCGGTCCTTTCAGCGACTCTCAACGCCATAATCAAACCGCTTTCACAACAAAGAAGTTGAGTTTTGTTCCAAACACAGCGAAGATGGCGCTGCGATGAAGGATAACCACTCTATCATCGACAAGTGGCCCTTCATGTTGAAGCTCCGACCTGGCCAGCAAGGAGCACAAGAAGGGTTTGACCGGTCCATTGGCGGAGGAATGTCAGGGAAGGCGCGCTGCGTTGAGTAGAAGAGAATCCATCAGGGTACTCTTTGAAGATACAGTTGAACTCGAAATCCTACTAGTAACTAATGTGTCAGGCTAGATGACACTGCGGTTGTGGTATTAGTGAACGATCGCTCCTAGTGTGATCTTACCGGGTGATTTGATAACACTAATATTGATTGGACAGCCATAGAAAAGCAGCTCCTTACCATGAAGCTCTCGGTTTTTTAACAAGTCGTCCACGGCTAGAGAACACTATCTACAGCCCGTGATGGCAAGATCTTTATTGAGGCCTTGTGCCTGGAAGATGCCTGTATCTGTTGGCTTGGCGTGAAGGTCGGGAAGACGGGTAGGGAGATTCAAACCATCGTCTTGAAACATCCTAGGTACGGTCTATATGCCACCTTTCTTCTTAGGTATACCTAGATACAGAGCAGTTTTTAGGACACCAGAGCTATGTAAGTCAAATAAGACGTGACTCTTTTTCTACTACTAGGTTTTAATTATTTATTTAGCCTACGATTATGGCAGCATCGGACCCGGAAGCACAGCCCTGGGGATATATCACCTATCGGACTGTTTATACTCCCGAGTCAAACGCTGTCTGGGATTCCGTTACCACCAAGCTCGAGAATTATATGAGTAACTCACCATCTCCAGGCTGCACAAAGGGTGGGAAATGGGCGGCACCGCATCTCTGGTACATGAACAATGCTACCCTCTACAACGGACTCTCGATTAATCAAGTCCGCGACGATTTTACCAACCGTGTTAGGGATAGTGTTGACCTATTTAACCAAGGAGCCTATGAGGAGTTCTCTTGGGGTGTTCATGACTGGATCTGCCTTGTGATTGATGAGGAAGTGATATACTCTATTATCAATGATGCCCCAGAGGATGTATCTGAGGCAGAACGGTTATTCAATTGTTCTTCGGCTTCCCCCAAGCAGCCGATACCATATGTGAAGGCAGTTGGTCGCGATTATGACCCACCTGATCCCAATAAACCTCCAAGGCGAGCACCCTTTGCTACCCATAGAGAGTATCGTGGCTGGATGAAGGCTGGTCTATTGTGGATAGGGGCTATGTATCATCTTGAAGAAATGGAGGTTGAATGTCCAGGCTGGGATCCAGCTTTGGGCGATGAAGCATACCCAGTTTATTAAGATTTACTACCATCCATGTGTTATTGACTGTCAGATCTAACCAAGGGTATGCTGTTATATGCCTCTACGTCTACTCTCATCTACTAGCTATAGTTGGCTATTATTAGTCCATTGGAGTAAATACAACGTTGAGTGCTAGTTTACACAATCAGTAGTAATTTAATCCGGACCTCTAGTGGTAACACCAAACAAGACTGTAGCAAGGGTGCTGATCCATGCAATAAATGCCATGACTGAAGGCTGGCGTATTGTTGCTGCAGAGTCCAAATCGAGAAGTCGAGGCCAGAGGGAAGAGTGGAAGAATTCCTTTATTAGGGCATGGCAGAAAGGGCGATGGAGGAATTCCGCTCCCTGAGTAAACCAAGTAGGATAAGCGGAGAGCCAGGGGTATAAAGATCTGAGCTGGTTGTAAGGGAGAAGTCCCATTAGTTTCTAAACCATGTCCTGAACATGAATTGCGAGAGGGCAAGCTGCGAGCCTACTGAGGAGGACAGCCGCGGTGATCATGCCGGAAACCAACCCGGCTGAGACGGCCTCGAGTGGTAACATATTGGACAGCATCTCCTTGAGAGATAATAACCGTCGACTGTTGAACAGGCGAGAGAGGTAGACAGAGTAACGGTATTGTAATATAAGGGGGACGCGTAGAGGAGCCATAACGGGGTCCCTCCCTACATAACAGCTTATACCACCCCCATGGCATCCACCCGTTATACGTATTATATGACTTCAGCGGGAGGGCTACACATATATTTAGCGTTGCAGGAGATGAGCCAATTATACCTCCAAATATGACAATTGGAAGGCAAACCGACTCATTTCATCACCCATGTTCTGTATGCCTGCATAGGTAAAAATTTGGTATCTCATCCCCAACTACTGTCCCAGCTGCTGGACCTGAGCGGGAACCTTAACTATTTCCTGTGTCGAAGTCCGTAAAACGAGTTAAAGAGGTGGAAATATTGGCAGTCTCCCTCTCTCTTTGAACTATATCTTTTAATTTCAAAGTATATATTATTTATATGAAAAATATCAAAGTTACATTGAAAGTACACAATAGTGGCCCTAGGTCTGATCCAAAATATCATCCCAAGTCTTGTTTGCAAATGGTGGGTAAGCTGGTTGGCAAACTGTTTTAGGCAATGGTAAAATACCTCTCATAAAGTACTCCTTGATAGCTTTACCAGTGCAAACAGAGGCATGGTTCAAGGTGCAGTGCTAGTAAAAATCGTGAGCTTCAAGAACTATAATGTAGATCTCAAAAGATATTCAGCCAAAGGGGATAACTCACGCCATAACCGCCATGCTCTAGTAGAATACTGTTTTGAAATGTCGCGCTGGCGTTTCGGGCAGACACGAGAGGCGTAGCAGGATCATAGGTATTGCCAATAACAAGCATAGGATGTTTTGTCTTGACTTTGAAATCACCCTCGTAACGTTCTTTGGCCTTAATCCTCCACTGAGCGCACACCATTGCTAGAGCTGTCCCAACTTGGCCCAGAAGTTTGCTCTTCTTGTTGAGTGCCTCAAGGGTCGGTATAATTTCATCGAAGCTATCTTTCCCTATATCTTTGTCGGAGCAGGGAATTCCAAAAGGAGACTCAGTTGGGATCCCGCCCTCCCAGGGGGGAGAGAGCGACGTGGCAAGCTGGGAGAATTTGGTCAAATTCCCACTGAGAAGAGAGTCTAAGGCCATAGAGAAAATAGGCCATGTAGCGGGGTTGTACAGCGTTGGCCGAATCAAGTTCTTTACAACGCTATGGTCAATCAATGTGCCATTGAATACGAGCGGCTGGTATTTGATATCGTCTAGAAAGCTGTACACCTTAGTCTCCAGGCCATCAGCCATCGCGTTTGGGCTTGCCAGAGCACATTCGTTAGGGGACTCGATGCATTGTTCAAAAAAGGCCGAGAATACTTTGTCCGTGTCTGTCCAGAGTTCGATATCACTAAAAGCAAATGACAAAGTATCAGCACGTTATCAGATCACAGAAACGGTGGCAAAAGGAAGACATACTATGCGTGATGATACTGATGAGGGTTGACAACGCCATCTAGGAGAATGCGGTCAATTCTATCAGGGAACATCGCGGCAACTGTTGCTCCTAATGCTGTACCGTATGATAAACCTGAAAACAAAACGTACTTAGCAAGTCTTGAAAATAAGTATACTCATGGGACAAAGAGCACTTACCCCAGTAACGTAACAGGCCATCATCTTCAACCGCGTCAACTATTTCCATCAAGTCTCGAGCAGTGAATGCAGTGCTAATAAGCTGGCCCCTCTCCTTCGATTCAGGGTATCTGTCGCAGGTATCAGTGAGGAGTAGGAGGCTGGACCAGAGTCTACCCAGGGGCATTTTGTCATCAGGGGTAACCAGCTCTCCAGCTCGACTATTAGTGAATTGAGCGAGTCTCACGTTGTTTTCTTTGAAACAGGAAAAAGTAAGAGTGTTTTCGGTTCCACTAGACAGGTAATGTCAGCTATGCCTAAATGACCAGTCCAGCATAAAATTATAGTAGGGCACCTACCGTGGATCATGGGCGATCAGGTCGTAGTAGCCGCCAGTTAGACTGTATTATGGTAAGCAATTGACCATAACTTCCTTTTCTATATGAGCAAGGGTGGACTTACGTTTGAAGCACCTTAGCGCTGCCAGCCAATGAGGCTCGTGACCCCAGGCCCGGTCCGCCAAAGTTGAACAATATACTCCCCTTCTTGGGGCTGTGAAGGGCGGGAACTTTGAGAAGCTGGAGGTTGAGAGTTGCCCCCGATTCACGGTTGCTATAGTCTAGGGGAACGCTCAGATTGCCGCACTGAATCGGACGAGTTCCTTCTAGTTCACAAGGGCCCCAGGCGATCTTTCCCTCGGAGCGTGCATGTGTTGAGGCTATCATAGGTGAAGCGAGGCTGCCAGCGACCAGAGCAAGAGAGAGGACAGTATGAGTCCAAGGCATGGCTGTGGTTGTTCTTGATCGATATCAAATGAATCAGCGACTGAAAGAGTGAAAGTGTGTTTGGAGGTATGGAGAGCACACATCCCAACGGATATTCTTCCAATTTATATATCCAGGCCATTCAGTCAAGACCATATATGAGACCATAATAACCTCGATACACATGGACTTTTTGGAGGATGAGCTCGATCTCTGACCTGAATGAGGCTGGGGTGAAGATCTATAACTGAAGGATGCTGGTCGTCAAATCAGCATCGGACACAACGGTAGTGGGGGGATAGAAAACCAGATGGCTACAGCCCAGCGGCCCATGTCGCCTAAATGGGTAGAATGTCAAGAGAATTCGCCGACGCGACTCATGTCGGTCCCGGGCGGAACGACAGGGGCAGGAGCAGAGGGCGCGGGTGGGATCGCGCACAGAGCCAAGGCGGGAGCGGAGAGGGCTTGGCACTTCCTTCGCGGCTGCTGATCTTGGCGGCGCCACATGCGACCTGATCGGGAATAAAAGACATCCTCCGCTGCAAAACACAAACATACGACATTCTCGCCTCCAGGCTGGCAATAATCAGATATATCTGAGTATCGACATGCGCTGAGAGCCGGAGGCAGCGCGAGCCCGTGTCTGCCTGATGTGCTTCACACTCAGCCGCCTTAGCCGCTAGGTCGACATGTTACCACAGGCACCAGCAAAGTACAGGCCTGACATGAGGGTGTAAGAGATAGTTCTCTTACAGACCAAGCCGCTGCCGTTATACATTGCACACCGAGAAACGGGCAGTATCGATATTGACATCGGTGCCTAGCAACTACTCGAGATCCCACTTGGGATTGCCGAAAGGAAACGTCTCTTCCCTTGGCTCCGAGATACACACTGTCGTCTGTCACCTATCTCACTCAAGAAACGCCCGGTAGGGTTTCCCCTAACGATAGATCCTTGGCTATATAGTTTCAGTCGCCAGGGAGCTACCCCAGGACTCGTTGTCAACAAAAAGTCATCATGAGAAGCTAGTCAGCGCATTTGAAGATTGAAGCCGGCCTTTCTCCCTGCATAGTTAATCGCGGCTTTTGCTGAGTTGGATGGAGCACGGAATCTGATCGGTATATCGCACCACGCTCTCACCCAGTCGAATTGCCGATTGAAACAGACGGACTATTGCCGGATTATTGCCGCGTTCTTCTCGAGTCTAGCCCGCTGCCCTCCTCGTCATCCGTGACGTCGTCTATTCAGCCCGACAGAACCCAGCTGAGAGATCCGTTCCCCAGATATAACCGATCTCCTTTCATTCGGAGATTGCGTTCATTGCCCTCTCCTGTTCTAAATCGGTGTCCGTACAAGCCACCCTCCCCGCTGACTACCCACCCATCCATCCGATGCACTGCCGATGAGTCGTAAGTGGACGTGGCTGCGTAACTTAAGGCAGGGCTCCCCTTGCGCTTTTGGAATCATCGCTCAACTCCCGTCCGGCTTGCCGATAGAAACGGCATATAAAGATCCTTGTTATAGAATATATAAAAAGAATCAGACAGCCTTGCCTCCTCGTCGACGACAACCCTTGTGCAATCCGTCAGGGAAGGGAAGATGAGAAGGATCGGGCATTGTCTTTATTCTTAGAAGGTTTCTGCGTCAGAAGCATTTCATATGCTCTGTATAGAGTTCCGGGTACTTGGTTAAGCTTCTAGCTGGCCACGTATCAACGGCATGCTAAAACGCTTTATATTTGTTGGAGGGTAGGCTGATAGGAACACCCAGACGCATAACTAAGCTTTTAGCAGCCGGAAGCTAACGTGTTTCAGGGGGCTTAGCGATATCAGCAGGGATATTCATTGGCTGCACCCAGCAAACTTCAAATCGCCTCTACTTAGGCTCGCTGTATGAGGTCCACTCGTTTGACCTCCGTGGCTGTTACGAGCTAGCATAGCCCTGCGCTGCTCCTCAAGAACAACACCCTGCTGATTCGTCCGTGGAACATGCAATGCAACAGAATAACTACAGTTCGGCTCAGGGGTTCACAGCTCACCCCGTGGTCCCATGGTGTACTAGGGGTTCGCCCCATGGTATACCGGGGCTTTATCGAAACGATGCACCTGATGGCAGGGGCCAAACGGTTCAAGCTTTCTCAAGATATCAGTAAGTTACGGGGGCTGGTGGAATGTAACCCCCGATGATATAGTATCCACCGGTAATGCAAAAATCAAATCCAGGTTCTCTGATATACCCTAGCCACGCAAGAAGGGGTAGTCAAGGTGTGGTGGAGTAACTGGTCAAGCCCATCAGCCCAGCTAGCTAACTTGTCAAGCTCAATAAACATCCCACTTCTCATGGGTTAATTTATATAGCTGGCAATCTACAAGGCGAGCTTCCGTATTCCCTTCAACTGAACTACAGATCGAAGCCTGGTATATTGCTATCAACATTAAGCCCCGAGCTTAGGCACCAAGATGGATCTCCTCCGTTCTTCTGAGTTCTCCGCTTATGTGAAGAAGATCATTGACCACCGCCAAATACCAGGCATTGCAGTTGCCGTTATACAGGGCAACGGCATCACATCCACCGGCTTTGGAAAGGCGCGGGTAAATCCGCTGATTGACTTTACCCCGGATACGCCCTTTAGCGTTGGCTCTGCGTCGAAGTCTCTCACGGCGGCAGCAGTTGCACTCTTGGTTAGCGACAATGAAAACTATCCCCAAGTGCAGTATGGGGCCACCATGGCGAGTCTTCTGCCTGATGATTTTGTCATGCCCGGCAAGGATCATGGAGATGTCACCGTGGAGGACATACTTAGTCATCGGACTGGTATGGCAGCGTAAGTAATTCTTCTATCTTCCTACTATTTGACTTGCAGTTGAGCCGACGCTAACATCCCCTCTACAGACATGAATATTCCCTCCTCGGCTCCAAGGCAGGACATCCGGATGATGCGCGTTCAATCACAAGGAACCTTCGAAATTTGTCAACTGTGGCGCCAAATCGACACGAGTATATCTACTGCAACATGATGTATTCTGTGGCCACCTACCTTGTCGAACATATAAGTGGGATGAGCTTCTCGGATTTCCTTGACAAGCATCTGTTTCAGTTACTCAAGATGGACTCGACCACCCTCCAGCCAAGTCGGGCTCAGGCTAAGGGGCTAGGTGCTCGCATGGCTGCTGGGTACTTGCGGGCTAATGCCCACCGGGAGCTCCAGGAGGTCCCTTATTCAGATCGTCCTGAGTCTCAGGGCGCCGGTCAAATCATCACGACTGCTAATGACTATGCGAAATGGGTGAAAGCCATGATCAATCGGGAGGGACCCATAACGGAAGAGATTTATCAGTCGCTCACAAAGGCACGAATAGAGCAGGATCCATCCGAAGTTGGGGATCTAGAGCACTCCCTTTACTATTGCCTTGGCTGGCAAGCTCAGAAGTACTGCGGTTATACCATAGTCTCCCATGATGGAGGAGATTATGGTTCCCAATGCGATCACTTCTTCATTCCAGAACTCAAGTTTGGAGGAGTTGTTTTCTGTAACGCTGATTACACGAATACAACCGTAAGCCAGATCAAGTATCATTTGGTCGACCAGATGATAAGTGGGCGACAGAACGGGAAGATTCTTCAAGCAAATGCTGATTCGAGCTCACTCGGCTCAGAGGCTGATTCGGAATCAGGGTCTGAGGATGGCCAGGATGAGTTGGAGTTAGAGCAAGAGCTCCGACAGGAACTTTGCCCCGGCATCAAGACCCGGCAGCCGCAGGTGTTGCCACTTAGCAGCTATGCGGGACAATACTGGAACCCAGGCTATAAGGGGATCAAGGTTGAAAGTAAACAGGGCGTCTTGTTTGCCGACTGTACAGATCGCTCCCTATCGTTCACCCTCACTTTTAGACACGTTTGCAACCAGACAAAGTACCTTGCTTTTATGAGCGAAAACTTTGAAACCAACGACTTCCCCCTCAAAGCGGAGTTCGTCCTCGAAAACAACAATTCTATATTGCTAGGCCTACTGTTGGACCATAGGGTTGGAGAGTACATCTGGTTTGAGAGGGTAAATGCCCTAGTCAAAGATTAGCAGAATAAGTCGGGATATTAGGGAGCTCGTTGTTGAATATACAAGTGGTTAAAGCTTTGTAGCTTGCGCGTATCAGCGACTATTATACTAGCCATCTTCGTATATAAAATCTGGTCGGTTAGGGCACGCAAGGACCAAATGTACACTTCCTCGCTGGCAATATTACCAGACTAAGGCACGAGAAAAGAGTGGTAATACGGCTATGGCTTTTCAACAGTAGTCTTGTCTGCTTGTCTTGATTTATTCCGCGTCAGGGCTGTCGAAGGGGTCTTCGATCTGAGTAATGGGGCGTAAGAGGCTCACGATTTCACTTTGGAGGATCTCCTCTGCAAGGAAAACGGGGGAGCTGTAAGACCTATCTAAAACATTGGGGTCGGCGTTATGGTGTAGGAGTAACTTGACTACCTCTAATGAACCCCCAGCTGCAGCCTGATGTAGTGGAGTTCTACCCCATGTGGTCGAAACATTCACCTCAGCTCCAGAATCAATCAAACATCTTGCAATTTCGGTATACCCCCTACCACACACCTGATGGAGGGCTGTACCTCCGCTCATAGTCTTTGAGTTCGGGTCCGCTCCGTGCTTAAGAAGCAGGCGAACTATATCTTCATGCCTTCCTTCAGCGGCCCAGTATAGAGGGGTCCAGAGGTCCACGTCTTTCGATTCTATGTCTGCCTTAGCACTGAGAAGATTTTCAACAACCTCGATGCACCCCCGGCTGGAGGCGACCTGTAGCGGTGTTCGACCTCCCTTTGTGGCATTGTCGACCCCTGCCCCATGTTGGAGGAGCAAGTTGACAACATCCACATGGCCTCTCTATCATCAAAAGTTAGCTCCCTGAAATTGTAGGTTTATACACCAAGTGTAAACGTTACCTCAGAGGCTCGGTATAAAGGTGTCACTCCACTCGCAGTGACACTATTGACATCGACGCCAGAATCTAATAAATGCTTCGCGACACTTGCCAGGCCGAGGTAGCAGGCATAATGAATTGCTTGTTCCGGCTCATCAGGCGGCTGGAAAAGATCTTTCTTAGGCTGACCTGGCGTGTAAACAAGCAACCAGGCTTGCAGTATAGGTTCGAATCTGAAAAGGTTGTAGGATAACTCAGCAGCCTCGTCGTCAAAGGCTACTGTCGCATAGACGAACCAAAATTGGCAGGCGTAACACAATAGTGGAAATTCTTCTAGATCATCCGCGGTCGCAATTTTATAGTCTGATTCAGTGTAGTGGAAGATGTATTGGAGACAACTTCGAAGAATGAAACTGCTCACGAGGGCCCGATCGACATGGAACTTCCTTACCGATGGGTTAGAACAATGCAGTGGGTGACCCGATATTAGATATTCTTTGACAGAAAAATGAGAGAGGCGGAGTTCGATACGTTTCTCGAAGACTGGCGAGAACTGTGAGGAAACTTCAGACACCGCACTAATCCCCTCATCAGGCCATTCAGTGCTGCCCTCTCTTTGAGTCACCGACACCAGGCTTCCTAGGATCTCAAGTATATCTTCATGGGGATTAAAAAAACGCCCTTCTGGGTCAAATGGGGCCTCAGCTTCAGGGTCAAGGATCGCAGCTTCGGCCACTTCTTCAGCTGAAAGTGGCCTCCGTGCCTCGACCATCCACCAAAGTGCGCGGAGTGCGTAGTGTTGGTAGTTCTTAGGAATGCCTTGGAGGATTCGTTCGTAAGTACCATCCAGCGTCATCGGCAACGTCGCTAACGTCTCCATCAACAGCATTTTAGTTTTGCATCGTTTCAACTCGTTGAGTTGGCAATCCACCCATCGAAACCTATGCCATGATAGTATAATCTTAGCTCCAAATCCAGGTATTATGTGTGCCCTAACAAAGGTATATATTAAGCCATAACTTACATGCCATCAGCATCAGCTATTAGCTTCCTTTGTATCTCAGACTTCATTTTTAACGGTAGCTTCCTCAGTTTTGGATCCGAAGACAATTGTGTCTGAACATGGTGGTTTATGTCCTGAGTTACCGACGTTCCGCCTACCGCTATACTCGTCACTGCGGGGATAGAGGACAGCTCTTCCTTGATATCAGCCTCCGGCCTACTTGTAAGGAGTATATGTAAATTTGAGGAAGCCCAAGACGATACTGTCCGAAGAAAATCAAGTAGTTCCTGTCTGTTATCAACAGGACATTCATCCAGAGCGTCAATTGCGATAAATGTATCATTAACATCGCTGGATTCCGCGAACAATTTTAAAATATCAATTAGGTCTGACAATGCTGGTGTGTCGCTTCCGAAGTTGCACTTCTTCACATAAAGGTCCCTAAGCTCCGCTGGCACCACCGGTGTTTTGGTTACAAGCCGTGAGAGAATATATCGTAGGCAATTAGTGGTACTTTGCTTTGCAGGGCTGCCAAAATCAAAGTAAAAATAAGATACGAGCACGTCGTTGTGCGAATCGTACTCCTCCCGTAGATGCTCGATGACGGATGAGCTTAGGATCGTCTTGCCGCTTCCTGGTTTTCCATAGAGCCAGAGAATTGAGGATCTGGTACGCTTCCATTCATTGAATGCCTGGTGGCCTGTGACCCACTCTCCTGTTCCCTGTAAATGCTTTTTCCGTGCGTCTTCGTGATTTGACCAGTTGATTCCTTGTTCCACCATAGAGAGCCATTGAATAATCTTTGCTCGGTATTCTCCTTTCTGCTGTTCATTACGACTGGTCGATAGATCTTTCCCCAGGTCAATGACAAGCTGGTGTGTATCAAGAGCCAGCTTCGTCTGATCGGCATTCAACGCAAGGTTGAAGCTAGCTTTACACCTCTCGAGTACGGCAATGCTGCTTTTGATTTCCTTGCTGGTAAATGGCCACTTCAGCGCTCGGATTCCAAACTGTCTCATCGGGTTCTTGCTCTGGTTCTCGTCATTATTGCCGCCAGAGGCCGACTTTTCTAACTTGGCAGCAACTTCTAGCAATTCGGTTTGGCACCTCGCTAACGCTCCATTCTCCCCGAGAAGTAGTGCGAACGCGGGCAAGCTCTCGACCGCTTTAGAATCGCCACTATCGTCAAGCAGATCGACGATTTTCCTCAGAGTGCCCTGGAGGTCGCTCACTTCGCCCTCGAGCCATTTAATTTCCTTGCGGGCGTCCCTGACTTCGAAGTAAAATTTAACGGTGAGATGCAAGACATGGGTGGTCAACTGGATAACAGCTATAGCGCTCGCGGCAGCTTCCATCGTATCGAAACTGAGATGAGGCCTAGAGCACTCCCTATACTCCCCAATCGTCCTTGTGCCTTACTTGGACGTCGAGGACAACCCCAGAAGAGCGACGACAGCACCCCGCGGCCAGCCTTGTCTTGTTCATCGCTGCCCCTCCCTGGGCGTTGGAAGGGGCCTGTGAGTGGAGGGTGGCTTGCATGACCCTTGTATTTGGCTATGGCGTGCGGCGCCTTCATTGGGTATCTATACTTGGTGCCTGATGTGGTTGTTCGTATTCATGGATATTCTCCCGTCAAGACTAAATGTTGTTGACACTAAAGTTCGCGGCCCGAAAGCGGAGGTCATGTGATATTTTGATTATGTAATGATACTGACCAATCTCAAGCAGCAAGTATAACCGCGATATGAAGGGCTGACTGCCTCCTTCCAACCACCTCAGGGCTCTCTAAGTGCTGAACTATTAACTATATGTTCCTCTTTTATATCTCTTCCACGATGTACACAATATGAAGAGATCAGCCCACGTCACTGTCCATAATAGCCGGAATTCAACAGCCCAAAAAAAAGTCATTGGAGCTGATCCAGGTGGTGACAGCTGGCAAGCGATCTTCCCTCAAATGGTGTGACGTTATATTCAATGCTCCGGCTAAAATCGCGGTGAATACGGTAAATAAGCACGAGGTCCTTGAAATTGAGCCTATACTGGCGGAACTTGTAGTTAAACACGTATCTACAGATGAATATAATGAATACGAGTTTGATATCGACCACTCCCCCATCGACACCATGAATAGTTTACCCTCTCATGCAACTTGGCAGTAAACTGCAAATACAAGCCGAGTCACGATTAGTAGAAGCCTCGATAACTACCTTATCCCTCCTTGAAGAGTTTCGCTGGAAAGACGCTTGAGTTCTTGGAGCGGTGTACTATCTGTTGTGTACATTCATTCATGTATTGGGATAAAACCCGGTAGAACTCTATAATATTCTGCTGCTTCACCTTACGAAGCCTCGTCTTCGATGCTACGAGCTAAACATTGAAATAAAATATTGGCCGTTGTGCTACTTGAAAATGAACCAGACATCAACTTAATTACGCTAGGGGCGGGTTGCCCAAGTCGAATAGAGACTCGACCTTCGCGTTCCTTCTGCATAATACCAAACATGTATATAGCAATATAGCGGTTAGAGACGTAACTATCAAGAAGTCGAATCAAGTGTCAGGTTCGGTAGCAGGGTTTTTAGGTTCCATACCGCCGTTAGAGGATATAAAGTTAAGAATATAAGGTCAAGGATATAAGGCGTTATCGAGTCAGTGCATTGCATATAGCGCAATATCTACTGTGTCCACTGCCGTGCGACCTTTTCTACATGCCTCGGCTCCTCTTGTGCAGCTCAACGGTGGACCATACCATGGAGAGTCTGGCCGTAAGACTTGCGGCGACGAGGAAGGATCCAAAGTATCGCCACTGGGACCACCAGTACTCGTAAGCAGACATGTGCTTATATTTGGTATAAACGTCATCGAATCCTACACGGAGCTGAATTCGGCCGTGTTTCGTGCAGCCAGATGAGCAGGATTGGAAAGCCTAGCATATGCATGATCTTTTTAAGGTGGTACGACCTTAACCTGCATGTCGTGCTACTGTGCTTGTTCGAGTCGGCGGTTTATCTCAATAAATGAGAGGGGAGTCTCGATATAAGGTGTCCGAGGTAACCCGCCGTACCACATCCTAGCAAGCGGCGACGAGGGATCAGATATGCGGGGAGTAAGGCTGGTGTGATGCACCGTTGAAGGGCCGCCCTCCTTGTCCTAGCCGCCCCCGGTCAGCTCTGATCACTCGGCCCTTGGGCTAGCTTTAAAGCAAGATCCCAGCACAATGCACTTGGGTTAAGGTTTCTATCGATACATACCCTGTCGGCAGACGGAGTATAGTGTGAAGCGATTCCTGTAAAGCTGAACCGGGATCTTTGGGTTAATTCCTAGCCAGTGGAGTTATTATTAGCATTATCCTGTGACGTTAGACTTATCGTTCGCGCAATTCAAGGATCGAGAGCGGTTCTTGTCATTCTCGTGTTTGTCACTTCCGACGTTTGTAGTTATTTGTTATTTTTGTATTTGGCGCGGTGGCGGAGCGGCGAATATTTGTTCCGGGTAACCTCACGTCCAACTCCAGCAGATATGGAGAGCATTCGCAGTGACAAAGTTGATGGGAAGAGGATGCAATTGAGAGCTTCACTGCATGTGTTGGTCTGTAAATAATATTCCGATATCCTTCACTCAACACCACGAGTGGGCGTCCAACGATAACGGAACACCCAGCTCCCATTCATCATAATCCACGAAGGCCGACAATATAAAGCTCCCCGTCCTCAGTTTACACAATGGCGGACGCTCCGCCGAAGACAAGGACACGGAGCCGGAGGAAGGTGACATGGTGGCTACGGATGAAATATCGGTTGCTACGCTTAACGACACCGCTCCGGCTTCGTGGAAGCATCACTCGCCTTCGACATCACAACAAACGGCCGATTCTCGCACTCCTTCGACTCTGCCTACCCACCTCATGTCTGACTTGGTCATTCCCTATCCCGGAGCCACTCGCACCGAATGCTCTAGTCACAGACCCATCGCTCTGCTGGAGGCGGCGCATCGATAGCGACCTCAAAAACCTACAAGCTGTTCCCGTATGGCGCTCGCGGGACACCCCTCTCCGTTCCATTTACCGTCTCTACGAGGCAGTAATGGCTGGAGAGGAATATTTTGACGTTATCGGCTATGAAACAGAGTACTTTTGGTATCAGGACAGGCGCTCGTGGGAACCCCATCGCATACCAGATCCGGCCGACCCAGATCCGATTCGCTATGCGATCCTCGCAAGCATCGCCGAGGCGTTGGTATTTGCTCTAAACTGGCGCCTGAGCATCGGTATGCGCAGGAACGGGAACCATATTTATCGCCAGCACGGAAGCGACCCTTATCCGCCGTATGACCCCTTGCCTATGCCGTCGTGGACAAGGGATGTGCCCCCGGTTAAAATTGACCATCTCCGTTCGGCTATGCCCAGCAGCATGCTCGACTCTGAAGGCAGGCTGGTGCTTATTGACGAAGGAAAGAGTGAGGTGTTTCGAAAGAGGAATATCGTTGCATCAGAGTACAAGTTCTATACTATATAATATAACATAAACAATAATTGTAGGCAACACGCAGAGCTGTGTTTTCCCCGCGCTTACCTAAGCTTAGAACCCAGCCTTAGTTAAGCAACTCTCTATCTAGACAGGGACTCTAGATTCCGATGTTCACGACGCGAACATCCTCACGCCCGTCATACAGCGACGGCGGAGGACGTCTACTTTACCCGTTGAATAGCTCTAGAGTACAAGCGATAAATTACGGCCGTCCTCGGTTTTGTGTGAGAGTAATCAGCCCTGTCGAGCCATGGATCGGCCGAAACTCACGGCGGAAGAGATGCGCAAGGGTAAGATGATTCCGTTTGAGCTTTTTTACGCCATATCTTTAATTAACCACATTGCTAAACTCTATATCAGGCCTCAGTGAACTTGACGATGCTATGGGGGAAAACGAAATGATATACGCGTTTTCCCCGATCACAGTAATATCACCAGGCGGATTCCTCGCGGTCTCATATCTGAAAAACCGCAGTACCACGGAGGATATCGATATAATAATCGACCCACAGTGGACTGGAGACCAGGATATTATCCCAGCTCTCCGAGACCTATTCACAACTGTGGGTGATAAGTTGGAGCTGGGCGAAAAATGGCTCAACGACGACGTTTCTTTGTTTCTCACTCAGACGGCTCGCGAACAGCTCTTCCAAGCAGCTACGGAACAGAACATCGTTCTCTATGAAGGCACAAACCTCATAGTGCTCGGGGCCCCCCTAGAATGGGGCCTTGAATCGAAGCTGAGGCGGGTCCACACCAAGCCCGATCATCCCAAAGTGCCAACCGACATGCAAGATATACTTGCCATCCTGAAACTTCTGAGGGACCGCAAAGGAGGACCGTTGGATCGACGGGCGATACGCGAAAGTAACGTGAACGGATTCGACCAACTTCCAAGTGAGCAAACCATCGATCGCGTGGCTGAAGCGTACAGAAAGCAATATAACGAGGAGCCTTTCCATTAATAAATCGACCAGCAAGTCTACCGTAGTATCCTTTATATATATTGTTCAGTATAAGCAACCTCTTACCTTTCACGTTGCGACGCTTCGTCAATTATATTGAAGGGGTTATTTATTGTCCATGGATAGAGGTTGCCTTAGACTAGCTACATCCTAATATCAGAACTCATGTCTCAATAACAATACGCTCTTGTAGGCCCACTGCCAACTCCCTCAGATGCCGACATGTTATTCGTGTTTCTCGTCCTCATTTGCAGGCCTCTCATCCTCGCCGGCAACCTCCTCATCCTCCTCCTTGCTAGCAAGTGTCTCATCATCACTAGCAGTCTCCCCATCGTCACTACCAGCCTTCTCATCGTCACTAGCTCGCTTCTCACCCTCGCATGCAAGTTTTTCGTAGAGCTTGTGGAAGGCTGAAGTCGGTTTAGCAAGGAGTTCTTTAGGGTTGCCCGTTTCGATAATTGTGCCCTTGTCTAGCAAGACAATGCGGTCAAAGTCAAGCACTGTCTGAAGTTTGTGCGCAATGGCAACAACGGTCATGCCCTTAAACTTTTCACGAAGCACACTTCCCATAAGCTGATCGGTTTCGGCGTCAACACTACTGGTAGCCTCATCCATAATGACGATATTGCCTCGTTTGACTACCGCGCGAGCGAGGCAGAACAGCTGTCGCTGGCCGTGAGATAATTTATCATCACTAAGTTCCTCATCAAGCCCTCCACGCGTTTCCAAGAACTCCCACATACCCACCGCACGAAGCGCTTCTATGATGGCTTCATCCGTGGCCAGTTGTAGAGGATCAACATTTTCGCGGACGCTACCATAGAGAAAGAACGGCTCCTGCGGGAGTGTGTTCAATCGCCTTCGTACTTCTTGCCGCGGAATTGTGCTGATGTCGACACCGTCAATAGAAATGGTACCAGAGTCCATTTCGAGCATACGAAGGAGGCAAGAAACGAGCGATGATTTACCGCTGTTGCCTTGTAAGTGTCATATTCAATATAAAAAAGGGGGAAAGGTTTTTAGATATCAACATACCTGCCTGTTCGACCGCAAATTGCTACCTTCTCACCAGCATTGATGGAGAAGTTAATATTTTTCAGAACTTGCTCTTGAGACGAGTCATAAGAGGCAGAGACGTTTTGAAACATGATTGCCCCCGACTCCGGCCAGTCCTCTGTGACGTTACCGTCTTCGTTAGGTAGATTCTCGTCTTTAACGTCCTCTGCGTAAGAGCGCACTCTGTTTATTGCTCCAAGCGCTGTTTCTAGCTGGGTCCAGGAGGTGACCAAGGTCTGAAGGGTTGAGCTGAACGTCACAATATTAAACAACGCCACACCAAGGAAGGCGGTAGATGCATTTTGAATGTTGGTTGCAATTGCAACGAGCATGATTGCAAGCCCGGCATTTAGGAGATCCAAGACCAAGGTGAGCCATCTTTGGATACACCAGAGCAGGTAATATGGCTTCTGTGATATGTTCAAAGCCTTGTAATGGCGCTCCGTGTAGTTTCGCGACCACCCGTACGCTCTCACGCATGCCACACCACTAACAGTTTCTAAAAACTGCGAGAAAAGCGGCGCTTTGGCTTCAATATCCAAGAGTCGCAGTTGCCTAGATGTTCGGAGATAATAAAATTGAACCACGACAAGCACAAGAATGCAAAATGGAATGGCAGCTGCTATGTAACCTGCCCCGATGAAGACCAATACCCCTGAAACGATGGCCGCGAGGAACTGGAAAACGAACTGGTCAACAGACTGGGGCAGATCATTGTCGATTAGTTCTAGGTCTTGACTAAACCTGTTTACCGTAGTGCCAGCATCAGTTGACGTGAGGAAGGAAGTTGAAGCTCTGTATGAGATATCAGCATATGTAGTCACTTAGAGTGGAAAGGTGACAGATGTGCGCACCGCATAGTTGTAGTTAGTAATACTTCATGGAACCTTCGAGAAGTTTTAGGAAGGACCACTAAATTGAACATACTTTTATAGAATGTTAGTAAGATGTTTGTAGATCGTTAGATAGGCAACATGGGGGCCAATAGGTACCTGTCAGATAACGTGCAGCCTAGAATCGTGACCATTGCAAGGGCGCCATATACGCCAAGCCAGTACCCAATACGCTCGTTTGGGTGAGTGGCATTGGAATTGGTCCACCATTGCAGCCAGAGAGCTAGTTAAAGAAGTCAATAACGGTATAACTATAGACATCGCATACCTCCCAAGGACTTACAAGGAAATGTGACCCCGAAGACGAAAAAACCACATGCAAGGAGGTAGAGTGAAATAGTCCACCACCCCGCATTCTTTGCATAGTATGCGTATACCTTCATATCACCGGTCTTGCGGCTGGTTTCTAGGTTCGGATCTTCGAGTATTTCAAGTTCTTGCAAAACGTCCTCGGAAAGCTCTGGCCCCAATCGGGATGTCGTTGCCGCCTGGGGCTGACTTTCAAGCTTCCGGATATCGTCGTCGTCACTGTACAGACTTTCTCGGGTACCTTGTCGAGCAATTCCGCCCTTTTCATTCAGAAAAATGATGTTATCTGCGAAACTCAGATGATTCGCTTTTTCAACATCAGCATAATGTACCACAAAAGGCTAGGCTACAAGTCTTACCGGAATTTGTAGCTAAAATGACGGTAGACTTTAGCTTCTTCAGTAAGCCATCTGGCCGAAAGACCTCATCCAGAATGTGCCGTTCAGTGGCTCGATCCAGTCCAGTCAAGACATCGTCAAGTATCATGGTATCGTTCCTAGAATAGAGAGCACGAGCGAATGACTATAAAATATTAGTTTAGAGCAAAGCTTTCACACGAACCGTATCACCTACCACACGCATCTTCTGGCCCCCGCTTAGCCTAGACCCCTGAGTACCTATATGGGTTTGATCTCCGTTTGATAGTTCCTCAAGGTCCGCAGAGAGTGCACAAGCAGAGACTACGGTGTCATACCACTGCTTATCCCACGCGGCCATGCCAACAATATTGCTTTGGACGGTACCCCAAGTGGCCCAGGGGGACTGCGGACAGTACGCAGCCTTCGAGAATCCCGTTGCTACCGAGCCAGACGTAATTGGCATTTCTCCAAGCAACAGTTTTAGAAGGGTGGATTTCCCAGAGCCAACAGCCCCAAAAATCATGGTCACCTCACCACGAGGAATTTGAAAATTTAGGTCCCTTAGAACAGGGTCGCCTTCTACCGAATATCTGGCGGATGCATCTTCAACAATGGCAGCAAACAAGGGGGTATTCAAATCAGAGCTATGGATCTCCTTGAGCATGATGTCACCACCCTCTTTCGAGTGGGAAAGGCTTGACTCCGAAGAAACCCTTGTGCTCGTAAGAGGGGTCCTGTAGTCTTCTCGCTCCTGGGTTACCAGATATTCCTGGATGCGATTAAATGAATTAAGAATGGTTTGGATACTTTCAAGACCGCCAATGACAGTTGATACCGGGTGGTTGATTAATTCAAAAAGGCTCAGTGCGGCAAACGCAACACCTTCCGTTAAAGTGCCCGTGTTATTCGCCCTCGCAAGAAGGATGAATACCGCAAACCCCCATACCGGAGCCAATTCAGAAGACGAAAAAGCTAGTAGTCCCATGTTAGCAATCATGTGCGATACTGCCTCCTCTACCTCTTTATCTCGCATCCACTTACACGCAACAAAGACAAGTATATTCAAAACTCGATGACGGAGAGACGCGCGAATCTCAGCTACTCTTAACCCTCTGATTTGGGACGACACAATCTCAGCCAACCCTGTCATTTTTATGGCTTTCATTGACCCGAGCGACTTGGCAGTTGAAGCTAATCGCACTTCTATCGCCTCTAGCCACGGAATCTGAGCATCGGCTGCGGCCTTGGCAAGCGGTATTCCTATTATCAAGCAGACTTTACAACAGGTTAAACAGTGATCTAAGAGTTGAGGGAGGGAACTACCATACCGACGATCCACCCAACAGGAGCTACTACAGCTATCCCAAGAAGTCTATGTAATTGCCAGAGAGCAATAGCAATCTCGATGAAACCAGCATAAAGTTCGTGTATAAGGGTCAAACTGGAGTCAATGCGATCAATATCGGCACTCATCAAGGTGATTGCCTCTGCATTGTCTTCAACCGAGGAGTCAATGCGCAGTGTTTTGTCAAATATAAAAGTGACCAAACTGCCGCGGTACAGGGTAACTAGACGATACGTCTTGTGTTGGTAAACTGCGTATGATAACTAACAAATAAATGTTAGATTCTATAACACATATGCATAGAAAGGTGATGACTGACTGAAATTCCGATATAGACGATAGCGTAGGCCCCGATTAAGGAGTAAGCGATGTTCCTCGTTTGCTCGTGTGGATCTTCACTGGTAAAGTCAAGCACCCGTTGGACGAGGAATGGTTGCGAAAAGCTAAAGCCCGTATAGGCCAGGCGAGGTAAAACACCAGCCAAAATACTCCATTTATAATGAGCCAGGAATATCCAGAACAAAGCATGTCTACTTGACTTGTCGGCTGATAGGATGTGTTAGCTCATAAATTTTCATTGATGGGAGCTGGTGAGACTGGGCTTACCCTGTTCCCATTTTCCCATGAGATCGGACGGCTCGGATGCAGAAAGAAGTTCGTCATCCAGAGGCGTAAGTGTATTGACGGTTAATAATGTACTAAACCCTTTGATGAAAAGGCCGTTAAGCCAAAGGAAAAGGGCTCTATTGATAACACCGCTTGTTGCTTCAGGAGACGCATCTTGCCACTTAACATGAAGCAAGCGGCGCTTCTCGGTAACTTCTAAAATGAAACTCAGGGTCTTGACAAGGTAGCTGGCCAGGAAGACCGAGGCGATGGTATAGCTGCCTTGGATGAAGAACAGGGTGCGAGTCCGCGCAAGATCCAGGAGGAGTGATACCCCCAGATAGACGATTAGCAGCGTAGAGGGACGCACGGAACGTATATGTTCTATATACGACACCGCGGCAAGAACAAAATAGCCAGCAATGGTCAAGGCAATGCAGGCCAACGTGAGTCTCGTCTTCGGCGCTCCTTGTGGCGCATATAATACCAGGAGGACGATCTGGAGAGCGGCGTAGACGCCAAAAGTGGCCTTCACGTGACTGTGTCAACCTCATATGTAAAGAAGAACGAGAACAACACAAGGACAACACGAGAACATGGGCAGGAATAAGGACAGAAGCAAGATGAGAGAGAAGAATAGTACATACCATTTTCAGTGCGAGGATCCATGTCGACCGGATTTTAGCAGGTTCACCACGCAGGGCCAGCAAGCGGATGAACGCCCAAGCGACTTAAGGAGACTCATGTTTAGCACTCGATCCGCAAATACAGGACAACGGGAATACGCACTTGCAATCCCCAGAGCTGGGAGAGTCAAAATGCTCTCCTCAAAAAGAAGAGTGAAGTCGAAGCCCCCAAGGCATGACCTAGCCACCGCAGGACCGAAGGTGTCCTCGACAGCGACTGAACACGCCATAGCAGAGAGCTCAGGAATGACAAAGGGGAGCTACTGAATCAAACTCGCAGTGATCATTAAGTGAGGCGTACGGGGGGGTTAACGGACTCAAAAACGGGAAGGTGGGAATCGGCGAACACGGCTGATATTTGATATGATGGCCGTCCAGCGCAGCGTGTACGGAGAGGAAGGCCATCGGGCGTCCACTCCATAACTAGTTACTCTATGCAAGAGGCCAATCTCAAAGTTCCCACATTAGCTGGTGTGCCGACAGTCCAGGGATGGGGTCCCGTCCGCTCTGTCACGTTTCGTGTGATGGTGTGAGAGCAGTCAATCCGAATATAGCCACCCAGCGGGCGTCCCGGAGTATCATCGCCTTTGGCTTCGATCCATCCAGGCATGTCAGTTTCAGGTCATAACAGGGTGCTGAGATGACATTGTTCGCCTTAAAACTGTATATTTATGTCACAAGGATGAGCGGTGATGGAAGAGACCAAGTCACAATAACGCACGGCTGCTGAACAAAAGAAACACATTCCCTTGGCTCTGAAGCTACCAGGTCCCAGCGACGGCTTCCTCGCTTCCGCCGCAGCCAAGACGCGGCAATGCGTCGAGCTGGATCATCACGCCATCCCTGGCGCTGGGGAGGGAATACGGACACAGCCATTGCTGTATTCTCCGCAGGTGCTCAGTCCCTGAAGAATTGGCAGCTGGGGTAATTGCCCGCTCGGGAGAGCCTGGGGCTGGACAGAACAGGACCACTATTTTATTCTCCTTCAGCTGCTCCTCGAATCTAGAACTTGCACACCCGGCTGTTCCATGGGCGAGAGTGGACGGATGGAACGAGGGCTACACAGGCTCGCTAAAGGCAAAAGGCGTTTTAAGCGAGGGCGATGTATCTACTCCTACCAACCAAACCACACCAGCCAGGGCAATAAGCCGCCCAGTTATGCCAGTACCTCCACCGATGCAGCATAAGCAGCGGACATGGGTCGCCTTCCTCCCTGGCCGGGGGGATGCGCGCGGTACAGCTTTTTTTTTTTTCTTTCGACTAGCTCAGTACGGAGTACGGTGGTGGGTGTCCGGGTAAATCACTGATTCTCGCTAGCAGAACTATATAAGATTTGATCGCTGCTAATGCACTGTCGACCAAACGTTATTTAAGGGGCCCCCTCCGAAGGTAACTGACGCTTTATGGAGCATTATTTTTAAATTAATAATTTATAGGCAATGGTCCCTCTTCGCTTGTTATTATCGTAAACTAGCGAGGGGTAAAGACCTGTTTATTACTCGAAGTCTAAACAAAATATGCGACCCGACGCATATATGCACGAGATACGACCCAGGCCAGCAATCCCAGTCCCGGTGCCACGGTGCTTGGTTGTGGTCGGGGGAAGCCTGGGGAACCGGCCTGGAAGCTGGCAGGGGGCCAGATATCCCTGTCTCGACCTGCTTGAGCCCCTGATGACCGAAAATAGCGCCAGTGCTTGTGCTGCCCTAACTTCCGCTTATATAGCTTGACTTTTAAGCACCGGAAACTTACTTTATGTAACTTCCTATGCAATGCCCCCCCCCCCCCCCCCCCCCCCCCGTACTACTCCGCTAGTCGGTAGATCAATCAGGCGTCTTCTAGAGCCAGGCTAATATGCTACTTAGGTGCGAGCTTATATTGCGCGCATATATACACATACCCATTGGCTGTGATCCCTGTTTTCGTTGCAGAGATGATGCGGATGATCTCGAAGCTGGTTAGAGCCGTAGGTCCGTAATATGCTGCTACCAAACAACACCACGGCACCGTTGATGCCTGTACTCCGTGTGGTCGTACCCCCCTCCCCTCCCCCTTGCCCCCTCGGCAAGCTGGTTTGAGTCTGTCCGCTAGGCCTGCGGCTGGGCTGAATGTTGGATTCATAGTTAGGATGAACGCGGAGGGACTATCAATTAAACTAGCATTGCTAGTGGATGTACGGCAATGGCTGGTTCCCAGTGATTCCGGCTGAAAGTCAAGTCGAAGGAACATAGCCCCATTTTTCTCCGAACCATGGGGGGAGGGTTGGTCTATCTGTCCTCTCGAGGAGCCGCTCTGTTCTTCTCGCTTGCTTGTATCCATACGGCGTTGAACAACATAGACAGCGTGGACAGAGTTGACCTCGCACAGGCTCAGCCGCCACCTATTCCTACGGCATATGCGCCTGTACGGAGGTCCAGGCATCATTTTATCTCGTAGATCGATATCCGTCTCTGATGCTGAGTGATGTGGCCGGTGCAGGATGAGAGCTTTCCTCTGGTTCAACTGTATATCTTTCTTTTTTTATATTTCCTTCTTGCTTTTTCTCCTCGCTTTTTTGCTTTCATTTAGTCTAATTGTCCCTCTTTCTCTTCATCCTCCGCTTCCTCCACCTCATCCTGCTATATACAGCTTTGGATGCAAGGTATAGTATCCCGGTTGATGAAACCGTCGAGACTCTTCCGGCGTGGTCAGGAGGGGTAAGCGTCCCACTTCGCAGTACAGAGTATATCTGTAGGATCCAGCTGATGGCGGGATCTGCAAGGCCATGGCAGCCATGGCAGCCATGGCGTCAACACCAAGCAACACGTTGTGCCGATGCACCGATCTCCCGGAAAGATGCCCCCAGGTAAACCAGATCCCCACCAGGCTGAACCTCACCACTCCTACCTATACTTTGTGACATATATGACACTGAGCGGGTGATGTACATTTACCCGTATCTTACCGTGTTTGATGTTATATTCAGTCCGCCATGCCGAATCTTCTTTCCCCATTTCCGGATAAGGGTATAGGACCGGGGGGAAAGGGGGGAGGGGGAAGGGGGAAAATAGTTAGTATACTAAGTAAAGAGGCATATTTCTTTAGAATTTCTGCATGGAAGTATCCCGGTAAATGCTACGCGGAGAGAATCTTCGACATGCTAAAGTAACCGAGATTTGAAAGAAGGTGGTGCAATAATTAAATTAGGTGGCGTTGGATTGGTTTTCTCGTGTGGAGCGATACATGCAGTTGTTGCATGTTGGATGGCAAGCTGGGATCGGTAGCATGCTTCTTGCCTAAAACACGGGTGGCCTGTGTGGGTAGTGTCAGCAGAGTATAATAGCACATGGACGGATCGACATAAAAGACACGGTGTAGGCGCTATTTATGCCTCGTGGAATCACAAGCACGAACTTCATACTTACCTCCTTTGATCAAACATTATACCTTCTTCAGCAATAGCCATCAAACCAGAGATATCAACATGAGATACCAACTTCACGAAAGTAGTGGCTCGCCAGGAGGCAACACTGGCATTAGCACCGAGAAAGCAGAAGGCGTAAAAAGATTTGCCTTCGACAACACTTGGGCCTGGAGCTCGATCGTGCCAGAGCCCGTGGAGGCATGTGTCCATAGTTTAGTCAAGCGGATTGCCTGGGAGAAACCAGCGGCCCCCGCCATATGCTCGTGGGATGGTGACCTGACATATCTCCAGCTAGATCAGTTGTCCAGCAGGCTGGCCTATCAACTGATTGAAGGTGGTGTGATACCAGGATCGAGGGTGGTTCTCTGCTTTGAGAAGACATGCCTCGCGCCCGTGTCCATGCTGGCCGTGATGAAAGCAGGGGGTGTCTCTGTACCGCTTGATATAGGACAGCCCCAACAACACCTTCGTGCCATAACAGACCATATTGCAGCACCGATATTCTTGTCATCTCCGGCAAACGAACAGCTAGCACGGAACCTCGGAGAAGGCAACGTCATGGTCGTGGATCGTGAGTTGCTATCAAGCATAAAGAATGCCCCTGTGTCACCTCACGAGCTACCAGCAGTGAGCCCTTCGGACACGCTCTGTGAGATTTACAGCGTCGATAGCAAAACCAGACTGCCTAAAGAGGACGAAAGTCTCATCATTACACATCGAAATCTGAGCAGCGCAGCCACATATCAGCAAACAGCTCTGGGTTTCACCAATAATTCCCGAATCTGCGATCTCGAGTCATATGCATCGGATGTCACGTGGTATAACTTACTCGTCTTGACCTGCGGCGGCTGTCTATGTATACCCCCAACGCTTGAGCGCCAGGAGGATAGGAATGACCTCATCTCCGCCCTGCAGTCTAATTATGCACTTTTGAGCTCGAAGTCTGCCGCAACTTTGGATAATTCTGAGCTGTTTCGCTTGGTTCAGCTCAAATATATCGCAGCTTCAGTTACTCAGTTGGACGTAAAGGCTTTGGACAGGAAGGCGGCCACCTCGGATGCATCGGACTCATCGGAGGGTTCCGTCAGCTCATGTACGACCCCAGGACCTAGAACAGAAAATGCCGAAAGTGAGGTCCTGAGAAGAAGCCCCGACGACGGAGAAGTCGTTATCCACGACCTTCAACTTATTGACGACGATGACTGGGAAATATCCAACGATAACATCATCAACGACCATGTACAAGACGAAGAAAACGCAGCATTCGTCCTTGATTTACACAAGAAGCAGCCCACGGTCCATTGCGAGGAAGTGAGGTTGAGTGATTCGTCTACCGGATCCCCTATTAGTTCCAACGGATCCGTCGTTACCTACGAAGACATCATCAGCCCTATCGACCATGAGCCTTCTGTGTCCGCAATTCAACCCTTTTCCCTCTTGAATTCGTCAGTCGACAAGGGAGAGGCACAGGCATATGCAGCTCGCCTATGCCATGTCAAGGAGTCTCAGGTTCTGGATATTATGCCATGTACGCCATTGCAAGAGGGTTTGCTGGCCATGACGGCCAAGAGGCCAGGAGATTACGTGGCCAAAAACGTTTTCGAGATTGCGGATGGCATCGACACGGGGCGGCTGCGCCGTGCCTGGGACCACGTCGTGTTGATGAACCCGATCCTCCGGACACGAATCGTGAGTCTCCCTCACCACGGCATCATGCAGGTCGTGCTAGACGAAGCAGTGCAATGGACATTAGGCAAATCCCTTCACAGAGAGCAGCCCACAGATGCTGACAGCGGGGATAATGCCATGGGATTGGGTACGCCTCTCACGAGATTCGCCGTCTTCGAAACTGACATTGGTGGCCCTTGCCATTTCGTGTGGGACATACACCACGCTCTGTATGACGGGTGGAGCATACCGCTCCTGTTATCCCAGGCCGAACATGCCTACTTCAACGAGTTCTGCCCGCCCTTGGAGCCCATGGCGGCCTTTATAAAATATATCCTTGAGCGAGATGTGGGCGCCGAAAAGGTGTTCTGGCAAGACCAGTTTGTTAACACCAAAGGCTCTCATTTCCCGTCAGTAAAGGCAGGCTACCATCCTAAGCCACAGTCTCAGGTTATGCGGACGATCTCGAACCTTGACTGGAGTCGAGGTGATTTCACACCGAGTACCGTTATCAGAGCTGCCTGGTCAATTGCTATGGCAAATGGCGCCGGTTCCAATGAGGCACTCTTCGGAGCGGTAGTCACGGGACGCCAGGCTCCGATCGCTAATATCGAGTTGATGGCGGGCCCAACAATCGCCACACTGCCCATCCGGGTTGAGGTAGACTGGGATGCATCCTTTAGACAACTCCTCGATGCTGTCCAGCGCCAGAGTGCGGAGATGATTCCATTCGAGCAGACTGGCCTGCAGCGGATTTCCCGGGTAAGTGAACAGGCCGCCCTTGGTTGTCAGTTCCAGACTCTGCTGGTGGTCCAGCCTGGCGGTGGAGGCAGTGACGAGTGCTGCAGGTCGTTTTTGACCGAGCCCGCCAGCCCTCAAGCCGGAGGGGAACAGTGGCAAGGCTCCGGCACACACGCTATCGTGGCCGAGTGCCACCTAGAATCGGATGGCGTCCACCTTCGGATTGGTTTCGACTCCAGTCTCATCGGGCAGCAAAAGATGGAGCGGATTATCCGCGACTTCGAGTCCGCGATCAAGCAGCTATCCAGCAGTAGTCTGAGACAGGAGAAGCTCGCCATCCTAGCCCAGGACTACTCTGGCCTGGAAGATGTCTGGGCTTGGAACGAGACCGTGCCTGAGGCGACGGAGGCGTGCATCCACGATCTGATCGCCCAGCGAGTCCGGGAAAGCCCACAGGCCCAGGCCATCTGTTCATGGGACGGCGATATGACCTACCAGGAGCTGGACCATCTGTCCACAAGCCTGGCCCATCAGTTCGCCGCCAGGGGAATCGCCGGGACCGTCGTGCCTCTGCTCTTCGAGAAATCCAAGTTCATGCCGGTCGCCGTGCTCGCCGTGATGAAGGCCGGCGGAGGCTGCCTGCCGATGGATATTAAACAACCATACGAGCGTCTCTCAGCAATAGCAACACAGGCCGACTCCTCCATCATCCTCTCGTCGGTGCAGTGCGAGGCTGTTGCCCGCAGACTCGCCGCAGAGTCGAAGGACGTCGTCGTCGTCGGCCCGGATCAACCTATCCCCGACGTCGCCTGCCAAGCCTCCGCCCTGCCCAACGTCAGTCCATCCGACATCCTCTACGTCGTCTTCACGTCCGGCAGCACTGGCACGCCAAAGGGCGTCATCAACACCCACCGCGGCCTGTGTAGCGCGATCACCTATCAGCAAAAGGAATTGGGCTTCTCCAGTGCCACCAGAGTCTTCGACTTCGCCTCCTACGCCTTTGACGCGGCCTGGTGCAATCTACTCCATGCCCTCACGGCCGGAGGAACCCTTTGCATCCCGTCGCAGGATGAGCGCGAGAATGATCTAGCAGGCTGTCTGGAGAAGTACAACGTCACAAGCGTCGACTTCACACCTTCGGTTGCTCGCTTTCTGGGGCCGACTGTGCTCTCGCGACTCTCCACCCTCATCTTGGGGGGTGAGGCCGTCCTTCCTGGTGACGCTTACCTAGCGGGTGATAATACACATATCATCAATGTGTATGGTCCCGCCGAGTGCACCCCAACTGCTACCTTTGCTGAGATCACTGCCGGAAACAACATAGAAATTGGCCGTGGAGCAGGCGTTTGTACATGGGTTGTCGATCCTGATGATCCGGGGTCCCTGTCGCCGGTTGGAACCATTGGCGAGCTGTGGCTCGAGGGACCTCTGGTCGGCGGGGGATATCTCAACGATCCAGAGAAGACGGCCGCGGCTTTCGTAAACGATCCACCATGGCTGCTCCGCGGCGTTCCCGCGCGACATGGTCGGCCTGGTCAGCCTGGTCGCTCAGGGCGGCTTTATCGTACCGGTGACCTTGTACAATATAAGGAAGACGGGTCCCTCACTTTTGTCAGCCGTAAAGATACCCAGGTAAAGATCAGAGGGCAGCGCGTCGAGCTCGGAGATGTCGAACAACATGTCCTTGATACCCTAACCCTTGATTTCCAAGTCCAGAATGTCACTGTGAATAGCGCCCAGGTTACGGCCGAAACCATCAACCCAGATGGTTCCAATAGCGCTGTTCTCGTCGCATTTGTTACCCTCACATGCGATGGAGAGACGGGAATCACAGAGGATGCACATAACACTGCAGTCAAGAAGGCAACGGATGGGTTGGCCGATCGGCTGGCAGAGAAAGTGCCGGTTTATATGATACCAACATCATATATCCCGATGTACAGCCTGCCGATGACGCCCACAGGTAAAACGGACCGACGGAAACTCCGCTCCACCGGTGAATATCTCTGGCTAAAGTACCGCAACGCTGCTGACGAGGACGAGCCAGCAGAGTCGCTAAGTGATATGGAAACTATCCTCCAACAGGTATGGATGTCTGTCCTCAACCTATCGGCCCGAGAAACCTCTGTCAATAAGCCGTTCACGCGGCTAGGTGGTGACTCCATCACGGCCATGCAGGTAGTTTCCCAATGCCGACTCCATAATATCGGCGTCACAGTTAGCCAGATTCTTCAGGCTTCAACTATTAGAAGACTGGCAGCCGCTTGCCAGGTTCATTTACCTGGCAACGCAGAAAACGACAACCAGGAGGGCGAAGAAACGGAAGGCCCATTTGAACTTGCACCAATTCAGCAAATGTTCTTTGATTCCTACCCTGATGGCCTCGACCATTACAACCAGACTTTCGTACTAGAGTTAGGCAAGCCAGTTTTGCCCGCCACCTTCGAGGCTGCCGTACAAGCGCTCGTCAAACGCCATGCAGCCCTACGGACGCGCTTCAGCAGAGACCCCGAAAGTGGTCACTGGATGCAAACTTTATCAGGCGAAGATGACCCACTGTCGTTTACTTACGCTGAGCATTCAGTTGCCAATCACAGTGGTGTTGCCAAAGCAGGGCAATGGCGACAGTTAAACTTGGATATCCAAAAAGGACCACTCTTTGCTTGTGATCTTTTTAACGTTGTTGATTACCCTCAAGTTGTCGTGCTCTCCGCCCATCACCTAGTTGTCGACTTAGTGTCGTGGCGTATAATTTGGGGTGACCTCGAGGACTTTATTGAGCATGGAGTTCTGCTCTCCCAGCCAACGACATCCTTCCAAACGTGGTGTAAGCGACAGGCGAAGATTGGCCGCAATTTGTCACCCTTATCAGTGCTCCCATACTCTATGCCTGAGTCGGGATGGGATTTTTGGGGCTTGCCGCTATCAGAGAATACATTCAACGACCTTGTGGTCTTTACCGAGACGTTCGATGAAGCCATCAGCATCCCACTCTTTGGTGAGAGCAATGGAAGTCTTCAAACCGAACCAGTTGATATTATTCTAGGCGCAGTCGCGCACTCCTTCCTCCAAACCTTCTCAGAGCGCACTGTGCCAGTTATTTGGAGTGAGGGGCATGGAAGGGACCAATCTGACGACCTGCCATTAGATGTGTCAGGGACGGTGGGGTGGTTTACGACGATAAAACCTCTCCCAGTTGATATCACACTCGGAAGCTCCGTTGTCGACGCAATTAAAATGGCCAAAGACAGGAGAAGCGGCATTCCGGGCAAGGGCCTACCGTATTTTGCATGCCGATATCACAGTGAGTCAGGTCGAGAAGCATTCAAAGACCACCACGCTGTTGAGGTTATGTTCAACTTCACCGGAAGATACCAACAGCTTGAAGCTGAAGAAGGCTTATTCAAGCGTCCTTCGTATTTGGGCGAAGCAGACGGCCAAATCCAGGAAGTCCCTGAATTGGCACGCCGATTCACCTTGATCGAAGTCGACGCCCACGTAGAGGGGGACCGCCTCGTCGTTTCGTTCAGTGTTCACAAGAACATGAAGCATCAGGATAGGCTTGGCCAGTGGGCTAAGAATTTTAGTAGCACACTGGAATCAGTCACCAGGGATTTGCAACACTCTCCCCGAGAATTTACCCTATGTGACCTGCCAGCTCTCCCCCTTACGTACTCCGGCTTAGACGTGTTGTTGAGGGAACAACTGCCTAGCATGGGAATCAGGGCTGAGGATGTCGCTGATATATACCCCTGCTCCCCACTTCAAGAGGGCATCTTACTGAGCGTTGAGAAGGAAACAGCCTCTTATGACGCATTCTCTATCTGGCGTTGTGTACCACATGATGGTAATGGCGTCTCTACTTCTCGGTTAGAAGCAGCTTGGAGGACGGTCGTCAGTCGTCACACGATTCTTCAATCAGTCTTCTGTCTGCATCCGGAGGGCAACGGTTACATACAGATTGTCGTCCCTTTGTCAACTCTCCGTGTGGCACACATTACAACTGAGGACGATAACCCAAGCTCTGTACTTACCCGTCTAGGAAGACCTACATACGCCGCCAATGAGCCTGAGCATGCTTTCACCATCTGTTCGTCTGCAAGTGGCGAGGTTGCCTGTCGTCTTGATTCCAACCACACACTCATTGACGGATGGAGCATAAATGTCCTGCTTCAAGACATTATTACGCTGTACACCGGTTCTAACCTGCCACCTGCTCCGCCATTCGGCAGTATCATTCGCTATATCAGTAGCATACCGAAGGCTCAGAGGATTGCTTCCTGGACTAAACTTCTAGGGGGTGTACAATCTAGCGAATTCCCCACAGCTTCAGTGAATCCACTACAGGTGGTGGAAGAAACTCATGGCGATATTCAAATTGCTGCCGCATTGATACCTGGTGTATTGGATATCTGCAAGAAGCTAGGAATTACTCGATCGGTTTTCCTCCAAGTAGCCTGGGCAATGCTTCTCTCCCATTTCACTGGTCAATCTGATGTATGTTTTGGATATCTCTCCTCCTGTAGAGATTCACCTGTGGATGGAGTCGAATCTATGGTTGGTCCACTAGCCAATTTGCTCATCAGTCGCATCGACCTCCGACCTTCGGCTAAAGACGTGCTTGAGAAGGTGTCTGAGACCTCGATCCGCCACTTGGAAATCCAGCATACATCTTTGGCAGATATACAACATCATGTCGGCCTGTCAGGGAGACGACTGTTTAACACGGCCCTCTCGATTCGTGGAGGCGACAAGCTTAAGGGTGAGGAGGACTCAAGCCTGTCATTCGAGCCATGTACTGGCGAGGATCCAAATGAGGTACGTGCATCACTATGGCCATTTTGAAAATGCAGAGAGGCTAACTTTGTTTTCTCCAGTATGATTTGAATCTTAGCGCAAATGTTGATGGAGACTGCATTGATGTAGTGATTTCTTACAGGCCGCCATACGTCAGCCACAAGGTAGCTCAAGAAGCCGCCGGGGTTTTTACGAAGGCCGTAAATTACCTCGTGGCTGTCAACACTGAAGATATCGATGAGGAGTCACTTTGCGGCGATTTCTTCAAACGCATTGTTGGTGCAGATGAAAAATCCACTGAAGACTTCTGGCGAACCCACTTATCCGACACCCAAGGTGCCCATTTCCCTGCTATAAATGATGTCACTTACCAGGGCCGACCCGACCGAGAGACGACACTGGAGATAAAACATCTCGAATGGACGAACGCCGGCGGCTACACAGCGGCCACCCTAGTCAAAGCTGCTTGGTCGATTGTCTCGGCTAAGAGCCTTCGTTCCGACGAGGCTCTATTTGGAGAGTCGGTCGCTGATGGTACTGCAGTCCTACCAGTCCGAGTCCCACTGAATTGGGATGCGACTGTTGATCAACTACTGCAAGAGCTGCAGCACCAAGCAAAAGAGATGAGCGTATTCTCACGAACACCACTCCAGCGAATCCGATCAATAAGTGAAAATACCAACCTTGGTTGCTGTTTCCGTACAGTCATCCATGTTGTTGACCACTTAGAAAATGTGCTCATGGAGGACCAGTCTAGTTCCACGACGAAAGCGGGCGAAGCAGGTCAATACATCGAGACGCATGCCATGGCCACCCAATTCCAAGTACGGCCTGACAGCATGAACATGCACATTGGGTTCGACTCAGGTGTTGTGGGGGAATTGCAAGCTACACGCATCGGCCATCAGTTTGAACATGTACTTCACCAACTGCTCAATCCAAAGGGACGCGGACAGAAGCTCAGTGATGTTACCGTGACAAGTCCTCAGGATATCAACGATATCTGGACGTGGAACGGTGCAGTTCCAGAAGCTGTTAAGGGATGTGTGCATGAATTGATTATCCAACAAGCCCTTGAATCGCCCCTTGCCCCAGCCATAAATGCCTGGGATGGTGAGTTGACATATCAACAACTGCATGACTTGTCATCTCGTCTTGCATATAAGTTGATACAGAGAGGTGTTGGGCGAGGAACAATCGTGCCACTCTTTTTTGAGAAGTCGATGTGGACACCAGTCGCGGCGCTTGCCGTAATGAAAACTGGCGCTGCATTGGTTCTCACAGACACCACATCGCAGCCTGAACAGAGGCTTCAGACAATTACAGCACAGGTCAAGGCCAAAGTTTGCCTGTCATCTGCGGCAAATGAAACTTTAGCGCTTCGCCTTGGCGTCGATGAAGTTCTCGTCGTAGGACCAGATCATCTTCCAGGCTCGGCCTCTACAGAGCAACATCAATTGGAGGACGATCCTACATTGCCAGATGTTGACCCTACCGATCTTTTGTATATCATGTTCACTTCAGGGACCACCGGAACACCAAAAGGTGTGATGTTAAGCCACCAAAACCTGTGCAGCGCGATAGCGTATCAGCGAGCCATGCTAGGCTATACCCAGAGCTCTCGGGTTCTTGACTTCTGCTCCTATGCTTTTGATGTGGCGTGGTCTAACCTACTAAACACTTTAACAGTTGGTAAGTTTACGCTCTATCCAAAATCTTCGCCCCCGTGTATATTTTAGATTCTAATATGGTTTTAGGAGCGTGTCTCTGTATTGCATCCGCATCAGAGCGCCAAAACGACCTTTCTGGATGCCTAGAAAAGTACAAAGTTACCCTTGCCGACCTAACACCTTCCATTGCACGCCACTTAACGGGACTTGAAAGGTTGTCTACGCTTGTATTGGGAGGGGAAGTCGTCCTGCCGACTGACGCGAAGTTGGCTGGCAGCCAAACACGCGTCAAGAATGCCTATGGCCCAGCAGAATGTACTACCTCTTCAACAATACTGGATCTTTCCGATGACCCTAACGGTGGCCTTGGCCGAGGGGTTGGGCTATGCACATGGATTGTCGAGCCAGATAACCCTGAGCGTCTGGCACCAATTCACTCCCCAGGCGAACTCTGGCTAGAGGGCCCTCTGGTTGGTGATGGCTATCTCGACGATCCTATCAAGTCAGCGGCAGCCTTTGTCCAAGATCCAGCATGGTTGGTACGTGGCGCTCCCAGCGGGCAGCCTGGACGGCATGGTCGAGTTTACCGCACAGGAGACCTGGTTCGATATAGAGAGGATGGGTCACTTATATATATGGGCCGCAAAGACACGCAGGTAAAGGTTCGTGGCCAGCGTGTTGAGCTAGGTGAGGTTGAGCATTGGGTCACGAACGCAATCCAGACACCAAGCGAGAGTTCTGCGAATGTACAGGTCGTTGCTGAGACTATCAAGCCAAAGGGAGCCGACAGTGCAATTTTGGCTGCTTTCGTGTCTCTCGATGCCGCTGGTGAAGCTCACGACGCCCTAGTGAAACAAGCAGTACTCGGAGTGAATGACCAGCTAGCGGCGGAACTACCCCCCTATCTAATTCCTACGATTTATATCCCTCTAGAGACGATCCCCAGGATGGCCACGGGCAAGGTCGATCGTTCACGACTCCGCGCCATTGGAAATTCACTGTCCGCAGATGAGCTGGCTCAACTGAGTCGGTCAGAAAGCGAGCGGTTGCCACCACAAACAGACGCGGAGCGGCTCATCCAAGTCCTTTGGGCTGAGATTCTCAAAGTAGACCCAGAAACGATCAGTATCGATGACAGCTTCTTCCGCATTGGCGGTGATTCTATAGGGGCTATGCGACTTGTCGGGATGGCGCGTCAGAGAGGTATCACCCTCACAGTCCGAGATATATTCCGAAGCCCAGTTCTTCGTGACCTCGCAGCTCTTGAGGCTTGATTGCTGGATCTACTAGGGGAACAGCGTGATGAGATTTGACCTTACAGGAGCCTACTGGCTTTTTTTCTTCCCGGGTAGGAGTTTCTTATGTGTTGTGTAATTATGTATATATTTTCTCTACTATTTAACTAAAATAATGTAATTGATCACTCATTATTTCATGACACTTGGCCACGATGCCTACCTGAGAACCATCCGACAGCGAACTTCAATATAGGTATTGAGACCTTATCATGACTTCCAGTGATGGCCTCGGTACTACCCTCGTCTTCCTCTATATGTAAGCAGGTTCTCCTAGGAGATAAGTCGTGGTCGAATTAGTGGCAGTGACATTACTGTAAGGACGGCCCTCTATGAGCCCAGTCAGGGCCCGTCTCTGGTAGCTCAGAGACTCGAATGCCTGCAGGGTACGGTGTTGCTCTCCTGCACGGCCTACAGGGAAACAATGCTTGTTGCCCATGAGCAGGGTCATGGCCCATAACACAAAGTTGAAACTGGGGTTTTAGCCGTCTGCATACCAGCCGGCGGACATGGAACTATATTAGGTGCGAATATATATAACTCCGGCAGACACAGCCATGTATATACCAATAGAACCCCTGTCCTGCAACAGCAGGCTGACAAGGAGTCTATCTTTCAACCAACTTGATTGTACCCCGTATTTACTACCCGGACTGATCTCCCACCCGCGATCATCATCACCATCATCACCATCATATGCAAGCATGGTTCCCGTACAGCAAGTAGGCCATCGTACCGGATATTGCACGGCTGGCCGTATCAAGACGAAATAACTGCCTTGTCACAAGGTCAACTGGCATCCCGCCCAAAATCCCAGATGCAGGCAGGCATCAACCTTGTCATCGCACGACTCGATACATTAGCTGTCCTAACTGTGGTCGTCAGCCTCTCATGCGAGGTATAGCTGCGGCAAGTCTACAGCCTGACTGGCAGGCATTGACTGGGCCGGTGTTGTAAGGGTAATGATATACAGATATAAAGCGTCTGGGGGTTTACCCCTGTTATAGATCCCCCCACATGGTAAGTACTCCGTAGTTTTGCTACTATCCTCGACAGCAGCACGCAGCCGTGGATGACGTCTTGTCTTACGCATTCGACGCGGTAAACCCCGGGAGTAGAATAATGAAGTGGCTCAACTGCTGCCCGATGGGACCATTTGATACCTTCTAACGTCAAACAAGGAGACCGGATCTGATTTGCGAGTTGAGTTCAGCGTCTAGCAATCTAATGAAGTTCTCAGATACTCTTGGGAACGACTTTCTGCTGAGATATTGTATGGGGGTGTAAGGGCTCGAGGCTGTAGATGAAGCTTTGGACAGTCATCGCCGTAGAAACCTGCTTTCAAAACACATACTCTGTATTATCAATAGCTTGCTCAGCAGGATGACCCAACAATTATTGCATCGCATTGCATTGCATCTCTTAAACATTAAGTATCATGCACGATCTTGCAGGCATCCTATGGTGGCTGACTACAGGGGCTGGCCGGTAGTTATAGATTCCCGCCCTGCGATGCCTGGAAGCCGTACGCCTTTTCCGTGGGCAGGACAAGCAGCCATAGTATCAAGTGCCGGTGTTCAAGTGAAGAATATCCTTTGGCACTGAAGGCTATCGCATAATCTCTACTCGGTAGGACCGTCGTGGTAATCTGTCAAGTCAAGGGCCCAGACTAGACACTCAAGGCGTCACGAACAAACCAAAGTCTCAGGATTCTGTGCAAGTTTCGATACTCCATGGTGTCCTGGCACGGTCTCCAATATTATACCCAGCGGTTGTCACTTTCATCTTCGTCTTGAGCTGTAGTGAGTTGGTTTATACAGCACTATTTCTAGCTCATATAGCCTAGATGCGAAACCTGGACATTCTATTGTGAGGAAACTGGCTGAAGCGCCAGCAAATACCAGGCAAATGCCATATTTCGGGTCTTGGTGATGGGAACCAAATGGTCAATGTCTTCACCGAAGACGGGGACTTGATGTGGTTTCGTCGTCAAAGATGAAGCCAATGTCATCTATGTTATCTTGGTTCAGCGTTGAATCTGCCATCTACATAACATACCGCGAGGGAGTAGGAAAAAGATTTCTTTCTCACCATGACTTCCAGCTATCCACTCAGTCACTTATTGTCTGGTAGGTTATATAGATATTTATATCAGATATCAGGCACTTTGTCGTTGCCCTTGTTAGCGGGCGAGGGGTTACATAATGAGGCGAAGGGAAAGAGGCCTGGGTTCAGCTTCGACAACCACGCTCGGTACGGGTATATCTAGCAGATATAGAGGATATCCGATGTGCTGTTGACGAGTGTAGATGCTCGAAGATGGCGCCGTCGCCCGGCGGAAGAACTACCTGGGGAAGGCTGACTTTGAGAAAGGTACAAGCTACAGTGCTCCTTGCTCGGCTGTGGCTGGATTGAAAGACTAAAACCACTTATCTAGGCCTGAAAGCATTGGACGAGGAGATAGGGAAAGATGAGATGATTACGGCCTTTGCCCCTATTCGGATGATCACAGCCGGAGGCTTTTTGGCAGTGGTGTGTACCTCCAGAGCAGAGACTCAACGGGCGACCTCGATTACCCTACCTGCTGGAGCCAGAATGGGCATCGGACGCTGACATCCAGAAGCCCCTCAAGGCGGCAATCAAGAAGACCGGCAAGGATCTCTATTTTGATACCGAGTGGGCAAACGAGGATATGGCTTTATTTGTCACAAAGTCTGCCAGAGAGTATCTCTTTAGCAAGGCGGAAGAGCAGAATATCGTGCTGTTTAGAGGAGATAACCTTGTTCTCCTGGCAGCCCCTATGAAGTGGGCGGTTGAACGAAAGATCAGGAGAATTTACGCGGCGGACCGTGGGCGGAAGGCCGAGTCCGACCTGAGCGACTGTCTGGCGATGCTCAAATATCTAAGAGAGCAACGGAATGGGCCCCTGGATCGCGAGTACATCCGTACGTTGAACATCAATGCTTTCGATGTGCTGCCGGACGCTCAAACCATGGACACCATCGCCGAGGCATATCGCGAGAAATACAACGAGGAGATCTTCAAGGAGTGACGTTCCCCTCTGATTATCACTGTGTATAGAAGATGAATACAACCAAGGGCGGACAGCCCCCTACGACAGCACTCCCAGCCTAGATATGTTAGCGTTGTCTCTAGAGAAGAAGCAGGGCCCTCACATGCTCGTTGGCCGTAGGGCTTCCTAGTCTACTCTCTCATATAGTGTACAGCCAGCCAACGTTGGTAACGATGTTTCGCTTCGAGAACGTTTTGCTGCATCCCTTTTCTTCCAGCACGAGCTGATTCTTGCTGTTCACAAACTCCTGCGGCAGCTGCGCCAGGCTGTCTGGCGGGATCGGTGGCACGTATTTCGTCCATTCAGGCCCGGATACCGGTGTGTATGGCGGGTATGGTTCGTCGTCGGTCTGTCTGAGGATGTGCTTGCGATTCCGTCTCATCCCCAGACTCAGTCGCCAGTTAAATGCGGTGACAAGCTCCTCTACAAGGGACGCGAGGATGGCATATCGTACCGGATCCGAGTCTTGCGGATCCTTGATCGCGTCTAACTTCCAGCCTCGATACCAAAAGTACTCCGTCTCTCGGCCCATGGGAGTGTATTCGCCGGAAGCCATGGATTCGTACAGTCGGTAAAGTGACCGCATCGAGGTGTCCCGCATGCACCAGATGGGAACTGCGAGATACCTGTTGAACTGGCGCCGGCGGGAGTTCATCAATGCCTCGTTCCCTAGTATCTCACGGGGGGACACTGGCTGTGGCAGGGGGAATCGCCATGTGGGATATGGGATGAAGAGGCGGAGGAGCTCGAGATAGGGGTGTTTATGGTTGTGTCGAAGGACGACAATGCTGCCGCGCAGGTCGAGCGGAGTATGCAAGCGATAGCGGATGCGCCTGATGAAGACCCTGACGGCAAGCCAGAAAGGAAGCGAGCGAAGTTTGGGCATGTTACGTCTATTATCAAGTATCAAGCAGTTATTTGGTCATGTATTATCAAAGTATCAAGTTCTTCTTATATCAAAGTCGGAGTTGAGGATGTCCACGTGATCAAACCTCCGACTTTCTCGATTTCGGGCTTTATACGAGCATCAAACAAGAGACAAGACAGACAAAACAGACAAGACCGAGGAGCCGATGGTGGCGAGTCCGAAGACGCTATATCTGGCTGCGAGGCCTGGCCGGCAGTGCCATGACAGCAGAAGAGGAGATAGACGGCGTTGACCCCGAGTCTCTTCTCTGACCCTCCTCCATCTCGGCTAACAGCATCATCGTATCCTCGAGAGCGCAGACGTCTAGCCGGCGGTTCACCCGCATCGCCGAGGGACTATCCCCACGATTCCTACCCCGGAGACTACCTTCTCGCCGGGCAGGGATATATAAAGAGCCGCCTCCACCCCTGCGACTCTTGCTATACACCAGGACTGGAAGGGCAGATACAGCGTCAGGATGGCGAGCAGGTTCATCGACTATATCCGTGGGCCCGAGGGCAGGCCGGGCGAGGCGCGTCTGCTGCGGAAACTGGACTTCTTCATCCTTACGTTCTGCTGTCTGATGTATTTTGCGAATTATGTGGGTGTCCCTCTTCGTCTTGTAGAGCTTCTGCTAACTCTGTGCAGCTGGATCGAAGTAACCTGGCCAATGCCTATGTATCTGGGATGAAGGAAGACTTGAACTTCCATGGGAAACAGTTCAACCTCATCAACACCATCTTTACCGTCGGGTGCGTCCCTCTCGTCCGCCGGTGGTGCAATTCGCTGACAGTCCGGCTAGATATGTCCTCGGGCAGGTCCCCTCCAACTTGGCCCTGTACCATCTCAAGCCCCGGTACTTCTTACCGGGGATGATGGTCGTATGGGGAGGCCTTACCATGGCCACCGCCGCCGTCCACAATCCCCAGGGGATCATGGTCATCCGCTTCTTCCTGGGGCTGGCCGAGTCGTCCACGTTCGTGGGCACTCATTACATCCTGGGCTCCTGGTACACAGAGCGAGAGCTGGGTAAACGATCCGGCATCTTCACTGCCTCTGGTTTGGCCGGAACTATGTTTGGCGGCTTCATCCAGACGGGGATAAACTCCTCGCTGCATATGAAGGCCGGCATGCCTGGCTGGCGGTGGCTGTTTATCGTACGTCTAAGTCCTACCTGCGGCCCCCCTTAGGAAGATCTGATCCTGATGCATATAACAGATCGACGGGCTTATCACCCTCCCGATTGCCATTTACGGGTTCTTCCTGTTTCCCGACACGCCTAGGACGACTCATGCTCCGTACCTCACCGCTGCAGACAAGGCTCTCGCTATAGAGCGCCTGCCCAACCGCAACGTGGAGCGCACGAAGATCAACTTTGCCTTTGCCAAACGGGTCTTCTCGACCTGGCATCTGTACGGGTTTGTCGTGCTTTGGATCATCGCGGGAGAAACCGAGTCCTTCTCTACTAACTCGCTGCTCGCCCTGTACATGAAATCGCACCCGACGATCAAGTACACAGTTGCCCAGAACAACAACTACCCGTCCGGCATCCCGGCCGTCGGCATTGTATCAACGCTGTTCTGGGCGACCCTGACCGATTTCCTGGGCGGGAAACGGTATCTGGTCGGCTACTGGATCGGGATCACAGGAGTCGTCGCCTCTGCAATGATCCTGGCACCGGGCTCGTCGACCACCACCGTCTTTGCCGCCTACTACTGGGCCGGCTCGGTATACGCCTGCCAGGCCACCTTCTTCGCGTGGGCCAACGACGTGATGCGGTACAAGGACGACGCCTGGCGTAGCATCGTCATTGCCGGCATGAACATGGGCAGCAATGTCATCAACGCCTGGTGGAGCATCGTCTTCTATCCCGCGAGCGATGCCCCTTATTTTCGGGTATGTCGTCCTTCCCCTTGATCGAGTCCCTCCCCTTGAACCAGTCCCTCCAATTGAACTTGCTCGTTATTCTAATGCGTTGTAGTCTGGTATGTATGCCATGATTGCGTGTTCTATCGCGATGGCCATCTGGACCGGGTTCGTGGTATACATGGCCTGGCGAGAGGAGCGGAAGGAGCCTGTAGACCACGAGGCGCCAGCAGAGAAGCAGGCCGCTAAACACGATGAATAACCGTATTCCATCATCTAGTACTATCAATAATTCCATTATACTCGATACTTACTCGATTGTACCTAGTTAGCCATAGTTATAATATACCGCTTAGTCAGCATAAGTCGCTTTCTACAGACATTTACCTATAAGTTATATATAAAAACCATCTATCAACGCATACGAACAAGGCAGACAAGCAGCACGATGACGGCGAGCTCGGTAGACACCGACCGTCCGCTTAACTCGCCCGTGTCACCGTCCACAGCACTGAGCTCCTCCGTGGACGAGGAGGAGAACGAGCACCCCAACGCCCTGGACGACGTCTTTGGCTCCTCCCCGCCGCAGTCTGCAGCAGACTCTCTCCGGTCTCACATTCCAGATAGCACGCCGTCTCACGCTGAGCCATCGGACCTCCCTTCGCTGCGCCGCCAGCATGTCACGGCGGGGTATCGCGATGGCATAGCCGTGGCCAAGGGCGAACACGTCCAGCGAGGGTTTGATAGCGGGTTCCCCGTTGGCGCCGAGCTGGGGATCCGGGTCGGCGTCGTCCTGGGAGTGCTCGAGGGGCTCATGAAGACTCTCTCACGCGGTGACCTCACGCCTGGTAGCCATAAACACCATGAACAGACCGCCAGTAGCCCTGAACAGACCAGCCATAAAGACGAGACGACCAGCGAGACGACCAGCGAGACGACCAGAGTGACGGCGCTCTACGAAACGGCCAAGAGGGAACTGGCGGTTGAAAAGGTCTTCAGAGACGCCGCGCAAGGAGAAGAGGACCCGTGTGTGCGACTCGGGAAAGTTGGCGACTCGGTCGTTGCACAGTGGGAGGATAGAGTCCGGATGCTGCTCGCAGAACTGAGTTAGCCATGTACCAGATGAAGTACCAGACGAAGTACCAGATGAACATGTACAGAAGCAGAGAGACCATCACATAGTTACCTGTAGGCCCACAGTGGCGCCGCTGTTTGCGCTGTAGAGATGCCAGCGCATCGAGCAAGGAAGCTGAGCCTGGTCCGGCGGGATGGAAATGCGAGGCTTCGTTGCTGGACGTTCGACGGTCGCACTACTACACACGACTGAAGAAGCAAAACCAATAAATATTCTGTCTGGAGTCCGGAGTACGAGCTCTGCCGTTGGCGTTGGCGTTGCTGATGCTGACCAGCCATCGAATTTCGCGACGCTGCGATTTGACCAGCCACCACCAAAAGGGGAGGTCGAGCGAGCTTCATCTCAGGCTCTACAGTCTTCTCTACAGAGTCTCTACAGTCTTTTCGATAGACACTCTACAGTGTCTACAGTGTCTACAGTCTTCTAGACAGAGTCTCAGACAGAGATTGGCGTCAGTACATCTGGTCAAAAGGAATTTGATCTACATCCAGCTCTCCAGCCAGCTACAGCCAGCTACAGCCAGCTACAGCACTACAGCTAGCATCGAGATACCAATTGCTGCTCTCGCCTGCTTGACACGTCGCCCGCCCGGAACCAGGCTCTCTCTCGCCTGTTTTCACGTTGATTTCCCACTTGCAGTCCGTCTTTCCCACCGTGTCACCCAGAGCTTCCCATCTTGACGAGACCAACGACGTTTACGGCCAGTCTACGATACCCAGTTTCCCCAGACAACGCCAGCGCCGCCACCAGAGACGTGCCGCCCTGCGAGATCCTGCTATCCGGCCAGCGCAGCAGCTCCCTCGACAGGACTTTGCCTCCATCGACCAGACACTCCAGCAGCAGCAGCAACAAGAAGAGACAAGACTTGGACAGCAACAGGACCAACAAGAGACAAGACTTGGGCAGCAACAAGAACAAGAACAGACAAGACTCGGGCAGGGGAGGACTGCATCGTACTGGCCGGCTCATAGCACCAGGGTCTCCTCTCGCACCACCTCGGCCATCCTCTGGGTACTAGAAGAAGCCATCCGCACCCCGTTCCCCTTCACAGAGGACCTGAGCGAGCTGAACGCGCCCATGTCGGAGCTCTTTGCAGGAGATGTCGCTGTCGGGAACGGCCGTGGCCACCACAACGGCGTCCCCAGGACAGGACAGCCCCTGGCCGTCCCTGCGTCCACTCACCCTGCCAGCGGCGTCCGCACGCCGACAGATATCATGAGACGGCGGCGGGAGCGCGAAGCCCAGCTGAAGGCCGAGCAGGAAGCCAAGATGCGAGAGGAGCAGCTGCAGAAGCAGGCTCAAGCAGAGGCGCAGGCACAGGCACAGGCGCAGGCAGAGCACGCTCAGGCTGCTGGCGTTGAACCCTCGAGAAGACCAGGCGTACATCCGCCAGATATCACCATATCCCAGGAACCCGGCCCACGACACGATCAAACAAATATAAACATGGGCCGCAGACAGACGACCCAGCCGCCAGGAAACACGACCACCACGACCACCGCTGGAACGCGCCGGCAGGGAGGACAGCTGGAGGACCACGAGAAGCCCGCGAGACAGCGGTCGAACGGGTCACGGCCGGCAGTCACTGGCACCGCACAGCAGCAAGAGAGTGCATCCAAACCACAGGCAGGCCAGCCCGGAGCAGCCCAGCAGTCGTCCCGGAGCAAGGCCGCCTTCCCGCACGCCTTTGAACGCTGGGAGATGCTCTCGTCCCACTGGGAAGGCCTGACGAGCTACTGGATCCGACGCCTGGAGCAGAACAACGAGGAGCTCAGCAAGGATCCGCTCAGCCAGCAGATGTCACGGCAGGTCACCGATCTCTCGGCCGCTGGTGCCAACCTCTTCCACGCCGTCGTCGAGCTCCAGCGTCTACGAGCCTCGTCCGAGCGGAAGTTCCAGCGCTGGTTCTTCGATACCCGCGCCGAGCAGGAACGGTCCCAGGAGGTGCGCGCAGAGCTGGAGCGCATGCTGAGTGCCGAGCGCCAGTCTCGCGCCGACGCCGTGGCCGCCCTGAAGCAGTCGGAGAGCGACAAGGCCAAAGCCCAGGAGCTGGCGAGAGAAGTGCGGCGAGAACTGCAGATTTCCCGCGACGAGGCCCGACGTGCGTGGGAGGAGCTGGGCCGCAGAGAACAGGAGGAGCGCGACCGCACCATCTCGCTGAGAAACGGAGAGCCTACGATCGTTGGAGGCGTACAGGTCGTGCCGATGCTGCAGGCCATCCCCAGCAGACATGCCAGCAGCGCTGCCCGGCCACAGACCAGAGAAGGCCCATATCCCGGAGGCCCCAGTGGGACGTCGATGGGAGGTCAGTCGCAGCGGCCGCTGCTCGATACCACGGAGTCGACGGGCTATGATAGCCATGAGACGGACCCCTTTGTTGAATCTCGCGACCCTCCCTTTGCCCCTGATGCGCCGCCTCCCCGACAGACTGAAGCTCCGGTGCAGTCGCCCGGTCGAGGACAGACGGAGGCAGACCGCGGTCACTTCTACCAGCACGACAGCCAGACCATCCACGGAGGACAAGCCCACGCCGGAGTTGACGTGGACGTCAGCGATGTCATCTCTGAAACCGACCACATTCCTACCACCGCCGCCGGTGCAGCCGCCGCCGCCGCCGCTGCTGCTAGCCGTCAAGATACCCAGGGCCGCCAGCTCGTCTATCCTCGCGCTATATCTGACGACAGTGACGACTACAACACCGAGCCCTTTGACGGGTACGTGAGCTACGGTTCGGAGCAGCATACGCCTGCCGGCGCAGGCACAAGCGCAGAAGAAGGCGACCACGCCGGATATCCTGCACCGGTAGACTACAGCGGCTCTGGCTGGGGGGTCGGCGGCTCAGGATGGGATTCGGTGACGCCTCGACACCGACATCCAACCCGGCTCAGCGACGTCCTCGAGGAAGACGAACGGTCCCGTACCAGTCCCAGTCGCGCCAGCCAGGCCAGCCGGACCATGCAATAGCTTCACACTTCATCACGCCCATGTTCATGCCCAGTTCCTATCTCTTAACGCCGTAAAGAACCATACCAGCCCTAATATGTCCTAATATGTTCCAGAATGACCAGCCTTTCCTACCAACATCCTCGGAGTCCGGTGTTTCCATCCTTACCATCCTTACTACTGCCTATCCTTGTCTATTATTGTCTATTCTTTCCTGTCATGTCCTGTTATTTCATTTCCAGCTAGAACTCTTGATCGTGGTATCTTTGTACCAGCTACGGCGGCCCTCGCAAAACAGTATCTCTCTAGTCCTTGTTCATTTACACTCTTGATCAGCTTGATATTCTCACCAGCTCTACCATACTGGATAACTCTACTACCTTTACTGCATAATGATGCTTCTCCACAGCATAGCATAGCATAGATAGGCATGAATCGTATACTAATGCTAGACCAGCCTCTCTATCTATCTCTATCTATCTCATCTCTATATCTATCTATATCTCATCTTCATCTCATCTCTATATCTATATCTATATCTATATCCATCTTGTTCCTTTGATCGGAATAACTCGGCCCGTCCACGTGATATGCTCAACTTCCATGATAGAAAGAGAAGAAAGAAGAAAGAGACAAGAGAGAAAGACGAGAGAAAGAAGAGAGAGAAAGACGAGAGAGAAAGAAAGAAGAGAGACAAGAAGAATAGAGAAGATGGCGTCTCGTTCTCTGTCGTCGACACTCTGCCGGTCCCTGCGACGAGGAGCCTACAAGCTACCATGCGAAATCAGACAGTACAGCCAGTTCATCAGCCGGTCAGAGACTACGTTCATACGGCCTACCAGCAGACAGACCCGTCCACATAGATACAATGCCTTCTCCTCCTCGGCGGCGCGCCCGGCCAAGACCATCGAACAGCTCAAAGCCCGCTCGTCGACCGGCCCGTTCTCATGGAAGTCGGCGCTGCTCTTCGTGCTCACCGGAGCCGGCATGATAGTCTACTTCCAGTATGAAAAGGCACGGTTGGAGCGAGAGAGGATCGTGGAGATGAGCAAAGGCGTTGGGAAACCCCGTGTGGGAGGGCCGTTTGTGCTAAAGGACCTCAACGGAGAGCAGTTCACGGACGAGAACCTCAAGGGGAAATACAGCTTCGTATGTCTATATATGTATATCAATTGGCATATGCTGATGATGCTGACTGGCGCAGGTCTACTTTGGCTTCACGCACTGCCCGGACATCTGCCCTGACGAGCTGGACAAGATGGCCGAGATCATCGACGAGGTACGGGCCAAGTCGAACGGACAGGAGGTGATGCGGCCGGTGTTCATAACCTGCGACCCGGCTCGGGACACGCCAGAGGTGCTGAAGGCGTACCTGAAGGAGTTCCACAAGGACATCATCGGGTTGACGGGCACATACGAACAGGTCAAGGACGTCTGTCGCCAGTACCGGGTCTACTTTAGCACGCCGCAGAAGATCAAGCCCGGAGAGGACTACCTGGTCGACCACAGCATATACTTCTACTTGATGGGTGAGTGGACATTATCTTTGCTCTTAGACAATGGTATAACAGCACTAACTTAGTGGCAGACCCGGAAGGCGACTTTGTAGAGTGTATCGGACGACAGGACACGCCCCAGACGGCCGCCAAGGTGATATTGGACCATATCGGAGACTGGAAGAAGGCCGGCAAGCCGCTTGACCTGACCAGCAAATGAGCCGACCCTACACCCCTCTCTATGTACAGTAGATATATGTATGAATATAAAGTAGAAGCTATTCCACCGGGTTGCCTTCCGCGTCCCGGTCTCTGTTGGCCCTCCACTCGTCGCCCAGCCCGTCGGCAAAGTCCTCTCTCTTCCATATCTCGACCTTCTCCTTACACCGCTCCAGTATCTCCTCCCCCGCCCGCCACGCCGGCCTCCTATGCGCCGCACTAACCGCAATCGCGATGCTCTCTTCGCCCACGTCGACCTCCCCGAGTCTGTGGGTGATGCTGACGCCCTTCAGGTCGTGCTTGGCCGTGGCCTCGACGGCGATGGCCATCATGGTCGCCAGCGCCATGGGCGCATAGCTGGAGTACGCGAGCCGGGCAACCGGTCTGTCTGCGAACGAGGACCGAGTCGTCCCCAGGAAGAGCACGTTGGCGCCCGCATGGGGCGAGCGGACGTGGGCAGTGTATGCTGACGGCGCGAGAGGGTGGTATGTCAGCTCGACTCGGATGTTGGACTCGGGATGCGCCAGGTGCTGCGGGAAGTTGTCTGGGTTGAGATGCGCGGGCGTATCACCGCTGCTGCCACCAGCGCCGGCCATGGCTGACTGTCTGGGAATAGCCTTGGGTATATCGTGTATATATATATCCTCCCGTATACTCGGTAGTAGACTCTGTTCTCCGCACGTATATTGCCTCGCGAGCTTATCTCTGCGGGCTATCGACTGAGCGAGCAGCGGCAGTGGCATCGGGAGGACTATGCCATGCACTATCGACGGTCAGTCTTGCAGAAGCCAATGGGAACCTGCGGGAGGGAGGTCCGCGGTTCCGCCAGCCGCCTCTTGGCCGCGCACCCTCGTCGCCCGCCATCGAGGACATGGATGCGCTCGTGGGCTCACCGATATTCTCCTTGCTTTTTTCCTCTATTAAAGGTCAGCCTTCGTCGTTCTGTCGTCTGTTGTTCTGTCGTCCATGTCTGTCACTTTATATCTGTGTCTTCATGTCTGTGTTTGTGTCTTTATCTGGAGTCGCGATCTTTATCGGGTTACTCGATAAGGCTTGGCACTACACCACTTCAACTTCAACAACACAACAACACAACACAACAACTACACAACTCTACAGTACAACTACTGGACTGGACGGTGATCGTAGCGGTAGAGATATCGCTATGTGGAGAGAGAAAAGTTCATATTAATGCTCGCTGTCTATATCCTGTTGAAGAAACCAGATTCGGTACCACATTGCGCATGATTAAGTGATAAAGTGAAGAAAGACCAGAAAGAATGGAAGAAGCAAAGTATGTGGCAAGAAGGTATGTCCCGAAGCATGTGCGAGCGGTGTATGCAATGTATGTGCAAGCATATATCTGCAGATGAAAGCTGTTTTATGTGAAAGAAGGGTCAACGATAGACAAGAAGCGAAGAAGGTTGCGAGGTTGCCGGCAGCATCGAGCGTGAGGTCAACAGTATTATCGGCGAGGTCTACCGGAAGAGCTCTTTGGTGCATGATTTGTATACCGTCAAGGCAAAAACCATCACCCACATGGCGGTGACAACGATCGAGAAGAACTATTCCAGGTTAGTCTTACACTTTATATAAAAAAGGCAAATACTGATGACTTACAGTTCCGAGAACGTCAAAGGCGACAGAGTTGAACTCCTTGCCCATCTGCGTCGTGGCGGTGGTGAACACGCCGAGCGGGAAAGTGAACGCCCACCAGCCGATGTTGAAGTAGAACTTGCCGCGGGTGAAACTGGCAAGGGCAAACCACATCCAGATCAGACCGAAACCCCACATGATCATGGCGATGAAGGCGCCCATCACATAGAAGATCTCGCCGGCAATGGGAGCGAGGAAGTCAAGCTGCATACCGTTAGCAGCGTACTCAACAGCAGAGAGGACAAAAACTTACTCTTGGGAAGACGCGTCTGGCGACCATGCCGAGCTGCATCAGTCCGAAGCCACCCTGTCCGAGAGGACCCATGGGCAACAGAGCACTGACGATGGCGGCTCTGGGCACAAGCTTGTGCAGGGCGAGACGCTGGAAGTAAATGACGATGATGACCATGGCGAGCGGGACGGCAGATCCCCACATGATGTAGCAGACCAGGACGGTGATGAGAGCGTGAGTGTCGTTCTTGAGCACGTCGGCAACGATACCTCCAGAGGCGGCCGCGACAACGGGAGCTACGATGGGGAGCAACCAGGCGGCCGTCATCGTATCGAGCGAAGATGTGTGCTTCGTCATGCTAATCCAGTTAGCTTTTTCTTCTCTTTCGAATATATCTTTATATGAAAGGCCACTTACAGCATGAATGGAACGAAATAGCAGATGGCAATTGAGACGATAGCGTCAATCCACCACAACGTCCAGACAAAGTTGATGGTCCAGTCTCCCCAGACGGGTACACAGATGAAAACGATCAGGTTAATGATAGTGGCGAAGCCCATGGGAAAGGTCCCGAGCAACATGGAATGAGCAGGGTGTGCAAGCATGGCCTTGAACTTGTCTGGCCAGAGAGCATATCGGGTGATGGAGATGATGAGGAAGAGAAAGAAGATGATTACGTTGAGGATGAAGAGGATGACGGCGATGTAATGCAGGCCTGGGAACTGGTACGGTAGATTCTGGAGCAGGATAGCTGTGATACCAGTGCCCATGTTTACGGAAAACCATCTACTCGCTGTCAGCACTCCATATCAGAGAAAAAAGACCTCAAAAAACCAAAAGACTTACCCTGGGTGGAAATTTGAGATGGCAATCCAGTCGTCTCTCCTACGGGCCTTCTCTCCGGCCTCCTCGATGTTCTGAAAGCCCGAACCGGACGGCATGGCTGTGACTTCGATGTCGTCGTTGTCCGGGGCGACTGTTCTCTCCGACTCTCTGCTTCTGCTGCGTCCTCGATCTTGCCTGCCAGAGGAAGGATCGTAGGAAGCGTGTGATAAACGAGTGTGGTGGTGAAGGTCCTTGTGGTTGAACGAGTGTCGGTGGTCGTCAAGGGGGGAGCGCGGCTTGATAACATCAGAGGAAGAGGAGGAGGAGGAAGTCGATGTTATTATGGGACTGGTGACGGGACCGGTCGTTTCGAGGGCCATCTTGCCGAAGCAGGCTCTGCGGCCGATACACTGGCACTACTCCGTACAGTCAGGACAAGAGGCAGGGCAAGGCAACGGCAGTGACAGAAGGACGATCGGCGACGTTTCAAGTGGGTAGGGAGATGAAATGAGACGGAGCCTGAATCCTGGACTGGCGTGAGGGTTATCGTGAAGGTGAAACGTTAGCGAGTGCTCGAAGTCTTTGGAGATGTGGTATGGTGGCAGATAATTCTGTGAGGTGAGTTGTGAAAGTTGGATGTGAAGCTGAAGATAAAAGAGAGGCGGCCGAGTATATGAAGTCTCGGACGATGCGCTCGTCTTCGGCGCAGGCGCAGTTACGCATCGCAGCGCAGGCAGGATCGGACCGTTTCGCTGGTCCTGGTTCGCCGTGGAGGATCTTTTTTTGCAACTAATTACGGGCCCTGCGAAGCTGCCAAGGCGCAGCCGGCGAACTCTGATCGCCATCTTGTTTCTTACTTTTTCACTATCTTTACGGGTACTCCTGTGCAGATGGCATGGCATGCATATTATCTTCTTCTTCTCATCGACATCTTCGTCTCCGTCTTCGTCTCCGTCTTCTTCTCCTTCTCCATCACCTCCGTAGTCATACCTGTAGTATAGTCCGTAGTCGTGGTCGTAGTCCGCGATGTCGTAATAGAATGTCCATCGTCATATGTGAGTCGGCCACCGCCGGCCAAGTCGGCCGAGAACCCAGCTGCTCTCCCTGCCCGTTCTTCCGTTCGCTGTTCACGAACTCATCTTAACCGGCCCTGGCCTCTCCCTGCAAGCCAGTCCAGAACGCAACGTCCTCGCTCTCATCCTCGTCGCCGCCTCCTGTTACATCATCGCTTCTCCATCTCCCACTCCCCTCGTCTCTATACGCATTTATCCTATATCGTATATCTTATCGTATATCGATATCTTCATCTTATATCGTGTATATATATATATCATATATATATATATTTATTTCTGCCGGAGAATTCTGCCTCGCCGCCTTCCACGTGTGACTAATACGAATCACGTGTTGGTTCTAAAATTACTCCTTCTGGAAGCCACGTGAAGGAGCGCTTACCCTAAATAGGACTAGCACGGCCCATACATACTTCCCCTTTTGGAAGCCCAAGCGAGCCGAGGTACTGCTGACTAACACTTCCATTAGATATCAATATAAACAACATGGATATACTCCGTAACAGGGATGGATAACATTGATATACTCCGGAGAAGACAGATAAAGATGAGATAGAGATGAGATAGAGAGAGATAGAGATAGGATAGAGGTGGAAGATCGCTCACCTCATGGCTCGTATCCGTGACTGCTCCTGAAACAGGCACCACGACCGATGGCTGTGGCATGGGCATGGATCATGGGTGACCACGATACGATCGTCCACGCTTGACATGTACGATTTTTGCTCTTTTAGCCCTTGAAAACTCTGCCTGTCAAGGTGCCCGCGCAGAGCCTTCTGCTCAGAAATCTGCCAGAGCCTGGTAGATTAGCGCGGACCTTCGCCGTCGATCGCTGCGAGCCGAGCCTTCACCCTGTCATCATCCTTGCCAGCATGCAGCTGGACCATGCAAGAACCTGCAGGCCGAGGACGAACGCATGGCGAGTGTTCGACAGACATGCGTCCGAGATGCGTTCAGGGTGAGCCGAGCGGCTCAGTCAGGCCCTTTCGTGCTGATATCTGCTTACTTGTGCCCAGCCCGTGGAGGTATACTCCGTGTAAACCGCCCAGGTTCCGATATCAAGTCATGCAGAAACCGATACGGACGCTGAGTGGTGATAATAATATGCAGTCACATATAACCATTCGACGCAATCTCGCCGAAACGATTTGTAAACTAGCCCAAGCCACCGTCGGCCCGCACGCTTTTCAGCCTCGTGATATCCGAAACCAACGCTGCACGATCCATCACACACACAGTCGAAACATCGCCCACACTTGGCTTGGACGTGCAGACCGCTGAGTTGAGCATAACTAGCGAGCGAGCCTGCATCAAGGCTGGCTGGGCGATCTGATAGGCGTTCGATGTCCTGCACGCACGGCCGTCACGCCGTGGTCGGAGGAAGTATATGGCGAGTAATCAGAGTGTTCTCGCTCAGTCGTCAGCCCTCAGTCGCCAGTCACCAGCCGCGATGTGTGCGTTGGTGCGCACTAACAGAACGTGGCTTTTGGTTGAGTTGCAGCGCTGGAGCAGGAGGAGCATCTTGAGGAGGTGAATGGTCTGTCGGGAGCGTGGATCTGCATGAACTGATTCGACAGCTGGCCTGATACGAGACATGGCTGAGATATGAATAGATCCAGAGATATGAATAGAAACCAGCTGGCAATGTAGTATCGAGGTGAGTGCAGTAGTATCGAACGTGGAGAAGAGCGTGGAGTTGGGGTCCGAGTCGAGAGTTTGAATTCTGGAGTCTCTGGAGTCGGATCTGGAGTATCGTATTCTTGATGCTGGCTTCTTGTTGATGTTGGAGGTCGCGATGTTTTGGCGTACGGATATAATGTATATGCTCCAAGGCTTGGCGTCAGACTTTTGTCATCCAGTCCCAACTGGGCAATATCAGAACATCACATCAACGTCGACCGTCGCCAATACAGCCACCACCAGCGAGTACGAGCATCAATCTACGCCGACGCATCTAAATACCCATCTACAGCTCACTGCCTATCGTTAGCTCACACCCAATGGCCACCATGACGCGCGAAACGTCACAGCCACAGCCAGAACAACCACAATCTTCACCCTCGACATCAACCACATCACCGGCTACACAGCCTGCTTTCTCGCTGCCAACATCTACAAAACTACTCATAGGCGGTTCGGCCTTCTTCCTCCTCTCGGCATTCATCACCCGCCGGTCTCTCAACCGCCGCCGACTCGCTTCCGTCCCACAATTCTACACCACAGCTTCGCACCACAAGCTCAACATCAGCGCTCCCCTCGAGGCCCTGGAGGCTCTCAATCTCGCTACTCTCAATGTTCTCGCGCTGGCCATCCTTGGAGTCGGTGCGGGGATGAAAGCCGTTGGGTTCGAGACCCTCGACGAGCTGCGGCGGATAGTGCGCGGCGGACTGGGAGCGGACGGCACGGGGAGGTCGGAACAGCAGGTCGAGGAGGACATGGAGGAGTGGGTTGTCTCCGTGCTAAATCGGAAGGCCAGCAAGGAGGACACAAAGGAGGCCGAGAAGCAGAAGGCGAAGGAAGAAATCCGGCAAACCTGGCTGAATGAGCGGGGGAAGGAGAGGTGATTTCCAGGCCTAGATGCCTCTTTCATGTACTATTAGACTATACACATACCCCAGAATGTAATACTATAGCATCTCGACACCCCAGAGTGTAATGACTAGCATCTCGATACCCAGAGTATCTCAGTATCCCAGAGTGTAATGGATAGCTTATAGTAGCTAAACCTGTTACCGCTGGTAGACACAACGGCTAACGGCGTAGCTACATATGTATGCCGGGCTTTATACTCCGGACATTGGCAGACATGGGCTCTAGTCCTGATCGCCCTTCATCCTCTCGTACCTCTCCCTGGCATGCTCCCTCGTCTTTTCCAGAAACTCATCATATCTTCCACGCGTGCTTCGGCCAGCTTCCTGCACTGCATCTCCCACCTTCGAACCCTGTGCTCCCAGGCCGACGCCCTGTACGTAAAGCTCTGCTGCCACCGGCTGTTTCATGCCGGTCCCTTCCGCCCCGAGACCAGAGCCAGCCGACCAGCCCATCTTCCCCAGCAGCGCCGCACCCTTGGACAGCACTGCAGGGGCGGCCTCCCTACCCTCATCCTCGCCTTGCCGTCCAGCTTCAGCGTCTACTACCTTCTTGGACTTGGACGAGCCAAACACCCGCCTACGCTCCTTGGCGCGGTCTCGATACTCTGTCTGGTCCGTTGGCGTTCGCTTCTTCGCCAGCTTGGCTACCGCTTTAGCTTTCAGTGTCTCATCTTGCAGATTATCTCGGTGCAGCTGGCTCAGGCGTTCGTGCTGGCGAACGTGGGCCTCGGTCTTGAACTCTCTCATGCATAGATAGCAACAGAGCCGGCTAAGGTCGGCGTAGGACTGTTGCTGCTGCCGTTGTTGTTGCTGCTGCTGCTGCTGCTGCTGCTGGTTTCGTGGTGACTGGAGTTGTGACAGTGGTCGGGCAGCGACAGGGTCATTATTGGCATGATCTCCATCGCCCGTCTCGGCGCTGCGTTTATCAATCCCATGTAGCTCCGCATGGCGATTGCTCCAGAACTGTAGATGCGAGGCCATGGCGATCTTCTTCGTACCCGTCCCCCCTGTCCCCGCATCCGCCTTCTTCCTCTTCTTCTCCTTCTCCCCGTCTTTCCTGGCCGTCTTCCCTGCACTTAGCTCGCTCGTGGTGGCGGCCGTGGAGAGTTTGAGTTCGCTGGCATAAGCGTCCTCATCCCAGTATGCCAGCTTCGCTGCCAAGTTGCCAAGGGGGCTAAAGGTGAATCGCTCATCTTCGCTCGTACTCGTACTAACGGCCGGTTTGAGGTTGAGAACCGGTACAAACACGCCAGCGTGGATGTAGGTTGCCAGTACGGGCTTGGAGGAGATGGTAAAAGTCTCAAACGAACTATAGCGAGCGAGCGCGCATTGGGCATCCTCCACTGTCGCAAACTCTGCAAATCCGTATTTCCAGCTCTCGTTCGTTCGGCGATCGCGTACCAGTAGGATACGACGAATGGACCCCTCGCGAGCACCTAGGTTGCTGTCGCCGGTTGTAGACGCGACTTTTGCTCCTTTCTTTGCTCCACCCCCAGACGATCCCGGGGGGTGTGCGGAGGCGGACTTGGATTGTTTGCAAAGCTTCGCAACTCCCTTGGCCAGCACTTCCTCGGTAACGCTGGACTCGAGGCCTCTGAAGAGGATAAACTGGGACGCTGTGCCGTCGGTTGAGACGTCGTTGTCGCCGTTGTTGGCTACCTTGGCGGCCTCTTCCATCTGGGGCATCAGGGCAGCATCTACCGAGGTTTAGATGCGAGTGAACGTATCTCTTATGGCGGGAGCACATACCTGGTTTTGATGCCTGGCAGCGGAAGCATCGCTGGCGGCCTGCATAGTTGACAATCGAGCACTATCCCAGATCAGCATTTTTTGCACTCCTACGATGAAGATAACTTGGTCTCACATTGATGCAGGTCCATTCTCCGTCGACACGAGTCCGGTTGCGGTCCTCTCTCTCACGGCTGTAGGCAATCCTAACCTTTGCCCCTTGCCCGTCAGCAGCGGCACTCTTGCCATAGAGATAGACGGCGGGGAAGTTCTGTTCCAGAAACTCGCGCGACTCCTCGATCGTCGGAAACCGGATGAAAGCCAGCTGCCGTGATATTTCTGTCGAGTCAAGGTTAGAAAACGGATATCGTAGGGCAAGAGATCACTGACTGGTCTGTCTATCGCGGATGACTCGAACGTCCTCGAGCTCCCGAACATGATAGTATTGGGTGAGTTCACTGGTGACCTGTGTAGAAGAAGAAAAGGCATCGACCGGAAATCAGCCCGGCGACATCCCCATGATCTCAGCATACTGCCATCCAAGAAAAGAGGTCGTTGGCGGGCAATCTCATGCTACTCTCGACTGGGGGCCAGCCGGGAGTAGTCAGAGACGAGGGATATGGAGAGAGGGAGGAGGGTCCAACGTCGTCTTCAACCATGTCCACCGGCAAGCCTTCCATCATGATCTCTCGACTTTCCGTCCCGTAGTGTCGCGGACGCCCATGCCGTCGACTCTGGCTCCGGCTTCGACTGATACTCTGGCTTCGACTGCGACTGCGACCTCGACTGCGATCCCGATCCCGACTGCGACTGCGACTGCGGCTTCTGCCCCGACTCCGACTCCGACTATAGCTCATATCATATCCGGGCGACCTGTAGCCCTCGCGGTCACGGTCCCTGTACCCGTCCCGCCGATACCGTGGCGGCGAGCGCGAGGAGCGTCGGTACGACTCCCGGCCTCTACCGTGATAGTCTGCGCCATCACCACGCCTCCTATCGGCCGCAGGTCCTCGCGGGGCAGCACCAGCAGTATTAACCGCAGTACCAACCGCAGCATTAACAGGAGCAGTCGTCCGGGCCAGGTCTTCGTACAAGTCTGTCCTATCAGCATAAGCTCCGAGAAGAGGGAGGTAGATGGCATAGCGTGTTGCAAGGTAGTCAAGGGAGATGGAACGCGGAGAGTGAGCACTCCGTACCGCCAGGAGGGTCGTATCTCAGCCGAGAGTCTGCGGGCGAGTGGGAGCGTTGCTGGGAGTGCGATCGTGCCTGCTCGTATGTCTGCGGTCTGTCGTCGTAGCGCGCCGGCCGGTGGCCTCGTCTCTCGCCCTGTCGATATGACATCGCAGTAGACTCAGCACGAAGGTAGGGTATAGGAGAGTACGTAGTATAGGTATAAGTATTGTAGAGCAGTGTTAGAGTGTAGAGTGTAAAGCAGAGTGTTAGAGTGTAGAGTGTAGCTAGAGCAGAGTGTTAGAGTAGAGTAGAAGTGAAGCTGGAGCTCGACGGATATACGTTAGTCCGGCGCACTTCTCCGATAGACAAAGAGAGACATAGACATAGACAAGAGATGAGACAAGATGATAGACAAGAGATGAGACAAGAGATGAGGAAAGATGAGAGAGAGAGAGAGAGAGAGAGAGAGAGAGAGAGAGACACACACACAGATATATATATAGAGATGTCTTCGTGGGTGAGTATCTCGACCTCTGTTTCCAGTCCAACCTTCGACCTGTCCACGTCTCCCTGTTACTCTTCTCTGCTAATATGATGATACTAACTACTCATAGTGTACTGGTGCTGATATGATGATACTAACTACATAGTGATTGATACTCATACTAACTGCCCATAGTGATGCTAATGCTGATCCTCTACCACCATCTAGAGGCAGATGACTAAGCAAAGCAGAAGTTGAACTTGACCTCGACCTCGACCTTGACCTTACACAAAGATGGACAGACAGAGAGAGATGACACGGTGACAGGGTGACAGATGACAGATGACGGATGACAAGACACAGTGATGACAGAGTGACAGAGACAGAGACAGAGACAGAGACAGAGGCAGATGTGATGAGTGGCAGAGATGGAGGAGACGAGGTCAACTGCGATGATCTACCCGCGACGACGAGACGATGAAGAGATGATGAAGAGAAGATATACGACGAGACGGCGATGAGACGGCGATGAGACGGCGATGAGACGGCGATGAAGACGAAGATATACAGGAGAAGACAGGACAAGCCGACGTGGTGCTGGCGGTGGTGCTGGTGCTGCTGGTGGCTGGGATGCGACCACTCCCAGCCTCCCACATCGCATCGCATCTTGCATCGCAGCCACTGGGAGAAGAGCCCGACAGGAGACACAACCCCAACCACCCGCGACACTCGACTGGAAACACGGCTGGCAAGGGCTGGTGAGGGCTGGGATGGCGATGGCGGCTCACATTAATACCGTCCTGCCCGGCTTTCGGGTTCTGCCTCTCTTCTTCCCACAGTTCCCGCTCTAGGCCTTCGTCTATACAGGACTCGATATCGCCATGCACCACCCCCAGCAGCATCCGCTCGAGACCCCGAGACTCAAGGTCGTCGGCAGTGAGTACTTCCCTCCCTCCTTCACTCCCTCCCTCAATTCACTCCCTCCCTCCCTCAATTCACTTCAATTCACTTACTGACAGACGCAGGCAGCCAACCGAAGCTGGTCCACACGCCCTCGCAGCAGTCCATCGCGGCCTCTGACGACTACTACTCCTTCTCCGACATCACCGCTCATTCCAGCACCAGCAAGGTCACCGTCGTGCCCTACCAGACCGCTCCGTCTAGGAACCCGTCCACCCAGGACGTGCACACTCACATCCAGGATCACATCCCACAGCCAGAAGATAGCCAGGACAAGCAGATACAGCCCGCCAGAGCAGTTGCCAGCGTGAGACGGCCCAGCATGAGTCGACCACCGACGGCAACGCGGGGAGAGATCCGGCTGCTCGATAACGGGACTCCGACCCCCGGGGCAGACGACTCTCCCTACATCCGCTTTGCCATCGACCAATTGACCAGAGACGAGGAGCTGAGGGGCGCGGGCCGACATGGCTCGCTCGCAACCACCGACTACCCCGTCGAGCGCATCGTGCCGGACGAAGGTCTGGGATACTACACAGCAGTCCCGAACAAGACCGTTGCCACAGATAACAACAACAACAGCAGCAGCAATACGACCATGGAGCAGCCAGAGAGTACGGACACACTCATCGCTGTCGACCCTCCAAGCGACACCTACACCCATCTCCCGCTCACCTTCATCCCATACGTTCTTCGTCCGGCCTTCCTCGCCATCGGCATCCTCCTCTGCCTCGCCATGGTCGCCGCTCTCATCTTCTGCAACGTCTGGTCGCAGCAGAAAGACGGCCTGTCCAACTACGTCTACTTTGGCGGCTCCAAGTACTTCGTCTTTGAGTTCCTACCCCAGCTCCTTGGCATGGTCATCGTCCTCTGGCTCTTCGTCGTCCAGGCGGCTGTCTACCGCATAGCTCCCCTGTCCAGCATAGCTCGTGCCGGCGCCAGGGACACCACCCTCCAGCGGCTGCCCATGCTGCCCAAGAACTTTGTGCTGCCGGACTTGTCCCATTTCACGTACGGCGAGCCTGTGGTCGGTGTCTGTCTCTTCGTCATCTGGGCCGTAAACTGTTTCACGGTGCCTCTCCTCAGCTGTCTCTTCCAGCCTCGCTACTACGGCACGCTTCAGGACGGAGGGTTCCGCTGGGTCAGCGTGCAGGGAGTCGGTTGGACTCTCGTGGTCATTTACGCTCTCCTCGTCCTCTCTCTCTTCGCCATCCTCGCCCGGTTTGGTTTTGGGGTCAGTGGTCTGCAGTGGGACCCCGTCAGTCTGGCGGATGTCATCCCGCTGATCCAGCGATCCAACGTCCTCCATGACTTCGATCAGTCCGAGGTCACCCCCAATGTAGGCGGCCACCTTCCACCTAGGAAACTGCGTCTGGGCTACTGGAAGACGTCCTCCAAGCCAGACAACTTCTACGCCCTCGGTGAAGAGTCCGCGCCGTTGAAAAGAGTCTCCTCCGTCGACCGTCTGCTGGAGAAGAGCAATGGAGCAGCCACCAAGACTGCGGATCCTGCCACTGTCGATGTCGAGCGTCAGGAACTTCACAACAAGGACTCCTTCGAAAGAAGCCTGCATTCGCCCTTCTTCCGCTATCGCTGGGCTCCCTGGTTCCTCAAGGACACCTTCGTCGTCGCATGGATCATAATCGCCTTTGTCCTTCTGATCGCCTTCCTCGCCGTCAGTTTCGTCAACCGGCCGCTGGACAGGGGCTTCCTCCCGCTCCTCCCGACCCTCCCTTCGGCGTCCGGCTTCTCTTCCTCCAACTTCCTCTTCAGCTTCATCCCTGCACTGCTCGGAAACTTCCTCTTCCTTGCCTGGCAGCCGATAGACGTCTACTTCCGCGCTGCCCAGGCATACTCTGACCTCTCGTCGCCCCGCGGCGCATTCGCCGAAAAATCCCTGCTACTATCCTACAACTCCTGTCTCCCACTCGAAGCCACCTTCCACGCTCTCTTCGCCGGCCACTACAAAGTAGCCTACATCTCCTTCATCAGCGTCGCCTCTCTCGCCCTCCCCGTCCTCGCCGGCGGTGTCTTCATGGCCCGCTTTTACGCCGAGAATGGTCAAGTGCGAATCTCCTCTTATACCCCTGCATATTATACCCTTGTTGCATTTGCTATCGTCTACGCGCTGTCCTTCCTCACCATCTGGCCCCGGCGCATACGCTATCTCCCTCACCCACTGTACACATACGCAGACGCCATCAGCTTCCTATACCAGAGTCCCCTCCTGGTCGACAAGGTGTTCCGCGAACCCAGAACCAAGACGGACCTCATCACTCGAACCATCGTCGCACCACCTGGCGAGAGCCACAAGGCTCTATATGCCTTTGGCGTGTACTACGGTCAAGATGGCAAGGAACACCTAGGCATCGATCGTCTAAGGAGACTCGAAGGAGATGAGTGAGAAACCAGGCCGTCGCACCCAGTCGCGCAATTCGGCATTTTGCGATGTTTCTTTTTTTTTTCTTAATTCAAGCGTTATCTTTTCGGTGGGGTCTCTTTTACAGGGTTCGGTAGCCCTTTCGGTTTGGCATGGAGTTATGGCTGTCACGGATAATGCTACCATGAGCGTACGCGCTATGATTTTTTTAATGCTTAAAAATAAATGAGATAGATAGACACGAGACATGTACGTTAGACATTATATAAATTACGGATACCAATTAACACACCTAATCAGTTCGATTATTTGCATCTCTGCATGTGTAATATTCTATCGACATGTCCCATTAAGCCAGAAAAGTATCAAAGTATCAAAGGTATCATCAAGTATCGGCCAGCGTGTATAAGAAATGGTAAGAGGAGAAGTATATCCTACATCAAGGGATTACCGACAGCCGTCGCTGGAGAACGACTGCGGCTTCATCCTGCAGGATATTATATTTAGGCATCATCCCTGTTAATCAGCGGCTGCTTGTGAACAGCAACGTACGACGTGTCGGTGGATAGAGGCAGCGAATCAACATATTTAGTGGCCACGAAGTCCCCTCGCATTTGAGGGAAGCAGTCGCCAGCGTGGAATGCCGTTAATAGTATGGCAGCGATGAGACACAGGCTGTGTAAGGCGTCAGATGATACTGTGCGAATGGCATGGACATGATATGAACTTACAATGATTCGAGGACAATGAAAGAGACCTCGTCTTGCATGATCTCGTTTCTCCAGCCACCGACCATCTCAGCAATTCTTAAGCCATCATGTTAGTACGGCGAGGATCAGAGGTTGAAGTCAGACGCCGACTTACCTGTATACGCATCTGATAAATATGAAAAAGAAAGCAATCGTGGTACTTCCGAGGAACAGCTTGAACTTCCTGCTGCCCCATAGCTGCTTCGCGACTGGATTCGCACTGTGTCTCTTTTCACTCCTGACACGCCAGAAGAAGTGACCGACCAGAATGCCGAAAACGGTCAGTGTGAATACCTGCCACACTATACCAGCAATCATGACGTTCGTTCCAGCGTCCTGCTGAGCTTTGTTGGTGCGAGCAGTAGCCGCCAGCCCGCCGCCGATTCCCTGGAGAGTAAGTGAGAGAATGTCGACGCCGATGAAGATCCAGGTATAAAAACGAGGCTTGATTAGGGACAAGTTCGGGCCCAGCGCGAGACAGAGATGTTTGAGAATCAAGTAGATAGCCGCGCTGAAGAATGCCGGAGCCATTATCAGAGTGGTAATCTGCATCTGAAATCCAGTCGCAGAGAAGGGGTTATCGTGGAGGATAATTCGACCAACATATCCTATTTCCCGCAAGCTCTCAGTACTATGTTTATTGGAGTTACCAGCGCAGGTTTTAACATACCGATCGCTTCACCTAGACAGCCTACGGTCATGGCAAAACTGTAGCTGTAGGTCTTGTATTTGAACGTCTGCCATCCTTGGATGAGCATGAGGATACCGAATGCTACAGTCAAGGCGGCATTGGTCGGGCGGTTGGGATAGTATCCATAGATGGAGGCCTGGACAGGACACTGAGCCGTGACTTCGGTGCACGATATAGGACTTGGGTGGCCGTCCATCGTGACAGCGAGCGGCTAGACCCTGTGAATATCGAATAGAAGCTCCAAATAGAAAGTCCAGGTAGTATAATGATTAAGGCGTTGGTCAAGATGAGGAGATTTCGTGCGTATATAAGTGTATATACGGCACTTGAGAACGAAGACAGCACGAGGAGATGAGGCTAGGAGGAAGTCATGGTATTTATCTCCTCCGTCAATTTGATCCTTCTCGTTTCTGATCAATTGCTGGATTCAAGGAGCTGGCTGAGCTACCAGTCAGGTACATGGAACCCCGGCCGGGAAGCGTTGGACGGCAGGCAGTGTTTTGAGCAGGGTTAATTCCAGCTCCTGCATCTGCATTTAGTCATATTTGACCATGGAAGCCGTGTAGGACGTAAATTGTCAATATTCCATCCGGATTCGCGCAGATAGCACTGATATCAGTTGAAGGTCATCTCGAAGAATAGTCTATAGCAGCCATTTCGGAGGGCCGTCTTGTAGACCCGTCTGGGTATGGACAAAATCCCCCAAAGCACCGCAGCCGCCGAATTATGGTGGACAGAGAGATCGACAAGGCCATATCACTCGAATCCTTCCCGGGTATACAGAGTCAAGGCCATCAGGCTGCGGACAAGGGGTTGCTCGCCAAGCTGCGCAGTGATTAGCCAGCGGTTGAGGATACGTCCGTAGAAGACGGAGGATTCTTGAATCGCCCGTAACAAGTATGTTCCGCAGGCCTCCGTGATGCGAAGATATTAGATATCAACATCGCTCGTGGCTGGTTGTCTTGGTGCGTCAACATGGCGTCTCTTGTGTCATCCAACGCAGCTCGGCTGGATAGTTATCGTGCGGCGTGTCGGTGTTGACGGTTTGGTCTTGGGCAGTCCTTGAATTGTGGAAGTTGTCATCTCACCCTAATGATGGCGAAACATAGTAGCATGTCGATATACATAACATGTCGATATACAGTGTATATGATCTGTCTCCGAGTCTTCATGAGGCTTCTCCTTTTCAGCCTGAGAAGGCGCGAAGAGTGCGAGAGTAGCGATGGCCGGCACTCTCGACCGTGTTTTCCTCTTCCTACGAGATATCCAGCAGTTTGTCAGTGAGAAGCCTGGATAACTCTGACTGTTTACTGGAACATCCTCTGCATCTGGCTTAAGAGAAGCATCATGTCGTGTCCTGATGATAACGACAGCGATACCCATCCGCAGTCTCCTCCAGCAGCCCCGGATCGTATATCTACGGCTCCCCCAGAGGTTTTCGACGACGAGGCCTTCAGCAACGAGCCTCCCGCTGGCCCCCATGGCGACCAGGCGACGAGTATGACGGCATACGTAGGCGAGTTCGCACACCGGCTGTTGAGTTCCTTCAACGATTTTCCGAGCAGGAAGGTCGAGGAGTGGTGGAACAACATCTCGCCTACTCTGGCCATCTTCATGGATGCCACGGGCTATAACATACATGTCCAGTACAACTACTTGCGGTTCTTTCGAGACTACGTCTATCCTTCCCTCGGGAAGCCTCCACGCCGTGACCGGGTGATAACATGGCCGAGCACAGTTGCACCGATGTTCATTCCAGCGTCCCTGGGCCTGAGACGGCAAGATGGCGATGACATCCTCCGGTTCTCGTACGAGCCTATCAATTCCAGGGCTGGCACGTTGCTTGACCCTTACAATAGCTATGCTCTCTCCAGCGCCCTGGATCTCCTCAAATCAGGAGGAGTTTTATTCAATACAGACTTGTATTACCAGTTCAAGCACGATCTAACCCTCTCTAATGACGAGGATGGGTTTTTGGGAAGCGCGCCGGTGCCGGAATATCAACTATCTCGATACATCCTCACCCTAAATATGCGGAATAATTTTTCTGGGCCTTCACTGGACTGTTGTCTGTCGCCTTTCTTGAAATCAGTGGTCACCGGAGTGCCTGCCAGTAAGCTGGTGTTCGACACCATCCGGATGGCCGACACTCCTCGAGCGTTAATAGCGGATGCATTGTCTGTTGTGACTGAATATTGGGAGAATTGTAATAACGACACAAAGGATGCATACCTTCTGGGCTGGGAAATGGTTGAGCCCTCTAGAGCCAGCATAAAGGTCTACTTTGCTGAATGGGAGGTTCAATACGAACGGGTTAAGGAGTTCTTCACCCTTGGAAACACCCTCCAGAGCCACCCACCCACGGCAACGGCTCTTGCAGATGTGTGGGAATTATGGCGTGCATTCGAGATCAAAGTAGGGAATCGTAAGGTTGTAAAACAAGATGATGATGCGGATCTATCCGAGTCTCTCCCTCGCTCCCCATTGCTATTTTGTTTCGAGCTGGTGCCGGGCAACCCAGATCCAAAATTGACAGTCTATTTGCCGGTGGATGGCATAAGCTGCGCCAGGATTGCTTCCATCTTGGAGAACGTCTACACCCGGTTTAATTGGAAGGATCTAAAACGGCCTTATAGAGTGTGTCTCGATCATGCCTTGTAAGTGGCTATCGTATATATCAAGATTCTGATACCTGCTAACTTGACCCCTTTAGCAACCATGAGGATATGCATACGTGGATATCTTACGAATTCCACCCAGAGAAGGGTCCTATGATTAACGCCATCCTTCAACCAATGCGTGAATACCCCTAGAAGTGCAGTATTATTACTTTACCATGTTACCTTTTGTTCATCCGCGGTTTTGCATTGGATTTGTAGTGCAATGCTATTTTTGCCTAAGCGAATGCAGGAAGCATAACAATTGCTCCTTTGTTCTTACAGCACGTTTGTATACTTTATTGTACTGAGAATAGTGATGTTATCCCAACGTCAAACCGTGACTTCACTTTCCGTGCTGGAAGTTAATTGTGTGTTGATATTGCAACATAGATGGCTACGAGGAAGAGGATTGGCAACGTATGGTATGGGAAGTTGGTTTTTAATAGCCTATTGTCCATTCCTTAGTCCGGAAACCAAGTCCAATACACTCAGCTTTTTCTCTGTTTTATTAAGATTATTCTCGCTTTCTAGGTCAGTTTGCATGGCAGCATTATCTCCACCTAGCGGAGGCAACCCATATGCAACAGGAGTCTGATCAGGCGCCATTGAATGGTGATCTATAGACATATCCTGGAACCTCTGTTCGACCCCAAGATTCCGAGCTTGTACTATTCCCGTATCAGGTGAATCAATATTAGTTCGGCGGTATGCACCCTCTGCGCTGCTTCCAAACACTATAAACAGTAGAATGCTTAGCTTCTGATGTCTCTTTCACACTGATTGTGTTAGGGATTGCTACATACGATACACATCCTGCTGTTCTGTCAGTGGCCTGTCTCCGTGGGATCCGAGAGGAGGCTGGAATGGCTGCGGCTCGTCTTCTCCCACTGGCATTACACCCTTTCCTTTCCAGTTTGGGTCCTCGGACCTCGAATCTTCCCTGGTTTGGTATTGCCAGTGCTGTCGCGGGTGGTGGTAGTTAGATGACGACAGGCCTCTAGCATCTTGATCGGTATTGTCCATGCTACGCCACGAGCTTGCGTTATGGCTGTCATCGTCTACAGCCAGACGACTCCTGGGACTTCCATGTCGAATCCAACGGCTTACTGACTCTTCTAACGAGGTGAAGTTGGCACCGTTGCCTAGGCCCTCCTGTCTATGGCTAGATTCCCCTTGTGAAGTAGCTGTGTAAGGTAGGTGGTTCTTGCTGCGGGCATTGTCGTGGGCAAACTCGACATTGGAGAAAACACCTGGTAACGGGCTAGAGTGAGCCTTGTGAATCCGCAAGGGGTCCGGTCGGAGGTACGAATGCGACGACTCTTCCCCTATGGACTGCGGCGGGCGCTGTTCGAAATTCGGCTTTGAAAGTCGATGCCCGTCCTGAGAGGCATGCATTGGCTGGAGGTTAGTCACGCCTCTCAATGGACGAGTACTGCTGGCGAAGCTAAAGGCCCTACTGTTTGAACTAGAACCAAGATGATCTAAGCTTTCTTCCGTTCTCCGCAAGATACTGAGACCCTGGGGCCGAGGGAAATCGAGTGACCTATTACCGTCTCGATAAAATTCATTCTGGCTGTAAATAGGTTGTTCATGGGGAGTATCAAGATATGAGTTCTTCGTTTGGCCCTGGTATGTATTCTGAGCAGCTTTGGATTCTAGCAAAGGTTACTTATTATTGAGTGCCGCAGAAATGATGAGGAGAAGGGCTGGACATTGGTGCTTCATTATCTGATATCGGGGGGTAATTTGACAAATGAGAAAAAGTGCTCACGATATCTCTGGCCTCTAGGCAATTTGCGCAATGGTACTGATTGTTGTGTTGAATAGTTGTCACGGCTACAACCTCTCGAGCTCAGGGGAAATAATGTAGTGCTTCCAGATGGAACAGGATCTGGCATTCCTAGGTCACGAAGTTCCTCATGCGACGTTGTAGGGGAGGCAGAAAGTTTCTCAACAGTGTTAAGGGCTGATTTCTTCTGATTGATGAAAGCTGAGGTAGGAGCTGAAGAAGATTGTAGGTTGTGTTTGCGGATCAAACGCTGTATTGGTGGCCCTGTATTCGGCGCATCCGCTATATTAGCTGGCGCTGATGCTTGTCGGGGGTTCGACCGTCGATTATCAAAGGCAGCTTCGCCTGCCCGTATGAACGAAGACCGACTCTTAGAAATATCGTGTAAATGCTTAAACCAGAGGAGCGCCATGCCAAGAAGGACAATAAGCAGGGCGGCTATAAGTAAAGGAGTCAGGAGTTCGGATTTATTGTTTGCCTCCCTCATAATCGGTAACTTCCAGTCAAAGTAAAATTCTCCCACGCGTGGTATTGTGTATGTAGATGGGAGAGCTGGCTTTGAAGAAAGTAATATGAATTGGCCTGGTCCGATGTAATAATGACCTACAGGTAAGAACAGAGAAATGCACAGGTGCTGTCAGTGCTGGTGTATTCAAGAAGAATATTTCTCCCTGGCTGGTAGTCAAAGCAAGACTTTAGAAGTGCCAGGTGATGAAAGGGAACTGGCTTGTCGCCAGGCCCATGACTGATGGGGCTTTCCAATATTCCTGAAAGTTGAGAAAAATTCACTGGAGATCCAGGATCTGTATGCATCCATTGACCCATTCACTCTTTTAGAGTCACGGCTGCATAGTTTCCAAAAAATAAAAATAAAATAAAAAATAAAAGAGAAGAAAGAAGAAAAATGTTCACTATATCGGACATGGTATCTTCCCTACCTCGTCTTCTTCTGGTATGCGTTGCACTGGGACTTTACTTCCTCTTCAAGGGTAAATAATAAGGCTTCGAATAACCATTTGGTTTCGTTTCTGTCCCCTATTAGTGGGCTTTTGACTCCGACCCAACTCCATTTTTCACCAGTAATGATAGCTGGCGGCTTCTCAGACAGTAGGCGAGCTCTCTCGAGCTTCGATACTTCAATATTGTCTGGATGTGCTTGAGTAAAAGGGGAACACCCTTCGGCACACCCCACCAAGCCTAGATAGAAGCACCATTCATCATGGGTATAATGCTTCGGCGGATCGCACGAGAGATCATTATAAATCTTCCCTAGTTCATGAACAATGGCACACCATCTTTGAGAAGGAACGTGTATATCTTCAAGTTCCGGGTCATGGGAGGCAAGCTTCTCCATCAATGAGGCAGAGTGATAGGCGTGGGGATGGTCATTTACTGGCGCCTCGCCATTGCTTGGTATCTCCCTGTGTCGACGGCGGATAGACGTAGCCATGCCACGAAGAAAGGTGAGCAGCCTATTTTTGACACCTGCCTCATGTGGGAACAGGGTCAGATCGCCGGCAAAGATGGTGGCATCGTGGAATATTTTTGCGACGGTGTCACCCATGCTTGAAATGAGAATAGTGGTTGTTGGGACTGCGAGCAGTGACCATAAAACGAAGAAAGGTTTCCCCCAGGATTGGCCCAGGGTCACATCGCCGTAGCCAATAGTGAGGAGGTTTGTATAAGCGAAATAGATGGACGTAAAGTATGTCCAGCCAGCGTCTTGTTCTGCCATCCAGAAGGCAACAGCGCCAACCAGCCAGAGGATAGCCCACGCGCAAGCAGAGATCAATAGCGAGAGCCACCGGAGCTGCCAGGCACAGTTCTTGTGTATCTCGCGCATCAGGTGAAACTCTTCACGCTGGAGCTGTTTTTCGGACAGGGTATGATGTCGGCTCGCCAGTGGTCGAAGGATTCGTTTCTTCAGCTCTCCGGATTGCAGCTGCCCTGCCACAGCAGTCCTTGTCTTCTCCGTCGTCCTTGCAGTCAGGTATGTCCTCGCTCTCTCGACCATCAGCGATCTGATGGACATCACGACGAGGGCAAGGGTGAGAATGCCCCCTACACCAAACGGAAACAGAAGGCTGCGACCAAGATGTGTGGCGGGAGCAAGGTCACCGATGCCGTTTGTAAGTAGGGTAAAATCTGCCCAATACACAGCATCTAGATAGCTCCAGTTTTCTATATTAGAAAATATGGCGGCGCCTATCAACAGGTACATCATGTACAGTATAGTCTGCAGCATCATTGACCGTTGACTAGTGGTTAGGTTAAACTGCTTGCTGTAGCGGCCCGTCCTTGCGCCGTAGACTGTAACGAGCAACAGAGTGGAAACGAAGAAGTAGACGGCAGCAGCCATGATAGCGTAGTAGTACGCCTGGGTCATCTGGCGATTGTGCATATCGGTTACTCGGGGCATCGCGATAGTTAGCCCGATCAGCAAGGCCGAGGCGATATACCAGCCACCTATCGTTATAGGCTGGCTAACGGAGAAGCGAACTCGCCTTGCCATGTTCAAGAGCAGAGACAGGTTTGAAATCAGGGCAAACCCGAGCGAGACGGAGTTGATCGCGATGGCCCTAGCAGGTAACTCGATGTCAGCACAGCTCCCGGCGACCAGCGTATGCAAATTCGCAGCAAGGCGAGTGATGACAACCATGACGGGTCCTTAACTGTAGTAGGCAGCTGGCCCGTTGCAACGGTGCCTATCTCTGCCCTCCAGTCCTGGGAGAGCGAGCAGATGCTGAAGGCATTCGCCATGGGGCCCAGAGTTCCCTAGAGGACCCAGTTAACTCGCTTGCCACGACATATCTCAAGCTTGGGGGGGAACTCGACACACAGCTAGCAAGGGGAACGCCGTGCTGGCGAACCACCATCGTGTCGGTAGAAGACCGGAGACCTCGTCGACGAGCTCGTTTTGCGTGACGTCGCGTTCCCTGTCCATGTCTGCGGCCGAGGTTCCGCTGACTGGCGGACTGGCCTCTTTGCTAAGGTCAGGTTCCACGACAGGTTTCTCCCCATGCATACCTGTATGGACGGCGACGAGGACGAAGGTGAGTGTTCAGCCGTCTCGTCCTTGGAGTCGATGACGTCGACGTTTATACGCAAGGAGCTCGGCTATTAATGTGGAGCCGGCGGGATCTTTGATCCGTGGGACGCAGAAGTTTACGCAAGTCTATCTCGACGTCTAAGTTGAAATGTGATGATCAAGATATATATGAGATGAAGAAGATGTGAAGATATCATGGCTGCTACGAGTCTAGGTACGACCAGTCCTGGTACAATGTTAATACTCCATGCGGAAGAACAGCTTCTCCTTCTCGACAATCTCCTCCTCGTTCATGACGAGCTCCTGCATGTCCCAGATAAGGCTCACATAACGCCCACCAAGCCACGGCCGGTGCTCCGATGTCAGAAAGGTGAGAGCGTCGGCACCGAGCTCGTGAGATTCAGTAAAGACTGCGGTGACGGGAGTTAGCCATGATGCAGGGTTGACCGGCGATCGGACAGCTTACCATGCTTGATCTCCGGCGGCATCTTGTCGAATATTCCACGCACCATGTCGGTGAAGACGTTCCCTGGATGGATGCTGATGCAAGTGATCCCCTCTGCGGCGTACTCGACGTTTAACGTATCTCACCACTCGGTGACCGCCACCACTCGATGACCACCCATCAAAATAAACACCGATATCACCACCCCCCCTACATGTATTAATATATCCACAACAACGCGAATAACAAATTAAATTAGATATTAAATAACAATAGTAGAGCTCTAGTTTACATATTAATTAGTTAGATTAGGAAAACAAACGAGTGTTGGGCTTAATAGTTCGGCCAGAACGTGTTTCTCTGCCATGGGATAAGAAATTGGGTAATGAAGGGACAGGATCGATTGGAGCCACCTTTGTGGGTAACTTCTTCTTCTTTCCTAATTTAGAAGGTGAGATAGGGCTCGGGGCGTTGATTTAGGCCTTTTTAGCCTTCTTAGCCATTCACTGGGCTTCCTGTTCACTGGCCTTACGCTTCCTTTCTAGCGCTACTTGCTCGCGCTAAGCAGCTGCCTCTATTTAGGCCTTCTTATAGGCCTCCTTCCGTTCCTACTACTCTTTAAGCCTTTGGGCCTTCTTCTCTACAGCCTCTTAAGCCTTTGTATCGCGATATATTAATCACTAAAGCTTTAACTCTTCAGCCTGAGCTATCTGGGCCTGTTTTTCTTACTCAATATCCAGAGCTCTCTTCCTTACTATATTAACTTTGGAAGGAGAGAAGAACTAGGCCTAGCTAGCTTTCTCTTTATTAAAAAGGCCTAATCCTTTGCCTCTCTTCCTTTATTACTTCTCAATAATTAAAGCACCGCTAAGAGCTTGATTTTCATACTATAAAATATCATTATTAATGTCACAAGCTGATGGCGCTCCTTGATTACCTAAAGGTGATCAGAGGTTCACACCTGCCGTAAGACAGAAGGTACAAAGGTCTTAGGGAAAGCTTAGGTTAGAAGTGAGTCATTATAGAAGACGGCTCGGTACCAAGGCGAGATAGAATACTATAGTAAGACTATCCCTCAGTTCTAAGTGTGGCTTTAGTCAGTGCCTGGGTTAGATAAAGGCTAAAGGTCCTTATGAGTAGTGAAGACAAAGTTAACCTACGTCAATGGGCAAAGGGGTATTTGGTGAATATAGTATAAGATAACTAGAATGGTGCTTTGTATTAAGTAGTATAATAAAACTGTAGCTGGTTTGATCGCGAGTATAAGACTCTTGATCCTAAGGTAATGAGCGTCTTTATATACATGGTATATATCTAGTGATAGGTGCGATAGTTCTCCGCCAAGGGGTTCCTATCACTCCTATCAGTTGTTGTGATAGTATCGATAGGAAGCTGCCAAGCCCATCCTATTGGTCCTATCGCTATTGGTCACGTGATTAGTGCCCTCAAGGTCTGGCCCGTGATCCTCCCGTCCAATGAGTGTATATCCTGGGGCTGCGCCGCAGGTGGTCTGTAACAATTAAAGACAAGTTACTCACTAGCTCAAATTATCTTTTAGATATAGTCTCTTTCTATAAGAGACTGGCGGAGATATATCTTTTTAGTTATCCGGCGGAGGCCTCATATTATAATAGGAGTAGAAGGCTCTACAGCTACATTTACTAGAGTAATTAGCTATTCTTACTAGAAATATCGTAGCTATCTCTATAGCTTAGGAGGATAGATACCTATTGCTCTAAAGCTAGACTTAATATTCTCCTCTATAAGAGCTTTACACTATATAGTATAAAAGAGCTTCCAAAAGTCTCTCTTCCTAATTAAGAGATATCCGAGGCCTCCCCATATTAGATTGTTGACTTCTTAGGAATATGCACTAGTGTTACAGACCACCTGCGGCGCAGCCTCAGGATATACACTCATTGAACAACAAGATTCCGGGACGGAATAACTACACATCACGTGACCATAAGGACAGGTCCCAGATGCTAAGACTAGGGACAGGTCCCTATAGGACCAAACATGAAAGGTCCACGAAGGGACCAGGACATCAGGTCTATAACGGGATCTGAGAAGAATCAGGAGGAGGGGACTAGATATACCATATATATAAAGACGCTCATTTCCTTAGGATTAAGAGTCTTATACTCGCGATTAAACCAGCTATAGTTTTACTATACTACTTAATACAAAGCACCATTCTAGTTATCTTATACTATATTTACTAAATACCCCTTTGCCTATTGATATAGGTCAACTTTGTCTTTACTACTTATAAGAACCTTTAGCCTTCATCTGACCCAGGCACTGACTAAAGCTATACTTAGAACTAAGGGATAGTCTTACTATAGTATTCTATCTCGCCCTAGTACCAAGCTGTCTCCTATAATGATTTACTTCTAACTTAAGCTTTCCCTAAGACCTTTGTACCTTCTGTCTTACGGCAGGTGTGAACCTCTGATCATCTTTAGGTAATCAAGGAGCCCCGTCAGCTTGTGACAACTAGCTAGTAGCCCAAATATCCTAACATCTAATGGCTAGAGACGGTGAGTTAAATAGGGAGGAAGGATAGTAAGAAGGATACGGTTTTGATTAGCGTAGTCAATAAATCGCATATTAATATGAGAAGAGTGCCCATTAAAGATAAGGAGCCTCCTTACCCTGCTAGCCTTTATCTTTATATGTTTATTAAAGACTTTCTCTAACCACTCTAGGCCGTAATTATTAGAGCTCTAACCATTTAGTGATACTGTAAAATATGTAGTTTATTTCTTTGGGGAGTAGTTATCTAACCAGGTATCTTATAGATCTCCTTCTCCCTTATAAATAGGTGTAGGAGGAATCCTTTCCCTATCTACAGAGATAGCAGCAATGTCACAAGCTGACGGCGCTCCTTGATTACCTAAAGGTGATCAGAGGTTCACACCTGCCGTAAGACAGAAGGTACAAAGGTTTTAGGGAAAGCTTAGGTTGGAAATAAGTCGTTATAGGAGATGGCTTAGTACCAGGGTGAGATAAAATATTATAGCAAGACTATCCCTTAGTTCTAAGTGTGGCTTTAGTCAGTGCCTGGGTCGGATAAAGGCTAAAGGTCCTTATAAGTAGTAAAGACAAAGTTGACCTGCGTTAATAGGCAAAGGGGTATTTAGTAAATATAGTATAAGATAACTAGAATGGTGCTTTGTATTGAGTAGTATAGTAAAACTGTAGCTAGTTTGATCGCGAGTATAAGACTCTTGATCCTAAGGAAATAAGCGTCTTTATATATATGGTATATCTGGTCCCTTCCTCCTGATTCTTCTTAGGTCCCATCGTGGACCTGATGTCCCGGTCCCTTCGTGGACCTTTCATGTTCGGTCCCATAGTGTTGAACGGAGATTCGGTGTAATACTGCCTGATCGTACGAAACACGTTAGTCAACTACGCCGTTTCATTAAATATCAGTGTCAGCTCTCCATCATCGAACAAATGCTACGCCCGGCGTTTTAACGCCTGTTTCAGCTGTAGCTGGCATCTCCGCGATGGCAAGATACATGGCCGTATGAGGAACATAAATAGGAGCTCAATATCGTGTATTTAGATGATCAGTGCTTGATAGATTGAAATCTCATAGATTGCTCCAGACCCACCTGACCAATCAAATCAATCAAATATCTCGTATCTCAGAGTTATCAACGTCAACTGGAGGCGGCATGGCGATTTCACTGTCTCAAAAAGACTGCAGTGCTCTTTGGTGTACGGTGTATAGGTAGGTTGTTCTATTTAAGTTGTGGTATGGCCCTGGCGATGGTTTATATGGCTGCGATTTACTTCGTTTTTCTTCCTGGGTTGTGGAGAAGCGGCAGCACTATTTATGAGGCCACGGAGTACTAGCCTTAGTCGAAGATTCAATGAAAGTATGCTGTGTGTGGAGAAGTAAATACTTCTCTAGTGGCTTTCTGGTGAGAGGCTGCTCCTAGAGGACTACAGCTCACTCTCACTTTTATATTATAGCCAGGGGCAAGTCAGTTCTACGGCTCTCAAGGACAGAAGGCGTCCTTTGTTGTGGCCGATAAGGTCGTTTCTTTGTTTCATGCCGGGAGGGCTGTTAAGGGGCTCTGCACACCATGGCGACTAACCATGCGGAGTATGATAACTCTATATAGATGGTGGCTTTCATATTGGGCTTGACGGCGCTTATATACTAGAGGCTGGCACCTAAAATCTGCCCCTCAGAGATCTTATCCACCACGGGTATCATCAACGGAAACGAACGAGACCTCCCCTGTAGGCACTTGGCTGAGATATAATAAAGAGTGGCTTTGTTTCGGATAGAAGCGTACAAAGGGACGCTATACAACACACGAGATAAGGTCATAAAATCATCAGAAGAAAAGCACAACATGCAAACAAACGAAAAAGCAAACAGAGAACGGAATGTATACGGAGACAACCCGAATTGGCTCATCAACATACGGATGCCGGTGCCTGCTCCCGCGCGATCCGTGGTAGCTGGCCAGTTCCACATTCTTCGTGGTGCTGCCGCCGCCGATAGTTAATACTAAAATTTAGGAAAACGGATATCGGATCCGGAGAACGATCGCCGCATGACACGGGAGTTCCCTCCCTTCAAAGCACCCTTGACTGTCGACGTGAAACCAGGATTGGCCCATGCCTGAGTGGCATCCCACATCATGACCCCGCCAAAGCTCGCAAACGACTTGCACCAATTGACAATGGCGGCGAGCGCCTGGGCATCCACATAGCCAGAGCCAGCTCCGCCCCTGTTTGCAGGAGCCCCAACCATAACCTTCACATTGGGGTTTGCGGAAACTTTCTTCGCAAATTTATCCCATTCCGCAAAGTTGAACCTGTCCTGGGTCTGGGATCCAATCGCGAAGTTGTTGAGGCCACAGTAGTTGTTATAGAACTGGATGAACAGAGCATCGAATTTCACGCCTCCTTCTAATATCTCCTTATTGTATAGATCCGGGTACGGACACTGAGGAGCAGCAGTCAGGTAGTATGGCTTGGACTTTTCGGCATCATACAGCGAGCGTAGCTGCTTTGCGAATGGAACCATGTTCGACACGGTGGCCTCAAAGTCAAGATCGAATCCATCGATCACTGCGTCATCGAAGGGGCGAAGGGCGGAGGAGTAGTTCGACTTGGCTGGCCCAAAGGTCTCCCACATCAAATTAGCGCCGGCAACGGCCTCTTCGGCAGACCTGAATCCTCCCTCGCTATATGTGGCTCCGCCAATGGAGAGGAGAATCGTCTTTCCTTTCTTTTGGCACGTCTTGATATCCTCACTGATTGCATAGTTAGCACTTATACGCCTAGACATATACGTCTGGCCCAAATGCAGACAGGGAGACTTACCCGATTTGCGGGCAGTGAAGTAAATCGGTGCCAGGGAATGGCTTGCAGGGGTCACCTTGATTGGCGAAGTTGACCTGTGGCACACCTCCGGGGCCTCTGATAGTCACGGCAAATGCAATGGGGATGACCTTCAGCTAGTTAGTGGCGAAGTTATATTGATGTTCATACGGGCTACATACATCAACATCCGCGCCTTGAAAGAAGTTAGTAAACATTGGCATGGCAATAAGGGCTGTAGAGGGAAATGGATCTTACTCTCGCAGTAATAGGCTAGTCGTTGTTGGGCAAGCTCTCCGCTCGCCTTGTTCAACGAATTCTGGCCTGGTGTAGACAGTCATGTCAGCGTGTTCGTAAAAACGGGCACATCCCATAATAAAAGGCACACACCCCAATAGATAGCAACGTTGTTATAACTCGAGGGATCAAACCCGGCAGAGGCCGTCTTGACGCCTGCAAGCAGTGCGACCAAGGAAAGAATGTTCTTCACAGAAGACATTATACAAGGAATGGTCATAAAGGAAGCCTAGCCAGTAGGAAAATAATAGCTCTTCAAGGAGTGTGTCAGGGCGCAATGGATATCCAGAAAAAAACTTGGAGAATTTCTGATATAAAATCCTGAGATGAGACATTGTTTTATAGTGCTATCAAAGACATGGTCATTCGGACTGGCGGGCCATCTCCATGTGCCCGTTTCTCGTCAAGCCGGTATGAATAAACGGTGTGAAATATGCGACGGATATTCGCCCCTGGAAGACGAGAGTGGTATCGTTTTGGGTCATCCTAACCCGGCTATCTCAATCGGTGGTGTGGTGGCATGGCATATGGGAAGTTAACTGCTGCCGTGAACAGCCTGTTAACGGCTCAAACAGCATTCAGACATCATTTCGCTAACTAGCCAAGATGTCATGGATGGACGAAATGTCACATCTTCCAGTATCTTTGTGGAGACGCCTTTGCGCCGAGAGGGCAAAGGGGAGAAAGCAGATGGCTGGGAGAAGGTCCGATGAGAGCGTTGATATTCATTATCTGGGCCACTCAGGAGCCGAGTAGGCCAGGTCATCCATCAGGAGAGATATCGACCAGAGAGGCGTCTGCCTCGGGCCCAACATCGCTGCCCGTCATCATATAGAAGGCATAGCGTAGCCGCATAACAGATGATGCAATCCGGACAACTCTGATAATCGGTGTACACTTCGTCTCGGCGGGCTGGGGTAGCGTGTGTGGGGGTAACATGATAATAGTCGGTATCATCCCGCGTTATATCATGAGTGCAACCCGAAGATATCCTCCGCGAGGGAGATAACATCTGCTTAACGGTGTAACCACGGCCACGAGAGTCAGATGTGCACACGACAGTGCGGATAGGCGGCTTACGGGCTCCCGTTGCGGCGGGCAGACGGAATCCCACCCTGCCAGCCCTAGCGCCCCGCGTTTCATCGTTTTCGTCTTATTATCTTATCCATCTATATCATCTTCTTCATCTTATTCGTGTTGTTCGTCTTCTTGTCTCCGTCTTCATCTTCTTGTCTTCGTCTTTTCGTCTTTTGACCGCACCAGCTGAGCATATGCTGACTAAGCGTTCACGTGGACACACCTTCTTCCAACCTCCTCCCTTCTTTTTTCTTTCTTTCTTCACCTTGAGTATGGGAAGAATATTTCACATTCAACTATCACATTCTATCTACGGAGTACTGCGACAGAAGATACCACGTATCCAAGGGCATACCAAGGGCATACAGTCAGACATACACCAGATAGAAAAATGGAGCAAGTGAAAGGATGGGGAGATGTAGACCAAAAACCGGAGGTTGGTTCACAGGGCAAGGATACTACGGCCACCATCTGCCGTAACACGGCTGGGAACTTTCATCTTGAAATATGAAGCCCCGAGTTCTACGATTGGAGACCTAACCGCACCCCAGGTCTGCGGGCCATCTTCTGGCTGACTATCCACATTGTTGTTGACATCCAGAATTGCACTCGGACAGAACACCAAGGCTTCCCCCGTCTTCAGGCCGACGATCCTCGAGAAGAGGCTCTCTGTGCTGTACTTGGAACGGTGAGATGCGGTTACATCCATCACGGCGCCTGCAAGATGCCCCTCTAACGCCTTGAACCATGCCGGGGAACTGAATCTATGCACAACCGTGAGGTTGCACAGGTCCAATAGGTTCGGTGACAGGGTCGGCTCTTGAGTTGCGATTATAACCCTCGTCGCCAAGTGACGTTGCTGACGGATCAGGGACAGCATGGTCTCTGTGAGACTTACTGCTTCGCGGCTCTTGGTTGTCAGATACTACCCATATCTGTTAGTGCTTGCTATGTGGGACCAGTTCGTTCGGGCCTCTTTTTCGTCTGGCCTACCTTGTGGGCTTCTTCTAGTGCGATTATCCGGCCTCCCTGGCTGCGGCCCTCGAGGAAAATACCCATGCAGATATTGAATAGTGCACATGCATCGTTCTCGTCCACGAACGGACAGCTCAAGTCGATGATTGTGAGGCTGCCCTTCTCAAAGTTCCACACGTCACCCTTATCCATAGGTTTGGAAATGGGTTTACCATGCTGAAACGTTACTTTTGCGCGGACCTCCAGGAATGAGCGGAGGAGCTCGAGCCGCATTTGTAATGGGGCAGACTGGCCTTTCACCGTCGTTTTCTCGTTGATCCTGCTCTCGAAATCTAGAAAGTCAATTCCTCGCCGGCCTTCTGACTCTTTTGCCATGTCTCGCAGCACTTTGGTCACCATCTGGGTTGGTTAGCAGATGCAAGCTCGGGTCTGTGCCCATGATGTATATCTCACGTACCTCCATATACAGCGGAGTTCCCTCTCCATCGCCGATTGCCATCAACGACTTCATCATACCAATGCTGAGGTGGGTCTCTTTGAACAGCATCGGCACCACCTTTGGCTTGGGGCAGTCCTCTGGCAAACCGGGAAGGTTTGAATACAGTTGGCTCATACGCCGATAGTTGCTTGGTGATACGAGCACGCGAACCGGGATACCAACAGAGCACAAATAGGCCGCCTCGCAAAGCTGGCCGGTTTCCACTCCAGTGAATTTATCGTAATGAAACACCAGGCCGGTCAGCTGCGATGAGACCTTGCCTGTCCTTGATGGGGCCAATAGCGAATTCTCAAGCATACAGGCAAGCGTGTGGCTTTTGCCGCTACCCTGGCTACCACAGATGAACGTGGACCACGGGGCGTTGATGTTGGTGTAGATTAAATTTTGGCTTGCACGGCCAACGTCGATGCTTTCTTCGTCGTTCCCTGGTGCATTGCTGGCAAGTCGTAAGCCTAGCAAGCCGTACTGAGGGAACAGCGATTGTACTGCGCCGCCATTCGGGAGGGTTGAGTGAGGCCCAGGGTTAACAGACTACCCTTAACCTTAGAGGAGAATAAGGGTGTGGTTTTCACCTGTTCAGCCAGAGGAACAGCCGATGCCTCATCTTTAGTTTGGCCTGCCTCAACGAGCTTGAGGTGGTCGTCCACTTCGGCGTCGCTAGGCTTCTCCTCGTCGGGGCCTTGAGCCATGCTTGCTAACGTTCTGGCTTCTAATGCCCTGGTTTCTGCTCCGGGTAGTAAGAAAAGTTTAGCCTTGGTAAAGGAAAATTTTCGCTTAGCCACTCTTACCTTGTAGCTGTATGGATCTTTTAACCATCCTCCTGCGATGCTATTTGGTTTCCGGTTATTATATACCCTTTGCTGGCCTTTGTTTTATGAGAACTTATCTTTTCTGATATGTTCAACCTCCACCTTCTGTGTCTTGAAATGTCCTAATATCAAAACCACTTCATGAGAGAAAATAAGGAAGAGCATCTCGATATTGGTTCCAGATTTATCAAATTTTTACTGTGGGAGCTAGAGAGTGAGAAAATTTTTCTGCCTCAACGCAGGTTTCAAGTTTCTATGCAGATCTCTATATCCTGGGGTAACAAGAGCATTTGAGACATAGGATAGATATATAGATGAATATAATTAGGCATAATGACTGAGAGTGACATATAACAAGGCCGTTCATTACCCATTATACCCTATGGCTGAACAAACAGGTCTTGTCTCCTTATCAATTAAAGACAGAACACCAAACACCCAACATTAATCAAAGGAACCCTAAGGGCCGAACAATTGGCCCTCTCCAGCTGCCCGTAGTGGGAACAAAATATGGAACAAGAATGTACAAGTGAAGGTAAATCAAGAAAAAAAGAAGAAAAGAGATTGGCGCTCTGGTATTACAGGGACCATTGAGACAAGGAGTAATATGCCATGGTTAAGGGGATAGACAAATAAATGGAAACCCACCCATTGTTAACCTCGGGTGTATACCGAAGGAATAGTAGGCATCGGAGGCATTGCAGGAACCTGTGGCATCCTACCACCACGCCTTGCAGAGTTAGATCGACTCCCGATGACGCCGCCGAGGTCAAAGTCGGGGTTATTGCCCAGCACAGCATCCCGCTGCTTCTGCGCCTTTTCTCGGGGGTTGTCCCAGGGTGGCGGCTGCCATTTGGGATTTATACCGCGTTGCGAGATGGAGGTAAAGTGGCTGATATCACTGACAGGTGAGCGCGGTGCACCATGCATGACATCGAGAGAAGTTCTCGGTTGGGGCTCACCAGCAGTGCTACCAGGAGTCAAAGCAGATGGGATAAATGCGGGATCGGGGTTTGATGTATTGGTGAAATGCGTTTCCACATCTTCATAGTATGTGTTTGTGGGACGGGGGGTGGCTCGCGGAGGGGATCGTGTCATGTCCCTGGGCTGGGTGTTGGCGCCCAGCGGACTCGGAGACCCTCGTGCGTCTATGGGCGAGAGCGGCTGATCGTTCCTTGCCCAGCCATTCCTCGCCGGTATATATGCACTGAGGGAAGGATGTGTCAGTAGGATAAGCGGTTTTTTGTTTTGCGGGAGATAGTCTTGATGCGGTGTCCCTTTATACATACGAAAGGTTGGAAATTTCTGACTGAGCGGTAACATTGTAAGCGTTCGCCGGCGAGCGTTCCATCTCTATATCCTGACCCATACCGCCAGCGACGGGGCCAACCCCATACATGTTATCTCCATCCCGTGGAGGGCGGCGTGGAGGACCTGGTCCGCCGCGTCTGCTACGGCCGGAGCGAGACCTGCTTGGGTAGGGGCCGTGATCGCCAGGACCAACGGGGTAGCCTTGTCTGTGCGAGGGACCCCTTTCAAACCGATACCCGGGAGGCGGAGGGTCGCGGTAGGGATGGCCCCGTCCACCTCTGCCAGGCCTCCTGGTTGAAGGATGGCTTCTACCACGCTGGCTCCCCATGGGGTTTCTCGAGGGCTGCCTTCGCGGCGCCGCAAAATGGCCGTACGGGCCGTCCTGGTTCGGAAGGGTATCAGACAGGTCGTGCGATCCTCCATCGTACTCACTGGGTGCCCAGAACCTTTCGTCGCTAGAAGGCGCAACGTTGGGACGCATCCGTCGGCTATCATCATCTCTAGGCCGGTGGCTGGTTTCATACCTGGCGAATTCCGATACTGTTTCCGCCGTTGGAACCGGAGACGATAGAATCTCCTTGGTCTCCAAATGCGTAGCAGCAGGCGGGTCCATTTTGACGGAGTTTTGGCGGTTATAGAAATTCTCACCGTTCATCTCGGCGTTCTCGGCGATTCGACGCTTTCTGGCCTTCCGGCTCACGAGGGTCCGGCGCATAGCACAGGTCAGGATGCCGCAGACGGTAAGAATGACGGTAGCCGCGAGCACCACCCAGCCGCCCCATTCCAGATGAGGGACAAAGAGGAGAATGTCGACGAGGAACGCCAGCAGAGACACAAGCAACGTTGGGAGGAGCAGGATGAGGAGGCCGAGGAGGTATCGTGGGGAGTGGGAGGGAGCATGTAGATGGGCAGCCGCCGCCAGTCCAAAGCAGATCAGGGTGAGAAACGCCGCGATCGGATGGACGATCAAGAGAGACGATAGGGTATGGCGAATTGAGGCCGGGAGGTTGAAGTCATGATCGGTCTTGGGGTCTCCAAAGGCGCCGTCTCTCGCGTCTGTCGAAATGCGCTGCGTTAGCCGACTGACCGATTTACTTCTAAGGAGAGCCACCTACCGTCCTTGTATCCGATCGTGAAGCCGCTGCATGTGTCCTTGCGGCACCAGCCAAAGACGCCAAAGGTGATATCATTGTATGTGGCCAGCGGGACGCCCTTGATCACCGGCGTCGACAGGACCGAGAGCAGAAGTAGAGCGAACGCGGCGAACAGCAGGACCGTCAGCGGCGTTGCTGGTTTTAGCAACATACTTGTAGATGTGACAGCCACAGAATCATCTCCAACTGCGCCAGCGCGTATTCAGGTTGACTGGATGTGATGCCGTTGCAGCTCGGCCGTCATGGAGATAGCGGGGAGAGTCGTATCGTTCGAAGGTCGTATCGAAGGGTATCGTTCGAAAGCGAGGAAGAAGAGGAGGAGAAGAAGTGCGCCGACCGTCCAGGGTACGCAAAGGCTGAAGTGAATCGATCGAGTTAATAATGCCAACGCTTCGCTCCCATGCAAGTGTACGCTTACTCGGCGTCAGAGCGAGCGCAGCAGCGACGGGAGGACATGTTGCTGGAGGATAAAAGGAGTCGACGAGATATAACCTGGTCCCAGGCCCGGCAGCAGCAGCTAGTGAGACAAAGATCAGTGGCGAGCTAAGCATCAAACCGCCCGTGGACATCAGATTAAATTAACTGCTGCAGGGTTTGTATAGACGGTCCAGGGATGGAGGAAGAAATGCGACGTTGGAGGAGTATTTTTTAACGGGGTTGGCGTTAGAGAAGTAGGATGAGTAAGCAGAGAAATGTATAGGGGACCGCGTTATAATGTAGACAAGGACGAAACACTCTCGCTTACTAAGACATCGGATGAGACGATTACAGGGGGCAAGACGGGAAGAAGGGCGAAGCGGGCGTAGGGGATGCAGTGCATGCAGATTAAGAAGATGTTTATGATTAATATACATGAGGGAACCGTGCCAGCTCTATTACCCAGAGATAAGGACCCAGAGAAGGAAGAAAATCTGGACTCGTTAGCTGTGTGAAGATGAGGATGGATAGGATGGAGAGGGCGTACCATGAGGATGCCAAACATTTTGGCGATGAGCCAGCGGTTGCCGGAGACACGCGACCAGTACTTCTGGAGCTCGCGCTGCGCTCCCTGGACGTTGTCGACCACGTCTTCCGTGTTGGCGTCGATGCGCTGGATCATCTCCGACTGCTCGCTGACCATGGTGGCCAGCTGGCCGAAGATGCCGCCGAGCTCGTTGATGGTGCGCTCGATAGCGTCGATGGCCTCGCCGCGCTCGTGTATGTACGTGTTGGCCGGCTGTGCCTCCTCCATCATCAGCAGCTGCTGGTCGGAGTGCATGCCCGCGGGAGCGCCCGACGAGGACGCCGGGTCCAGGGTCAGGAGATCCGCGGAGCCAGGCCGGTAGCCAGGCTGCGGGCTCTTGCTGCGAGGAGGATTGTACAGTGGGGAGTCGGAGCGTTGGGGATCGAGTGCGGAGTGCGATCGCGATGAAACGGTGGAGACAAAATTCTCGGTCCTGGATCGAGAGGCCTGAATGTTCTTTGTCCGCACCTCGAGGACGTCTTTGAAGTTTGCTCCCACGTCCGCCAGCCGGCCCTGCAGTAGAACAACGACCTAGACGTAGTTGTGAGTAACAAATAGATATTGGAGTGGCAAGATGGACGTACATTGTCATTGTGTTCTCCCTCCTGGTCCGCCTTGCTCCGTGTTGATTTCGGATGCTGTGCTAGTGTGAGGGACTGGAGAGATGCGATCTGGGAGTTTAATGAGGAGAGGTCTTGTTTGATGACATAGGTCAGCTCCGATATCTCGACCGGTCTATCGTCGAACAGTGATTTCCGTTTGGCCACTACAGGAGTCAGTCGTACTCTATAAGAAAAGAATAGAGGGTATAAGGCCAGTCTCACGCTGTGCCAAACGCTGTAGCTTCCCCGTCGTCGATGCTATTCCGCGGCCAATCTCTGCAGCCCGTCTGGCAAACTCCGAGCGCGCAGGCCGACTGCTCGCGGCCGGCACATCTGCAGAGGTCGTCCTGGCCGTCGAATTCGACTGCAGAGACTGACGGTGTGCGCTGGCCTTGGACGAGGCAAGCCGTTTCTGCGCCTGTCCGAGAATCGACCGGAACTCAGACGTGCGATCTTGAACCGGCGCGGGGGCTGCCATGGCTCGTTGTATCGGCTCGTGGTATCGGGGTGAAGGCGAATACCGACAGAGTCGAACCTTGGGAGTAGATAAAACCGCTTCACGGGCTGCCGGGGAGCTATGTCGAGTCGTCTATGGTGCCAACGCCCAGCAGATCAAGGAGTAGAGATGTTGGTCGAGTCTGGGGGCTGACGACATGGATGGAATGCCAGGGGTGGCTCTGTTGGACGCGGCGTTCTGGCGCTAAACTAGGTCGTGGCGGCCGTCTTCATGGGCTCAAGCCGCTGTCAGCCTGCGTGTCGTCCTGTCCTCGCCGTCGTCTGTCTCGTCTGGCCTCTCGTCTGGCTGTGTCTGCTGGTTGACGGTCGTGGTATCTTGATATCTTTTGATGCCGACGTGGTCTTCGTCTTTTCTTCGTCGTCGAACTTCGATAACACGTGACTGCGGCTTACTTAGCGTCTCTTTCCCGCATCCTTCGTCCTTTTGCTCCCCCCTGAAGCAACTTGCTCGACCTCACGCTCCTTACGCTCCTTTACCGCGCTTTGCTCGCTGCTTGGATGAGACTGGTGCGTTGCTGTTGGTGAACGGTGTACACTGCGCAGCAGCGTGGCGTTGGTCAGGTCGCGTTGAGTTGACAGCGAGCTCGGGGTATATATCTACGGAGTAAGAGCTCTGGAGCCTCATTCATCACTACGACGGCATCGCCATGTCTGGCTACCAGCCGACCTACGTGCCCGGCGACAGGTAAGTTAAGCTGTCATCTGGCCCGCAGCAGCCGCTCGGTGGCAGGGTTATTATGGAGAGAGCTGACCGTTTCTTTTTATTTGTATAGATCGCCCTCCGGAGGCCAGAACCCTAATTCACCATGGTCAACGGCGCAGACTATCGACCTGAAGACTAATGTCAACCGCCAGAAGACGAAACGGTGGGTGAACGCGAAGACGTACTCCTACGCCGGCGACGACTGGGGTGACAGCGAGGACGACGAAGAGGAAGAGGACGCCCGCGGTGGGCACTCAAACAATCCCAGTACGGCAGCGGACTCGAAGGCAGCATTGCCCGCGGAGGATGCTAAAACGGCCGCGGGAGCTGTCAGCCAACCTGCCATCATCAGACCTGCAGATATCTACAAACGACTGGCCGAGGAAAAGGAGAGTGAGCCGTCGGGTTCGGGTACGGCTTCCAAGGAGACTGCTCAAGAAACCCTCCCCAAGGCCTCGGAAACGGAACCTTCACCGGCTGACCGTGAGAGCAAAGGCAGCCCTACACAGCTGCCTGAGTTGCGGCGGCTCTCTGGATTTGAAGGGTTCCTAGGCAGCAACGACCAATATGAAACCGCCACTACCGAGTCACGGCCTCGGGAACCAACCACGGAGCAGATTCCTACAATCAAGGAGGAATATGTAGGAGATGACGCTAATACTGGCATATCACGGAAATCCACGTCTACTCATAACGATACCCCTGCATTAGCCTCCGTCGAGCACCCTGCAACGTCAGAAACGGCAGATCACACTGCAGGTTTATACACTGAGGGAAGTCAGCGAGACAACGCTCTCACAGATTACAATAAATCGACGGCATTCGACAGCTCCCATATTACAGGCGCAGATTACGATGACTCCAAGCCTCGTCAACCATCACTCCGAGAGCCCAGCACCGTCTCAGAAGAAAATTCAGAATTAAACGTCGCGGCGCTAGACGTCTCGCCGCTTAGCATGAGCAAACGTAGTTCGATAGACCCGAGCACAGTCCCGAGCACTACCGGCGAGACCATGGAGCAACCCCAGTCTCAGGGCGAGAGTCTGCAAGAATATGGATCCCAGGCACACCATCAAGCTGCCAACCTTCCTGGAGAGTACGATACCCCCCACGGTGATAGAGTGGACGATACTGCAAGGCAATTTCCATATGGCCAGGCACAAGGCTTCCCGTCTCCCTATGGCCTCAATTCTCCCTCTGATGTCAACCCCAGTCCTCATACTACGGTAACTATCCCCAACTACAACTCGCAGCCTGGTGCCTACCGGCCGCCTCAACAGCAATTGAAAAAGAAATTCTCCTGGGAAGTAGACTCGGAGGAAAGCGATCGAGAGCTAGACACCTCCCCGCTGTCACCAGTTTCAGCGACCCTTGCACCTGGGGCATTGGTCATTAACAAACAGCCCACGGGCACCGAGAATGAGGCTTCCGGCCTCGCCACACAATCCTCTCAACCTCCTACTTTAGAGAGCGCGCAAAATATCACTGGAGGCGAAACACAGAGAGAAATGGGGCTGGCAAACAGCCCTCCATCTGGCGCATTCCAGACCCTGCCACACTCTCCAATACCTAACACCGAAAAGAATGACTCGGCTGCGCCTGTAGACGCGTTGCATCAAAAGGCCCCCGATTTCCGTGAGATAACAAGTATCCCCCAGCCTACCCAAAGGATAGCTGCCTTTAACAATGCCAGAGGAGTCTATGCAAACACGGACACCGGTCTCGATGGATGGATCAAAAACGTAGCCGACACCGGCCACCCTGAAAATTCGGAGACGATTCAGCGAAATGGTGCACCGCCTGCAGACTCTAATACTCCGCATAGACCTGTTCCATCTCAAGCAAAATTCCCTAAACTACCGTCACTCGGTAACATATCACTACCAACCAGACATCACGACGGCTCCGGCCCCGCTCATGGCCACGCACGCCAGAATTCGGGCGCCGCACTGGGCGGAATGATGAATACTCAGCACGTTCAGGCAAAGGGGAAAGACCTTCTTCACTCCGCCGGTCTTTTGGGCGGTAAGGCTGGTGATGCAGCTAAAGGCCTGTTCGCGAAAGGCAGGAGTAGATTTCGAAATAGCGGAAGCGCTGACAAGGTAGATACTTAGTCTCTTTTTTATGAAATTGTTTCAAATGATTATCAGGCCATTTCTCATGACCATGACCATGTTTCCCCACTTATACACCTTTGTCTTCTTGCCTCCCTTCTCCCCCTTTTCTTTTTGGCAAATCATATCAGATTGATCATTGGTTAGAACGAACCGTGAGTCGGCTACTATGGCTTCTCATGTATGAAACTTCCCCTTTTTATCTTATGAGGTCACTTAGCAAGTCTAATATATGGCTATTTTGTAGGGTCAACTTCTTCCTTCTTCTCCACCACTTCCTCCACCTCCTCCACCTCCTACAATGACACAAGATATTGTGCAACCGCAGTTTGAAAGTCCTCCTCGACCTAGTATTGGTAGTCAGCATCAACCCTCACTAGCAATTCCCGAGACTATACCGCGGGTGAAGTCCCTGAAATTCGATAGCCAGCCATTCTCCGCCTCCTTTATGGGCCCAATGGCCGATATCATGTCGTCTAATTCTAGCCATGAAGAGAAGAGGCCGCGTGATTCGAAGAGGTATAGTGGTCGCGGCCTAACGCTGATTACCGAGGAGCAGGTCGGTGGTCAAGGGACTGCAGAGTCTCAGGGTCATCAAGTCCCTGCCTTCCATCGCCAGAATGTATCCGGGATTGACCAGACAACACAACCTTCAAGTATACCGGAGATACAGCTCCCGACATCTACCGCAGATATTGAAACTGTTTCCGCAGTGGTCAGTTACCAAGATGGCAAGGCGTCAAGGGCCGTTTCAGTTTTTGCAGACGAAAAGGAGATCGAAAGGGGCCGCCTTTCGTTTGCAGTATCTGAAGTCGACGCAAAACCAACACCAGATTCGTCCGTTATTTCATCAGCGGACGCCATTGATAACACTAAGCAAATTGAGCGTGGAGGGTTCATCGATAACAGTGACCAAGATCAGGTCGAAGGAATGCCGTCACGCAAGTTTTCTTTCGAGCAAGAGCCGGAGGATAGCCAACTAAGAGGCAGTCCTCTCCCTGTGGGAAATTCTCGGGCTGCTTCTACTTCTCATGCCACGAACGGGAACACGACCGAATACAGATTCCCTCCGCCTGGGGCAGGACATTCACCCCCTAGAGGAGGCGTATCAAATCCACCACACGGGTATCAAACTCACCCAGCTCACGCGCAAACCTGGGCCCAAGCGGATCGGCGAAGTGTGTCACCGTTGCCAGTTGTCCATAGACACACAGGTACAAATGGTTCCGGAATATCCTTTCAGGACACGAGCAAGGCGCATCCTCCGGCAATTCAGCAGACTAACGTGAAAAATGCCAATTCCTACTATTCCCAAGTAGGTGCCGGATGCCCTGATCCTGGTGTGTATCAACCGCCTATAGATGAACATAAAAAACGGCGCACCAGCCTTGGATTTACAGGAATCATGTCAAAAGTCAATATGGTTCGCAATAAGGGGGAACAAGCTGATCGGCCTTCATCTCCCAAACCGAAGAGAAGTGGCATGATGTTCAAGGCGTTAAAACTTGATCTTCTCCATGGTAAGAACAAAGGTGGTCGCCATGTGAATCTGGATGCAGAAGGCCCTACACCAAAAGCCTCATATGCCAGGCAGTACCAGTCGGTAGGAAACCGTGATGCCCTCCGGAGGGGTAGTCTGAAGGATATCCCAAACCCTCTATCGAACCACGATACAACAAACGGCTCCGCGCACCACCTTAACACGGGAATATATGATGGACCATCTCGTCCGGTCGATAGGGCAATGTCGCCAGATAGGAAGTTTTCGCCTGATAGGGCTTATACGCCAGAGAGGACATATACGCCAGAGAGAACATACACGCCAGAAAGAACATACGCGCCAGATAGGGCATTAACGCCAGAAAGAATATTATCACCGGATGGAAGATTATCGCCGGATAGGACGCGGTCGCCTGATGGGACGTTTTCACCTAATAGAACACTTTCGCCTGCCCCAAGCACGAACGGGAAGAATTGGCATCACTCGTCGGAGGATTACCCAGGCCATGGCACAGCCAATCGGCCGGGGCGGTTCTACAAGTCTATCAACTCCGTACTACCACGCCTAACTGAGCCCTCTGGCTCACCTCAAATCAGCAGACATCCGTCGCCATCGAATGAAGCCTCAGCCGGCCCCAGGGGTGCGAGTGTGATGCCGGGTGCCTACTCTGGTCCTTCCAGCGCAACAGTACATTCGGGATCCAGCTTTGTTTCGAATCACCACTTCACTTCAACGCCGCCGCCGCTTTCACACAGTATCAATTCTCCGACTGGCTCCGAGCAGCACGCCGGCCATATGAATAGGTCCCCTGCACACTCACCACATACTATAGACCTACACTTACGTTCTCGCAGCCCGCTTTCCAGGCCTCCAGATAGCTGCGATAGTCCTCCACTCGCGTCTAATACACACGACCCGGCGCAAAATCTGGGAACGTTCCATTCATCTGTTCCACACACTCCGCGTGTAGGTGATCAAGAGACTCCCTGGACGATTACGCTCCCCCAAGACGAGCAGAATCCCCAACCGGCTGTTGCAGTCCAGCATGCGATGTCTGCCTCTACAGGGATGCGTCACGTCAGCGCCGATGCAGCGAGCACTCCACTGCCGCCGCCACCAAAAGCACCTTTTAATGGTAACGCATACTCCTATTTTGAAGCCCACCCTCTCCCGGGTCGTCACTCCACTAATACAGCTCCTGCTGGCGAAACGTCAAACGGTACGCGCGCCCCTGGGCAAACCCGCCTTGTCCACGTCGCGTCCATGGAGCCTGTCGAGCTCCCAACGAACGATGATTCCAGCGAAGAGATAGTGATGTCTAGCACCTCTTATCCCGGCCAGGAATGGCAGCCTAGCTACTTGGGCCACTGGGATTGATTTCCCGTTTTATTTTTCTTGCATTACGCACACACGACAGTCGTCATATTTTACTATGTCAATACCTCTACCTTATTTTGCCCAACTGCCTTTACACCTCTTTTGTACACATATCCATTTTTGCTTCTACGGCTTTTTATTTAATATCCGCCGATACTTTCAATTTGAGATACCCCTAATACATTTGAAAACATATTTCTATTAATATTCCTTTGTCTCTTTCTCTCTATGGCAGTATCCATACTACTTAATAGATATTTTAAATAATCACCCAATATAATTAATCTTCATCCCAGTCTAATCGAGATGTTCATTTCTATTGAAAACAAGTTCAGTCTTTTTTATCATCTATGTCCTCGTACTTGGAAGATTTACATATTTACTACCGGTGTATAAATGTGCATCCCACATAACTGGATAATTGGGGAAGACTTTGTAGGAACTGAGCCTGTCATTGGATGTGCTTTCATATCGCTGCAGGGCCTTCCTAGGCCCGGATATTTATACGAGATGAGCCTCATCGTTTACTATGCAGTCATCGACCTCTACCAGCACAGCAGAGAGGAGATAGAGAGAAATGCTTCGGCCTTAATCTTGCTGCCTAGCCTGCCTCGTCCTATATCTATCTCGACTTTTCTTCATTTTTTGGGCCATATCTCAAGTTTTCAATGAAATAGCCACCACCATGGGACATCATGACAAGCGAACATTCGAGGTTGATCCTCAGCTTGCTGAATTCGACATACCAATCCATGACTTCTTTTCTTCGAAACCCGAGTATACAGCCTTTATAATCGGCGCGTATATATTTTCATCAGGCAAAGGGGACGAGTACTATACCCCCCAGTCGCCAGCAACTTCGACTGCCAAAACAGAAACCAAGGCAGATACCAGCGATAATCCAGCTCTGAGCCATGAAGCCATGGGAACTACACGGCCCCACGCCTTGCTGCTTCGGAGATCTCTGTCTGACTCCCTAGGCGGCTTATGGGAAGGCCCCGGAGGCTCTTGCGACAGTACAGATGCGACAGTGCTCGACAGTGTAGCGCGAGAAGTCCTTGAAGAAACCGGGCTACATGTTTCTCGCATACGCAAGCTGGTTGCAGTTGACCAGTGGAACAGAGACAGAGGACTTGCATCCGGGCCTGAGAAGCGAGGAATGGCCGTCAAGTTCTCGTTCGCCGTCGATGTCCATGAAGCGAACCCTAAGGCAGATATCTTCAACCCGGACTGGGAGCATAACATCAAACTGACACCGGGCGAACACGAACGGTATCGATGGGTGACGGAGGTAGATATCAAAAGATATCTTGCTGGCGAGGACGAGATCAAGCTCACATTTCCTTCAACTGCGGCAAACTATCTCCAGGCTTTCGATGTGTATAATCGTTAGATAAGGCTCTTTTTGAGTACTCCGTAACAATTAGATATATGCTAGATAAGTTACAAACAAGTACATAGCTATAGGCCTTCCTGCTGTTCATCTAAGGTGCGTTAGGAAGGGATTCAGCATGAGATATTAACTTGAAGATATTAACCTGAAGATATTAGTAAACCTGAGATAATAACCTGAGATATTGATTGAAGATATTAACCTGAAGAGATGTCTAGGTCGTTATCTATATAGTTAACAGCTGGATGGTACTCGTATCCATGCGACTTCGAGTTCATACTAAAAAGGTTCAGACGCGTCGCGCTTCCAACTCATTAAATAAATATACGGCCAACGACCTAAGATAAATACAACTTCGTCGCACCACGAACAGAGTCGGCAAAGTCCTGAACATACATACTCTGCGCCAATGTCACCCCGGAAACGGGACCAGAGCACTGTCGACCCTGGCTCCAGCAGTCAGGGCAATGCCAGCAGGGTTGGATCCTCCGCTCTCCTGATGCCAATGAATATTTGCTAACCTGCCTGAGCTATGTAGAGTAAAAGACCACGCATTTCCGATGTGCTCGCTGATGCAGACGATATCGCATCTAGCTCTGCCGGGTCGTCGTCTGACGCAACGTCCGGCAGTGAGAATAGCGAGGAGGAGGAGATCAGCCTTCGTTCAACTCAGGCTATCCAACAACGGAACTCCAGGGTCGAAGAAAACGTCGCCGCAGAGTATGGAATTATAGAACGCGTTGATTGCTATAATTTCATGTGCCACGAGCACTTCTCCGTCGAACTTGGACCGCTGATAAACTTCATCGTTGGTAAAAATGGAAGTGGGAAGAGTGCTGTTCTCACCGCGCTCACACTGTGTCTCGGTGGTAAGGCCTCTGCCACGAATCGAGGCCAGAGCCTGAAGAGTTTCATCAAAGAGGGCAAAGAGTAAGTCAGCTGCATCTGGCTTCTTACAGGGTTGGATTTTCCTTTTTTTGCTAACCACTTGCTCGCTATTTGGATAGGTCGTCAACTATTGTCGTCCGCATAAAGAATCAAGGCGACGGTGCCTATCTTTCGGAGATATATGGTGACTCTGTGATTGTTGAGCGTCACTTTTCTCGTGCTGGCTCCAGCGGCTTTCGATTGAAGAGCAAATCTGGGACGGTCATATCAACAAGGAGAGCCGACCTGGATTGTATCATTGATTATTTCGGACTACAAATGGACAACCCGATGAACGTACTATCCCAGGACATGGCCCGGCAATTTTTGAGCACTTCAAGCCCCACTGAAAAATATAAATTCTTTATCAAGGGTGTCCAGTTAGAGCAGCTGGACCAGGACTACCGTATGATTGAAACTTCGATCGACCAGCTTCAAGAAAAGCTCTTAAATCACATAGAAGAATTGAAGATCCTAGAAGCCAACAAAAACAACGCAAAGGCCCGGCTTGCTCAATCCGACAGGCATGAGAGTCTGAGATCACGAATTCGAGACTTGCGAGCACAGACGGCGTGGATACAGGTGGAGGAACAAGAACGAGTTGGTCTACCGTCCCCTTTTATTGAAGGTTACTTTTATCATGCTAACCCGTTCCGCAGCTTCGAGACTCGCTCATCACTGAGATCGCAGACACGAAAGCTCGCATTGAGCAACTGCAGGCTGAAGTGGAAGGTCGCGATACGGCATTTCAGGACGCTGACCAAGAAACCGTTGCGGCCACAGCGGCGCTCCAGGCAGCTAGAGACGCCCAGGCGGCTGTGGAGGATAGCAAGGGGGAGATTAAGCAGCGATATGATGAGGCTGTCAAGGAGAGAACTGGGCTCCAGGTGGGTCACCTACCATTACACGCAGGTTATTTAGTTACATGCTAACTGATAAATATAGGCTCAACAAGCTACAATTCGAGAACATCTAATGGATAATAAAAGGTCCATCTTAGATAACCAGAAGAAGATCGCCGCGGAGAATCAGAGGCTTGAGGCCTTACATGGTGGTGCGAACACGGCAAGGCTCGCTGAGCTTGAAGATAGAAAGGCTGCGTCCTCCGTTTCCAAAGACCGCTATTCCAACCACAAACAAGATGCAGACCGTCTTCAACGGGAGATTAGCAAAGCCGAAGACGCCGTTCGCCAAAAAACTGGCCCTATAAGAGGAAAGCGGACTGAGATCGCTGACGCGGAAGGTCAGCTAAAAGGCCTGATGAGAGACAGGGGCCAGCAGGATGGGTTCCACGAGAAAATGCCCTTGCTTCTTCGAGCTATCGCTGCCGAACATGGATTCTCTCAACCGCCAGTTGGGCCCCTTGGGCAACATATGCGGCTCTTGAAACCAAAATGGTCTTCTATCCTGGAAAATGCATTTGGGACAACGTTATCGAGTTTTGTGGTTGCATCAAAACGTGATATGAATATGTTATCAAGTATAATGCAGCGAGTCAACTGGTAAGTTGAAACATGGCCCCTTGCTGATGGCAGTAACTCACTGACCTGTATTATCTAGTGTTTGTCCTATTTTTATTGGTAATTCACAAGGAAGAATAGATACTTCCGCCCACGAGCCCGATCCCCAATATGATACTGCGTTGAGGGTATTGGAGGTAAGCCTAAAATTACCCACTTTGGACGTATTCGTTTGACTAACGTAACTCGGGATCCTGGTTTAGATCGGAAATGACACCGTTCGCCGCCAGCTGGTGATAAACCATGGTATCGAACAGATGCTTCTGATTGAGAATGTCGAGGACGCATCAAGAATAATGTTTGACGGTGCAAGGCCCAGAAACGTTAAACGATGCTATTGTATAGATTCAAGGGATAGGAGACGGGGTATACACCTAGCCTTTGGGCGGACAGGTGAACCGAGCCAGTCCCCTATTCCAGCATATACTGGAAGACCACGAATGAAGACAGATTCCGAAGTCCAAATAAGGTGAGCTTAAGCCTGTCATCTAGGCTCCTCGAGGGTTACTTTTTAACGTAATTATAGACTACAGCAAGAGGTCGTGGAAGCCCTCAAGAGGGACCTTAACCGCCTTGAGCAGGAGCACCGTGCTGCCAATCAGCACTTACAGAGACAAAAACAGCTATTTTCTATCCACCAGAACCAAGAACACGAGCTACAGGTCGAGAGTCAGAGAGCTGAGGATATGGTTGAAGAGCTCAAAGACGCAATTGATCGAGACAACATCGAGGATGGACAGCTAGAAGCTCTGCTCTCGGCTGTGAAAGAAGCCGAAGAAGAGCAGAAGTTGAACGAACGCTCCTTTGAAGATTGTGTGAACGCTAAGGACGCATCGACCGCCAGGGTAAAAGAAATAAAGAAGGAACTGGCTGCCAAAGACGCCGAGATTTCCGATATATCTAAAAATACCCGTCAGGCAGAAGCGGATTTGACGCGTATCGCGAATAAGCGGCATGCGGCACTTGTCGACAAGAACAATGCCATTGATAGGGTGGACAGCATTAAGCACCAGCTTACCGCAGTAGAGCGAAAGCAGGAAGAGGCAGCGGCTCGAATTGTCGACTTTATTCAAAAGGCAAGCATGGTTTCGCCTAGAGTACCAATCGACTCTGGTGAAAGCGAAGCTAGTCTCGCTGAGAAGCTAGAGAGACTAGGCAGGGATCTCAGGAGATACGACGCGCAGTAAGTCAAACTCACAAACTTCCCGCCTCCCCCTTGCTTGTACTGACTGCTTCTAAAGGATGGGGGCGTCGAGGGAGGAAATTGCCGCTGCCGCGGCGCGAGCAGATGAAAAGTACGAGCGGTCTCAGAATGAAATCGCAGGCTTCAAAACACTGGCACAGGTAGCTGACTTGACCCGTTCTACGTTCTACGTCTGCAGTGTATTAACGCTTCTATAGATGCTCAAAAACTCGCTGGTACACCGTCAAGAAAGATGGCGAAAGTTCCGGGCATACATAACTTCGCGGGCGAAAATCCAGTTTATGTACCTTCTCAGTGAGCGAGGGTTTAGGGGAAGGCTCCTAGCACAACATAAAAAGAAACTGCTAGATATCCAGGTATGTTCAGCTTTCCCTTCGACCTATGCCCTGGGATTGTCCGTTAAATGCGACTACTTACCCCTTTTAGGTTGAACCGGATAGCACCAAGGAAGGAGTAAGCCGCGGAGCGAGGACCCTGTCGGGAGGAGAGAAGTCCTTCTCGCAGATATGTCTCCTACTCGCTCTATGGGAGGCCATGGGCTCGCCCATCCGATGCCTCGACGAATTGTAAGCTGCCCCCACGGATCAATGACCCTTGCTATGTACCCGGCTGCAGTGCTAACGTTGTTCTCCCACCGTAGTGATGTCTACATGGACTCGGTTAACCGGAAGATGGCCATTGACATCCTGGTAAGCCTCGTTAATGCTGTCCGTTACGTTGACATCCATCATTCTTACCCTGTTTCCCATAGATGCATGCCGCCCGCCGCTCTGTTGGCCGCCAGTTTATCCTCATCACCCCAGGCTCCAGGTCGGAGATCACTGCCGCACCCGACGTGCGTGTGAAGGAGTACGTATCCCTCTCCCCTTCATACGCCCACGAGAACCCCCTTCGCTTACTCTTTATCAGGCTTGCGGAACCCGAACGAGGCCAGCGTACGCTCTCATTCGCACAGTGAGCGGGCGGTAACCCTCCCACGCATCTCGTCCCCTCCTCCCGCCCCAGACTCTCCCAGCAGACATGTATATACCGTAGATACCCGTCCATTATTCACTGTCCTCATAGTCTCTCGTAGCTGTATAAATGCTCGTAGTTGATGCTATCTTGGCGTGGAAAAGGGAGAAAAGGGAAAAAAAAAAGCACGGGCCAAGACCTTTTTTCTTGCGCCTCAAAGCTTTCAACCTTCACTCTTTCTCGACATCACTACAAAACAACCACTGCTTTTTCTCCCACGCCTGCACTCTCTGATAAACCACCCTGAACACGCTACAGCACCCAGAAACAACCTCGCCCTCTCAGACACCTCCGTCTTGAAGGAAAAAAAAGGAACCTACTAACGCGCACCACTCCCCTCTCCACGGCATCACGAACGCACCCATACGACCTCCAAAAGAAAACAGCCGCGCAACCTCGAGGCACTCGATTGTCGACCTCGAAAGACGAGAACCGCTACTACCGCCAGAGATATCTGTCCGGACTCATCAATCCCGTGCCATACGCGCTGTCAATCCTCCAGTGTGTATTGCTCTAACGACCAGCAGCTACGACTCGAATTCAGCTACCTACTTGTGGACCAGCTCGCCACGCCGCTTGCTCTGAAGACTGAAGACGCCCGCATACCTGACTCGCTTACGACTGACCGTTCTTTACGCTACTTTAATCCCCTTCCAGCTCGCCCACCATGACCGATTCTCTTGCTACCCAGTTGAACAACACAAAGATAGGGTTTGTTGGACCTTTGACCTCGCATGCTCACGAAGCGTTGCTTACATCAATCACAGTGACAGTCACCAGGACAACAAATGGAAAGAACAATTGAAAATCCCTGCCAAGGATACGAGGACGCAGACTGAAGTGAGACGTTCTTGGAACCCCTCCATCCGCGCCGATGGGATGCTAACTCGTTTTGTGTTAGGATGTTACGGCCACCAAAGGACTGGAGTTTGAAGATTTCTATATTAAGAGAGAGCTTATGATGGGAATTTTTGAGGCTGGATTTGAAAAGCCATCGCCTATCCAAGAAGAGACCATTCCCGTCGCCCTCACAGGCCGCGATATTCTCGCCAGAGCCAAAAATGGAACAGGAAAGACAGCTGCCTTTGTTATTCCCACTTTAGAGCGTACCAACCCCAAAATCGCGAAGACCCAGGCCCTTATACTAGTACCCACCCGAGAGCTAGCGCTGCAGACGTCACAGGTTTGCAAGACGCTCGGAAAGCATCTAGGAATCAATGTCATGGTCACCACCGGAGGAACTGGCCTGCAGGACGATATCATCCGACTTAACGATACCGTACACATCATTGTCGGGACACCAGGCAGAATTCTTGACCTCGCGAGCAAGGGTGTGGCCGATCTGTCCGAATGCTCTACTTTTGTTATGGATGAAGCCGATAAACTTCTCTCCCCCGAATTTACGCCCGTCATCGAACAATTACTCTCCTTCCACCCCAAAGATCGCCAAGTTATGCTGTTTAGCGCCACATTCCCAATCATCGTAAAGACATTCAAGGTATGGTGATGCACATTCTCCTTTCTTTGCTATTCTGTTAAACTAAAGCTTGATAAAAGGATAAACACATGCGAAATCCTTATGAAATCAACCTCATGGACGAGCTCACCCTTCGGGGCATAACACAGTACTATGCGTTTGTTGAAGAGAGGCAGAAAGTACACTGTCTAAACACCCTATTCTCAAAACTCCAAATCAACCAGTCCATCATATTTTGCAATTCTACAAACCGTGTTGAGCTACTTGCCAAGAAAATCACCGAACTTGGATACTCATGCTTCTATTCCCATGCTCGAATGCTACAACATAACCGAAATCGGGTATTCCACGATTTCAGGAATGGCGTCTGCCGAAACCTTGTCTGCTCCGACCTGTTGACCCGTGGTATTGATATCCAAGCCGTCAACGTGGTCATCAACTTTGATTTCCCCAAGAACGCCGAAACCTACCTGCATCGAATTGGTCGTTCTGGCCGTTTTGGTCATCTTGGTCTAGCAATCAACTTGATCAACTGGGAAGACAGATACAACCTCTACAAAATCGAGCAGGAACTAGGGACCGAGATCCAGCCTATCCCTCAATCCATCGATAAGAAATTATACGTCTACGATACGCCAAACACGATTCCTCGACCTATTTCAAACAACCCCGAGCAACGCCGACCCGCCGGCCACGAGAACCAACCTCGACGGCCAGCCAATAACTCATCCAATGGCCATGGCCAATACAGCTCCAACCGCGGCCATTATGGACGTGGCTCATACCGCGGCGGACGTGGGTCAGGAGGCCAACGTTCAAACAACCCAGACACCTCACGAGCAGCCGGGAGCGCCCAGAACAACCCGCCTAGTTCCGGCCCGCCGGCATCGTAGGTTAAACGGGCTGTTGCGCGACCTTCCTTACCTGCTTTTTCTCGTTTTCCTTTCCTTAAACCCCCGTCACGATCCCCTGACGTCAGCTCTCCCCTATTTTCTTCCCATCCGCTCCAGTATACCCCCTCTATCCCCCACAGACGTTGTCTTTACCCCTCCACCGTGCCATTATTATCCAAAATCTCAACCCTATCCGATTTTTACCATGCACCCTGCAGCGTCTTCAACCCACGTTGATGCTGCGGACATTGTATCATATACTCCCCCCCCTTCTCGAGGCTGTCCTAGTCTCGATACCTTATCGGCTTGATCCTACCGCCCTGTGACTTACTTATCGGTGGCTATATTACTTTCAACGCCGTGATACCCCCATAATCAACCATGCCCTTGTCTGCCGCAACAAAAACGTTACGAACCAAACGTTTGGTGTCAACCGACAGTTACCCTAACAGCCCAGGAGTCTTGATTTAAGACGATATCCATACAGAAATTTTGCGTGATACGTCCAGATCCGAATGATGTCCCCGTACCGCGAACCGCCTCGCCTCTCGTTATTATTTAGGCTATTTCCAGTTACAGTTGACATCATTCCCGACCCAATACGAACTCGCACCACAGCGCAGCAGAAGAACAAACTACGCAATGGTAACAAAATCCAATTAAAAGATACCCGAAAAAAAGACAAAAAAAATTCAGAGGATGCTCACTAGGAGACTTCTTCGAAGGGGTTACTCAACTTCATCGGTGAACGAACGCCCGTTTGTTCATCATGCCTGTACCCTAGATATTTATGCCTAGTCAATGCCAACATTAGTTCCCTCTGATTCGTCTCTTCGTCTCTATAATTCAACCGGTCATTAACGATATAGACCAACGTTGTCTTCGGTGGCCCTTTTACCTAGTATTAAAATCAATTGTAGGGTCTTATTATAGTATATGTTTGATATCAAGTAGCCGTTATACAGGTAGCAATGCAAGTTACAGGCTATAGCTGTTGGTTTGCTTCGATGGTCTGTATATTCTGGATGATATCGCGCTTGGCCAGAATTGAAGCTAAATAGAAATTTGTCATGCAGGAAAGTCAGTCCGATAGCGGTCACCAAGAAACCTGGATAGAGCATCCCACCAGACGCGATAACTTCGGCCATTCGACTGCAATGGCGACTACAGACAGAGACCAGAAGCCAAAGGTGGGACGTCCAGTTCTGTCTGTCGTCTGGGATAACTGCTAACTTCAGACGCTGCGTAGCCAAGCAGCTTGCGGTCCATCATCGCTGGGGCTACGGCGGGAGCTGTTGAGATCTGTAAGTCTCGCTGCACACCTCAAGCTGTATCCAAGGACGCTGCTAACAGTTGCTACAGCTATTACTTACCCTGCAGAGTGTACGCTCTCCCAATTGTCTCCAACGCTTGCGGATTTTCTGCTCCCTGGCTAACCTGGTGGGCTCTCGCGCAGTCGCGAAAACCAGAACCCAGCTCAACCATAGGTTACCGGATGCGAAGAAATTACCATGGCCTCCGTTTGGCAAGGCATGGTATGCAGGATGCACAACCTTGATCATCGGTAACTCGATAAAGGCCGGAGTCCGTACGTTTAGCCCTCCTCCTGCTATGACAAGCGTTTGTCGTCTGCCGCTCACCACGAATAACTGGCAGGATTCGTCGCGTTCGATGCCTACAAGTCTCTATTACAGGACGATAACGGAAAGATCTCGGGCCCAAAGACAGTTATTGCTGGATTTGGCGCTGGAATTACCGAATCCCTTCTCGCCGTCACCCCTTTCGAGAGCATCAAGACCCAACTGTACGTGTTTCGGCTCCGAAGCGTTCCCGGCACGGATGACACTGTATTAATGCATCGACCTCGAATAGTATAGATGATAGAAAGTCCGCTAAACCGCGGATGCGTGGCTTTTTGCACGGAAGCGCTATAATATTCCGGGAACGAGGCATTCGCGGATTCTTCCAAGGCTTCGTACCTACGACCGCACGACAAGCAGCTAATTCCGCAACGAGATTCGGGAGCTATACTACTCTACGGCAGTTTGCTCAGGGGTACATCGCGCCAAGCGAGAAACTGGGGACGTTAAGCACCTTTGCTATTGGTGGAATGGCCGGTCTGATCACAGTGTACGTGCGCTTCGTTTTTGATAACAGACATATGTCAAAGCCGTCCGTAGCTAACGAAGCATTTCTAGATACGTTACCCAACCACTGGATACCGTGAAGACGAGGTAAGTTCATTCATCGGGTTATAACACGTAACCCGTGCTAACAATGCCCAGGATGCAATCACTAGAAGCGAGAAAAAGCTACAAGAACAGTTTTGATTGTGTAGTAAAGATATTCAGAGATGAGGGACTTCTTACCTTCTGGTCTGGTGCCGTGCCACGACTCGCAAGACTGGTCTTAAGCGGCGGTATCGTTTTCACAATGTAAGTGCATGCTTTACTCGAGCCTGTCCTCTCACATCTTCTATGTGGTTTCTGAAGGCTAACGGCAATTAAAGGTACGAGAAAACCATGGAAGGCCTCGATGTACTTGACCCTAACAGGCAGTATATTTAAATCCGCTATGTCAAGTAACGGACGTAGCCAAAGCAGCTTCATGGCATTGACTTGAGCGCCCTGCAAGCCTGGAGCTTCCGCTCATGTATATTTATGTATAATTTGGAAAGGCCTTGATAGAATATTCAGACAATTAAGAAAGCGACTTCAAAGTGAAAGGTAGACCATGATGTGTTAAATGTGTCCTTATTCTACGGTGGTTGTAGTGATTCACGTAGAATATATGTATATTACCATGCCTTGCAGTGGTCTAAAAAGGGGACCTCGCTGCCCCTTATTGGTATCATCTATTTTATTACATATCGTACAGCATAGCTGCCTCAAGGACTCTGTTGCCTCAAGGCTAGCGTATGATCAAAAGTGGGAAAGAAAATGTGGTATCCCGACTGGGTATTATATAAGATTGAGGAGAGCCGCTATACCTCGACTCTCAGCACCCTGGACAAGGATGCTAATGCCATCATGCTGAGGCCTTCCGGGCAGACTTGCCTTGAGCGGTTGCGGCCTGCTCCTCGAGACACAGGCCTTCAACTTCCTGGTCTACAAGCCAACCCTGAACGCTCTCCATGATCTTTTCAAGATTATCGCCGCCATCCATGACCTTTCCGATACTGTGAACAGTCATACCGCTTCGGTGATCCGTACATCGGCTTTGGGTAAAGTTGTAAGTGCGGATCTTATCTCCTCTGCCCATCTTGCCAACACCACCCATGGCACCGCGGCGCAGCTCCATCAACTCTTGCTCTCGAGCTTCTCGTCTTGCATGGGCTAGTTTGGCTCGGAGCAGCAGCCAGGCTTTCCGACGATTCTCATGTTGTGAACGGGAATCCTGCATGGAGATGACTATTCCTGTCGGAACATGGGTGAGGCGCACTGCAGACTCCGTTTTATTGACATGCTGGCCGCCGGCACCACCAGCCCTGAATTTCTCGGAATGTACGTCTTGAGGGTTGACATAGTAATCGGAATTCGGGTCGTCGAAGTTTAGCGGGCTATCTTCCTGGTTGTTATCGGGAAAACTAGGCAATATCATGACGCTCACAGCGCTTGTATGTGTACGCCCCTTTGCCTCTGTTGCCGGTACGCGCTGAACACGGTGGACACCTGCCTCGGTCCGTAGGATGTTGTAGCTCCCGGCTGTTTCGATTTCCATGACAACCTCTGAAAGCCGTTCTTCTGCGCCTGCGCCCACTGCGTCTTCCGACTCCTTTTTAATAACGGTTGTTCTTAGGCCACGTCTGGAGCAGAACGATGTGTACATGCGGAGAAGCTCCGCGGCAAAAAGCCCTGCTTCATCCCCTCCTGCACCGGGGCGGATCTCTATAAGACACGGCAGGTCGGCGAACGGGTGGCGAGGTATCAATGCTCGTTTTAGCGTTGCCGATAGCGAGGATAAGTTCAATATCGTAGTTGATATATCCTCTTGTGCAAGAGACTTGAGCTCCGCGTCGGTGGACGGTTCGTCGATGAGGGCTTGGAGCTCCGCAATGGACTATATACATCGTTAGCTATCGGGTCATTATAGCTAGAGCAGTCGAAACACACCTCCTTAGCCGTATCCAGATCCTTTAAAGCTTTAGCGACTGGCGCAAGCTCCCCAACCCGCTTTGCGGCTGCCCTCTCAAAGGACTCGGTCTGTTTTGCGGAGAGTGTAGCATGTTCTGCGGCAAGGGATCGGGCCCTGTTTAGTAAGACCGGGGATAAGTCAAGCCCATCGGCAGTCCCTAGGATTATGTATTAGCATCCAATGGCACTTATCCGTAATAAATAAAATGGAATCTCTACCTGCAGTGCTATACTGTCTTAGCAACCCAACGGGCTGTCTTCGTTGTGCAAGCCGGAAAGATCGTGACAGACACCGGAAGCATGTCCCCGCCGGGCCTCCAAGCATCACTCCAGTGTATTCTGTCTTCCAACACTGTTCTCTGTATATCCAACTCTGCTTTTCTCTTTCCAGCCTTCTTCTTCGTCTTCTTCTTCTCTTGTTCCTCTCGCGATGTTTCCCCGAAGCTGGAAATTCGATATCACATGACCATCGGATAAACAGATACTCCTTATTCCAAAAATAGACTAGCGCTACGGCAAATTTGGCCCGGATTAATGAAGCTCCGTTATGCCGATGAAGCCACCTTTTATTACCCTTTTGGGCGATGATAGGCCGTGGATAAAGCCGAAGTGGCCACGATTCTCAACTCGAACAACTCTACAACATCTTCCTCTTCCCTACTCCTTCGTGCGTTTCTTGTTCGGCGTTGTACCTGGTCTCTTTCTGATATCCTCTACTGACTCCTGGGTGATCTCTCTTTTTTCTTATCGTTCTGGGTTGCAGCTACTGGCCCGGACCAGCCATGATTCTTCGATTCCAGACAGTCACTTTCCTCCTCGCGGTCATTTCGTCGGCGAACGGCCTTCAGGCTTCAGATATACAGTCCGACACGCCGGTTTCCTCGCTGCTTTCCTCGGCAAAGACCCATCTCGCCAACGGCTCCCCTCAGGATGCGCTCCTCTACTTTAATGCCGCCATTACCAAGGATCCATCCAACTACCTGACCATCTTCCAGCGTGGAGCCACCTACCTCTCGCTCGGCAGGCTTTCCCGTGCGGCAGAAGACTTCGACCAGGTGCTTAAACTCAAGCCTGGCTTCGAAGGCGCACTCGCCCAGCGGGGCAAGATACGGTTGAGATCTGGTAACTGGACTGGAGCTAAGGAGGATCTCGAGGCTACGGGTAAGCTGGGCGAAGCTGAATTAGCCCAACTGCAGGAAGCCCAAGCCGCAGCTGGTGTTGCCCAGGAGGCGGAGAAGAAGGAAGACTGGGAAACATGTGTCTCTCAATCGAGCATCGCCATCATGAAGGCCATGGGCTCCCCCGAACTTCGACGACTGCGCGCAAAATGCCACCTAGAGAGAGGGGACATCGAAGAAGGGATCAATGATCTCACCCGCCTGTCCCAGTTATCTCCCAATACCGTACAGCCTCATCTTCAGATCTCGGCAATGCTCTTCTACTCGCTGGCAGATATGGAACGCGGAATGAACCAGATCCGAAAATGTCTTCACTCCGATCCTGACTCAAAGGTTTGCAGCGGCTTGTTCAGGGGAGAGAAGAGAAATTTGAAGCAAATTAAGAATCTCAACAAGTATTTGGAATCCCGGAAGTTCCACAAGGCTGCGGAGCTGTTGGTGGGGACCAAAGGCGAAACTGGACTGCTAGAGGACATCCAACAGGACGTCAAATCAGCTCAGGAAGACGGATACATACACCCTAAAGCGCCTAACGCTCTTTATGCGGACTTGGTTGAGAAAACGTGTGCGGCCTATAGAGCTGTATGTGCACCCCCTTTCCATAAATCTCGTCGCCTTCAACCCACTAACCGTCATTTTAGATGAACTCGAAACGAAAAGCACGGCCATACTGTACACAGTGTCTTGAATTCAATCCCTCTTCGCTGCATGGTCTACTATCCAAGGCCGAGGATCATATCGATGCCGAGCAATACGAGGCCGCCCTTCAAACCCTTAACACGGCCAGTGAACACCATCCTCAGTCGCAGGAGATCCATACCCTTCAGCAAAAGGCCCAGACACTTTTGAAACGGTCAAAACAAAAGGACTATTACAAGGTTCTCGGCGTTGATCGCGAAGCAGACGAGGCTACGATCAAACGGGCTTATCGCAAGCTTACAAAACAATTCCACCCAGACAAGGCCCATAGCCAAGGTATCCCCAAGGAGGAGGCCGAGAAGAAGATGGCGAGCATCAATGAAGCCTATGAGGTCCTCTCCGACGCTGAGCTAAGAAACAGATTTGACCATGGCGATGACCCTAATGATCCTCAGAGTGGCCAACAACCTTTCAACCCCTTCGGGCCTGGAGCTGGGGGATCTCCCTTCTTCTACCAGCAGGGTGGTGGTGGAAACTCCCACTTCAAATTCGCGCAAGGAGGCTTCGATTTCCAGGGAGGCTTCCCGTTCTAACCCTTCTAAACAAGATTCAATTATAATACCTATTGTTTTTCCTAGTCTTCTTTCTAATTTTTTCTACATTGGTCGCGTCTTTTTTGATAATGTGGCTCCAACTACTCCAGTCACTGACCTCAAGAAGCTGCGCATGTCTTTTTGCGTTATGGGCTTCAGTGATCATCTTTCTTGTATTATTTAGATTGTTAAACATGTGCCCATGGTTGAATAATGTTAGATACGGACTTCCTTCATGCCATTCCATCCCGAGTAAGCAACTTGTCTCCTGGCGTGCTAAGCATAGATAATGTACACAGGGGAGGTTTCATTTGTATTATGGGGCTATGCTATTTCTTTATTGTTTTCACCACTAAAAGCTAAGAGAATCGGGCGAGCAAAGGGGCCTCCGAAATCCGATCGAGAGGCACCTGATATCTCAGAATCCAACCGAACAAAGAATACGGTAGATCGCAAGCTCCATCTCCGACGTTCAAACTCTCGTTAACGGGCACTATTCCTTGGGTGCGTCGGTCAAGGGAACATAGCTGACACCAAAAACCTTTTCTTTGTGGACAGAGCCGTCTTCCTTCTTATCAACAATCCACACATGCTGAGCTTTGCCTAACAGCATATGGGCTTCGGTATCAGATTCAACTGGGATGAACATGCGGCCTGGAGCACGAAGCTGGTCTATCAAATCAGGATGCATTGATGCTGCTGCAGCTCCGACATGAATGGCATCATAGGGACCACCTTCAGCCCAGCCTTTGCGCCCATCACCTTTGACAATCTTAATCTTTCCTGATTTGAGCAACTGGCGACCATCCTCTGACTTGGCCAAATTTTCGCATGACATATCAACGAGACCCTGGATATGATCGATACCGACAACACAACCGTCGGAGGCAGGGGCATCCGTGATCAATTTGGCGAAGACATGGCTAAGATACCCCGAACCACAGCCGATATCAAGAACCCGAGCGCCGGGGTGGATGAATGGGAGCAGGTATTCGCAGGCATGGCCATGCATATGCGGGGCAGAGATGGTTGCCCCGTAACCGATAGCCTGCGGTGCATCGGTATAAGGACTTGTGGGTGAATAATCAGCACGGTCAACCTGAAGTCGATGACGAGGTCAGTCCTTGGTCCACAATTAGGGGGGAAGATCTAGCAAACAGGCTCAGCATAAGGGATTGACGTACCTTCATCATGGCATTTTTAACCCTTTCGCTCTTGATGAGCTTAGCACTGAAAAGGTTCTCGATTAGCTGGGCGTTGGACCTCCCAGAGCATTGCCAGGCCATTGTTGTCAACCCTTTACGTAAAAAATAGCTTGAAGCGGTGGACAACGTTTCGAGACAGCTTCCGCAAGGAGGTACCGTCAGCGACGAAAGCTGCTGATATGGGAGTAGGAAATAGCCGGCGACAGCGACAACAGCAGTGCAGAAGACCCAAATACAATTGTTTATCCGAGGACGCTGCACCTTGGCTGATGAGATGTCCGTTGTAATATTCGCAGTATAGCTTCTCTCCACACCTGGTAAACAAGCTCGCGTGTGGGGTCCTGAAGGTGTTAGCGGTAGAGCACAACCGTATATTTCACATACAGTGGGAAGAATAGTGGATTATGCTTTCAGATCTGCAGTATGGCGATATCTGTCTCTGATATCTTCGTATCTCTGGGATACAAGGACGTGACGATCAGGATGCTGTTGAGGTCGTGAGATATGAGAGCTGGGAGCAAGCCAAAAGCAGGAAACCTCGTGACGTCATCCGGGGCCGGGCTTGGCGCGGATGGCCGTAGATATAAAAAAGCACCAAGTTGCTTCTATCAAGTCTCAAACTAGATCAGCTTCACGTCGTCCCTGGCCTCACAAGCGGCCTCGTCGTTCTCGTTCGTTTCCGTCGTGACCACCACTTGCATTGGGTCGTCTCCTCCCCAGGCAAGGTCGCCGCCCTGGGGGTTCTCGAAAAAGCTGTGTTGCAGCGCTTGTGACGCAGAGTACCTGGTTTTTGGGCTCAGGTCGAGGAGATGGTTTAATAGTCGTATAGCTTGCTTCTCTCTCCCGGTCAATTCATCGACACAGCTGGACCACTGTACGATTCGCGCCAGGGTGTAGCCCTTCTCCCCAATTGATGGGATATTCGTGTCAAACACCTGGCCGTGTTCTGCAGCTGCCCTTTGCATTCTGCGATACCCGAAGATGCACCCTATTTCAATTAGGGCATCGGCGTCATCTAACGAATGGAAAAAGGGGAATCTTCTGGCCAGAAACGTGAGGAGAATGACCCCAACCGACCAGATGTCGATCTTGGTGCTTTGGTGCATGCATTTGAACAGCACCTCCGGAGCGCGGAACCCACGAGTCCCCGCTCGGTTGGCCCTTCGGGAAGGCCTAGAGTCATTTTTAGGATATCCGGTCGGGCCTTGGGTCGACCCGCCTTGGGCAGTTTCTATAATTTTTTCGAATTCAGACGCATAGCGCGTACGATTATCTCTGCATAGGCATTCGCCTGAGCCCCCGTTTTCGTACTATACCACAATTCAGCATTATGGACTTCTGTTGCCTCTTATGGGGGTGATTGAATGCATATCGGTTTATGGTATTAGGTACTCACCTCGGCTAGACCAAAATCTACCAAAATACCTCGTCGAAGCTTCGGATTGTATAGAAAGTTCCTAAAAATGGGGCCTGTTAGAATACAACCTGGTGATAGACTGTTTCAGTGGCTAAGAGACGGACTACAGGACATACGTAGGCTTGATGTCCCTGTGAATCACCCCCCGCTGATGTACAAAACGAAGTCCGTCTAGTAGGCATCTGAAGTAGTGTCGCATATCCTCCACGAGAAAAGTGCGGTATAGCAGTCGGAAGTCCGTATGGGGGAAGTACGGCAACACAGCAATAACCTGGTCATAAAACCGGAATGCCGTTACTATAGAACAGACCGAAGCGTTTCCGCGCAAGTCAGATAGAATCTGCAATTCGTTTAAAATCCTTGCAGGGCTGCTTGTGACGTAAATCTTCTTGAGAGCAACATATTCCTTTCGGTCTGGGTGCCATGGTTTACCCGTGAGGTAATGAGGGCCCAACTCATTTACCCAGTCGCTGGGGTCCTTGATTAAATTTTCTGCCTTGTATACTGTAGAGAATGTGCCTGTTTATACGCCATCCTATCAGCATCGAGACTTCTAAAGGCACGGCTATCGACATTCGTTCAAGATATAAAAGAAAAAGAAACAATTGCTGCTCACCTTCTCCAACACGCTTGATAAGCCTGAATTTCCCTGCTATCTGTGGACAACTCTCCAATCTCTTCATGTCTTCGAGAACGACTTCATCCTGCTCCTCTTGCTCACTCTCCGTGTCATCTTCCGAAGACACGGGGCCTTCGTCATTCCCCTCAGTCTTCTCATCGTAAACAAACGAACGCGTCTCCTCGTCCGAATAGTCATTCATCTCGTCTTTGCCGACGTCTGCCTCTTCCGTGGGCGACGAGTGTAGACTTAGCGCATAGTCAGACATGATTCCACGGGTATATAGCAGTCAAATGCGTAGACGTGGCGTGGCCGACGTCAAGAATGAAAAAATGAAGAAAAATATCGTCTTGAACCGACGCGTTTTAATGAGATTTCTAGTGATAGTGTATTTATATTTCGGTATCTATGCACTAAACTGCGGGCAGCGCTCGTTACTTACCGTCACGGCCTTACACTCGCCCAAAGGGGCAAAATGCAAACAAAACACCTCCCCGCGGCATCATTCTTCCTCCAGCCAGGACGAAACGAAAACCGCCCCAGTCGCATCTCTGCACGCCTGGATGTCGATGAGACCGCCGTCGCGATGAACGAACGAATAGATTTTGACCTCAACGAGGCGCTCAAATACTACCTGAGCGACCCCGCCTCGGTGCCTACGCCTGAAGCTGACTCGCAGCTCCTGGATTGCGAGCTGGACCCAGAGTCTTTGAGCTCGCCGTTGATCGAAGAGATCTTGAATCCTATCGTGGATGCTGTGGCAGAGGACCCGGCAAGCCTTGCTCGGAGCTCGTTCTTTGATTCCCTGCAGGTTCTGTTGAAGTGAGCGGCCTTATCCCCAATATTGAGCAGGCTCAAGCCAGGGCTCCTGGTTCTAAACTCCCATATCATATAGGCTTACGCCCGTCCTTCCGTCCAAGGCACTGAGTAAAATCCTCGATCTCGTCGTCTCCGGACTGGCCTCGCTTGCCGACATTGCGCATAATGACATCGAGTCCGACGAGCCAGAGGCGCTATCCGAGCACAAGGACCTCTTGGAGCTGTACGCATTTTTATTGCAATGGTCACTATCGTCCGTCGAAGCAAAGGTAGCGGAGAAGACTCCTGCCGCCGCCCCGGGACGACGGGGGCCTGGAAAGTCTGGACGGAACAAAGCTACGAAGGATGAGTCGTGGGACTCGTCGGCACAGATCCAAATTGGAATGGAGGTTATGTGCAAGGTGCTAAAGTTGAAACTGTCGAAGCTCTTTGTGACGACATCAGACCGTGATACTTTTGTCAATCTGTTTACTCGCTCAATATACTTGATCTTGGAAAGCGAGCAAAGGGTCAAAAGCATGACGATCCGCATGCATGCCTTTAAAGTCCTCTGCATTGCGGTCAAGCATCACGGACATGCGTTTGGTACATTTCTACATAATACTTTCTTTGGCCAAAAGCTAACCATCTTATAGGTGCCCAAACATCCATCGTTCAAAGTCTTACATATTTCGAGCATCTTTCTGATCCCATGGCAGAATTCTTACACATTCTTGCCGAACAATACGACTATCCCCAGCTCGCGGATGAAATCCTAAGGTAAACATATATCGCTCTAGGCTTCAGGGTGCATTTGCGTATCTAACTATATTCTAGGGAGGTGGGAAACAAGGAGTTCAATCCAAATGATACCAAAGGACCCAGGTCGGTATCTGCCTTTATCATTAAACTCTCAGAACTTGCGCCTCGCCTTGTGATTAAGCAGATGACATTACTAGCGAAGCAACTCGACAGTGAAGTAGGACTTACTCGAAAGCACGGCAATGAAAATTCGCTAATCAATATATTAGGCGTATACCCTTCGCTGTGCCGTCATCGAGGTTTGCGGGAATCTTATATCCGACTTGAGTAAGCAAGAGGAGAGAAGTGAAAACTTCCAGACCCAGATAAACTCTTTCTTCGATGTGCTGGAAGAACGATTCCTCGATATGAATCCCTATTGCCGCTGCCGTGTCATTCAGGTGTATATGAGGATATGCGACCTTGACCAGAAGTTTCCAAAACGCCGGCAAACAGCAGCTAGGCTTGCAGCTCGGAGCCTGGAAGACAAAAGCAGTAACGTCCGACGAAATGCTATCAAGCTTCTTGGGAAACTAGTCTCGACACATCCATTCAGTGTTATGCACGGAGGCCAGTTGTCCTATAAAGAGTGGGATGCACGTTTGCAGGCAGTAGAGGAAGAACTCAATGCTCTAAAGCCCCCGCCTGAAACGCCAGGGCTAGCAGAGATGGGACTAGAAAATACCCAGATTGACAGTGAACTATTAGACGATGCTACCCAAATGCCCGACGACTCTCCTTCCAAAGCCCCAAGGATGACCGAGGAAGAAAAGACGGCTGCAGTTCAGAGAGCTGCCGAGGAGGCTGCAACCTCAGAAATGCTTGCGAGGTTACAGCTGACAAGAAAATATTACCTTGAAGCCATTCAGTTTATCGAAATTCTACATACCGCTTCTGAGACGGTGTTGCAGTTACTTTCGTCTCGGAATAAAAGTGAGGTCATTGAGGCCATGGACTTTTTTGTCATGCTAGACGCGTACAAAGTGGAAACGTCCCGGGCTGGAATACGCAGAATGTTACGCCTGATATGGATGAAAGGAAACAGCGATGAAGGAAAGGGTGTTCAGAACCATCTGATAGACTGCTACAAGGGACTCTTCTTTGATGCCCCCGACGCTTTCAGCCCGAATGATACAGCCAACTATATTGCTCGGAACATGATAAGTCTTACGTTTGGAGCGACACCGGCAGAACTTACCTCGCTAGAGCAGCTTCTTAGCACTATGGTGAAGGCCGGCCATATCTCAGAGCTTGTTATCGGGAAGCTATGGCAGGTATACGGCGTTCAGAAAAAGGAGATATCAAGGACACAGAGGAGAGGTGCCATTATTGTGCTCGGGATGCTCGCCCTTGCAGACCCTGAAATTGCAGTCAAGGAAATTGAAATTATGCTTCGAATCGGGCTGGGAGGTCTGGGGCGGGCAGACCTTGTCCTTGCCAAATACACATGCATCGCCTTGAAACGGATAAAGCCTGGTCGACAAGCCATTGCAAAAGATGCAGCTCACCCGAAGCTCGCCAATGACCACCCAGTACTAATAAAGCTGGCCTCAATGATGGAAATCGTTTCTGATAGTAAGGAATGGTACGGAGTCGCCGAACAAGCTATAAGTGCGATATACACTCTCTCAAAACACCCAGATACCCTTTGCTCTGATATATTACGACGTAAAACGAGGGCCGTTTTCCGGTCAAACCCAGCTCCCCAAGGAGTGGACAGTGAAGGAGACCGCCCATCATCATCGTCGTCGTCGTCAGTAGAAGCGGCAACGGCGATGCCTGAAGATAATAACGCAGCGAGGCAAAAGGCCAGCGTTATTGGGCTATCCCAGCTTTTGATTATTGTTGGGCATATAGCTATCAAGCAAATTGTACACCTTGAATTGTGCGAGCTTGACTTCAAACGGAGAAAAGCAGAGCAAGAAAAGGAAAAGGCTGCCAACCCTGCCCAAGAGAAGAAAGATGATGCTGCCGAAGATGACGAGCTCGACCTCATCGGCGGAACTACCGAGGACGATTTTACAGAAGCCATGGCCCATATTAGGGAAAGGGAGCTCCTGTACGGGGAGAATTCCCTACTGACGCACTTCGGACCGCTAGTGACGGAAATATGTTCAAATAACACGGCCTATCCGGACCAGAACCTCCAAGCCACCGCAACTCTCTGCATGGCTAAACTGATGTGTGTCTCTGCTGAATACTGTGAGAGCAACCTGCCGCTCCTTATCACGATAATGGAGCGCTCCGACGACCCGATTGTCCGAAGTAATGCAGTAATTGCTCTAGGGGACATGGCGGTCTGTTTCAATCATCTCATCGATGAGAATACAGACTTCCTTTATCGAAGGCTTAATGACGATGACGTCTCGGTAAAGCGGACCTGTTTGATGACCCTTACCTTCCTAATCCTGGCGGGACAAATCAAGGTAAAAGGGCAGCTTGGAGAAATGGCGAAATGTCTCGAGGATGAGGACAAGAAGATTGCAGATCTGGCACGCATGTTTTTCACCGAACTTTCCACGAAGGATAACGCCGTCTACAATCATTTTGTAGACATGTTTAGTCTTCTCAGCACCGAAAAGTCTCTAGAGGGCGAGTCGCTGAGGAGAATAGTGAAGTTCTTGGCTGGATTTGTCGAAAAGGTATGTCTTTTCATTTTTGCCCACACTTCACTGCTTACAAGTCATCTAACACCATACGAACACCAGGATAAACATGCAAAACAGCTAGCCGACAAGCTCGCGGCCCGGCTGACGAGATGCGAGACCGAGAAACAGTGGAACGACGTTGCATATGCTCTGAGTCTTCTGCAGCATAAGAACGAGGAGATTACGAAGACGGTGGCAGCAGGGTTCAAAGTTGTCAAGGCGAATGCATGATTCACCCTACCTGCTCTATATTACTTTGCATGTGTCCCTTTGGTCGTTGTCAATTTTAGCATATACGGGGGTGTCTTTGCTTAAGCATTAGTGGACAGGGTCATGTTTCGTATTCTGGGGGCGCATGGGGTATGGTTTCTTATATATCTGCGTGCAATATATTTGCTCTTCCATTTTGATGATTCTTATATGCAATCCTTTGTACTATGCACCCATCTGACTGACTAACCTTGGTCAGGGATCTCATTTATGCGAACCGGCCGCCTCCTATAGCAGAAAACAGCGTACGTATTTCTGCAGACATGTATTAATCTATTATCTCTTTTGTCCCCCGTGAAACAGCGGGCTCCCCCTCCCCCTCCTCCAAAAAGCGAGGCCGTCAGCGCTCACTAAATTCTCCATTACTATTTACCTTTTCGTCAAGGTCGAAGATATCTCGGTGCATCTTGTCGAGGACCTGCCTGCCATCCTCGGTCAAATCAGGTCTGCCGGCATGGATGTCGGCAACGGTAAAAAACCTGGGAACCCAATCGTGGCTGTTTTCCTTCCTCAGGGCAGCCTTTGATCTCTGGGATTCCTCGAGTTCGTACTTTAGTTTGGTGGCGAGGGCGAACTGCTTTGAGTTGATTGCGGCTGTGATATCGGCCCACAGACGGCGGGATTCGTAGAGAAGCTGTTTCTCGGCTGGCGGGGTTATCTTTGCGGCCGGGAAGAGAGGCGCGACGTCGATTAGGAGGTGTTTCTCCTTTGAGCCCGGGAGGGTGAAGTAGATCTGTTCGTGCCAGGAACCCTGTATCTCTGCTAGCAGGTCGGTGGCGGGGACGTCCTTGGTGCGTGTCTTGTCGTCCTTGTCTGGATCATAGCGGAAGATGGCTCCGGTGACTCTATGCTGGGCCTTCCCTAGCCAGCCGTCCTCGAGATACTGCAGGATGGCCTTGATCTTGGTCTTGGGGCAGGTGATGTAGCACGTATCGGCGACGGTGACGGACAACGATCCACGGAGGATGCCGCCGAGATGAGCGTCCGGATGGGTGAGCTGGTATTCCTCGTTATCCCGCTTGGTCAGGGTGACGAAGATTCCGAGGTTGTGCTGTCCGGGGGTGATACGGACGCTGGTGCCGGTGAACTTTGCACTGATCTGGTCGAACCCGCGGGCCGTGATGCCGCGCTGCGGACAGTCGACCCAGAAGGCAGAGACGGGAGGGTGGTGCGAGGTCTGCTCGGTGATGTACGATATCTTGACGGTCTCCTCTGGGCCAGCGATGATGGAGGGAGTCGCAGACTTCTCGGCGATGTTCTCTTTGGAGCCAGCCTTGGAGCCAGGCTTAGAACCGAACTTGGAGCCAGGTTTGGAGACTGGCGGTATTACAACGGCCGGCTCAGTGTCCTTTATCTCCCAGTTGCACTGTGAGATGTATGTGGTCAGCACAATATCAGATATGAGCCGCAGAAAAAAGAAAGTGGCAGCTGCCCATCACCAACCCTGAAGAATTCACCAAGCACCGAGTTATACGGCTTGCATGGTTTCCCTTTGACGTATTTCTAGTTGCTTTTTTAGTAACTATCGATTTAATATAGAAGAAGAAACACTCACCAAGTCCTTCGTAAACCAGAAGCGTAGCACTTCGAGCATCCGACCCAGCTCATCGTCCGACTTGCCGATGCTGGTGAAGTCAGTCTCACGGCCTCAATATACACCACAGTCCAACCATACCTGGCAAAGCTCTCCGGTCTGTCAAGATAGTTCCAGTATTCTGTCACACGCCGTCTCTTAGCTCTTCCTCCGCTGTATAGTCGTGAGGGCAGACACACCTAGATTGGGGATTGGCTCCAGGAGCTGCGCGGGCAAGGAGAAGCGAACCGACGCAATGTCCGAGACGCCAATGAAGCTATATCAACCAGCCGGGCTCGAGTTAGCAGCCATATTCTCCATGCCACTCGGGCAGAACCGACGCCGGGCACGCGACATACTTCTTCAGTATCGAGAGAAACGCCCGCAGCTTGGACGTGTCGTCGACGGGCTTGTCCGCCGGGACAATGGCCTCTGAGACGACGGGGGTCGTTGTCTTGTCTGCCTCTGGCCCGTCTGGCACGGCCGAGACGACTGAGTCGGCGTCCTTGGGCATCTTGGAGCTCGACGACGGATCAGCCAGCGCTGGCGAGGATGCAGAGGGACTCGCCATGGGAGATCGAGATCGAGGATGATAACAGGGAACCAAGGCGCGGTCACGTTCCACGGCAGACTAACCCATGGACGAGGAGGACGACATGGACGTAGACAGTGATAGAGACAGAGATATGGACAGAGATATGGACATCTATCGGAGACAGGGGCGTTCGAGCTGGATGCGATTTGTCCTTTCAAGGGCGTCAAGTGGAGAGCGACCGTCTATCGGAACGTCATCCTCCATCCATCCATCCATCCATCCCATAACCATCCCATAACCGTTGCCATCGCATAACCATCGCATAACCATCGAGTATCAACGCAGACAAGGGATGCCCCTGCGATGCCGGAGAAACTGCTGCCAATCGCCAATGCACGAGATGCAGGCTACCCTTGACGTTGTGAGGCTAATCTTTCGACGTATCCTATGTCTATGTCTATGTCTATATCTTGTCTAGAAGGTGAATCAGTATAGACCATAATCACTGGGATGGCTCTAACCTCTCGGCGCACAGCCGCGATATATCAGATATAAAGGTCTTTCTTCTCTTCTTTTCTCTTTCTCTCTCTTCCTCTCTCTTCACCTGGCCTGAGTGCCATATATATAGGTATATATATATGTAAGTGCTGTCAGGTTGATATCTGTTCATCCTTTGACTGTGATGCTTGTTTATGGTGAAAGACAGTGCTATCTCTGTCTTCTGTCTGGAACTTGATACCCTGCTCTGCTTTGCTCTGCTCTGCTCTTGAAAGCAACAGTCCATCCTCGCAGCTGTTTCTGGTGGAGATGACGAGTCGAGGCATCGAGGCTGATGGTGTTCACAGTGATCCTATATATCAGACACATACATGATATATATATATATATATAGTAAGTCATGTCCGATATCAAGGTTTAACAGTGCTAACTCTTCACTTAGACATCGACACACTCGATCGAGATCAGGATATCAGGATATCAGGATGTATCAAGGATGTCAGAGGATGCTTCTTCCACCAGATTCAAGGCAGTTCATACAGCCTCTTCCAGGCTGGACTCTTCCTGCTGTCTGTACAGCTGGAGGAGCAGGGAGGTGAGTTCTATATCTCTCTTCTCATCTCTTCTCTTCTTTCTCATGCTATTTCACATTCTGGCATCTTCACCTCTCATCCTGTCCTCAGTCTCTTCTATCAGAATGTTCACTCTGATGGGAACTTCCGCGCGCTAGGCCTTCTTCTCACTGTCTTCCCCAATCACAGAGCTGGCTGGCACGGTACTCTCCACTGCCATATTCAATATCTGTCCTGTTTATCAGGTGAATATCACTGTTGTCCTGGCCCCAGCCTCCTTTTCATTCACGTCACTTCTACATCTCTGCTCAGACATCCTCCCGTCACTGTTCCTCTGAGTCCTCGAGCCTGAGAAGCATATATTTCCCTTCTACGCCCACTCGTCTTCTCTCTCTCTTTTCTACTTCCTCCTTCTTAACACGTCCGTTCTTACGCTCCGTTCGACTACACCAGATATCAACTCCCTCACAACCCGCCCTATTCTATCAACCTCTTTCTCAACTTCCGCGAACTTTTCACTCATCATCGCCTCGTCTAAGCCTCTGACCAGATCCTGTCTTTGGCCTTGTTTGACGTCGTTTCCATCAACAGCAACAGTTCAACTGACTGTGCTTTCTCCAGCAACTCCCCCTCCCAGATAAGACCCTTTTCCTCTCCCAGAACCTCCAGGGAAGGAAAACGAACGCCATGTCGCAACAGACGCACCAGTGTCAGTTCGATGAGACGTGCTCGACAGGGTCGAGTCACTACCGAAAGGTCATCTCCCATATCTTTGGGAGAAACAAGAAGTGTACCGTCAATATCCCAGACTCGGTCTGGATATACCACTGCCGCAAGCACTACCAGCGCGCCCGGTACCGCAATGACGAATGGCCTTTCACGCAGTGCCGCCTTGCCATCGACACGATCAGCAACATGCGTGCCTGGGGAGGGGTCGAGAGCTTCGACCTGACCTTACGCCGCCGCGAAGAGCAGCGAGGTCCCGGAGAACCTCAAGGAGACGAGCCGGACCGCCAGCAGGACAGCAACTCCTCGTCGACTCCAACGGCGGCCTCTGCTGGTCCTCAGGAAGGGTTGCAGGCGGCTTCGGCTACCTCCCCTTCCCCCAGCAGACCCGCCGCCCCTGGCTTCGCGGCAATCAACCACCACCAGCCCTCGAACTTAGGGGGTCTAGCGAAGCCAGGCAACGACAACGACGACGACGAGGAGACAGGCAGCGAAGTCAAAGCCGACAACGCACCTGCAACTGCTGGCGATGGTCCGGAGGCATCCACCTCGACAACAACCACTGCCACCGCCGCTGCCACCGCCGCTTCTGCACCTACAAAGAAGCGGTCGCCGAAGAGCATCCCACGCCCGGTCCCAGACTGGCTGTACGGGTGCGTAGGAACAAAAAAGTCGTTCGACGAGATCCTAACGGTCCTAGAAGATCTACGCAAGTATTTCTTCGGACTGACTTCCAAGGGCAATCCGGCATTCTTCCCCGATATCGAGATACTACCGAACCTGCGCCGCCAATCACCCACCAAGCCACAGCAGCAGGCTGCAAAGAAAGGTGCAGGGTCTCGGGTCTCGAGTCGGGGAGCAGTCACAAAGGTGGAGAGAAAGTGAGTGAGAATCGATCGCGAAGGAGTCAAGTGGAGGGCAGGAGCACGACGACGAAGTGAAGACCTGCGACATGGACGGAGTACCGACATCTTTTCATCCGCTTTATTGTTTTCTCGGAGGTTGCCTTGGCATGGAGTTGTGTTCTTTGTATCTGTTTCTTATTGTATTTGACTTTATATCTACTTCAGGCGTTGAGGTGCAGAAAGGAAAGGAATATCCCCATACCATGCGTTAGGTGGATCAGATACTGCTTTGTGATACCCATTTTCTTCGTTTTCTTCTTTTCTTCGTTTGCTTGATTGTTTTTTTACTAGACTTGCTGAAAATTGATTGCATGGCTTGTCCCAGTACTTATATCTCACGGAACATACGACGAGACTTCCCCTATCTACCGCAAGGCATATCCCGGCTTGCGTAGAACAGGAAAGGCAAAGACTAATACACGTTTGAAGACCCGGTCTAAGACTACGATTTGATCCTGGAAAACAAAAAAAGTAAAGAAACTCCTATTGTACACATGTCCGCTTATATGTTACCAACTATAATACTGGCTCTGGGCGCTGATCTTACGATCGGGCAGCTGTACCCAAAGCTTGGATTTCCGCTCTTTCAGGGCCTTCTCCGTACGGTCCTTCCACTCCCTTATTCGTGTCTTGTCTTCTTTCAGAATGACGGCAAGCGCTGTGTGAGGTAGACGAAGCCTGTTGATTTGACCCCTGGCACGATGGTCATAATCGGTTCCGTATGTACCACGGTTGACCCACGCCTGGTCAATGTAGATGGCCGTTTCATCGGTGACGGTATATGCCTTGCCGTCCTTTAACTTGATATCAACCCCACTCTCCTCAGCACCCTCCTGTGCCTGAACCTTCCCGAGCCCCATACCCCTGCTAACGATGGCTTCATTCTTGGCTTGTTCAAGGAAAGCCTTGACATCTTTTGCAGCCTTCTTCTTGCTGTACTTCATCTGAACGATAGCGTCGTCGATATTCTTGCCAGCAACCTGTCTAGCCAGGGGGCCTAATTTCTTCAACGAAGTCTTGAAGAAGTGTGATCGACTCTGTAGCTCTCGCTCGGTCTGGTGGATGAGTTCCTGCTTGCTCAGCTGGCCGCGGTTCTTAACAGCGCGGATGACCATCTTTCGTTCCCATCTTGCTCGGCGGTTGGGATGGGGGATCAGGGTTCGTTCAAGAAGGGTTTTATCTCGATGAGCGAGATCAGTAGATTCCGTGGATGCGGCGGCGGAATCAGACGGGGATGATGACTTGGAGGGTCGGGTAGGAGCTCGTCCTGAAGGGGAAAAGGTAACATCGTCTCCTTCGGCGAAGATGGAGCCAGATGCGAGCGAGCCCTTCTTGACCGGTGGTGGACGGTGTGTGATCTTGGGAGCCGACGGGTCTGGTTGTTTGTTTGCGGCGTCTTTCTCACTGGAGGCATTGCTGGCCATGAGAGAGTCGCGGAGAGAGCCATTGGCTCTGAGGCAGGCGGTTGAGGTGATGGTTCGTCGAGAGACCTGCGACAGGCTCATTCCTGGTGCTCCATGTCAGTATCGACGCGGCAATGGGGTGTATATGGGAGCTTACCCGAGCGAGTCAGTTGCCTCCCGGTAAACGCAGTGCATACTGCCGCCATCGTGCTCAGATTCCTTGCTCAATGGTGATGTCCGGCTTGATCTCTTTATCTCGGACATCGCGAGCTTGAAAATTGTACTGAACACGCCTTGCCTAATCGGGATAGAATTGCTGATGTAATGACAATATATCACGTGATAAACAGATTACTAATAACACTTACTAAGCATTCACGTGAGCTATATCTAGATCAGCCGTTTTAGGCAAGTTGGACGTTCTATAAGGATGAGAAGATGCAAAGGTCGGATCGTGAATTATCAGACTTCTATCTTGCGTGAATATTACACCTGTACATCAATCAATGGTCGTCATCGTGTTTCCGCTTGAACCTCGCGCCCTTCGGTTGGCTCCCGTACGTCCTCCTGCCTTGGACCTTCTTGTCTCTACTCATACTAGCTCCCAGCGCGATGTCAACTCGCGGCGGGGTGACAAAACCGTAACTCTTGGCCACCTTGACCAGATCGAGCTTATTTATATCGAATACTGAGCGGAGAGAGTGAGAGGCGTAGGCGTGTAGATATGATCGGTATCCTTCTTTGGCGGACTAAAGGGCTATGTAAGTAATGTGCATGGACGAGAAAGAGAGCATACATACCTGGTTCAAGTAATAGTTCTGGCTGATGAGTTTCTCTAGTTGGGATTGGATGTTAATGATGTGTTTTGTGGGGAATTCGAATTCCACGACTGGAACGCGGGCTTCGCGCAGGTGAGTGATGAAGCCGACTTCTGAAGGCTGGAGGAACATCAAGCTTCGGCCGACCTTGCCCTTACCTCGAGCTGTTCGTCCGACTCTGTGGATATAGTCTCTTGGCTGTGGGAGGGAGGTCAGTATTCATTCACGTCTATGTTGGCTGGTGGGATGACTTACATCATCTGGTGGATCGAGCTGGACAATATAGTCGACGGCCGGGATGTCCAAACCTCTGGCGGCGACATCGGTACAGATAAGTGTGCCCTGGGCCGAGTTGCAGAATTCAAAGAAGGTATTTGTCCGCTTCTGTTGCTTCAGCTTTCCGTGTAGACTCAGCACCGGCAGATCAATATAATTCAGCAGCTCCGAGTAATACTTGACAGAATTACAGCTGGAGAAGAAGACGATGATCTTCTTTTTGGCATTCTTTTTCAGGAACGAGAAGAGTAAGAGGAACCGTTTGTGGGCTTCACAGATGATGAACCCCTGCTCGACGCCGTCTACTGTGCTGTGTTCCTTTTTGTGGTCGACGTTGATGTAGAGAGGGCCTGGTTTGAGCGATATGCGCGCAAGATCTTCGACCTTGGTTGTCTGGGTGGCTGAGAAGAGCATGGTCTGTCGATCATCCTTGGGGAGGATGGAGATGATCTGCCGCAATTCATCTTCGAATCCTACCTCAAGAATGCTACAGAGCTTTAGCATGGAATACATTCAAGCGAGGGCCAGACATAACCTACCGATCTGCCTCGTCGATGACAAGAGTCTTTAAATTCTTGAACACAAATCCGTCAGTGGACCGGAGATGATCCAACAGGCGACCAGGAGTTCCGATCAAGACGTTAACACCCTTATTCAGCTTCTCCGCCTCTGCTCTCCTGTTCGCGCCTCCAATCACAACCCCGTAAGTCTGCGAGTGGTGCTCCATGAGCTCTCTGGCGACGCCGAAAATCTGCAGCGCCAGTTCTCGAGTTGGCGTGATGATAAGAGCACCAGTGCCTGTCAATTAACCCATTAGCCTAATGCGCCTAGCATCCCTCTACTTCACGACCGAATATAACGAACCATTTCTCGGCTTAAACTTCAACGACCGCAATATCTCTACAGCAGGGATCAAGAAGGCCAATGTCTTTCCCGAGCCCGTCTTCGCAGCACCTAGGATATCCCTTCCGGCCAACGAAGGCGGAATACCCCGCTGCTGGATCTCGGTCATGGTAGTGAACCCCATATCCGCAATCGCCTTAAAGGTCGGCTCGGAGAGCGCAAGGTCGCTAAACTTGTCCGACGCGGCCTCTTGCGTGGGGAGCGACATTGTGTCTGCGGAAGGCAACGCCGGTGCGTCGGTATCAGCCTCAGCTCCGTTCTCTATCTGTAGCTCCCCATTCTCCGCCTCTTCAGCTTCGTCGTCATGCTGATCGACCTTCTGCTTCTTGGTAGGTGTCTCTGCGCGATCCGGCTGCGAGCCCGCTTCTAGGGCCTGTGACTTTGCATTCTTCCCTTCCTGGGAGCTCTTGTGTTTTCGCTTTCTCTTCTTCGCGTGATCCTGTGCGGTTTCCATCTTTCGCCAGCTCTCGAAGAATATTCAATTCTTCCCTCTTTTTTCTTTTTTATCTTTTCTATCTTTTTTACCTTTTTTGCCGATAGGAAAACGATAATGATGAAAATAATTTCTGGTCCGGAGTCAACGTTCTTCCTCTCCGCGTATCTCGGGTCACGTGTAACACTCTTACCTAACCCATGACTAAGACCCTTACTAACATCTTACTAACGAGATACCACGTGCTCGGCCCTTGGTCCCGGTTTCCCGGAAGCTTTTCGGGATTTTCTGGACGTTCCGAACGTTTTTCTCGTCGACCCATGGAAAGCGTCCAACGTTTCTCCCACTTCGACGTCCACTTCTTCCTGATATCAAGTTCTCTATCGTCGAGGGCATTCATAGTCACAGGCTGCCGGTCGAGGCAACAGACTGGCAATCGATGTCGGCAGCAAGATCTTATCTGTCAATCCATCGTCACAGGCTTATCTCCCTTCAGAGACCTCTCAAGAGACTCATGGCCGGAGACAAGTCTCGGAGAACACAGTTTGCCCGTCGGAAAAGACTCCCTTTTGCTCTCCGCTGGTACGCACCTTATGCTACTTTAGGATGGGGGGTTATGCCAGGACGTGGTTATCTCGATCAGGAGAAACGCCAGATCGCCCAGCCGCTACGAGCACGATCTACTGCCTTTCTCGCTCAGGGTCCCTGCCGGCCATCGGCCATCGGCCAGCAAGAAGAAGGGCCGCTGACCGGTTAACTAACTACCAGGGTATGCCATAGTCGCCGCCATACAAAATATGATCAAGCTGAACGAGACCAAGCGAGGTCTCCTGCCAAGCACGGCCCGCTTTGGGCTGTTGGCTCCCATGTCTCCGAGACCTGATATGCGTGTGTGTCTACTTAATAATTGAGATATCCGTTGAACCGTGAAACGGACAACTTTCTTGGTATCAAACTTTTACGTATACAGGTCTACTATGTAGATTGGTCTCTACTGTATGGAATACGGGGATGCATGTTCCCCCATCCCCCTTCTTGGCCCACAGGGAATATGATATTGCTCAGGGAGAACGGTGTTTGCGTGGCCTTGCTATCGTTATCTTAAGCGTGAATTCACCTCGGCTTCCAGAGCGTGGCATGAGCTTTCTAGCGGAGGATCCATTCCAGCGATCGATGATCGACGGGGCGCATGTGAACTTAAAAGTTCTGATACCAATCTACCATGGTACTAGACAGCATGCTCTTGAAGGAGCAACTGGGATAGGCGTAAACGCTAGGGCGGATATCGAGAAGATTATGGGCAGGTGTCAAGCGGATGTCAAAACAGATGTCAAAGCGGATGCCAGGCAGATGCCAGGAAGATGCTAGGCAGATCTAAGCAGGATGTCAGTGTCAGAGCAGACCCCTTCCCCCTGAAGATATATAAAGCACGACGATGTCTTCGTTCAGACTCGACCTTTTCTCTTCTCTATCTCATCGGCACAGTCTTTTCTCCCTCTTCAACTTCAGTCGTTCGCTCTGCCCTGTTTGATATCGGGCCTTACACTCTTTTGTTTTTTATACTTCTCTTCTCTACACTTTACGATGAAGTCCATCTTTTTCACCCTTCCGCTGCTTGCAGCCCTTGCCTCTGCCCGTGCTGTTGCCAGCGCTGGCCCTGAGAGTGCCCTTGCATGCGCCACTGCCTTCACCAAGTGCATCGAGAGCGCCGTGAGCGCCGGGTCCGTCCAGGGCCTCCAGTGCATGGAGCTAAAGGGTATGTTATATATACTGTGTCAAAAATTCTTACCAGCCCAAGACTAATTTGTCCTGGTAGACGCCTGTGTTGCCGCTATCCTCCCCAGAAATGTTGCTGCTGCCGCCCCTGCCCCCCAGGTCCCTGGCCTCGACATCTCCAAGATCATTGAGGCCATCGAGAAGGCCCTGGGCCAGAACAGCGGCATCGACACCAAGGCCCTAGCCACCAAGATCCACAACGACATCTCCGCCAACGGCTTCGACGTTGGCACTCTGATCAACGCCATCATCAATGCCTTTGACGGCAAGGCTGGCGGTGTCGACGTCGGCAAGATCATCAACGAGATCATCAAGGCCATTGGTGGTATTGCCGGTGAGGTCGGTGGCTTCAGTGCCGCCAGCGGCCAGATCGATGCTGGTGTCATCACCAACATCGTCGTGTCCTGCGTCCCAGCCGAGGCCATCCCCGGCCTCGACATCGGTGCCATCGTCAAGGAGATCCTCGGAGCCATCGGTGCCGGTGGTAAGTTCGAAATCGGCAAGTTCGTCAACACCGTCATCCACCTGTTCAACGGCAAGGCCAGCGGCATCGACGTCGGCAAGATCATCAACACCATCATCCGCCTGATCATCGCCTCTGGTATCGCTGCCCGTGACGAGCAGGTCCACGCTGCCTCTCTGCTCGACATCCCCAAGCTCATCAACACCATCATCCAGATTGTCGGTGACGGCAAGAACATTGATGTCGGCAAGCTCGTCCAGGCCATCGTTAGCCTCATCGCCGAGGTCGTCGGCGGCATTGGCGGCATCATCCCAGGTGGCCTCAGCGTCAACGCCAGTGCTGGCGTCAACGGCAGCGTCCAGGCTACTGCCCTGCCCTTCGACTTCAGCCAGCTGATCAACGGCATCCTGAAGCTTATCAGCGGCAGCGGTGGTTTCGATATTGGCAAGCTCATCGAGCTAATTATGAAACTTATTGGCTCTATCCCCAAGCCTGGCCATTAAGCCACCACAACCCACAGTCAGGGCGGAGGTAGTTTAGATTGTTAACTGTACCTTTAATATATCGTCTCATTTATCTTCTTCTTCATTTAACTTCTTCATCATCATCATCTTCTTCTTCTCTTCTTCATCTTCTTCATTTGACCATAGGTTGTACAAGCACGGACACAGACAGCTCTTGAGCAGGTCGCACTCCAGCACAAATGAACGAAGCTGCACGACGATAGTCTCGTCTCTTCCTCTGTGACGTCAGTGGCGGATCAGGTGATAAGCCGGCCAGCCACTGGTTGCGAAGTTGCTTGCAAAGTTGCTTGCTGACAGCGCGAGATGCAGCGCGGAGAGCGAGGGCTGCATGCCGGGTAAATTAAGACAGCCAGCAGGATCCCGCGAGAGGCGATCGGGGGCACACCCACGAGCTCGCAGGTTCGTGCGCCGCTTGCGTCTCCTAAGTAAGTTATTTCCTGCTTTCCCGTCGTCTGGACGGCTTGCTGGGAGGACCGAGGGCCTATATCAGCCTCGCTAAGGGCGCATTTTCCCCCAGCAGGAAGCGCGGTCTAGATCCGGCCGCGTAGGTGAGACTCGCAGGGGACATCGGCTGCCCAGTTACCTGCTGCTGGCTCTGATTCCTCTGATTCCTCTGATTCCTCTGTCTCTGTGTCTCGTTGGCCTCGCTGGCCTCGCTAGATGGATGCACCCTGGATGTAACAGCAAGTCTTGCAGGACCCCAGAGTCATGCGACCTCCGTCCTTGCGCACTGCAGCATGACAAAGTAATAGACGGTACAGTAGTCTACACTGTAGAGTAGACAAAGGATAGATATATAGAAAGAGAGATAGATGATAGAAAGAAAGAAAGAAAGATAGAAAGATAGACGTGGTGAGCTGCTTAGTGAGCGTGGGCGGCAAGGGGCAGCAGTAACCTTGGCCAGCGAAACAACTTCAACTTCAACTTCGACCTCAACTTCAACCTTCACCTTCGACCTCAACTTCAACCTTCACCTTCGACCTCACCTCACCGACCTCACGTCTCGACAGGCACATCCTTCGCCGGAGCTTCACTGCCACGGCCGCTCTCTTCTCTCTCTCCCTGCAGCCTGTGTCAACATGCGACGCGACCAGTGACCTGCTCCGGTTGTCTACAGCGTCCGTCCTGTCTGCTCGGCCCCAAATACTCGATTCCACCACAATAAGTAGCCGTCAGTCCTCGCTCCCTGTCCTCTCTCTAGCTGTCTAACCGTCTCAGATAGTAGCTACGCCCGTTATTGTCGCCAGAAGAACCCTGCGGAAGACCTCTGCGGAAGAACTCTGCGCGTTGGATACGTCTACGGCAAGGTTGCGATGGAATTATTTCTGCGCCGATATTGACACCATCTAGTTCGGCCCAGCTTTATTCTTCCTTTCTCCCTGCTGCAGAATTTTTCGCTCCAGCAGTCATGGATATCAGAGACTTGATCACGCCCAACTCCTCCAGGCAGGAGAAAGCTACTGCGGCGCCGTCGCCCATTCATGTCCCAACGCCTCGCCCACACAAGTCGAAAACACCACAGCCCACGACGACGACAACAGCAACGATAACGGCAGCAGCAGCGGTGGTTAGGGCCAACAGTGTAGGGCACCATGGCAACGGTACCTCTGCAAGGCTGACTCCCGGTGGTGGAACTGGACCTCAGACTCCGTCTACTCCCGGCATGGACGCTCTCGTGGAAGCCGCACACATGAAGAGAACAGACCCCTACGAGGCCAAGCCTTCGCCGTCACCCTTTCCCATTGTTCCTCCCGCGGCGCATAGCACGCCAACGCCACGGCCTTCAGGCTACGACGGTGCAGACGGGAGTACAGATGCGCCCAGGCGTGACTTCACCAGTGCCTGTCTTAGCCCGGAGGCCCAGCAGGCAGCCTCGCAGCTGTACAGGAACATCCAAAAAAACCACTATGCCTACGAAGACCGCGTAAACTTCATTCGGCTCCTCCATCAAGGCTTTGTAGACCACATCTACCCTCCATCGTCGCCCGACTCCCACGGCGATCCCCACCGGTTTGACGTGCTCAAGGACCTGAAAGCTGCTCGAGAGGAATTGGACAGCCTGTTCGCCATCGGAGAAGACCTCTGGGCTGAATGGATCCAGGATGAAAGCCTGCTCGCACGCACAGTCAACGAGCGCATTGCCGTCATGGACCTCTGTCGCCGGTCCGTCGAGGAAGAGTACGGAAGCACGAAGCTTTGGGTCATCTATGGCGAGTGGATGCTGTACCTGTACAAGGCATCTTCCGGCGACAGAGAAGGCTCGGGACGTGGCCACTGGTCGGACGAGGACAGGGTAATCGGCCGTGAAGTCTTTACGTGGACGTCCGTAGTTGAGGTATGGAAGGCTGGCGCCGACGCTACCAAATGGCGCATAAACGACAGCCATCTGGTCTGGAACCGCTATCTGGAGCTCCTCATGCAGGATGTCGACTCCTCGCCGTCGCCCGACCGAATCGCGCAGCTCCGCGCACTCTTCGAGAGCAGACTCCAAACTCCCCAGGCTGGGTGGGACGAAACATCCCAACTCTTCTCCAACTTTGTCTCAAAGTACTACAATGCTAACTACGAAAATCTAATGGTCGACGCCAGGAGTAAAGCCGCCGAAGCCAAAGCCATGTATTCCGCGCGCGAGACCCGAGAGGCTGCCCTGCAGCGAGCGTTCGAGCTCAAAGATACGGCCGTCGAATGGTCGACCTTCCAGGAATACATCGAGTGGGAGACTTCTAATCCGCTACGAGAACAGCAACAGCTGCAACCGCTCCGTCTCGAACTAATCACCTCGCTCTACCAGCGCGTCGTCCTTCGTTTCCCCACCGATGCCACCCTCTGGGAAGACTACGTGATGTTCCTGATCGACGAGTCCATGGACGGTCCCATGGGCACTTCCCCCATCCCAGCCATCGAACGCGCGACTCGCCACTGCCCCTGGTCCGGTGCACTCTGGTCACAACTCTTCGTCAGCGCTGAACGGGCCGGTCTCTCCTTTGCCGAGATCCTCGAACTCAAACACAAGGCCACTCGCTCGGGTCTCATCGACGCCGCTGGCATCAACGAAGTTCTGAAGGTTCACACAACATGGTGTAGCTACCTTCGCCGCTGGGCCCTTCAGCCAGACTCAACGGACGAGGACCTCGACGTTGCCGAAGTCGGTATCCGCTCTGCCATTGAATCCGTCCAGGAGCTAGGCGACAAGAACAACAAGGCCGCCCCCAATGATCCGCTCTTCCATCTTGAACGCATTTACATTCGCTACCTCAGCGCACGCGGAAGTTGGGACAGCGCACGCGAGGAATTTAAGAATCTCATCCCCCGACATGGACATAGCTTTGAATTCTGGCTCGCATATTACACCTGGGAGCTCCTATCGTGGAGCAAATTCATGCCTTGCGACTCCTCGGCGAGCGCATCCAGACGAATGCCTAATCCGAGCTATGCCACCGCAGTGTTGAAACAGGCCTTGCAACGGACAGACCTAGACTGGCCGGAGAAGATTATGGATGCATATATTTCACACTGCGAACATTACGAGGACGCTGATGAGTCGCAGATCGCTATGATTGATGTTCGCAAGGCTATGAAGGCGTTGACTAAACGCAGACAGAGGGAGGCCATGCAACAACAATACCAGCAGCAGCCTGCGAGCCAGCATCTCCAATCCCATCACGCAGCAGCCTTCCCAGCTTCTACAGAACAACATGGCCATGGCGATGAGCCCCAATCAGCTGGCAAAAGAAAGCGCGAAAGCGAACCAGAGTTGAATGGCTCAGCTTCCAAAAAGGCAAAAGCAGATGCCATTCCATCGGTAGAGGCACCGACTCGTGATCGTGAACATGCGAGTGTTCTCGTGAAGAATCTACCGAAGGATATCGCGCAGATGAAGATTCGACAGTTTTTCCGAGACGTAGGTGGTCCGTTGCCTACTTTATGCAATGGCTACTAATCATAACTTTGCAGTGCGGAAAACTCAATTCTCTACAGATGCTCCCGGGCAACTGCCGTTCTGCGTTACTTGAATTCGATACATATGAAGATGCCCTCGCCGCTGGCACAAAGAACCAAAAAGTCCTAGAAGGGAATGAGGTAACTGTTGAGCCGGTTACTGATACAACGGTATTTGTAACGAATTTCCCGCCAACCGCGGATGAGAATTATATCCGTGAGCTCTTTCATTCGGTATTCCCACCTCCCTTTCCATCGTCCCCATCTTTTTTTTTCTTTGACTTGGAACACCAATGCTAACGCGTCTTAGTACGGCGAGATTGCCGAGGTGCGATTTCCATCACTTAAATACAATACCCACCGCCGCTTCTGCTATGTGCAGTTCACATCCTCCTCGAGTGCCTACGCTGCCACCGAACTCAATAAGAAAGAGATGGGCGATAGTTTGGAGTTAGTAGTAAAGATTTCGGATCCCACGCAACGACAAGCCAGGTCAGGCGCGTATGAAGAAGGGAGGGAGATTTATGTTTGTAACATACCTTACAAAACCACGGAAGGGGATCTCGTCGAGCTGTTTACAGCATATGGAAACGTCGAGTCGGTGAGAATACCCACCAAAGTGAACGGAGAGATTAGAGGGTTTGCTTTTGTCACCTTCACCACAAAGGTAAGCCAAACGAACTATTTCCCATCATATATATGTATATGCATAGCAATGCTAACGTGAAACAGGATCAAGCAAATTCTGCACTAGCCATGAACGAGAAGGAGTATAAGGGCCGAGAGCTAAGCGTCCGCTTATCGACAAGCACTGGGGCTAAACGACTCCAAACGACAGTTGTCTCTCGGTCAGAATCGCCCGCCACTAAAATCGAGCGCAACGGCGCCGGAACACCACCGGGCTCCTTGACCGATGGACAAGAACCAAAAAGCGACCGCCACCTACGCACTCTTGGCCTAATGAATATTCCTGACACCGTGAACGACACCCGAATCCGTGCTCTCGCTGAACAGCACGGTGCGTTGGTAAAGATCGTCCTACGACCAGACCACCAGGGCGCGATTGTTGAATTCGTTGATGCTCAAGGCGCAGGTAAAGCGTCGTTGGCACTCGAAGGATACGAGATTACACCAGGTCGATTCATTCACGTTGGCTCGGTGAAGGGTATGCTGCAGCAGAAGGCAGAGCACAAAATTGATAGAATACCCGTTGGCAAGGGAAAGGGGAAAGCCAGTGGTACTGCTACTACAGGTAGTGGTATCAGTGGCAAAATGATGCAACAAGCCTCTGCGCCGATAAGACGACCTAACCAGTCATCCAGCGGACGTAGAGGCGGATTAGGTGTGAAGCGTGGTGGCTCCGCCATTCCTTCGAGAAATAAACCCGCATCCACATCTAATCATCATGATGATACCGACGGCCAGAACCATAACCAGTCCGAACCCACGACGACATGGAATAAGACGAATGACGACTTTCGAGCAATGTTATCACAGCCCAAGTAAGGCTGGCTAATCAACCTGTTCCATAAGGACATCTCAACATTCTTTTTTGTTTATCTTCACTTCTATAACCCCCTGATTTATTATTTGCAAACCCATTTATTCTCCATTTTCCATCATGCGGTGGCGCATTTCATGTTTTCCATATCTCCCCATCCGTTTTTATTTTGATGCGAGTTCTGCTAAAGAAATGCCCATTTAACGCGTGTCCCAAAATAAAAACGGCAACCCGGCACTGCTCTACTCCTAGTGGAGATAGAAGCCAGTGTAGCGGGTAAAAATACGTCCCCTTTCTTTCTTCTTGTCAACACTACTTGCGTTGACGTACATCTTTCATGTTCATACACCGATACTTGCATGATGGAATGGCTTTTTACCATTTGCGTTCTTTCTCTCTTCTATTTGCAGCATTGTATCTTGCAGACTCAGACACAGATATATTGCTTAATTTAATTCTCAAGTCAGGCATAGGAGGGAATTGGTGATGCTGCTTGGCTAGGCTGCGGTAGAGGAATGTATGAGTACCTTCTGCTTCTCCGTTTTATTTCGTTCAAAGAAAGGCGGAGGATGAATTGGAATTTTGCTTATTCTCACCAGTGTTATTTAGCATGGCGATAATATATATGTCTTGTCTAGGTGTAGGGAATCTCAAAGGGTATCAAAGTAACTGTCAAAGAACAACACGGCAAGGAAACAAGTGCAAGCCAGCGAGTACTAAGTGCTTCCTATCAAGTCTTATGCCTTTCCAATATTGAGAAGCCAATATAGATAGCACCAAGCAGGAGTTGCAAACTTGGTCTATACAAACACATCTATAAGCCCATACCTCGATATGCAACTTTACAGCGGCAGCGAAGAGGGCATCCCTCGGCCGGCTGGGTATATATGACTTTAAAGAAAGGACACTCTGTTCATAAAGGGATGTTTTATCTTGAGGCTGCGAATAAAACTTCTGCCTTGTTTGCGGTATAGAATCACATGATGCATACTGTCGTCATTTCTCGACGCTGAATACAACAAGGAACAGTTATTCCAGACAAGATATCATCTTTCACTTCTACAGTACTCTTAGCTTGCTCATCAGAGGCTTCGAGGATAGTGTCAGCCACCGAAGAAGTCTCGTTTTGCTGCTGTCGCCTGACATATACTACGAGGGAAGAAGACTATAAAACCGCTATCGTGGATCTCCATCTGGTGCCCGGGGAAGGGCGAAGAAACTACACTGGCTTCTTCACAAAAACCATCCTCTATTCGTTTACCTTGCTTATATTTCTGATATGTGTGTCCCCGAGCATCTGGTGATAGAATGGAATGGGGTGCTAATACGTGATAGCATCCGCGTTGACGCTGGCGTCAATCATCCTTCCAAGATGGCTTGGTTATTACAGTGAAACGGTGAGATATTCCCTTCTGTTGAGTCCTGTTGAAATATTCTAGCTAATGCCACTTGCCTCGACAGCCCTCCGGTGAGCAGTTTTATCTTACGTACGGCCTGACCAGACGGTGCTCGTCCGAATCGCCAGCATGCGACCGCTTCCCCCAATATCAAGACTGCCAGCCTGACAGCTCCCTGTTCGGAGGCGGCAACCCCAACGGTTTCAGCAGCTCTGGGTTCAGTCATCTCACCAGCTATGCGATATCCAATCCGACATTCTGCTCTATGTGGCGATCGGTGGGGTTCTTCTTAGCTCTCGCTGTTGTACTCGAGGGAATGACATTTGTGGCATATGTGGTGATACTGGCTGGAGGAAAACAGATGAGAGAAACAGGCTGGAAGATATTGACCATCCTTCTCGTTTTGATTGGCCTTGTGCAGGCTGGTGGTATGGGGCTGGTGGTAAGTCCTACTCTCTTGCTCACACACATAAACTAGCTCCCCGCCTGGATTAATATATAGCATGCCTGGGCGCTAACATGAATGGACAGTCATATCTATTTGACAACGACGATCGCTTCTATCCCGGATGGAAGCTCGACGACTCATGGATTCTATGCACGGTTAGCATGTGTCTGGTCCTGGTCAACGCGGTGGCGATGTTCATGATCGCTCGACTGCTGCCAAACGAAGGCGGCTACGAGCTGATAGCAGAGCACGATTGAGTATAAACCTGCCAGTACATTTTCCTCCCCCTTGCTGTATCGCGTTTGTATTTTCTTCTATATTATTGCCCGTTGGGTGACTTTTTTCTCCATTTTTATAGCCGTATTACATAATATACAACGGAATAATATTTACTCCATGGTCCGTTCCCTTTTGGGATATGCCGGGGGACATCAAGCATCACCAAGCCTTTTTTTCACCCTTATTCTTGATATTCTTCCGGTCTTGATACTCGAATAAAACATGTCCAAGGCGAGGGTATTTCTCCTTAAATCACACAGCCGTTCCAGATCGAAAAGGGCCGCCTGGGTTAACGACGGCTTTTTCAGGTGCCGCCGGTCGATCCCTCTGCCTCGGCGTTTCACTTCTGAACCCCATTGATGGTTCCTGACGAGTGTCGATATCAGAGCATATGCCCGTACGGAATACGGAGGATTCGCTGGTTGTTGATCTCAAGTCCATCACATCACTCTGCATGGCCGCTCTGGGCGCTGAACAGGGCACCGCGCCCTGCCTCGTGATGGGACCTCGGGCTTCTGTGGGGAAGAAGAGGCTGGGATCCTACGCAATCTTAGGGTTCATTTGTTGCCAGGGTCGCGTATGGAGATGACGAGCTTTCGCTGACGTTTCAAGCCGGGGTCCCCAGAATATCCCCGACCTTATCAGTTTCATGCACTCCGCGAACATGCAGAGAATCTTCTTATACTTCGATCCGCTCCGGTTTGATCTTCATGAAAGTGACTTATACCGTTCTGCTTTGCAGGCATCATGTTGGCCACTGTGCGTTGCACGAAAGATGTGATTTCTTCCTGTCAAGCAAAACTTGCTCGCTCTGGCTGTTCGGAGGCTCTTACAGAGCATTTACGGAGTAGGGAGTACGCATACTTGTTGTGTAGTATTCCGTGCTTCGGCATCCCATAAGTTGCCGTTACATATACGGAGTAGTGTACAGGATATACACCTATATACTTCTATGATCAGCCGCCTGTCCACCCTATCAGGTCCACTTAGCAACCGACTCTCGTGTTCCCGTTCCTGGAGCGTCAGGCCTCCTTCCTACCTGGTGGCTAGCGGACGTTGATCTTCTAGAACATGGATAATATGGTGCCCTGAACAGGACTTCTCTCCTCGGCCCCGCTGCCCCAGGTAGCGAACTCGTCAGTCCACCCCAAGGCCTTATTATATTACAAGCCAGCTGGTTTGAAGTAAAGTTGTGTCAATGTGCTGGAAAGATACTTAAGCCCGTACCTTTCCTCCTTTCTTTCTTAATTTCCTATCAGTTAGAGCAAGATACGAAGCCATCTCATTCTAATTATAACCCCATTCTAATTATAACCCCATTCTACCATCAACATGAAGGTTTCCGTCCTTGCCGCAGCCGCCTTTGCGGCCACTGCTATCGCTGGCCCAATCCGCCCAGATGGTGACAAGTACTTGATCGAGCTCGGCCCAGGCCAGACCCAATGGGTTACCAAGGACCAGAAGCATCAAATGAAGGCTGTACGTACCCTCTACATGCCAGCATGTAAATGATGGAGAATCGACGGGTATTTACTAACTAAACTACCTCTCTAAGGCTGGACAAACCTTCATTGATATCACCAAGTATGAGCCTGGTTTCACCGCTACCAAAGTCGTTGCCGGCAATTATCCAAAGCGCAACGACCTCCCCGCCTCCATTGTCAATTCTCTTATTGCCAACCTTTCAAAGGACAACCTCATGCGCGACCTCACTGCCATGATCGAGTTTAACAACCGGTACTACGAGTCACAGACTGGTGTCGAATCCGCTACTTGGTTGATGGAACAAGTCCAGAAGGTCATTGACGACTCTGGAGTGCAGGGTAAGGTAGAGAAATTTGAGAACGACTTCCAGCAATTCAGTGTCATTGCCACCATCCCTGGGGCCTCTGAGTCAACTGTTGTTATTGGAGCCCACCAGGATAGCATCAACCAGAATGATCCAATGGGAGGCCGTGCCCCTGGTGCTGATGATAACGGAAGCGGATCTGTCGTTATCCTAGAAGCCATGCGCAGCATCTTGGGATCTAAGCTCATCGCAAATGCCACCAACACCATGGAATTCCACTGGTATGCCGGCGAAGAGGGTGGCCTCTTGGGCTCCAGCGCTATCTTCCAGAAATACAGGAGCGATGGCCGAGATATCAAGGCTATGCTTAACCAGGATCTTGCTGGTTTCACCAAGCAAGGTGGCCCTGAACAATTCGGTCTTATCGCCGACAACACCAACCAGGAATTAAACCAGTTCACCAAGATGATCGTTGAAAAGGTAAGACTGTGTTACTATGTTTATTGACTGAGCTAACATTGGCCCATGTAGTACTCCAAAGTCCCAATTGTTGAAACCAAGTGTGGCTACGCCTGCTCCGACCATGCTTCCGCCACTAAAAACGGATTTCCATCTTCCATGGTTGCTGAAACCACCTTCGAAGACTCTAACCCCCATATCCACTCCGAAGACGATGTTATCGACTACTTGGACTTCGACCATATGCTCGAGCACGCTAAGGTTGCCACCGGGTTCATGACCGAACTTGCCATGGCCTCGAATTTGTAAACGGTCTCTCCTCCCCTTGCCCTCCACCTCTTTTAGGTTCTGTCGACCGGAACCAACATATCTCGAGGAATATGTTTGTAAATAGTTTCCCATAGTATATGAAATGTACATAACACAAATAGAGCATTGGCATTATCTTGGTGGCCAGTCCTCCATCATGTGCCGTAAACAGACCTCGTATGTCTTGAAATGTCTGCTAGCTCGTCTGCTGGCTGGTAGGTATGATTGCTGGGAGATCTGTAAAAAATTTTATCATTTCTGTATTGTGAGACTTCACCGCTTGGTTTATAGCCTCCGCCATTAGCATCTCCTGCGTCTGTTGTTTGTTATGCCTGTTGCCCAAGTATTCTAGGATAATTCTCAAACCCTCCGTGCTTCCTCTGTCTACGGCCAAACACACCATATAAGCAAGAGTCCGCTCGGTAGGGTTGGATTCTAGAATAAGTTCCATCGCTTCGCGCTTCCCAGAATCAAGGATCTTGAGGAAATTTCTTTGATTATTTGAGATCTTACATTTCACTCCACACAATAACAAGACCTTTGCCCGTTCGACGCTAAGATCTGCAAATATTGGGAAAAGCGTTGGAGCCATCCTAGAAAAGGAAGACGTTTGAATAATAGTTGCCCCAGCCCATACAAGAGCCTGCACGATTTCAAGATTGTATCTCATCGCGGCTGGTACCAACGGTGTGTGGCCAATGTGATCAGCGGCATGGACATTCGCCCCGGCTTCTAGCAGAAGCTCCACGGCGTCAATTGAGTCTGAACCGGCAGCAGCCCAAAGAGGAGTACGGCCCTTTTCATCTGCCAGCTCTGTGTTTGCGTTTCGGTCCAGGAGGAATTCCACGATTGCAAGGCGTCTCGGGCAGCCTTGGGATGAACGAACAGCATTCCATAGCGCTGTGTGCTTCTTCTCGTCTTGGAAATCAATGTTGCTGCGGGGGAAATCAAGAAACGCCCTGATCGCTGTTTTATTACCGCAATATGCGGCATAAGTGAACATTCCTCCCAATGTTTCAACCGTGGCCTCGTCCAAGGTGTCTGAGCCAGCTTGCTGAGAGGACCGAATTGCTCCAAGGAGGGTGCTGAGAATTTCATCATAGTCTCTGTATACTGCTGTGGCGAGTGCGGTGTCAAACCACTTTGGGATAGCTTGGAGTTCGGTGAGATTGTGTTCTATCAACTCCTTGATTCCTTCGAGATCTCCGTCGTTTGCTGCTTGCCCAAGACATCCTAGCAGAAGACGTCGTCGTGAAGCTGCCTCGCAGCCAATCTCAGCAGACCTCTCCATCTTTTCTGTAGATATCAATGCATCTGCTTCACTGTCGCATGGGAGCTGGTTGCCAGCGTTGGTATGCCGAGCCGTCCTGTTCCAAGGGACTCGGGTTTGCTTTATGAGGCGAGTTCGTGGTGGTTGGAGGGACTGGGTCTTCGCATAGGGAGAAAATAAGCACAAAATATAAATATATAGGACCTTTCGGTCACCACCTCAGGCAGATTCCCGCGTTACTCTGCAGTTATGAAATTTTACTTGTGCGCGTGAAATTTTTTGTTGGATTCTTGACCGAATGTCAACAAAGACAAAAGCACTACCATTCTTTAACTAAATAACCAACTAGCTAGCTTCAAGAAGCAATCTGATAGGCTATCCAGCAGCCTCATGGACAGCCTCGTTTGTATCGTGAAATCAATCGTGGGAATTATCAAATGCATCTGCCAGCAATGACAATATTCAGTCTAACTAGTCATTTATCTCCTACCCAAGCCATATTGGCGACAAAGATTGAAAAACATCTGCCACCTGTAGCTGTTCTATATAACCCGAAATCTAAGCTAGAAAGCCCAAAATCAAAATTAAAAACCTCTACGGGCCAGTCTGTACATTAAACAACCTGCCCTCCGCGTCAGTAGAATCGATAGCCGATGTCATGAAGGCCAGTTCCTCTTCGGATTTTGGAGCAGCGCCAGGCTTCGTCTCTGCTCGGACGAAGACGGGCAGGACAGACCCTGTCTGCAGTGCAAAGTCTCGATGGCCGATAGCATTAAGAATAGACCTGATAGCCCCTCCGTGGGCCGTGAAGGACATGAACGTGCTGCTGTCGTGGATGAAAACATCATCGAGCAGCTTCTTTAGTCGAATATCTCGAGCTGAGTCGGACTCTCGAATTTCGGGATCCCACAGAGGGTCGGTGGGTGAAAAGCCTTGCTCGAACTTGTAGGTTGGATACGTGCTTTGGATGTATTCCTTTGAGCTGCGTCTATCGCATGTATGGACTCCGATTGTTTCACGGAGGAGCTAGTTATGTGATTGTTTAGACACCATGCATTTGCACGGATGGTAAAATACAGAGTTCACTTACCTCCTTTACAGTTGGGACAAATGGCTTGGAGTGAGGAAGCTGAAGGTCACCGAACGTGATCTTCGCCGTAGCAAGGCATCGATCGAGTGGGCTGGTATAATACGCCTCCGGAAGGGGGACGGAATGCTTCATCTGAGCAGCCCAGGTATCTCGAGCCACTTTCGCTTGGCTTATCCCTTCGTCGGTAAGATGGGCATCAGCCCATGATATGGTTCCGTTGCCGTCCAGTTTACTCCAGTAGGACTAGCAAGAATCAGGTCACCACGCAGCCCAAAGCATGCATCACCTTGGAAGAAGATGATATACATACATCCCAAGAAGCGGTCCCATAAAAGGCTTCGGCCACATTATGGAAACCCTGGCCGTGTCTCCCTAGAAAGAGAACTCCGAACCGAGTATGCGAAGCGGCCTGTTCATTCAGGGAGCGGACCTTGTGTTCAAATCTGGCCCACTGGGGCTTCTCACGGTTTGGATCAAAGGCCTTGTCCGTATCGTAGACTTGATCGATCAGTCCGAAGCCCGACTTTGCCTGTATCTCAAATATAAGAATCCCATCAGCTGGACAAGGAAGACAGAGCCGCATACATAGTCAAAGGCGCCAGGATCGGTTGCTGGGTCATCCTGCAGGAAATAGCCCGGCACCGTAGAATATTCGATGTGCGAGAGATGCGCAGACTCCCCCATTGCGAGTAACGGGAGTGAACCAGCTAGGAGGGCGATGCGCAGAAGGAGAGAGCTGGACGCGAAGACCATGCTGGATCGGCCTCGAGGTGGGTTCGCGGGGTAGCCGGGCGCTTGATGGAGTGTCTATTGACTACCAGGTCCTAATACGAGTCCATGAAAGACCCAAAAACCGTCATAAGTGTGATATAAAAGGTGAGACCGATGCTTCCGGCCTTTCAATTGCTGCGACTTGTTAAATAGTCAAAGTCGAGCGTTTTCCCCCAAGGTCGAGAATCGCGCCAAGGCCGACAGGATCTGTCTTATAATGCACAAATATCTAGCCTGTCTTCTAGTGTTCTCAATATCGTGTCTATTTCTGGTCTATAGGATGGAGTAATGTTGTCAGGCTTACTAGGTATGACTACGAGGCCATTCATGTTCATGAACAGGGAACGGCGGTCTCAAGGAATGGTTCTTTTGATTAGATCTCAGCGTGTGTAGCTAGGTGTACCCTGTACTATAAGCTCTAAACATGTGAAATGATAAATGTGTATATAAAAGTAAGGGCGGTGGCCATTGCGATGGTCCACGATCATCACGCCGCAGACTCCAACAGAGAAAGTAGGATACAGAACGCTTCAAAGGAATGGGTCCGGGAGGACATCAAAACATGGCAGAGCAGAAACTGGCTGAGAGCGAGACAGATATCGTCGAAGCGAATCCGTCTCGAGCTCCATCAGCTGGGCTTCTTGCCCACAAAAGATTATAACAAAGTACCTTTATACATTGCCGATAGCACGAGTATGCTCATCCATACAAAGCACCAAAGGGCAAATTCATGTTGGCGGGAGGTGGTGTGTTTTTGAGCCAAAGATACGCTGTTGGCGTACATTTGTAAGAACCAGCGTAGGCCGTGGTACGCAGGTGAGATAACGGCTCTCGATGGCCGAAGAACAATAGGTGATATCGATTGCAAGAGCCCTTCAAGAGTTCTATGCCGATTGATCACCTGTTGGAAATAGACGGAAGAGTGTACGAAGCGTGTCTCGGGTAAGAGATGCGTCGATACGTTGGCAAGGCCGTCGTTGAGAGTATGTGTCGAAGGGTTCCTTGACGGTTGCGTCATGCAACAATTCACGTTACTGCATTTAGAGCAGCTCTGTCGTTTCTGGCGTTCGCTAGAACAGTTATTGTCATGTGGCCATGACAATGTTTGTTGCGGTGCGGTCGTGCCATTGGCATCGCTGACTCTGCCATTCTTTGCAAGTCGAAGAAGCGATGATTGAAGAAGCGGTGATTGGGATGGTGATGGTTGACAAACATTCGTTCCATCGGGGAATAGGAACATTGAAGAGTTCCTGACGGTGGCGGGTTTCGGGTCTCGGCTGAAGAGGCTGCGGTTGGCCGTATTCCAAAGTACGCTGTCAATATGATCGCGTGCGTGGTAGTCCGCTATGCTCCTGTCTTGCGACGTGCTGTCGGAGCAACCCGGACGAGGACAGCGTGAAGAATTGTCAGGGAGACGTCCCTGGACTTCAACCGAGCCTTCTTTGCATGTCCTCTTCGGACTGGTGGTTACTGGCATAGGAGAGTTTCGACCGCCGTAAGAGCCTCCGGACTGTGATAGGCCAGTGTCTTGAGAATTGCCTATATCATGGCCTGGTGCGTGGGCGTGATCGAGTCCGCCTTGTTTCTGTAGCAGTCGTTCGGATGATACGTTGGTCCTGCCAGCGTCACTGTTCCCAATGCCGCCGACTCTGTCATTCCTAGCCAGGGCTGTGCCATTATGGCGCAGTGCGGGCCAGATATCCTCTCCGGACGTGGGTGAGAGGGAGGCGCGGCCGACGGTACCGGGTTTGCTACGCCGAAGCGACGTCGACTTGACGCCATTGGCGCCTGGCCTAACGCCAAGCTTGGTACCAGGGCCGGTGCCCGTTTGGAGGGCTGTGGTGGTAGCCGGAATCGTTCTATCAACGCATGTACACTATAACCAATTAGCCATCGACTCAAGGATAATTAAAAAAAAAAAAGTGAAGGGGCTGCTTACTCGTTTGTGTTGCTTCTTGTGCTTTTCACAAGCACCCTGGTTGCGGACAGCGAGGTATCGCTGACGCTGGGTTTCCGTCCGTGGACGATGTCTTCTTGGGAGGGAGGTTGCGGCGTTCATGTTGAGATCCATGACGAGCTCAACACCGCCGGGATGAGGAGCGGGAGGGGAGGGTTGCTGGGATTGAGTTTGGGAGCGGGATGGCTCCGTGGCAGGAGACCGTGATGGCACGGAAGATCGACTGGACTGGGGCTGGGAATAGAACTCGACAAAGGTCTCCGAGGGCGAGCTGGAAGAGGAGAACCCGTTGCTGGTGGAGAAGCTGCTGCCACCGGACGAGCTGCGTTGGCTGGACATTGGCACCTGAGCGGGGTCGAACCAGGAGGCTGAATCGTCTACGGCATCGGCCACGTTGCAGGTATTCCGTAGATCGAGGTAGAGAGCAATAGAGGCGTCTCTCTGCTTCTGCTTGCGAGAGATCGGCCGTGGGTCGGCCGCGGCTCTGGCACGGGCGAGATCCTTGAAGGCAGAGGCGACCTGCTCAAAGGCCAGCTGGCAGTGATCTCTAGCCGGGGTTGGGGCCGCCTCCACGGCCGCCAGGGAGGCATCGAAGGAGGCCTCGAAGGAGCCGAACGAGCTGGCATTGAACGCCATCTCGTTGGTGGGGTAGAGTGGAAGATTCGACGAGATGTTCAGGGCATCCGGAGAAACGGTGAAGTTGCTGCTGCTGCTGCTGGCGGCCTGGCCGTCAAGCGGGAGAGAGCAGTCGGCGAGCAGGGAGTCGAAGGCGTTGGGTGTAGCGTGCGCCAGGGCCGCGTCGACGCCGACGGGGATAGAGTCGATGGAGTCGAAGGAGTCGAAGTTGTCCCAGGAGCTGGGAGCAGCCATCAGACTCTCGTCTAGCACGCCGTCCATCCACGGCTCCAAGGCGGGCTCGTTGAACATGGGCTCCGCGTATCCATGGCCGTCTGGGGTGACCATATCCGCCATGCGCTCGTCCGTTCGAGCGTACGCAGCGTAGGCTGGTTGTGCAGACATCTGTCTGTCTGTCTGTCTTTTCTGTGTCTTTCTGTATCAACTACTGGGTATTAAGCGTGAGACGAGTATCTGTCAATTGGTGACTGTTGCTCATGCACTGCAACGCTGACTCGACTAGCGTCGGAGCCTGCTGGCCTGTCCGCCTGTACCGCCTGTACTGACTGAGAAGCTGAGATGCCTGAATGATGCCTGAGAAGATGATGAGAAGACGATGAAGATGTAGATAAAGATGAAGAAGAGAAGAAGAGAAGAGAGAGCGAGATAGAAATCGCGGAGGTTGAACTTCTTTAACTTCCTGCGCCTGGTCCAAGCCCCAGGAAATCGCCCAAAACGGAAGTCGCCGCCAACATTCCCGACTCGCGCTAAACTGCTTTGGGACTCCGACGGGCGCGGGCAGCAGGTACCGCTACTTATACACACACTTAAAAGTTGATAAAAAGTAAGTACCAGTACATGATCCTTCAGCCTCATCCATCTATATAAAAACACCTATAAATATGTTCATATCTATGTCCATGTCTATGTATAAGTGTACGATGAGAAGGAATAGGAGACGAGGTTACGGCTGGCATCTGATGGCGCCCACGGTGACGGGCTCCCTCCCAAAGGACACCTCCATCGTGGAAAAGGCGTCTCCCAGCTTCTGCTCGCCCTGCGCGTCCCCGAAGAGCTGGCACTTGACCCCGTTTCCCGTAGACACCACCATGGCCTCGATAATGCTGCCGCCCAGCTTGGACGGCCCTGGCGACGGTCAGCCAACATGCCAGCCAAATGACCTATAGAAAGACGCTTACCTGTCTCGAAGAGCTCGTTGAGCGGGACCTCGTCCTTGGTAAAGTCGGCGAAGCCCGTTCGAAACTGCACCACCGCCGTGGACGCCGTCTCCTTGCCCGAGTCTGCCTCTTCGTCCTCCGTCGGCGCTCGCAGGCCAGGTCCCTCCAGGTTGTCCATGTCTCGAGAACATAGGAAGGACCCGATCTCTACCGGCTCCGAGTCGCTTTCCGTGAACACGGCCGTTTCTCCAGCAGTAAAGACACCTCCCAGCTCGTCTCGTCCGACCGGCCCGCTGAAGGCCTGGCAGTAGACGCCCTCGACGTCGACACTGGCCGAGAAGCCGCGTGATACGCGGACTAGACAGGAACAAAAGTTGTTAGTCGCGGATTCAAGGAGCAAGGAGCTTGGAAGAGCGCGGACGGACAGTGGGTTCTTTCCAGCTCGTCGAGGTCCGCGACCAGGCTAGAATAAGTGTCGGGTCGCTCGATGAGCACCTTGATCTGGAACAGTTCAGCGGCAGACAGTGCCGCAAGGCAGGAGACAAGAAGTAGGATCTTCATCATCGGCAAATTCAACCACGCGAGAGCAAGTATCAAACCTGATACTTGGAGAAACGATTTCATCACGACATGAAATCAAGCAGGACTATCCTTCACACGCTAGGAGGCCTAGCTTTTCTCCCCTTCGATTCATATCAACAGCAAAATGGCTGAGCATGCTCGTATTCTCCAGGAGAAGAACCACCGTCGATGTTGCGGCTCCACAGCCAGCTCCTTTTTCATGGCTCAGCTCTCTCCTGAGGCGCGTTAGGCTTCATCTAGTAAGGTGAGTTCATCGTCGACCTTTCTTTGCTTCTTCTTCCTCCTTCTTTTCTTTTTCAATCCTCCGTTTTTATATTTAGAGCTTTGATCACGTGAGGGAGCCGTGTTCGCGTTTTGACACGACATGAAGATATCAAGATGAAGATACAGGAAAATACGATGATGATGATGACGACGGCGACGATGATGATACCATGGAGAGATGCATTACTAGTATGGAGTACAGCAGGACGATGACGGATTCAAGACATTCACTGATGTACTGGTGGTTTCTTTCACGTCCCTCCGTGATGCCGGAAGACGGAAGCTGTTCATTGAATGTCTCCCGTACATGGTATGAGGATTCTAGTCACCGATGTATGGTAGGCGAACTATTCCCTCTCTACAGTCATCCGGTGAATCTGAGGATATCGCTGCGGGCAACAAAGCGGACTCCATGACGTGCTGCGATTTTTTATCATTGAATGAACCTGTTTCTGGCCGTTTGCTCGGGGAACTGTGAATGGAGGCCGCATACTCACTGCTGAGCCAGAAATGCAGAAGCCTGTTGGTGACTGTGTGCATTAACTACGCCCAGTCTCTCAGTGACGGAGAGGCAGTCCCGCGTGGTATATAAACCCCGGTCTCTCCCCAGAATTCCTCCTCTCCTCCAACTTTCTTTCTTATTTCTTCTCCATCTCCAGGCCATTTATTTACTCATATATCTATTTCTATATACATTACATTTCAAACCCATACTTCGTTGGACCACCTTGTCGTTTTATATACTTGGAACACTCATTTTGAATATATGGTGTCTTCCCTGCGTTGACTCGATCCCCGTATGCATAATACCTATCTCTTTCACCACTGGCAGAGTACCTTTGACCGCCGCCATAATACATTACGCTTGATTCAAAGACCGCAGACCCTTCTTGAGGTTACATACTACATGTCATACGAGAAGACTCTGCAGGTTATGCCATATCCAACGCCTAGCTATCAAAGCGGTATGCGTTACCAAGGACGGAGGGGCTCCCGTTGAATAACCACAGTCACGCGGCGATTTAACTGCCTATACTATTAACCCTTGGGTCATCCACCGCCTCCACCGACTCAAGTGTCTCCCCTTTGATGTCGTATTCATCATCGACAAACAAGCAGTGGGTGGTGCAAAAAGTACCGAAACAGCTCCGGCACCCTGTGTTGCGAGACATATGAGGTTCTCAATTCCAATTCCTCAGAAGGTCGCCGCGTGCAAAAGGTCAGATGTCGCGTTGATATCCTCAGTTCTTTCGGCACAACTGGCGGATACATTTACCGGGTTGTCTAGTTGTTGTTTTGCGTCCTTCATACCCGCCATCTGATGTTGGACCACAAGGGATAAAAAGGCCTAGTGTCCAATGGAAACCATCAGCTATAGGAACGAGTCATACCAGGCACAGAGAACCTGATATCTGATTCTGAAAGAACACCAAAATGGGCTAACTGATTATACCCTTACACGAAGGGTAGTATTTGTCCAGCATCAATGCTATTTCTCAATCCGATGAAGAGGTTTCTGCAATTTGGACGGCCAGAGTGCCGGAAATCTTTATATGGCGGCTAGTATACCTTTTGTCGATCAACCGCCTGCGAGCTCGTCGATATCTGCAAGAGAACCCTACGCTGTCTTCAAGTTAATCAGTATACGCTCCTCTCACCTTGGAAAAATAAGACCGGCTCCGATGAGCATAGCCATCACCACCCGGAAATGTGTCTTCACCAAAACAACAAAAAGAAATCCTAACAGTAGAAGACGAGCAAATCGTCAATGGATTCTTAATCGCATTCCATGCAACTCTATGTCCGCATGCCTCTCTGTTGGAGTATGCCCGTGGCCATGATAACAAATGCCAACGAATCTCCAGCAAGCCGAATTAGGGTGGTTATGAGGATTTTTTGATAAACTCCAAGTCAAAGCTACTATCCAGTGTCAAATTCTCCTAAGCTTCAGTGCCTGCTTCGGCTATCATGCCCTAGTCTGCTAGAAAACTCGATTTTTGCAGCTAGCCCACGGTTGACCTTTATGGTTCTGGAGCACATCAACTATATCGCCATCCAAACATGCCACTCTCTTGCCAACGTTCAGAATCGATAGAGCCTTAACCTATGCAAACGCCCCCTCCCAAAAGATTTTGTGGACGGGCTAACTCTCGTCCCTGGCTGTCCGCAGCTGTGGTGTTCACCCGACGTTACGCCCAGCTACAATCATATACTGGCTAGCTGCTCATCGAGTGTCTATCACATTGGTAGCATGTCTTGGTTTCGATCCAAGGTCCTCCGGGTTATGACCTTGCCTATAGTCTTAGGCTCTGCGGCCTACGCTAATATATAACCTCTATTTCCATTTCACTCGTTACAAAGATGGCAGATTCTTATAAGATTGGAACCGAGATTGAGGGCCGTCGCTCCTCGATCGACAGAGGGATTTGCGCAGGCGTTGGTAGCCACCAGGACCAGCTTACCAACGGGAATGCCACAATTTACAGGTTCATAATTGGTTATAATATACCATTCACAGATGGACAGATAACCCGTATACCATTTCGCCGTCGGTTGGAAAGCTGTGTCATCACGAAGCAGCAGCTTTTCGCTTCACCTGAACTGCCCGACTGGCGCCATATTGCCATCGCTACCGACTCTCGTCATATCAATAATATTGCACACATCCTCCAGTCGAACATGCCCTAGTAGAGCTTAGGGATAGACAACACTCCAGGGCCTCCCTTGTACAACCGCTCTGCCAGCAACATGGGATTCACAAGGCCGACTTAACCACATCATTGTGGTGGGAGGAGCATCTAGAAGGACCAACATCCTCCTTTAAAGACAAAACAAGCGACTCAGGCCATTGACAATAAGCAGACACTCGGTTTCAATGGTAATGGTGTCAGGCTATGCATAGTAATTGACACTAAATCGGGATGAATCCCACGAAGGTTTTCAATTGGATAGACAATATTTATTGCATCGCTCCCAGAAAAGTTCTATCTGACGTGACATGCTCCATCACTACGTCCATCAACACGCTTTACTGGGGTAGCACGTTCAGTATATTACATTAGACGTCCAGCCATTGCAGCGAACCTCCAAGAAATCCCTGTTATTATCAAAACTATCTAGGCATGGACGAGGCCATGCAACCATGCCAGACCATACAACAACGCCTCGAGACGACAGTCAAAGAACTGGTTTTGGATATCCGTACGTACTAGATTCTAGCCGGGCTGAGAACTGCCCAGATGGACCTCAGCCCTAAGCTCACCCCGGGTTGAAATGTACTAACTTGAATATAGGAGCTATTACGGTAGAGAGGACGCCGACGACGACACCCAGAAAACGGAAGGCCGCAAAGGCGCCCCTCTCCCAAGAGTACGTCAATGAATCAGATGAAGAGTCGGACGTTGCCACGCCGGGGGATAGTACAGACAACTTCCTGCAGTTAGGTACATTGATGGATGACATGGGCAAGCACGGTCCTACAGCAGGGGCTGGGGTTGGTAGCATGGCCCTTTTCTGACGAGGACGCGTCGGGCTTGTCTGACCCCAAGTCTACGGGCGACTCTGAGGAGAACCACGCAGACGATGATGCCGTTGATGGTGTCGATGATGGTGTCGATGATACCTTTGACGATACTTGCCAGACAAGCTCATAGGGGGTAGGCATCGTTTTGGGAGCCATTAAGCAGCCCGACAAGGTCGAAGATTTGATTAGCGACAAAAATTTCCTCGCTATCGAAGAAAGACCTAGGAAAGCATTGGCCGTGGAATTAGATTAAGGACGGCAAGCGAAGACTAAGGACGGCGGATAATCTAGAAGTAATATTGTGGCCGAATCTGCGACCTACGGTGATTACGGAGCGTCCTTTTATTACGCTTACACTATTCGAGAGCCCTGCGCTGTTCCCCCGGCATCGAGAGCAGAAATGGCTATTTATATGGCGAAAACCAACCCTAAATTCTGCTATCTCGTCAAAATACTGTTAGAGAAAAAGAAGGCTGGGCAGCGAGTCCTGGTCTTTTTCAAATCTCCTATGACCTTGTGGCTTGGGGACATTGAGAGCTCCAAGTATAGCAACCCATGGCCCCGATTTCGCTCAGAGTCAACGTGATCCCTTCGCCTCAGAGAAAACTCGACAGTACACATCAATCTGTAACTCGAGAAGTTAAAGCACAGTATAAATAATCCTAAGTATGCCTACACCACTCAACAATATATTAGGTCCGAGAAGCTTCAGAGATTTAGCGGTGTAAAAAGAACTAAGACCTGGCTTAAATTACTTTTTCTGCCCTTTAAAGAGATGTAAATAAGTACATGCTCGCCCAGCGCACGGAATGAAGGACTGGACATAAAACTAAATATTAAAAATTAGAATACAGTCCATGTGAAAGGACAATGCTTTTCCCCAGAATATACAAGGTGTCATTGGATCAATGTAAAGATTTGATAAAATAGACAACAACATCGTGGGGTTACGCATGTGGACACCCGAAAACTCCGTATCTCTGACATGACCCATTTAAAGCTTCGTCTGTTTTAAATCCAAGGCCAAGGCTGTTTTTTTTTTCTTTTCTTTTTTTTTTTTTAAATAAATTTGCTTGGGTAGATATAAACCGTATAAAAGGCCGCAGCCATTCGTGGAGTCCCGTCCCTCTCGCCAAAGCAGCCGCGGTGGGATAAGGGGAACCTTTATACTTGGGACATTGTTGGCGCTTGAGGACGGTTGGGCGAGCCACGCTGGCTGGTGCGGCCTCCGCCACTCCCACCCCCAGAAAAGCGCTCCTTCACGCGCCAGAGGGAATATAGGGTGGACAGTAAGAAGGTAAACCACAAAAACCATAAGAACGCGGTAGCCGCCTGTCCCTCACGGCAACGCTTCTCCGGATAGTTGGAGCCGCTGGTTACTGGATTGTTGGAGGTATACTCCTATTTACAAGGTCAGAGCTAATTCGAAATGATAAACATCATCTTTTACGTACCTCGTTGGTGCAACTATGCACACGCTGTTTGGCAGGAAGGGCAATGGCTCCGGCAAAGGCGAAGAGGCAACACAGGCCGTCGATGATAAGCATCAAGATTGGGTGGAACATGACCTTGTCGCTAAGAGACGCTGGGATAAGGTATAATAGCGATAGGAGGACGAATGCCGGCACAAACAAATTGTAGTTTACCACGGACGAGCTTCCATGTAGTGCATCATCGATCATGTTGCCTATGAGGGCCATAACGATAGTCGCAAAGGCCAGCTACAAGGAGGAGCTTCATTAGCAAATTTTCGATAGCAGAATCAGACATGATATACCTGGATGAGCCGAAGGATCACGCTGCCCATTTTTGCGGCGCCAGACATGGTGAAAAGCTAGAGAGCGTTCTTTTAATCGGAATAGAATTGGTTCTGGTCAGTATGGCTGACTGCGATCTCCCTCGTTCGCTCAAACCGGACGTGACGAGTAAATGAGATGATACAATGGAGAAATTTGACGTTAACAACTTTGAAGTAAAGATAGAATAGATATAAGTCTTGGTCAGTACTATGGTTGATGGCCAGTGCATGAGAGAATGGGAAAGAGGAAGCTGCCCCAAAGTCATTTCGAAGGAAATAGAAGACACCCCTTCCGGTCACACCGGATCGACGTCATACGGCTCCTTTCCCCACAGGCCATTTGTTTAATTGCAAGCAGAAAAGAGTTCATACGATCAACTCTGCCTCATCTAGACCGAGTCCGATGGCCACGGTGTTTGCCGGCGCAACGAGTTGTATGTCCGTTAGCCGCCAGCGGGCTCCACTCCCTCTTCGGCTGTTTGTTTTTTCCATGAGTTAAAATCGACGTCATCAACGGTCAACTGATGTCACGTGCTAGACCCTTAAGAAGTTGCGTTGCTGTGAAAAGTTTTGTTCATTGATTCATATAGATACCTAGGCAGAGAGCTCTGGGGAGTAAAGGCCAAAATAAGACGACAGGTATAGATAGGATATATATCAACTAACGACCGCCAATTGCGCGACTAGGTCGGACGCCACGTCCAAGAAAGGATAAGGACTCGTCACCTCTTTCTCCTTGTTTCGTATCCGTTTGCTGATTGGCCGCCATTCTGTGGTGTTGTTATTGTCATGGGCGACCTGGATGACATTTTGATAGCCATCGCATTTGAAGTCTACCATGTAGTTCTTTGACTCAATCTGGTAAAGCTGGATATCGATGAATACCCATACCCCATAGGCAAGAAGTGCAGGGTGTGAGGAGTGAGCTGATGATATTGCGGCACCAGCAGTGCCAGCTGCTGTGGCAATCGCTGAAGCCGAAGCAGACGTCTTATCCTCTGAGTGTAATATGCCACCAATCAAGCTGACACGGCGTCGGAATTCTTCGAGATCACTGCGACTAGAGTGAGCGCTGCTAGATGGACCCGGAGCTAGGACTCCTTGCTTCAATAGCCGAGCGCGAATAAACCATAAATCCTTTGGGATATAGTAATCTGCTGGCAAGTCAGGGTACTTATGTTGAAGCACTGGGGGCAGTTCAGCAGTCATCTGTGGGGTTCTTCCACCATCTGAGTCATTCACATCTAAAGTAATGTTAGCACACCTGCTATCGTTGTCACATCAACGGGTTGAACTCACCAGACTCTGCCGGCTGAATTTCCCAGACACCCCCTTCCGCCTGGAGGGCTTTATAGAGACACAACATCGCCTCATATGGTTGGTTCCTGGATCGTATGCCAAACTGCCATTTGCGAGAACGTTTAGGTTGAGGAGCAGTCTGTGCCATAGTGTTGGGTTTCTGGTACTGAAGCTTGTCTAAATCCACTTTGCTGCGCGAGTGAGGCCTAAGGGACCGAGCAGTTGCCGCTTGTTCTTCAGGGGAGCGTTCTTTGTTTATATCACTCTCGGATTCCTTATTTTCTGGCTGCAACGACCGACCACGGTTTTCCTCTGATGATTCGCCCTCTTCGCCTTCGCCGGGGGGAAGTCTTTCCTCCCGTTGCTTCATTATTTGGTCATGAACGTAAGGCAAACTGGTCGGTAGGATCCGTACATGGCTAATCCGCGGTGTATCTTCTGTCCCACCAAGCGAAGAGGTTTGGGAAGGTATCGTTGGAGAAGACCTCGTCTGGTATGGGGTTAGTGGAGCAAGGGGTGAGTCTTGAGTGCTAGCCTCTAGGGCGGGGCTTTGCCCTGAACGATGAGCGGGAGATGCATTGCTCCCGAAGGGAGGAATGGGTTGTTGACCCGGCTCGTTTTCAGTTGGAGCTTATACCATGTTAGGGATCGAGAGTAAGTCCAGGCTAATTAGGAAGGGGAACTCACAGTTCGTTTGCATCATCTCATTCTCGACCACAATAAAGAAGGCATCCTTAATCGCGCTAGGCTCCGGTTTTCGCAAAGCATCTTGGATATCATCTTTGCCATAGCCCATTCTGCGTTCAAGTTTAATTACTGCATTTTCATGAATGCGTTCCTGCATCGCAGCGGATCTTCCAGGAGCAATTTTGCGGGGGTCAATCGCTTTATTTGGGTCCGCACCAGTACCAACAAAGTCCTCGACAGGGGGCTGTAAATATTTGGGGAGACCCTTTAGGAACCACGGATCTTGCCGGATCTCAGGGATGGAGATTCGATGAACAGGATGCACTTGGAGCATGTGCCTAATAAGATTTGCAGCACCGGCAGATATGTATGAGGGCATGTGGAAATTTCCAGCCGAGATCTTTTTGAACAGGGAGGGAATGTAGTCGTCGTCAAAAGGCAATTTCCCTACCAAAAGCACATACAGAATGACTCCACAACTCCATACGTCGACTTCAGGGCCAGCGTATAGTTTACCAGAGATAACTTCGGGCGCGGCGTAGTTGGGACTACCGCAACTCGTTTTCAAGAAATTTCCATCAGTCATGATATTGCTCAAGCCAAAATCAGCGATCTTCACATTCTTATCCTTGTCAATAAGAAGATTTTCTGGCTTAAGATCTCGATGCACAATTTTATGGCGATGACAATATTCAACAGCGCAAATAATCTGCTGGAAGAAGATTCGAGCTTCGTCGTCATTGCATCTTCCTCTCTTTACCAAGTAGTCAAACAACTCCCGTTCTGCATATTCCAATACCATCACGATATCCGTCTTCGTCGCAATCACGGTATACCTACCGCAGCAAAGTCATTAGTATGATTTTACGCCTATATCATCCTCGTATATGTATGCCAACTCACAGTTTGATAATATGGGGATGCCTTAATAACTGCAGATACTGGATCTCCCGCTCGACTCTCCCTACCATGTCCCTCGACTGCAGTTTCCGCCTCGGTATGATCTTGAGCGCAACCGGCCGCCCACTAGCTCTATGAGTAGCGAGCTTGACCTTTCCAAACGTCCCTTCACCTAGATTCCTGACTGCGGTATACTGGTCCAGCCGCTGCATGTCTCGGGCGGTGGCAGGAGACTGGTCGAGTCTCTCCGAGCCATGCCGTGGCGGCGGCTGCGGTATGTTTGGGTGGCCATGAGGGTTTCTGTTCCTATTCTGCTCGTATGAAGGAAGGGAGATCGAGAGATCCTCGTCGTCGAACGCTGCGGACATGGTGGAATCGGTGCAAGGAGTGTGTTGTGGTTTATCGGCGACTTCGCTAAGGAGAGCTGGCGTTGCTTTTAGACTGGTGTCGCTGCACCGAGGGTATATTCGATTCCCATTGACCGGAGCCTCGCAATGAGCTGGTGATGGCGCGTGGTTGACTGTTGGTGCTCAACGACTTGCCATTGTAGGCAGAGGTAAACAATGGCAGCAACCAAGGTGCCAGGGACGTTCGACCACGGATCGTTGCAAACGGTCGTTCAAGATATCCCGTGTGTGTTCTTCTTGCTATACTGATGCTCTCTCTCTTCCGCGTCGTGGTGGTTGTTTCTTGCGAGCAGGCAGAGCAACCAACGCCGACGCCGACGGTTTTGGCTGCAACTAGGGACCCCGCTATAAGTCAGACTTAGGGGAGTCTAGCCTGCCCATTATGGCAATTAAGAGTGCTTAGTCATAAGGTTATGTGCATATTCTTGGTTTCCGCTGTCTATTTTAACACAGTCACATGACTATAGCCCCGCGGTTTTTGGTAACTTGCTCTCCTTGCACCTTTTGCACTTGATACCAAAAACAATCCGAGGAGGAGGACAGATAGCAGTTAGTCTAGGTTAGGATCTCTTTTTCAGGGGAATCCTCGTTGGCAGCTTTGCGGAATACAGGGTATGCGGGTAGCCTAGCCAAAAGACAACCTATTCGCTCCTTAACAGTTGGGATGATATTGTATAGACGAGTAGCTATTCTAATATTGCTCTGCATAGGCTAAGCATTGTTTTGTAAATACGTAGAGAACTATGAAAGGATTGTAGCCAGGATGTGGCTGACAGGGCGTTTAACTCTCGTCCTGTAAAACCCCCAATCTCCGACCAGCCCTATAGATCAGATATCAACCCTAACCATTAACCAATCCCCTCGGAGCTCGATAAAGAAAGTAGTATATCACATATATACGCTTCAGCTCTCTTGCGATGTCTGATCAATCTGCTGGAACGCCGCGAGTGTACCTCTGTCGCCATGGTAGGCAATACCCCCCCGCCAACCCCTTAGGGATATCATGTACAAAAGTACGCGCTCTAACGGGATCTAGGGGAAACCGAATGGACCAAGAATGGCCAACATACGGGGAAAACAGATATCGAACTCACCGAGAGAGGCAGGCGGCAAGTCCAGGCATCGGGGAATATACTCGTCGGCTCCAATAGATTGATCGATCCCTCCAAGATAGCACATGTTTTCATCAGCCCGCGCAAAAGAGCATACCTCACATACGAACTCACAATCACGGAGGCAGATAGGAAAGCCTTGAACGAGAGTGGTCGAGTTTCGAGAACAGACAGGCTGGCGGAGTGGGACTATGGCGATTATGAAGGTATGGTATCGGCGGATATACAGAAAGGGAGAAAAGAGCGAGGCTTAGACCAGGAGAGGGACTGGGACATTTGGAAGGATGGATGCGAAGGAGGAGAGTCGCCGAAGCAAGTATCTGAGCGGGTTGATAGCCTTATCGAGGAAATTCGGCGCATTCAGGGCCCGCATCTCAACGGAGAGAAAGCGTGCGATATAGTCTTATTTGCCCATGGGCATCTGCTTCGCGCTTTTGTGAAAAGATGGCTGAGATTCCCGATTGAGTTTCCTATTGACATGATGTTGGAGCCCGGTGGTGTCGGTGTCCTCAGGTAAGCCTTTTTCTTTGCCATTTCTTGTTCTGGTTTCGTGGTGATATCGATCTGACAAGAGTGAAGCTATGCGCACCACAATATCGAAGAGCCGGCGATTCTAATTGGAATAGGATTCCCAGCCGCTTAAATGCGCCGGCATTGAATCCTTCCCTCCTGAAACTAGCACGAGTCCTATACTAGAAAGAACATTAGAAGAACGATGGGTATACACAGTTCTTGGAAGATATAACAGCTTTGGATTTATTCAATCTCACTCATAATAACTCTCTGGTACCCATGTACCTACACCGTAGTCGTCCGAATAAGGCCTATAGTACATAAAACATCGCCAATCGCCATTCTGCTTTTCCGTCGCTCAAGTTCGTGCAAAGAAAACGTGCCCGTTGCGCATCGCACCAGAAGACGCTAAATGTAACCCTAGAAATGAACATCGAAGGAGGGAAACCCGTATATATAAACACAAATGCAGCTGTGATGAAGAGGAATTTGGGGGAGATTGTCCGTGATAACGCCAGAAAACGCCACGCTAAGTTAATAAAAAAAAATAATACAGTAGGACCGACGGGAGGGGTATCCAGGAGTCATTCCGGTCAAATTGGGTAGACTGGTGTGCGATTGAACCATCACTCGTCATCGTAGTGTCCTTCTTTCTGAGCGCCGTGCAGCCAGACTCGCTTCCACGGGCCCTCGTGTCCAGGCCCGCCCTCGCGGTCTTGCCTCATGCCCTCCACTACGGCAACGATGCCGCCGGTCCGTAGCCGCTCAAGGACGACGTTCATGCCCTGCTTGCTGCGGAATACCGCGTCCCGTGTCCGCTTCACTCCGATAAGTTCGATCGTTCGTTGGATGCCAGCAGTGGACCACGAGGCAAAAAACCCCTTCTTGGGAGCGTCGTCTTCAACCGTGGCATCTTTCTTCGAGCGGCCAAGCATATTCTGCCCTAGTCGAGATTTGAACGTAACCGTGGTTTTCACCGACGTACATTCGCCTTTCAGGCCATCATCTATGCCCAATCCAGGTGCCGACTGGGACGAGGCAAAAGAATCCGCGTCCCCGGATCGAGATCGATGGTAGACTTGCTTTTCCACTACACTGAGAACTCCCGTCCATTCCATATTGCGAGACTCCGTCTGCATCCATCCTTCGTGGACGTCGATGACGCTGGTTTCGAGGATAATGCTCTGTCCCGAGTTATCCGCGCCTCCGATCCCCTTGGGCAGCAGCTTCAGCATCGCCGAGGGGACCTTGGACTTCTTTAAGTGCAGCCGTGTCGTGTGCAGCCGCTGCGTGACCGGGTCGACATACCGGTCAATCACGTCTGAGGTCAAAACATGGCGAGAGTAAGGGTTGGGATAGCGAAGGAAGTATGCTAGCGTGACAGCTGGGAAGGAGTAGTCGTAATTGAAAGTGTTCTCGAAGAACTTCATCGTTTCAACGCATCAGCATCCTTTGAATTGAACAGGCTGCGAGGTGTCGAGGGCCTTATCCAGCGGGTTTGCTCTTGGTCGTGCTCGTCTGGTTGTGTTTCTGCTTCTTCTCGCTCCGAGATCTCGTGCTTTCTTCGTCCTTTTTTCTTCTTTGGGCGTCCGGATGCGCTAAACCGTATTTGGCAGGAGAGCGGGGATGATGACTAAGTGTCACGTGTAGAAGGCTAATACTCACGTGATATAACGGCTCCTTTTGAGCCTGAACTACATCTACTACATCGATGAACACGATGGACTACACAAACTACGACTTCAAAAACTACGACTTCAAGACCTACATACTCATGTAGAGCTCTGTTGAAAGGACTATACCATGGACTGCTGTGTTTAGTTGCCAGACTTAGGTGTCGTTTCAGCTAATATGCCCCTCCAACCACAGAGAACAACGGTGCTATTATACATTCAAGCCAGGGACGTGGTGTTGAACAGGCGATTCCCGGTGTCTGGTGGTGTCTAGTCGGATTGGTGTAGTAGGAGGTAAAACAGCCTGGCCCAGACGGAGGCTCTTGTTTTCGATGGCGGTGATCAACGCAGCATCCATCGATTTACTTTTAGTCCCCTCATCGCCGACAACGACGATACCTTTGTCCGCCTTCTCCAGCATGCCCAAGCCAAGTGGACTGTCGCCAAATGCCCAAACATTTGCGCCATGCCTATCCTGCAATACACCTACCAAGGCTCCTTTCACGGCAGCCGTGATAACAAACCCGTTCGCAATGCGGCCCCTACCAATGACTTTCACGGTATTAGCCAACCCCTCTCTCTCCAACACCTTTTCCCGCACACGACGTAGGCCACATGTAACGACCACCGACCCAATGTGTTCCTGTTCTGCTGCATGACGAAGTAGACATATAATTTCAGGATATATAGATACTTTAGACGCCACGTTATCGCAAATCTTCTCAAATTCCCGATCGTCGGCTGCTTACTCGTAGAGCAACGTAGCTTGACGGAATGCAGTGTATGAATAGCTTAACTGGCTGAATAGTTCCTTCAATGTAAGACGTTTGGTCCCCAATGGGAGTCAGATATCTTTTCCCAGAACAATGCGCCCGTATCGTTCGCTGAAAGGGTCCTATCCGCATCCAGAACTAGCATCATCAACGGTGAGTGGCCGCCAATTGCTTCCACTAGCTTTTCTTTGGCGCAGTCCAGGTTGTATTCTTCAGTGTGAAGGCGAAAGTCGGATTGCAGCTTTGATACCGTGTTCAGTAAATCTGTCTGGTGTTCTAAAATCATGAACAAAATGCCATGTTGTAGGCAAAGGCTACGAAACTGGGTTTTCTCTCCCTCTTGCCATTGGTGTAGATCAGCATCGGAAACAGACGGGCGGTGTCTATTAGAATCATGAGTGCGGCGTTCAGCCAACGTCTTGGGCGGTATGTTCAAGTAAAGTATATGCCTGAACGTGTTGAGGTCATTGCTGGTAATCACCGGCGGCCCAATTTCGCCTGCCTCGTCGTCAAAGAAGTTGAAATGATCAGTGACTATAGCAGCCTTTCCGGTAAGAACGCAATCCTTTTTGATGGTATCAATGGCTTCCTTTCGCCAGACTCTCTGCCACTCTACATCCAATCCCCGGAATCCAGCCAGGCCTCCAGGGACAATGGCATTAATCACCTCAGAGCCTTCTTAGAACATGAAATACTCTTGCTTGAGTTATGCTTCAACTGGTTTAGCAGAGTCGTCTTCCCAGAACCAGAGACCTCATATATCCCGATAACAACAGGATCTCCTTTGGAAACATGCTCAGTTGCAATGTAACTTCTGGGGCTGGGGGACTGGTTGACTGGTGACTAGAATCCTCCATAGTTTCGAGAGGCAACCGGCGATTGGTAGTGGTTGGCCCTCTTTTCTTCTTTGCCATTTGCTGGGGGGTTGAAGGCACCTGATAGGTAACGGTAAATCCACAGCTTGAGGAGGAGCTTGAGGAGGAACTATGAGAGAAGGGGAAAGTATCCCATGTTGCCAACCCCTTGCCCTACTTTATATGTAGGTATTTGTATTTCCATAAAATTGCAGAGCGATTGGCAAACCAGTTCTCTGTCAAAGATGTGCTAGAGCTCTGTTGTATAACGCCAGAACTAGGGCATACTAAGATACCCTATCCTAATGTCATTCCGGATGTTCGCAGCGATTGAAGAGCGCAAAGGATATCTCAATCAAACGAGCATTCCTCCCCCGTTGTTGGTAGAGCCAGGCAATCCGGAAAGCAACAGGAAATGCTTTATCCCATAAGCTGATGCATTCTCTTACTGTCTGTCAGTACAAGGCGGCCCGAAACCGCCGGCTGAGTGCATTCTGACCAAATCATAGTAATCATGTAGCGGTTTGCTGCAGGTTTGACAAAGGGGTATGAAACGTCCACAAGCGACCTGGATAAGTACATATTCCCAGGCCACTTCTTCTTTTACCCAGTATGGCTTAGAAGCTGCATCAAATGCTCTCTAGCCGTGTTGGCATGTCTGGCAGCCGATGAGTGCTGAAAGGTGTTTGGTGGTCGAAGTGAACATCTCAGAGAACTCTTCCTGGTTCTACTTGGCTGGTTGATCAGCAAAAGACATCTCACCACTTCCAGGCTCTTTTAGCTGAATAACTGCCATCTTAAATCCTCCATATATTTACTATAGCGTAAATAGTTGCAAATAGGATAGTTGAAATATCCACTCGGCACTTTAAACTACGACCGTCAAGCCCATGGCTCCCCGTGTTATTCCAGAGGCCGGCAGTGTGCCACACGTCTCTCGCGACGCGCAAGAGGCCTTCAGGACCCTTAAATCTGGCGGAGTTATCGTCGCGCCAACCGATGTCGGCTACGCACTTATAGCCAGTACGCAGGCTGGTATTGACAAGATTTTTACTGCAAAAGGCCGCCGTGATGGCCATAACATCGGTATCATCGGGACCTACCAGCAACATCGAGAGATACATGTTTTGCCAGAGTCCAAGTTCGAGTTGACCCGCGTCCTGACCGAGGATATGGGAATGATAGTCGGAATCATTGCGAAGTTCGATACCCAGAACCTTCATCCGCGTCTGGCAGCGCTGGATGCTCCCACACTCTCTCAGGTTACAAAGGGAGATACTGTTAGCATCGCCGTTCCTGAAGGGCCCTTCTTGCGGGAGCTCGGCCGGCTTTGCGACGAAGATACGCAGGGCATGCTGATGTTTGGAAGCTCAGCGAATCTTACCGGACAGGGGCAGCGATTTCGCATTGAGGACATTGAGCCAGCCCTGCTTGCACATGTTGATTTGGTGGTTGATTACGGCCTGCAGAAGTGGCATGTTTATGGCCGTGGCGGCGTCAACTTTGATGCTGAGAACATGAAGGTCCTGCGGATGGGGGCCGGATATGAAGTTTTCAGAGACAGGGTCTTAAGATGGTTCCCTCACTTGCTGGGAGACTTGGGTGCCAGCCTTGAAAAGGACCCAGAGCACAGTATCGAGGGTCCCTTGCCGGCAGATCGAATACTTCGTTGAATGGTTGACCAATATCTTAGAACGGTAACCTAACACCGTCCATCGCTTCGTTTTTTACAGAGTATATATTTCTATATATCCTGCACTTAGCCGGCGTCTTCGCGACAATCATCTCTTGATCCTTTTAGTTGTTAAGTTTATTCAGCGTTATGTTGCAAATTGGCATCTCTTGAACGAAAGTCTTTAGTCTGATATATTGGCCATATTTTATTTTTTACAACCTCGAAATGGTCACTTTGAACAGCCGGGTGACGAATCTTACCATAGCCAGTCGCTCATAGTAGCTTCTGGCAAATCGGATGCAGTCGATAGTGCCTATAGCAGCCAGCCATATTCGTTATTACGGAGTACGGAGTACAAATATTACAAATGTGTCTTCATCTATTATATATCAACGATATAATAGCAGCAACCGGCCAAAAAGCGGACTGAGCCATATCTGACCCAAAATTTGTCAGGATTCGGACTTCGGCCCCCAGTTCAGGCACACATATTACGAGACGAGGGATTTTCTTGGGCCCTTATCCTTGCGCCATGTGTCCGTTTTGTTGCTCGAATATTCCCCCATAGTTAGCTCTGACGGCCCGTCTCATGCGAAGCAGCCAGCTCAAAACTCTACACCTGAGCAAAACCAATAACAAAACTTCAATACCAACCCCAGAAGGATCCTGAACTGTTTAGTTGCTACCGTCATGCATATACGAGTGCCTCTTGGCATAAGGCTGCGATTCCTCCATTTGCTAGAAAGGAGATGGTAGTGCTCGTATTGTGGGTCTTTTGATCCTTCGCCCCTGGGCACCGATATAGATTTGTTCAGCTTGTTTATTATTAAAACGGCCGTTGAGTCCTGTATATAGCACCCTGTCCCGTTGAAGGAGTTCTACTCTGTTACTTTCAAAGTACCACTCACTCACAGAACAAAAACCGAGCAGCCTCTAGCACCAGCATTTTGATATCCCGAGACGAGAGATGGCGTCCCTGATGCGCCCCAATATATCGACAATAATAATAGCTGCCGTCGTCCTTCTATCAGTCACAGCGCCGGCCGCAGCACGAACAACAAGCCAATTCCGAAAATTCTTCCCAGCATGGAATGGCTACTTGCTTGAGATCATCGACACTAAATGCAAGGAACAACGCGACCAGTATTATCACCCAAGGAGGATGGTGGCTCTGGCTACTAATATCTATGATCGAGTATCTAATCGCCGGCGCAGTAGTTACCAACATATTCTATCAGGTATATTAGCTAGCGTACTAGTCTATCTCTGTCTCGTTAATTGCGATCTATAGCGGCCTAATATCAGAGACCTACACGCCATTTCTCTAGCTTATACTCCTTGTCCCCGCTTACCTCCTTAGCTTCTAGATACTCAAGTTGCGGTATTAAGCCATCTAATGAGGCTGGGAACTCCAAAAAGCACCCGGGACAGAATTCATGGCTCTAGGCTATCAAAAGGGAGTTTGTGCCTTGTACCATGGGCGGTCTGCTACTCCTGACAAAGGTAGAGAAAGGGCTTCTGTCCGTTGTGGTGTAGTACGCAATAGAGATGGCCTCGGTGGTTGTATTTGTCTTCGGCACAGTGGCCCTATTAAGTAAGATCTTTATTAGCCTAGGCGACGTAGCTCTGGTTGTAGTCCGGTTTATGGTCGGCACTCTGGTCTGCCGGGCCGTCTTGCTGTTCGAGCTGCATGGACTGAGAGAGGTGACGAGCCAGTCAGTAGAGAAGAACGCTGTGTGCGGGAGCTACGAGTCTGTTGGTGCGCAAGATGGGAAGGGTGTTCTCGCTGAGCCGGTTGCTTGACAGGAGAGACTATTCACTACACGAGCCATGGGCAATGAATCAAGATTACAAGAGAATATGAATTAAAGCGATATATAATGAAAAAAAGAAAAATTTAAGCAAATGATCGTTGTTAAACATGCATATTTGAGATAGTTAAATGTATTATGTAAGAAATACCTGACCGGATTATCTATGATACGGAGTATTCACGTGACATTTAACAGCGCGCTATTATAACCAATCAGAGGGCTTCAAATCTTGGACTAACAGGCGCCAATTATTCTTCCCGCTTTGATATCTCTGACCTCGTTGACTACACAAATAATTTCAATCAACAAAAGATAGGCCTAGCTGGAATAACCTGCCCTTTGGTCGGGAGATGCAGTACGAAGTCTGGTGCATAGCTCTAGAATGGAGGAATGTTCCCCCCACCAGGTGAGTACCAAGAGTAGGCGCCCAACCTGGCCAGGGTGTGGATAGCTACCCACTACCTTTAGCATTTCTTCATCTATTTACACACAACGCATTCGGAGGTTTATACGAAAAGTCCAGGCAGGTGATCGCTCAAAGGGGCAGATTTACAGTTAGGAAGGGCAGAATCTCACTGCAATGCAAAGAGCGCCGTCCAACTTCTGGATGGCAGACTTCGCAGCCAGTGCCTGCGATGAAAGCGTACTCCATATTTGCCAAAATGATCACATTCACTGGACAATATGATCTCCCCACGGCATGCTCCCGCTATAATTTTTTACGAGTAAGGCTTCAGAATTGAAAGGTGGGGGCCGGCGCTTCCACGTCTTCGCATTTGGTTTCCTACCAGTCTATTGGTAGACGAAAGGCCCTATCGTCCCGTCTCCCATGCCTTTCGTAAATGGGTGATATTCCTGGCACTACGAAGTCGTTCTGGTTCCTTGCATTGCTAATCGATGAGACGGCATCCCAGCATCTCTGCATACCAATAGGCATCATTCTTGCTGGAGTGTACGCTTAACCCTCTATTCTCACCGCACGTCGTTAAAAGCTTAGGAGCGAGCACTACCGGTGCTACGATCACAGCGCTCTGTTTTGCCCCCCTCCAACGACTTTTATGATGGTCCAAATCAAGCCTTAACCGCCTTCCGATCTGTTTCGGCGTCCTAATATAACTAGTCGACCGTCCCATCTGGTGCTATTTCCCTGATTCTAAAGCAATGGCGGAGACAGCTAGCCTTGTTGTTGGCGTTGTTGCTCTCGCTGGATTATTCAACAACGCCGTTCAGTGTTTCGAGTATGTCCAACTGGGCCATGGGTTCGGCTCCAACTTTCAAATATGCCAGCTCAGGCTAGACAGCGCTCAACTCCGTCTATCGCGATGGGGCAAGTCGCTGGGCTTAGACGTCACGCAACCCCAGCAAACGCTGCCCGATTTCCCTGTGCCCCCGGCAGAAATCAAACTTGCAGAGCGGCTTCTAGGGCAGATTCTAGAGTCATTTGAAACTGCTAGGCTTCGTTTATCCCAATTCAAAGGGCGAGCAAGTCCTAATGATAATGATGATGATGACGATGGTAATCTCGCAACTTTCGACTCCCAAACCCACCTAGAACCGGCCATTAAAGACGCCCACAACGATATGCGCAAGTTAACGATTAATACCCAGAAGCGAGCGACCCTAAAACAGAAGACTAAATGGGCGCTGTATGAGGAAAATGCGTTACGGCAGCTTATCGATAATATTACGAGGTATATTGACGACTTGACCATCTTATTTCCTGCTGCTGAACCACGCCAGCAACAGCTTTGCAAAGCCGAGGCCTCGAATATCAAAGAACACGAAGACGGAACACACCTCTTAAGGGAGATTGCCGCCCGGCAAGACAAGCTACTAGAGGCAATGCTCGTAAAATCCAGCAACAACAACCCGAGGCCACAAGTAATCAACATAAATGTTGTATTTTCCGGATCTAACAACAAAGGCATTCAAATCGGAAGCAACTCTGGTATACAAAACTTTGGTAACGTGACGTTCATGTATGGCTAAAGTGGCTTCCAAGCTTCTCGGCAAACTATTATTTGAGGCCTAGTTAAGGGAGTTGGCTGTTTGGGAATCTACGTAATTCAAGGTTATTCGGGTCATAAATTCAAGCTACGTACACTTCCTTATTCCCTTGAAATTATAATCTTAACTTCCTAGAAAATGAAATAACCATGTGTACACTGATAGTTGTAAGATATTTAACTAACCAATGGAAGCAGAGTTAACTAGCAAGAGGGAGAACTCTTGCCGCCTCCCAGCCAGCTCATCATGCATCCAGGCCTAAAAATATGACAATATAGTAGATCACAGCCATGTTCAAGGCTTCCGTCTCGTAACTACATTTGAAGTGTTTGTACAGAATGGACCATCCTACTATCAGTGCATATTTCTCGGGGGATGAAAATAAAGCGTTACAGTTCGGCCATAATTCCGGTACCGTCAATCACGACGTTCACCACCACTATCAAGGATGTATGTAATAAGTTCTGCGTCGATAGACGTTGCTAATATCGTTCCCCTCCTCTAGCACGGCCGGAAACACCACCTGAACCTAGCTGCAAAATTCCCTTTGATCGTGACAAAGAAGGCTTCGTCGATCGAGAGACAATATTCGATGAGATCAAAGAGAAATCCGAAGCACCAGGTTCTCGGATTGCCCTTGTCGGCATTGGGGGTGTCGGGTAAGCAGGTGAAGGCACTCTATCATTATTACATACTAATATGAGTGAAAAAGGAAATCTCAAATCGCTATTGAATATGCCTACCGTATCAGAGATCGGCTACCTGACACTTGGATATTCTGGATATATGCGAGTAACTCTGTGCGTTTTCAGGAAAGTCTTGAGAAAATTGCCGAACACGCAAAGATTCCTGGCCGGGACGATCCGAAGCAAGACAGCTCGAAGCTCGTTTATCGCTGGCTTTGCGATGAAAAGAGAAAATGGGTTATCATCCTGGACAATGCTGATGACCTCGACTTTCTCGAAGACGTTTCCACTGAGGGTTGCGGTGACGACAAGAGGTTAGGCAAATACCTCCCTAAAACACAGAGTGGCTCAGTCATTGTCACGAGCCGAAGCAGAGGAACTGCATCCGACCTCGTCGATGACAAGTATGTTATCAACGTTGATCCGATGGACGAAACACACGCTATCGATCTGTTCCGAAAGAAGCTGCCCAAGCCAGACGATGGACATGGCGATAAACAGATTGCAGAATTGGCAGCAGAACTCGAGTACTTACCTCTCGCAATTGTCCAGGCTGCGTCCTATATCTCTCATAAGGCGCCGCGCTGTTCAGTCCAAGAATACCTTGATGACTTTAGGAAGAGTAAGGCTGATGGGAAGCTGAGGCTCCTCGGCGAGACGAGACGAGACCAGCGACGCGACGAGGAAGCAGTCAACCCTATAAGCGATACGTGGAAGATATCATTTAATCACATCCGAAGGACAAGGCCGTCGGCAGCAGACTTATTGGCGCTCATGTGCTTCTTCGATCGGCAAGGAATCCCCGACTTTGCCCTCCCGCTTCCACGGAAAAGAGGCGAGAGAGGGCCGCAGAACAAAGACGACCCTAGCGATAGCACGCCATGGCCAGCTGCTAGAGATATATCATTCGAGAACGACATATCGACTCTCAGAGACTACTGTTTCATCTCTATTAGGATGCGCCGGGTGTTCGACATGCACAGGCTGGTGCAGCTGGCCACCCAGCAATGGCTCCGTAATAATGAGTCGTTTGAGCGCTGGCAGGGAATATTCATTTCTCGGCTTGCCTTGAAGTTCCCGTCATCATATGAAAAAGAGGGATGGAGCCGTTGCCAGCAGCTATTTCCTCATGTGAAATACATAGTTAGTCACAAATCTCTAAGAAAAGAGAGTGTGTCTTGCTGGGCCAACCTCCTATGTAAGGCGGCATTGTACGCGTATCAAAGGGGAAATTATGCTGACTCGGTGACAATGTCAACGACGGCGATGGACGTGAGCAAAGCGACCCTTGGTGAACAAGACCTAACCACTTTGACCTGCCAGGTAGTTGTGCGGTTCATCGAACCTCACACGACCGAAGACATCGAGAAGTTGCCTAGCAAGGAGAGTGGTGCAGGGCGGTGGTGGGAAAAGACCTGGGCATGGCTCACCCGGTCAAGTTCTGCTCTACTAACGGAAGAGGAAAGGGGCTGGTTGAAAGCGGTAGAGCATAACAGGCGAAAATTTGGCCCGCATCACCAGCTTACCCATTTCGCCATGACCACCTTAGCGTTAACATATTCTCTCAACGGGCGACACATGAAGGCAGAGAAACTACTGCTCAAGGTGGTGAAGTTAGGCACAGAGGCCCGCGGGTTCAAGGATCAAGATACGCTCAAAAACAGAGGCAGATTAGCATGGGTATATCAACACCAAGGCCGTCTTGTGGAGGCTGCAGAGCTACAGGAGCAAGTAGCAAATGTAAGCATGGTGGTCAACGGTCCAGAGCACCGAGATACCCTGGGATATATGTCTGACTTGGCGTGGATACAACTTCGTCAAGGCCGTCTAGAGCAGGCTGGACAGCTATGTACACAGGTACTAGAATCGAGCAAGAGAGTCAACGGCCTTGAGCATCCAGATACAATAGAGGTTATTGGCGAGTTGGTAGGGATATACCTTCGTCAAGACCTGCTGGAGCAGGCTGAACGGCTATGCACAGAGGCAGTAGACTTGAGCAAGAGGGTTTTTGAAGAGGGCGATGAAAGAACACAGCGCTACATCAGCTTGCTTGATAATTTGCAGCGCTTCAAAGAGATGGATCCGGAATCCCGCGTGAAATCCCTCTCCAAGTTAAATACACTGTAATCTGGCAGCATAGTTCGCCTGGATTATTTCAAATATTATTATACATCATATTCAACCTAGCTATACGGTTGTTCAAAGAGGTTAGAGATGGCTGCGGTGGAAATAAGACTTGCAGAGTGTGAAACGCAACTCCTCATTTATATAGCGTTATGAGTTCAGTTATGTATGAAAGTGTTTAAAAGGAAATGTTAAAGGTAGAATGATATTTACTTATTTGATTCATTTACACTGGTCAGTATTTTTAATATTAAATGGCAGGTCAACCCTTGGTTGATATGTTACTCCCCATCTCCGTGCTTAGTTCAGTGGCTCCTCGGCGACGTAGTGAAGGTAGGCACCGAGCAGCTTGGTTCCCTCGATGTAGTTGCGGGTGTCGAGCTTTTCGTTGATGGAGTGAGGAGCGTCGGTGGAGCTTCCCATGGGCAGGAGAAGGACGTTCTTGCCCGTGGCTTCCTCGAAGGTCAGGGTGATTGGGATACTACTTTCAAGTTAGCCATTGAAGATAATGATGATGGTGGTGATGATGATAATGGGAATGTACTAACCTTCCTCCCTCACGGGTCATGTCAGGCTCGACGCCAAAGACCTGCTTGGTGGCCTTGGTGGCCGCAGCGAAGTTCCAGTGCTTGGGGCTGGCAACCCACCACTTTCCGTCGTGCATGAGGGCAACCTCGATCTTGTTCTTGGTCTGCAGCTTAGCAGCCTCGGCGTTGATGAACTCGGTGACGAGACGGGTGACGTCCTCGCTCTGCATGTTGGGGACCGTTCGGATGGAGAACTTTCCAAGGACCTTGGCCGGGATGACGGTCTTGCAGCCGGGGGCGGAGTAGGCACCCTCTACACCGTGGATGGAGAGGGATGGGAATCTCCAGCGGCGCATCAGGGTGCCTTCTTTGGTGGGCATGATGGAGGTCTCGCTGCCGAGGGAGATGTGGAAGTCGTCCATGGAGTAGGTTATGGCATCGTACAGGCCCTGCTCGTCGTCGGTGACGGGGGCGATGAGCTCCTTGATTCCCGGGATGAGAATGTTGCCCTGGCAGTCAACGAGCTTAGCGAGGAGGGTGACCAGGTCGGTCATGGGCTCGTGAGCAGTGCCGCCGAAGACACCGCTGTGCAGGTCCTGACCGGGCCCGGAGATGGTGAGAGAGTAGTAGTTGCATCCTCGGAGGCCGTAGGTCAGACATGGCTTCTCGGTGCCGAGCCAGTAATTGTCAGAGATACAGACGGCATCAGTGTCCTTGAAGTACTTGGGGCCCTCTGCCTTGACGAACTCCTCGAGGCCCAGGGATCCGAACTCCTCCATTCCCTCGAAACAGCAGAGCAGGTTGACGGGGAACTCGACGCCGGCCTGCTTGTGGGCGTCGATGATGTTGATCCATCCAAGGACTGGGCCCTTGTCGTCAGTGCTTCCACGGCCAAACATGCGTCCTTGCTCGTCGACGGTGAGGTCGAAGGGCTCGGTGGCCCATCCATCCTCCTTCTCAGCCGGCTGGACGTCGTAGTGTCCGTAGACGAGGATGGTACGCTTCTTGGGGTCGCTGCCGTAGCGAGCGAGCACCACCGGCGGGAGATCGAGGTGCTCTCTGCCTGGCTCCTTTCCGAGCTCTCTCAGCTCGACCTCTGCACCGAGAGTCTTGAGCTGGTCGGCGACCCAGTGGCCCATCTAGAGATGTCAGCTTCAAGTCGTCTTAAGAGACACACTGTTACGAGACTCACCTTGACGACATCTGGCCTGCTCTCTGCCTGTGCCGATACGGACTGGATTGCAACCGCCTCTCTCAAGCCTGTCACCCGTTAGTGCTCATGATGTTGAATGCTGGAGGAGCCACTGACGCTCAATGAAGGGCTGCTTGAGCTCATCCACCCTACGACCGTTAGCCACGCAACGATATAACCAGCGACTGAAGATACGCACTTCTGGAAAAAGGGATCCAACTGAGGAGCCATCTTGGAGTCTGTGATAAAGCCGTAGTACGAGCGTCTCTGGAGGGCAAAAGCGTGAAAAGTCGAGCTGTAAATGTCTGGTCTGCGCGAGACTGGAACTGATATTGAGCGGCCGACGCTTGATATAAAAAATCGAAGCCGGCACACGGAAGCGGGGAGCATCTGGAAATGGAGGGACAGCGAGATGGCTAGATCCGGGTAATTATCGCACGAGTGGAGGGCGCAAGGAGGCGTTACAGTTCGTGCATCTTGATGCTACATCGCTGCAAGGTACCCGGCCATATATCGAGTTGGATACGATGTTTTCTTTTCCGCTGCCTGCTATTTGTTATAAATATCCGCTGTTATTCGAGCAATAGGAAGGCTAGGAATGTTGGAAGCCGTCCAATCGGCTGCTACTAGTTGAATACATAGATGGGTACAAGAGTGACATAAAACAGCGGCGAGAAAGGTAACATAGTATTGTACATAGACGCTGGTAACAGTCCAGGTAATATCATATCTCCAAGAAGACGACACACGCGACAGGCATTATTTATCCCTCCCCCAGAGCTCCTTGCGTAGCTGTCTGTCCTCGCGTGCCATCGTCCGCTTGACGCCCCATCGTGACTGTACGGCCGTCAGGATCTGTCTCTGGATGGCCTTCTTCTCCACGGCGGCCTCGCACACCATGCCCACGAACAGGTTGCTGCACCCGAACCGCTCGGCCAGCTTGGCCCTGCTCCAGACCATGGGGTCGCTCTTCCGCAGCTCACGCATGGCCTCTATCTCCTCCTTCGACAGGTACTTCTTCTCCCCTCGGTCCCGGTAGCCGTTGGACAGCGACTGGGCCGGGCTGGCGTCTGCCGCCGTCTCTGACTCTCGTCGTAGCGTCCGCCGTACGTCGTTTGCAGGTAGGAATTTGGTGGGTGTGAGGTAGACGGAGGGCGCACTTGACGGGGGATTGTGAATTATGTGGCATTCGGTAGAACTGGACGGAGAGAAGGAGGCATCAGGCTTTACTCGTAGCCGTTTCTTGGTTCGCCGGTACGACGACTGCCATCTCCGGCTGAGCTGTGGCTGGAATTCGGGGCAAAATAGCAGATTGAGGACTGGACGGCGAGTCAGGGCAGCCGTGGAGGCCATTGTTGGTGGTTATAGCTGTCCAAGCATGCACTGCTTATGTTGCTATGTCACGGCGAGCGGTGGTGAATTGCAGCCGGAGGATGTCGGTCGAGTAGGCCAGCCTGCTAACGCGAGATATAAACTGAATAGCGAGTGCTGGACGTGAATTGGCTGTCTGATCTCCTTCTCGTCCTTCTCTCTCTTCCTTTTCGACCTCAAAACGAGCAAAAAAACTTCATGGGTGGAGGTCACGTGGTGGTATATAGATCACGTGAACACACTTTATATGGTGTATCTCTGTTACCATATGTATCACTAGTTTATATGTGTAAGTATGGTATATATCGTCATCTCGATACGCCTGACCTGGTCCCAAAACGTCATAAAAGTGGAAGAAAGTAAAGAAAAGGGAACTTCGACTGCAACAACGACCTATACTCTACGCCCTGTCGACTCTCCCCCCTCCAGCCCAGCACGACGTTATACGCTTATACGACTATATATACTTGCAAGACTATCAGCCAGTGCTCTCGCCGGTTTCAACTTCAACACGGTAGTCTCCATATCCAGGCGGAACATTCGCAGCAGCGTCTAGATAGAGCCTACGAGGGGAAGGCCAGCTTCTACATCGATGGCTTCGACAGTCTCCTCAGGCGATCAGGGGACGGCCATCGGAGAAGAGAAAATGGTCTCGGGCGTGCCACAAACCCAGAGTCTGGCCAAGGACAATACTACGCTGGATACGCCGCTGGAGCCTACTAAGCAGATGCTACAACAAGTTGGCAGCCACAGCGTTGGAGATCAGACAGACGATACAAATAGGACGAGTGAACAACCGCTTCCCGGCCAGAAGATCACTCCCAGGCCCAAACCGCTCTCGACCATGGCCGTGAGACCAGTGTCGCCTCTTCCCTTGCGATCTTTGTCCCCCAACCGAGCATCGGTATCGCCGCACAGAGCAAGGCACGCATACATGGCTCCTACTTCGCCAAACAGGCAGCTCAGCCCCCATTCGCAGATGCACTCGCCAGCGTCGTCCCAGATCTTCGAGAGAGACGTCCAGGAGGACTTCCCGATCCAGACATCGCCCTCCATCCCGTCCCATATCGTCACAGAGAATCACATTCCTCCTATCCTCGAGGCGTCTTCTGCGGCCCTGACCGACGACCGACTTGATCCAGACTCGGTTGAGATAGTAACTCATAACCTACATCAGCCTGCCTCCTTGTCCGTTGTCGGATCTGGCGCGGCGACCTCCCATGGCGAACACTCGCTCGCATCGTCTTTCTACGAATACGCTTCCGCGCAAAGTCCCTGTGACCCGGAGGAAAATGCGTCAACGTACGGCGGCTTCGACTCGACCGATATCCGTCGTCTGAGTTTCGTCTCATTCGCCGACCTCGTCCACGCTGAACAAGTAGAGTCCTACGACCACGCGTCAAACAGAGACTCTCAGATAATGGGTGGCCTCGCAGCACTAGCCAACGCCCCGACGGTGAACAGCAACCGATCCCCGTCTCCCATGCGCTCACCCATCTCGTCTCACGGTCCGGGAAGCTCGCCGCCCACCAGTGTCTCGCCAGGTGAGCCAAGAGGGTTCGAAACCTCGCCAAACCGCGGAACTCGTGTACCGCGCAGCCCTCCGCCTTGCCCTCATAGCCCATCCGGAACATTCAGCAGCGATCTAAACGTAGAGACCATGAGACAGGCCCTACGCCGCACGGGGAGCGGGGATATGGGATCCTTCAGAAACCCGCCCTTGAGCGCAGCTGCTAGTGACACGGCTTATGAACGACCATTCAAATGAACGAAGCAGCGGTGGCACGTTATTTTTTTTATCTCTTCTTATCTTTATTATATTCATTTTTTTTTGTCTGACAGTGCAGGCCCTGTTTTCCTTCCGGTTTGGATAGTTCGATACATTTTTCTCTTTCCCAGATCTACTACCCCGGTAGCTCCGCCATTGTTATCTACTGGTATCCTTGCTTGCTCGATTTCTGGCGATTCTGGTTTATCTACTTGTAATCTATACCAATTTCCTATTTGGCTTGTTTTGTGGCCTCCTGGCTCCTAACTATATCAATAGCCATACATCGTTTTGTTCCCGCCATCTCCCTTCGATATTAACATGTTGAGGTTATTTTTTCAGCCAGCCAGTGCACGATAGTTGATATCGCTGTAGTCAGGATGGCAATCCGTAGATCAAACGCCAGCTTACAGTCGTATTCTAAACATCTTAATTCCTTCCATAATCGTAGCATTGCCCAAACGTGAGTCGTTGTCTCTTCAAGCGCCTTTTCCCAACTTCTCCACAGCCTCGAGAGCGTGCGTAATCCGCTTCTTCATATCATTCACGTCTTCAAGGCCAACACTGATTCGTACTAGATCAAATGGAACATTCAAGGATTTTGCCTAGAGTACATTGATTAGCAAACGGATACGAAAAGATGTAGCAGATTACCTACCCAGTCCAGCTCTTGATAGTGTGCCAGAATAGTATACGGACAGCTTGAACATGTTAGCTTCAACCTATGTCAACCTGACGAGTGAGGGACAAACCTAAGGGTGAAATTGGTTCCCAGGCTGGGTCCCTTCATAACACCGAGGTTATCGAAGAATGCAGCGGCTGCTTCGGGTGAATGGAAGGTGACAGAGAATAAACCCCCATATCCGCCATCCGGGTTACGGCATTTATCATAAAACGGCTTCGTAAGACTGCTTTTCGGGTAGTACACGTCTTTCACTATATTTGAAATTAGAACCAGTCCGTCTCCCCCCTTCTTTTGCTAGATTGACTTACCCAGGGGTGAATCTTCTAATAAAGATGTCAACACTTCTGTTGACTTGTTGATCCTTTCAATACGAACAATAAAGTCACGGCTGTTTCTTTCTAGAAACACGGCATCCTCTGGCCAGTAATTATCCTCATACTCATTTGCAAGGACCTGTTTGAGCTGTGAATAAAACTGCCCATGCGGGTTGAAAACAGCACTTCCACCCATAACGTTACTATCCCCGCTGAATATCTTCGTCAGACTACTGACCACCACATCAGCGTACGGCAGAACGTTCACATTGATGAAGTTCCCCACCGACTCGTCGACGACGACAGCGAAGCCATACTTCCTAGAAAGAGCATGTATGCGTTCGAGGTCAGGCGATCTGAGGAGTGGGTTTCCAGGAAACTCAGTAAATAACGCAAGATATCTTTCTCCTGATTCCAGGCGTTTTTCAAGATCGTCTAACTCCTCGGTTGCGCAGAGACCATAAAACTGAACACCTGGGCCCCATTTCTCTAGGATCTTAAGCGTGTCAATATATGGGAATCCAAAACATATGCTCTTCATGGGTCCACGAGCGCTAAGGAGTAGTTGATGGACAGTGAATATCGAATTCATGCCCGTTGGGAATAGGAAAATGTGCTCTTCATTCAAACCCGACATACGGGTGCTTTTGGGAGAATCTTCAAGAGGCTCGTTGAGGCCGACGTCGGTAGTCAGAGATCCTGCAATTCGCCGTTTCACTGCTAACTTGGCATTATTCGCCAGAGACATGTTCAGGTTTCGGCCAAATCGCTCTTCGATAAACTGGCCAAACTCCCCGCCATCTGAGGCACGCGTTGACTCTCCGCCGGTTGATTCTGTCTTCTTTGCTGGCTCGTTGCTCGAACCGCAAGATTCAAACTTCTGGTACCTCTTTGGCCCCTTATGGATCACATTGTCGGTCTTGGACTCTTTGGCATGCCCCTGAGATTCTTCCACCAGATATCCATCTTTCAAGGCTTTGAGACAAAACTCACTCCGTCGGCTAGAGATCCCAGAGCCACTGTGCTGCCATACCTGTTTCGAGATGCTGCCGTATTTCTCCGGATACAGCACAGCGCAAAGTTCAGAAGAGATGCCGTTGAGCTCTGCAGGGGTGATATGTGGTAGCATGATCAATCGCACAACGCGGATCTCAGCCTTGTCTTCTTCCGGCACCTTCGAGAGGAGGAACTCCTTACAGCAGCTCGCGGTTTTTGAGGATGGGAATAACATAGCAGAGTCTCCCTGTCTGCCAAAGCGAGCAATCACCTCGTTAGCCAGGCTTTGGATGCTCTTATGCACGAAGAATCTTGGGTATCCGGTTGTCATAGCATTGATGACTTTTGTATTCCCCTCTTCATATCCCACATTAGCTTCCCATGTTGGAAGTGATACGCTTATCGCCTATCCAGAATATTAGCAAGCTATGTCAGGGCAAGTCCGAGCTCAGGGGTAGAAGAAGGGTGACCCTCGCAGATAATCACTAGATGTCACACTTGGTTGGCAGCCCGTAAAATGGTAAAATACAGTCTGCTGTGGCTCTAATTGATGAAATATAAGGTAAAAGGTACAAGAAATATGTCCCGGAGAACGGCCGCGCGCAGGTATAGAGGGGTATCACTTACATGCGGGGTGTTTGGGGGAACAGAGCCGCCAACAGGCTGGTAAACGGACATTCTGGATGAACGTATACCTAGATATAGCTCTTGATCTCGCAGACTAGGCAAAAAGAATGGCGTTTAACAGAAGTTCGCTTCCAAGTACTGCGTAATAGATCATCTACTAGGGGCTGCCACAGCCACTCTAGATAGTGATGACCTTAAGAGTATCGGGGCCAATCCGTAGTAGAGATGTATTTATACAAGTCCCCAACTCAGAAAAGAGACAGACTATGTGTTTAGACAGAGATTCCTCGACATCAAAGGAGGTTGATATTGTCAGAAAGAAAAGAGTCACTCCGACCTCGGGACGCTTTTGGTGGCCCTTATCGAGTGATGAGTCAGCTGTTATCGCAAGACGCTTGTAATTTTCATATTCCACGCCAAAACGCCTAATAAGTGTGAATACTACGCGATGGAGGGGTATTACCAATACATCACCAGTACACCAACAAAAAAAAAAAAGTCAGATGCGAATTTGGAGAAATATCAAATATCGATAGATACACCACCACGGCGCAATGTCCGGTCCTACTCTCAAACGAAGGAAGCTGAGCGCCGGAGATGGAGACGGTGATGCCAATGCGCATAAGCAGCAAAAATCGCCAGCAGTGCAGCGCAATGGGCCCAGCCAGTCCCGCTCAGGCAATTCGGCTGCAGAGTATGCAATTGCGCGTGGACAGTACAAGTCGAGCTTGTTCAAGCTTCAGATGGATGAGCTGCTTGGTCAACTGCGCCCTGACTACGATAAGCTCCTTTCCCGTGTCGAAAAAAGCCTGCGAAAGCTGAAGAACATCATTGAAGAGATCCCCAACGGCACCCCGAAGAACCTAGCCGCAGCAAAGAAGGAATTTGAAGCAGCAAAGGTTGCGATCCCGTTTCCCGAGCCTCCGCCTGCTAAAGATATCCGGTACACGTTTGAGTATGCCAAACCAGCAGACATAAATGTGGTGGGAAGCTTTGCGATGAAGACTATCGTGAAGGGACAAGGACCTACCCATATCGACTTGGCCGTCACGCTACCCTCTGCGCTCTTCCAGAAAAAGGATTATACAAGCTATCGATACTTCTACAAGAGAGCATACTATCTTGCCTGCATTGCTGCCGCCATTAAATCGGCGCAGGATGTCGAGTATGCCGTTAGCTATGTTTACCAGGATGGAAATACCCTACGTCCGGTTCTTTTATTGGAACCAGTCGAGGGTGCAGACGATGACTTTTCACAGTCGAATTGCAGCATCCGTATCATAACTGCCGTTGAACATGAAACCTTCTCCCTCTCGCACACCCTACCATCACATAATAGCCTTCGGCTTGAACAGGCAGACGAGTCCAAGTCGGGGGGATCCAACCCTACGCATATTTACAACGCAACCCTTCGCTCGGAGGCGGTAGTTAGTGCATACCTGAAACTCCATCATACTGCCAGCGTCAAGTGCGCTGCGTTCAAAGACTCGTGCATTCTAGGCCGGGCCTGGCTTCGCCAACGTGGTTTTGGGACGTCTTTTGCCCTAGGCGGATTTGGCCATTTTGAATGGGCTACCCTTCTTGCGCTTCTTCTCGAGGGTGGTGGCCCTAATGGCAAAGCCGTACTCGCGCCTAGTTACAGCAGCTATCAGATTTTCAAGGCAACTCTCCAGTTCCTCTCCGGCAGAGACCTCACGAAACCACTTCTAATGCACGCACCAGAAGACATGGGTCCAGTCGCGGAAGCCGATCACCCAGCTCTTTTCGATGGCAAGCGTGGTTTAAACGTCTTGTATAAGATGACCCCTTGGTCTTATAAACTACTTCAACGTGAAGCCACGTTAACCCTAAAAATGCTGAACGACTCAACTCGAGATCATTTCAACAGTATTTTCATCACAAGGATCAATGATGCGTTCTACAGATTTGACCAGGTCGTGTCCGTTACCTTCCCTAGTCGCCGTCCGCCAACACTCCAGGCAGCCGAGCGTCTTCAGTCTCTTCATCGAGTTTTAACAAAAGCTCTTGGGGACAGGGCTACGCTTATAGACTTCACTTCATCCGAACCACCCAGTTGGCCCGTCAAATCTACCTCACCATCCAAGAGTGATAAGAAATGGGCCATAACAGTTGGCTTGAACCTTGACGCTGCACAGCAGAGTCGGAGTATCGACCATGGTCCTTCCGTCGAAGATAAAGAAGAAGCGGCTGCTTTCCGAGAGTTCTGGGGTGATAAAGCCGAATTACGTCGATTTAAAGATGGAAGCATCATGGAAAGTCTGGTGTGGTCTGATCAGATGTCGTCTGGTACTCCGGTCCAACAGATACTGACATATATTCTCGACCGCCACTTCAAAGTCACCTCTGAGAATATCGTGTTTATGGCGGCAGACCTTAGTCAGGCTGTTCCAGGCATTAAAAATGCATCACTGCCAGCTCCAGCCTCGGAGCCAGTTTTGGAAGCTTTCCAGCGCCTCGAAAAGCACTTCCAGTCAGATGAAAGTCTTCCCATCGCTTTCAGCCAGCTCCTTGTAGCCACTCCTCTCCTTCGATACTCACCCGATTCGCCTGGGGCTCCCATAGACGTCGTTCTCCTATTCCAGTCTTCCTCCCGCTGGCCTGATGACCTAGGCTCAATCCAAATGACTAAGGTGGCCTTGCTTCTTAAGGTGGAAGAGTCAATCCGCAAGGCAGATGGGGTTATTCAAGTCAGAGTTGGAACTGAAAACCAAGAAAGCAGATTCCTCAATACATCGTTTCTTGAGGTCCAATACTCTTCATCCATAATATTCCGGCTACGTATCCACCACGAGCGAGAGCAGACCATCATACAGAGCCAATTGAAAAACAAAGAGCTGGCTGCTAGACAGAAAGAGGAACTTGCTGCTGCCCTCGCCGCATATAAGGCAACTTTCATTCAAGCTCCCCGCCATGCCCAGGTACTCCAGAGCCTTTCGAACCGCTTCCCGCTACTCTCTGTTGCAATCAAGATGTTCAAATCCTGGACAAGTGCTCATCTTTTAACTCCATTCGTACGCGAAGAATTACTCGAGCTCCTGACTTGCCAAGTTTTCCTCAAATCATACCCTTGGGAAGCGCCATCCAGTGCGTTCACGGCCTTCCTTCGAACGCTACATATGCTTTCCCGGTGGGATTGGCAACATGAGCCACTCATAGTAGATTTCGGTGGTGAACTAGAGACTCAAGACTTTACAGACATTCACACGCGGTTTGAGGCATGGCGAAAGATCGACCCTGGGATGAAAACCGTTGCATTCTTCGTGGCGTCGAATATCGACCAGGATGGCGTTACATGGACTCAATTTAGCCGCCCACCAAGAATCATCGCTTCTCGAATGACTACGCTAGCTAAAGCGGCATCAAAAGTCGTGCGGGAAAAGGGTGTGAATCTGTACGTATCAGAGCTATTTCGGTCTCCTGTAAACGACTACGACTTCCTTCTTCATCTAAACCCGGCTTTCATTTCGGAACGCTCCAAGAAGGCTACTTACAAGAATCTTCAAGACTCGGGCTCAAATACCGAATTCACCAAATACGAAATCCTTCGTGATCTAGTCGATGAGCTAACGAGTCTATACGGAGAACATATCCTATTGTTTCACGGCCATGCCAGCGAGAAGGTGATTGCAGGGCTTTGGAATCCTCAATCTACAAAGACGCGACCATTCGGTCTTAAGATTGGGTTTTCATCGTGTCCGCAGAAGCCCAAAGAAGAGGAGGAATTGGCTTTGAACAAAAAAGCAATTTTGAACGAAATTGCATCTATAGCGGGGGATATCATTTCTAAAGTACAGGTACTTCATTAAGTTGGTTTTTGGAGAGGGTGATGAAGTTTGTGTATAATGTTATAGGAAAATGTATTCCTTTCACCTGGAGCGAGCGGTAGGAAAATATGAGTACCGCTTACAATAAATATTCAATTATTTTCTCCTTCCGTGTAATCAATGAATCAATGACGCTCTAGATCGAATCGCATGCTTAAAAAAATCCACGGCGGCCTCCTTTATCAGTATTCTGTGTTGAGAACGAACAGTAGCGGTCCTTTATGGCTACCACTTCATATGTTCCCTCATCCGATGCTTTGACTGTCTTCGTGTGCTCGTGAGAAATATCATTCTTCGTATCAAGGATCACACGCTTCTTGCCCTTTCCATCATTCGTGCTGCGGGTATATCTATAAAATATATATCAGTAACTTATGTATTATCGTCGTGAGAAGGGAGAGGAGTAACTTACGTGAACTCAAAGGGAGGAGTACCCCAGAATTCAAACATGATCTCTGCTTCACCACCTTCGGGTATGTCGACGATAGACACACCTCCACGGCTTATCTTCACACTAGGCATTTGATGGATCACCTTGGTAATATTTTTGTGCACTCTGCACCTTCCACTGGCTCCATCGCTGACCGACGTAATCTTGAATTCACCAGGCATTTCCGCAATACGACGGAAAGTAGTCGACTGGCTTTTAGCCTTTCTCGCAACACCGTCGAAGGTGTAGTAAATTTCGAACGGTGCATGGCCCGAAAGAGAAAAGGAAATTCTCTCACCAACACAGTAATCCTCGCGCGATTCAAGAGGAAGGATGGTTGGTACATCAGAGATTGAGACCCGGACCGATGATCCATCAAACTCAGTTGCTCTCTGGCAACCGCGAGAATCTCGAACTTTGCGTATGCTTATCACATGTTGTCCGAGGTCAAGGTATCGACGTGGAACAGGAAGTGCGTACCGGTGGGAGTTAATGTTGGGAATAGATAGAAGTTCCGGTTTGGCGCTCGAGTGGTGCTTAACGGCTAGCTCAAGGGTGAATGGAGGTACTCCCTCCAACACAATAGGAATCGTCTCATCCTCCTGTTCTTCCTCCTTGCAGAACCCGTAGACCTTACTAGGAGACTCAAAGCGTGCTGATGGGCGCGGATTCACCCTTTGGGTAATGACGATCGGGTCCTTTGCTTTCTTCTCAAGACCATAAAGATTATCACCAATCTCCAAGAACCTATACGTGTAATTTCCGGCCACGGAAGTTCGCATCTGGACGGAGGCAGAGTTCAATGCGGCGGTTAGACTCCTTAGTCTCGCCGATGGAGCAGAATTTCCAGCCTTGTAACTCTCCTCGTAGCGAATGGTATATGGACGGTTGCCTTCGAATTTCAGCTCCAGAGTACTCTCATCACCCTCGCATACTTCATCCTTTGTGAAGGTGGTTTGCTTGCCCAACGGAACTGCGTCGACTTCAGTGATCCTCGGTCGAGAAATCCAAGAAACGTCAAAGATATGGGCTTTTTCATCAACTGATCCAGGGCAAGTTGCATCTGATATGCCAATGATATCATACTGTCCTTGGTCTGATACCCGAAGTACACTGTTCGCATTCCAAAAAGTTTTCTCAACGGGTGTCGACGAGGGATCAAGTTTGTTTCGGTACTTCACTTTCCAGGGAGCCTCGCCCTCTAGCCTCAAAGGCAGGTCTACCGCTTTACCCTCTAAAGCGAGAACACTCCTCTTCTGGTCTAACTGTCCAAATGCAACGCGTGGCCTCTTCGGTCTGGCTTCTATTCGAATCTCCTCCTTCAAGGCTCTCTTGCAATTCGACCTATCCTTAACGCTCGTGAGGCCGACAGTATAAACACCGCCATTAACAAGGTCCGCCGTGGAGAGAGATGCGACATCGGTATCACTCTTAAGTTCATGTTTCTTCCTCTTCCCGTTATGAACGACTTCGTAATTCAGGACCCATGGCGGTTCGCCTACAAACATTACGTCCATTGAGACTGGTTCGCCGAAACATGCTTTGCGACTTGTAAGTGGGCCGACGAAGTGTGCTGAAGCGGGAGGTTTCACATCCTGTTCCAGGGAGGGCACGCTATCCTTCAATGACCTGGCCTCATATATACGATCGGATATGTCCAAAAACTTGTATCTGTAATGGCCTTCCTCAGCGGGCTTCAAGTCAAGTTGTCCGTGCAGGCCATTAATCGTCTGTACCCTGGTTTGCACTCCCTTAGCTTGCTCAATTGAATATCGGACTTTAAACGGCGGTGTTCCGATCAAGTCGAGATAAACCAATAGGCCGACCGAGTTGTTGGCGCAGGTATCATATACCTTTTCATGGCGAATAGCCAATTGCGGCTCGGCAGGGTTATGGAGGTAGCAGGATGAAGGCTCGAAGACCTCACCCCGACAGAACGGGCTAGAGACACCGGTGATACTATACCACCCAGACGCTGAAATCCTCGGTCTAGAGTTGGCGTTTTTAAATTCAAATTCATGGACGGATGTAGGCATCTTTATATCGTTGTCGTCCCCCGATTCGGCAAAGGAATAGCTAAGTGTGAACGGGAAATCCATGTTCTGGCCATGACCAGTGTCGTGGAAATGAACAGGGAGGTCGATAGAATCCCCCTTTGCAATCTGGAGGTATGTTTGGGTATCACAGCCGGTCAGCGAGACGCGAGGCAGTTCATGGACGAAAAACTGCTGAGATTGTGGTGGGTGTTGTGACCAAAGACGCTCATCGATGTCTGGATGTTGGGTATAATTGACGATATTGCCGCAGCCATCATGTACCTCCTCAATGGCATAAACCCACTCGCCAAACGCATTCAGTGATTCGTTCAACGGGACTTCTACTTTCTGTTGGCGTGCCCAGTTAAACTTTGCGAGTGTTGGGTTAATCGGCTCCTCATCAGATTCCGGTAATCGATGGCTTTCCGGCTGAATGCTTTGGAAGGAAATTCCCTGGTCGACGTCGTTGACTGTACGACTATATTTTATCTTGAACGGCGGCGTCCCATGCAGTGACATAGTCAAATCCGATAGTTCACCCCTACATTTGTGAGTTCCCTGGGTCTGGACAGTTGCTTTCGGGCAGGCAACAACCAGAGTATCCATCGAACGATGCTGGACAGCAAGCTTGGATTCATCCACCACCCTTTTTATCTGATAAATACCTGTCTTGCGCACAGGAAAGAGTAGATCCAACCAGTTTTGCGAGTCAGGTCGAGGATTGGCCTGAGCTGCTTGCCGTCTCAGAACCTTCGCCTGCTTTTCAGGGATGACGATCGTTTCATTAACGCCAGTTTCGAGGTCGAACCGCAGCAGTTCTATGAGAATGGGGTTGGTCTGGTTGACGCGGATAGGGAGGTTCACGGACGTGTGCGTATGGCCCAGGCAGAGCGGGACCTTATCCGGGTTCAGAACGGCAGAACTAGAATATAGTAGGTCAGCGACTAGATAGTTGAGAAGAACACTCTATCGTAATTCTTACCCCTCCGGCAAGATATGGACGATATGTTTGCCTAAAATGAGAGACGAGTTGTGGAGAATATCATAAGGCTTGACTCTCTGACCCGAAATTGACAGCTCCCTGTCATAGGCCATCTTGAACAGAGCAACCATCCATGCTTCCATCGGTAGCTATTTCCAGTCAGTATACACTCTCCACCTAACGTCAGACCTGTTCGCCTAAGAACGTACCGGTATCCTAAACATCAAAAAGACGTTAATCACGACATGGACCAGGAAGATGGCCAAGGTTGTCGAAAACGCCCACTCCAGCCATGGGATTCGCAGAACAGGAAGCCCAAACAAATACACAGCATCTATAAGCAGCCATTTTAAAAAGAGCCATGTAGCATCCCCTTCGTCTGTTGAAACCCAATATTCATATAACCGCCAGGCATTCAAAGCGACATAAAACGCCACGACATAGAGCCTCTGCGCAGGCGCATCGATGATGTGGAACGGTATCAACGGCGGATCTTGAGGCTGAGCGGCACCGGCAGACTTCACAACGGCGCTGGCAGTGGTGAAGTTGATCTTGCTTCCCCGACCAAAAGGGACGGGCGTGACGTTCTGGTCATAGCCGTTGGACGAGCGTGAGGTCCGCGGATTGGAGCGCGGGGTTCGAGGAAACGCCGAACGTAGTCGGGGAGTGTCAGTCATTGCATTCTGGTCTTGCAGGCGCAATATAACTGGGTCGTGGTTAGGCGGGCTAATTGAGGTTGAGACGCGTGCCAGATATCATTCAGGCGATCATAGGGGTATCCCAGGCCGATATGTGCTTTGGAACGGCTGCCGCAGGTTATAGCGTAGCTTGCAGCAGGTCTCAATAGCGAGGATACCGCGCAGACAGCGTCGTGGACGGCGTTGTATCCCTTTGAATATATGCAATTGTCGCTATCTTGAAGCTGTTTTGTTCCAAGCCTTTATTTTATCTAGAGCACCGATTAGGCTTAGCGTGAGTCTCGCGGGCCGACGTTTAATCCGGAGTGTTCGAAAGTCTCAAAAGTTGATGACGACGAGGAAGAAAGATATCACAGAGCTTTAGAGAGGGGAGGAAAGAGAGTCTAGAGAGATAGAGAGAGGCAGTTGGCGAGTATACAGCTCTGAGAGAAAGGGAGGGCGCGTCATCATGGCGAACCGTACCAAACGACGCAAGGTTGACCCTGAGCCAGCACCGGGCTGGAGAAGCCTCACGCCTCTGACCAGGGAAGAGAAGGACAATTGGAACGGGTTCTGCGAGATCGAGTCCGAACCAGTACGTGTTCTACGCGACGTTTGAGATAGAGAAGAAGTATGCTAACCTCCTACAGGCAATCTTCAATGCGATGCTAAAAGATTTCGGCGTCAAGGGGGTCAAGGTGCAGGAAGTAGTCTCTCTAGATGACGAGATGCTAGCCTTTCTTGCGTACGTCTTACCATTGACAAATTGTTTATGGGGTTGCTAAAATATGCATAGGAAACCAATCTACGGGCTGATCTTCCTCTTCCGTTGGAGAGAAGACGACCCACGCAAGCAAGAGCAGAGCTGTCCCGAGTCTCTATGGTTTGCCAACCAGGTAGATATATCACCTTTACTCCGTGCATGGTCAAGGTTGGGGTTAACCGAGTATAGACCGTGGAAAATGCATGTGCCACTGTTGCACTGTTGAACATAATCAACAACATCGACGGGATAGAGATGGGAGAAGAGCTTCGATCGTTCCGCGAGTTCACCAAGGACTTCAGTCCAGCCCTGCGAGGCAACGCGATTGGCAACTTTGAATTCGTAAAAAAGATACACAATTCATTTGCAAGGTAGGTAGTTCCGGGCTCTGTACATGTTCTAGCGAGGATGATACGAGGATATGTGCTAACGAGGATGAAGGAAAATGGACATTCTCAATGCCGACCTGCTGCTGAAAACCCAGCAAGGGCGAAAATCCAAGGCCAAGGATAAGCAGGAGACAGACGAGGACATGGAGGCAGGCTTCCATTTCATCGCGTTTGTCAAGGCCAAGGAGAGAGTGTGGAAATTTGACGGGCTAGAACGCCAACCCCAGAGCCTTGGTAAGTCTACACATCACATCAGCAGGTACAGAGGCACGGAGGCACGGAGTATAACTTCTAACGGTGCGGAAATAGGCGAGTGCCGCGAAGGGGACGACTGGCTGTGTCTGGCGACGAAGGAGATTCAGACAAAGATGGCAGAGTACGAGGAGGACCAGATCGAGTTTTCCATCCTGAGCCTGTCGAAGGACCCGATGACCGGGTATCTAGCCGACCTGGCGTTGAACGTGAAATCTCTGCAAGAGGTCAACAGCCGCTTATCCGACCTCGGAGAAGCTGGCGAGGCAGACCACGAGGACGCCGCAGTGAGCGGTCCAGACAAGCTGTACGGCCTGACCCCAGACATGCTCGCGCAGGCCTTGCTGCCCGAGCTAGTGGCGGCCAAGTGCAGGACAGGGGACTCCGAGGAGCTGGCACGCGAGCGCCGGGCGCTCCTCGAGCAGCAGAGCCAGCTGCGCGCGCAGGTCAGGGACGAGCAGCACAGCAGGCAGAGCGAGCTCGACCACGCCAACTGCCGCCGCCACGACTACGGGCCTGCGGTGCAGACTTGGACGCGCTTTCTCGCCCGCAAACAGAAACTCGAGGAGCTCATTACTTAAGCAGCTTATTTAAGCGCTGCTTACTTAAAGTTGTCATAGCGCAGTCAGCTGACCACCCCGGAGTCCCGTGACCTGCTTATATCTTTCACTGGCCCGTGCTTTCCCTTCCTTTTGCCCCTTTTTGCTTTTTCCTTGCGCGCTGCTATTTTTCCCTGCGCATATAACTAGATCTTTCCCCTCCGCCAGACTCTAAGACAGAGACAGAAGCATTCATCGATGACCGCGTTGAGCCACGATGAAATTCGGCCACAGCTACGTGAGCACCCTGGAGAATGAGGGCTTCCCCTCGCAGTGGGTGCGCTCTGCGATCTCGTATCGCCAGCTCAAGAAGTGCATCAAGCGCGTGCAGAGCGAGCTGCTCTCGCTGGGGCTCAGTCCCGATGTGCTCAATCGCTTCTGGCTCGAGGACGACGGTTTGTCTGAGGGTGACGACCATAGCGCGTTAGCTCGTGTGGGCTTTGCATATTCGCTCAGGGGTATGTACTCTTGTGTATCCCTGCGATGCGGCAATCAGTTCAGTGTTCAGATCGCGATCTAACTGTTTGTATCACAGAATGTAAATCTTCTGCTTCCCTGCGCCCCGTGCTGACGTTCGCCATGGGCCCGGACGACAAACCTCCCAGCGACCTACTTCCCTATCCCGCCATCGCGCACACAGACGCCACCTCCATCACCACTAACAGCAGCAGGAGCAGCACCAGCAGTACCAACCCCTGTACCAGCAACTGCGACAAGTCCTGCACCACGAAAACTGACACCGAAGCACCCTACCAATCCGTACAGATCCCCCTCTCCTCCGACTCAGAATTCTTCCGCCTGCTCAGAACCGGGCTCTCCAACCTCGAAGACCTGCAGGCCCACGAGAAAAGAGACCTCGACAACCAGGTCGTCCTGCTCCGTGACAGCATCGTCGAGGTCACGAGTCCTTCGTCTAAGAAGGCCGACCAGGCCGCCATCTATGCCTGGCGCGAGGTCTTCCGCATCTACATGGAGATGCAGGTCTTCTTCTCCACTGGCGAAGTAGACGGCGGCGAGCGTTCGTCGGAAGTCGCCCGCCACCGCCTCGAGGCCTTCCAGACGCAACTAGTCAAAGAACACCACGCCAAGAAGCTAGGGCGCAACGGCCGGCGCATCCTGGAGACGTTTATGCATATCAACCTAGCGGTGCTACAGAATCTAAGGTTCCAAGAAATCAACGGCATGGCGTTGAACAAGATCCTGAAGAAGTTCGATAAGCAGACTGCCCTACATGCCCGATCCGCCTTTACACATACAGGACCGTTCTCGGCCCAGAGCCTGTCCAGGTCCGTCTGCCAGGCTATCACAGAGCAGATACTCGTCGTCGTGCCCCAGCTAGACGACTACCTATGTCCGGTCTGCTTCACCATCTCGTTCAAGCCGGTGAAGCTAAAGTGCTCCCACGTCTTCTGCATCCGATGTCTGATCATCATGCAGCGTGCGCAACAGGACCACTGTCCCATGTGCCGAGCGCAAGTCGTGATGGAGGCAACAAGTAGTAGGTTTACCACTGAACATCCTAATATTCAACTACAGCGTAGTTCCTAACGTATCCTGTAGAAAACCTGGACCACAAGCTTCTCGATTTCCTGCAGGCTTCCTTCCCCAAGGAAACAAAGGCCAAACAGAGGGAGAACGAGCGCGCCGCCATGGTGGACGTGTACGGCGAGCCAGCCGAGGCTTGCAACATGATGTAACCCCATCCACAGCACGCCTTCATCTTATATTCTTTTATCCTTGCAGATAACAGGACGGCTAGCAGTTAGTCCTTCCGTCGCTGCGGAGGCATAGTATGCAGCTGCCGACGGTGGATGGCGGAGGATGCGTGTCGGGTCGGCAGCTATCTCGGTTGCTCCCATCGGCCCTATCTCGGCTGCTTCCATGCATAAACATTCCCCAAATCTTCAGCAAGCGGCTGCAGCTCGTGGGTCCCGCCAATTCTATCCTATCGAATTGGCTCTCGGAGCCAAGAGTTGACTATTTATGCATAACCAACAAGCAAAAACACGCCAGCGCCAGCGCCAGCATGATACCAAAACACACCTTGTTCGAGAATATCTTAATTGCTCGACATATTAACTCATTTCCACCACGACACGACCGAGTCCCGAAGAGAGTGGACTGGCAGGCATCGGGGAATCGTCATCGGACTCCGGCGTATAGCGCTCAATTTTAAAGACCTCCGCGTCCGCAATTATCGCCCCCTTTTTTTTTATTAATTTGCAGAGAAAAATAAAATAAAAAATCAGCGTCTGCGGCCGCCTCCACTAATTAGCTAACTCGCGCCGGCAGTGAGATGGCGCGCCTTCGCCCGAGAGCTACTATATGTAGAGTTCTTCCTCCGACAGCTTAGCGAGGGTGACCCCAGCAGCAAGCATCATACTCCGTCCTTCCGGCTAGGAGCTTTTCACAGCCTTCTTCGCGTGCTTCAGCGTCAGCTTCACTCTTTGCCTCCCTCCCTCCCGTCCGTCTTCCCCGAGCCGCTGCAATAATCGCAGCGAATGGGCCCTCGCATCTAGCATGATCCTCGTATGGCAGGGGTACACCCCAGCTCGCCATGGGCGCACTACCGTCATGTATAATGCCGGCCGGCGACATTGCATTCCCATCGTGTATATTTAGATCACATTAATCCATAGCTATAATAGTAATGATGTAATAAAGAACGAATAGTGGCGCTCATCACTCCGTATTTCCTCACACCATGCCATGGCCACGGAGTCATGCGGCAACGCTCCGTTAGGCCACGGTCAGGGATGCAATAGTTAATTAACTTGGCCGGAACATGCTAGCTTGCGATGATGCTTGTTGATATATGCACGCTGAAGTAAGATACAGCGGGGTGGTTGTTCTTTTTTGCTTGCTGGGTGTGTTTAGGGGGGAAGCTCGAGGAGAGCAACAGGTACATAAGCTCCGTCCTCTCGTCCTCCAACTCCAACTCAGCTTCCATCTACCCATCTCTCCAGCATTCACCATCACCACCAGCATAACAATATAGGTACAAGAAGCCAGCGGGTGACCATGACAGGAGTCCTGCTCAGCCAGTTCCCCGACGAGATCCTGCACAGCATCCTCTCGTACGCTCCCCCGTCCGCCGCCATCGCCCTCGAGCAGACCTCCAAGCGGTTCTCACACATCACCAACGCTCCCCTTCTCTGGGCCGGCCACTGCAAGGCCTCGTTCCGCTTCTGGGACAAGCGTCATGACATCGCCGGCAAGTTTGCCAGTCCCGCAAAGAGCGTGGACTGGAAGGAGATGTACAAGCTGCGGCATCTGGTCGACCGTTCGACGACGGAGCTTCTGAACAGCATCTTGTCCAGCCAGACGGGGAGGATTGAGAAGATCCATCGAATCGTCAGCTTCGGGTATGACGCGAAGGATACGCTGATTCGGCATGCGGATGCTGAACAGGACCTTGACGACTATCTGGCGAGACGGTATGTATATCAACACCAAGTTACGACTATGATCATACTGACGGTTCACAGGTACTACAGCAATGCCATCCTCGGGTGCCTACATCGCACTCTGGCGATTCCCACGTGGAATAAGTTGAGAAACGGCGAAGATGTGTCCCTCGAGTATGCTCTGGGTGCTTTCGATATGTTCATCCTAGACTCTGGGACCGGAGACTTTGACGACGTAGGTCTTGCCCTATTCCGTATATACGTCTAGTTACTAACAGATACAGATCTCCCGAAGCCTGAACAATATAGTAGGACGGATGAAGCGCCAGTACCCAAATATCTCCGAATATACTCCTCGCGAACGTGCCGTGATGACGGCCGAATTCCTACGAGCAAACAACCTCACCGGTATCGAGTCGGGCAGAGAATTCTATAACATCGAACACAACTTCCTAGGCGCCGCACTCACCAGCGAACGACACAACTCTCTCCCTCTGATATCAGCTGCCATATACTGCTACGTTGCACAGCGACTCGGCCTCGACGCCCATCCATGCGGCTTCCCTTTCCACGTCCACGTCATAATCCGCCCCGAGCCCAACCATGACCTTGCCGGCAACCGTCTTCCAGACGGCGAAGAAGGTGACTTCATGTACATGGATCCCTTCCGCTCTACCAGCGAGACTCCGGTCTCAGAGCTGCAGAGTCAGCTCAACTTCCTCGGAGCCCTCACCCTCTCCCAATCCACTTTCCTTCGGGAATCCTTCACGGCCGAGATAGTCCTCCGATGCGGCAAGAACATTTTAAACTCCGTCCTCCAAACGCCGCACTCTCGCCAGTCATCACTTGACATCGTGAATGTCAAATATGCCGCCCTATGGGCGTCCATGCTCTTTGCAAAATACGCAAATCCTGACGGCCGACACCCGGCCCAGGGCCCCGAACGCCGAAGAGCCGAACATCTCCCTCTCCGCCGCCATCTGCCTTCGTTGATGGAACACTTCGCGACCGACTTCCCGTCTGACGTGTATCTCATCGAACAGTACCTGATCCCGCTGTTCCACGGTCTGCCTGAATATGAGCATCTGCGCGAGAGCGTAAGTGTGATGAAGGCTAGTGATGAAATACCGAAACAAGTCCGACGACGAGATGCAGAACACGACAACGTGAAGTTCAAGGTCGGTCAACTCTTCCGGCACAAACGGTATGACTATATCGGGCTGGTGACAGGCTGGGACCCGGAATGCGGTGCTGGCGAGCAATGGATGGAGAGGATGGGAGTTGATCGTCTGAACGCCGGACGCCATCAATCTTTCTACCACGTCCTGTAAGTTCTACCTTGTTCTCTCCCCTTCGACGTTGGTTTTTGTTCGTTTGCAGTGCTAATCTCATTCGTGCAGGGTCGAAGATAAAAGCGTCCGCTACGTTGCAGAAGAAAACATCGAGGTCTGCGAACTCGAAGCCTCCGAGATCCCAGACGCATTTTTCCATTTCGCTGGCAAATACTTCAAGCGATTTGATATCACAACACGTCGCTTCGTGAGCAACATCAACGACGAATATCCTGACGACTAGTCAACCATCCAACGAAACGAACCGTAACGATGACATGACATTTTATGATCCTTTCTCTTTTTTTTGGGCCGAATATCGTCTTTTTAATTATTTTTTATTATTTTTTTAATATTGGTTTGCTTGGAACTGGACTGGGGCGTTTGAATTTGCACTAACCACTCCCCTCTTGCATTGTTGCGCTGCATTGTTATTCATCCTGCTCATTCCGGGAGTATATATCATGTTTTTTCAATTTCCTAAATCAGTAAATATCACGCGCCGTTTAAACGCCGCCACCTCATCTTTATCTAATGAAAATAATTTCCCTTGTTCCAGCTGATTGAGAACGGGCGCTTCCCACATCTGTTGCAGGTCTCTTATTAACTTCAGTATCTGGCCCTCGAATTCGAACGGAGGGTGGTTGAATATCATCCTCTTCAGCTGCTCGCCATAGTCCGTATCGTCCCTGGGGTAGAGCGACTGTCTGTGTCTGTCTCTCGCATCAATCCAGCTCTGGTCATCGTTTCCTCCGCCCCACGCAAATGCTTCATCAATAATCTCCCTCCCTGTCCGCCCGTAGAGAAGGCCCTGTTCTATTGCAGCGTGTAACATAAAAAAGGCAGCAACTGTGCAGAAATCCTCGCTAACCGCTCCCGGGACCGAGTCGCAAAGCTCCATAAGTTCAGGTAGGATATCAAGTAGGGTTATAGATGTGTCTTGGTCGAATTCATATTCCTCCGACTCTTCTACGCCCATGTGGGCAAGGAATGCTTGTCGGTTTTCGTCTACCCAGCTAGACGAGATTGGTTCGGAATCCTCAAACGCCTTATCGAGAGTGTCCTGGGACAGTCCTGTCTCGGGGAATCCCTCTTCTTCCAGCCATTCCTTGGCCCTGTCTGCGCTCCTCTTGCGCTGTGCAGCCAAGGTTGAGCGAGAAGGCAGGTAGGCAGTCCGTCTAAACCGTCTAAAGAAGAGGTTTGTGAAATTAAGAGTCTGGATCTTAAGTTTGATATCTGATGAGAGGGTTTCTCCAGGGTTATTGGTCTTGAAGAGATGGAGCGTAGCTATATATTCCTATCAGCAACTAATAAACAAATTTATAATATACAAAGACCAACCTTCTGATACCTCTAGCCATCTGTCACAGCCCTGGATTCCCTGTAGTTCCGTCCCCTCTCTCTCGGCGATGCGCTCATGCAGTATGGACGTTATGGCCGCGCAGACGATGTAGTCGAGGAGCATCAGGTCAACGTCCAGCCGTGTCTCTGCATCGCAGACATCGGCCTCGTTGGACGTGGGAAGAGGAGCCCCGGCTTTTCTCCAGGCGTTCGTCTGCTTCATGGTAAAGGTGATGTTGATGTCTTGATGCAGTATTGCAGTATTGCAGTTTCAGGTGAGTCTCAACTGGAGTGAGGGTATATAAAAGCGATCTATCCAACTACCCCTTTTTCACTTGCCCCTCGACCAGCTCACCGGTTCTACAACCACCATCCTTTACCCCCTTTATATCTTCCGATGACGATAACTGATGCCTCACCTTCAATCTCTGGTATTCAATAGTTATATGCACGAACCAATTGTTGGCTGCATGCCGGGAAGGTCGAACGGCCAACTTGCATCGCGGGCTCGAGTCCTGCGCCAATAACAGCGTCTCGCGCTCACACTGCGGCGCATCGTCAGGTCCCATACGGCATCGCATCTATTGGCCAGCTGCGGGCGGGTTCGAAACTCCGCGTCTCGTGAGGTTCTCCGTGCTTTTTTCTGTGTGTAATTCTTGCGTATCTACGGAGCTCTTGCACGAGAAACAGAGGCCAGGAACCCTTCTAACACGTACGATTTACAGGTTTCTTTTTTCACTATTGACTGCTGCAACGGCAGCTCGGATCGCTGCGACTTCAAATGACACCCTCCCCGTCATGCACTTCGCTATCTCAAACACTCCAGTTTCACCTTTTTCGCCCTCTCCAACGCGCCAAAAAAAAAAAAAAAACCATATATTGGCTGCGGGATGTCATGTGACCTGTATATCGGATCGCGCCTTTATCACATTTTCTTATGGTCGATAGTTGAGAAACCATAAGCACGCTGCCAATATACCAGATTCGTCTCGTATATCGTGCATCTTCTCGCACACTAGTGGCGGGTGATCTCGCAGTAAGCCCCCCTGCTACAGAGGAGTGAAAGTTACTGTTTTTATCACTGTCGATGGGGCAAAGTCAGTCCTCCCGCTCGGGCGCACCAGGTGAATCGCACGATGCTTTTGAGAGAGACTTCTACGCCATCCTAGGGGTAGAACGGACTGCTACGGCCGAAGAGTGCGCAATTTCCCTTTCTAGTTAATGGTTAAAGTCGTGGTCGTTGCTGTGTGATTGCTAACACGGCCGTGTCTTCCCCTCCAGGATAAAAAAAGCATATCGGAAGAAAGCGTTGGAACTACACCCCGATAAGAATTATGGAAACGTCGAGGAGGCCACTGCCCTCTTTGCGGAGGTACAGTCGGCGCACGAGATCTTGTCGGACCCTCAAGAACGCGCCTGGTATGACTCGCATAAGGATGCAGGCGGCGGTGATACCGACGGCGCGCAGGGGCCAGAAAACTCCAGGTTTACTGCGGCCGCTGATGTCATGTCGCTTATCATGAAGTTCAACCCTCGCATGGAATTCTCCGACTCCCCCTCGGGCTTCTTCGGCGGACTTAACGATACTTTCAACCAGCTCGCAAACGAAGAGCTAATCGCCTGCAGATGGGACGATTTAGAACCCATCCACTACCCTCCCTTCGGCCACAAGGACGACCCTTCTGATACCGTTCGCAGATTCTATTCGGCATGGAGCAGTTTCGCCACCAAAAAGTCGTACGCGTGGAAGGATTTGTATAAATACTCAGAGGCACCTGACCGTCGTGTACGACGGTTGATGGAAAAGGAAAACAAACGTCTACGCGAGGATGGGATCCGAGATTTTAACGACGCCGTTCGCTCGTTGGTAGCCTTTGCCCGAAAGCGCGACCCTCGCTACAAGGCTACCGTCCAGAGCGAAGCAGATCGCCAAAAGATCCTTCGTGACTCTGCTGCTGCCCAAGCTGCCCGCTCCCGGCAGGCTAATAACGCCAAACTGCAGGACTTTACACTCCCCGAATGGGCTCAGACAGAGGAAGTTGAGGAAGAGTTCCCCAGTGAATCTGAATCTGAACAGAACCACTTTGAATGCGTGATATGTAATAAGAATTTCAAAAGTGAAAAGCAGTTTGAAGCGCATGAACGGAGCAAGAAGCACATCAAGGCGCTGAAGCAGCTGCAGCGCGAGATGCAGCTGGAGGATAAGCACCTTAACCTTGACGCGGTAGAACCTGGAGAGATCGAGCCGATGTCCGATGACGAGGACAGTCAAGGTAGGCAAGACGAGCCAGCTGGTCTACACGATGAAATATCGGAAGAGGAGCCAGCAGCCTTGGATTCTGTTGACGACTCCGATGAGAGTATACCGGGCGACTCCCCCGATCTACCGTCAAAGGCTACCGCCGATCAGCCGCAGCAGTCGCAGTCGCAGCCGAATGATGAAGAGTTAGATGATAACGAGGACATTGACGAAGAGGATATTCGAAAACACGTCCTCGGTGACCAGGCTGAGAATGGCGTAGACTCCGTCACTGAAAAATTATCATCTCTCTCCACGGCCCAAGGAGGAGATGACGGCGAAGACGATTCTCCTATTGCCCGAAAACCAGGCAAGGCTAAGCAAAAACGCGCCAAAAAGGCCGCTCAAGCAGCATCAGAGCAGTTTGCCTGTGCCGTTTGTCGCGAGTCCTTCACGTCGCGAAGTAAACTCTTCACCCACCTAAGAGAACTGGATCATGCCCAACCCCCAACGGCCCAGAAACAGCAAGGTTCGAAGAAGAAGAGGAAGTGATCTCTTTTCTTCTAATGACCGTGCTCATATGCCTAATGTTTGATGCTAATGACTTAACGCGCACATATATCTCTTAGCATATAAAGCGAATGAATTGCATTTTTGACCTCGTTTTAACTGATGTTTTTTTGGCGCGTATCTTGCTTAGTCACCCAACGCGTCTCCCTCTTGAGCATCAAAGCTGTTGTTGATTGCTGTGAACATCTGCAATACTGACCAGCAGAGCTTCTATCTACATGATAGTATTCCGTGTCATTGATGGTTTATGTCAAGCTAACATCAAGAACTGCTTGCACGCAGCCGAAGTCGGAGATGGTGCAAGGTGGACTCGCGACGCGTCCATTAACGCAGATATCAGACAGATGTATCCATGGAGTCTGATCATCCAGTGGGATAAGGGATACGTAGCTGCCGAGCTGATGGGTTATATCATCCGATTCCATGATGTCTCTCGGGGCCACTACCGGTTACTCGAAGGCATTGTGTTTGGTTCTTTAGCGGCCGTTTGGTTACTTTGGTTGGCCCAGTGTGAGCTTCCATCTTTATAACTATCTCCCAGTAACATATAACCTCCATAGATGGGATAATACCATAGACTTATTTATTGCAACTTGTCCATATATACCGCCATTTTCTTTGATAAGCTTGTTTGACATGGGACAGGCGTTGGGTATAAGGCGTAGATCAATGTAGCGTTGTCTATGTTCAGTTCACGTAACCATCGAGGAGTAAGAGTCATGCCGTACGTAGAGATAGACGGCGTATTTTAGCATATCTGTATGGGGATGGAGTTTTATCCCCGTGGACTATTGTGCATTCTCTTTATTGCTCCATGTTTGTATGATATTTATTTCATCACTGGGATTTTTGGCCGTAATGAACATTGGGCTGCATTGCTATATAAGGTCAATCTGCGGGAATAATCCCGTTTAAATTCAAGTGTAGGTATGTTTGGCTAATTAAATATAGTGTACCTCCTAGCAGGGTCTGTATGTCTATACATGTTGCTATATGTTGTCGTGGCGGTGTTGATGTATTAATTTCTATATTTTTACATTTTTATAAATTGATAAATATTAAAAAACATAAAATAACATGCAACCAAACCACAATTCACTGATCGCACCCCACACACAACGTAAAACATGGATCTAAAGGCATAAATCGAGCTAAATATACTAGATATTACACGAGATTCCCAAAGAAGGCCCAATTTATCGATGGTCGTGGTTATATATGGGTATATTGGGCGTTTGGGGTAACATCCACACACATCTACAAGCGCCATGATGCCAGCAAGCGTCCATTCTACTAGTAAAAATCAAACCAAACGCATTAAATATGATGAGAAAAGTTATTCATCCATATTAAATGCCTGGCAGTAGTTATATTTACGCGCACCCGTGATAAAATACATATGCAGACAGAATTGATTGATTTAACACCATGATTGATACCCAGGTCATTGCATCCTTTTTATTCTAACCTCTACTACAAATTTACCCAGGACGCCGAATCCCATTAAATAGAGTCTCCATCGCTAGCAAGTCACTGAGATATATCATGCGATGGATACAGTTTCACCAAACAAATGCCGCCACCAACATACATTAGGATGGCCGCGACATGTAGCAGAGCAAAGCTTTTTATCCCAACCCTGCCTTCGTAGTCTTGACGACGTGGATGACTGGTTGTAGAATTCCCTTGTTATCACTGGAGCCAAGGGCCATGCCCATATTCCATCCCATTTTCTCCAACATAGCTCTCCCGCGATTATCGGCGCCGATCTCTGGTGCCGAGGCCCCCACGACGTCTCCGTCCATGTACGACGCGGCTTTGGTTTCACCGCGGGCCTTGACCGGGCGAACGCCGGGGCGGCGTTTCTCAGAGTATCGAGTGATTCGTTTGCGGGAGAAGAGGGCATCGAGCTCGTCGGTTTCGTCAGGATAGAAGGTGGGTGTACCGCGGGTCTTGGTGAGGATAGGGAAGCGGTTATTGCCTTTACCGCGAGAGAGGGATTTGAGGGAGAGCGCGTTGGCCATTTCATGGACGATTTTGCGGTCTTTCTTGGCCATGGGTGGGAGGTGGAGGCTGTAGATATGGATGTTAGCGACGGTGATAATACATGGGAGGCAAGCATGGGACTTACGTCTGAGTTCGAGAGATCATGAAGGCACGAATCTCGTCTCGAAGGTCGTCTGGGGAGCTACCCTGGTGCCTGGACTTGCCAGGCTTACCCAACAGTCCCTGTGTGCGTAGCTCTTCTCGCTCAAGCTTCTTAGCCTTCTTCTTCCTCCGGTCCATCTCCCAGGAAGACTGAAGATTGGACTCGAGCTCGCTGTCTGATATACCGAAGTCGGGCATCTTCCCTCTTGCCTTCTTACCCTGTAAACTGGCCCGATTGAAATCCATGATGTCAAAAGCGCCGTAGGGATCCTCGTCGAACATATCGGCTAGTTTGGTAGCGGAGATTGGCTCGCGGAGTTGCGCGCGTTTCTTCTTATCCTTCTTCTTCCGGCTTGACGTAGTCGCCATGGCGGTTTTCGCGAAGCCATTGGTGTTGAAGAAGTCGATCTCGTCTGCGTCCATGTCAGGAATATCGCCTGTGTCGAGCATGTGGGCTAGCTGTTCGTCGGACATCCACTGCATATCCTCGTCAAACATCCCATCTTCGAGATCAGAATCACCATCATCATCCTCGTCCTCCTCATCCTCCTCATCCTCCTCATCTTCCTCATCTTCCTCATCTTCCTCATCTTCCTCCTCGTCCGAAATCTCAATCTCTTCTTCGTCCTCTGGGCTTGATATGGCTGGGGTCTTGGGGGTGACAATCTTGCTTGGTTGTTCGTCATCTGTAAAGTTGTCAGAGTCGTCATCCTGTGCTATGTTTGCAATGTAGTCCGCAACGACATCCGAGTCAGCCGAGTCGTTCCCGAGCTCAAGTACGACCCTGCGTGGGGCTGAAGCTTTCGTTACGCCTGTCCACCCCTGATATCCTGGTGTTTCCGTGTCGTTTTTACGCTTGGGTGGCCTGTCTTGAGTCGCAGTCGTCAGAGGATCATCGACAACTCTGCTAGGTAGCTTTCGTCGCAGGTCTGTCTGTCTGCCCGTGAACACGACCTCATCTTCACTAGAATCGGAGGAGTCGCAGTTGATGACGGGATTGGGGTGTGTAGACTTGGGGATGGTCGTGTCGCCATCAGCGTCGATGAAGAATAGCTCTTCCTTGGCGAACGTTACATGTACAGCTTGTGGTTGCTCTGGTTTCTCGTCGTGCTGCTCGTCGGGAGGCTGAGAGGGCTTATCCAAAGCCAGGTCGTCAAGATCCTTGAGAACAGACGGGTCATCGGGCTCTGTATGTCCACTGCTCACGAACTTAACGGTCTGATATCGTAGCTGGCGACTGCTGCGTTCGAAGGAGTGGCGTTCTGTATTCCGCGCCTCCTGGCTGAGAGTGAACCGGTGCTCTTCGCTCGCCGTGGCTATGGGAGCGCATTAGCCTGTATCCCTTTATGTCAGGATGTATCCATCACCGTACTATTTTCATGCGCCTTTCCAATACCTATGGAGTGAGTCAGTAAAGGTGAACATGCCAGGCCTGATAAACAGGAACTCACCTCTGCGCCTCCCGTGCCGCCGCCTAGCCGGCATCTTGCTTGTTTATAGCAGTCAGCAGTCTGCAGAAGGGGTTTTTATCTCTGGTGCAGAAAGATGAAGCTGGAGGAAGTGGAAAGTAGAAAAATAACGGAGGTTGTAGAGGGCGAAGGAGGCAAAGGCAAAAGAAGCAAACACCCCCACATGCGGCTATTCTTATCGATGACTGCATAGGGCTGCTTGTTGGTGTTCACGCGGCCATCCAACTTCAACTTCATGCTTCTCTGTCTTTTATATATCTGCTATTCTTTGACCTTCATCTTGATAGACACATTCACTAGGCTGATGACTGGCCTCTGATATCTGTTTCTGGTGGGCGGTTGTCCTGTTTTCCAGCCTCGACGGGCCGTATACCCATCACCAGCTGCAGCGTTGAAGCTCCAGCAAGGTCAGACTGCACCGCGTTACCAGCACCGGATAGAGGATTCCAGCGAGCAGACAGACAGGAAGAGACTAGTAGATACTCCCTGGACCCGTTCTCCAAGACTATACTAACCGCGGCAGGCAGCCAGATACACGATGAACAACGTGGACATCGGAAATCAGTACAAGAAGATCATCCAGTTCTTCTGGGACCCAGAACCGAAGAACGATGATAGCCCCGAGCTGCCGATCTGGTGTCTGGGATGTGAATATGAGAAGACAGAGCCGCCATCACAGGCTTCTACGCAGATACTAGGAGAAGAGCAGCCACAGCAACCCGCGTCGTCCACACGGAGTTATGATACTACTACTGCACAGGAACAGCCTCGGAAGTCCAGCGATAGGCGGACATCGACAGACGACCGCCCGCCGACTCCCAGCTCAGCCATATCCTCCTTCGTCCAGCTCCCCAACCCGGCACCGGCAGCAGCGGAAGCAAACACGCATGCCTGGCCGTCAGCCTTCCTAGACGACTTTGAGTCCAGGATATGGATAACGTATCGATCACAGTTCCCACCGATACCCAAGTCCGGCGGGAGCGGTAGCTCGTCGATCCCACTGGGCGTACGACTACGCAGTCAGCTCATCGACACTCAAGGCTTCACGTCGGATACCGGGTGGGGATGCATGATCAGGTCTGGCCAGAGTCTGCTCGCTAACACGTTGATATTCCTCCGGTTGGGACGAGGTATACCGTCTTACCTTTTACAATACTATATATATGCTGATGTTTAGTAGAATGGCGACGGGGCAAGCAGGTACAAGAGGAAAGCGACCTGCTCTCTCTCTTCGCCGACCATCCACGAGCACCCTTCTCGATCCACCGGTTTGTACAACACGGGGCTACGGCATGTGGCAAGTGTCCCGGCGAGTGGTTCGGGCCATCTGCGGCAGCGCGGTGCATACAGGCACTGGCGAGCAGCTACTCGCCGGCGGGACTGAACGTGTACATCACCAGTGACGGATCTGATATATATGAGCGGCAGTTCCGAGAGATCGCGTGCGGTGACAGCGATAAGATACAGCCGACGTTGATACTGCTCGGGGTGAGACTGGGGATAGACCGAGTGACGCCTGTGTACTGGGAGTCACTGAAGGAGGTCATCCGGTATCCGCAGTCTGTCGGCATAGCAGGGTGAGCACCTTTATACTCTTGATGTCTTTGATATCACTTATATTTTTAATGTTCTTGATAAAGCTAATGTATGTAGCGGCCGACCGTCGTCCTCGCACTACTTCATCGCGACCCAGGGCGACACATTCTTCTACCTGGACCCCCACCAGACGCGCCCCAGTCTGCAGCCACGGACGGAGGAAGGAGACGTGTACAGTCCCTGTGAGCTGGAGACGTACCACACGCGGCGCCTAAGGAGACTGCACATCCGCGAGATGGATCCGAGCATGCTCATCGGCTTTCTGGTGCGTGACGAGGCGGACTGGGACGACCTGAAGACGCGGATAAGGTCTACTGTCGGCAAGGGAGCGGTCATCCACGTTTTTGACGAGGAAAGCAGCGTAGAGGACGTGGGCGGCGAGCGAGCCGGTGCCGAAGAGGAAGTCGAGTCTTTCGACGAGTTCTAACTTACTTGATACAATGAAGTATAAACATGCAATATCAAGTATATGCTACGATGAAGTATGGAGACGAGCTACGGGAATGAAGTAATGACATCGGGTAGTGCAACCGTTTTTATGTATGGTACAGGCCACATCATGACATTAACATAGCACTATAGAATAGCGCGAAAAGAGCAAGAGAGTAAGAGATAAACGACCATCCGATCCCATAGTAGTAAAAAGAGAAACCCACGAAACACCCAGACCCACCTCAACCATGAACAAGAACTAGAGAACAAGAAGGAAGCATGAATGATTTATCGGGCGGAAGAAGAGTACTTGGTGACGGCCTTGGTGCCCTCGGAGACGGCGTGCTTGGCCAGCTCACCGGGGAGGATGAGGCGGACGGAGGTCTGAATCTCTCTGGTGGAGATGGTGGACTTCTTGTTGTAGGCAGCGAGCTTGGAGGCCTCGGTAGCAACACGCTCGAAGATGTCTACTCAATTAGCATTGTCATGACCAGATAGAGAACAGGATGAGCTTACCGTTGACGAAGGAGTTGAGGGTGGACATGGCGCGCTTGGAGATACCGGTGTCAGGGTGGACTTGCTTGAGCACTAGGAGATGTCAGTCGCGTCGACACGCAGATGATACGAGAACAAGACGCACCCTTGAAGATGTAGGAAGAGTAAGTCTCCTTTCTGGCCTTGGTGCGCTTCTTCTTGTCACCGGTGGCGGCAGAGGCAGTCTTCTTGCCGGCCTCCTTCTTCTCAGCAGGCGCCTTGCCAGCCGGGGCCTTGCCGGCGGTCGAGGGCTTCTTCTCAGCAGCTTTTGGGGCCATTTTGAGCGAGGTACGTGAGACGTGAGTGTAAGTGTGAGAGTGTGAGAGTGGTAGAGTGGTGGTGGTGAGTGTGGTCGAGAGTATGGTCGATGATGGTGGTGGGAAGAGAAGAGCGGAGGGAGCTGCCTTTATACCAGGCCGAGCGAGGCGGGCGTGATCTTTTTGACGTGATCGAGGGCGAATTTCGATACAGGTAACGCTGCCGTATGATCCGTATGATTAAACCGGCGCTTGGCGGGGGGTGGCACCAAAAGGGCGGGACGCGACGGGCGTAACTTACGGTATGCGTATTATTGATCTGGGAGGCGAAAAAGGGCCCGCCCACTCTTGTCTGAGCATCGTGATCTGGGTGATCCTGGGGCGCGCGCTCTTTATAAAGCATCTCCTCTCGCAACTTCACTTCACCTTCAACTCAACACTACTCTCACACACGCACTCAACTCTCGCACACTCCAAGCTCACACACACACACTTCAACTACTCAACTAAGTCAAGACTTAAGTTACCATCAAAATGACTGGAGGAAAATCTGGCGGCAAGGCCTCTGGCACCAAGACTTCTCAGTCGTATGTCTTAACTTATTCTGCTTACTGCTTGATCAATGCTAACGATGTGTAGTCGCTCTTCCAAGGCTGGTCTCGCGTTCCCAGTTGGTCGTGTTCACCGTCTCCTCCGCAAGGGCAACTACGCTCAGCGTGTCGGTGCTGGTAAGATACCTCCCACTCCATGTTTCGCGCGTGCAATGCTAACGGGAATAGTCGCCCCTGTCTACCTCGCGGCCGTGCTTGAATATCTCGCCGCTGAAGTCCTCGAGCTTGCCGGCAACGCTGCCCGTGACAACAAGAAGACCCGTATCATCCCTCGCCATCTCGAGCTTGCCATCCGCAACGACGAGGAGCTCAACAAGCTGCTCGGACACGTCATCATCGCCCAGGGTGGTGTCATGCCCTACATCCACCCCAACCTCCTGCCAAAGAACACCCCCAAGGCCGGCAAGGGTGGTCCCTCTCAAGATTTGTAAAGTCTGATTCTTGTGTTTTCCTTTCAAATGGCGCATGGTTCCGTTCGGGGTGGGATAGGATGGTCAACGTGGTTTTCTCTTTCTTTTTATTTTATAACGATGGTGTATATTAATACATGCAAGTGATGCTGTCCGCACTACTCCTACTCTCTACGTAAACTGTACAACTACGATATAGACGATAGACGATGAAGTAGATATGACAAGTAAATAATGTATTGATGTACAAGAACGCCGGACAGATGCTAATTCTCGACCTTTGCCAGATGCTGCGGTTGTGGTGCTGCAGGATGTTAGTATGTATATGCATATATCGAGAGACAGACGTACGGTTGAGGATGGGAACCTCGAGGTTGCGCTCCCACTTCGATCCTACACGGCCGTCAGCAGAGATCAGAGATTGATGGACAGGAGATACTCACCACCCGGTGCGGTTGGGGCTCGGTACGGATCAGGGTGCTTCCACTGCTCTAGCAGCTTCTCCGTCTCTTGTAGCAGAACCTGCAGCCGTCAGTCGTCGTCCAAGGTAATCATAAGGGTATTCGTAAGGGCAATCGTAAGGGAGAGTAATAACGTACTCGCTGCTCGCGTGGATTTCGCACATGTTTGTTCGCATCGAAGAGCGAGCGGATGTACACTGCCTGGCCACGCCAGAGATATCGGTGCACTGCCCAGTCAAGCGAGAGCTTCAGGGCGCGCTTATACAGCACCCTACACGGCGTCAGTATCATCAGCAACAGAAGAGTGAGCAACGGAGGCATACAGGGCTGGATGGCGGGTCGACATGGCGATGCTGTTGTGATCTGATCTGATGCGATGCGGTGGTCGGCGGTGGTCACTTCGAGTGGCAGGCTATAACATGTCCCGCTCGATGACAGTTCCAGTCGGTCTCGGTCTCGCTGCCGCCTCAATTGCTGTTTCTCTCTCTCTTCTCTCTTCTCTTCGCTGTGTCTGTGAAGTCGAAGTTGCGAGTTTGGTGGATTATGGATATTCCGGTTTCGTCCGCGTTCCGCAGCAAAACATAAAACATTGCCAGCTTGCTCTTCATGGGAAAAACCTCACCTTAACCACCGTCTCTCTCGACTCTTGGGATCTCTTTAATTTCTAATTACTTGTCTTACTCGCTATCAGCTATCATGGCTTCGCGGAGAATATCGCAATTGGCCGGTGCCGTGCGCTCGACGCCCATCATCGCCCGTCCTCAGAGCTGCCGCTGCTTCTCGTCGATACGTACCGCCAGCAGACCAGTCACCGTCGCCTCAACTTCTTCTCTATACCGTCTGGACTCGCTGCGATCCAAGTAGGTATTCCTCACGGCGAGTGGCTCGAATGGCTGCTAATGGGCGGTAGATACGATGTCCTCCCACGATCCTTCGGCCAGATACGTACATACGGTAAGCCCGGCAAACAGACAGTACAGACTGCAAATATAATTCTCTAACTGTCCGATGTAGCCGATGCAGTGGTCAAGGTGCCTCAGATGGCCGAGTCGATCTCGGAGGGAACCCTGAAGCAGTTCTCAAAAGGTGGGTTCTCTTTGTCACGCACGACTTGACTTGCCTGCTAACGGAGTATAGAGATCGGTGACTACATCGAGCAGGACGAGGAATTGGCTACCATTGAGACCGACAAGGTATGCTCAGCATTCCGCTGACATGACGATCAATGGCTAACAGCATGATAGATCGACGTAACTGTCAACGCTACCCAATCTGGAATCATCCGCGAATTCTTTGCCGCCGAAGAAGATACCGTCACCGTCGGACAGGATCTCGTCCGTCTCGAACTCGGTGCTGCCCCAGAGGGTGCTAAGGCTGAAAAGGCCGAGAAGCCCGCTGAATCAGAACAGCCAAAGGAGGAGTCCAAGCCCGAACAGCCAAAGGAACAGCCCAAGGAAGAGGCTGCTCCAGCCAAGTCTGAGACTGCTGCCCCAGCTCCAACTCCCGCTCCAGCCCCCAAGCAGGCGAAGAAGGCTGCTGCTCCAGAACCGGCCGCCGCCAAATCTACTCCCGGAAACAGAGATGAGCGCAGAGTAGGTTCCTGGCATCCTATTCTTATCTTGACTATGATCTAACGAGTATAGGTAAAAATGAACCGTATGCGCCTGCGTATCGCCGAACGTCTAAAGCAATCCCAAAACACCGCCGCCTCCCTCACCACCTTCAACGAAGTCGACATGTCCTCTCTCATGGAATTCCGCAAACTCTACAAGGAAGACGTCCTCAAGAAGACCGGCGTCAAGCTTGGATTCATGAGCGCCTTCTCCCGCGCCTGCGTGTTGGCCATGAAGGACGTTCCAGCTGTTAACGCTTCGATCGAGGGACCCAACGGTGGCGACACCATTGTCTACAGAGACTACGTCGATATCAGCGTTGCCGTCGCTACCGAGAAGGGACTCGTCACCCCCGTCGTGCGCAACGTTGAGAATATGGGACTCGTAGAGATCGAGCAGTCTATTGCTGATCTCGGCAAGAAGGTATGTCTTTGTACTTTTGCATTATACATAGAGTAAGCTAACAAGCGTAATGTTAGGCCCGCGACAACAAGTTGACTATTGAGGATATGGCCGGCGGTACCTTCACCATCAGCAACGTAAGTCTCCATCCTGCATTAAATTATATTTACAGGCTAACGTGATGGATAGGGTGGTGTCTTTGGCTCCCTCATGGGAACCCCAATCATTAACCTGCCACAAACTGGTGTCCTTGGCCTGCACGCTATCAAGGACAAGCCCGTCGTCGTCAACGGCAAGATCGAAATCAGACCAGTAAGCTACCACTTCAGTCTAATCATGAATGCAAAGCATATAAGCTGACCTATCTAATAGATGATGTATCTCGCCCTTACATACGACCACAGACTCCTCGACGGTCGGGAGGCTGTTACTTTCTTGGTCAAGGTATGTCCAGACAATTCCCGCCTGCCTATTAATATACCGTGGTAGCTAACCCCTTTACAGATCAAGGAATACATCGAAGACCCCCGCCGCATGCTCCTGGGTTAAATCCCTCCTCCATAACCTAACCATCCATACCTCCATGCATCATCATCATCATCATCACCACCATATCTACCTGTAAATTCTCATCATTGGCAAATTATATTCCATCTCGTTTCATATGTTGTGTTTCTTTCTTCCCGCGCTGTTTTCCTATGTACAACAATAAACCCATCGACCATCAAAACTGTTACAATCAATTGAATCGATATATTAAATAACAATAGATTAACGCCTTAACGAGAAGGATTTCATACATCTTTTGCCTTAGTAAATAGAAACATGGCCCTTTTTATTGGTTGGATGACTAAAGAGGCTTGGCGTGATTTATACGCGATTTCTACTTTACGCGTTGGAGCAAGACAAGAAAAGAAGACAACAAAAGACCACAGCAAGTTGATAAGTTGACAGGACAGCGAGATGGCTGCAGCAGGGACAGATGCAGACGGACAGGCTACTGCGCTCCGGGCAGAGTTGAAGCAGTGGGAGAAAACATTTACGCTGCACGCCTCGCGCAAGCCAGGTCGCGAGGATATAAAGAATGATCCAGTCATCGGTACGTTCACCATTATTCGAGAGACGAGTATTTCAAAGGTGTATATAGAGTACGGCCTAACGATGATTCTACAGCTGAAAAGTACAAAGAGTATGCACGGCTACGATCAGAGTGCTCTCGAAAACCGGGGAAAGGAACAGGAGCAGTCGCCCGCCCACACGAGCAGCAGCATCAAACACCTAAGAAGCGAGCGAAGAGGAACTGCCCTTTTGAAGACGACGACGATGAAGGAACGGCCAAAACGCCTACAAAGCTATGCACGCCCAGCAGGAACGCAGTGAACCCTCTACACCCTTCCTGTATCGACCCGTACGACTCTCCCTCCAACATTCGCCGATTAAACGGCCCGCGGGAATCACCTCTTCCTCTCCAGGAGGTTATTGGACCTACTCCGCAGCGTGACGGGAAGGCTCTAGGGCTATTCGATCTTGTGGGCTCGCCGAGCCAGAAAACGCCTATAGCAAACAGACATATTGCCGCGGCAGGGATAGCGCAGACACCCTCTCGCAAGGTAGCGGGCACACCGTCGACCGGAGGGAGTGCCACGGCCACAGCGCGAAGACTAAGATATGCATCCACTCCGTTATCTTCGGCGCGTAAATTCTATCTATCGAGCTTTTTCGCAACGCCAACGGCGAATCGATGCCTGACAATTGCAGAAGACGAGGGTGTCGACGATGATGCTCGTGGAGCCTTGGAGTCGGAAACGCCGTCTTTCCTACGACGCAAGAATTTCCTTTCTCCCGCTGCGAAAGGCCGGGCTCGTTCACCGGGCGTCCATAGCCCTGTGCCAGTGGCCGTACGCATGCCGCAGAAGTTATTCGGAAAGGGGATAAGCTCGTTTGCGAAACGGTTGCAAGATGGGCAGAATGCGGATCAAGAAGAGACGGTCGACGATTCGGAAGACCGAGTTGAAGAGACGCAGATATTTTCAGATCCCGAAGTCGATGGCGAGGAGGGAGATGCCGCTGCCGATGCTAACAAATCTCCCTCGAAGACCTACAAGACTTATAAGAAGAAAGGCCAGAAACGAACCACCAAATTATCCCGGCTTAGGCCCTCTCGTAACAAACCAGTGGCCCAGCCTCGATGGGAGTCGTTGGTTGAGGAAAGCGATGACGAACTCCCAGCCTCTAGAACGTCGGTTCCTCCTGACGGTAATGATTCTAGTGACGACCCTGAAGGAGATGGCACGTATATGCCCAAGAAGAGCCGTGCAAAACCAGTCAAACCTGGTTTAACGACAGGAGCTGAGAATAAACCCGAGAAGAAGCTGAGAAAAATCAAAGCAGAGGCTCACGCCAACTACCGCTCCTTGAAGATACGGAGTCGAGGCGGCCAGAAGGGCGGAGGCCGATTCGGGAGACGATGAATGGCTGTTTCCCGTATATAACGACCCTGATGATTCACGATTTTAGATATATATCACTCCGTATATAGCATAGAGCTGTTGTCTTGAAGCTCGAAATATCGCGATATCCCACGCTCATCATACTGAACTGTTGCATCCCATTCTCTCAGAGTCTCGAAGGGACTTCTCAACCAAGACTGCAACTCATGCAGAAACAGCGACGCATGCTCTCTACCTAGGAACTCCTGCAGCAGCTTTTCTGCCTGTCCCGCGCTCCCCTTCATATCTACCGTGCGTATAACGGCAATGATATACTCCAGCAGATACTCCGGGTTCCCTATCCTTACACCGGTCCTATCTCCATCTCGATTGCCCCCGTTCAAAAAGGTAAAAACTTGCAACTCACGCCGGATCCATCTTCGGGCCCGGGAGAGGAGCTTATCGTCCCTATCAACCATCTGGGGCGTGAGTTCTCGATAGTGAGAATATCGATTCGAACCCACCCGTAGACTATACAGTCGGTGGCGGTATATATGCCGACGACGCAGCAGGGCAGAGTCTACTACTTCTGCATGGCCACGAGGACCAGGACGCGGTATCCTCTGTCTCCGTCTATGTCCAGGGCTAAGAGTGCCTTCTTTACTCTCAGTTGGGGTGCGAGTAGGTAGCCAAATTATCTTCTCGCCATCAGAAGCATCTATATCGTACTTCACCCCAGTTACCACCGCCTGGCCTATATAGATGTATGAGCAACATATCTCATGATCCACCCTTCAACCCGACGAAATGAGGCCGTACTTACATAGAGGGCAAGCTGGGCGTTCACCCAGCCATAGCAAAAGACACTGTAGGTCGAAATTGGCGTGTTTACAAGGAATCGCAGTGCCAGCGTTCTCAAGCTTGTCCAAACAGATTACGCAGGGTCTGGCATCTTCTGCATCCTGGTCGTCCCGGTTGACATCTGCTATCATCTTGCAAAGTACATCCTGGCTCCCCTCCACATCCTGGGCCATTGGCATGCATATCAAAAGCACATATGGCCAATAGAGGGCTCAACGTTGGAGATGTCGACGTTGAATGACCGTTTGTCGCCTTTTTGGGCCGAGATAGATGCTTGGTCACGTGAATATAATACTCAGCTTACCTAATAAAATATTTTTGAAGCCAAAGAAGAAAAAAGCAATTTGATGCAAGCGTGAAAGGACTTGGGAAACTTGATCTCAAGTGTCTGCAGCATGTCAAGTTGACGACTCGACTCGTCCATGATACCGATAGTAATGCTCTCCTATGCTTAAGGCACTCAGATCCCCGAGACTTATATCTGCTTACGCTCAGATGGCGCCAGCTATAGCCACCAGCGCAACGCGGTTCAACCCCCAGAGACCTGCGACCTACTCGACAACCGCGTTGAAACGATGGTCATGCCTCAATGAAGGCGTCCTTCCTTGTGGGTGTCCAATTGAAACCGAATACTAGCATATTTTTGCGCTGTTCTTGGACCTTTGCGTGGAAGCTAACACGCCAAATCTAGCCATTCCCGATATCAAAGCGATTCACGTCTACGACTTTGACAACACCCGTACGGAGGCCCCAGATGCGCTGCATACATTTGAACGCGACGGCTAACTATATACCAAGTCTTCCTAAGTCCTTTGCCTAACCCACAGTTGTGGAATGGGCCTACAATCGGCTTCCTGCAGTCATATGAATGCTTTGCAAAGGGTGGCTGGTGGCATGATTCGAATATCCTCGGTTCAACAGGAGATGGACTCGAAGTTGAAGAAGCCCGTGCTTGGGTAGGATGGTGGAATGAGCAGATAGTACGATACCCGTGATTTGTTGATACAGTGGTCCACCACCAACTGACTTCAAATAAGGCCCAATTGGTTCAACTGAGTATGAAACAAAAAGATGCCCTCACCGTTCTCCTCACCGGAAGGTCTGAGAGTGGATTCGCCGATCTTATCGGGCGCATGGTCAAGAGTAAACAATTGACATTTGATCTGGTCTGTCTGAAGCCGGAGGTTGGCCCGAACAACCAACGCTTCGCTTCTACTATGAAGTTTAAACAGAATTTACTAGACGACCTAATGCGTACGTATAAAGATGCAGATGAAATCCGAGTCTACGAAGACCGTGTAAAACAGTAAGTTTGTGCGCTTATCATGGTCAATCTTTTCAAAAAAGTCTTTAACCACTCACAACAAACAGTGTTAAAGGCTTCCGCGACTTTTTTGAGCAGTTCAATAAAGATGCCCTGGCAGCTGGTCCATCAGCTACCCGAAAGCCCATCACGGCTGAAGTGATCCAAGTGGCTGAGTTAGCTAAATACTTGTCTCCGGTAACAGAGGCAGCCGAGATACAACGGATGGTCAACTCGCACAATGCATCACTAGGGTCTCCTGGTGCAAATATCACCAAATCGCCATATGGCAGACTTGAGCTCTCAAAGACTACATTCTACACGGGATACATTCTCTCAAACGCCGATACTGCTCGGCTTATAGATAATATTTTCCTTCCACTAATATCATCCAGCGTTGCTGACACGACTGAGATCAAATTCATGTCGAATAGTGTCTTGATCACGCCGCGATCAGCCCCTAAACCTATACTTGATAAGGTTGGCGGTCTTGGAAAGGTCGTCCGTTGGCGCGTCACAGGCACCGGGACGTATGAGCACAAGCTATGGGCTGCAAGAGTCAGTCCTCTTGATAGCTCTGAGGTTATCCACACTGATAACCCAGAGCCTATTATTGTTCTTGGTATGCGCAAGGGCGTGCGGCCAACAGATGCAGGCAAAATCCGTAACTGGAACCCAGTTACAAAGGATGACTCTCTAGTATTCGACACGGCAGTCGGAGAAAAAACCATCCTGCGCGTGCAGGAAGAAGATGTAGGACGGAACGGCAATTCAAGCCGAGGTGGCAAGAGAAGATTCCAGCCAGATAACCGTGAGGAGGCAGAGTCCTCGTCGCCACGAGACTATCGTGATAGGCAGCAACGGCCACCAGCGCCTGAATATTCCGGCGGGAGACCTCAGAATTATCATCGCCACTATAATGACGAAGGTAATCGTCGCGGTAACGGACCCCAGCCATCTTTCCGTGGAAACCGTGGTAGAGGCGGACGAGGTGGAAGGGGCGGTGGCCGAGGTCGCGGTCGTGGAGCCGGTGGAGGTGGTAGAGGAGACGGCCATGCATCACGATATAGGTCGTTAGATGACCATAACACCGGCGGTGGCGGTCACGATACGATGGACGACAGAGGCCCTGCCAGAGGACCTGGAGGTGGCCCTGTGATGAACTACTAGTCAATTTCTGTCCATGTGCATCATGGGTCGAATATCGTCCATGGTTTCTTCTTTCTTTCTCGATCTTTTCTTGTATCACTATTTATGTGTGTTTGTCGTATCTCTGTTGGAGTTTCTCTACTTGATCCAAGCCATTCCGATGGATCGTGGGCGTTGTTTGATACCTTCCGATATATGCTTATTCTTTTGCATCTATGCGATATGGTTCGTTGGTGGATGGGACAGGTTAATTCAGTTGATGAATTGTCAGGAATAGCTTCATGGTGACTTGTATATTTCTAAATATCAATTACTATTCTCCACGTCTCGTTTCTCTCCAATGCCGCGTATATGATAGTTCGGCGAACCAACTGATGATCCCCAAACGTTTCCTTGGGTTTTAATTTTATAAAAAGATCAATATACATCATCTGCATGTTCGGTCTTGTATCATTGAACTCATGCAACGCCCTGGAGGCTGTGGTTTTGTAAATATATGATTGCAACCATTTTGTTTTCTATATATTTACGTTTTTAAATTTAAAACAAAAATTAAAAAAAAAGGTAAGCAAATGCGACAAAACGCAAAACATCCACCATTCACTCTTAAAACTGTCAATCACCCCTATAAAACGGCGTACTTGAGTGTTTAATTTTAATATTTAATTATAATATATTTTACTGGGATAAAAACGCGTCGATGACTGGAATTGATTGATTTGGCGTAGTCGCGTGGGCGTTACAAGGCACGATGTAAATATGGCATGGCACCAACAAACACCATACAACAGCAATATGTACGAGAAGGTGGGATTTCAAGGGTAATATCTTTAATTCGGTTTTTCATCGGGGGTGCGCATTACTTATCAAGGACACGATATACAACTGGCCGTGGCGAAGTTGTTCGAACAATGTATTCCTCCAAAAAAAAAAAACTCCAAACACCGCCGCGAAGAAAATATTTCATATACAGCGCGTCAAAAAGGGAGCAACAGAAAACATGCGAACAGCCGGGGAAACAAAGGGTGAAAGGGTGTCGCGTCGAAAGGGCTTTTGACGTCGGGGTAGCTCGTTTATATCTAAATGCAAGTAATGTCCCAATCCACATTCCAAACCCATTATAATAGTAAGTCATCAAGGGGACAAAAAGAAAGCAACATATGGGGGGATATATTCAGGCGTGGACAGAAAAAGGAAATGATCAGGATAAGGGAAATAACAGATCAATCATCTGTCAACTGCGAGAAATAGCTGATACTCAAAATCATGCAAAGCAAGCCGATGGAAACGATGATGAAGAATGCGAAGCCGAACCAGCCTAGTAACATGGCTGACGTTCCGACTCCGCTTTTCACGCTGCCGTTCCCCAGGTCTTGGGCTATTGTACTCGCCGCTACCGATGCCGTGTGCTGCCAGAGGACTGACACCAGAATGAAGACGGAGGCGACGAAAATCAATGCGAGTGCGACTTGTGATACAGGCCGAGAGGGGAACGGCTTTACTTCGATATCGGATCCTTGGTTATTGAGCTCCTCATGCCAACCAGGGAAAGTCGCAAGGAGGAGGAAGGAGAAGAATGCGAAAATCAGTGCAACGATACTGGTAAATAAGTTAGCTGGTGTCCATTTTCGATTGGGGGGTGTTTTTTCGCCTTATGCAGGGTATACTCACATGAGGTATGGAAATACTACAGCATCTTTAAATGTGGATGCAACCCATATCAGATTCAATGGATCGCTCTCCACACCGAGAGATTCTGCCAAGATAGTTGCGTTCTGATTGCAGAGGAAGCCGCCGCCATTTCGCTGGATACAGATCCCGAAATACCCTACTCGAACCTCCAAATGGGCGCCTCCGACGATGTTTGCGATTGTTGGCACGAGTCCAGGGTCTGCCTGGGCGGTACTCATGACTGCTGGATATTTTTCATAGAACATCGATATTAGGAAGATGCTGGGGATTTGTGGAGACGAAGAAGAGCAGCCGGCTAGTAGTAGAGCTACAAGTAGACGTCTGTTAGCTTTAGTCCCAAAGTGATACTGTGCTCAGGCGCATACTCACATAGTAGTAGAATGGAGATTGCAACGAATAACATGAGAACATGGTGATATCCAACCATAGGAAGGAACCCTAAATTCGTAAAGCGTCAGTTTTATGTTCGACCGTTATCTCTCACTTGTGGGAGGTAAAGAACTCACGGCCAATGCCAGCCATAAACCGTAGCTCCGGCATCTTGAATCGATTAGCGCTGGGCCAATTCTCCCTTTGAATTCGTTGCTAAGCCCTTCCAGAGAGTCCAACTCCCGCCCCTCAGGGTCTTGGAGGGGTGGTGACTGATTAACCCGACCAAACGGTAACCCTATGCTCCGACCCAACCGTACAGAGTCGAATGAGGTAGCCTTGCCGTGAGTGGAAGGCTACTGTGATCAGGAAACGAGAGCGGACCGTTCGTAAAAGGTGAAGGCGGCGATCGTGGTCGATCTCAGTAGGTCAACTAGGAGATGGTTAGGAGCCTCGAGCACGATAGGTTGCTGGCGGACGGAGAGGATAGAGGTGTATTGTGTAATATGTGAGAGGTATGAGTGCAAGTGAGGGAAGAAGAGAAGATTGTAAGGTTCGTAGCTGTGAGAGAAAGCAATCCGGAAGCCTGCTCGAGACCGAATAGATCTGTAGCGAGCGACGGGTCGAGGCGATGGTTTCTTTCGATGTCTTCGTGAGAAAGACAGTGAAGAGGAAGAGAGAAAGAGAGAGAGAGAGAACAAGAAGAAGTCACTTGGCAACGAAAGACTTGCTGATATGCGGTGGCTGGACGGTGTCTTCGACCTGGTCGATGTATCAAAAGTCCGTGGCTGGGCCAACGATGGGTTATCTAAGCGCCCTTTGTTTACTGCCCTGGTTGTCGAGGCAACGACCTCACCGCCCCTTGGCAGAACTTCCCGCCCGTCAGGAACCACGTGGGGCGCGCTAGCCTCATCTGGACTAGAGCACGTGTCACCGCCAAGACATGGAAGTGCATAAAAAGTGGAAACAGTAAACACTGCATAGAAGGGTAAACAATGCATATAGAAGGCTCAACTCAATACATATATGCCATACCTCACATGCCCAAACTCCAATGCTTGCTCGCTATACCAGCATAATAAACCACCGGTCCCAAAAACTCCAGTCTGCCACTTTACCAATACTCCAGAATCACCTGTTAGCTGTGTAGTTATATCCCAATGAACAAAAAAAGCATACGCCCGAAACGTATATCAAAAATGGAAGAATCCGATCGCTTTACGCTTTTTTGAAGGCATATTCAGACAAATCGAAGGAATAGGCAACTTCCTGGCTGTCGAGCTCTTCGTCGTTCAAGTTGTCGCTGCTCGGGATGATCATATCCTCACTTCCGACCTGTGAGATAGTTCTCCTGGCTGGAGAACGGCGCTCGGCTGATATGTCGGTGGTAGATTCGGCGCTGTTTTCTGGCTGGCCGCTGGGCAGCGGTAGCCGCAGACTGTTCATAGACTTTGAGCGGGCAAGAGCATTTTGTTTTAGCCGTTGTAACGGCGTGGCACGGAGCTGGGAAGATGGCGTCCGCTTGACGCTTTTGCCTGGCAACGGGCTTGGCATGAGGGTACTCTCAACTGGGGTCCCATTTACTTGCGACGTCTCACTCTCACTCTGCCCCAAGGGTTTGAAGGCATACTTCTCACGCAAGTTCAGGTTATGGCGCTCTATGTTGTAGTCTAGCACACTCTCGAATAAGGAAGGGTCGGAGTCTGCATCTACCGATCGGCTGTCGGCCATGGTGGATAGGTTCGAAGATGCCTCCTTGGACAACGCCGTAGAGGGTGCCTGTGAGTTACCGAGATCTTTTGGAAAAACTGACGGAGAGAGGCGATCTGATGAGAGCGGCAGCGAAGGGCTATCCATGGTTGTAGACTGCTTGACTTGATCACTGCCTAGAGCCTGACCTGGGGATAAAGAAGTGACCTGATCTGAAAACACATGCAGCTTGTTACTCTTGAGCTTCTTGCTCGTGTCCTTGCGCGTGACTGTGGCTTCTCCGGTGGCAGCGAAGAATCGACTGCTCACCTCGGTCATGCTTCCCGCTAAGCTTTCCTCGTCGGAGTCCGAACAGAGACGCTGTCTCTTCTGAACTTGTGGCGGCGGTGGTATTTGAGATGCACCCCTGAGGAACATTTCTGTCCGTCGGGCCCGGTCCAACGGAGTGTTTGGTATAGAGGATGCACTCCTGGTGACGCTGGGTGGAGTTGATACTCGGTTTGCAGCGAGAGAGTATCGATTCTGTCGGCTCGTCAGTGGCTGATTTGGCCTTGGTGAAGGAGTCATTGAGTTGGGGTCGAGTTCCGCCAGTGGAACACGCTTCGGCGTAAAGAATTCGCGTATTTCCTTAACTGGTTTCTTGTCATTGTTCGAGGTTATAGATTCTCTTCCTGTTCGAACCAGTCTTTCTCGTTCTGGGTATGACGGCCTTATCTCGATCGGCTCCTTGGTGATTGGGTCGATATCCCCACAGGCAATCCCAATCGCTACATCGGGCTCCAGCATAGCACCGATGAATGGCATGTCCTCTCCGTTTCCGCCATCGGCAAGGGGATTAAGCATGACCAAGGCTTTCGCAGTGGGGCAAAACAGCCGCTGATGCAGGAACGTAAGTTCAGCTCGTTTGAAGCTTTCGAGATAACCTGGTGGCACACGATTCGATCCATCGAACTGAACCATTTTGACCACCCGTTCCACCGATTTATACTTTCTAATACCTCGATACGCCGTTTTCAATCCCATTTTAGGGATATTTGCAAGGTAGTCACAGCCACTGAGAATGCACATGTGGCGGAAATTCTCATCCGTCCAACCTATCAGGCTGATATCCCGACACGCAGCGAAGTCACTCCGGCTAATTTCAATACAGTCGCCGTGTTTGTCAAGTTTCGAAAGTAGTCGTTTGGCGCCAAAGACGAGCATGTCCGAATCCTCTGAAATAATGCCATTGATGATTCCCTGTTTCTCCAAGTATACCAATTGAGGGTCGGCTTCATATGGAGCTACCAGATATTGGATCTTGTGCTTCTTCAGCTCTTCAATCAGGATGCGGGCCATGTAAGGCGTGACGTCAACTGCCTTTTGAAATTCTTGGTATGCTTCAGTGACCCTACCTCTCCGCATATGCTCTTCACCTAGTTTCTTACTCTCCTCTCGCCTGGCGGCCCTCGATACCTCCGTTTTCTCCTTGCTTGGGAGCAATCCGCCGTCAAACACGATATATGGGGTGACTCCATAATGTTGAAGCATCCGCACGCGACTCATGGCAAAATCGACATATCTATATCCTGAATCAGAACGTAACCTTACAAAGGACAATACATGTCAGAGCCAGCGTACTTTGTGGTAGGCTTTCCAAGTGCCAATTCGTATGCGCAGGCAATCGTCCCTCTATGTAACCACCCATATGCGTCGACCCCAAGGGTCTGGCCAGCGAATTTTTTAACATTGCAAGGCTTCTGGATCGATTTTAGGAGTCCGTGGAGTCCTGTAGGTATTGTTAGACACATCAATAATATAGCTTGGACGGGTCAATCATGACTTACCCGCAATTCCCATGTTGGCGTCAAACCACTAACCCCAGGTTTTGACTACGTCCAGATCGGTTAAGAACTGGCAAACCTTCGAGCGCGGTGATCCATGGGTATAGAACAGACCGGGCTAAAGGAGTAAACAGAACGCAAAACTTGTCCAGGAGTCAGGCTGTAGCAGGGCAAGGGTGGTCGAGTAGCACTGGCAACCATCGATCTTTGCAGCAACCTCGACGCGGTCAGACGCGATTTCCTAGATGGTCACGTGGAAGGAACTTGGCTTCAACTTCCACTCTTCCACCAAGTAAACATAATTAACACCGTGGAGGTTCCATCTTAGTTACTGAGAGGGCGAGATGCTGTTGCTATTATATACGCTGCAGCCTCAACTCTGCCTATCGTTTACTTGATGGTTATATGACCAAACTGGAGAGGTATTGGGACGGCATTATGTGGTATTAGCTGGATAGGCTGATTATCCTAGTTAAACATGTCCCAAACCGCTACACTTGTCTGACATATGGCAGCAGCCTCTGATCCATGATCTGGCATCCATGAGGACATCTCTTTCTCCACCTTGACATCTACGAAGTACCGATGGCCTTACTGTCTAGGTGACTGCGGATGAAGGGCCTGTGACTCGTTATATGCATAGGAAGCTGGGATCTCACTTGACGTGCATAGGAACAGTCTGATGGATATATCTAACAGGATTCGATATTAGCCAGGAGCTTCCTCTTGCTTGATCGAAGCAGTTTTATATCGAGGAACGAACTCGTCGTTTGGCATAATGTGCACGTGACAATTACTCAGCAAGGGACACCGCCTTATTTTCTGCCGCGACTTTGATAAAAAAATATTTTGGCGGGCGGGAAGCAGATAACAGGACAGCTTTGAAGACACAGACAAAATGACGAAGAACCTGAATAAGATCACCAAGAAGCTCTCCCAGAAAAAGGGGAAGCTAGACTCTCTCCACGAGAAGAGTAGAGATGCAAGGCGCCTGCGCCGAGCAGGTGGGAGGGAAGAGAAATTGGCCCGAGCAGCAGCTACGACGATGAAGGGAAGACAAACTTATGGTGAGTTTGTACGTGTTCTGCGCACCTTGATAATCAGAGTTGGATGCTAACCTGGCAGTGTAGTTGATAGAGTAGTCTACTTTAGTGATTGCATAAAGGATCTTGAAACACCTCCAACATCAGAAGATGTCGTCAAACTACTACAACAGTACGTTCCGCCCTGACTGCCGCGAGAATTTTACTGAAAATCGTCCAATTGAACGAAAGCAATGCACATATGCTAATAGATCCGGTTACAGATACCTAGATCGCCTAAAGCCAGAGCTAAAAGAGCAGCAGGACGCCCATAGAAAAGGCCGGCCACCAAGCAAGCGCCAGGAAGTACTGACAGAAAAGATTGCAGCGGAAGAAAAAGAATACGAGACGGGCTTCTGGATGCCCGACCTAGAGTCTGAGGACAACATGAAGCGGCTGCGTAACTGGAATCAGGAGTGGTCTGCAATGAGCAATCTCAAGTTTGTTAGGCTGACCAAAGACGGAGGCAAGCGGCCGTCGCTATTCCCGCCAAAGGGCCTTTCCTAAAGCTGCTCTGGCCCTGTTGCCGCGATGATACCATATTCTTCTGTATATTGTACCTAATCTGATCCTTGACACGAAATGATGACTTTATGATATTGCTATATATGCGCAGGCGTACAACAATTTACCAGAGTTCAGGAATTGTCATTCTTCATAATCTTGTAGAACTTCTTCTGTATACCTGCGTCTAGATTCACATTTGCCCCAAGGACTGGCTGTAACAAGAAATATCGATATATAAGCAGGCCATCAACTGTAAGCCCAAGTTTTATATGGAAGGTTAAGTGGAAAGGGATAAAGTCTTGGCGCGTGGAAGCCAGCTTCAGAAAACTTCTTTAGCCCAAGTTTTCTTGCTCTAAACTAAACATCATCAACACTCCAACCTCCATACCACAACTCCATTATACTACGCCCTCTACACACTTCACATCCATCACAATGTTCTCGATACGCTCTTTGACCAGATCGGTTCCTCGAACCCTCTCCAGATCCCTCACTACTTCAGCCTTCAGACCTTTGCAGCGATCTGCCCTCTTCCAGCCAACATGGAAGCTCATGCCCCGTTCCACATACGCTCCATTCTCGACTTCGGGCCCTAGGTTCGAGGCTGCTGGCCAAGGTAATTCGATGCCCATTTCCTTTGATCCTACGTTGTTCTAGAGCGTGTTCTAACTGGGAAGTAGTCGATGTTGAGCTAGCTGCCAAATTCCAGGAAGAACTTGCCCTGGAGACCGAGAGCGGAGAAACCGAAGAGCTCCCTGAGTCTCTAAAATACTACCTAGAGAACGGCCCATTCGAGGTAATTCTCTGAGAAGACTCTGCTACAAGGCCGGTGCTAACAAAGTCTTAGATCGTTGACAAAGCCGGAGAAGAAGAGGTCGTTTTGACCAGGAAATTTGGTGACGAGAAGTACGTCTGCTGCTACTGTGATAGCGCCTCCGTCTACGGTGTATCGTATACTAATTCGTGCTATAGAATCCGCATCTCATTCACCATCGCCGATCTCCAGAACATCAACCCTGAAGAGGACTTCGCCGACAACGCCCTCCAAGATGAAATGGACATGGACCCTTCCCGCTCCACCAAGGGTGACCCCGCCGCCGGAAACCCCGAAGATACTATGGATGACCAGCCTCTAGAGCCTGGATACCTTGCCCGTGTCGACGTTACCATTGAGAAACCAGGCAAGGGAGCCATGCACGTTGATGCCGTTGCCCGTGACGGTCTGATCCAGATCGAGAACGTTTCCTACTTCAAGAACCCAGAGCTTGCCAATGCCGAGACCCCCGACAAGGAATGGCAGAGACAGAGCCTGTATGCTGGCCCACCATTCGGCAACTTGGATGAGGACCTCCAGGCTCTCATTGAGCGCTATCTCGATGAGAGAGGTGTTGACACCGCCCTTGCATCGTTCGTCCCAGACTACATTGATTTCAAGGAGCAGAAGGAATATGTCCGCTGGCTTGGAAGTACGTTTATCAGCTCGTTATCTTACCCTTATATCACTCATACTAACGCCTTTTCTTCTTCACAGGCCTCAAGAATTTCGTTGGAAACAACTAAACGGAAATTTTAGCCATAATGCAACATCTCCCATTCTTCATTCGTCGCACTGGTAGGCAAGGGGCTGCTGGAGTTGGGGTGGGTTCCAGCCGAGAAACGAAAAACATGTAACATATATTATAAATAATTCAACGTCAACTCCTGTATTCTATTTATTGACTATTGACATGATTACGGTTATTGTCTCCGCAGCAAATATGTGTAGCATGTCTATCTATAGGAAACATGTCGTAGATTATGTTACAGTTCTGAGCAGTAAATGAATGCTTGAATAGCTCGTAGATATCGAGAATGGTATTGATTAATATAGTCATTGAAATGATCCAGCGCCCTTCAACAAAGAGCCTAAAGACATATATCCAGCCTTACTCCATACTGACATAGAAACAATCAACCATCCCTTCCATAGGAAGTAAAACAGAGCTATTAAGGAATTAAATTATAAACTAAAACTCCATGGCATTGGAGCCATCCTCTGCTCTCTCTCTCTTAACTGGTCGTTCATCCTTGTTTAGCCCTGCAACGAAGGAGCGGAAGTAGTCGATGTATGGCTTCAAGCTCGTTTTCTCATAGTCCTGTACCTTCCTTGGTTTAGCAGCAGTATCGGTCTCGTCCTGGCCGCTGCCGCTATCCGATGCTGGCATCTGATCCTGCTGGCTCGCCTGTGATGGACTCCAGGAATTGATCTCATCCAAGAGATCTGATAGAGTGGGGGCTTCTAGGGGGTTGAACTCGTCCACTTTCCGAATATCAATTGGAACACATACCCTGCCAGTGCCTGGGTGAACAACAAACGGACTCTTGAGCAAATGGATCAGTTTCTTGCTGACTTCGGCATCGAGCCGCGGGTATGTATATTCTAGAACGATATCTTGTTTCGCCTCTAGTAAAGCTTTTGTGTCAAGGCCGCGTGAGCTCGTCCTTGCAACGGCATCGATATCCGCCCACTTGCTACTGCTAGATCGTTCAGGCGCGGACTCCCATTTTTTCTGCAGCCCTGCCTTTAACGTCTTATCTGGAAGTAGCTCGAGAAGTCGACTGGCTTGATCCGGCTTACTGAACGAGTCCTGGTCCATAAGAATAGTAGAGGCAAAATATGGTTTCAGGGTCTCGAGACTTCGAGCGATATGTGGGTGTAAGGGCCGTTTGAGGTTGACACGTTTCCCGCTCTGACTGCCTCCACGAACCACTTCTAAGTATCCGGCGATGGCCCTCCGTCTGTCGTCTGGGAGATTGCGCGCCTTTTTATCACATACCCAAGCGTGAGCGCCTCTTCGTCCAGAGTACACCCACAAGATGTGCTCGAACCCAAAGTCTTCCCGTAGAGCAGCGTCAATTACCTTGATGGACATTGTCACAAATGACCAGCACTTGAGACATATATTAGCTTTGCTACAGCATGTTCTTATATCATCGTAATCTGTCAAATCGATATCGAAGACTAGTTCCTTCGAGATGGGCTTGAAGGCGCCTGGTTTCGGTAAGCTTTTGCGGTCTCGTGGGTTTGTGGTGTAGACAGGGCCGATTTCAAAACGAGAGGGGTTTAATCGCATCACATCTTTGTGAAGCCTAGGCAAACGGTCAGCTTGTTAGATATATAAGGTAGAACGGTAGAGACGTACATATCCGCCATTTGGTATGATTGATATCGTAAATACGCATCGTTTGGAAGCGTGAATGCAAACTCTCGGTTACCAAAATCCGTAGATGGCTGTATACCGTGGTTAAGCCATTGGAAGAGATATTTGAATGGGAATAGGCGCTGGTAAAAGGCAGACATCGACTCCGGGTCGACTTGAGCAGTAGGAGGCGCGGGCTGTCTGTGAATCGAATGAATTAGTACCATTGTCCGGCCATCCAACGCGTTAAGAGGCATTCCTTACTTTGGTATCTCTACTGCATCCGAATCTGGAAACTCTTCATCTTCGTCGTCATCGTCGTTAAACATGTCCTCTAGCTTGACGTCCTTCTTCTCCTCTGCGGATTCTTCCTTTGGTTTCTTGACATCGTCATCGTCGTCGTCCTTGAATAATATATCCTCTAAATTGGCTTCTTTTTTCGCGTCCTTGTCTGCGTCTCCTTCTAGGCCGGTAGCTTCGTCCTCCGCGGTCTTTTGGGTATCGTCTGGCTGGGGAGCGTCTGGGAGCACCTCCGCGTCTTTGTCCTCCATCGATGCGTCCTTTGAAGAGATAGAATGAGGCATTGACCGGTATATCAACTGTTCTTTCGCGTCGACCAACTTTTTGATAATGGGGATGGCGTCTTCAATTAAGCAAAACGCGACGCGTCCCAGTAAACTCAGAAGTTAGGGCTTAGGGCATCACGTCATCACGCCATGTTCCACGTGACCGCGGATGTTCCGGAAAAGGCAAAAGAAACGTCGGCGAAACCGTTTTCCCTTTGATGCACATATCAACCGGCATCGACGCATATAGGAAGAAACAATAACATCAAAGGGACAACCCCGAAATGAAGATATGATGAGTCCTCGGAACAGGAATCCTGAACCCATCTTTGATCCTCCCGCCACCTGAATTGACCCGGATATTGCTAAACACCCCGGGTGGAGCCAACACCAACGCCTTTGGCACAGCCGGAAGCCGGAAGATAGCGCGGATTCTGGCCATTACGACGTGGGGCCTGCTCTCTCGGATTTTCTTATACTGTCTTGAGCTCCCGCCAATAAGTAGCTTTTTTTTACTTATTGAAGTATTTCATACTTTGGAGTAGAAAAAAACGTTCACACAGTTTCCTTGCTTGGGCATTCTTTTATCTATATATTATACGGATAATTGCGACGTATAATTCATTTCATATCAAGGGTACCAGTCCAATAGTCCCAAGGAAGCCGGCTAGCATGTCACAGACGGCAATAGAATTGATTGCTCCAGCTGCGGTCCATGGCGTCCCTAAAACTACCCGTCTCGTTGGTGAGGCCAGGGAGACACAGAGCTCGGAGAACGTCACCAGCCATGGCGTCCGCCGTGATCCAGATGACAGCGATGAAGAGGTTGCCAGCACATTTTCTGTTCCTCCTATCCCGAGAGGGAAGGCTGCCGTGATTATTGCCGCTGCCTCGAGCATGGTGTTGATGAACTCCGTGTTGACCGGTATATTAACCGTGGGGCTGCCGGTCATTGCAGCTGACATTGGGCTCAAAGAGAGTTTACTGTTATGGTAAGTTCTTCTTTTGCGTACCTCTGCTGCCATCAAGGTCCTGATTCATTGTCACATAGGCCTGCATCGGTATATGGATTGACCTGCGGATGCACACTTCTTTTATCCGGATCCATTGCAGACGTTGTCGGTAGCCGGCCAGTCTATCTAGCCGGGTGTGGGATACTATGTGCCTTTACACTGGGATGTGGTCTGGTAAAGACGGGTATCCAGCTCATTATGTTCCGCGCCATATCCGGAATTGCCATGTCCCTGTGCCTTCCTAGTGCCGTGAGCATCATAACCTCCGCCTTTGCAGCTGGAGGCAGAAGGAATATAGCATTCGCATGTCTGGGTGCAGCGCAGCCGGTGGGCTTCTCGCTAGGAATCGTCATGGGAGGTGTGCTTATTGCTAGTATCGGCTGGAGGTACGGGTACTATATTATCGCAGGGGTCAATGTCTTGATCCTCCTCGTTGCGTTTTGGCAGATTCCTGCGGACCCGCGCAAGGTTGTTCCCGTAACATGGAGACGGTTGGCAACCGAGATTGACTGGGTTGGGACTCTCCTGATAAGTTCGTCCCTTGGACTGTTCTCCTATGCATTGTCGTACGTGATCCCAAGCCCCCCTCGCAATACTATATTCAACATCGAGGTATGCTAATAAAGTCCATAGAACCATCAGCGTGTCAATCCGTGAATTAGCCAAACCGGGTAACGCCATCGCCTTGGCTCTTTCGGCCGTCTTTCTCGCAGGGTTCGTTTTTTGGATCCATCGTCAGGAGCGGCTCGGGCGCGTTGCCATGGTCCCGCCAAATCTCTTCAAATCCGACATCCACGCCCCCCGCCGTGCTCGAAACTTTACATGCGTCTGCATCTCGGTATTCTTCACTTGGGCCATCTTTAATTCCTTTCAATTCTTCACAACTCTCTACTTCCAGCAGCTCCAGGGGAGCTCAGCACTAACGGCCTCCGTCCGGTTCATTCCCATGGTTATATCAGGCCTCATTACTAATATCGTGACCGGCTTTCTCGTCAAACGTGTTTCAGCTGATATTCTCTGTACTTGTGCAGCCATCGCATCGTCAATCGCGCCTTTGCTCATGGCTGTAGCAAGCCCAGAATGGAATTATTGGACGGCGCCATTCTTCGCCACTATCCTCATCCCCATCTCCGCCGACACACTCTTCACCGTGTCGAATCTTGTGATTACTTCAGCTTTTCCTCCAAAGACACACGGGCTGGCTGGTGGAGTATTTAACACTATTTCTCAGATCGGCATGTCCGTTGGCCTCGCCATTACCGCCGTTGCCTCTAACTCTGTAGTTGAGCATGAACTACCAAGGTCGGGCAGAAATGTCGCTTTGCTCAAGGGGTATCAGTCTACGTACTGGATCTCATTCGGGGCTGCTGTAATGATCGTTGGGTTGAGTCTGTGGGGCCTGAGGAGTATCGGAAAGATTGGCTTGAAGAAGGAGTAAATATTTGAAACGCGCTGCTAACTGGCATTAAAATGTAGGTACCTGAGAATACTATAGAAAACAAACCCTTGAATCATCCCGGTAGTATATAGACCTTGATATGTGTGAAATATATAGATGTGAGAAGGAAAAGCGGCCATGAGATCTTTGATTACGACTGAACCTTAAGCCCCTGAGGCAGCTCTGATATCTGATTGTTCTTTGCTTGTTCGTCTCGAATCTGCTGTAAAAGGGCCGGATACTAGGCATATCGGTTAGATATTGAGATGGAAACCAGGAGTCGATATACTCACGAAACGTTCTCCGACATCTGGATGGCTCTTTATGCGGTTCATCAAAGTTGCTTCTCCCAAATGGCCCCAACGGCCTTTAGAAAAGGTGAACTCAATATCATCCTGACGGATGCCATTCTTCTCGATAACCTGCTGTCGGAGCTTTTTGACTTGCTCCGGCACATCCATGCTCTCAAACGTGGCATCGTAGCTCACGCCCTGGAAAAAGGGGACGCTGAATCGTGCTCCTGTTCCGCGAGCTGGGCTCAGGACCCGATGAGTTGTGCTTGATATCAAGTCACCGTTAGGATAGCTACCATATAACTGCAACACCGATGTGCTGGGCTTACCTCTGACAAACTCCTTGAGTGATAGCCTCCAGGCCCTGTCCTATAGCTACAACAAGCGTGCCATCGATAGGAGGGCAATCAATCCATTCTCCTCGATGGTTCTGAACCTGCAGCCCACGGTGCTTTGTTGCTTGAAGCAGATAGCTTGTGAGCATGCTGTCCTTATGAGGGCCAACACCCTGTGCTTCACCATCGATACCTAACTCTTCCAGGTCGGGATACTTGACTATCTTTAGCTTATGTTGCTGGTGTTCGTCGAAGAACCGATCAAAGGCATTGGCTGGTAGGCCGATTGCTTCTGCAACCAAGGATATGAATTCCATGCTAATAGCGCCCATTTTCTCAATATATTCTTCGTATACTGGCCGGAAACGAGGAATAGCAGACGCATCCGGCCACTGATTAGGGGCTAATAGGTTATGGTACAACGGATCAGAAGGGCCAGGGACGGGGTGGTTAGTAGCGATATCGATCTGTTCTCTCCAGTCGGTCTTGAAGCGGGTGATTTCACCACCCAATCTGTTATATCCTGCTCATACGCCAGTTAGCAGGTCTTATTCCATCCCGGTATAATTTCCTAATAGGTCAAATCCCCTGGCGACGCTACCGATGAAGGGCATACCGAGAAAGCTGGGAGCGTTTTTCATCTCTACCTCCAGTTTCTTCTCAGCCGGCAAGTCGAAGAACTTCTTCCCCTCGGTGATAACATCCTGGATCAGCTGGTCATCGATGCCGGTGTTCTTAATATAGAGGAAGCCGACTTCCAGCAACGCATGGCGCAACGCCTCGAGAAAGCCGGGCTTCGTTGCGGTGTTCCGGGCTGCCGAGAGGTCGAGGATGGGAATCGAATCAAAGGACATGGCGAGTCTGTTAATGGTGCCTTCTTCTATTACTTACCAACGCTCTACTCTACCATCACATCTCATCGATGCCGATGTGTTTCTTATATGCTCCCCCGGACTCTTATACGAGCTCCGCGATGTCGTTATGTGGGGCAATTAATACGAAATCCCGAGGAATTACCGAGGCCAAGCAGAGAATAGGAGATAATCTTTAACTGGTTCTTTTGGTCTATCCGAATAACGTCTATATATCATGAGGAATAAGATGCTATTTTCCAGTTTGCTGGCATGAGGCAGTTCAAATCAGACCTGGTAATCTATACCAGACTGGAAAAGAAAAAAAGTGAAGGAAAAACATTGGCTCTTTCACCAGAGATGGGCTGCTACTGCTGCTTCTAAGCAACTCCGCGCCCGACTGACTTCCAGGGCTTATTGTTCAGCAACATTGGCCTTCTCGGCCGGCGGGGAATCAGTCTCGGGGCTTTTCTGACGTCCATATTCCTCATCCATCCTGCTGATTTCCTCCTCTGTGAGGTAAGGTAGCTCTCTGGCGGCCTGGACATAGCTCTTGTTCTCGCAATACCCCTTGGCGAAGATGATATCAATCTCCTCAAGACTGCGCTTGGCAGTCTCGGGATAGAAGAGGTAGATGATCGGGAGGAAGCAGACGTTGATGATCGCAAAGAACAGATACGTTCCCCAACCGATACCATCAAGCATGACGGGGGTGATCATGACGATGAAGAAGTTGAACAGCCAGTTAGAGCACGTCGAAAGTGCGTTTGCCTTTGCACGGGTCTTGATCGGGGAAATCTCTGCAGCATATAGCCATGGCAAGGGGAGCCATGTAGCGCCGAAGCTGGCAATGTATGTGAAAAGGCCGACGGCAGCACCCTTGGCGGCAGATGGGGTATTAGGGATCAAGCACGCAAAGGTGATAGTCATAGAGATGGCCTGGCCGGCAGCTCCGTAAAGGAAGAGTTTGCGTCTTCCGGCTCTCTCGATCAGGAACCAAGATGTGGTCGCAAAGATCGAGTACACAATCATGTTAACACCACCAAGCAGGGTTGCCATGTTATGGTCCACACCAATAGATTTTTCGAAGAGGACGGGGAAGAAATAGATGATGGCGTTGCAACCTATAGAGACATTAGCGGCTGGAATTGGAGCACTTGAGGGTGAAGTAAATCTTACCTGATAGCTGCTGGGCGATTTGACCAAAAACACCAAGGAACATGCGGCGACGATGTTGGGTTTTCCCACCGGTGAATACAACCGATAGAGGAGTGGGCTTTCCGACTTCTCCAGAGGCTCGAATTGATTCCATAACGGCAGCCTTCTCAGCCTGGACCAAGGGGGTGTTGACTTCGACTCCGTGGAGGGCAGCAATGACCCTCTCGCCCTCATCTGCACGATCTCTCATACACAGCCAGCGTGGAGACTCGGGGAGCCAGAGCATACCGCCAACCATGACGAATGAGAATACGATCTGGAATGCAATAGGGAACCTCCAGGAGAAGTCATCGGGACCAAACGAGGCGCCGTAGTCGATCCAGTAGGCGATCAATGTACCGAAAGCGATGGTGGCTCCCTCAATACAGATGAGAAGGCCTCGGTTTGAGGTATGAGAACATTCGGCTTGATAAGTGGGGATGGTAGAGGTGTTGATTCCGTTTCCAACACCTGTAACGATTCGGCCGATGATGAACTGGGCGTATGGCTGGTGTCCAACGGTGCTAGTGACTTGGATGATAGCACCGAGGGCCATGATGATAGCTCCGATGATGATGGACTTGCGACGCCCGATCATGTCGCCACCCCATATTATACCGACTGCGCCCAAAAGACATCCTATAGCCATGAATGAGCAGCCGTTCCTAATACTTGAGACGAGAGACATACCTATTTCATAGATGGCAGTGACGAAGCCTTGATTTGTTGGGTTATCCTTGGTCTCTGGGAAGACGGTGTTGAACGGGATTGCACTGATGATTCCAGCCATCACACCCTCTGTTGAAGCTTTCTGTTAGCAACGATGCGCATATCGAGAACAAGATAGCGGTCAACTTACGATCGTATCCGAACAGCAAGAAGCCGCATGTCGCGATGGTAGATACACTCCGCGACAGCGTCTGCCCCGACATCCCTCCGAACTTTGGTATCTCTGCCATGTTGGGCAGATTCAGAAACAGCAAGGACTCCTTTCTATCATCGGATGGAAGATCTCAAACCAGATCGTTCTTTTTGATAATGAGGGCGTGATATATTGTCAAAACCTCAAGGCAGGATAGATGCCGGCCCCATCTTTTATATATGGACCTCGAAACACCAGCATCTTTGTCAGCTGCTGTCAAACTATGGACGGCTTCCCCTTTCTTCTCCACCGGAAGCTATGAGCGGAACCATAGATCCCACAGGTACCTAGCAGCTGCGCGCAGTTTACTGGGTCCGTATGGTACTACGGAGCCCATATAAATCGCCAAGCGTGAGATGATGTGGCGGCCAAAAGAATGAACCGTCGGTTCATAGTCTTTAATAGCCCTCTTCGATTCCCGGGGAGGACGGATGACCTGGGGGAAAGCAAGATATGACTGCCGAATCTCCCGGACTAAGTAACAATGTGCATCGATCAGCATCAGCAAGGTCCTAGTGTGATCCCTGAGAAGACGATTGTATATCCACCACCAGGCTGGCACTGGCAGATGCTGGTCCGATGGCTGACCTGGCGGGCGTGCTCCGGACTAGACATCCTCGGTCAAGATGCAAATTCTGCATTTTCCATTAGCCGCCACAGAGACATGGACATCCATACACATGTGGTTCTCGATAGTTGCGCCTGTGGAGAAAGATGACGTTACGGCCGACTGGCGACGCCTGTGATATGTTGGAGGCGTCTGCGCAAACTCCAGTGATAAACACTCTTCCCTGGCCTGTTATATTAGATTAGTCTTAATGCTGGAGAGAGACTGGGTATGCATCGCTCGTCCAACTGCGACGACGAAGCCTGTCAGAGATTTAGGCTTCGAACCGAGAAAAAGAGAAGAAACAGACCAAGACGAGGATGACATCACATCAAGCTTTGCCTTGCCCCTAGCCGAAACTAAAAGCGTTTATCTCAGCCTCCTTGTGCCTACCGAGGACTACTTTGATAACGCAGAGACGGCTATGTGATAGATGATAGATGATAGATGATAGATGAGTTGATGAGATAATGTTGGAGGCTACATACAACATTGACTGTGGAAACTGTGGATGCTGGATGGATCAGCGGACCGGTGGAGAAGCCCACAGACTGATTTTTATGCATATGGATATAGGGAGCATCGCTACGGAGCAGAGGTGGACTGGCTCATGCACGCAGGAGTGCGCGGTGGAGTGGCAGAGGGGGGCAGACGGAAGGGATGCGGAAGGTGATGGAGGATAGGAAATTGATGCGGAGCCGTAGAGTACATTCTTTAACGGAAAAAGCAAATAGCAGAGATGGAGATGGATTAGATGTAAGATGGCATGAACCGATGGAAATATATGTATAAAAAGGGTATTAGCAGATAACCAAAGTAAACATCGGAAAACAAGCAAACGCTCCCAGACAATCCCAGCAAGAACTAAAAATGATCAAGACAATGGACGGGTGAGAAAGGATCACGACTGAATAACCATTCCGCTCGTATTGACTGCGTCGTCGGTGTAGAAGCCAAACACCAGCCGGTACAGATCCAACAGCCACTCGTACTGGCTGTTATACTGGACCATGGCCTGCACCGCGCTAGCGACGTCTACTGCGCTCGCCCTGGTCGGCGGTGGGACGGACCTGAACGCCGGGTCAGCAGTTATAAGTTTCTTATAGTTGACCAGCAATGACATCTGCCAAGGTAGGGCGCCGAAGGAATCTGATGAGAGCGTTTTCACGAAGGTGGGTAGGGTCTCGGAGCCGCCGCGCTGGAAGCCGCTGTTCATCGCTGCGCGGACAAGGAGCAGTTTCAGGAACGTGAGGTTCTGGTCTTCGCCGGGCGATTTGACCGTGTGTGTTGAAGAGGCTGTCTGGCTCGATGTGTGCGAGTACCCGGACAGGGTGGACGAGTTGCTGGACCAGCGAGGGTGCATGTTTGGCGGGTTATCGTAGCCCAGCACCATGATGTTCGGTATAGGCGCCTGGTCCGGCGATACCGTCGTGGCAGTGTCGTCGAAGATGGTCGTCGGAGTCTCTGGGTTCTGCAGGCCCAGCAGGCTGTCGCTGTCGGTGTCAGTGTCCTCTACCGGGTACTCTGCGCGTTTGGCCTGGTAGAATGCCTGGGTGAAGGTGGTCTGGCTGGGACGGGGGGTGCCGCGGTCAGGACGGACTTGAGTCCATCCCTCGCGGAAGAGGTCGCATAGCTCCCAGCAGGCCTGGACGGCAGAGCCGAGGAGCTCGTCGTCGGGGGCCTTGCCTTCGCGTTTACCCTGCCGTAGGCTGAAGAGCATCTCGGCCAGAGACCAGCATGCCCGTAGCAGGGAGTCGGTTTCCTCGGTGAGTCGTGTCCGTTGCTTCATCAGACGGTGACAGAGGGTGATGTAGAAGTCTAGGGTGCGCTCTCGAAAGGCTTCGGGGAGATTCCGATCGTGCGTGTTGTACAGATGGTTGTTCAGCTCGAAGCTCACTCTCAGGACCGAATCGGCAACCTCGTTCTCCTTCAGCCGTACTTCGAATAGCGCCTGGCAGAAATCTCGACACATGTCCAGCGTCGGTCGGACCTGGGTAGAATGGTCGTCATCCCGGGTCTCGTACAGGTTCTGGCACAGCTTCCAGCATGTCTTCCACGCCTGTTCTTGCATATCGTCCTTGCCGCCGAAGTTGAACAGCCGTTCTCGGTGGTTGTAGCTTAGGCTGGCGAGGGTGTTGCAGAGGGTCCAGCATTCTGACAACGCAGTTCGCAGTGCACTGAGTTCCCTATCGCTGTCGGGAAGAGTCGGCTTGGTCTTGGACCAGACGCCTCTCGGGTGCTCTCCATCATCGTAATGTCCGTCCTGGCTCTGCTCTGTATCTGAGCTTTCTGGTATGTCTGCATATCATGTTAGCCTTGCCATCGTACCCAGGTAGAATAAAACACCCTTACCGTCTAGATTCAATTGATGGGGTGTTCTTTTGAAATTTTCTATTTCCTGCAGCGTTTGTGCTCTCGGTGTGTTTAGCTCGTAGTATCCTGATGGTGCGATGGAGGTGGTTATCGGAGGGGGCGAAATAGGGCTTGCTCCCGATCTCTGTACGAAGTATTTAGTTTTATGATTCACGCAGGACAATGGACCAAAATTCTAACCCTTGATTCATTCCGGGGGACAGTGATCGTGACGTCTGATCTCTGGGTAGATGATGTAGTAGATGGAGCCGGTGATTCCACGGTCTGGCATGTATACGATTAGCATGGCTTTTGAATAGAGAGATGTAGATGTATCTTACAAATCCATCGAAGCCGACTGGAGCATGTATGACCGACTGAGGCTCGGGCTCCTCGTCCTCCAGGTCATCTCTCCGCAGCTGTTCCTCGCTGGTCTGAAGCTATAAATCAATCAGCATCGGATCGTACATCGATGAAAGCTAGACAATTGTTTACACTCAGGTCCCGCGCCTCCTCCGGGCGAGGGGATGTCTTTTTCAAACTTGCAGGACTGCCACTCAAACTCCGTCTGCCATCTCCATTGGTGAGATTGAGGCTGCTGGGCGTGTTCGAGCGCGATTTGGACTTTCCTTTGCCCTGCTGCTCGTCGGGATGGGGACGGTCTGCCGCCTGAGACGGGTCGTGTGAGGGGGAATTGGTGACAGGCCTAGAGGGACAGTCTGTCAGTTAGCGATGCGCAGTGATATCTGGAGCGGGACAGGCCGAACGCACATGAGAGGAGATCGCTGGTTAGATCTTAGAGGACTAGAGGCATCGGACGAGGGGGAGAAGATGGCTGTAGATCGAGGCGACACGGAGGCCTGTCTCTGGACTGCGATCATAGCAGAATCTATCCCCGTACACTCAGTATCCGTTCGCTCAGTATATCCGACTCAGTCTCTGTATATCCGACTTAGTATCTGTATATCCGACTCAGTATCTGTATATCCGACTCAGATTCAGTATATCGTACACTCAGATTCTGTATATTCGTTATCCGTTCTCAGTCAGTATCGTATTCGAGGTATATATAGCTAAGACGTCAGACAAGCGCGCATCAAGCGTCCGGGAGACTCACAGAGCAGAGCGGTCAGCACACCGTCTACCATAGGCCGATGGCTTCTATTGAGAAGAGTTTATGGAGTTCGACAGCCGTGGGGGCCGCGGAGCAGCTATACGTGGATGCGATGCGACCTGGCTCTCCTATAACGATCGGGATGCAGGGACGGGCGACCTCACGCTCGGAGTCTTATATCTCGACGGCAGCAGTGGTATAGATGCGACAGTCCGCGACGAGAGCTCGACTTCATCCGTCCTGCTCGGTCTGTATAGCTGGAGGGTGAAGTTGTTGTTGGGCTTTGTCTTCAGGGCGGGCATGGATCTAGGCGCTGGGCGAGGTGGACGTCCGCCAGTCAGAACATCGCGACCGCTGCAGCCATCCTCGCGCTCGCATCAATAAGGACCGTCAATGAATGGTCAATAGCAGGTAAACTGGTCGACCGGGCGTGGCGGGCAGAGTTTTTTCTTCTTCTCTCTCGCGGGCGGCGCGCGTTAGTACGAATGTGTATATCAATCGGGGACTTCCTGCGATCCTGGTTGGGGCTGGATGCTGGGATGTAGGATGTACAGGGATCTAAGCATCTAATACTCTTGACTATGGACGATGATACGATGTTGTCGATGTTGACTCGATGTTGACACTCATTAGACTGGTCTAACCGTGATGCGATGACACTCATTAGTCTACCCGTAAGCGCTCGTCTTGCCATCTGTCTATAGCCGTCATCCATACAGCCATCACCCGCCTGCCGTGGCCAGTCTATGGCCATTCCAGTCAGGCCGCTCTGCGTTCGCCAATAGTTGGAGACTCCAAGTGCCTGACACCGGGCCCGCGCATGCCTCCCAGCCCATAGCTAGCCCAATAACTCGTACATTTCCATCGGCGTATCTGACGCCGTTCTCCCCCCTAGCCGTGGCGCGGGCCGGCAGACGGTTATCTCCTTGCACAGTTCAATTCGTTTTTCCTCCAGTCGATATTACAGCCTACTGCTGACTACAGGTTGGTCTTTGCACGGTCTCGCTCGGCGGGATTGTATCTATACAGCTGGTCAGCGTCGTCTCGGTATACGCCTGGACTATTGCATACCTGAGTAGCTTCTCGATCAGGTCGACGTGTGTCATCAGCATTCTTCGGCAGCAGTATCGCTTGCAGCCCAGCTGGTCCATCGCGTCGCTATATACTCGTTAGCTCTCTCTCTATCTCTCGCGCTCTTATATGGTAGATGCCTACCCATCAGGAACACCGTCGTCCAGGAGCCTCAGATATCGCTCCCACAGGTCTCCAACCACCTAGAAGGAAACTACTCGTCAATTGAAGCTCTCGCCCATCAGGATGCTCTGCTCTGCCTACCTTTCCACACGAGAAACAACGGACCGGAATGATCATGCTGGCGCTGTCTCGTCTCGATTCCACGTGTAATTACTGTAAACCGTAAACTGAGCTGCTTCTTCACGTCTCTTCGCTTCTTCTCCGTTTAATCTTCTTCGTTTCTTCCTTTCTTCGTTCCAACTTGAAGTTTCCGAACAAAAAAATCGAGATCACGGGACCAGCCTTTCCTTTTTAGGAAGATATGCTTAATCATCGGATAAACATTTTTCCATATGATTACATAATATTAGTAAAAGAAATTTTGGAGGGAAACTTTTTTTTTTTATAATATAGAAAAGAAAGACGAAGAAAAGTCGCTGAGATACCCCCCAATTGCCTGCCTCAGGATGACGGAAAAGAGGGTTAGACGGCCCGAGGAGGCGCACAGCGAGAAGCCGAACCGAGAGCGGCAGCGCATCAAACGCCGTAGACTCGACGAAGCTGCTAAGGAATCTCCAAAGGCGCCAAAGAAGTCGCCCAAGAAGTCGCCCAAGAAGGATGCTGGTGCAATTGCAAAGGCCGACGGGGAGTTGGCTGTGTCCAAGGAGATCAGTGTGGTAAAGCCGACGAATGAGGAGAAAAGGACCGCGGATGGCTGGCGATTGTCGTCTCAGGCGGGCGGCCGTCTACTAAACCTGGATCCTGTATTTTCTACAGACGAGAAGTAAGTCCAGCAGATATAAGTTATTGTTAAATATTAAACACTAACACCCTCTAGTTATATAATTCTGTCACTTGAATCTGCTGTCCAAGTATACTCCATGGCGACCTCGCGTGCCGTTCGCGCCCTCACACCCCACGGCCGCACTCGGATTACCGGTTGCGTGCTCTCTCCCGTCGACGAAGAGATAGTGTACGTCTCAAACTTATACGGCGAGGTGTTCGAATGGAACTGGACAACTGGGGAGAAACGGCAAACCATGCGGATTCCAGGGTGTGTTCTGTCCATTGGGACCGGCCCGGCGCAGATGGAAAATGGCGAGGACGCGACCGACCAGGCACTTATATTTGCGCTTGCAAAGCAGAGTAGCGGAAAGCACGAGATATCGCTTAACGTGTTCGATAAATCAAATAAGGCCCAGTCGCGCCGTGCCGTTATATTGTCGACTGCCACGCCAATCCAAGATTTTAGGCTTGCCGCAGATGGTTCCGTGGTTGTTGCGGTGGCCGACGATATTCTTGTTATTGGTCATCGGACTAGAGATGCCGAGGGCGATGACGCTATGCAAGGAGTGGAATATACATGGCGAGAGGTGCAGTTGCCTGTTAAACCGACATGTTTCGATATACGAGAAGCTGCCGAGGCAACCGCAGTGAAGGGGGGGAAAGGAATAGTGATTGATATGGCACTGGGCGAGGATGGGGGATCCATTGTCGTGTATAACGATATATTGAATACGCTTCAGGGGCTGGAGAATCCTCGTACGGCTGAACCCGGGCTATCATCGCATAAGCTTCATTGGCATCGCGGACCTGTCAAGACGGTTCGATGGTCGAAAGACGGTACGTACCCCATATTATAACTTAGCTCAACTATCGACAAATACTAACTAATGGGCAGGAAACTATCTCATATCCGGTGGCCTAGAGACTGTTTTAGTCCTCTGGCAGCTGGACACTGGCCGAAAACAATTTCTGCCTCATCTCTCTTCGCCAATCTGCAACATAGTTGTGTCTCCCAAGGGCAGCAGTTATGCCGTGAAGCTAGATGACAACTCTACCATGGTTTTAACAACATCTGAATTGAAGCCCATTGCCAGCATGAACGGGCTACAGATCCGCGACGATGCCTCAAACAACTCGACCCAAAATGTCCAGCACCGGCCGGTGAAAAAGACCAAAGCCAAACTCCCAGCAGGCCGGCTGCCAGTGCTCATTCACCCGCTATACACTGACCATCTCCTTCTTCCCGTCTCCACGTCCCTGGCACACGAGACATCTATATCATCATACCTCCAAACCTTCGATATGCGCTCCAGTCAGCAAGTCTACCGTCAGGCCCTAGCTCGCACCAACGTATCGGTCCTCAACGTGGGCCCACAGGGGACTCAGCTTACTACCCCAGATATCAAGTTCATCCAGATGTCCTCCGATGGCGCCTGGCTCGCGTCAGTCGACGAATGGAGGCAATACCAGGACGATGTGAACGTCCTGTATCCCGGCATCGAACATGGAGACCGCGAGCCAACACGGGAAATCCACTTCAAATTCTGGCACTGGAACGAGCATTCTGCAGAGTGGGAACTTGTGTCCCGTATCAACTCCCCCCATACTTCTACCTCAGGCGAGCCAGTGTCGATATTGGACCTCGTGGCGCATCCTCAGGGGTATATGTTCGCTACCGTAGGCTCTGACGGATTCCTAAGACTGTGGGTTCCGGACAACAGAAGGTCGCGGAAACTGAAAAGCCGTGGGGGCAACAATATACCGGTTAAGTCCTGGCAGTGCTCGCATGCCATACCGCTGGAAACACCTGCCGCCCAGCCCGCAGCCTCCCTCAGCTTTTCAGAAGACGGCTCTACTCTCGCCGTATGCTGGTCAAGCGCCTCTCGCGGCCAGCTCGTCCACCTCATCGACCCTGAAACCGGACACGTCCACCTCTCACGCGAGAGTCTGTACACCGGCTCTCCACAAGGCTGCGGCTTCCTCGATCGACACATGGTAATTGTCTCTGACACCATCTCCGTCTGGGATACAGTGTCCGACCGAATCCTCTCCTGCATCAGCCCGGGGGAACCCGGTAGCAAACCTCAGTCTCTCCTTGCCATCAACCCCCGCAACCGCACTTTTGCAACCTGCTTCTCATATGCTTCAGTCAAACATAATGAAAAGACGGGCAAACCAAAGAGTAAACCGCGCTTCCAATTCGCTATCTTCAACCCCGAGTCGCCATCGCTAGTATTCCAGTCTACCCTGGAGCGTCCGCCGCTCGCTCTGCTTCCCGATCTTAGGACAGGCGAGTATATAATCGTCGATTCATCCGCGTGTATATCTCGAGCGACATCGGGTGTGGCGTCTGTTCATCTGGATTCCACATTCGCCGACTCCAACGTTCCTCTCAAGAGCGGACTGGAGGATATATTCGGCTCGTATAGGCTTCTCTCTAACGAGACAGGCAGTCGGCCATCAGAAGATCAGCTCCTAGCTGGTGCGACGGAGAAGAAGAGCCTGACTGATGTGTTTGATGTCGGGCCGTCCTTTGCCTTGCCTAGCGTTGACACACTGTTTAAAAACGTTGTTGACATCTTTGCAAAGACATGATAGAGTTAGATACGAGCAATTGAGTTTATTTTTTGCATGCCACTGTTGTTTGGAGATCTGTAGATGATTCTATTCGCCCGCTCCATATCCACATACTTCGTTACTTCTGAAGCCGCTACTTCGTACAAAGCCGTGAGTCACCAGCTGGTAGATATATAAAGCTGCTCAAGCGTATAGCATCTACATCCAATATACGACACACGGATATACCGCTTCTTAAATTATCTTAAACATGGCAACCGAACAGCCGTCAGGGACGGTGTCCAAACCATCCCCCACCAGCCAAAAGACCTTTTACAAAACACCATCTCACTTCGAGCAGATAATCGGCTACTACCGCGGTGTTCGCCATGGTCAACACATCTTCATCTCCGGCACCACGGCCGTCAATCCTAACAAAGTCTCATCCGCTGCCGAACCGCCACAGGTTCTCTTCCCCGGAGACGCAAAGCAGCAAACCATCGCAGCGTTTAGAGAATGTCTGCGTGCCGTCGACAGTCTAGGGGGCAACGGAGTGCAGAGTGTCGTGCGAGTACGCATGTTTGTCGGCAGACACGAAGACTGCGGTGCAGTTGGTGAAGCATTCACAGAGATATTCGGTGATCATAAAAGCAATGCGAACAACGAGGATGCGGAGATTGGAACCGCAGCGACGATGTTGGTTGTTCAGAATGGCTTCATTAATCGTGATATGATGGTCGAGGTGGAAGTCGATGCCATGGCAGCTTGAATGACTACTGGGTAGTAAGATAGAATAATACGGAGCCCCTATCGACTGTTCTTAGGTTCCTATATTTTATTCTTCTAAGAACCATTCAAGCATAGGTCAATGAATAACAAAGAGAGTCTAAGAGTTATGAAATAAGGTCAATTAGGGGCTAACAACTTCTGGTAAGGACTTTCGTACACTATAGCTAATCACTAACAAGAAACATACCAACTCATGCCTAGTTATCTCTGCAAGGTCTATCAACAGTTCTGGAGGGTCCGGTTATTCTTTTTCAAGTCTGGGCTGCGTTGGTCTGAGATGCTCTCCTGTTTTAATACCTACCAAGCAATTGATAGACGCCACCAGTAGCCTTCGCTGTTGCATATTGGTAAAGCTGGCGCAGAGATGAGAGAAAGGCCCAGGGTAAGGGGTAAGGGGTAAAGTTGAATGAAGCAAGTAGGGTATATCCATCACCAGCTCATCAGCCCCCTTTTCCTGTCAAATCCGCCCCTCAAGCGGCTATCTGGACGAACGACTTTCCCATTAACTATCGTATGCTTAACGATCCCTTCGCAGTGCTCTGGCCGAATCCTCGCGAGCCATATCATCTGCTCATCTTCTTTCCGGTATATCAAAACATTGGCCGCAAACTTATGGCCGCCAACATGCGACACGAAGAATATGCCCACGCCACCGGGACGTTGGTCGTCCTCATCACGTAGCAAACCAAGTGGGCGGAGGTGACGCTCAAGCTCTCGCTTTATAAGTGGTGCTGATATTCCACATCGGGCATCACGGCTTTTATGGGAGCATAGAAGGACAACGTAGTCCCGTTTGCAAGGGCGGGATTGGAGGTTGCTCTCAGAATTGGATGCTGGTTCTCGACTTGCGCTGTCATCTGCTTTAACGGTGCTGATGAAGCGGGCATTGAGCTCGGGGATGTCTGTGGCCGATACATGGTCGACATATAAGAATGCAGGCAGGAGGAGCACCGTAGTTGATGTGCGAGATCTATCTCCATCTCCATGCACAGGTTCAACTGAAATATTCGATGCCAGCACCACCGTACGCTAGATATATGTTAATACTATCCTAATCAGCAAATAGAGGAGTAGATGCATAGCTTACCTCCTCCCTTGGCTGTGAAGAGTCTCTCCTGAAGGCCTCCATCAGGGATCCCTTTTCGTTCTCGGCCTTTGGCATCCAGTCTGATCTTCCTGTCGCAACGAGAACATGGTTCGTAACCGGCTTGACCTTCCCGTATAGCTTCCCGTCCTCTTCAACCTTGAACTTGGATGGGTATCGAATGGTGCAGTTGGCGCAGTCGTGATCGCAGTCCTCGCCATCAACATCAGGGTCAACGGAGGGAAATATGAAGCGACGAGAGCTCTCGGTAGAGCTGTTGACTTCTGGTCTTTTATCTTGCTCGGTCCAGGCTTCCCTTACTCGAGAAAAGATCGAACTCAGCATCGTGCGGATATCGTATGTATACGTGAACTGTGTATAGCAACTATTTCACCCTTGACACCGCACAACAAGGGACCATCTCTATACATATACTGAGATATAAAGACCGAAAATGTGCTGCCTGCTCTTAACTCCGATCTCGACTGTCTTCTCTGTCTCCTCTGTCATCTCTGTCTTCTCCTGTCTCACCTTTCTCGAGGCTGCTTGGGCTGTATCCAAGTCAAAGAAGCCATCAAAGTGAGAGACGACAACCCGCACATCTACCGCATAAACGTCGACACATCGACTCCCAGTCTACCTTCTCTTCAGTAATAGCACCGTTGCTGATAGCTGAAGGATCGAGATGGAGATAGAAATACGAGATTCAGCCGGACTTATCGGTTGAGCCGCATGGTTGCACCCCCAGCTCGAACTTATCCCCGGCTCTCCGACCTTCACTCTTTTCTTCTTCGCACGTTAAAAGGCGTTAAAGGACGAAGATACACAGCCTGGCCCCTTGCAATCCTACGTCCGAGTGGCCTTTGGACGGAGACAGCATGGGCGAGGGCGCGGAGGGCGAGTCGCGGGCATCGGGGATCGCGGACGAAACGCATCCCCAGCCTGACGAGAAGCAGCAGCATGAAGAGCATCAACAACAACAACAACAACAACAAGATGGAGATCAGGAGCCGAAGAAGAAGAGGAAGAGACGAACCATCGCCTGCCTCCAGTGCCGGACCAGAAAGGTGAAATGCGACCTCGACTTCCCAGCGTGCGGCCGCTGTGCGAAGAGCCCTTGGCCAAACTCCTGTGTCTACGAGAATCCTGGACCAGCTTGGAACACGCCCAACTCGCTGTCTGCGGGCTCACGGCCGCTCTCGAGTGCTGAGCGGGCAAGGTCGAGTGCTGATGCTCATTCTAGCCAGCGACTGAGCGAGGAACAGAGGATACGCGACCTTGAGCGTGTAGTCCTCAGCTTTGCCCAGTCTCAGGCCCATGCAAGGCAGGGAGTGCTGCCGTCTAGGAATGCTGGTGACCCGGAGCAGCAGCATACTCCCTCGCCGCATTCAACACAGCATTCCCGGGATGAGACTGCTGCTGGTACTGCTTGCTCTACTTCAAGGACGTTGGATGTCCCCGGTAAATCCCATGTCGGAATCAAGGAGAATAAAACCCGTTTTTATGGATCAAGCAACGTGGCAAGCCTTGTCACTGAGGTCGGTTTTTATACACATCATATCAATGGGGATATCTGCTTATACATGTATAGTTTGGCGACCTCAAGGCCTACCTGAAGGACCTGAGAAGCGGGTTCCCTGCCCTGGCCAGGGTACATTGCGACCTGGATGCTATCAAGGACGAACGCTCCAAGAAGCCGCTCGCCGGGGAGCTGTCGCTTGATGCTGTGTTTCTCAGTGGACTGCTACCTGCACAGCCTGTCACCTATAACTTGGTCCAGTACTATTTTGCCTTCTCAAGCAGCACCTATCATGTCTTGCACAAGCAGTCGTTTTATGATCGTCTGCAGGATATTTACCAGCGGCCTCAGCTGGTCACGGCTGGGTTTGTCATACAGGTGCTCCTCGTCCTGTCCATAGTATGGAGCGTGGATGCGCCAGAGTCCATGACGCCCTCAAGCAACAAGGGAGTCACCCGTATCATGGCCATGGAATGGATACACTGGGGTGATGCCTGGATTTATCATTCGAAAACTAAACGACCGAATATGACACTCCTACAGACCCGTTGTCTTCTCATCCTCGCAAAGGAGGCAAATTTTACACGCAAGAACCAGGCATGGGCCGCGACTGGCACCACCGTCAAACTGGCTATGTCGGCAGGCTACCATAGAGAACTAAGTCCTGAAACTAATTTTTCTGTTTTCGATAAAGAGATGCGGCGGAAGCTTTGGTCGACCATCGTCGAATTGGATCTCAATGCATCGTTTGACCGAGGGATGCCACCGACTGTTCAAGCGGCCGATTACGATACCTCCCCACCCATAAACATCAACGATGAAGACCTTGTGGAATCAGCTAAAAACTGCCCAGAGCCGAAACACTGGCAGACACCTACCGACTCTTCATTTCAAGTCATACTGGCGCGATCTGTCGATTTACGGTTGCGTGTTTGTGCGCTTGTGAATGCACCCCGCGTGACTATTTCCGCATCTCAGCTGTCGGAATTAGACGATGAGATAACACGACACCTCTCCGAAGTCCCTCAGGGCTGGGAAGATCTTGAATCTACGGACCTCCGACAGAAGCAGCGAGTGATGCTCTGGCGAACCCTCATAGACTCACGGCTAAGACGGAGCCAGCTATGCTTGTATTCATGCTATGCCCTGAGCGAATCTCAGGGGTCAGTTTTCAACTCATCGTGGCGGGCTAGACTTGAAGTTGCGATGGAAATCCTTTGCCAGCAGCAGCAGCTAGTTGATCAGTTGGGGAGGCTGGCATGGCCTGCACTCACGGATATCACCTTCCAGGCAGCGCTAACCATCTGCCACTACCTGCACAGGTCTGATCGCGGATTCGGTCTGTTCCTCCCACCTGCCATAACTTCTTCTGTTTCAATGCTAATTTATAGGCCACCTATAGCCTCCTATATTATCCAAGCGGCTGTTCCAGCAGTAACAGAGTCCCTCATGGCACTGGTTGAAAAAACACTGCCACATCTAGAGAGCAAATTCCTCATTCTAGAAAAGGGCATGAGAGAATACTGCTTTTTTTGTGTTATTATCGCACTGGTGAAGTCGAAGCGTTGGCCTGATTCGACTGAATCACACCAAAGACGTGCAGTTGACCGTATCTGCAGCATGTGCTATAGCATCCTGTCGCGGAGTGCGAGCAGTAGAAGTCAAGAAGCTAATACGACCCAAGTAAGGAAGCTCCAAACATCCTTTCTCCTCTGAGGAGCATGAACTGGCAGACCTAACATTGGAGCGTTTAGATGCCTGCGGTGGATAATTCAGGGAGCATGGCAGCCATGCCTATACCGGCTCCGTTGCATGTTGATCATGTATCCTCGAATTCTAGCGAGATAGCCGACTTCGGCGTAAGTGCGCCCCATGCCTTGCTCTTGGAATTGAGACTGCTAGAAGCCACTAACACCTTTATGATTACTTTGTTAGGCTTTTGGGGATTGGGACTTTCTATTTGGAGATTTTACAACGGGGTTCTCTGGGTTTGGAACAATATGAACCTACGAAACAGAGCCCCCTTTCCCTTTGAGACACTTGCTTCGTGGCCTAAATTTATATATCCACGCACTGGCGTTATGAGCCTAGCATGCCTCATCTTGTATAGCACTTAGCGTGAAGTTGAATAGAAATAAGAATTAATATTTATCAACAACATTGATATTGGACGTGGTTCATTTATATATCATCACCGAGCCTCCCTCGATGTGCCAACCAATAGCACTAGTACCACCTACCCATAACCAAGATATGACCCATGCTCAAAGACCCATGCACGAAAAATCAGAGAAATCGCTCGCGAATCATGAATTAACTCCTGCCTTCAATGTAATCCCTATTTTCGATCGTGACGCTCTTTGTCATGTGGTTCACTTTGTAGACACCCACAAGGCGAGAGGCGAGTTCGAACTAGTGAAAGAGTTAGTGCTTAATATATCAAGTACACCTGTCCAGGGGCTAAGATGTACCATGTTGTTTCGCAACGAGATGACGATGAATTGCGCGTTCTTCGTTCTCTCCTTAATATACGATGCAACAATAGAGACCTATATATTGAGTAGCTTAGTTAGTAAATGATCATCATTTGGTGAAGTAATCCGACTTACGTTTCTGAAATCCAAGGCGGCGTCGATCTCGTCCATTACATACAATGGCGTTGGACGATAGTGGTGCAAAGCGAAGACGAGGGCCAAACTTGATAGCGTTTTTTCTCCTCCAGAAAGGTTACTGATGTTTTTCCAGCTCTTCTTTGGAGGCATGACTGAGAACAATATACCCTCTGAGAACGGATCTAGGGAATCGACGAGTTCCAGCTCTGCGTTACCACCCATTGTGATCATCTGATACATTTCCTTTAGGCGGAGGGATATTGTGCTGAAACCTTCCATGAAGCCAGTGAGACGGAGAGAACGTAGGGTGTCAAGGCGCGATTTTGAAGCATCGCGGCTACTGAGAGCCGTCGCCAGATCTGCTGAACGAGTTTCGTGTTCAGCAACACGGCGACGATATTCCCCTAGAACGGATAAATCAACAGAGGTATTTTGTGTCTTCTCCTCAAGTGCGGCAATAATCGCCTTCAAAGACTCTTTGTTCATTTCCGATAGCTCATCCTTGGTATATATTTGCAAGCTGTCTGCTGCTTCTTCCTCACCAAGGTCACTGGTATTTTGTAGTGAAAGTTTGGAGAATTTATCATGCCAGTACTTCGCCCGTTTCTGATTTTCGACCAATGCCTTTTGGCTTTCCTCGAGTTTGTTTCGCATTTCAATCTCAACAGCTCGCGTTTCGTTCAGTTCTCCAGTCTTTTCATCCAGTTCTGCTTTGAGGGCAGATAACTCCTCTTGCTTCGCTTGTAATGCCTATACTAGTTGTTAGTATAGATTAGACCAAGCTGCCCCCCATCTCGTTACTTACCTCTTCTGCTTCCTCAGTTTTTTGCTTCACACCAGAGACTGCCTTGGCTTGGGTTCTAGCTTCCTCGTTTAGCTTTTCAATATCCTCCTGGACATGTTCAAGTTCTGCTTCTGCGTCTGCATGGGATTTCTCATGCTTAATCCGCATCTTCTCGTTCTTGGACTTGGAAACCTCGGCATTAGAAACTTCTTCCGTGAGAAGCGATACCTGTTCCTTCAGGCCGTCGACTTTGGCTTTCTGGCCTCTGAGCCTCACACCACCAACTTCCATGATCTTGTCTTGGAGGGTCTGGATTTCCTCTTCCACCCCAGCCATTTCAGACCGCAAATTCGCGATGTCCCTCTCCAGAGCCATAATATTCTTTTCAAGACTGGCCGCCCGTTTCTCATCGGTTGTGGATGGCTTGTGTTCCTCTGATAACTCTTTCACCCGACGCTGGGTATCCGCGAGATTTCGTTTTGAGCTGTCAATCTCAAGTTGAAGTTTTTGGAAGGTTATTTCAATCTTGGGAATGGCATCTTTAGTGGTTTTCAACTCTGACTCCAGCTCCCTTTGCCTCTCTTGGAATGCTTGGAATTTTTTCTCCATTCCATCACGATCAGCGTCTAGTTTGGCAACCTGTTCTCTCGAGACTTCAGCTACTTGCTTGGAAGACATCCCACCCCTAGCAACTCGTGTTCCACCACCACTCATAGTGCCAGAAACATCAATGAGCTGCCCGTCCAGTGTCACCACTCTCCACCTTCGCGCTCCGTATGCAATTTTGTTGGCTTGTTGCAGATCCTTGGCTACGAGGGTGTTTTGGAGAACGCTGTAAAATGCAGCTTTGAATTTCTCGTCCACGGGCTTGACGAGGTCAAACAGTCGGGGAACACTGTCGGGGGTAAAGACCGATGACATATCTCTTCGGGGTAACCTGTCGAGTAAAATGAAGTTTGCACGGCCCAGGTTGTTTTTACGGAGATAATCAATACACTGCTGGCCAACTTCCACGGTATCAACGACCAAATTGTCAAGCGCTGGGCAGGCGGTTGATATGGCGACGTCGTACTTTTCATCGATTGTTCCGAGATTTCCTAGTCGACCGTGGAATCCTTCTATACGTCCAGATTCCTTCAACCTCATGAGTCCTGAGAGGACATTTCCCTGGGTTTGCGTGCTAGATAGACTGGCTCTAGCCTCATCGGCCTTCTGCCGTAAATGAGACAGCCTGGAACGATATTCAGGCTCCTTCTCCGCAAACCTTTGCAAGTTCGCAGCACAGCTAGAGACCTCATGCTCAAGGTTAGCTTTTTCAGCTCGACATTGCTCGAGTTCTGATGCCTTCGTAGTCATTTCTTCCTTGATGGACGCAATCTTGGCTTGTGCTTCTTCCAATGCGACTGCGCCGGCATTGCTTTTCTCGCGAAGGATATCCAGCTCGCTCTGTGCAACAGCTGCAGCCGACTGTTTTTCGTTAATTTTTTCTTTCCATGGCTCCAGGGACGTCTGTTTCGCAGCAATTTGTTCTGAAAGTCCCTGTGTTTTCCCTTTTAGGCTTTCACGGATAGACGCAAGCTCCTTCTCCTCTTCTTTCATCTCCTTTTCTAGGGCTGCAATCTCCGCAGATTTTTTCTCAACATCATAGCCATGTTTATCAACCAAGCCGGCGCATTCAGAAGTAGCCAGACGACTCGCGTTCATCGCCTTTTCCAACTTCTTCTGCTTGGTATTCAAAAATTTACGTTTTTCTTCAAGCTTGACTGATTCTTTGTCGTATTTCGCCATTTCCTTGATGATAACCTGGGTTTCCTTCTCCATGACCTCGTATTCTTTTGCCGTCTTTTTATAGTCACGTTGGAGTTGCTTAGTTTCATCTTCGTTGCCCTGATGTTTTTCAAGCTCAAGGTTGAGTAGCTCCTGGTTCTGCAAGATTGCTTCTTGGGTGACGTTTGTATTATCGTTGCATTCGTCGATATATATTTGATAAAGGGCGGATTGCTTTTCTGCCAGCTCATTTTCATCCTTGATATAAGCAAGAGCTTTGTTTTTCTTATCCTCAAGGCTCGCCTTCTCTTTTTCAACATGCTGGACTCGGGTGTTCTTTTCATTGCATGTTTCGTTCAAAACTTCAACCTCTGCTGCAGCTTCGTCAATTGGAGTTTTGTATTTAGAGGTTCCAATAATGTCTTCGAGATATTCCAGCAGGCCATCATCGTGTTCATTGGCGGCTTTAGCTTTCATCTGGGCAATAGATTCAACTTCACCTTGCAGGATGAGGAAACGTTTATGGTCCAGATCTATCCCACGGCCCTTCAAAAAGTCAGTGACAGTTGTGAAGGTCGCTTCCTTTTTATTCATATAATATTTGCTGGTATTATTCTTGAAGGCGCGCCTGGAGACAACCAATTGCGAATCTGGGACAACTTCATGGCCGCCGTCGGGTAAATCCACAATTTCTTGAAAATGGACCTCGACCTCACAAAATGGTAGATTTGGAAAATTAACGGAGTTGTGAATAAGTGCTGATATTTTCCCCTGGCGCATTTTACTGGCCCTGAACCCAAAAACAAACAGCAAAGAGTCGATAACGTTGGATTTTCCCGAGCCGTTAGGTCCGACCACGGAGGAGAATGAGGCATGGAAAGGGCCCACGAACTGATGTCCAGCATAACTTTTAAAATTAGTGAGAACGAGGTGGGTGATAACCATTCTTTGCTTGGGACCTGAAGCTTCCTCTTCTACTACCTGGGGCGCCGATCGCGATTTGAGCATTATGTCCATGGGTCGTTCTAATACGCTCGACATCGGGTCAATCCTATCGATAACAGACTTTTCTAAATCCGCTGCGTCCGAGGGGGTCTGGTTCACGGCATTTTCAGTGATATCTGCAAGGGGCGTCCCGCTGATTCTTCTTGACTGCGCACGATCAGCTTCTGGAGATTGTGATGGCGCGGGGGTTGGAAGTGAGGAAACCTCTATAGATGAGTGTCGACTGCTTTGGCTCCCAGAAATACTCTGCCTAACTGTCGATGTACGTCTTGGTGGCAATTCAGGCTCCTCCTCTACCGAGAGAACGCTCTCTTCTGTCTTCGGCGAGACGATGGACTCCCCCTCACTCGCCATTGAACGTCGTGCCCTCGATCGTCCTGTTGCTGGAGTTGGGGTAGTTGGCGCTTCCAGTGGCGCCTTCGAAACCCTCCGCGACGCTCTGCGTTTTGGGACAGGTGTATAATCCTCCTCTTCGTCTTCGTCGTCGTCTTCGTCATGAATAGTAGGCGTAACACGCCCAGATTCGGGTTCATCGTCTGAACTTTCTTCGATAACAAAACTCTTCCGGCTAACCGACCGGCGCGGTCGCGATGACGTCGATGCCATCTTGCAGGCTACTGTTTCTCGCGACGAGTAGAAGGGATATCGGTTTGCGAGCCGGAGAGTGTTGTTTGCGATGTTCTGGCTTGCGATGTTTATGTTTTGCCTAAAGGAGCCAGCCATCAAAGATTACATAATCTCGATAACGAGTCTTGGCATCGCGACGGCTTTCTTCGAGCTTTTGATATATAGAACTCGCAGCAAACAACACAGCGAACAGCGCTTCACTGCGGGAGGAAAACAGATCGCAGGTCTCGAGAGCCATGGCGCCCTGGGAAGAGTTCGATATCGCCTTTGCTTTTAAACGAGACTATTCCTACGACCACAAGGTAGTGGACCATATAATCTCCAACCGACGGGTGCTCGACCATGTTCTCTTCGTCGACCGCTTGCTAAGAATACTCGGGATTGAAGCAGGTAACGAATGCATTCTTGATGTTATATATTTGGTGACGGAGCAGGACTGATATATGAGCTCTCTTTATAGCATCGAAGCTCTATCCCCCGAGATCCAACCAGAATCTCCGCTCCCTCTTCCAACAGATAGTCTCGTCTTCATCGCCCAACCACCACAAGCAATCTTTAATATATTACATCCTGAAAGATTGCCGGGGAGCTACCGATAAATCCGGTCCCCTGCAATTTGCAAGAAAATGTTATTTGCCGGATAAATATAGACTGCTTATCGATGGTTTATGGAATCTGGATAGGCTAGAGTTCCGCGTGAGTAACCTGCTTTTTAGCATGGCACATATTTCACAAGCTAATTCAAGATATCCTATACAGCGCGCATTAGAGTATATCACAGAACCATCATTAATCCCAACTTTCCCCGATGAAATCCTTTATGTTCTCGCCGCATCGTCGAAGCAGGATGACGGCCTTGCCATAGCATACTATGTCACCGTCCAACCGCCACTCGCTTCCCAGAAGGTCCTGAATGCGTATTTCGCTACCTTATGCCGGACAGGTGTTCCAGAGGCATTTTATTTCTTAAGACAGCAACCCGAAGATAGCAGCCCCGCGCTCTTGGAGCAACTTATCACCTTTGTGCTATCTACAAAGGCAGGGGAGTTGAGGGCAAAGCGGGCAATGGACCTAATAAACCTACCGTTTAGCGAGGTCGAGGAGGAGTGCTTCAATGACCTTTTATTGCGCGGCAACGCAAAGAATCTGCATGGGGCTAGGGATACGGTCATGATGAGGCGAGTTGCTACCGGACGCCTGGAAAACCTGGATAGCGAGTTAGAGTCACTGGGAGGGCGCAGGCTAGAAGGCCTTAACTGGGACGACCTGAAGAGGAATCTTAAGTCGAGCCATTCGCTCGAAGCTTGACAAACACTACGATACCGGAGTATAGCAGCAAGTACTGTCGATTCATCTTTTGGCGTTAGGCTGCAATTTGGCGTTCAATCGGTTGTGTGTAGCTTGTGGGATTTATGTACACTTAGCTCTAGCCGTCCCTATTTCCTTTGCTAGAATACAATAACATAATAGACAAATGATTCAATTATGCTGCTTAAAACTTAGCAAACCGACAGAAACGCGATGAGTTGCTTATATAATCAATTCTCCAACCTCAACCGCGAAATAAATTAAGCTGAAGCTAAAGAACGAACAATTACTTACGTCCAAAACACAAAGAATATTGATTTAAGGCTAGGGAATCACTCTGAGTCGTGTAAATAATAGGCATATTACTGCTACGCGACTCGAACAAGCTCTCTTACCGTCTACCAGCATCCTTCATCATCCATTTGTCATACAGGAGATATCAAGAAGCTCGGGTTGGAGTCAGGACGCGACCAGCGAGGAGTCAATAGTCGCCTCACCAGTAGGTGATGGGAAGGCCGTCCTAAAACCTCTAATAAAATGGTCATATGCACGTTTTTTCAACAAGGAAGATGCAAATACGGAGGTACGTCCAAGTGGTAGGCGGTGTCCATCGTGATATCGTCGCTTTACGTTGAGAGCATGTTCAGCTTACCCTTTAATGCAGATCGATGCAACAATGAACATCCGAAGAACCAGGGCCAATTTGGATTTACTTCTGGAAATAGATTCGGGTTTCTTCAGTCCGGTGGGAGCAAACCGGGTGGCGGTTTCGGAGGTAAATAACATCTTTCCCTGTGTTTTTTTTTGATGATTTTATATACCCGAAAGTTAGGCCAGAAGTGGTTGTAGGCTAGGTGACGCTGTGTCAATATTACATACATTTTTTTGGGCCAATTTGCTGACTACATGTCTGACTCGGATTTGGAGATATAGACAAGCAGGATCCAAGAGACAAGTAAGTGTATACCCCTTATCCCTGTGGTAAGCCCCTCCAAATTAACCGAAAAACAGATACTCTTTGAACGCTGTGGACATAAGAAATGACTTGACAGACGGGCAGGGCCGGCCTCAATGGATTTTCTCAGCCTATGGTCCTGGGAAGAACGCCCCTATACAGCTTTTCGGCGGGCCGGAAAGAGAGCAAAGTTTTGAGGAAATGCGCGCATTACACTATGCTGCTGTCGCTGAGGGAAAACCACAGGAGGCCATACAAAGCGCCAATGACTTGTTTGCCGCTACAGAAGCCCAGATTAAGAACATAGTCAGCAATCTGGACGCTGCCATCAAATATGTGATTGACGGAGAGAATCAACACCCGAACAGGCTGGATATCGTGAATGGGAAGTCAGCGGCTGTTGCGTCGGCCCTAACCCAGCAAAGTCCGTTTTCTCAGCCGCCTCAGGGACCCGTTCAACCTTCGCCATTTGGTGCGCCCAGCGCATCTCAGCCATCTGCAGGCTTAGGGAGCGCATTCGGGAAGCCGGCAATGTTAGGACAACAACAACCACAGCGACCCGCCTTCGGAACACCGTCTTTTGGACAGCCTTCAGGCATCGGCCAAACACCTGCACTAGGTAGCTCTCCGTTCGGTCAAGCTGTTACCCAGACTCAACCACAGCAGAACCCATTTGGCCAGCAGGCAGCGTCTCCATTTGCGCAGGCTGCCCAGACTACCAATCCATTCGGTCAACCACAATCACAAGCTGCTGCTCCAGTACAGAGCTCACCGTTTGCCCAGCTACAAACTGCGGCACAATCACAGCCGGCCTTCGGGGGGAACCCCTTTGGTTCTGGCGCCCCGCTAGCTCAGCAACAAGCAGCCCCGACGCCGTTCGGACAACCATCTCTTAAAGCTCCATCAAGCTCCATTCAACCCCAAGTCAATCCTCTCGCATCTAGTGGTAGCATGCCCCAGGTGAAGAAAGCTAACCCTAACCTGAACCCATTCCCCAAGGTGGCTGGACAGACTGTGCATGACCCAATGACGAAAAAGCTCACCATGTGGAAAGGCTTACCGGTTCAATATATCGAGAACGAGCCCTGCTACCAACACCCTGACGACCCACAATCTTATGTTCATATATTTTTCCCTGATGGGCCGCCAAAGCCTGATACTTTCAAATACTCAGTAGCGGCACCAGAAGAGTATACCCCGGCAGTAGAGGAAGCGTACAGGTACGCCCATGAACATGGAGCATTCAAGGACGGGCTATTGCCGTCTGCACCGCCTAAATCTGAGTGGTCGAGATACGATATCTGAATCGTGTTTCTCAGGATTGGAATAGCTATACGATTACGGCGTTGATTGGGGAGGCATCACCTTGTTATTTCGGAGAAGGATGGTTTTAGAAATGGTTATATATCCTCATTTTTCGTCATTAGCGACGAACATTGCGTTGGAGCTGCTTTTAAATTACTAATCTGCGGGGACAAGTCTACGTCAGGCAATGCATTGTGTAGGAAGCTGTTTTTGATATTCTATAACCTGGCCAGCTAGACAATGCTAAATGAATGCATATATAGTACACACTGCTTGCATCGTCAGCGTCGGCCAAACCTAGATTACACAATCCAAGGACCTTCCCAACCCATTTACTGGGCAATGGTGACTTCGACCTCGACACCGGCCTCGATGTTGATGATGATCTGCTTGACGGTCTCAGTTGGAGCGTGGAGACTAGACAATCAATTAGCTTCAATCTATCCGGCGAAGAGCGAAGAGAGGATACGTACTCGATCAAACGCTTGTGGATTCTCATCTCGAACTTATCCCAAGTCTTGGAACCCTCACCGTTAGGAGTCTTACGGGTGGAGATGCGGAGAGTCTTGGTTGGCAGGCGGACGGGACCCTTGACGTAGAGGGACTTGGAGCGAGCACGGTCAATGAGCTCCTGGCAGACCTTCTCCAAAGAAGCGACCTTGCGCGAGGTCAAGGTGATACGGATCTTGTGGATTTTCTATGCGTTGACGGGGATATATTAGCACCAACTCGAGGCAGAGACCATGATGATGCCTGCGCGCAATCGCCGGAGACACGAATAACATACTGGGCCTTCGCCAAAGTCCTTCTCGGGCTTCTGGTACGACATCTTTGCTGGGGTTGGGGAGCTAAGGGTAGCTACTTTGGTCGGTTCTATATTGCACGTTAGATACAGCATCAAAAAGCTTTAAAGCGGTCAAGTAGGCGCTTACATGAATATCGGAGGGCAGATGCCAATCAAGACCTGAACAATTCGAGTTCGGTAATGTGATGAAAGGCGCGTGGACGGTGGTTATCCTTGTCGTGAAATCGTGAAGTCGTGAAATCGTTGTCTTTTTTTCCTTCTTTTCGATGTGGGATGCGAAGTCTTGGCAAAAGTCGGCTAATGGCGCTAACTATATACGGACTAGTAAACATGTGACTCATTATGACTAATCTCTGCTGAGTCATCCCATTCTGTCCCGCAGTTTTTTTATATCAAAAAGGCCATAGACAAAACAACATTACTACTACATATTTACACTGTTCTCTGTTCTCGTTGAAGCCTCTGATAGTACTGCTTTGTCGAGGCGCTCTAATTATTCACTAATTTACTTACTTGATATTACGGGGATGGTGGGAAAGACGCTTCTGCCCCTGGCACCTGTACCCCCACAGTCAGTGGTGAAACTTATACCGGATGGTGAATGGAAAGCATATCTAGATGCCTGGATCACGTCGGTTGAAGCTCGATTACGATTGAGTGACAAAGAATTTGAGATATCCGCTTCAAAGGACGAGGCTGCACAACTATTTCTTATTTCGTACTTCTCAGACAATTCAACTCCCAGGGACACATCAATAAGGGCAGCTAGTCTACTACAGCGTCTCTGTTTTCTTCTAAGTCGAAGGATACTTTTAATTGGGACTCATGCTCCTCCACAGCTTTTGACTGTGGAGTTCCTGGGGAGCTTCTGTTCCTTTTATCCATCTGCTCCGCCCCTTCGGAGCTTGCTGCTGGATGTATGGGCAAGGGATTCGGAAACACTGGAGTCCAGCACCCAGAGAGCAAAGGCAGCAATTATACAACAATTAACCGTCTCAATCTCAGAGCCATATGCAAGACTAGAAGAAGACTTGCGTTCGTTAACGCTTCTTGCCTCAAATCTACATGAGATAGGGAAAGTGCTTATGGCAGGAGATGATTACATAGGTGCGATTTTTGAAACATTCCACAAGGCGAGGAGCGAACACCTACAGAAGGCTCTTGTGGCACATATTTATGTCGCATTAATCTCTCTGATGAAATTGAGTCCTCCTGCAACATCGGTGCTCCTGGATCAGCTCTACGGCCTGAAGAGCGCTGCAAAGGTAGACTCAAAAGCTCCGAGGACTGAGCCAACGTTGCTTTCTGCTCTCGTCTGCAGCACCAATTTCGTCAAACGCCTAGATAACCTACTTGCTGGGAATCAACAACAGAAGCGAGGAGATACGCTGATCTCGACTCTCCGGATATACCGCTCTGAGTGCAAGGCGTTTCATAAACTATACCAACGCCCAAGAAAAGTGGATAAGGGTAAAGGAAAGGCTGCCCCAGATGATATAAATGATGGAATTCACATACATCGAATGTCCCTGGTAACTCAAGTCCAAGACTTGTTCCCCGACTTGGGCTCCGGGTACATTGTCCAACTTCTCGATTTTTACAATGATGATATCGAAACTACCATCTCGAACCTCATAGAAGGCTCTTTGCCGGAGCATCTTAAAAAAATTGACCAAGCAAGTCAACTGCAAGAACAGCAAAGTATAGTGGATATTGCACCTCGATCTACGCCACCACTTTCACAATCTCCCGCCCCTCCGTTTGACCGTAAGAATGTGTTCGATAATGACGAGTTTGACCGGCTGGAAATTTCTCCTTCTAAGCTACATATCGGCCGCGCCAATGCCGAACTTACCGCTGATGATCTGCTGGCTGATAAATCCAGCTCGACAAACAAAGCCGCTATACTAGCGGCCCTTGCGGCATTTGATTCTGACGATGACGAGAGGGATGATACCTATGATGTTGCCGATGTTGGAGGAACAGTCGACACCCACCCAGCTGCAACGGACGGCGATACGTCCGAGGCACGAGAAGGAGGCGGCGTGGCAATTGAAATGAAACTCTACGAGCTCTATAAATCCAACCCTGCAGCGTTTGCGCGCGACCAAACAACCCGCCGTTCAACACATAGGATGGCGCTGCGCAAAGAAACTGGAATGACTGACGAGGCTATTGAAGGGTGGGCACTGATGCTCACTCGTGACCCTAAGCGGATAACCGGGTTAGAACGAAATATAGCCTTGTCTGGCCTTCGCCCAAGTCAACAGCCTGAGCTTCAGTCTACGGCATATAGAAGGCCACTCGACGATGATGGTTCGGGGGCAGAATCTAGCGGCTATGATGGAGCTCGAGGCCGTGGCCATGGTCGTGGTGGTAGGGGAGGTGGTAGAGGTCGTGGTGGATCTGGAGCTGGGTCTGGAGCCCCAGAGTCAGCCATTGACAAACGAAGGAAAGATGCAAATAAGGGCTCAAGGGCGAACCACAACAGGCGTAACCAACGGGCGAAGAAAATGGCGAGGGGCGGCTTGTGATATCATACCCTTAACAAAGGTGCATAATGTTTGATGTATGCCGGTTTACAGCATCAAGGCAATGACTTGGACTATGAGGAGCTGGATAGGGTGATGAATAGACGACGTTACGGCAGCATCAAAATAGACGTATAATCGTAATATTATTTGAATGCATAAGGAATTCGTTTAAGACGAGCCTCATACCATTAACAGCATTCATGACCGAACTCTAACAAAAGACAGGTAATATCAATATTAAAAGGTATATATTGCAACCCCCACACCGCTGGAAAAGAATCAAACGAAATAAATGTGCATTAGGGGTCCCACCATCAATGATGGTGATCTGAAAATACCCCCTTTTCAGCAATTGACTTCTGGCACTCAGCCAACATTCGAGCCTGTTTAGCAACATCACCCAAACGCCCAATGACTTCCTTATTGCCGTCAAGGAAAGTAAATATTGCGTACGGGATCTTGGTTTCTTCGCAGAATTCTAGAACCAATTTTTGCGCCCGACGGAGGTTATGTCTAGGTAGCCGTGGGTAAAGATGGTGAACGGCCTGAAACTGAAGGCCTCCGTGAATGAAGTCCAGCCATTGCGGACAATCAACGTCCATAGTTGTTCGAAGCATCTTTTGCGGGAATGATTCATGCACGCCCATATCAGAAGTTGACATGGCAAAATGGGATAGTGTGATTTGCACATGTAAGGGTGCGGTGACCATATGACTGACCATGACGAATATAAGTCGGCTCTTCCAGTCAGGAATACTCAGGTATACCACCCCATAGCCAAACCAAGTCCAGAAAAAGACCTGTCCTGCAATCTCAAGCCAACGATGCCACCAGGCGGGACCCTTTCGAGGTCCCTGGCCAAGAATCAGGTATTCCCAGCTGAGTCGATATAAATTAAATCGCCCGAAGCAAAGGATTGGATAATAGAGCAGATGCTGGTAACGAATGAGGAATTTCGCCGCGAAGTCGTATTCCATGATGCGATCATAGTACGTGCTTCGAAGGCTGTCGAGGAATCTATGCGAGATAGCAAATATGGGCATATGTTCGATATCTGGATCGTGTTCCGGCGAGTTGGTGACGATGTGGTGCACGTTGTGGTTCCTCTTCCACCAGCCAATGCTGAGTCCACCGATGAAATCCGCAACGATGATTCCGATTACTGTATCAGTGTGGAAGCCGTGAGTGATCCCCATGTGGCCGGCATCATGAGCCGTGAAAACAAGCTGGTGCCACATGAGTCCAAGGAAGAGACCAGACGTGGCATACCAGCCGTGTCGCAGGAAATACACAAATAGTCCAGAAAGTAGCACATAGCGGGCCAATTCTACCATGTACGCTAGATAGTTGCAGTTAAACAGTCCTTCATCGCGTAACCGATCGTAGAGCTGTCGGTATTTCTGTACAATGCGCTCTTGTTCGACAGCATTTATTGGCGGGTACTTGGCGGTGTCGAAGTCGATTTCCTGCTGAGTCCTAGCATCAAGAAAGTATGGCCTCGATTGTGCATCCGTCTTTTTCGGGGAGGAGGATTCAACCGAGGAGATGGACGTGGAAGCAGAACCCCGTCGCCTGAGTCCAGACGTTTCCTTATCGACTGCCTCGAAGAGCGGTGAAGGGGGGATCGACTGTTCAGGGCCGGACGAGCTATCGTCAGATTCAATGGATGGGACTTCCGTTGTATTGTATTTTCCAAAGTCCCCTCCCTGGATTGGAGGGACGAAATTGATCCACGGGCTCTCAATTCTTCCGATTTGAAACGCCTTCATCCGCTGTCGTGCTGCGGCAGAGTGTAGTCTATAGCCGTGAATTAGCCATTATCATCTTCGAAAATATGTCCGCGCATAGAATTAAAATAAGTAGGAGTGTTCTGATCGTACGCATTTATCTCATCTGTGGCATCCCTTCCAACCATGTGCTTGATAGCTTTATCACCCCCTGGATGGAATTTCAACCAGGCATCCACTTTGAGCACTTTTCCTTCGAAGATAATTATATGCCTCCCATCTGCAATTTGCTTCCCTATCTCATATCTCGTCAGGATCGAGTCCTTGCCTGAAGGTGCCATGTCATAAACAGCTTCGTCAGCCGGAAGCTCGGGTGTATCTCGATCGTAAACAACGAAGTATAGCGAAGGACCAGGGTTCACGAATCGTACCGGACAGCCCGGGACATGTTCTAAAATCGAGAAGCTCAAGGTATACCGACACAACACGCCACAAACGAGCGAGCGTGGTGCGGGGCTGGCAAAGGACGCAGAAAGCGAGAGAGTCGTGGAGTTGCGGAACAAGTTAGTTTGTTCGTGAATCCAACCACGATTTTGATACACGGACGCCAAGCCACGGCCACTTTCTACTCTACTTCGACCTTTGGCCTTCCCACGCATTTTCGCTACCTACATAGTACATAGTACGGAGGTACAGCATAATAATAACGACTGATATAGCGTTGGCCGAAACATAATTGGCCCTCATAGATTGACCATGGTAGGTTGCTCTCCTGAGTCGCAGAACTACCCCCACATGTCGGGATGCATCGTCATCATGGCGCATCTTGTACTGGTTGGCTGTTAACTCGATATAGGAACCACTCGATACCCTCGTCCAGCGATGGCTGGAATGGGATCAGGATCCTTCTACTCGCAAGGAGATTGAGCAGCTCCGCGCTGACAACGATGAGCCCGCTCTTGAGAAGCGTCTGCGGGAACGTACGTGAAGGCTGTCTATCCAATTGACAAATACTGTAGTCCTAACTACCATCTATAGGCATTCAATTTGGCACCGCTGGTCTACGCGGGCGGATGCAGGCTGGGTTCTCATGCATGAATTCACTTACTGTCATCCAGGCGTCCCAAGGATTAGCCAAATTCGTCAAGGAAACACACCAAGGCACGGAGGCGCCATCAGTTGTGATCGGGCGTGATGCTAGACATAACTCGAAGAAATTTGCCTACTTGGCCGCCAATGCCTTTGAAGCTGAGGGCATACATGTATGGTGGTACGACAACGAAAATCCAACTCCGTTTGTGCCCTTCACCGTCTTATTGAAGAAGGCAAACGCAGGAGTCATGGTCACGGCGAGCCATGTATGTATTGACTTCTGGTGGCATCGGATTCGGTGATTTGCTAACTTTGTCTGATAGAACCCGGCACAAGATAATGGTAATTTCGCATGCTTAGCCCCTGACCATGTTCACTGTTGTGGCTAACATGATAAATAGGATATAAAGTGTTAGACACTACCCAGTATCAAAAGAATATAGAAATATACTAACCTTTGACCAAAGATACTTCTCGAATGGGGCCCAAATCAATTCCCCAGTTGACAGCCAAATAGCAGAATCAATCAAGCTTAACTTGGTTCCGTGGCCCAATGCCTGGCGTGGGATCGATGGGCCTCAAACTCGAGACCCAAATTTATATATGGAAGTTTCGGCCCTTTATTGTGATGCCGTAACTCGATTTGCTGTTAGTCACTGCGCTACCTCACCATCCTATACGATCTATGCATATACTGACTACTATAGGCCTCTACCGTGGATACTTGGCGCCAGCCCAGCCAGTTTGTGTATACGCCAATGCACGGAGTTGGGAATGCTACCATGTCTAAGCTTTGTGATTCATTGAAGATTAAAGGGATTATAACTGTCCCTGAACAAGAGCAGCCAGACCCTGACTTTTCAACCGTCAAATTCCCAAATCCAGAAGAAAACGGTGCTTTAGATCTTGCCATGAAAACTGCAGATAAGTCCGGGGTAACGCTTATTATAGCCAATGACCCTGACGCGGATCGGTTTGCCGCTGCTGAAAAAGTCAAGTATGTTTATCACGCTCACTTTAGCAAAGCGCCCCGGCTGACAGGTTTGAAGTGGCTCTTGGTTTAGATTCACGGGAGATCAATTAGGGGTTCTTCTAGCATCGCACCTTTTGGACTCAATGAATAAAGAAAATACCGGAAAGCCTATGGCCATGCTCAACTCTGCAGTCTCCTCTAACATGTTATCAAAAATGGCGGAAAAGAAAGGCTTCCACTTCGAAGAGACCTTGACAGGCTTTAAGTGGATGGGCAATGTCGCGCGGCAGCTAGAGAGCCAAGGATACGAGGTACCATTTGCATTTGAGGAGGCTCTAGGGTATATGTTTACCAAAGTTTGCTATGATAAGGACGGACTCACAGCTGCCATGGTATTCTTGGCAGCTGAGGCAAAATGGAGAGAGCAGAGCCTTACTCCATTTGGGAAACTCGAACAGCTCTATGAAACATACGGGTATCATGAGAATCTAAATACCTACTTTGTCTCGCCAGATACCAAAACAACAGCAACGCTTTTCGATAACATACGCGCGAATACCCTCGACGCTAAAGGTACGATCGGGTCGTTCCCGATCAATAGATGGAGAGATATGACCAAAGGATATGATACAGATACAGTGGACAAAAATCCAGTGCTGCCGGTGGACCCCACTAGTCAGATGCTCACTATATGGTCACATCGAGGCGTTCGATTTACGATTCGAGGCTCGGGCACAGAACCAAAAGTCAAGAGTCAGTCAATTCCCGCAAGCCAGTACGCTATAACATATGCCACGTTGACTAACATGTTTGGGATAGTTTATATTGAGAGTTGGGGCGATTCACGCAGGGACGCCATCGAAGGCGTCTGCGAAATGTTGACGGCTGTCTTGGAGAATTGGATTAAGCCATATGCTCCAACAATGACTTACTTCTCCAGTATGACAACTTCGTCAGGACATATATTTAAGAGTGAATAAACGGCAGCAACCTGTCGATCGATTCGCTGGCTCCGCTACGGGGAACCATATGAAAGTCTACGTAGCTTTGGCCAAACATAGCATAATTCATTGATCTATTGTTTATTAACGTTGTCCTACCTAGAACTAGGCCATGTGGCTGGCATTCGGCATGAGAGTATGGCTGCATCTAGGACTTTAGCCCAAGGCGTATGTTTGGGGGTCGCACAGGGCAAAAGTTTGCCCTGGTCTCAGAATACGTACGAATATGTATGTCCATTACTTACTATTTATCGCAGTATTTCCCCATATCCGAGCCTATCACGAGGACTCGCCTAAATCTAGCCCTTACATTTTTCGTCTCTTGCAACCTTCATGCTCAAGCTGACTGATCCCTTAGGTCTGAAAGCAAACTATCTGTAGAGCGGGTGGCTGCATTTGCCTTCTTGTAAGCTGATGCCGCATCGCCTAGATAGTGAACCAACATATAACGAATGGCCAGAGTCTCACATGCTTGCTCTGTATGCATATACAAAGCCCTGTTTACCTTTCCTCCTCCTTATAAGTCTTGAGCTTTCCATCTCCAACCCCATTTCTTCAATATCTAGTGGCCATTTTCTATCGACGAACGGGACAATTCTATAGCAAACCCAGCTGCAATATAGCACGATGCCACAATATTACGTTGACGACCTAGATGACTATTATCCTAATGGATTGGACGGGATTTCCCGAATGATTCCGCATGGCTACTACGGCTACTATGATGAATCCGATGGAGAATATGGCATGCCTTTGCCACAACGAAGACAGAGAATTTGTGAACGCCGATTCCGACGCTCTAGGAATAGGGGAATTAGGTAAATCTGTCAAACTATTTACCCATGCACTTTCTCATCCAGCCAGTGGTCAAGAAGCTAACTGATGAATAGAAGCGAAGACGAATATACCTATGTGTCCGATTCGGACGAAACCAGCTACCGAGTCAGTGACAACCACCATGGGAGCAGACGCTGTCGCCACAAGGACTGCTGTCGTAGCCGACGAATAGGGCACAGTAGATGTGCAGACTCGAGCCGTCAAGAAGTCCATCATCACCACCTCGTAATCTGCCAACAACCCGGTAGCTCTGGCTCCAACTCTTATCAAGCACTGTGGGATAACATGTTACAGATTGAAGGACAACAGTCAGTTCAACCTCAGATCGCAGCTGGACCAGGAGGAATGGGAGGGGCTATGATGACGCTAGGGCGACAAGCAATAGCCGCTGCACCAGCACGCGGTGGTATGATTTTACCTTCTTCCGTCATGCAGACGACAGCTGGCCCTCAATGTGAATGTGAATGTTGCTATACATCTCGTGCCCACCAGGCAGAGGCACTTCATATGCTGAGAGGGCCGCAAATGATAGGCCAGGGCGTCGGAATGTCTGCTGGACAGTTACCGGGTACATTTGCGAGGCCTTCTTTTGGTCCTAGATTGCTCCAGTGAGGGGATGGAAGCTGCTATAGCGTTCAAGTCATCTTTCCGCATTGCGTGGGTTGGCCTGAAAGATTAATCTTCGCCTCGTCTCATGTTTTCAACGCCTACCAAGCCATTTGATAGACGCTGTATGATTCATAGTTCGTTCTTTTCCAGACTGATAATTTGTATCCTGTGGCCCGCGCTGGCGTCGACCCGCGTATTCATAGAATGATAATATCGTTTTATCCTGTTTGAGCTTCTGTGGTTAGGCCTCCCGGCCGAGTGAACCAAGGTAATAATTATGAAATAGCTTTATTCTAAATTAACTTCATGTCCAGTTTATGGTTACAGAATGGCCAAAAAAAAAGAGTACAGTGTCGTCTGTCAGGAGGAGGATATATAGACAGTAGCATCAGGTCAAGCCGGGAGGTGAGGGGTGAGTAAAGGTAGCGGGCTAATGAAGACAGAAAACGGGGTGATAAGGGAACGGGGAACGATGATGGTACTTTGATTATGGCAAAAGACACAAAGTTTATGGGGGTAGGCTCATAAAGACACGAAAATGAAACATCAAGCGATCAATAGAAGTGTAAAGAGCGTTTTTTTTCCGGGGTTATATTTTTGGCGAGCTGTTTAGAAGTGGATGGCCTTGGAGTAAGTGGCCATGGCAGCTTCTTTGAAGGCCTCAGCGAGAGTAGGATGGGCGTGACAGGTTCGCGCAACATCCTCTGAGCTAGCACCGTACTCAATGGCGAGGGTGGCCTCAGCAATCATCTCACCGGCATTGGGTCCAATGATGTGGACACCGAGGATGCGGTCAGTCTTTGCATCGGCGATGAATTTAACCTGACCTTCACTGTCGAGGTTGGTCTTGGCACGAGAGTTGGCGCTGAATGGGAAAGATCCAACGCGGTACTCGACACCGGAGGCCTTGACCTCGGCTTCGTTCTGGCCAACCCAGGCAACTTCTGGGTAGGTGTACATGACGCTTGGGATGGCGGCGTAGTTGACGTGTCCGTGGCCCTTGGTGATGTATTCGACGGCGGCAACGGCCTCCTCCTCAGCCTTGTGGGCAAGCATGGGGCCGAAAGTGCAGTCACCGATGACGCGGATGTGGTCAGACTTGGTCCTGTATTCCTGGTCGATGACGAGTCTGCCCTTGTCGTCGATGTCGATTCCGATCTTCTCGAGTCCGAGGCCGGCGGTGTATGGTCGTCGACCGATGGCGACGAGGACAACGTCAGCGTCGAGGGTTTTTTCCTTTCCACCCTTGGCGGCTTCGACGTTCAGGGAGACGGTGCTACCGGAGTCATCACCGCTGACGACCTTGGTGCCGGTAAGGAATTTAATGCCTTGCTTGGTGAGGAGCTTCTGAGCCTGCTTGGCGATCTCAGCATCCATACCGGGGCCACCGATTTGGCCGAGGAACTCGACGACGGTGACTTCAGAGCCAAGTCTAGACCAGACAGAGGCCTAGAATAGGATATTAGTGATGTTCATAAAAATATCTCCGCGCGCAAAGGTAGTGTGTAGGTGTTTACCATTTCCAAACCGATGATTCCACCACCAATAACGATCATCTTCTTTGGGACCTCCTTCAACGAGAGAGCACCGGTGCTGGTGATGATCTTCTGCTCATCGATGTTCAATCCGGGGAATGGAGTGGCTTCACTTCCGGTAGCAATGATGATATTCTTTCCCTTTACGATACGCTCACCACCGTCTAGGAGGTCGACCTTGACGGAGTTCTGGTCAATGAAAGATCCGGAACCCTTGAGGTAGTCGACCTTGTTCTTCTTCAGGAGGAACTCGATTCCCTTGGTCAGTCCGTCGACGGAGGACTCCTTGGCCTTCATCATCTGCTCGAGGTTAAGCTTGACATCGCCAACTTCGATACCGCGCTTTTTTGTGTCGTGGAGGACGGTGTGGTATAGATGGGAGTTGTTGAGGAGAGATTTCGATGGGATACAGCCGACGTTGAGGCAGGTTCCGCCCAATGTGCCACGCTTCTCGATACAGACAGTCTGGCCCCAGGTGTTAGCGCCCAGCCATTGTAACGAATGCGCCCGTCGACAAGGAGCGAGATAGGGCATACCTTCAATCCTTCCTGGCCGGCTTTGATGGCGGCAACGTAGCCAGCCACCCCGCCGCCTATTATGACCAAATCATGCTCCTCTACCCGGTGACAATAACAACCCACGGATTAGCCTAGGCACTCGACACAGATTTCACGCCCGGAGCTGGCGGCTGACGGGATATTTACCAGACTCTGTAGCGTATCCTCTCCTCGATCTGGGGAGACAGTAGGCCCCGAAGGCCGGGAAAGCAGTTGTGGCGGTTCGTTGGGACGGAGCCCAGGCCGTCTGGCAGGCACGGCGAGGCAGGACCGTACGGAACATGATGGGAGAACAGGAGGTCTGGCGGAGAATAGAACGAAAGGAAAAGCAGCAGTCAATTGGAAGCTCGCTGGCCCTTGGGGAGATGAGAAAAGCACGATGTCAGCAGCAATTGGCAGCAGGACGAAGGATGAAGTTGAAGTTCTTTTTCCGTTGAAACCATCTGGCTTCCCGAACGGGCAAAGTCTCGGCCCCGGCGCGCGCTCTCCGGCGGCCTCTTTCGGCCAGCTTAGTAAGCCTACTCTTTGGAATGTTATAGATTTAGAATATAGATATAGAATAGTATAGATATAGAATAGTATAGATTTAGAATAGTATAGATTTATAATAGTATATAGATGAATTCCTCTTGTGTAGATATCTCGCTATTATGTATCCTCCACTGGGGACCTGGCTGCGTCTCTGGCGATGCGGCAAGTGAAGACGCAGACCAAGTTACTAACTTCCAGTTAGCAGGGAGTCTACAGTGCATACGGAGTAGATTAAACATACCATGTAGAAGACATTCTTCAGCCTTATCCAGTAACTATTGATGGCGTCACAACCAGCGATTCGAAGATAGTCGGGCATCTAGCTCTCGTTCGCAGATAGCTTATACAGATGGTCACTCCGCGATGCCAACCCACAACAGCATAGTCTGGAGCCAGACGCAGGTAAACAGGCAAAGAGAAGAAGAAGGGAGTTGATTGAGAAGCGCTATCGGAAAGGTAGTGTCGTCATCGTTGAACGGTAGGCAAAGACTCCAGAGATGTTGAGCGTGAATATGAACTAGCCTCGGCCGTCTCTGTCGCCAAACTAGAATAATGGCAATGGTATTCCCGTCCCTAGTCAGTTTATCAAGTAGGCTATACACTTTGTTAGCAAGTCCACCTCCCAGGATCACCAACGATCATCCACCGGTGAATTTCAAAGTTTTTGTGTCATCTTGAATGATACCACCGCAATTAACATGAACCACAAATAACAAATGAACCACAGTTGACATGAACCACAAATGCCTTGAACCACGATTATCGGATGTTTAAGAAGTGGAAGCGAGACAGGTATTTGAGGTTCATGTCAAGTCTTGTCATCATTCCCATGATGATCAGCCAAAGCCGCATAGTGATCTCACCATGCACCTGATGTATGAAATGACAACCATCTCAAGCCATGAGCACCCGAACAACGGTCTCATCCATATAAAAGTCCCCCGATGGTGTGTCTGAAGTGTGCATCCTCCTCATATCAAAAAGTGGGCAACAAGCAATATGCCGATTAAGCCTTAGTCAGTGGCTGGCACGTGACCACGCGTCGTGATTGGCCACAACTGTGACAAAAAGACGCGACGACGCGAAGAGAAGGGGATGGGAAGATATAAAGGATAAAGGACCAGTGTCTCGCTCGTCTGGAGACTTCTCTCAGGATACCCGGTACTTGACCCCAGGAACATCATTGTGTTGTACTTGCAGAGACCACAGCAATGGCCAGAACTGCAACGGTGACCAAAGTCTCTGCTCGGGCAAAGCGGAAGCCTGCTTCGTCGTCAATACCAACAGCCGGCAAGAAACAAGCCACCCTCTCGTCGGCTGCAAAGATATCCAAGCAGCCGCCTGCGTCCTCACTCACCTCTGCCCTGACATCCGAGGACCCCGAGTTTCTGCGTCAACAGCTGGACCGCATCTCATCCCACCCGTCACTCACCCCTTACAGGCGACGTGTATACCGGACCCTGCTCTCCGTGCCCAAGGGCCAGTGGACGACCTACGCCGTCCTGTCGGCCCATCTCTCCTCGTCTGCCCGGGCGGTGGGTAACGCCATGAAGACCAATCCGTTTGCTCCAGAGGTGCCCTGTCATCGTGTGCTGGCGTCTGACCGTACGATCGGCGGGTACAAGGGCAGCTGGGGTAACGGGGGATCCTATGCGGTAGAGAAGACGAAGCTGCTATGCGGCGAAGGGGTGAGCTTAGATGGAAAGGGCCGGGCAGGCGGTGAGATCTTCAGCCAGTTCCTGGATATGGGCGAAGTCCTGGCTGATAAGCCAGTGTTATGATGTATGTTTTTTTTTGTTTCTGTTCCTTCCTTGGATCCAGTCATGTGTTTTCGAATTTACCTAACTCCGTGAAGATGCTAATAACGCTCAGTGGGTATAAACAAAAAAAAAAAAACAATAAAGAGGCAAGACGGGGTCAGCCCTTATCCGCCCAGCTGCCGATGCCCTGGAGGTCGTAAGCCATGTTGCCGGTGGGAGGAGCGCTGGCCCTGGATGCCTTTTGGCCCTTTTGCTTGTGGTTGTCGTTGGCGGGAAGGCTGCCGGCCTGTGCCTGCATGGAAAGGGAGGTCCTGGCGTCCTGTTTGATGTTTGAGGACGAGCCTGGTGTGAAGGAGCCTACAGTCAAGGAGAGTAAGTCGCGTGTCTATGTGTGGTGACGAAGGGAAGGGAAGGGAAAGAGAAGAACGCAGGGCATGCTGGGTGTCATACCATTTTGTCGGATGAGGTCCATGTACGAGGGCTTTACAGACGACATGGCTAGAAGTTGTGTCTGGGTGTTGTAATGGTACAAGATGGTACAGATGGATGGTACAGATGGTACAGTTGGTACAGATGATGTACAAGTGGTTCCTTGAGGCAGCTATGACCAGAAGGTGCAAGGAGTCAACGAGTCGAGTCGACGAGGTTAACGAGAAGTGGTCAACGAGAAGTGGTCAACGAGAAGTGGTCAACGAGAAGTGGTCAACGAGAAGTGGTCAACGAGAAGTGGTCAACGAGAAGTGGTCAACGAGAAGTGGTCAACGAGAGGCAGACAATGAGAGGTGGCCAACGAAAGGCGGACAACGAGAGGCGGACAACGAGGAAGTGTCAACGAGAAGGGTCAAGGTGACCAAGGTATTGTCTTTAACAGACTCGAGTTATCAAGGTCAAGGAGACGCTCACGGCGGAAGAGAGGACTACTGATGAGGAGGGTCATGGCGAGCCGGAGGACTATATATACAACTTTTCATCAACTTAACAGTAAACTAGAACTGAATGGAGAGGTCAGGCGGCCTATTCCAGCCTAGCATTTGATTTGAGCGACTTTAAACTTTAAGCCCTTGCTCGGGCGTCCGTGGACATTCTGTATAGATACTCTGTAGAAGGGCATCTCTCTAGCATCAGCTGTAATTGCCGTATAAACTGCCGCATTTCTACCTTTACGGAGTTCATTCTCCAGCTCTGATATTACGCATTCGTACTGCTTGCTGGTATACACCCTGTAAACGGTGATAGATGAGAGTCACATCACCGTTCATCACCGTACATGATCCGTTTGATTGGCATTTCAGCCACCCAGACCCTGTTATGTAACTTGGCCATGCTCGAATATTGATTAGCAAATAAAAGGTGCAGTTGCAGCCACTATTACTTTATTCATCTTATATGCATATGCATGTAGACGATGCATGCCAGCGTGTGACGGCTTGGGCTCGCCAAATGCTTCCTATCGGCATATTTTTCATATTCCCTAGCCTAGCTCGGAGAGAGTAACCCGTCACTCTTATTCTCCTGTATTTGGGGTTGTTTTATATGTGTAATCCTACAATTACCTTGTTCCTTTGTCCTTTCATTACCAAATAGGACTCCTACCTCGCTGTATCTACTCCCTATCTCTGTCTCTATCTCTCTGCCTCTCTATAACTACTTACCTGCGTCCTAGTCTATCTATCTTATGCTATAACGGAAAGGGGAAGGTAAAGTAATGTTTTAGTACAGAGTTTATCTTTGCATGAACACAGCAAAATTCGGTACTCCGTATAACCCAAGTCATCAACGTACACTGCATATACGAAACGGCCACGATGCTCCCCAGGTCCACCGTTAGCCTCCAAGCCGATCGCCGTCAGGGCCGCGTCACTACAGAGTATAGAACGGCAACGACATTAAACCGGAACCTGGAAAGACGCAAAAGGCGTCAAGACGAGTGATAGTATACAGGTTGATAAGCCACTCGAGGTATACACATATGTACATACAATCCCCTGCTGCGATCAGCTTCCGCAATTTGCGCCGAGCTCAAGATACCGACGGCTCGAGGGTATCAACCAAAACGACCGTCTTCCGCCCAAAGGGGCATCCAGATACCTCGCCACTAGGTGAAAAATGCTACATCGGGACTCTACGGAACCACCCAGGTACGGAGCTGTACTCTGTATGGCTGCTCTCTAACTCGGGGGTCAATAATGGTGTGCCTTTCGACAGCCAGCCCAGCTGCCCTGGGCCCGAGCCGAGCATATCGAATTCGTGCCCAACCACACAACGACAAGCTCCCCGTCTCGCCCGCTGAGATAGACTGAGATCGGGATGGCCGAGAAGGGCCACCACATGAAATCGATCTAGATCTACGAAGTATAGGTGTGATCAGCTTCCCCTGCGAGTCAGGGGTATGGATACGAAGCTAGGCGGGAGCGAGCCGTCGATACTATGAAGATATCAAAAATGCTGGAGGGGAAATGGAGAAGATGAGGCGCGAAGCGAGACCACGTCGAACCGTTGGACCTCTCTGCTCTGTTGAATTCGCTCTATGGAGCTGGGATGAACTTTGGCAGACCTCGACAACGTCCTGGAGTCGTATGATGGCTGCCTAACTCCGCAGGCAAAGAAATCATCTGCCCTTATACTCCGTACGCCTGGCCCCCTCGCCCACCAGAGGAAAAAGGAACGATTACGTATCGACATATTTTCAAGCATGAGGAGTGTGTCACCTTTTTCCTCAACGTCTCCAGATGAGTGAGCGTCCCTCCTCACTGTACAGTTTATCTTTCTAGGTATGAGGCTACGACGGTATCCTTCTAGCTATGAGGCTACGTCGCATTTCATCTTGCGGCCTAAATTCCTCTCGGACTTTCACCCTGCCCTGTTTGCGCCTATTGAAAAAACAATCGGCAACCTGTTTATCCACAAGCACCAGAACCACCTCGGCTCCAGAGCTAGAATCCTTCTTTCGCAATACTTCAAGGCGATGGATGTTAGTTGGTCGTCCATTTTTCTGTGTCTCAGACCCCTCTGCTTACGATACCTAGCTGTAATGAAGATATCCGGCTGCAAGAGCAATATGTGAAATTCAACATTACAGAGTTGCAGCGTGTGGCAGCGGAAGCCGCAGGCCGACCACGATGTTCTCAAATCATCAAATTAGCTGAAGGAGGGTTTAATAAAATATTTCTTCTCACCATGGATGATGAGACTGAGGTGATCGCACGCATTCCAACCCCAATCGCCGGCCCTCGTCACTACACAACAGCTAGCGAAGCCGCAACGATGCAATGCCTTCGCGACTCCCTACACATACCGGTGCCTCGGATCCTTGCGTATGCGTCCACGACCGACAACCCCGTGGGTGCCGAATACATCATAATGGAACGGCTCCACGGCGAAAGTCTCGGGTCGAGATGGCTTTCCTTCTCGACTGCTCAGACGGCCGACCTGATGACCCAAATAGCGAAAATCGAAGGGAAGATATTCAAATTCAAATTCCCGGCGTATGGCAGTTTGTACCATAGACGCGACATACCTGCGGAATCAAGAGTGGATTTTCCATCAGAGGGGGGTGACTTCTGCGTTGGCCCTATTTGCAAACGTCAGTTCTGGCACGGCGAGAGGGCGGACATGCAGCTCGATCGCGGACCTTGTATGTTACCCCCCTAACCTTAACATGTGAGGACATTCATGGTAATCTAACGGGATACAAGGGACCACGCCTACAGATTGCGTTGCCGCTCCTGCACGTTGAGAGCTTGCCTGGACGTCGACGCACGGAAAATCCAGACCTCGGCGGGCCTTCCTCCTCCCCACCGACGAAGATATTGACCCGCAGGAACATATATCACTCCTATCCCAATACCTACAAATGTCACCATCTTTAGTTCCGTCCAGATCAGAGCTGTCCACTCCCATACTAAGACACCCCGACCTGAGCTACACGAACCTCCTCCTTACCCCCGGAACGAACAAGATAGAAGCCATAATCGATTGGCAGGATGCTGCTATTCTTCCTCTTTTCATGCAGGCGGGGTATCCAGCATTCTGTGAACATGATCTCTCGCAAGTACAATCTTTGGAGCCACCAAAGCGTCTCGATAATTACGATGCAATGAGTGAAGTGGATAAATTGAAAGTCGACATGAGATTCCGTTTGGAAGAGGCCAACCTATACTACTATGCCGCAACTGGCGTTGAAAACGCTCTACATATGCAGGCCCTCCGCCAGCCGGGTCTTGGAATGATACAGTACCTCATTTCTCAGGCAGGATATCCCTGGGACGCGGATCTGATAAACCTCAAGGCCGGCCTGGTTGGACTTGCAAAGATCTGGAGTGAAATAATCCCTCATCCTTGCCCAGTTTCCTTCCCCCCTGCCGACAAGAAAGCTATACTCCATGACGCTTCAGAGTGGAGGGAATGTGCGGAGATTCTCTCAAACATACAGAACTCACTTGGAGTCGACCGGGAGGGCGGCACGCACCCGGATGACTTTGAGCATGCGTGTGAAATGGCTCGTCAATTGCGTGTGCAGATATATTCGAATGCAGAGGAGAAGGAACGGAAGCTCTTTTGGAAATCGTGGATCTTCAAGGATGACGGTGATGCTACTCCTCCTCCTGTTCTTTGATTAGCTCGTCGTCTACTTTGTCCATGCGTCAAGGGGCGAAGGAGAATTAACGGGTCAGGGCTCTTCCCGGAAGTCAAAGTCTAAAGCTTAAAGGCTACACTCAAACCTTGTCCTGATCCACATTAACATAGTATGTCGCCTCATGTATAACAGTATAACAGTATATTAAAGGATAGACACGACACTGAACGTATATCAAACAATAGATACGACACTCGATGTACAGTGAAGTGACAGGAAGATGCACTGGGTGTAATGTGATACTGAGTTGATTCTGTGTACCGATAGTAGTTATCTACCACCTGCCTTATTCAGACGGTGGCTAAGCTAGAAACACCTAGGTCTATCTCACAGTAAAATAACAAGCAAACAAGATAGAGAAATGACAAGTCAAGGCATAAAAGCTCGTATGCTACATGTTCCGTTGAATAAACTCATGAGCCTGTACTTCATGATAGCTGTTGTTTTTGTGTTGTGTTTTGTTGTGTGGGGGTTTGCACCGCCCATCCCATCGCCTGCCCGCCATAGCCTGCCCGTCCTGCCCGCCCGTCCGTCCCACCGCCTAACCATCCGTTTGAACACCATGTTATACACAAGCCAGCCCGAAGAATGCTAACCGAGAGTAGTAAGAAAAAACCAAGAAAGCGCGACAAAGTGCAAGAGGAAAAGACATTTTCGAGAGACACGCCACCACCTGGAGTTGGACGAGATGGGATGACAGCTTTGAGCCTGCGATGATGGCGGGCTCGGCATTTAATTTCTCGAACAAGATAAGAAAGAAATAACCATGCAATGATTTACAGCCAAGTTATACAAGTATGAATGAAGGATAAACTGAAAGTGACGGAAGAAGAATGAACAGAAGGTGCTCGTAAACAAGATTGATAGAAAATGCATCGCAGAACCATGTACAGGGTAAGAAAAAAAAAAGAGAAAGCAGATAACTATAAAGAAAATAATGGACAATTATCTTCATAATTAGCGCTTCGAGGATAATGGAAAGAAAACGTGCCCGTACAACACCACTGTTCCGAGTAGATGTAGTGACACAAGAAAGAAAAAGAAACGAAACGAGAGAATAGAGTACAATGTTCGAGAGCGACGGGAAGTCCCACTCGAACATTCGACGGCAACAGCGAATAAAAAAAAAACGGTTCATCAACAGATGAGTACCAGCTCAAAAGAGAAGCCGAAGTTGTGGAAACGCTTCTTAAAATAGCAAGTTGAAGGCATGCTGAATTATCGAAAGGAACGAGATGAAAAGATAATTCTCTGCATCAATGAAAAGGGAACGCATTTGTTGGTTGGCAGGATGTTGAACATTTAACACCTAGCCTCGGAGCGCTTTGATTTGCTAGAGGTGCGCTTGGCTAGGTTATCTCCATGATACTGACGCAGGTGCTCGGTCAGATGGTCTTCACGAGTGAAGCCATAGTAGCCCTTGCGGTTGCAGCGTGATTTTGGACAATCCATCTTTGTTGGGAAGTGGATTGATTTTTGGTGTCGGCTTAAATCAGCTACGCGGCTGAAGGAGCCTTCACAGTTTTCGTAGAGGCAGATGAACCTTTGACTGGACCTGTATGGGTAGCGTCGAGTTAGGATTGAGCTTAGCAGTGAAATTCAGGGGGTTGGAATGTACCTTTCTGTATTGGATGATCTGGGGCTGGGTGAAACGCGAGCCATGTACTGGCTATCGAAGAGATAGTCTTGGTTGAGTGAGGTAGGAAAGCCGTCGGCCTGCTCTTGTGTTGACTGACGAGAATCATGCTCGTTGATGTCGTATTCATAAGGGCTTCTCGGTGAGTGACATGAAGTCATGGTGTTCAGACGTGTCGATGTCGAGCTGTATACTGTGGAGTTGGATCGGTCGCTGTCTGTAGAGTTCGAGAAGGTCATAGGGGGAGCCAGGGGGGAGAGATACCCCATTTGCGAGCGTGGTGAAGCAGTGTAGGTGTTATCAGAAGGGCTCAACTCCCTCCAGGTCTCCTCGTCACGGACAGGAGACTGGTAGATAGCCTGCTCTTGGGAGTAATGGCGGGACATTGTGAATAGTAGATGTTCAGAAGAGGCAACAAGGTGTGATGATGCTCTGGTGAGGGACGTCAAGAATGATGCTTGAGCGAGTAAAGGGGGGTTTTCAAGAATAGTTCAATATTTTTGAAGTGGTATGGGAGATTAGATGGAGGAGCAGGCGGGTCACAGGTGATAATTATATACCCTCTAGTACCAGTGAGAAAAGGAGGCGAATGCGAACTTCCCCTAGCACAAAAAGGTAGCCTTTGCAGCTACACGTGACGGGGGGAGGAGGGAGGAAGGTCCAAGTAAGCAGATGCAGAACAGATAATTGATGCCCATCAAACGTTTCACAGCCTCGGCGTACTAACGAGCTGACTCGAGGGGTAGGCGACGAGGGGGGATATTCGGTTGAAACAGAAGGGCAGAGAAGTGAAGCTAGCGGTTATGCTGCCCCCATGCACTTAGAAAACACCCAGCAGATTGGTCGGGCAGATAACTCGTTGGCCCAGGTGGCACGATTACACGAGCGGATGGAAGTGTTCTTCTGAAAAAGAGCACACTTTGCACGTGGAGGAGGAGGTGATGGGAACACAGCCTCTCTGTAAGAGTATGAGAGAGGGAATGACGTCGGGGAGGGAGGAGGGGAAAGGCCGAGAGTGAAGCAAGCAAGGTATTGACCGTAAGCGAATACCGACTTGATACTGATCAATAAGCAGCAGTATGCGCAATGAGCATGCAATATGGAAGTATGAAGTAATAAGAGCGGTCTCTTAAACAAAGGAATGGGATTGGCGATACAAGGACAGCGATAAGATCCGGCAATCGGCGCCGGGCTGCCAGATATCTGAGCAGAAAATAGAATAGCCGGAGGGGGGTGGGTGACTGATGTGATCGATGGGGGTCCCACAGCGGGCAAGGCGGAGAGATACCAATGTTTTACAAACGAGCATGCAGTGATAAGGACAAGATCGCAGCGAAGATCAGGTTCGAATGTCAGCGTGAAGCTAACTTAGACGAGAGGCCACAGGAGGGCGGCCAGGCGGACGGGATGGGGGTTGGTTGATGGATGGGTGCGAGCACTGGCTGCTCAGCCCTCCCATCCATTTCGATTCCCAGCCCATCATCCATCGCCTCATCTTTTTGGCCATTAGTCCGATACGGATTCGCGTGCCGTTTGGGAGGCTGTTCTGGCGCCCTTCTCGCCATGAAGAGTGGCCATATAAGCAGCTGACGATGGGGCGGGCCGGCGATGGAGCCTGAGATGAGGGAATATTCCTATCATCATCATCGTCATCATCGTAATCTGATAGACCGGGTGACGGCGATGCGGTCGTGGTCTCGTAGTCTGAGGGCCTGTCAAAAGGCAAAAACCGCTAGCCAGTCACAGCACGGCGAGCGCTCGTCGGCCGGCCTAATAACGGGCTGCTGCTAATTGCGATATAGAGTTCCTCGGTGTGTAATGTGCAACCTGTCGAACTGTCGACCAGGGATTCAGTAATCAGAGTGAGATGCAGGCGTCGGGCAGATGCTGTGTATCATCCACGACCACGACCACGACCGTCGCCCTCACAGGTACGTGGCATGCATGCGTTTCAAACCTGACCGCCGCGGCCGTCACCGTCATCGCCGTCGTGTTCGTCTGTCTCTCTCGACCAAGCCATTGTAGCGTGTCTTCTCCTTGTCGTGTCTTGTCCTTGTCTTGTCTATCTTGAGGTTCGTCGTGGAAACACGGAGGTTGCCGTCTTGCTTAGCTAAGCCATCCCTCGTACCCCTTTTCCATCTTTCTCCGTATCGTTTCTTGTTCTCCTTCTCCGTATCATTTCTTGCTTCTCCGTCTGCTTCTCCGTATCCCTTCCGTCTTGCCATTGCTCTAGTATCTGCTCACGGCTGTGCAAACTGCCAGATCGTTAATGCCGCAGCCTGACGTGGCAGGGTAGGGCGAGGCGGACTTCGGCCTTGGACCACTCGAGATCAACAGATAGAACGAGAAAAGAGAAAATAACCAAGGATACAGAGCTGTTCCTTCGTGCTTCTTACTGACGCCCGCCATTACAACATCACTGAAGGCAACGCTGGCTTCACATGCTAGTCTCAGGTATCCAACACAGCACATAGACAGGAAACAACGTCAGGCCTCTACGAGAGACACGAACAGTAGCGTTCAAAAGCAAAATGGGCGTCGAGGCATCCATCTCATCCCAGCGAGGGATCAGTGGAAGGCCCGCTGCCAAATAGATTCAATTCGTTTTATTACGCGGCATCGAAGCCTAACATGCAACTGTCCAATAGAGCTGACCATACGCAGAAATGAGATTAGGGGAAAACCCTGGATGAGAAACATCAGGAAGAGAGACTGCCGGCATCATCGATCTTATAAGTTAGAAAACCTTCGACCTTGTCTACACCCTCTCTCAGCTCTATTTTCGTCGTGGAACAGTCGGGTACTTCTTCTTCGTCCTTTTTACTCCCATTTTCGTCCTCTTCTGCCCTGTTTTCTTGATGCCCAACACAGTTTTTTGACTGTACCTATCATCTACGCACAATATCGTGGAGAGACTTGGACCAATCGCCAGAGCAAGGGGAAGCGCAGTAAGGCAAGCCCATCCAACCAATGCGAAAACACACGCCTTTCCTCCGAGATGTGATCATGAGACGATGACCAAGGAAAAGTATATCATTCGGCTTTTTTTAATTTTTATTTTGGCAAGGTCAATTCGGTAGCATGTAGAAAAGAAAGGTCGTATTTATATACTTAGCCCGGCACTGCCTCTGGCCTTGGTATTCCTCGAAACCCTGTTATTTATAGAGGCCAAGGGCAGTGTATTCGTTCCTGGAGACTAGAAAAGACTCGAAGGTCGCCATCGACGTTAGCATCGTGATACACCCATGTTAATAGCCTCAGCTTGGCCGATGGCCCATCCCTTTACCCCGGCATCTGCATAGCCCCGATGGCCACGCCTACGCTAGAACCCCCACGGAGAAGGATTCGAGAAGAAGCGGAGACCAAACAACTAGAGAACTAGAGAATCAGGGGGGCCATGTAGGTGATATTGCCTTAAAGTAAGTTGCGTCCTTTGTTCCTGTCATGAAGAAAGAAAAAGAAGACAGCCCGTTTGCGCCAAAAATTATGGGAGATTTAGCATCGAGGTAAACAAATTAAGAAACAGACACCGCAGTAATGAGAAAGTAAAAAAAAGGATGAAATAAAAAACTCCCTCCCAGCCCGGTTCCAGTCCCAGGTAAAGAATTGCCTATCATTTCACTTCACTCATTCCCCTTTCCCTTTCATCCAATGAATAGAAACAAGAAGCTAAAAAGAGAGAAAAGCGAAAAGGTGGGAAGAGGAGTCAAGCGCAGAGAAGAAAAACGAACAGAGAAGACGGGGTAGAAGGAGACGTGCGAGTGGTAGGGGGTGGTAGTGGTGGTGGTGTACTTTGACAGGGACGGGGGTGGTTATGATTTTAATTAATCAATTGTATTCAGTTGATGGGTCGCTTTGTTTTACAGATCATCTTCAAGATACTTGTAGACAAATTTGAAATCTCCTTTTCGTCGATTCATCCTATTGACAATTTCACGGTATTAGCCAGTGTGTTGGTGGTGACGTGGTGCCGGCACCGGTGCCGGTATCAGTACGCACGGAAGAAGATGAATAATTAACTTACCAGGTGCTCTCATAGTCGAAAAACCGATACGTGCCCTGCTCATATTCCTCAGTAATATTCTTTGGCTCCTCGTGCCGCTGGAACCAGGTCTGATACAGCTTGTGGAAGCGCCAGCTTTGGTTCTTCAGCGCCTTGGCGGCCAGATACTGTTGATACGTGGACTGACGGTAGTAGAAGAGATAAAACAGCGTGTCTGTATCTATTCTCCCTGTTTCGTATAGCCGTGGGTCATCGAAGATGGGTAATGTTTCCTGGGGATAGTAAATCGGCGTTGTGTAGGGTGTTTGACGTTTGTAATGGCGAGGTTTCTCCGCATCTCCGGGTTCTGGACATGTGCTATGTGAGGCTACCAGTAGTCGTTGTACAGAAGTTGACTGGGGGGCCGTCGATCGTGACTTCGTCACTTCGAAGGAGTGGATTAAATCTTGTAAACCGGGAGGTAGATGATACACTGATTCGTCTGCAGCTGGCTCTTCCCCGCTCTTCCCCTTTGTCTGGCCATTGGTAGTTGTGCGGTCTTTATTCGATGCCGTTGCTGCCGTTGCCGTCGTTGTTGATGCCGTAGAGGCTTCTATTTTTGACATTGCGGGCGTGGGAGGCATAGTTCCAGGTCGACTGGCTGCCGTTACGCTCGGACTTAGGGTAGGGGACTTCGATTGGCTGCCTGACTCATCTACGCTGCCCGCGGAGGACACCAGCCTTTGGACTTGAACTGGCTGCGCGGGTTGTACTAAAGGCGATGCCGTTGACGACGCTTTGGAGGCGAGTTGTGTTGTTGATACAGCCGGGCTTGCACCTGGCGGTGGAGGGAGTGGCGCAATTCCAACACCTGCTTTATCACTCGCAGCAGCCGCGGCAGCAGCAGAGGCATATTTGAGCGTTTCTCCAGGTAACCGTGCGGGAGGAGGTGCGGGTTTCATTGCGCTTGCGGACGACGATGAAGGACCGTTGAGGTGCAGGGTGGCGAGGACCGGTAAGGGAGATTTCATCTGTGTTGACGGCCGCCTTGCAGGACCTGATTCCGATTTACTCTTGGGTGGCCGAGAATCCATGTCGTCGTCTTGTATCGATTGGGTGTCCTGTGATGATCCTCGATCGTTGTCGTTGTTCATGCCGAATTGAGCCTCTTCGTCTCCCAGTGGTAGGTCGTCGTAGATAGTCTCGTCCTCGCCGCAAAAATCGGCATTGTGTCCATCCTCAGCGTAGTATTTTATCGCCTCTTGGGCATCGAGTACTTGGTGCGTTTCGACATTGCCATTCTGTAAAGACCGTAGTAGTAGTTCCAGTTTCCCAACGTGCCACTTATGCCGTTCCGATAACCTTTCTATGTCTGCTAACCGGTTCGACTTGACGATATCCTTTTTTCCTTTCTTCATTGATGCCTGCAGGGCCTCTTCCTCGGCTTCCATGGCCTCTATCTTCTGCTGCAAAACATCGACCGTCGAGGAGAGGAAATCACAGGTGTCCGCTTTCTCCTTCTCCTTCGGGTCCAAGCGCGCTGCAGCCGAAAGCCCCTCTTTCGAGTATGCCTTGGTCTTCATCTCCTTCTCTACAGCCTTGAATTGTTCCATGCACTGGGTCTGATGTCAGTATCGCCTCCCTAATGTGACAAACTGGGGGGGAAAGGATATGGTATATCGCGCACTGTTTCTATGGCTCTCCGTTGTTCCAGCAGCGGGCTCTTGTCCTTGACTTCATTACCAGCTGCCCACGTCTTGATCTGATCTCGAAACCGTTGGAGCTTCTTGATTTCTCGTTTAAGGTTGTCCTCTAGTTTGTCCCGTTGGGCGGCATTGCTAGACGTTCGTATCTTGTCATATATGCCTTCAAAGGACTGTATGCCTTCGCCAACCTTCTTGAAGGTCTTGTCAATTTCCTGCTGCGTTTTTCGGGAAGTCATGATGTCTTCATAACCTGGCTCTCGGGAGCACTCGGTTCGAAGCTCAGCTGTGAATAGCGAATGGGCGCAGTTGCGTTAACGGCGAGAGGGCGAGCTGCGGCGAAGAGCAGGCGCGAGATTGGTTGGTACGGCGGAGCGCTAGGGCAATGCTGTCGGTCCGGGGTAAATAACAGCCGTCAAGACGTGTGCGAGCCGAAGTGATGAGGGTGTGAGTTGTGAAGCTCTCGTTGCTTCCATGCTTCATTTCATCGTCCAGGTCAAGTTGCCAAGGAATTTTATGCCAAGCACCCGAAGCCATCGGAAGAACAACGGGCCGGATCATGTGATGACACCTCAATTCGGATATTTCCAACCTCCTCTCTCTTCTTTCTCTCTTCCTCCTCTTCTTCTTCTTCTTCCTCTTCCTTGTCAACTATCACTTGCCACTGGCGAGTATTACAGGGTACAGCAATAATTGCTCCGTGCCGTTATGGGCAGTGCGTGAGCTATACTAGGAACTCGGCAGTTTGACGGGGATACCCTTGAGAACGTCTTCGTCTTATGATAGGAGGGGGGTTCGATGCAAGGCAGTTAGCCGCCGGCCTGAAACTCCCAGTCCACTCGGCGATATAAAACAAGTCCTGTCGGCAATTACCTTCTAAATACAACTACGCCTCAGCTGCAGACAGATTTCACACCATCTACCGAGGCACATCAGTCCATATTTAGCACTTCAGGGTTGACGTATCATCCGGTCGTGCATGTCCGATTTACAACAGAGGACATCCCCGAAAGTCGTGTTACGACGAAGTTTGCAATTCGTCTGTTGAAGCACATTCCTATGCGTTGTTGCTGTTCCATGATCCTCCAGGATGTATACATTTAGGCTATGATACTTCATAGTTGCTCAGTTAATGACCTTTTGGGGGGAGAGTGGGGGTCGTCTTAATACTTCAGATATGCACATAGAACGGACTGCCCCCGTACTCCGTAGCTGTAAGAGCCTCGTCCGTGAGACTTAGTATGTAACTGTACATCGAGGATGGGGAGAGACAGAAGTAGCTTAGCTGACTAAACACAGTTGGATTTAATATCTGCTGGTCCAGACGGAGCTGTCCATTAATCGTTGCTCATGCATCCGAAGTCGCAAGTACACCATACCGAACACTCCGTGCATGAATAAACCAAACGTGTGCCTACCTGTGGGATCTCCGCTCGTGGAATAAAATGAAAGGTGTGACATCCGACAAGTCCTCCCTCCCCTAGAGTTCAGCCCTGGGGACACAGCTGTGTACACCGACTAACCACCCCTGGAAAACATGATCTAGCAATCTTACAAAGGGTCTCATCTGCCTCGGTTACAGTCGACAAGCAACTGATTTCATCCATTGGCCGTGGGGTGCTGGTGTTTGCCGCCGTCGGGCCAGATGATACCCAGAAAGATGCAGACACCCTTGCGGCCAAGCTGTTGAAGCTGAAAATGTGGCCCGATGATACTGGTGCAAATGTACATACCCTTCATCTTGTACCATCCTGCAGCCACATATGGCAGTGCTAACTTGTATACCCCACAGTGGAAGCAGAGTGTGCAAGACATCCAAGGGGAGGTCCTGTGCGGTATGCGGAGTGCATTAACTCTGATCTCGCTCACTTGACATCGGCTGACCATGTACATACGATGTATATTCCCACAGTGTCACAGTTCACACTGCTTGCTAGGCTGAAAAAGGGCAATAAGCCGGACTTACACGGTGCTGCGGACCCAAAGACCGCGCGGGAACTGTATCAGTACTTCTACTCCAAGGTGCAGGACTTGTATGCTAAGGATCGGGTCAAGGATGGGGTCTTCCAAGCTATGATGGAAGTAGGGTTGGTCAACGATGGGCCGGTATGTATCTCTCTGTCTTCGGATACGCGCTCCCTAGCTATATCGGTGGTGCTAAGCTGGAACTCAGGTCACTCTGGAGATCGACACGAAGCCAGCGAAGAAGGAGGAGAGTGGAAGTACCAGTGCCAACAACTAGACAAGGGCATTCCAACGGCGTCAGTCTTATCCGTTTCCAGATAGTAGATACACTTCCTTACCCGGCGATTAGCTGTTAGCATAGACATACTTGTATATCATCAACCATGTTACTGCTTATGTTTACTGATTTATGCTTCCTGCTGTCCAAAAGAGGACTTAGGGCTTAGGGCTCTGGGGCGGGGCATGTTTGCACTGTTTGTCTCTGAATGCGGGACAAGCAAACGGCGCATGGAAGGTTCCTGAACCTCTCCTTCAACGTCAACAGGACGCTTCTTCTTCTTCTTCTTCTCCTTCTCTCACCCAGACCGATCTTCCTGTCCGTATAAGACTGTTTGCTATCTCCATCTCACGTCACCCGCGTACAAACCGCAATTGCACTATCCTAAGCATCCGTCATGGCTGAAACTTCAGGTACGGAGAGAGCATAAGATTAGTGTTTTGAGCCTATTCTTAACAGATATCACCCTATAGGTAGCCGCCCGCGCGTGTTCTTCGACTTTGAAATCGGTGGAAGGCTAGAAGGCAGAGTTGTCTTTGAGCTGGTAAGCTTCATGGAGCGTCAAGTCAAGCTTCGTCTTCCGTGTTAGGCTAACTGAGCAATTTGATAGTTCAACGATGGTTAGCTTCCTGCTCATTTGGTTTTGAGTACATTAATGTGACTGATGTAGAGTAGTCGTCCCCAAGACCGCAGAGAACTTCCGCGCCCTCTGCACCGGCGAGAAGGGAGTTGGCAAGTCTGGAAAGCCACTCAGCTACAAGGGTGCGTATCTCACAGGCATAGACTTTGCTATGAAGAAGTCAGTTTTGAAGACCAAAGTCTGACTCGACACTGCTATAGGCTCCATTTTCCACCGAATAATTAAGCAGTTCATGATCCAGGGTGGTGATTTTACCGAGTTCAACGGCACCGGCGGAGAGTCGATCTATGGCGAGAAGTTCGACGATGAGAACTTTGACCTAAAACACGACCGCCCATTCCTGCTCTCCATGGCCAACTCTGGACCTGGAACTAACGGGAGCCAGTTCTTCGTGACCACTGTTCCAACACCACATCTCGACGGAAAACACGTCGTCTTCGGAGAGGTGATCAATGGCAAAGGCATTATCCGCAAGGTGGAAACGCTACCCACCAGCCCAGGTGACAAGCCACACTCGGAGGTCAAAGTCGTAGACTGCGGCGAGATCAAGGGCGAAGAATACGATGCTGCTACACAGCGATCTGTCGACCCGACTGGTGACAAGTACGAAGACTACCCGGAAGACAACAACGAGGAACTTACGGGACCAGACTATTTCAGGATCGCGTCTGAACTGAAGGAATTCGGAAACAAGGCCTTCAAGGCTGGTGACGCGCAGCTAGGTCTAGAGAAATACCAAAAGGGTCTGCGCTATCTCAACGAATACCCAACCCCCGCCGAAAATGACCCACCAGAGCTCGAATCGCAGATGGTAGCTCTCCGGTTTGCCCTGCACTCCAATTCCGCCCTCCTAGCCAACAAACTGAAGCGCTTTACAGACGGTAAAACCTGGGCAGGATACGCTCTCGACCAGGCCAAAACAGCTGGCGCCAAGGACGCAGACAGAGCAAAAGCACACTATCGACGAGCCATCGCCCTTGCTGGATTGAAAGAGGAGGATGATGCACTCAAAGATCTGGAAGCAGCAGCTAAACTTGCGCCCAACGATGCCGGAATCACTGCCGAAATCACTCGCGTGAAGAAGAGTATCACTGAGCAGGAACGCAAGGCCAAAGCCGCTGCTAAGAAATTTTTCTCTTGACCTCCCCCAACTCTGCAGAGCACACAGTCTACGCAGTGCACAATACACGAATCCAGTTAACATGTAAGCCAATTAACGATTTTTACTTTTAGAAAAGAACAACGCGTGTAATTTAATTACGTTCTCACTTCTCACTTCTCATTCCCCACTGGCCAGTTTACGGAGAATATGGGAGCGGAACCGGAGCCGGAGCTGGAGGCGTTGATTTTACGACGGCTCTCTATTTTCGTACTTAGGAACGAGCATCAGCATTCCGTCTATTATTTTCTCAGGGTCTTTGCCGCTGTGTCCCAGTGGTGTTGAAGGCCATGTTCCAATCATAAATGACAGCAGTACCTCACTGAATCTTTGACTATTGGCATAGAACAATAACTAATTCTCCAGAAGTTGGAACTAAACCCCTGATCCTAGCCACTATTTCACAACGTATTCTCAATACTAACCCTTGCGAGAGCTAGTGAACGCACAGCTGCCCATGTCTCTCTTCTTCGGAATGGCCTCCGGCCTAATATCAAAGTCGAAAATGTCCAAGGGCACTCCCATAGTCGTACATGCGTTGGGGATATCCACCAATCCAGCAATATGTCCCTGAACCGGCGCACAGCTAAGTAAAAGATAGACCTGTTCATCTGAATACCCAAACCGACGCAGATACTCAATCACCCTCCTACATGTCTCCCGATACGCAACAGTGGCATCCAGATGGTGCTGTTTCCCGTTATGGTCAACACTGAATCCTTCAAAGGTCAGGTATCGGCCTGCTCCAAACTGAGGCTCCACGGGTCCTGGTAGGAAGATAGGCGACTTCATAGCCATTTGGGCCATGCCATTCTTTATCACGTTGAGCTTTACCGTGATTATTCCGGCCATTTCGATGGCGCCGCAGAAGGAGATCTCGCCATCTCCTTGGGAGAAGTGAAGGTCTCCCACGGAGAACTTGGCTCCCTTAACGTGCACAGGTAGGTATACCTTGCTACCACGGCTGAGGTTTTTGATATCACAGTTTCCACCATTCTCGGGCCGGCCCTATATCGTACGTTAGTGCCAGGATGCATATATGAGGATGTGCTGTTAAACAAGGAGATATCATACAGGAACCGTTCGAGCTCCCTCCATCTGTATCTTAGCCTTCAGCTCACTAGTTGCACCTCCAGCGTGGGCGTTGGTTGCATCTGGTGGTTTGGCGACTGTTACTCCTACATTCTTCGCGATCAACTCCCCTTCTCTCCTGTTCCATTCGGCCAGCACTTCAGTGGATGGCGCACATCCAAGAATCCCCGGATGGATTAGACCTGCAAATCGGACGCCAGGAATATGTCTCGACGAGCAAAAGATTCCTTCAAAGTCCCAAATCGCTTTTGCTCTATTCTATAATTTCAGCGATATCCATGTAAGGCCTTGAAAGGGGGACCTTCTTACGCCTCAGGGTAGAATTCAGACAAGAATCCTCCACCATTCTCTGCCGCAAAAATTCCGGTGAACCCCCATGGCTCGTCTTGGAATGGCTGGACGTCCTGTATCTCAACGACCAGCACGTCTCCAGGCTCTGCAGTTTCCACGTCGAATGGGCCACTCAAGTAGTGGACGTGAGTTAGGTCGACGTCACGAACATCATCAGCGCAATCGCTGTTCTTGATCTGGCCGCCGGTCCAGTCGAGGCATTCAATCTTTACTGTTTCGCCGTTCTTGATGCTGCCACAGGCGGGAACTATGCATGTATCAGTATCTATAGGTGGCTTACTGATAGGAGGATGTAGATGGAGGACGAACTGTCAGGGTGCCACCGGTTCTGCCATGGTTACTTCATATTAGCTTGACAGCCGGTTCGATGGAGAGACAAGTACCATCACCATGGCAATGGACGGTATACATACATGAATTCCCGGTTGCTCCGCCGCTGGCTTCTTGCGGTCGACTCGCATCGCCGTGCGAATCTCGTTTACACCCATGACGACGACAACTTTTCTCTGCGTAACTTATCGGTTGGTTGACCTACTTTTGTAAATCCTGCTATACAATCCTCATCCCCCGCATATAGATGTTTATATACAGCGATATCTACCCCGCAGGCGGATGCTACATCGCCATGGTTCAGTTCATCCTGGCCCTCGAGATCCGGTTGGCTGTGTGGCGTCGAGTTCAGACTTCCCGCTCGAACACTTCAATCTACATCCCGTCCCTTGGTATGTTTATTTCTTCTTAATCCTGTTTACGAGTGTGGGGTAAATATCTATACGCGGGGATTCAAGCGGACTGCAAACATGAGGAGTACTTCAAGTTTATACCTTAGGTGCGAATTCAGTACTACAAATCTCAGAGAAAGATGATTATTATCAACTATTGCATGCATTATGATCGAATTCAAGCCGGGCTAGAACTGTTGCGAGGCTGATCATACGAATATTCAACCGCTTCATCAAATTCACTCTCCTCCAACTCTCGCAAGAACCCCTGCTTGACCAACTCGCCGACGCTAATATATGTGAGAATCTGCGAGCCAAACCCAGGTTGACCGAACCAGCTGGCCACTGGGCCCAGGCTGCCCTTAAACTGCTGCATCACCTCGTATACATGATAGTTGTCTGGGTATTTTCCAGATGGCCCTGGGGCGAGGTTTGGCGGCGGCAATGATCTCTCGATGTACGGCGCTCCCAACGGCGCCAGGAACTTGCCAGTTGGATTCCCAAACCGGTCCAGTTTTCGGCCCACGGTCAGATTCGTTTCGGCCATTATCGGATTGCCATTGGTATCGATAGTAAACCCATTGGCGTCTGGATAATTGAACCACACCGTGGGATCTAGGTTGCCAGTCCATTTCAAAATGAACTCATCTGGACACAAGCCGCCGAACCTGGCATATGTCCGGAGCTCATTTGACACGGGGAATCGACGTGGTAGGACAACAGGCCCGAGTCGTACATCTCCGCATACGGAGTCAGCATGTGCAGGGTCGAATTTTATATTCTTGCAGGGGTCGGGATAGCATTTGCTTGGAAAGAGACGCATCTATGTGGCTTTGATGTTAGTGAGGTCTTATATCGAAACTGCTGCTGAAAGGAATAGGGGAATATTCCTAACCTCTTGTTGACCTGATGGCCCTTGGTTCGCTGGGAGGGCTACAGCAGAGCTCGGATCTAGCAGGGCGAGAGAGGCTGCATAATAAAGTACGCTTGAGAACTTCATATTGATTTCAAGGAAGAGGAAGAATCTTCACTAGATCGAGTCAATAGTAAGGGATGAGAGAAAGATGATGATGGGAAGATTCCACGGGGTATAAGGACATGCGTGCCAGGACGCCATTTATATAGATTTTCGATGGCATCCTGAACCATTGTTCAACCCTGCCATTCTCCGATAACCAGCTGAGAATACGAGAAGGTGAAGCTGAAATCTCTCTAGAGAAGCATGGTTTCTTTGCTTTTCTCATGGTCAGTAATCGGGATTACCCTGGCTCCTGTACTTAAACGAACCTGCAAGGTCGACTCACTTTTCAATTTTCAGTTAACTCAATCCTATGCATAAACTGACCCGCATCAATGCCGAAGCTGAGATGCGCTGTACTTTCGACATGTATTAGATGCCGATCTACGGTGCTAGTTATAGTTATAAGAGACTATCCTCATTGCATTTCTATCATCACATTAAATATTATTTTAGTAGATACTATCAATATGCCCATGTGGAATGAGAAAGCTGATCTTCAACTCTAGCTTCAACTTTAGTATTTTGCTCATTCGTTACATTATCTTAGGATTAAAACTATTTAAATATATCATTGGTATTAGCAAGAGAGCACTTGGAAGCCATATACCTCTCTATGATATCTGCCTGCCTATACTTGTAGAATGCTCCATAGTTTCTTTGAGCCACGCAGATATTGGGCATGCTGTGGGATCAACACCAAAACTCAATATATCAACGTGTTTCAGTCCTTGGAGGGAACAAAGTTTGTCAATACCAGGGTCCATCTTGAAATCGTCAAGAGACATGTTGCTTAATACCTCGCTGTCAAACCAGAGCCGTAGTCGTTTTAGTTTTCTGAACTGTTTTAGTAGGCTAATACACCTCGACACATGGATAGAGGGCAGCCGGCATAATAAACTGTCCTCATCTGAGACCGTCGGGCTTAGACACAAGTCCGCTTTGCTTTCCCAGGAAAATTCAAGAGATGTGATATTTCTGCGTCCGATTGATCCGATTGAAACACCGAATCTAATAAAGTCGTCCATATCGTCGAAGTAAAATAATGTATTCTGGAAGGCTAATGGCAACACCTCGCGGCGTATTTGTTTATTAACCATTAGGACACCAAGCTCTTTGTTTAATGGAAAGTAAAAGCCGTCGGGGTCGCCTAATCCTGTGAAAAAGGTTGAGATATCGAACTCGTTATTGATATCACTCTTTTCCCACTTTCCGTCTGGAAGAGTGAGCTCATAAATTGCATCACGGAGTTCCTGTGGTAGTTTAAATAATAGGCTTTCCTGACTTTCCGGCCAGTTATATTGCGGCTGCACGGTTGTTAGTACATTCTCCCCCAAGAAGGCCTCAGTATGTTTACCTACCCGTGTAGCAACCAGTAACTTCAGGACGTCATTTGCGGTAAGCACAAGGGGTAAACTAAAATCAGAACCATATCGAATGTCCACAGTAAAACTGTACAAGCTAGTATAGCTCCTACGTTGGATATGTACCACATCCTCGCCATATTCAATCTTCTGCATATAAGTTAGATACTGTCAAGTGTCCAGCGAATAATTTTGCGTACTTTAACGAAATGTGCTGCTAGGGCGTTCGTTTCTAGCAAACCTCTATGATCCTGCATTTGTTCCCGTTTGTGATAGTCATCGAGTTCCTTTCTGGTCTGCTCGTAAACACTCTCTGGAACTGGGGTGAGGTCTGAATAAAATCGTTCCCTTTTTTCATTGGGGTTATCAAGGACGGCAACCTTATACCCTAGCCTCTTTTCCATTTCGTCAAGCGTTAAAACTGATCTCTGCTTCGCCATATTGGACGAGTAGTCGTGGGTTGTCTCTACGATCAAAGAGCTCAGAGCGGCTTGGGTAATGACCAGTATATCGTCAATGTTCTTAGCTTCTGCTAGCGATGTCGACTTGGCATTACTGATAGATTCGTAGCTGACAATCGCGGCCTTCTGTATTTCAGCATTATCGGTGCTAGGTGTAGGGCATATAACCGTCATCTCTGCAAGAAACCAAAGGCAAAACAGGGCATGATTTCGGTTGGAGAAAGGCCTCCTGCCTGATTACCATGCCAAAGCTATATATCACAGCCGGAGACATAGGCAAGACACGGAATAGCCCAGCCGGCTACGCGGTGAACTAGCCAGGAGCCAACCGGGGGCCTCCAGACTGCATCTGGCCGGGATACAATGACATTGTTGTAGCGCATATGTAAGGGGCTGGATCCCGAGCAAGCAATGAGCGGCTAATCGCACATTATTAGTGGGCCAGCTTGGGAACAGCGACAGCGCCCAACCAACATTAGGCATTTTTAGCCCACAGGCCGAGCCTAGTCCTGGTAGAAAAGAGAGGATCAAAGAGGATGTTTCCGATAATCATTATAGGCGTCCACTTCTGCTTGTGCTCCGTAGTCTGGATGCCATCGAAAGGTTGTATGAGTTAAAAAGGGGAGATAAATATTTCCAGCCACATCGTAGGCTCTACGGGACAAGTGACACCGCTGCAAAAGCCCCCAGGATATGCATAGTTATCCAACTCACCTGAAACATGTCGATCGATATAAACAGAGCAATATGAGGCTCCCCGGAGAGTTAGATTTTCCTACTCCGGCTTAGTAATCGTTTCACCTCTGGAATCCGCCCTTAGTTGAACGAGTTACCTCCGTATTAACTAGAGCCATCCTCACTTCAACCGCTTATACTATGCCTTTAGTATAGCGATAAGCTGCCCATAGTCTGTGAAAAGCTAGGCACACCCTCGAAACTGCTGGACAGCGAAGTTGCTTGTAGAAATATCATGGATAGCCTTTGCTAATTGGCCTTTACCTCTATCCTTACCCTGTCCTTTCTAAACATGCAGGCGGATCTAAGTCGCCTATTTTAAGACACGCTTCTAGCATAACCTTTAATGTCTTCTCTACGTGGAATCTCTAAAGAACGACATGCAGATATCTCATTCCAAAGGGTGTTTAACTGTCGGAACTCTATACCCTCTGGGATATTTGACTATGACTAACTTCCTGTTATATTCCATCTCTCCTGCGCATATCCGCCCGAACCCATCAATATAGTCTGGTCTTGGACTATTTTAACGGCTTCCAACTAAGCTTCCTCAATCTAAAATTTTAAATATGCCATCACTATAGATGGTCACAAGATTGAATACCTACAACTATCCTGCATAGTGCCTGGTTTACGGAAAATGAGCTCAGAACAGGCTAAGCAGGCCTCGGCCATAGAGCTACAGCAAAATGATGACACAGTACACGGCAAATATAACCAGAACGAGACGAATGCGGAGCAAGATGCCATGTTCCAGAATGCCGATGAGCAGAACCATCCTCATGGTATCAAGCTTGTTGTGATAGTTGGCTCTCTGGCTGCTTCGGTCTTCTTGGTGGCCCTGGTAAGGATACCTAGTGCTTTACAGAGGGAACTTGGCTAACATATTTAGGATAAAACTATTATCACGACTGTAATTCCCAAAATTACTGATGATTTCCACTCCATAAATGACATTGGGTGGTATGGATCTGCGTAGTAAGTTACAACCACCAACTCTCTCCCAGATGATAGGTGAGCATATACTAACTAACCATAGCTTTATAACCTTTGCGGCCTTCCAACTTGTATTTGGGAAACTATTCTCATTTTATTCCATCAAATACGTCTTTCTTAGCTCAGTTGTCATCTTTGAGGTTGGCTCTCTCATTTGTGCTACTGCTTTAACCTCTAGTACCTTTATAATAGGCCGTGCCTTCGCGGGGCTAGGCAGCGCCGGTATAAATGCCGGGTTCATCATGTAAGTAGGCCTCAAGGCTCCCTTCATTTCAAACGGCCGTGAACTTACTTGTACATAGTATCCTGGCAAGCAGTCTTCCGCTAGCAAGGAGACCAATATTCGTCAGCTCGTATAGTGGCATGTATGGCGTCGCTTCTGTCGTTGCACCTTTATTAGGTGGAGCGTTTACAACGAAAATGACGTGGCGTTGGTCTTTTTATATCAATTTGCCAATTGGCGGAGCCGCTTTATTTACGATGGTATTCTCTTTCATCTGCTAACTAGTGCGAAGAAGACATTAACTACCTGGCAGCAGAAGCTTGGTCAGATAGATATCCTCGGTACTAGTATTCTAGTTCCAGGAGTCGTTTGCTTACTTCTCGCCCTTCAATGGGGTGGTTCGGTATATAAATGGAACACCGCCCCACCAATCGCTCTACTAACAGCAGCGGGAGTAGCTGGGCTCGCCTTCATTATAATCCAAGTTTGGAAGCAAGAGAGCGCTACTGTGCCACCTCGAATTATCAAACAGCGAAGTGTGGCATGCAGTGCCTGCTATGTTTTCCATGCAGGGGGCGCCCTTAATGTTATCCAATACTTCGTTCGTGGTCCTTATTAGTTTTCTGCTCAATACCTCGTTTGTGCAGCTTATTAGTTTCTGTTTACCATCTACTAACAGAGTCCCTAGATACCCATCTGGTTTCAAGTCATCCAAGGCGTTACAGCATTTGACTCTGGAACTCGCATTCTGCCAACCACTCTCGGAACTGTGATCTTCTCTCTCATTGCTGGCATCGGTGTTGCAAAATCCGGATACTATACCCCCTTTATGATCCTAGGGGCTACCTTACTACTTACTGGCGCCTCCCTTATAACAACATGGCAAGTTTCGTCCTCTACTGCGCAATGGATAGGGTACCAACTCATATTCAGCGCTGGCGCCGGACTTGGTATTCAACAATCTCACACAGCTGCTCAAACAGTTCTAGCGTTCGCAGACGTGCCTGTTGGTGCTGTTATCATGATCTTTGCACAGATTCTTGGGGGCGCAGTGTGGCTATCTGTGGCACAGAATGTGCTCACAAGCCAATTACTCAAAGGTCTCGTTAATATCGTGCCGAGTTTAGACCCCAAGCTTGTGCTCGATAAAGGAGCGACAGGCTTCAGGGACACCGTTGGGCTAGAATTTCTGGATGGTGTATTAAAGGCGTACAACTTTGCCTTGACTAGAACGATTTATTGCGGAGTTGCGCTGGCTGCAGCAGCATTAATCTCCTCGATGGGGATGGAGTGGAGGTCAATTAAGTCTATTAAGAAGGCTTCCAGGTCTGAGACAAGCTAAAGCACAACACCTAGTCTTCCAGGGATGCCATTTTGCCAGATTATACTCCGTAGTATGGCGAGAGATTTAACGTGAAGAGTGGTTCTTACTCCTCTGAATATGCTGACTGCGTTATTCCATTTGGAGCAGGCAGGCAGGCAGTAAACACGTGACCACCTGGGATGTCAACTTCTTCTTCCACTTCCTCGACTTCTCATCTTGCATCCATCTTCCCTGCGCTGGTCCAACATGTCTTGCCCGACATCGCCAATCACATCGGCGACGGCGAGTGCAGTTTCATGGGCAGTTATTTTTGGCAGCAGTCCTGCCAATGGGAGCCCACGGCCAAGCGCCTAGTTTGCGGAGCAAGACCCGTTATACCAACGATAAGAGCCTTAAGAGGGAGCATAACGCCCGCTGCTTGACCTGCTTTTGTGCGTTCGCCGGAGACTGGCGCAATTCCCTGCTCTTTACTGAGAAAATGGGCTACCCTGCCACTGGAGTCGAGCCTCCGCGGGCCAAAATGATGACTGCGCCCTTCTGACCCTGCAAACGGGGCTCTGCAAGGGGGCAAGAAACCAACATATTAATATGTAAAATACCCTTGTGGTATATAACGGTTGGAGGCTTAAAAAGCCTGCTAGCGCGCTATAAGAGAGATTGGGCGGGTTTCCAGAGTCACATTTCTCTGAATTTTATTTACGGCTCCCTCTTCCTGTGCATCTGCTCGGTCGTGGGTTCAAAATCTTGCTTCTTCTTCCTCTTGACGGAAACAATAGCCAACCTCGGACGTGTGAGGAGAAGGAATATCTGCTTAGCATGGCCCCTCGACGCGGCGGAGGTGGTGGTGTCAGATATGGCTCAAGCTCAAGCTCAAGCGACGACTCATATTGCGCCATAGCTATTTTTGAATCGACGATAGGCATAGTGCTCTTCACGTTCATGATAATATTTTTCACCGCTTGTGTTTACCTTTTCTGCATATACCCAGCTCGGCGGAAAACCGCCCTCCTCAGAGGCCATGCGAAAGAGAGTGCCCTGTGGACGGTGCTGTGGGTGACACTTGCGCTCGAGTCGATGTAAGTCTGCCTACTCTGGTAATAGCCAGCCATATTAGCTGTTTTGTTACTTGCATCCCTGACATTCTCTTCAAAATAGCGTTTTAATATTTGACCTCTCCACCGCAATCGTCAGCCATTGCCCTGAGAGTCTTCGTGCCGTGATATATGTCAACCTGGTTGGCAGCTGCCTTTATCTCATTATCAGCTTCCTCTTGCTTGCCTTGGCATTGATTTCGATCTGTCGCCTAATGCACGAATGCATCGGCGGCATCGCGTCAACTGCCACTTCGATTACCCATAAAATATTCATTGGGGTTATGGGTGCTGCCGATATTGTGGCTATTGGCTTGTCAATTTACGCCATCGCCCCGTCCGATGTGACCTTGAATTCGCTGTACAACAGAATCGCTTATCACGGGTTTGGAGCAATTTTCGGACTCGTACATAACTGCCTGGGCATCATCGGAGCGCTTGTAGCTGTACTGAGCTTTACGCGCGCGATTGGGAGGGCACCACAGCTTCGCAATGCGGTATATAGCCCATCCTTTCCCCTCTTGGTTCCTTCTTATTAATAACTTTCTGTCTAGAAATTCCGCACCCTTGCCTACCTGCTCCCGCTCAGTCTGCTAGGCCACTTTGCGACCCGGCTAACCTTGGTATTCGTCCGCCAAAGCATCGAGATTTACATCGTAACCCATTTCTTCATAATCATGACGATCACAGTTGCGTTGTACTTGGTGCCCAATGCAGGGTTGGCGGCGGGTAATATTCCGTCACTCCCTCTGTACACTACCATCTGTGCTTCAGGGAGCGAGTGTCCTCCGGAAAGCGAGGACATGAACACGAACGGCGGCGGCTACAATGTGCCACCCTTACCGCAGATGAGTAGGCTGCAAGAACTGCCAGGGCATGCGCAGCAACCACCTGTCCACCCACAACGACCACTCGCACCACTCGCACCACCACAACAACCGCCGTCGCCAGGACCGCACAGCCAGACCGTAGAGCTCCCACAGCAGCCTTATCGAAATTAATGAACTATCTCGAGGTCAGCCTGCGCCCAAAACACGCTGACTCTCTTGTGCTGCAAGTTCTTTAACAGTGGAATTTTCCGCGTCCTTGTTACGTTGAAACTCGTAACGCACGTACTGTTTCCCACCATTGGTAAACACTTTGCCATTACCGAGATGTGATCCGATTCATTTGCCGTTGTTGCCGCTTTGGTACCTGCGGCTCCGTTCCCCTGGACATTTATCGCGATTCGGGATGGAGCTGTAAAGGGCCCAGTATCGGAGTTGCCCTTGGGAACCTGAAGCTGCCGAGAGAGGGCAGCGAATTGATCGACAAAGCTAGACAAGGTTTCAACGGCCCCCAAAGGTTAATATTTAATTATAATTGTCGTTCCTGTGTTTGGCGCTTTGGTATCTAGGTCTAGATTTTCTATTAATGGAAGACTTGGGATTATCCCACCGTTATCACGGTTAGTTATTCAGTCGTCAAACGGCCATTCTTCGTCCCATATTTTCCTTTCTGTTTCGTTTTTTGCAAAAGTTTGAATAATGAATTCCTTGGCCTGGCGCAAAGCATCTTTTGCTTCTTCATATTGGTCTGGCAGGACAATTCCCTGCTCTGGGAACAGGTCTCCTATCGATTCTTGGATACTCTGCATTGCTTGCATCCCAAGCAATGCGCCGCTCGTATTTCTGTCCATGTCTGCCTTCTCTGCGTCAGAGAAATGAAAAGGGAAAGGGTTATGATGCTCCAATGAAGCGACACCAGGGAGGCCTGACCAGTCTTCTTCCAAACCTGCGATCCGGGACAGGTAGGTCGCTTCGCCATCAACCAGAAGATTACGGGCGAGAAGCAGCAGATCAAAGCTGGTGGTTTCCTGGAATTCCAACGCGCGATACAGGTTGGGGTTATACTTGTGCACAAAATTTCTGTACAAGGCGCAAAGTGCCTGCTTGTGATACAGTGCATTCGCTTCCCTTTTAGCGTCATTGTCGAGCCGTCCTAGATTTTCTGGCAAACAAGGCCGCTGGAGTCCCTTAAGCTGTGGTCCGTTGTGATCCAAAATATATGGCTGGCGCGCATGGTAAAATAGAGGAGCGACTTGGGTAGATTGCCAGTCTATGATCCCCACTATGCGTGTCGGATATTCAGGGTTAACAAAGATATTTTCAACGTGGAGATCACCATGCCATATACACGGCGACGCGATTGACCGATCGACAGGGCAGAGTAATTTGACCATAGCCAAGTAGCACTCTATAGCCCGAGTCTTTCTTCCCCTGGTAGGTTGATATGTGCCCGGGCCATAGAGAGCGATTGAAGATTTGGGCAATGAAGGGAGTTGCTTGACGCAAGTCATCTCCCTGACGCCGATAGCTGTGAGGTACTCTGTCAAGGTAGACCCTATCAACAGTCAGATAAAGGCTTCTTTCCTGAGGAACAAGCTACCCACATGGACCTCGGTCATATTCAATGGAGGCTCTCCCAGCATCGCAGTACTCTCGTCCGGTGGATGGCCCGATAGCGAACTCGGGCAGCTCGGTATCGGTATCCGATGAAAACGACTGGAAGACACGGTGATGATGTACTCCGTCTAGATCACGAGCAAAGTAGAGGCTTCCAAAATGATCGAATGAGGCCGACATCCACGCTTCTTGATATCCGGCGATAGATTTCACAATGTCGAACCGATCACTGATTCCCATGCTGGGCCACACCGTATCCAACTGAACACCCTGGACTTTTTCCATAATGATATATTCAGCACCAACTGGATTATCTTGGGAACTCCAGGTATATATCTTTGGTACCGGTGTTTTGCACACCCTTCTCGCCTCCACATGTTGTTAATACCCTTAAAATAAAGCGGGAATAAAACCAGAACACATACGAATTCCATGGTCGCAACCTCACTGGCTGTTGTAAGGTGCGGCAAGCCGGCGTTTGGATTTGGTATCTTTGCCACCACCTGGCTTCCGTTATCCATGGTGAGGAGGAAAGCCTTATTGTACATGCCGTCGGCACATTTCTCGATACCGGTACATGTCTCGGCGCCAACAGAGGCAGCGGCTATAGAAGCCAGCCTTTTCACATCAAAGTGCCTGTACCGCTGAGACATCTCGTAGGCCTCGTTTCGGACGAACCGGCCGCGTGTGAACTGGAAGAACTCATCGCTGCCATCTACTTCTTAGCAACCTCAGTGACGCGTCCAAGGTGTTCAAGGATGATCGTCTACTTGCCTGGTATATGGACCTGGCATCGTTGCGGAGTGGTATGCATCTAACCCGGTCCGTACCATGTGAGGCAGTACATGGGCCTGTCGTATCCTCAAAGGGTATCTGATCATCTGAGCTGATGTATCCGCACCGAACACTCCGAGTGAAACAGCAATTAATATATGAACCGGATCTATATATCGTTATTTGCTCTGGGACTAGATGTAGGCATGAACTGAGGTTCAGTGATGTTGGCGATGTCACGTGATATCCAAGGCTGGCCATGCACTCTACCTTAACTAACTACACTACACACCACTACTCCGTACACTACACTACACTCTAGCTGAAGCCACTGCCACTGCCACTGATCACTGGATACTGGATACTGAGGACTGGAGACAACGGTGTAGCGAGACGCTGGACTGGTCTGTACACTGACGCTGGACTATATACTGCTACCTATGGACTTCGCTGACGAACTCGCTAAGACGGCCAAGGATCAACCTCTAACGCTATAAATATCCCTGGCCAGGAGAGAGATGAACTCCGATCCAATCGATGCTGAACGTGCTGCGGCCTCCCAACCCCTTTTACACTTACGCAGTTACCGCCAGATATGTTGGAGTACCTGCTTCTCGGGCGTGGGATGTATGGGCACGCAGGTACTCCCACATACCATACCCGTGACATGCCTGTGTACGTACGGGCGGAAGAAGTACGAAGGCGACGGAGAAGAGACGATGGGTTGAACAGCCCCGTCCTGGTGCGTGCAGCTTTATGGCCAGTCGGACACTGTGTCAGGGCCTGCTTCTAGCTGCCTGTTTTGTGGTCTTGGTCGTGGCCATCGTCGTGGTCGTCGTGATCATCGTCGTGTCTTGAGGCTCTGTCCGGCCATAAGACTGTTCCTACACCCGTTACTACTGCTATTACTACTACTATTACATATTCATTATTACTCGACTCTGCGGCTGGTTGATCGACCACTCCCCGCCGTCGTATTACCTGCATCACACCGTTGGTGGAATCCTTCCTTTCGGCTTCCTTTTGTGACGCAATTACCCACGAGGCAACGACTTCGACACTGGCCTCATCTTGATACATGCTAGATTTAAACGTCCTCCCAGTCTGTCTTAACCAGCGCATAACTGGTCCAAATGATCATCCTCTGAGTGGGTTGCGGATCCTTGCCCAATCTACCGCTATTTTATAATATACCCACTACAGAAGAATACTCTCGACATGATCAGTTTTGGATGGTCGGCCGGCGACATCTACCAGCTCGTCGTCGTCTGCCATACTCTGGTATCCAACTGCACGCTCGGCCCGACCTCTGCCCTCCAGGTGATTCAGGGACTGCGTGAGGAGATCCAGGAACTCGAGCGTCTGCTTCAGCAGCTCCAGAACCTCGTCCAGGATGGTGGTGAGACTTCCTGCATCGACCTGCGCGGCATCGAGGACACTCTGCGCGAATGCCGCAGCCATCTGCAGAAATACAACACCTTGCAGCAGGCGTATGATAACCATTACAGGAGTCACGACGCAGATGCCGTTCCAGTAGAGAAGAAAGTGGCAGCTTCACAGAGCAGTGGAGGTCGTGCGAGGGAGTATTTGATCTCCAGGCCAAAGAATGCGGCGAAAGTCGGCACCGAGCTGGTCAGGCATGTTACCTGGGGAGGAACGCAGGTATCCGCTCTACAGGAGCGAGTTGCGCGACACAAGCAGTCTTTAACACTGTACCTCACAGTTCTCGAGCGGTACGTTATACACACACACACACTCTCTCTTTTTTTTTTTTTTTTTTAGAAATAAACTGATGAATATACAGAGAACGAAGCATACGGATGGGCAACAGGCTACAGAGCGTGGAGCGCATGATCCACGAACTCCATGCCGAAACCATGCCGCTGACTCGCTCATACCCTCTCCAGCGTGTTGGCTCTATTCCTGGCGCAGCCTTCAACTCGTCCAGTTCCAGCCTCCCAGACGGCCCAGCGGCCGACAACGACCGTTACCACATAATGCTTGAAGCCGTGGACCGCCAGCGTCAATACGCCATGCTCCAGCGTAGCATGGCCGATAGCGGTGACGACCAGGAGTGGGAAACGATCTGTGACCAGCTGGACCTGTTCCACGAGCGGGTGCTGTATGTTATTGAGCGCAAGACGAACTCCAGTGCTCAGCACGGAAACGGGCGCGAATTCAGGTCAGAAAATGGCAGTGATATAGCGCTGAACAGAGCCCTACTTAACAACTCGAGAGGCGGACTCAAATCGCCTTCCAACGAGCACCCCTCATACCGCCGCAGAAGGCACGCAGCGCATGAAACGCCCCTGGCATTAATCCGGGATGAAACAGAGACAGAAACGGAGCAGCACACCACCAATACATCCATACAGATCAATGGAGAAGACGAGATGGACGAAGACGGCGGCGGAGGAGTTCTTCTCCATCCAGCACCGTCAATCACTACTTTGGCCTCATACGCATCGTCAGTCTTCTCCCATACAACGTCAGCAAGTGCAGCTGTGACAGATGACACTGCCGTTACCGCTATACACATGGAGCCTTCAGCCAGCTCGAAACCGATGTATCCAACCTCCGCCTCGCAACCGCTCTCCTCCAGCCCATCAACAGCACCCTCACTCTCCATTCCGCTGTCTACCAGCCCTGGATCCTGCCACTCCTATACCATCCCTAACAGCCCTAGCCCGTCTCCCATAGGTCACCATCCACAGCACCGGTACTCTACCTCCAGTTATGCCAGCACCGCGCCTAGCGTGGCTAGCATGGAAAATGGGAACCCCGCCTCACGCAGCAGAGGGTACAGCGTCAGCTCTCTGCCGTCGCCGGGCAACTTGCAAAGGCGAAGCACGGACGACTCTGGGAGCCACTCCAGCTGTACTTGGAAGACAATCTCGCTTAATGGAGGAGTAAGAATGTAAGTTGACATACTATTATTGGTGATATTAGGGTTACATGCTAACGGATACTCAGAGCATGGCAAGGCCATCCGACGCCCGTCCGATGTGTCCTGGCTGCGGGCTACAGGAGCGACGGGAGGGTATGCGCTCTCCGCGCCACCGACCCTAAGAACACCAACGAAAGATTGCCTACCCTCAGACGTGAGTCAGCCTTTACTCTTCTGCATTACACGTCTAACTGTCTATAGTATCATCTGCCGAAAAAAGGCCGATACCTCACATCGAACCACCGGGCCATCGCGATACAGGCCTGGAGGCGGGAGTAATCTACTTCATCAAGCCCCCAAAGACGAAGTATGGCGAAAATCCACAATATTTCGTGGAGGACCCATACGGTACGTCTTTCTCTTGTCACTTTCACTTGTTTTTATTATTTCTTTTCAATTGTCTCGAATGCTGATATTCCTTTTTTTTTCCCTCGTGGCGTAGATCTGACGCACCTTCAAAGTCTGATCTTTGGGAAGCGTCTACTATTATCCTTATTGGTACAGAAGGTGTACAGTGCAAGGGGAAAGGAGTCTGATCGCCAATACCTGCGTATCTGGGAGGACCTAGATAACGAAGGATACGGCACCGGCAGTGCGATGCGCGTGGTCTACTTTGCACCCGCAAGAGAGAGGCCGCGATATATCGAAGTTCACCGTGAGTTCATAAGTAGCATCTCGTACCTGATCTCGAAGCTAAGAGTGATAGGAAACGACATCGACCTGAACCCCAAGCGAAGCCACAGAAACACCATGCTCGAGCTGCAGCTCTCGCACCAGCTCCAGCATCTTCGGATCGCCTTCTCGTCGGCATCGGGTACGTCAGCCACCTCTTCTCTCTTTTCTCTTTCCAAGCTTTTCTCCTCCTTGCGTGACTCTAACGCGCATCCCAGACCTGCAGCTCTTTACCGAGACCCTTTTCAGACACGAGCCTCCTGCAGTGCTGACGGTTCCCCGTGCCTCCTCGCAGTACGCTGATGGGCCAGCGCCCGCACCCTGGGCCAGCCCCTAGCCCCTACCAGTTAGCCTTTACAGCTTAGCCTACAACTTAGCGCCCTTTACCTAACCTTTACCTAACCTTTAGCTGCACCTTTACCTAACCCAGCCTAAACCCCTACTCTTTCTCCCCCTAACTCTTTACCTACTTGCAACCTTTACCTACAACCCTCCAGCCTGACCCCTACTCTCTACCTCTACCCTCCTTTTACCTGCAAGTCTTGAGCCTTCTAGCATCCCTGTTTTCGCATGTTGCTCCATGTTGCTCCATGTTGCTTGCATTTCTTCCCCGATCTGTTCGCATGTTCCCCTGTTGCATGTCCGGCATCCACGGAGCCTCACCGTCGGTTAATATCCATAATCGGGCGTTCTCTCGCCTATCTATTTTTAAAGTCTCGTCCGCTCCACCCTTACCTTAATCTCCTCCGCCTTCATGGCTTGCATGTACATATAGTCCGTCTCACTCCGCCGTCATCATCTTCTTGGATATCTCTTGGCCGAATCTTGCGCCATGCCTGCCTCTCCGTCTGCCTGACCGGGTGCCATGAACCCTACCTCAGTTTCACGCGCCTGCTATCCCTCTCTGCCTTAGCCTGCGCCCCCCTCGAAACGCCAACCCTGTTCCTGTCCTGAGCACAAACTTCTCAGCCTCATGATATATACGTATAAACATCTTGTTGACGATCGCTCGCCATAATCCTCCTGGGTAACAAACCAGACTCCCACTGCATACAGACCTAGATCGAGCTGCCCGCCTCTGGCTGAAGCGGCATACAGCAGGCTGTCACGATGCAGATGCCCGTTACCTTCAAGGTCAAGAACCGCACGGTTAACTTCGACTATATTCCGGTAGGTGATATCCTGACTCGGCACTCGGTAATTTGATAATACTGACAGGCGTAGGACATCGACCTTCGTCGTCGTCGTGTGTTTGACGAGCTTGATGCCACCCACTTCCAGAGCCTGGTCGTGTTTGTCGCTGGAATCGGCTTCTTCACAGATGGATACGATGTAAGCTGCCTGCCATCCAACAAATCAACTGGTCGTTGTCGTCGCTAACAGTTCAGATCTTCGCTGTCGGGATGATTATTCCGATGTTGGGCCATGTCTACTTCCAAGGGACCATGCCTACCTCCATCGAAACTAGCATGAGAGCGGCCACCCTCGTCGGTACCATCATCGGCCAATTCGTCTTCGGTATACTGGCCGATCTCTATGGGCGACGGAAAATGTACGGTTTCGAGCTTCTCGTCGTTACCCTTTCGACCATAGGTGTTGCCATGGCGGCCGACGGCGCCGCCGGCTCGATGAACATCGTTGCATGGCTGATCGCCTGGCGCTTCATCATGGGCATTGGGATAGGCGGGGACTATCCACTTTCTGCAGTGATCACGTCTGAATTTGCTCCAACTCGTTCCCGCGGCCGTATGATATCGACCGTCTTTTATATGCAGCCCTGTGGCTACCTAGCCGCGACGCTCGTGGCGATGATAGCCATTGCGGCGCACAGCGGCAGCTTACCACACAATACACCCGGGAGTGTCGAAGAGATTGTCTCCTGTATGGACAAGCAAGAGTGCCGACAAGCAATGGATAGTGTGTGGCGGTGGGTGATCGGCATCGGCGCCGTTCCATCAGCCATTGCCATTTTCTTTAGATTCAGTATTCCAGAATCTCCACGATATACGATGGAGGTGCTGAATCGACCAGACGAGGCGTTGGAGGATGTTAATGAGATGGGTTGGCAGCGTGTTCCTCAGAAGACCATAACTCCTGGCGATATTGAGATGCAGCTTCCGCCTCCACATCAGCCACAAAGTCAATCTCAATCCCAATCTCAGTCTCAATCTCAACGTCTGCCTCAGGGCTCTCGCATACAGACGCCCAAACCACCAAGCATCACCGATAGACACATTTATGATGGTGTCTCGCAACAATCACCTCCTCCCATCTCCAATGATTGGAATCAGTTCAACGCCAACCAACTCCGCAGTACCTCCAGAGCAACAGATGCCGCCTCGCAACGCTCTCCTCGCCGCGTCTCACGCACACGAACTGTATCTAGTGTAAACTCGATGGCAGGATCATCTATATCCTCATCTACCACCACTGATGAACCGGCGGACAGCACCCTCGTTGACGACGACTTAGGCCTTCCGCCCAAAGAAGCTAGCCAATGGGCTCATTTCCGCGCTGGCTTCTACCAGCACTTTATAACCAACGGCCACTGGCCCACTCTTGTCGGCACTTCCCTTGCATGGATATGCTTCGATTTTGCATTTTATGCCTTAGGGCCGAATTCGTACAAAGTCGTTGGGAAGATCTTCAACAAAGAACCGCTCTGCTTCCCTAAATCAGCCGCTGGAATGAAAATGGCTTGCACTCCCCCCAAGCGCAGCTTATACGATGATATCTTTGAGAACGCCTGGCACTCACTGGTTGTCGTCTCCGTCGGTTCCATGATTGGTGGCCTGGGTATGATTAAGCTTATAAAACGCAACTCCCCGCGCACCATCCAGCTCTACGGCTTTGTCGTCCTGGCCATAATCTTCATCACGATCGGTGTTTGCTTCTATTTCGTCGAAAGAGGAAGCTCCGTGCCCCTAATGGCCTTCCTCTACGTTCTAGCCGAAATCTTCTTTGAGATTGGTCCAAATGTCACAACCTTCATGATCCCTGCAGAACTCTTCCCAACCCGCTTCCGCTGCACCGCCCATGGTATCTCTGCGATGTCTGGAAAAATCGCCTCTGTCTTGGTCCAGCCATTCGTTGCTTTTGTATCTATCGGGAGGCACAAGCCCTCTGATCCCGGCGCTAAATGGCTGGCATTTGTAGTCATCATCTTCGCGGCGTTTATGATACTGGGTGCTGCGGTTACGAAGTGGCTTATTCCCGAGACGAGGGGGAAAGATGGCCAGGCGAGACCGCTGGAAGAGTTACAGTATCTTGCTAAGATACGACGACCGATGAAGAAGAAGGCCGATGCCCCTGAGGGAGCCGAGGGAGGTGTTGCGGCTAATGGGGAAGCTAATGGCAACGTGAATGCTCATGGGCTGGGAATAAATGGACAGGTATCTAATAATGTATAATGAGGACTGGCTGGAGTTGGAACATATGGGAAATGCTTGGAAATGCTTGGAAATATAGTAATATAACCATGTAGTATATGGCGCGTCTATAGTCACTATTTAAATCTATGGCTTTTTAGAATAATGATATAACTTACGTACTCTTCTAATATACAAAGTATTATATATCATAAAGTGCATTTTATTATCATCGCGTGTCATGTAGCCCCTATCTAATGGACCTAATGCCAAACCGAACCCAATACCCATCCCGTCTAATTTGTCGATTAACCTATCCCTAAGCATATATGCTGAAAGAAAGTAGCATCCTAAAGAATAAAAGAAGAACAAAGAAGAAAGAAAGGAAAACGAAGCTATCTATATTTACACACGTAGGCTGTAAAGGAATAATCCGAAAATAAAGATAAACCATGAGGTCAAGACAGAGGAAGGGTCATCAGTTTCTTTAAACATGAATGTTAGTATTGGGACAGAAAGCAGAAGAGGATGGAAATGTCCTTGGTGAAAACTCACATAAAAGTAATCATCATCTCCCCTTTTACCTTTGCCTTCAAAACGGCCGCAAGTTCAAGGTCTAGGTCTACTTGAATCTTCATTTGCTTTGGCTTTTGCTCTTTGAAAGCTGATGGCATGGGTATTTCGTTACGAGTTTGGGTTCCATTAACATCGTGCTCCTTGTTTTCACCCTTGTTTTCAATGCCATTCGTGTTCATCTCATCATTAGGGGTCCGATCTTTGTTTTCACCCGCTGCAGATGGCGCAGGGCCATTAGAATCGCCATTGCTATCTGCCCCTGCGACGCTTGATGTTGGGGTATCTTGCCCTGCCTTGTCAACGGCTCCATCGCCTTGGTCAATGTCGGGCGTTCCAGGCTCTCCTTGAGCGTTCGTTTTGTTCTTTTTGGCTTTCTTCTTCTTAGCCTTTTTCGTCTCCTTTATTTCGTTGGATTGTTGAGGAGGCATTTCCTGGACTGCAGTGGTTCCACCTAGCTCCCGTTTCCCGCTAATTGGATCAGCATTTGAGCCTGTAGCAACATTGACGTTGCCAGCTTTATAGCCAGAGTCGAAGCCCTCATTCCCTGTTTCTGACTCGGCTGTCGCTGTTGGTTTTGCCTTTTTCTTCTTTTGCTTTGGCTTCTTTGCTTTCACGACCTCTTCCAGAACCTGGTCGATGCCATTGCCAGTCTCATGCGCTCGCTCATTCCGATTCTCGATATCCCAGACTTTCTGCGTCACACTCGCGTCCCATCCGCCCTCTGCACCAGAATTATCATTGAATGAGATTGATGACTGCCATTTTTCTTGTTCCGGAGCAACATGCGATGCACCCTTGGCCTTCTTGCCGTTCTTTGATTTGGGCTTTATTTCCGGAGAGAAAAGCGGTGCGGGTGCTTCCACGCTGGGTAGGAGGGTGTAGGCGTCTGTATTCTCGCCGGTGCTGAAGTTACCATTCTCCCCATAAGTATGTGTTTCGTTATTCTCGACAGGTATGGAGGTTGCGACGCCGCCGTTCTCGTTCATGTCACTCTCGGCCGCTGCCTGGGCCTTTTTCCTCGCCTTGACCTCCTTCCAGTAGCCAGATCGGCCCTTTTTCTTCGTGGCATTGGATGTAGATGGCACCGGGTTAGAAGAGGCGGCTCCGTCGTCCTGGGCTGGCTGTGGGTTCCAGCTATCAGCCTCCTGCTGCGGCTTCACCTCGTCCTGATTCATCTTGACTCCGCCAGAGATGCTGTTTGACGGCTGATGCATATGGTTCTCCCTCGCGGTCTCTGTCTCTGCCCTAGGCCGTCTGTCTGTATACACAAACTCCTCTGATGCGATGCGACGCCGTGTCAGTCTTTGAATTCGCTTTTGATGCTTTTTTGTTTACTTTTTTTTTTTTTGCAAATTTTCTATTATGATGACATAATCAGGGCCAAGGCGGGCCGGGTGGGTCCTTCCCGGTTTAGGCTGAAAGTTAGGGCTCAGGTCTAGGTTTCGCCCGATTAGGAAGGAGGTCATCTATAGAGCAAGAAGAAGAAGAAGAAGAAGAAGAAGAAGAAGAAGAGGAAGAGGAGTAGTAGAAGAGGAGGGAAAAGAGTAGGAGGAGAGACAAATGAACAGTTATAGCTCGAGTAACAAGAGTATAGATATAAGTAAGAGCAAGCCATATTCTCTTTATCATGAGGTGAGTAGATGAAGATGCAAAGGTGCAGTATGCTAAGTGACCAAGCTAATATACTAGTGTTAGATTTTATGTCATGTAGCGATCAATGTCGGGAGTAGATGGCCCACGCCAGCAGAGATGCTCAACTAAACCGTCTCCCCGGTTCGTTCAGTTCATTTACTTCTGATCCGGTAGTATTCACTTCACTGATCTTCTTCCCTTCGCTGGCCTTGACATTAGGCAAGTCAAGTGCCTCTAGCGGCAGTCTCAAGAACAAATGCTTGTTCGTCCATGTCACCTGGCCTTCGGCAAAGCCTTCAGAGTAGGCTGGAGGCGGCGGCGGATCTGTGATTTTGGTCACCAGATACGCCGTCGATGCCTCTGCAATTCCATAGAGCAGGACACCCAATATCGGAATGCGGAGCATGATGTAGAAACCGACAGCGAACCCAAACAAGACGCCCTCCCTATCAAGGAACCAGCGGCGTTTCTGGTCGGGTGTAAACTTCACCCGACTGAAGTAGGGCTCAAGCTATACAGGCCGTCAGCGTGTTGGACATGGAATGATGGAGCCGTGAATGGAGAGTTACCAGTTCTCTCATCAGACTGCGCGATGAAAAGTAGCTTTGCAGAAACATGATTAGATACCTCTTGGGCAGAACCAGTCCAGATCCAAAGACTACGACCGCTGGCCCAGGACCGACAGCCTTGTTAAAGGTATAGAAACTGGCACACGGAAGGACAAAGCGGCCGACTACAGGTAGTAGCGAGAGGACGTAGACCGCCATCGCCATACCCGTCCTCTTCCCGTACCGTATCGCAAAGGCCTTCAAGGGCGAAAGTTTGGACTTGCTACCTTTGCTGCTGCCGCCGCCGCCCTTGGTGGAATACATCCTCAGGTTATCATAATACATGGGTCGTAGGGTCGTTGGGTCTTCCAGTTTATGTTTTTGCACATATGTCTTGTCAACCCAGCGAAGAGACTCCATGAACCTTTACAACAGGAAGTCAGCACCATATATTAAACATATAACACAAGGGATAGGGCATACATGTTATCCAAAGTCGGGGTTATATATCGCATCAGCGTCATCAGGAAGAACGGCACCTGTAGGACGTATTTGGAGATGAAATCCAGAGACCCGGCCAGTTTATCAGCCCACAGAGCGCCCTCAAGGTCGACTACCCAGGAGAGAATCCATATCACCAGCTTGACCGCGACGATCTGGAGCCAGCATCATGTTAGCTGGCAGCGTGTGTGCTGGACGAGGATGCAACGTACGGGGATGGCGACAACGAGACGGATTGCAATGCCCGTACAGACCGCGAGAGCAGCTTGCCGGTAGTGCTCCGTCTTGAAGAGCTCCGGGTTCTGCAGTGCTCTGTGTGCTAGACATAGTATCAGCTTGTTATAACGGTATATATGAGACGAGATCTATGGCCTACCACCGACGAGAGTAAGCTGCGCGCCCCGGAGGATGGCATTGGGCTCGAATTTCGGCATGGCTAACTAGCGATCGTGACTCTCTGACGCTTCATGTACGCCGTAACTGCGATGTCACTGTCGACCTGTTGATGTTGACCTGACGGCGAGTGGGATGTTTCTTGTAGCCTGCTTTGCTTCTGTCGTGTGGCTGAAGATCTACGTCACTCTACATTTACAATAACTAAAACTGCGGAGGATGAAACGCTTCCTCACCACGATCACCAACACGCCCGACATCTAGTCCGGCAGCGAGACGTCGTCGTTCGTTATGTGCGATAGGTGATCGCGTGCCGTTCACTCATTACTTGCATCTTCCACGCTCCTTTGCCTTTCGTTCGTCTCCTTTTCCGTACGCGATGGAACCGCCCTTCGCCCTCCAGCGATCCGCTACACTCCCTGGCAGACGCGCATCAACGGGCAGATATAGCCTGGGATCGCACGAGCTTTCCAGCAGCCCCTCGTCCGCCTCCGAAGAGATCCTCTACTACAGCCCGTCCGCGAAAATATTCAAGTTCGAACTCCCCAACTCCTCCTCGTCCGAACCGATCCTCCCCGACCTCGACTACCCCGTTGACGCCATAGAGACGCTGCCATGGAAGCTGTCGACGGAGCGGATAGCGTCTATCGGCTCTCTGCGGATCGAGAATGTCGCTGGCTCGGCTACGTTCCTGAAATCTGGCAGCGTGGTGTACCCTCTGCTCAAGAACAGCCAGTGCTGGTGCGTCGACAAAGTGTCAAGATTTGTATTTAGGATACGGAAACTCACCTATTACCGCGTTGAGCTGCCGGGCGAGACGGAAGAAGATATAAGCCGCGTGGAGAGCTTCAAGGAGGTCCTTTCTAGCATCATTCGATATGAAATTACGCCGTGCCCCTTTAAACGCGGGTTCTCTGTCGTCCTGCCAGAAGAAGCCAAAACGCCAAAGAAGAAGAAGGCCTGGCAGCCGAAACGGCAGTCTATGCCTGCGTTTCTCCCGTTAAACCTGGTTGCCGAAGATTCTGCTGCCACCGGTGGTCTGGAATCAACGAGTGAGAGCGGCGGTGACGGCGCGGCGGTTGATCTAGGCGAAGGTACTCTCAATGACGAGCCCTTGGATAAAGGTATCGAGAATGACTTGCCCGTTGTGACCGGCGAAGAGCCACTTTCACTTGGAACGGGCGGGATGCGATCGGACAGCCGTAGAGTAACCGCGCCTCCCCAGACATTCCAATCCCTTGTTGCCAAATTTCAAGAGTTTCAGGATGCAAGCGACTCGGAACGTCCAGCCTACGGGGAAGATAATGGCCGAATGTCGAGCTTTGGATCTTATCATACTTGTGAGACAGAGGCTTCTATATCTCCCTTGGATACCCAATACTTAGACCCTCCTTCGTCATGGAACTCATCTCCTACTGAAGAAAGAACAGCGGCGCCTTCGCTGATAAATGATGAAGAAACTACTTTAAACCCAATCATGCTACCCGATTCTGACCCCTTTATCGACTCAGACAGCAGCGTTGGGGAGATACCTGAAGATACATCGTCTGTCGAGCAGCGTTGCCCCCTCGAGCCATCAAGCTCCAGCATGTATGAGCCAAGTCATCTCTCGCCAAACGAAGACTACGTCGGGAGAAGTACAGCTGTCGATGATCCAGATCCAGATCTCCGCCAGCGTCTTCGTATTAATCGAAAACGGGATCTATCACCGCTCCCGCCTTCTTCCACTCTTTATTATCCCTCTGCCCGATCCCCTGCCAACCACCTCACACACTCAATCTTACAAAAGACATGTACATATGTCCTTGGCCCACCCGTCCAGTTTCTCATGCTGCTCCTACGCCTTGCTGCGAGGGTGGCTGTCAACCGGCAATCCTCGGACTCGGGAAACCTGTCTTCATACCAACAGGAAGTTGATGAATTAAGTGAAGACGATTTTGGAATACCGATCCCATCCGTGCCTTCAATGCGACGAGTAAACTCGAACTCGTTGAGCGCTTATGATTCTTTGGATGAGGCAGACTAGGCCTCCAGCGTTATATCTGTATATGTACTTTTTGGTCTGTTCAATTGTTTTTTGTGGGCGGTAATGACGGTTTGGGATTGCTGGTATGCATGCAACAAATACTTGCATTTATGACATTTATTGGCATTTAACGGGGGTCATATCTGGCTAGAGTTGTATTGGATATCATATGATGGGGTTTCTTTCTTTTATTTTTTACTTCACGCTCACTTAATCTAATGACATTATCTCCTATCACAGGCCATGTATTTGTACTTACAACCCGGTATAGTCGTACTATATAGTAGACCATGAGCTGAAAATCATAAGAGGTCGATTCTCTCATACATACATGTCCATGTGTATCTATAATCCAAACGCAGACACCCAGCTACAAACGCCAAATTGATGCATAAATGCCACCCAAATAAAACCCCTTTCAATATAACAGGTCTGCAATCGTATAAATATATCCAGCCGTTGATTAAGATGCACTTTCTCTATTTCTTTCCTTTGGCTTTTCCTTTCTTCTTCGCACTTCGATCTCTCTTCTTCAGGCCGACCATTCCAGCCTTACATGTCTCCGCATATCGACGATAGAATGCCTCTATCTCCTCTGGCTTGACAACGGTTGACGCCTTGACTTTCGTATCCTTGTGTTTTCCATTCGATGCTCGAATTAGGATCAAGGGTGGGCTTGAAGCTGGTGTTTCCGACTCTGCCGGTTGTGATTCTCCTTTTGTGACCGGAGATGGGAAGCGCTTTTGTGTGAGGAATATTGAGCCGCGGGACGAACCAGATTGTTTCGTGAGGAGGGATTCTAAAAAGGAGAAGAACTGTAAAGGAGAAAATTGTAAGTTAAATCGCACTGGCAGAGCTCCCTCTCGTGGGGTATATCCGTACCTCGTCGTTCGGCAGGTGGGGTTTTGACATTGTTGCGCTTGATGGGTGTTCTGGCAGGCGGAATATATGTATTCAAATATCTATCGGCGGAGTTTTATGTGTGCCCGGGCTGTAGGAAGAAGACGAGGATGAAGATATTGTAGAAGACGCAGAAGATGGAAAAGACGCCGTCAAATGTTCGTTTTCTTGTCCAAAAAGTGTGGACAATTTAAAGTTTATCGGCATCGGCGCTTGGACCACATCATATATTTATTTGAAATATTTTTTGGAGCTTTCTTTTAAGGACGACGAAAAACTGGGAGATATATATTTGGATCTTGTGCATACCCCTACGCAGCCATGCGTCGACCAGATATCAATACTACCCAGCTTCCGAAACAGCTGCGCGATGAGCTGGGGCTTGGGGATAGTCGTCACAGCGGCGGGTCGAACCGAGGAGGTCGAGGGAAGCCCTTTTCCAGGAAAGAAAGACGGAAAGCAGAACGGTCACAGAAGAAACAGCACCACCAGGAGCCGCGGAGACCGATACAGCGACATGCGCGATCAGAAGTTGCCCATGACCACAGTGCAGAGGAGTCCTCAGAGGATGGCGCTGAAGAAGCGACACCAGTGAAACGAGAACCTAAACCCATCCTGAAGAAACGGAAACGAAGCGACGAGACTCAGAAGCCGGCAGGGAAAGACGAAGATGGAAATACATCACCTCCTCCGCCCGAGCGAAAAGTGTCACGCGCCGTCCGAGAAAAACTTCAAGAAGATGACATGGAAATCGCCCGTCTGGAGAAAGCTTTAGGGCTCAAGGGGAAGAAGAAGCTCCCCAAATCATTCGAGGAAGACGGACTAGCGGATATACTGGGAGATCTTGGAGGGTACGACTCCGAAGCTGACGTGAAAAAGCGTAAGAGAGACGGCGATGAATGGTTACAAAGTAAGAGGAGAAAGGCACAGGCACAGGCACAGGCGCAGGCGCAGGCCAACCTTGACGAGCAATCCAATGAGAGCAACGAAGATTTTGATAGCGAGGAAGAGGGAGACATTACCGATGGAGACGACGAAGATTTATTGGAGGAATTAGATGTCGATGAAAGCAGCGAACAGGCATCTGACGACGACGAAGAGGAGGAAGAGGAGGAATTCGAGGGATTCGAAGATGAACCTCAACCCCCAAAGCGAATAAAAGAAAACCCCTACGTTGCTCCTGTAGCTCCCTCCAGCAAAGATCAGCCGAAGTATATACCCCCTTCCCTACGCGCTGCTGCGTCTACCGAATCAGAGGCTCTTGTTCGCATACGTCGTCAAATTCAGGGCCATCTCAATAAATTATCCGAAGCCAACCTAATATCTATACTCACCGAATTTGAAAAAATGTACCAAGACCATCCGCGCAAAAACGTTACTTCAACTCTCATCGATCTCCTACTTGGCTTAATAGCAGATAGGAGCACTCTTAATGATACCTTTATCATCCTCCACGCAGCCTTCATAGCCGCAGTGTACAAGGTGATCGGAATGGATTTCGGAGCAGAACTTGTCCAGCGTGTTGTTGAGAAATTTGATGAGATTTATGAGGACAAGGATGCTAGCGACCTTTCTAGGGGGAAGATCATGTCGAATCTTATATCTTTGCTTTCTCATTTATATAACTTTCACGTTATCGGAAGCAGTCTAGCGTTTGATTACATTCGTCTCCTGTTAACAGAGATTAATGAATTGAACACCGAGCTGCTTCTGAAGGTTATTAAGAGTAAGTAACACCTGCGTGCCAAACAATAAGGTCCATTCAATGTTGGTGCTGACTCCAGTTCTAGGTTCCGGTTCTCAACTGAGGCAAGACGATCCCTCTGCACTAAAAGATATTGTAATGCTAGTGCAGCCTGCAGTTGCACAAGTTGGAGAAGCAGCATTGTCAGTGCGCACGAAGTTCATGATTGAGATAATCACTGATCTTAAAAATAATCGTCTAAAAACCGGCATCGCTGGAACCACCTTGGCTTCGGAGCATATCACCAAGATGAGAAAAGTCCTAGGAACTTTGAATAATAGGACACTCAGGGCCAGTGAACCCCTGAGGATCAGTCGCTCAGATGTTCATAATGCCTCAAAAACGGGGAAATGGTGGCTGGTCGGTGCGAGCTGGAAGGATCCGTTGAATGCTAATGACCACAGCACTGAAGCTGGCACAGTCCGCGATTCAGTTCCGGTAGATACCGTAGACGTTGATATTGGGACAGGCGAGGTTGATTTGGGCCAGCTTGCCAGAGCTCATCGCATGAACACCGATGTTCGGAGATCAGTATTCGTCGCAATCATGTCTGCCACAGACTGTCGAGACGCCCACCTGCGGCTGACCAAGCTCCGACTAAAACGGAACCAGGAGACAGAAATTCCTCGCGTGCTAATGCATTGTGCAACCGAGGAGGAAGCACACAACCCCTACTACACACTGATTGCACGGAAATTGTGCAGTGAAAAGAAAATGAGGATGGCGTTCATGTTCTCTCTTTGGGACATTTTTAAGAGATTAGGAGAACGTGGCCATCTAGACGAGGAAGACGACAACGACGATGGCGGCTTCACTGGTGATGACGACGAAAACGCACTCAGCACCCGGGCTATATTCAACCTAGCTAAAATGTTCGCCACTTTAATTGTGGAGGGAAGCTTGTCCCTGGGAATCCTCAAGATTCTTGACTTCCCGTATCTGCAGCCAAAGACGAAGATGTTTGTGGAAGTTTTATTGATAACCACGATGGTTCAGTCGCAACAGAAATCACACCGAAAGGCAAAGGATTCTGAAAACAGCGAAGCTGGATATGACGAAAAGGCTTTGGTGAGCATTTTCATGAAAACCGCAGAGACTCCCCAGGTCGTCGCAGGCCTGAGGTACTTTATCCGGAAAGTTATTGCTAAATCGGACGTGGTGTCGTCGAAACGGGATAAGAAGCTGGTAAAATGGGCGTCTAAAGCAGCCCTTGACACATTGAGCATCGTGGCCGAAGGAGGCTCTGCAACCTAGCCCTACGATGGCCAAGTCACAAGTAATGTACTTGTATGAAAATATAATAGAACCTAGTTCCTCTATTTCACACCCAAGTGCGGATACAAGTCATTCAGGGAGCGAAGAGTCTTCACTTCACTTCCTATCGTCTGGTGATTTGTACCAGGGAGATAGTCCATCCCGCCCCTGAGTAACAGGAAGTTTTCCCAGCCAGAATTGGTAGCCCCTTGGTAGTCATGGTCGTAATCGTCGCCAATATGGATACGCCTCCAGCTATCATCTTCCTCGTATGATGGATCTGTAGCCAGCAGGTGCTCCTTGGCCCGAGTTTTGGCTATATCAAATATCCGGGGATGTGGCTTCTCATCTCCAGCCTCGTAGCTTGTCACAATGAAATCAATATCATTCAACTTGATTTTGCCACCAGTGGAAGTTGACGTAGGTCCACGAGGAAGTAATTCTCCGGTATCCGCCCAGGCGCTGCCAACTGATATACCCAGCGAGTTCAAAATAGGAGATATTCTGTCGTCAGAGTTGGAAATGATTCCTACGACGATTCTCTTGATATGGTTGCTGCCAGAACATCCAACTTTCCCCTTCTCTTCCAACTCTCCTTTCCAGGCCTTTAGTCGGCTAAAGAATCCCTCCACATCTTCAAAAGGTGCATACCCTTCTTTGCCCTCGAACCGCTGAAGCAGCTCTGCCACCAACGAGTCAGGGACTTCCTGCCCCGTCATCACTCCTGAACCACCGTTCACCTCAGCTGCTTTCCCCTGAACTCGCGAAAAGCAGTCCCGGATAACATTAGCCCACCACTCTCTCGGGCCGCCGAATCCTGGCGTGTTACGCCCATAATTCGGCCTTGAAGCACTTTCTCGCTTGTACGCAGACTTAAACGCAGCTTGGACTGTTTCTGGAGAGACACTCGAGGATAAAAAGCCAGCAGCTTTAGCAACTTGAGTGTACTGGACTGCGACGTGTTGGCGAGGGTGGAATATCGTGTTGAACGCGTCCAGTGTCAAGAGCAGAGTTGTCGGAGAGCGTTGGCGGAGAGCTGACATTATAGCTGCTCTACCGCTAGTATCGTGAACAGCAAGTTCTAGCTTCAATGCTTACGTAGAAGGCGTTTTATATCCAGCCATATTCTGCTTAAAAGATATCTATACCACTCTATCAGTTCATCTTCATATTTCCCCGTCGGGACTGCTATATATATCGGAGCGGATAAATACTATTGCCGACCTTGCTTATATAACATCCTTGGTCGACCTCAACTTCAACCTTCGAAGGGTTCATGTTTATGGGATGAAGATATGAGGTGAATACAGCGATAAGACGGACGCCGAGGGAGTAAAGCACAGGGCAATAACCATGCCATATGAATGTAAGCGGCGGTGACGCGCTGCTGGACGCACTTTACTGAACTTCCTTCTAGCACACACCAGCTAAAACACATCGAACGCCTGAGGATGAATACCCCGTATCTGCTAGAGGCATTCGCCAGCCGCAGTCAGAATCCCGTACTCCGCGGTTTCTCTTAGGGCCGCCAGCCTCGCAGGGCTCAAATATTCAGTTCGCGTCGACTCCTCGCTTCCTGTTTGGAGGCGGTGGAAGTCAGTCACAGGCTAATGTGTCTGATGATGAGATCAACCAGGATGACCAGGAGGACTATTCCGGTCGAAAAAGGCCAGCACGTCGCCTTGGGCCACCTGTAGCATTTCGTGGGGAGGCAATCCGAGACTCAGATTCAGAATCAATCCGAGATGACGGAAGCATTTCATCTGGCCACGGAGATGATGTAGCTGGTCAAGCAGGGACCAAAAATGACGGGGATGAGGATGAGATGCTGCTCTCTCTTTCACCCGTGGTTCCAAGCGCCAAACGCCGACGGCGGCTCTCCCGATCACCCTCCCCTAAAGAGTCCAGGGCCAGGGTTTCGAAGTTACCTGGGCCTGACAATATAATATCTTCATCGCCGGGGAGTCCGCCTTCAGTCTCGGCCAGTGAACATATGGACCCGCCATCTGACCTACCTGAAGATGAATTTGTTACACCTAGCCGCCGGGAGATGTTCCCTTCGTCAGGAAAGGACACGCAAGGATTATCATCAGCTAGATACGCGCGATTTATCGCCAACCCAAGGCAAGCGGGCCGCCCGACATCGGGGGATCAAGCTTGTTCCCAGGCCCCTGATTACAATGCAACAACAGCTCTAGAATCTACACCACGGCCAAAACCACGCTTCGTTCTTCCATCTACTCCTCATACAGCGCGTAGTGACAAACAAACAGGCCCTATGACCAGCCCAACTCCATGCTCACCATTGGCTCACCGGACAAAGCGAGGCCGTGCAAGCTCCCTGGTAAAGCCAAACTTTGTCCCTAACGGCATGGCTGCGGAAGTTCGAAATTGGATATTCGAGATGGGTGCGAAATGTCAAGTTAACTCTCATTCGCCAACGCCAGGATCGTTGCTGTTTTCTCCAACGCGTCCTACCCAAAGCGAAACGAAACCCGGAGCAAGTCAAGTCAGCTCTCGAGACCCATATCATCTTACTACCAAGGTTGCGTTGGTGAAACACTCGCTACAGCGCTCAGGCGAGGACCAACTGCCTCACACTAAAATCCATGGCATTTCAGCTGGTCACCCAGCACCATTCATATTGGCCACCCTACGTAAAGAGATGCCGGATTCTGGGCATCTCCCTGTTCATAAGATCTTACTCTTTAACACCCCTCTACATGCAACCCCAAGGAATACAGTTCCGGGTTTTATAAGCTTGAAAGGTGGTGATTGCATTGGGATTAGGAAGGGATTGGTTTGGGAGATGGAGATGAATGCATCCCTTCCTATTGGTTTCACGGTGAGAGAAGGTGATTCAGATACAGCTGAAGAAGTATCTCAAACCTGCCTGGTAGGTGTTGAGTGGGATATACTGGACTGAAAATGGTATCGAGATAAATGCCATTATTGAAAATTGATAAAGAATGCTAGAACGTATTAAAACCCCAATACCCAGCCACCAGCCATTGACTCCTGTTAAGTAAGGCGTAAAAAAAAACCAAGAACTATATCCACTTATGCACTAGGGATAATTTTGATCACTCCCATTCACCAGCCCTAGAATCCAACAGTCCACTTAGGCCGCTTCCCATCGTCCTACGCTGGGCAACCATAGTAGAATGGCTAGAACCGCTCTTCAGACCTTTCTTTAGCTGTAGCTCTCTCTCCTTCTCCCGAGCAGCAGCGTAATAATTCACAGCACCCTTCCTACCGCCTTGCACTCCCGCTGACTCCGTAACAACCACCGAAGAGCCAGAGCTAGTCGATGATGAAGAGGATCTGGTAGAGGCAATAGACAGACTTGATGATGATCGTCTTTGCAGGAATGGTGGAAGTTGGAAATCAGGTCCAACACCGTTTGCACCAGAGTGGAAGGCGGGTTTACCCGCAGAGGCTGCATTGGAAGAAGCTTGACGTCGAAGAGCGAGACGATCAACTACTTTCCCTCTTTGACGACGTGGATTGGCATTCTCCTTCGGCCGCTGTGCCGCCTCCCCTCCACTTGCTGGAAGCGGGTCACCATTATCAACAAAATCGGCTTCTTCAATACCCCCGGAGTGATCAGGCTGAGCTGGAACGTCATCCGATGGTATAATACTTGAGGCAGGGGCCTCCAATGAAGAACCCGTGTTAGGGCCATCAAGCAAGAATGATACGGATTCGCGGATCTCGGCAAGTGTCAATGGCTTCTTCATGCTTGCCTTGTGAGCCAGCCGTCGAGATTTCGCGGGTAATCGGTTCAATGCATCGGCAGCAACAGTCTCGAATGGTCGTTTTCTCGAGGCGGAATTACTAGCATCGTCGCCCCCGGTGCCTTGCTGATTGCTATCGTTGCCGTTATTGTTGCTCTCCTGGGAGGCAACATAGTTCTCGCTATCATCCCCTTCTTCAAGGAAATCAGAATCGTTATCAACGTCCATATCCTCGATAGTTCTCATGAAAGCTTGTTTCTTCGGGTCCTCTGCAATTTTGCCAATCTTCTCGTCAGCAAGGAGGGCCTTTCTCATTTTCATAAATTCTCTTCTTTTCGCAGCCCGTCGTCGGCTGATACGCTCATCGTCTGAATCTGATAAATCCAAAGCATCGCCAACACGTTTCCTACGTAATGCTCCGGTAGTGATATCTTTCATGAGTTTGTTGACTTGTAATTCGTCTTGTTCACGTTCATGATGACTGGAAGTTTGTTAGCCTCATAACTAGCCGATGGTATGGTCAGGCTGGGAAATACATACGCATTCATGGCTGCCAGTTCTTTCTCATCCACTACCTCTCCGCTATTATCATTAATCATCTGTCTATCGAACTCATCCTCTAAACCAGAGTCCTCGTCACTCGCGCCTCCGAGCCCCGCATATTCATCATCAGACTCCTCGGCAGCTTCATCAACCATCTCCTTTGCCTTGCTCTTATCCTTGGCAAACGGTTTAGATTCTTTCTTTCGCATTAGTTTGAAGGCGTTCACCTTGGCATGGGGTTCATCATCATCATCAGCATCTGAATCTTGGTGGGCTGGGCCTCGTCTCAGCCGCTTCCTTTCCCTCTTACGAGGGCCAGTTTCATTGGAAGCTACCATAGATGTAGCGACGGTAGATGGGGCAGTTCGAAATCGCTTTTGTTGGTCAAATGGTGACATAACAAAGCCATCGTCCTGTGTTGGGTCTGGAATTTGAGAGTACTCGGTGAAGGTTTTGGTGCTGGGAGAATCAGCTGCTGGTGTACTAGGCTCTGGAAACCCTGCGAATATATCGAGAGTTCCACTCTCCCGGCCTTGGGTTTCATGCGTAAAATCCTGTGAAGGGGAATCAAGCAGCTCGGCAACAGGAAGGTCTATGCCAGGCATCTTGCGTAGTTGTTCCAACGAGTCCTCCTGTGAGTCTTCTTGACTACCGCCCAAGGTTGCGGCGAAGACTTGAGATAGCCCAAGGAGCGGAGTTGTTGGCAATCCAAGGTTGGGAATTTGTGGTTTAGGAGTAGTAGCCACATGCGGGTTGACGGGGCCATCATCTTCATCATCACTAACAACAAGTTTTGACCTATTCCTCCGCCGGACGTCTGGTTTGTTGACTACATCCTCTTCCATTGCCTCGTCATCGTCATCACGGCCCTCAGATTCAGTGCCTTCCTCAGCCTGATCATCGAACAATTCTCCGGGTTGCTGCTCGTTGTCTTGTTCCTCTTCCCTATCTTCGTCATCTAGGCCGTCCTGTGCGTCGTCCAGGTCCTCGGAATCTTCAGCTTCTGAGTTCACTTCGGCGTCGTTGACATATTCTTCTTCCTCGTCACTAGCAATATCGTAGATATCAACGTCGTTAGATTTCTTCGCACGTTTTGAAGCTGCCTTCTCTTGCTTTGCTATTTGATCTGCTTCTTCTCTAGCCTTATCCATCAAATCCTCAACCTCTTCCTCGCCACGAACGCGTTCTTCGGCTGTTTGAATGACAACACCCTTTGCTCTGAGAGCAGCGATTTTCTCCTCTCTTTGCTGCGCAGCTTGTTCTCTAGCCTTCCGGAGCAAAGTTTCGTCGAGCTCTGCGCGTGTCATGGGTTGCTTTTTGTTATTGGATGGTAGATGTGCCAACGCTTTCAACGTGCGTAGTGAGTTTGACAGTTTATGGGCATTTTGGGAGGTGATGTTTTCGAAGAGTGCTAGACGGCGAGCCTTGTGGGGGGATGTGACAATTTCAAGGTCGGAATCGGAATCATGTTTTTGGCATTGGGCAATGGCTTCTCGGGACAATCGAACTTGCACTCGACGGCTAGTCTTATCTATCTTGGGGGCGATGGGTATAGTGGGCGTTATTTCCTTCAAGGGTTGCTGGGATTGTTCTAGTTGAGGTGCTTGGGGTTCATCTAAAGCAACGAACAGAGCATCTATGGTCGGAAACTCCATATCCTCCTCCAATATCCCCTCCATTGTCCCGCTTGTTCCCTCCACAGATGGTTTATCACCATGTTTCTCTTGATAGGCCTCTCGAACTGGAGAAGTTGGAGGAGTCGAATGCGGGCCCTCCGCATCCGATGTCTGGATAGGGGTATCATTTATAGAACCACTATTAGAAGTGGCTGAAGTTTTTTTCTGGTTGAATCTGGTTAGGAAGCTATCAATCGATATCTTCTTCTTAGTTGTAGCCTCATGTGCCAATTGCATATTGCGCGCCATTCGTTGTGTCTCACGGTTGATGTCGAGCATTGCCTTCTTACTCGCTTTTCTCGCAGGCCGTGATTGTTGGGTTAACCTTTTAACCGCTTCGTCATCTTCTTCTTCATCATCGTCCTCTACTCCCTCTTCGCTGTCCAGCTCCATGGCCCGTTGTGTCTTCTCCCTTTCTTTTTCGAGCGATTGCTTCTCTTGCTGTTCAAGCTTTCTTCGCTTCTCATCGACAAGGGCTTGAAGACGAGAGATAGGCGGTGTGGCTTCTGATATACTTACACCGCGCTGAGCTGTCTTGTCCGCGGGACTTGATGAGCCCATTGGCACAAACAACGGTGATGGTGATCTTTCTGAACCGTTACTCTGCGGAGTACTAGGGGATGATAATTCTGTTGCTCGCGTTGGCTTTCGTCCTCTCCTACCAAATGCAAGGACGTCCCCATTATCTGAATCTGATCCCTGTGGCCGGTCCGATATTTCATTCAGTGCAGATAGGTCGACTGCCTGTCTTCCAGGTATTGGCTTCTTTTTGTTCTCAGATACCGGTGATTTTTGTGAAGACATAGCAGCATGCATTCTAGCTGCTAATCGACCGCGTGGTGCAACCGGCAAATCTTCGTCCCGATCCTCCTCACTGTCATCATCATCATCCATTCGAGCATGGCGCTGCGTGGTCGGTCGTGCGCTAGGTTTCGGTATAGAACGATCAGACTCTGAATCACTATCGAATGCCGCAAGCATAGCCTTGATTTTCCGTCCTGGAGTCATGATAGCTGGAGAGCTACCATTGTGGACCGGTGAACCGCCAGTGCTTTTTGGGGTACTTGGAGTGCGGGAGCGCGTCGAGCGCGGCGAAGCGGTAGCCATACTCGTGGCTAGAGATATAAACTATGGTAGATTCATATATGTCAAGTTCACTGGAGCAAGCCTATGCTGTGCTAAAGATATATCAACTTCAAGAGAAGACGCTGGAGAACATCTCACTGCGTGACGCGGGAGTTCCATGGAGGCTCGTAGATATGCATCTCGAATATCCAATTTGGCGTGTCGACGCGACCAGCCAATCAGCGACGCGTTTAAGATGACTAACGCGACTACTCACGTGTATATACGGAAATATAAATATCCGATATAATGTTACTAAGCATAACGATGCAAACAGTGTAAAATTAACAAACATAGCAAACAGCTGCTAACATCGTGAAGTTCTTGTAATAATGGTGATAGTAGGTTGTAGTAATGGCGATAGTAAGGGGAATAGAGTGAGAATTAGGGAACTGCACGCTTGTCATTACTATAGATTCTAATAAAAGTACATTAAGGGTTCAGTTCATAGGGTCAATCCAGGATATAGGGTCATGAAGCTTCCATCAATCCGAGCCCCTGAAATTGCCCTTGAAGCCTATTGTCGGCTCGCACGAGGCAAACATTGGTATTTGTTCCTTGACCCCGGGAGAAACAGTAGCACATTTAGCTTCCAGCACTCCAAGGTCTTCCTTCATAACAGCAGTTGCCTTATCGCCATAGTGGAGTTGATAGAAATCTGCGTTGTTCTTGCGGATAGACTCTGTAATGGTTCGCAGGGCCTCTGCTTCAAACTTTGCCTTCTCTTCGGCCTTGCTGCCTGTCGTAGTTTGCGACTCAACCTTTTGCTTCTTATCCTGGTGCTGCTCTGAGCCCTCTGATGTTTTATTACTCGCATCGTCGATCATCTTTTGCCGTCTTTCTTTGGACGCTAGATACTTGAGCGAGTGGCTTAGCCCCTGATGACTGGCTGGAACCACATCGAGCGGTGGGACACCGAAGAAAAGAACACGGCCTTTGTCATCTTTTTGGAACTGATCGCGTATTTCCTTTGGGATTGATTGGTCTAGCCCGCCACGTAGATGGAATGTTTCTACACTCCGTGGCGCATTGGGGTTGTAGATAGGTGGCGGTATGGGTGCTTGAGGGAGGCGACTCCCTTGGTATGAAGGGAAATTATGTGGTACAGAGTAAGGTTGTGCTGGTTGAGGGACTTGGTACGGAGGTTGCGGCGTTTGTGGGAGAACCGGGGGTGGCCGACCGGGGTGGCCAACTGGGAACATGGGTATGTTCGGGGGTGCTGGGTGATATGGGTGAGGCCTACCTGGCATCATTGGTGGCTGGGGAGTGGCAGCGAGATGGGGAGGATGGGGTAGACGGCCGGGAAGAGGTGGGATGGAATTGTTACGCATATGATCCTGACCGGGCATGTGTTGAAGAGGGGGCTGAGGCTGAGGCAAGGGTGGCTGTCTATTCGGCATTGCTAGAGGTGTAGGGGGTTGAAGCTGTGGTGGTGGAGGAGATGGTGTTGGTTCGGGAGGAGGAGATTCCTAAAATTATCCTGATCAGTATTTCATTTGCGCAATGAAGGGGTTTTTAGTCGGTATGGATTACTCACGTTTTCGTCACGCGGCCGGCAGTGGACAGCTCCAACGATGGGCGGTGCATTCTCAGCACCCCAAGTCGGCTTTGGGAGATCATCCGTCTCTTTGGCATCGTCCTTAAGTAGATGTCTGATAGGGCTCGGTATCTTCTTGATTTTCCTAGGCGCATCGAAAAGGTCCATCTCGTAGTCCTTTTCCCGCACTTCATCAGGCAGACAACTAGCCCATGTTTTGATCTTGTTCAGTTTGTGCTTTTCTTCATTGTATCTGGCTTCGCAAACGTAAACCTCCTTATTGTGTGCAAGTCCTCGTGGGCGCCCGCGATTGTAGCGTGTAAAGAACATGACAAAACACCTGTCGACCACCTCATCGATCCGATGATCTCGATACTGGCCGGTCTTCACGACCTCGTTCGGAAAGAAATGTTTCTCAAAATGATGAATGGTTTGCTCCGGTCGGTAGTACCAGCAGGCATTTACCCATTTCTCGCCTTCGGAATCCTGCCAGGTTCGATACAGCTGAGCAACAATAGGCTTTGTGGCATCGTTTGGATTCTGAATGTGAACCCAGTCACCAACCCGCCAGATCTCATCCTTGTACGAAATCCCGTTTGGTAAAGGCAGACGCCCATCCTCCATCAAGTATTCGCTATCCGGCTTGTTCTTCTCCTGCTCTGCAAGCCTATGCGCTTCTCGATGCAGGTCATCAGCATCTCTGTATATTTGACTCTCGGGGAGATTGTATACTCTCGCGTTGTTGAACATGACGTCGACATCCCTCATAAAGTGGTCGACAGAGTTGTACTTCTTCCTCTTAGACTTCCTCTTGATAAGGTCTATAGCCAGCGGCTCCTTTATTTCCACATAATAATCCGGATATGCAGCTTTATCAGGCAAGCGCTCGAAATGCCGAACTTTCAGCTGTCCGCTGTTGTCCTTAAGTTTACGGATTCCCTTGAGAACAGCCTTGATTCTCGCTTCCATTGGTGTGTCGACGCGCGGGGGCCGGCCACGCTTCTTGCGAGCGTCCAGATCAGTACCCTTTTGGAGGTCATCCTTCGCTCCACTTTCTCGTTTGGAGTTGCCGCGGGGTCCACGTTTACGTTTCCGTCGGGCACCATCTTCGTCCGAATCATCAGCTTCTTCGTCGTCCTCGTCCTCCTCTTCGTCTTCCTCCTCCTCTTCAACCGGGAGGGGATCTGCTTCTGGGATTTCCCCAAGATCGGGGAGCTCGGCTATTTCAGCGGTAATAATATCCTGTTCCGCAAGCTTTCGAAATTCGGTTGTCATAACGTCCTGGAAAGAGAAAAAAGCCGGGATATTAGCAGTGCTTTGAGATTGGTATCCCTGAAGAAGGCAACATACTTTGATAACGAGCGCATCCTCATACGCCATCGACTTTGGACGATTATATGTTTGCGCATTATGCGGGATCTAAGAAGACGTTCCGTTAATACTATCCATTATGGACAATTCGCATGAGTCCGTCTGCTTAGGATAGCCTTACCAAAGCACAGTCCCTAACGAAGTCTGCAAATTGGACATAAGACTTGTTCTTGATTTTCTGCTTCAGCACGCTAAGGGCCATTGGTTCCTTAATCACATCGTAATAGTCTGGCACATTGCGCTTATTGACGCTCCGCTGGAAGAGCTTCGAAGGGTCGTGGCCACTATCCAGTCATGTCAGTACATTAATGAGGTAAAATGGGTATATATCAGATCGCATAGCATACTCTTGCTCCCTATAGTTGTATATAGTCGTAAGAACATCTGACATTGCCTTCCATTGCACGTCAGTAACTTGGCTGACAGGCGCATCTGTCGGCTTCGAGGTCTCGATGGATTCAACGATCCCGGAGTTAGCTGCCGCCGGTTCTTGCGCGGCCGCCCGTAGCTGTTTCTCGATGCCAAGTGCACCGCCAGAGCTATCTTCCGCCATGACTGGGGGGGTTTGCAGTTGTTCTGGAGCCAACGATGACGACTAGAGAAGAAGGGAGATAGCTTCAGTTTTGCGACCGCCAACAACATTGAAGGAAGCTTGGTGGATCGCGCTTTTTTTCCGCGTTCTGGTGATGTCATGTGACATACCTCGGAGTTATGTTTATCCGATAACTGGAAATCGGCAATAAGGAAACATCCTGGAGCAGAACAATTCGATATAACGAGCGATATACCATAACTGTTGCTGGCACGTATATGCATCTTGCTAGAGCGTCCTGCGTCGTTTGTTAGGCTTGGCTGTACCATATATATTGCCAGCATGAGGCTCCGTGTCCGCGGCCCTGGTGGCCAGTCCACCATTACACTAGAGGACACTGCTACAGTCGAGGATCTTCTCCGAAATATCAGCCAAGCAACATCGTTATCATCGTACGATGTGAAATATGGATACCCCCCACAACCCCTCGCTCTGGGCCAGCTTGACGCTCAAACAAAGGTCACTGATATCGGCGTCAACCTTAACGGGGAACAACTCATAGTGAGCCAGCGGGACGATATCAAGGAACCCGAGGACAAACCATCATCATCATTAGAACATCGGCAATCAGAGTCACAAACGGGTAAACAGACGTCAAAACCCCTTTCTCTTACCAAGAAAAAGAACAGTATAGAGAACGATGCTCCAGAAATACCCTCTCCCGAGCATGGGGGAACCATTGTTCTCCGGATTATGCCTGATGACAACTCGTGTCTCTTCCGCGCGGTTGGCAGCGCCGTCATAGGCGCAATGGATGCTATGACCGAGTTAAGATCCATCATCGCGCAAAGTATTCAGGAACAGCCGGAATTTTACACCGCAGCGGTCCTGGAGAAGTCTCCAGACGACTATTGTCGGTGGATCCAAACCGAGGACGCTTGGGGTGGTGGAATTGAACTCGGCATTTTAAGCAAGCATTTCGAGATCGAGATATGTTCGATCGATGTGCAAACCCTGCGGATAGATCGGTTCAACGAAGGTTGCCCCACACGCTGTGTTGTGGTCTACTCGGGCATACACTACGACACAGTCGCCCTGTCTCCATCGGACGAGCCATATACTCATGCTTATGCGCCGCCGGAGTTTGACACCAAGATATTTGATTCCTCAGACCCAGTGATTCTAGAAAAAGCGACGGAGCTATGCCAGATCTTGAAGGAGAAACACTACTATACCGACACGTCCAACTTCCAGTTGAAGTGCAATGTTTGTGGAGGGCTGTTTAAAGGAGAGAAAGGGGCCACCAGCCACGCATCTGAGACCGGCCACTATGACTTTGGAGAGGCAGGCTGATGCCAGTTTAGTCTTTGATTCTACCCCTTAGGATAAACTTCAATCCATTCCACGAGTACATATATCATTGGCAGGCAGTTATTCAGAGTTATACGATTTATATTGAAGTCAGTGGCAGTAAACCTGGGCTACTCACCCATTATATACAGCTAGTCAAATCGTAGCTTGTATTCTGGAGTCTCCCAACCTGTGTAGCCATATTTACTTAATGTAGGTATACCCTACCCAAATCACGGTGGTAGGCCATCTTTTTGGCCAGCGGCCAGCCAGCGTACATACTCATGCTAATCCACAACCACGCTACGCAAATTCATCAAGTATATCATAGATAGAAACAAATTTATGGCGATATGGTAGCGCGCTAGCCTAGCTCTCACCTTACCTTGGCCGCAGCTAGACTCTCCCCCGTACTCGATGTATGTTCCCCCCAATTTTATACATTAAACACTATCGTACATACCTTAAAACAGCAACACCCGCACAAAGCCAACCATGACTGCCAAAAATGTGACACACATGGCGCCAATCGTCTCTCTACCAACTGACACACCAATCTCGGTTCTCTTTCGAGGGCATATGTATGGAGATTTTGTTGGCAGTTCAGTGAGATTGTCAGGCCATGAGCCGGCCGTGCAAGAGACGGTAGCCATCATGACACTCGAAACGCGACTTGCAAGTGCAGCGTCGATTTTGAAAAGATTTGACTGGACTGGTAGAGGGGAGGCAAACGAATGACAGACTCCACCGGTCGAATTTATTGAGTCCCCCCCATAGCCGAGTGAGACTAACGGTTTGGAATAAGGGCCAGCTACCAAGATATCAGGTACCTTCCCGTCAAGGCGGAGCTTGAACCGTGTAGTTCCTAGGTGATCATATTCTCTAACATAGTCAGGACGTGTTATGTTGTTGTAGCAGTCGTATTTAACTCCAATTCCGTAGGTGAGTTCAAGGGTGCCAACGGTCGAGTTCAAAATTTGGTCGCTTGAGTTGAGGAGCAGAAATTCGTCTGGATATGGTGCTACCTGGTAAACACCACCGTAGGCCTCGACCCCTGGATGACCTGTATATGGCGCGGGTTCCACCATCTTAAGACTCCACCAGAGGTTGATGTCTCTCGCTGCAATTGCACTGAGATTTTTAGCGGCGTATATGATCGGGAAAGGATAAACCGGCTTGTAGACCCCGTTGTCTTCAGGGAATATCAGGTCAACCTGGATACCCTGCGGTTCGTAAAGACATGCACCGAAGCAAAAGAAGAGAAAATGGAGTAGCAGTAAGCTCGACATGATTATAGATGCGTTGTCAATCGTGGAACTGTAGAATCGTAGAACTGTGATTAGAATGTGGATGTGAACGTGTAGGCACTGCTATTAGAATCTGTTTCATTTACGGAGTATAAAGGGGGAAGCGAGGCCAGAGCTCCTTGCTATCACGCGGGGCGATATCAGGATGTGTGCGAGAGTAGGGGTCAGAACTGATATCTGGGGTGCCTCAGGGGCGTTCACTCTCCATACGCCCAGACTCCCCACGGAGCATTTAACGCAACAAAAGTAACTGTTAGGCTACGCGCGGTCATCGAGCCTAGTGTCTTCCCTGTCGTGTCTCACTTGGTTTTCCGGGGAATTGGATCAGGCCCTTGATGGTGCCTGGATGGAGGTGTGACTGCGCCGTAGTTACATATCTCATGCATATGGTCGTATTCTCCCAGCTCAGCCTGCTTGAGCCTCGCTTGCCAGGACCAATAAAATAGCCTGCTGGCACATCTTTAGATTAATAGCACTGGACTCTATGCATCGGCCAGGGTTGATTGGTATATCTCCTTGTCATATAAGGGGAAAGTCAAGTCCCGTGATGACGCGGCAAGAAGGTTCCAAGGTTGCGAGAAGCGCGAACCTTGCCGATCACTTCAACGTCCAACAAAAAGAAACGCACCAGGACTCGCCGTCGCGATGACAGCACTGCTCGCTGCACTCAATTCTCCTGCTCAGAGAGTATTTATATTCTCAAGGTTAGCATATCGGGCTGCCACATCGGAGTTTTTCTTTTTTTTTCCTTCTTTTCCTTCTTTTCTTTCTTTTTTCATGTCTTTTTATGGAAGGTGGTTCACGCTTCGGCTCTCCATAATTATATGCCTATACACCCTAAAAAAGCCTATGTCTACAGTCGCATTGCAAATGTGAATGCCTTCCCCAGTCTTTTTTGACTTGTTATATAAATGTAGCTGACCTGACAATGACTTGCCAGCCAACTAATCAAGCCTTTGAGCGTCGGATGGCAGCCTTTGGAAGGTGGAAGCGATGCCGTGTCCTTGTCGTCGGGCACATCGGCTGTTTTCAGTGTCATTTTGGCGCTTGCGAAATCCGGAGATAATGTGATTGCATCCAACAATATCTACAACGGCTCATTCTACCAATTTCGTGTGCTTCTTCCCAAATTGGGGATCGAATGTGCGATATTAATGACGTGGCAATGGTTGAACAGCTCATTGACGAAAAAACCAAGCTGATTTTCACGGAGTCTCTGGGGAACCCCAACTATGCTGTGCCAGATTTTGAGTCTCTGGCGAAGATAACACATAAGGCACAACTGCCTCTCGTTGTCGATGCCACCTTCACGGCGGGAGGGTGTTTCTGCCAGCCAGCCTCCCGGGGTGCCGACATTATCATCCACTCTGCAACCAAATGGATCAGTGGTAGTGGCACAAGCCTCGGCGCCGTAGTCATCGAGGCAGGACAGTCCGATTGGCAGGCCAACGCTGCGAAATTTCCGGAGCTTCATGGCCTGCGACCCGGACGCGAGGGCTGCGATGCTGACCTGTATACACGCCTGGGCCGTCGCGCTTTCATCGAGTTCCTCCGATGGGACACACTGCGGGATACTGGATCTTGCCTAAGCCCATTCGCTGCCCAACAGCTCTTCGCTGGTGTCGAATCCATGTCTTTGCGTTGCGCCCGTCAAGCTGCTAACACCGCTGCTCTGGCCGTCTGGCTGCGTGACCACCCGCGAGTCGCCTGGGTGCGGTATCTCGGCTTTGAAGATCACCCGTATCACCAACTAGCATGCAAGTATTTCCGTAATGGATTCGGCACTGTTCTTACCTTTGGTCTCAAGGGCGGCTCCGCTGAGGGCTTTAGGCTGATGGACGCCTTCAAACTTATCATTAACGCAACCCACGTTAGCGACCCCAAAACCATCATTGGCCATCACTGGTCGACCACGCACAAGCAGTGTACGCCGGACAAGACTGCGGCCATGGGAGTTTTCGACGACCTATTTCGCCTATCTTTGGGGATAGAGGATATACGAGATCTTACACTTTGAACAGGCATTTGAGGTGGCTCAGCGCACATAGAGAATTGCGTGGTCGTACACTGTTTTGAGAATGAATTTCGACAGCTACCTGAGCTTCTGAGATGCATCCTTGTTCATAGCTTAATTATCTCACATATAAATGGTACAATTTAGCCTCTAATTGGTAAATTCAACAACGGCTCCGCTCCTCCCATGCGCGCTGCAGCCTAAATGACTTTGGAAACCATTCCGGTTCTTTCCCAGTCGTCATCATCTCTACTAAAGCCTCGGCACAACGAAAGGCCATAGCCACTGTAATTCCAGGTCAGTAATTTCACGACTTAAATAAGGCAAATAGTAAGAAACGTACTGCCATGTCCATTCATACCCACAGACATCCACAATCCATTCTGGCCCGGGGATTCACCGACAAGAGGGAACGTGTCGGGTGTGTAGCAGGTGATACCCGACCAGTCTCTGACAACACGACCGTCGTCACCCCACGCCTCGGGACTAAAGAACTGGGAAGGCGCACGGTGGAGATAGTTGGCAATGTCCGGATTTACTATGGCATCATTCGTGGTGTCACGATCACCAGTCTTGGAGTGACTTCTGCCGCCACCGTAGATGAGAAGGTGGTCTTGAGCATGGTACATGAGGTAGTCACCGCTGCCGGCGTCATTAAGCCCTGCACTACCGCGCAATAGTGCTTCTGGGTCATCTAGCACATTGTTTCCAGGCCTCAAGGCAGTAATCTGGCTCCTTGCGGGTGTCAGGAAGCCCGTAGCAGCCAGGCCACGGTGTAGGGGATTCGTGTAGCCATTGGTGGCAAGGACGACTCGGTTTGCATGGACGGTGCCCCTGTCCGTGTTGACGAGCCAACCGTCCCCTTGTGCGTGCGCAGTAATGTCAAGTGCTGTCGTTGTGGTTTGCAGATTGAGACCCTTCTCCAAGCTGAGCTCCAGCATCCGGCATACCAGACGATACGGGTTCTGGGTATGGGCGGGCCAAGTAATGGCTCCAACAATGGCAGGCATTCCCATATGTTTCCTGGCCTCTTGTCCATGCAAGACTCTACGACGAATCGAGGGCGCAAGATCGGGCTTCCGCCGTTTAACCTCATCTCGGGCCTCAAGGAGATCCAACACAGCTGCCCACTTCTCCTGAGTGACATAGACATCCGCTGTTTCAACATTGGCAAACTCGCAATCAACATGGTGGTCGCGCACAAAATCCGCAATGTCCTGGACATTGGCCTCCTCGAACCTCTCGAACTTGAGCGCCTCGTCTTCGCCTAGGGCCTGGACATAACGGCTATAGTTAAGCCAAAACCCAGCCCGACAGTGGCCTCCGTTACGGCCCGAAGCGCCCGAGGCCGATGTGCGGGCCTCGAGCATAAGAATCGAGAGGCCAGCATTGCGTGTTAGGAGTTTGTGTGCTATGGCCGCGCCGGAGATACCTGAGCCCACGATAATATAGTCGAATTTATTGGACGTTGGCAGGGCTGATGTTGTTCGGTGGTTTGCGATATTGTGCGGAGGCACTTGCCAGTAGGATACCGTGGGATTTGGGTGGGGGAACCCAGGGAGACTTTCACCGCCGCCCATGATGGATGGAGGTGGATTAGATAGTGTGAGATACAAAGAGCTTATAATAACATCGGGTAAACACTCCTACTTATCAAAAACCCCAATTTATTACTAAGTGAATGACAGGTCGATGAGCAGGCTGATGAGTATGTTGGTGCCTAGGGGGTAACTAGGTCGATTTGATGTTATATACAATATTAGTTAGGCTCAATGTATCGGCCTACTCATCGGCCTACTTATCAACGTTAGCAGACTCGTTGCCGATTTCCCAATATACTTAACGGACATGCAGAGCTTCCAGTTTTAGGATAAATGCAATTATTATATTAGCACGATCCTCATCCTATGCCGCTGTCCCTATCTCGTGGTTTGTAGCTCACCCTCAGTATAACCAAAACAACAGTACCGACGAGGACTCGGCAGGATGCGCATCGAGTCAACTCTGGAGCCGAAATAACTTTTGGTGGCATCAAGCTAAAAGTGCTAGTTTCAGGCCTCACTGGCTGCTGGGTGAGTCAGTATCCACGACTTCAGCTTGCGGCTCTGCGAGCGTATAACTATGTGAGTCAAGTGGCTTGAAGGCCGTGTATAAATAAGCTGAACTTCTTCGGCTGCTTTCCATCATCTCTAGGGAAAGCCAGTCTTGTTTCTTCTATACCCTTACACTCCAGCATGGAGCACGACCTCCTCATACTCATCGATGCGACGGCGTCGATGGGTCAATATCTCACATCCCTGAACACCTCCATTCCCCAGATTATCTCCATCTCTGCCCTTACAGGATGCTTCTCACGAGTCGGACTCCTGGCATACCGCGATTACTGCGACGCCCAGCTGCTTGAATGGTCCGGATGGCGCGAGGAATCCAAGGGCGCCGGTACGGATCAGCCCGACCTTCTCGCTCTGGCAAAGTCGTTAGAGCCATGCGGAGGTGGTGATGCACCAGAGGCTGCGAAGACGGGCCTTGCTAAGGCGTACGAGATGATGCGTCCAGAGGCGAAGACCACCATCTTGTTCTATACAGATGCCCCCCCTCACCTTGGAGTGGCGGATAGACAGACCAAGGATCGCGGTCACGTCTCCAACGGTATATTGGAGAAAAGAGCACTATCAGAACCGTCGTCGTATGGTGGTTTTGGTCCAAACTTCGTGGACTGGGTTTCAGCCTGCAATTTCCTCCGCAAGGGCGAGAAAGCTGTGCAGGTGTTTTGTCTGCTTGCCTCTTCGATGAGCTGGATAAGCTGTGGTCATTACATTTATCTATCTACCATGACCGGTGGTGCATGCATGATTCTCGAAAACTCGAAGCCTACAACCATCTCCAGGGTGACGATTGATCTGCTACTCTCGTGGATGGGGGTCGAATCCACGAACAATGCATCCGACAAGGGCAGTGCAGACGAGTCACTGGCAACATTGGGTCGTTACAAGTCCATTGATAACATTAAGAAGCTCCAAGACGAGCGCGATCCGAACGCTGGGCGTTATTTCCTCACACCTTCGGTCCACTCTAATAGAGTACCTATCCATGAGAATGTTGCAAAGGCACCAATGACCCCGGATATATCGAAGAAGTTTCTCCCAAAGAAAGATGTCCCGGTTACAAACTTTGCAACGGCCTGGTCCACCGACCTCGCCTACCGAGCCCTGGCCCTCAAACACCTAAAGAAGATTATAGAATTCGATGTCAGGGCGATATCGGTCAACCCCGTCTTTGGGAGTCTCTGGAGGACAATCTGCAGTGATAGAACCTGTGATTCACGGCAGGAGCTTCTTGATGCGTTCAGCTCGGAGGTGAGCAGGGTGGAGAACGCAGAAGATAGGGAGGCTCTGAAAACCTGGTTGGAAGGCTCCTATGATTATACTGCAGAGGTTCTTGAGCTCATCGACCGTGTTCCAAGCGAAGAGAGGTTCCCATGTGTTTTCCTCGATCCAACACTTGACTTTACCCCAGCAAGAGCAGAAACCGAGGATGAGTCCGGGAAACCTATCACAGCTCTCACCAGGGCCGATTTACTGGAGATTGGCAGATCGTGTGACCCTTCGATCCTCCGACGGCTTGGGCGGATCCTTACTCAACTGACTTATGTCGAAACTGAGGCTGACTTGCCTGAGCATATTGCAAATTCCACTCAGGACCAGGTTCCCCAGATCCCCATGGCACTAGCTAGCAAGGAGCATAACCGTCAATTCTGGAGAATCCTCTTGCATCTTATTGTCCCGGGGACAATGCTGGCATCTCGCCCTGCAGCCCTTCTTGCGGCCTTGAGCTTGCATCTTGGAATCACGCCCCTCACGCAGGTAGCAGAGCGTGAAGCACTTGGCTTTAGAAACAAGTGGAATGACCCCGAGACCCCGGAGACCTGGGCTATCCCATGCCTGAATCTGCTGCTCAACGCAGACAAGGCGTATACCGAGCGACAGGCACAACTTAAAGCATCATCTGAAATTTCCGACGTCTCCAGCAAGAAACCAGCAACCTTGTTGAAACCAAGTGATAGAGAGCTCTTCGAACAGCTAATTGCATATAGAATGCTAGAGGTTAACCTTCAGAGCACTCTGACCGCAAGGATCGGTTGGACCCCTGAAAAGACCATGGCGCCTATGGGGCCAACGGTCGCTTGTCGATCTTGCAAATACCCAAGGTCAGTCAGTGTCATGGACCGTAACAGCAAATGTGGTCTATGCGTCTTCTCCTCACAGAATGAAGGCTATCAGAAAATCATAGACATTGGGGTTTCAAAGGAAGATGGTCCGGAAACACTGGCGACCTGGGTGGAATGCTGCGTGCAAACCTGTAGAGCACAGTACGTGGTATATGACGTCGACTCTCTACGAGTGAGAGCGAAATGCCATTACTGTAGAGCGAAAGGTGCATCCGTACCTGCTACGCATAACAAGCACCCTGACGCTCCCTGGATTGAATGCCAGCAGTGCTTGAACCGATTTATCTGGCCTGTCGAATATCGTCCTCCTTCTCTTTCCGCCTCCAAATTCATCTGCACTCCCTGCACCTCTGGGCGGGAAACAGTGGTCGACGTCGAAACCACGGCCAAGAAGATCTCAGCTGAAAATTCTTATGCATGGCTGGTCTCCGATAGTCAGAAGCCGGATACCTGCCCTTTCACTGGCCGCTCATTATACCATACTATATCCACCATTGGAACTGAAAATTTTATGTCCCGGATGAAACTCTTCCCACCAACAAAGGAGATACTGACCATAAAGGGGAAGACTATACAAAATACCCCCGCGCTGATTTCAACGCTCCAGGACCTGATTTCACGCCGTCAAACTATCAAAGCACACTGCTCCCTATGTTTTTCAACTTTCCGCCCTGACGCACTGAACCCTGCCTGTGGACGCAGAGGTTGTCTACAGCGTGTCTGCCGTGACTGCCTCTCAGGATGGTACGGACTAAATTCGGCAGGCCGAATCTTAAACGTCGGTGCACTATCCTGTCCATTCTGTCGAAGGTTCCCATCTGCCAAAACTCTAGCGAATTATGCAATGGGTGTCCAGGCGGTTGCCAACCTGGCAGTGGCGGTCGCAGAAAGAGGAACCTGGATATACGCGTGGTGTATTATCTGTTCATCTGCAAAACAGCTAATGGAACGAGTATGTGCTCAGGGAGCACCCCCTGAAGTTTCCGGCTGGGTATGTAGGGAGTGTGTGCAACGACAGGAGGAGATTGAACTTGCGCGAATCGCTGAGATTGAAGACGCTGAATACGCCGCAGCAATGCAAGAAGCTCTCCTAGCCAAGAGGCTAAGTAAGATAAAGCCCTGCCCAGGGTGTGGAGTGATGACGGAGAAAATTGAAGGCTGTGCACATATTACATGTCCAGTGAAGAAATGTAAACTGGAATGGTGTTATTTCTGCGGTCGTCACTTTCCAGGTATGGATATATATGAACACATGAATAACGAGCATGGCGGGATATATGACGCCGAAGACGAAGGATTCGTGGAGGTTTATGATAATGAATAAGGTGATCGTGGGATTTTTTGTCACCGTTAGTTTTTTTTTTTAATGGGATATGAAATTTGAGCGATCTGCAACGATTTCACTGCATGCTATAAATATCTTATCTATGCATGGCTTCGTAATGCATGATTTTCGTATAGCTGTTTCTCGTACAGCTGCTTGATCAATCACAACCACGCCTATCCTAGCGTTCGCATTCCATTAGAACGCGAGTAGCTGCTGAGCCTGGTGGAGGATGGAAATTCAAGCATAGCTGCAAATAGCTCCGGATATTATGATGGTAATAGAAAGCCGGATCGGCTGATCGGGGCTTTCAGCACCGTTATGACGGAAAGATATCTGGTAAACGCGTGCCGTATAGGCGTCGTCTAAAGGAAACACCGGCATAGGCGTCTCCTGGCGGTGATGTGTATAGATAAAGGAAATCGATAGCCTCAGTCGCTTGCCAAGGAAACCTATCTCGGCGACCCGGGTATTAGTCATCCACCAAGAACTTCCAGCTGTTCCGCCTCGGGGATTTTGGAGGATCTTTGTTCGTATGTTGATTCTTTGCTCCCTTCAGTATGAGCTGGGGGAGGAGGGGGATTCCTGGTGGATGCAGCGACGAAGGTATGGTCCTGAAAGTGAAGAATGGATATATTAACGTATTTTTAAAAGGATAGGTTAAATATACAGGAAACAAGATGCCATCAAAACCATCACTTGGGGATATCCAAAGAAAAATGAAAAATGGCATGATCAAAGCGTGCAATGTCCAAGGAAAAATCAGACAGATAAAAAGGAAGCGGCCATAAATCGTTACTCTCCCGGTCTAGGTACGTGCATTAAGAAACATCCTGTGTTAAAGATGATGGGAGCGACAGGGCTGTATAATCATAGGATATAGACTTGTCGAACAAGTCACCAACATCAAATATACCATTGAAGTCAAAGGAGAGAACGTCTGGATAGGAAGCGGGCGGGCCATGAGGCATCACTACGCCATGGGATGTTGTGTTGGGCATCATTGCTGTGGTGGCTATGATGGAGTTTGTGTTTGTTGTGTTGTTAGCTGGTTGCTGCTGCTGCTGCTGCTGCTGCTGTTGTTGCTGCGGCTGTTGTTGCTGCGGCTGTGGCGGCGGCGGTGGTGCAGGTTGAGTAGGAGGTGGTGCAGGTGGTGCAGTGGGAGTAGCGTTTGCAATTGGTGAGGTGTCCATGGCCATAATAGCTGCTCTACCGGCATTGCTTATAGGGCTGATATCGCCGTCAGAGAGCGATAGGATATCCCGCGCAATGGTTGCCATCTCCCGATACGTCCGTTTACCTAGCGGCCAATACATGCTGAGTGTCTTGAGGGCACCCATGTTCAATCTAATCCTCTCCCGTTCTATTTGCAGTGTCTTACCGCGGAAGAGATGCTTGCAAGCTGAGAGATGGGCGATGGTAGTGTTTGCAATCATGCAGATGACGAAAGGCGTGTGAGATATGATGGTGGTGGGCAGCGTGAGTAGATCGTTGAATTTATCAACGGCAAGCAGAACCTTGGATGTATGAATTTGCATGTCCTTGGTTGCTCTGTTTGGGTTGTTCGCGTCCGAAGGTGCCGGTGGGGCGCATCTAGACACGGACTCGATAGGGCTGTATGCTAAACTTGATAGCTCACGGTGTAGATCCACAATGTATCTATTAATCATCAGCCTGCTGCAGACGATAAGGTATACATAAAGAAAGGAGCCGGGGGGACTCCCAAAAGAAATTACAGCCCTATATATGACCTGTGTCTTCTTGGTTTCATTGGACGCAGGGTATGGGAATGCATAGGACTTACGTATGAACCAACATGTTCGCTTTAAATAGCTGTTCGTCGATGGTACCGTCTTCCCGGGCAAGACAGCGCTTCCTTGGAGGTATAAGGGAGCACCACGCTCTCATGCAGGTGTCCACACGTGAGCACACGACACTTGGCGGGTCTGGATTGTTTGGCCGGCGCCCGGATAAGGCAAGATCAAGCCCCCGCGTGAGGCCAACGAGATGCGCGAATGAGGAGAAGTCTTGGTCTTCTTCATCTGCGAACTCGCGCATGTCGTACTCATACAGGGTTCTCGGCTTCGGGATATCCTGACCCAATTAAACGTTAAAAAATTAGCCTATGCAGATCCACTAAGATGCTGTATATATATGTATATAGATATATATATCAACTCACCCCTTTTTCGTAGAGATCTTCCTCGCATGGGAGAGTGGCGGTGGGCTGGATATGACTGGTCCTAAACGGGAACGTGTGGGTACTTCCGGCAACATGGCCGTCAACGACGTATAACTGCCACCAGGTCCGCCTCCAGCTCTCTTCGAGCAGTCGGTTGTTTTCTCCATGGCGCTGTGCAAACGATTCGAGGTGCATCTCCATGTCGAGGGCCATACGAATGGTTTCATCGAGGATCTTCAGCCCTCTCTCAATTTCATTACACCAGTAAACGGCGATGGAATATAGCAAGAAGGCCTGGACGTGGTATCCGGTGGGCTCCCCCGACCCAGCTCGAAAATCAGCAAACGCCTTCTGCACCTCCGCCTCCAATGGGCCAGAGTTGACAGAGGGCGTAAACAAGGCACCGATATACTGCATGGTCAGCAGGAGGGGCCGCAAAGTGACTGGATCCTGGGCCAATCGAATCTGGAAGGACCACCGGGGAAGCACGCAAGGATGCGAGATGTGAAAGTACCTGTAGTACATGTTGAGCAGATCGTCCGACTGCACTTCAGAGTGAGTGGGACTGCTGCCGTTACTGCTGGCGATTGTGGTTGCGCGAGTCGGCGTGACCATTGGGATAGATCTCGGTACGCCACAGTACGCATCGTTGAAGACGTTCTCGTCGGGCACGGGAAGCGAGACACAGTCCGGCGGCAACCCGGACAGTGGAAGATCGGCCGGGACCGGGGAAGGCGACGAGGTTGGCCTGCGTCGTCCGCCGCGGCGAGATTTGAGGTAGGTACACTGCTTCCCGTCGGTCTGGCAGCGAGAACATCGAGGGGCCTTTGCATCGCACTTCAGATGCCGTGATCGGCACTGGACGCAGGCTAGCGATACGCGGATGAAGTGCCTGGTAGGCGCAAACGAGGCCATTGAATCGGAATGCTGGGACTCTACCGGAGTCACCATGGTTTGGAGGGATAGACTGGACGACTCTGCGGCGCGCGCAAGAGGGAGGGTCGGTGGTGGAAGATATAAAAAAGGGACAAGCGTCGACGAGGGTGAACGGGACGACCAAAGACCAAGATCGGAGGCTAGCCTAGCCTGTGACGGGCGTCAAGCATGCGACGAGAGAGCGAGAGCGAGAGGGATCCTTGTCGCTGCTACCGCTGGGCTACTTCTTCTGATGCTGGTGGTGACGACGGTGCTGGTGCTGGGCTGCCGCTCGGTATGTGTGCCGCTGGTTCAGCCTGCGGTTGCCACACGCTGTGCAGGACGGAAGCGAGTAGCGTCGCGGGAGCAGCCGTGCATGGCTATGATGCAACATGCAACAGCTGCGATCGGTTGAATAGAGGCCGTTACTCCGTGTATCTTGTCTGTCTTGCGTTGTTCGGGGCGAAGATAGAGACGACGTTGAGTCTGTGGCTGCTTATGTAAGATGATGACAAACTCCCTTCTCCTTCTTCCTTCTCCTTTACTCTTCCTTCTCTTCTATTCTTTCTCCTTTACGGAGTACTTTCTATTCTCTTTCTCTTCTACTCTTCTATGTGGCGAAGTTCCCGGCCAAGAGCTTGCTGGACATCCTGGCTTCGCTCGCTGACCGCCTCGAGCGTGCTTCCTAGTTGATTGGCGCAGGCCACGGCCAGATCCCAGTATCAGAAAAAGGAACGCAGACATGAGGGGTCACTGTGCGCCGTCTGGTCTGCTCTGTACAGTCGGGAACTATAACAAGATGGGCAGCAAGTAGATCCCATCAAGGCACACCCCTGGCCTGCCACTATCAAACGGCCGTATCCATGCTTGTTTGGGCGTCTCCCTGCTGGAGTACGAAGGGCCAGGAGAAAAGGAAGCAAGGGGTCGAAGTCTCAAGAACAACGGTCGCATGGCTCAGTTGGTTAGCGCGTCGTACTAATAATGCGAAGGTCGAGAGTTCGACCCTCTCTGTGACCAAGTTTATTTTTTTTTCTTTTCTTTTTTCTTTTTATATAGCATACGTAATGTTAGTAATATCATGGTAATATTATTTCTTTTTACCACATACTTTATGGCGTTCACCTGAATTTTTACAAAGTTAATCAAGGGTAACTAATAAGAGAAAGACAAAAAAATAGGCAAGGTGTAAAAGTAAGTAAGTAAGGGCAAAAAGAAAAAAACAGATGGTCACAGAGAGGGTCGAACTCTCGACCTTCGCATTATTAGTACGACGCGCTAACCAACTGAGCCATGCGACCTGTTCTGATGATTATCCGACGCCGAGTGTCAGTTTTGATCGCTCTCTATACTCCGTAACAGCAGGGTCAACCGTCCAGCGAGTAGATCGACTGTAGTATCGTATTGATATTGAGTATGGTATCCCCGCCAGATCTAGCGAGGACCTGATGCGACCTCATGCCTGATGCATGCTGTCTTGTGTGCTATGCAAGGGGGTTGATATTATATAATCACTTGAGCCGCCGGAGAAATAACGGCCCGGCTTTACCTTTGTAGAAAGAGGAAATGTTCAACCTCCAAGGCCAACAAAGAGAGAGAGAGAAGACAAAAGACAAGACATCAACGTCGACGTCAAGCAATACTCTGCTGTAGTTACATCTTGTCCTCGCCTCGGGGCCTCCATGACACCGTCACTACGCACTGCTGGGGCTGGCTATTTCTGACCGTCTGCAAGAAGCTGGCGGGTTCGTCTCGTTCCTACAGCCTGGCTTGCCCTGTCTCTGCTCTCACATTCACCCTCCCCAGCTCCATGCTTCCGGGTTTACTTTGCAGTTCTCCGTCGTTGTCTTCACTAGCATAGAATGCTTATCCCAGAATAGACCCCGGTTTTGACCTTGGTAACTTTCTTTTTTTTTTTTTCCTTTTCTTCATACTCTCGCCCGCCATATAGATCTGGACCGCTTGCCACCACGCCTCGCCCACCTCGCGAGATGGACTGCTAAAGAGTGACTGCATCTTTCTTCTTTCCTGGATACCCTGCCGTATTTTTCCATGGATCAATCACGCCCAAGGAGAGCTGCAATCCCAATCGTTGACCCCTCCAGTCGACAGCCGAATGTAGACCAGCTTAGAACGACCAATCTAACACACCGGCCTCACTTTACCGGTGCTACTGCTAATGGTGTCAGAGTTGCGCCGTATCCAGCTCCCAACACCCATGCTGCCAATGGACTCGGGCATATCCAAGGTGCTCGATCCCAGGGACCCCCTTCATCATGGACACCCTACATCTTTGCGCAGACTTACACTCCGGCCTATCTCATTGCCATAAACCGCTCTCCGGCCGTGAGTAAATACACCGCGCCCTTGAAGACTATAGACTTCAATGCGTACCGTCAGCAGTTTGCTGGCGGCCTCTTCCTCGAGCCTACCAAGGCCCATGCCATGCCTCCCATCAAGAGCGTCCCCGTCTCCGTATCCCTCCATGTAAAGAATCTTAAGCCTGCCACTTACCTCTACTACTTCGATGAGTGTCTCCTGCTGGAAGCCTACCAGCAAACCCTGGATCTGGCCCAGCTCTGTCTCTACAACGTACCCATCATGCTCGTCGACCTGCAGCGTAGGCTGTTCGAGATCAAGGTTCCCGGACTCAAGGACGATGCCCCTTCCATCGATCTCGGAGACACCGTGCTTGTACGCCAGATATTGCACTCTCCAAACCAGATGTCCCGGGGAGCAGAATGGCTGGCCAGTAACCAACCCACGCTCACAGGTTCAATCGCCCCGGGGTTCAATGGCCAGCAGCTCCATGCCGTCGTCGTGGGTGTATCTCGAGCCAAGGAGATCGTCCGATTGCGTATTGACCATTTTGATATGAGCGTTAGCTCCACATACTCCTGGCTTGCCAATATATTGTTCACCGTCCAGCCTAATCGCTATGTGCCACTTTGGGAGGCCCTTACCAGCATTGATAACGGTTGGAGTTGGCCACCGTCTTCCTCCTCAGTCTTTGGAGAATGCTCGGGCGGCATTCAAGACGAGTCCAATTGGTACCGTCATATGCTCTTCCCCGAACCAAGCCATGGACGCATGCAGAAAAGTCTCCCAAAAGGATCCTTTGCCCTTGACTGGGTCGATCCCGATCTCAACTATGAACAGAAGAAGGCTGTCGATTCCATAATTTCCAGAAACTATGGCAACGTTCCCTTCCTGATTTCCGGTGTCCCAGGCTCAGGCAAGACAAAGACAGTCGTGGAGTGTACCCTCCAGATATTGAATCGATCCTCGGATATAGAACCCCATATCTTGCTCTGTGCGCCATCTAACCCTGCTGCCGATACGCTGGCAATCCGTCTTGCTCCTCACCTCAAACCTAATGAAATGTTCCGTCTGAATGGATGGGCTAGGACCTTTGCAGAAGTGCCCAGTGCGCTGCTACCTTACACATACATAGATAACGACATGTTTTCGCTTCCAGGATTCAAGTCCATGATGAGCTACAAGGTCGTTGTAACAACCTGTCGGGATGCCGATATGCTGGTCAAAGCCCGTTTAACGAACCACGATCTAATGAAACTGGCATGCGAAACTGTAGCTGCAGTTTCTCCAAGGACACCCATCAAGGCGCAAGACATGCTCCATTGGACTGCCCTACTGATTGATGAAGCAGCGCAGGATACTGAGCCTACAGTATGCGTCCCATTAACGGTAGTAGCAACCCCTCTCTCTATCAATGACTCCACCGATTCAAAGTCAAGCTTGCCATTATTCGTAATGGCAGGTGATCATCATCAACTGGGTCCTCGAATCCACAACCACGATACTTCACTTTCGATCTCCCTCTTTGAGCGGCTATTCTCCCGTCCATGCTATGCGGACCATCCTCTCTCACGCCGGAATGCAGGCCCATACAAGAAACTCGTTCAAGAAATGCTCCCAATCCCGCGTCCTGCTTTCACAAACTTAACTCGCAACTACCGATCTCACCCTGCCATTCTCCCGGTCCCTTCGGTCTTGTTCTATAGCGATACACTTATTCCCTGTGCTACCCCCGTTGAGCCAGATGGGCCAGTCCCAACCTGGCCAGAATGGAAGAGTCCATATCGCTGGCCGGTGCTGTTCAGCTGCAACACTTCACTAGATAACGTTGAAGAAGTCCTTCATCGGCCAGCAGGGAATGGCGTTTACAACCCTGGAGAAGCCTTACTGGCCTTACATTACGCGAAATCCCTCCTTCAACATTCTGGAGTCCTCCACAAGGAAAACCCAGATTCCCCAGCCTTACCCGTCGTCCCCAAGGAAATCGCCATAATATCTCCCTTTAGGTCTCAGGTCGCTCATCTCCGCGACGTTTTCCGCTCTCACTCTCTCCACTCCGTTAATATTGGCCCACTAGAAGCATTCCAAGGCCTTGAAACCCGCTTCCTCATCATCTGCACAACACGCACACGGTCAGACCCACAGTTCGTTAAACAGGACCAATCTCTTGGCTTAGGGCTGGTGGGCGAAAAGAAACGATTCAACGTTGCTCTTACCCGAGCAAAGGAAGGGGTCGTTATAATAGGAAACCCTAACGTTCTCGTTGATGCCGGAAAGGATGAAACGTGGCGAGAGTTTTTGAGTTATTGTGCAAGGAATGGGTGTTGGGCCACCGAGGATAGTGCAAAGCTCGAGAGGAGCGGTACTCTTCTGCAGGAATATGAAGTCGGATCAGTGCGGGAGAATACAAACAAGAGTGCGAAATGGTGGGCTAAAAAGCTGGCAGGGGCAAACGTTGAAAACGATGATGGTGACGATGACGACGATGAGGAGAATAGTACTAGTGATGCCTCCGATGGCGGAATTGCCGATGATAGGGGTGGAAATCCGAGTGACCATGATGATGATTATTCAAGCGATGGCGACGCCGCCGATATCAGGCTCTCCGGATATGTCAGTCGGTTGGAAAGAAGTCTACTATACGGAGAAATGCAACAGAACAGGGCAAGGAATGGGAACCAGCTCCTTGAAAACAAAATGGCCACTGCTCGAGGTCAGGGTATTAATACCAGTGGGCCCGACGATTATGATGCTGCAATGTGGACAGCAGGAATTGCTGCCGAAGAAGTTTTGAGGGGTGCATTAGATAACTAGTTGATACCCCTTTCTTTCCCCTTCGTGCATATGTGCGTCTTTGTCTATACATACGATACCACGGTCACCTATCCACACAATGTTTTAGTGGGTTAACGCCATTGATGATACATGATATTTAAAACTCGTGAATGAATGATGGGATTTGATGAATTTTCCGACTGGCTTGACGTAACCGTCAGCTTTTACGGATTAGTAGGCCGCCTATCCGGTCCATATTCTCTATCTAGTTCGTACTCCCTGCTGCTAGTTATAGGGGTGTGATGGCATAAGCCAATTAACCCGAGCTACTTTGCGATGTATTAGCCGGAGATATTATCTCCACCTTAGATTAAGGAGAGCAATCTACGGATCATAGGTAGACAAAAACAAAAAATAAGTTTTTGCGGCGATACGGACAAACATGCAGTTCTACTTGATTACCTCTAGGCCATCGGTCACTTTTAACGAATATATCCGAAAATAAACAGGCAAAGCAAGAAACAAGGCAAGCAAGGCAAGAACACCAGTCGAGAACTTCCTCCCATCCGCCCAACCGCCCATCCTATCCTGTCTCCCGTCTGCACCCATCCAAAGTATATTATTACTCCATGCTCGACTTTCCTCAAGTTCGAGTATGAATAAAACATGCCAAAGAAATACCCATCCGCCCCAGAGCCGATCAATATGCAAATTGCGTAAAGGAAGAAGAAACGAACAAACATAAAAAAATATAAGAGCTTAAAGAATCAAGGGGAAAGGAGGGGAGAAGTGAAAGGGGTAAAAGCAGGGGATAAAAGCCTGTTTCCAGCCAAAATATAATAATTGGGGTTAAACAAGGGAAGAAAGTAAAAACAGAATTAGGAGAAATCGGAAAGTTCGTGGGTTGAGGCCATACATTCGTGCATACATATCACGGCGTTTATTCAGATACTGAACGTGGTCAACATTACTGTTCATAATCATAATTCTCGACGTAAGACTGTCGTGATTTCCTCACTACTGCGCCGGGTGAGCTCTTCCCAAGCCCAATATCGATTCTCTTCATCTCTTCGCTTAAGGCGTCCAGATCTCCTCCTGCACGGCCCCCAGCGCCGGAGTAGATGTCAGAAGGATAATTCTGCGAGCCGGGATGGATAGGGACTTTCGCGGGTATAGGTGGGCCGCTCTTCTGGTAGTACTTTGATATACCAGAATGTGAAGATGAATGCGAGTGAAGAGGACGAGTTGATGGGGAGGGAGACGGGGAACGTCCGTGGGTTCGAGCCTGAGCCTGGGCTTGAGCCTGCCGTGCCCGGTAGTGAGGAGGTGTCATAATGTTTGCGGGCGGGGAGTAACTCGATGAGAAATTCTCTCGCTCGCGAAGTGCGTTGCTTCCAGTTTGACGGGATGAAGAGGATGGACGATCTAATATGCTAGTGGCGGTGGTTGTGCTCCCGCTGCTAGGGCTAGATGATGAGGGGATGTACGTGATCCGTTTTGGAGGTCGGGCCGGAGGAGTGCTGTTGTTCGACTGCGAAGATGAGGGCTGGTATGAGTGACGCGCCGAACTAATTGAGGTACGTGATCGATCGCGCGCTGTCACTCGAGGCCCTACCGTATTCGTGTGTGACGTGTGTTTGAACCGAACCACGACCTCCGGCTTTTTGGTCTTACGCTCCGGCTCCGGCGCCCAGGTGTCTAGTGGGAGATGATCAGATGGATCAATCACCCGTCCGTCATTGCCTATTATGGGCCCTAGACCCCGTAGCTTTTCGACCTCATGCTGGCGGGCTGCTTCCATGGCTTCTGCTGGGGTTTCATAAGGAGAAGAAGGTTGAAGCGCGGCTGAAGATAGAGCAGCAGTGGGATTCAGTGAGTCGTAAGAGTCTGGACCAAACGGAATTCCTGATAAGGAGTCTGGGTCGGCAACCGGGCGCGGATGTGGACTAACGGATTTACGAGCAGGGACTTGTCGGGGGTCGGGTGAGACGGATTTCCGCTCTAGTATAGGAGAGGGCGAGGCACGCGTTGGCTGAGGTGGAACATAGCTTTGGCGTCTGGCAATTCTGTTGTCGGGTATTACCTGGGCTGGGGGCTCCTCGACATGATTCAGGTGCATTGAAATGCCACTTCCCCGACGAACAAGGCTGAGATCCGGTTGAACATCCTGGTGATCATACCCGGCAATGAGAGCTGATGGAATTGATTCACCAGTGGACGTGGTTGGTTGTTCTGGTGCCTGCACCGGTTCCTGTGGTTGAACAGAAGAATGATACGATGGGGTAGGCGAGGTGGAATATATTTGTTCATTTGGGTTTGGTGGAGCACTGTATCCCCGAGCGGCGTGATTTGGAGAATAAGCAACATAGTCCTGGTGAATTTCTCCAGTGGATCGGTGGGAATTTCTAGACCCGCTAAGGTTGAGCGGCTGGGGCATTGGGATGGGCTGCGAGCGATGCATAAGCTGGAGATCCATTACCGGCGCCGGCTCCGGTTCTGGTTGCGCTGGTGGAGGCGGCTGCTTTCCAAGGCCATCACGATGAATTGGCGGTGGGGGCGGAAGATCGTGCTCTTCGTCTGCTTCATGAACCTGCGGCTGCATATGACCGTGTCCATGGCTCATACTGTGGCTGTGGCTGTGGCTACTGACAGGGCGGTGATAGTCCAACTGTTTCATAGTATTCCTCAGTGGACTCTCTTGGAACACATCCTTTCTGCTCATAGAGGGGTTGTAGTGGTGATGCGCTCCTGGGTGGTTGGATGGGCTGTGAGTGAGCTGAAGCTGATTTGTTTCAGGAGAGGCGTGACGGTTGTACGCATCTGGAGTGCCATAGGGAGATCCTCTCGAAACAGGTGGGTATGAGTACTGGCCACTGTGTCGGGAGTCTGAGCCAACAGACTGGCGGGGGGCCTTTCTTGGTGGTGTCTCGTATGAGTTTCGAGGGTAATTGACAGCGACCAGAGCTTGGGAGTAATGGTTATCCGTTTGCTGTTGTTGGCTGTGGTGAACACCAGGGTCGTTGACGTAATGATTATCTATTATTTGCTGCTGTTGTGGACGATGAGCAGGTTCCTGGGAGTAATGATTATCTAATATTTGCTGCTGTTGAGGGCGATGAGTAGGTTCCTGGGAATAATGATTATCAATTAGCTGCTGTTGTGGGCGATGAACAGGCTCCTGGGAATAGTGATTATCCATCTGCGGGTTGTGATGATTTTGATGAGCAACGGGCTCCTGGGAAGCGTAACGATTGTCCACTTGATGTTGTTGATCATGGTGCTGAGCAGGTTCAATAGGTTCGGGCTCATAATAATATTCAGCAGGCGGGTTAGCATACGAAGGATCACTCGGAGCTGATACTGGTACTGGTGCCGGTGCAGGTACTGGTGCTGGAACTGATACTGGAACTGGAACTGGAGCTGGAGCTGGAGCTGGAGCTGGAGCTGGAGCAGGGGGCGGAACCTGTGCCTGTGTCGGTGCTACCAGCTGATGTTGCGGCGGTGGTTGGGAAACCTCTGGGTGTGACGGCTGTTGGTTGTACGCGTTCTCATAATCACCCTGGTACGGCTGTTGCGGTTGGTGAGGATGGTGGGAAGGATAGGTAATCTGAGGCTGGGTCGGAGCCGGTTCCTCCCATTGTTTATGTAGGTCATCTGGCGTCTCATACCGTCTAGCAGATTTCGGGACTGGGGCATGTTGAGCGGTTGCCGGTTGGGCCTGGCTAGCATGCGGGGCCTTGCTAGGTATTTGTTGAGGTCTGGTCGGAGCATTGAGCTCAGGGGGAGCCTGAACTGGCTGTGCGGGCTGCTTTGGTGGCTGCTGCGACTGACGAGCGGAGGAGGACGATGAACCGGTAGGATCAACTGGCAACGGCCTCCTCCTTGGGCCCTTGGTTTTTCTCGAAGTTGGCTGAGGGGTATCCGGAACAACGGTGCCCTTTCTCTCAGCCTTCTCTGCGGCAGCAGCCTCCTTTCTGCGTTCAATAACCGCCTCATCTTTGGGTCGGGTGTCGTAGTACGTCAGCTCCATTCTCAATTCGCCTGCATACTTCCCCTTACACTGTAAGTTGTGCCACAGATCATTCTGCCCGCCGCCTGGTACGATGACATTCTTCAGATCGACCCATGTTTCTCCGATAAGGTCTGTTTTCTTATCGTCGTTGAAGACGGAGAGCTTCAGTTGGTAGTAATCCGGCGATGAGTGAACGGTGAATCGTAGCTCTTGGTCCCTATCCACGCAATATCAGCATCCTCAATTCCCACTAGAAAAAATAATGGCGATAAATCATACCACTTTGGTGTCTGCCCGCCTCTCATATCGGTGTCGGTCTTCTTCGCCTCTTTCCCCAGCCGCGCGGCACAGTACGGATTCTGCTTCCCCATCGTCTTCCTGTTTGGCAGGTTCTTCGCGCGGTCAATGATGGCGACGAGGGTGCCTATCTCCGGCCCATCGATGGACATATCCGCGTATATGCCCGCCGTATGCTGGCCCAGGGCCAGTTTCGTGGTTTTTGTCAACATGATGAGTTGAATTGAGTTGTTCGGCTAAAAACGAGTGCTGGAAACATGGTCAGCAGGGCACACTCATTTAAACAACAAAGCCGATCTCGACACAGGCAGACATATTCCTATATCAGGGCAGTTATTCCCCAGGGCTCCATAACAGAGCAAAGGAGCAGCACTGCCCGGCAAGGTACGCAAAACAAAATGGCATGGGGTCGGCTAGGTGACGTACCACAACAGCTTCCTTGCGTGGAGCATGTCTACATATAGATTGGTGATGTAAACACGAGCAGGCTGTCAACTGGAGCTGCAGGTAAACAAGATGGTGAAGGAGAGGACAACAGACAAGCAGAAAGCAGGCTAAAGGAGTGAAGCAGAGAAGCGCTGCATATGAGATGCAGTGAGAGAGAGAGAGAGACGTTTCTTTTCGTCTGGTCTTCAAGCTTGAGTTGCTTCTTTTGGGCATCTCTGCTCACGTAAGCGCTGGGGAAAGGCGGTGGCTGGTGGCAGTTCAGCCAATCAGATGACTTCCCCTTTTGGGTGGCTGGGCATGGGTCACGTGGAGTTCTTAGATAAGCGGGTCAGGGGTTACTTTTTACTGGTTAACGTGGACCCACTTCAGCCCTATGGTCCCGTGACCTTGCTTATTCATCTATAGTCACGGTGTATCGGAAGTATATTGATCCGGCCGAATCTTTAAAAATTATTTTTCCTTCCATGGCCGAAAAGGGTAATCAGCAGGAACGAGAGATAGAGAGATAGAGGGAGCAAACAATTGGTGCAAGAGGGAGCTTGATATCGGAGCTTAAACCAAGATAATGATATCTATAGCTCTACTATTCTACTGAACTACCTGGATAATTAGTGTCTTCCCGCTTTACAATGGCGGCACCCATCCTCCCTCTGCCGCAGGTGAAGCTGCCCACCACTCCCACCACGCGGCTCACCCCCGAACAGCTCTACTGGCGCTCCTTCAAGTCTCTTTTACTCCTGTCCTCGCCATCAAACACGCCGATAACGCACATATCTCAGCCTCTCGCACCCACATCTTCATCTTCACCCGCCGCTTTACAGCCACCAGATATCTTCACCGTAACCACGGGGGCGCGAGTCCAGATATACTCAATTAGGACCCGCAAGCTGCTAAAGACTATCACCCGTTTCGACGACAACACTCGCTGCTCAGACGTCCGTTTTGACGGCCGTGTTCTAGTTGCCGGAGATGAGACGGGAGCCATACAGGTATTCGACGTAAACTCGCGGTCTATCCTCCGGACATGGAAGGAACACAAGCAGCCAACATGGGTAGCGAAATTCTCGCCCTCTTCAGCGACAGATCTATTGACAGCCAGTGACGACCGGACAGTTCGATTATGGGATCTACCCAGTGAAAAGAGCGTGAGAAGCTTTACTGGGCATGCAGACTACGTTCGAAGCGGTGCTTTTATGCCCGGGGCTCAATCGTCGAATTTGGTTATTTCTGGCAGTTATGATCAGACAGTCAGGCTGTGGGATACTAGGGCTGAAGGCCGGGCGGTGATGACGTTTAAGCTACCCGCGCCGGTGGAGAGTGTGCTCCCCATGCCCCTAGGCACAACTGTGTTGGCCTCCGCCGACAATCAGATTGCCGTTCTAGACGTCGTTGCTGGAAAGCCGCTACACATGATCAACAGTCACCAGAAGACCGTCACCTGCTTGTCAGTGGCCTCTCAAGGAAACAGAGTCATGAGTGGTTCGCTAGACGGACATATGAAGGTCTTCGAGACAACCGGCTGGAATGTCGTTGGAGGCACCAAATACCCATCTCCCATCCTTTCCTTGGGGGTAATTACCTCCGGCCCCCAGCGTGAGGACAAACACGTCGTAGTAGGTATGCAGTCAGGTGTCCTCTCGATTCGCACGCGGTTCTCGGGTGAGCAGAAGGTCCGCGAACGTGAGCGAGAACGAGAAATGAAAGCGCTGCTAGAAGGCAAATTGGAAGAACACGATCGCCAAGTCGCAAAGGAGAACAAGAAAAAGGCCCGTGGCCAGGGTTGGGAGAAGCGGCTACGCGGCATGGACTTTGTTGGCGAAGGAATCGATATTGTCATCGACCCTGACCAGAACGGAAAGAAGAAACGAAAGCGCGAAAAGGGCTGGGAAAACGATCTCCGCAAGGGCAGGTATAGCACCTCGTTAGACACTGTGCTCGAGTCGGGTGATAAGATTACTATCATCACACTACTAACCGCTCTGCGGCATCGGGCTGCTCTACGTACCGCTTTGGCTGGCCGCGACGAAGCAACCTTGCAGCCTATTTTACAATGGGTTTATAAGTCTATCACCGATCCGCGACTAGTCGATTTAAGCGTTGAAGTGTCTATGAATATTCTAGATATCTACTCCGCGCATCTTGGGCAGTCAGTACATATTGATAATATGGTGCATAAGCTTCATCGACGGGTCAAGGAGGAGGTTGATCGAGCCCAGCAAGCGTGGCAGACAAAGGGGATGCTGGATATGCTAAAGGCATGATCTGCTCGCCTTCTCTACCATCTACACATCTATTCATGTCTTGGAAGTTTCTTGTCTTGTACATCGGTGATACACCCGGGTTGTTTGGCGTTGAATGATATTTCATGTACGGAGTTTGAATGTGGTATATAAGCATACACAAAAAAGTCGTTCTCATCTATTGTCAATCAGTCTCCCATCATTTCTGATCAAACAACCTTGTAAACCCGTTCGCAGGAGGCTGTAACCAATTCCTCTCATCATACTTCCACCCTTCTGCCCCTTCAATAACATGGAACGCATATGCAAACCTTGACTTGTCACTAGGGTTATTCTCGCTCTTATGTAGCACATTCCCATGGATCAACACCAGCGAACCCGTCTTGATCTCCACAAGCTCATAGTCCTTCTCCTCGGGGACATAATCTTCCTTTCCTCTGCTTTCCTCATCTAAGGCCGTAGGTAAATTTGGCCCATCCCACTCCACAAACTCCGTGCCTCCTGCAACGCCCGAGTCCGCATCAGACTTCGTCCTGACAAACCTCCTCCTAACCCTACCGGTCTTATGGCTACCTTTCCAAAAACCAAGTGTTCCATTCTCCACCCCCGCGTCTTGCAAGGCAATCCACCATCCAACTGCAGATGGTGGATCAGTGTATAAAAACTCAGAATCCTTATGCATGGGAACTGGTGCTCCGATGCCAGGTTGTTTGCAGATGACCATACTTTGCAGGACGCGGGGGTCACGGAAACCCAGTGCTCTAGCGATGGCTGCGTTCTGCGCTCCGACAGCTCCGGTATGTGTTACATCCGAGAAAGGCTGAGAGAGAGAATGTATTGAGTGGCCGATTTTATTTATAGAGCGGTTCTTGGGGAGTAGGAGCTTGGAGGGGTCGGAGGGCGAGAATGCGCCTGGCTCAAAGAAGAAACGGATCTTGTCATTGGAGGTAAGGAAGTAGTCGTCTCCGACATGCTGTGATTTGGACGAGGGATCATCTCCGGTGGTGAAGCGTGTGAGAGGATGGGTGCTGACGTCGAAGGTGTCGAGGAGGTGGTTTGTAGTGGTGAGAAGGGTATTGACTTGCTCCTTGGAGAGAAAATCAGGAATCACTAGGAAGCCATTATCGTTGAACGAGGCGACCTGCTCGGCCGTCAGACCGGATTTAATGCCAGCCATGGTGATGTCTTATATGTTATCGCGTACTTCTATGAGTTTACTGAGGATTGCGGGATGGAAGTCATATAAATAGTTTCCAGCGTTCTGGTTGGGCCGAGGTTGCATATTGCGGGGAACTCCGGCGCTAGTCCTAAAATGGAATAATGTAAACAATGTCATGCTGACTAATCGGAGAAAGTCCGATGGGGAGAAGAAAAGAACAAACGGTTTAAGAGGAATATATATACAAGCAGTGTGCTCCGAAAGATAAATGCTATAAACAATAATAGAAAATAGATATGCTCATCCGACAAAGGCTTCAACGATCTCCCCTGCGGTGTCCGCGTCACTTTCTGACTTCCTCTCGTACTCAACAGTCGCTATGCCCGTGACAACGATCATATCCAAGTTCCTCTCCAGCTGATGATGTGGCAGTAGGACGACTATCTCGTCTTTCTTCTTGTTGTACCGCGCAATCACATTGCGATTTTCATCTACAAGCTTCTGGTTACAGCTAAGCAGGTTTTCCTCTTTCCATTGCAGTTTGCCCAGGGTGGGAGTTTGGAACTTGCGGCCTCCAGCTAGGGGATCTGAGCGTTTCATCGATACATCGGTACCATTGAATGAGACGTCTATTTTGGATGATAGTTCGTGGAATGTCATCGTCCCGACGACCTGGTCGGATGGTGGCGAGGGTTGGTAGTTGTAATTCTGGTTGTATGGCTGGGTATAGGGCTGGCTGAAGGGTTGATTATACGGTTGGTTGTAAGGTTGATAGTAAGGTTGGTTGTAGGGTTGGTTATATGGCTGGTTGTATGGTTGGTGTCCGTTGACGTATGGAGGAGGCACTTGGTATTGAGCAGGCGGTGGAGGTGGATGAGCACTGAGTGACGCGCTATGCTTAATCACTTTGGCATGAGGTTTCGACTTCTTGGATATTTCCACCGTATACATAGGAGCAGACTGGTTGCCATTGGTAAGTGTGTACTTTCGCACTTTCTTCTCCTTTGTCATGTCAATTTTCAAATGTAAGCCGTCAGCCATGGCGAAGTATATAGCAAGGTATACGTAAAGATATGGAGATATGAGAATAGACAAGCACTATCGATGTGATAGTAGAGTAAGAGAACGGTTGTTGGAGTGAATCCAGCAACCCGTGGGTATCGTGTGCATTATATATCGCAGCTGGAAGCAAGACGTCTGCTCCACAGCCAGCTGAAGATGCTTTAATTGCGCCTCGCTGGCGTCCAAACGTCCCATGGCCCGTCGATGTTCGGGTAGACGCAAGTTTACTCTTTGAAGCTCTGACAATTGGCAGCTGAGGCAAAGGCTTGGCGGTCTCTGGAAAATAGCCTAAAGGGGCATAGCGCGCCCTACTTCAGACGAAAAGAGCAAAACATCGCGCTGCTAAGCCCAGCGAAGTTATATCGATATACGGACATATAAAGCACATCGTGAGGCTGAACACGGACACAGGGACAGGGACAAGGTCTTGCAGGATTCTAGTCTAGGTACTATAGTGTAGGGTCTCGTTCAGGCGTCGGTAGGCAGTCTTACTCTGCCGTGGGAGAATCTAGCTCGCACCTTGTCGACGAGTGCAGGAATCCCATAAGTCCAGTGGCAGAGCATTCCTGCAACAAACCCCAGTCCATCGTTCTTAAATGCAACCAGCACTCCGACTGTAACGATCATCACCGTCCACCTCTTCTTCCGCTCAGCGTCGTTCAGTGATACCGCGGATACAGCCCCCGCCAGCCCTGATCTTCTGCCATGTCTACCCAGATCCCACGCCGAAGCCGTGTTCAGCGACTCACCCACACTAGCCAGCTCAAGGCCAGCTGCGATCACCATAACGCTCAGGAGGGCGACAGGGAATTTCGCCAGCAAATCGACAATCGTGTTGCCAAATAACAGGCCGACCACGACTTTGACAAGTCCCAGAAAGACAACACTTGCACCAGAACGAGCGCCAAATCGATACTGGGCTGCAAGGCCGCCGGATCCATGACACACGGGCATCGACCCAAACCATATGCCAATCAGGTTCATAGCGGCCACACTTAGTCCGATCTCCGTAACAGTCGGTGTTTGTATATCCGGTAGCAGGTCTGCGGCCAGATGCACCACGGCAATAACAGAATTCAGCGTAGTAAGCGGTATCTGACCGATTCCCGCGTCAAGGATGCCCGACTTCCAATCTAGCAGACTCGGTAACGTAATCCATGGCCTCCAGAACCTAAAGCCCGGCAAACTGGCATGTTCGTCTTCGGATACTGCAAGACGTATGAACGCAAGCACCAGCCCGAGAAAAAACACCCACAGCCCGTAAGGAACACGCCTGTAGACATTTGTAACCACTAGCCCGACGAAAGCTGCAATCATCCATATATAATTATCCGCCCAGGACGGCTGAATCCACGATAGCGAACTCTTTAAGGTAGAGCCGGCAGACACAACGAGCGACAACCCAGCCCCAACCTGTATCCCCTTGACAACAGGAATAGGTACTATCCTCGAGAACCAGTTCAGAGCACCCGTGACACTAAACAGGAATATACAGGCTGCCACAAACAGGCCAGCAGCAGCAACTTCACCGGCGTTATATTTCCCCGCAATCGAGACGGCTGCAATAGCCTTCATCGGTTGCACGGGCAGTGGAATACCGAAGAACAGACCCGTGAGGATGTTCCATATTCCTGAATATACCAGCGTGCTGGGCAGGGAGATTGATTTGTTTACCGTCAGTGCGATGAGGATGGGGAGGAACGTTCCTAGGTCACCGACAGCGCCGGAGATCTCGGCTAATGGGCGTCGTCGAAATGGTTGCCAATTCTGTTTGGTGAAGTGCCGGAGATGCATGTTCTTTCTCTTCTCCGTTAGTCCTTATGCTGGCGTTGTGTCGACTGTCTAACGTTTGCAGCGTTGCGGGCGTATGAAGTCTGACGTGAAAGGCGAGGGGTTGAGTGAGCTTGACGTGAAAGGCGAGCTTGACGTGATTTGGATTTCGATCGGCCGAAACTCGTTCTCAGCCACGCAAGAGTAAGCCACGGGAGCCTTGACGGAGTAGTTACCCGGCCGATGGCTCGCGGGGGCCTCAGTCGAGTCACGACAAGGGTACCATTTACTATTACTTCAGCTTATCCGATTCTGCTCTGAAGATTATTCAAATATACGACCCTAGTCATGTTTTACGCCTTAGTTCGTTCTTGATTCGGCATTACTGTTTAATCACTTCTTGCCAGTCTGTAAATTATGCTGCAGGAGTTATATCCCATTTTAATAGCCTACAGTTCTATTCCATGTTAATAATATACAAAGTAAGACAAAGGTTCCATTGGTTGATTAGAGAAAGTCAAGAAACCCGAAGTAAATAAGCTCGCGGACATGGCTAAACAACCTAAATAATGCCAAGACCAGTTTCTTTTGACGACACCAGAACTTGACAATATCACATTATTTGACAGTTTCAAGAATCTTATAAGTGGGAGGCAAATCCTTCTGTATAACGAAGTTGATTGATAGAACACAGTATAGTCATCTCAAGGAGATCTTACTCCAAATTCAGTCGATATAGATCGTTGTTGTAAGTTGTTGTTTATATTTTGTTTAGTCGATGGTTTAGAGTTTGCTGACCAATAATGCATCACGTGATAGATTCCAACGTCACTTTCGAAGATGGAAGAGACGAGAGTAAGGGATGAAGTTCACAAACGAGGAGCTCGTCAACGATGGACCCAGATACCCCCGCGCCCTCAGCGCCGCCCGGTGCGTTCAATTACCTCTTGAGCTTTTTGCTTGTCGGGCTGGCATGGGGTTTCACCACACCCTTCATCCGCCGCGCAGCTGTGGACTTCAATGCGCGGAATGAAGGCAAGCAAGGCGACATTCCATCTGCAGAGGCCAGAGGGCCATCGCTTCTCTCGCCATCATGGATCAAAGAAAAGGCTGTATCCGTGTTTTGGACGGTGGTGAATCTCCTGCGTACGCCGGCGTACTCGGTACCGTTGCTGATTAACCTGACGGGGAGCGTTTGGTTTTTCTTACTTGTTGGGAAACACGGTATTTAACCCTGGGTTCTTTTTGGTTGTTTATCTTTTGCTGATGAGCGGACGCCTGTAGAGCTCAGTCTTACGGTTCCGATAACGAACTCGACGGCGTTTTTGTTCACAGTGCTGGGGGAGTGGTATGTTGAAGGCAAGGTGATATCCAAGGGTGAGTGATATGTATATGCAAGTTTTAAGATAGGTTTCCACTAACTTATATCCCATAGAAACCTGGCTGGGGATGACTCTCGTCTTGGGTGGGATTGCGCTATGTGTACATTCCAAGACCTGATTCATAGATCTTCAATGTTTTGTCTACTGTTTTATACCTAAGATATCAATGGTCCCTTTTCAAGATCGAGACATTCTTACAACGCATTATAAGGTCATGGAATATCACCATTGGAGTGGGTACTGCTGTCTACACACAGGGCATATGAATAACCAATTGCAATTCATCCCACTTCGAGCTGGGGTTCCTAACTGCCACTGACCCAGCCGATTTCTCTCCCCTATAATAATATGCTAGATCCAACCCTGCATCCTGGGCTATAACCCACTATGTCAATACAACCCCTGAAAGTGATGGCAAGTGGCTCACTTGAGAACTCGTTAATAATACGGCCAGACCAGACGTATCTCCTCCACGATAGCTGCGTATCCCCGCGCCGTCGGATGGAATAGTCTCGCCGTGCTTGGAGCAAACGGTCTGCGGCCACCTTGAGTATCCACGTCGTTCCCGGCCCCTCGTAGGGTTTCATTGGGAAACTTTGCCTGGACAATCGCAATGCCGCAGGCAGCTCTCTCATTCCAGTCACCAGACATCAGCGCCTCCTGTTCGCATGTCTCGATATCAATATCCCCATTAGGCATGAATTCTCTGAAATCTACGTCGAAAAACCATGTGTTTTCGCCGTCGATGGGAGGCTTGCCGGGCTGGCAGAAGCGGTGGTCATCGAACCGCCATGCCCAATCTACCCATATGACCCTGTCGTCTGATCGAGCGTTGATGATCTGGCCGATTTTAGCGTTCAGCTTCTTGCATATATTGTTAATCCTTGATCGTATATCCACAGTGAGTGTCTTTTTCCACCAGCCCGGCCAGTAACTCAGCGAGTACTCGTCGCAGTCATCAGTTAATGCATCGTCGAAGAAGGCACTATACCCCGTGGCAAGGACTCTAAAGGAAGGCGAGTCGCCCTTTTCCAGCAGCAGGTCCAGCGCCGCGCTATATCCCGTCGCGAACTCATCGCTGGCTACAACCAACTCGGCAAATTCTATCGCCTCCTCACATGAACCTGAAAATGGGCCGTAGAACGCATATGCGCAGGCATTGAGTATATTGAAGAAGCCGACGTCGTTTCCTCCCATTGATAGTGTTGCGAAATTCGCATTCTCAACTCTGTTGATATACTCATCGATTGTGTTCCTCTGCTTCCTTTCGGCTCGGTTGAGATAGCTGTCCACGGTCAGCATCCTGACTCCTGAACATGCCAGAAACTGGAACCTATGGTCTCCTGGAAGCAGCTCGCTACAGTTTAGCTGGCCTGGGTAGCTGTCAGCGTATAACCAGCAGCCCTGGTCAACCTGTTGTCCTGCACCGACTCCAGCAGCGTAGGAATCTCCTACTGCCGCGTAGTTCTTGATCTTTATGGGCAGCCCGGGGTTTGGGATATTTGGAGTGTTCCTATCGTCTTCTTCAGGATGTATAGATCAGCATACTGTAAACATCAGGATAACCTCATTGTCTCCCTCACAGCATACCCTGAGCCAACACTACGGAACATAGGGTGGCCAACCACGAGATTAGCAAACAGCAAGAAAAAGAAGCCAGCATCTTTGGTATTAATGTATGTCGCTAAACAGAACGTTAGTTGTCGCAGTCCTCTCTCTCGATACATGTTTTGTCGCGTGCGCACGTAAAAACAGCTTCCTCTATATCCCACACGCGCTTACCTTTCTACCTCCCGCCCCTTCTTCCGCTTCATCTATACGCTCGAAGATACTCAGGGACACATGATAGACATCCTCTTCTACTACTTTCGACGATGTTCACCATTCACCAAGATACAGACTAGACCCTGTCTGATAGCATCAATTCATATTTCAGTATTTGCATTCCTTATTTGGACTCCTATAATGCAGACCCAAAGTGAGATAACAGATCCTCTATCCATACATACACACATGCATGCGTTTCCCGCGAAAAGGACATGAAACAACGATGCGGGAACTCGGAAAATGCATAATTACGTTTCATACGTATATCATGAGAGGTGTGGGTATATCGACTACATGAATTCGTGAATACACGACCAAAGATACATAGTTCATAACAAAAGGTGAAAAATTAATAGTTTACACTCCGCGGAACTATAGATATAGTTAGCATTTGTCTGTAGGTTGCGAATGAATTGTCCGACGGGACGAGGAGAGGGAAACATACCATTCTAACGACCAAAAACCACATTGCGCCGATGAATCTGAACAATGACAGGCCAGCAACACTCCACAGCACGACGGCCATGTAGATGATACTCCTCTGCTGGGAATTATCCTTAGTGTTAGGATTGACCCTCTCTAAGCCGGCGGCACTCAGCACGATAGCGCCGAGGGCAAAGTTGCAGAAGATCCAAGCAAGAACAACGGCACTTCGGAAACCCTTGTAATAATCCTCTTGTTTCTCAGATTCCGAGACAACGCGGGTTTCCTTGGGTGGCTTTGAGGCGAACTTGGCAAGCTCGGCTTCATACTGGGCGTTGAGATCTCCGTCGTCCTGGGGGATTTCGACATCGACTTTTCCGCCTGGCTTGAGGTTGGCTGAAGGCAGTTTTTCGGGTTTGTCGTCTCCCTTGGTTCCCCAGGTGATGTCGTGGGTGTTGCAGAAGGCGTAGATGTTGAGGACGTTGATGTACGTGGGTGTTAGGAGGAGGTATTGCAGGAACTATACAAGTCAGTTAAACAATGCATCGAAAGGGAGGGAAAGAGAGTACTAACGCAAGTGAACATATGCCATGGGTCGAAGAACAAGATGGAAGCCAAAAACCAGAAGACATAAGTCGTCAGCAGCGAGACGAAGATGGAGAAGAACTGCAGGTTCTGAAATAGGGTAGCGAATGTAAAGTGGCCGCCCTGGACTTCATGCTGTATCGATTTGACTGTGACAAAGACAGCGGCAAAAGTAAGGTATATCATGATCATGCACCAGAAACCGACCATGGTCATGTAGAATTTATTCGAACCCTGCGGCCTGTTACCGAGAGCTAGAACGAAGCACGTCACCAAGGTCGCTAGGTAGAGCCATTCGAATATAACGCCGAGGATACTGCCTGCTCTACCTAGGAGGTCCGGTGTCCCTAGGGAAGCAGTGAGGATGCGGAAAACCAAGAAGAAGTTACCCTATCGAGGAAGTTAGCTCTCATCTTGAGGGGAGATATATAAGGGTAGACGCACGATGGCAAACCAGGCAAATAGTAAGTTGATAGTCTGATAGATAAACTCAATAATGAGCATGAGCTTCCGTGTGAACGAGTGATTACTCCTGCCGACTTGGTAGAAGTGCAATATAGCGTAAACGGCTGCGAAGAAACTGCCGTTCAACCAGCGTCGTCTCTGCAGGATAAACTCCGGCATACGATCCGGCACATCGGTCTCACCCGTCGCACTCTTGACGTATTGTAATATCCATTTACAGTTGCGCTTGGTAACGAGTTCGAAACACAAGATTCTGTCTTCAGCGAGGTACATGTTTGCCGTAAACACGCCAGCGTTCGCGCCGTGCATCTTCTCACCGGCAAAATACTTCTCCAACGGTCCCTGTCCGTTCTTATCGTTCTGGAGAGCAACGTAACGGTAAGCCGAGAAGGCGCCGGGAAGAACAGAAATAAAGCCAAACGCGGACTCTAGCGGTTTATCAAGGATATTGGACATCTTGTATTCGAAATTCTGCGTTGCAACGAGCGGGTTGAGCAGTTTCTTGCCGTGGGACAACATGACTTTGATCTCACCGCAGGCACCACCGCACATGGGCTCAAGGTCAAAGGCGCGCCAGAGCTGGTATATACTCTGCTTCCCGGGTTTCGTGCCCGCGTCGAGGAGGACGCAGATGTTGGGATCCAGTACGCGGCCAAAGGCCTGGAAGAACCATCGATGGGAGTTGATCTTCTTCTGATTCTTCTCCTTGAGACAGAAGAGCAGCTGCACGGGCATTCCCGGCTTAGGCTTGAGGATGACCTGAGTGCCCTTGACCTCCATGCCGATCTGGGTGGTGTACTCGTAGATATGGGCGGTGACATCCTTACCGTTGACCTGCTGTTTAGCGATTCCGTCCTGGTAGACGCCCAATCCGGCGAGGACAGCCTTTGTCCGCTGGTTGATCTTTGCACGGCCGTCGGAGACGATACACACTACGATCTTCTTCCACGCCTCCTTGCCCCATGTCTTACTACTAGAGCGAGAACACATGTACTCTATATTCTTGAAGACACCGGCCATGGTGCGGGCGAACAGGAACTCGTCCTCGTTGTACATGGTCACGACGATGAAGAGCTCGGTGTGCCGCGGTTTGGCGAACAGGCGCTGCCGCAAGGTGAAGCGTTCGTTGTAGAAGTCCGAAGGGTCGCAGGTTGCAGCCGAGTAGCGCATGTGGGTGAACTCGTCTCGCTCTGGCGGTTCGGCGTGGTTTATCTGGCTGAGCAGCTTAGGCGGGATGGGACAGTCGAGGACGAGGTTGCCGTTGAACAGCTGGACCTCGCGGACGGTCTTCCACCGCCTGAGCGGCGCCGGGCTCGGGGTCGGTGCTATGGTCGTGGCCATGCCCGGGTCGTCTGTATAGCCATCAGTGTCTGGATGGGGTGTGTGCGAGAGGTCGTAATTGCTGGGCGTGTATGAGGGCTCATGGTGCAGCAGCGGGCCATGGTCGTCCTGGTATGGCCGCGGAGGGTAGTTTGTGTGAGGCCGGTCGTAGTCGTCTGTAGGTGTAGCCGTGGGCTCGTACGGCTGTGTGTAGTAGGCGTCGTGGTGAGCTTCTGGAGAGAGCGTATAGTCCTGGAGCGGTCCGGGGCTTGGTCTGGGGGTATGTCTGTATGGATGCTGCTGCTCATATGCTTCATTATGGCCGTACGAATTCTGTATATTCTCAACCGAGTACTACACCCGTTAGTATTTGTCTGTTTATATCGAGTATATAGAGCTCACTGTAGGCTGGAACTGCAGCCGGTCTGTCGAGGGCATCTCGATATGCGACAACGGCTGCTGCGCCGGGTGCTGGAACGGGCTGTCCTCGAGCTGGTAGCTCTGGTAAGGCCTCGTCGGCGACGCTGGCTGGTGAGGATTCATCCTGGGCGAGTGCGGATCGTTGTCCGGGTCTATTTTTCGTTAGAGAAGGAAGAGGAGGAAGTGGAAGATAATGAAGGAGAGGACGCGAGGCCGCATGCGCAACAGCTTGCGACGCCGGCGACGAGGATACGAGACAACAAGATGAAGGAGAAGCAGGGTATCTCACCGTGAAGCCTGTTGTACGCCATCTTGGGTGCGTATAGCTGCGATAGCTGTGATGCTGCAGATGCAGAGACAGACAGGCGCAGATATATAACGAACGGTAAGCGAGGCTGTCTCTAGTAGCTCTGGCGGCCTCGTCTATCTTGACCTCGCAGTGGCTGGCGTCTTCTCGTCGTCTTCATCTCTCCAGCTCGCCAAGTCAGTCGGCGTTGACCAAGCAACGGTGGAGAGTCGCAGTCGTGGCGCAGACATCTAAGAAAAGATCAAACACATACTGATGGTATAGCTTGTAACTACTAGGAAGGTTATCTACTACGACTCGCCAAAAGCCTCAGTTAGAACCCTCGCCTGCCATGCGTCCTCCAGGTCCATCCACCGTTGTGCCAGGAAACGGTCAACATCGACGTCAACATCGTCCACCCATCGGTCTCTTGTCTGTATAACTACATGCGCGAGGGCGTTCCTCTGCTGCAGATGCCAGGCCATGGCCGGATCCAGCTCCGCGACGGCCCTCTCGATGAGCAGAGCCCCGGCTGCGAGAGTCTGCGCCTCCGTCTCGCTGGCTGCCCGCTCAACCTTGCTACGAGCAAAGGTGGCCAGGACACGGCAGACGGTGATGGTCGTGTAGATGAAGAGGGCGCGGAGCCTCACCCTGTCCGGCGACTCGGGGCCAACGGGGAGGTCGACGAGAGACGGAGCTCGCTGCTGGAAGCGGCCGTGGCTGTCGTGAAGAGCTGCGTGGACTCTGTTTGCTCGCTCGAGTATGGCCAGGCTGTGTTTCTTATACTGCGGACAGGCTGGATCTCTGAACAGGGCCGTGATATCCTTGAGGATGCCAGGGACAAAGGCGCAGGCTCTGCCAAAGAACTCCCACCAGAAGCCAGAATGCGTGTCCTCTTCTGCTTCACTGGCCTGGTCGAAGAAACGCTGCCAGCTCGGGGATGCAAAGATCGAGCTCTGCTTCCTATACTGCTCGTCCACCAGCTGGAGAGGTCAGCATACGTTCAGTCTCTGCATAGATATAGATACGAACAACTGATGGAGCGTGTATCTTGAGAATCATACGCTCAAACTCGGTCTTATGGTTGTCTGGTCCTCTCAGGGCGACCAGCTTGATGGCGCCCCTGGTATGCTGTATCCAGCGATTCTCGTCCGCCGGTCCCAGTAGCTAGATATGTTAATATATACTGACAGCCAGAATATACCTAGGTATGTAGAGGCCTACCTCGTAGAGAGCCAGGATGGCCGTCGCGCAGTAGATGTCGACGTCCAGCAGATGTCCCTCCAGCGCAGTATACAGACTCTTCAGCGCCTTCGTATACAGCCTGAACAGCGTCGTCGTCCTGATCGGAGAGCCCAGCAGCTTGCCAGCCCTCGCGGCGAGACAGTGCATCGCATCGTCCAGACAGGCGCTGGAGCCGTAGCGACTGGGGAGATGGGTTAGAAAGGACGAAGACCGCTTCTCCAGCAGGGCAGCTAGGGGAGTTGGCTGGTTCTGTAGCGACAGGAAGCCGACTCTCCCCAGGTCGATGTCCGTGAAGCTCGACAGCGAGGTGAGGTCGAAGTTGTATCTCGCCCTCAGCGTCTCGTAGCCGTTGAACGAAATCACGGCCGGTATGTTCTCTTCTTCTCTCTGCTTGTAACTCTCACGGCGTCGTCTGCAGCCTGACCGCGCAGCTTGCTGTCTGATGGCGACTCTCGTCTCTCTGTCCAGGTCGCCGTTGTCTACGAAGACGAGCGCCGGCCCTTCTTTCGCACGGCATCGAGGTTTTCCACGCAGCTTCGGTCGCATCCTGACTCTACTTCTATCTATCTGTCTATCGTCTATGACTTTTGTCTGTCTGTCTTCTGTGCGGCGCACTTCGATCGCCGATGAACACTTTGACCCATATACAGCATGAACAGCGGGTATAGGGCCGTTCCGCCGGGGTTTCTGGCTCAGTGTTTGCCCTTTTGGGATACGATGGAGGCCGTCGAAGGTCATGATAGGACATATCGAAGCCAGGGATATCTTCTGCAGTGTCTATTGGCCGTTAACACCAGCCTTACGAAAAAGAAAAGTGCAAGCGTCTTGACTCGTGTTGCTCGGGCGTATTCAGGGCATCTATCTCATTGGAACAGGATGAGCCTTGGAGGCTGTATACATATAAATATGTATATAAGGGTGGGAGGTCAAGATGGCGCTCATTTACCTCTTCTACTCGCTACATTCACAATTATTGCATTAAGCCATGGAGGCCATACATGAGGATAACGAACAAGCACGCTTGCTTCCAGAGCTGGAGTCTACCAGAGGGTGCGTATCTACTACCAGATTTATATACAAGTGCTGACAATACTAGATTCAGCCGGTATGCGAAGCTCGAGCATCTATCAAAGTATATACCGGCCCTGGAGTATAAAAATATACATGCAAAGACGATGAGATCACGCATGTCCAAGAGGAGTACGATGCTCAGGATCCAGATGGCCATCAGCATCTCAGTGGTGGCCGTCTACTTCGCCGCCGGTCTCTGGGCTGTCCTGACATACCCGCCAGACAGTCGAGGCGTAGGCACTTTCTATTTCGGCAACTGTGCCAGCGTCAGCGTCACCAACAGCGGTTTGCACGTTGCCCTGAACATTGTCTCGTCTCTCTTCCTCGGTGCTGGGAACTATTGCATGCAGATCCTCGTCGCCCCGTCGCGGAGAGAGGTGGATAAGGCGCACTGGAAGGGGAAGGCGATGGACATAGGCGTCCCGAGTGTGAAGAACCTACGACATATTGCGTCGGTCCGGGCTGTTGTGTGGATTTTCATCGGCATGGTTGCTATGATGTTGCATATCCTGTGAGTGTGTGGTTCAATGAATTGTCAGACGATATTCTAACAGAATATAGATGGAACTCGTCGATATTCTCATCGTTACCCATAGTAGCGATTCCCCGTGCAGTAGTTACCAGTGACTTTCAAATGACAAGTGACAACTGGACAGCCTCGGACCCGTTATCACGGCTGGACTGGTGGAAACTGCCGCCGGGATATAGTCAGTCATCCCTGAATATATCCTCCATTTATTCACTGCAGCAAGAGGCAGTGAATTATACCCGGTTGGATAACAAGGCTTGCTTGAAGCAGTACATCGATCCGATGACGTCTACGAGCCCCCTTATCGTGGTGGCTAGAAACATTAGTACGACGCAGAACAACGACTCGTCCTTGATCGATGGCTGGGTGTCTTCCTGGGAAGGCTGGGAGAGCTCCCAGACTTGGATATGTCGAGCACACAGGGAAAAGGCCTGCACTTGGACATATGCTGAGACCTTTGCCGACAACTGGACATTGTCCTGGCCTCGGGGGATTCAGGTTGACCACTGCTTGAGTGGTGAACAGGGGGACAATGATGAGAGATGCGGGCTTCACTACAGCGTACACATCCTAGGAATCGTGTCTCTCTGCACAGTGCTGGAGTGCATGCTGATATGCTGGACTTGGTTTTACCATTGCCATAACCCGGCAATCATGCAGCAAAAGGAGAACAACCGGGCAATAGTTACCATGGGAGATGCAATCCACAGCTTCCTCGAAGATCCTTCGACGGGAGATGGCCCAGTGCCTCCTAAGCGAGGAACCGTCGAGGTCAAACTTGCAACATGGCGAGTTAAAGCTCGTGTTCCCTGGATTATGGCTGTTGGGCCTCTAACCTGGGTGATTTCAGTCGCATTGTACGTCTCCCCTTTTACTCTCCCTTGGTCCTCTCACATGCATATCTAGTCTAACAGAGCTAGATTTATACTGGGCTTGCTACTGCCTTCACTGTCCGTTGGGTCCTCCATCGCGTTTCTCATTCGGTCCGGCGTCGATGTGAGTATTCCAACTCTTTGGAAACAAGGGTTCAAGGTGAATTCGACGATGGTAGCCCGCCACTTTGGCTCCCTGGCCAGTCTCAGTTCCAGCGGAGCCGAAGCGCTCCTAAGCAACATCCTCCTCGTCAATAGTCCCCAGGTCCTGGTCAGCTTTCTATACATCTTCTACAACAACATCCTCACTCGCCAGCTGGTGGCTGATGAGTGGGTGCGGTTCCTGCGTGAAGATGGCAAGAAGCCACTGCGAGTGTCTTCACCCGTCGGCCTGCAGCGGTCAACACATTCACTCTCATTACCACTCAAGTACTCGATACCGCTCATGAGCATGTCGATCCTCCTACACTGGCTCATATCCCAGAGCCTCTTCCTCGTCCAGTCCAGTACATTCGGGCCTGGTCCCAAGGGCGGCCGTCTCCCAGGCTTTGATTATCCTGCCCGAGGGTATTCTCTCCTCGGGAGCATCCTTGCCCTCACACTTGGGCTACTTATGGTGATAGCTATCCTGCTAAACTCCTTTGTCAGGGCTTATACAGATATCCCTGCTGGCTTTCAACTCATGGGCCATAATAGCACTGCCATCAAGGCGATCTGCCAGCGGCCGGAAAAGGATTCACAGGCGGCCTTTTTTCCTGTTAGAATTGGTGTCGTCCAAAGCGATACAGACGAACATTTGAACAAGGTGGTATTTTCAACCGATACCGAGATTCAAACTCCTAAACAGGGAGAGCAGTATCTGCAGCCTGTCTTTGTCCGAGAGGGTATCCAACGACAATTTGTCGCCAGGGCTCGAGGGCTGATAGATATATTTTGTATCACTGTGCATCGTGTGTGGTATGTTCATGTAAATAATTGGAGGGACATAAGTAGTCAAAGTAAATAATTGTAACTTTAGACAGTTCTATAGAATAATAGACTTGATGCAGGAACGAAATCTATATTCATCCCACTTTAATCAGCCTCATCAACATTTCACCCCGCAGAAGAGCATCAACAACGCGGCGAGACAGAAGTACATCTACTCCCAAGAAGACCACTAGAAGAAATATTGAAGATGGCCTCGGACTCGGGTGTCTCGGTGCTGTTCGTCTGTCTCGGAAACATCTGTACGTCCATCTCACTGTCGAAGAGAGAGAGATATTAACATACGACAGGCCGCTCGCCCATGGCCGAAGCCGTGTTCAGACACATCACAAGCAGCAACAGCTCGTCTATAACGTTCTCTACGCTCGACTCTGCTGGAACCTGCGCCGCACATCTCGGTGACGCTCCCGATCCGCGGACGATGTCGACGCTGAAGAAACATGGAATCACGAGCTTCACGCATGCGGCTCGCAGAGTGAAGAGTTCAGACTTTACAGACTTTGACTACATAATCGCAATGGACAGAGAGAACCTGGACTCGTTACTGCATTCTCAAAGCCGCGTAAAGGGTGAGAAGCTTGCAGAGGTGAGGATGTTTGGCGACTTTGACGGAGATGTCGATGGCAAGGGCGAGAGTGAAGAAGTGCCTGACCCGTATTACGGAGGTAGAGACGGGTTCGACCATGTGTACGAGATGGTGACCAGGCTGTCGAGCGGGTTTATGGCGTATTTGGAGAAGAAGCATGGGCATGGTACAAACTAGAGTACATATATCTATACAACCTACTATATAACTTTGCCGACGTTATATCCGCTGGGTGATCTGTATGGCCGCACGACAACCCAGCCTGACCACCCCTATCAATGGCTCATACGGCTTGGCTTCCTTTGCATCATTCTCCACGGCGTGGTCGAGGTGCTCCAGCTCTTCGTCTCTGATTCTCTTTAGCGTCTTCACCAACTGCTGTAGCTCAGAGGGCACCACTTCCCCCCTGGCCTCTGCATCCTCCATCCACCCTACAATCACACGTATCTGGTCGTTGTAGTGTGTTCCGATCTCTGTCTCGACGGCCTCTGTGCACGCCATGGCTGCCTCCCGGCCCATCACGCCCGTCGACCAGCCTAGGAAAGTGGCTGCCGCCTGCCAGACGGGGTACATGGCTGTAGGCCGCACGCGGTGGGTGGCCAGCATATCGTTGAAGATGGAGAAGTGACCGGCCTCCTGGTCATACATGTGTTTCATGAGCGGGCGGAGGTGAGGATGGGAGCGAACGACGGGGGGGCTCTGGGCGGCGTAGATGAGGGTTGCAGCCAGCTCGCCGGCATGGTTGACGCGGAGGGCACTGCTCAGGTAGGCTCTCTGAGAGGGTGTCAGCACCATCTCCTTGCCCTTCGCATTCCCATTGCCATTATCACTCCTTGAGCTATCGTTGTGTGTGGTCGAGCTGTATCGAATTTGAGATCGTGATAGGAACGCTGACTGAGCGCGACATCTGCTGCATATGGATTGGCCAATGGCCCGTCGGGGTAGAATGCTTGCTGCACTCATCTCTTTCTCTTTAACCGTTTCTCTGAGTATTATATTGATATAATTGAGCTGTGAAGTTGAAGTTGAGCTCGAGAAGACGAAAAGCGCCAAGATGACGGCATCTTTCACGTGACCTCGACCTTCGACTTCGACTTTCTTCAACTTCTTTAGTGGCGACGATAAAGACGAGACAGAAAACGAAGCGGACGAAGCGGACGAAGACAAAGACGAAAGACGAGGGCGCAGACGAGCGTGAGATCTGCCATATTCCAGCTGCATTTACCCGATATCGCATATCTAGCTGCATAGCCGTCTTTCTCCTACATTCACCATCTACATACCCTTTAATATAACCCCAGCCTCCTATCCCCTTAAATCTCCTATCTAAGCCTCCTGTCCATCGACGCAGGCCAGGCATCGCCGTCTCACGCTATCTATCTCCATATAACCAGCTTCGCCTCTGATATCTGCCAGCTCAACCTTTCCCCGGCCCTAGATACACACCTCGCACCTTCTCTATGGCTGACCTGGACGCCGAACTTCTCGCCCTGGCGGGAGGTGATGATTCCTCCGACGAGGAATCTCCCGCCGTCTCTCAACAAAAGGACAAGGACCAGCAGAACCGGTCCTCCGCCAGTCCAGCAGCCAAGGACCAGAACGAAGACGCGGATATGGCTCGCAAGGGGATAGCTCGTCCGGTCAAGCGGCCACGGAAGAGAGCCAGGGCTTACAATGACGAGGAAGAAGAGGGCGAGCTGTAAGTCACTCTCTGGCATGGGCAATAACACTGCCTATTGTTTACCCCTCACCTCCAGTTCATTGTGAATTTTTTTTTTACAAAAAAATCAATAACCCCCCCCCCCCCCCCCCCCCCCCCAACACCAACCTCCAGCCACCAGCAGCAGCATGTCAATTTCACGGCACTTGAGAACCTCCCGACTAACGATACCAGCTCCTCGTCCACTACTCGATCTCGCGGCTCCCTGCGATCAGCATCCATGTCTGAGTCGGAGTCAGATACCTCGCCTCCCCCCGATGACAACCAGGGGCCTATCTTCCCATACGAGAAGCTCTTCTACTCTGCCAAAGACAAGAGCGAAATCATGGCTCTCCCGGAAATCCAGCGTGAAGAGCTTCTCTCTGAACGAGCTCAGCAAGTCGACCGCCACAACCAGGACATTGCACTACGTCGCCTCCTCGCTAGCCGAGAGCGCGAAGAAGCCCGTGCAGCATCCAAGAAGAAGCGGAAAGTCAGCTCTACCGATCTAGAAGAGAGCCAGCGCAAGAGTTCGCGCAAGAAGACGGTCCTCGGTGGACGGAAAGTCGGCGAGCCATCCGATGCGATCGAGGCCTACAAACGCCAGCGAGAACAAAAAGGGAAGCGTGATGAGCAGCGACGCCGCGATGCATCGTCACGAAAGAACAATGCTGGAAGCTCACCCGCTAGAGAGACGGACGACCGAGATGCCAGTGGTGAGAGCGAGGTGGAATGGGATGAAGGGAACCGACGACGCTCCGTCTCGCCTCCTAAATATGACCCACCAGCTGAATTGGCCGACTTCCAGCGTGCGAGGGTGGGACGCAGCAACTTTGCGCAAGTGTGCTTCTATCCTGGCTTCGACCAGGCTATCAGCAACTGCTATGCGAGGATCAGCTTGGGCCCCAGCCCATCAACCGGCAAACCCGAATACAGAATTGGTCTTATCAAGAGTAGGTATTCTCCCCCTCATAGCTTGCCGACCCCCTGCTAACGTGGTGTCTAGAGTTCGTCGAGGGCCGTCCGTATGCTATTGAAGGCGTAAACGGGCGTAACTTCGTCACCACCCAATACTGTCGTTTGGCGCATGGCAAGGCCGAGAAGGAGTTCCCCTTCATCGCCTGCTCAGATTCACCATTTACTGAGGTATGTTAAACACTTGCTCTCTAACGAGTAAAACGGATAACCACTGACGTCATCATATAGGCCGAGTTCAACCGTTATCGTCAAACCATGATTGTCGAGGACTGCAAGATGCCCACGAAGGCGATGCTCGCAAAGAAAGTGGCAGACATCAACCGCCTGCTCAACCACGAATTCACTAAAGAGGAGCTTGAAGAGAAACTGCGCCGCCAAGGGACAAACGACAACAAAAAGGTTATCTTCGCACGCATTCAGCTCGAACGCCGACGCAACGAGGCCATCGCCAACAAGGAGGAGGCCGCCATTGCCGAATGCGACGCAGAACTAGCCCGTCTCACCGGCCCCAAGCTGGCCTTCGGCACCACCCTCGTCAAGCCTCGTTCCAGCGAGAAGTCACAGCAAGAACGTCTCGCCGAGATCAACATGCGTAACCAGAAGCTCAACACCGAGAACGTACGCAAGGCCCAGCTCGCCGAACGCAAAGCGGCCAAGATAGCCGCCGCAGCCGTTGCTCGAGGAGAAGCCGTGGCCGACCGTTTTGCACGTGTCAAGACTCGCGCGAGAACGTACTACGAGTCCACGGACGGGCATCTCATCCCCGTCAAGCCCGACGCCGTCATCGCAGACCGCAGCCGTGCGATCACTCCAAACACAGACGCCACAAACACGCCCGCCAACGGGACGACTCCCTCACGCGGCGTGACGCCATCTAAGCCGTCGACCCCCAAGGTCTACAAGGGCGTCCCCGTCATTCGACACCGGCCTACGGACGAGGACAACATCGCCGCGTTGGACCTGGGCATCGACATTGAGATCTGATTTGGAGGTCGCCCGAACCCTGTATCACCATCACCGTCGTTCTGTTTATTTTTATCTGTACCTTCACTTTCACTGTTCCCTTGTTTGCACAGGCGTGGTTTGGAGTCATAGCGTTGCGAGGAGAGGAAATTGGCTGGGTTTACTTTGTTTCTACCACTCCTTACTGAATACACTTCTACATCTACTTCTACTTCTCTACGGAGTACTTCTTCTACTTCTTCTATTACTTCCTCTAGGTCCTTCTATAGTTCCTCCTTTTACCTTGACCAATCACTTCATCACGTGATATATATGTGGTCCATTTTAAGTTTGTCTTATTCATCAGGACCCACTTTTAGGTCAAGTGGTCTGTGCATCCGGTCATGCCCAAAAAGGGAAAGAGCTTAAGTAGATCGCGAAGATACAAAACTACGAACATCAAGAAAAACATAAAGGAGAAACGGACATTTACTGCAACCAGACACGCAAGAGGACCAGGGACGGCGTCGTGGTGGCCGGTTCACACTGAGACTGCGCTGGCTTTGACCTTGTTTCAGGGCCTTGTCACTGGAACGGATCTGCCTGGGCGCGGGAGTCGTGGATCTACCCGTACAACTTAACTGCTTACCTGTCCATTCCACCGACCGGGATGGTCGGATAGCTGCAACGGACTCGTCGTCCTGCCAGACTCCGCGAGGCAGAAAATAGACACCGGGAGACGGAGCGCGCATCGTGCTCACACAGCCGCCGCAACGATGGCGGGAATGGAGGAATTGGAGATACACAGCAAGGTAACGGAGCGCGCCCCATTCCTGGCAGGGGAGCCCTTGAGATGGCCCCGAGATAGAAGGCCCCTCGCTGGCGTGTCCATATATATCGACTAACACTGTTCCTGTCTCTCAGTCATACCTCGTCCGCTGGATAAACGTCAGCTCCGAGCATACCATCTCTTGGAGCATTCAGCCTCACAAAAAATCGCTCAATTTCGGAATCTTCAAACACCCCGGCGCGTCAGGACTGGCAGTCAACAGTTCGGCGTCCACCTACTCCAACAATGCCGGCAGCGATATTAATGACCTCACGAAAGAGAATGTCGCGGCCAAACCCGCCGACTCTTCCCTCCTCATCACCGAGAAGCTGAAAGGCGTAGGCTTGAAGCCCATCGAATGGATAGGGAAATGCGAGGCAGACAAGATATCCCAGGGGACCTACGATGTTGCCTCCAACGAGGGCGGGAACTATGCTCTTGTCTTCGATAACACATTCTCTAAACAAATCTCAAAGACAGTCACGTTCGTACTGCTCACCTATGCAACCAGCTGCCCTCCTCGGTCAGGTCATCAGGTACACCACACCCAGGCTGTAGCAGGCTCGATCGGATCCCTGGCATCATCGCGTCCAAGCCCTAAGCTCACCGCGGCCGACTCGACTGAACCAGAGTCCAAAGCGCGAATTCAACGAGGCCGCCCAGGGTTTGGTGCTGCGGGTGCCGGAAACTCGAATGGCCCGCCGCGGACAGCTGACTCGTCTGCCAGCGGTGCTCCGCCTGTACACACAGGTATTCTGCAGAAGAGGCGTCGTAAGCGGCATCAGGGATACGCCAGACGGTTCTTCTCGCTAGACTTCAACTCTTCCACGCTTTCGTACTATCATGATCGCAACTCTTCTGCGTTGCGGGGTGCCATCCCGCTATCTTTGGCTGCCATTGCCACAAACGACAGCACTAGGGAAATATCAATCGATTCCGGTGTGGAGATCTGGCATCTTCGTGCGCTTAACAATCCGGAGTTTGACGTGTGGAGAGAGGCTCTAGAGAAGGCTTCGAAACAGCAGGATAAGGATCAGGACGATGGCACGCTCAAGGTGCCCACCCTGATAACGAGAAAACATAGCCAGATCAAACCCAAGTCTCAGGACTGGAAGGATATTGAGAGATTGGTTGGGTCAGTAACCGCCTCCAGGGACAAGGTACGCCAGCTAGCAAAGGACACCGATCCAAAGTACCTCCTCACGCCTGGTGCCGAGTATGACGCGCAGAGTCCATCAAACGGTGTTCGCCGTGTCTCACAGCCGACCGGAGAGGCCTCTGAAAGCAAGGAGAAGCGGTCATTCTGGAAACTGAAGGGTAAAGGCGATAGCGGTAATAGTACTCCTACCCAACGACCAGCTCTATCGCCCTTGGGGACGCAACAGACCCCACCACTTAGCAGCGAAAGCTCCCTTCTCGATACCGGCTCTTTTAAAACTGCCACTGGCCCTGGTGTCCATGAAGACTTGATGTCGCTGCTCCGCGACCTAAACTCGGTTGTCTCAGAGTTTAACACCTTAATACACGATCGAACCCGCTCGCGAACCCCAGTTGCATCACGATCTTCCCATTCGCTTGTAACCCCTGAATCTGACTCGGAGGAATTTTTCGACGCCACGGACGGCGGACACATCTCGCCCTTGTTGACAATCCACCGTGATAGCGGCGAGGAGGACGCAAAGAGCGCTATAACAGCCGTGGATGATGACGCTGCTTCGTCTTCTGGCAGTGACGCGGATGATAGGGACGAATTCTTGCGAGGGGACTTCAAACTGGATGGCTCATCATCACTCTTCCCAGTAAAAGCTCGATCTCTCACGCCATTGCCAATGGATGCACCGCATCGTCGCTCCAAAATCGATCCCCCAATCGGACTACCGCCAAGTTTGATCAGTTTTATGCGTAAAAATGTCGGCAAGGATCTGTCTACCATTTCAATGCCTGTGTCTGCAAACGAGCCCATCTCGTTACTCCAGCGTGCAGCAGAGCAGTTTGAATATTCCCAACTCCTCGACAAGGCAGCTAATGCTACTGATGCCTTGGAACGACTGATATATGTAACTGCCTTTGCCTTGTCGCCGTTTTCCAATTCGCGAATCAGAGAACGAACTATTCGCAAACCTTTCAACCCCATGCTAGGCGAGACATATGAACTCGTCCTTCCAGAACGGGGATTCCGGTTCCTTGCTGAAAAGGTTTCTCATCGTCCAGTGCAGCTAGCAGTGCAGGCAGACTCCCGCGACTGGAGTTTCATCCAATCACCCAAACCCACGCAGAAATTTTGGGGCAAGTCTGTGGAAATTATCACAGAGGGCAAGTCCCGGTTGACCCTTCACTCCAGTGGTGAGCATTTCAGCTGGGCCTCGGGTACCCAATTCCTCCGCAATATCATTGCTGGGGAGAAATATGTTGAACCCGTTGGCGAGATGTGTATGCTCAACGAAACAACCGGCCAGAAGACAATTGCTACATTCAAAGCCGGTGGAATGTTCTCAGGCCGTAGCGAAGAAGTCACGGTCAAAGCCTACGACACACATGGTGAAGAACTACCTCTCGGCCTGCAAGGAAACTGGACCACATCTCTCCAGCTTACTGAACACGGCACCCTGACGAACAAGACGATATGGGCTGCCGGTCCCCTTGTTGATAAACCGCAGAAACACTATGGTCTGACTGAATTCGCCGTGGGACTGAACGAAATCACAGCTGTCGAACGAGGAAAAATACCACAGACGGATAGTCGACTACGTCCTGACCAGCGTGCCTTGGAAGAAGGCGATGTTGACGGTGCAGAGGACCTCAAAGCGCGACTAGAAGAAGCCCAGCGCCAGCGAAGAAAAGAGATGGAACAAAACTGCGAGTCATGGCAGCCCAGATGGTTCACGCCGGTCGATGATGTCTCGGAAGAGGGTGATGATATTTGGAAGCTTCGCACGGGCAAGGACGGGTACTGGGAAGAGAGGGCTAGAGGGGAGTGGACGGGGGTCACTCCGATTTTCCAACTATAAATAAATGAGAAGGGATATGGGGAATAGCATAATCTTGGATGGTGGGTTTTCGTGGGTTTACTCTTATTTTTTGTTGTATCATCAATTGATTTTCTATGTTGCTTGTCTATACACATTTAGATACCATTCAATATCCGGGCATTCGCCTTCTTTTTTGAGATAATTAAAATTTGGGGTTTAGATTTCAATCAAGCCAGTTGAGTTGGGTTACTTGGGACATAAGTATGGTCAGGAGGTTTCCCTTGATTTCATCAAGTGAGTTTCATCATCAACTCAGGACGGTAGCTATAAGTCTACTGGCCTTTTCGCCGCTCAAGTAATACCGGCCTTCCCTACGAGACTTGACTGGCTGGCCATCATCTCCTTCCATATCACTATCCTCGTCTTCCTCATCGTCCAAAACCAAGCTGGCTTCATACGCCTTCATAACTGTATCCTGATCGACCTTGACTCCCCCCTCGACCAGCACACGAATACACCCCGCTATCCTCGTAATTTCCTTCCTCGTAGCCAGCGAAATCTCGTCGTTCTGGCTCGAATACATCGATGCACTAACCATATCCTCCAACCGCGTAAATGACACCTGTTTCGATTTCGATCCACTCCCATCTTCCTCTGAAGGGTCGCCAACATGCTTGGAGATCCAGATATATCCATTCACGCCCAGAATGACATCGATTGGTCCACCATACGCCGTCTCAACTGTCCATACCTGTCGTCTCGACCTGACAACACCAGTACCCCGGGCCGTCCCACTCCCTCCTCCCATCCCACTAACAGCCAAAAACAGTCCATTTCGCAGTTTCCCATACTTTAATGATCTTGTATGTAACGATGCGGCACCATCTCCGTGGACACTCTGTACTTCCGCCACAACGAGATCTCCTTCGTTAAAGAATGAGCGAATCTGCAGCTCATCCGCGGCAGTACGCTTACGTAGAATCCCACCAGGCAGGTTTATGGCGGAAAGAGGTAGCTGGGCCAGCAGAGGAGCGGAAACGTCAACCTTCCATCGCTTAGATTGGACTTCGACAATTCGTCCAACAACCAGGTCACCAATTTCAGGAGTATAGCGGGCGCGAAGCGGGTAGACGGAGAGGAGCTTATTCGTTTTTAATACCGTGCCGGCTACGGTGGCTATTATATTTGTCGTCACTGGCACAGCAGGTGTGAAAGTTCCGTGACCTCTATATAAGTAATTATCGGTTAGTTGTATGTCCAGTAGAAGCGGCATATCGAGACTTCACGCACCTCATCCATTGCGGGTCGTCAGTGACTATTTCGCCAGGTGTGACGATGGTATCTTTTATGCCGGATAGACGGGCTCTCTTCGTCGGTCTGTCATTATCACCCATAGTCATCTCTTCATCGGAGTCTTGTAGTTCATCTTCAGATGCGCTTCGATAGTCCCCCTCGAAGGTAGGAGGTAGAATTGTGATCGCCATTTTCTGACAGCTGTAAGCTGAGTTTCAGATCCTTAAATGGGCCTACGTACTCCCACTAAGATATTCAGAGACGGCCAGGAGAAGAATGAGAGAGGAATGAAGAATAATAGTTGATCTTCAGGTCGAAGGTTGCGATAAGATACTTTGAACTTTTTGGGTGAGCTCTTGTCTTGGCGTTGATCCTGCTATAAATTCCACTTTTATATCAAAACTACCACGATATCACGCTCAATGGATATTCGTATGTTAACGTTCTACTGCTCATACTGGCGAAAATGCGTAATCAGACAGTGCACGATAGAATAAATCAAGCCGATCCCCCTCCCCACCCCATAGCTGAAGTCTTCGGGCCTGGAATCTTCTTTCGTGTCGGGCTCTTCTGTTGTGTCCACTCTTTTCTATACACGAAGTTGGGAATAAATCGTCTGTAATAAGATACCTTTCAAAAGTTAGGCAGAGAAAAAAATTCACCATAGAGCAAGATACCCTGGAACTTACCCATCTGGTACGCTCTCACGAATAGATTCCAGCCTATCTTGGTCCCATATTGGACATCCACACTGCCGTGAAAATGCCAGAGCGCGGCCTCGATCATAGCACTTCCCAAGGTCGGAACGGCCGCGAGCTCGACCGTCTAGTTGCAGTGCCCACGCGAAGTTGCGGCTTTCCGATTTACCATAAAACTCAACGGCGCAGATGGGCATCAGTTCTCTCAGCATATTTTGACAAACTTGAGATGACATTTTGAATAAACAATGGTGCAGGTTGTATTCTGGAGTTACGAGGTCTCCAAGCGCGTCCAGCCCGCGCTCCCCTGTTTCTACTGAAAACATATCCTTCATTGTCTTTAGTCCTCTCGTGAGATACGCGATCACAAAGTTCTCCGCCGATCTTGAATGATTATCATCGAACAGCCCGGGATCGCCTCTATGGTGTAGCGAAGTCACGATCTCATGCAAAATCTCTCTCAACGCAGGTATGCACTCCTGCAGTCGCCTCGAGAGGTAGCTCGCCACGCAGAGAAACTCGTCCAGCTCAAAGTCATGTAGCTTTTGTAGAACACGGATATAGGTCCATTTTCGGATGACCTTATCGTAGAGGAGGTACCCGTAGAGCTCAATATGGTAAAATGCCCTGGTCAGCCTGATGCGTTCGGTTGTTGATAAAACACGGGAGAGCTTTGGGCCGGGTCTCTCGTCCTTGGAGTTTTCATGCGGTTGCATTACGTCGGTTCCTATGCGATGATTCCCCCAGCGCTCCCAATATATGCGATCTTCGATCATGGCAAGTCGGCTGGTCACAAAATCTGACATGAAGTAATTGACCAGATCACGGAATTGGATAAGTTTCAGTGAAGTGTTCAGTGGAAGAATCTCCCTTGCTGATTCATCGAACTGTGGTACTTGGTTTATGAACCAGGAAATAGCAGCATTATCGTGGTGCTGCCCTTTGGATAATCTGCTTGACTCCAGGCAATGAAGTGCGATTGGCATCAGCTGAGGGGTAACATAATTCCATGCTATATCAGACAGTATGAGCCGCTTCGAGGACTGACTGTAAACTTGGAGATATCGCGGAGAGGCACTGATCAAAGCAAGCAGTGTTTTCAGGTCAGGCATCTGGCTCAGGATGGAGCACTTTAGCTCTGTTGGCAGGAAGTCGAGGCCTAGCGACTTGGAACTTTGAGGGTTCATGTTGAATTTGTCGAGGAATAGTTCAAGATCCTCCTTCGGATGGGAGAGTCGCTCTAAGAGTTATACCTATGTCGCACAAAGCGACCCCTGACAGAAGTCGGTTCTCTTAGTTACCTATTCAATATTGAGATGGGAAGTTACACCTGCAAACTATAACTAACAGTCATCCTCATTGTCTACCACATTCTGCGCTATCACACTCCATATCGTTTCGCACTCTGTCAATCATGGCACCACCATTCGTCTTTCATTGCCAGGAGCCGAACTCCTCAAGGAACATGAAGCTTAAATACCCTGACCCATCGCCATGTAAAAAGCTTCCTGGCCTTCTGCCAGCATCTTGCTCTTGTTCTCCAGGTGCTCTCGCAGCCGCACCGCTTCGGGTGGCTCAGAAGCAAGGAAATGGATATCTTTGTCGCTGTAGTGGACTAGCACCTTCGGTGCAAAAACTCCGGCAATAGGTGCAACCAGATGGCGCTCAATAACCTGCTTCACGACCACGTCGATGAAGTATTTCAGCTCGGCCTATGTAGAATGTTAGTTACCTAATACAGCTAGAGTATGAGTGTACAAGTACCTTGTAATATGCGTCAAGAGTTTCAAGCGCTTGTTCGGCGGAAAAACTATCCATATCCCTCTCGACATCGTGGCAAAGGTTACTGCGTAAAGTATCAGGATCAATGTAAGCCTTGGTTTGGTAATCAAGACTGTTCCGCTTCAATTGACTGGCGTTCATCATTGATTTCTCAATTGCCCTTTCGATGCCAGAGGTGGACCGTTTTTGCTGAAGTTTCTGCAGGGTATCTGTAAAGTAGTGGTTGTATGTGATAGGATGCCGTCTCTTGTCTTCTTGAATTTGTCTGGACTCATTGAAGGCAGCTTCACGAGCGTTTTTCAAGGCAGGACCAACTGTCAAGTTCAGAAGCCGGATTTTTATCTCTGGGGCCGCGGCATGGTCTAGGACATGGAGCAAGAAAGTATTACATACAGCCGCGACTTTATTGATATGGCCCTGCGCTATGGCTCCCCAGCCCTCGGATTGTTCCCAGAACAATTGGCTTGTAAGCATGGGATTGAAAGTCCCTGGAAGTTCACAGCCGCGGCTTCGTTCTAGTATCTTGACCACTCGTCGAATGGCTGCTTTACAGGACAGTTTTTGAGGCTTTGATGGAGTTGGCTCATCTGGCTTGGTCGAATCATCTTGTTCTGGCTCGTCAGAATTGGGCTCCGTGTCATCCTCCTGAATGTGATATTTACGGCCCCTCAGATTCATACGCTCTGCAAATCGAATATTCAGGTGCTGGACCGCTGCCCTGAGCCGTCGGGAATTTTCCTTCCCATCAATAGTCGCTTTGAGATTGACCGCACCAAAGAAGCCAGCTTCATAATTTCCATTCAATCCCATCACCACTATATCGTAGGCTGAGCCAAAAAGTTCTGCTAAGTATGCTCGTTGCTCAGCTAGCGTGACCCGGCTTTTGCCGAGAGACTGAAGTTGTAGGCGAACCGCGCTTGCCATGTTATCAAGCTCCTCTTTGAGAACCGGGAGTTCCCGCTTCAGGTGATGGAATAGAAGCCCACTTAAGCGTTCACGAAGGGAATCGATGCCTTTCATATGTTGGGGAAGCTCCTGATATCTCCCAGAACTGAAAAAGACGCGCTCTTTCACGTTACGCTCCGTGAAGGATATTTGATGTTCGTCATCACTGCGGTTCTTTAACAAGTGCCATCCAAGTTCGAAGTAAATATCTCGATTCTTCACCAAGTCAAGCCATACGCTCTCATTTTCTGAATTTGGTCTAAGGTAGTCTGGTTTCGTGATGACACCGAGGGTTCGTGCACCCTTGGGGTCAAATTTTCGGCAGTTCTTGAGGATCACTTGGTTTGCGTAATCATTTTTGGCCGAGATAACTGCTAGGATAATGGTGCGTTTCTGAGAGATGTAATCTTCAACTAGAGACTTGATGAGCTCGACGTCCTCCTCTGATTGCGATTTATTGGCTGAATGTATAAGCCCTGGAAGATCGACCAAGGTACTAAATTATCAAAGATTAGGATCAAATTCCAAAAGTAGAAGAACTAGGAGGATAGCAATCATTGCTAAATGGAACTCACAGATGAGGACGGTCTGGTCCGCAAATTTCAATGCTCAAGACATCTTTTGAAAACGCTTTGGACTCGTTCAGGCCCATGGCAGCGGTGGCCTCATCAATGAGAGAAGGAAGCTCTGCAAAATCTTCGATCGACCGTGAGAACTTGCGAAGTTCGAGTTGTTCTTCCTCAGCACGGCTACTGTCAGGGCTGATCTTGCAAAGAATGGTCGATTCCACATCGCGTCTCATAATAATCTCTGTTGCAAAGCGGGTGCAGAGGTTCTCCTTTCGTGGAAACGGAATTTCTGTAATGGCTTCAAGCACAGAGCTCTTGCCGGAGGATTGATCACCGCAGACCACAATCTGTGGTAGCTGCAGAACCGAACTTAGTCCCGCACGGCGCAGGCGGTCGACCAAATTCATTAGGTCGCGCTGTTCTGTGCTTTGAAGACCCTCTAAGGAGGTAGTCATTAAGATGGGTTCGTTCGAGTGACCTGCAGCATCCTGAGCTACCTCATACTCGCTGGCTGCCTCCTTGCCTTTCTAGGAAATGATTAGAAAACTCTTCGAGGAAGTAGTGTAAGGTGGGTATGCTTACGGGCTCGCATGATGAGTCCATCCTTGTCCTTTGGCTTTAGGAGAATAGTCAATTGAGTGCAACCACTGACCAATGCAATTGAGTAGGTTCCAATGATGTTGAATGTAAGTTGTTGATAATATTTCAGGATATAGAGGATATCAAGCTGCTCTTAAATATTATGAATTTAAAATGTGCCATGATACTCTGCAAGTATCTGCTGTGGAAAGATAAAGGAAGACGTTTGCCCTCCTTTCCAGAATTGTCCCACAGGGCTTACAAGATAACAAAGACGTTCCCAGTGCTGATGCCATACTGGTATATCAAACAACGGGATACGGTTAGATGTAGGTTGTTGTTGAAAGCTTTCTGTAGTTTGCCGGTTGTGACAAAAACAGATGTTCCGTCTTGCTGCCCTAAGCGATGAATGATTACATAATCAATAAGGGCAGTAGCACTAGTGCCGCTTTATGCACTTATCCTCTTGCACAGGAAACTATGGATGAAGCGAGATCATCAGAGAAGGAATGTTTGCGCATTACATCTAGATAATGGGAAAGGTGCTAAAGGCGGTTTATGCAATGAAATACCGCAATGCTTATTATACAAACAGAAATCTAAAATAATCCATTTTAGGATAAAAAAACTCAAGGCTCCAAAATGATATCCGTTCCGACACATCGGTTGCAGACAAACAGGTTCTTCGGATCGATTCGCTTCTTGATAGAGAGGAGACGAGCATACTTGTCTCCCCAGAAGACATTTTGCCAGTCATGTTCATATCTAATATTCAATTTTTGTAAGCTGAATGTTTCTGCACCAGGTATATGGGCTTACCCCCTTTTGGAGGTTAGGTGTCAACTCACGGGTTCGCTTCGTTGAGATACGTGCCGGTATTTTCTCCAACAATCCCAGCATAACGACGAATGACCTCTGTCAACGTCTTCTTGGCTGTTCTCTTTTCCTCCTCAGAAGCATCGTCGGCCCAGTTAGCGCCAAAGCTCAGGAGACCTCGACTCTCCTTGAACGAGGAGTGGACTGCGGTGTTGTCGCGCTCGTCGGAGTTTACTTGCACAACTATATGGAAATGACAGTAAGTATTTGAATCTCTCCTTCATAGGGAAAAGGGATAGAGCTTACTCGAGTTAAAACCTGCTTCGAATGCCGGATACTCATACATGAGATCGACGAGGTCACTAGCACACTCTGTAAGAGCACGTCGATTCACAAGCCTCGACCCATCGATGATATTAGTGGCGATATTGGGGTCTTGAAGGAACAGTTTAGAATATTCCAGGAAATCGGGGAAATTCAAGGGGGCAACACCACCCTTGACACCGGGCAAAGAGGCAATCTTGTTCATGGCCTCAAACGTCTTGTTAAACGTTGCCATAGATGCGTTCGGCTGGAGAAAGATTGCTTGGAATGGCGTGGTTACGTTCTTTTGAGCAGAGGTGACGCCGTATCCAACCCATCCGGCTTCGGCGATGTCAGGGATGGCTTGCAGAGACTTCTCAAGGACCACACGTCGTGCATCTTCGGTGGTCACATTAAGCTGGACGATTCCAACCGCGATGTTAGTGGGTTTAGGGTGCGTTTTGTACGTCACCGAGGTAATTACCTAGAGTAAGATTGTCAGTAGGAATGCATATGTGAATAGTATGGGTGGACTTACACCCCATGCGTTACCGCCTCCACCGCGGAGGGCGAAGAAATAGTCCGGGTCGGTATAGTGATTGATCGTCTTTGCTTCTCCAGAAGCAGTAACAATGTTGACCTCACGTACGTCTAAATGGCTGGTTAGCTATGCCTTACCGTCCAAGAAGTTCTGTTTAATACTTACTGTCCACAGCGAGGCCATAAAAGTGGGAGAAAGGGCTGACTCCGCCGCCAGTCAAGAAACCACCAGCAGCTCCAACAGTTTGCGCAGAACCGCCAACAAACGTGACACCTTCTGCAGCTGCTGCCTTGTAAACGTCTGAGATGATAAGTTAGCAACATGGAAAAGGACCGGGTTTCCACATGGGCCATACCTAGCAACTGTTCTCCTGCTTGCAGCGTCACGGCAGGAATGCCATGAACACTAGATGGAGCATCCTTGGGCTTGAAAGACTTGTGCCACTTCTTGCCCTTCAAGTTATGAGTCCATATGGAAAAGGCTCCTTTCCCGCTTGACCGACCAAGGCTTTGAAACAGTTAGCCACCGCGAATACTACTTTCAACTAGAAGAAACTCACTGGTCATGTCCCGTATTTTTCACCACAAGGTATAGATCGTGCTTGTCGGCGAATTTGACTGCCTTCTGGATATCCTTTACACCGCTCGCAGAGACGGAGTAATATGGAACCAACCCCTGATCACACTTCGCCTCCTTGGGAGAATTGATAAAGCATTGCCCCTTTTCTCCAAGTTCCCATAAAATGGCAGAGTAGGCTCCCGTCTGGTTTGTCCGCCAGAAACTGTTGGTCCAGCTGTCCTTCGCGACCGTACATGCAGCTGCATCATATTGCGCATCATGGCAGACGGCAGCCGACGGGAACGAGCGTATCAAACGGCCGGAGATGGTGGAATTGAATTCGTTCCAGACGTGTTCCTTTGGCCAGCAGGAGTCGCCGGCGGAACATCTCGGGTGCTTTGTTGGCTGGCTTTGGGCGGATGATGCGAGCAGTGGAAGAGCAAGCAGAGCCTGCTGGCTGGGGATCTTCATCTTGCACTATAGATAAAGGTGTGATAACGATAATGGTGTACTATCATAGGAACTGTCTACTGGAGAATGAGCATGGCTTGAGGGAAGAGATCAATATATACTATGTAGCATAGTATCCAAGAAAGAGAGACACGCCATCGCCTGGCCGCAAGGAACGACACATCTCCCGTTTAAGCAGTTCTTCGTTGTCTGCCACGAAAGAAGCGGATCAACACGAAGGCTTGTATAGATGGACTACGTGTTCTTGGTATAAACGAAGCTCGAGAAGAAGAAAAGTTGAGTTAGAGATACGCCGAATTGCCTGATCGGGAGTTAGCGGTGGCTGAGCCGCGGATCTTGAAGTTTAGAGGGAAAGTTGATATCAAACTGAATACGAAGAGTTACTGTCTACCAACAGATGATTTTGTACTGTCTCTGGTCGACAAGGCGTAGGGCGAGGCTTAGCTTTTGATATTGATGCAATTATGAATGGCTCTCATGGCAAAAGACGGATATAAGTAGTGATAATACAGAGTAAAGCGCCGAGGGCCCAGCAAGCAAGCTAGGTGATAATTAGTATTACAAAATAAAAAAAAGTAGTGATAGTGATAGCAGATATCGGATAGGAGCCATTAAGCCGCAGCCGAAGCCGTAGACGGTCGTTTGGTGCGCTTGTCTTCCTTCTTCTTCTTCCCACGGTTCCCGCCCTTAGGGTGATAGACGCCATCCTCGTCTCGCTTCCTCTTCCCTCTGGCACTTCCACTGGCAGCGTTGTTTGTGCTCGCAGCCGCAGCTGGCTCGGCAACATCGATCAACATGCCGTCGTCGTCGTATACCTCTTCGTCTCGCTGTATCTGGGCTGAAGCACGCTTTGACGTGCGCGTGGAGCTCGGCCGTGGTGTTGCAGCCGGCTTCTCTGACTGAGCCGTTCCAGCCGCCGTGCCTGAAGCCGAGTTGCCGGCAGGAGGAGCTTCGGGGTCATGGGTGAGGACCTGAGGTTTGTTCTTGCGTAGCCAGTTATACACGGACGAAGGGTTGCGGATGATGGCTGCTTTCTCCCTGTCAGCTGGAGACAAGTGCTTGCTGCTGGCGCGGGCACTGGTGAGGTCTATATGAACTTCCGTGCCGGGGACCGGGTAGTCGAGGTCGTCCTCTGGATGGATATAACCGAGAGAAGAGTCGATATCGCTATCCGGGCAATCCTCACTTGAAAGTGAGGTATGCGGCACGCTCGCCAGGAGGGACGAGATGCTGGTCGATGGCGCAAAGGTACTGCTTTTCAGCATGGACAGCTCGAGTTCCCTGCACTCGTCTGCTGTCATCTCGCCCGCCAGAAGCTTCTGTTTGGCCTCGTTCAGTTTGGCGCGGGCAGTCTGGGCGTCGCATTCGATGACGGGGATCGAGTCGGTTGGTTCGGACATGGTCGTGTGTAGCCGCGAGTCCTCCTGTCTGGTGAGGCCGTAGCGGAGAGATCGAGGAATGTGCACAGTGTTGTTCAACTCGAGTAGCAGTTCGAGTAGCTGGCTATCAGGCAGTTAGTAAACGTAACCTCCAGCAGCACTTTATGAGTTAAACAGGTAATTGAGCATGGTGACATACTCGTTCTGCTCTCTCAGCCGCTTCGACAGGTCCTGGATCCTCATCTCTTCACGCACGAGAGCCGTGCCGTCTCGCATCGCCAGCTCGAACTTGATCTTCTGCTTCCCGTACTTCCGCCTAGAGAGGACCGTTAGCATTGCACATACAGGGCGCTTCCTATGCGTCTCTCGAGTGAAAAGGAAGCGGCCTACTTGAACGACTTGAAGGGCCGGTTGGCCACTGGCGACGGCGAGGGAGCGTCCACGTCGGGCATGCTCTGTGTCTCGGTCATGTCGAGGGACTCGGTGTCGTTCGACATGCTGGCTATATATCCGTCTGTCTGCGGTCGCGTCGACGTGCTGGAGCAAGAGAAGGAGAACTGTGTCCTGTCCTGTGTATGTTGCTGGAGGAGGCTGGCTGGCTGGGCGAAGGGAGCTTTCGCGTTGTTACAAGTTCTCCGCCAAGCTGCAACTTTCTCTCCTGCGCATCTCGATCTCTTTTTACGGCGTCGAGTTTGTCCGCGGCCGGCGAGGAGTTTTTCCCACCAGCACTTTTATACTATATTTCTCTACGCATTCCACCAGGATATACCCATTGGACGGCTATATAGATGTCTGACACGTCCAGCTCCCCGTCTCCGCCGCCGCCTTCGTCGCGGAAGCGCAAACATGTAGCTGAAGACCCCCTCGAGATCGATCTCAATGCGCCAGAACCAGCTTCAAAGAAAGCTCTCAGGAAAGAAAAGAAGGCGAAACTAAAGTCAGCTTCGACCGATGCCACCACGTCAGCTAAAGACACAGCAGAAGCCGGAGAGTCTACAAAACCAAAGGAGCAGGAAGACAAGGACAAAACATCATCAGATATTAGAAAACAGCGGACCGGTTTTGGCATCTGGATCGGAAACCTGCCCTTCTCCGCGACGAGAGAGGTGCTACGGACGTTCCTGACTACTAATAGTGGAATCCAAGACAACGAGATCACACGCATCCACGTACCAGAAGGCGAGTCCCGGCAGAAGGGTGTTAAGAGGAACAAGGGATTCGCATATGTCGACTTTACCAGCCAGAAAGTGGTTGACCTGGCTTTACAACTAAGTGAAGAACTGGTCAGTGGACGACGGGTGTTGATCAAGGACGCCACCAACTTCGAGGGTCGTCCCGAGAAGAAACCCGAGCAGGAGGGAGAGAGTTCCAAGCCGGCTGGGAACCCACCGTCAAAGAAGATATTCGTGGGGAATCTCGCGTTCGACACCACCAAGGAGGACCTGGAAGAACACTACCGTCCGTGTGGAGCGATTACTCACGTCCACGTCGCTACGTTCGAGGACTCAGGGAAATGCAAGGGCTACGCATGGGTGGAGTTCGAGTCCACCGAGTCGAGTGAGGCTGCCGTACGGGGTTTCGTGAAGATACCTGATCCTGCCGACGAAGTCGAAGAGGTGGATGAAGACGCGGAGGAGGAGACCAGTACAAAAAAGCCTAAAAAGCAGCGAGAGAAGAAGGTGTGGGTGAACAGGCTACAGGGACGCCAGCTACGTATGGAGTTTGCAGAGGACCAGTCGACGCGGTATAAGAAGAGGTTTGGCAAGGAGAAGACGGAGGGAGACGAGAACTCCAAGGACAAGGAAAGAAAGCCGCCATTGAACAAGGCCAGAGAGCCGAAGAAGCCTGCAAAATACAACAGTCGATACTCCAACGAGACAGTGCAGAGATTAAGCGGTGCGATCGTGGAAGCCAAGGGGTCAAAGGTGACCTTTGATTAAGCTGGGCTTCAGGAGAACATGGTATAGAATACATAAGTTATACGAATATCATGACACTTCGACTACAACCAGCGTACAGTCCTGGTACGTTCTCGATCTCTATATTGAGCGCTTATAATGTGAATCCGTATAGTAATGCATCGAATTAATTACGATGCATCAAGTATTCCTCCAACCTCAGGGATTTTAGAGGACGGATCATGGGAGGCTTAGAGGCTGATGTGCATGCATAGCCACCTGTCGTCCAGGCTCTTGATATGTTCAAGGTAAGCCTTGCCCCTCGCATCTTGTAAAGAATATTAAAGACATCTGCTCAATTCCTACCTACATCTTGTCTTAAATATCAATAACGAGCATATTTAACTCTCTTTGACCATTCTTTAGTTTTCATATAAAGAATATAGCGACCTTGAATGGACCCGGTGACTGCCTTAGGCGCTGCCGCAGCAGCAGTGCAGTTTGCAGCCACTGCTGGCAAGGGTGTCAAGGTTGGAATCGAACTATTACGACGACTGAACGAAACTCCAGATCAACTGAAGGAACTACTAGACGATGTCACCAAGGCGATAGATGGGATTACCCAACAGCAAGAGGCCATACTCGGCCCATCCTCAAGTCTAACACATCGACTTACAAAGAACCAAGAGCTCGAACTTCGTACAGCTGCAAATGACGCAGCTGATGCAATGAATGATCTCAACTGTACTTGACCGGCTTTTCCCTTGTCAAAATGGGCAGGCTCAGACCATACCCAAAAAGATATGGATGAGTATCATATCAGTCAAAAATGAGAGGAGGATAAAGGAAAAGCTCGAAAGGATCAAAAGGCTTAACGGATCGCTCATCCAACAACTTCAACTTACCTCCCTGAATCTCCAAACTCAGCTCATGTAAGCCCCGTTAGCTTTTATCAAGTGTGAGGTAGGACGTACGCTGACCTGTCTCTAGAGAATTGTCAGAGCAAGCCCTGGCAACGGCCAAGTTGGACCATCACGAGACAAGCACCCGACTCGATGGGCTAGGTTCTCGGGTTGAAGAGCTGGACCCAAAACTAGAAGTGCTAAACGGTTCGATAAAGCAGACGTATTCCCAAGTGAATACACTGAGCAATCAGATGACGTTGGTCCAAAGCAGCCTAACTTCTCAGGTCACGGCTGTGGTACAACGCGAATCAGACGCTACCAGAGAAGAAATCCGAAGGTTGGAAAACGCTGTCATGCTGATCATTGGGGGCAATCAACATGGATTATCGAACCCGTCAGATACGGGCAAGACGCAGCTAACAAGGCAGATACAACGGGGGCTTGTATCTCATCCATCTGCAACAGGAGATGCATGCAATCTTCTGGTTCCTGGGGATAATATGCATTTTCAATATTCTCCGCAGCTTCTGCCACCGTCATGCCGTTGCCGTACCCTAAAGGGAAGAACGGAAAAGGAATATGGCCTCTTATCTCTCAGCTATGAAACAAGCCAGAGCCATGAGAGGACATGCCCGTTTAGCCAATATGCGAAATATACCAAGAAATATAAGCTGGCCATTCGATTGCTTCCATTTGTGAAGAAGACGGTGGAATTTGTCCTTGGAGGAACAGCTCAAGGTGGTGGGTTTCAGCTAGAGCGTCCATTGCTGGTAGTGTCCACGGTCAACCGGTCTGAATCATATATCTTCCAGACTTTTGACAAGTTAATAAAGCAATTGGGAGATTCCAGAAGTATCTCCCTCAATCATAGAGCTATAAGAAAGGAACTGCAGTGGGTTCATCAGTCCGTCTGTGAAGCAAGCAGAAGCGGCCTTGGTTCCATAACCGACAGAGCTGAAGACGGATACACTTTTCTCCATGTATGCTGTGAAAATGCTTTTCTTTTTTCTTGAACCATTGAAAGCTTGTCGCTAATGAAACTTAGGCTGTCATATCCCTAACTAGTAGCCTTGCACCAGTGTACCATGAGGTCGCTGACGAGGTTGACTTGCTGCTACAGCTGGCCGAAAGCGCTGGCGTGGATCCAGAGGCGACTAGAAGAATTTACCCTACTCCATTAAACCCTGGTGCTTATTCTCATGATGCGTAAGTTGTCATACTCAAGTAACTCTAGGTCACACGTACTGATTCCTACTAGGAAGTACCACACCGCAGCAGATGATGCTCGACAAGTCGTAGGGCTGAAACATGACGAACTAAAACAGTTCTCGTTCCTCGATCGCCTATTCCGAATTTGTTCTCCTGATCGTGAACACATCATTGAATACCCAATCTCCTCTTCCTTCCATCCTGGGTATGCAGATATGAAGTGCTCGGCATTGGACATGTTGCGACGAGAGCCATGGATATCAAAATGTAAGCCCAGCCCCCATTAACTATTTCCCTCGAAAGCTCTCTGTCATCAGATGCTGATATGTCTAGCTAGACTTTTTTGAAGGCAACTTGTCACAAGCCATACTTGGTAGAAATATTGACGCTTTGCAGCAATTAATCGACACTGTCAATATAGAAGTGGATGCTTTTGGTATGATACCTGTCAACGCCCTCGACCTTGCTCTCGGCTGGCCCGATGGCTTACGGCTTCTATCTACCATCTGGACTCACAGTATCGCCCCTACAATTGGATTAGCAGCCTGGAAAGAGGACATTGAATCGTTAGAAATACTGTGCACTTTCCCGGTTCCTCTATTTAGAGATTCCAGAGAAGCATGTGTATTTGTGGGTACTATCATGAGTTCCAATGCTCGCACGATACTTATCCACGCTTTGAAGCGACGATGGGAACAGTTGACCCAACTAGCTTTCGAATACCTGTCGGTAGAGGAACAGGGCTGTTTCGGCCTCCTTGAGCAGAAAACCCTAGATGCCAAAGCCAACATGGTATATAGCCTACTCGTGGACAGGTCCGTTCCCGTGCCTCCATATTTATACCCCGGTCCGCCCGGCTCGATATATAGTCTCTCAGCCCCTATATACGCTAGAGGTTATAACCAGTTTCCTTTCATAATGATGTTTGAGGGTTACTATGATCTTTTCCTGGCCGGATTTTGTGATATAGACGGGGGAGCTACGCGTGGCATGTCTCCCCTTGAAAATATTTCTAATTATGACTGGCATGGCATATGTCCCTTTGACTCCGGAGCCATGAACGTCTTCTTTCTCAAAATGGGCGCTTCACCAACGTTCTACACTAAAGCTGGCTTTGGCAATATACTATTTGGTATAGCGAGAACATTTTCTAAGGGTATAGCCTGCGCGAAGACTGTGTCACTCCATAAATTGAGGTTGGTTGAGTACTTAGCCAATTTGTTGTCACCACTAGAGGCAGACCAGTGTGTTTGCTTTTGCTCTTCGAATGGGTGTTTACCGTTACATTTTGCTGGTCGCAGCGGGTATAACGATGATGGATACACGAACCTTTTACCCTTCTATTGGATAAAGTTCTGTTGTCTCCAGGGTGATGAAGCCGAGTTGCACTTTGAGGAGGCTCTACGCGCGGAAATTTTTGATGCTCTAGGCATGGTTCACACTTGTTGTAGCCATCGTCATCGTCCTTATATGTCTCGTTCTCATTGTAGATACCTGAGCGATGCAGAAAAGAGAGAGATCCAAGACGAGTATTCAGAGATGGGGGCACAGCTTGATTTGCTGATGGCCGCGTATCGAGGTGCTCGAGAATCGAAGTCACTACCCCCAGCTGGCTCGGCATGGTCTAGGAGGGATTATTACCTTGAAGAATTAGAGGTAGAATGCGAGATCCCGGATCATTTGAAGTGGTGGTGGTCCAAGGTGGAACAAATACTACCTGGCATCAACCGAGAAGAGCGGAACCATGCAGATGAGCTACAAACGAAGGCCTTGCAGCAAAGGGGATATACCGGCTTAGATTTTGCTGATGTTATCCGGCGACATTTTGCTGGGTATATTTGCTCTAAAGAGCAATACGCAGGAGATATCGGCATGCGCGAGTCTGTCGCTGGTGATATCCAAAAGGCAAGGGAGGCTTTCACCCCGACGAACAGGATTGAACTGTTAAATGAAGCGCTAGCCTCCTACTACCTACACGCAGAGCCCAACGTTCCATTGTGGTATATTGATAAGATGCAAGATTCAAGTGGTCGTGGTATAGGTATATCGGCTCAAAAAGCCCCAAGGTCACTGGAGAAGTCGCTAGGGATAAATAGATAACGAGGAATGGAAGTTGTAATGAAGATAATCAAACTTACACCTGAGCAGGGGCTATGTGAGATATCACTATCTATAGGGTACCCTTCTTCAATGATGGCTAATCCTTCTATCTTAACTTCTGCTGTTAGCGAGTCCAGCGTGTATATAATATTAAGTACGAAAATAGAGGATAGACTCCCTGAGTCCGGATTGTGCTCTGCTATATTTCGAAGGAGACTCGGAAGCTGCTTGGATGCTGAGGGCTCCCATGCTCAAAATTATGGGTGAATGGCCGGAGTGATAAGCAAAGGCGAGGACAGCCTACAGTCACAGACAGCTAGCCAGGAATAGAAACAAGATATGCTACTGTTCCTTGACAAGTGTGCATTAATGAACTTTCACTTGATATTTCTCGGATACATACATACAGCCGTATTTCACTGGGGTATAGTCTAAGGTAACCACGAAGATAGTTGACAAACACAGAGAGTCAGATATGCATTATCGAGTCGGCGCTGAGACATCAGAACGGCACGGCGGGTACAAACAGAAGAACGCCGTAATATATATGCAGGTTGATAAAAGTATTTATACGAAGGAAACAAAAAAAAAGTAGCTAGAAAAGGGGTGTAGCCACTCGTCGTTTCAAATCCTTGACTCGCCAGTTTTCTCATGGGGAATGGTTCATCCAGGACACAGTGTTGCTGCGCTGTTGCTGCGCTGTTGCTGCGCTGTTGCTGCGCTGTTGCTGCGCTGTTGCTGCGCTGTTGCTGCGCTGTTGCTGCGCTGTTGCTGCGCTGTTGCTGCGCTGTTGTTGTGCTGTTGTTGTGCTGTTGTTGTGCTATTGTTGTACTGTTGTTGTGCTGTTGCTGCGCTGTTGCTGCGCTGTTGTTGTGCTGTTGTTGTGCTGTTGTTGTGCTATTGTTGTACTGTTGTTGTGCTGTTGTTGTGCTGTTGTTGTTGCACTCTTGTGAACGTGCGGCATGTTGATGACGCTGGTGCTGCCGCCGCCGCCGCCGTGAAGGGTGTAATCTCTTGAGAAAAATTATATTAGTCGTATTCCGTTTGACTTCCGAAGTGATGCATAAAGGAGGAAGAACCTACTTTTCTCCCCTTGACAAGGAGACGTGGTGCTTGGAACATAAGACCAAGACCACCAAGAGAGGGCCAAATAGATGGCAATAACTAAAAAATGTTAGTATAGGAAATAAAACTTGGCTTCTAGATAACAACTAATATCGGAGAGCTTACATCTGTGGCCCCTGAGTCTTCTATATTTTTTTACCCCTTTTCCCACCCTGGCCAAATGGTCAACTGTCCAACGCAGAAATGCTTCCAATCCCTCTCCTCGTCACTCCCCTTCTATGCATCCCTGTCGTAGAGGTCTAAAAAAGTGGCGGCAATGACATGGAAGGGGAGAGGTCTGGTGTATCCAGCCGCGATATGATAGGCGTTGGCGGCATGAGTGACGGAGGACCAGGAGTAGGGGCTGGAGATATGCCAGATGGCCCCTGGCTGGGAGGGAGAGGCACTGAGGATGGCCGCATCAATAGGCCAGGGGATGAAGGATTCCCGTTCCCCACCCCTACGGCACAAGATGTGACCGTGCCAGGAGAGGGAGTAGGAGGTGGAATGCAGGGTGGTGCGGAAGATGGACGCGGAGGAAGAGAGTAAATGGTACAGGGAGTTTTGGGCGAGGAAAGGAAGATATTCTCTAAGATGAAGGGAATGTTGATTCCCTTCGCCCGCATTGGAGAGGGATAAATAATCTCCTTGTCCGCAGTGACGACTCGGTAGGAGCGAGTCATGATGATAATTATATACAAGTATAATTGATATATCTTTAAGAAAGTACCAAGATGATATCAGAGAAGTGAAGGAAACCAAGTTGTATCAGGGCTGAGGACGTCCTTTTATGTCTGGGACCACACCTGTTCCTGCCGTTAGAATGATATAAGCATGATATAAACATCATTACATGCTGATGGAAGCCGTGACGGTGGTAGAGGAATCCATGGTAACGATCAACCAAACTTCCAGGAATATGTCGACATAGACTCCTCGCCTTAGTCATGGTCTACTTGGGCAGAGATGAATAGAAATGAAGATATAAAAGTTCATCTTGCATAAAATGAGAGGCATAGGCGTTGTGCTGTATAGATACTATTAGAGGACTAGACGGGTATATAGGCACTAGGTGATATAACGCTAAGGCGCGACAGTGACGCAGGACGTAGTATCTGATGCTAGACATTCATCTCAGTTAATAGACGTAATATGGAGTCTGGCTATGCCGAGTGATCTGACTGGCCGTGGAGTGGTTTGGGTTAGTGTAGAGATCCCGCCAGCAATATTCCCGTAAATACGGAGTAGAGATATTGGTAGAAAAGAGAGAAGAAGAGAAAGCTGTATATTGTTGTCTAGCTAATGACTAACTAGACAAGAACGACAGCCTCAGAAAGCAAGTAACTTGGCCATGAAAGCACGAACTGCGCCCCAGACCGAACATTTCTTCCTATCTTCTTCGTCTCTCTCCTCGACACGGTTTTCATGACGGACATCCGGCTTCCATGGCGGTGGAGGCGTGTACCAGGTGGCGATGCGCATTCTCTGCTGGCCGACTTGGATTGATCTAACTGATCCGACACCCCGTTGAGTCAGTGGTGGTATCTCAGGACTCGGCTCGCGGTCTGGTAGTTCGAAGTAGGGTGCGCGGCGAGGGAATGGACGCTGTTCCTGTCCTCCTTCTATCGGCCGGTCAGGGGGGATCCGAATAGGAAAGGAGACCATCTTGGTATATCGGCTATTGAGATGGAGATGACAGGTGTGTATGGTAGATGGATGGTATATCTTTTCATCACAGAACCCGCAGAGGCAGATATTATATATGCTTGCTGGTCATCTCGACGTCATCTCTTCCATCTCTTCCGTCTCTTCCATCTTCTGATGCCATGGTCCGCTGCTGGGGGAGCCATGGTTGTGTAGATGGTATCGTGCCATAGTCTCTGTCCATATTCATCTTCTTCATGGCGTCTTCTCCGCCATATTCGTCTTCATCATGGTATCTTCTGGCTTCGTCATCTTCATCTTCATGGCTTCATCCTCGTCTTCTCGTCTTCATCTTGGGCATTATCGATGACTAAGCAGCAAGACAAGACATGAACGAGACAGGAGTCTCTTATACCTCCTTATATCTTCTTATATCTTTTCTATCTTTTCTATCTCTTCATCCCGTCTGTCGTGTGTGACGCGCTAGCCACGCTGATCCTAGCATCCCTACGAAAAGTGTTTGCGCCGTTTGGCCTCAACCTCCAACCTTCTTCGGGCATCAGGACGGGCTAAATAAACGGGGAGGAAAAAAAAAAGTTCACCCATCGCCCATCACAAATCCATCCCGATGCTGGACAGCAGACACTCGCTGCTTGCTGTGTTCCACGCTTCTGCCGCATACGAGCGATCAGATTGATTCAGGTTCGTCGGCCCTGCACCCTCGTTTCCTGGCGCCGGCTGTTTGTTTGGGTTCTGCTGTTATAACCATATTCGCCCCGCCAGGTAGGGTAGTTGTCCAGATCACGACCCGGCCGGTGGGCGAGTGAATGGGCAGTGACTTTGAGACTTCTCTGCCTTGCGTTTGGCCATATATATATACTTTCGACGGCTGTGCTACTCTGCTGCCTACATCCATCATACTCCCAACACGCACCAACATCTACATCTACATCTACATATTCCATCCCTAGGAGAGAGAGAGAGAGAGAGAGAGAGAGAAGCTGACGCCGTTTGATAGATGGCACCACATCATCGCCGCAGGATCGGTGCCAGCCGCCGCACGGTCGACGACGAGGGCGAAGAGGATAGCTTCCCGGCCGTCGTGGATGACGATTCCCTCAGCGAAGGCACGGCCAGCTCCCAGTCCCACGACGAGGATGACGGAGACGAGGCCGACAGGGACGGTGACGGCTGCAGCGAGATAACGGAGAACGACGGTGAAAAGCATGCGTTGGATAATGAGCGGTCGGTGCGGGCGGGCCGGGAGGGCAGAGCACGGTCAGCTCGAGATAGAGGGAAGGACGGTGGAGGTGGCGAGGGGAAGGCCTTGTTCAATGCGCGGGTTTCGGACACGGAGACCATGATGAACGGATCGAAGGAGGCGGCGGAGTCGACACAGGAGGCAGAGGAGATACACTTCGACCAGATAGCGGACTCTCCCAGCAGTGGTAGCGGTGCCGGTGGAGGGAACGGAGGCGGACAGAGGGAGACGTTTGCAGAGCGAAAACGACGGGAGCACGAGGAGTACATCCAGAAAAGAAACAGTGATCCGTCCTTCGTGCCGACAAGGGGAGGTTTCTTCCTACATGATAACCGGTCTGGAAATGGCAACGGCAATGGACGAGGGGGCAAACAGATAAAGAGCAAGCCACACGGTCTTATCGTCGATAGCAATGTCTCGAGGTGAGTACATCTGTCATTGACCATTTGCTATACTTTACCTATGCTGACGATGCTGCAGGAAACCCCAGCCGGATATAACCCATGCTCCCTGGCGACACGACCTCCACGACTCCGTCAACCAGCCCTACCGCCCGCCCCAAAACACCAACTATCCCTCGAAGCCGGTCCCCACGGCCCCTCGCTCCTCACCACCGAACAGGTCCTTCTCAAACACCATCCTCATAGGCAATGTCCCCGTCATCGTCTTCCTCCCGGGCATGCAATCGCCTATCCCCTTCTCCGCCGTCCCCAAAAAGCAACACACCCGTCTCCCGCAGCATCGCCCTCCGCTACGTCGTGATAAACCCGTCCGGATCTCGCTACCAGGCCAGGCTCCCCGATATATATTCCCGTCCACCGAACGGTCGTTCATCTTCATCCCACGAGCTCTACGACCGAACCAACAGGCTTCGTACCGAGGTAGGGGCCGGGGAGGAGGCGGTGGAGGCGGTGGCTTCTACTCCAGGCGAGCTAGCGTATACTCCGGCAGCGCCTACAGCCATGCACCAACGCATACACCCAGCGTCAGCCTTAGCATGAGCATGTCTCGCCGTTCATCAATGGGCAGAGACGTCAGTGTCAATGGTGCCACCCCGCCCCTGGGATCGACGATACCGATGGCCAGGCCAGTCGTCACGGATTCAAGACCGGTTGTCCGCCTCCCTCCACAGGCCACGCCTACGCTGCCCATGCAAGTCCAGGTCCAGCAGCAGCAACAGCAGCCAACCAGTGTCCCGGCACCGGTATCGACCGCACCATACTTCCCACCGCAGATCCCACCATACCGAGAAAACCGCCCTCACCCATCCATCCCCATGCACCAGCCACGCCCGCAGAAGACCGTATCGGTAGCAGATATCGAGTCGCCTGCAGCATCGGCGGCCGCATACCAGTTCACCCAGCAGCCTCAGCAGCAACCGGACCAGCCCTTCCACCACCAGGTACCACACCAGCCCCATCAGATGCCGATGAACGGCTACGCACCTACGCCGGACATGACCCTGCCGATGGCCATGCCTATGCCTATGGCCATGCAGGTCCCCATGGCCATGCAGATGCAACAGATGCAGATGCCGATGTACTCGCACATGCGCCACATGTCCCACCCTCCGCCGACATCAGCCACGCCACTCTCCCAGATCCCCGAGCGCGCCATCCACGCTGCTCCCTTCCAGCCAGTCCCTTACCAGCAGCAACCACAGCCAGGACAACAGGCATACTACGGCCAGCCATACCAGGCCAGCCCGATGTATGCACCCCCAGCTTCCGGCACAGAGTATCCGTATACGCCTGCGGGACCGGGACCGGGACCGGCACCACCAGCAGGGCCAGGGACGGTGGCACACGAGTCGAACGGGACGGTGTACTACTACGACGCATCGCAGGTTACTGCTCCAGGCTCGAGCTCGGGAGCAAGCGTAGGTGGAGGTCCGGGTCAGGGTCAGCCTCCGCAGCCTCAGTCTCAGGGCCAGGGCGTGGTCGGTATCGGAGGGATGATGACACCCCCCGGGCCAACGACGTACTACTATCCCCCCCCGGTGCAGCAAAACGGACACGTCTACTATTGACATCTCCTTTTTCTTATCTATTTCTCTTTATCCATTTTCTCTCTTTCCTCTTGGCCATGGCGTATCCCTATCCTGTTTATTTCTCTTTCTTTCCATTATTAGGTAGATTTGCTCTTTTCCCTGCATCTTAGCGTCTTCCTTCGCTCGGTCTGTCTTTTCTCTTCCCCCTTTCTTGTCCTCTTTCCTCCCCATCTACTCGCTATATGTCTCACATAGTTATCTCTATCCTGTTTCTCTCTACTTGGAATGCTTAGCATGCAGGCAACTGCTTCTGTTCTCGTTTTCCTCCTCGATACCTCCCTGTGTTGCGTCCGCCTACGTACGTCTAAGCTGGGACTGTTCCATATCTTCCACCATCTTTTTTTCATAGGCCGTACTCTCTGTGTCTTTTGTCGTCGTTCCAGCGTGTATCTTACTCTTTGAGCTCCCTTTCTCGATGGCACTTTACTAAACCCTGTACTAAAGCTACTTATGCAACCTTGTATGTGACATGGAAGCGTATTACTAAGCGTGAACAAGTGAATTAAAGCACAACAGGCAGCAGGATACGTAGGACATGGCGTATACCGTCGGTCACCTACAGTTTTACGCCGTATACACCGTATATCTAGATGGGATATACCGGTATAGCATAGATATAAAAGATAGGGGCGAGATATAAGCGTCAGGCGAGTGATGTAAGAGAGCGGAGTAGGCAGCAGCCCCTTCGTCATAGGAGTACCTCTTCGCCCATACAAGTTACTATGTGGCCAGAAGTACTTCTATGGTCGACGGTTCTCCGCACTGCCGAGGGCCGTCTCCACCGCCCGCTCGCCACCATGCCCAAAGTAGACTAGAGTGTATATCTCGTAACGCCATGACAGCGATACACCACTTCCCCGCAGCCACCTTTCCGTTACCATACGCCGGCAGAACAGGCCCCCGATACAGGCTTGCGTGACGCTTCGTCTTCTTCTCTTCTTACTTCTACTTCTACTTCTCTCTTCTTCTCTCTCTCTTTATCTCTGTATACGGAGTATAAGACCATCCTCTTCATATACAGCATCATCGACAGCATCACCATCAACATCAACATCATCCTCTATCGACTGACACCGACAGGACAGGTGTTGGGGCGTGCTGCTTATCTCGCTGCTCTTGAGCGGTCAGCTTCTCACCACCTCGCCTCAGCCTACCACCTCGAACCCATCCTCAGCATCAAGGACAGTCTCTGTGCCTGAGCTGTATCCTACCTCGGTGCAGCCGGCTGCCAGTCCTCCGCCAAACGTTATGCCTCCAGCTCAGAACGGTCCGGTCGACCCGGACACCCTCATCACCGTCAAGATCGCCTTTGATGGAGAGAACAGACGCTTCAAGATCCCACTGAGAGACCTCGGAGCCCTCGCTTTCCCTCAGCGAGTAAGTAATAACTTTCCCATAGTCTAGCTTCTTCTTCTCGCTGCCTTTTCTCTCTCCCTCGCTTGTTGCTGCGTCGCCGTTCGGTAGGCTTCACCGCCATGTCCCAGATGGGCATGTTTAGTCATCCCTGTCCTATCCGTGGAACATCGTCACCACCACCGTCATAGTCGAGCGGCATCGCCATCGTGCTAACACTTTCTCTCTTCCCTCCCAGATCCGCCAACTTCTTAACATCTCACCCGAGACCAACATTGTCCTGCAACGATACTCTGACAGTGCTGGCAGATACCTCATACTCGATAGCGACCACCCGCCCGTCTACAAACAACTGTACCGAGCTGCTAAGGCCAAGCTCAAGCTGCGTATCCAGGTTGACCGCATTCAGCCGGAACAGAAGCACGAAAGCACTGAGGAGCCCGAGCAGGCCGAAGAAGCCGTCGAAGCACAGGAAAACCCCCAAGAGTCTTCCGAGTCCCCAGAGCATACTCCCGAAGAGACCGAGCTTGAGTCAGAGAAGATGGAGAATCTTTTCCAGAACCCCCGCGGCAGTTATTTGGAAACCGTCCTGGGCCAGGCTGCCCCCAGCGTGCCCACATCTCAATACGCTGCTCTTCGCGCCCACCAGGCTCAGAAGCCGGAACGCTGCGACTTGTTCACCCCGTTGAACGGACGTCCTCGCCGCCGTGCATTCCCTAGCCCTCCGACCTTGCCGGCAAACACCTCCACCGCCACCTACAGCTGTGCCATCCTGATCGACTGCAACCACTGCAATGCTTCCATTCCAAATGAGCACTACCACTGTAGCATCTGCGAGGATGGCGACTACGATTTGTGCCAGGAGTGTGTTGACAACGGCGTCTTGTGCCCAGGTGGCACCCATTGGCTTATCAAGCGCTCCATCATCGACGGCATGGTTGTCAACAGCACTACCGAGATTGTAGGACCCAAATATGTTCAGCCACCCAGTGTTGACAAGGCTGAGCCTGAGCCGGTCGGGACTTGGAATGATGAGCAGCCAGTCGAACCAAAGCTCGAGGTTCCAGCTCCTGAGCCCGTTGCCGAACGTACCTGCAATGTCTGCGTCGAGGGTATGTCTCGAATTACCTCCCTGCTCCCTGACTTTTACAATTGCTAACTGTTATCTTACAGCCTATCATGTCTCCAACATGGTTCAGTGCGATGTCTGCCACGACTTTGATGTCTGTTTCGGTTGTCAGATCAACAACCGCAAACATCATAACCCAGCGCACTCCTTCTCCCTCATTGAGGACAACGGCAGTGAGCAGGCGGCGGAAGTTAGAAAGTACTATTGCCACGCAGGCGGAAATATCGTCCATGGTGCCATCTGTGATGTTTGTGACTGTGTACGTTTCCGGCTCTCCACTTCATCTTTCTCGTCCCTTTCTCTAACATTCGATATAGATCATCATTGGTACTCGCCACAAGTGTCTCGACTGTCCCAACTGGGATGTTTGCAGCAAGTGTGTCGGTGACGTCGAGTATACTCACCCTAGCCACCGCTTTGCTGCATTGTCTGCGCCTCTCCCACGCCCTCGCATGGTCCACCCAGAAGTCCATACTGGTGTGTACTGTGACGGCGCTCTCTGCCAATCCAAGATGGGCCGCGAGTACGTCGCCGGAGTCCGCTACAAGTGTGTCGTATGCCACGACACGGACTTCTGCGAGACCTGCGAGGCACACCCTAACAACATGCATAACCGCACCCATCCGTTGTTGAAGTTCAAGTCTCCCGTCAAACATGTCTCTGTTTCGGCATATGGCGAGAACGACAGAGGTGAGGTGTTTGAGAAAATGGGCGACAGGGATGGCCCCGAGACCAGGGTTGGCAGCGTCAAGTCGACCGCTACCGAGACCGTGTCCCCGTTGATCAGCAATGCCGCCACACAAGTCCACCCTCCAATGACACTCAACGACAGCAATCATGAGGATCTTTTCCAAGTCAAGGAGATCGCCTACGGTAAACAGGAGGTCGTGGAAGAGAAAGAAGTCGTTGACCAGCCCACCTCAGAATATGAGTCTGTTATCTCTTCCCCGGTTCCCGCTGAAGAGCCACACAAGGCCACTACTTCTGGCCTGAACCCATTCGGCCTTCACACTCGTTTCATCAACGACACTATTCCTGACGGCCACCCATTCGCACCCGACGCCCTCTTCACCAAGACCTGGACCCTGCACAACCCCGGCCCCAGTGCATGGCCCGCCGGCACCAGCGCCCGCTTCGTCGGTGGCGACGCCATGTTCAATGTTGACACCTCCCATGCAATCAGCTTGAACAGCCTAGTCAGTGCCATGGAGAGTCAGCATCTGTCTGAGCCAGTCTACCCCGGCCAGAAGGCAGAATTTACCGTCCATATGAAGGCCCCCACACGTCGTGGAAGGGCAATTTCGTACTGGCGTCTCAAGGCTGGTGACGGAGTGGCCTTTGGCCATAAATTGTGGTGTGACATCAACGTTACCGATATCCCAGCTCCGTTTACGGAGAGGAATGCAGAGATGGTCTTCCCAACCCTCGACAAGGAATCTCCAGTCTCAAGCGTGCATGAGTCAAGCTCAACCACTGTCGAAGCTCCAGAATCTGTCGCTACCAACGAGGATGATGGAGTCGAGGTTATCGACTTGACTGAGGATGTAGAGAGCCTCACCCTCGACAACGAGAGCAATACTGACGCAGACGATGGTTTCCTGACCGATGAGGAATACGACATTCTCGATGCAAGTGATGAGGAGTTTGCTGAAGCCTCGAAGGCATCGACGGAGAAGAAGTAATTTACCCAATTGAATAATCGTTACAACGCTATGATATGGGGATGACGGAGGCAGGACGGAGTAGTTGGTGTTCTGCCGCGCTAGGAAGGGAAATTTGAAATTGTCTGTTTTTTTGTTTTTGTATTTCTCTTTCGGGCCTCTTCCCTCCTTGACAACTTCATCATCACATCGCAGTCGATGGTTTCCCTTTGGTCTCTCTTTTCTTATGTTCCTTTATGTATTCAATTGGTTCTTTTTTCATTTTTTTTTCTTCTGGATAATGGGGGTTCGGATCGTTTCTTAATAATTTTGTCTTCTACTTTTTGCCTTTTGCCTTGCCTTTTAGGGAGAACTCATCCAACGCAGAGGGACGCGGACGCAAAGCATAACTCCCTAGGTGACTGGTCTTACCTTGCCCATACCACTGCGCCTACCCACCTCTCCGATGCGGCCTCTCACGTCAACGCCACAGCTCGACGCTGTTACACATTCTGAACATTGACTCGACTAATTTCCAACCACTCAAGCCAAAAACAACACAAAACAACACAAAAAATGCTTACATCGCTTCTCTTCTCTGCGTTGAGTGTGTTTCTTGATTTGTATCTTCTTGACGCTATTGAATGAAAGGAATTATAACTTGGGGCTCTTGTGGTTTTTGGACTTGATATAAATCGTTGTTTTTAACTCGCTCCTTCCTAGTGGAGGTTGAGATTAAGTAAGCAGCACGGAGCGGAAAAGCTTGGCAAGGATCCACTCTAAAAATAAAGTTCTTCGGCTTCAAGAGTTTCTCTTTTTGGGACATATAATTCTTTTTATCTCGTTATCCGCCTCCCATCCATCTCGCGTCTATCATTTCTTTCTCTCTTAGTTCATTCCTTTCACCCCGTGCTGGCTGCCTCCTCGATACGATGATATCGACGCTTCCGAGAAGCAGCAACATGGCGGCGTCATTCACATTCAGGCACTCCTCGACTCAAGCAGTAGGGCTTCAGTGCCTATACTCGACAAGCAGAGGTTTCAGCTCCAGTACCGCTCGTCTCCTACCGCCTCCCTCTTATAACTCCAAGCCCGCATCCTCCGCGCCGCTATCACCGCCCTCTTCCGCCTCCACGGTGTCCTCCTCCGTAGCAGAACCCTCAATAACTTCCCCCGTCAACCCTCCCGCCAGCACACGCCCCGCGGTCATTGACCTACCCTCCAAATCCAACCCCCAGACCTCCGGGAAATTCACATACTACCTAGCTCTCGGCAAGGCGTATTTCGCTTTCTACAAAACCGGCCTTAAGAACGTCTACGCGAATTATAAGGCGTCTATCCCATTACGGAAAGAATTAGGTCTACCGGTTTATATCCCACGATCACCATGGACGGATAAGATCGGCCCATCTGCCTCTGATGTCCTGTCGTTGACGAGAAGCGACTTTCAACTCGCCCGGCGCAGTGCCTATGACATCCGCCGCACGATTCCATTCGCATTCATCCTCCTACTATGTGGGGAAACGACACCGTTCGTTGTCCTGGCGCTCGGCAACCGCGTGACGCCAATGACATGCCGCATGCCGAAGCAGCTAGCCAAGGAGCGTGGGAAGAGAATCCTCAGCAAGGAGGCTGCTCTCCAGGGAGTTCCGGCAAAAGAACAAGCATTGATTTCCCCGTCTTCTCTCGGTGAAATGAGAAACGTATCAGAACTGAGCACGAACGACGTCATCAGATCATGTGTCGTGTTTGGACTGAGGAAGAGACATGATCTGCCGTTCCCTGGGTTCGTGCAGACATTGTTGGCGAACCAGGTCTATCGACCAAGACTACAGCGGTGGTTGGAGTATCTTGCTGTGGATGATAAGCTGATTGCCAGTTCTGGGGGAGTAAAGGGGATGGTTGCTGAGGAGGTTCGCCTCGCCGTCGATGAGCGAGGTGGTGTGGACGTCGGTATGGGATTGGAGGGAGCAGCGAGCGAGAAGATGGAGAGGGAGTGGTTGACTAAATGGATGGCGGCTAGAGAGTAAGCAGCCATAGAGGGGGTTATTTGTTTTGATTTTCGGACTGGGACACTCCATTTAGTATTATAATATCCTAGAGTGGGAATTGTACAATATTTACATTAGGTGTTGGAATTAGATCGTGTTTTTGGCATGTGGTATAACATTATCCAGATGATTGGAGATATATTCTAAGTCATGGTTATATAAGTGAGATGCGATATTCTATTTAGCATCATTCAAATTCAAAAATAGCCTTATCCCTCAATTCCTCCAAACGGTGGTAGTAATCCGATCCGAGCGCAAACCCCAGCAGGCTCGGTGTCTCTGAATCTGTGGCTGCAGCTGGAGCAGCAGGCGCCGTCTCAATACCTGTCTCCGCATCTCCGTTCCACGCTTTTAGTTTACGATGGACATCGGTACCCACGGCACTAAACACCTGCTGTAATTCCGCCAAGGCGAGACACTCTATGCCCAGATCGTTCATAAAATCCGCCGGATCCTGTAGACATAGGGTCTCGTTTCCGCGACTCATTGATTTCTTGCCAATACTCAACTGCCCACGGATATGCGGCGGCTGGTCGGTCTTTGGACCTTGAGCACGGGCCCTCTTCTTGAACAATTCAGGCGGGTCAACCGAAATGCCTTGACGGCGGAGATCAGTCATCGAGTAAAACAGAAGGACGTGCAGGAATTGCCTTCCCAAATCAAGACGGTCGAATCTACCCTCTCCTAGTTTCAGTGCCGCGACAATCAACATCGTGAGTCCATATTGGTTGATGGATTGCTGGGCAGTGCCTAGCAGACCCCTTGTCTCCAGAATCATGCGGATAGCGATGTATATTGGCCGCAAGGTAGGGAATTCCGCCTTGTAGTTTAGGACGTATTCCAGGCTAGAAGGAGGTCTAATGCCACAGTGTATCCGTACCTTTCGACCGGTAGCAGAGTCCTCCGCAGAAACGACGGGGATGTGCGCCTTATCAACCGTGACATTGGAATAATCTCCCGTTGCGCGAAGCAAGCGGGCTACTTGCGTTAGGCGGTCCATTTGTAGAGTTGTGATTTTCGGACGAGTCGCACTTGGTCCCCGGACGCTATTTGGAAACCCGTCCGGGTCGTCGATAGGGATCATCAGGTCGATATTGGAATGCCGTATGGCCATCCCAGTGTGTCGAGATCCAATTAACCTTAGTCGCCGGTCGGGATCCTCGACCTGCCGCAAGACGTTTTCCACCCCAAGAATTGTCCTTTCCGTCATGCCTTTCTCCTGCGGTATCTCAGACATGTATTGTTCAAACGCCCTAAGCTCGTCACCGAGTCGAAGGTAGCCATCCATCGACTGTTGTTCATCGACGTACTGTAGCCAATTATACTGTATCGGTTTCTCGACGGTCTTTTTCGCGGCAGAGGATTGCGGCGTGTCAGCCGGCTGAAGGCTTGACTTCAGGGCATTGGGGTAGAACTGCTTTATCTGGCTGCCGTTTAGTTTCGCCAGGTCCTTCGAAAGCTTCTGTAACTTCTGGGATTCTCGGTGTGCGTCGGCGAGGAATTTCCGGTCCAGGGCCTCTGGGGGACGGTCAATCGGAGTCTCCTGTATGCCTTTCCAAATCGGCGGGCGTGTGCTAGCCTTGGACTGAACCACCCTCCGTACTACTGTACGGTTTCTAAATCTATGGTCTTCCAACGTCTCCGAGAGACTGTCTATGTTAATGTTGGATGTGGACGCATATCTTCCAAGTGATGGAGAGGCATGATGGCGTCTGTTGTTGCTGAAGATAGGCCGGGCCGCTTGGAAGAGATGGCTGTCAACCAGCAATGAGCCGCGTACGGAGGCCGAACACAGACAGCCAGACATCTGTTCCTCTCGTCTCGTCTCTTCTTCTCTTCTCGTCTTCTCTTCGTCTCTTCCTCTTCGTCTCTTTCTCTTCGTCTCTTCCTCTTCGTCTCTTCCTCTTCGTCTCTTCCTCTTCGTCTCTTCCTCTTCGTCTCTTCGTTTGAACGTGAGGTCGAACTTTTTGATGTCACGAGTTTTCTTATCTTATCAGCGCCACTTAGTCAGCATTCCAAGTTATCTTGCGGGAACAAACCTCCCTTGCAACAACTACGAACAAGTAAATATATATTAAACTGCATCTCGAGGCGTACGTCTAGCTGACCTTTGCGAGAGACTTGAGCGCTGTATTCCACGGTTGTTAGCCTACTGGGGAGGAGAAAACAGGTACTGTTCGCCAGCCAACCACCAAGAATGACGACAGTCTGACATTCGGTCACAAACCCTGTCAAAGCCCACTTCTTCTAGTTGGCCTCGCGCGCTCAGTCCGGGACTCTCCCAGTTCATGAACTTCTTTATAACTGAGCCTTTTGGATCTATTCTACGCTGAATTACTCCCATCTTTATTTCCGTCAATTGTGCTGTTCTCTACCAAGCGTGGGGTTGGAGAAAATTCATCCGGCGGTCTGACCAACTATTGCTCCCCATTACTCTCCATAGCCGCCCGACCATATACTATCGTCTGAACTCCCTCGGCATAGGCTGCTGCTTGTTAGGATATACCATCTCCTAATCTTTACGTTTAATGGCCTCCCACCACCCTGGGCTTACTCAGGGCGGCCCAACCCTGATCCCGTCAGGAGTTCAGCCGGTCCCGGTGCAGACGTCTATAACCCAGCGTGGAGCCCCAGATCCCATAGCAGGCAGCTCCAACAGCATGCAGGAGAGTGCACCGGTCGATTCTGGAACCGCAGCTGGTGCCCAGCCTACACCGATGTCCCCCCTGAAACCAGCCTCATCGAAGGATACGCCATCACCAAATCCAGTGGCATCCACCAAGCCTAACGACCACCCGGATTTAAACTTATCAGGAAGGATAATAAGTGCAGCACTCTGTATTCCTTATAAACTACAATTACAGCACGAGGGAGAATGGGTATGAACGTCTATTTTTGCCATAAAATGGGAATATGTTGCTGACCCTGAATATAGGAACTCAAACCCCGTTCAGGAACTGCCGCACTATTCGACTCGTTTGCGATCCTAGCATCCGCTGAGTCGCACTGGTCTCATACTCTTGTTGGTTGGACTGGTGAGGTAGAACAGCAACCACCAGCGGACTCCCTGTCACAGCACCTTCTAAAGGATGGGACTGCCTCCTCGGCTAACAAGGCGTGGGGTCCGATCCCCGTCAACTCATCTCAAAAGATACAGCAGCCGCCCATGGAAGGCATCTGTGTGACCGCCGATGACCGTGCTCGTCTCGAAAGTCAGGTCTCTTCGAGCAAATTCGGTCACATACTACCTGTCTGGTTGAGCGATAAACTCGAATCCCCAGATCAGGAAATACATCTAAAAGATCAGAGTCGCTGGCGCCGTTATGCAGAACGAGAAATATACCCACTGTTTCATTATAAACAGCACGGCCCAACAGACGGACGCTCAGAGCGACGATGGTGGCAGGACTATCAGCGCCTCAACAGTCTATTTGCGGATCGAATTCTAGAAACCTACAAACCCGGAGACATCGTTTGGATCCATGATTATCATTTACTATTGCTTCCAAATATCCTCCGCCAAAGGGTTCCAAATATCTATATCGGCTTCTTTCTCCATGTTCCCTTCCCGAGCAGCGAATTCCTACGCTGTCTTTCCAAAAGAAGGGACATTCTCACTGGTGTCCTTGGCGCGAACATGGTCGGGTTCCAATCGGTCACCTATTCTCGCCATTTTACCTCCTGTTGCACGCGCATCCTAGGTTTTAGTTCAACAAATGATGGCATCGATGCTTACGGGGCCCATGTGGCAGTTGACGTTTTCCCCATCGGCATCGACGTCCAGGCAGTTCGAAAATTAGCATACGGAGACCCAAACATCGAAAACACTATTGCCAATATCAAGAAAATATATCCCAACAAGCAGATAATCGTTGGCCGAGATCGATTAGACTCCGTTCGAGGAGTGACACAGAAGTTAATGGCATTTGAGATGTTTTTGGAACGCTATCCACAGTGGCGTGGAGAGGTGGTTCTTATTCAAGTTACCAGCCCAACAAGCATGGAAGAAGAGAAGGTGGAACCTGATAATAAACTATCCAGTCAGGTATCTCAGCTGGTCTCATCCATAAATGGGCGCTTCGGCTCGATCAGCTTCTCTCCCGTTCAGTACTACCCTCAGTACCTCCCAAGACATGAATACTTCGCCCTCCTCCGAGCTGCGGATGTAGGTCTAATCACCAGTGTACGTGATGGCATGAATACTACCAGTCTCGAATATGTAGTCTGTCAACATGCCAACCAGGGCCCCCTGATCCTCTCCGAATTCTCTGGTACAGCAGGCATCCTCGAGGACGCCATTCATATCAACCCGTGGGATCTCACGGGCGTCGCCACTGCTATCAACGCAGCTCTCACCATGACCCCTGTGGCCAAGGCAAAGCAACAAGCAGCCCTCTATGAGCACGTCACCACTCACACAGTTGTACAGTGGTACGATGAATACCTCAAACGCCTCCTCGCAAACCTCTCTTCTTTTAACCAGTCCATGACCACGCCTGCGTTGGATAAACACAAACTTCTTTCTCAATACCGCTCTGCACGTCGCCGGCTGTTCATGTTTGACTATGACGGCACCCTAACGCCTATTGTTAAAGATCCACAGGCGGCCATCCCTTCAGACCGCGTTCTACGAACTCTCAAATCCCTCGCCGCCGACCCAAGAAATGCCGTCTGGATCATTTCTGGCCGCGACCAAAATTTCTTGGAGGAATGGATGGGCCACATTACCGAGCTTGGCCTCAGTGCAGAACATGGATGCTTCATTCGCAAGCCTCGAAGCGAGGAATGGGCCAACCTGGCCGAAAAATCAGACATGAGCTGGCAGGACGAGGTACTTGATATATTCCAGTACTACACGGAGCGCACACCTGGTGCCTTTATTGAGCGGAAGCGTGTGGCATTGACATGGCATTATCGCCCCGTCGACCCGGAGTATGGGGCGCACCAGGCAAAGGAGTGTAGGGCCGAATTGGAACGCGTAGTAGCGACTAAATGGCCTGTGGAAATCATGGAAGGCAAGGCGAACTTGGAAGTCCGGCCAGCCTTTGTTAATAAAGGAGCGATCGCTACAAGACTAGTTGATGAGTATGCGGGTGTTCACGGGCACGAGCCTGAATTCGTGCTCTGTCTTGGAGATGATTTTACTGATGAAGGTGAGAACAACCCAATTCATTTCATTCTCTAGCTTTCCTCCGTCCTGTTCACATCAACTAACTTGGTTAGATATGTTCCGCGCTCTAAAATCATCCGACCTACCTCTTGATCACGTTTTCTCTGTTACAATTGGTGCCAGCTCGAAACAGACCCAGGCTAGCTGGCATCTTCTCGAGCCTGCAGATGTCATTTCGACCGTTGCTCTGCTAAATAACAGCAAAGCCTCTGTTCTCAATGACACCCAAACCTCTTAACCGCATGCATGAACTACAGAATTATTTGCATCATCATCATATATTTCCTCTGGAGTTTTACTTGCTGCTTTGCATCCCTGCATTTGTTACTGCTGTGATTGGAGATATTGTGGTGGAGGCTCTTTTGCATGATATTTTTGTCATACGCGTTTAACCATTACAAGTCATTTCCTTGCCTATTTCTGGTTTGTATGTCCTCGTCCCTTACTAATTTTAATATCCATTCTATGGTATTATTACTAGACCTTTGCCTAGCACCTGCAATACTGCCTTTTTCTTTTTCTATATTAGCTATTGTGGTTACTTCTATTATTTTTTAGGTGGGTATGATGAACTGGATGATATGTCGATGTTGATGAGTATGAAATCTTGGACAATAGCTACTAGAACCAGATGTTGGTTTTAACAGAAGAATATCACCATTCTAGAATAACATGGAGAGGGGAGGTCTAAAGTCGCGAGTGTTATAACAATGCAAGCTAGCCAGTTCTATATGTTTATCTATAATTCTAGCCCTAGGAAGACCGTCTCGTCCAGCGGTGTCTCATAATACTTTTCGATATCGGTAAATCCCAGACTCCTATACAGCTCAATAGGCGCACGCATATGTCGGAGCGTATCTAGTTTCATTTCATTGTAGCCTCTATCCCGCGCTACTTGAAGGAGGGCCATGACTAAAGCTTTTCCGACGCCCATTCCTCGAGTAGAGGGAAGGACATATAATCGTTTCATTTCACAGTATCGCTTTTCACTGCTGGTGATGGTTTGGCTGACGGTGTTCGTATCTTTCGACGAGAAAATCCTGGGTATTAATGGTCTCATGCAGATACAACCTAGCACCTCTCCATCCCCGTCGACACCAGCGTTTGGTTGATCATCGATCGCAAGCAGTATCTCCCCCTCAGGAGGGGCATATTTACCCGGGAACGACGCTATCTCAGTGCTGAAATCTTGAAATGTCAAATCAATCCCGAGCGATATTGTGTAAGCTTGGATTAAAGTGACTGTAGCCTGGATATCCTTCGTTGATCGGGCAGGTCTGATGGTGAATGAACTGTTCTTGGATGTTATATTCGGCCGTGTTGGGCAGCCATCTGCGGAGATGATGTTCTGGTGCATGGTTATCAGCATAAACAGGTGGGTTTGCAGTTGATGAAGGGTTCAGCCACAGGCTCAAGCGTTGTCGACGGTATCTTTCCGCTCAGAGTCTGTCGGTCGACTCATACAATACTTGGTCTCTCAAAAGTCGTATCTTCGGCCCGATTTGTAAGAAGACGTGCCAAGAACCCCCACGTGGAAAATCCATGTTTTTTTTTCTATCCCTACCACGACGATAAGATCTAATCGCACGGGGAAGATCTGGAAGCTGGGGTCAGTATATATATAGAAGTTGTAGAGGAGAAACCCTCTCACACATCGAACCCTGATGGACCAGACCCAGCGTGCAGTAAAGAGCACAAAAGTACGTAAGTGGCACTTTTTAAAATACGGGTTTTCGGCCGTGAAATTCGAACTTGCCGGCGGCCTCCACCCGATTGGGCCATGGCTGCTCTCGGTGCTAAGATCTCTGCTCTGGTCGGTGTCTTTTCTCCCCTCCTATGTTTGCCTCTCAACTGTGCCGTTTGATCCGTTGACATCATTCAAAGGGCGTACATCTTATTTCCCGGGGCGGCAACGAGCGAGTGATAGACGCTGTTTCTGTAGGAGCACCGTCCAACAGCCAAGTAAACGGGCCGAAGGATGTGTCGTCTTAACCAAACATCTCACCTGCTGAGGCTTTTCCCGTCGACAAGGGTACCGGACTTGCGTGGGAGTTGGAAACTGTGGGTCGGTTAAACATGTTCGGACCCCATGGGTTGGAGAAGAAAAAGGCTGCTGTCGCCCCGGTACTGACTCAATGATGACAATTATTAATTATTTAATTTTTTTTTTTTCTTTGGAAGGGAAGGGCGTCCTTTCTCAGAGCTGTCGGCTTCGGTAAACAGGAACATATATATCTTGGACAGCGCAATCGTGGGATCGTCATCTGTGGTTGAAAATACCCCTCGATCTTATAATTATACCCTCAGATAGTGTCGTACGAATTCCTGTTAAGCGCCATTAGATATCACAGAATTCTTGTCCCAGGTTGGCAGGTATACTGATAATAACCCAAGCCGCTGCTCGTTAATGAGAACGATCAACCTCGATATATCATCTGTATTGACAGCACCTCATCAAGGGCGATGGGACATGCTGCAGACTCCTCCTTGGAGGAGAAAGACGCACACGACCTCGAAAAGGGGCCAGCGGCCACACCTCTCTCATCCGAGGTAGAAGATAATGGCTCCCAGCCTACATCTGGCTCATCTTCTGACCATGAAACCAACGATATCTCACAAATCTCCAAAGTACCTACCAATCGCATAGAAAAAATCGGCGTTCTCGAGAAAACCCTCTCGCTCGTACGAACACGAGAGTCCGGCATCGATCCTGGCCCTCCCCCAGATGGCGGCTACCAGGCCTGGCTCCAAGTCGCTCTTGCCCATCTTGTAATCTTCAATACATGGGGGTACATCAACGGATTCGGGGTCTTCCAGTCATATTACACAGAGGCCTTGCATCGCTCGCCCTCTGATATCTCCTGGATAGGCGGCACACAGATTTTTCTTCTTTTCTTCATTGGGACATTCTCTGGTCGAGCGACAGATGCAGGGTACTTCAAGGCCATCTGGTCCACTGGCGCTCTAATAATCATCTTTGCAATCTTCATGACTTCTCTTTGCACAACGTACTGGCAAACCTTTCTTGCCCAGGGCATTTGCATGGGTATAGGCAGCGGTCTCGTCTTTTGCCCTACCGTCGCCCTCCTAACAACTTACTTCGCCTCTCGTCGGTCCCTAGCAATTGCTATCACTGCATCCGGGAGCGCAACTGGAGGTATGGTCTTCCCTGTCGTTGTGCAGCAGCTGCTCCCAAAAATCGGGTTCGGATGGACGATGCGGGTCATCGGCCTCATAACTGCTGTAACATTGGCTCCTGGCTTTTTCTTCCTTCGTCAACGCATCCCGCCCCGTCGTACTGGCCCTTTCTTTGAACTCGAGGCTTTCCGCGAACCTACGTACTCACTGTACGCAATTGGCATGTTCCTCAACTTCTGGGCATTGTACATCGCCTTCTTCTATATCGGCAGTTTCAGCCGCAATGTGATTGGCTTATCGGAGTCCAACTCCATAAACCTGATTCTGATAATCAACGCGGTGGGGATAATAGGTCGACTGATACCGTGTTATATTTCAGACTGGAGGTCTGGTCCGTTCAACGCCCTTGTTCCATGCATGGTTGTCGCAGCAATAGCATTATTTGCGTGGATAGGCGTGAGGGGAGAACCCAGCTTATACGCCTTTTCCATCATTTATGGGTTCTTCGCAGCGGGTATACAGGCGTTGTTCCCCTCTGCCCTATCAAGTCTCACAACCGATCTGAAGAAAAGCGGCATCAGGTTTGGGATGACACTGAGCATCGTCAGCTTTTCATCTTTGACCGGCTCATCCATCGCAGGCGCGTTGATAGAGTTGAGAGGCGGCGACTATCTGTACGCGCAGCTCTTTGCAGGTGTATCCATGACCCTTGGCTTGGCTATCTTGATCCTATCCCGGTCGAAGGCTGTTGGATGGAATCTCATGGTAAGAGTATGAACATGGATCTTTTTCTTCTGTTGGACTTGAGCATCTTTCTTAATTTACAGGGAGAATAGCATACCTCTCTATGCCATTTGCTATACATGAGGCGTTTTCAGTGTTGATTTCGGGAAATTCTGGCAAGCATATAAAATTTCTTAAAGAACGCGGTAAATCTAGCTGGTTATGAATCGATAATTATTGTTATCCTTCATTTGCTGCATCCTATCAGTGTTGAAGGAAATGTTTGTTGTCATCAATTCGATCAGTGTAGTTGTAGTTGGATGGTTTCAGGAGAAGCCGGTCACGTGAACAACTTCCAACCCAGATTTGGTTCATTGAAAGGAATAATGGAGAATAACTATATTCACTCACAAACAGGCACAATGGTGAAGTTGAGAACGGGATTCCCCAGATCTGTTAAATTTACATGGGGTATTCATGTGGTTAATACACCTGGAATCATGCGTCACTGTCCAGAAAGGATGTTCCCAGGTAAGGTAAAAGGACTAACAAGCAATTATGAGTGGAGAGATGCTGTGTGAATAGGAGAAAAGAGGGGGAGACTACCAACTCTCTAGTGACTATAAGGAGCAGGGAATCACCCTAAGCTGGTCCCAGTTGACTATTAAAACCCCATCTAGAGCAAGAATTCTGGAGAGGAGAGCGAGTACGATGCAATGAACTCGGACGGCGATCGTCTAGATGACGAATAGCCTAAAGGAAAAAGCAGAGTGGCTAAGAGATAGAGGGCCATATGTTAGCTGCTTGTTGAAGGGTAGAAAAAACCCCATCGCGACCTCGAATAACTGGTGCTGTTCGGCAACTAGCTATTGACGAGATGCAGCAATTCATGGAGGTGACGAATAGCGACTTGAGCGAACCAAGAGATATATCACAAGTGTTGATGACGAGTGGCGTGGTAGCGGCTGAGTGAGAAATGCAGTCTACTACGGCCGATGCACCCATCAGTTCGACTACTACATTCAGCACGAGAGAGATTGCAAGCATTATAAAGGAGTATCGACACGCCTGCGCAGAGCTCAATCTGGACCCTCATGTCCCTAAACTGACCCTATGCTTGACACTGCAGGGAACCCCTAAGCTTCAGGACTCCCGACTTTGAATATAGTATCCTTTCCTCTCTTGCTTATCGTCCTCCAGTTCATATGACCCTGCCTCTGTTTCATAGGTCGAGGGTAGTTTTAGGTGGCTAGGTGACGCCCACTCCTATATCCCAGTCCCTGCTCTCATTTCGAAAGTAGCTTCTTGATACCCTCGCAGACATGAATATGATGTTCGAAATCGTCCGTCCACCAGGCCGTCTGTATCCGTTTCAGATGTAACCTCTCTTTCTCGGGATAGTCGACTGCGTCTCTGGGATAGGTTTGGAAGAACAGAGTCATTTCCAGGGCACAGCCCTTACACGGACGGGGATACACTGTTGTCTCAGTATTGAAGTTGATGGAAGGAAACGGGGTAGAAACGCGGTAGTTAAACTGCTCATAGGAGACTTCGGGCTTCTCAGATTGTGACTTTGGCGGGTAGGGTCGCCGGCCGGAGGTTTCACCGGCAGCATTCAAAGTCACCCAGTTCCAGTACTTCAGGAGATATTGGACATTCTGGCGGGTGAAGGAAGGCGTCACGAATCGCTCTATTTCCTGTTCGGATCCGTGCAGCCGGATACCAGCCTCTTGAGCTTCCGATAGGCTTACAATCCACGTTCGAGATTTATATTCACGCTCGCGGATGCCATATCTTCCTGGTGTCATCAGGACAGACGGCAGGTTACGAACAGCCTGGCTCGATAAACCAAAGCACTCTTTTGCAGCCGCGAGAGAAATAAGCTGGAGAGAATGGCCTGCCCGCAGACATAAGCGGCAGCATCGTTTCGCAAGAGAGATGAAGAGGAGATCGCCGGCATCACCGCAGCTGAAGCAGTATTTAGACTTCAGAGCTTTGAATAAGTCGGTAACGGAGAATTTGCAAAGCACCCTAGTAACTGCGAGTACTTGCAGTGTGGCAGGAACATACTTGATCAAGATCAAGTAGGGCCCGAAGAAATCGACAAGGTTCTTGATGCCAAAGCTCAACTGTCGCAGCAAATTTAAGGAGCAGATATCCAGATACGAGAATATGAGGAATAATAGCTCCAGTGGGAGCACGGAAAGTGACGGACCCAGGCTCAAGCTGCGTGCTGAAAATAGTGCACGCGGGATCATCTTGCTTTTGCAAACGAGGGTACTCTCTGAGAGGATCACAGCCGGCTTGGTGAGAGTGAGCCAGTCTTCGGGCCATTCAATAGGGGCGATCTTTTGCGCTGCTGGTGGCATTATGGCCTCGACTCTTGGGCAGCTCTAAAAAGAAAACAAGGCTAAAATGTTCATATTAGGCTCTGATTGCAGAACAGAATTGATTCCTCGGTGCTTACCTTGCTAGATGTGGAATTGAGCAGTGGAACGGTCACTCGGGACGGCGGAACTGATAGCGGGAGCTGTTCCAGGTCAGTCAGAATATCTGAATCGAGAGGCGGAATGAGGTAACTGCAGGCTCTATAGAGAATGGCATACCCAGAAAGAGATAGTGATAGGGGGAAACTGTCCTGATAACAGTGGGTTAATTCAAATCTGATTAAATGATCTGTCTAAAAGCAGAAAGGACAGAGGTTTACCTGGAAGTGCGAGCGAAGGACGTGGTAAAGAGAATAGTCTGGCATATGTGAAGGAAATGAAAGGACAGCCATATTCTTGTGTGTCCTTGGAAGAAACAGCATCGCCGTACAATTTAGTGCTAGTTACCATCTTTCTATCTGGCCCGGAAGGCAGCTCATAATAGGAGACAGAGGAAGAAGCTGACAGGGTCAATGTCCTGCATTGCATATCTCACATACATATTAACGGCTTTGTATAGAGTTGTATTGGGCTGTTTAAGATAGTCAAAGTGCAGTTAAAGCTGATTTATCTCATTATTCCATATAGTTATCCCTATACATTTGATTCTATAGCAGCCTATTACCAGGCGATATCTATCTCATGGTCTTCCATCATAAACAATCATACATCCTTATGCTTATCTCTTTTATATCTCTCTATCTATCTATCTCTTCTATATCATCTCTATATCATCTCTATATCATCTCTATATCATCTCTATCATCTCTATATCTATATCATCTCTATCTATATATATGCCCTGAGCAAACAGTGCAAACAGGCGGAGTGTTCACGTGACAGCCCCTCCAAAAGGGCTTTTGGCGGCGGAAAGAAAGCGTGACATACTACCTTTTTCTCTCTCCGTTGTCGACGTCTCCCTTGCTCTCTTCTTCTCTTATCCTGTTCGTCTCTCTGTTGCCAGCTCGTTGTTGCCCAAGTGCCCGCTGGCTGCTATCTGTTGTGTGTTTACCCGGCCCCGTGAGCTACAGTTGCAGCCGTCTCCTTAGATCGCAAACTCCTGGCTGACTCGAACGAAGGTTACGTTATTTTTTACTAGCATACCCCCCGCTTTAGGCACATATAATCTGCATACATCATGGCTCCCCGAGGCCGTGGAGGGAAGTTCAGCAAGCCAACTAGAGGAGGTAAGTTCTTACCTTTGCACGTATACAGTATAGATGCTGAGCCATTTGATATTTTCCCAGGCGGCAAGCATTTCAGCCGGGATCTGCAACCGTTGGATAAAGATGGAAACCCGATCGGAATGTGGAGGGTTCGTATCCCTAGTTATACACGGCCACGGCCATAAAGAAGCCAGAATCTCGATGGAGGGTGCCCGAGTGGATGTTTTGGAGAAAAAAATCATGCTGACGTACCGCAGGAGGACAAGCAGATAGAATCTTCCGAAGAAGAGGAGGAGGATGACTCTGAAGAAGAATCGGAAGCTGATGAGAATGGAGCCGGCGCTGGAGAAGGGGAGGAATTAACCCGTGAGCAACGCAAAGCCGCTGCCAAAGCTAGAAAAGAAGCCGCCATCCGTAAGAAACGACAAGTAGCAGCCGAGCCAGGAGACCTCCCTCCAAGTGATAGTGAAGAGGATGAAGACGATGAGGATATGCCAGCCAACCCAAACCACACCGCCAAAGCACGAAACCAGGCAGCTACTCTACCAACGGCCCCATCCGACGCCGCTGCTGCTCCAGCTGCCAAAAAGGGAGATGCCTCACAGCTTTCCCGCCGCGAGCGAGAGGCGGTTCAGGCGCAGCAGGCGCGTGAGAGATACCTCAAGCTACACTCCGAAGGCAAAACAGACGAAGCTCGTGCCGACCTAGCTCGTCTAGCCATCGTCAAAGAGCGTCGTGAAGCCGAAAAAGCCCGTAAGGAGGCGGAGAAGGAGGAGCGTGAGGAGCGTGAGCGCGAGAAGGCACAGGAACGAGATGCCAGAGAGGCAAAACTGCGGGCTGCTGCATTGGGACCTGCGGCAACTAAGAAGAAGGGGAAGAGCAAATAAGTCGTGGTCTCATTTCCAGCTTCCGCTTCAATTGCGGCATCGCCAGATGTCGTTTGTTTTCCCTTCTTGGTGGCGCATTTAAGCGTTGCGAGTGGCTGGTTGGATGCAATAGGCGGGCGTGTTGAGTCGGTGAGGGAGGCTGCACAATGGCTTGAATCCGGCTTGTCGCCATCTTGGGTTGACCGGCGGCAACACGATAAACATACGCTTCCAGAAATATATGATTTTAGGTTACATGAGTTCAATGACAATGATTTATATGCACACGAGAGTTGGTGGCTTGACTGTGCAGAACGTCCAGGGATCACCCAGGTAGGCACTATATTGGCATCTTCGTATAGAAACCTTCTCTATCTTTCCCCTGATGCGCATATTTCGTAAGTGAACCAGGGGTTACGGCTTCTCCCCCTCTCCTCCCCTCCCGTCCCGCTCCCTTGACTGCTTCTCGCCGTCTTCGTCTTCTCGTTCCCTCGTCTCTAGCGTTTGTCAAGAGCTTATCCCGGTTGACTACGTATAAAAGCCAAGTGGACGGAGCAAGGAATGTCACTTTGTAACCTCGTCCGACTTGGCGGTGGAGACAGCGAAGAAATTGAAGTATCCGTCCGCAACACGAGCCCATGTTCGTACGGATCGTCTACTTTGTTCCTAGGAGATCTTGGAGCTGCACATAATCTGGCTACGCCGTCCCTTTACTCCGTAGCTCGACTGTCTTTCGTGTTGATCCCATGTTTAATGGGAGGGTCCTTATGCAGGTGATATTTTCCCCCCTAAACAAAGAATCTAGAAGAAAAGTTTCGGATAGCCAAAAGTCTATAGTTGAGGTTGACACGGACTGTCTATTTCTATTCTGACATCGAATTTCCTACTTCCGATAAACCTTGTATCCAGGCATCCTAGTGCAGAGTATATTAATTAAAGCAGGATGGAAAAATAAAATAAAAACATTATGTGGAGTATTTCCGTAAGTATGTACAAAATGAGTTCCGGCCGAACAGGGCCAAACGAAGAATAAAAAAGATAGACACACAAAGCTCCACCTTTAGGCAGGAAAGACAAGCCCGTGAATTATAATATAGATATTTTTTTGGGGGATGCTTTTAATAGACGTATCTGAAGGCCAGGTTCTCCTTGTCGGTCAAGTTATCCCACTTCTTCTGCTCGATAGAGGGAGACTGGGATAGAGCAGCACCCTCGGCGACAGGCAGGGTTTCCGAGTTTTGGGCAGCACGCTTGTCCCTACGCTTGTTCTCCCAGACATAGTACAAGAATAGGACGAATGCGATAACAGCTCCAGAGGCCTGGGTAGCCAAAACGGCAATCTTTGCCGGAATATATTGCGGTGCATCCTTGGCCTGGAAGGTCTGTGGACCGATGATATTTCCGATACTGAAGCTGGCAGTGACTAGGGAAGCGCTGACGGCACGCTTAGTGCTGCCGGCAACGTTAGAGGAGAGCCACTGGTAGATAACGATGAGGGTGGGAACGATAGAGTTGACTAGGTAAATGCCGGCAAGGAGGGCGCCTTGGTTGGTCTGTGGTGCGAATGAGAGCAGAGCACCGCCTAGGATGCCTGGAATACAGCATGCAATGATACCGATGAAGCGGAACATCTTGTAGCGGATAGCGAAGCCAATTACGATTGTACTGATGATGGAAACAGCGCCACCAGGCATATTGAGAAGAGCGGACCTAGTTGGAGAGTAGCCGAAGTTTCTGATCAGAGTAGCAGAGTAGGTTGTCACAACTCCACTTGATACAGAGATCTAAATGTCATTGTTAGATAGTGGCCAAAAAAGAAAAAAAACTAGAGTGTAAGAAGGCTCCTTACCAGGACAGTGATCAGGGTCATGAGCCACAATTGAACATCGGTCAAGATCTCCAGGATATGGGAAAACTTGAAGCTGGTGTTGATCACACCGGTCTGGTTGAAGGAGACATGCTTGAGCAGCTGTGCCTTCTCCTTCTCGGTCAGGAAGGGCGCCTTCATTGGGCTATCTGGGATGATAAAGTACGTGGCAATGCCGGCAAGACAGGTAACGGCACCGAGGACGACGAACATGGCCTTCCAGCCGGTGAATTCCGGGTTCTTGACATGCTGGAAGCCAAAGGACACCAGGCCGCCAATAATCTGTCCGAGACCAAGGCCGGAGTACCAGATGCAAAACCGGGGAGCTTGCTCGGACTTGGTGTACCATTGGCTGCTAATCAGAACCAGACAAGGCGCGATGGCGGCCTCGAAGATGCCCAAGAAGATTCGGGCAGCTAGAAGCGTGTTGTAGTCGCGAGCTGCCGCAGTACAGGCAGTCGAGATGCCCCAGAGGGTGACGTTGAGCGCCAGCCATTTGGGCGCAGAGACCTTGTTCAGGATGTATCCTGGGAGCACCGTATTAGCGAATTGATCCTTGCGCGCGCAGAATAGAGACTATACCTGTCGGAATTTCGGCAATGAGGTAGGCGATGAAGAATGCAGTCGCAGCATTTGAGAAGTTGTTCCCCTTGAGCTTGAGGTCCTTGTTCAAACCCATAACGGCAGCGTACTAAGGCCCTGTTAATTTCCGAAACAACAACGACAACACTATATCAAACCCCGCGGGGAGGGAAGAGAAATGGATAGATCATGAACTTACATTGAGAGAGACCTTGTCAATGAATTGCATGGTATAGCAGACAAACATGATCGGGATAATGTACAAGTCCACCTTCCACCGGATCTTCTTGAGGTCTTCCGCGGTGGCCTCCTCGCCATCGCTGGTCTCTCCGTACGTCTGGAGGAACTGATACGCCTGGTCCAGGTCGCGAGGAGTGCCGGTCGACGTTGGAGCCTCCTTATCCATAGCCATCTTCTGGTCGATGGGTGACTTTTCTGAAGCTTCTGACGCCATGGTCAAAACAGCTCGACTCGCAAGTTTACTCGACTTGAACGCCCTGCGGTTTCGACGAGTGAAATTCAGGTGTGCTCACTGGAGAAAGCAAGGGAAAGAAAAAGTGAACGAGATGAAAGGAAATGCAAGAGTCCATAAACGTGGTTTTGTTTGCTTTTTTCTTCCCTGCTGCTGTTTGCGCCCCCCGGGTGGCATCAAACGGAACTCGTCCTTTTCACGGCGATGGGGACCGGAGAAAAATGATGTTTCAATAAGCCTGCAGCAAAGCCCTGGCCTGGGATACTGTCCAGAGCTCCCGTGTTATCATATCGACAATCCCTGCCATAAATCGAGTGCACGGCGCCATATCCGGCAGATGATAGGATACCTGCTCCTGCGTCCTCTAGTACGTGCATGGAGGGTTGCATCTTGAGGGGGGGCCCAGGATGCGCTAGGCATGCCCTTAGGGGCCTTCGGGCTCCGTAGCGCATCCCCTAGCGCGCCCCTAACTTGCCACTGATGGCCCCTACTGGTCCCTACAGGCCCCTAAGCATGCCTATAACTCTATCCTTAAGCACGCCTAGAGGCTCCAAGGGCTGCCCCCCCAAGCATCCACTGAAGAGCCCCGAGAGATCCCCAGGCACGCCGACCGTCCCCGCCGGGCCACCTTCTCGTCTCCCGCCCTCGACAACCTTGGCAACCTTGACAGGCCTTGACAACCTTGACTCAGGTCCATCCATGCTTGTCCGGACCACTGTCCGTTCTGTCTCTTCCCTACACGTGTTAGTGCGCTCTCTCGAGGAGCATATTATCTTATACGGGTCAGAAATCATATCCTGAGGCCTTCCAGTTATGGATACGATGTGAGGGCGCCTAGAGCTCTAGCCCGAGTCCGCCTCCTCGATGATGGCGTTCTTGGTAAACAGGCCTCGAGCCTTCGTCCTTGCGCATAACTGAACTGTATACGGAGTATATATTTATACATTATACATTTTTACCGTACAGTTACAACTAGCCAGGTTTATCTCCAGGGCACGGTCGAGCTGCTCTTCACATCCGAGTCCCAGGGTTAAAGCTTGTGTTGTTGATGCATCCGCTCGCTTAACACTGAAGTACCGACATCATGCTCCTGTCCGTCCATACTACTATACCGATGGGTTAAACAAATGTAACATTCTCCTGGTCGAGACGGTGGAGTGCGGTGTCAGAGAGCAAACATTGTTTCTCGGTACATATCTACTGCAATCAAGCGACAGCTAGTCACCTTCGGCACTTTCTGCTCCGTTTGTCGAGGGGACTGGTGATGTCTGCAGAGACCCGGGGAAACGCTGGATGGCTGCTGATCTGCCCATTTTTAGGACACGGTTGGCTTGGGATCCCTCGTATGAGGATGCAGATACACGCCAAAAGCCCATCTGCAAACTTTCTTGACCTCTGGCGACGAGCATCAGTCAGCCTATCGAACGATTTCCTGTATGATTAGCTAAAGCCACCGGGCGGATTTGCAATTCGCACACTTTCCCATCAGATCCTGGCCCCTAGCTTTCTTGCAAAGCTTCGTTAAGCCAGCTGCCAATGCTAACAATTTGCTTTTTTTTGTGGAATTCATTCCAGGGCTCAAGGCAGTATGGCCCACGGCAGTGAAGTACAAATATTATGGTCTGCAGGTCCCAGTCCTGCACCTCATTGCTCTAGACTGTCGTTGCTCGACTTTATACTGACCCTTATCGCCTGATCAATTTATACTATATATTCTATCAACCGGGTCAACGCAGAAGTCAGACAACTAGAAATTTGGTGTGACCAGCAGGAAACGGCGTGATGCAGTGGGTGTACCATGCGACGCCGGAAGTCAATGCGATTTCGCAGTACCCGACTATCCTCGCAGTATGCATTTCGCTATCCTTTATCATGACGCTGGTGGTTTGCCTCCGAGTTTGGGTTCGCTTGGTCCTAAAAAAGAGCTTTGGAGTTGACGATGCGGTTATCGTGTCCTCGGCGGTATGTATATTCCATTTTTCCTCTACATATATCTCTATGCTAATATCCGGATCTTCAGGTATGTGGCATCATATACAGTGCGTTATGCATTACTCAGTCCCGCCTGGGTCTCGGTCTTCCCTTGAAACTACGGCCCAAAGAGAATCTAAACACCTATGCTACGGTACGTACCTGGTATTCTGGGTTGGCTATAGTTTTCGGTTCTAAACGAAACATGCTTTGTCGTGTAGGTTAACTTCGCCGGTCGTCCATTCTACATGGCTGGCATTACTGGATTCAAAGTAGCCCTCTGCATCGCCTATCTACGCATTATCCGACATAGTTCTGAGAAATCCTACCGCCATGTCGTCTGGGGTATCATGGTATTCACCGTCGTCTCGCACCTTGCGGGGACGCTCGTCCTCTTCTTCCAATGTACACCCGTCCACAAGTCATGGCGACCAAAGACACCAGGGACCTGCTTGCCAAACGACGCAGTTTTCTACTCTCTCGCCGCAGTATCGATCTTCTGCGACCTTATTGTCTTTTTGACCCCAATCCCGCTGTGGATGAAAGTACGCATCAGCCTACCGCGAAAACTAGGGTTGATGGCTGTTTTCCTGCTTGGGCTGTTCACAACTGCCTGCTCGGTCATGCGTGTGGTTCAGATTGAGATTATCGCAAAGGACGGGAATTCTACCATGCTCATTCTATGGGGTACCATCGAGCTGAACGTTGGCGTAAGTTAATACCATCACCACCACGCTAGAACAAGAGACTAACCCTCCTACTAGATCGCCATCACCTGTTTCCCTACCCTCATCCCACTCCTGACCTTCGTCCGATCTAAAACATCCAAGGGAGGACCCCTCCAGTACCCCCACAGCACCACCGACGGTCGCAGTGCCGGCACTTCTGTCAAACTTCGATCAGTGGGCATGCACTCGTCCACTATGCGATCTCAGACTATCCCAACTAGCACAAACAACCGGACAAAGTCAGACAGTTTCAGCTCTCTCGAGGCGATCCTGCCGGTCGACAGCAAGGGGAAGCCGGTAGGTAGAGACGATGTGGAGTCTCTCAGGGGGGGAGGCGAGAGAGGCTCCGAAAGCCATATCCCAGGCCAGATCACAAAAACGGTCCAGGTGGAGATCACTCGAACGGACAACAATCACGATCAAGAGCAGAGTTGGCTTCATTAATGCTGACTTTTCTCTTTTTGCGACGTCTCTTTTACCGTTCGTATAAAAAGGTTCGGCGATCATTTTTCTTTCATCTGGATCTCCTCCACGCAGCACATATAATGTCCGTTCATGGCAGCAATGTCTTTCTTCCATTCTTGTACATAGATATACCCTGTATATATTATTGATGATTTTTTTTCTTCTTCCCCACCTCTCAAGTCCCCGGCAACATCGTCCGTCAACAGCTTATACTTGGCTCCAAGAAATTGCCCTTAACTAGTTCATGCTCAGGCCCAACTCTGTTGAAAAAAAAAACACAAGCAAGAGATCCGCAATCTCCACCGACTGGCCGGCTTTGTGGAGTAGCATATTCCTTATACGCAGGTGCAATGCTACATAAACCACAAATAATAAAAAGTTACGTGCTTAATGATGCACAGCTTACGAGGTCGTGCTGCGAAGCTATTTTCAGCAACATACCATGGTCCCCCCTCGGTAGAAGACGATCAGGAGAACAGTTAGCAGAGTCACATCGCTATCGCAGATGATGAAACGTAACTATCGCACAACATCGAGAGTTAGCCGGACTTGTCGCAAGTCCTGCGAAAGTGCAAACTCACGCGCGATTCTCTGCATGTGCCAGGAACTGCCGGATGCCAGCCGAACCCCTGGCCTTAACATAGATATACCAGCGGGCTCCTCAGGGGTATCATCTACTAATTATCGCCGACATCCCAGTCGCTCGGCGATAATTACTCGAGATTCCCTACCCATCCGAGCTCGTGATTCACCATGGAGGCGGTGGACGGCGGTTGGCGCCGATCTGGTCGCTTCGTATTCCCACGAACACATTATAGCGCCATGGTTGACCTTTTCCAAAACAGTTTAAAGATCTTGTGGAGTTTAAAGGGCATCTTCTTTTCTCAAGAAAACACCGGCGAGTTTCGAGAAACAAGTCCATCGAAAATGGTGCCTCAGTCGCCTCACGTCCTGATTATTGGTGCCGGCATCACAGGCCTCGTTCTCGCTCAGGGACTACGTAAACACGGCATTCCATTTACTATCTTTGAACGAGATCCCGATCCCCTTCACCGCGGCAAAGGATGGGGCCTAACGATCCACTGGTCCCTTGATGCTTTTCTGCAACTCTTACCCGAGCATTTGATCGATCGGTTGCCGGAGGCTTACGTTGACCCTGAGGCTGTTGCAAAGGGGGAGAACGGGAATTTCCTCTTTTTCGACCTGAGAACTGGAGAGACCAAGTGGAAGGTTCCTCCGGCAAAGAGACTGAGGGTGTCGAGAGAGCGGCTGCGAAGATTGTTGATGGATGGGATTGATGTTAAGGTGAGAGATCTAACTTGCTATTCCTTAGTTAACAAAATACGAACTTGTTGCTAACACCTATTTATTAGTGGAATAAATGCATTTCCAGCATCACTCGGGTATCAGGAACGGCTGTTCGCTGTCAGTTTACAGACAACTCTACTGCAGAAGGGACCCTACTGGTAGGCTGTGATGGTTCTCGTTCGAAGACACGCTCGTTGCTCTGTTCATATACAACAAATGGACCACCAACCAGCTGTGAGAATCACCAGCTTCCAGTCCGTCTGCTGGGAGCCAGTGCTGCATTGCCTTCTCAGATTGCTCTTAAAATGAGGGCCTTGGATCCGTTCTTTCTACAGGCTGGCGACCCAGCCACCAATAATTTTTTCTGGTTTTCATTCCTTGATACCCCGGCTAACAATGACCGTAAGGATCGCGATACATACGAGTGCCAGATTTTGATCAGCTGGCCGTATCGTAAGGAATGGCCTAAAAATATAGAGATGCCAACTGAAAATGTTGGCAGACTGCAGCTTATGCGCTCGTTAGCCGACGGGTGGGTTGAACCATTTCGTGAGGTTGTGCAGAGCATGCCGGAGGGAACTGAACCCAAGGTCATATCCTTGGAAGACTGGCCGACGCCGCCAAAGGGGTCATGGAGCAACCTAGATGGCACAGCAACCCTAGTTGGAGACGCAGCCCATACAATGACGATGTGTGAGTATCTGTCTTCTTTTTCCTGCGTGACCTTAGAGCCCTGTGACTGACCATTTGCTTGTTCACCAGTCCGTGGCGAGGCGGGGAATCACGGCATCCTCGACGTCTCAAATTTAGTAGCCGCGCTGCTTCCGGTATTGAAGACGCCGCCAGACACTCATGGGAAGACGCAAAAAGAAGTCATTAACGAGTATGAGGAGGAGATGATATCTCGTACCAGGCCGGCAGTTCTGAGAAGCCGCAAAGCATGCCTTGATGCCCATGACTATTCATCAATAACTGCAGACTCCCCGCTAGTCGCACGCAGGGGTACATTTGAAGATGATGATCTAGAGCACCTCCTTGAATAGTTAAATAGAGAGATATACTATAAAAGGGATTTCTGCAGCATACACCCAGGTTAGATGTCAGGTTTATCGCTACCTTGGTTATTGTATACTTTGTTGTATACCTTGTCAAAGTGTAAACTATTAAAGCATAGAGTCCATCTTGATCGGGCTATGGCCCTGTAAAGTGCCGCAATATGAGCTGCGGGATGGCTACCTGGTTGCGCACTTTAATCAAAGATACTTCGGCCTTTTTAGAAACAGAACCAGGGAGCTCGCCAAGGCGTATAAATAGATTGTAGCCTTTCTCGGGAGTCGGGGCTCCGCGGAATTGACTTCATTCGTTGGTTATTAAGATTTCGACTGCTCACACGACCCCCTCTTATTTTCGTTCGAACTTGGCTTTCTTTTTCTAGGTTGTCCGTCCATATTACGTATCATTGTCAATGCGGAGTTCCAGCCAGTAGGATGTGTGATCTATCATAATCACGATGGCCAAAACTCCGAGCTTATTAGGTCCTCGAGCACCACTGATTATCAATTCTATGAGTCGTATATGTACCCCATAAACGGCTTGCCCATCATTTGTATGATCAGACGCATAGATGCAAGTTCAACGTTCCTAACGAGTGGAGCGAAATAGTTAGGGACGATCTGTGGAGTAGCAACCACGCTTTCTGCTCAGGGTATCTCCGAGTTTCTCGCCTTGAAGAAACGTTCCTTTTTGGAGGGCCCCCTGGAATAGCGGAAAAGTGTTAATCATACAGTCACCATGATGAGTAAAACACATAGGTGTAACACCTAGTCGTTCTTGGACGGAAACAGTTTAGGGATCCACGTAACGCCACCCAACAACAGCGAAGCGGGGTTGCGGTTCGCGACCCATTCAAAAACCAACTGCTCCGCGATGTAGGATTGATTATAAGCCGCTTTTATGTCAACGGCGGTCTAAGTCCAAATTGTCTGCAAGAACCCCGTACCATGGTTACCTAATTTGGTAGGAAGGCACGTGCCGACGGGCCGGTCCTTCCAAGTTTAAGCTTAATTTTCTTAAAGTTTAATTTCTTCCTTTAAAATGGCGCTTGAGGGGAATTTCTATCAAACAGCAATACACTCGTATGTGCTAGTCTGTCGTCCTTTAGAAGCCTCCTCTACCGAGTTGAAAGGCGATGCCACTTCTATGCGGCTCATGGTGAAGACTACTAGAACAAGCCCAAACACTGAGCCCATTGAGAGAAAGTCGGCGCTATAGGCCTAGCATAAATAATGATATGATATATTTACAAGAACAAATTTCGAATATGGTAGAGTGGAATTAAAGGGCTCAAAGGAAAAGGGGAGGTGGTATTTTGCTTTTAAATGGAGTGGGTATGCGTTGTGAATATGATATCCGTTTCGAGGGAGCCGGAAGTGGTAAAGATATTGATAGCCATCAAAATCATTAGGGAGATGATATCGGGGGTTCGCAGTAAATCAAGCTAACAGAGAAGCCTCAGAGCATCCGTAAAGAGAAGTTTTGCATACAACTGATGAAACCCGTTTAAGATCGCGGGAATGCGTGACGGGCCGCCACTAGGATTGCAATGAAAATGTGAAAGGCGAAATTCTATCACACCGTCACTATCGCTCCCCCGACCTCCCTGGTCTGACTGGTCGGTAACGGAATGGTCATTAGACGTAATTGAGACGTCTGCTGAACTCTGTCGATGAACAGATAGCCGATGGCATCCGGCAAACCCGCCGCTCCCAAATCCAATATCAATATACGAATAGTTTTCCCCTATGGGTTGTGCTTCTGTGGCTGGCAGCATGGCTGGCGTTGAGTTCGGCTTTGTTTGATCAACCAACTGCGAATGGGTGACCTGGAAAGCGCCAAAGAGCTTTGAGTGCAATGGTAGTAATGTCGTTGCTGGTATTTCATCGACACGCCATATGCTCTTTGGTAACTGTTGGCTGAGGCCGGTGGTATCTGCGCCTGGTGGTAATGATTGCCTTTGACCGAGACCTGTAGCAAGATTAAGCATATATCCTCGGGAAATTTAAAGACTATAGAATAGGAACCTTTAATCTGCACTCCCATTAACCTCCACCCACCAGATGCTAAAATAAGTTTCTCAGTAGCAAATACAATTCCACCAAAGAACCCTCGGGTGAATCGCGCTAGGAGTTCCTCATCGCTCAATTGACTTAGCGATAGTCTTTCCGTCGGCGATGACGTGCTAGGTACAACTGTGTCACTCGGTAGGCGTGCGATTAAGCAGTCCTCTATTATCTGATGGTTCTGTGGATTGATCAAGGCTGATGAGCGGGTGGCATAAAACGATGTAAGGGGTTGAGGGGAGTAGCTGATTAGGCGGGATCGAGATAGGAAATCCATCAAGTAGAGAGCAGTTATGGTCAATGTTTGCTGTGGTACGCCGTGTATTTGTGATCTGCCTGAGTTATGGGTTTTGGTATGAAAAGACCTAAATCGGGGGAGCTTCCTTTAAATATCCGATCACAGCTGTTGACGAACGCCCAAAGGCGAACGTGATCGATGACGCAGGAACGAAGGTGATCGGGATAACACGGCCTTGGTCTGGTAAAATAAGAAGCGATATATCTCGTATAAAAGAGTCACTATGCTTTACGCTCGTAAATCAGAACGTCATGTGATAGTAACTATCAAGCTGCTGGAGAGTGTTTTACCACAACGGACCAGGCGGCAGTGAGCAGAAATAAACAACCACAGAGATCAGAGATGCAAGCATATAATGCGTATATAAAGCAAGATCTATTCATATTCCGTACATTATTAGGTAGGGTGCTTGTAGGATATCCACGAGCCCCGTCTTTAGAATCGCAGCTGGTAGCCGTTCTTGTTTCTTTAACGTCAACTCGAGTCCTCTGCCATCATTAAATATTCAGTTTCTCATATCAAGCCCACCAGAATAACCAGTTGACGGCTCCGCCCTGCCGGACAATACCCCACCCCAAAATCAAACTTACAAACCACAGGATGCCCATTACCACAATAGGCAGCAGAAGCAGCTCTGTATGATACAGAAACGGCAGGTTACTATAACCAAGGAACGAAATATAGGTATAGTATGTGAAGGCGGAGAGATACAGGGTGTTGCCGAGAATGGTGGCGAGGAAGCTAGGCGAGGTATCGGAACCCCGTGTCAGGACGGGGAGGAGAATGAATTGAAGAACGTATAGGTGTAGGTATAGTGTGAAGAAGGCGCGGTTAGCAACCTATGGGAAAAAGTGGTTAGAATGGTATTTCTAGTTGGCGGTGATATACGCAGACTCACATCAAAGCAATATCCAAATTCGACATGCTCTTTATCCCCCGATATCCCGAAGAGACCCTGTGCCGGCCCACGCCGCCTCATGCGGCCAAGCGAGGATCTAGTGCCCCTCCACTCACTGATAGCAGCTGCAGGGCCGTTGGGGCCAAAAATCCGGCCAACCGAAAAGTACATTATCGTTGAAACGAGGAGGGAGGCACCGAGGAAATGGAAGAAGATGAAGGATAAGCTGAGCCCTATTATAGAGGTGAAGGTTGATTGGTAGGCGAAGCCCCATGCTAGGCCTGTGAGAAATAAGAAGAAGGAAAGCAGATAGCCAAACGACGGGTCAGGTCGGTGCCATGTGTTTTTGGTTTCTAAAGCGTGGGCAGTTAGAGCTATGCTGAAGAGAGGCGGGCAATAGACGTGTGGAACGGGAACAAACGTTTCTAAGGACAAATAGATTAGCTTCAGGTTCTGACGGCAGTATCCGGGGGAAGAGTTGCTAACATGGTAATACATGGATTTAAAAACCTTCTTCGGCGCAATAACGAGGGACGTCATCTCCCATATGGCCATCTCGAAGTCCATCTGCGAGACCTTGAACATCCTGTTTTGGCGTTTGTCAGCATAAACGTATCAAGTAGATTGACATGACACCAGCTTACCGGCCGAAGAACTGCGGTATCCGTAGGTAGGGACTTCTATTCTGCGGCGAGGCGCCGCCGAAATGTGCTGGACCGGCATGCTGTCGGGGAACAGAGATATGGGGATTCATCGAGAGGGTGTGGTGTGTGGCTCGCCCAGGCTGATTCGAACTACCGTGGTGTCAACATCAAAGGGATAAACCGCGAGGTATAGAGGTATCAGGCCGCGGAGATCACATCCATCAGGCTCCTTGCTGCCGCAGCTGTGTATATGGATTGCCGACTGATTATCGTGATAGCTTTGGATCTTGAATCGAGTTGGCGGCTTCGGGAAGTTCGATGATGTCACGTGATGATATCTAAAACCGGGACGCAGAACTAGCTCGACACTGAGTGTTTCCAGTTTGCAGCCCAGGGAGAGGAGGGAGAGGGAGAGAATGATAGGCGGGAGAGGAGAAGGGATCATTCCGAGACATGCATCAGCCGCTGTCTCTTGTGGCGCTGTGTGATACAGTGTTATGGAGTACGCGTCCTGTTTGGCACTGCATCGGTCGATACTATGTCAATACTACGGAGTATGCTGTTGATATCGTTTACACGAACATGCTATCTATTATTCTCTTAATTATGATGACTGACGTTATATCAGCCCATACTAGCTAAGTTGGTATGTAAGGAGAGTTTAATTTGAGGACTTCGTACGCTATATCAAAGCATCTAAGGAGGTGCAAATGCAACATATGAGACAACGGAGCTGCAAGCAACAGTCGAGAAGTGGAATTCTCCAGGCTCTGGCATATATCAGCATAAAACATATACTCCGTACAGCGACTCGAGAAATACTAAGCATGCGATAAAGGCTGTATATCGGATCGTTCGATAGGCGAGGTCATTCACTTCGCCAGGTATGGAAATATCCAGTGAGTGTTGACTGCATCTATCACACGGATAGGAACATGACTATGCTTTCCTCTACTTCATATTTCTTTTATGTCTCCGCTACCACTTAGACTCCGCCTGCAAGTGGCCTCCTAGTCAAACCAAACGCGGCAGCAGGTAAGACAGATGTCAAGCGTCTTGCTCTGGAGGATTTGGAGATCTAGTTGTCCTGGATATCAGGGGAACTTACCTGGCTATAACGTATCTCACCACTCGGTGACCGCCACCACTCGATGACCACCCATCAAAATAAACACCGATATCACCACCCCCCCTACATGTATTAATATATCCACAACAACGCGAATAACAAATTAAATTAGATATTAAATAATGATAGTAGAGCTCTAGTTTATATATTAATTAGTTAGATTAGGAAAATAAATGAGTGTTAGGCTTAATAGTTCGGCCAGAACGTGTTTCTCTACCATGGGATAAGAAATTGGGTAATAAAGGGACAGGATCGATTAGAGCCACCTTTGTGGGTGACTTCTTCTTCTTTCCTAATTTAGAAGGTAAGATAGGGCTCGGGGCGTTGATTTAGGCCTTTTTGGCCTTCTTAGTGTTACAGACCACCTGCGGCGCAGCCTCAGGATATACACTCATTGGACAACAAGATTCCGGGACGGAATAACTACACATCACGTGACCATAAGGACAGGTCCCAGATGCCAAGACCAGGGACAGGTCCCTATGGGACCGAACATGAAAGGTCCACGAAGGGACCGGGACATCAGGTCCACGACGGGACCTGAGAAGAATCAGGAGGAAGGGACCAGATATACCATGTATATAAAGACGCTCATTTCCTTAGGATCAAGAGTCTTATACTCGCGATCAAACCAGCTATAGTTTTACTATACTACTCAATATAAAGCACCATTCCAGTTATCTTATACTATATTTACTAAATACCTCTTTGCCCATTGATACAGGTCAACTTTGTCTTTACTACTTATAAGGACCTTTAGCCTTCATCTGACCCAGGCACTAACTAAAGCCACACTTAGAATTGAGGGATAGTCTTGCTATAGTATTCTATCTCACCCTAGTACCAAGCTGTCTCCTATAATGACTCACTTCTAACCCAAGCTTTCCCTAAGACCTTTGTACCTTCTGTCTTACGGCAGGTGTGAACCTCTGATTACCTTTAGGTAATCAAGGAGCGCCGTCAGCTTGTGACAAGTGCCCATTAAGGATAAGGAGCCTCTTTACCCTACTAGCCTTTATCTTTATATATTTATTAAAGACTTTCTTTAACCACTTTAGGCTATAATTATTAGAGCTCTAACTATTTAGTAATACTATAAAATATATAGTTTATTCCTTTAGGGAGTAGTTATCTAACTAGGTGTCTTATAGATCTTCTTCTCCCTTATAAATAAGTGTAGGAGGAATCCTTTCCCTATCTATAGAGATAGTAGTAAGTAGAGAGATAAATTCTCTATTTCTATTATAAATAGTAGTTATCCTCTTATTCTTTAGCAAATAGATAGGGACTATGCGTTTTACTATATATCTAAGCCTAATTAGGAAGCCTTTCTTATTAAAGTTATAGATATTACTAGGAGTAATATTATATTTATTAACTACCTTCCCTAGCTAAAGAAGAGGGTATTAGTAACAAGATATCTAATAAATAATAAATATTTATATACTTATAAGATTGTAGAAATACTTAAAATAGGTAGAGTTATCTATAATATACCTATATTAATTAATTATTTAAAGATATCTTAATATTATCTAGGCCTAATGCCTTTTATAAAATTAAGATACCTAATTAATGCCAACTAGCTATTTAGTGAGCTCTAGAATAAGATTTATAATGATTTGAGGTATAGGAGATAGGCCTCTATTTAATAAACATTTAATATACTATAAAAGGACTTCCTCTTAAGTATCTATTAACTTTTTATAATAAGTTAAGATAGCTTCCTTATTAGATACTATTTTGCCTAAATATTAACGCGTAAGAGTCCTCTAATCAATTTTCCACTTTCTGGCTATTTATGTATAATTAGGGACGTCCTGTGATTTCAAATCTTTAATCGTACAAGCAATTGCTTCTTCATTAGGTATGTTGTGGGTGGTTAAAGATAGGTGGTTGTCGAGATGAAGATTTTTGTTGGGGTGGTCATCGAGTGGTGGCGGTCATCGAGTGGTGAGATACGTTAAGTTAGGAACTGATCACTGGCGGGAGTCCGGCTTCGAATAGGCGGTCAACATGAAACGTCCTATAGCTGATGATAATGCAGAGCTTCTACGGAGTACATGGAGATAGGGACTATGACCTTGTCGTTGTCCCATTCCTAGACTATTATGAGCCGTCGCTTACCAGACTCTAGAGTATGAAAGCGACCAACGAGAGTGTTCTTGTTACGGAGCATAAGGATGGACCTGAACATGCTCGTACATCATGCTGTTGACGCCAGCAGTGCCCCTGACAGTTGCCATGGTATAACTCGGCCGTACAGAATGCCAGCAGGCTGATCTCAACTGGACATGCATGTTCGCCTGGGAATGCGTCCTTGACCTGATCCCGACAGCTGCAGCCATGACCAGAATGCCAACGATAGAAGGATAGTGACGGTCGATCGACGTAGAGTACAACAACTGCATATCTCAAGGAGACGAGATCATGCACCATCCCGATGTATATACGACGATGTGCTGTTCTCGCCGGCCCATCGGTGCTGCTGCCACGAATCAGCTCGTCCAGCCGCCTGTTGGATCGAGCCCCGTCGCGGTGCATGCGAGCGTCTCCCCCTGGACTTCCATCTCCCTTCCATGCCCTGCTCCATGTTCCATGTTCCATGTTCCTTGTCGAGCAGCGAAAAAAAAAAAAAAGAAAACCGAAAAACATAAGAAACGTCACGTAACGCCCATACGCCATGTAAGATTGATAGGCCAGAACGACAGCCACGCTAGCCCGAAGTGGGCAAAATGACACCCGTTGGCCGGTAATACGGATACCTGCCCCCCTGGGACCTAACCTCCAACTGCGATCGGTTTTATATTAAAAACTTCATCTAACGACATCGCATCCCAACGCCCAACGCCCATCTCTGTCGTCCCCCTCGCCATCCTTGCGCGGCCAGGATCGCGCTACGCTGGAGAGTGTTCGCCTCTTACGCTTTACGCTTTACGCTTTGCGTCTTCGCACCCCCGTTCTCGCTCCACCCGGCTGCGTTTTCTCACCATATCAGACCGTCGAAGGGGGCCTTATTTCACACGCCGTGTTTCCCTGCATGCGCTGCGTTCTTTGAGCCCTGGCCTGTCGTCCTTGTTCTCGCTGCGGTTGCCCGTCTGCTGGCTCGGTTCTTTCACCTCTGCGCTGTCTGGAGATATGCACCGAGCCTCCCTGCGTCTCGCCAATGGCACCTGATCCTATACTCGCCAACCCGTAAAACTGTCCTCCCTTGTTTCTGATCTGGACGAAAGACGAGCCAGATCCCCGTCCCGTCAGACATCATGTCCTCTTCCTACCGGAACCCGTCTCGGGCCTCTCGAATTCCTGATCACCGCCCGCAGACGCCTCCCCGGTACCGCATCGGCGGCGAGTCGGTTTCGACCAAAGGCCGCCAGCTCGCCCGACCCTCCTTTCCTGAAACGTTTCTCGACGACCTCACACCAATTGACCATAATGACACTCGCGATGTGGACTCTGCCGATGAAGACGAGCGGGATCCACACGACCTGTCGTTGAATCCTGCTCACGGCGTGCGCTCGTCGGTCGTAGATAATATGCTGCTGTCTCTCGACCGGTTCTCCGCCCCAGACGCAGCCAATTGTGCCTTCGACGACAGCCTCCCTTACGACTCGCCGCACCAGCAGCAGGAATCATTCTCTAACAACTATCCTCGCTATCACCCGCCCAGCAGTAATAACCGGTATCGGTCTCACACCCTCTCGTCGTCGGTCTCGTCAGACGTCGAGCCGTACACTCACAAGGACGGCCATCACCACGGATCGAACGGCAGAGGATATCGCAGCAACAGCAATCCGAACAAGCAGCCCACGATCCGTCACGTCGATGGTGGGCCCGAAGGAGGAGAACGGCTGAGCTACAGGAGTAAAGTGTACGATTCACAGCGAGCTGTCTGCTCCAATGACCGCATCGCCCAAAGTCGGACAACCCCTCGCTTTGTAAGGAGAGACAGCACCGGCAGCACGGGCTCGAGCGTTGATCTAAACGAGATGCTCGCAACGACTTCAATCTACGGAGCACGAAGATCGGCCAGCTTCGACTACGGTTCGACCTTCCCGTCACGAGCCAATGGGAGAGATCCACCTTTTGGTCACCGTGATACCATGATGCAGTACGATGATATGAACGCTGCACCGACTCCGACGGTCCCAGCGGGACCCAGGAGAAACCACTCTCCTCCCACCATGATTGACCATGCCAGCAACCTTCATACTCCCACTCCCCCAGGCTCCTCCTCCCGAGCCCCGGCCCTGGTCCGCAAGAACAGTGCAAAGTCCGCGCGAAGCATGTACTCTAGGAAAAATAAGAGTGATACGCTGGGCACTTCTACCATCCGGGGTCGAAATGACGAGTATAATAAATATTTTGGAGACGTTCAAAATGCCATCCCTCCCGTGCCCTCTTTAGCCCAGACAACGGCCCCCAGCCCTACCATTGCCCGTACCAAGCAGTTACATCCTAATACTTTCCCCCTTGAGAACATTAGCACACCCCCGGCAAAGGAGCGCCAGGGATTCTTCAGACGAGTCTTCGGCTCTTCAAAGCAATCCTCCCCCTCACAGTCGGAAATGAGCCCTCACTCCTCACGGGATGTCGAGAGTTCCGAGCCCTCAAGATACGATAACGTTTCAAATAACCCGAAGACCGCCAAACAACCCCAAAAGGACTCGTCATCAGCCGCCAATAATGCCGGCCGCGAGAACCCACCAGCCGTGACGAAGAAGCCGTCATCTTTCTTCCGCCGACGCAAGAAATCCGTCATTGACAATGTCCCGCCGCCCCTCCTGCTCCCACACTCCAACCTCAGCTCCACAGAGACGTCCAAAGCAGACCCTATGAGGACCGAGAAAATGAAAATCAACACAGCTCCCGAATCTCTTCGCACCGACAGCCTCAGTAAGGCTATGAAACCGTATCTCTCAGACATGGACTCGCCGGATGTTTACTACAAAGGCGGCAAGCCACGCGACCAGCAGGAAACTGACGACTCTGATGCCGAATCCCCCGTTGGAAGAGATTACCTTCAACTCACGGGATCCAAGCCTAAAACTACTAGGAAGCTCCAGCGGCCTAGTCATTTGTCCAGACCTCAATCTCCTGCCCGCACGATGGGTGGAGCGAGTGGAACGAAATCTAGCAGCCGTTCAAACAGTAAAACTAACGACTTTGATAGTTCATTCCTAGCAGACAGCAGTGGGAACGAGGGACTAGGCGCGAAACTTGCAGAGGACAAAAAATTGCGTAGACCGCGCACCAGTCCTGACGCCTCGACGCAAAATTCATATAACTCTACTCTCAAACCTAAGCGCGAACCCGTCCTTTCTGATCGTGCAAATGGCGGGAAATCCCAACCGCAAACACCCCGCGAATCGAAGCCTAGCTCCTTACTTGACCCCGCTGTTTCTCCGGTGCCGTCAAAGAGGAGTCTACAAACATCGGCCCCGGCCAGTCCAAATGATTTTGATGCCAGCCATTCCCGACAAAAACAACCTGGACTCCATATTGACACATCCGGAAGATCCATATTCTCCACGGAAAATAAAGACAAATCACCTCGGATATCAACCTCAACTTCGAACGCATCTCACTATCACACTGCTCAAAGTACACCTATTCATCCTGGCAGTGACGAAAACCTTATTTGGGGCAGTTCTACAACTGCACCACCACAGAGCAGTGTAGATACCATCGAGGACGGCCTTGCGAGTATTGATGAAAACATGCCTAGCCCTGAAGATAGACAGCAGGCTCAGAAACTCTTTGATCATCTAGATGAGGAGATGGTTGCTGGGCGGTATACAGCCGCTTGGCTTGGAACGCCCAACAGGGGACCACTTCGAAGGGCTTATATGGACCTCTTTGATTGGTCTGACATGAATATCCTTGTATCTCTAAGGAGTTTATGTTCTAAGATTGTATTGAAGGGCGAGGCACAGCAGGTGGATAGAGTGCTGGATGCATTCTCGTTGAGATGGTGTGACTGTAACCCCAACCATGGCTTCAAAGCATCAGGTATGTTTTCACCCCTTATCGCATGGGAATGCTATGTTCAGAGACTAACTAAATTTTACAGATGTCGTCCACACCATATGCTACTCCCTACTATTGCTTAATACCGATCTCCATCTTGCAGATATTGAACAAAAGATGACCAAGCCACAGTTCATTCGAAATACTATCCCTACCATCCAACGAGTCGTGGCGGAAGCTGCCCCAGAAGCCTTCAAAGCACCACTACCATCAAGACCTCAGAGCAACCAGGCGGCAGAACCCGAAAGGTCATGTTTGTCTAAACCTCCTAAGCTCACTCTGGAAAAACAGCACAGCCAGTCTCCTACTAGTACAGAGAAACCTGAAGAATTGACTACTATGGATATTCCAACCATCGAAACCCCCACCATGCCACCCCCTCGACTCTCAAGCCGCGCCTCGTACCTCGATACAGGCCATGGACATGCAGCTCTGGCTGGTCCGCTTGTGTCGACTCCGTTTAACGGGACCATGAAAGCATGGGAGGCCCAAATGGAGGCTGTCCTCAAAGACTTTTATACCTCGATTCAGAAACAGAAACTCCCGCTTAGAGGTGTTACTGTAGAAAGTGAAGAGAACATTCCATCTTCTGGTGGATTCCTTACACTTACTTCCAATATGCTTCGAAGAACTCCAAGCACGATCAGCAGGGCAGGTACAGGAGATATATATCGGGGACGTGGTGCCGAGAACCGCCTAAACACCGCTCGATGGTCCTCGAAACCTAGGTCCCGCCCACGTCTTTACCCACCATCAGCAATGGGCTCGAGTCGTACAAGTTTGGACGACCAGTCATCAGTCTGGTCACCGTCTGGATCTAGCACCTGGAGCAAAAATTCACTGGGGAAGACATTGACATCGTTATCAGTTGACTCTCTAGGGTCCGAATACCCCCGAGGTGACTATCAGCAATCGATCGGATTTGCAAACGCTCTTAGCCATGCAATCATCCGTGAAGACTCGTCTCATTCGATAGCACCTTCAGAAGACCCGGCGCGTGTTGCAATGGTTTTAGAAGACGAGTCTCTTGAACTTGCAGGTGCTCCATGGGCAAAGGAAGGTAGTTTGAAACACAAACACCATCTTGACTCGATCGACAAGCGTGCAAAGGATAGAAACTGGAACGAGACCTTTGCCGTGATCCAACGTGGTTGGATGCGCCTGTTCTCATTCAATTCAAATAACAAGTCCACGCGTTTGAAGCCCAAACAACGCCAGAATGGAGGCATCGTGGTTGGAGGCGGCAACTGGATGGAAAACGCAGATGAAACCTGGAAGTTCCTTCTTCGACATACCATTGCCAGTGCCCTTCCCGCTCCAGGATATTCGAAATCCCGCCCTCACGTATGGGCTCTCAGTCTGCCCACCGGCGCTGTACACTTATTCCAAGTGGGCACAGCAGATATTGTGAAGGAATTTGTCTCCACCGCAAACTACTGGAGCGCGCGTCTTTCTAAAGGACCCCTATTCGGCGCCGTCAGCAATATTGAATACGGCTGGAGTGACGCTGTCATCAACACCGCAACTACTAGTATCGACGACTCTAATATCCCGACCAGCGCTCCATCGACGAGCTCCTCGGCACCTGCTCCCCGACCGAGTCTGCAAAGCTCCATCCGCAGCTCTCTGGACCAACAGGGGGTCCGCCCGCGCCTCCCAGCCGACCGGATCGTGCTCAGCGACTGGCGACCTCCACAGCAAAGCATGATGGCTTCCACGTCATCCGAATCTGAGCAGCTCGAAACCCTCCGCAGCTACGTGAAGCATGTCGAGCAGGAACTCCAGCGCCACAACGAGCTCCGCGGCGCAGTCATGTTGGCCTTTACGCCGAGACACGCGAATTATTCCAAGGCGCTGCATAATTGGGAGCGCAAGTCTTCTTATCTCTTACGCGAGATTGTCAAGTTCCGCACGTATATCGACAGCCTCGTGTGGGCAGAGACGCAGAGGGAGAGGTTCTACCTGGCCGACGCTGCTGCCACAAAGGAGGCCGAATCGAACGCTGGAAACCCGGACCATCTTGCCGTCTGAGATGGCAGAAATAGCATACTCAACATTTCTCTCCGATCCTTTTACTAGACCTTTTTATTTTTTTTATTTTTTTTATTCCCCTTTATCAACTAACTTCCTTCGTCTCCTATGCTACCCTCTGCTTTTTAATCCACCATTATGATTGTCCTAGTTTCCCTTTTAATACTGTTTCTCCCATGACGGCTTATCACGCAGCGTTTCGTTTAGGTGTGTTAATAGTCCAAGCGACTTGCTTCCCTTTTGTTATCTTTACAGTTCTGGAGTTTCTTCTTGTTCTGTATATATTTTACAATCCATTTCTGGATGGCCGTGTTTAAAGCCCTGTACATATAGTATGCTTGACATGAAATGAGCTTATGAGGATACGTTTTACCTGCCGACTCACTCTATAGAAACCGGTCCCTGGCCTGGTTCCTGGAATATCAGCCCCTTGCATGGCCGCTAGGCGCAGAGTTTAGATGCAGCCCCAAAAACTAGTTCAGAGTATCTGGGACGAAAACAAAATTAGAAAACAACCAACTGCCACATAGGATCCCAGCTGCGACAGGCCCTTGGTCCGACAGGCAGATTCTACCAGAGCCGTCTGCGCATTCTCTGCTGTGTATGAGAAGCTGTCTGGTCCGTCTCACGCGCCGAACTGGGTTGTTTGTTTGTTGGCGATGCGCTGTCTCCAGTAACCAGATCAACACGCGAGAAACATCAACTGAAGAGCCGAACTTGATGCGAAAGACGAGCCGATACAGACAGCAGAGGGGATAATTCTAGCTGGGACACCCTCGTATATCTCGACCAGCAACGATGCCAGAGTCTCTCGAATCCCAGCTCCCGCTGCCGCCTTCCTCACCACCGACCATTTCTCTCTCGCTGCAGCCTCAGGACACAGAAGAACAGAACTACGACTCGAGCAGCTTGCTGCCGCCTCTCCCTACTCACGACGGCGACGATGATGACTTGAACGAGGATAGCACCCACGACTACGCAGACGAATATGCCCGTGATGACTCGCATCTTGCTGGCCCTGCCCATGATGACCACGACGCCAGTTTGAACCGCACGATGAATGAAGAACGCGAGATGCACCGGAAATTGATGGATATGGAGTCTAGTTTTCTTCCGGAACCGTCGACACTTCAGGTTGGCGGGACTACGACCGGGGTGGACGATACATACTTGGTTGGAGTGGACGCACCCGGGACTCCGCGAAAGGCGGAGGGAAAAGAAAACAAAGGCCGGAGTCTGTTTACGTCTCCAGAACCGCCTTTGGACGAGTATAAGACCCCTGCGCCGCTTCGGGCGGCGGACCTGGAGCCTTCGCTGATAGAAGACGGGAGACAGACGCTGGAAGGAGACAGCTTGGTCGGGGTCAACACTTCTTCCCTGGAGACCATATCGTCTCCTCCAACGGCGGCCGCTGCTGCAAGGACGATATCGAGAGTACTGTCTGCGGCGAGCAGCAGATCGGGAAAGTATGGCGAATCCATGGGGCCAGAGGAACGCGGACAAGAACACACATACCAAGACGAGACATCATATACAGAGCAGGATGGGGATTTAGAGACTACGCCGCGCAAGAGCCGCTCACAGCTCCGTATCCAGTCTCCCCCGCCCTCGCGATCTCTCCAAGACGGTGACACGGTCGACAGTGACGCCAATCAAACGAGTGGCATGCAGGGAACTACAGATTCAATCATTAATCAACAGCGGACAAGGCCGAAATTTCTGGTTAGCCGTCAATCGTCGCACCGCTTGTCAACCTCTTCGATTACCACGGCCAATACAGATGGTGCTTTAAGCGATGCTACGATGGGAATGGACTATGCTTTACAATCCGGTGGTGCCCTCCCATCAAATAATGATAGGGCGCCGCAAAGCCATGGGCGGCCCAAGATGGACCTGTCGAGGTCCATTAGTTTGGGAAGCATGGCATCCGGCGTTTCAAACTTGAGTGATGATCACCCCTATGAACGACGGGTGTTCAGCGGAGTCTCTGAGCTGAGCCTCCATACCCTAGATGAAGAGGAGTCAGCCTCTCAACGACCGGTTTCTCCAGGAACCACCGTCAAACAGGGTGATGATGTAGCTCCCACGACCCCAAAGAGCAAAGCTATAGATCCTTCTTCTCCCCCTGGAACAGTCCTTACACAGATCCAGAATCTCCCTGCCCCCAGTACCGTGAGGAAATACCAGGAGAGCTTGGGCCCGTCGCCTGATAAACGGTCTGGAAGCCGTACCCCAGGCTTTGGGCGAGGAAAGAACATGACTCTGAAAGAACAGAGTAGCACGATCGATCGACTGTCCAAGGAGAATTTCGACCTGAAGATGCGTATTCACTTCCTAAACCAGGCATTGAACAAACGGTCGGAAGACGGTATCAAGGAGATGATATCCGAGAACGTTGAACTAAAGTCAGATAAAATCAAAGCGCAAAAGGACAATCAAGCGCTGAGGAGGATTATCCGTGAACTTGAGAGGCAACTAAAGGAGAAAGCTGACCCTGCTGACGAGAACAAAGATGAGCAGACGTCCGAGGCAGGGAAGAGGACAATAGACGAGGAAGAATTCTTATATCTACGTGAGCGGATCGAGACGTACGAGGTGGAGATCGAGAGACTAAGAGCCGAGAATATCACCAGAGAAAGTGAGAAGAGGAAGTTAGCAGAAATGGTGAAGGCCTTGGGAGATGGGAGAAGCGGGATATCAGATTCCGGTGCTCGAGAAGAACGGGTGGGTTTCGCTTCACCCCCATACTCCATCAATTTCTTTCGTCACTGTTGGTTGTAATACTTATGCCTTTTTTTAGGATATGTGGAAAGACATATTGGACGCCGAAACTGCTGCACGAGAGCAAAGTGAGGAGGAAAACAAACGTCTTCGCGGCCAGATTCTCCAACTCGAGAACGACATATCTTTCCACCAATGTCGAGACCCACGCCACCGCAAGGGCAACTCTACCTTATCGCATGTTAGTTCAGACTACGAAGGCAGTCGCGGCTTCGGACAGTCTAGTCTTACCAGAGAGCTAGAGCTGCTGAAACAGGAGAATACCGAGCTTCGACGAGAAGTGAGTGCTCAAACTTCGATGCTAACGTCTAGAAATCGTGAGAAGGAAAAGCTTTACCAAGAAATTGAAGATTTGAAGATCGAACGGCGCAATGAAGGCCGGTCGATCGCTGGTGATAGCATATTCGAACGTTCTGCTTCGAGGGCGCAGTCTAGAGCTATGTCACAAGCGAGTGACAACGATCGTGACAACCTGGAAAATAAGAATGGCGAACTTCGGGATCAAGTCTCGGCTCTCAAACTGGACAACCAAGGCCTACGCAGTCAGTTGGACGAATACGCAAACGAACTTGGAGCTATGGAACGAGAATATCAGGCAGAATTAGACCGGCTAGGCGAGGACTTGCGAGATATCCAGGTGCAACGGGACCGTGCTCTTCAGGCGATAGAAGCACGAGAGGCAGACTTACAAGACCTCAAGGCAGAAGCGCAAGAAGAGCTTGATGCCATGGGAGAAGAACTCGATATCAAGCACGAAGATTGCCATCGGTTGGAACTAGAAGTTCGATCCCAGCAGGAGAACCTAGATGCTCTCCAGGCAGAGGTCAGGTCTGCTAACGAGGGAATTTCCAGGCTCGAAGAAGATGCGCAGAGCAATCTCCTCAAATACAAAGCCGTGCAGCAAGAGTTGGACTATGTTAACCAGGAGATCGAGGCGATGGAGAGGAGCTTGAGTGAGGCCAATAATAAAATCCAGCGACTAACCGTTCAACAAGAATCAAGTCAAAATGAAATTGCGTTCTTGCGAGAAGAACAAGATGGCGACAAGATCAAGATAGGCGACCTGGAGTCCGAACTGAGGTTTACCCAGACCAGCTTCCAGAGCGAAAAGGAAAAGTCAAACGAGCTTGACAGGCAGCTAGCTGATGAGAGATACCAACGCGAGGTTGTAGGCAGCAAGGAGAAGCAAGAGGTACAGCGAATTATAGATGATCTCAACCGCGAATCGACAGCATCCAAGGAAGAAATCCGGAAACTCAAGAAGAACCTCTCTTCTCGAGAGGTTGAGGCATCCATGTGGAAAGATCGTTTGATGGAACTAGAAAGCAGCTTGCGCGAGGCACTTGGTGATCTCAACGGTACCCGCTCGAGTCTTCTCATGTCAATTACCAAGCTACAGAAAGAACTAGAGACGACATCACTCGAGCTAGAAAGCATTCGCACCAAGCTTGATGAAAAGGAAGCACTCCTTCGGAACCGGGACGGGCTCCTCGAGAGCCATGGGCTTGAGACACAGAAATTAGCCGACCTTCTTGAACGCGAAAGGCAAGCTCGTCGTGCCGATAAACATTCGTTTGAGCAGTCCTTAAAATCTCACCACCAAGCTTCTCGAACCATCGTGCAAAACAATTCACGTATAACTGATCTGGAGGGCGCTCGGAACCAAGATCGGAAACGGTTCAATAATCTTGAGCAACAGTATAGGGACCAGTTGAATGAACGGAATGTGATGTTTCTCACTTTGTGGAAGAGACTATCCACAATGTGCGGGCCCGACTGGTCACATTCAAACAGTCTTATTAACGGCAATCTACCCAGCCAGGAGGTTATCGGGAACATGCTATTCTGGCCAGGGTTCAGCAAGAATTTGCTCCTAGCTGTCAAGACAGTGGAAAATTCGATAAACGGGTTCAAGTCGCGAGTTAGGACTGTGGAGCGTAACCTGATGAAAGAATATCAGGGACTAGAGAACAACCTGAGTCTCCGAGTCAAGAAACTTGATCGCCTGGAAGATATGGTGCGGCAGATGCAAAACAATAGGCGTCCAACCATAACGTCCACGAGCACAAATGCCGAACTGTCAAAACTAAAGGGGGAAAATAGGTTGCTCAAAGCTGAGCTCAACCTTCTACAATCCCACTCTCGGGTTAAGATCGCTAATGATGGGTCTGCACGAGGGCAGCCATCGAAAATGTCAAATTCAAGATCGGTTGGGTCCTCACTTGCGAGATTCAGTGCAGGGTCGGAACAAGGCCCCGCGCCTGCCAATACACGATCCGGTAGAAGCAATAGCTCTCTTTCACGCGGCTCTTCAAACATCCCACAACCATCCCCCTTCTCCTCAAGCACTACACTTGCCAATAACCCGGGCAGCTCCGACGTTGCTCCTAATAACACTACGTCTAGCTCTGTGAGTGGACATCAACCATCTTCAAACAGTGAGGCCTCGCAGGATAGATGGATACAACGACTCCGTGACCTGGAACGACGGCTGAAAGCAGAGCGAGAAGCACGACTGCTGGACCGCTCTGGGGCCCGGGAGAGGCTTGCAGAGCGTAACGCAGAGAACGAAAAGCTCCGTGCTGCGTTGGAGAGAGAGCGAATGAACAGAGCTACTAGCTCTATGGGAGGGGATGGCGCCTGTGATAATCCTGATCGCAACCCGCGCACCCCAGAGAGGTCACGACGTCATGAAAATCAGAGCCATGAAAGGGAAAGTCGAAATAGGGAGACGGATGATAGTAGGTCTAGTGGGGCTGACGTTGTCGTAATTGACCATGGGTATGAGCCTGATTCTCGCGGCCATAGTGAAGGGCCTAGCACACGTTCAGGTAGTTACGATGGTGAAGGTGATGATGATGAAGATGACGGCACGGGTACTGATGAGGATGGAGGTTTATGCGTTGAGGTTGTGGTATGATTGTACTTTTTGTATCCTTTTTGGGCGTTTATCGTTGTAGTTGGGCGTCTCGCGATTGGACGTTGTCGCCGTTTTCCTCCTATTATCTCCTCATTTACGTCATATATATTTTGATGCTTCGCGGTTAGCGTTTTAATTGATATCCATTTAGCTAATATGCATAGTAAATTCTGTGCTACTATTTATACTTTTTTTTCCCATTCAATATTCCCTCCTCCGCCTAGAAGCTATATACAGAGATGGCTAGGTTGGCTGGCGTTCTATCTCAGGGATACCTTCAATGAGAAATCGATGATCCCAACTCCCTGGTGAATACTACTTGTTGACAGGATATCCACGTCATCACACACGAAGTTTGCAGCATTCGTTTCGTTCAACCCTCCACTAACCTCCACTAGGAAACTTCCCCATGGCTTCCCTTTCATCTCCCACTCATCTTTCAGCTGCTTTGCCGCAGCCCGCACTCCGTCCCCAGTAAAGTTATCCAGCATGATAACATTTGCACCTGCACCAATGGCAGCGTGTGCTTCCTCGACGCTGCGGCATTCTACTTCGACCATGGTAGAAAAACCAGCGGTTGCGCGAGCAGCTTGGACCGCGGCTGGGATGGCTTTCGCGATGGCGAGTACATCACCATTTGGGGTTTCGGACTCCGAGGCCTCCGTGTTGGCTTTCGTCTTGTTGTGGCATGCCCAGACATGGTTATCCTTGAGCATCGTCATGGAACTTAGATCGTGACGGTGAGGATCGGCACCACCAACTAGAATACCATATTTCTCGACAATACGGAAACCCGGTGTTGTCTTGCGGGTGCCTGCCAATATACCGTTCCATCCCTGGTCACGGAGGATGGTAAGGAGAGCTGATGTTCTGCAGTAATTTGTTAGAATAATGATAATACAAGAAGTAGATAGACGTAATCACTTCGTCGCAATTCCAGAGCATCGCGCTAGGATATTCAAAGCCACTCGTTCGCCCAGGAGGAGCTTTCTCATGGGCCCCCGGACAATGGCACAGATAGTGACAGGCTCAATCCGATCTCCCTCCTTGACATTCCATTCCACGCTGAGTGAAAAATATTAGTATTTTTATTACCCTATATTTTGGGAACATGAAGTGAGTCCGAAAATAGAGGGTGGAAGTCACATACGTGCAGCCCAGCTGGGCAAATACTTCGTTGACAAAGGGAACACCAGCTACTATTCCCTGATATGAGGAAGAGGGTCAAATCAGCCATCTCATCTTCTTGATGATGCAATATCTCAAGATAGCAAACTCCACGCAGCTGGTCCCTTAAAAGTCAAAAGTTTCAAAATAGGGAGCAAATCTCCAACGCATGGTATAATAGGTTTATCACCAACAGACAATGCATGCATAACATAACACTATAGCAAAGCAGGATAATAGGAGTACGGCACTCCCCGAAGACTATACGTTAGCATACCTTACTTTTGCCCAGGAGTCTCGCCTCGCCTTCCGCTTCGCCAACAACGAAGCCGCCGTAGTCGAAACTTGGGCAGTCCTCCTCAAGCCATGTTGCTATCAGACGCTTGTAGTTGAGAGGCAGCAAGTGGCTGATATCTCCATGTGCAGCTGCCATGACTAGTTCCACGGAGGTTACACCCTCGGAGATGAGACTATGCTGTATATGCAAGTACTACTGCATATACTGCAGCGAGAGACTTTACCCTTGGGGAATTGATATTTCAGCCGGTTATGATGTAAAACTCTTGGATATGTTGCTTTTTTTTCGTGCTTTTCTCTTTTTCGTGTTTCTGCCAAGCGCCCGAGGAGGTTAGCACGTGATAGCTATCGGAACGGAGGCAAAATTGTCCCGATATCCCGTCGGTCACGAGACCAGATATCAAAAAAAAGATGAAAGTTCGACTTCCAACTCCATCATCAACCACGCATTAATATTGAGATATCCACTAACCTGCTCATAGGACGGGAGTAAAGTCACGATAACCTCCGGCCCTGGACCACGACTCTTGGACCACAAGCACATGGCATTGTGTGTCACATTCCAGATCACGGCTCTTTTTTCCCGGCGCCTGGCCTCTGGGTCTTGGTGGAATAAACCCACTCTACCCCGTCGTATATAATTTTTTATATACTCCGTGCTTCCCGATTGAATTCCTCTTGAAACTCTGAATGTTCGGCGCCAGCTCGGGCCCGCCAGCCGCAGGGTACGGGAAAGCGGCTATCAAAGTTTCCTTGGAATAAAGTAAGTACCTGCATCTGAGCACCATTCACACGCCATATTTTGGAAATGATTCCTCAGCAAACATGAAGCGCCCTTATGCTAGTGATAGGGTTAAGGGTCCGCGGATATGCTTAACGAAACGTTAAGGCACCAAACGCCGATTGAATTGTCAAATGACTCTGGCTGGAGATGGTGTTTGCTATCAGGATTCAGATTAGGCGTACTCCGTCGACGGGTCCACCATCACAGCCAACTGATTCAATTGCCCATCATGAGATAATGCATGAGGTACGGGGTATGGTCGATGATTCCATCATAGGCTAATAATTAACCCCTTGGCGTAACTCGACAAGGCCTAGCTCGGCGCGGCTCTCTCTCCCACAGCGGCTGCGACTGAGGTTAAACTCTGCCACCGGCACATCTAGATGCATAAACACATCAATATCTCGGGTGCTGGGAGCGGTTAAACGGCCGAGGACTGAGGATGTGCCGCCAAGCGTCAAGGATTCACGAGTGGGATTTCCCATCGCTCTCGTATTCGGAAATGGAGCAAATCGAGTGCTTGCACTCAGATTGATGATGCAAAGCGTCCCCTCATCGGGCCGTTGGCAAGTATATTGTGATATTGGTGGGGTTTTGGTTCTAGAAGGGCGACGGTCGCTCTCGTCCAAAGAGATAGATGCCGATAGTTACCATTGCTTGTATTGTACTGTATGTATTTTCGTGTATCATCGTGTTTGCAAAAAAAGGTATTATGATACCCGAACAGAACAGCGAACGAACCCTGGTGGGCTTTATGTATTGAAAAAGTGGCCTCCATGCATGGAGTTAAGAGCCTCCAATCGGGGTTACATTTCACCCGAGAGCAAGGCGTTAACGGCTCAATGTTATCTCCAAGTCCAATTAATTTTGTGCTATGTTACGTACATGCAAAAAAAGGGGTTAATTGGTGAAGATGCCTGATATCAAAACTCAGCCCCGTGGGGACGCAATATTTGTTGGAGAAAACAACACAATATCCAGTTTAGCGAATAAAAAAACACTCGTACGGAATATACTCTGTAGAGAGACAACAAACCAGTCATAGACTGATGTCGATCCTGACACATGTACGGTAGGTTGATTATTTTTTCTTTGTTGAATAAATGCCGATACCATTTCCCTCTGTGTCTTGGAGATGCATGATTTCCCCGTGTTCTCCTTCGGCGACCACATCACTACACTTCTTTCCTCCGTTTGCAACGATTTTCTATGGGATAGGTATCAGAATGGCTGGCTCTGGTGATTTTCTATAAGGTAGGTAAGGCCAGAGTACTCACCTCCATAGTTTTCTCTAGATCGTTGACATAGAGGTACAACTTGATGGTCTTTGGGCCGATGGTGTGCTCTCCTGGATTGATCTTGGAAATGCTACCGCCAAGGCTTCCGACACACTTGTCAGGGAAGCGGAAGACAGAGATCTCGTCGGTTCGTCCAGGGCAGGCCTTGTCGAAGGTCCAATTAAAGACAGTCGAGTAGAATTTTTCAGCTATATCGACTTGTCAGTACTCTATACTCCATACTCCTTGCTCCAACGTCGGGTTATAGAAATTAAAGCAATGGTCAAAGGAGAAAGAATGTGAGTGAACGTGAGCATACCTCGGGCAAGGTCGGTGGCGAAGATCTCAATCCAGCAAGGAGTCCCTTCATTTGGGGCCTTCCATTGATCACACATGATGATGAAAGTGGATGAAAACAATTGATACTTTGGTGGCAGTCTCAAGGGCTGATTGGGATAGGCTTGGGTATGGAATCAAGGAGTCTGAGGAGTCTGAGAAGGAGACAAAATGGTCGGTTCATGGCGTCCTTATATGTCCCATCATCGTCTCCCCTCGAGGCCATATCTAGATTGTCGGCCTGGTAATTATGTTTCCATCTCTCCCGCCAGCCGTGGACGGGCCACGGCCATCCCTGTCTCAGGACAAGGCAGCCATAATGTTGGCCAGGAAACCTGATGGCCGTCTGCTCAATCGAACCTATGATGTCTCTTGACCGTCCTCGTTGACTTTCCACCAAGAACTGCGACTTCAGCTTTATTTCCCTTTTCGGCCCAAGGGTGGGAGGTATCATCACGTGATAACGCGTGTCGTTCGTGTTTCGCGACATGTAGCCGGATTTGGTTAAATAGGATTCGCGTCGCGGTTTGTGATTTGATCGCGTCGCAGGCGAAGTGAGCGAGAGGGACGGGAAAACACGAAGCATCGTCCCTGGATAGTCTGTTGTTGTCTCGCTTGTCTGGAGTTTCTTTTCCGAGATATGAGTCACTTTCGACGGCTGGACTGCAGGGAGTTGAAGGGGATGCTGTTGATGGAGGGCGTGGGATGTCGAGATGGAGTAAGCTGATGAAATTCAACTACAAGCTAAGGCTCAATAGCTATATTCAGCCAAGGGTTATTTGCACGGAAACTGTCGTATACCCAGAAGGACAGCTGCCAGGGAGGAGATGCCGTTTCGACATGAAACGAAGATAACAAGGAAAAGAAAAGAATGTGCTCCTGGCTCCAAAACACCAGTCCGATCACAATGAAATGATCCCGGAAAAGAGGCTCCCTTAGTATCAGCATCTCACACATCTTAGATCTCCCCTCATGCTCATGAGTATTCTCGCCGCGCAAGAGTCGCATATATGGAGAATATATATAGGTTCTCTTGATATTCGAGGGCAGTACTGCTTCTTGCCGCAGGTCTTTGTTCGCACAAAAATTGCGTGGCCACAGGAGAACTGGTTGTATAATTGACGGCACATCATGCGGTGTTGTGTCGATTTCTGTTCCAGCTTCAGGCCTGTTGAGAAGGCTTGATAAGGCGTGACACGAGAGTTCTTGGATCCTGCGAGCGGGTTGACGGTATATCTTTTTGATGGTGTGGTGGGAGGGGATATATCTGATAAAGTTAAGGAGGTCAGGTCCTAGTATTAATTATGCCTGTTACTCGCAATATATACATAAGTTGCTTCGAGATCAGTCCTTTTTAATGTCCTGTGTTCATTGACTGGACTTGAACTGGCAGTTCCCGGACAATGAGCTACCCGTCCATTGACGGTAGATAGATCTCGATCTATTGTCTAGAACTCGTCGACTCCCGGTATCAAATATTCCATTGTGAAGGCTAGACTATGGACTGTAAAGGGGCATGAAAGGCCATTCCTTCAAGCATCAATCGACATCAGAGGACGGGACTTACCACAGAGAAAGCACAGCTGTGTTTCAACATACAAGCTTCATTGAAGAAGCCACAAAGACCAAAGATAAAACCTGCATGCTCTGGACGAGGAGAGAGAGATAAGGAAAAAGAGCCTAAGACCATTTCTTCACTCTTTCCACGATCGATAAACAGTTCTTGCACCCCATATCTGGCCCCTTTTCAACAGACACATGTCCCGCCACTCTGGCTCATTCGGGGCATTCACATATCTGCTAGGCTCGACGCAAAATCCCGATCGAGGCCCGCGAGCTGGAAACGAATCCACGGCGGGAACGTCAATGTACTTGCCAGTATAGAACTGGAAGGCCGGCTCTGTACTGAGGACTTCCAGATGCATTTTTGATTCCGCATGTTTAAACGAGGCCAGTAGCTTCGGCTCTCTAGATCTGGTATCAAGAGGTATAGATTTTGGATCCGTATCCATAACAAAACAGCTGTCGATATCAGGGCAGCTTTTGTCGATCAAGAAGGGCTCTGTGACCCTTAACGGGCCGTATGATTCAATCTTACCCAGGGGAATCCCGGTTGAGTCTGTTGGGAGATATTTATCAGTCGACAATACAGCTTCCGTACCATCGATCGTCGGAGCACCACTCAGGTTGAAGTAACTTCAGAGATATCAGTTGCTATCTTTAAAATTAGACGATAGAGACAGATGGAGCCTTTACCTGTGGTTGGTAACTCCAACGACTGTTTCCTCGCACTCGGCCCCGATAAATTCCACTTCATACTCGACCTCAAGCGCCGTCTTCTCACGGCCAGAGTCGTCAGCTTTCTTTCCAGCTGAATACCAGACTCTCAGTTCCACTGTGCCAGGATAGCCTTCTTCTCCATGCGTGCTGAGATATCTAAACTCCACGCCTTCCCAGCCATTCCTATTCACAGGTTTGGGCCCACGGAAAACTCGAGAGTCCCACCCAGCTTTTCCTCCATGTAAGGAATTTGGGCCCTCCTTCGTGGTGATGACATATGATTTACCGTTCACATTCTTGAGGACACTGTCTCTCAGCCTATTCGTGGTCCGGCCGATGGTGCAGCCAAAGTACGGCTCGTTGTACTTCCTATACGCATCTTCATCGGGAAGGCCGAGGACGATGTTCTGGCCCGCAACACGAAACTCTTGGATGATGGCGCCGAACGGGAGAAAGGTAAACGAGGTGTCTTCTTCTGACTGCGGCATTGCTGCGTATTGTACGGAGTAGTGGGCTGTCGGTTTGCGCCTTGCATCAAAAGCCCAGGCTGGCGCATTCTACTCAAGAGTTTCCCAAGATCCCCAAGATGTCCCCAAGACCTCCCAAGGCTCTTCCAAGGCTGGCTATGGGTAGTACCCTCCTTCGCGATGTTCTATCGCCTCTTCATTGGCCTCTAGAAGATCTTCAAACTTGATCAGAAACCGCAAAGTGACGTCATAGGCGAAGGCTCTCCGGCCTGGCAAAAGACCTGGGCGTTCAGCCTCGGCTTGTCCAGCTGCAAATCTGCCGAGAGAATATTATACGGATGGAGTTTATGGAGTATGACTACGGAGTACGAAGATGGAGCACGTAAATCGGACATTCCATATCGCCTTGTGTGCTTGCTCCGTGTTTTTCGCGCGGATGCGACGAGAGGTCGGCTATGCGGCGGGCGAAGGGATAAAGTACGCGAGAGGCTGCCTTAGGCTGGCCACTTAAAAATACCAATATTAGAAACATAGTCCCGTAAATACAGGAGTTGAAAGGATCCCCCTGGCTCTCTTTTTCTTTTGCTCGGTTAGCCAGAACGTGTGCAACCCCTGTCAAGCCTTGCAGTGTGTCTACGTAAGGATTGTCAGAGATGCATACTCCGTACATAAGTGCAGTAAGGATTGTTTATGCAAAATTACGGGATGCCCCATCAGATAACGGCAAGGCCACGGTCTATAAAATGTACACATGGCGGTGGAGACGGGCAAAGGGGCAGTTATGACGCCGAATCGCATATATAGATCGACGGTTGGACCATAACTAATTATCCCAGACATCGGATGGAGTACTATGCATTGCTTCTATATTGCGCTATCTACAGCTTATGTACATATGCAGGCAGGTATCAGTATGTACGTAACCTCTTGCAGTAGCCTATCACTGCTTCTCACTTGCTTGCTGCTGGCCTGGGGCTCAGACCGAAATCTGTCCGAGAGATATACGGCGTTACACGTCGTTGGATCGATTTGCATTAGAAGGATAGGCTACTGTGCGCTTTATTCAGCCTACCGTCCTTCCGAGAAGCGGCTGACGGCCCTGTAGGATCCAAGATTAGGTTGTCTCTTCCTATTTTACCTCAACAGGCACAATAGTTAGTGTAAGAGCCGGGAGTAGTCAAAGCTGTGCCCTACTCCATGCTCCCCAAATCTGGCACATATGGTTATTCCATCAGGTAAAAAAGGGGGGATTTGATCTGAGAGCAGGCAAAAGAGCGAATATAGGTAGATATTAAGTATGTATCGTACTCGCGGCGCCTCCTTAGCAGTACAGTGAAGGTCGAAGCCAAAAACGGCGACAGGAACAGAGTTGGTGTAGAAGCGTACTTTTAGTGGTTAAAAGTACCACTTGTAATTAGGCGATTAGGGCAAAACAACTGGATGCCTAGAACAACCACAACCGGGTATATTATGGTGTGGGTGAAGACCGTGAGACGGTACTGGAATCTAGGCGAAATTGACTGAGGGGGGAGAGAGAGATTGAGATATGCCACCAGCAAGTGTCCGCGCAGACAAACAAAACAGGTCATTAACTAGAAGAACGCATAAGACCAAACACCTGTGCACCCCGGGACTGTACAATGCTATGCCTGAAACAATATCCAAAATGCCACCCCTTCCCAAGTATAACGCAGCAAATAACAACGAGAATAGAAAGAAAGTCGTAAGCGTGACGGTAGAAAATAAAGTATATAGGGACCATAACTCCGGTCTCCGTCCAAAAAAATCTAAATCCGTGCCAGGCCATTCGGGTTTGTATCGAAGTATAGATTGAATTCATCCTCATTGAATTCATCGGTGGGTAAACAGCTGTTTAACCCAGCAGCAATGGCAGCGTGGCGAGCGGCGAATTGCCCTATTTGCTGGTCAAGAGGCTCTACATGTAGCTGAGGTTCAAAGGACAGCATGCTCTCGGGCGAGCTATCTAATCCCCATGGGTAATCTTGACTGATACTCGTTCCATTTCGGGTGCTGGGCATGGGAGCGAAATAGACAGGCTGGTTTGGCGGCTGGCTTAGTGACGGCCGGTTTGGCGAATGCTGATTTGGCGAAGCCGAGTGCTGGTTTGCCGAGGGCTGGTTTACCGAAGGCTGTCTCTGACGTTTGCGCTCCTTTTGCTGCTGTGCATATCCTTGTTGTATCCGAGCAATATTCAATTGGGGAGTGTATTCGTCCGCCTGGTTGGCATATGCCTGTCTGGCCTGCTCCTGTTTGATTTGCACCTGGTGGCTCTGAGGCTTTCGAAGTCTCGGTGGGAAAGGCTCGTTCGAGAATAGGCTCCCGGTGCTCAGGCGGTTCGACGAGGAGGGAGAACTGGCTCCGGTAGAAGTGCCGTCAGAGGAGTCTTTACGCTGCATTTCGGCACCTTTACCCATCAATCTCTGCTGTGCTAACACAAGATTTTCTTCAAATTGTCCAAAGGTGTTGGTCGGGCCCTCTGGTCTCAATGCTCCCAGTCGGTCTAGTATGTCGTGCGTGAGCGGATATCCGTTATGGGTCTCTCTCAGTGGGCTCCCCGGCCAGCTTTTCCCGTCAATAGTTAATTTATATAATTCTTGTAGACCAGAGACCAGCTGTGACTGCTGCTCTTCCAGCATCTCGACGTACCTGCGAGCACAAATCAGCACACGCTCAACGAGGGCTCAGAATGCAAGGGGAAGAGGGAAATACCCTTTAGGATAGACCTTGTCTTGCGCCTTTTTGCGCTCTCCATACTTGCAAATCATATTATCGGCCTTGCACCGCCCACAGGGGCTCACTCCATCACACTGATATGGTTAGCACGTGACCTGCATTTATGTATGGGAAACTGGACAAATTGTTACCTTCGACTTCTTCAACCTACATCGATCGCAGGCCTTGCAGACTCTTTTGCGAATACCGCCGTCTGGAGAGTCCAGCGGTGATGTAGTACTTGAGCTCGACATATGCACAATACTAAACGAGGGTTTTTTTTTTTTTTTTTTTTTTTCCGTTTTTGTTTTTCTTGCTGAGATTCCTCTACAGATATATATAAATATATATATGAGATGGAAGAGGTCCCCGATAACTAGCTTGTTCTTTTGATCACTCTCAAGGAAGGCAAGGAGACTGGCCTCCAGTTAAAAATATTCGTGGGTATTGCTTGGTTTGCGGGATATCGATAAAAAAATATTGGTTGTTGTTGCGCTGCTGTTGAATGGACTGAGCAGCATCCAGAGCAGGACGACTGCACGGCTATAAGAATCCTTGCGATAATGATGACAGATGACCGTCAGCTGCTCGAGGTCGAAGGCGCACCAAGGGCCGAGACTCGCACGTTCGTTGTCGTCCCCGTTGCGTGATGGGACGAAGTAATGGATCAGGATAGTCCGGATTCTAGAGGTCTAAGAGAGCCAGTGGACGAGACTGTCAGGTGCGCGATGCAGTATTGGATAGATAGTTGATATGATGCTGGGTCGGCGATAAGTATGATGTCAACAATGGCCGGTTCGAGTGGCGGGGATCTATGCAAGGCGAGATGAGGAATGATGCTTTATAGATGTGTTCTGGAGAGGTCTAGGATTGACTTCACCAGAGGACCAACTTTCTTTCCTAGGAGAAGGAAAGGAAGGGGTTATGGCGGGCTTGGATAGTTATATACGAATCATCTCAGAAGGAACCCTGAAACTTAGTTTTTTACAGCCTGGAAACATTCAGCTATGCCCATGATTAATCAGAAGCTATGTAAGGACGGAGTTGAAGCAGTCGGTCTCCGTGCTGCGAGCTGGGCAAGGGAGCTGGATCCGTCCTATTTGGAAATTTGGCAGCAACAGCTCAAAGTGAAAATGCAAATAAGTCTAAAGCTAAAAATAAGCCGATCCAAAGGTACGACTGCGAGTACCATTACTCGCCGACCCATATGTATCCCTTACCGTTCTGTGTAGGGGAGGATGTCCTTGGCTCAACTCTAAGGCATAAATACTACACCGAATCCTGGGTCAATATGTCAAACAAAGGTAAATTCACGTAACAGTGTTAGGTATTACCGTTTCAAAGGGCATATTTGCATCTCTCTCAATAAGGCCAATAAAGTAACGAGATAAGTCCTGACGCTCGAATCAGCCATGATATAGTTATACCTGCTGTGCTGGCCGGCCTCTCATGCCATGCGCAAATACTCTCCTATGAGGTGTCCATGACGCAGACAGGCGTGTAATTACACCCGTTATTTTCAAAGCGAAAATGCCGCTTCTCCCAGAATAATGAATCGATAGCGGGCGCCCACTCCATTCCTCCGCGGGTTTCTTCGTTTTCTCCTCGTCCGCGGGTGGAGGAACGTCGTCGCCGAGTCGGGCCCGGAGCGAAAAAAGTAGATCATCAACGATCATGCCACTGAGGCTTTCTGGTGCATTAAACAGACTTTAGCTGACTGACTAATAATGCATCAGCTTTTTGATTTCAAATGAGTAATGACTCGAATGCCGTATCCGAGCCGTATCGACGTAAAACAATACCGGACTTAGCGACTCTCCATCGCCGGTGGGGAGCGAGCATCGTGCTCCGTGCTTATATTTGGTGAATTGCAGCGCTTGCCCTCGTGGTGTCGCTCCTTCGTCGTTCTTTTGCCTTTCCGTTTGGTCTGTTTTGGAATAGTTTCAACATTTAGGGCGCAAGCGCAGAATTCGCAAGGCCAAGGGCCCGATTCCCCTTTACGGCGTGTACAGGCAGCAAGATTCTCGTCATTCGTTGGCCGAGGTGAACTGCGGGGAGATATGTGCGGGTTTTACGTCCCCTGAAGACGAAAAGCTATACGATCCTGTAACTGAAATGGGCAACCGTTGCGGCCGTGGCTGAGATGTCGAGGCAGGAATGTACTAATACGGTCTGCTATGTGTCGTTGGTGTTAGTTGAGCAAGGGGGCTCGCATATCCTCGTCCTCCTGGGAGACATCAATCTCCTGGAAAGCTGAAAAGGGGGGTGCATTGTATCCCCTGTAACCTGTCCACAAGACCTCCAGCCTCTTGGTGAATGGGCTCCCAGCCCGTGTAGGAGCCAACCCCACGACCGTAGGGGTTGTTCAGGGACGGATTCACCCAGCAACTGGTCAGTAGTGCCTTGATCGCTTTCCAGGGAGCGTATCCCGCCCAGCACGACGGGCCGCCTCCCTGACACGTACTCAAGCGCCTAGATTCGTCATATCGTGGCTGCGAGGGAGGCTGGTTTCCACGTCGTTAGACCGCGAGGTAGACGCGTTAACAGTCAGCCTTCCCTACTCTCTTATGACGACGAGGTTCAACTCTTGATATATAGACAAAAAAGCAGCATAAAAATAATACTCATCACGTGTTATTAACCACAATACCACTTTACATACATAAAATACATACCGTATTTTATTTCCACTTTTTTTCTTCCTTCAAAAAAGTTCGAGAATGCAACAAAATTCGTCCATTTCGGGGAGCAAAAGAAGCCAACGGCCGAGCATATCGGTCCATTATTAAGCACATAACTCACTATTATTCATGGCCGCCGAAACTTCGTCCACCTACCATAACGACATCCCAAGTACTCCATACAGCATACTCTTATGACGAAATAGTCAACAAGGGCCTCGCCATTCTCACGTCAAGGTAGACTTGTAAGGTTCGGGGGAAATGCCGGTTTGTGCTTTGTCCAAGGGTGCTTGATATTGGGATCCTCTTTAGGATTTGACCACCCACTTTCCCATTGGTTATCCCTAGGGCTCTGCCTTTCCTGTATGCTCGTCGAGTCAGGACCCCAGCATGGATGCATATATAGGTGTCTATATATGGTGTTTACCCTTGGCCAGGGCGGCTCCTTTTAAGAACGACAAGCTTCTCCTCGAATATGGAGACTCGGGAATTGGGTTGGGAGTAGATCCCGTCGGCTGATGGCCATGAAACCTGCATTGGCAACGATCGATAGGAGAAAGCCATGGACAACATACGTATATATGACGCACATATCACATTTTACCAACTTCTCAGCATATTCTTCAGAGCCAGGACACGCCTCTTTACTTGGGCCATGGTATCTGGGCTTCCCTTTTCCAGTGGTTTACAGCGCAAAGGACAGGTATTCAGCAAAGTCAATGGGATAAACAGAGCTGGGAGGCCTGGTTCCATGGTCTGCTACCCCAGTGGTACCTTGGGTGAACTCGCCTAATGTTACGCCAGAGATGGCCAGCTCTCTCTTTTTCTTGCCACGGTCCCTTACTATATCTCTGCCCTAAAGATTATTTCGACGTCGAGTCTCGTGATATGCGATTTAAAGTCGGATGGTAACCTGGAACCCACAAAGCAGATCAAGATATTGCACGCTGATGTCAAAGTCAATGGAGAAACAGTCGCCTCTGGGCCGATTTAGCGTTGGGATAAGCATCGTTCCCTTGCAGTTTTGCCTTTAATCTCGGTGTCATATGATGAGGATGCCATTTTACGATGCTGCCATTGGAGAGTCCTCTGTTTACTAGACTAAATAGGATTTACTTACTCCTTGGGTCATATCAAAGCTGGGGGAAGATAAACAAACCTAGGGTTTGATTTTAGGCACGGGACGTTGGAGAATTACTCCGATGGCAATGTCAGAGGAGGCATAAACAGAAACTAGATATTGGAAAGTATTGGCATCATAAATAATATATATACGTGAACATAATCATCAACCAAAAAAAGACGACTGGCATGACGTGTATGCCACTGGTCTCGACGCGCTAGATATCAAGAAAAACAGGAAAACGAGTAGAAATAGGTGCAGTGATGCAATCCTCTATAAAATCAAATAGCGAAGAGGGGAGGGGTGGCCTTCTAGCCCAGGAAATAAGGAAATGCAACCAGCTATCCCTGAGAGACTAGAATCAAAATATATAGATATATCCAGAATTGGGAAATACTTAGGTAAAAGAGAAAAAAAAGGAGATAAGTCAAGCGATGGTATAGAGGCAACAAATGGACGGGACGGTTTATATATGGGTATGTAGGGGGGGTCAACGATAGTCACACAACCTCTTCCACCATGGGAGAGATATGCGCTCGGAATGTCTGAAATGCTTGCTCTGAACAGTATCGTGTCGCTGCTGCCGTCGTTTATTCTCTTTATTTGAGTAGGCGGCTTCACTTATATCCTGGTCTGGCTTCTTGCTTGAACTAGTAGACAGCGTTTCCGGACGACTCTGGGCCTGGGCTTCCCACTGGCTTGGAGCTGGATGGAAAGACTTGCGACGCCTTGATGGCCGCCCCATAGTAGTTCGTTTAGAGAACGCATCTGTGAACGTACGCCACAGGCTTCGTCGCTGGAATCTAGAATCCGAGTGAACGCTGTGTTCTGCTGACTCCTGCCGCTCCTCGGTTGTGAGAGGAGCCGTCTGGCTGTGAGCAACGGGCTGTATCGTCCTTCTATGCGAAGGGGAGAAATAGCGTGGAGATGAAGGTAGGTAGCTGGCTTGCCTAAGAGCATGTAATTGAGATAGTTGCTGCTCGCGGTGCACTTTACGGGCTTCGACTACGCGTCGTACGATCACTACTCGAATGTCAGCACAGGTAGCATTGCGCCTTGCCACTGATGCTGTTCAAAGCTGATAACTCACGGGCAAACGTTTCTTCGATATTCACCATCTCCCACGCACTTGTCTCCATGAAGCCACAGCCCCTTCTTCTGGCCCATTCTAGACCCTGTCTAGCGCTCACCACGCGCGCTTCTTTCAAGTCACATTTATTTCCTGCAATAATCTTCACGGGCGGGGGCATCCCGATCACAGGCTGGTGGTCTAGCCCGATATTGGGGTAATCGGTATAGAACTGCTTCAACAATCGTTGGTTTTTCTCGTCTCGAGTTTCCGTTTCCATATCAATCATCTCCATGAAATGGTCCAGCGTCTCGAGGCTGGACTCATTGGTAATATCGTACACGAGGAGGAAGGCATCTGAATTCAGGTTCGACGCTGCCCAGAGACCGCGATATTCCTCCTGGCCAGCAGTGTCTGTGAGAGAGAGGAAGTACGGCAGTCCATCGATCGTGCGGGTGACGGAGTATGAATCTTCTATAAAGCCGTGGGAATATGTCAGGGGGACCGTCCATTCTATACATCGTCTTCAGAGGCGGGGCTGGTCTCATATATGAGGGGATAATACCGATTGTTGGATCATAACTAGATATATCATCGTATTAGCCGCTTGTTCGACCTCTGACCGGGGATAGATTCAAGGGGGTTCAGGGGAGCAAACATACTCATGAGTCCACTGGCTTCGAACCAGGCGCAACGTTATTGACGATTTGCCTAGCGCACGATCAGGATCAGCTTATTATCAAGACAAACCGCGGGCCACAGATCGCGATCGAAGAGCCATCGACCAGATCTCTCGGTTATAGCACCGCCGCTATAGCTCGAGAGTCGCAAGGGCGTAGCCTACCGCATCCTCCGTCACCACATATTGTAATGGAAATCGTCTCCGCCATGAGTTTGTTGGACAGCCTGGACAGGCATGCGCCAGCAAACGCACGCGAAGACGACTCCACCGCCTGTATCAGTATGCTGCGTCTGGCAAAGGGCTTCCAGACGAGAGTTGCAGGGCCGTCCTGTTCGATGTTATCCTGGATGCGATGTATCCTGGACGCGCAGCGCAGATGTTCTGAAGTTCGGGAAAAGAAATCAGGTCCCAGGCTGTGTTTCAGAGAGTCGCCATCGCCACCAGATGAATGAGATCCGAGACGAAGAGCCCCTTGAACCCACTCAGCAAGAGTGCCCGGGGAGTGTCGTATATATATATATATGATATACATAGAAAAAAAGGCCCATGATATCACGATCCCGAGTGGTTGGATGCCGCCTATGCCTATTGCAGTATCGCGCGGCCTCGAGTTGGCTGCGATGTGGAACGTCAAGGGATGAGAAGTGCGACCTTCGCCAGCATCCTCGCGCTCGTCTTCCTGTTCTACTACGGAGTACTTCACTAGTTCTCTATATTACTTCTAGTATTCGTGGTATTCGTGGCTCACGCTATGTACATGCAGAAAACGCTGGTGTCACAAAAGGCAGATGCAGGGAATATATATTGAAATCGTGTGCAAGCAGATATTTCGATATCCGATGCATGACGGATGAGTGCAGAAAAAGTCATGTCAAGAGGGCCTCAAATATTTACAGGGAACATGGTTTATTAATAGCCTGCCGGGGGAGACGACCCGGACGTGCAGCTGCTGTTGCCCCAAGCGACATCATGGGCCGCATTCCAGACGTCATTCAGGTCGAACAGCATATTCGGTGTCATCCAGATCCTGCAGTCCGCGGGCTCGTTGACGAATTGGCGAGGTGTCCGCGTCTCGTCGTCCGGACGGACTGCATTGCGGAAGTTGACTCGGCCTCCCAGGCCGTCTCTCTTCGTTCGCGCGAGAACGTATTCTCCGGTTCGAACCATCTCGCCAATGGACGTTCCGGCCAGCTCGGCTTGCTCTCGAGGGGACAGGTACTTGCGGTACAGGACCGAGACGGCGTTGTATACCTGCAGATACGTCAGCACCTGCGAGCCCTTGACGCCTCCGACTGCCTGGACGGGACCGTCACGCGGACGCCCGCCTGTCACTATCGACTTCACGCCGTTGCGCTTCAGTAAATCTGAAAATATAGCACACGTGGAGCCGCAGGTGCCGTCTGTCAGGAGAACCATGTCCTCAGGCTTGAAGACCTGTGGCGGTAGGCTTGCACGATCCTGGTATCCAGCCACGACAGCGCCGCCAGAGGCGTCGGCCAGGTCCTGGCTCTTCAGATTCCACGAGGAGAGGTGCGTGAAGTTGAAGTCCCCAACCTTCTCTGGGCCATAGAAATCACGCCAGTCGGTAAGAGCGTTTCCCTTGGTGTCGACGTAGACTCCAATGTCGAATTGGCTTCCTCGCAGGCTCCTGCCCATGGTGGTATTGCGAGTCTCGGGGTCTGATAGCACAGCCGTTACTTTGCTGCCAATGATATCTAGTTGCTCTGTAGCACGAAGATTAGACGCATCATTTGGCTTCGTATCGGGGAATAGCTAAGAAAAAAATAGATTAGACACGAAAATGCAGCAGATTAGACGAAAGTGAAATAAATGACTTACCTGTTTAAATGTGTCATATCCTAAGAAAACAGCACCACCCCCATTTGCAGTCACGTCAATTATGAGTTTCGATTTTCGTTCCTTCTTACATGCTGCCAGAAACCTGGTAATGACAGAGCTGAATTCGTCAAACTGTAGGTTATCCTCTTCGTCTGATCCGGAAAACGAGTTGATAGATAGAACAGCGGTGTCTGGATGCTCGTTGCCCAGGAAATAACCCGCCACATCGCCATATCTGAACTCTTCCACTGCGTGGGGGAAGAATGGTCTAGAGGACTCGCCAGGGGTAGCTCGCCGATGAACGTCAGGAGGACTGGTAGCCATAATCAAATCACGTTTCCGCGGTTGCTGTGATGCTATGTCTCCACTGCAGAACTTATCATAGAAGGTGCTGCCATCTGTCACGCCTTCAAATGAGTCTTGAAAAGAAGCAAAATTCGGATACTCCATCGTCGTTCCGTTCTTGAAGGTAAGAGTGGTGCTTGGCCCTGTGTATGCTCCCGTAGTGGCAAAGAAGGACCCGAAAGACTTTTGTGCATATCTCGGGATGGAATAAAATAGAGCGTTATATAGTGCATCTGGATCCTGGTGGGATGTGTGGTACGACCAGTCCCGCAGCCATTCGAAGACATCCTGGCCATCGATGGACTTGATGGCAGATGGTTTCCAGTCCACCTTCTCTGTTGCGGTAACATTGACATCCCCTAGTATCTACTTAGTTGCTGCATGCCAAAACGAGCGAAAGGATATACTAGACCACATACGATAGACATATATTTCTGGAAATGTCTTCCCATCTGATGAAACCGAAACTAGCGGGCCAATTCTATCCCGTCGAAAGGAGAAGATACTGATAGCATCAAGGTTGATGTTGAAATGGCCATCGTGTGCAGATGATGCCAGCCTAGCTATATCACTCTGGAATTCAAATTCGTTGGGATATTTGTCGCCGGCTGCTTTGTCTCTAATTTCCTTTAAAGTTTTGACAAGGTCGATTCCGGGAAGTAGATATCCCTTTGGGGGGTTCTTGAGGTAATCTATTGTGCTTTGCCACGAGAAGAAGGAATCGAGGCCATCAATCAATCTTAGGGCGTCTTTCTTTTTGAATGGAACTGATGTCAAACATGAGTGAGCGAGCTCGGCGGAAACAAAAAAGTTTTTGTCTACAAGTAAACGGTTAGAATCAAGTATCAGATATCTATCACGTAGGACAACACTGGTACATACCATCCGGGTAACTCTTCAACTGCTTGGCTTGTGAGAGGGAAATTAATTCACAGGGCTCCTGGTGTCCCGTTGATTTCGACAGTGTTATACTAGGCCATGGCGAGGGTCTAGCAGCTGCATGTGGGATTGTTGATAATGCTGTTAAAGCTATGAGGCCATGATGCAGCCACCCCATATCGAACGAAAGGGAATACGTATACACAAACAGGCGGAAAAAGCAAACGCTATTAAACGGCGTTAAAAAAAATACCAAACAAAAGATAAATAAAGCAGGAAGCCAAATGCTAGACCCTTTGTATAGATGTATCTTCAACGTAGCATTAGAAAGACGAGAGAGCAGATAAAGAAGAAAAGAGGAGGACGCGTATCATAATGCTCGGTTATGATTCCATCCTCAGGCACAGAGTATATTTGAGACGAAATAGTTAACCTATTTCTTGTAATATGCACGGAGGCTGAAGTCGGGCGCCTCGTGAAATCAACCCCCGTCAGCGGATACGCCCTTCATTAGCAAAGGAACTGGCATCGATCCAATCTAGAGGGCGTAAATCGAGCATCCCTTCAAGTTAGTTCTCCATCCAGACCAGGGTCTCGGAGCAATAGAGTCGTCAATCGACATCCGTGGTGTCTGTCCTGCCACATCGTCTGTTCCAGCCGTATCGCAAGGGCAGCAATTGGCCCTACGCGCTCGATGCCGGCGTCGAATCCACTCCGGCCTTGAGGCGGAGTCAGCCTCAGAGGATCGTGCCAAGTGCGTCTCTAAGCCAGTCGCTTGTCGCCCGTCAAAGATGCCCCTGTTGAGCCTTTCTCCAGCCTGCCCTGGGGCATTGCACCGTCTCCTCGAGCCATCACATCGTATTCCATCCCATCTATTTTTAGGGACCGAGAGAAGGTAGCCGCCCTGGCTTTAGTAGCCAAGGCGCATGAGGTACACAAACACTGCATCGCCCTCGTCTCTTCGTCATCACTCGGTTGATTGTGTAGATGGGCGCTAACTAGTCAATAGTTCCTCAGCTATCGGTTAACTGGCGATGTCAGGTGACTTCGCAAGCGAATTCATCTACTCTGTACAGTCCGTCAGTCGACATGTCTATTCAAAACCTGTGGGTGGCCTTGATGAGTACGGAGTATACGAGAAGGTGGCCAACATTATGTCAAGTGAGTGCATTGACTGGAGGTCCCTGCAGTGATATCGCGGGACGATGAAACACGGTGGCCACATATCCATCACTCAGATAGTATTGGTTTCAGCTCTCATGATTTATATGCTGCCACTACCGTTTTATTGCCGTTTTTGATAGATTGGACGCTTTTGATGTTGTTCCTACGTGGCTTGTTACAAGCATAAAGCGGTGGTGATATCCGTTATGATGAACTGACTTCATGTTTTCATGAAGCGACATCTCTCCCCTCAAATTACAGCAAGCTCAGGCAAAGTATACCATTAATATATGGAAGTCGATATTACACGAAAATCTATCGTCGTGAAGTTACCCCCTTCCACTAACCAGCTTGTGCTTTTCTCTCCTTTTCCTCTTTTGCTCTTCGCTCTACCCTCTCACTGAAACGGTCTGCGAAGAGATCTAGATGTGGCCGCATCAGGAGGGTATACTTTACAAACTCCTCCATGCAGTCGACTAGTCGGCCTCGGTTATCGCTGGGCTTCAGTCTTTGGTCATCAGGCTGGCCCTCGTCTGGAAATTGGGTATACGCTTTCGGAATCGAGGATTGGTTCGGAATGACAAACATCCTCATCCACCGGCCGAGGATTCGAAGCGAATTTACACAGTTGAAGGACTGCGAGCCGCCGGATACCTGGGCAATGGCTAGGGTGCGCCCCTGGGTAGGCCGTACACTTCCCGTGGAAAGTGGTATCCAGTCAATCTGATTTTTGAACACGGCCGTCTATCGAGATAATGTTGAGTCAGCCAGCATGTCGTGGGAGGTGCAGTAACCAAGTATAACGGAAGAGAGGGCTTGTTATACTTACGAGATTCCCATGCTGTTCCGGCGAGACCCATATCTGGCCATCACTCCACAGACTCATCTTCCTCAGCTCCTGTACCTTCGGGTGCTGATGGTCGACGTCATTTTTAACCGGCAGCCCTTCAGGGTCAAACACCCGTACATCACAGCCCAATCGAAACAATATACGGGAGGCTTCGTAGGCAACAAACCGCGAATAGGATCTAGAGAACAGTCAGCTGGCCCAGTGGAGGCCTGATGAAAAGAGTGCATACCGTCGCCTCAGACTTCCATAGAGCACGAGTACTTTTAGTCTTTTCCCCGTAGCCTGCAATGATTTCGTTGAAAGATCAGTGACCGTGTCCAGTTCTAGATCGTGTATCCAGTCATTGCTGGACTCTGGTAGGATAAATGGACGGTACAGCTTTCGGATCTCCGGGTCGTCTTCTGCGTCCGTAATCGAGAGAGACGGGTTACTCTGATCTGATACACCCAGAGTCTCTATTTTTTCAGCCAGAACATCTCCTTCATGGTTGTAAGACGGCGCAAGGGGCACAGTCTCGCTGGCTAGGTGAACCATTCTGGCTCCGCCGAGATACACCGGGCGACTGAGCGGGAGCCTGCGAAGGATGCACGACGAGAAGCGAACGCCGGGAAAGGGGGTCATTGAAGGCTCGCCGCAGGTAAAATGAGAATAGCACGCCGTCAACTCAAGTAACTCAAGCAACTCAGTTATTTATAAATGGACATAAATCCCTTTCTGTTTCTCTTGTTTATTCTTGGACATGTCACTGCCGCGCTCTGATTGGTCCGTGGCGCTGTCCCGGCGGCGGGAGAAAAGTCCAACCCTAAAACGTTATTTTACCTTAAATCTCGCTTCGAAAACTCTTCGCCTTCCTTGTCGCCAGCAGGCATTCAGGTATACAGAGTATCACATATACAGGGTACGCGACACAGAGTACGCCGACAGATCATGGCTGCCGACTCAGCAGCTTCTCGGGTTCGTGAGAACCAACGCCGCTCTCGTGCGCGACGAAAGGAATACATCCAGGATCTTGAAACTCGTCTCCAGAGATACGAACGCCACGGAGTCGACGTCACTATCGAAGTGCAGGCTGCCGCCAGAAAGGTAGCAAGACAAAACGCTATGCTAAGGTCACTTCTGAATTCCTTTGGCTTGTCTGATTCCAAGATCGACGAGTACCTCTTCCACGCCGAGGGGAGCACCGCCATCCCCGTCCCAGAAAAGCGACCGGTCGTGGTGCCACATACGCCCACCACACACGCAGTCACAGCTCCTCCTGTTCCGATATGTCGCCCAGGCGGCTGTTCAGCGAGCCAGAAACCTCCAGAGGTCCCCTCACCGGATGTCGATAGAGCTCATAACCCCGTACAGCAAGCTTGCTCCGGTGACGTGGCTGACACTGCCAGTCCCCAAGTCGATGGCCCTGGTGAATTGCCAGATCCTATATCCCCAGGCGGTTCAGCTGAACCCTGGGTCGACAATATGACCCCATGCGAAGAAGCTGCTAGAATAATTGCCAGTATGCGGGGAAACTGCGACGAGGAAGTTGTGCGGGCTGAGTTGGGCTGCTCCTCAAACATGAGCTGCATGGTAGGGAACATGAGCATCTTCCAGGCGCTTGATAGGTGATGGCGGTTCAGCACCGTCAAAATAGACAACAAGTGACTCGAGGGTATACCATATACAACCGTGGAAACGGAAGGTTTTGTTGGATTTGCAAGGCCAAGCAATCCTACCTTCATTTGGTTGACATCCGGCCAATTTCGCGACCGAAGCGGAACAATAATCAAACGACTCTACGTTATTCCCACCAAATTATCAGATTCTAATGGGTATAGACCCATATAATATCCGTTGGTCATAATTCTCCCAGACCCGGATACGGCTTTTGTCGTTAGACTTGCCATTCGGTAACCAGCTACGCTTCTATTATTTATCCATCCACGGCGAAATAGAGCGACTGGAAATTTCAACTTTCATAAATGCATCCCGGGTTATTTATACTACTTGCTTAAAGCCGATAATAAAACACCACTACCTCCAACATGCCCGTTACGAAAACTGTTCTGCCCCCCGTTATGCTAGCGAGCACCTCCCAATGATCCCTTCCTACCCCCAGCCCCAAAGGCGCAACAATCAACGAAACTGGTCAGGATTTGACGGCGTAAATCTTGAAGGAACCTATGACTGTTGTAAATAGGTCGTGCACTCCAGGAATGAAAATATTATTACATACCAGCCCATTCATTAAAATCCACGTTTTGGATGTCCGATGTCTGGTTGCCTTCTCCGCTACAACAGTCCGGTTTTTTCTGTGCGCTACAACATCCGCCGCTCTCGCCATCCGTTTTGGCACTTGTATAGACATTGAGGTCGGAGTTGGCGTCTATAATAAGGATTTCTGCACTTATTGTGAGCACTCTCTAAATCCAGTCGTCCAATATAACATATCAAGCTCAACCCACGTACCGTTAAATCCGGCCTCGCGAAGATACTTATCATAGTCCTCAACCTGGCTGGCGCCGGCAATGCAGCCAACATAGAGAGCCACACTCTCGCGGATGTTTGTTGGAAGCGGCTTCTTTGCCAGAATGTCACTGATAGCAACACGGCCGCCAGGCTTGAGGAGGCGAAACATTTCGTTGAAAACAAGCTGCTTGTCTGATTCCGGGACAAGATTCACCACACAGTTGCTAATGATACAGTTGGCAACCGAATTAGATAGGTTGATAGCTGTAATCTGTGAATCCACGAAGGAAACATTTTCCACTTTTGCATTCTCCTTGTTTTTGTTCGCTCGCTCGAGCATGTCCTAGTCCAAGTCAGCAGCCGAAAACTCCATATAGATAGGATCTTCTATTTGCCTTGTTCATGTCTACTCCAATGACCTTGCCTGTAGCACCGACAGCTTTGGCTGCTAAAAAGACATCGAAACCTGCACCACATCCCAGATCAACCACACATTCGCCCTATTATATAGTTAATAATGTTGGTTAATAGTTTTAAGAGGCCGGACATACCTCTTTCAAGTTGGCCAATGCCAGCGGATTTCCGCAGCTTAGACCGAGGTTAGCATCCTTGGGAGTATTTGCGAGTTCTGCTTCGCTGTATCCGAATGCCTCTGCGACTTTTCGGCTGTAGGCGTTATCGTCACTGGATCTAGCGGCTAAGCCGTAGTGCTCTTGAACATCGTTGTAGACTCGGTGATTATCCATTTCGATAATTAATAGTTATACTAGCAGGTAAGGAATGGGAGTGTGAGCAGCCATTTCCCCTCACTTTATCCCGGGTTGGTAATACAAGATGCCACTGCGGTAGCATATCATGATTGGTAACAAGAAACGGTGCTACTGTTAGATTCAAACGCTGGGCAATACATAGTTAAAGCCTGCGCTCTCTGCTATAATTCCGTTATGATGAATTATATTTCGATATAACATCTAGATTTAACATCTTATACCCAACAACCTATTCTTAATCGCACCATATTAGAATAAGTAGACAGATAAAACATGGCCGTCCTATAGAAAAACATGGTGCAACCCTCCCAAGTTCTTATATCTGTCCCTGCCTAGTGGAATGCACCAAGGTAATAATAGTATATACTCCCAAAAAAAAAGTCATCCAGACGCTGAAAGAAGGGCTCATAAACAAAAATACCCTCTCTATTACAAAATTGCGGCGCCATCATTTCCCTCGCTTTAGTACACATCATCTCTCGTTTCATAGGCAGCACTAGTGCCTCATCGTTATTCCCTCTTTCAGCATCACTGATGTAATTCCAGCTTACTTCCGCGCTTGGCTCCTGACACAAGCAATGTGACGATCGATCCATCGACAACCTGATAAGTGAGCTCTAATCCAACCCGTATATTCGGCGGGGGATTGGTTGAGTGGGGATTCCTATGCACCCAATTATACCCATTAGGGGAGGGTAACTATCGGGTGGCGAGTAGCAATTATCTTTGCTTTTCCATTTCCTCGTCGAAAATTTCAATCTATTGGAGTTTTCAGGGATAATGATATGAGACCATCTGTGGCAGGTAATTCGACGGGTCGAGTTGAGACAGTTCTGTACCGAGCAGCGGGCCGGGATGCGATGCGACCGTTGTTGTGGTGGCTATCGCCTGAGCGATCTGAGAACGAATTGTACCCACCGGCTCCTAGGTCCCCGGGTAACTCTGTTAGATCTGAGGCATGCGCTTGTACTTCCGCCATCATAGTCTCGCCATGCTGTACGACAAAATGTTAGTAATGTTAAAAATGAAGAAATTGTTTTAGGTATACACGTACAGTAAATGGTATGGGTATTCTTCTAACATAACCCACACTCTTACTTACGTCGGCCCATGCAAGCACGATCGACTCATCTCCCTGCAGGATCATGAACGACATCGAGAAAAAGCTAGACCGGGCGGTAAGCTCTCTAGTGGTGGCTAACTTCCGAGCCTCCATAACACTTGAGTTGAGGTTAGATACAAGGTACAGGTGACCCTTGTCATTAACCAGGCCAAGTTGCTTTCCCGATAAAGAAAACGCGCCGCATTGCACTCTTGTGCCGAGGCGGCGTTGGTGACTTGAGCTGTCGGCTTTAATTTCAACTCGATGGCCAGTCTTGGGCGAGAGTAAAATTGGGATACCAGATTGTGTCCATGTGGTGATACACACTAGGTCATCTTCTCCGCCAACGCCGGGCCTATAAATAACAGACGAGATACCACCATCCTCTGATTCGTGTAATGGTATGGGGTAATGGCAATTGACAAGCTCCTGGAATGTAAATGTCGAAGCCCTGCGGATAAACGTCTGGATTACCCCTTTCAAATTCCTTGTGCTTGCTATGAGTGTCTCCCCATCGGTGGAAAAAGATAGAGTGTCAACTGGAGGACAATTCTCGCACTCAGTGGTGGTGTGGTAGCGGTTATGAAGGCGAAATTCTCGTTGGGGTTCGAACATGCCTGCTTTGAAGAAGCGGACAGTGGCGTTTTCGAACCCGACGGCAACATATGTTTCCCGTGGGCAGATAGCGATGCTTTTGCACCACTGAGACGAAGGCATCTGGTATTCAAGGGGTGCGGCTGTTGGAAGTGAAAGGTTCACGATTCGAAGCTAGAGATTGTACATGAGCTATGTGTTCAAAACAGGGTGAAATCGATACCATGTACATACCGTCAGTTTTTGGTCTTTACTTCCAACCATGTATGCCAAATACCTTTTCGTAACGGCGGCAACGAGACAAGAGCCTTCGGTGGGAATAACTCTAGTTACGGCAGCAGGTGACACACCAACATCCCATACCTGAATAGTGGAAGGCATCCAAAAGAGGGCGTTGGTACTATTCTGCGAAAGACTGACATTCATCAACTTCGAACCCTTCCCTTTTCCTTGGGACCTCGCCGCACTCGTCAAGCTCTTCAGACATATCTCCTCTGGCCGTTGATTCTCCATTGACCCGGATGAATGAGAGCTAGCATCTCCCGATGCTGTTGCGCGGTGTTCCCTCTTAGAACCAAGCCATCTTGATAACTTTTTTCCGGGAATGAAGGGCCGGCCCGACGTTCCAGGCCGTGGCGGGGAAACACTATGGTTACTAGTTGTGCGATGAATATTGGACATTTTTTCCGATCTGGGAGGCTTGCGATACGTTTCGGAGCCATTTTGGGATGATTGATCAGACGTGTGAGTAAAGTGAGGCCTGGAAATGTCCACATCAGGGCTGACAATTTCGGTTATGGACCCTAGTGTGTGGTCTTGACCAAAAGGGTCATCAAAGATATGCCTTGATTCAGGGGAAATGGGAGATACGTTATTGATGGTGATGGGGGACCTTCCTTGAGTGACTGGGCTAGGAATGATGTTAGGGCTTTGCGGTGCTTGAAGAGATGAAGATTGATCAGAAGGCATCTAGTGGATTACATGATCAGTACAATTTCTAGAGGCTTGGTAGATACGTTAGCTATACTGGGGTTGCTCACCTTAGAGGGGAATAGTTGGTATGGTGGGCAGAAGTGTCGTTCTTCGCTGGGAGGATCGGCATTATAGTCGATATCGTTTAAGAGCTCCCACGTCTCCCTTATAAGGGGTATCTCTCGGGCAAGTGTGACTATTTGCCCGCATTGTACACACTTGGTATTCGGCGGCAATCCTATCTCAGACCCTTCTGTCGGGCTCTGCTTATAACATTAGTACGAAATAGTATAAATTTTATAGCACTTAAAAGAGAAAGTGTATAATTCTGAGTTTTAGGACGCACCGGAAATTCAAGATGCTCTAGAACCCTTAGCTGTGTATCTCCCGCAAGATGACAGGATTTGCAATTCAGTGCATAAGCTCGGGGAAAGGTGCCATCAGAAGTTTCGTTCGGGTCGTCAAGGAGCGTGATACGCCTGTTGACCTCTGCGATCGCACGCATCAACGGTCCATCACTCGACCGATGGATAATCTGTCTGTTGGTAAGAGACAGGCAGAAGGACTTGATAGCCTCTACGCCGTTAACGTCACCTAGCAACCCTGAGTGATTTCGGAACCCGGTGATCGGCGGAGTGTCAGGTAAAATGGTTCGAAAGGCCTCGCTGAACATGGAAAGTAACTCCAATTTTGGATAGTTGCTGGGTATGCGTATTTTATCGAGCGAGGCTAGAATCGCATTTCGCGTTTTGGCACATGATGCTGGGAGATATACGTCTTCCGTCTCGTCGGTTACCGCATATTGAATGGAGGCGCCAACTACGAACTGGGTGATATCTCTCAGGGCCAAAAATTGTGTTAGCCAATTGACGGAAGGGCCGTCCTGCTCGACAATGGTGGTGACATATCGATCCGATAAGCATTCAGGCAGAGGGTACTTCGCTAAGTAATCAGTAAACAAAGATTTCAGAGGATATCCAGGGATAATCATTTAGGGACAGAAGCGTGGGGAGCTATCCATACCAAATCTAACGCCAAATTGGGGATTTCTTTCCTCATTTTCATGGGAAGGGGGAGTGAATTAGGATCCATACGCAATGCGTTCGCTATATCTCGACAGATAAGTAGGAGACATGGCCGGGGTCCTGGGAAGCGATCATGCAACTTATCTAAGAGCCCATGGATACGGGCAAATCGGTGTTTCTGGTCTTGAATATCGGGTAGACCTTTGGGATGAAACGACAAGACACGCAGCGCCGTTGAGACGAGGTCGGCCAGCTGTACATCCAACTGCTGGTGGACATTGAATAGGGTCTCGTGTCCATCGATAACAAGCTGTAACACGAATTCAATAGATCGCGAAATTGTTTCCCAGTTGGCCAGGAACCCCACATACTCGTCTATCTGCTCCCTCTCCGATGGCAGCGATAGACGTTGGATATAAATGACGGCATTTAGTTGTGAGAGTAAAGTGCTGACGAGTTGTTGGAATTTCTCGCGGTCGCTGTCGGCGTATATCCTATCCAGCGCGAACCTGCCCAGAAGCTCCAGTATTATATCATCGGCATCGCTTCGAAGACATAGGAGCCTCAAGACGTTCGCTAGATGAAGGAACTGGGTAGACGGAGTGGCAGCAGCCATGGCATCGGCCCGGCTGGGGGGCAAGTGTTCGCCCGTTGCGGGCTTGATCGCTCCAGTATTCGAAGTCCCTACTCTCAAAATGTATAGGCTGTTCCTCCTCTCTCCTTTTTCTTCCTTGGCTTAGCTATCCCCCAGGTGGGTTGTTATATGTTTGCTCTGAACGCTTCCACGTAATGCACTATGCACTTCCCCAAACTCTCGTCCTCACTGGAACGGCGTATAATTTTAGGGCGAGATATCTCGGGGACGGATTTCGGGCTGGATATGAAACTGGTGATCGACTTCAGCGGCGGGTTAGCTTGGTGATGCCTTTCCCACGACGGGATACAAGGCTTTTCATAGCGGCAAGCTTTAGGCAGCGATGTTAGGGGATGGATACGAGACAGCTTAGGAATGCGCTTAACGACCGTCAGGAATGCGATAAACGGGGCGATGTGAGTAGATATTCGATGTCAACTCCAGCGGTACTGGCTGGAGGCGGCGACGGCGACGGCGACGGCAATGACGAGCGATATAAGGATCGAATGCCAACAGGTCAACGAATTAACGATCTCATTAAGTGGGACATCCAAGAGTTTTAACTAAGGCGGCTGCCCAGCCACGATCCAGAAGCACTGTCGTGCTTATATTTTGTAAGTATGTATTGTATATATATGGTGTACGGCTCAGCCCTGGCCCCCTAGTTCAACCGTCCGTTTTGGCTGACGTGCGTCTGTTTCTGCGGCGACTTATGTTTCTCTTTCTTGGAGGTCATCCATCTCCGTTGTTACATGAATAGATGCTCATGTGGCTTTTCGCGGGCACCGAGGAATCGGGTGCCTGGGAGATTAGAATCTCGCTACTTGTACTCCGGAGGGAATAGGGTAAGGTGTCGATACCCCCTCCCCGGCGGTGATAACTATGTACTCCGTAATTGCTGTCTAGGAACCCATACATATATATACATGGTCGATGGTTTATGACCGATGTTATATTATCGAGAGATTGAAGCAGCGGCTATGTATGCGTTCTTGGGATGGCGCCCAATGAATGGTAGTGGAAATACGCAAAAACCCTTTTCTCTTTTGTATTTTGAATTTCTCTGTGGTTAAGCGGAAAGGCTGAGTATGGGGAAATCAATATTAATGCTAGGGGCCCGGGAATGTCCCTTAATGCGGTTACTATGACACAGGGTTTGCTCTGGCGCGCTCAAGTGGACGAGAGCTGAGATTTCGGGTTCTTTTGTCACTCCTCCCTTGCTTCTCTCACCCTTTCTTCGCGGCTTCTGGAGGCTTTTTCAACGATGCAAGCAAGTGCCCGGCAGACCAGCCTGCTCATTTGTCAGGTCTCCTCGATCGCAAGAGAAAAGCAAAAACACACTCCGTGCATGTTTCAATCTCGACTGTTCGTTGAGCAGGAGGGTCGAATTTGTATCCTGCTGGGTCCCTCCCCAGATCCTTGTGGCTGGGATCAGACCAAGGACACGACAAGCGAAGGATTGCTGGTTAAAAAGCGGAACCCAACACGCCAGCCCAGCGACGATAAGATTTGGTCTATGAGCTAGCTGCCCCTTAACGAATAAGAATGCTGGTCCAGCTGGGGTCACAGGAGGTTGAGTTGGAGAAGTTAACCTATGTTCACAAAGGAATAAGGGCACGCTAGGCTACTGACTCCGTAGATAACGATGCCCTTGCCCGAGCGAAACAACCAGATTCAGGATGTATATTCCGTATGCCAACCGCTTGGCTGTATTCCATGAAGTTCCCTCTCATGGTTACTCGGTACGCTTCGCGGTGGAGGCCAGACCGAGAAGTGTGTCCGCGCCTCCCCAGGAATGGCTGGGGGACCTCCCGGTTAGGTTTTGATCTCTGCAATCAGCGCTCAGTCTGGGGAGAGGGAGGGCAAAAGGCTGCCACGAGTGGGGGCGGGTACGGAAGAAGGACTGAAAATCCACATGAACATCGCCTGCGGTCTGACTTGACTGCGACTCTCGGTCTCTTTTCTTTTTCGGGTGGTCTAGAGGCCTGCCGAGGATGTGGGATTATCAATCAAAATTCGTCGTGGGCGATAATATTGCGGCAAGACATAAAGAGCCAAGGCCATCATCTTTATCCTTCAGTATATATACACTTTTCGACGTCCGATCAACTGCAACTGTCCTGGTCGCTGTGAGGATGGGCAGCGATCAGGGGGCCTTCGCGACTTTCCCCTTCCCTTCTGCTGCCTGCATCGGCTTCCAGCGGTAATTTGGCATTTGCGCTGATGCCCAAACGCCTTGGGAGTGTGAGATTGCCAATTTGTTGCATGGAATATGAGTCAAACCTCAGCTCTATCTCTGCCTTGGTGTTTCTCTCACGCAATTGTTTTCTCAGCCTGTCTCGCCTTCCCCACCACCTCGTCGCCGTGGCAGGATGTGTCCTTTAGAGAAACACGCCGAATGCGAGGAACTTCCAGGAGGTGTGGAGAGCGCTCTCGTATATATACGTAGATCCTGGAAGGTTATACTTTTTTAACTCAGTCGCTAATCCCTACATAGACGGTAGTACGTTTTTGCGAACGAGCTCACTGGCGGTTGGCTGGCACAGTGATACGCTCCGTGGTATGGCGGGTGTTGTACTTAATAGGCACATACCGAGGGGGTTCAAATTGGTAGGAGTGTAGAGTAGTTAGTTGTACTCTGAATCTTGTGCAATCTTGTATTCGCCGCATTGTGGCTTTCTCAAAATCCTTCAGCCAGCGATTTCCCACGTTATACGATAAACGTGGAGATATAAGTTAGGGGTCCAGGTAAGCACGGAGCTGGTTAGCATCGTTTGGTGAAAAAATGATAGATATCCTTGCTAAGAGCTTTGGGCGCTTCTGGAAGCAAATCGCATGGCGACAAACGATTTTCTTTTGCTGATTTGCCTCTTGCAGTGACTGCAGTTCATGCCAATGTTCGTTTTATCAGGACGGCTCGTTTTGAGTCTGCGAAGATCACCTCCATCCCTCTTGTTCATTGCTCGCTGGAATGGGTTCGTGGTCAACAGAAACATTCCAAGACTGAGGCTGAGCGGGAAAGCGGGCCATCAAGAAACAAATGATTTCCATCTCCTATTATTCGCCCGGGTAAGAGGCACGCAGTAGCTTCGAGTCTATCAGAACTTCTCGAGAACCCTCTATCCACAGCCGATGGCGTTCTTTATAGACATCGCGGTGAATATACTGGCGATGCTCCCGGGCCCCCCCCGACCCCGTTATACTCGCCATGGCTCTCCATAGTCACGAAACATTTTATACGCTCTGACGCATCACGAGTGCGAGGGAACAAACTTCGCTGGTATGAGTTGTTAATGTGTCGATTGACTCCTGTAGTGCCCTGCTAGCGGGTTTTAGTGCAGCAGAAGAGGCTTGATGGACCAGGACCAGCATTCAAAACCATCCACTTCCCGAGTAGTACCGCGCCACCATGGCCCGTTTCAGGGTTTGCGCTTTCCCTTTTGCTTCTGGATGTACTTTGTAGGCTCATTTCTTTTTCCTTCGGCCAGGATAGGATTCCCTGCAGCGCCCATGTCATGGTACCGCAGCACCTAGTGTGTCTTGATACGAGACGTGCAAGCCGGCGATCAGCCTACTACCGCCATTCACCCGAAGTCTATCAGTAATTGCAGGCCGCTCCTTGATTCAGTGGCTTTTATTCCTCTGGATCCCCGATTCCTCCTTGCACTTTAGGTAAACCGAGCCGTTGCCTGTTGATCTACCCGCGGGGTTGAAACTGCAATAGGAATACCTGCTCATTTTCTGCGTTAAGCGACAACTGACGGGATGCAAGAGATGTTGATATCAGCCGCTGCTCGAAGCCTCCGCATCCGTAATCTCTAACTGGGCCTGGAAAGCCTTTCTCTTCTTGACCATATATCCCGCACAGGCTGGTCTCCCCCTAACACCTAAATCTCGCCTCATTTCGTTCTTGGATACCTCGACTTCGACTTCGACTTCAGCTTGGACGTTAACTTCGACTTCAACTTCGACTGCTCTTTTCGGCTTTCTCAGCTCTTAAGGCGATTGTTGCCCGCCCTCAGGGTCGTCATCGGGGGCTGGTGGAGGAACGTATATGGACAGCAGCTCCGCAGCACCCGGCAACATCGAACGATATGGAACCCATTGAGAAACCTGCAAACTCGCTTCCCAGCTATCATGAATTCCCAGCGGCACCAACGATGCTCAGTTCAGACTATCCACCAACCGAACGAACAATGGTGGAGGAACCGACGTTTGACACGGAGCACCGTGAGCGTAAAGGATTTAGCGTCTGGTACATGAGATTCCACCCTCCTGGTCTTTGATCAAGCATGGCTGCTGTCGTTGTTGTTATTGTTGTGGTTGTGGTTGTCGTCGTGGTTGTTATCAGACGTTGCTGACATCAAGTTTGTTTTGTGTAGGAGAGTACTGGGCGAACGACAGATCAATGTAAGTTCTTCTCGCCCCTCCAGCCATCAGCTCTGTGTATAAATCACTACCACGAGTGATGTCTTGATTGGATTTGGCTAACGGACTCTGTTTCTAGATGATTGCTTTCTCTGGGTATGGTTATCGTACATCCAAATTCTCTAATGGCCCTTTTCACTAACCCTTAATTCTTCTTGAATCAGAACAATTGGGAATGGTAAGTCAGCTTTCACCGTCCCACTGAGTATTTGTGTAATTATTTCGTTCTAACACTACTTTCAGGTCTCTTTCTTGGGAGCGGAAGGTCACTGGCTGGCGCTGGACCCGGTGGTGCTGTGCTTTGTTATGTGCTGATGGCCACCGTCATCTCTTCTGTCATCTCATGTCTGGGTGAGATGACCGCCCTTATGCCTGTTAATGCACCAGTGATGGAGTTTCCTCGCCGTTTCGTTGATCGAGGTGTTGGTTTTGCCGTCGGTTGGGTATACTGGTTGGTCTTCCCTGATGAGCCCCTGAAACACAGTCAGTTATTGATATCAGCCCATCTACAGGTTTGCCTACGCCGTACTTGCAGCAGATCAACTAGTTGCAGTGACGAACTCTGTCAGATTCCGCTATGATGACGGGAAAACTTTCCTACATTGGGCAACCGGCGAAAACGTACACCCTGCCGTGTGGATAACGCTCTTTTTATTCCTCGTTACAATGATAAATATGCTTCCAGTGAAGGTTTGTACAAAACTCGTCCTTTATATACCTTTTTTTATATATATAGCTAACCAGGTTTCTAGTATTATGGCGAGCTGGAGTATGTATTTGGAAGCATAAAGCTCAGCTTTATAACAATGATCATAGTAATGATGGTCGTACTGGATACCATGCAACGTTCGTCAACTCTGTCTAAGATATGCCTATATCTATATACCAGTTTAGCTGACGATTTGCCATAGCTCGATCAAACGCATACTACAAAGACCCAGTTGGTACAAAATGTGAGTACCATCATTCCGTTACTTGTTGTATGTCAGGAGAACGGCCAATAACTAATCTATAATCATCTAGACTGGGACCAACCTTTCTCGTTCATTTGTCGTGATTATAAAGTCCGAGGCGATGATAACACTGTACAGATGGAAATAAAAGGGACCATGGGCTCCTTTCTGGGGATGTGGTAGGTTTAGTCTCGAGATCTGGCATCGGCGCCTGATGATTCGCTAACTTCTGGATAGGACTACCATCATTAACGTGATATTCTCATACGTTGGGATGGACATTGTCGCCGCCACAGCCGCTGAGAGTAAATCTCTTGCTGATTCTGAGAGCATGAAGATGGCAGCCCGAAAGATTAACCTACGTGTCATCACTCTTTATTCGCTTGCCATGCTTACCTCTTCTTTCCTGGTCCCACGAAACCACCCATTCTTGAACGGAAAGGCACAGTCGGTTGGCAGCTCATCGGTCTTCCTCATTGCTGTTGTTGAAGCTGGTCTCCCTGGCGTCGCGCACTTTTTCAATGCCATGTATGTGTTCTCGGCATTTACTTGCGCGATAAACTCGATGTATGTGGCATCAAGAGTGCTACATACTCTAGCTCTGCGAGAGCAAACCGGGCCAAGGTGGCTTACGCGAAGGCTCCAAGAATGTCACTTGGGTGTGCCTCTGAGGACGGTCTTTGCAACAGCTGGTTTGATGATGATCGCTTATATGGGACCTACTGGTGGCCCTGGCCAGGTGAGTAGTTCTTAGCACACAAGTCCCCGTCATGAGCTAGCGAATATTTGCTAATACAACGACGTTACCACAGAGACTTGGCGAACTTGCGACTAATTGCACAGTTTCATGTTTGATCGTATACACTGCCATCTGTGGGACATATCTATGTTTTTACAGGACGTACGTTTTTGCCTTACCACTCAAACTGAATGCCAGTGCAATTCATATGCTAACTGTATGATATAAATATAGTCTCGGCGAAGCTAAAAGTTATGGAAATACATCCCAAGCGCAGTCTGGCTGCTATGAGCGTGATCACCCACGCTACCCATACAAGTCTCACGGCCAGTGGTTAAAAGCTGCATATGGATTAGTTTCCTGCATTATTCTTATCATATTTAACGGAGTTGGAGCCTTCCTCGAAACACCATTCAACACCAGGCACTTTCTTGCTGCCTATATTGGAATACCTGTGTTTTTCCTACTAGTCATCGGCTACAAGTTCAAGAAACATGGGTTCCACTTCTCAAGATGGGGTCCTGAACGATCTAACGATCTTCAAAACACCGTGCAAGTGACGAGCAAAACACGAAAGGGGAGGCTGGAATTCCCAGATGACGGTTTCACATCTGAAAACGGCAAAGCGTTCATGAAATGGATATGGGCGTGGATGAAATAAACGGTTGGGCTGTCACCAACCCGAGAACGGGTGGTTGACGAGGCACCAATCGAGGCACAACATATAATTGCTTGATTTTCTACACGAGCGGCGTTTTGGTTTAAGCGGGAGTTTGGGTGTGGCAGGGCTACTATACCATTCACATTGAAAAAGGGAGGTTGTATATTAATTTACCTTCATCGCGAAGACTTTTTGCGATTATGCGATATTGCTGGACATTTGCATTCAGCCACTGAAGTACGTGACACATTTTGTACATAGCCATCTTACTTCTATATTTGGATTACCTCTATAGCAATCAAGAAGACTATATGTTCTACCACTCCGAGTCTATGGCCTTATCGGGTCTATAAATACGACGTATAAGCATCCACATATCACGCTTTAGCCATCCAGCCGTAGCATGCTCTCACGGACGAGTGTGGGTGGTTGCTACTAGTTCGCTTCGTATACATAAAGTTGATCTAATAATATATACGCAGAGTCCTTAATGCTGCATATCGTGTTCTTATATGCATGTGGTGGAACCTTCGCATAACGATCGAAGTCATATATGCACGACATGTGTGAATCCTCTTTTTAGCGGTGCATATGCATATGTAGAGCCTGATGGCAGTGCATCTTATATTATTAACTAAATTTGGAATCTATGTCAAATTCATAAAAGGCTAGGAAATATTAGACTGAGCCGGCGGGCATAAATAGAGAAATGTGAACAAAAGTACGCGACGGCTAGATACAACGCATAATAATATTGCATGGGCAATAAATAATTTGAGGTAATAATATTAAAAACATTGAATGAGATAAACAAAAGACCGTGGCTCCTGATGCTCCGAGTAGAGGAATAAGAGTGATGATAACAAATAAAATGGCGAAGTTAGGGTATTAGTGAAATTCACAGCCATGACTGAAAAAGATACGAATTTAGGGGATATATATGATCTATTAATTGTCGCAAGAGTGGGCTGACTCAATTACTATATCATTGTTAGACTCTCAATGACTTAAATCGCGGAGGATGAGATAACTTACTATATTTCTAGAGGGGAGATTTGGTCGAGCGTATACAACCAATTACCTCCCTGCTCTTCACGTTCCAACCTATTAATCGGACAAATGGTTAGTAAACCAACATTTTAGACAAACATACACTGATATGGATTCGTCTACTTACCATTCATACGGCCAGAGGACCAAGTGACCCTGCACCAAGTTAAGTAGTTCACCTGCTTCGTGCATTTCAATGATATCGTCCACCGCATGGAACTCTTTCCTGGAACTGCGGGTAGTTGCTCTTCGCCTACGTCGCTGTGACAGGCCAATACTGGCAGCGGTGGGCGCTTCAGATTGAGCAGACCGTGGCAGCTCAAGATATTTTTCTGGGGCAGTAGCAGTTGTGGAAGGATCTGCAACACGACTAGAATTAGAGGATCTTGTGTCGACATTATTGCCGACAGGCGCGGGAGTATCGGGATTTGAAGTTAATTTCTCGACGCTGGCTAATTCTTCCTGTTGACGTTCAAGCTGTGCTTTGTTGGCTTCCACAGCCCACTGGTGCAGGTTTGCATGCGCGTCTTTCTCTGAGTTGTTTGCAATTTTCTCCTTCACGTCCTCAAACGCATTCCCAATCTCTGCACCAAGCTTGCCGCCTGTGGGAGCAGTGGGAGCAGCAGTAGTTGCACCTGGAGGGCCATTTCGAGGGCATGCATTAGATGGTGCAGAGGGATGATGACAGTTGTTTTGCATGTCGGCAAATCGTTCGGCATATCCGTCATATTCCTTATATTCTTTCCATGACTTGACCTCACTATCTGGCATGCAACGAAAAACGGTCCTGAAAAGTTTCGTGTTGTTTTCTGCGATTGCCTGCCAGGTGTCCAGGTAAAAGGAGTCAAGCAACGGGTCTTTCATGCAATCTTTGTCGAGAATGGGTCGCTTCACTTCGTCCGATAGAGGGTGTGAGGTGGTCTTAGGCTGTGTGGCGTCTAGGGAGAGATGCTGGATGTGATCATCGGCAGTGCTGGTTACAGCTGGTCGATTCTGCCCTGTCATTCGAGGGCTAGAGACGATAGAAACGCTCCTTGCGCGGGTCTCTGGGGTACCCGGGGCAGTTGGCTGTCTGGTATGGGTAGCAGAGCCCTGGGCCTCGGATATATCATCGCACGGTACTGTAGATAAAGTCGGATGGCTCTTGCCCTTACCCCCGACCAAGACCTCAACACTGTCCTTATCGATGAACGTATCACGGCCGGTAATGCCAGCGGCTTCTCCATTTCGTTTCATCTGATCCACTCCAAGACCCTCCAAGTCCTTGCGATGATCTTCATTTCTAGTCACCCTAGCGTCCGCAGTGAGTTTTCTATTCGATTTAAGATTTGGATTCCCGGCCTGCTCCCAATCGACATCGTGATTGAAACTATGCATGTCTTCGGACCTAGCCAGGAATTCCTCCTGAAGTTTCTGCTTCCGCTCTAAGTCTTCTTTGTCAAGCTGATTTTCGCCGTCAGCGGTGCCTGCTTCCTTGCGCACTGCAATGTCAGGCCGCTGCGCGATGTTGCTGTCTATATTGTCTTCCTCAGGCACCAATGCCGCCTCTTCCACAATTTCATCAACATCGAAGCCTAGATGCTCTCTCATCAGCCGCATTCGAAGTGTATGTGGGAAACGCCCAACGAGGTACGGTTTTCCATTCATACTGGACTGAATCAGGTCGGCATCTCGAACAACAGCAGCACATTCTGAATCTCTTGAACCAAGCATAGAGCGTTCATTGATGTTCGCTGAACCGATAATGGCAACCCGGTCATCAACAACCATGCATTTCGCGTGGATGTATAGCTGTTCTGTGACTAGGCTCTTTCTCGGTCCGATTCTACCCCATGACCTCAGACTGAAGAATTGAATATAATCCTCAGGCTCGATGCCACGAGCACGTAGACGACCGAAAATGGAAGTTTCACCGCGACAAATACTTCTGTACTGGCACTGCATGATCAACCTCACGCTAGTACCGCCCTCCGTATCTACCGTGTTCTGGAAACCAGGCATAAGTGGTATCAAAATCACTGCGCGCCATGCCTCATCATTATCAGCGGCACGAATAATTCTCTCCACCAGTGCATCGCCTATATGGTTTTCTATCTTCTTCCCTTCAATTTCGCAACTGCTGATGAAAAATTGATTCTCGATGTAAACGAAATGATCAGACTTCTCGATCATTTTGACGTACGCATTCATTATGCTGCATTCGACAACATCGGGAGTACCCGTAGACCACATGCTGCTTGATCGCACAATTTGGATTTCGCACGTCCCATCTAGACCCAGGGCTTCAAGGTCAGCAGGATTAAAGTCTGGTGGCGGCAGAAGGAACGGAGTCGGTCGCGTAGGCTTGCGCTGACGAAGAATGTAGTTCCATCTTTGGACGAAGTGGCGGGTAAGATCTCGAGCTGGTTGTCCTACTACATGCATAGATATATCATGCCATGGCATGCGTGGAACAACCTCACGGTCATACATCTCTTCATAAGGCTTATCCAGGTCATAGAAATCTTGAACCCGCGGATTCGAATAATCTTTGCCTGGCCATAGCTGACAATGATCCGCATCTTTGGGGGAGTCTGTCATCTCGAACCCAGTAAGCTTATCGTCTGTCATTAGATGTTGCGGTGTATCCCATCGGCCAAAACATAGATCAATCCCACCAACAAACGCCAACGTATGATCAACAATGCAAAGCTTCTCGTGATGGGCCCAAAAGAATGTGTTCTGCCTGAACTGATTTGGAGACCGTTGAACGAAGACGTTGGGGTGTAGGTCTAGAAGGGAGAATTTTGAATATTCAGAATCGATAGGGATGGCGGAGTTGATGTTTCGATACATGATAACGAATACCTTGACACCCTCTTGCGCCTTGCGTTGAAGTAGACGGTCGAGACGCCATTTCTGACTGATAGCAGCAGGACGCCGCATGTAGAGTTCAGGGCTTAGCCACCAATCGTGAATGTATATAACATCCTTTGCCTGGCTAATTGCTCGAGAAACTACCCACATATAGTCACGTCCGTCTACCAGCCATTGTGCGAAACAGTTTGGCCGCACTGGAGCAAAACTATCAAATCGGTTTGGTTTAGCCCATGGGGTTGTGTCTATCATTAAACGAATAGATTCTTCAAATTGGCGAAGCTGTCGTTCATTCCTAGCAAGCAGCCGCATTCTGCGTTCTGAATTCTGGAGTTTTAGCGTGTGGTGTTGGGGGTGCTTCGCAGACTCTTTCGCAGATTTAGCTAACTCCTTGGGATTCTGATCTCGCAGTCGGACCTTCTGAGCTTGAATCTGGAAATAGGAGTCGACTAGGAAGACGTCATAAATGTGCATTTCCTCTGGCGAGTCGACACAGACTATGTAGCTATGTCGAACCAAGAACCACTTGGGAGAATGGCGCGATTTCACTAGGGACGGGCTTAGGGCCTTCCTGAAATCCAACCCTTTCGAGGACTGGATTACCAAGTACCCTTCCTTGCCGTGATAGCTTCCTTCAGCCGCAAGACGGACGCCAAGGGCGGAGAGTTCAAGGAACTTGCAGAGACGGTTACTATCTGGCCGGAAAATTAAGAAGCGTATCATCTTTTGCAAATACGATTCTAGCTTCTTCCGCTGTCTTTCGGGGTAAGTATCCTTTTTGATCATATTGGGCGCCGAACCGTCTACAGCTCTATCAGAATTGGCAGGGGCTTCGAGCCGTGAGGCTAAACTGGATCGTCTCCTGATAAGGCCAACTGATGACCTGCGTTTCTTCTTCCTTGATCGTTCATTTCCACTAGTTGCGTCGGCAGCGGTATCTTCTGCGGCTTCGTCCTCCTCATCTTCAACGTCGCTTTCAAGGCCACGGACACCTCGCATATATGGAAAAGCACTCTTTGGGAAATGCGGTAACTGGTTCCCGGAGTCATGACTTCGTAGCTGGATGTATCTCTGTGTGCCAATCTGAAGTTTATATTTTAAATGCAGGTTGGCAAAGTCTTTGAGTGTCCTATGAATTATCCATTTCATACGGGTCACGCCGTTGCCATACTCAAGCTCAATGCGGAAAACAAGGTGACGGTCGCCCGAGTGGGAATCAAACTCGCTGTCCGTTACATGGACCTTGAGCTGTTCAAGGAGGATAGGAATGCGCCTACTTCCATGTTCGTCTCTTTGAAACATACTGGCTAATAACAAGGCAGCGGGCACACCTGAAGTCAGTTCGGCGAGCAGTTCGGCAGACTTTACGTGGTCAACCGTATTAGTTTCAGCTCTCTTGCGCTGACCGATCATCTTGAAGCCGGCTTTAATCTGTCTCCATTTCTGCGCACTAAGGCTCGAACCACGCTCAGCTTTATGGCGTCGCCAGGCTCCGCTGATGCCATCTCCATGGTCAGAGGTGCCGCCGAAGCCTGTGAGACGCCGTAGATTTGTTGGACGTCTCTCATCTTGGGACGTGTGTCCATCGGTCCGTTGGCCAGTGGTGCTCCGTCCGCGCGTGCTCTGTAACCAATTGCTTCTTCTGCGCCACATGTTGTCCCGGTTCAACCTATCTCTCCCCTCGTCTTCAGAGACACCTTCTCGCAGATGATGAATTGGCGAGGTCAGCGGGACGGTGTTGGCAGATTGGGGGTCATTGATGGGGTTGAGCGAGTTTGCAGCCGACAAGGTTGATTTCGGGGTAGACGGAGCAGTTTGAGAGAGGTCCATTGGCGGTCTCTTTGTCTTGCGCTTCTTCCTCTTCATTCGCACCCCAAATCCTGCTTCTGAACTAGATTCAACATCCGCGTCCGCGTCGCTTCCACCACCTCCATCGTCTACCCTTGGAAATCGAAAGTCTGCCAGGTCAGACGCCAGCCCCGCGCCATCGGACATGGTCCTCTCGTGGGACGGCCCCTCTACTGGCGAAGCCGGGCCAGCTGAACGAGAGTTGGAAGGAGCTGCGGCGAAGGCCCTTAGCTTGGACATGAATTGAAAGTGCCCACGTTTCGGCGCGGTATCCTCATCAGCTGTGAGTACGGAAGGTGTTCGGGAGTAGGAGTGTACAGGCACATCGTTCTCGCCCTCTGGCCGGGCAAACTGTACACTTCTGCGTGCTGTAGGGGTCGATGTACCGGTTACGTAGTGTAGCCCGGTCTCGCTCTGGGGGTAATCTTTATGAGCCTATAGATATATCCGAATTTGGCCCATGCCATTGCGAAGAATCAGCAGCTGGAATTGAATATAATAAGGGTGTTGAGACAGCAAGCAGGGTTACTTGGTCCTGAAACACTGACAGTCAGAGTATGCTCGCCCTTGGCCAAAGGATCAGTGCTTCTGCCGCCTTGCACTTGGGCTGTGTCCGCAGGGTTTACCTGCCCCTCCTGGCCTCTTGTTCCGCTGTTTTCGTCCATATCTCCGTGCAATTGGCGTCTTTGTCAAGATGACAACGGGATAGAAATATATCAACAAGGGGCAGACGTATCGCTGCTTCGACGCCTAGCGAGCCTTTCAGGAGTCTGTCCTGGTGCTCAATCCTTGCAGCTATAAACACCTCGTCTGTCAGTTCCCAGCATGCAGTGTTGATAGGAAGCAATCCGCCTGTATATTCGTACAAGCTGGATGGGGGTTCAACTATACCACTGTATCATATCGGTAGGCCTGCGGTATCCCCAAGGGCCTGTGTCGAGTTTCTTCTCCCCTTGCTGGTGTTGTAGCCAAAGACTCTCTGCGTCTCGGACGTTGGCTCCTTGTTATCCTCCTTGTTCTTCTCCTTGTTCTCCTTGTTGTTCTTCTCTTGCTCTTCTCCTTGCTCTTCCGCCGTCTCAAACCCCGTGCCGCATCGGCCCAATCAGGACAAGGCAGCGTGGGGAGGATGAGTAAGCAGGGACACATCACGTGACTAGACCTCGACCTCGGCAAAACAAGCAACAACTACAACATATAGAAGAACAAGATAGAGAAGAACAAGATATAGAAGACAGGGAAGATATAGAAGATATAGAGAAAGACAAGAGAAGGACATAAAGAATAAGAGAGGATAGGTAGAGAAGAGAGACAGAGGAGAGATAGGTGAAGAAGTGGCTATCTCCCTTAGTGATATCTATGGCTGACCCTATGGCATCAACATACTCGATGTCGCTCCCCGAGATATCCAAGAAAGAGATACCCGTCTCAGGGATCATCTGCTCCGTCTACGGACTCGACGAGATACCCTCCCAGGCAAAGGAGGTATCATGCCTCTACCTGCTGCACCCACGCTCTAATACCCGGGCGTCCATGGAAGGGACCGCCTGCGCGGCCGTGGCAGACTGGAACAAGCGTCTGGCTGCTAACCAGGTTGCCCCGAGCGAGAAGGACAAGGGACTGGTTGCCGTCTGCTTCGACCAGCGGAACCATGGCTCGAGAGAGGTCGACAAGCGGTGTAATGAGGCGTGGAGAAAGGGGAACCCGAACCACGCTCAGGATATGTTTGCCATCTTCAGTGAGACTGCCTATTACATTTCCCTTGGTTTAATAAGAGCATTAGAACCGTGATGAGTGCCGCTAATACAGAGTAGACGGGACGACACGCGATGTGTCTATCCTGATCGACTACATGGAATGCTACCTATTCCCTAAGTTAGAGCGGAGAATCACCAACAACCTCGTCCTAGGTGTCTCTCTTGGTGGCCACGCAGCATGGGGCTGCATCCTTCATGAACCACGTATTACAAGCGCTACCATCATCATCGGCTGTCCAGACTATACCAATCTGATGACTGACCGGGCGCGGCTTTCAAAGCTGCCTACTTGGACTAACAGTAATCCACCCGGCTCCCAGTTTCTAGGCTCAGAGTCCTTTCCACAGCCTCTGATGGAGAGATTGAAGCATTGGGACCCCGCGAGTTTCTTCTTGAGCCAGATGAACGATGCCTCGCTCAAGGAGCCAATGCGCGGCAGCTCTATACGCGAACCGACAGAAGACGAGAAGGCCTCTCTCCGGCCATTGATGAAGCAGTGTTTGGCAGGGAAGAAGATCATGATCCTCTCCGGTGGCGCGGACAGGTTGGTCCCGTATGCGCGTGGTGAACCGTTTTTAACATGGCTGAAGAAAGCTGTTGGGCCAGATGGGTGGTACGCGGAGGGAAGGATATCGCTGGAAGATATCATTTTTGACGGAGTGGGACACGAGGTTACGCCCGCTATGAGGGGGGAGGCCGTCAGGTTTATCGGAGAATGCCTTTCTGTGGGTCAGGAGGATAGTTCATCGAGATCTGCTATGGTTAGGACATCCAAGATGTAAACGATCGATCCATGATAATTTTACGACACAAAAGACCAGAACATGATTTGAAGTATAGGAAAAAGGATTCTATTCCACCTATGTATTGTATGGGATAGACTGATTTCGTAACAGGGAGAGATGGGGATGTCCATAGCCCATCAAACCCAGGTTCAACCCGCCACAGTTTTCGATCTTCTAATCATCATTAAAAATTTTTGGTTTGTAAGATCATTTCACTGCACTGCATCAAGCCGTTCCGTTGCCCCAATCCCATGCTTGAGATGCAAAAGAAAAAAAAGCACGCAACGTGCGATCGATCAGTGAGTCCTCGCGCCACGGAATTGCACGGCACAACTAGCCACCTCCCTCCATCCAACAACAGGTACAGATGTTGGCAGCGAACATCGATCGTCCACAGGGCATTTAGGCAACCAACTCAACAACACCACCGGCCTCCTTGATCTTTCTCTCAGCCTCCTTGCTGAAGAATCGTGCTCGTACAACCATTGGGATCTCTGGCAGGCGGCCCTTTCCGAGGACCTTGGAGTAGCCGAGTGGGAGGAGGTCGAGGACGGGAGCGGTGTCGGGCTTCTTGTTGCTGGTGTAGGCGTCGCGGGTTTCAACTGGAACGAGAGACCATAGCTGCCCGACAGATAATTAGCACTTGGGATTCCCAATGTATTTTCTCAGCAGCTCGCACGCTTCTGTGCGCTAAACTGCTCGCTCCCTAGAATTCAATGGTCGTACCTTGTCCAAGTTGATCACTGGTCTCCAGAACTGGTTCTGCGTCTTGTGGAAGTATCGCATACCAACCTTACCGAAGTAACCGGGATGGTATTTGTCGAGATTGGTTCGGTGGTGATGCTGACCACCAGCCATACCACGACCTCCGGGATGCTTGCGGTGCTTTCCTACACGACCGTAACCAGCAGAGACATGGCCACGGCTAGACATTTGATCAGCGGACGCTCTCGACGAGGACTCTCAGCGCACCAGGCGGCGCATCGCGGGGACACGACTGGATGGAGGGACTCACTGCTTTCTCGTCTTGGTGAGTCTGGTAGGCATCTTGTCGGAGGCGCGGTGGTCGACAAGACGGTGATGTGGTCGATGGAAGATGGTGAAGTTCACGCTTTCTCTCGATGTCCAACTAAAACTTGCTCTTCTTGGCCGTGTGTTCGCTTAGGGTTAGCCCTAACTCTGGATTAGGACATGCTTAGTCATCTTCTTAGTCATATTATTATATAATCATTCTGCTTACGTACATCGTGACTTCCAACGTCCAAGGCAGAAGGAAGATAGAAGGATGAAAGAAGAATACAGAGTAGACAAGAGGAGTAGGTTAGATGTTGCGCTGTCTGCGGCTGAAGAACTGCTCGAGGCGCCCGTCTGCGGCCCCCGACTGCAGACTGCCCCTGATCCAGCCAGGCAGCTTCCCCTGAATGCGCTCAGCCCCGTACCTCCTATCTATCATCAGGATAGCCGCATAGTCCTCCTTATGCCGTATGGCACGCCCAATGCACTGGTTCACCGTTCGCATACATGTGTTTTCGTAAAACGCCCTGCTCGCCGCCTTACCACGGGCTTTTCGTTCCCCTTCTGACAAGGACGCGTCAGCAACCTCGTATGCTCTCTTCTCGACATGCTGCAGCTTCGCCTGCCAGATGGCGTTACGGGTGTTTGGGAACGGGAGGCCAACGACAATCACGCCGCGGCCTAGGGCGTCGGAGAAGTTGATGCCCTCCGATAGCTTGCCGCCCATCACGGACAGCAGGAGGCCGCCTTTCCCTGCGTCGATGGAGGCGGAGTACTGCGATAGGAGTGAGTCGGCGGTGTTGTTGCTACCGTTGATGGATTGGGACTCGTGGAAGATAGGCTTGAGGCGGGAGAGGGTGGCTAGGATGCTGGACCCGGAGCCGGAGGAAGGGCGGTCCCACACCTTTAGGACGGTGGCTAGGTAGTCGTAGCTGGGGAAGAAGACGACGACCCCGTCAGGGATGGCAGAGCAGAATCTTGCTATCGTCTGGCCGAGGCTGGTGATCTATATATCGTTGGATTAATTACTGGAAATTTCGGACTAAAGGATGGCATACCATTTTCTCGGACCGTCGTTGGTCAAAGGTGAAGTTGAACTCGACGTTGTCCACCCCCTTGTCCACGGCTATCGCTATCAGGTTGTCCTTGGGTATGACATGTCCATAGGTAAACGTCTTTATCTTGTCTCGTGGCATATACGAGAGTAAATGGTCCACGTAGTCGTCCATCTAATCAGCAGTTAGCAATTATCCATGTACATGTACGTGAATGGATATGCAAACCGGCTCCATGGTCCCTCCAGCAAGTATGACCGCCCTCGAATCCTCTACAAGCTCTTTAAATCGGCTGGTGGGATCAAGTAGAAGATACTTCATCTGCACGTCGCCGCCGACTTTCTCGTAGAACAGCCGTCCTTCATCTGACGGGTCCATGAGCGGAAGCAAGAAACTCTGGACATGGAATATCACTGGCATTCCACCGTATCCCTTCCGGCTGTCACCATCACCAGGCTTGGTAGTATTGGTATGCTCGATATACCCATCCACTTTCCTAGCCAACTTACTTTCTCTCAAATACACTCCCAGCTTATGCGGGTTGATCATGTCCGCACCCCCCTTTCCAAGTTTACCCCCGAGGACGTCCTGTATCTTCAGCTCTCCATCTGCCTTGTCGGTTTTTGACACTTCATCCAAACATCCAACCATGCATCCAACAAGCCTGATGAGCTGGGCAATATACACGCGGTTTCTACCGCGGAGACGAGTCTTGAACCGTCTTGCATACGTGGTTATCTGGGCCAGGGCAGTTCGTAACTGCTCCAACGAGACGGTGACTGAGTGGATGTTCACAATTGCATCCATGAGGTTATGTGCCTCGTCGATGATGATGACGCTCTTTTTGACAGAGAGGTTGAGTGCTTCACGGGCGGACTGCTGTAGTAGTAAAGGGTAAGGAAGGGTGACTACCTCTGTGGCCGGAGCTCGCATGGCAGTGCGAGATGCATAGTATGGACACACGCCTATTCTGGTGCCGAGGGAGGGTAGGTCTTCGATATCGCTGACCCGAGAGAGCAGGTGGTCCTGGAATTTGGAGGTCTTTAGCTCGTTGTCCTTGGATGGGAGATAGGGGCATTTGTGTTCAGCAGCGACGTTGGGCCGCTGCAGCTCGAGACATCGTTCGTTGATGGCCGTGGGGGAAGACAGAGACTGGACAGACGGGTTGATGCAGAGGGTCTTGCGAGAGGCGAGGGGAGTATGCTTGATCCATTCTTCGTCCTCGTCTTCGCCTATAGACGTATCACCGAAACCAGGAGGGATGCTGGATACAGGCACGACACGACGCATCTCATGCGCAAACTGGATGAGCTGGGAGTGTGTTCTCGAGCAATAGATGATCTTGACGCTCTCTTCATCGTCATCTACATCCGGCTGCTGGGTAGACGGGCCTTTCAGCTTTTCCAGCAACGCCAACGTATCAGACGACAAGGGGTTGGAATCGTCCTTTGATCGTCTGGCTGTCTCATCACCGCTCTCGTAGTCATCCAGCTCAAAGTCTTCCTCCTTGACTTCTGATTGAGATTTCTCGTTATCCACGCGCTACCCGGGGTATCAGCATCACGTCGACCGTAGGGTATATATATATATGTAGGAGAGTACCATCTTCTTGAACGCGCGAGAGGCAAGCTCAAGCTTCTTCCTGTGACGCTCTTCTGCCTCGCGGACTCGAGCAAGACGGTCTTCCAGCTCCTTTCTGCGGGCGACGAGCTCCTGTGTCCTCTCGCGTCGAGCATGTTGGACCATCCACTCCGGCTCGTCATCGTCGCCGTCTAATAGTATCAGCATGCATTTGACGCGTGTAGAACCGTAGAGCCATACCTTCATCCGCCTTTTCCAGAAAGACGGAGCGTTTATGGTCTCGTAGCCAGGCGAGAGAGCCGCATATCAGACTCAGAGATTTGCCCTATCCATCAGATCAGCCTGCTGCCTGATATCATAGCTAGATAGCCGTACATACAGTCCCTGCGAGCGTCAGTAAGATGAATATCTGGTCTCCATGCCACTCTTACCTGTCGGGCTCTCGAAGATGCCAACGCCGCCGTCCTCGATGCAGCCGTAGAGCGCGTCCATGAACTGCGTCTGGATATCGTACGGCGTGTACGGATGGCGGAAGTCCTTGTCCATCCTCTCTATATGTGTCTATCCTCTGTCTATCCTCTGTCTCTTCGGTATATCGTCTGGATCTCGTATCAGCGATCTTCGCCCTGGTCCTGGTTAGTGATATCCTCCGACGGCAGGGAATATCCATCTCAACGGCGTCTACGGACTGACCTGTTCTCATCTGTCACTTGCTCTTCATCCTGTCACTTGCTGAATGTCATGGATGGTCAGCTAAAAATAACTAGACCCTGAGGCAGTGCTTCTCCTCCGATCACTATAACTACGACGACTTCTACAACTTCTACTACAACTACAACTTCTACGACGACTTCTTACAACCTCAACTTCTACACTTCTACACTTTGAATACAGCCTCTACACTCACCCTCCTTATCATCTCCATCCCTCGCTGTATCATCAGCTACTTGTACGCATCTATCCTTGCTGTGTACCCCGCCTGGTCACGCAGAACAGCAGCAACTAACTATCATAACTACTACTAGTTTGTTATACAGCAAAGAACTCGACCATCTCTGTCTTCTCGCTGTCTGTCCAGACACTCTCATGCACTGCGCCGGGTGGACTCATCCTCCAAGCCCACCGTCCAGGGCCCTGGCCAGCATCCCAGCATCGTCCCCAGCCTGAACCAGCGGCGGCGGCGCCCTCGGACACGCTCAGCATAGCGTAGCGCCCTTTTTCCCCCCCTCGTACTTTTTTTACGACCCTCCGCCGAATACCCCATGGCAGCGCCGTACGACTCGTCTCGTCCGCCGCGCTTGGGAGCGACTTTCTATCCAGGCGCCGTCGACGACTACCAGATGCCGGAAGTCATCTCGCCTGCTCCTCAGAGGTACGCCCATACACCATTAACAACGTGGAGACTGCGCTAACAGTGGCCCTTCAGGGTCATGCCCGAAGTCCCAGAGAACATGCAAGATAACCTCGCGCACTTCGAGCTCGACGCCGCTGGCCCTAACTCCAACCTGCGCCCTCATCAGCAGCAGCAGCAGCATTTCCCAAGTCGCGGCTCCTCGATGAATAACCAAGGGGGATTAGGCTACTCTGCTCCAACCTCTCCGTCCTATCCCCCGCAGCAACAGTATGGCGGCGGTGGCAGCGGCTACGAGGCCCCCAACTTTTCTCCCTTTCCACCTCTGATCAACCCTCCCCCCAACGTACCCCCCAGTGACGAAGAGCGCGAAGCCAACCTCGAACAGGGCCGTGTGGCCGTGCTCGGCTCCAACGATGCAGAGATGCAGCTTGCCTGGGCGCAGGATGCCCTCTCCTACGTCGAAGTAGCCATGCAGAACGAACTGCGCAACCAGGTCGCCTACCCCCCGCGGCCGCAGACACCGCAGACGGAACACCAGCTCAAGGCTGATGCCATCAACATTGTCACATTCCTGGCAGAGCAGCGACATCCGCGTGCCATGTTCATCCAGGGCATGTGGCTCGAGTTTGGCAAGTTTGGGTTCCGGGTCGACAAAAAGGAGGCGTTTCGATGCTACTCGCGGGCCGCTGAAGGTGGCTATGCGCGCGCAGAGTACCGTATGGGAATGCAATTTGAGAGCTCAAACGAACCGCTAAAGGCTATCAAGCATTACGAGAACGGAGTCAGGCTGGGGGACTCGGCTTCATACTACGTAAGTCCTACAAGCCCCAATGCAAGGGTCACGGCTGGTCTAACGATATACAGCGCCTAGGGATGATGATACTGCTGGGCCAGCATGGCCAACGGCAGGACTACGCTGTGGGACTTGACCATATACGCTACGCAGCGCAAACATGCGACGAGAACGCCCCCCAGGGCGCATACGTATGTCTCACACCATCCGCAATTACCGGTGGCCCTTTACATCACCACTAACAATGGTATAGGTCTACGGAATGCTGCTAGCTCGTGAACTTCCCCAGGTCTCGATCCCTGACGAATACCTCACCCACGACCTTGGCGCTGCCCGCATCAACATCGAGAAGGCAGCCTACCACGGCTTCGCAAAGGCACAGGTCAAAATGGGCTCCGCATACGAACTATGCCAGCTAGACTGTGACTTTAACCCGGCTTTATCGATTCACTACAACGCTCTGGCTGCTCGTCAGGGTGAACCAGACGCCGAAATGGCGATTAGCAAATGGTTCCTGTGTGGACATGAAGGCGTGTTTGAGAAAAACGACGAGCTTGCATTCACCTACGCCAAGAGAGCAGCTCAATCTGGCCTGTCAACTGCTGAGTTCGCCCTGGGATACTTTTATGAGATTGGTATCTACACTGCTGTCGATATCAAGGAAGCTCGAAGCTGGTACGCTAAGGCTGCTGCGAACGGAAACAAGGACGCCTCAGGGCGAATTGAAAGTATCTCACGCTCCAAGACGCTATCACGCAAAGACCACGAAAAGGTAGCCATCCAGCGTATCAAGACACAGCGTACCCAGCAGCGCTTTTCACAGCAAACCCAGCTCCAGCAGGGGCAGCCAGTACAAGATACTCTTGAGATGCCCGACCCATCCCGTATGAGTCTCCATGACCCCACTCGACCAATGTCAGCAGCACCATACCCAGACGGTCCCCCGTCAGGACGCTATGGACCACCTCGACCAGGCCCTGGTCCAAACTCACACTCCTACGGGCCCGGGGAGCCTCGCAACTCTTCTGCGTTCGGTATCAACCCCAATCTCCGCGCTCAGTCGGTTGGGCCGCCAATGGGGCCACATGGATACCCACAGCAGGGCCGTCCGCCAATGGGGCCTGGGCCTGGTCCCGGTCCTGGACCTGGAGGACCTGGAGGGCCTGGAGGGCCTGGTATGGGATCAGGGCCACCAAAACTAGATATTGGATTTTCTGCCCCTCCAGACCTATCCGGCGCAGATAGGAGGAGGAAACCACACCGTCCCCCTGGTGCTCCGGGGCCCGGTCCTGGTCCTGGGCCTGGTCCAAACCGTATGCCTTCCTCTCCCCCAGGAGGAAGAGGTCACGGCGGGCCACCTGGCGGACCACCAGGCGGAAGACCCGGCCCGGGTCCTGGACCTGGACCTGGACCAGCAAGTCAACCGCCCAAACCAGCTGCCAGTCCAGCAGCAAAACCACCCTCTGCCGGGCAACCTGGCAAAGGTAAAGGACCCAAGACGTTTGAAGAGATGGGTGTGCCGCAGGGTAAGACGGAGAATGATTGCGTGAGTTTCTCCACCCGGTTAAAATATGATATATGATATTGCTTTGAGTATCAAGAGGCTAACTAATTGAGTAGGTTGTTATGTGATTCCTTGCCGTGCTGGTTAGGGACGGGAAAGGGGCAACCATTCGCAGGTCGTTCGCTGGAAAAGTCGATTTGCTACATTGTTTTGTTCTTTTGGTAAATTTATTGATTAATCCGGAGCAATGTCTCAAATATTTCCCTTTTGGTTTCCTTCCTTGCCTCCTTCTTGCTTCCCCCTTTTTGATGTTATGTCCTCTATGAAATCCACCTTATGTATGCATTATTTATATAGCACTTGTTCTTCTATCCGTTCTTCTTCCTTCTTCCATGCTTCAGGTCGTTTCTTGTCATTTCGCATAGACTCTCGAGGTTCATTGCGATGCAGTTTGATAGTATTTTCTTCTTGGGATTTGCACTGTTATTTTTCTCCTTGTTTGCCATTATTTCTTTCTTTTTTGCTTTGACGTTGGTACGTCTTCATAGTGTATTTGCATCTGGTGCTGTGTCTATCGACTACCCGCCGGCTTCCTGTCCCCATTACTCATATTTGCGGTAGTAACGTCTAACCCTCGGTGGCCGATATGATACGATCTACCTGATGCGTTGAATAGAAGTCCACTCCCATATTTCATTCAACTCTTGGACCGTAGCCCGGTTCGTTGCCTGTAACGAGTAGAAGTAACCACTCCATCGTAGCTGTACTCTCTTTATATCAAGATATCACTTCTTATCCTAAAACGGACGCGGTCAGTCGATTCTGCCGCAGGATGTCCAGATTGGGAAGTTATCACGACGTCCTTCTCGACGACATTTTATCCAGCTTCAAACATCAACATTACGATGAGGATAACAATAAACATACAATCTGCAGGATAAAGAAACGCCATGGCACCCAGAAAGGAGAAGGCGGACAAAGGCGAGAAGAGCGTTTCGAACGAAGATGGTGGGTGTTCATTTCCAGCTTCAAGCCCGTCAAACGCGGGAATACTATCGGTCCTAACAGCTATCTACTTCTATTTGACGACGCAGGCTCGACTATGATTCTTAAGTATCTTCGTAAGCATGTCCTAGAAATCATTCCCATCTCGAGAACAGTTATGCTGACCTGGATGAACAGAACAGCAAAAGTACGCAGTTAACACCGGCCCTCAGCCTTTCATCCTCCATCTATATGATGAGACTCTGCTAATCTACAGATATTCCTATTGACTTGATAGTCGACCATACTCAGTAGGTTGAAACCTTTTGATTTTTCTTCGTTCAGACCGGGAAGGCTGGCTAACCGTAGATAGGCAATTGATATCAGTGCCAACCTGCACAACAAGGTGACCAAGGGTATGTAGCATAGACTGAAGAAAATATCAGGTATATTCTAACATAGACCGTCAAGCATACACAGCCAAGGCATTGAAGAGCATGCATGAACGAAAGCTGCTCGAATGCAGAGTCTCAGGTATAGGTGATAGGGTATCCCGTCTAGGACTTCATGCTAAATGCAGTTCTAGGGAAACAAATGGTTTACCACGCTGTGCAAGAGGCTGCTAACGAGGCAACTCCCGAAGAGCTCGCAGCCCTAGATGACAAGATCACGTCTCTCAAAGAAAATCTTGAAACAGCCAAAGGGCGAGAAAAAGAGCTCAGGACGGAGCTTGCCGTGCAAAGCTCCCGTGTCTCGAGCACAGAGCTCCTCGCGCAGATCGGCCAGTCAGAAATTAGAAAGACTACGCTTAGCGATCAGCTTGCCCGGCTTTGCAAGGAGACGGCTACGAGCAGGATAGTGACGGAGGAAGAAAGCAGCCGTGTCAATCGAGACTGGGCAGCGTGGAAGAGACATGCTCTCCTACGCAAGCAAGCCTGTCGAGAAACATGGTTGAAATGCACAGAGGTGTTACCCGAGAACGTCAAGAGCAAAGACGAGCTCTGGGAGACGCTGGGGATGGAGGGAGAGCTGTAGAGCCGTCGTCCAATCGGGGAGCAATTGGCCGTGGGGGCAGATCTGGGGGAAGGAATGCGAGGACAGAGTGATGATTAAACGGTAAAACGGTTCGGTCTCTGGAATTAGCCATGTCACGAAACGCTGATGATGGACATACGGCAGCAACCAAGGATTTAGCTAGTGAGCGTGACGGCACGATGGCGTCGGGTATTACCCTCCAGGTCAGCTGCAGTGAGGTCAGTCGCCGCGAGCTCGCCGTAGCTTGCAGGTCATGAGCCTCTCAATTTGAGTTGTATGTACCTCTAAGTTCCAGTTTCGATGACAATAAATGCTCATGCTCACACTCTCGAAGACATTCATCGATGACTAAGGTCAAAGCTTTCCCCTGCAGTGAATAACTAACTGTTAAATATTTAAGTGAAACTCCTCGCATGCCTCCAAAATTTCTTCTCTCCTCCGGGCTCTTCGAGATTGGTGATTGCTGCATGGCAGATCTTTTGCTCGTCTGCGCTTTCTCCTCCCCATCCACTAAGCGCGAGACAGCAAAAAGCAGCTAACAAGCTAAACTCCGAGACTTTTGCCCCCTCCGCACCACAACAGCCTTCGATCCACGAACCCTAAACCTGCGGGAAAAATCTGTTGGCTGCTCTCCTCCTGCGACCTCCTCCCAACCTCACGATGCAGAAACAGCCGCCGACGCAACCACGGCATCACCCACCACAACATATAGCACAGCAACAGCAGCAACAGCAACAGCTGGACTCGAGGACTCCCAACGACACTCTCGCCGCTACTGCTAGGATGGCTGGAGGCGATCCGCGCAACAGAGCCCCGCTTCCTGTTCCTGGAGGTCATGGCCCATTCCCACAGAACGAGAATGGACGTAACATAGCACCGTTTGATATGGCACGCAGCCCGCCAAACCCGCCCGCCGGCAAGAGTGTGTATCTTCTCACTGACTATGGTGATACTGTGGCTAACATGAATGCGCAGATACTAAGCATGTTCCTTGCAAGTTCTTCCGCCAGGGAACTTGTCAGGCCGGCCCGGCGTGCCCGTTCCTACATTCCACAGACAACACTATCGATTCCGCGCCGTGCAAATACTTTACAAAGGTGATAATCCGCGTCTGTTCAGGGGATTGGGTTGGGCATAGGTAGCATAACTAACAGTGTGAGTAGGGAAACTGCAAATTTGGAGCAAAGTGTGCCCTCGCGCACATCCTGCCCGACGGACGACGGGTGAACCGGCCCAGTGTCGGCTTAGGAGGGAACCTCAATCTCGGCGGGCGAGTCCATCCGCCACCTTACCACGCACAAGACTCAGCTCTAGCAAACTCGCTTCTCTCACAGCAACAAGTCAACGGGCACACCGCGCGATACTCATACCCCTTCGCCTCCCAAGATGAAATGCAACTTCTACCCCCACACGCTCAGCAACTTCAGCAGCAGCAACAACAGCAGCAGCAGCAGCAACATCCATATGGACACCACCAATACGATGGTTCGATCCCAGTTATTGATGCCGGACTAGTATCTGATTCAGGCTCCAAATATGGCTCCCCTCCTGAAGAAGCCCGCCTCCCCATGTCTCCCATCGGCCGCACCGCTCTCGATGCCCCTTTGCCCGCCTCTTTCGACAGCCAAGGCATATCTCACATGGCGCGGTATGGTCCTGTTGCAGCTTCGATGCCGTCGAAATTCAGTCTAGACTTCTCTCCCTCGCCTTCTCATTCTCACCGACCTAATGCCGCCCCCGACGTCCTCCGCAGTCTGCATGATACGGCCTTTGGCTTGGATAGGAAACCACTTGGACTCGGTTCCTCTCCTCCTGTTGTCAGTGCAGATGAAGGCTCCAGTTTCCGTGTAATGCACTCGCAGCGTGTGCCCCGCCAACGCATCCTATCCGCAAGTGTTCCCCGCCCTACCGTTCTTGACGACTGGGAGGACAACTTCACCATGGAGGAAGACTATCTCCCGACGAACCTACATGACGATGTACTTACTCCGCAAGAGCGCATGCGCCGGCTCTCTCGCACAGAACAAGACTTATCAAGCAGCAGCAAGGACCCCTCCGGGCTCGGCATAGGCATTGGAATCGGGGCATCTACCAAGGTGGGCTCCCCACTAGCGTCCAGCCCGTCACGGTTTGGTGCACTATTTGCCAAACAGCGTCAGCGGAAGGAAGAAGAAGCCCAGGCTGCGCTCGCCCAAAACGGACACGTCGGCTCGCCGCTACGCGAATCTGTACTCGGATCACGCACATCTGCAGGCACCATCCGACCCATCGGCAGTTTGCCCGGATCTGGCGACATCTCACCCTTTGTTGCTAGTCCTCGTCAATCTTCAATGTCTATGATCTCCGAACAGCTAGGCAGCACATCACTTCACCCTAGCTCTGCACGCGCGCCAACAAGCAACCCCCGTCTTGAACGCAACGTATCTTCACCCGTGAGCACGGGCCGAATCGACGAGGAGCAAGGTGACCTGGTATTCTCTATGGAAGAAGAGGAAAGTAATAAGCGAAGTAGCGCATCTTGGGGCGCTAACAAGGGAGCTGCAGTCAGCGAGGGTGAAAAGAGTGCTAATACAAAGGCGTCAACGGCTGGTCAGGATAAAAAGGACGGGAACGGAAAATCTTACCTAAAAATGGAGTCTTTGTATGGAAATCGATCTTGATGATCTTTTTGTTTTTTGTTTTTTTTGCTTATTTTCTTGTTTGCATGGTGATGCTTGGTTTGCTGTGCCTTTTGTCGCTTGATGCTTTCAATATGCTGACGCTCCTTTAGTTCTTGTACTTTTCCTTAAAATTTTGAGTTGCTCCTCTCGCTACTTTCCATTCTATATCTCCCTCGGCTCTTTTATACATCGGTCTGCTGGAGAGTTCTGTTCCGTTTTCCTTTCTTCTCCTTTACATTTCCAGGCGCACGTCGAAAATTTACCTGTTACTTTTGCATATCATAACCTGTATATATATGTTCAGATACATACACCGATTCCCGCATGCATAACACCACAACGGATAAACCATTACTGATAAACTCTGTCATCTATCCTTGATAAATATATTCTTTGAACATGTCTTCTTGCTTCTCTCTTTTAATTCTTAACAGAGTGTTCTATGATCGAGTCCTCATCTCACTATCTGTAGGAAGCACATAACCGAGCCATCCGCCATAGTCTTCTCCTTATAGATGTTAAACCCACACTTCTCCAATAGCTTTATACTTGGTGAATTCGCCTTGTTCACATTTGCGAATACCCTCTCCCCCTTGCTATCACCATCACCATCCTCAGAGGGGACTCTAGGCAAAGCCCACCAGGCGTCCAGGAAGGCCCTGACTGCTTCAGTGCCATACCCTTTGCCCCAGAGGTCGGCGTCGATAGAATAGCCTATGTTGGGAATAGGTAGAAACTGGTTCATACCAACGGACCCGATGAATCTGCCAGCTTTTGGATCCTGTCCCGGCTCCTCTTCTCGCATCATTACGGCGTAATGGAACCTGAAGGCTTCGGTTTCTGACATTTGAACCTTTTTGCTATCCATCCATTTATGTATCGCAGGGACATCTGGAGCGTTATATACCAAATATTTCAACATGGGCTGCAGTGCCGGAATCTCACTATAGCCGCTGAATTAGATGCTATAGGGGTAAAGGAAGGATATATGTCTGGCATGCCATACCGCCAGGCCTCTATTAACTTAGTATTAACCCTGACCAGCTCAGAAGCATACTCGTACTTCATCGGTACGAGAACCGTTCGCGGAGTAACTATTTCCTTTTCATGACATGGCAAGGCCACTCGAAATGGCTGTGGCGGTGCTCCGCCTGTAGGATATTTGACATTCTCGTCCTCGTCAGGTTTTTCGGCAGCCATATCGAAGGATTTTGCGCAGATAAAGAAGAGAGACGGGTAAGAAAATTTGGATAGGAAATGATCCTATATCGCGATACCTATGGGCTATTAAATAGTTATCACTTCTCGATGAGCTACGAGCAACAGGGTTTAGTAAATACGACGCTGCCCACAAAGGGCGTATCCACGTTCCAAGCAGCCTCGCTGTCCCGGCGTGAAATAGAGGTCGTGAAGGAGTCAAAGGCGACATCAAATGACAGGCAGGTGACAGGGTCTAGGAACATATTTAGCTACTGTTATGACTCAGGCATCGATCAAAATGTTTCGTCTGACAAGGGGCATGTTGAGGGGCGTTTGAAGGGTCGAGCACGCATGCTTGTTGATTGTCTAGGTGGCTAAAGTGTAGTACATTGTTTCAAGGAATAGGAAATGGGTAGTAGAAAAGCTGGAAGCCATGGATGAAGAAATAAAGTACATAGAATAATGGCTTGCTTGACAAAAAAGGAAGAGCGGCCCAGCGACGTTATGCAAGCTGCAAAGCGAAATGAAAAGTAGAGTCGACTTAAGGAGAATAACGTTCCATAGATGCTTTTTCCCATGTAGTTTGTTCCGGTCTTATATTATTATTGAAAATTTTGTTTTTTTTCGAAATGGAATGAGCAGCAGTAAATGACGTAAAAAAACTGCTGACACCAACTTGCCTAGTCCAATCGCCGTCTTTATTACCTCCCACGTCGCTGCTGCGAGGCAAGCATATTCGCATGGAGGAGCTTGAATCCATTACACAAAGCTCTCATATCAGGATATGGAGTTCGCTGAAGCTCGTAGCCTTGTGGTATCACCTTCACAGGCCAGCTGTTCAGTGGTGCCTTTAACCCGGCCTTGAAGCAGAGGTTGAAATAACCAGGGTGTTTGGTATCGAGACAGAACGCGTAGGCAGACCGTTTGGGGTTGGCAGTCGTGTAGGTTGTCAACCAGCCCTCTGTAAATCGTTAAAGATATGGGTTAGCTCGTGTTGGATAGGTATATATTCAATGTTGGCAAACAAGGATAGCTGTGAAAACGTACCTGTTGCTTCTTTGGTGCCGCTCTGATACTTCTCATGGACCATCATATCATCCACCTTCTTCGCCATGGCCTTGACATGGTTGACAATCAACTCATCAAGATCGGTATACGAATACTTGCCTCCAATCTTCAAAATCCTTCCAACTGTAAATTCATTCTCCTTATCCAGCTCCAGCACATCGACATGCTGGTATACCCCATCAGCAACCTTCCAAGTAACAGCAAGATGGTCGTGGCCCTTGGATGACGGACGAATCACAACATCACCACGGCTTTGTGGTGCAAGGAACTCTTCAGCCTGCTTGCCGTTGAATGGCCGGAAGAGGGGATGTTTAATTACACGCAAGGTGCGTTGATCCGTCTGAGTCTTTTCCTTCATGGCCTCTTGATCGGCACGCTCTTGTTCTTCATCCCACTCGTCGCGCATGTGGTCTAGTTGTCGGCGGTAGGGCTTGCTTACTTGGTCTTCTCGGAGAGAGACATTCGCAACAAAGGCTTTTCGGTTCAGATAGAGAATCTTTGCCAAAGCAGTCTGGTGAGGTGCGTATAAGCTTCGTACAGGAATGTCGTATCTATCAGTCATCTCCATCTCTGGAACAAGGGCGTCAATGCCACAATCAAGCTTGCCGTCAATGTGGTCATCAGAAATCCTCTTGATAGTAATTGGTACAATCATGCCTTGAGCTAGTGATTCGGTGGTTTCACCAGTAAACATGGTGAAAATGGCATCAGTACCGAGGAAGACAAACTGTTTGCGGAGTTCTTCGTACGGTTGCTGCAATTCTGCACGAATTGTCTCAAGCGTAGCTCTCTTTCGCTGGTTAAGATTATTCTCCAGCTGCTCGGCGTATTCTTCTAAAAGAAGATCATTGACTTTATCTTGTGCGTCTTCTTTGATAAGCTTTCGAACAATTGCTCCTTGTCCGTTCTCATCGGTCTCGGCTTTGATATCTTCCTCATCAAGCTCAAGAGCGTCTGCAGCAATCTTCCTGCCAATATCGTAATCCTCAGGGTGCACACGAGTATTGTCTAGGTAATCAGTATCGGGGTCTGCATTGTCATAGTCAATGTAGAGGAAACTGGCGCAATTGTTCCACACTTTCACACCCATGGCCGGGTACTGAGCATTTACACCCAAGAGTTCCATACGGCTATTGACCACACCGCCGTTCATGTTTATAACCTTCAACAGCTGTGAAGCTTTTCGAGGACCAAGACCGCTAACATATGTAAGAAGGTTCGCTGTCGACACGTCGCTAACAGCCTCGTTGATATCAACACCAACAAGGTTCACCATGTCAACCAAAGCGGTTTCCAATTGCTTCAGTAGCTTCTCTTGAGGGATGAGCTGCTGGCCGGGCCTAAATTGGATGGATACAATATCCCTGCCTAGTGAGGCGTATTCCTTCATTGGGTTTTGGAGGTATTTCGCCAGGGCGACACAATAACGGCTCTTGGGGCTGAAACCTGGGTGATCCAACTCGGCCCTGCGACTCGTCTGGTAAAGCCTGGCAACTTCGTCGTTGACAATGACGACCTCCAGGATATCGCTAACCTCCTCATCCCGATCATCGGTGTAAAACGCACCTCGAAGGTCCTTCGACTGGACAAGCTCCGATAGCTGTTTGTATAGTTTTCTGGTTTCGGGTGAAAGTCCAGAAACTCCAATAACGTCGGGTTTGCGGCGCTCAACAAGCTCAACGAAGGCCTCTACATCCTTCCCGTCGGATATCATGCGATCTGAGTCACCAAGGGCAAGGTCAACAAACTTGCCGTGCTCTAACACTCGGCCATCCTCTTCAACCCAGGTCCAGTAGATGGGGTCTTTGCCGACGATTCCAGATCCGTTTGTAAGAGAGAGGACACGTGGGATAGTACCTAGAATCATTCCCTTGGGTTTATAAGGGGCCTGATCCAGTCGCTGCGAGAAAACTTCTCTGCATTCCCTTCCAACATGATTCTCACATTCCGTTCTGATGTTCTCTTTAACACCCTTGCTCATGATCTTTTCCAGTTTGGCAAGTGCCAGGTCTAGAACATCCTTTCGTTCCTTGTTCCAGGCATCTGCGATTTCACTGAAGTTATCGGATTGAATGTCGGGGTATAGACGCTGCTTGAAGGAGTCGAAATTCTTAAAGCGGACCTTGATATCAACGAGGCCTTCGTCTTCTGCCTTAAGCATTCTTAAGAAGAGCTCAGGGCGTCGTGCGATGTCCGAAAGCTGTTGGTCTCGTAGATATTTGAACTCATAGTAAGGGTGATGTTCATCAATCTTCTTCAATCCCTTTTCAGTTCTGAAACATTCGATGACTCCGCTCATGTAGAAGGCCTGTCTCATGACTTTCCGGACCTTGGGGCTCATGGTGAGTTCCTCAGCAAACATTGTTCGAGCGGCCTTCATGGCATGGTTACCGTTCGTAAAGCTCGAGTCGAGGAGGTTATCAGCCATGTCATCCGGCTTTTCACTAGCGTCGTCGATATATTGCCTGCGCCCTGCCTTCATCGCGTTCTGTGCAAAGGCGTCTGGCGTGATACCGAAAGCACGAACTAGCCCGTAGGCTCGGCTGTTGCGTACTCGCTCGAAGAATGTCTTTGTTGAAGTTTTGCGGCGTTGGATAGAGGCACCGTTTTCTCCCTCGTTGCTGTTGAAAAGGGAGATATCCTTAAGCTGTGTGGAGTACTGGAAGTAGAGGTAGTCCTGGGCGTCCTGTAATTCTTCCATGGTAACAGCGGCCGGAAGCATTTCCTCGAACATCTCATCCTTGACGTTAGATATCGTCTGTAGGTTGTCGTACGTAGTCTGGAGGGTATTTCGCTTATCGACAAGAGCGCGGAACTTCAAGTCGTATTCGAAGATATCCCACAGGTCAATCATACTTAGAAGCTTCTCGGCCTCGACGATGTATTTTCCTCCATCTGGGTTTGTTCCGCCATCTGGAACTGGTATCTTGACGGCGTGGATGAGGTAGTCCTTTCGGTGCTGGAAGATGAAGGGTACCTCCCAGTCGTCCGTGACCATAAACTCGAGGACTTTCGCCACAGCCCGCTGGAATGGATCGTGTAGGTCGGCGTCAAGTCGCTTCTTTAACAGCATCAGGTTCGATATCCAAACTGCCTCTTCGCGGAACTGCTCTTCTGTTAGGACGACATGCTGGTATGGCTTTCTGGCAAGCTGGTAACGTTCTGGCTCATCAGTAGACCGTATCAAATTATCGTCATCAGTCATCATCTTCTCTGCAAGCTGCGACGGCTCGAAGACGTCCTTTAGGTCCAGCTGTTTTTCTTCATCTTCCTCCTGCTCCTCTTCCTCGTCTTCCATCTCGAGGGCGAACAGGTAGTCGTTTCCATCACCAAAGGCCATGCGCATATCTTCGAGAGCAGCTTCATCAAGCCCGGTCGCTTCGGTTACGGCGAATCCAGAAAGGCCTTTCCTTGCCGGGCGGGCAATCTCTTCGTCTTCCTGTTGCCGGTCGTCCTCGTCCGAGAAGACATCTTTCTCGATGAAGTCGTCAAGGTCATCGTGCATGTTTCTCCGGTCCCGGCCGCGTCCGTATGTCTCTGCTTCGTCCTCCTCATCGGAATTGAAGATGTCGTTGATTCCCTGTACCTGGTCTCGTCCGACCTTGTGGCCACGCTTTAGGCGCTTGAATTTTGACTATAGAGAGTAAGAAGTAGAGTCAGTTATATAAAGTCGCTTCCCATGCAGCGAAATGTCAGATATCGGCATGTCATACCTCATTGGGCATGGGCAGGTCAAAGTCCGGGTTGTTCTCCCTGATCAGATAGAGATCATCTTCATCCAGCAGCTCGTCCTCCTCCACGCGCTCCTGCCTTGGACGTTTCTTCTTCTCTCGTCTTCTGCGTGTGCGTTCTTCGTCCTCTTCATCTTCATCGACGATAAAGCCTTCTCGGACCTGGAACAATTACCGTTAGAACCGTTATTCTTGCGGGGGGCAATGGCTATAACACGTACAGCGCGAACCGCGTCCTCGTCTTCATCGTCCAGCTCTTCTTCGCTCGAGTCATCGTAATGGCCGTTTTCTTCCGGTCCCTTGCCCTGCTCACCACCCTCTTCGCCGAACGACTCATCCTCCTCGTCGTCCAGCACAGCTTCGGTCTGCACTAGATCATGGGTGCTCATCGTGAGGGCTTCTGGCGGAGGGCCTAGACAGCAGGGAACGTCGAGGTGCAGGCTGCTCAGTGGTCGCCGGGCGTAACAGCGGCCGACCGGTCAAGGATATCGAGAGCGAGGCTTTGCACAGGAGAAACTGTCGTGGGCGCGAGCAAAAACTCCCTTTGGCAAAAGAACGAGAGTTGCCCTTTTGAGGATGCTTCTTCCCAGCTGCAGTCCCACGCTAGTCCTAAAAGGTAAACGCGCGCCAGGCGTCTAAACTAAGCTACAAGCGACTATCACGTTACTTCTTACCTAAGCAAGCCGAAACACGCTATCAATAGGAGCAAGTCGGAGTTGGGCATCACTTTTATATATATATATGTATATGTGTATCTATCGACCAGGAGACGACGAAAGAGAGATCTGAAACAGACGGACGGCCCCCAAGAGGAGCTCGCTAACCGCCTCCCCTCGACGCAGTCACGGTGTGAGGAGCCGGCAGGGCAGGGTTCGCCGTCGAGATCGGATGGGGATCTCCCTGTCGCCCTTCGATGCGGAGTACTAGTAGTTTTATCTTGAAGAGTTAGGACGTAACACCCTGTAGAAAAGCATCTCCGGCGCCCTTCTTCTTCTTCTTTATTTTCTCAGGGCCCCCTTGTCTACGTCTAACGTAAACATCTGCAGTACGGCCTTGCGTGAGAGGTCTCGCTCTACCGTCGTCGGCGTCCATTGGCTGCATACGTCCCCGTCTTCATCTTATCCCGCCGTCCAATACCTCTCTGTAACTCGCACCGCATCTAACAAACGGCGGATAAGCCAACAAGGGAGAAGAGCAAGGTACTGTCCCCAATCACTGGCGCTGCGGAGGGCTTCTCACTGGCGCCCTTTTTTTGTCTTTTATACTGCTACGGATATGGACATGTATGGCTGATTCGCTGTTCTTTTTTTTTGCTCCTCATCCAGGACTTTCTCAACATCTCTCCCTCTCCATCCTTCGTACACAGACAGATTTCCCTCGTTCAACGTCTACAGAACTATACGACGCCAGACTGCGATTTCGCTGCCGTACTGGTTGGTGGAACCTCCTCTCGCTTTGCGGTGCCACCCAAACGTTCTGTTTGACCCTCGATCGCTATCTCGACCACAACATATAAGAAAGAGCAAAACGCCCTATTCTTGCAGATCTTCTGCAGAACTTCGTCCACCCACGTCGTTTTTGTCCCTGGAGCCCGTCTCCACACAATCACAACCACCATGGCGGACGCTTTCAAGGCCCGCTCGCTGAAACGAAAGAACGTCAAGGGTCTTGCTCTCAACTCGGCCAGCTCCAAGACCGGCCTCAAGCCCTCTGAAGGCGATTCACAGATCCCAGGAGCTATCGGAAATACAGACGCCAACAGGACGGATACGCTGGAGATTGGTCTGGAGTTTAAACTTGACTTGCGGAGTGAAGACCTGGTGGTGCTAAAGGAGCTCGGTGCTGGAAATGGAGGGACCGTCAGTAAAGTGATGCATGCCTCGACGAAGGTCGTCATGGCCAGAAAGGTAAGGCCGTCTCTATAGAATCTCTCTCTCGGCCAAAGGTTCTAATGTTTTCTGGTCTGGAATAGATTATCAGAGTCGATGCGAAGGAGAACGTACGGAAGCAGATTCTCAGGGAGCTCCAGGTGGGACACGACTGCAATTCGGCACAGATCGTCACATTCTACGGTGCATTCCAGAACGAAGCCAGAGATATCGTACTTTGCATGGAATACATGGACTGCGGGTAAGGGCACACCCGCTTTATCTGTGATTACAATGAGTTACTCACTTTTTACATAGGTCTCTAGATCACATCTCGAAGAACTTTGGCCCGGTCAGAGTTGACGTGCTGGGCAAAATCACCGAGTCAATCTTCGCCGGACTGGTCTACCTCTACGAAGCCCACCGGATCATGCACAGAGATATCAAACCATCCAACGTCTTGGTGAATTCAAGGGGCAGCATCAAGCTCTGCGACTTCGGCGTGGCAACCGAAACAGTGAACTCGATAGCGGATACTTTCGTCGGAACGTCTACCTACATGGCGCCGGAACGTATTCAGGGCGGCGCATATTCCGTACGATCTGATGTTTGGAGTGCTGGTCTGACAGTCATGGAATTGGCCGTTGGAAGGTTCCCGTTCGATGCCTCTGATACGTCGGCGGGAGACAGGGCGAGTGCAGGACCCATGGGTATTTTGGATCTACTTCAACAAATCGTCCACGAGCCAGCACCAAAGCTACCTAAGAGCGATGCCTTCCCGAAGATATTAGACGACTTCATTGCAAAGTGTTTGTTGAAGAAGCCTGAAGAAAGACCAACTCCACGACAGTTATACGTAAGTCCCTCTCTCGTTCCCCCTGATATACATCCATTTTCTAATCGTCTACCAATAGGATCACGATGCGTTCATCCTAGCGGCTAAACGAACCCCTGTCAACCTCCGGGAGTGGGCAATCAGCATGATGGAACAGCACAACAGGAAATCGTATCTTGCACCTCCTGCCCCCAAGGCCATCACCCGCGACGGCGGATCAGGGGAGGCACCCTCCCGGTCTCGCAACCAGGAAGACACACCTCGCCAACAGATCTTCGCCTCCCAGACCTCAGGGGAAATCCCCCTAAACATCGCCGGAGATATCACTCCCCGCTCACGCCAACAAGGTCCCTATGGGGCCGCAGAAAGCTCTCCGTCAATGGGCTTTGAGAAACTCTCAATCAACACTCAGCACCAGGGCCAGAACTACTCATCCTCTCACTCCCAGAATCATGGCAGTGGACAAGTTCCACGGGGCTCGCGCTCTCCCTATCCACACTCCGCTACGTCTACCTCACAGGGGCCCTTCGCCGTCCCTCGCCCAGCCCCTTCGCCAGGCTATCTTTCTACCAGAAATGGCTCCCAGTCTGCTGGTCTCCCACATATGACCGGTCCTCCACCAAAGGGTCCCCTCCCAATACCCCCTACATCTGACAGCTGGCGAAACCAGCAACATAACAGGATATGAACAACTCCCCTTCCCCCCTATTACAAACCAATATTAAGCATCTCATCATCTACATTACTCACGGCGCTATTTCATTTTGTTGTCATTTTCACTTGCTACTTTGCTTTCGTCCGTGTTTTTAACTACATCATTGCCTTTCATTCCCTTCCTTGATCTTTTTTATTACACTACTTTGATTACGCTCGTGTCTTTAGTTATTGTCACTATCATTGTTACTGTTGTTTGTCACTCTACTCTCAAGTTTCATACCCCCCCATACATACAGCACCACCCGTGTAGTTATCATAATAATGACCTCTCTAGCATGCATGCAATGGTACTTGGCAATCAGAAACTCATATTAGGAATGTACATAGTTCGGATGCTTTGTTTACATAAAATACAATACATGATATTTATCCGGTGGCTGGGATGTTGAATTTCGCCTCTCCCTTTCCCCACCATCCTTGACAGAAAAGATGCTGGGAGAAAAAAGGGGGCTGGGTAAAAATATTCTGACGGAAGGTCCCGTGGAAGCTGGGCGATGAATAGAAGAGGTAGAGAGAGGGGTAATGGTGAAAATTTGAACGGCATTCATTCTCATTGTTGGGGCTGTGAATGGGTTCTTCGCTCTATACATCTAGTCAACGAGTACATTGTTCCTTGATATAGAATTGAATGAAAAAAAATTCTGATCCAATGTCACCAATAAACAGACTATTAAAGAGAAATTGATAACAAAAATAATAAAAATAATATCCGAATATGCAATTAACCTCCCATCCGGCTCGACTAACCAGCCTGCCCCTTTTTATATATTTCTTTATTCACCTGTATGTGTGCCGAACAGAAGGAGAAATAACCTCGTATGAACATGCCTCGTGAAAGAAATATCAAGTAACTGTGCGGTATAATGAATGAAGAGAAAAGATAAAAGAATAAAAAAAGTATGGATCGTCAACAGGCAGTGTCAACCAACAGGAATTAAATTGGAATCAATCAATGCGACGACGAGAGAACATCGGCTCCCTTGACTCTTCCACCGCCTCTCTTTCCGGACTTGGACTTTCCACTGCTGAATGCAGGCCCGGAATTTCCGACACCTAGGGTAACCGGCAAAGTCTCCAGGATAGCTCGATTTCCTTCGAAATAGTGGTCCACGAACCCGCCTCCTAAAATTCTTCGCATCGCCGCGAGACGAATCCACTTCCACCATCTATCCACGCGCATGTAGCTGTTACGATGGAACTTGACGGTCTTTCGACTTCCGTAGTTGTGGTTGGTCTCAGCGTCAATGGCGTTGCTGTACTGTGGACCACGACGAGGGTTAATGACCGTGTTGAGGATGGATGTGAAGTTGGTGTGAAGGGATCGTTTGTCCTTCTTGTTGATATGGCGACCGGAAATATGGGCAAGCGACTCCACTTGCCTGATGATACGGTGCGTGTTATGGTATGCAGTGTAGCGTTTGATTAATTTGGCGCCATTATCGTCTTCGTCGTCTGACGGGGAGGATGAGTGCTCGTCATCGGTAACGTTGTTGTAGTTGTCTTCTTCATCTGATTCATCTTCCTCCTTTGGCGTGTAGCTCTTCTCGTAGAGGAGTGCAATGTTTTCACCAGCTGCGACCTGGACGCTGGTTTCACTGCTATCTAACTGGTCTGAAAAGGCCTCAATGGCCTCCTCGCTCTCGACTTCGAGATCTTCGATGTGGGAGGCCAGGAATCCCCATTCCTCCAGAGCTGCGGTAACGGTATCGGAATCATCGGCGGCTTCGACGTAGGCACCGTCAGACCCGGCTATTTCCAGGAAGAAAGTCATCTGCTCGAGGATGCTATCGTCACCGGCCCCGCCAAAGACGGCACATGCACTCAGGGCTCGGATAGCCGCGGCCTTGACGGCAAAAGAAGAAGAGTCCATGATGGCTCGCTTGAGAACTGAGTTCATGGCTGGGTAGATTGTGTCGTCCATCATGGTCACCGCCATTAATGATGTTGCTCTGAGGGCTAGAATCGCCTCCTTCTCGCTCGGTTCGGATCTGATGCTTTTGGCGAATACTTTGAGTAGCTCGTCCATCTTCTCCCCGAGTTCTTCCTCCTGGTAATGGGCAGTTAACTGCCGGACGAAGGAGTTAAGGTAGTCCTCTCGTCCCTGAACGGAGCTGCGTTTCCGGTCGATAAGCTCGTCGATCACATCATGCAAAGGTGCTCGGCTTCCTTCCGCATCTTGCTCTCCTTCCGGGGCACCGAGCTCCTCGGATACATTGCTATCAAATTTATCAGTCAAACTGCAGGAAAAACAAGCAGACAAATTAGAACGGCGGCCATACCTCCAAGCGGTGCCTTCGCTACGAGTATCATCGTCATCATCCTCGTCGTCTGAAGGGTGTCGACTAACGTTTCTCGAAGACTGGCGAGAACTGTGAGCAGACGGCGTCCTCGAGCTGGGATTCGACACTCCACGGCTCTGAGCCTTCCGGGAGACGGTCTTGTTGCTCTCGAGAGCACGTCGTCGAAGGTCTCGCATGGTGGCGATACTCCGACGTAAGTTGAAGATTAGATAGCTCGACGGTTTACCAACCCCTTCGTGGGCTGTGAAGATATATTTGCGGGGGAGGGGCAGACAGCTCCTTATCAGATAAGTTGTGTGGGTCTTCGCGATGGTTTGTTTTTTGGTTGCTTGCTCCGGCTTGATATAACAGATAAGGCGGATATAGATAGACAGGATGAGCGTTACCCTAAAGCCACGGAATCCGGATAAGGTCTGTGCAGGCGGGAGAGGCGTGAAGGTATGGATTCCATAAGGTAGACGGAGGGCATACGGGGTCCGCGATGGAGGAGAAAGGAGGGCGTCTGGTTCGTCTTGGGCGCTGGTGCAGCAGGGCTAAGGCAGGACAAGGACAGGAGGAGGTTCGTGGTTCAAGTTGCGGCGCGCGAACTGCCAACGTGATATGGGGTGCAGATTATGTAAGATGGAAAGGCGGTGAAGTCCACAGTAACCCTGCTTAGTAAGGGAATTATACTTGTCTATGATTGGCTGATTAGTCGAGTCAGGTGATACTTGGTCGGCTTCTGTATCGGGATAGCACGTGATATATACTTAGTCATGGATTAGTCAGTCACTGTGATGAAAGGCTTAGTCATCTTGACGAAAAGGGGTTTGACAGAACAACAACCAGGAAGCACTCTGGAGACTAATACTGACTCTAGAGACTGATACTACTCTGACTCTGGACACTGATACTAACTATGGATACTGATACTGATGATAGACGATAGCTGACGATCGATGACTGAGTTAGGGGTGAACGACTTGACATGTCAGACGGTGGTGATCCTGGTCTATCAGCTGCTATGGCAGTGTATCAGGCCTCGAGCACCTCCCATGCCATGTTTGATACGCCAAAGCCTATTGAGAGGCGGCGGTCTATCGAGTCATCTAAAGCACCACCATCTGATACAACATATCATATCCCTGCTTAGTCATAAGGGTTAGCAAACTGACTGGCTTCAAACTAGTTTCCGGGGAGAGTTTTGACCAGAGAAGACTCCAAGCTAACCAAGGTTCATGGCAGCTTTCTTTGTTGTCATACTGCCTCTCTCGTGGCAAGATGCGATTAAACCACGGCCAGGTTCACTGCCTGGCCCAGGGCCCAGCGGCAGATGATGCAGACAACGGTGGAGGCGCCCTCCGAACTCCTCCAGATAACGGATAAGAGCTGGGATTATTATTAGCATCTGCAGACATGCAAGGCTGGGCTTGAACTCTCTTTTCATGTGCCGTCCATATAACATTATCGAATTCTTTGTCCTCGCTCTGAACCTATCATCTTCGGGGCGGCTAGGAATCGGCAAGCCGTCGTTGCTCGCCATGAAGTCTGTCTGTCCACTACAACCTCTTGCAAGCCACAATCCCACTTAATCCCTGTCTTCAAACCCAAATTCAGAAGTAAGGAACTGAACAGGCTGCGGAAACGGGGGATCCATCCTCAGTTTCTCCCCAACGCTAAAAAATGCGCCGGGGTGGAGTGCCGAAGACCAAGCCAGCCGCTGCTTCACCCACATCTGCTGCTCCATTCTTCAACTTCATCTCCTCTTTTCCTCTTTCTCACTCCGTTCCTCCATCTCGGGTTGATCCGATCGTTTGGTCAATGGTTCGTTTGTCCACTCGAAGCTTCAAGTAGTGGCAAGATAGACAGTTCTTACCTGGCTCCTGGATATACTTAAAGGCGACATAGGCATCGATTCTACTTTTGTGAGAGTCTGTTCACGAATATATCCATTGAGGCCCTAGTCGGTTGCCTCGAGCCTGCACAATACTACTTCTTCTCTGCTTACAATATTCGTCTCCTTCCAATATTCGTATATATTCCTTGACCGGCTGAAGACAAAGCACACCGGATGCTTCTTTGAATTTTGCGTTGAACAGCCATGGTTGCTGTTGCAGAGCCAAGGCTCGAGGTCGATGTATGCTGAGATCCAACTACTACTCCTAGTATTGCATGACTCCTTGACCAGTTTTTTGATATTGATTTCGGGGGTGTTATCAGGCCGAGCTTGAAGACGACCCTTCCTACAGCGAATTGTAAGTGCACGGATTCCTCTATTTTTCTTATATACCCGTTCCATGCAGCTAATGCTTGTTTATAGCCCCGAAGATCAAAGCTATCTAAGTTCACTCACCTCTAGCGTTGTCAATTACAAGTAAGTCACCCGTTGGCGGCAGGGTATTGCTTGTGCCCAATAGCTGATGTTACTTCATAGATATGAGGTTGGCAGCTCCCGCTATAGATATTATGCTTCCTTCTCGCATAAACACCACTAACAAATATAGAATGGCCGACGGTACCATGCTTTCCGCGAAGGGATATATACACTTGTATGACGGAATATCCTTGCTCTATATCTCTTAACTAGGGCAGCTCTGATTTATATAACTCATAGCCCAACGATAAAGAGGAGCAAGACCGGATGGATTTCATTCACCATATTTATCTGCTGCTTCTAGATGGTTCACTTTACATCGCTCCGATAGAGGATCCGGGAAGGGTCTTAGATCTAGGGACAGGAACTGGTACTTATATTCCTCGTGGCTTAGTGGTATCTAGCTAACTTGTTATCGATATTAGGTCTATGGGTAACTGATTTTGCAGAGTGAGCATCACTCTGTAATATTTATTTCTAGTTATACTTACTAATGGTTTGTTAGTGAACATCCTACGGCCGAGGTTTTTGGTACTTCGTCACATTCGTTGCGGGTTGGTAATAAATATCGCTGACACTCTGCCTCAGGAACGGACCTAAGCGCCATCCAGTCACCATGGTACATATAAGCCTTCTACAACCTGGCCCTTTGGCGAAAAGAATCCCAAGCTAAAATTTTAACCAGGGTACCGCCAAACGTGACGTTTGAAATCGACGACTACGAAACCGAATGGTCGTACTCGGCTGGCTTCGACCTGATACATAGTCGTGAGCTAATGGGCTTCATCTCGGATCACGACCACTTCCTCGCTCAAGCATTTGCGAACCTAAATCCAGGAGGGTGGATCGAGATGCAAACAACTGACCTAAACGTTTTCTCCATCGATGGAGGGATGGAGAGAGCGAAGGTTCTACCATCCTACCTCGAAAATTTGCATAAAGCTAGCGCCATGTTTGGAAAACCTATGACTGAAGTGGGCAGCTGGCCTAGCCGTATGGTAAAGGCTGGATTTAAAGATGTTCAGGTTCAGATTTTTACTGTAAATCATTCCTCTCCTCCATTTATATCACAGGATATTTCTAATCAACATCTTATAGCTCCCAATAGGCACCTGGCCAAAGGACCCCAAACTGAAAGAAATAGGGAAATTCCAACAAGTGCAGGTTTTACAGGCCGTTGGTTCATATACACCTGCTCTCTATACACGTGTTTTAGGCTGGACTCGAGAAGAGGTCAATGACTTATGTACCAAAGTTCGGGCGGAACTCCAAGATCGCTCCTTGCATCTATATCTAAAAGTGCATATTGTTATAGGGAGGAAACCATAGTCCACCATTTCCCCGATGTCATACATACGGTGTGGGCCTATGCTACAGAGAAGATGGTTGGGCGGAGTAATGGCGCAGCGTATGGATTCTATACGATTGGCGGTTATTGGTTATTTAAGCTTCAGAGTATGAGCAAGCAATTATTTTCTACCTATATTTAATCCTGAGATTTAAAATATATACCCGTCAAGATATACATGTATGTAGCTCTTGTAAATACTAGTTCACGTGTGGGTCCTCCTTATATCCGTCTCAAGGACTAATTCTACCTGTTGATATTCATATTTCCTCGCTCAAATGGCAAGATTGGTCATTAACTGTCATAACACTGCATTATATACTACATTATATTCAAGGGATTATAACTGATTCGGCATCCGACATGAAGGTCTTCACGCGAGATTCGTTTGACCACCAAATCCACCAAGGCATTATGGCCTCTTTTAACTTATTCACAAGATACCCACAGTCTCGAACGGTCTCCCACCGCCTCGATGCCTCTTGGTACTGTTCATGTATGCGATCACGGCGCAGTTCCTTATAGACCTTGAACGCCTTTGATAGTGGAAACGATCGATATTTTGCGAGCGTGCGAGTAAACAGGATGGCATCTTCGATCGCGATACCAATACTCTCGCCTTGTGGGGGCATCTATACTTCTCTGTTAGAATATAGGGAAGACCTGTATATGAGGGGGTGAGAACCTACTGCGTGGGCTGCATCCCCCAGTAACATGACTCTTTCCGTGCACCACTTTCCGCCAGGAGGTAGCTTGTAAACCGGGAATAAGAACCAGCTATTTGACGCTGAGATCATTTCCCTTACGCAGGGGAAGGCAGAGTCGCCAAATCTATCCAGGATATCTTCCCTGACAGCATCTTGATCTGCGCCTTTGGTTTTCCATCCATCACGAGAGAGAGTTTCCTTAGCCTCCATCACTGATGCCATGTAGATACTCTCGTGGGTTGGCTCGTAGAAAGTGGCCAGCAAGGATCCCCTTCGCGACATATTCAAGCAAGTTCCCTTAAAATGTAGGTCTGACGGGACTGCTTTGCGATCCACGTATCCCTGGGCAGTGGAGATGCCGGTGTAAACTGGTACACGTTCGGGCTCGACGTGGTTCATCCGTGTCTTCGAGTGTATCCCGTCACAGCCTAGAACTAGGTCTGCCTCGATTGTCGTTCCGTCTTCAAACGACACTTTCACCCCTTTGTCTCCTTCTTTCGGGTTCGAAGCAGGCTCTTCTATCCTCACCAGCTTTTTGCCATAGAGTATATTCAAAGTGACATTCGCATAGGTCGAGGCGCTGATGGCGTTAAGCATGGCTTCCATGAGATCAGACCTCATCACCCTAAGGCCCCTAAAGCTCCCGAGCGGGTTGCCATCCTTGTCGACAAAGTCCATAGAAGCAAGCTGGTCTGGGCCGGAGTAGTTGGAGAACAGCTCGATCCTGTCTATCTCAACACCGCACTTGTTTTGTTTGAGGTGGCTGTACACCCCGAGTTTATCGAGATTCCGCAGTGCATTAGGCATCAGATTGACAGCTCCTCCTGGAGTTGTTGGCTCATCTCGAAGTTCATAAACGGTGACGTTGACAGGCTCATCTCGACTCGATAGATATTTCGCCATTGCCAGAGCCGTAGCGAGACCACTCATCCCACCTCCGATGACGCATATTTCAGAAAGGGGAGCCATGATATAAGGATGTAAAAAGGTAGATGTAGGAATATGTCGGTTTTTAGGAATGGCACTGGTATCTTGGATTGAAAGAAAAGATGGGAGCCCGATCAACCTCTTGACCTCGAGCAGATATTTATATCTCTATCATGTTGCAGGCAGACACCCACGACGGGCTCAGCGTGGCAGGCCATCGACCTGATGCCAGTCAAAGGTCGCTGAATACGAGCTGGTTGATGGAATAAATAGAATGATGCAGACTAACGAACGGCCTATCTCAGCCTTCTATTGGCCACGCATAGATAGACGCGAGTGCGAGCAACCTAGCTCCACCGCGATGAAGCTTGTCTTCAGGGCGAAACAGAAAAGGAGAACCCAACAAGTTACAATCGTGGCTTAGAACTTGACGTCGAAGTGGTCGACCGTCATAGACTCTTTCACTCACTAGTTGTAAGGCTGTGTCCTTTTATACGATGACGGCTTGCTAACCGCGTCAAGGACCAACCAGGCAGTGCTCTTCTGCACAAGGATGATGAATGACATTGTTCCTCCTCCAAAGCAGTCCTCTTATCCGTTACTCCGACAGCGACGTCCTTACGTCCTTCACATGAGCTTCTGAGCTGAAACTGCTGAATATATGGAGCATCGAGCCTCGGACGAACAGCAGCTCCAGACAGCCTGCCAAGTGCACAGCAGAAGGAAATTCGGACGCTATTTGCTCCGATGGGCCTAAAGGTCGCCCTGGATTCATGCCGGCTCAAATCTCTGCACCTTAACGTCATCTTGCTCCATAGAGTCGGCGCGACAGGGCCCGGCCGAGCAGCCCATGTCGAAGGTGTCTATCCGGCCAATCGACGGGCGTGAATGCAAGCCGGATGCACTTCACCACCGCCGATATGTGGACAGCTCTGGGCGTAGATCTTCCAGGCTCGAACTCTCCGTCGACCAAGGCCGGGCCAGAAAAATCCGAGAACCTTGATTCCTGGATTGGGCCTAGATGAGTTATACATCCAGTGTGCTCGGCGAGCTCTGCTCGATCGCCCGGCTGCCATGTCCTGCATATATATATTCATCGGAAGCCCCGGAAAAGGGCTTACCAGATCCGAGGCTCAAATAAACAGCTACACGTTAGCGGCGTGCCTTGAAGCATTGTTGTGGTATCTGGTCTATCAAGTATATAGTTGCCATCATAGCAGCTCTGGGACTGGCCACTTTTACGCCCCTCCTTCCATTCGTTCAATGAGCTGAGATGGCTTCCCAACCCCCTCCCCCTCCTTCTGGCCCCCCAATTGGACTGTCTGAGAAATATGAAAGCGAGATTGTCACCGAGATAAAACGTGGTTCAGTCGATGTACATAGCAGTAACGACAGCAATCCTGCCAACGGTGGCGAAGACAATAGGTATGAATTGGACAATGGAGGTGATGAGCCGGATGCCTTGTACGAAGCCGTTAGGACGTGGTCACCACAAACCCGTCCGGAATTGGTTCGAATTGCCTCTGCCTTCTCTAGGATAGACTCTCATCCTGACGCCCCGTCTGCAACAGAGGATGGAGGCCGGCTCAGTAGGAGAGACACTTTGGCAGGCGTCCAGATTGGCGACCCCATCCTCGATCCTAAAAAACCCGAATTCGATTTCTACAAATGGGCCCGCATGTTCTTTCACATCGTCGAGAAGGAAGGGATCAAGCATAGCAGGGCTGGTGTAATGTTTCGGAACCTTACAGTCTCGGGCTCTGGCTCTGCGGTGCAATATCAGAATACATTTATCTCGCCATTCCTTGCTCCCTTTCGCCCTGGAGAGCTCTTCGGGAAGGACAAGAATCCCGAGAAAGTTATACTCAACGACTTCAATGGAGCCATACGTGAAGGAGAGCTTCTAATGGTCCTAGGCCGACCTGGCAGTGGTTGCTCTACCTTTTTAAAGGCCATCTGTGGTGAATTGCATGGGCTTCAGAAGAAAAAGGAGTCCGTCATTCATTACAACGGAGTGTCCCAGCGCACTTTCAAAAAGGAGCTTCGCGGCGAAGCTGTGTATAGCGCAGAAGATGAACATCACTTTCCTCACCTTACTGTTGGACAAACCCTCGAATTCGCCGCTGCCGCCCGCACACCTTCCAGAAGAGTTCTCGGTGTGAGTCGAAAGGACTTTTCGTCACATCTAGCACAGGTTATGATGTCAGTGTTCGGCTTGAGCCATACAAAAAATACAAAAGTCGGCGACGACTACGTCCGTGGCGTGAGCGGTGGGGAGAGAAAGCGAGTTAGTGTTGCTGAAATTGCACTATCAGGTGCACCAATTTGCTGCTGGGACAATTCGACTAGAGGTCTCGACTCGGCAACTGCCCTTGAATTTACAAAGGCTCTAAAGATCGGCTCCCAAGTCGGTGGCATTACTCAGTGCCTCGCTATCTACCAAGCCAGTCAGGCCATTTACGATATCTTCGATAAGGTGATCGTGCTTTACGAAGGAAGGCAGATTTATTTTGGCCCAACTAAAGCTGCGAAGCAATACTTTGAAGACATGGGATGGCACTGCCCGTCTCGACAGACGACCGGAGATTTCTTGACCTCTGTCACCAACCCCAATGAGAGAATAGCCAAAGCAGGGTTTGAGAACAGAGTCCCGCGGACCGCTGCCGAATTTGAACAATACTGGAAACAATCAACGAATAACAAAGCATTGCTAGCGGGCATGGATCAATTTGAAGCTGAATACCCCCCTAAAGAAGGCCATCTTGATGACCTGCGTGAGGCACACAGTGAAGCACAAGCGAAGCACACGCCGTCGAAATCCCCATACAGAATCAGCGTCCCTATGCAAGTGAAGTTATGTACAGTCCGCGCATACCAGCGTCTGTGGGGAGACAAATCATCTACAATCGCGAAAAATCTTAGTCAAATCATGATGGCTTTGATTATCGGTTCCATTTTCTTCAACACGCCCCAGACTACCGACGGTTTCTTTGCAAAGGGCTCCGTCATCTTCTTCGCTATCCTCCTCAACGCTTTAATGTCTATTACTGAAATTAATGGGTATGTTCAAACACCTCCAAAATACAGGCCTATAGAAGCTAATAAATCTTTAACAACAGGCTATGTAAGAATATATCACATTACAATTCTAGCTACCCCCGCTAATATACGTTTTATAGATGCTCAACGCCCAATTGTCGTCAAACATGTTAATTTTGCATTTTATCATGCATATTCAGAAGCATTAGCCGGCATTGTGGCAGATATCCCCATCAAGTTCCTCCTCGCCCTAGTGTTTAATATCATTATATACTTCCTGGGAGGGCTCCAGAAGTCCGCTGCGAAGTTCTTCATCTTCTTCCTGTTCACGTTTATTACCGTCCTCGTGATGTCTGCCATATTCCGCACTCTGGCTGCAGCGACAAAGACCGTACCCCAAGCTCTTGCCCTGGCCGGAGTTATGATCCTCGCCCTTGTTATATACACCGGATTTACGCTCCAGCCTGCTTACATGTTAGATCCAACCACCCCCTCATCTTCCCTATAATGTACTTGAACATATTGAACTAACGACGGTTATAGGCATCCTTGGTTCAAGTGGATCCTTTATATTAACCCCATTGCATATGCCTACGAAGCATTGCTTGTGAACGAAGTGCACGGTAACAGCTACAAATGCGCATCGCCTGTCCCCCCTTATGGGACCGGAAAGAACTTTGCATGCCCTGTTGCTGGCGCTGTTCCTGGGGAAATGTCAGTTTCAGGCGACGCATGGGTACAATCCAGCTACGATTACAGCTACGCACACATTTGGCGCAACCTAGGGATTCTATTGGGCTTCTTGCTATTTTTTTATTTCGTCTACATGGTGGTTTCCGAAATGAATCTATCGAGTACCTCCTCTGCTGAATTCCTGGTTTTCCGTCGGGGACATCGTCCCAAGAATTTCCAGGATACAAAAGATGAGGAGGCCGCTGCTGGTGGTATTATTCACTCCAACGATCCCGCTCAGACACCTCCCAATAACAATGGCGCAGTCGGAGAAACAGCTCCAGGGGGTAGCGCTGTAGCAGTTATTCCGCCACAGAAAGATATCTTTACCTGGAGGAACGTCACCTATGATATTACTATCAAAGGAGAACCTCGCCGACTTCTTGACAATATCTCAGGATGGGTCCGTCCCGGCACACTCACAGCATTGATGGGAGTTTCTGGCGCAGGAAAGACTACTCTACTCGACGCATTAGCACAACGAACTACTACCGGCGTCATAACAGGAGACATGTTTGTGAATGGGAAGCCTCTCGACTCCTCCTTCCAACGAAAGACAGGATACGTCCAGCAGCAAGATCTCCACTTAGAGACAACAACCGTCCGTGAAGCGCTCCGGTTTTCGGCAGACCTACGCCAACCCAAATCAATTTCGAGAAAAGAAAAATATGATTACGTCGAGGATGTAATTAAGATGCTCAGCATGGAAGACTTCAGTGAAGCCGTGGTTGGAAATCCGGGTGAAGGGCTTAATGTTGAACAACGCAAACTTTTAACGATTGGCGTTGAGCTTGCAGCGAAGCCACAGCTTCTTTTGTTCCTGGATGAGCCTACATCTGGCTTAGATTCGCAGAGTTCTTGGTCCATTGTTACGTTCCTTCGGAAACTTGCTGATAATGGACAAGCAGTCCTCTCAACTATCCATCAACCTTCAGGTATCCTTTTCCAACAGTTTGATCGTTTGCTCTTCCTAGCTAAAGGAGGAAGGACGGTCTATTTTGGAGATATTGGTGAAAACTCAGAGACCTTGTTGAATTACTTCGCAGCCCACGGGGCAGAACGATGTGGTCCCAGTGAAAATCCGGCAGAGTACATGCTTAATATAGTCGGCGCTGGGCCAAGCGGGAAGTCAAAGATTGACTGGCCGACGGTATGGAAAGAGAGTGATGAAAGTCGCCATGTTCAAGGAGAGCTTGACCGAATACAATTAGAAACAGGTAAGAGGAACGAAGGTACTGAGCACTCGTCTGAAAAGGAACCCGGCGAGTTTGCCATGCCATTTACCTCGCAGCTCTACTGCGTTACCACAAGGGTGTTCCAGCAATACTGGAGAACGCCTTCATATGTCTGGGGAAAACTGCTTCTAGGACTCGCCTCGGCCTTATTCATGTAAGTCCACCGGTAACTCTCTATCGAATTAATGCACTGAAACTTACTTACTTTATATAGTGGCTTTTCTTTCTTCCTACAGAATAGCTCCATGGCAGGCCTTCAAAACTGCCTGTTCTCGATATTCATGTTGACAACAATTTTTAGTTCCCTTGTCCAACAGGTAAGCTAGGCAGCCACTTCGCAGCCTCTATAATTCTGATACTGACGAGAGGTTGTAGATTATGCCACGGTTTGTCACGCAGCGAGATCTCTTTGAAGTGCGTGAGCGACCCTCGCGTGCATACAGCTGGAAAGTATTCTTGCTTGCAAACATAATCGTGGAGATACCATATCAGATTCTCTTGGGAATAATCGCCTGGGCCTCTCTCTTCTATCCCACATTCGGCGCCCATCTATCCTCTGAACAACAAGGCATAATTCTACTATACTGTATCCAGTTCTTCATATTCGCTTCCACGTTCGCACAGATGATAATCGCGGGCTTACCCGATGCTGAGACTGCCGGAGGAATCGCAACTACCATGTTCGGTCTAATGGTTACATTCAACGGTGTTCTTCAAAAACCTAACGCCCTACCGGGATTCTGGAGGTTCATGTGGCGGGTGTCTCCCATCACGTATACAGTGGGCGGATTGGCAGCAACAACGCTACATAACCGGGAAGTCAAGTGTGCCCAGAATGAGTTGGCAATCTTCGACCCTCCAAGCGGAGCTACATGTGGCCAATATCTTCAGAAATTTTTGCAAGCCGGCGCTCTAGGCAGACTCTACAATCCGACAAGCACTACGCAATGCGAGTACTGCCCATTATCCAACGGCGATCAATTCCTAGCTGGTTCCGAAATCTACTGGAATGACCGATGGCGAAACTTCGGCATTGGATGGGCATATATTGTCTTCAATGTATTTGCGACCGTCGCATTGTACTACATGATCCGTGTGAGGAAATCTTCCGGCAGGCCCAAGAGAGCAATCAGCGTTATGATGTATCACCTTGGCAGGGTTGGAAAATTGTGCCGAGCTGCGATTACAGGACGATGGGAGAAATTTCCAAGAAAACGGGAGCAAATTGGTAAGATTTACTGAGACGAGATAGTATCCTATTTGCTGGATACAGAATTTTTTTATATATTTTTAGCAGCTCTTTTTATAAATTTGATACCTATCGAGTTGTTCATCTCTAGGAGAACAAACGATGGATTGTTACGCTATGGATAACTATGTTAATCGATAACTGATATTTCTGTGGACGGCCGCTGGACTCCATACTGCTCAATAAATGTGCCTAGGGCAGGAATAGTTTTATATCAAAATTGTGCAAGAATTACGCCATGCCACGCCATGCAGTTTTTATTTTCTATAGAGGGACGTTATATCGTTAGTCGTAAATGCAATTTTTAGAAGTACAGATATTACTGCACTAAACGGCTCCGGCCTCCCTCCTCAGCCCTCTTGTCCCGTCCCCTCCTCGCCGCCAAAGCCAAACTGCTTCCGTAGCCCACGCTCTAGCACTGGCGTGCCGACCAATACCTCCAGCCTTGGCCGGGGTTGGAGTAAGCTTATCATCATCCGAAGTCTCTTTCTTGCCATCAATATCGGCATCACCTCCGGCCTCGTCTATCATACCCGCAACTACCGATTCCCTCTCAACTACACTCCACAACCCACTCACCAACTGGCTATCTTGATCCCCCCATTCCCCTTTACCCAGGCGGTAGAGCACACGGCCCAACACCTGCCATGCTAGACACCGTTGAGCCGGTACGGTAGAGCGTGATAAAATCGCGAGTTCCGGCACCGTATACCCTGCAGCTTCCGGGTCAGCGGCATGATGATGTAGGCCCATTGATGGGGGTAGGGAGAGTGCCGTGCGAGGTGGAAGGATAGTTCCGGTAAGTGAGAAGCGGATGGAGGCTGGCGCGATGGACGTTGCGGTGCTGGAAGGGTGGTAGGCGGACGATGGGTCAGAGTCGGAGTCTGAAGGGCGTAGCCATGAGAGACTTGATGACGAGTGAGGGGTGTCGGGGAAGTAGTGGGTTTGGAGGTCGGCGAGGAATGAAGGCGAGGATGGGTCGAGGTTTGGCATGGGTGTAGAGCGAGGTGGCGGACGGGGGAAGTGGATGGGCGGCGGTGGTTGGGAGGCAGGATGTAGGCCGGACGGTGGGTTTGCGGGTGGAAGGTCGTCTGGTTGGATGTATGTTTGTTCTTTATCGTCGTCTTTGACTTCTTCAAGGGTAGCTTGCTTTGTTGGGATATCAAACGAAACCGATTTCTTCGGTGGTTCCTTGAGAGAGGCGGTGGGACTCGATTCCAACTCCTTAACATCGTCCTGTTTGGCTCCCTGCGATACCTGCTGATCTTCCTCGATGTTTGCTCTCCTCAGCAGCCTTTCGATCAAAGATGTCGGCAAAGCAGCCCTCAGCTCAGCGCGTTCAGCTTCGATCTCTGCCTTCGACATGGCCTCCAGCCTTCTCCTATTTTCTTCGTCAATGGCCCTCTTCTCGTCTACTTCAGTAGAAACATTGTCCTTTGCCGCAGGCTTGTCATCATCAGTGTCGACACCTGCGTTCTCACGCTGTCGCCTGAACGCGGACACTTTGGTGCGTTTTCGGTGCGCTGGGAAGCCGGTGGTGGTAGGTGTCGATTTCGGTGTCGGCGCCGTGGGAGGAGTGGGTGCCGAGGGCGTCCGTTCTTGGATATCGTTCACGAAGCTTCCAAGGGATGGCATGGCGGTAGCTGTAGTTGTAGTTGCTACATTGTCGGGCTCGTCATCGTCGGAAAGGTCAAGGTGAAATCTCTCACCGCGGAAGGCCATGGTCAAGCGAACGTAGGCTACGGTCAGCCACAACCGTCAGCGCCTGTATTGTCTATATGTAGACGCTGTGTGTAGATGTATATGCAGACGCTGTATGTAGATGTATATGTAAACGCTGTATGTAGACGTGTATGTGGTATGTAGATGTTGTGATGATGAGAAGATTGTGTTTGTCCCGCCAGTCTGGGCCGAGCACGGGACCTGAGGCTTAAAACTCTAAGTCCTAATCCGGTCTAGCGTGGAATGGACGGACCTGCAGACGCTAAGCCTAAACAGGGACTAGCGCAGGATATGCACGAGGCGGGCCGCTAAGCCCAATCGGGACATGGGGGCCCTTATTCTTCGAACGACAAACATTCAACGACATCAGAATCTCGACATCGACACTGACGCCCGGCTGGAGGATGTAAGGAGACACGGACGACGGGGAGACCGACGAGGCAGTCGTGAGGGCGAGAGCAGCAAGGTGAGTCAGGCGCGTGGTGGTGGAGCTTACCTGCGTTCTCGTGACCTGCCTAGCTAGAGCGCAGTCAAGGAAGTGAAGGAGTGAGCGAGAGGAAGTGAAGATATACGAGCTTCGGCGGGAGAAGCTGCTGGCAGCAGGATGACCTAAGCTAACAGTTACTAGATGGTGAATATGATGCATCAACTCGTCATCCACCGATCCTCTGCCGCAAGTACTGGATACTGGGTACTGGATACTGGATACTGGATATACTTTGACAGAGGACCGATAGACCGTGGACTAGAGGATACGTCGACACAGTGAGCAGCATGCCCAGATATCCAGATGTCCAGTCTGTCAGCCTATCAGCATGTCAGGACTATGCTGGTCGTTCGATATAAAACGGCTTGACGCTCTAGATATTAAGGGTGACGGGCGCCTCCTTAGTCATCAGGGATGCGCCTGTTATGCGCTAGCCACTAGTTCCTCGCTGCTCCACGCATATCAAGTCTTCGGCTTCTCGATCTCCCTGCTCGAACTTCCTGCTCCTGCGGCCGCCAAGCTCCCCTTTGCTGCCATGTCCAGTGTACGGAGTTATGTAACTTGCTGTTGGCCGTCCGCCTATCTGGAGAAGGCCGTCCGTCAGCTGCTGCCCCTGCTGATACCGTACGCAGCAGCCGTGGCTCCGTAAGTAAGCCCGCTACCCGGGGGCCTGCTCCGTACGATGTATACGCCTGGATACGATAACTGTTAAATATTGAAACTGGCCTGGACTGGAACTGGATGGACTGAGGAGAGGATGTGTAATTAGCGATTAGCCCGTCCCCCCATTCACGTTCATTCTTTGCTTTGCCTTTCTCCATCCATTGATCATTCGCGTAAGCCTTGCCTGCCCGTCGCCTGCTTCTGCTTTCTTTTAATCTCTCTCTCCTGCTCCCTTTTTCCTTCTTCTCTCCTTCTTCCTTTCCTTCCTCCTCTTCTCTCTCCCTCTCTCTCTCTCCTGTTGCTGCTGCTCGCTGCTCTTTTTGTTCCCGTCCCCGGTTCGGAGGTTATAGTCCCCCTTCCCTTACCCTCTAGCTATCAGCAGCTATCGATCCGCCACGCCACGCCAAACTTGAAGCTCGAATTTTCTTCAAAACCAACGTACTTGTTTCACCATCCCCATCTCAACTTTCCGTATCCTGATCCACGTCAACTCCTGTGCATCCGCCAACACAGTCTCTTTTTCATCGCCATTCTGCACTTTCTACGATCCCGCACCAACGCCACTACCATCACCCTAAACTAATCTCCCCTTCCTCTATCAGTTTTTTATTTTGCTCTCGATAAACAACGAACAACGAAAACACACAACACGCAGCTGTTTTCCCAGGCATCCTCGCTACAACAACACGTCACGCCTTTCTCGTCCGCGTCCATCTGACGGCTATCTCGGTACCCGCCAGCCAACGAGTCAACCAGATTAAAATAAATAAATTAATCCAGCTGACTCCTTCGCCGTGAGACTTGCTCGATGATGTCCGGATGAATGGTTTTCGCCATTCCTCTCTGACTTCATTCCCTGACTTCTCTCTCTGACGTCGCTCTCTGACTTCTCTCTGCGAGAGCCCGACATTCCAACTCCAGGCCCAATTCAAACGAACCCGACCCCGAACACCCGCCATCGCGAACCCACGCATCAGCACGATGGACGAGAAGAAGCCCGCCGTGCCTGACGAGCCCGTTGCCGGCAAGAAGAGTGGCAAGGAGAACAGGCGAAACAGCAAAGCTCCAGCCACAAATACAGACACCAGCCATATGCTTAGTCAGCCAGACGCCACAGCTCCCAAGCCGAAGCGTGTCCGAAAGCGGAAAGACGACGACGACAAGGCGAAGACGAAGAAAGAGAAGAACTCGACCGGCGACAAGGCCGCGGGAGGGAAAGACGGCGAGTCGAAGCCCAGGCGACAGCGCAACAGCAATGTCAAGGCCGCAGAGAGCTCTGATGCCACCGTCACAGCCGCATCGCGAAAGAAGGCGAAGCTGGAGCATAAAGCTGATGAATCTACAACGACGACAGCATCAACACCTTCTGCAACGCCGCGACAGGCAAAGATCACAGACATGGTCCCCATGAACTCAACTCCGACTGCGCACCCACAGCAGCAGCAGCTCCAGCAGCACCAGTTCAGCCAGCATGCCCCGCAGACATCCTCTGCGCAGCAGCCATCACCACAGGCCTTCCCGTCGCAAAGTGTCTCGCAGCTTTCTCCGCCACCATCAACCCTTCTTCCGGCGTCCTATCCATCGCGAAATGGTTCCTACGAAGCTGGCGCACCCATCACCTCCCCTTACACCTATCAGCCACCCAACAGCAACTCCAACAGCAACAGCCATCATGGGCCCCCTCCGCAGGTGGCCCCTCCTCAGGCCCGGCCTGCCTCCCTTCCACGCTCCAGCGGACAGAACTACGACCCCATCCGCTCGGCCATTGAGAGCAGCTCCTCTGTCTCTACTCCTGCAATGACTGCTATGAAACCGGCACCAGCTCACACGTCCTTCAGTCCACCACCGAATACTGTCACACCACCACCTCGACCGACTGCTGCTACTCCGTTTCGTGCCAGTGCTTCGCCAGCTATATCCAGCATCATCGATCCTCCCGTGGTCCATAGTACGCCCACTGTCGTCATCCCGCACCCCGTAGCCGCTACCTCAGACAACAAACCCACTCCTTCGCCTACCCACCTCTCTGCAAATGGCGCCACAGATTCTTCCAAACCAACCGCTCACCCCTTAACTCAGTCTAGATCCCAAGACTCAAACGCAATGGACGTTGATTCCAAACCAACCAGCTCGAAACCCGGCCCCAAGAAGGCCACCGCTTCGTCTGCCGGTAACCCTTCCTCCGGCACTCAATCTCCCAAACCCACAGCCGCCCGCAACAAAGAGCCTCCCCGCCCCCTCCCTTCCACCGGTTCCGGATTACTTTCCAACGCCCTTTTTGGAGTTGATACCAGCTCATCGTCAGACACCAAATCCCTCCCGAACATCATCTTACATATCCCGCTAAAGGGCCAATCGAATTTGGTCATAAACTTCGCCCGACTGGCTGAGGAACAGTATGGTTTTGATGCTCTACATCCACGTATAGCCGCACAAAAAGAACGTCGTGCACGACTAGCCGCTGCCAGCGCCGTTCTGGAGAAATCTGAGCGTGCTGGCCGAGGAGAAAGCGGTGCTGAAGACGATCTCTCACTAGACGCAGATCGCGATAGCGATGGCGACGGTGACATCAACATGTCTGGCATGGGTACCAACACACCAACTATGAACGGCACAGCAACTGACGAAACCGCTGCCGCTGGTGCTCCTCCCGCTGCTCCCAACGTCAACGCAGACGGCAAAAAGACTCGTCGGCGCAAGATCGAAGAATACGATCGCGACGACCCATTCGTTGACGACAGCGAATTGATTTGGGAAGAACAGGCTGCGGCATGCAAGGATGGATTTTTCGTTTACTCAGGACTTTTGGTTCAGGAAGGTGACAAGGTTTCTGTTGAGAAGTACGCAATTCGCCCCCCTTTACACCCACTCCTACCCCAAGCTATATTTATATAACCGTGCTAATTATCCTCCGTTTATAGAGCTGATGGAACCACTAAACGCGGCCGTGGACGCCGTGGTGGAGCAAGCGGCACAACTCATGGAAACTCAGGCACATCCTCCCGCGGCCGTGGCGGACACGCGGGCAGCAGCGCCACTACGCATCATCCAAACGGCGATGGAGCCACTGCCGGTAAATCAGGAACTGGACGCGGAGGCGCCAGGAAACCACGCATTACCAAGGCTGACCGACTACAGATGGAGAAAGAAAAAGTTGAGAGAGAGAAGTTGGCAATTGGCCTTTCTGGGAAGACAGCTGCGAAGTAAGGCGTATGCTCACTGACAAGTTTATGCGTTCTTTAAAAGATGCTCTATTAGTTTTCTATATTCTGTGTGCAGCTTATTTGATGTATCCTTCTTTTTTTTTCATTTTTCCCTCATCCTTCATCTTCTATTCGGCGTTGAAAAGGATGGAGCTCAAGCCTGGCTTTGGCTTTTGTTATCAGGAATGGAACAGCATGGAAATGGTGATTCGGCTTTGCAAATACATACCTCGTCGCATACCTTTTCTCGTACTTCATACCCGTCCTAGCTGGGCACTCAGTTCTGTTTCATGTTTCATGTTCGGTCTTAGTCTGGTTTCCGCCTCTGGCCATGTATAGCATTTTACTATTCACCGTTAAACGTTTCAGTGTCTTCGTCAGTCTCTTCCCTCGCTATATTCTTCGTTTACAGGGGCAACGGCGTGATCTAGTGCCTTGCGTGTACTTGTGTGCGAATAGTAGCGATAGGATATTTAAATTTAATAATTCATGTCTATTGTGGTCTTTTTGCTGGCTCCGGTGTGTTTAAATAGGAGTCACCTGGCGTTTCAAACGCACTGGTAGCAGTATAATAAAAGCTCAGCCTATGTAGATATTATGTAGTATATCTGAAATTCGCCTGTTTGAAATCCGACTTATCCAAGAACTGGTCAACCGGATCCTCTTCCTGGTATACACTTGAAATCGCAGAGGAGATACGAGCTCTATCAGCCTTCTTGTTCATCCAAGCTGCTACGGCCCAATATAGCGTCATGAGCAATATACAGGCACAATAGCAAATGAGCATTGCAATGAATCCGCCTGTGTATTCGGGTGCTTGGCTCTCGCGGAAGGTCTGCGGTCCGATAAGATTACCTGTAGTGAGAGATTAGTAGGGCTCTAGTTTCTATACTGGCGAAAGCCCAAGACATACCAACTGCATAGCCTATGTATAGGATTGAGTATTGGACGTTCTTTTTCGTGTGACCGGCTGTATTTGCCTGGGCAATAGAGATGCCTGAGAAATGTTAGCAAGGAGTATATGCAAACAAGGGTACCGACGATTCATACCAACGACGTAAGGGCCGAAATATGTATATAACTATTAAAATACGTTAATTTGTCTCGAGTATGGAAAAGCCGATGGGACACTCTCTCACAAAATATAGCCCAACAATCTGCCCTGGTATATTGGTACTTTTCAAAGAATACACAATAATAGACCCGATAATTGGGACCGCGGACGCGAGCATGGTAACGAGGCAGCGGCGATTTACCCACCTCGCCGCAAGGCTAGAGAACATAAGCGCCGAAAGGGTTGACATTACGCCAGTGGGCATGTTTAAGAGGGATGCCTGGATAGGCGAGAAGCCTAAATCTTTGATAAGGATACCGCCGAATGTGATTAAACCTGTGTAGATATTAGATTGGTTCGTCTCATAAGGGGGGAAACTAGAACATACCTCCGTTAGGAATGTTAATTGCAACATTAAAGAGAAAGATAATCCATGTCTTTGGGTCGAGAATGGCTTCCATTGCCTGGTTCCATTTCCAGCTCTTGTTGACGATACCAGTTTTGTTTTCGGCGAGGCGTTTGACGGCGTGATATTTTTCTTCGTCGGTCAAGAAACGTGCATTCATGGGGGAGTCAGGGAGAAAGATGAAGGCAAATATTGACCAGGCCATTGATACAGATCCTAACAATAATCATATCCTCGCATCGGTGACACCATATAATGAGTTTGGCAAATTGACGTTCTCCACTTACCGACAATGATAAACAAATACTGCCATAACCTCAATGGCGCAGAGGAAGGAATGCGGCCAACAGTATATGAAAGGAAGCCATTAATGACAGAACTAAATGCAGAAAACACAATTGCGTTCCTTGGGGGCTGCTCTCTCTTCTTGTAGAAGCCTGCAATCAACAGTGATATCCCAGGGACGATGATAGCTTCCAAAAACCCTATCCCAAACATCATAAAGTTAGTATAGGGCTACCATTGATTATTTATTTGCTTGAATGAAATGGAGTCGAACCCATAGTGAATCTTAATGCCAGCAAACTTCGCCCTCCAGTACAAGTCGGAAGAAGTAGGGTGACAGCCGACCACCCAATGGAACAGGCACAAAGATATTTGGCTGACGGAAAACGATGGACTAAATATGAGGATGGCCATATGCCAACAATGGCCTTTAAACATAAAGTTCGTTAGCAACACTGCATATGAAAATAGACGAAGGTGCCAACTTACACCAATAGGGAGAATAGACCCTGCCCAAGCATACGCTTGGCCTTTCAAACCCAGATCCTCCCTCAACCCATAGAGAGCTGAAGTCCCCAACGCAACTTTATCGACGGCTCCAAGGGTGGCTGTAAGAAGAAGCTATAGAGGCAACTAAGCTTGTTAGGAACATATTCGGCGGTGATCTGGTGGATGAAAGTACTGAATAAAATCCAGGATAAAAAGTGGTGGTACGGACCATAGGAAGAAGAATCCAGTCCATCTTTCTAACGAGGGCTCTCTCAGCCTGAGGAGTCAATGGAGGGTATTCGACAGTCTTCGCCAGGTAAACGGCTGCCTGGTCCACCATATCGTCTCTCCACGCAGGAGACGCGCCAGAGGGGCTTATTCTGGGTTGCATCAAATTCTTTTTATCCTTCTTCTCGCTGTAGTAGTCCTGCCCGCGTACTATTTTGGGTAGAGTGGGCTTTGGATTTAATTTATGCGAGAATATGATTTTGAAATTTCACATGCAACAGCAACGGGAGTGAATATGAGCCCACGCGAGCACTTTTCACCAAAGAAAACTCTATAGGACTGCCTCAAATCAGGGCACATAATAAATATATATGAGCCCATATATATCGTAGAAAAACAAAAGAATTACCGCCATTCTGCCAACCCGAGCGGGCTTACAGAAAGTAGTCCAAAGTTTCGTACATGGCAGTGGCCTCACGGCATTGATATCCCGCCGGGAGGGACCCCGTACATCGGGGGGGTCCTTGCTATGTATGTGGTACATATGCATGAGCAGACTTGCATGTTGATCGCAGGCCGTCGGCTGCAGCGACATCAAATGCACGCTTAGCTAAGCCTGGACAACAGAATTGAAGCCTGGGTATCCTTGTTAATCAACGGGTCCTAGCAAACGGGAACGCGCTTGCGGGCCGCCAGCACACCCAGGGATGGAGAACTGACGAACCTACACATTTGCTAGACACCACTGCACACGCAGCCTCGTTCACAATCTGTCGCCTTGGGCACATGTCCGTCAAAAATTGGTGGGAAAGAGATGGAGAACCGTGTACTCCATAATTGCGTAAAAAACAAGAATCAAACAAATACATAATTAAGCGAGTATCAAACAGGGCGACGAACATACACACAGAACAAGAGACTCCGTCTATTATCGTAGAAAAAACCCCCATGTAAAGTGAAACAGAAATTTTTTAAAAAAACCCATCTTCGTTCCCCTCATGCCAAGCTGATTCCACGTCCTTCCTGCCCCCAGGTCTTCCCCCGGGGATGATCTAGATCTTTGGCGCGATATGCGGATTCCACAGCCAGTCTTGCACGGCGGATGTTACCCAGATTCCGCGAATTCTGGATATTTTGCAGGCGTTCAAGGATGAACCGGCGATGGTCCTCATTCTCGATATCGACATTCCCAATGACAAACAGGGGCCAAAGGAGGGTGGCCGTATCGGGCAGGGTAGATATTATCGCAATGATATCCGCTACCAATCGCTCTTTCCAGGCCATAGACGAGGATTCGCCCATCACCAGCGGCTGCAGGCCGGGGCTGGCTCTGCTAATGCTCGTATTATATGTTATGGGGTATCGAGCGAATAGACCCACACTTACAGGGCTAAGGATTGATGTATTATGTGGGGTCCCTAGGCGTTGCCGTAGGTAAAGGAGCGCTGTCAATCTCTTGACTTCAGCGACGCGTAGCAAGTCTTCCCTGCCCACGGCGTAGGATGGGAGAGTCTGCCGGACGGCTTGAAGGGCTCGCTCTAGTTCGTTACGAGCGTTGTTGAAATACGAGAGCTCCAAGATCGAGAGTGATCGAGTTTTTGATAGCTTTTTATATATGCACGTGCACTGGTCAGGGGGTTGAAACAGACGGACTCAAATTGAATTTTTCAAATTTTTTTTTTGGGGGGGGAAGCGAATACTCACCTTGGATTTCTCGGTAGAGAGGCTCGAGATCTTGTTGATCAAGGTCATCAGGCCGCGAGAGCAGCCCATAAGCATATCGATCTTCCCAGAACGAGTTAGCGACGGCTCGTATATATGGGCTCAGATGCAGAAAATGGCTCGTACCTCTTCCAAATCATCATCCGCTAGCCATGTACAGTCGGTTGCTTCTGCTTCAGAGCTGTCTTCCACGGCGGTCCGGCCCATTATTTCATGTGCAACAAAGTACATGACAAAAAACTGCCTAAGCATATGGCTTTCCGTCGTTTTCAGGGGGAGCAGGTTCAGAAGCTGCAAGCCACCGCGAAGATGCGTCTTCCATGACGGGGTGCATCCATCCGAGATCTAATTGAGAGACGGAGAGAAAAAACCGCGATTAAGAACATGCACGCAGGAAGTGTGGTCATCTAATTTGCGAGAACAGAAGAAGAAGAAGGAAAGGAGAAAGCAAGATTGGAATGAAGGGAGCATACATCGTGAAAGCAGAGCATCAGGACGGTAGCAACAGCACCGAAGCTGGGTTTTCGCTCATTGATCTCATTCTGTAAGCCGGCAAGCGCACGCTGCTTGTATATATACGCCTCCTTCTCGAACCTGTCATTGCCTAGACGGTAGAACTGGTTCGCGGCGATTGCGAGCAGCGTATTGCGCAGCGGCACATGGGCGAGGGCGAGCGGCGTGACGAGAGATAGATATGGATTGTAGTGCGTGCTTAGGGAGCAGTTTGGCCCGATTCCCTGGATGAAGTAGTCCAGCAGATAGCGCTCGGTCGGCGTAAACGAAGACAGTGGGTGGCCCGGCGCTGCTCGCAGGCTCGGGGTAAAGGGGCACGGCCGTCGGTCCTCCCCGTATAATTGAGTTAAGCTTTCGGCTTCTTCCAGAGGTCTATCGTGCTCTCCGCTACCGAAATCCCAGTAGGTGGTGTTAAGGAACAGCCAACGGTCGGCATACTGGGCGATGGGCACTCCCTGGAAATTCCGCTCGATGTCCAGGTCGGCCTGCGATTTGGTCCCTGTAGTAGTCGTTTTAGCGCCTGATGCCATGTCCCTGGATTTGTTGTATAGAGTGGCGAAGTTCAGTAAATTGAAACTTCGGAGAAACCCCAGAGAACCCCCAGGGAAAGGAGACTGGGAAGCAGCTTGTTGTATCACCTTCACGGCCGAAGCGAATCCCCCTCTGCACGGCGTCCTCTTTCCAGAGCAGTTTCAGCCCGCGAACGCAGTTGAGGTTCAGCCGTGCGCATCGGCTACATCGCGGTCTTTCTTCCGTGCATTGCACATGTTTTTCTGCGGGAAAGAGAAAGGTCCAGACTGTCAGAATCACGGTACGAGACACAGAGGCGATGCAGGGAATCCTCCCAGCGGCATAAGAGGCTGCATCGAGATGCAGGAGGAGGAGGAGGGGGGTTTGTAAATACCCTTGCACGTCCAGCAACCCGTCCTACGTCGACTCTCGGGCTGCTTGCGCTGTGGCCGGGTCATTGAGACGTCGCACGCGGTCGGTCGGGCAAAAGGGACGTTGCTTGCATTCCAGCCATGAAAATAACAAAGCCTGCTCTCCCAAGAAATGTGAACTGGAGATAGTTTTCTTTTGCAGCGAGTTCGAGAAAGTTGTTTCTTCTTCTTTCGTACACTGCTTAGTCAGCGCATATAAATCAAGTCGACCTGAAGGCACTTAACATGAATAGAGATGGCAATGATATGACAGTTGACTGGCGAAAGTTGACTGCAAAGCTGGTTAGAGACTGGCAAGCTGGTAAGATTGGCGAGTGAAATGGCGTACTTGCATCTGATCAAGGCGGATGCATGTCGAGCGTCCGTCAGACGGGATGTATGTACGGTGTAGATGTATTACTCTAAAATTGCTTCTGCCTATGCATGTATCTATACCGTGCTTGTACCTATTCTACACCCTCGGAGACGCCCATGTCCCCGGATTGGATCCTCCAGATCTGCCATCGGGCAGTCTCAATCACTTCTTGCCGTAGCCATCTGTTCTCGGACGCACCAACACTGTCGCCCTCGTGGCTGTCTCTGTTAGCTTTGCTATCGTTACCAGCGCTGTCCGCCCATGCGAAGAGCAGACGTAACTGCCACAGTCGATCTCGAATCACCTCGTCGCCCACGCCGCGCCTAGCTGCTGCAGATACCAGGTTTCGCATGGTACTGTCGAGCACAAGCCTCGTATCGACAGACGTTGGACGGAGCCAGGACGGAGAGCTAACCTTGCTCCGCCTCTTGCCATTGGTGAGAAGTTTCAAAGACTCGTGGAACGGAATCTGCGGCAGCACGACCATCCGTTCTGACATGTCCAGTGACGAGAACGCTGGGAGATCGAAGATGAAATCCCATATGTGGCGAGGCGGCATGCGAGCCTGACCGGATCCCTTGTCATATGGCTGCAGCGAGGCGTGGAGGCTAGTCGGACGTATAGCATAGAATGGCCTTGCATTCCCAGGGATGGACGCAGGCGGAGGTATATCTTGAGCGTCGCTTAATGCAGCAAGGGTAGTAGAGAAAACCGAACATTCCGAGTCGCTGTGATTGGCCCGTCTTCTCAAGTAGATAGACTGGTCTCCATCTCGAAATTTGCTGCGTAAGCTTTCGTTACTGGCGAAGTCCAACGTGACATTCCAGTGGCCGGCGCTCGCGATCTTGATTGAAGATACATCGTCCAGATCGGGTAGCAGACAAGGGGCAGTCACGGTTTTCACCTCCCCTGTACTTAGTGTGAGTGACACCGGTATTGTAACTGGGCGACGCGTGTCAAGGTCTCGAGGTACCAGGCATCGAGGTTCAGCAGCCAAAACCCAGAGGTGGCGGAATGCCTGGAGGTGGCAATTGTTATCAAGGACGGTTGTTGGGAAAACAGGATATAGAGAGCAGAGCAGGGAGGCAACTGCTATATTAGACGTGCCCAGGGTGTAAGTGCCTCCACCCAGGAAAAGCATACCGACGGCCATGTGAGTCGCCATATGGCTTCCATAGTGAGTGTCGGCGTCAACACGGCCATGCAGAGAGCGTATACGCCGGAATGTCACAAGGTCGCCTGTCCCTGCCATCACAGCGGCAGCCGAGAGTGCAATGATATCTTGACAGTTCCGCACAGAGTTCTGCGTTAGTTTCGCGTCGTAGTTAAGAGCCGGAATTCGGCAAATCCGTATGAATTGATCTAGGTGTGCTACAAGAAGGTCTCGCGCTGCCTTGGATCCTGACCCGGCAAATCGAAGGCCAAGCGCAAAGCAGAGTCCAGCGACTATGTTGAAATAGGGCATATCGTCAGTGCTGAGTCGTCGGATTGCCGATAAACGATACCTCCGTCTGTAAAATGATGGGAGGCTCTTTTGTATCCATTTTTGGCTGGCTTTAATGGAGCCCCACATAATAAGATGTCTTGCTAACGTTCGAAGTAGAAAAATATCAGGGCGGACATAGTCGAATTGGACCTCTGTATCCGGGATATCCACCTTTTGGGCTAGAGCGCTATCGTTTGATTTCATGAATATTATTGCGATTGCAATCGTCGCACCTGCTGCTGCTTTGTCGAGAATATGGACCAAATCCACCTCTTTCGTGCCAACAGCTAATGCAAGTAACCTCTCAACAACGCGCATATCTTGAAGGCCTCGGAGATCGTTTCCTTTCCCTAGATTAATGAACCCCAGCGCGAACCCAGCAGCAAGTCGGTATCCTTCATATCGTAAAGGCTCCTGAGAAATTGAGGTCTCCTCTCCCTCCATGTGCTCGATTTCGGAGAGCATCACTTCACTCATACGACGATGCTGGGAATTGCAGTAAAGTAACCCTATTCCCATTATACCTGTTGTCTGTGTCAAGGGGGACAAATTTAGCTCTGCCGCGCCTGGTGGAAGCATTCTCGTCACATGAACGGAAAGTAGCCGAGTGATCAGAGGATCCGTAGTCCCAAGGTAGGATACAGATAATCCTAGAAGCAGACCGATGGAAGTCATAGTGTGTTTTGGGGTTAAATACTTGAAAGCCACCCATTTTGCAAGCGTCTTCAAATGCCCGTTTAGCCCTAAGGCAAGTAAAAATCCAGCATGTCGATTTGTGAGTTCGCTGGGTTTGTTGTACAATATCCACGACGTGTCAATTCCTTTGGCGGATTTTGATATTGCTAATCCGGTTGACACCCCGTTATGAAAGAATGCCCAGCATGCCTTTTCCTCCACGAATGCTGCTCTGTCAGCGCTGATTGTAACATTCGAAGGCTTCATGACGCATTGTAGTGAGAAAGAGGGTATCGGTAGCTTTTCGGTAAGAAGAGGAACACGGCCGTCAAAACCAACCATCGCACGTCCTGTAGGAATTGACAGCGTTCGCAATGTTACTAGCTGGACAAGTTCTTTTTGTGCTTCTAGAAGGTCAGACTCAGACCAGTCTGGCTCAGGTAAACATTCCGCCGTTGGGGCTTTCATTTGGTTGAGAATCCTGGCGGCCTCAAAATACCTCCTGTCTTCGCGAAATATCAATTTAGTTATTGAGTGACGGTCAGCCTCTGCGGAGATTTCGAACGAATTGGTCAAATTATTATCAGTTATTGAACTTCCAATGTTCCGAACATCTCGAAGGGCATCGTGAGGTTGAATAAACTGAGACCGAGAAGCTGGTAGATGAAGGGCCTCACTAGACGTCGAGAGGAACAAGTCCTCCCTATCTACGAGTTCAAGTAGTGATGAACCCCAAGAGAGCGGAGGGTCGCTCTGACAGCTAAAAATAGCCTCATGCAATGGAGCGCTAATACCGTCAGGAATTGTATCAATTAGAGATGCGGTGATGCCCCAGCGAAGCAACAAGGCAACTCTTTCAGAGGCAGTTTGCTTATTCCCAACCTCTGACAGGAACCCGGTCAGAGCTAACGTTCTGGGAGTTAGGTTGACTGCTTGGTCCCAAATTCTACCACCTCCAGGCTTGATCGTAGAGCTAGACACAACGTCCATTAACGTTAAAAAGGAGGAAGGGATACGATGTAGCGTATTCTCAACAAAGCTGAAAATGGATGGAGGGGGGAAAGGCGAGGGGGGCATGTCGAGTCCAGTAATCCGGGTATCTTCGAAAACCCAGCCATCAATACCAACAGTTTCCGTACCATAGTAACTGCCTTCTTTCCAGGTCCAAGAATCCCAACCCAGCCATCCTCCGATCTGAGCAAGGATGGGGAGTAGGAGCCCTCTTTCAGAGCGGGAGTTATCGGTATTAACAATTGATAACTTTAGCTCCTCGCGAAGGAGATGGAGGCCTACTAGGATTGTACCGAGGGCCGTTCTTCGTGTGCCTTGATCTCGTGAAATGGCAATAGGAAGATAGCCTTCCCCGCCAGTTGCCGCCTCGCCTTGTGGAGAGGATAGGAAATCTCGAGCAAGCTGTGAACATCGAGTAATATACGCATTTTTTTCATTTGGTTGGCCCTCTGCTTTGGAGTCGTCATTTGGCCGATCAAATCGAGAAGTGTCCGCAACATATTTGATATTTTCTTCTCGTATCCAGTCCCAAGCTGCGGTTGTCATCCATGGTGCAGAAATGCCCGCCGAGCCTGATTCCTGGTCCACCATACCGTGCCAGTCTGACAGGTCAATGGAACTCCCCGTGCTGGATCTCATGAGGCTACCCCTTTTCTTTCTCCTCGGAACTTTCACATCGGTAGAGCTGTCATCGATAAAGTATACGGCCATCGAGAAAAGCGTGACTACCAAAGCAGTCCACTCTAAATTCTCGTCTCTCACGTCCCTCGCACGAAGCCATTTGAGAGTTTGCCACCACCCTATATGGACCCCATCTCCGGCTCTCTCTGAGTGCCGCAGAACATATCGACAGAGCGAGAGTACCCGTTTCACAAGAGAATTGTAAGGCTGTAGCTGAACCTGTATTCTGTGTCTCCTTTCCTGATTGTCAACAATATCTACCTTACCGTCGGCAGTCGAATGGGTAAGTCCCTGCATCCTCAGGGGGGTCTTGCATAAAACTCGCCGGAGGCCTTCTTCACGGAGGTTGGAGGGAGTTGTTTCAAGGGATATGCTGGATGGCTCGTGCAGTACCATACTATCCGGTAGTTCTACTCGTACAAGCGTACTCCATGGTGCTTGAATAGTGAGTTCTCCTTGTCCGTCACTCGTAGAAGAAAGCACTAGCATTCGGGAAACGCCTCTATCCACCAATTTGCAACAGTCCAGGACATTCGAGCCATGGCGGACATTTAGTGCGCGCACTTTATATTGAGGCCATCCTGTGAAGTCATTGCCCCTCCTTTCATTTTGACGGGCCTGTGTTTGATCGGGCCCCAGAATTTGAGCACTAAGCGTTACGACAGTTAGATCCTTTGAATTCCGGTTAAGAATGCAAACAGCTAATGGTATTGATTCAGGGTCCTTCAATGTTGACTCATCGGATGAAGACAAGGTAAAGACTTCAAACATATGGGCTTTTTGGTTGACTGAAAAGTCATAGGTTGCAGCCCCAGAGGGAACACTCCCTACTTTCGAAAGAATAACCTCCCGTGGTAGGTTAGACACCGTTTCTCTAATACCCATATTTTCAAACCCATCGAAATCACCGCCGCTATTTAAGCTTTCCAGAAGCTTATCGACGGGAGCATCGAGAAAGCTGCTACCATTGCTATACACGGACGCATTCCCAGGGGGGAGGGAGCCTCTTCGGTTGAAACTCTGGCTGAGGCGAAGGCCACTCCCCCCAAAGAACTCTCCCCTCCGTGATCCACCGTGGAAGGATGACTTGAGCTGGCTTCCTGCAAGGTCGGAGAATGTTGCTCTATCATTGGTCGCCATTAGGTCGCTACGAGCAAGTAACGAGCTCACTCTCCTCGAAGCCTTAGATGTCACACCCACGTCCACAAACTCTTGTCCAAGTTGTGTAGCAAGGTCAGCTCCCCCCGGTTTACCCTCGAGGGATGCATGGTTATGATTGAATGGCTGTGATGTACTCCGTCCTTGACTTGGTCCTCCAAAGCTTTCCCTAAAGCTCGATGGCCCCGGGCCAACAGGTGTTGTTGTCCCTGTAGTTATATCAAAATGAGAGCTCCGTCGTTTAGACTGCGTGCTTGACGACTTTCTCCGATGACTCTGTGAAGCTATAGGTCCTTCCTTGAGTCTGTATCGAGCAACCCAGATATTATGCATTCCAGTCTTCGAGTTCAGAGTAACCAGTAGTATTAATGGCGTGTCACTTTTCGTGGATATGACTCCTGAAGGGATTTCACTAGTAGGCGATACATAAAGGAGCTCCTCTGCAGGGTTTAAAATATCGGCAAGTCTATGGGCATTGTCATCATGTGGCGAGGAGGATACAGCCACCAATCCCATCTCCGAGTGGGGATCAAGAAGAGAAAATACTCGCGGGGCTGAATCGTCTTTTTCGGGTTTGAGGAGAAATTTTGAAGGTTGGGATGGAGAGACAGTTAATGCTGGCCGGTTTCCTGTTCCGCTGGAGAGTTTAAACGAAGCAGAATGTCTGGAGGTTGGATGCATAGGCTGCGAAGAAACAAAAGAATTTGGAGGAACAGATGGCACTGGCACATCGTGTTTCTCGGACGACTTCCGTTGAAACAATAGCCCATTTGGGGTTGGCCATATTGAATCAAGCTCAAAGGGCAACGGGACGACATGGCTATCACCAGAGATAAAGTAGACATGGATTTGAGATTTCAACACCACAACTAGCGCTCTGGAAGATTCGGTTTCGTCATGATTTTCATCTATAGCAAGTCCGGGGATGCCACAGGAATCCTTCTGGTCCTGTATAACAACTCTCTTGCGTATCTTCCCATTCAAGCGGCCTTGATGCTTGCTTTTGATCGATGCTGCGGGATGGCCCTGGGGATTTCTCCGGGCTATTTGGCCATCTGCTGAGCCGGTTCCGTTCCCAGACTTCGACTTGCCCGCCGGAAAATGAGTGAAAAGCGCTTCCACAATGCTCTCCCCTTCGATATTGAAATTGAAAGACCTCTTCACGATCCCACCACGCGACCACACGACGCACTTGTCCGTATAGATGAGCTCTTCTTCAATTATCCCGCCAATATCGCTCTCAGAATTGTAGCATCGCCATGTATAGCTATCCTCAGGTGCATCTGCAGGCAGTATTGACTCTGCGACTAGGTATCGGAGGGCTAATGGCTTGTGCAGGCCAAGCGACGTGATCGCGGCCATGCTTCTTCAATTGATCTCAAGAAAATGGCTTGACAGCCACTCCTGATCCGATAGTCATACCCGTATACCGAGACGTTGCGTCGATGTAGGAGCGTACTCCGGAAAACAGCAGACTCGTGTTTATGGAGGGGAGTGAGGTGCGGTTGTTGTTCGGGGCCAAGCTTCAATCAACAAGCGCGGTCGAGCTAGACGCGAGCTTCCAGATTTTGCGGCAAACCTCCAACGTTGCGACTTGACAACCCGCATCCTCCCTCGCGAAAACTGCCTTTGGGGTTACGAGAGACAAGGGCTACAATATCTCTTCTTCCTTGTTATCACGATTTCCCGTGAGATGCTTTGAGGCTCGTCTCTTGCTGTAACTGGCTACGTTTTCACTCACAAGATGGACCTTCACTCCGCGGTGTCGATGGGCAAGTTTGATCCTATAGTGCGCCCTCGGCCAGATGGCCTTCAACTAAGGTATTGGGATGTCTTGTATGTTACCTTTATGAGCTATCTATCTGACAATCGGGCTCTAGTTACCAATTCCCTCATCGCGTGTACGATTCCAAGGTCTACCCGATACAGAGCCCCAACGGCTCCACGGTCATAATATATGGCCATGACTTTGGCATACGGATACTATGGCGAAGCGGCAAGAACTTCAAGAGACAAAATGCCCAGAAAGCGGAAGCAGGAGGGAATAACCTTGTCAATGGCGTTGAGAACGATTCTATCATGATAATCGACTCCGACGACGAGGAACCAGCTGCGGCACAACAGCCAGAAATCACACTTCCAGAGTTTGAGGAGGATGAGGAAGAGCTTGACCCATCGAGACCATTCGAGAATATCATCCAACACACCGATATTAAACTGAATATGAAAGTCTTGGGTATTTCAGTACCGAGCATTCTTCCAGGCGCGGCGCGTTTTCTCGGCTCGATCTCACCCATTCTATCAAATATGATAGTGGTGACTGCTGTTTGTGGTGACTCCTCGGTGCGCGTCGTTTCTGTCCCGCTCACACCACCTCCTCCAGGCCATGCGGATGCTGAATACTGGAAACCTCAAATTATCAGTCTAGGAGAAGGCTCTGTTCAAGGTGTCCCGGCTACCTCCGCTCTCACCTTTACCTGTCAGACACTGAACATCGAAGACAGCAATCGCCGACCCCAGAGCCGTGGACGTGCCAGCCAAGAAGCTTCCACCTCTAACGATACATGGGAACTCCTGGTAGCCATCCACACGTCAGACGCGGCTGGGAAGCTCTCCATATATCGTATCCCTTTCAACAGACAGAGAGCGCAAGGAAATTTATACAGCATCTCCACCGAACCACAATTACCGATCCGACAGCAATATCTTAAATCCCCAGCAAGCAGCATTTCCTTTTCTCCGTGCCAATATCCATCGGCTCGTCATTCACAGCTACTGTTGTCGTTCACAGACGGCTCCGTGAAGATTTATTCTTGTTTATCCGAACCACGGTCGCACACTCTTGATAGAAACCGTTCGGGAACGAGTACGGAATCCAACGACACGGCTGGAAGGTGGCTTATCTCTATCTACACTGAATTCGATCAATTACCTGGGGCAGTCCCTCGCCGCAAATCGATAGTCGACGCAAAGTGGGCTCTTGGTGGCAAAGGTGTTATCGCGTTGTTGTCTAATGGTGAATGGGGAGTCTGGGATATCGAAGCTACTCAGGGCGAGCCTACTCACCAGAGTAAATCAACTAGCTCCCTTAGCTCCTTTGCGATAACCGGGCGTGTTGCACCATCTGAACGCACTCCCAGATCACAAAGCCATGCTGACCCGTCGGGTTCTCAAGCACCGCAATTCGCCCCCTTAACGCCATCCACCCGTCGCATTCGGGAGGAAGCATTGTTCAAAGGGACACCAAACACCACAGGCCAGCATGCTACCAGGGGCGGGATCTGTATCGTTCCGTCAAACCAAACCTGGGATCAACCTGCTGATGAGTCAGTGCTCGTCTGGCATGGCACGCGAAACACATATATCCCAAGCCTCCTCGGTCTCCGACGGAGTAATGGGAAACATGGGTTATTTAACAACAACCCGACCAGCCCGCGACCAGTCCTTATTGAAAACATCCATCTACTCGGCGAGGTGCAAAAGGGAATACAATTCATTTCTCTACCTCTACCTAATGACGAGCGCGGCACTATCTCTAAACCAACTATTCTCATCACTGCAGAACATAGGCTCATCATCCTTGCGGAAAACCCTTTGGAGTCAGTGGAAACTGAGCAAACATCCCAGTCACAAGGTGACACCCCCATGATTCAAGATGACCAAACCATGCTTCAGCGAGGAGAATTAGACCTGACAGGCATGGGTCGAGTCTTGGCTGGCATGGCGGGCGGCAGCGAACTGTCATTCAACCGAAGCATGCAAGGCAGCGGTCTATTTTCATGATACCTTACTCCCACCTCCGACTAACTCCCAGTTACCTGTTTTGATACCATTTCGTGCCATGCTGTTCAATGAGTCTAATGCTGACCAACTCAAGTTTCTACCTTCTGATAGAATTTCAAATATAAACCAGGTGCTCCTTAAATATATCCCGTCATTGCCATAGCCACGACTATTTCTTAGTTCATCCAGTTGGGGGACTTATCCCCTATAATCCAAATTCGCGACGCAGGGTGGAGCACAAGGCGAGAATTCAATGCCTTGAAATTCATCGTTTCCTCCTTCGGGGGGTAGCGGTGGATAAGCTTTGTATTCGATGCGATATATTAAACAATACAGCCCTATTCCTCCCCGTCTATCTATAGATATTCGTTTATTGGTTGAGTGGCGTGGAGTTGGGCTGGTTCTCATTCCAAAGCAACTCGGCGACTCAACTTATGTTGGCTTACCGCAAGCTTAGTATTCAGTTCATGGTAGATGAGACGAGGATAATTGGAAGTAACTACTTGCTCTCCATACTCAATCTCGCGCTGCTCCTATGGCTATTTTATCTTGAGAGTAATGGAGTGAGACACAAATGTTTAGCTAGTAGAACTTTGGATACTTTAAAAACGGTCATAAGTGCATTGAGAATCTAACATCAGTGCTTTAAGTATGGTACATAGCTTTTGCATTCTCTATTAAAGTGACATTCAAAGACCTTATTACCTAAAAGATGATGGTTGTTGTATATCAGTAGAACGAAGATATGTATAATTTATCCCCGATTTATGAAAACTTCATTAACCTTATTATTAATAAACCAAGAAATGCCAAGAGACTTTAACCAAAGTTCCGGAGAAGTGGGTCCGGATTTCACCTGCTTAGTCATAATTGTGGCTTAGTCCGAGGCTTAAATCCACGATTCTCAAAGTTATCACACAGCCAGAGAATAGGGGCAACCCAGTATCAAAAGAATGTATATCTTTTATTTATAATCGGAAGGTTCTTCTTTCATAATAATAAAAGGAAAGGACACAAAGGGAAACAAGAACGGATAAAATCTAATACTAACAAGGCGAGAGACCTTGTGCCGGGTAAGAGCAATAAGAGGAAAAAGGAGGAAAATATAACGACATATCAGAGGGTTGGCTGGCTGGGTTGAGCTGAGATTGTAGTCACCGCCATATATCTAGGGAGTAAGGGTAGTAGGGTAAAACACATTTTGAGAAGAGTAAACGTGGTGAGCTGGCTAGCTGGTTACTCCGTAACTGTGAACGCTGGACTGGAAGAAGGAATAACAAAGGAAGGCAGTCTTTTCAAACCACTCGAGGATGCAATGTCGTGATAGGCGGAAGCAGCCGAGTAGTGGGTGTAGTAATAGGAAAGAGAAAGAGGATATACAGGAAGGTATAAATCGGGTGGGGAAAAAAAATAGAATATGGAAAGAGACAGAGGAAATATTGGCGTGTGCAGCCGTGGAAGGAATGACATGCTTGCTTAAAAGGCTGCTAACAAGATAATAATAACGAAGGCAGAATACAAGAAGGAAAGAATGAAATGAGTCGATTAGGAAAGGGTGCTTCTAATCCTTCGCGCGGTATGGTATGGTAAAAGTACAGTAAGACAAACAAAAGCCAGACGAGAGATGTTCTATGTCGGTGGCGTAGGCGGTGGCCGTTGAGGCATAGGCGGTCTATCGCCAGCTAGGCCGGGTGTAGGGGGCAGCTCCTTATCCCTCTCGGTACTGTTCCTCACAGCATCGTTACTCCTGTTGTCGTCGGTCCAATTGTTTAGAAGCGTGTGTGAGCCGGCGCTGTCGCCATCTATCTTCGGTGGTGGAGGTGGTGGAGGCGCAGATACTGGTGGTGGGCCAGCCGGCGCCCTCGCAGTGCGGAAACTGTATCGCCTAGTCTCTATGCTCGCCCAGCCGCCCACCTGTCCTTCCTCATTCCCAGCGGCTTCGTCCCCTCCCCTGCTCTCATTGCTTCGCCCACTCTTGCCTCCCGTGCTGCTGTTCTCGCCTACTTCTTCGACAACAGGGAGTGTTGCGGATCCGCCACCGCCATTGAAGTCCGATGGAGCATTGACCGTTTTCAGTGTTCGAGATGGCTCCGGGTGCGCAGGCAATGGTTTCTGGACATCACCTGATTTCCTTTCAGAAGAAACAGGTCCGTCTGTTTGTGCTTGGGTAGTTTCTGCATTTTGTTTCTCACGTTCCACTTCCTCCTTGGACTTGGTAATGCTCGTGATAAATTCTAAGAACCGTTCACCATAGGCTTCCGGTGGTATGGGTGAGATCTGCGAGCTGTTATGGGAGAGACCTTTCCAAAAATGTTCCGCCTTCTTAACCATGCCGTACTATAGTAATGATGTTAGTATTCTCGTGTCTTAAGATATTGGTTGTGTTTAGACTTACGTGAGTCAAACAATCGATGACACCGAGATAATATATCTCATCACCTGGCTCCCCATTCTCATGGGTCGCCCTCAATCCCCCATCATCCGAATAGAAAACTAGATTCTTTCGCTCGTCCAAGACCTCATCCGGCATCTTGGCAGCGGTACGCTCCATGGGAACCGGTTTCTCACGTTTGATCATCTCTCTCAACTCTCTTGCCTTGCGTGCATTTTCAAGCCTTGACGGTGTTCGCATGAGTAAGTTTGGCTGCTGTTCGTCTGCCAAGTCACCTCCGGGTTGGAAGATCTGGAGCGTTCGATCTCGTAGCTTCTCTTCGTTGCCTTTTTCAACATCGTGGATCCCGATTAAAAGGGAATAGTCCATGATCTTGAGCCGTTGGAGCAGGGTGACGTCTCGACGGAGCTGGGCGAGGAATACTTCTCGTTTAGCTCGACCGCAGTTTAGATGACGGTCTCGCCGTAGCCAGTTAAGGTCTTTGAGAGTAGCTCGCGGGTTGGCTTCGAGATCTTCTTCTCTAAAGTCCCGTCCAATCGTTGAACCCTTTAAGTCATACATTTGATGAATATCTCGGTGTGGTGGGAACAGGTTGTTCATAACGACAAAGTGAATTTTTCGACCGTATGCCATCTTAACGCGATGTAAGCCGTAGAACTGAGAGATGAGGGTGTTGGGGTTATTCTCGATGTGTTCGTAGTATTCACGAAGTATCTTGCGGAGGAGTTTATGTTCGGCGTGGTGGATGGTTTTGATGATGTACTTGTAGTCACGGGAAAAGTAGAAAAAGCTGCCACTTTTACCTGGCGAGCCTAGTTCGGAGAGGATATATTTGCTTGTGAGAGACATGAGATAGTCGGCTGGATCGAGTTGGAACTTTGAACGCAGCCGTCGAAAGACCCAGGGAGCGTAGTCTTTGAATTTGAAGTCATATTTTGCTGAAGGGGTTAATTCGTTCCCGGTGCTATCAATCAATCGTTAGTTTCAGCTAAACATTATCCAAGTAGTTAGAAGGGGCAGGCATACATATCAAAAGAGAACTTGTGTTTCGCATCAAAATCGGCATCCGTAAGTTCACGATCCAGCTTCGCGTTCGTTCTTGATACTGTGAACCGAATTCCCGTCAACATATTATATGCTGTCACCCAATTTACGTGATGCATGTCGACTTTCGTCCCAACAATAACGCGGTCTTCGTCTTCTTCCTCCCGTCGTTTCCGTTTGCTAGCACGGCGCTGTTTGAATGCTTCTGTCCATCGCGCAGCACCTTCATCCTGCAGGGCTTCGTCGAGATACGTCTCAGACGGGTTAGATCTGGGTGTGAGGCGAGGGATGTTGAAAGAGGCGCGACGCAGAACGGAAGCCGGAGAAGTGACACGGTCGATGGGCAAGAGCGTGTCGTCAACGGCGTTGGGAGTAGAAAGGTCGCGACTAGCTCTCGAGGAGGAATGTCGTGGGACCTGGAGGGTGTGTCGGTGAGCTAGGCGGGTGCTCTGGAGGCTGGATGGGGAGGTCGGTACATCGGACGGCGAGTTTGTAGATCCTGGGAGTGGTGGAGAGGAATGGCGGTAGATATTGGAAGGTTCTGGAGAGAGGCTGGTGGTGTCGAGGTTGATGGTATCAAGGTTTATGGGCTTAGGCGCGGGAGTAGTTGGTATAGCAGTCGGTATAGGCGGAGGAGGTCTGGTTGGAGCCGGTCCTACACTGTCATTTTGCGATGAAGAGCTTGGCGGTGTAAGTTCGGCAGTAGACGGGTATCCGGTGTAGTTGTGAAGCTGAGAGGAGGAGTAGTTCGTGAGTCCTGACCGAGGCCTATATGGCAGCCCATTGACCATCGACTGGGTTTTCATACCATCGCCATTCGCAGTCTGGCACTGGCTGTGATCCATACTATTTCTTGCTCCATTCGACCAGCGGTCATCCGTGAATGCTTCATAGTTCGTTCCGCCATTTGTCCTAGCTTCGTCGTGGCTAAACGCCATTCCTATCGGCATTGAGCTGGATGGCACGGTATGTCCATTCCTCGCCGACGAGTCGGTGCTCTCAGCGCGGTCTCTGGACGAAGGGACAGATACCGTGGCACCAGCCTTCGAATTTGGGCCCTTGGACGAGCGGTTGTCAACAAAGAAATTCGCCGAAGCGGTGACTCCATTTCCGGCATCTCCGTTGTTGAAGTCTGGGTTCCACAGAAACGTGTTATGAGCTGTTGGTTTATCGTGTGATTTTGACGGCGAGTGACCGAACAAGGACGAGGAGGTCGTGGCCGTGGCCGTGACCGTGGCAGCTGTCGTCTTCGAGCCGGCCTGCTGGTGCTGACGGACTGCCGTGTCCGGGGAGGAGAGAGCCGGCATGGCTGGGGGGGATCTTTGTCTCTGGGCTGGAGGAGGAGGCTGTTCGATGACCAGATAGTCGACTCTCCAGTTTCCTTCAGCCTTGTCTTCCCCGCCCGTGAAGGTTAACATAAGTAGATGGCGTAGGAGAGGCGCGAGAAGGGAGATATAGAGGCTGTCTCTCGACCTGGTTTGCCCTGAATTGGCCCGTAAGGCACGGTAGCCTTTGGTGCGGTGTACTCCGTGCGAGCTGAGAAACTGAGAAAGAGGTCGTAGAAAGCAGGCCTGCCTACAGCGAGCAGGCAGGAATCGAGTGAATAGAGCCTTTGCCCATGACAGGACGAGACGAGGGAGAGTCTGGTGTCTGACGGGCGACGATGGGCGACGTAGGAGGAGGTTGAAGGTTGGTTGACGACGCTCGATGACGATGTCACTGTGCGATACACGCCGTTTCCCTGGGTTCAGCGCCAGAAACCACCGGCTCGAGCCAGACGGAGGACAAGGTAACGGTTTAAGCGAGCAGCCAACCGACTCGGTCTGTCTCGTTCGTCTGGGGAGGTTGATGCTCGCGATGTCTGCTATCCTCAACCTCGACGTCGACGATGTTTCCTTCGCCTTGCCAAGCCCAAAACAGTCGTTCCTCCTTCGCTGTCAAGCCACAAAAATCTCCAACTCTACGGAGTACAGCAGCGTTCTTCCGCTGGACGGCCGGGATCAATACGAGGCTAAGAATAAACCACTTGTCGACTGCGGCTACGCTGTACAGCCTTTCGTTCCACTTGGCACCACTGGACGACAGGACGACAGGACGTTCGCTTGATATTCCTACCCCTGAGCAGCTACAAGTGAAGGCCGTACACTGTCGATAGCGAAGACAGTGGCCGTGACGGTGACGATGCTGTGACTGTGTAAGGATAGTTCACGCAATTACCGAGTCTCCGGGCCAACTCCAGCTGAAAGAGCATTATCAGACACGTTAGCAGGCAGGGATAGCGGCAGGCCCACCAGCACCCCCTGGCAAATACTTGTCGAAAGACTCGTTTCTCCCGACGATATTACTCGTATTTACACGGAAGCTGTCAAAAGTCAATGGCGCGTGGAAGGATTTAGCGTGACAGCTCCATAGAAACGATGCTTGATGGCTGCACTGCCACAGTCAACAGAGACATGCAGGATATCAATACATGGAGTAATTTCGCTACTGGCATCGATGCCCCTTTTACCTCCAGTGACGTCGCATACGGGTCAGTCGGTGAATTGGAGATCACGATAGGTCTAAAGACTGCATCTTGACAAGACTCGGACTGGCTACGGAATAGTTTCAAGAGAGATATGCAGTCTCTGGCTATAGTCGAAACACCTCCGTGGCGTCTTAATCCACGATCCTCCCACCACAATATTATCGCTAGCATTATTGAGACCTTTATACAGCCAGCATTGGCCGATGGAGTCGAAGATACAGCCGAGGGTCTATCGTACACCCTATACCGATAGGCAGGGTGAGACCTTGGAACGTAGCTTTCCCTTGCTTTGGCTGATGGCTGGAATAGCTGTGGCCAAAACTACCAACAGCACAGTTTATTAACATGATCCCAGGTTCACGGCAGTCTCTCCGCATTTCATGGATAATGTCTGTCATAAAAGCGTCCTGAACAGTGTCGAAGAGCAAAAGTTGCTGTAGGGTCGACGAGCGAAAGTCTCAACTTTCAACTTCTCAAGCGGAAGGACTTGACTCCTGAGAGAAGCAACCGCCCGGTTGGAAAGGACCCGGAAAGGAACCTTGCCACGGTGACTGCAGTTTCCCTTGACTCTAGTGAATTTCCAATCGAACCTACTCAACATGCACACCTTAACTAATGTTCAGGGAAACCCCTCCAATGAGCTGCATGGTAGCTACACCATTGTAGTCATAAGAATATGATATATCCAAACAATGACTTCTCTCCTGGAGTAGGATCGAAATAAGTATGTATACCAGCCTCTTACCCTGGATTCTGGGTTCAATGCCGCCCTTCTCAAGATACTCTAGCTCTCCATTTCCAAGATGGGCGAGCAGGGCCCTGGAGTTTAAGCTCAGTCAAGCCTACAGTAGATACATCACTCTGTGCTTCCGCAATCAACTTTAAGAGCATATCGAACCACTGACGATATAGTCTGCCCTAGATGCCCCTCAATCGGTTAATTGTGACCCCTCCTGAACATAAACTCCTTAACCCTAACGGTCCAGCTAGAGTGTGGACGTATCTGATATACACAGTTAGCCAGGCTTTATATGATCTTCCCGCACCTATCAGCTTGCTTAGTTCCTTTCGAATACATGGCTAGATTTCGGCATGTCTGGGGATTCTCCAAATAGGCCTCGGGCCTTGTGTCGATCGCAGGCTTCTTTGACCTTCGCCACAGGTTGACGACTACCTATACAACGTTAGCCTTTCACCTCTAAGGGTTCGAACTTAGACTGATGCTCTCCCGGTCAGAATAGGAGACATAGTTAATGCGTAGAACGGTTACGTTGTCGGGTTCATGCATGAACTTCCCATATAGCTATCTCAACAGGTCTAACCTGAAGTCTTGAGTGGCTCTTTATTTATTTTTAGGTATCCAGTTACTTTTTAATTCTAGCTGGCCTAGTGTTCTTTTAGTCTCAATCTTAAGTGTGCAGGTCACTTATACTTCAATCTTCGTAGTTATGAAATAATCTAGTGCAAATGTAAGTGAACAAAACATTATTCCTTTCTGGTATCGATTTCAACCATATGTATGCAAGGGTCCGAAGCACCCGCTTGCTTGTCTGTAGTATTCACGGAATAAGTCACCGTTTTAGATATGTAGTCGTCTCGTTCAACCAGCGTAGCAGAGTCGCTGGTGGGCTGTTCCCTTGGCCGAGAATTCGAAGAAGAACCCGGGCTTTTCCTAGATCCATTGTCTGTGGGTTGACCAAGTATGCCTGGTGCGAAACGAATGAGCAATACTCGAGTAGCGGGTAAACAGGCACAGATAATGGCCACCTGGCATTCAATCATAGACCAGTAGATGAGCGGTTCCATTTCGTCTATGGAGCGGATAGTCAACGGTTAGTCCATGAACGTAAGTATACGGAGATAGGAGATCTTAATATCAAGATCCAGTATCTAGAAAGGTATAGAGGTACTCACAGGTAGGATTTTTGGTAGGATCATGCTTAAACAAAACTATCACTCGTATAGTTGCGATAGCCGTCACACTAAGAGCAACAAAATTCAGTCAGTAATGAAAAATGGAATGCTCAACCAGGCCTATCAACTTACAAGAGCCCCATTGCAAACATCACCGCAACCCCTATTTTTTTTCGCCATGATAATTTCAGCTTTAACACTTCGTACACGGGCAAGGATACCATAACAGTATCCACTGTAATGTTAACGAATCCATTGACATAAGTCGAAGTCATGAAATCAATGCATTTTCCAGGCTCATCCATTTTCCACCCAGTCCAGGCGAGACGGACAGGGGTACAGCGAAAGCTATCAACCAGTATCCATGTAACCGCAATAGCACCATTGATCACTATAATAGTGTTCATAAAGTAGCGGAATATTTTTGATTGGAAAATTCGTAGCATGAATAAACCGACGGATATTTTAGCAAGGGATATAAGTGCTTTGTATGATAGGGCGTATGCAAAAAAGAGCTAAGCGGACGCCCCCAGTTAGCCTGGCTATGCTTTATTTTCTTTAGGGATGTAAGATAAACAAACCTTGAAAGCTGTTGTGATATGCTCCTGCGGGATAATATCCCATATATTCTTTCCAAATCCATGGTATATCACTAAAAATAGTTAGAGGGGCCTCGTCTATCGTCCAAGGAGCCTTAATCTTACTTGATGCGTGTAATGAATAAACAGCGATGGCGAGTACCTATAAGTCGAATAAGCGGAATGGCCAAGTTGATCATAGAAAGGGTTGGTCTTACATATGCCGTTATTATAGTGAAGTCATCAGCCCCCCAGCCACCACCCAGATGCAGTACCTTGGAAATTATCCTGATTGTGACAAAGATAGTAGCGGCTATAAAAGGAACAAGTGTTCCAGCGTCGAGTACGGGGTATAGCGGCTCGATAGGAATATTGCATGCGCGAGATCCAAGGTATTTTGCGGCTAAACTTGGCGTATTAGAACAGTCCAACATGAGATGACGGGGTGACATACTCAGCGCCTCACTTGAAGTGCAGTGGGCTATTATACATTTAGCAGCCTCCGCTTGAAATGACTTATCCGAACAGAGGCAGATTGTGTCATTTCTCGAACATTGCGTAGGAAGGTCAGTAAGCACTTGACGTTGACAATCGACCTAACCACCCGTTAGACATATCTATAAGAAGAGGCAATTATGGGTTCATACAGCACACTGAGGAGCAGCTGGTTCTTCCCTTGGAGCCAGGTCTCTTGGAGTCAACCGCGAGACGGCAACTGGGGATGCCAGTGTGATGGATATCGTTGATATCAAGGTGAATATCGGTAGCAAATGCATTTTTTGTAGACTTGATGGCCAGGTATGCAGCAAGTAGGAGGCAGTCTCACAGAGGAGGATCTAACCGCTATTCGGTCAATGAACTGGTTCAAGGGCGAAACCAGACATTATATGTATAGGTTTTTCTGTTCTATATGTGAAGGGGGGCAACATATTTGCCTTCTAGAATAACGAAAGCTTCTGCTTTGTTCGCCTGTGTGAAGTATTCGATACCTCATTTGGGGTATACCTACCGCCATAACTGGACCTTGGCACACCACCAGGCGGGAAAGAATGCTAAGGTTAATATGTCCGATGAATATGAAGATATAATCCGAAAGCCAATGGATGGTTATAAACAGGCTCCAACTGGACGGGACGCCTGGGGGATCTGCATGATTATTGATTGCTCCCGTGTCGCTGACACCCACCCGTCGCTTAAACTCACCTGTTGGCTACGCCCACCATATTCTCTCGCCTGCCGCTTCCCACTAGTATCAACTATAATACTATCCAACCGTTTTTTGAATCTTGCCACGCCCTTAGACGACCCACGATTGGGCCTGTCTGTGCCTGTGCCACGGCGGCGGACGGGCGGTGCCCCAGATCAATTTTTTGCTTAAACGAGGCCCGACCGCCGCTCAAGCCAATATCAATGCATTGTTATCTCGTTCTAGATTTATAAAGATCCGAGAGTTAGAGGATATCAGAATCGCCCGTTTTGGAATCACGCTCCCGTGCTCAGTCTCTCCTAAAGTGGCAAAATAACACCCCCTTGCATGTTTGAGCCAGCTGTGAAGTAACACTTAATAGTTAACTAACAAAGCCTAACCAACGGTTCCTTTATGACTGGTAGAAAAACATTTTAGGATAACTAGATACTAGTTAGCTCCGATGTCTGGCATATCTCCTCGGTGGTCCCCAAGCGTCGCTTGGCCACCCCAAAACGCCTGACGCCTCATAGGGGGAAACCATGTGATAATATATCCGTTTGACTGTCAATAACGCAGAAATGGCCTTCGGAAGAAGTTTAGGCTGACCGGATGGTTTGAAAAAACGGGCAGGCAACTGCGAGATGGTTGTCAGCGTGCTGAAATACGAGCCGTCTCTCGTTGAAGATGACGCCGGTTGAAGACAGCGTGGAAGACGTTAAGAGATTGGCGGACGGCGGCGGGTACGAGGCGGCTGCCGGCGCCGGGCCGATAAGCGCTCAAACTAATCAGAGCGCGAGAAATGGACAGGCGACTGACAGAACAGTAAGCCAATAAGACTTCGTAATACTATAACTAAGGTTCGAAACTAGCGCCCTCCGCCGCTCATTGGTGGAACCGGAAATTTCAGCAACGACTACACTAAAAGGACCACAGATATAGGGAAGGACTACAAATATAGGGAAGAGATGACAGTTGATATAAATATACTGGCAACTACCATTTCTAATTTGGAGCCATGACGATTGTACCCTTTTCTTTTCTCTTCCACCTTCCCCTCTCATCTCATTCGTTTCCAGCCCCTTTTCGCCTGTTTCTCGAAGCGAGGGCAAAGAGGAAGCGAAAATAGACTGTTTGTAGTTGAACAGAAAGAAACTTATTTCGGTCCAGCCATATACCCTGAACGCTTGCTAAGGACCTTTATTTCTGTACCAACTTGGGAGACCTGCTGGATTAGCACGCAGGCACAGCTCCCGGAGCACAGCCGCCCAACGTTGGGGGGTCGTGAAGTGGCCCGCAGCAGACGAAAGTGGCAGCAGCATTATACAGTGGCCATTTGCTTGGCCCGGGACCTATAATGTGTTAGATATCTTCATTATGTGCACACACGGAAGGTTGGACGTCGTTGTCCTTACATGAGGTGGCGCCTAATGAGCTTTGGGCTGGAGGGATACCGCTACATGAAGCAGGACACACTATGCCGAGGAAGATTCCCAGTCAGTATTGGCTTCATATCCCCTCCAAAATTCTTTCTCCCTATGGTGGACAACTTACGCGATCCTGTACATGACGCGCATGCTATAACAGTTAAGGAGAAGGCGAATAATTGTCAGTCAAAATATTACTCCTTTGAGTATATTGAAAGCACAAGGTGTGGGAAGTTGAGGGGAAACTGACAAACTGAAGGTGGTGGCGGTGGAGGAGTTGCTGGTGCTGCAGGCGGTGCTGGACCTTTGCATGTCACAAACAAGAGCCAAAAGTGACATCCATTAGCCAGAGGGAAGGCACTGGCATTTGAAATCGCGAAGATAGCAATGAGCAAGAGTTTGAAAGGCAACATGATTAGGTACGTATACCGCGGATACGCAATTTGATTGCAGCTATGTGGTTGAACGTAAAGGCGACGGGTGAGATATCAACCAGAATATTTTTTGCAAGGTGCTACTATTCTTATAAAGCCTCCTACCCTTCGGGGAGCCTATTTAACTCAAATAAGGGCCATTTAATCCCCTGTGCATAGGCTCTCTAGATTGCTATCTACTCCCTACCATGACGTACCATTAGCTATGGAATCACGGGCATCTATGCATCAATAACCCGGAACAGTAGCATCTGCCTAATCTGATGCCACATCATGCCCGTGTCTAAAACAACACCGATTATATGTGCTCTCAGGCCTATCTCATGAACCTTCATTTATATCCTGGCCAGACATGCATAGTGTCTTAACTGAATTTTGGGTATTTCTATACCATGTTCGGGAAGCACTGCAATCTCTACTGGATAATTGGCCTTTTCCCCGATCCCGTGAGGGGAAGTCTAGGGGTGACATCCTCCCTGTTCGATCACGATGGTTCCCACTGGCAGGAGCGCTGGTCGCGTTTGAAATATGCACCTCGGATAGTACCGCAGTAAACCTTACGCATAGCCAATCACCCCATATATACAATTCCACCTCCTGGAGAACTTAAGGGCAATGACTCTTAAATATGCAGTCTCACGCATTATCCAAGCACTTTCAAAAATTTGTTGTCGAAATTCCGACACTACAGAATGCAAATGTGGGCGAGGTTCGAATCGACCAGGCTAAGCGGCATAGGTGCAGCAAGGACAAGGGCAGTTGGCCGGCCTCATTCCGTCTACCGACCGAGTTATTTTGCGGCTAGCTGAAACAAAGAAAGAAAACCAGGGGGAAACGATTTGAATAAATCATGCGGCGCCCTTTTGAGATAGTGAAAGCTGTCTGTCTGACGTATGCCTGCCATGCCCCCTGTTAGAATGACTATCAAAATCGCAATTATCAGATTGTCATTCAATGCATGAACCCAAATAAGGAATATGGATTGACCCATTGCATCCCGTATGATAGCCTGGACTTTTCCGCGGCCCGTCTCTTTCCCCTCCCGCCAGGAAATGATACCAAGCGAAAGACCTAGTTCTGACACTCTGGATGAGGCATTCGCTGGCAAGCAAAAGCGTCTACTTAAAGTAGAACTTGGCCACCCTTCTACCTTCTTAGCGAGCAACAAGAACCCCCCTTTTTTTCCACTCAACCCGTTATTCTCCAAACCAAAATGCCTTCTGTCAAAATGTTTCTCGCGTTTGCTGTGCTCGCTCTCACCTATACAGGCTCCCTTGCCCAGACTGTAGCAGGAACTTGCGACCAGGACGATGGCAAATATTTCACGGACACAAAGAGTGGGTTGAGGATTTGGCATATGGCCCTTAGCTTTCGCTAACACTGATATAGGCCAAACGTACAAAATTGTATGCAACTACAGGATAGGGGCCACGGAGTTGTCACGAACTCCAAGACCTAGTCTAGCAAGTTGTATAAATTTATGTTCGTACACTGCCGGCTGCAACTCTGTCGACTACAACCCTACCGACAGAAACTGCATTCAATATGGAGGTTCGGTGGTAGGTGTGATAATTTTTCCGTACAAAGATATTAGAATGGCACTATTAATACAATTAACAGAAAGGTACTCTAGCAGCCCCCGGAACCCACCACGCATACCGTGAGGTTGCGGGCACCCCGCCATCACCATCTGGATCATCTTCACCCCCTCCCCCATCAGGGTCTTCTGGCTCGACACCACCAGCAGAAACCTCTGCTCCAGCAACCTCCCCACCGCCATCTTCTCCTCCACCTTTTACCCCACCACCTGCTCAAGAAAGCCTTGAGATTGTCAGCAACCCCAAATGTGGGACTGATGCTGGAAAAGGATGGGTAGCCGATGATGGTGAGAATGACTTCCAAGTTTGCCATTTTTAGTATTTGTGATATTTGGCTTACCGCTCGAAAGGGACCCATTATAAGATTCAATGCGGCTTCCACGCAGCTGGAAACCAACTCGCAAAGCACGATGGTGTCCCCAGCTTTACTGAGTGTATGAAGAAATGCAGTGAAACGGTTGATCCCCCCCAGCCAAAAGTCAACGTATTGATCTAACTGCTGTGTAGAACGGCTGCCTCTCAATTCAATACATGAACAACCCACCGGCACCAGGCTATACCGCCAACGAATGTATTCTATCCGACGGCGAAGGCCCAGGAACTACCACCTGCGAACATTGGTTTGCGTTAGTTTATACTAAATACTTGAACACACTTTTCACTTATGATACTGATGGTCTATTTCCCCTAGATACACCGTCCCTCCACCCGCACAACCAGAAACGGACCCATTCCCATACACCCTCTGCGAGACGGTCTGCCCCTTCAGCGACGGTATGATCTATGAGAGCGACCATGGCGAACGTTTCAAAATGAGTTGCAGCAAGAGACACGGAATGAAGGTCCTCTGGACCCAGCCAGCCGAAACCTTCGATGACTGTATGGATATGTGCGCAAAGATTGTGGTAAGTATAACTCCTAAGCCAGATACATCGCGTACCTAACATGAGAACAATGAACAGCCATGCCATAGTGTAGACTACCAAGCTAGGACCAAGAAGTGTTATCTAGGGTAAGATCAAACCCCCAACCCCCCCAAACTAGCTGGATCGAGAAGCTAATATCATTATCCAGCGGGAATAATGGTCAGCCGAGCATCGCAGCGGCCAGTTTTGCCAGTGCGACCTCTATCGGATGTGCGTCCTCCTGCAAGAAATCTTGCTCATGTAAATAAACTTGATAGCAGGAGTGGATAAGAAGGATGAATGGAATGGGGATGGATCACTGACTGGAAGAGCTTGATGGACCTTCGAAGAAGAGTGGAGGACCATAGGTTGAGAGCCCTTGGGAAAACACCGACCAACTTGGTAACTAACTAGTCCAACTAGTTATGCACGCAAACTGATTTCTTTTGTTCTCTAATCTTCATTTTTGTAGTCTTCTTGTGTCCCTTTATGGAAGTAGGTAAATAAACCACTACGCCAAGAAGTCCCACTTCGAACCTTAACTCTAACGTTAATTTAGTCTTTTGCTTATGTAAATCTTGGATATCACATGACCATATCCCGTAGTTTCCTCGCTCCCTTTGTCCACTGCTCATGCATCCTCCATACTTACATTAGAATATCTCCCAGCCAGATCCTACGGGAGCTTTGTCAGGAAGTCACCCACCATGTATACCAATTTACCGACCTTGTCCTTTTTAATGGCTAAATGCATACGACAGTGGCACGATCAAGTTATTTATCACCTATCTCAGAGGACTTCAGCAAACCGCCTTTCTCTACAATGGCCCGATCGCTCGTCACTATTGCTAATCGGACCATGAAGGAAACGTCTACCCATCCTGAGGCAATAATGGAATGAAATATATCCTAACTATGAGGACCTACCATTGACTAGATTTCTTGGAGGCGAAGATGTTGTGATGGGCGTTGGAGAGTTGAATCGTAACCACTGCAGAGAGAATTACACATCTTTTCTCGTATTTTCCTCTGAATGCGTACTTGGGTTATATACCTCACCCATGGATAAGGAGACTCGTACTTGGATTGAGCGGAGGCGTTAGAACGAGATGGGAACGACGAAGTTTTCGACGGAGTTCTATAGGTGAGCGATACCAATGCAGGAGTGCTGGACTTGGGTTCATAACAGCCATCCATCGTCCCGTGCCTAGTCCAAGGGCAATATCGCCTAGCATTCAGCTTGTTAACATCCGTACAGCTTTTTCTCATCGCTGAAGCTCCTAGAACCAAGTCGAGTCGAGTCGTCTTGGGCAAGGCTGTCAACTTCCACTGGAGAGGTGTTCCGATACTCAGATCAGCAACTTAATATTGAATAGGACCAAATCGTCACAAAGCCTAGGCCACCAAACAAGAAACAGGAAACAGGAAACACCACTACTGATCCATTGGACGATCTTCTGCCCGAGGAGAAACCTTAGGAGGTCGGCCTAGGACGGAATCCCCCACTACTGGCTAGTTTGGATCCGTGTTTCCCGTGCTGGCATAAATAGGGCCACATGTACGGGCTGCCACTTGGCCTTCAGCTGGAACGAGCGATTCCGGGCATTCTCCGGGCTGATGCTGATGCTGATGTCAAAGTATTACGTTGTCATAACTGAAGGGAAAACATACTCCGTAGCGCTGGATAGCTCTGTTAGTTATACCTTTGTGCAAGGACAAGGGTAATACAAGCATCCTGTCCTCAGCTTCGTGTCTGGCTACCTATTATTCGTCGGGCTTCACAGGACTATCGGTAGCTGTCACAGCCACGACGAAAAGCTGACATTGCGACCAAACTGGCGGCCGCTGACTACCTGCTGGGTCTCAATATTGGAATCCCGGGTAACCGACGCGAATAAGGAGGTTGCCACGTCAGCGTTAGAAGTCACAGCGAAGCCAGTACCTTCAGTCCTTCGGAACGGACGGAGTTTACCCGTAGCGAAAAACCTCTATATCACCACATTGCGTATGTTAGCAGTATAGCTTCATGAAGTGCAATACTACCGTGTTGTAGGGGTGATAACATCAGATGTAAGGAAGTATGTTGGTGTCTGCAAATATTTTATTCCGTCGTGAAAGGGATTGACTCGAGTGAAACTCGCCAGCGGCTGAATGCCCAGTTCAGGGGAGATGGCATCCCATCCAAACGTCTGAAGGAACGGGGAAATAAATACGAACCACGATCATAGCCACGATATTGACACGCCATGGTACGAAAAAAGCAATTAAATAAGCCATTACTAGCTAAAGTAGCGCGAACCTTGCTACATAGTTCGCTACAACAGCCCAATAATTCTTTTCTTTGTCGTTGCATGAGCTGCGAACCAAGTTTACGCCTATCTATCCCTACGCTCTATATCCTACGCAAGGGAAGATGAATAAATGAACGAAACCATAGATTTCATATCCATACACAAAAAAGTTGCGGCGAAACAATAAAGAGCGCAAAGAGAGAGATAAACACATAGCCATAAACATTAACACGAAGAACAGAAGAAAAAAAGGGACGATGAAAAAAAGGAAAAGAAAGGTAATGCAAAGTCCATCCATCCCTATCCCCCACCTCGAGACGCCGGTTCGTTTGTTTGCTTCCCTGCTGGTGCTGGTGGTGTTATATATTGGTATGGTATGGTTTGGTATAGTGTGGTGTGGTATGGTCGTGGGCGATGAGTTGGGATGGGCGAGCGAGAGTCGAGGAAGGAGAGATGAGGTGAAAGAGGGTATTCGGTCCATGTCGGATCCACGGAGAGGGGAGAGAGAATGTGTGTAGAAGGGAGAGATATCATATCAGCCCGTACCAACCAGCTAACCATCCAGTCCACGAGCGCAGCCGGGAAGGCATAACAAGAATGAAGACAAAAAATAAGAAAAAGACCAGTCAGGCTCAACAGGGCACGTATATTATATCATGTTCATGGTTTTTTGGTGGTCCTGTTGGCTCAAGCGGAGGCTTTCTTGGGTGTTCCCTTGGCGGTGCTGGTTCTCTTCTTCTTTGGGGCGGCCTTCTTGGGAGCGGCGGCTGGTTTGGCAGACGACTTGGTTACTCTGCCTGACTTGGTCTTACCGAGGACCTTGGGCACGTCAACGACGGCGGGTGCCTGATATGCTGTTAATAGAGTAGCAGAATTAGGCAGAGAAGGGATACGTACGGAGGTGGAAGCCTTGCGTTGCTTGGTGGTGTTGGCCTTGGTCTTTGTCTTGGTGGCAGCAGCCTTCTTGGTGGTGGTGGTGGTGGTAGCAGCGGCCTTCTTTGGCTTCTCTGCCTTGGCTGCTGGCTTCTTGGTGGTAGTGGTGGCCTTCTTGGTAGCTGGTTTAGCAGCTTGTTTAGCAGCTGGCTTAGCAGCGGGCTTGGTTGCGGCGGCGGCCTTCTATACGGAGTTAGAAAGAGAGCTCTACGATAACGGTAAAGGATAACAGTAGAGCGATGGACGCACCTTGACGGCAGGCTTAGCGGCGGGCTTGCTGACTTCCTTCTTCGCGAGCTTCACGGGGCCAGAAGGACCTAAGACGCGTCAATAGAGGATCAATAAATGTGATGGAACAGAGCCGGCCGTACCCTTTGGCTGGGTGAAGTCGCCCTTCTCGACGGCAGCCTTGAGAGCACGGTTGAACTGCGCGTCAAAGGCAGCCTGGGAGGTGATGTTGACTGTGTTGTTGTTCTGGACGTATTTCTTGAGCGCTTGACGGCTGCAGACACGGATTAGCACGGGACCATGGAGAGAGAACATTGACGAAGCAGACAACGTACCTGCTTCCATTGCGTTCTTTGAGCTGGATGGACGATGAACACGTTAGAAAAAATCTTCAACACGCGACGACGCAAGGGTATCTCTCATCATCTACTCGCGATGATGGTGGAATGTTGATGTTGATGGTGGTGCTGTGGAGATGGAATCGCCACGCAACCACCGCGACTCGGGGCTGATCTACTCACGGCGACAATGGCATCCTTGATCATATCTACACGACTCGAGTCAGCAAACGAACGCGATTCCAGCGAGACCGGTATCGTGAGCCAGCGACGCGGCTGGGTGCTGGATCACGGCCGTCTCTGGGAGAGGAGTAGGGCTTACCTTTGTACGAGGCGTGGGTGGCGGCAGCGGCCTTGCCAGAGGCAGCAGCGGCAGCTTTCTTTGGAGGCATGGCGACGAGATGGAGGTAGCTGGATACTGGATCGACGAGAGAAGCTGGAGATGCGAGAGAACAAGCTGAGAGACGCGTTGGTGGCGGTTGGATGTTGTTGTTGTGGTGGGAAGAGTTGAACGGGCGCAGGGAGGACGGGCAGGCCAGCGGGGCATGGGCGACTTCTTATAAGGGCGCCCCGGGGCGGGCGAGTTGATCTGCCGCATCACCTCTTCCTCCTCTTCTCTCTTACTACTATTCTCTGTTCTGTTCTCTGTTCTGTCTATGTTCTGTTGTCTCATCTTGTCTTATGTCTGTCGCATGTCGTTGTCTGGTCTATGTCTACGAGTTCTCCTCCCATCACATCACATCCATCCTATCCTATTCATATATTCATTCGGTCGTGCGATCGCCTTGACCGGCATGCTTATAGACAGTATCTAACCTGCTCCCATGTATACCAGCGAGGACGATGATATGCCACCGTAGTCCATCTATCCTCGTCTTCATCTCCATCATCGCCATCATCGTCCTCGCCGTCGCCGTCGTCGCATCACCGCGATGAGCGCATCTGGCGGCCATCCTGCTGAAAACACCGTATCCATGGCTGTCTCCCTAGACCGGCGACCGTAGCTATGCAAAAACCGCATCCAGGCCAGCTTTATCCCTCCTGGTGTGGCCGTGTCTTGCTCTTCCGTCCTATCTAGATCTATACAGCCCGTAGCCCGCAGCTTTCATGTATTGGGATCACGACCAGACAGCGGTCATGTACTTCCACCGCAGCCAGGAGACATCTTGCCCTGTAGAAGAAGGAAAACTCGCCTCCTGTCTTCTTCTTGCCTTTACTGTGCGGGATCACTCTCTTCTCGTCTTCATCCTCTCTCTCCAGCTTCATCTTCGTCTTGTATAGTTCGTTTGGTTGTTTTTTTAGCTGCGGAGTGGATGGCTTGGCGCCTACATAGGTTGTATACAAGAGGAACATCGACGGTGGACGGAACAACGCTTGATCTTGGTGGCCACAGGACAGCTATGAGGGTGTAAGATGGTAGATGGGAAGAGCGGTCGTCGCTCTTCATGGCTATCTACTTTACAGGCCGATAGATGCATGGGGAGAGCCCGAATCAGGCGTTGTTCTCGCGTGTACCTGGTACCCAAGGATCACCACCACAACATACGATGTTAGGAGGACAGATGTCAACGATAGAGATGATAGTGATGGTAGAGATGGTAGAGGTAGAAGAGATAGAAGAGATGGAAGAGATGGTAGATGTAGGAAGGTAGATAAAGAGAATGCACCGCGAACGCCGTAACACCGTACAAGAGACACCGTAGATATGCTAGAGAGCTATGCTGCTCCCCTGGGCTTCGCTCCCATCGCCCTCTTCGCCTTTGCGTCCTCCTTTTTTTTCTTCTTGGCCATCTCCACCTTCTCCTCTGCCTTTCTCTTCGCGCTGGCCTTCTGCTCGTCCGTCTTGGCCACCGGCTTGAAGAAACCCTCCAGCCGCGACTGCTGGGCGCTCTTCAGGTTCTTCACCAGCCGAGCAGCACCACTGCGCACCCGGTCTTCACTGAACCCCTTTTCCTCGACCAGGAAACGAACCAGTCCCTCGATGTCGGGCGCAGACCACTTGACGTCGCACTCGGGCGCGTCGGCGGGTCTGACGTCCGGGTTAAAGAAGAGGTCGCGGGCCTGGAGGTACGGCCAGTCGTCGGGGATGACGTATTTCTTCTTCGGGTCGTTGGTGATGGCCTCTACCACTTTCTCGAGCGTGCCGTGGTCGCGGATCAGCTTCAGGGCGGTGTTGGGGCCGACTTTGGGAATGGGATCTAGATAGTCACATCCGAGTAATATGCACAGGTCGACGAACTGTTCACGTCAGCAAAAAGATGTCCTCTCCAAGGGCAATGAGGTAAAGTCAAGCTAACCTGGGGCATCTCCATCCCTAGCCCTTCCAGCACCTTGTCCAGATGGATCTCCAGAATTGGCTCCTTCCGCTGCTCGCTAAAGGTAAGATGTCTCAGCAACACCGGTGCTGCAAAGCACAGCGTATCCATATCCTCCGAGGCAGCACCAAACACTTTCCCGCCCTTTGCAAGTACCGCACACTGCGCCTCTGCTTCCGTGGGCGCATCGATATGCGGGATCCCCATCAACCCCAGTAACCGCTTGCACTCCGCATTATGCTCCTTTGTAACCCTCACCGTCCGACGAGAGAACTTTTCCACTTCCTCCGCCGTGCCTGTCTCCTTGGCCTCCTCGGCAGCCTCCTGAGCTTCCGCCTTGCGCATCGTACGTTTCGCCAGTTCACCGGATTTCAGCTTCGGAGGGGCCCCGTCAAAGACATAGAGCGGCTTTATCCCATTGTCCACCATGCGGAGGGTACGGTAGAACATTCCCATCAGGTGCGAGGTCGTCTCGCCGGACTCGTTGGTGAGCTGTTGGCCATCGGAGCGCACGGCGATAAGAAAGCTGTAAATGCTCATTGACCTGGAGCTTCATTAGAGTTCTATTCCGTGTTCTGGGTAGAGTTGACATACGCATCCTACACCTGTTAGCTGTGCTCACTGTCCGTGGTAAACGGGGGAAACACAACTTACGATGGCCACCTTGCGCCCGAACTGGTTCTTGATCTCGCCCGACTTGACCGCATCCGGGGCATTTTCTGATATTATCTGGTACAGATCTGCGCAGAGTCAACACGGCACAGACGGTTAGACGGGGATTGACCTACTCTTTATACCCATCTTGCCTCGATCGAGTGTTTCTTCAGGTGTATTTCGTGTATCAACTGTGCTTGAAGGTGGAAAGAAGAAGCCGAACGCGGTTAACGCGCTTTCTACGCGATGCAATTTACCATAAACGGACTAGCGCGGCTTACGTGTGGATTAATAATATATTACGTAAGATACCGAGAGAAGAGAGAAAGAGATATAGATATAGATGTTAGAAGTAGATAATAAGATGAATAGATGTTAGAAATAGTGAGAGGGTGAGAAGATGAGAAGAGTTAGAAAGTGAGATGAGAAGACGAGAAGAGTTAGAAAGTGAGATGAGATGGATTGATGCAGTCAGTATATCGCTTCCTGTCGCATCAGTTGGCCGCTGCCCAGATGATGGATTCGCACACTCGGCCATTCGCGCTCGGATGGGCTGTACAGATGGTCTTGCCGCAGCACTGTTTGGACTCTGTGCACTTGGTGCCGCGGGGGAAGCATGTTCGAAACTGTCTCTTGAAGAGGTCCTCGGAGTCTCCGGTGCGAGGACTGAGATCTGATGCCTCGTTGGCTTCTAGAGCCGCTGCTGGTGCTGGTGCTGGTGCGGGAGCTGCCAGGGCGATGGCAGAGAGGAAAAACATGGCCGTGATCTTGTGGATGAACATGTTGGCGTTTGCTGGCTGCTGGCTGATTCCGGCTTGGAGTTTGCTCGTCTGATGTTTGATTGCCTGTCTGTAGGGTGGTATCAATTCATCTGACGCGAGAACTCATGGCTTTATATCTCACTCCGTAGTGACTGTAGTTATCTGTAGTAGTTGTAGTAATTGTAGTGAGTGATAGCAGTTGTACTGACACTGCATAGTGACATAGCATGATCGCTGTACCCTCATTCTTTCAAGGTCGACACTTTCGAGGACAAGCTGATAGAGTCGCCGACTCGCCGTACAACGTCGCCTTTATCTCAGCGTTGATCGGTATAAAAGTCGCATCTATACGCAACGGCCTGCCCTCGCATATGTCTGTACCGCTGACATGGGTATCTAACAGACTCCGAGGCAGCATGCTCCCAGCCTTGTGACCGGCCCATGGCTGGCTGAACTGGACGCCCCGTGAAGGATGGGCGCGTCCAAGGGCGTAGAAGAGCAGAGAAGCGAAGAGAGATAAATATCGGAACCCGAGTAAAAAAAGATAAAACGAGCGTCGCTTATCGTGAGTTCGGACACTAAAAGATATCGCGGGCTCACACTTTAACCACCAACATTTTTCATCTTCCTCTTCTTCCCAGCTATCTTCTTCTTCCTCGTCTTCCTCCTCCTCGTCCTCCTCCCTGTCGGTTTATTCTCTGCAATTGGCCTGTGTTGCACCTCGTCTATTCTTCCGTATTCTTTATTCCAGCCTATCCATCCTTCGTCGACCCCACCAGTCGCTCATCAGGCCTCACTGCATAGAAAATGGGTGAGATGGCCAACAGCACCGAGCTCGCAAAGCGCAAGAGACCGAGTAAGACACTTCTTCCCGTCGCCGATTGAGCCCGATTGCTTTGGTTTCCTCCCCTTCGTTGTCTGGACTGCGCGAGGTTTCACTCTCTTGCTCGTTTTCCTTGCCGAGTCGAGCGTTCGGTGGTTGAAGAAATTTTCCTTTCCCTCACCATCACCATCGTCCATAAACCAATACATCATTATCATCGCACACGCCCAACCATGATGGCACAGCTAAACCTGCCGGTGATAGGAACCCAATCCTGCCCGCCTCCAGAGCTTCCCCAGCTCGTGGCAGAGCAGCATGTCCCCGTCTCCGCGCAGGACAAGGACACGAAGCGCCTCATCGTTGTCCTGTCCAACGCCAGCCTGGAGACATATCGTTCGTCTCATGGCGGTGCCGGACGGCCTGCCAATGGTCGTGAGGAGAAATATTCCCTTCTCAACTCTGACGAACACATCGGTATCATGCGCAAGATGAACCGTGACATCAGCGAGGCCAGACCGGACATCACCCATCAGGTTTGACCCTTCTCCATAGTCAATGCTTTTTGAAGGATAGACGGTCACGGACAAGAGGTAACTTACACCGTACAGTGTCTTCTCACCCTCCTCGACTCGCCCGTCAACAAGGCCGGCAAGCTCCAGATATACATCCACACCGCCAAGGGTGTCTTGATCGAGGTCTCGCCCACCGTCCGCATCCCTCGTACCTTCAAGCGTTTCGCCGGTCTGATGGTTCAGCTTCTTCATCGCCTGTCCATCCGCTCCACCAACTCGGAGGAGAAGCTGCTCAAGGTCATCAAGAACCCCATCACCGACCACCTGCCTCCAAACTGCCGCAAGGTGACGCTCAGTTTTGACGCGCCCATCGTTCGCGTCAACGACTACGTCAAGACCCTTGGAGCCAAGGAGAGTATCTGCGTCTTCGTCGGTGCCATGGCCAAGGGCAGAGATGACTTTGCAGACGCCTTCAAGGACGATACCATCTCCATCAGCAACTTCAGTCTCAGCGCCAGTGTTGCGTGCAGCAAGTTCTGCCACGCCGCAGAGGATGCTTGGAATATTGTCTAATCTGCGTTAAAACTTGGATGTATGTCTGTATATCTACGATTTGATTGTCTGTTATATCTACCATTTGATAATGGCGTGCTAACCTGCTGTCTAGTTATGCTAATGTCTCGTTTGTTCCTTTTGCTATTTAATTGATTTACTAACTGCCTAGATATCATATCCGCCATTGACTGAGATGCTAATTCTAGCAAGCGATATCTCTCACGCGTACACAGCAACAGGTGTCTGCTCAACCTAATCTTCCCACCACTTCGACATATCATATATGCTTGTTTCAACACCAAGCTCGCTCCCAGCGACAGACAGAAAGGAGCAGCACACACTGTACACAAAAAAAACGCAATTTGGCAGATACCACATACAACCAGACAAGGACAAAGGTAGGGGCAATTCTCCACCCCCAGTGTTCCCAGGCCAGATCGTCCACCAAACTGGCGAGGCTCGAGCCAATGATACCAACATCAACGGCTTCAAATTTTGAATATTCATGTACTCTATTTGGCCTGGGAATATCTGGTGGTGAGAGTTGTCTCCATCTTCCTCCTCTGTCTCCGGACCGGACTTCCTTTTTTTCTTCTCTCCCTCGCCTTGATCGTCCTTTTCTTCCCTTCTCTTTTGGCTGGTTTATGATTAAAAAGGGATAATACCCGCTGCCATCACCATCACCATCATCTACTGCTTACTACCCTGGCGTCTACACGGCATCATTGGGATGTATCTTTTCCTTATCTTCTGGCGTGGAACCATGTTGCTGGGTCTCGTTCTGTTTTTACAACCAAAACACGAACACGGGCGATTCAACAGCCTTAGATCATCAGCAACACATAACGGCATAACGGCGTTGGGGATGTTTATCTTCGTTTTTCTGTCTTATTATCTCACGGCATCGCTGGGCCATCTTGTATTCTGCACATGCTCATGTCTGGTGCGTTCACGGATGCAGGAATGAATCTATTTCGTTTGTAATGCTCCATCGTACTCTGTATACGTTGCCTTTGATGTGGGCTCACCACTACGTAGAATGAGACGAGTATACACCGCTTGCCAGCGGTCAAGAGAAAGTATAAAGTATTATCTATTGTACTATAATTCGAGTGGACCAGCCTCCTCGTCCTCTCCAGGACGGCCGAGAAAAAGCCCGCGGACAGCTCTGTATCAAATTGCCGTCACACAGGGATTGCCTGGCCGTGGAGCAGAATACCGCTTCTTCGCGAGCCAGTGGCCGAGGAGGCCCTTGACGTGCTATCCGCATTCTGTCTATGGCGAGTGACATGTTATCCCGGCCAAGTTAGGCGTGGATGCAGGTCACCGCCTCATCTGTGCGATGTCCTGGGCCAATGGGGGAACAACCGCGAGGTCGCCTTGTCCTCAACTCCATCCAACGACATCCATCCCACCACTCCATCCGTTCGTCGCTGAAACACCGTCCTGCACCAGCAGACAGAGTCCTGACTCGCCCTCTGCCCGTGATCGCCACAGGAAACTATGCCATCGACGCATGTACGGCCACCTTACCACCTCCCAGGGCCAACTACAGGGCCTACAAGCAGGCATAAATCTACCCACAGACCGACGACGGACGACCGACTACTATCGGGTCTCGAGACCGCGGAGAGGACTGACTGGCTGGCCCAGAAAGAAACGTCGGGCATTCATCCATGGGGCTGCACTAGGCTGGCTAGCTGCCGCAAGATGGAGACCTGCTCACGCGAATCGTGGAGATCCGTCGTCTCTACGCTGCCGAGAGCCACGGCTAGAGTTACAGGTGAAGTGTGAGAGGCCTTCGATTCTGGTTCTTTTGGCCATCCCGCCATGCATGAGCGTCTGATGGGCAGGTATCTCCTCCTAGCAGAGTTACTCCTACGTGTTATTTGCGCCAGGGAGAGGCTGGATTGGTCCACGGGCCCCTGGACTTTATGCCTTGTCAATGCTGGACGATGGTAATATGCTGGATGGCCATCCCGCAATGCTGCCAATGCTGCCCACCCTGGTCTCATACCGCTTGCTGGGTACTCACGCCCTTTTTTTTGTCCCTGACGACATCGATGCGTGGATCCAGAAGGCCCCCTCGCCCTGGCTGCGAGCTACGATCTTTCATCTAGCTATGGCCATCCATTGATTGGCGGGATTATCTCCGCTTGCTGGCTGTTCTTATGCTCTTTTAGTTTTTTCCCACCTAGCTCCCTCGGAGTGAGATGCGGTGATGTGGGCGGTGGAGTCATATATCAATAATTCCGCCTCGATATATGAGTTCTTTTCTCTTTTCCTTTTCTATAAATATATCCTCACATATACGGAGTACTACAGAGTATATACGTATATATACAGCCCTCGCAGAGCAGAACAGCTTCCTCTTTTCTGTTTGTCGGCTTGTTTATATTTCGTTAATTAATATACATCCCCCGTCTGTTTGATATACGGCCACCCGTACCCGACACTCCTTGTCCTACCAACAGCCGCCCTTGCATCGGATTCTATAATTGTCATTTCTGTGCATCGACTCCAAGAACATCACCAATTTCACCAAATTACAGTGAAATAGCGATGCCTGTCTCCCATCTTACCCTCACGGTCTCGAACCTCCCTGCCTCAACGTCCTTCTTCCTTTCATGCCTCCAGCCATTGGGATACTGTTTTATGGGCCGCCATGAAAACAACGTTGGATTCGGCACAGAGCCAGGGAAGCCTGCGGATTTTTGGATTGCAGAAGAGAGGCCAGGGTATACCATACCCCATACACCATCGATAGTCCTAATCAATACTAACCGTTCATAGTGTCCCAGCTGGAGCAGCACACATCGCTTTCCCCGCTCCATCCCGGGATGCAGTCAGCGCTTTCTTCATCGCGGCGTTGAAAGCAGGGGGCAAAATCCACGGCGAGCCATGCGTGCGAGACTCAGAGCGGAATTACTTTAGCGCTGCAGTAATTGACTTTGACGGAAACAGCATCGAGGCCGTCCATAGGAATGATGCTCCAAGCGTCGCTCCTAGTCGGAGAGGAAGCGTTGTGAACGAGAAAGTACTCTCTGTCGTCGAGAATGGGTCTGTTGTATCAAGACATTCAACGGCTAAATCGAGAGCTATGACTGTTGCTGCAAAGTCGGAAGCTGGATCTACTATGACGGTGAGGAGATCGTCGAAATCAGTCATGGCTCCGCAACAACAGCAACTACAACAGCAACCACAACAGCAGCCACGACAGGAACCACGACAAGAGACCAATGTCCACTATATCGTCACCAAGGAGAAGAGTGGTGATAATCTGTCCGGCGCGAAGGCAGTGGTGGGCACTTTACTTGGGGCTGCCGCCGGAGCCGCCCTTGCATATGCTATGGTTAAAGGAGACTCGCAGTCCCAGCAGGAAACTATTACTCCCGTCACCACCACCAGATACGTCGAGGCTCCTCAGTCCAGTCCCTCCATCTCGGGTGGAGGTGCCTACCGCGGCCTTGAGTCTGGCCAGCAACAGGGGCAGATTGAAGATGGGTACGCCAGGAGCGCCGCATCCAAGAATCCATGGGCTAGCACGGTGTTTGATGGGCTAGAACAGACCAGCCGAATACTTGAACAGGCCAAGAGCTTTACCGGTAGCGCTGCTGGATTCCTACCCGCTGCTGGCTCTGCCGCCGGTTTAGAACGCCGTCCCTCCAGCGGCAGCACCTACAGCGCATCAGGAGAGATGGAAATGCCCATCCGCGCAATCGAGGGTATCCCATCTGGCGAAGACAACCGATCCGTCTACTCACGCACATACCCTTACAACCCTAGCACGTTCATAAGTAGCTTCCACGATCAACCGGAACGTCGTGATCGTGACCGTGGCGATTCCGGCAGTGCTTGCAGCTCCGGAAGCTGCTGCTCACAGCGCAGATCCAGCCAGGGTCAACACATGGAAAGCAACAACTACTACGCTAAGAGCGTTGCCTCCAGTCAGGCATCGACTATTAAGCCGAAATCTAACAAAGCGAAATCGCAGTATTCAAGTCATTCGAGCCATCACTCAAAACGCTCGTCTGCCTCCGCAACTAACGAAAGAGGAATGCGCACCATCGACGAGGATTACGGGTATGACTTCGACATGCCTAGCGGCAGCGTGCATTCCTCTACCCATTCTGCACGCAACATCCCTCTACCAGCCGGAACAGCCGTCTCGTCCTCCTCGAAATTGTCTATTCGTTCAAAACACTCCCACCACACCAGCCACAGCAAACACTCTTCTCACTCTCATCATGACCCTTCCTCGTCCCGCCGCTCATCCACTTCCAGTCACCGATCTGCGCACCAAATCCCGCTCCCACCTAGCGTCGCCGGCGCCAGCACCATCTTCCTTAATGACGGCATTGACGTAGACTCTCACGTCACTCCACGCCCACTGTTTGAGTCCGAGCGTGCATCCAGAGCCTCAGTTTCGTCGAAGAAGTCGAAACATAAACGCTCCAAGTCAAGCAGCAGGTCGAGCCAGGCCAGCGGCCTTACGAGTGGTGGAAGTAGCAAGTTCGACGACCCTGTCCTACCAAGTGACAGCGTCAGTCAGATTGGGAGCTGTGTGTCGAAGAAGAGCAGCAGAAGCAGGCGATAGATGGTAGACTATGTGGATGGGACATGATATATTCTCTTTCATTACCTTGATCATTTGTCCATTTTGATGTTGTGGTTTGGTTGGGCAGGGAAGGCGATACTGGTGTTTCAAGGGAGTGTTTCTTCATGTCTTGCATTTACAATTATGTTTGTTTGATCCAACCGGTTATCCTATTTATCTATCTCCTGTCTCTTTACATATATAGTTTCCCCCATTTTTCCTCATACATACTAATTAGATTGTTTACTACATGTTTGTATTGTGATTGCCTAATTTCGAGTCCTTGAATATAGCTGCTAAGGTTCCTGGAATATTGCGCCCGTAAAGTCATAAGAAAAGCTCTAACTCAACGTATTAAACTGATCTGATGCTCAATTACTCCACGATCGAAAGCACGAACCATAAATACACAATAGTCAATGTAAATGCAATAGATAAGGAGCGTGGGGGGCGGTGTGGAAACTGTTGGATGAGAGAGTGGGCGTTTGACCAAAAGAGAAAACGGGCGGTGAGGGAAGGAAATTAGGAAAGGAAAACCGGAGAAGCTGAACAATGCATATGCGAAGGAAATGCAGCGGAACTAGAATCAAACATGAAATGGACTGAGCCTACTTTACTTTGCCTCGCTTCGACACTTATGTATACCTTGGCTTGTCGTGTAATGACTTAGGCATGGGCACGGAAAGGGAGCGGAGTAGACCAGGATTCTTAGAACCTAAAGAGAAAGGACAGGAGATGAGAAAAGGGATGACATTGCAAGCGTTAATATTTATAGGTGTGGCATGGGCAGGCATAACATAACATAACATAGCATGATTGCATTGATAGGGGGGAATGTGACGCCCATGAGTGCTCAAGGTAAATAAGGTAGAGTGTGTATGTTTTCTGGGGCTGATACATGATGGAAACGCTGAGTATGTGGGTGTTTTGATTTGGAGGAAACGAAAGTAACGGAAGAGGAATTGCGTCCACTTAACCCTCGATTCCGCTTCCACCAAACAACCAAACCAATACCCAAATGATAATCCGCCCCCATCGCTGTACCGTCTTAAGTCGTAGGATTTGAAGGGTAAATCCACGTTGACTATGCCTTTGATTCAGGCGTAGATACAGGAAGTACAAAAGTGTCGGCCGTGAAGGAAATGGTATCCGTAGAAGTAGGTGACCGATTCAATAGAAAAAGGGTCCCTAATGACAGCATCGTAGGGAATAGATCAGTTCTCCATAGCGTATTTAGCAGTCCACTTTCTGGCAACCCCCTCGTACTCCTCCTTATCTTTCTTGTACAAGTTCGCTATCTCAGGCACCAGCGGGTCATCTGGGTTGGGGTCTGTGAGCATCGAGCAGATTGAGAGAAGCACTGCCATAGATATCAGCATGTATTCGTAGCTACGCAGTATAACAATAAGGTATAGATGTTCTGGGGTAAGTAGGAAGCAAACTGACCTTTCGATATAGTCAAAGCAGGGCTCCACTGGTCTCTCAAGATATCCAAGCAGATACTGCCGTTGGAGTTGATGTTGGGGTGGTAGACGGGAGTGGTGAAGTTGACCTTTGGTGGTTTGAAGGGATAGTCTGTTGGGAAGTGTATGGCTAGGAAGAATACGCCGCCAGCAAAGGGGCTCTTTTCAGGGCCCATGATCGTGGCTTGCCAGTGGAACTGCCAGTAAGATGTTAGTATAACGAGTTAAACGAGAGGAAGAGTTCTCCTTGTCTACTAGTAGAGCTGAAGACTGGGAACACGATACGGCTAATATAGATATCGATCTATTCAACTATAGAGGGGTATCGATGGCGGGGCGGAGTCAAGTACCAAATCATCTCCAAGAGGACCAGCAGAGCAAGACGAGGGGGGGTCACTATATCAGATATCGTCAGTTTCGATCTACACTTATTGCACGTCTCTGTTATATATCAAAATCTCGCAGTTGGCGGTCTGAGCCGCCGCACCGTCATAGGCTCAGCCTGACCAGAGCCCGACCAAACTTGGAGATAGCGAAGAGGAGGGTTAACTGACCGTCCCAAGTCCACGAGTTCCTTGTTGATTCGCTTGAGAGCCATGTGGATTATGTAGAGGTGAGATGTGTGAGAGAGAGGATAATATCGTGGTCGTGTGCGTTTCTGATCGAGATTTTCGTCCTATGGCGGGGTTATTAGCTGATACTGAGCGAGAGCGTATTCCTTCACAGCCACGGCGAGAGCAAGGCAGCCCAAGAAAGAGAGAAACAGTCGCCAGAACAGAGAGGACAGGAGAGCAGATATACTCACAGCCGGGGGGAGTTGATGTGTGGCGATGGTGATGGAGGAGGCAGAGATGGGAGGGAAGTGAAGGCCGAGAAACCCGCAGAAAGGAAGAACTTGCTGACTCAGCGCGGCCCCATGCATCTCAGTGGCCAGGAAGGCTTGTTCTCTCAAATAATACTCCTAGCCGTTACTTTAGTTTGATCCTGGCGCCCAAAGGTTGCATTTCAGGCGGTTACAGGGTGCAGCTCTTTATTGGTTTTACGGGCGGGCGAGGACATGCGTGAGTGGCTTACGGCAGGTCTATATTGGTCCATTATCCTATCCTATCAAATGCTTTAGTTTACTGAGTTTGCTTATGAGTTGCTAATGTGATTTCCAGGTTGCCGCTGGGGTGGAGAGATGGGCGTTTGTAGGATATTCTTTATGACCTGTTGATAAAGGCTTTTGGGTAGATGGATGAGACGGCCTGGAGCACTTATATACGGCTCGGCTATGAAGATAGCCATGAGATATAGGCCAAGTTAGGAAGTTGAATGCAACGTTCTATTATCCCAAATAAACTAGAAGTGTGTAAAGAAGTAACATCACCCCCACCAAGAGCTATCCAAAGCTCCCCGCGGGACAAGAAAAAGATACTCCTGAGATTGTGAACATCTCGAGATAGAAGGCATAATGTCGTCGTCTAACCCAGATACGGAGACGGAACCCTCGCCCGCTGAACGACAGCGTCTTGACCGCGAACACAAGGAAAGGGAAGCAAAAGAGCAGGCCACCCTCTGTATCTACACAAATGCTTGCACGCCGGTAATGGCACGACCGAGGATTAAGCCTAGTACGAATGTTAGTTATATCTGAGATCAAGACAAGAGTATGGAGAGAAGGGACTCACTGTGGATGTCACTCTGCCCTTCGTATGTCTGAGTGACAAACAAGTTTGCAACATGTCTTCCAATATGATACTCATCACTGGCCGCATTTCCGCCAAAAATCTCCTGCAGCGTCCTGGAACCTGCTAGCGCTCTATCGCAGTTCTGTCTCTTGATCATCGATATCATTTCGGGCACTGCTTTCCCTTCGTCCTTCAGCCGAGCAACCTGGACGGCAGCTAGAGTTCCATAAGCCGCATCAGTTGCTGCGTCGGCCAGCTTCTTCTGCACAAGCTGATACTTTGCTAGTGGGTTGCCCTTGAATTGCTTTCGTTCCAAAGCATACTCCCTCGCTCGTGAGATACAGTCTTCCAACGCACCCATAGTCCCAAACGCAATCCCTAGTCTCGCGCTGTTTAGGCAAGTGAAAGGTCCGGCAAGCCCAGTCACATCGGGAAACATATTCGCTTCTGGAACCGGACAGTTGTCAAGCTGAATCATGCCTGTTATCGATGCACGTAGAGCGGTCTTGTTCTTGATTGCAGGCGTCTCAAGTGTTCCAGGCGAGCACTGGTCACGCTCAATCACGAATCCTCTTATTTTACCGTCTAGTTTGGCCCAGACCAAGAAGGCATCTGAGATAGGCGAGTTTGTAATCCATGTCTTCGTTCCGGATAGACTATAGTAGCCCTTCTTGGTTGGGTGTGGTTTAGCAGTTGTCTCCATGCTACCAGGATCCGATCCGTGGTTGGGTTCCGTGAGTCCAAAACATCCTAGTATCTTTCCCTCTGCGAGCTGTGGTAGGAATTTCTCCTTGAGCTCTTCGGAGCCGAACTCGTGGATTCCCGTCATTATCAAGCTAGATTGTACGGACATCCCACTACGGAAACCAGAGTCAACCCGTTCGACTTCCTTTGTTATCAGGCCAGACGCAACGGTTGAGACGCCCGCACAACCATACCCGTCTATCGTGGCGCCGAGAAGGCCGAGAGAACCCATTTCACGGAGTATTGTTGGATCGTAGTTCTCATTCCGATATGCGTCTACATATAGAGAATTACTTGTCAGCTAGAGTGCCGTTGAATGTCTCGTATACATGACTGTGTGTAGGTCATCTTACCAAGGACCCGAGGCAGCAATCGCTCCTGGCAATACCGCCTGGCGGTATCTTGGATAGCAAGCTCATCGGCTGTGTATAGATTCTCCGCATCGAGCGGATCCTGCCACTTGAAGCTCGATGCAGAGTGCGCATAGCGTCGATTGGCAGTTATTGACGCCTTGTGAGTAGCCCCTAGCACCGCACGGGGGGTATTCCTTAACGTCGAGAAAGTCATTTCGTGCACCACAGAGTAACTTGGTTATGGCAAACCAGCTGGCAATGGTGGCTGTAAACGCAGATGGCGAATTCAACTAATAAGAGACGTACAAGCAACAGTCATAAAGAATGCATCTTCGGGCCGGAGCAGGCCACGGCAGCAGACCGGAGAGCGCGCTATGTTGAGAATTGTGGTCCCGGGATTCGGCTTGAAGATGGCCTTAGTCAGTTGGTGATGTGGAGCTTCGGGTGTGTTTTGGAATAACCTCGGTGTTTTTTGTTAGGCCAGTGTACTCCGTAGTTAAGAGAAAAATAACGATATCAATAGTCTACACAATACATATATATAACGCTACTTAGGTTTCTAAATACATTGTCACTGCTCTCTAGCTAGGGATTATTGCGTGGGATTATATCACCATACAATATGTTTATTGCCAGTATCGAACGAGCCTGAATTCAGTTTAAGCCCTCCTTTTAGATTGCAGCTATAGCAATCCTCCTACTGGTTCTGGTAAAAGCCAGCCAATTGAAGAACAGTGCCTTCTCTCGTCACTTTGATCTTGAGTCACTCGAAGCCTGAGGAGAGAGCACTGCTCAGCTTGATAACTCGAGCGTTCAAAACTTCATCTCATCTGTGGCTGTAATCTGAGTGATGGTCTTTAAAACATAAACCAGAGCTTCCTTCCAGATTCGAATTCTGTTCAAAGGTATCTTGAGTAGACATCTAGAGTATAATAGGGTCAATGACGGGTAGAAATGTGAGAATTGTCGTTCGGCCCGCACCGGTGCCCAGGGCGAGTGACCTATTCCGGATAGCGGCTGCACCTGGCCTAAAGTCAACTGGAATATATAGGATCTTCAAGTTGTCCATGGTTATCCATTGACTCGATTTATCCATGGAGTAGGTCGGCTGGCCAACCACATCTCGAACTGAGGCAGAGTTAATAGTCTCTGTGGCCACATCCCATACATTCGCTGTGTGAGGGTCAAACCCCAACATAACCCGGCCACTTGTGGGTAAGAATGGTATGCTCGAGATCAGTGGCGAGTAGCCGTCAAACGCCTGCAGCAAACCCCCTGCATCGGTATCTCGTATCTGGACTGTATGATCATCAAATCCTAGCATAACCCTCGTGTTTTTGGATAAGAAGGCTATGCTAGAAACAAGCGCAGAGAAGCCCATGATATTTTCCGCTAGCTTCCCAGTAGCTATCGAGACCTGTAGCTCCCCTGTAGCCTCGTCCCATATACGAACCGTGCAATCCTCGGATCCTGATGCCACTCTGCTACCGTCTGGCGAAAAGGCCACGCTGCAAATACTTCTAGAATGGCCTTCCAGCCTCCGAACCTTTTCTGTAGCCATTTCCAATATATGAACTGCACGGTCATCAGATCCTGATATAATCTTATTTCCATCTGGTGAGAAGGCTAAGCTCCTAACACTGGCATAATGGGTTTTAAAAATCTTTTGCAGATTTCCAGTGGCCACATCCCATACCGAAACTTTGCAGCTGTTGGAAGCTGACATTATTGTACTATTATCAGGCGAGAAAACCAGAGCATTAGGAGTATTGCGACTGAGGGTTTGTTGCAATTCCCCGGTAGCGACCTCCCATATATTGATCGTAGCATCATGGGAGCTTGATGCAACCTTGCTACCATTGGGCGAAAAGGCCACAACACTGTTGACCCAGGAAGAATAGTTAGAGTGCTCCTCTTCTTTATTTGTCGCTACTTCCCATATTCGAACGGTATGATCGTCGCACGCTGATGCAACCTTGCTCCCATTTGGTGAGAATGCCACATTCAAAATAGTTCCCGAGTGGTTAAGAATTTGTAGTGATTTTCTTGTGGCAACCTCCCATATTCGAACAGTTCGATCAGAAGACGACGATGCAATCTTATGACTATCAGGAGAGAAGTCCATCCCAAATACAAAGTTAGAGTGGCCTTCAAACTCCTGTACCTTCCCCGTGGCTATATCCCATACCCAAAATATCTTTCTGCAAGCGCGAAGTGCAACTTTGTCACCATTAGGTGAGAGGGTCAACTCATCAATTGGGTCAGAGTGGTTTAGAATCTGGCGAGTTTCTCCTGTGGCTATATCCCATATTCGAGCGGTCCTATCCTTGGAGCCTGATATAAGAATGCCGCCATCATAGGAAAAGGCCACAGCGTTCACGTTTTGAGAATGACCTTTAAGATTCCATTTCAATTCGCCTGTGGCTATATGCATTACCTGAATGATGCCATTGTCCAAACCAAGGGCAGCTTTTCCATTTCCGGAGAAGGCTATACTATTAACCCAGGCGAAATCGACGCGATCACCTCGGAGAGTCTTCAGTATCTTCCCAGTAGCCACATCCCAAGTATTAACGACACCCTCGTGACTTCCGGATATAATGTTACCATGAGACAAAAAAGCTACCTTCGAAACCGAGGTACCATGACCTCTTAGAACCTGCTGCAGCTTCCCAGTGGCCACATCCCAGACTCGAACTGTACAGTCTCCAGATCCTGATGCAGCCGTACTGCCGTCAGGCGAGAAGGCTATGCCCCAGATTCCATTGGAATGACCCTCAAGAATATGCTGCTGTGCGCTCCAGTGCGTATCCATGCGTGGTAAGTAATCTAGCCAAAGCGGAATTTGGCCCTTGAACGTTTTTTTAATAATACTCATTTCTGGCGCGAATATGAGGGCAGAGCAGTATACTTGAAGAGGAGCGTTTTTAACAACAGGCTGGCTAAAGGAGGTGAACCTTCTAGCATCGTGAGTGAACAAATATAATTCAGCGTTGCTAAAACTTGCTTCCTCGGCGTGCTCTTGTTTCTGGCGCTCGACTAAAACCTCTAATGCTGATATCGCAAGTACCCCATCGGCAGTCTTTTGTAGGAGGACCAGGGATTCGAGCCAGTGAAGAAAGTGTTTCTTTAAAAAGGTATGAACATTCCCGTTATCAGGGACAAGGTCTCCACCTTCCTCAAGATGGCGGATCCAGTGGAGACACGCATATTTAACTTCTGGGGGAAGACATCTGTCGATCTGACCCTGGCTGATATCAGAGAGGAGTGTTCCTGGTGCACGTATGCTGCAAATGTCTCGCTTGAACGAGACCTCCAGTAGTGAGATACACTTGAGAGCTAGTTCCTTGTGTATTTTCCTCCCATCTATCCAGAAGTCCTTATCGCGACATCTGGCATCGTCAAGGAGGAAGTCTCGGAAGGAAGCATGTAACAAACGAATTGTTTGACTGTCTTTATCAGGCACTCTCAAAACAGAATGAAGATCATATAAATTTTGGTACACAGTCCCCTCGGGAACGGCCAAAAGATTCTCAAGCGAGGTAGGTGTAAAAGGTTCAAATAGAATGACAATTGAGCCAATTATATTTTTAAATCCTTCAGTAAGTTCCAGCTTGTCCTCGTCATTTACTCCTCTCATCGAATGTTTCAAAACTCGTAGGTAAAGTGAGTCCAGCTCGAAAGTTGGTGGGCCGGAAGGCATTTTATATGTCTCGTTTTGCCCATCTTTTAGCTCCCTATTTGGAAGAAACCCTTCAAGTAAAACCTGGGCTGACCAGCGCCCCACATAGGTATTGATAAAGCCGCACACAGTCGCCGCATAAATGAAAAGACCACCAGCCTTTCGAGTGAGATCGTCTATGGCGTCATCTCCAGGCCAGTCTTCATCAAGGCGTTCAGATTCGTCTCTAATTTTTGAAAATTGATCCCGAAAATAGAGCTTCATATCGCTATCAACAATCGCCAGTGGCATTTCATGTAGAACAAAATCGTAGTGTAATCCTCCCTTCATTTTTCGAAACCCAAGACGGATCGGCGTTTCCGGCCTGCTAGTAAGAAGAATCCGCAACCGAATAGTCTTGAGGTCAGCAGCCTCGGTCAGAAGCTGGAGGATCAATTGGATATCTTTGTCTCCTTCAAATTCATCTAGTGCATCGAGGACAACAACAAGAGGCACTGTTGGGCCGGTATATTTAGACAGAGGTCCTATGACGAGGTTTTTCCATTGATCTCGGCGAGTTTTTTCAAAGATATCTGGTTGCTTCTCGATTACACCACAAATAAAGCCTCGCACAGCTGGAAACCTGGTCGCAAACTGTTTTGCAATTGTCGGTATGAACTTTTCGGCGTTTCTGACGTCTTTGCCACCCCTTGAGAAAAAGAAGCTTGCTCCAAGGTTTCCTATTTGAGAGAATTCGCGGGCGGTGGTGCGAGAAATGGTAGATTTTCCAGTACCAGCCATGCCACATAGCCAGAAGATGCACTGGTCGCTGTCTCCGTTAGCCCAGGTATATATTTCTTCCAGTACACTCTCGCGTGTGTTCTCTAGGCAGAACGGATCATGTTCGTGTGCTATAGAGTCAAACGCCGCTTCTGAGGCAATTGATAAACGATTAAGAATGTTAATCTCATTTCTAAATTCACATTAGTATTAGTCTGTGCGTCACATACATTAATGACATTGAGTATTAACGGACTGGGTGATATGATCCTCCTTTTTCCTATGCTCCTCACTGAGCCCATTAACCCAAATCCGCAAGACACCCCGTATACTCTTGTACCCGAGATCTTCCCGTCCGACTACTTTTGTCATATTCTAGAGCATCATCATAAGTTAAAAAGCTTCCATGGGTAGGGTGGAGTAGTAGACTCACCCTATGGTCTGCATGTATTCCATACAGCGGATAGCCTGGGATCCTTGCCGATCCCTCCGGCACCACTTTGCCCACAACGGGGAGCTCAAGCTCCTCAAAAAAGCAGGTTATATTAACCGGGTTTTGTGCCTTTGATCGAGTCCGTAGCCAAGTGGCGAACCAGTCTTCCACGTCCAGTAGTGTTTCTGAATCTCTTTTTAGGGTTTCCAATATATTGGTATTCACTCGTTTACCACATGCCCTAAGTGTTTGGGCCAATGCTTTGGCAAATGGAGCAAAATCTGAACCAGAGTGCGGTGTCCCAAGAAAGACAATTCCGTGGGTGCATTTCTCGATTTGGCCAAGGTGTTGCTCTTTAGGGCAGCTGGATAGCTGGAGAGCTCGCTCGACGACTAGGCCGCCGAGGCTGTGGGCGACAAACAAAAGTTCACGATCATCCTAGCAGATCGAATGTGAGCCGGGACTGTCTTATTTGCAAATCATATTTCAAACTTGGGTTCCCACCGTCTTTGTGTCAGATCTTTCATCAACTAAGTCCTTGATCATGTTTTCCGCATGGTTGGTAAGTCGATTTTGAGACGCACCGCCCCAGAAGGAAGCAACATCGGCATCGTAGCCAAATGTGAAGATACGTGCATTTGGAATATCTTCCTTTAACAGCTGCCTTGGCCAGTGGAGATTAGAGTCGGGGTGAGTCCATGTATTCTCAGAACTTCCAGTCAAACCATGCACAAAAACGATATCAACGACTGCTTTGCTCGGTTCCTCTAGCCGATAGACACAATTAAGGCCCCTGTCGCCCTTTGGTATCGCATATTTGGCGGCGGTTGGGCCTATTTCGCTAGGTCCCTCTCCCTCGTGCTTCTCTTCATCCGGTTTCTTTTTATCGGGCCGCTTTTCACCAGGCCAGTTTTCGCCAGATGAGTATCCTTCGGGTAGTTCTTTCTGTGGTTTTTTCTTGGATTTGAGGACCTTTTTGAAGAATGACATCGTACAAACAAGAACACATGGGAAAGCTTTGGAGTATCCAGAAGCAATTGCACATCATACTCAAGCCAGAGCGGGGGCGAGACATTAATACTGTTAGAGTCGGCGCTTAGCAGCCATTTCTTATGCAGCCTTGGACCAGGATCCTCGCGGAACCTGTACGCAGAGAGCTGTAGAGTGCTGGTTGGCTGACAGTGCTTCGATGCAACGCGGCATCATGCATCCTGCATATATTTCCCTCTGGCGCCTGGTCATGCTTGGGATGCACGGCGATGGCAAGAAATTGGGACGTTGGCACTTTTGCCGTCGAAACCGTGGATAAGGTTGACACCGTTGGACCTGGCGCTGGCTCGGGCCGCAAGGTTACCAGAAAAGGCCATGATCCGGGTAGCGGCGAGCGTGAGATGTAGAATAACAGGTCTAAGCCTGGTTATGCAATAAGACGGTGATTTAGGGAGTACTTGACTTGACTGAATTAATTGCATTGTGTGTCAGACTTAAGGTAGAAAATTACCGGATCTGGGTACTCGGATGTTACGTAATCGATGAGGTTGTGAGAAGAGCAGACTACGCAGCAAGAGATAGATAATAGATACAGAGCAAGCGAAGAGAGAAGAAGTTAGAGGAGTAGCAGGAGGAAGAGAAGTTGTCTAGGTAAGTCTGTATCATGGTGAACTCTAGACATGGTCACGTACTAAGCCCGTCTTTAGCGATTGATTCACCTCAGCCTCCAGCTAAGGGTTGACTGGCATCCATCTAAGGATTGACTGGCCAACTATCAGCCGCAGGATAGACGAAGCCGTTGGCGTCGCAGACATCAGTCCATGGCAGCCACTGTCATCGTCCACTTCGACTGCGTTCCAGAAACCTCCAGCTGTCTCCTTGACCAGTTACGAACAAGAGAACATAGGAGAACATAGGAAAAGCTAGGAGGACACCAGGAGAACAGGAAAGCAGCAGGAAACCAGGATCCGTCAGGGGCATCCGGACTGCGTATTTACGTGTAAACGTCCGTCGCCGTCGCCCATCGCCCATCACCCATCGGCCGTATTCAAGGTTAAACATCGCATGACGCAGGTCGGGCAGTGAGAGCAGGAAAGATCCTTGCCATTAGTTGACCTGCTAGCGTGGATAGGGCCTATGGAAGCCACGCATTATCCTGCCTATTGGCTGGCTGACGGTTGGACGTTAATTTCGGCCTCACACACGGATGATAGGGCGCCACAATTGGGGAGCAGGAAGAAGCAAGATGACGGTAGTCGACCTGTATGACAAGCGGCAGGCGGAGACGGAGACGGAGCCAGAGAGCTAGTTGTAGGGAGAAGAGGATATCTTCTTCGCTGTTCAAATGGTTTAAATGAATCCATCCGTCCGCCGTGTTCCATCGTATTATATATCAAAGCAGGACGAAAGCTCCGTCGATAACAGGCACCCTTGCATAAAAGAACAGCCCCTTTCCGACTGAAAAACCTAGCCAGCCGTCAATATTTATATCCAACAGGCAGCAGCAGCAACAGCAGGAGACTCTTCGTTACGTTGTTGTGGAGGATCAACGGCCAAGGACCAGCCTATATCAACTGCTTTTTAAGGTGCGACCACAACGCCAAAACAAACATCCGCACCTTCACCCACAACCTCGACCACCACGACCACGCTTGCTGGATACTCGCAACTCGCTCAGCTTCTACGCTCTTTTCTCCTCTATATCTGCGTACCTTATAGCGAGCCACGGTACATGCTCACCGTCGCTACTCGCTGCTAGCAGGCCCCATGGTTTCCGCGCGGGACACGCCATACACCGTGACCAACTCGTTCAAGAGGTACGCCTTTTCCACCTTCTACCCTGCCTATACACGCGATTAACATGTTTTACGTAGGGGTTTGCTCATGAAAACCTATGCGCGGCCGCTACGGCGCGTGCTCTATCCTGAATCGCGTCCTGACCCGGCCCTGAAGAAACGCCGCATAACGAGCACTCCGAGCGATAACAACGACAATAGCCATGATAATCACATACAGCCGCCTCGTATAGAGGTACTGGGAGACGTTGGGAGTGAGAACAACCTGGTCTGCGCGATACGTGAGTCTTCGGCCGCCATTCTATCCAGCCCGTCGCGTCACACGTCCACCGCAGCCACCGTGTATTCGGAAGATATTCCAGAGCTGGACGACGACCTGTCGACACCTCCCAGCTCGCCGCCGCCGCGTGAACACGAGTCCGAGAGGGTAAAGCTGAAATTGGCATTGACTCCACCGCCCACGAGTAGCAGGAAGCCTACGTTCGGATTTCTGAAACGCAAGAGGTCTGCGCACGATACGCCGTTGACGGAGCTAGAAGTTAACGGCGGGAGTGCCAGCATGAGATCCATGGACCCGCCGGCCAAGAAGAGACAGATATCTCACCCTTCGCAATCGTCTACATCTACCTCTACGCCGGCAACGTCGACGGCTACCCCCCGCCCCGTCCTCAAACAGACACAGCTCGACCTAGGTGTAGGGCCCAGCACATCCCGCAAGACATGTCCGTCCTGCAGCATGCAGTACACTCCCTCGTCGGCCGAAGACAGCGCCCTACACCGCAAATATCACGACCAGCACTCCCAGCATGCATCAGGCGTTGATTTCGGCAAGTCCTTTGTCCGCGCAAACGCTTCCCGATGGGTATACGAGGCCTCGCGCTTCGACGAGGGATACGTCGTTATCGTGGACAGAAAGAGTTCGGCTGGCTCGAAGAACCAGGCCCGTCGTGTGCTGGAGGTGGCCAACACCGACCTGGGTGCAGCAGATATCGAGGACAGCATTCTATGGGGCAAAGTCGAGGGCAAGGATGGTGGGGAAGAGGCAGATCGCTTCAAGTTCTTCCTACATATGAAGGACAGTAAATGCGTGGGCCTCGCTTTGGCAGAGCGCATCTGGGAAGCCCACGGCATCACGACGAGTCCCTCCAAGCGCATCACCTCCTCGCCGACGAGCATCAGCAGCTCCCTAACGCTTACGAAGGAAACGTACCCGGCTCTTGTTGGGATATCACGCATCTGGACCTCGCGATCCTCTCGCCGGAAGGGAATAGCACTCGACCTCCTCGACTGCGTGGTGAGCAACTATTTCTACGGGATGGAGATGGCTCGCACACAGGTAGCCTTCAGCCAGCCGACAGAGAGCGGGTGTGCGTTGATGAAGACGTTTTACGGCGATAGCGACTGGAGGGTGTATACGGGGAGCTGTTAGGACGCCTGCAGAGGGAGGAAATTGTATGACTAGGCTCAACCTTAAGAGGAGCATTCAAGGAGGGAGGGATTCCTTATACCAACTTATTATGTACCGGCGGCTTGGACGGATGGATGACGGCTATGGACGAGGAGTTTTTACCAGGGTTCGGTTTATTTAGCTACTGATATTGATACTGCATGCAATTTAGGTTAGGAAATGCAATACTTGATCAATTACCACAATCACACTCATTAATTTGTATATACTTACTATCCTATTGTCTGTATCGTCTCTACTACTATCCTATTGTTTGAAGTTGAGGTGGTGGTGGGTGATAGCTCCTTGCTACGTCAGGGCGGATGTTAAATAGTTTCTTCCTCCCCGCGCATTCGTCTTCTCCCCATACATACGTCGACATCTCAACGCGCCCATGCGTACACCAGCCAGCGCTCTCATGTACGATGTCTGGACTAAATCCTTTCCGCCATAAGAAAGCTGCCTCTACCGTTGGGACCGTTGCTGCCGGAGACTCGTCGTTCCCCACACTAGAACCAGGCAGCCGTCGTCACCGTCCGGAGCCTCAGGCCTGGGACAGCGAGGATAGACGGCCAGCGACAGCTGAGGAATGGCTACGGGGCATAGATACAGCTGCAGTGACGCAGAGGGAGGACCAGAGGGAGGATGGCGGCCGGCAGCTGTTCGAGAGGGGTATGTCTACCTACGCATCCCTATCTATATACGTCCCACTGAAGCTATGCGTGGCTACATGTATATATATGTGTATCCGGGAGATGTAGCTTGCCGTATATAATAGCTAACGCCTTAATAGCGATGATGGTGGACGAATATCCGTCCCGTCCCACTGCCAATTCGAAGACGGTCCGCATCGCTTCTCCGCCCGCAAAGCAGATTCCTTATTCAGACGAAGACAATGACGGTAGAGAGGGGATCCCTGATGCTACTGCGTTTGAGTATATGGCAACGAACTCGACAGTTCAACATACATCGACACATCGTGTCTCGACGCTGGGTTTGAACGCGGTAGAGGACCCGTTCAATGCTGCCATCGGTAGCTCCGGTAGCTCCGACGATGACGACGAGGAGGATGATAGTACAAGCGATGTGGACGGCACTGGACGTCTGACCACGCGGAGTCAGGAAGGGCTGGGTCTGGGACTCGGTCCAGCTGCAGACTTGCCTGCTCTACGGAGGGTGTCGTATCAAGAAGGCCTTCGACAGGGCCGAGAACATGACCAGATGGAGGCAGCCAAAAGGAAGAGAGCGACGATGGATGTTGACACGTTTAAGCGGTTATTACTTACGGGAGATACGGGGACAGAGGATACCAATGCCAGCAGAGATTTAGATATACGCTCGCCGTCAAACCAGCACCCGTTAAATATAGGGACAGCCGTGACGATGCAGGAAAACCACGGAGATCAGCCTCGGAGTGCAGCAAGTAGCATTTCCAGCCAGCAAAGGTCAGATAAACGACCGCCAAAGCTCCCTCCACCTCCTCCAAAGACTCGACGTGGGAAGGTCATTGCCCGCAGCGCTGAGCCTACAGACTCTACCATGCGGCCTGCTGGAGCTCCTGTCTCCCCTCAAACATCAACGCATACAACAAGTTATACCAAATCTCCTGCGTCTTCCATACATGGAGTTCCACCTGCTTCTCCCATTTCCCGGCGTACAGCAGTGCAATCTGAGCCTTCTCCTTCGAGTATGCAGCATAAGAGACCACCTACACCCCCTCTAACACGCCGACACAGCCAGATGAAACGGGGTAATGCGAGTATATCTCGCATTGACTCGACGAAATTATCCCTTCCACTCAGTGCTACGAAACCGTTGAATAGGTCCGCGTCTTTGAATAGTGCTAGTAACCCAAAGACACCACCGCCGCCGCCATCAAGAAGGGCTGGAACAGGAACGAGCGTGGACCACGGATCCGTCACATCTTCTACACCAGACACCTCGTCACTTGATACTCCGATGTTATCCATGCAGCACAATAAGGATGAGACGGATGATCATTCACAGCGTCACTCCCACTCTACCAACAATATCTATAACCATAACTACACTCCGGCGTCAACATCCGCATCCTCAACCTCCTCTAAACCGTTACCGCCTCCTCCACGCCGCACCATCGGTCCTAGCAATACCGCCCATTCCACAGATATAAATCTCACTCGACGGCCGCCATCAATATCAACAGAGGCGGACGATCACCCCCTGCCACCGCCCCCACCACCACTACGCAAGAGTAGTAGAGGCAGCAATATAGCTGAAGCCGGCACCTCAGCTCCCTCTAACGCAAATGGTATCCTAGCCGACCTATCACAGCTGCAGCAGGAGCTCGATAAGTTCCGCGAACTATACGAAGGCGCAGAAGGGGGCCCGGGCGGTAATATAGGTAAATGAGCTTACCCATCACCTATATACCACCAGCCATTGTTAGGCTACGCTTCCTGAATCCCTTCGCCTATAAATACGCCCCTTCCACTTTTCTTAGCATAGCGATTATTAGCTCTGATGTCTCTAGCTCCTGTTTCTCCTTTTCTTCGTTGATGAAATGTACCAGTGCGATCGTGGCGGGAGTTTCGGTTCATCCGTATAATGATATATGATATATTATGTTTGGTTGATGGGCGTTTAGCCGTGTATATGAGTTGTTATGTATGAGGTAGAAATATGGCAACAATACCAATGCTTTACTGTGAATTTTTATGATAGTCACCTATGATAACACCTCCAAATCACCATATTGAGTATATATGGTGAAGATAGGATAAACCGTATCTCGTTCCCCTATACCAATGCCTTTTTCAAGTTGCAATACTTGAACTGTAGTTTGATTTCACTATAATCTACACGAACATTTAAGAAATCCCACAGGAGGCAAAAAGACCAGTCCCAACGCGAGCAAACCCCTCGCCTATGCGGCAATACATCTAGAGCATCAAACAAGGCTAACTCATGAACGAAATGGTGATGACAAGAAATGATTGAGGGTCGAATAGAACGTGACTTGACAAAGCCGAGGAAGAGCATGGGCATGGAGGCCTGGTTAGATATCAAAGTTAAACGAGGCCGGCTTATAGTATGGTTTTCAGTGCATTATATCCTTATTTCTATTCGTAACTAACCTCAGTACTAGAACTCCAGGGAACGGGGATAACAACCCGAAAGCGTAAGGAGACATGCAATGACAGAAAGGGAAGAAAAGGAAGAAAGCCGCCCAAAGGGAATCATTCGCTGGTTTTCTGGGAATCGCAAGTATTGTATGTGCTAGCCGTCTGCTCCAAGAGGAATAGGTCAAATCCAGGCTGACCTGAATGGGATGGGTTGGTATTAAGGACAACTGTGAGGCTGGGCTAGGTGATTTGAAATGATTTTCTATGAGATGAATATTCGAAGCTAGAAGATAATGTTAACAGCTGCTTATTTATGGAGAGGGGGAATAACATGATATACCTTCTGTCGAACTGGTTTTCGGCACATTGGGCAGGTTGGGTTGCTTCGCCGCGAAATACCCGGCTTGATGTTTTGCATATGCTGGTCCGCACACCATCGACAGAGAACGGCATGTCCGCATGGAATTAACACCGTATCAACAAGCTGACTCATGCACACCTTGCATTCCATGTTGATTGTCAGCTTTTCTGAATCCATCGGTTCCGGTCTTCCATCCTTTTCAACATCGAGTCCGACCTGGAGTTCCTTCCCCTGTGCTAGATGTTCAGCGAATCGTCTTTGTGCTTGTCGTTGCTCGCGTATCAGAAGGAGCCGACTTTGTTCTGCTGTTGCTACATCTAGGGTGCGACCCATGGCATCCATGTATGAGTCGCCTGGTAGAGGAGGTGTGGTGAAGAAGTGTCCACTATATGAGGAATTGGCAAGGGGGGGAGGCGTAGAGGAGATGGTAGCGCTCGGGGTTGGCTCAGGTCGACTGGAGGATGCTGGGGAAACACGAAGCGGTCTCATGCGGACCCGGCGGCGGGTAATTCCATCGCTACCTACTCGAGTATCATGATGGTGATGGTCTGAGTGTTCTGGGCCCATTGCTTGAGCGCTACGGCGACGCTGGGATGTTGCTGGAGGCGTTCCAGCTGATGGTGCAGATGGATTGTTTCCCTGGGGGGCGCCGGGCTGTAAAAACAGATTATCGCTCTCCTGGATTGCTGCCGCTGAAGATAGATTGTTCGGATTATTCCCGGTATGGCCGATTTGGGCCCATGGTGACGAATTTGGCATGATATACCGTGGAAATTCCCGGCCTTGCAAATGGGTTGAGGGAACTCGGGCTGTGGTGTTGGCTTCTGAGCGTTCAGCTTCAACCTCACGATCTAGCTCCTGTTGCATAAACAATGATGGAAACTCAGATCTTGCTGATTCCTGATTACCAGGTTGGACTGCACCATAAGGATTCTGATTAGGACGGGTATGAAGCACCGACGGAGTAAAAGGAGGTATGGGATATGAGCTAAAGTATGGCTGAGATAGGGTGATGGTATCGTTTTGGTTACCTGCTTGCTGTTGGTTCGAAGTATTAAATTCGTTAACATTATCCTGGTTTCGAGAGAAAGGCAGAGTATAGCCTCCTAGCATGAATGTTAGCACCTATTTTGCTTGAAGATATATATGTATATCCATACTTGTTTGATGAGAGCCTTGTCCGTTCAAACTGCGGCCCCAGATACCTGGGGTAGCAGCCATTTGATCCGGAGGCAAGCTCTCTTGGAAATTCAATGTAAAAGGTTCTCGTGGCTGTTGTCTGGTCGTCTGGATGCTCGCTGGAGGAGGGAGGTCCATCAGCTGCGGGCTCAGGCTTGATGCCATACTGGTCAAGGAGGGGACTGGCCGTTCTCCGGTGAGATGATAGATTCGATGGAGGCGATGAGCTTCCCGTAAGGCTGCTGGGTCCAGGGGAGTAACTATAGGTATAGGCCAGTTCAGTGACTGATCATCATTGCGATTATTTGACATTGCTACTATTCCCTAGTAGAAGGGGAGGCAGTAAACAAAACACAGCCAGGGCAGGCCTAGATATAAACAATATGCAAACAGAACAGTCCTGAAGCCAAAAGTGCACAACTTGTGGTGCAGATAGGCTGTCTTTGTGCATGTAAAGTTGAAATGCAGAGTAGAGGTTGAGTAGAAGCTGAAGTGTTGATAAGGGTCAGGATTTATAGGACATATATCAACTCCGGGAGTTGAGGTCCTCAGACGCAGAGAGGGAGTGAATCCAAGCAGAACACCAAATGATATCAGGGATATGCCTCCTTTTAGGGCTCCTTTGCACCAAGAGAAAGCGAACAAAGTGATGTGAAGGTCTGGATATCTGGCATCACATATATAGGGCGGGAAGGAGCACAGCAGAGTAGCTGGAAGAACTGACCGGTAGAGCCCAGCAAATCTCTTATATCACCACTTGATTCCAGGGCCTTGCACCACTGACATCTGTTTTCAGAGCCCGTCGTCTGAGATATGCGCGAGACTCGACGGCAAGGAGGCGTGAATCGTAGGTGGGATCCCGGCGAGATCTTATGAACGCAGCAGGTAGGATGGCCAGGCTGTCTGTTTAGACATGGCATGACGGGTAACGAGGATCCTAGATGCGCACATTTGCTAACTCTGTCCAGGGGACCTTTCTGCGTATCAGACTCGAGATGGTGGGATCTATTCAAATTCATACGCTTAGCAGCTGGTCGGTCAATCAGTCTCTCCCCCTGGATTCCGCCTCGACACGAAAGACGCAGGCCTGATTCGATATATTCCGGTAGAAAATATGGCCACCAACCGGTCTTTGTGTTTTATACTGTTCAGCAACGGACGCTGGCACCATCACTTAATATGACTAGGAGAGGTGGAAGACAGGAGACGGAGAGATGGAATGGCTAGATTATTCCCGTTTCGCCCAAGGAATAGTAGTCTATGAGAGAAGTACAAATACGGACAGACGGCGGATATTGGATTTCACGCCTATCTCAGGATATCTCAACTGATGCTTCCTTTGCTTCCTTGAGTATAGCACAACAGGCCGACGACATCACTAGCAAGGACGAGAACAACAACAACAACAACAACAACAAGAGGAGGAAGAGGAAGAAGAGGAAGAAGAAGAAGAAGAAGAAGAGGAAGAAGAAGAAGAAGAGAAAGAAGAAGAGGAAGAGTCGGAGTTATGGACGTCTAGACAAGGTTCCCACATGACGAGAGCCCCGAACAGCGCCATCTGACGTCGAAACCTGCGCCAAAGCGAAGTCAAGGACGGTTCCAAGGACGTCGAGAAGACGAGAGCAAGCGAAGGACAAGAGCCTCGACGGGTTAACGCAGGCAAAGGGCGGGGGACGCAGATGGCGACGGGCCCTAGTCCTCCCGCCAACAGAATACGACCGTCTATCCTTGAATTAATAATATCATTATGTCAGTTGCTGCGTTGGATCTCTTGGAACTCCCTCTCGTCCTCGTCTTTGAATGACCCGAATCCTGGCTGACGCATGTTGACGCAGGTTGACGAGACTGTTGCATCGGTCGTGCAGCAGTCAGGATCCGATTTGCTAGGAGGCGGCTGGCGCATCCAAACGCCGCCCGCAAGAAAACATCGAAGGCCGTCGAGAACATAGGGGAACAGATCACAAAACGGATGGCGGACAAGACCAAGTTCTAGCTGGAAGAGCCGTACCTCTACCTTACCGGACGGGCCAGCAGCCTGTCCGTCATCCGTATCTTCCGCCTGAGCCTGGCTTGCCACTGTCTGATATCATGCAACATTCTGAGACCCAGGAAAGATCTACTAGGCTTGCGGCAGCCAATCGCTAACGGTGGGCGAACATACGACATCAGCCAAATAAATAACGCCTGCCGCAGGCCTGTTTGCTTTATGGATGGCAACACCAAACGTGAGGAATCCCGAGGTGCAGCCTCTTCTCCATCTGGCACCGACCGACCCCAGGTCAATTCTAGATCTCAAACCATGAACCAGGCACCTTATATTCTCGTTCGCTAATGGATACTATTTTAAGAATGGTCTATATGTGCGCTGTGCCTTTCCTTTGAGTTGACCCGCCTCCCATCAAATCACATCACCCTTGATGCTTCCCAGGCTTGCACAGGCTGCCCGGCGTCTCCCACAGCGACAGCGGCGGCCGTCATCCATCCTCCACGCCGTAAATATGGCCACTTTTACCCTTCCAGGCTCGGGCTCTGAGCCACCCGTACCTGTCCAGTTAACGTCAGACCTCTCGGAGTCCCAGCTGCTTTCTTTTCCAGCGTTCAAAATCTGGTTGTCGACGCTACGCCACTCCCTTGCTCGGCAACGGGACCCATCTCACGAGTTCCATGCAAAGCCGTACGTCTTGCGAAACATAGCTGTCCAGGCTGTCGACCATTTCGGAGCCAGGCTAGGATTTGTCAAATTCAAGGCAGACGTTTCTACCGACAATGGGGACAAGTTACCGGGTAGCGTCTTCTTAAGAGGCGGCAGCGTTGGGATGTTGGTAAGCCTCTTTTACTTGTTACCAGGGGACAGCACAGCGTCTTACTCTTTTTTTACTTTTTTTTCTTTCCTTCACACACGTGAGCAAACCTGATGGAGTTTACTGACTCTTCATCCATCTACAAAGCTCATTCTCCAGCCGGACGACCTCCCAGAATCATCCAACCCATCGTCCGGCGATGGAAAATATGCCGTTCTTACTGTCCAACCACGCATTCCAGCAGGCTCCCTAACTTTTGTTGAATTACCAGCCGGCATGATTGATGAGCAAGGTTCTTTCGCTGGCGCAGCAGCCAACGAAATACAAGAAGAAACCAGCCTTTCGATTAAGCAGGAAGAACTGATCGATATGAGCTCACTGGCTATACTTGGTCCTCACAAAAATAGAAACAAGGAGGAAAGCGAGGAGAAGGAATCCTTACAGAATGCCGTTTACCCTTCTCCTGGCGGGTGTGATGAGTTTATCCCTCTTTTTCTGTGCGAGAAACGAATGCCTAGAGCAGATATACAGCAGATGCAAGGCAAGTTGACCGGACTAAGGAAAGAAGGCGAGATGATCACGCTTAAGCTGGTGCCTTTGGATCAATTGTGGTTGGAAGCGTGTCGAGATGCAAAGGCACTGTCTGCATGGGCGTTATACACGGGACTACGGAGGAATAAATACCTGTGAGACTTACCAACGGTCAAGTGTCACTGACTGGCTAGGAGCGGCCCTGCAACTACCTAAGCAACGATACAGCCATTTAATAAGATTTTACTAGCGGAATGGATGTTGCGGGCTTTGACAGGTGATTTTAATCTGGACGTTTCCATTCCTAGGATTGGCCACAGAGAGATCTTCTGCAGTGCTGTGCACCTGCCAGCAAATCTGCATCGGCAAAGATACCCAATATTCTGTAACACAAAGTGGAACAGCAAGAAATGGATAGCCAGAGCCGCTGAGTTCCTATCCAATAGTGAATTACCCTACTAGGATATTCCTACTCATGGGAAGCATATCCCATGGTAATAGCACGCCTAAAGTAATATCTCAAGGGAGCTTTATTGGTTTCCCATCATCGTTTCTTAGATAGCATATCTCACATGCATCTACTTCTTCATCCACTTAGGCCATATCTCCGTGCAATCTCTATTCCCTCTGCCAGGGTCCCCACACGGGCGTCAATAGCATATCCTTCTTCTTCTAGCCGCTTTGTCTTTTCAAACAGCTTCGCAAGCGGTATGCTGAAACATTCAATAAACTCGTCGTCCTCGAGCGCTGGTTTAGGGTTCTGATTTTCGGGCAACGACATATCGACACGTACATGGACCATATTTAAATTGGTGTTGCAGAATCCTGGATCTAGTGACTTTTAGTAACCGTTTCTATTTCCACGTAACATTTTGCCAAAACACGAAAACAGGGAGATCGAACGAGTAGCCCCTTTTGGGCCTCCTGCTCTCGCTGCGTGGTTTTCTCCGTGTGTTGTCTCATTTCTCATGACGGGTCAGATGGCTGGATTTGCACCCGCAAATCGATCCCTCTCCGTTTTAACGCCAGGTTCGGATCCTTGTCTTTTCAGCCGCGTCGGGTGATATAGTATGCATATCTCATCCTGACACGCTTCCTTCCTTGTTTCCATTTCGTACCCTTTTTGAAAAAGAAAAGAAAAGACGGAGGTACAACGAGGAAGAACCGGCTGCAGCAACAAGGAGAAAAATAGACATACCGTTATATAAGATAGGACCTTTCTGTTCAACAACCCCAACATAGCCAGTTTCTTCCTTCAGTTCTCGGACCGCACAGTCCTCCGCCGTTTCTCCAGCGTCAAGTAAGCCAGCCGGAATCTCGATGGTGACCATGTCGATGGGTGGCCGATACTGTTTTTGCAGCAGAAGTTCCGGTCCCGAAGGCTTGGAGAGGATAGCTACAACGCCTACACCATCTATGGCACCATCCAGCCGAGTCTAGAGGTTGGATTATTAGAATCGATTACGTATTGGTATTGGTATTGACATGGGTCGTGTCGTGTCATTGACATTTTCCCGGACGGGAGGGAAACGAGGGGAAAGGTGACACGAATCATGCAACATTGAAGCAACCTTGCGCCAGGAAAGTCGTCATAGACTATATCTTGCATCGGAGAAAGGCGGGAGCTGCTAGACTTGATAACGGCTTCTAAGGAAAAGACGATGAAGTTGAAGAAGCGGAATTCGTATCACCAACCTGTCTGGTCGCCGATTCCCATACCCTCGTCACGCCATTCGGATCTCTATATGTCAGCTTTAGCAGCTTGATCCAGCGTGCTTCTGACGGGTCCTGGATGTAGACACGTTAGCAATCCTGCCGATATGACGTCCATTAAGGTGGAAACTCGGCCAATGCCCATGAAAAGACACGAAAAGAGCAGATAATATGGCCATGGAACTGGCGTCCTATCGCCATGGCTCAGTCACTTGGAATTTGCGGTGGCATACCAACGGTTCGGTAGATAAGAGAACTTGTTTTTTTGAGCTTGAGGACTGTTCGGACATGATTGCAGAAATGTCCGAGTGCGTTGGTGGCAGAGATATCGGAACCAGGAATGATTATGTCGGGCCTATGACGAGGACTGAATCCATGGAATTTGTTAAGTTCTTACTGAGGGTAGGGAAAAGTGCAACGTTATATCACGTGATTTGACTGGGAAGTTCAGTTGCGACGCTGGAAAGCGAGGTTACCTGTGAGAAGAAGAAGAGGTCGAGGAAGAGATTGAGTAGAAACTGTCTGGATTTTATCTGGGGTCTATCTCGGTCGCCTGGCATACATTATGCGCGTGGCTTGTAACGCCCCGTCTTCGGGTAATATTGGAAACAGGAAAAAGAAAACATCCGGTACAAAGTGGGACATGAGGGGTCATTGCTCATCAGCTATCAGCCTCTATCAGCCATCTAGTAGAGAGATGGGATAACAGGACTAGAGGGAGCTATCCATCTTCTCGATCTGAGCAATGCAGTCGTCCCACTCGGACCAGTTCTTCATGACGACCTTTGCTCCGAGATCGAGCAGCGTCTTGGCCATCTCATCTTGCTTCTCGGTGGTGGGGTAGCTACCAACATACGCGATGACAGGGATGCCGGCGCGAACAGCACTCAAGGCACCGCTCTTGCTATCCTCGATGGCAACGCACTCGGACGCCTCCTTTCCGATAACCTTGAGCGAGTGGAGGTAGATGGCCGGGTCGGGCTTGGTGGTAGGCTTGTCGAGCGAGGTGGCAGCGGAGAAGATGTGGTCTTCAGGGAAGAACTTGTCCTGGTCGACTTTCTTGATCGAAGCCTTGACGCGTCGGAGAGCGGAGGACGAGACAACAGCCATGCCGTACTTGCCCTCGGCGAACAGCCTGACGAGGACTTCGGTGACGCCGACGCAGGGCTGGGCTTTGGCTTCGAGTTTGGCGATAACGCGGTTCTCCTCCTCCTTGACGTAGGCCTCGAGCTCTTCCGGGGTGAGGGTGATGTTGAACTTGGCCTGGATGGAGACCATCATGCCGCGGAAGTTCTGGCCAACGAAGTCGCCGATGAGCTGCTCGCCGGTGTAGCGCTGCTCGATGCCATTTTTCTCGAGGATCTCGTTGGCGATGTCTGCGCAGGCCTCGAAGGCGAGCTCCTCGGACAGGACGAGGGTGTTGTCACAGTCGAAGAGGATGTGGGTGATCTACTGCTGTTAGCTGGGTCGTAGAACAGTGGTATATACTACCTTTGGCATGGTGGCGTGTATCTAGTGGATAGATATCGTGAATGTTGTAGAGAGATGAAGAGTGAGAAGTTGTAGAGAGAGAGGAGAGAGGTGAAGAGAAGAGAAGAGAGAGAGGTGAAGAGAAGAGAAGAAGTAGAAGTAGTGAAGAGAAGAGCACGTTCCTGTCCTGATGTCCTATCTGCAGTGGGGCAAGTGGAAGTGGGATAAGAGAAAAAGGCAGGGTCAGAGGGTCCAAGGATGTCACAAGTCTACTTGTATACTCTTATACTTGTATACTGTATACTTGCTATCTTGTAACTTGTATACTTGTCACTTGTCCTGTCTTTACTTACCTATCTCACAGTCAAGATAGATGATATACCACCATCTTCAAGTCAATGCTTCACAATGATACGCATCGGAACAAGACCTCGGGCACCAAAAGGCTAAAGAGGCTTCCTGGCGCTCCCGAAACTCAGTCATGATGCCCCTGGTAAGTCCTTTGCCCTTGTACTTTGCCCTTGTACTTTGCCCTTGTACTGGGCTTGGTGGCCGTCGATACAGCGGACACGGCGGCTGTGTTTTATATAGAGCAGCAGACTGCATCTACGGCGAGCATCACCGGTCACAGCAGTGTCTTATACACGGCCAGGCGTTGACACAAGTATATGGCCGGGAGAAGGACTCCGTATTCTGGCCTGCCTGATATCGGTAACCTCCAAGCTTAACCATGGTAAACTGAGAAGACTTGGAGACGGACTTCAGGGGTTCGTTACACACGTACAACCTCGCTGCAGTGTTCCCTGGGCGTACGGAGCATCTTCGTAGGAGCATCCTCGTATCTGTTCCTGTTTCTGCAGTGATAGCTACCGTCCAACTATTCGGTCTCTCCTAGCGATTCGTCCATACGATGGAGTAACGGTTGACTGTAAAGATGGATCAATGGTTGGGGTCGACAGCCTGTCTAAAGCAAGACATGATCTTATACAAGATGACGATGCTCGTCAAGTCATGTAAGTACATCTAGTCATCTGAGAAAGACTTGAACTTCTATCCCAGCTGTCTTATGTTGTAACTCTTCGTTCATCCTCAAAGTTGTCTCAAAGTTGCAGTGAAGAACGTCCAAGAGGTCGTTTTTTTATAGCCATCACGTGATCCATGACCAAATCTCTACTTTTTGGTGCGATCAGACATTCGATTTCATAGATAACCACGGCCATCATGAATTGAGAAACTTGTTACCGAGTTGTTGTTTAGTAGCGTATATATAACATGGAGTCCGGCTCTTTCCAGCCGATCGCTCTATCAGATATCCATTTTCCGTCTGCATCCCAGAGCCTCTCCCACCTCCTTTCAGACCTCCGAAGATCTGCCCTGTCGATCACAAACAGGCTGAAATCCATCGAGGCGGACTCGCTCTTTGTTCAGCAGATATCAGAATACTATGGTCTGCCACTTGTTGCCAACGAGAGGTGTGGGAGCTGGTATATCCCGCCAGATAGAAAAGTCGGCAGCTCCTATTTTAAAAGCACAGATGGCCACATGGGTCAGTGGGATTTTAGTCTGAGAAGACTGAATATGCAGGTTTTGGACGTTTTGAAGCTGCATGGAGGGTGAGTACAGGGAGGTGGCTCGTCTTAGGATCTAGGCTGATGACCTTTAGATGCATAATTGTCGATTCAACGAGAAGGGGTAAAAGTATGGCTTCAGTCTTAAACTAGAGTTGTGTATGTTTTGCGACTTTTCATTAACAGGTCTACTTCTTCAGCCATGCCGGATGCCCTGGCCAAAACAGTCCCGATCTGGTGCGCGGTTATGAACAGGGCTCTGTTTCCTGACAAACCCGCCTACCACGCGGTCCAATTTCCACCCGCCTATCTTGGAGAGTCCGAGGAATCTCAAATTGAAAACAGAATAGACGGTTTTGTAGAATCATTTAAAGTAAGCCGATACTCCCCGGATAACACATCCAACACGCTGACTTTCTCCTCGCCAGACATTAAATTTGGATATTAAAAGTATAAGGAATAGGTTGGATAAACCGATCCGCCTCGTTTGGGCTGCCAGGGACTGCTTTGCAGATGATGAAGGGCATGTTTATTCCCATTTACTCGTTCTGTGCTCTGCATCTAAATGTGTCCATGGCGCTGAGATGTCTGAAGGCGGATACATCCAGGGTGCCGGTGATGATAGCGAAGGATGGGCCCATGGTCTCACAGCCCCGTTATTTTGGAAATATAAGACAGAACTGATGGCGGCTGGGGAGCCGGCCCTTCCCAGCCTCATTGAAGAGTTGATTGAGAAAGAGGGTCATTTACCATCCGTGGATGAAGGATGTTTGGTAAAACCGACGAAAATTTTATATATTGGGAAAAAGAGCGGCATCAGTGATGCGCTCTCGTCTTTCGATCTGGTTATCGAATGTACTGGGGACGTGGATTCAGGTAAACCCCCCAAATGGTTGAACCTTGGCTGCCCGTCTGGGAAACTAGGTAGTAGGCAGTTGAGGAAAGTGTTAGGAAGTGTCCAGGGGTTTCTATCTCGTCATTTAGCCACTGATCCATCGCAGTCTGTGATCGTCATGTGTGAGGATGGAAAAGACATATCCGTTGGGACAGCTTTGATGATCCTTTGTTCCTTTTTTGACAATGAAGGTATGACCTATCCCTGCTACTTTATCAAATAACGACTTACATGTATAGGGGAATATTGCGGACCTCGAAACAAGAATGAGATAAACAAGCAATTTATCCGCCAGCGCTTAGCATGGATCGTCATGTCTAAGGAGGATGCTAACCCGTCAAGATCGACACTTCAATCGGTTAACTCATACCTTATGGACAACACTGGCTGAGAGGGCGCTGCGAGCATCTACAGAACGAAGCCTCCCTAATAACGAATATGGAGATTTAGAGTCCAATTTACAGGCCCTATATTTCCCCACTATATGAGTCCTTTGCCTGTCAAAACAATGGTCTCGCATTATCAAGGCAAAATGTGGCCGCCAACACCTAGAAATGGTCATTTCACTATTTCAGTCGCCATAAGCCAGTTTTACTCCTGAGGTATACGCTCTAGGCTTACTTTAGGCCTGCTCTTAGGCATCCCTAAGGGCTAGCTTGACTGATGTGTATGCTCTTAGGGGCTACCTTTAAAATAATTTCAAGAGGTGTTAACGTTAACTAGATAGGTATATAGATAGCCGACCGGAAAGGTGTGGCCGTATCACTGCCCTATAAAACTAACACCTAGTTATTTGTGGAACAATATATTCCCGGTAACTAACTAGTTAGTTAACTAGCTGCCTAGTATCAAAGACTATGCAGGGAGCCCTGGCAACAGCACACAACCCGAATATTCCTACAGGGGGCTTCGTGCCTGTCTACCTTCTCCAGTTTTACAAATAATCGCCCTTGAAATGGCGTCTGACACCTTCTGGCCTTCGGGCTAGGACAAGGAACGTCTACTTGATGCTTCACAAGACATGATATATGCCGAATTGCCCGAAGACCAGATCTATAGTATGTTTGCGGGGCTCGAAGAATCGCTCGGCCCTGAAGGATGGAAAGATTTTGAAGCGGAATCAGATCGGCGTGATCAAGCTAGAATTGAGGCTTCCATACTGGAGGATGAGCCTGTATCTGATACATCTGGTTCTGAAACAAATCTAGCAATGTCTTTGAACCGCCTCTTTGGTGGTGCTGTAGGGCCTCGAGATACCACTCCATGGGAAGAATGGGGATATGTGATTTATCGAACCACATACTCAGATGATGACGATTGGACGCTGTTTAAACGTCGATTTGAAAAGATTATCGGTCGTTATTTCATCGAGGCGAAAGGTACATTCAGAATTGAAGAAGCAAAGAAACTATTTGCCCTTCGATGGGTAGAGGACCCGGCCCTGTTTAATAATGCTTCTCCCGCTCAGCTCGCAAGGTAAATCCCCCGATACTCTATATTATATTACCATTAAATTAATAACCTCTTAGCCACTATCGTTCGACCCAACACCCTAACGGTTTTGATCACACGATGTTCCTTGCAGTTACTCCCGATGTTGTTACATCTGTTTTAAAATCTCCCTTGCCGTGGACTGTTCCCTATGACCGAGCTGGCAAATTGATTCCTTACGTTGTTGCTATCGATTGGAGTACTGAGACCCCCCAGCCGCTTAACGTAGAAGATGCGGATATAGAGGAGCAAGGATTCCGTGGCTATTTTAATGTTGCTGCTGATAGTTTAGTTGGCGATCTTTTTGTATTCATTGCTGATCAGAGTGCGGCTCCTTACGAAATTGGCGTATGTATAAAGGAGAACATGGTTTGGAAAGATCATACGAGGTTTGGTAGACATACATTACCTAGTGGAGCTGATAGTCACACTGAATAGCGATTCTAGATGGCAAAGCACAGAGGACATGTATTGTTTGTCTATATATGCAACTAGAAATACAGGCTTATAATGAATTTAGCAGCATCTTTTACAATCGTGGGTTGGAAGGGATTTCATAGGTCTATGCATTTCTATACAACTGTCAGACTTAGTTTGATATCCGATATCAAGCCGGTATAAAGCGTAGTCTCAGCCACTATATAGAGCTTGCCATCTATATATATAATATATTTGGAAAGTGACGCTGACAGTACAACGCCAAACCGAATTCCGTCCTCATGAATCCTAGTCCGCCGTACAGCACTCGCCCGACGCAACGGAATATCTCCGATGGGTTGTCACAGGCAGAGTATTCAACCGTACTTTATGCCCAAGGCTTTTCATCTCCTAAAAGAACCTTTTCTGTCCTTGGTAACCTGCACGTCCTTAATGACCTGCTCCGCAGGAAGTTAAGCAACAACAATTCCCATCCTTAATGACTTGGCTAGAAATATCAACTAGTTAGCGAAGAGGCTTGAGAAAAGATCACTAGTCTCTACATACCTTTTAAGGCTGATGATATCTTATCCTCCGTTTCCTTGAGGCTCTTACAAGCCTTAGCAAGGATAGTAGCAAGATATTCCGTAGGCTTTAAATAATATAAGCCTATACTTCGGAGCGGGGAGTCAAAGAGTCGAGCTTATAGGAGATGCCTAACTAGGTCATCTCTCCTTGTCTTTCCGCTACCGGCGCAATCTCGAATGAAGCCCAATATTATTGCTAATATTATCTGCTCCCGGTTTTAAGGGCGGAATCCAGGGAACATGTCTGTTCACAGGAAAAGATATTCGACGGCTCGATGGATACTAGCTCTGTGCCCCTGAAGGGCATGCCAGCCACAAGCAGAATACATAGCGCCAGTTGCTTGATGAACGACTCCGCTTGCTCGAGGTATACGGTCGCCGCCGAACGGACTATCGATCTATCTGAATGAAATATAGCTGGCTGCTGGCCGTAGCCTCAACTCTCGATCAATCGATGCGGTTCGAATGGGCAGCCGACATCTGCATCCTCGCGAGAGAAGCTCCCGTACGGAACAGATGAGTAAAGTGGCACTTGGTGGACTCGATGAGCCTCTGAGAGGTCTGAGGTGCGTGAAAGGATTAGCTGCGATGTAGCAGCAGGGTATTAATACCTAAGGTATTCCGTAGTGACTATATGTCTACCTTCACTGGAATAAAAGTGAAGAAGTTGCACCCTTTGTCGTATACACCCACTAAGCCTAATTAGGATATTTAACTACAACTATCTTTGGCTATTTGCACCATCCCCGTCGAATGTCTACAAATATCACCCTAGAGATAGGGCCAGATCCTTCTTGAACCACCGATAAATCGACGAGAGAGACAAAGGATGACATGGGCGAATCTCGTTCAATATCCGATTTACCTTCGATTCGCTCTATCATTGATGACCGGATACTTTACTCCCATTTTTGTTGACATACACGGTGATTTCTCAAGCAGAGCTGCTTATTTTTAATTGATAGTCAAAATATATACATGCCTCTTTGTTGTGCATCATGAAGTTTCTTCATTGTCAAAATAGTTGACCTCCATATGTTCAAACCTGCTTCTTTCCCAGGCTCAAGTATATATCAAAACGTACCCTTTACTACTCGTTCCCCACAAACTTCACAATGGCACCACCTGCCTCCTCATCCAGCCCATCAAGAACAGCCATATCGTCGTCCGTAATATCAAAATCAAAAACCTCCGCATTGGCCTTGATACGGTCTGGATTGTCGCTCTTGGGCAACGGCACCCAGTCCTTCTGAAGCGAGTAGCGAATCAATATCTGGCATGTAGTTTTGCCGTATTTATTCGCCAGGTTGACTAAAACGGTGTTGCTGGCTTTCTTGTTTCTGACAAGCGGACAGAAGGCTTCGAGGATTATCCCATGTTCCTTGCAGTATGCGGCAGCTGTCTTTTGTTGACACCATGGATGGAGCTGGTTATCATGTTAGCCACTCGCATTTTTGTAGCCCGTAGTTGACCGTATATCTCACCTCTATCTGATTAACATGTGGTGGCCATGTTTTCGCATATGCTTTCATCTCTTCCATATGCTTAACGCCATAGTTGCTCACGCCTATCGCTCTCGTCTTCCCTTCTGCGAACAACCGTTCCAGCGCAAGCCACATATCCTTCCTCCCTTCAGCGCCTGAACCAGTACTGTGTACTAGAAACAGGTCAACATATCCCTCTTCACCATCAATCTTCCTCACGCTCTCCAGCGCCTTCTTGTACGTCTCTTCTGGAGTATCACCCGGAGTCAAGATCTTGGTCGTCAGGAAGAGCTCCTTTCGATCAATGCCGCACTTTCGTACTGCATGGCCAACCTCTGCTTCATTGCCGTAGAGCTGTGCAGTGTCTATATGACGGTATCCAGCTCGAATGGCGTTTATACAAGATTCTTCGCACTGGTTGGTGGGGGATTTATAGACACCGAATCCAAGGCGAGGTATCTTTACCGTGGACTTGGGAAGAGTGAGAACGTCTGCGATGGATAATTTGGGAGCCATTGTCACTATATCCCTTTCTTCACACTATGATCGATGCTAACTGGGCTTCGTAGTTCGTTGTAACGAGCGACTTTGCGGCCGTCGCCAAAACGCTCGACGTGGGGTACATAATGACGTTGATGCCGAAGTCAAAAACGTCTTGTTTATCTGCACCCAGCGAGGTCTCGCAGCGACATCAAAGCTGCAAAACATCAACTGGGCCTAAGATCAAGAACGAAAGAGATATAAGATAATGGAAGCCCGGCCAGAGAGACGTTTCACCGTTCTCGGAACGCTCCGGATGCGGATGTGGCTCGGGAGACTGTTGCTCATTCCACGGCTGGTTCCCCTTCAGCTTACGATCAGCTTTCACACCAAATTTACAAGCGGCGATGCATTGTTACATCGTTGGTCCCAGAAAATACTCGAGCGGATACCCATGTTTAGAAGCCTTTGACGATCATCGAGGCTATTATTATTATTATTACTCATTCTTAGCATCCTCGCCTCATCTACTCACGCAACATACGGGGGCTTGTCGGTGGCGGAGCGGCGGAGCATCGCACCAGATCGGATATCTGCAGAACTCCAAACCAGCTCCTAAAGACGAACATCTAGAGAGGAAAAACTCGTGAATGGCTGTCGGGAATTGTTGTTCCGAGTAGCTAAATAGTTAGCTAGGGGTCGATCTTATTGCAACGGGGCCTCTAGTAAGGCTGGCATGGGTCAAGGATGCATCTTCTATCCAGAACAAGATCCCGCCCATCTGAAGGATCAAAGTCACGGCTATGCAGCGTTCGAGAGGTTGTTCACTCCATCTACAATTCGAGGTCCAAGGATATTTTGTCGTGTCACTTGCAGGGAGCGGAAAAATGAGCCCGCAACCGGGAAGCAGGGTGATCCTCCGCTGCAGCTTCCCATACATCCAGATGGTCAAAGATATAAGAAAGACACAGCATCCGCCCGCCTTCATTAAGATTCTGTAATAGCATCAAACAAACAGCACTCACATCCAACTCACTCACCATGCTCACCTTTCCTCTCTCGCTATGCATGTTTCCCCTTGCCGCAGTTCTCGGCTCTGCGGCACCGTCCATTCAAAATGGCGGTGGTACAACCTCTAGTTGTGCTTCTATACCGGCCCCCCATGTCCCAGGAGCCAAAGTCTTGTCAGTAAAAGGCTATGATCGAATGGTCCAGGTGCCTGGCAGCGCACCACTGCACTCCAACATAACCCTCAGCATTTGCAATGTCGATGTCGCCCTCACGCATAAAGGAGTCAATGATAAAGTTCTAGTCACAGTCTGGCTGCCTACTCCCGAGAAGTGGAATGGACGCTTCCAGGCCACGGGAGGAGGTGGATTTGGCGCCGGCTTCTTTGACCTCTATCTTGGTCCTGCCGTCGCTGAAGGATATTCCAGTGCTTCAACCGACGCCGGTGTCACGGTGGACCCCTGGGACGTCAGTAAATGGGCTCTGGATAAAGATGGCAAAGTCAACTATGGCTTGTTGGAGAATTTCTCCACCCGATCGATACACGACATGGCCATCGTCGGGAAAGCTGTAACGAAGAGCTATTATAAGAAGCCGGCCAATTATTCCTACTTCAACGGTTGCTCCAACGGTGGTCGACAGGGGATGGTGGAGGCTCAGAAATATCCAGACGACTTTGACGGCATTTTAGCAAATGCACCAGCCGTTTACTGGCCACAACTTCTCGCTGCAGACGAATGGCCACAAGTCGTTATGCAATCTGAGAAAACGTTCCCATCTGAATGTGTGTTTGAGGCCTTTAGAAAGGCCGGTATCGCCGCCTGTGATAAATTGGATGGAGTGGAGGGCGGGGTGATCTCAAATATCGACGACTGCGATTTCAACCCCCTCGCTCTGGCCGGTAAGAAGGTGGAATGTGGTGGGAAATCGACCACCATTACTCTTGCTGAAGCCTGGGTCGTTAAGAAAATCCACGACGGCCCCAAGACCACATCCAAGCGGAAACTGTGGGATGTAGTGCCAGTGGGAGCCTTCTATAACGGCACTGCCAACCACACTCTTGTGAACGGAGCTCCCCATATTGCCCCATTTCTCGTTTCTAGCTCCTGGATCAAGTATTTCTTGAAGAAGGATCCGAACTTTGACCTTTCCACCCTCACGTACGCCGATATTCCCAAGCTGCTTAAACAAGGTGTCGATGAGTTTGAAGGGATCACCCAGTCAGGCAACACCGATCTCTCTGCTCTCCAAAAGAGCAAGACTAAGCTGCTCACCTGGCACGGTTTGGCAGATCAACTCATCCATCATCAGGGTACGATTAAATATCGCAAGGAGGTCGAGCGTCGATTGGGAGGCGGATCCAAGGTAGACGAGTTCTACCGTCTCTTTTTGGCTCCAGGTGTAAACCACTGCGGCGCTCTTGGAACGAACGACGGCGCGGTTCCCGTCAACCCGCTGGGCGTGCTGGAGAAGTGGGTTGAACAGGGCGAAGCGCCAGAGACGATTCCTGGAGTGGCAACTGACGAGAACACTGGCGCTGTCACCTTCACTCGAAACATCTGCCGTTATCCTCTGGTCGCTCGCTATAAGGGGAATGGTGACAAGAACGCGGCAGAGAGCTATGAATGCGCCCCTGATTTTGGGTCTCACCACTACTAGGAGGCCGTTGACCAAGTATATATTGCAACAGCAGACCTGATAGCTATATAGTAACGATATATTTTTAATAATTTTTGTCCTCTCAATACATCCCTGTCGCTTGATTCTAGCCCTTTGGACCATGCTAGTTGCGGTGTGCACGGCACCAATCCTCGGTATCAGAAAAATAAGAAAACGAATCACCTCTTAGCGCAAGGGTTTTCAGCCTTGTGGGGTGTTCATCGTGTTTCCTCTTGGTATTCGGATATCCCCTATCCTTCAAACGAGAGGAAGCGTCTATATTGACCATTTGTCATGACCGTTTATTTGTCACGGCTAACTATAGCGGACATATTTGTCACTGACGGGCTGAGCGAGCTTCAACTCAAATGATTCCAAAAAATCCATTCAGCCCTGCGCGGGTCTTAAGGACAATTAAGCATCCCCTAAAGACCCCAGCTAAGGCCCCCCTAGCTTTAGCTGTATGCTTAACTAGCCTGGGGACTCCCATATGGCGTCGTTAGGCTGGGAGATCTCTGGCGGCCGGGCGTCTTTCAGCTGTACTGTTGGCCGTTCTTCGAGGCTGCAATATCGCATCAGGGGCCAATTGGAGGATCTATGCATCACTCTAATATCCCGCCCTCAAACAGTTCGTCTGCATGGCCCAGTTTTGTCCGAGTTACGGATGAAATAATATAGCTGCGACTCTTTCAACGGAACTTACGATGGCCCCGCAGATGCATCGTCACCAAGTTAATAACTTTGCATAGCGGGACAAACATATATATAGAGCGAGGAACCTCGGTTTTGTGTTTTGATTTATCGATAGCCTCGTCTTGACAGTTTTGATTGGATATGGAGTCAAGTAAGATACCCGACAGCGTCCAGATGGACTCCAGCGACTCCGACCAGCCAACTCGAGCTTTGAATGCGTGTGAGCCTTGCAGACGAAGGAAGAAGAAGTGCGATAGACAATCACCAGCGTGCGGTTCGTGCCAGAAGTACGCTTCCTTTTATCCGAAGTTCTCATCTCTCCAGGGGTAACGCGGTATGTCATATATATACGCTGACCCAAGAGTGACAACAGATACCTCTTTCGATGCGCATATTCCAAAGTAGGCCGAAAGTCGCAGCTTCGGACTCTTCGTGAACGGTTACGGATTCTAGAAAATGCTATGGCAACTCAGGAGAGCGGTGCCTGGGTACAGGATGACATGCAGGTTGCTGCAACTCTGATCAATGCCTCAACATTCCGGGAGATCGAGCCTCCCCAGATATACCCCGTTGAGTCGCAATGGTATATACCGGAGCTGCTACGATTCTGTAAGTCTAATATTGTCCCCTTCAGACCTACGTATAAACATGGCGAAACTACAGAATATTTGTCTCATTATGCATAGATAGCGGATCCATCGCCATAGAATCACAAAAAAGAGATTCATTCCCACAACTTGATAGATTGCGAAATATATGGATGACAACCGCCTTAGGAGACGCCTGCATGTTTCACGTCACATTATATGCTACATCTACATATATAGACCTACTTCAAGGGAATAGTGACAACGTTATCACCCTCTATCACCAGACAGAAGCCCTTCGGCTTCTCACCAACCGACTTGCTTCCTCTGACCTAGAAATTACAGATGCCTTAATCGCAGTGACAATGACTCTAGCGCAGACAGAGGTATGTCCCTCACTGGCCATATAGACCTCGTTGCAGTTAGAAAATGTACTAATATACTACCTAGAGCCTTTCCGGTAATACTTGTGTTTCCAATGCACATACTGCTGGACTACAAAAAATGGTGAAGATAAAGGGTGGCCTTGAAAATCTGGGAATGGATGGCTTGCTTGCCGAGTTGATTTTCGTGTGAGTGTTTTACTAAGGGGTCACCTACGCGCTCGAAACCTGAGTCCTAATTACCTCCATTTGTTCATAGTGGTGACATTATGGAATCTCTTCTCTCTGATACGGAGCAGGTGTTTCCATGTGCCTCTTCCCCTGCGCCTCCCCCGATGGCACTACTATCAAATATTATTTCTTGGGAGACGTCTTCTCGTGGTTCAATACTCCTTGGCCAAAGCCCAGCTACCATTCTTGGACTAGTCCAGCACTCAATGCTATCTATTGATACTCTAATCAGCTACCCCGTCGAAGGACAAGGAGAAACTTCTTCATTTTTCCAAAAATTCATCTATTTGCAAGAAGAATTTTCATCTCTAAGCAAGGATTATACTGTTGAGCCGGACACTAGCACGCCTTCCACGGACATTCACCTTAGTGAATGCTGTCGTCTAGTTGCCCTGCTACACTGGAACCTTGTCAACAATAAATTTTTCTCCACGGTAGCAGGCATGCTACCTATAGACGTTCGAGAACTCAAGACGGCTTTGGAGAAAATAGACATCATGACATGGTCTAGGGTTACACCAAGGATATTCATCTGGGCTGGCGTGACTGGTGTGGCAGCCTCGCAAGATTATGCAGAACGGGCATGGTTTGCTGCTCGTATGGGGCCTGTAGTAATGGCTCAGGGCACCAGCGGGCTCTCTATGCTTACCCAGGGGATGGGGCTCTATCGATGGCTGAAGAACCCGGTCGCTGTATAGGCAACGATACACTGTGAGGGGATTACCGCACCTCTCCCTTTCCAAATGACTGAATGGCGTGAATGATATAGCTCAGTGGAACTGAGTAAACGACATGAACATAGCAGAAGCTCTGTGTACGATAAATAGCCCGACCAATACCTAATGATATCAATCCAGCCCTTTACCAAAATTAAATCTAACAAGTATATATATACAAAAAAGTTAAAAATTGGGTGAATGAGTAGAAGAATAACCTAAGAGTCCCACATTACCTCACTTAGCCTCAGTAATGCATCATCGCTACCCCGTTTAGCGGCCATGAATTCCTCTCTTGACTCAGGCCCTTGAGGACCCTTGAGTGCTGCAGAGAAGCACAGTTCAATCAGAACCTTCAGCTCATCGTAGGTGAATGGCTCTCCATTGCCTTCTTTCAATGCCTGGCTACCCATTTCCTTAAACCTGTCTCTCTCTTGCTTTGCATGTCGCAGTGTTTTTCCAGAGCCTTCGAGGAACCAATCTAGGAATTTAGCGCTTTGAGGAAGTGCCACAACTTCGGGCATAGAGGCAGAAAGCTCCTTGTCTAACGACAAATTGCTCCTGGATGAGGCCGGAGATGGAGACACGACTATGATGTTCTTGAGGTTCTGTTGAAGGACAAGAACATCAAGCTGAAGTCTTAGTGCACCATTGTTATTCATTGCCCCGATGAAACGGGTACTGGACACCAATGCACGGTCTATCAGCCTTGAAAGGCATGAAGTGATATACCGGCATTCATTTGGCCCAAGATATGTCGACATTCTAGCGCCAAAGGAGATAAGGTCGTTGTTCAACTCTAGCACACAGGGCGAGGCGGACGTTGGTTCAACCGTTAGAATGTAGGCCCAGTTATGCTCTGTTGACGGGTTTCTATCTGCATCTGATTGCCGGCTATCCTTTTTGCCCTTTAAGGCCCGTGAAATCATGTAAATCGACCCACAGCGGATATCAAGGTGGAGAGTAAAGAGGGATGTAAAAGCAAGGCTCTGAATCGACTTGATAGCGTTATCGAAACCAACTACAGATTCTTTTGTCATTGGAAGACGGAGGGGCCGCTCCAAGTCACCAAGTCTTGGTCTCATCGACGTCTCTAGTGTCCAGCGTCGAGTGGGTGCTACCTGCCTCGATTGGGTGTGGCTTGAGTCTGTTTGGTGAGGAGTAATGTGACGCAATTTGGAGAGATTACTTGACAGCCAGTTCTGAGGTAAAGAGTTAGATACAGCTAAAACTGTAGAGTGATACGGAAATTCTCACCATGCTATTATAAAGTAACGACAACGAGCCGACTATCTTTGGATCAGATATCATATCGTACCCTTTCAATGAGATTTCATTGGTTGCATTGATGAGAAGTTCGATTTCCTATATATAGCATTAGTCTGTATCTCTTCATACGACACTTTATTGAGATAACACGCACCTTGTTAATTAATGCCTGTTTCTCGCTGGCAGAGCTTTCCCATATTTTTTGTCCAACGTCACGGAATTCGCGTGATTCGGCAAATGCTGCTGAAGTCTTCAGGGCTACACCACCGGGGTGGTTTGGAGATATTCGAGTCATAAGAGCTGCATCGGCCTCGTTAGAATGATCGCTTGACAGAACAGCATAGAAGTCTGTGCTTACCCTTATACCACCCAGAACATTTATCGTAGTATGTTACGATTTGATCAATGATGAGTTGGGTGAAAGCTTGATCATGAGGTATGCTATCTAGCATTCTGCTAAAGGTTTTTATTAAATTCATGAAGTTTATGGTTCCCTATAAGTTGTCAACTTGGTTAGACACTAGACTTGTCAATAATCTTCAAGGCGAATGATAATACATACCCTGAATATTGGCCTTGTAGAGTGCAAAGCCCACTGAGGATCCTCGGTGTATGAGTCCACCGATATGAAATTAATGGCACAAAGTTCACTAACAGCTTCATCAAGCTGTGGCTGGAAAACGTTTATCAAAAATTCATCCAGGAACGGCGTGAGTGTGCTGGTCACAATATCCGAATTGGGAGGAACTATTTCCTTAAGTCGGTGGATAAAGGAGAGCGCTGGAGGTAGAAGCAAGCTGATATTAAACACGCTTGGCTCAATCAGCAGTTTATGCCCAGTTCCCGAACTTTGCTGGTTTGAGTTGCTGGTGTCGCCAGCCGAAAACATCTGACGTGATTTTGGCACAAGCCCAGGAACAGAGGCTCTCAATATTTCTGCCAGATCATCCTGCTCGGCTTTCAAATCGGAAGCGGTTTGGTCTACTTCGGACATTTTGAAAAGTTTCTATGTTTTCATTTGTTAGACTCGTGTCTGGCAAAGAGTAGAGGTGCTATGAAGCTTACCTTCGTTTTATCACGTTTGATGGAAGACTGGGCGTATCCGTCATCAGCTACTCTAGTGGTAGTTCTGAAAGATTCAGTCCCGTCCGTAGAAAGATAGTCATGTAGTAATGACCGCATCTATACACTCTAATTAGCATCATTATCGCCAACTTGACAAGATATATAAATACCTCGCTTTGATAAAGCTTCCATAATTCCTGGAAGCTGCTTGTCAGGTGGACCTCGTTCGGGAGGCTGTCTCGTTTTACGATGCCATTGATAACTTCATATATGACGCGGTGTCCCTCAGCAATCGTCTCGAATTTGGCGTACAAGTTCCATAAGAATTCAGAGAGAAGATGCCCTCGTTCCGAGGTGGAATCTGGAACCGTACCGGGAGCCCGAGCGTCCTTTTGAATGTTTGGGTGCCTGTTGTTAACCTCAGCACCTGTCTTGTCAACAACACTGTACAATTCGACAGGGAGCCGTTGTTCAATTCGGTCAACCACAAGCTCCAAGCTGCCCATCTTGTGCAGAGCTTCCAAAACAAGATGGATATAATAGAAAGTGTCGGACTCTGGGTTGCGTGATAAATCTTCCACAAAGGGTGTGACTGCATCTAGAGTCGATAGGTATTGATAAAGCGGTTTCTCCCAAGGAGCAGTTCCACCAACTCCGCCAGTTGACGTTCCATCTTTATCAGACGAGGGTTTCCACCTGTCACAACAGTATGGTGATTTCAAGTACAGATGATCGTGTAGCTCCTCAACAAGGATGTCCGTCAACGAAGTTTCCTGGTTGCTGAAATATGTTCGAAGGTCGCCTAGCGAACCTATATTCGCAAGCTCCGGACGACGAAGTAGAACGGTCCCCTCATTAAGTATGTCTACCGCAGCAATAAATTTCTTGTCCGACATCCGTGCCTCAAGCTTTTCGGGGAGGGATTGGGCGTGTTCAATCAGTTCAAAAAGCTGTAAGATGTCGTCGTATGATTGTGATGCCACCGCCTGATCCTTCAATTCCGGCTTCATAGTGAGCAATCCAGCCTTTGCCTCCAAGAGAGCCGTTTTCAGGGATCGAATTTGGTGTTGGGAGCTTTGTAGGTTCAGTTGAATGTTATGGTACGTCCCGAGTAGACTGTTAAAGCCGTGATGGTGCTCTGTGAGAATGTTCAGTATAGCTGCCTCCAAGACCGCTCAGATGAAGAATATCACCCACCGTTCACCACTGATCGCAACGCCTGCTGGATCTGATTGTGTGTTCGTATAAACTCTGGTTCTCTATCTGCGCGTCCGAGTGTGCTTGTATCCATCAACTGCAGGCCAACCTGGACGGGAACGCATTCGTCGTTCGCCATGAAATCCCACTCATCTTCGATACCTTGAACGACATCTAGTTGAAGCATCAGAATTATAATCAGTAAGATATAACTCCCAGGTGGTTCATGGACACATACCATCGATCTCCTCAGCCCCCTTTATCTCCCGGCCTCGTCCACCACGACTGGCACTCCGCTGCCTGGTATTCTCATCCCGCCTCTGTCTCTCGGTGCTTCTAAACCGGCTTTCGTCTCGAGGAACGCCCCATGAAGGGCCATCGTCTATATCCCGACCTCGCGACCGCGCGGATACCTGGGGAGACAACTGTTCCATCGAGTCGCCAGGCGAGGGAGACTCGAGATAGGTCCCTCCGTATCCCCCTGTGCGCCCCTCGCGCGGCCGGCCATATCCATTTGCGGACGAATTCATTGATCCATTATCCAATACGTCTTCGTGGTCGTGGTCGCGTTCTCGTTCAGGAGCGTGTGCAGTCGTGAAATAATCGTTGCTTGGAAAGTAGCCGCTGCCTGGAGTTCTGTTGCTTGTGTTCATGATGTAAATAGAGCTCCAAAAACGCCCAAACCATAGTGGGTCCAATCACGAACTACAACAAGATATAGACCAAGCGTATAAAGCCAACAATGTAAAGACCAATACTGAGAGTGTATAGAGTAGAGCCTATGGTTGATTTGTTGTGGCGGAGCTTCTAATTAACATTTACATCTACCAAAGAATCTGTGACTTAGAATTTGTAGTTGTAAGAAGTAGCATAGCGTACATGCATTCCAAATGAGATAGAATAGTATAACAAGTGTGATATGTATCCATCATTATATCGTATAAGAGTAACGGCATCACAATCCAATGCTGCCTTCACAGTTCAAAATAAACTCTCTGGGGGACTCTCCCTGAAGGGCATTCCTTCACTCATCAAAAGGTACAGTAATACATAGAGATTCAGGGCTGGGGTCTTCTAATAATCTCTTAACACAGCAACAAGGTCATCCAGCCTTGCCACTTCACCTAGGAGCAGTGTCTCCTTGGCTTCCCATTCCTGTAAAGCAGCCATATCAGAGGCAGAGAGGTAGCGTTCCATATTACGCTTCACATCAGAGCGTTCTGCTTTTTCAATCAGCATTTTTAGTTTGCCCCGTTCATACGCAAGGCGCTGGAGGCATCGTGCCATGCTCTTATACGTATCCTCGACAAGCATCATAACAACCCGGTCAGCGTCATAGAACCAGAGATATATTGTTCGAGAAGGCTGGCGTTGGGCATCGCGGGGAACTTCTTGCAGATCTATAAACCCGCCAGATTGAAGGCGTGCTAATATCTGTCTTAGATCCTTTGATGGCATAAGACTTATTTCTTGGAGGCGTTTCTCGTCCAACCTCCCCTTGGCTGCGAGGACACGCAGAACACGCACTGCAACGGAGCCATAGCGCGATTCGACAAGACGTTCGATCTCAAGATGGCGTAGTTGTCGGGCAAGATGTCTGAATTCAACGGCCCATGTGATAATCCCCGAGTCCAACCTCCGCGTAGAGAAGTGGTAGGGCTCTGAGGCGAGTAGGGTAAGATGTTGTGCAACTTGAAAAACGCGACTTTGAGCTTTGGCCTGAGGATCGCCTTCGCCGTCTTCGTCGTCAAAGTCATCTTCATCTTCCTCGTTCTGGTCATGGCCGTTTTCAAGGTTATTCGGCTTTGGTCCCACAGGAGCCAGTCCGGCAATGCTCCCAACAAGGTCCAAGCTAGGATCAAGATCGTTGACTATGGTGTGCAAGGGGATGGGAGCAGAGTAATGTTGCCCTTCTTCCCCTTCCAGAACAGGTTCATCTTGCTGGCGACATCTTTGAGTTTTAAGCTCGATGCGCGAGAGGAGTGTTTCGTAGACTTGTGAAGTCACAGGCGATGTTACCTGATCTGCCATCTTGATGAGCCTTTGACTCCGGAGCGCAACATCGAATTTTTCGTAATTGATGCGGATAACCATATTACTCTATTTCTCGGCGGTTAGCTCTAGACTTTCAGTAATTCAAATCAGGAGCAGATGGTATACTCACATCCAATGTTACATCGTCATCCTCGTCCTCATCCTCATCATTATCCGACAAGACGTCGCCATTTACTCCAACCTGACCACCTTGGAAACTATCATCGAGCCTCGCTCGTTTTCGTGGACCCTCCGAATCCCCGTTCGCTGCCCGCCGTTTTATTCGTTTGGTAATATTTCGAGGAATCAGGCCATAGGCAATGACCCCGTTAGACCATTCCTCTAGCATGATGCCCGCCTTCTCTTCAATTTTCTCCTCCAATTTTTTCCCTTTCAACGCCTCGGTTTCGCCGCTTGCCTTGACCGCTCTCCTCGCTGCTTCACGGAGATCCGACGGCGATTGGAAATGGACATCTTTCACGCGCATAATGTAGCGGTATGCAGCAAGTTCTCGAAGGGCAGAGTTGAGCCTGGAAGCGCCATATCCGTTCTCGTTTTTGTGGTGTCCAGCAGTTCCATTCACGCCGTCCTCCAGTCCGTTCTCCATGAGACTCTCATCTCCATTCTCCAGCGGATGGTCTCCATTCATGCCATCAGTGTTGTGGACGCCGTTGCGCGAAGGAGGGGCAGGCTGAAGCTCGGGGAGGGTCTCCAGGTGGCTAATTTTGACATGTCCAAGGGAGAGTATCGTAGACACAACTTTTGCGGTGTACTCTCCCAGCCGTTCCCTCGTCAATTGCAAGATGCTTCCTGACCGCACCAGCAGATATGCCGCCCGCCAATTCGCCTGGTAGTATGAGACTCCGTCATCGAAGCCGGTGAAATGAAAGATAAGCTGCTGCTGGATGAGGACGGCCAGGCCGTGCTTCACCTGTCGAGGCGATAGGTGCGTGTTATGGACTATCCTTGGGAGGGGTTGGCGCCCATGATGGAGGAGGTACGAGAATATCAACTATGCGCCGTTAACCCTCTTCGAACAACCCAACAAACCCCAACAAAAGAACCAGAAGCAAGGCATACCGAGTATAACTCCCCGAAATTGTCTGTGATCAGGAGTCTGCAGAGTTCCGCGGCATACTATCCTCCTGGTCAGCGGCGTCCGGCTAGTTAGTCAGAGGAGCTCTTACCTGCGACATCTTTTATAACTTCTAGAGAGATGCCAGCTTCTCTAGAAGTGTGCAGAGGTCACGAGTATATATTCATGGGCCTCCTACCAGCGTAGTATCAGATCCTCTTCTTCTTCTTCTTCTCTTCTTCCTGTTCCGTCCGATAATTCTCTTCTTCGTCTTTTTTCGAGCTTCAAAAGAATAAGCGGGACGACCTTCACGTGACACGAAAAGAGGCCACCACGTGACTTAGAAGGCGGTCGTCAAGCTGACCAATCAGAGTGTCCGCATTTGGCCCATTTCGTGACCGACCGGAAGCTTTTTGGCATCAGAAAGTCGAACCTCAGACCAGCGAACTCATCCTCCTCCATACCAACTCTCGCCCTGCAACCCCCCGGCTCCAGCCCACACACCTCTCTCGGTTGTATTTCCCGTCGACACAGAAGGCAATGTTGCTTCCGCGAGCTTCCTTTGGCCGGAATGCCGCGCGCGTCTGGCGCAATGGCTCCTACAAGCAGACCGTCGCCCAACGAGGCATGGCATCGCACGCTGGCCTCGAGTACGAGGCGAGCGAGACCGCTGGCGTGAAGATTGCCAGCCGGGAGGTGTCAGGACCAACTACCACCCTCACCGTCGTTGCTAAGGCTGGTTCCAGATACGAGCCATTCCCTGGCTACTCCGAAGTCTTGGAGAAATTTGCGTTCAAGGTGAGCCGCCGGATGGCCGATTGTTCTATCAATTCGATGGATCACGGCGTATAACGAAGACGATGGAGGCATTGGCTGATGATTTTGGATCTCAATTGCAGTCTACCCTCAAACGCTCTGCTCTACGAATCACCCGTGAAAACGAGCTGCTCGGAGGACAACTTTCCTGCTTCCGATCAAGAGAGAACCTCGTTCTCTCTGCCCGATTCCTGAACAACGACCTCCCATACTACACCGAGCTTTTGGGAGAAGTCGTTTCACAGTCCAAATATTGCCGTAAGGGCCCCCAATTACTCCTGCTTCCCAGTTTCAGAATGATACTAAAGATGTTTTTTTTGTTGATATCAAGGCCATGAGCTCGACGAGCTTATCCTCAACCTCGTTAAATTCTCCCAGAACACCATTGCCGCAACCCCAACCGCTCAGGCTTTGGACTCCGCACACAGCCTTGCTTTCCACCAGGGACTTGGAAACGCCCTCACTATCCCAGCCTCTGCCCCATTGAAGAAGTACGTCAACGCTGAGGGTATCGCCGCCTTCGCCGAGGGTGTCTACACTAAGCCATCCATCGCCGTTGTCTCCAGCGGTTCCAACTCTGCCGAACTATCCAAGTGGGTTGGCCAATTCTTCAGCGAGCTTCCCTCTTCTACCGCTGCCGGCAAGTTCGCCCCCGCCGCTACCCAACAGACCAAGTACTACGGAGGAGAGCAGCGAATCTCCAGCCAGGCCGGAAATGCCGTTGTCATTGCCTTCCCCGGCTCCAGTGCCTACGGTACTTCTGGATACAAGCCCGAGTTCGACGTTCTCGCCGCGCTCTTGGGCGGAGAGTCCAGCATAAAGTGGTCAACTGGATCTTCCATCCTTGCCAAGGCCACCGAGGCATTCCCAGAAGTCCAGGTCTCTACCAACCAGGCCTCTTACTCTGACGCTGGATTGTTCTACGTCACCCTGTCCGGCCCAACTGCCGAACGTGTCACCCAGGCCACCAAGGCTGCCGTCGAGGCCCTGAACAAGGTCGCTGCCGGCAACGTTGCCGCCGAGGATGTCAAGAAGGCCATTGCCCACGCTAGATTCCGTGTCCTCGACGCCGGATCCAGCTTGATCACTGGAAGCGAAGCTACCGGCTCTGCCCTCATCCACGGTGGCAAGCCATTCAGCATTGCTGCCAACGCCCAGGGTCTCGAGAAGGTCACAGAAGCTCAGGTCAAGGCTGTAAGTTGATATCATCACATTTCATTGATAAAACGATCACTAACACGCTACTAGGCTGCCAAATCCCTCCTAAGCAGCAAGGCTTCCGTCTCCACCGTCGGCGAGCTCTTCACGCTCCCATATGCCTCCGACCTCGGTCTTACCGTGTAAATATACCCACAGGAACAGGAATCCCAACCACAATCGCTGAACCCAAAAAACACACACCATAGACTCAGCGCGCCTTTTTGATGTTACCTTACTAGTTGAAATAGTTGAAGAGAAAGAAAGAGGGATTAGATAGGTGGCTTTTCTGCTCTCTTCCCTGCCCTTTATCTCTCCGTCACTCTCCATTTTTGCTCTCTTTTGTTTGTTCTATCTAGTAAATGTACTTATATAAAGAAGAATCCAAGTGTTTTTCATACATATTTTTTTTCATCCTCACTGTATCTTCAGTCACTTGGTTTTTTTTTACAATTTTTCTAATTAGACCAACAATGTGTTCTACAAGGGTTCATTTGGTCTCAGTCATTTCGTCTTTAGATTATGTTTGAACCCAGTACATAAAATGATTAAAAATAGAGATAGAAGATACATAATGAAGAAGGGGAAACAGTTTTTCTACCCACAGAATAGTAGCAAACATGGATGTAAGAATACAGTATCTTCGTGGGGCATGTAGTATTTTGATAAAAAGTGGTGACATGAGAGGAAGATGGTAACGGAGAAAAGAAAAAATACATTATTTCTATAAAACTAATAGAACATGCTGAAAGACATGGGGAAACGAAAGGAAGGAAGAAAAGAAGAAGAATGTGTTTTTGGTCATGGGTTGAAGAAGCTTAGTGTTTAGCGGTGACCTTGTCGCCTGTTAGCTTCTCGACGGCTTCCTTGGCCCTGTTAAATGAAGATGGGTTAGTATGTTAAAATGACTACAAGACACAGGTAAAATGAGGATGAACGTACATATCTCCGAGAGCAACCATGCAGACGGTCTGCCAGATACCAAGGCCGATACGAGGAGCCACACCTCTGTACAGACCCTTGATACCGTTCTGGCTATAAATATAACTAAAGGTCTTGCCGACGGTCAAGTTCTTGGGACGGTTGGGGTCCACTGTCTTGCTCTGCATCTCGACACGGATGACTTCGATAGGCTGGTTCCAAGCCGACAAACCACCACCGATAGTGCTGGCAGCGATCTTCTCCAGGCTGCTGAGTTTCTGTCCGTCTTCCTTTCCAGTGACGCTGCGGATACCGGTCTCGGCAAGTCGGGATAGACCGAATCGCGAACCCCAGTTGGTCGTCTGTCGAATGGCGACGGCATTGACACCCTTGTTGATTCCACGGATTCCCTCGCGGCGGTAGATGTCCATGAAGGTGGCGAAGGTGCTTGGTGGCTTGACGCCTGAAGCAGCCATCTTGGACTTGGTGATTTCGACGGTCTTCATGCAGGTACAGAAACCCATGGTAGCGTAGGCCTGGGCAACACCACCGGCCATACCACCGCTGATTCCGCCGACGAAGTCATTGGCGCCGAAGGTTTTGGCAACGTACTCGGCTTCTGACGCGACGAAGAGGAGAACAGCGCCCTTGGTGGATGCCTCAATCCAAGCCCATGGAATAAGACCCTGGTAGTCTATTTCAAGCAAGAAATGTCAGATTTACTACACTGTTGTAGGAAAAGGGAGGAAAAAATATGAGGTGTCGCTGCTTACACCCAAGCATGCCACCACGACCCCAGATCCGACCCATGGCTCCAGCGAAGGTATCCGACCGGTTAGCAGCCATGGTTGTCTTGATCACTTCCAGCGGCTGTCCGAGGGAGGTAACTCTATTCCAAGCAGATCTCGTCAGCAATTGCGCACGCATTGAGCAGGAATTAATTCAGAAACGTACTCGAACAGGTTCAGACCCGCGCCAACTAGAAAAAAAAAATCATCAGCATCAATCGCAGTCACACAGCAAATCGCCATCACTCATCGTATAAGCCAGCATGGAGGAAACATACGTAGCAAATTGCTAAACTTGACCGGCTTCTTCTCGATCGTTTGGTTGGAGGACATCTTGGATGCTGGGACGCTGAAAGGGGCCCTGACCAAGGGAAGAGAAGTACGGGGTGGGAGGAGTCCTTATTTATGTATCGGACGCGGCTGGTAGGAGCTGACGGAACACACCCGTCGGACCTTGATGTGTATATACTGCAGATGGAGCGAAGTATAGCGTTTGGGCCGAGGAAGCTTCTTGCTTCGCTTTCAATTGAGATATTCAGGGCAATGAGTGTTTCTCGACTCCGGACTCGGCTTTTGAGGCTATACGGCAATTTCAATCGTTCTAACTATTCACAGCAGCGCATTAGTCGGGACAGCTCCAACTCATCACAAGCAACATGATGCCTTTCAGCGGTGGGATATGCTCCGTTGCGGACAGGGGCCAGTGGATCGCGACAGGCACCGAACATCGGACAAGGAACGAAGAGGCCCGGTTAGAGGAAACGGAGTCTAAAGCTTACCTGGCTGTTTCTTCTTCTTCGCGAGTGTATAGCTGAGCGACAGTGTCAAATTGCAAAGAGTGAAAAGAGAGATGAGAAGAGTCGGAGGAAAACTGAAGCTGATATTCGGGTCCCTTTTTCTTTTTTGGGCCTTGAGGCCGCGGCCTGCCTGTGATGGGCTTACATAAGGGGTGAGTGTGGCAGTTTAGCGGGCCATGTTGGGAGGTTTAGTGCTGGCAGGGCGTTAAAACGCGTCCCTAGCAGCTCAACAAATCCTGAGGGAGCCGCGATATACGGAGCATTTCATCCTCAACCGCCGATAAAAGGGAGTGGACAAAAGAATACATTAGATATAAAATACAACTAGGATGCTGCTCCTATAGGTAGTTACACAGGTGAATCAACAAAAGGAAACAGGGGGTGGTGGTCTTGTCAGCGTTATTCTAGACAGCCCTGGAGATCGCGCGACGGTCTATATAGCTTTTTGTTCGCTTTGCGCTTGCAGGCTCAAATTTACAACTTGGCTCCGGCGAGCTTAGCGTAGGCCTCGGTGCTGAAACTCTTTGGTCTCTCGATGGGGGCGCCGACGGCACGGTCGATGATCAGCTGGGGGAGGACACCGAGAGCGCGGGAGACACCGAAGAGGACGGTGTAGTAGCTGGCCTCGGTCAGGCCGTAGTACTGGAGGAGGACACCAGAGTGCTGTGGAATAACATGTTAGCTGTTGGCTCTGATTGAATGACAGGAGTAGTATAACTTACAGCATCGACGTTGGGGTAAGGGTTCTTGGTCTTGCCGTGCTCGGTAAGGACGCCAGGAGCGATCTTGTAGACCTGGCTGACGAGCTTGAAGAGAGGGTCGTCGGGGAGGTGACGGAGGGCGAATTCACGCTGAGACACGTAACGGGGATCGGTCTTGCGGAGAACGGCATGGCCGTATCCGGGAACGACCTGGCCAGCGTTGAGGGTGGACCAGAGGTAGTCCTTGATGGCCTTGTCGCTCAAGTCGTTACCAATGACCTTCTGCATCTTCTGAAGCCAGTTCAGGACTTCCTGGTTGGCCCTATAAACAGTGTTAGCGTTGGGCTACGACAACGGCTAAGCTAGGGGGTAGCGGGTAGAACTTACAATCCGTGGAGTGGGCCTGCGAGACCGTTGAGACCGGCGGAGAGAGAGAGCATAGGAGAGCTCAGGGCGGAACCAACCAAGTGGGTCGTGTGAGCACTGACATTACCACCCTCGTGGTCAGAGTGGATGGTAAGGTAGAGACGCATCAGCTCAACGAAGTCGGCGTTGTCACCGTATCCGAGCTGGTTGGCCAAGTTGAAACCGTAATCCTTGTCCTTCTGGACGGGAGCAACCTTGCCGTCCTTGAAGACGTTGCGGTAGATACGGGCAGCGATGGTGGGCAACTTGGCGATCAGGTCCATCGAGTCCTCGAAGGTGTACTGCCAGTAGTCCTTCTTGTTGATACCCTTAGCATAGGCCTTGGCAAAGGCGGACTCGTGCTCAAGGGCAGTGACAGCGAGGGAGAACTGGGCCATTGGGTGGAGGTCAGGTGGGCAGCGGTCGATGAGCTCCTCAATGAACTTGGGGACATCGGAACGGGCAGCCCATTCGGCGGAGAGCTCGCGGACTTGTTGTTCGGTTGGGACCTCGCCGGTAAGCAAGAGCCAGAAGAGACCTGGTAACTTGTTAGCTCAAGTACTTTTTCAGACATGTGTTCACGGTTTGACTGTATGCACCTTCTGGGAGTGGCTCCGAGCCACCGGGGGCCTTGGGGAGGAGCTTCTGGCACTCAGGGATCTAAATTTTTATGCATTAGCTAAGAGAGATCGTGAAGGTCTGTCCACTTGTAAGAACTTACGGTCTTTCCACGGAAGCGGATACCCTCCTCAGAGTCGAGGATAGATCCCTAACAGAGCATTATTAGATTCAAATTCGCAGTATAAACCTGACCAAGCACATGCTTACCTCCCAGACAAGGGACTTGATTCCACGAGCACCACCGTAGACCTGGTCTAGCGTAACGGTGCCGAGAGGGAAGTCTCCATGATCTCTGCAAATTGTACAAATTCACCGGTCAGTTCAACTCGCTCTGGGCCATCAATTCCTCTCATTACGCAACCAAACGACGTACTTTCGGAGCTTCTTGATCTGCTCTATTTTCTCTGGAATCTGCGCGGCGAAGGTTTCTTTGAGAGACTACAGTTGAGAGATACCTAATTAGCACATGTCTCCATCTCTATCCCGGGCATTGAGTACGTACTGGTGCTTTAGCGCTGGAGTACTGGCGGAGAGCGTTGTAACCAGCGGCCTGGACAGCCGGCTTGGAGGCAAGGGAGGAGGTTCGGAGAGCAGCGCTCCCTAGTCTGAGTGAAGAGGCCATGGCAGCGACTGATGAAAAAATAGTGTACAGGTATAAAAGTACACGGCAGGAAGAAGAGAAGAAGAGCGGATGGATGGGCAGAGGTGGAAGAGATGAAGCTGAAAGGGAGAGGAAGAAGTTTCGAAAGATATTTTGCTCGTGAGGGTATTGTCGGGACCAGAAAACGTGATCAGATGTTATTTACCACGGCAGATCTGGCACTTTGATCGCGTCACGTATGGTAACCACGCCTGGCTCCGGTATTTGTTGGGCCGGCGGTGGTTTTATCTCCCTTTTTTCCTCGCGCTCTCTTGCACCAACGAAACAAGGAGCCGTGGGATCAGGAGCAGCTCAACGGCGGACAGATGCTCTCGCCCGCTCCCCAGGCCACGGCACGATGGCTGCTTCATAGACAGCCCGACGACAGCTCAGATGCAGCGCATAGTTCGGCAACACCGCTGTGCCGAGGCTCAAAGATAGAGTTCCTAGTAGATGCATCTATGGAGATATAGCAGCATCGATATATTCATCGTCATCCCCGAGTGTCTTAGATCGGATCTATCTGTGACGTAAACACATCTGTACATTTGACGACCGTGTGACTTGTGAAAATGAGGATTAAGACGGCTTTCTATTTATCTCAGTGTTAAGTTGATATAAAACTATCCCAGTATATAATCTTGGCCTCAAAAATCTAATGTCTGTATACCCGGTGGCTCATCCCCTGTTAGACCTTTCTCCTTCAATCGCACTGCTCTCCTCTCAAGATACGCCTTGTAGGGGGCCTTGGGTATCATCTTCGCTTCGTCCTCCCATGGCTGATATCCAACTTGCTCCCAAACCTCCAACTGGTCCATAAAGTTGCTGTTCGGCCTGATCTTTCGTCTGGCTTTAACGTCTGCCAGCACGACATCACGGCTTTTTCCGTACTTGCGCATGAGGTAGGCGATTGTCATCGTAGAACCTCGGGAGATTCCTCGATCACAGTGCACAAGGATCACATTGGTGCTGGGGTTGTCTGAAGTAGAGGCCTGACTGTTGTCATCGGGTAGATCTCTTTCAAATTTGCGATTCAGGAGCTGAAGGTTCACATCGGTAGTGTGGTCGCCTTTTGAGGCAAACTGCGGCAGCCATGATGAAGCAAAGTTGCCCTTGTAGTCAATATCCACCGGCCTCCTCGTTGACTTTCGAGGGGCCGCATACACTTCATCAAGAAAATCGCAAAAGAAGTTCATTTGCTTAAGTAGATCCTGTGTCAAAGAGTCGTCACATCGGATGTAGAGGTGGTGGTCGACATGTCGTTTGAACCTCCCCCATTGCCATAGGGCGCAAGGGTTCCCAACAAGCGAGACAACCCCATAAATATGGTTGTCCTTGAGAAAGCTCTCCTCGTAGGTATTCAGCACATCGGCAACAAACAGTCCTGGCTCGATCTCAGAAGCCGGGCCGGGTTTCCAGCCTTTCTTCACTGGCGTGGATATACTGCCCTAATGATCAAAACTGCACTTTGTAGGCAGACATATAGAGAGTATCAAAGAAAGGCTCAATGTGTACGCTGAGGTATTATCCGCCTCTTTTCGACTGTTGTAAATATATGTGCGTTTTGTCTGCTATGGAATAAATAAAATGGTTGATGGATGCGGCGTATCAAGTCACAGGGCCATAACCAGGTAAAAACGAAGCAGTGACCTGCATGCCTGGGTTCTTGCCTGCACATAAGCCTTGATAGTAGTATTTGCAGTATTGTATATCAGGTGTCTAGCCACCTCCATGTAGAAGACTTGTACAATAGAACTATGGCGAATGTCTAGCTCATTACCTATTGGGATGTATATATCCACATAAGCCCACATACACACACGACATAGATCACACTCTATAGGTAAATCCACCCTCCTTCGTAACGAGACGAAAATATATAACTCGGGTCGACTATCCCGTAGCTGGAATAAATTACCCTTTTATGCTTGGTTTCCATATTACTATAGCAACCTCTAACAATCATCTGGTCTCTGTGGTAGTAGCCGCAGGCGCTATCTGTCACCTTCATCCTCATATGCCTTCCTATTGACTTATTTGCCGGTTATTTAGCCTGTTCTTTGGCTATTTATAGCCTGATCGAGATATATATAGAGCTGCCGGCAAGTCCTTATCTTAACAACATACCTCTTCTATATACTTATGATCTACTATGTCTTTGTTACTTCCATATCGAGGTGCCGGAACTACAGTTTAGCCGGACCGAAGGCTTCGAGGAAAGTCCCATCACGTGAATATTACTTCCTATCTGGGCTAGCGTGTTTAATTTTCTTTGCCTTCTCCTTGAACTTGTCAAACCTTTCTCTCACCTACTTACAACCCTCGAACTTCATCCTGTCGTCGTCCTTTTTTTCATCACTTTTCATCGTCTAACGTTAGCAGAGAGGCTGTCTCATCACTTGTATCTGGTCTGCTTGGACTTTATTCATCGCTTTCCTTGGGACTGTTAGTGGAACGGCCGTAGGCCCATCCTCTGCGCCTGTCGCTTAGCCGGGACTGTAGTGACGAGATCACCCATCAATCATCAAATAGAGACATCATCTACTGGATCACGGATAGCTTTTCCAACTCTCAGTAGATACAAGATACAGCATAGTGTGGATTCTTCCGCTCCAAAACCAGCAGATACCAACACAGCCGCCATCGTTGCAAGTATTAGCTTTCACTTCTTATACGCATAATCGGTAGCAGCCTACACTATCAGCCATGTCGTCTGCAGTAGCAGAGCTAGATGGCTATCTCCATTCCATGCTTTCCTTGAAGCCGCCAGGTGTATCAGGATCCAAAATTAATGGCATCACGTCGCTATGCACTGCCAATATTCAGGTTAGTCTTGAGGAACTCGGTGCCCTTTTCATATATCGAACCCCGTTACTGACGTGTTTATTCTCTACTACCTCTAGTCCGAATCAGTTTTGATGCAGAAAATCTATACCCACTTTAAACGAGCACCGGGAACACACAAGTTGGGCGTACTCTATGTCGTAGACTCTGTAACTCGACAATGGGTAGACTTAGCACGCAAAGCCGGCCAGCAAGTTGGCGGCAGCTCTCCAGATGGAACTTTTGCTGCGGGCGTTAACCGAGTGACCGAGCTTCTCCCAGTCCTCATGACTGATATCATAAACAATGCTCCTGAAGACCAAAAGGTACGCGTACTCTTAGACATGAAGCAAACTCAATATCTTTTACGAAACGGAAGAAGAGCCCTACAGTGCAACATATCATAGTACTAGGCATCTTGCCAGTGTGATGTTGCCATAGACACCTAAACCACCGTATCACCCTTCCTTTCCCCCTTTTACAACACTCGACTTTATATCCTCTACCCTTAACCATAGGTTCTCTCGCTTATGCCGTGGCTGAATAATTCCCACTTACGTATATCCCTTTTCTTAATTTAGGACAAAATCAAAAAGTTGGTGGACATCTGGGAGCGTGGATACACATTTCCTGCTCCTATGCTACAATCTTTCAAAGAAAAGCTAAATGCTCCAGTATCTCAAAGTAAGAAACCCCCTTGAAGAAGTCTTCGAATCCGCCCTCTCTGGTTTAGAAGAGACATCTGGCAAACCCAAACAACTCCAGGGAAACTCGAAAGGCTGTATAGGGTATAGGAACCCAGATTTTCTAATGTATTTTCGTCCTTTTTTAGATGTTGAATCTACAACTCCAGAGGGATCACCGGCACCAAATGCGTTTACATTAGGTGGTGGTCAACAGCAGCAGCAACAACAACAACCAGGCGCCCCAGCTGCTGCCGCAGTGCCTGATACGTCCAGTATCTTGAAGGCTCTCGCGGAAATGGCGAAGCAAAACACAGCTGCTCCAGCTGCCCCGGCCATTCCAGCACAGACTAGTTCCAGTAATGTATTAAACGCACAGGCTGCAATCCCTCAAACAAATGCCCCGTCTGTAGATCAGACTGCGCTACAATCTAACGGGCACTCCGTAAATCCCTATGCTGGAAACCTTGCCGCCCAATTCCCTGGTTTGACCAATGCAGCCACCCAGAATATGTTCCAAAGTCAACCCCAAGGACCAGCCGCTGGTACAGCTGGGTTTCCCGCTCAGAATCCGCTTGCACATTTGATGCAGCAGCAACAGCAGCCGGTCGCTCCCGCTGCTACTCCTGATGCCCTCCAGCAACTAAATCTGCTCCAACTCCTCGCCGCGCAGGGTATTCCACAGGAACAGTGGGGGACTGCCCTTCAAATATTAAGTCTTTCCAACGCAGCTAATGCTGGTGGCATGGGTAATATGAATCCAGCTGCATTGGCAGCCTTTGGTCAAATGCCCGCAGCGAATCAAAATGCATGGGGGTCAACTGCACAGGATACCTCATCACGTGACAGAGACCGGGACCAGGACTATACGCGCTCTCCTCCTGGACAGTATCGTCGTCGTTCGAGGTCTCCTGGATGGGATAGACGCCGTGAAGGGTCTCCTCCCCGTCGCCGCGATAGCCCTGTGTATGGTGAATACCACGGTGACTCGCCTGGCCGTAGCCGCGGTGAGCATGGAAGGGGAGGTCGTCGTGGGAACGACTACCGCCAGCGTAGCCCAGCTGGCAGGCGCCGTCGAAGCCCAACTCCGCCTCGCAAGGATAACATCTTACCTCCTCCGGGACCAAAGTTCATCGACTACGATTACTCGATTGGCGATGGAAACATTAAAGGTTTGTTCGCTACCCCTGTCTCCGTACTTTTTTATATCAAACGTTAGCTAACACAGTAATATAGTGCTGAGCCGAACATTGTTTGTTGGCGGTGTCACGTAAGTAACCTCTTACATCAACCAAACCGATCACGGTTAACTAACTGTTATGGATAGATCTTCCGAGTCTCACCTCCGTTCGCTCTTTTCTCGTTACGGTACTGTTCAAACATGTATTGTCAACACTGACAAACGACATGCGTTCGTCAAGATGGTCAATCGGCGCGATGCCGTGACTGCTCGCGAGGGAATGGAGCAGTACAAATCCGGCGACATGCAGCTTAGGGTAAGCATTCCGTTTGTTTCACATTGTTATACTAGACTTGTGTTTACTAACCCTGAATATAGACACGTTGGGGAGTCGGGTTTGGACCCCGTGACTGCAGCGACTACCATACGGGCGTCAGTATCATCCCAGTTGATCGGTTGACCGAGGCCGATCGCAAATGGATGCTCACAGCCGAGTACGGTGGTACCGGCGGCAAAGCCATCGAGAATGGAATGGTCGTCGAAGAGCCTGATATCGAGATCGGTGCCGGTGTTTCCTCCAAAGGTATGTCCTTGGCAACACTACCCTGGATTAATTCTAGCTTAACTAACATTATGAACAGCCATAAGCCGTCGCATGGCCACTGACCAAGGAGGCAAGCGTGGGCCCCAGTCCAGCCGCTACGGCCATGATCGTTTCCGCCGCAACGACCGTGGTGGTGATGACGGCCATAACAGCGGAAGCGGCGACCACGACCGTGACGCCGCATCTGGCGTGAATGCCAACGCCATCGGTGTCCCTCCGGCCGTTCCAGGCTTCGGATTCTCCTTCCCAGGCATGCCAATGTTCCCGCCCGGATTTATACTCCCTGGAACTCAGCCATCCACCTCCGGAGCCCCATCACAACCGCCCACCCAGGGTCAGTGAGTGAACCTTGACCCCGGCCTGCCCATCCACATCTACGGCGTTTGAAGAGTCATTTCGGCAAAGGAAAAAAAAAAACACCACGAGCAGGGCATGTTCTACCGTGAACCCAGCTCGAGACACACCATGCTACATAATCAATACCCCTTTCTTCACACTGGTTTCTCATTCTCATTACCAATTTGGCGTCGGTATTCTGTATTCTGTCTTCCTGGACCTTTCTATGTACTTGTTCTTGATCTCTCTGTTGTTCCATCGTTGCCTTTCTTTCTGGCATGGTTATCACCTTATAATCGTCTGTGTTATACCTCGAATTCAATTTGTACAGTACCTTGCAGTTCTATATCACGAGCGTTACATCCTATCACGTCTATCTCCATCACGTAGTCCATCTTCTACTATATCCATCTTCTATATCCATCACGTAGTCTGTCTATCTGCTGGCTGAATAAGCGTAACATCACGTGTTTCCATCTCGTAACATCAAACGACAGCGAAGAAGCAAACCGAAGCGCAATCAACAAGAAGCAATCGGCAGAAGCTAAGATGGCAGCGAGTTGCCTACGCGACGTCATGGGGTCAAAAGTGGACATCGCCACGCTTCACGAATTGCTTGTTCACTGCCTGTCTGTCGTACAAGGCCCGGAGTATGTCCATCTCTACTCGGTACCATAGTGAGTGCAAGTCCGTTGCTTTTCCCACGCGCCGGCCCTCGTCTCAGGCTAAAAGAAAGCGAAAAAGAAAGGCTGGTAGCTCATCCATCTCGTCTACAAAAAGGCGAAAAAAAAAGGCTGGTAGCTTGTTTTGTTTATGTTATTGTTTTGCTGATCTCGGACAGCGTAGCTCCTCAACCCCCTGCCAAAGCAAGCTGCAAGCCAGCGCAAGTGAGCCAATAATGGGACGACAAAAGGCGATGGTCGCGGTTTCATTCATTTCCACCCAGGTCTCCACACCACCCACGTCCGTCGCCCACGCCCACACATGACGGGCAGCTTGAGCTCCTCGATGACGCCCTCTGGCGGTTGCGCCGAGCAGGATCAGCGATATAGGGGGTTTATGGCGCATCAATTGGGTCGATAAGGGGTCAATGGCGAGCTGGCCGAGCTGGACGACGAGCTGCGACGAGTTTTTCTGTCGAGCCGGGCCAGGACGAGGGTCGAGATAGCTCCAAGCTACCCAGGCATCTCGCTGGCTTCTCTTACTTGCTCTACCTTGTCTGTCTACCGAGCTAGTCCCGTCCCGCAGATACATGCATACACCTTCTATACATACAGATACGAGGCATACTGCTTTTGTTACCGCTAGGAGGACGCCCAAGAATAGATTACGCCGGGATGCGACCAGGGATATACAGATACAGGATACAGGATACAGGATATAGGATACGCCATCGGTACGTGCACTTGTACTGTCGGAAATGGCGCCTGCTCCCCAGAAAAGCTGCGAGAGGACAGGGAGAGGACAGGGAAAGGGGCAGTCAATCAGAGGCCGGCGCTGGTCCCCAAGGCACACTAGCAGCTGCGATGATTTGCATGCATCGACACGGGCATGGACCACCCATAGTCACTTTAGCAGGGAATACGTTACTATAGCTACGGACTACAGACGGTAACCTGGTGACTGTGACAGTGACGGTGACATCGTTGCGGCGGTCAAGGCATTGGTGATATGAGCTATGGAGATATGGAGATGGAGATGGAGATACGGATATGGGTGAGATGGATGCGTGAATAAGAGGCAAGCTTTTCTAGAAGCCGCGCAGAAGAGACAGGCGAGGAAGCTTGGGTGAAAACTTTGATCGCTTCGTGCTGGATGAGGCATTTTCGTGATTCGTGATTATTTCTGATTCGGCGTCGCCCGCGGAAATCCTTCCTGACCCGCCCCGTCCATCCATCCATCCATCCAGGCGACCCGTCGACCCTTCCCAGCAACATCGTCGTGGTTAGGGCTTTCAGTAGGGCTTAGATGGACTGGTCTTGCTCGTCTACCCGGCTTGGCGATTCCATGCTCTTCTGACGCGCTGTCTAGGCCAGGACTACGCAGAAACTACGCCAGGACTAGCGACTTAGGACACGGACTATGCAGAGTATCGCCAGATTAGGACTGCGGGATATTAGGCATTCCTCGCAGCATCCGCGCCAGCCGGAGACAGAGCCGGTCAAAGCGGGAGACCGTTGGGAAGACGTCTGGTGACTTGACAGATACCGACAGATGTGCATACGGCATGGCAGCATAACATGGCAGCATACAGCATGGCGATGGCGGCACGGCGGCATGGCTGACACGATGCGTGCCGGCCGACGCACAGGCAGGTAAATATAGAAATGGAAATGCCGCTCGATTAAGTTGAGCAGGCAGTCGTGTGAGCTGTTATGCGGTGTCCCTCCTCTGCACAGTCCATGCCTTGCCCGCGCAAAAAGTCCCCGACTCTCCCCATCAATCACATCGCGAGACCAGCTATTTTTACGCTTTTCCCTCCTCCCGTTCGTTTTTCCTCTGCCCATGCCGTGCTCTAGCTGCTGGCTGCTTTCTCCGGATTGATCTGATCAACCCCCGCTATCGTCCCCCCATTCCTCGTTTACCCGCCCGGTATAATAAACGTCTATATATATACGGAGCAAAAGAGGGCAAAGAAAAACGAAGCCATTGACCAATGACGCCCCTGCTATTGAAGGCCGTCACCGTCATCGCCCGTCACCTGATCGCTTCGGCATGTTAACGCTGGGCCCTATTCTTCCCGTCGTAAACTCCCGTCCACGACGACGCCATCTCGGGCCCTTGCTGAAGTGTAAATATATGCCAAATGCCCAAAAAGCAACCATCCCATCTGCCATCTGCCATGCAGCCAACGCCCTCGCGCTCGGAGTCGCCTTGGGTGGGAAAAACGGCGATAGGCGTGGGGTGGAAGAGTCTTTTTTTTTTTTTTTTTTTTTTTTCCTTTTAACCCTCGACCTTTTAGCCTCCGAAGCCTGACGAGTTTGCCGAACTTGCCGAAGTCAACCCTGGGACAAATGGAGGAAAAGTTACCTCGTTAGTCAGCCAAGGCAAGGCGAGTGACCTGAAATTTCTTTTCTTGCCAACGCCCACGTCCACGTCCACGGCAGATACGGCGATGCGATGTGGATGGAGGATGGGAAAATGCCGTCAAGACAAGCAAGATAAGCAAGATAAGCAATTGATCGGTGCAGCAGTGAGAAAAGAAATTCACTCGTTATTGTTACCAGTCTTACACGGTGTCAGAAGTATGTTATGTCAGACAAGTACAGTATCGACAAGAAGAGTAAGATACGGCAGAGGATAGGCAGATAGCGATACAGGCAGACTGAAGAGATTGCGATATAGGCAGACTGGTAGACGCCAAGGGCATCGTCCGTACTATGGGTATGCATCGCACATCAGTCTTGGAATCGCACTCCGTACGAGTGAATCCCTTGGCCTTTCCTTCGCCCAAACCGCCCAGATGCCCAGTCAGGAAGGGAGATGGAATCCTCCCTTGGCATTACATAGTGCGCAACTCGTCAACCCATCAACATCGTCAACCTCCAACGCGTCGTTCTGGGCGGAGGTTGCTCGATCTGCGACATGGATATGGACTGGAGGACGCCAAGGGGGAGGTGTTACATGCCATGCCCGATGCCATGCCAGCCATGCCAGCCATGCAGCGGCGGAGAGGAAGATGCCCCATGGGGATACGGCATATCACGAACTACTACAACCTCTATATACTTCAAACACAAGATAAGAAGATACAAGAAAGGACATCCGCGCAAGTACACCCACCGTCAAGCTTTTCACCCAGCAGCCACTGTGCGTTCCTGGGGCGAGACGAGGAAGGCAGACCGCAAGTATGAATGGAGCCGAGCCAGTTCCTGAGTATGTGGAGAGGAAAGAAAATTTCAGCGTCTCTCTCTCCACCGACCCGACCGCCAGACGTGAGGGTGTCAGACGGACGCTGAGTATATGGTGATTGGCTCGGAAGGGAGCCCGGGTCAGTGTCGGTGTCGGTGTCGGTTTCAGAGCCGTCGTGCCGATATACATACTATGGTGCAGTACTCTGTAAAGGAAGTAGTATGTCGAGCTGGAGGCTGATAGAGAGAGGCGTAGATGACGTAGAGGTCGATATCGGCCGATGGAGATGGACGTGAGCGGAAGTCTTCTCCAGTCCGTCCTACCCGTCTCTCCTGTATCTCTCCTGTATCTCTCTCTCTCCTGTATCTGTCTCTTATCCTATCCTATCCTATCCTATGTCTCTCCTATCCTCTTCTCCTTTCTCTCTCCAAGCCAAAAACAAGAAAGAAAGAGAGAAGAAAAAGTCTTGGCGGGAAAAATTCGGGCGTATGGTAAAAGAGCGTAATGACAGGACGGACAAGACGTGACGGGACAGAACGAAAGGACGCAGTGGGCCTCGGCTGTACGTAAGGCAGATACACGGCGGTACATACATATACATACACATACGTATACTGTAAGGGTATGGTAAGGTATGGTGAAGACCCACTTTCATTTCGTTCTTATATCTTGCCCTTTCTCTTCTTCCTCCTCCTTCCTCTCTCTCCTCTCAACCTCATCCTCTTCCTCTCGATCTCTTCTTCCTCCCTCTCCCCTCTTCTTCTTCCCCTTCCACCCAGAGTCAGGTCCAAGCCAGCGTCTTGCGACTGCGACTGCGACTGTTCGATGAGCACATAGACCCTATCAGACCCGAACGACTAGACAAGCCCAGCTTCAAGGAGAAAAAACCACCGTCAATCAAGCAATGGCCGACCATACCGCCCAGGGACAGCCAGTCCCGCACAACCATCTCGGCACCGCCGTCCCCAGCGGCCAGTTCGGTGAGAACAAGGACGAGACCGTCCAGCAGCACCACCAGCGCCAGGATGCTCCGGCCTTCGACGAGAAGAAGCAGGCCATGCCAGAGGAAGAGGAGGACGAGGACATGGACCAGCTCATCGCCGACCTCGAGTCTCAGGACGGCCACATCGATGAGGAAGACGATGAAGACGAAGACCAGCCTGGTGGTGAGCGCCCGGTGCCGGAGGAGCTCCTCCAGACCGACACCCGCACCGGTCTGACCGACGCCGAGGTCACCACCCGCCGCAAGAAGTACGGCCTCAACCAGATGAAGGAGGAGAAGGAGAACATGATCCTCAAGTTTCTCTCCTACTTTGTCGGCCCTATCCAGTTCGTCATGGAGGTGTGTATCTCTCTCTCTCTCTGTCAGTTAGAATAAGCTAACGATACAGGCTGCTGCTATCCTTGCCGCTGGTCTGCGCTCGTGGGTTGACTTTGGTGTCATCTGCGCTCTGCTCCTACTCAATGCCTGTGTTGGTTTCATCCAAGAGTTCCAGGCCGGTTCTATCGTCGACGAATTGAAAAAGACCCTCGCTCTCAAGGCCGTCGTTCTCCGTAACGGACGTCTCGTCGAGATCGAAGCCCCCGAAGTCGTTCCTGGTGACATCCTCCAGATCGAGGAGGTAGGTTTTTTTCAACTCAATTGATGTAACTGCAACACTAACAGGAATAGGGTACCATTATCCCAGCTGATGGCCGCGTCGTCACCGAAGATGCGTTCCTCCAGGTCGACCAGTCTGCCATCACCGGTGAATCGCTCGCCGTCGACAAGCACAAGGGAGACCACTGCTACGCTTCCTCCTCCATCAAGCGTGGTGAGGCCTTCATGGTCGTTACCTCCACCGGTGACAACACCTTCGTCGGTCGTGCCGCCGCCCTCGTCAACGCTGCCTCCGCCGGAACCGGTCACTTCACCGAGGTCCTTAACGGTATCGGTACAGTGTTGCTCATCCTCGTCATCTTCACCCTCCTCGTCGCCTGGGTTGCCTCTTTCTACCGCTCCAACGGCATCGTCACCATCCTTGAGTTCACCCTGGCCATCACCGTCATCGGTGTCCCCGTCGGTCTCCCCGCTGTCGTCACCACCACCATGGCCGTCGGTGCTGCTTACCTCGCCAAGAAGAAGGCCATCGTCCAGAAGCTGTCCGCCATTGAGTCTCTTGCTGGTGTCGAGATCCTCTGCTCTGACAAGACCGGTACCCTGACCAAGAACAAGCTCTCTCTCGCTGAGCCATACTGTGTTTCCGGCGTCGACCCAGAGGACCTCATGCTCACTGCCTGTCTCGCTGCCTCCCGCAAGAAGAAGGGTATCGATGCCATCGACAAGGCTTTCCTCAAGTCCCTCCGCTACTACCCCCGTGCCAAGTCTGTCCTCACCCAGTACAAGGTCCTCCAGTTCCACCCCTTCGACCCCGTCTCCAAGAAGGTCAGCGCCGTCGTCGAGTCCCCCCAGGGTGAGCGCATCATCTGTGTCAAGGGAGCTCCTCTCTTCGTCCTCAAGACCGTCGAGGAAGACCACCCCATCCCAGAAGACATCGACGCCGCCTACAAGAACAAGGTCGCCGAATTCGCTACCCGTGGTTTCCGTTCTCTCGGTGTTGCTCGCAAGCGTGGTGAGGGCTCTTGGGAAATCCTCGGAATCATGCCTTGCTCCGATCCTCCACGTCACGATACCGCAAAGACTGTCAACGAAGCCAAGACTCTCGGTCTCTCCATCAAGATGTTGACTGGTGACGCTGTCGGTATTGCCCGTGAAACCTCCCGTCAACTCGGCCTCGGAACCAACATCTACAACGCTGAACGTCTCGGTCTCGGAGGTGGTGGTACCATGCCCGGTTCTGACATCTACGATTTCGTTGAAGCCGCCGATGGATTCGCTGAAGTTTTCCCCCAGCACAAGTACAACGTCGTCGAGATCCTGCAACAGCGAGGTTACCTCGTTGCCATGACTGGTGACGGTGTCAACGACGCTCCATCTCTCAAGAAGGCTGACACCGGTATCGCCGTCGAAGGTGCTTCCGATGCCGCCCGATCTGCCGCTGATATCGTCTTCCTTGCCCCCGGTCTCTCTGCCATCATCGACGCCCTCAAGACCTCCCGTCAAATTTTCCACCGTATGTACGCTTACGTCGTCTACCGTATCGCCTTGTCTCTCCATCTCGAGATCTTCTTGGGTCTCTGGATTGCCATCCTCAACACCTCTCTCAACCTCGAGCTCGTCGTCTTCATTGCCATTTTCGCTGATATCGCTACCTTGGCCATTGCTTACGACAACGCTCCCTTCTCCAAGACCCCCGTCAAGTGGAACCTGCCCAAGCTATGGGGTATGTCCGTCCTTCTCGGTGTTGTCCTCGCCATCGGTACCTGGATCACCCTCACCACTGTCCTTGTTGGCGGTAAGGACGGCGGTATCGTCCAGAACTTCGGAGAGATCGACCCTGTCCTCTTCTTGGAAATCTCCCTTACTGAGAACTGGCTGATCTTCATCACCCGTGCCAACGGTCCTTTCTGGTCTTCCATCCCATCTTGGCAATTGGCTGGTGCCATTCTTATCGTCGATATCATCGCTACCCTCTTCACCATCTTCGGATGGTTCGTCCACGGCCAGACCTCCATCGTCGCCGTTGTCCGTATTTGGATCTTCTCCTTCGGTGTCTTCTGCGTTCTCGGTGGTCTCTACTACCTTCTACAAGGATCCACTGGATTTGACAACATGATGCACGGAAAGAGCCCCAAGAAGACCCAGAAACAGAGATCTCTCGAAGATTTCGGTAAGCTCACTTCCCATTCCCTTCTCCGTAAAGTTAACCATGTACTAACATTCTCTTTCCAGTCGTCTCCCTCCAACGTGTCTCCACCCAGCACGAGAAGAGCGCATAAACATGAACATAAATATAAACATTACCCCTGCGCTCCTCGGCTATTTTAATACGGAGGCTTCTTTCCTTTGCTTTCCTCATTTCCATTTTTTTTCTTGTTCGCGTCACCACTTGCTTGTCCTTCAATTAGACAGCTGCCAGTCAACACTGGCATGGCACGGCATGACTTGGTCAGCAACATAGTCCCATAGCCAGCGTTATGGGCTATGGCCAACAGTCAAAGAGTTTTAGAGCGGAATAAACAAAACATTTCAAACAAATCAAACCAAGCTCTCTCACCCTCACAAGCAATTCAAACAAACCAAAAGACCAGACAAGACAAGAAACCTCAACTTGGAAGATTGATTGGTTGAAGCCAACGTAGTATGATGGACGGCAGCGTCAGCGTGGATATAGAATCTAATACAAAAAGCAAAACAAACTGGGATTGTGAATAAGAGAGCCATTTGTTCTTTCGCTTGGTTTCGTTCATTGGATGTCAAAAAGGACTACAACTGCACTGCTACTAAATTGATTTGCGTTCCCTTTCCCCTGCACTGAAACACCTTCCTTGCTTTTACTTTGCTTTTTCTTTTCTAATTCGCTGTTCTTCCCTTCTGGCTTTATTGCCTTGACTTGTTTAATTATGCATTGGTTGTGGATGTGGTGATACCAGTTGCTTGTTTGCTGTGTAATAAATATGCATATATTAGATTGAATTCGTCTTTATTCGTTTTCTCTCCCTTCCCATTGGATACATTCCTGGTCCTTAGCTTGCTTTGCATTATATACTTGTCTCGCATCCCTACTCCATCGAGTCGGTGTGAGTGGCCCGATTATATAACTAAGTCCGGCCTCCAACGACATCCAGGAAGTTTCCGTACATCCAGGAATCGCCACAGATACAAACCTTCAACTTCTCTACTTCGTCGTTCCCCTCAGATCTCTCTCGGCCAGAGACTTGCGGCTTGAACTTGTACCCATCCTTGTCCTGCTATGCAGGAAATATACCCGGCTTGACTAGCTCAAGTTGAATATGATGATGAACCGAAACCGGGGCCGTTGGGCCTTGGGTTCCGATCTAGACCGTTTCCCTGATATAATGTCCCTGTACATCGGACGATATATAGCCTTTACAGCTATGCTTTATTGAATATGCTCATATGACCGGGATAACTACTGGTGGGATTGGTGGAAACTGTGACGCAACCATTTCTACTCAACCTTCCCTCCGGTTATCCGATCTATTTAATGCCATCAACATCACTATGCCATCGATTGACCAACTGTTCGATTAGGCAGTATATGTGATATCTATTATATTGATAATTCTGGTTGATCGGTTATATTTACCTTGGTGAGAAAGATGCTCACACAACAGCCGCTGGCTTCGCCCGGCGCACCGGCGCAATCGCCTACCTTCTCACCACATCTAAGCGATGTCGTCAATACAGTTGTGTCTAAGAACCGATTATTCCAGCGTCGAACTTCAGTGTATCAGAAATATCATCTGCTAGAAAATATTCGAAAAAGATCATGGCTCGGTCCGCCATCGGAGGTAAGGCTCGAGATATAGATATATGTCTTTTAACCATACACTAACGTTGACAACGATATTAGACAATCTACGGCGGAATAGCCTTCTCCATCGACCATGATGATAAAGACATCGGAGTTGCCCTCGCTATTCGAGATACAGTCTACTTCCTAGACTTCTGCGAACATCACTTCTCCATTGGTGAAGACGAGTCTGGCTCCAAGGTTATAACGGAGTTCATCATTGACCAGCTACGTACGTACGAGAGGGACCATTTGGAGAAATTCTTCGGCATTGCTATACCGGCTGCTCTATCGGAGAAATGTCCCCGGCTCTGTTCCCGGATGTGGGCGGAGTTAGACATTGTGCCGTTTGTCTTACATACAAGAAGCCCCAATAGTGTCGAGTGGGTTAATATGGGCTTATGGCAGTCCAAGACACTGGATGAAAGAGCGGAATCTATCGCTAGGAAGTGTATTACGTGAGTTTTCTACCCTGCTGATTGTCTTTTATATGTATATGCTAATTAGATATGGTAACAGCTACTTCGGCCCTAGTCAAGCTCCTCTATTGCAGGTTGGGTATCGGGGCCTTGTCGATGTCGATGCCGGCTCTACCGCTGTACTTACTACCCTCTCCGACTATGAGAAGACAGTGGGGGAGAGGACGTGGAGGGCGGTGATGAAGTATGCTGCAGATTTGAAGAAGCGTAATATAAAAATCGCCTTTTTCAGCAGCACTCCACAGGGAGGCGGGGTTGCCTTGATGAGACATGCGTTGGTCAGATTTTCAAACGTCCTTGGAACTGATATCAAATGGTTCGTTCGTACCTGATAACTTCTACACTCTCCGTCACCCTGACTGACCTGCATTACTTGAACAGGTTCGTCCCACGACCACGACCAGGTGTATTCCGCATCACCAAAAACAACCATAACATTCTCCAAGGCGTAGCTGCGCCTGATCAACGTCTAACCGAACAAAATAAACGGGATCTAACGGATTGGATCCTAGCAAATGCAAACAGATACTGGTTTGCTAAAGGCGGGCCACTCGAGCCTCCGGAAATGGGAGGAGCTGACATTGTTATCATTGATGATCCGCAGATGCCAGGCTTGATACCGCTGATTAAACAGGCAACTCCAAACCGGCCAGTCATATATCGGAGCCATATACAAATCAGGAGTGATTTGATTGAAGACCCGACCTCCCCGCAGGCAGAATGCTGGAAATATTTCTGGGATAGTATTTGCCAGGCAGATCTCTTTATCAGTCATCCGGTTGAGGCGTTTGTTCCTCATACCGTGCCAGGGGAGTCTGTTGGATATTTGCCTGCCGCAACGGATTGGTGAGTTGATTTGAATATAGTTGATACCTGAACATTCTACTAACATACCCCCCACAGGCTTGACGGTCTGAATAAAACTATGGACGATTGGGATATCGGATACTATGGTCGTGTATTCAACGGCAAATGCAGAGAGATAGGCATGACCACAATCGACTATCCGAAAGGTAAATACATGGCTAGAATTTGCTTCTTGATTAGGCCACGGCTAACTCAACGAGTATAGACGAATATATTGTCCAGGTCGCTCGTTTCGATCCGTCAAAGGGAATATTCGACGTTCTCAAGTCCTATGCCAAATTCCACGAACTCATCAAGGGCGTACCACACGTGGCAATCCCGAAGCTCCTCATCTGCGGACACGGCTCAGTCGACGACCCAGACGGCGCTCTCGTCTACGATTCGGTCATCGAATACCTAGCAAATGACCTCAGTCACTTAAAATCTATGATCTCCGTCATCCACATCCCGCCCTCCGACCAAATTCTCAACGTCGTGCTTTCCAAAGCCAGGATCGCCCTCCAGCTATCCACGCGCGAAGGGTTCGAAGTTAAAGTCTCAGAGGCCCTGCACAAGGGGAAGCCAGTCATAGCTACAATGGCAGGCGGTATACCTTTGCAAGTACAACATGATAAAAACGGCTTCTTAGTCGAAGTCGGCGATACCGACGCAGTTGCTAAACATTTATATGACTTGTGGACCGACGATGATCTATATGATCGGATGAGCACGTATGCTTTACACAGCGTCAGCGACGAAGTTTCAACCGTCGGCAATGTTTTGTCATGGCTCTATCTGGCAAGTGCCATGACAAAGGGCGATAAATGCAAGCCACACGGCAGATGGATTAATGATATGGCTAGAGAATCGGCAAATGAGCCATACCTATCGGGTGAGAATAGGTTGAAGCGTTGGGTCAAACTTAATCCGTTTGGCTGTTAATATTGATATATTCTTGTGTTTTATGCGGTCTCTCCCCTCCTTCGGGCTACTATATAACTTCACTCGGCTACAATTGGTTGGACTTACTTTGGGTATGTATTAATTTTGGCTTTGTTGTTATATGTACGATATCTCTTAACTTGACTTAGTTTGTTATAATAGTTCCGGGGCCGCATTAGAAACGGCTATAATATGCTACTATCTTAAAAGAAACTAATATTTTAATGAAAAACTACTTCCGAGTTTGTTAAGTATTATTGGATTCTATGATCGTAAGTCTTGACTTTCGTCTTGTTCTTGGAACTTTGTATGTATGTTTACTTTTGATCATCTATACTTTCTATCTCTCTCTTGTATTTTATAATAACTTATTGAATTGGAATTTTGATGTTCATTTTGACTGTTTGGAGTTTCGTGGCGTCTCCGCGACGGCAGCAGGGGTATACATCGGGCAGGATTCGATTTACTCCGTGATCCCGCAGATTAATCCCACAGATTAATCCTGCAGAAGACACCAAAGAGTTTCTTCGTTAGCACATTGATCCAACACCTTTGCTGGGATCAATATCGCCATGATTTATCCAAGCGCAACAAAGCTGGAGGGTCACCCCTTTTCAACCTCGAACCAACTCTTAGTTGGGTCGCTATTTTCTATCTCTAGATGTGATATCCTGCTGGTCACCACTTGATATCATGACCACCCGAACAAGTGTTCTTAGCGGCTTGCCTGCGAAGCATGTAGCTGCCTTTGAGAAATTCTCGAAGCTCCGGGCGGAAAAAGGCCTGCATTCTCGACCCGCCAGTGTCTCGAACGACGAGGAACAAGATGGGTTAAATGGCGATACTGCAGCCTTGTCAGTTCTCCAGCTATTTATTGCAGACTAAAGAATCATTTCCTCTAACCCTGAAGACCAGACGATTCCTCCGAGCCCGCCAGTTCGATCCTGATGCCGCTCTCAAACAGTTTGAAGAGGCCGTTACCACCCACGAAACGAACCATATATCGAAGCTTTATAATGAGATTGACGTGGCTGCCTTTGGGAAAGCACGCGCGCTTGTCAGTATCATAACCATCTGCCTCTAACCGTGTCTTTGACCTCATGCTGACATGACATCGTAGTATCCTCAATGGTCTGGTCGACGCACTAGGGACGGCCTCCCAATCTGCATTCTCGACCTCACCCATCTCAGCCGGTCCATTCTATCGGGGTATGAGAAGAACCGCAGCACAAACGGATCAGGGTCTTGGCCTGAATCCAGCATCACCACGGTCCAAGGTGCCAGTGTAGCCCACGACAACCTCATTCGCTTCGTCTTTCCGCTTTGCACGGCAATGCAGGATCGCCCAAAGCCGACGGCTCCTATCTTTAGTGCAGTCTACTTCATCGATATCTCCTCATTTACCCTCCAACAGGGGTGGGATATCAAGAACTATACACAAGATATAACGAGCTTGCTGAACGTGGGGTATCCAGAGATCATCGATCGAGTTTTTGTGCGTATATACTCCCTACTACTGGCCAGGGAAGGGATAGGTTAACTAACAGGTTGCATAGATCCTTAATGCACCCTCATACTTCACGATGATGTGGAGTGTTATAAGAAAATGGATGGACCCGGGAACGGCGAATAAGATAGAGATTCTTACGGCGAGCAAGGTGCTGCCAACATTAACCAAATATATTGACCCGGAGAACATCCCACGCAAGTTTGGCGGTAGTTTTGACTGGGCCAATGGGATGAACCCGGATACAGATCAAGGTATCAAGGAGGCCTTAGAGTGGACGGGTGAGAAAGAATTACCGCCTGGGCCATTGAAATGGGTTGTTGACGGAGCTGGGAGGAAGACTGTAGTTGCTATTGGTAGTATCGATGGCACAGCGCGGATAGAAGATATAGCTAGATTAAAGGGCCCTGGAAAGGAGGCTGTCCAAACGGATGTTGAAAAGACGGTTGAGATGGGTATGCGCCAGCTAGAATTGAACTGCCAGCTAGAAGTGAACTGAACATGCAATATATAAACAATCATAATATGGAACTGCAAATACTGACCTTGGGCTGTGAAGTAGCTGGCCTTTGCCTTGCTAAAGTGTCTTTATGAAACTCGCGATATTTTAACGCGTCTCGATGCCCTAAAAATGTCAAAGTGAAGTTTGAACCAAACCAGACCACTCGCGTTGCCACCACCAGCAAATATTTCTAGAACCAGCGACAGAATATATTATCTATGTTCTACTACTTCATCTCAGATACTCTATTCCATTTCAAACAGCTATCGTGCAGTTTTTACTTGAAGGAAAGCAAAGAGCCAACTCATAAGTGATATCGCGAACATGAGAACTATTCCGGGATACCATTACGGTATGTCAAACTGCTTGTTTCTTTTTTGGCCCCGACATAATGGAATGAAACCGGCCGCAAAGATTTATACCCTGCTGCTCCATTGTTGTCGAAAGGTTCAAGTCAGTCGCTTTCAACTCCGATTAACAAGACGTTTGCGGCCACAACATGGAATGGAGCAGAGGGCAGCTGTTAAAACACGAATATCCTTGTCTCTTTTATATCCTGTCGCGCTATACCGTACTCTATTGATGAGGAGCCTTACCCTGACTGAAAACTATCAGATCCGGAGAAGAAGAAGTACTTTAAAATACCGCCTGGGCATGTCACAGAGGGCGTGTCGAAGTATTCCAAGGGCGAGATCAAGCAACGTGAGAGAGCTTCCAAGGTAGGAAAAGTGAACCCCTTGTTCAACCTATCGACATGCTCACATTCGTGCTTAGAAAAAGAAACAAAAGGGTTTATATCATGAACGGACACGGCTCGAAAGGGTTAGAAGGGCAAAAGCATTCGGACAACCAATTATTGGCTGTTTAGGAATCGAGCAGGAGACAGGTCGCTGCAGTATACCAGGCAGAGATGTTATCAATCAAAGAACGATAGCATGCACGACGCTCATGGAATCCCGCTGCCTCGTCGACCTTGGCCATAGGGGAGAGCAGTACTGTCACCAATTCGTACGCGACCCCCAGACCGGAATCATTCTCACAGGTATGTGAACCAATTTTAAACTCCAGGCAAGGATTTGGAAGGATTTTGATTAACATATATGGATTTAAAGCCCTGAAACCCACAAGTACATTTAACTTTAGGTATACTGCTACCGTCCTCATCGTCCATGGTTGTATATCTAACCACTGAATTAAACCAGTGCCTTTCGGCCTGTATCAGCAGATAGGCCCTGGAAGTATAACGAATCTATCGATAATGGCATAATCGAATTTGATCATCAAGAATGGGTAAGTATATACAACCTCTTATCTCGTTCGTCATTTATTGACCGACTGATCAGATAAACGCCATCGCCATAAACCATATGGGCAACGTGCTGTATGCATCGAACTATAACCCAAAACTACTTCAACTTTGACTAAAACTTGATCATAGTACTGTATCACAAGACCTTCTATCCGGAGAAGGCATACGTCTGGCTGTCGGCAAAGTTATCGGACCTAGCGAAGCATACGAAAGGAGTAGCAGGTGTTCCTTTGAAAGTAATTGGCCCCATATTGCATTATACACTCATCATTCCTCCTTTGCTAACCACGTGAATTCACATAGATCTCATGATAACCTTCAGACGGAGAGATGGATGGGTTTCTTCAGTTGCGGCATGCCCGAGCACAAGTACGAGCTTATTTGCGGTAGGCTGCTCCGATGAGCTCATAACTGTCAGATGCGAAGCTTCACAGGCTACTCTCAATCGCGTGGAGGAATTTCCCGCGCATATATCAGGGCTTGACTGGCTAGATGATAATGTCATCATTGCCGGGCTCAAAAATTCCACCGTTGCCCTTTATGATATGAGATGCAAATCCTCAGTATTGCGGTTAGTACACTCTCACGGTGTTCAGAGACTTAAAAGGATAGACGACTCCAGGATAATAGTAGCTGGGATTGATCATACGGTGGGTTGCTCATACTCTACATTGCACACTAAACCTTTCAACATCGTTCATATCTCTTCATCCAGCTATGAATTAAGACTATGTCTAATATATCTTTGGTTTACTAGCTCGACATGTACGACTTACGATCTACTCGAGCTGCTGTTAAGAGTCGGCCTGATCCAAATAAAATGAATCACAAATCTACGACACCATACCTTAGGTTTGGTGAGCTCAACTATAATAAACTCATGGATATGGATGTCTCTTCTCATCTAGGACTTCTAGCATGTGGTTCGTTGCTCATCTTCTGGAGCCCCTTCCCATCCATGTAGACAAAACCATTCTAACTACAATGAAACATAGCCACGGATCTGCCCAAAGTCCAGCTCTTCTCGTTACGCACTGGGAAACTACTCGAACCTTCGCCTGTACAGGAAAATAAGACGTCCCGACGTCGGCTACAAACTACACGGCCACCAAACATCCTAGACAAAGATTACTCGAACCCCATCGACTGTGTACGGTTTGAAACAGTGATAGAACCATATGGCTCTGTACAACCGGAAATTGAATACGACAGCCGTCACACTACTAGTAGTATTAGCCTCTTGGTTGGCTCGGGGAAGATAATTGAGGAATGGACTATGTAGTGGTCATCACTGATTTGTCCCAATATGTCCCATCCATTTCTACTCAAAACACAACAGTTGTATTTATATATTAGACAGGTTGGTTGCATTTTGAATGTCTAACGAATTCGCTTGGTAAATACCACAATTGGAAGGCAAATGGAGCGACAAACATAATAATATTAAACTCAACATATACCCTCCGACTCTATCCTCACTCTAAATACATAATGTGACAATGAAATAATCGAAAATCTCTCGTACGACACCGCGATTCTCATCCGTCTATTATAAATGAATATCCCCATGGCCATTGTCCCCCAGGGAAAACGGAGGGGAATGGAAGCAAGCCTTGACTTTACTCGCAGAGGTGGAAGTTTCCGGCGTTTGGGTTCTCACCCTCTCCGTCGTGAGAGATGACACCGCAGTAAAGTCTCGTTTCGGCGGTAGCAATGACACGGAATGGGCCTGGGTTGTCCTTGGGGCGGGAGTCGAAGTTGTAACGGGCGCCCTCGGCCTGGAAGACAGGGTACTCGCGAAGGCGCTCGTTTCTGCAGCCCTTGGGGAACTTGATGTTCTGGAAGTTCTCGAAGTCATGAGGATAGCCGGATCTACCGGTGTCGATTGGGGAGGCACCAAGCTGGCTCATGACGTTGTCAACGCTGAGCTTTTGTTCGTGGCCCTTGAGCGCTACGTTGTTGCATTTAACGTGCTAGGTATCATCGTTAGTTACAGTTCTCACTGTCGGGAGCAAGTCGAGTATCTCTCACGTTGTTGCGGTTTTCAATGGGGGTTGCGATAGCAGTGCCGGCCAGGGCGAAGGCTAGGATAGCTTTGATAGAAACCATTTTGATAGAGGAGTATTGTCTCGTTGAGAATGTTTTTTGTGCTAGGTTGAGTTGTGTAATTGTTCTCGTGCTTTCCATGTAATGCTGCTGTTGATGATGATAGAAAGAATGGGAATAAGTTGAGGAAGACGCTCCCTTATATAGACATTCTTCGTCTCGTCTCGTTCATGATAGAACTGTTGCTTTCTCACGCGAGCATGAAGCTCAATGGACTGTGGATCATAGCCCTGCCATGTTCAGGGTCGAGAATGGATTCAGACGACGATCAAGGTAGTTTTCCTGCAGGGTGTCCCCGATTATGCCCATAGGGTATACTGGTATCTTCATCCATCTCGAGATAAAAAGGAAAAAGGTATCGAAGCTGAAACCGGTGGATATCAGAATATGGTACAAACCCCAGCGATCGCGGGGAGAAAATGCGAAGTACCCACTGCAGTTAAAGCGCTGAACGGTTGCCTTGTCCGAAATTCAAAGGACTTATTTCGTACATGGCGCAGTAACTTGCTTCTGGTTACCACGGCCTGGCTGAGAACTAGTCGAAATCCTCACGATCCTCCAGCCTTGCAGAAACGGAGAGAAACTGATACAGGGACTAAGGTTCCCCGCAAGGCCCTCAATTTCAAGTTTAAACCGCTATGACGACAACGTACTGTAAGTGGCCGCTAGATTTGGCATTATTTCTGATGGTTGACCTGGGAGAGATATTCCAGAGTCCGAGGGATAGGTTCGTCAGGGCAATTTGACAGTTCTATAACCGTATCCATGTGTTCCTGGGGCCATCTCGGGAGTAGCAAGACTGATATCTTGTCCTCTCTGTGACTATCTCCGTCTTCAATGAAGGAAATGATCTTGTTGTCGGGCTTGGATGGAAACCTCCAACTCGCCGTCTTCGTCGATGTTTCTTTTGCATTTTTATACTGATCACCTGACTAGGATTTTTATGGAAGCTTTTTTTATGCTTGTTTTCTCCTAAACCTTAAACATCTTCACTAAATGTCTACTTATACGTAGATATACGGAGTAGAAGGCATCTTTTTGCGAGATGGACATGGTACGGTGAGGTCAGTTTCTCCAGGTTTTAAGATTCATACAGTTAACACTACTCCGTACTTCCATCTGGTGTTGAACATGACATGTACATGTACTTCACTGCGAGAAGGCTTCAGGGGGTGAAAACGAGCGGCAAATTCCGCAGCCAATACGTCAGAGTATGCTCCACTGGAGCGAGGGGTAAATACCAGCGAAGATCCAAGGCTCCAGGATTACAAGACGAAGAAGATAAAAGGAGATCCTCAAGGCTGGAAGAAGGAACAAATATTCCGCTACGCGCTTCTATATATCATCCTATCTCAAGGATATCTTTGAACCTGAAACAAAAACATCTCGATACAATGACGGCTCTATCACTCCGTCTCCCGTCTCTCGAAGGCGGCGATCCCTGGATCGTCCATCAGAAACTATTCGACATTCTCAATGAATACCTGCAGCCTACCAGCAGTACCATTTCATCTGCTGCGGCGAAGGAAATCGACAGCCTGACGCCAAAGAAACGACAAGGCTTAGGCTCTTCCGACGACGCCAAACCCAAGGAGGACTACGAGAGCTTTCTCATGGAGACGTGGGGCACTTTCATTGAGATTGCCCGACAGATTCCAAGTGAGCATGCCTCGCAGGACCGCCTGGTTGAGCTGGTAAAGGCGCTGAGTGAGCTGCCAGCAACCAATGCTGAGATCTGGGGGGTGAGTTCACCTACACCATAGCAAGAGTTGGCGAAGAAGCTACCCTTTGGCCCTTTGGCATGGAGGGAGTGCTGTTGCATTTATATGCTAATTATATGCTGTTTAGAGCACTGTACAAGTCTGGACTGATTTGCCTCTCCTTGGACCATCGATGAGAGAAGCTTGGATACGTAGGAAAGCCCCCAAATGAACCCGCTTGCTCTAGTTATGTATACTTACATATATCCCCCTAGCACCTGCGTCCGGCGACAAGTCTGCTAGCTCCAATGATGCGCAGAGATGGATAAACCAAAACGCCTTTGCAGCACGACTTTTGAACCTTGAGAAGGTGTCCTGGTCTAACTTCGCTGTCTGGAGTCTGCGATCTGCGCTTGAAGAAAATGTTACAAGTGATGAAAGCCATAAGTGCAATGTTGCCGCTGCAGCTCAGTGGATGATGTATAGCGGCCCCTATTTGTTGAAAGAGGTCAAGAGTGATGCTGCTAAAGAAGTTCAGGAGCAAGAGGCAGACAACGGAGAAGCCAAGCCAAACAAGGGTCAGCCACTGGCAGCAGGTACCTTGTATAAGGGTAAAGGTAAAGAGAGGCTATGCCCTGAACGTTGGCAGTTCTGGAAACAACAGTTTGGGGAGATCGCTCAACAGGGTGGTGAAGAGAATGTCAAGAGTGTTGCTCAGCTAGCAAAGGAGAAGATGGACTCTGCCGAGTAAGAGAATGAAGCCATCACCTTCTAGAGAGATGATGGAATAGAGGTATTGTTAAGGGATTTGTTAATAATGAGAATATCGTCCGCTTGTTTATCACGTACTAATATACAATTCGGTCAGTCGTTATGTTGTGCTATCTATCGCTTTTCAAGTTAATCAATCCCAAGATATATGCAAATCATAAAAAGCCAAGTAGCAAGGACAAAATCATCTTACATCCCTCGGTCTTCGGGGAACTCGTCTTGCAACTTCAATCGAGCCACGACGTTCATGCTGAAGAGCTCTTGAACAAGCAGTTTAGCGGCATATGGTATCACCATCTTAACTACCCCGGTCGACGACTTGCAGCGCTGGCACCAGCCTGAGTAACCCATGAACCCGCAACTCTCACATACATCCACTTCGTGGCGATCAGACGATATCATCAGCCGCTCAAGTAGTAGCTGACTCGTACCGTATGCAATGAGACAATCGCGCTCCATCTCTCCTAGACGTAAACCACCGTCGCGAGAGCGACCCTCGGTGGGTTGACGAGTAAGCATCGCGCGAGGTCCGCGAGCACGCGAATGCATTTTATCTTGCACCATGTGCTTAAGTTTTTGATAATAAATTGGCCCAGTGAAGACGTAGTATGTGAGTGGTTCACCCGTGATGCCGGACGTCAAGTAGTCCTTTCCACCATAACTGAAACCATGGTCCACGAGGATAGCAGACATCTCTTCAACTGGGCTTCCACCAAAGGGCGTTCCATAGCCAAATTGACCAGAGATAATACCGGCTTTTCCTGCAACGAGTTCCAACATCTTACCAACTGTCATACGAGACGGGAAACCGTGAGGGTTCATGATAATGTCAGGAACTAGGCCAGAGTCTGTAAAGGGCATATCGGCCTGCTCTGCAATGATCCCAACAACACCTTTCTGTCCGTGGCGAGACGAAAACTTGTCACCAACTTCTGGTCGCCGAGTTTGTCGAGTTTGAACCTTGATCAGCTGGCTCTCACCTTCTGTGGTGGAGATCATCACTTTGTCGATATAGCTATAATCGGGTAGCTTGTAAGTCTGGGGGGTCGGGTTGTATTTTACAGGTAAGCCTGCATCGGAGCCGGTGATTCCAGACGAAAGTGCGTTGTCTGGGGTCTCCTTGTTTATATATACTTCTCCGGGACTGACTTTCTCTCCAACGGCCGCCAGACCGTCATTGTCGAGAAGACCATGTTTTCTTATCGATACTCCGTCTTCTCTGGTGGGTCCAACTAGCCTATCCTTGGTCCCGTTTGAATAACTTTTGAGATTTGCTGAATATTTTCTGAAGACTTGACATCGACCGAACCCACGGTCAACAGATCCTTTATTAAGCACGAGAGCATCCTCAATATCGTACCCAGAATAACTCATCACAGCTACCATGGCGTTTTGGCCTGCTGGGAGCTTGTCATAGTTAGTCAACTCGATTGTTCGAGTTTTGACCATTGGCTTTTGAGGGTAGACCATGGCATACAGCAGGGAATCGATGCGGAGGAACTGGTTATTGGCGATTGCACCTATGGCTTGTTTACCCATAGCGCATTGGTAGGTGTTTCGAGGGGATTGGTTGTGGTGAGGGTAAGGAATAAGGCCTGCAACTGCTCCTAGGACTGTAAATGGTTCAATCTCCAGATGGGTCGTGTTTGCATCAATTTCTCTTTCATATACCGCAATATTTGCATCGTTTTCTTCGTTGACATCGACATATTCCACTAAGCCATTCGATAGGAAGTCATCGAAATCCATCGTGCCGCTGCGCAAGGAACTTAGATGTCGTGCAGTGACCCTGGATCGCTTCTTCTCGACAATGATCAATGGACGACATATACGACCATCATCAGTAGAAACGTGCACAGATTTTTGGTTATGGTTGATGAACACACTGACGAATTCCGAGATCCTGCCCATTCGTCGCAAACGTCGGAAGGCATTAAGGAAATATTTGGGTCGACGTGTTAGCGCAATAGGGGATCCGTTCATGAATACGATATAAGCTCCCTGACCGTAGCACTCCCTGCCCCCGACTGTTTGTATATCCTCAGCCCCCAGAGTGAACACAAGTTTCTGTACTGGCTCTTCCTCGTCGTTGGTTGTGATATGTGTCATGAGCGCAAGATTCTTCACCAGACCGCACGCTTCACCTTCAGGGGTATCTGATGTGCAAAGCATACCAAACTGCGATGGCTGAAGCGCACGGGGGCCAGAGACTTTACGAGTCTTTTCGAACTGACTGCTTATTCGCGTCATCATACCGAGTGCTGCAATATAGCTAAGTCTGCTTAGAACATGTGTAACACCCGCCCTCTCCATTCGGAAACGTTTCAAGCTCCAGTTTCCTGTCGCAATGGCACGGTTCATGCCTTGTGTGATATGGTTGCCATGAATAGCAACCACACCGTACGCATCAAAGGCCTCCGTCCGTACTGGCTTCTTCAGAACCTTATCTATATTCATTTTGATATCAAAGCAGAACTTTTTGAACAGATCTTCAAACAACAACGCTAGGAGCTGACCAGCTAACTCCAGGCGTTTATTACCAACGTAATCACGGTCGTCAACCAAGCTCGGGTCGAGCTTTGCCATTAACACACGTCGAGCCATGTGGGTGACGTATAATGCTTTTGGCCGGAAGTTCATATCCTGCACTTGAACATGAGAAATTATAACGGACGATATGGCCTCAATGGCTTCTGGAACATAGTTTCGACGAGCGGGACCAAATCCGGAGCCCTTCCGGTTAATCTTTATGCGTGCTCCCAGGTATTCGAGAGCCTGTTGTTGCGTAGATATTCCCAATTTTACAGCTTCCTCGAAGTTGATGGCAAAGTCTTCTTGGTATTCCATATCAACTCCAGCAACTAACAGCAACATTTCCTTATCAGACTGTATTCCCATTGCCTTCAAAAGGATGACGATCGGAATATCATCGTTGAGAACATTGTGTCGGAGGTAGATGCGTCCTTTCTTCATGATGATATAACTTTTCGATTTTCGCTCATGTGAAGAACTAGATTCCAGGGTATTAGCAATGCAGCCCGAGGAGGTACAGATTTCCGAGTCTATTTATTTCTTACCTCGTCACAGAAGCCTGTACTATCTCCTTCTTCGGATCAGTCTCAACGATAACTCTGTTTTTGCTCAACTGCTCTTGTACCAAAATAACTTTCTCCGTCCCGTTGACAATAAAGTATCCGCCCGGATCGAGTGGACATTCATGCAATGTGTACATCTCCCGTGATGATTTATTTGAAAGCACACATTTTGAGCTCCGGAGCATGACAGGCATGCGCCCAATGGCAGTACCATTCCGCTTGACTCGTTGACGGCCTCTGACATATTCGAAATCAACCAGAATCGGCGCTGCATAGGTCATGTCTCGAAGTCGACATTCGTTCGGTGTTATCGTGGATTCAACCTTGGCATCTGACTGTTCTTCATCGGCTCGTCGGGGGGTCCCCAGGTAGATGTCATGAAACCTATAATTGGAAAAAATGAGGATTAATTCCGCGCAAACCACCCAGGCGCAAAATGGACCAACCTAATATAAAATTTCGGGTCGATATCACTACGAATCTCGGCGCTGGATTGTACAATCTTTTTCAGTTGCACCTCCACAAAATAGTTATATGAATCGATGTGTTGTTTAACGAGGCCCTTGACTTTGAGAAATGCTGGTAAAAGATTCCATTTATCTCGTTCAGTATTGATAGGATCTGTCAGGTGTTTATCGTAGTAGAATGGTTCTAGGAGAGCTTCAAAGTCCTAATATTGTATAGCCGGTCAGATTCGTCCATAAAACGCTTCAAGTGGAATAGGGTGGGAAATCATACATCAGACCGTTTGCCCTTTTGAGTGTTCGTGGAATGACTCTTATTGCGATTTTCGGGGTCATGCGGATCGTCCGTGGACTTTGCGGCGGCAGCGGTCCCTGTTGATCGTCTACGAGTACTTGAAGAAGCTGTAGGCTATACCGAACTGTTAGTATTTAGCCTGTAAGCTTGCGAAGGCGAACAAATATCACACATACATTGCCCGCCGCGGCACCAACATTCGGGCCTACTGGCTTCTTCTTGGGAGGCATATTCCCACAATATCAATTTCAGGAGCACAAAAATGCAAGAATAATTAAAATAGGCGCTATGAATCGTGGACAGACATCGTGGTTGGATTAAGTGGAATCAGTTCGCCGTGCATTTCTTTCTATAACTTTTTTTCGATGCTGGATGATTGGAGGGGAATTGGAGCTCCGCGGATTTTAGTTATTCCGGCCAGCTCCAACATCCCTCCACGGTCAAGCTTGCTGAAGCAACATCACCCTTTACATTTACCAGCAGTTGATACGGAGATATTGTTCTCAGTGGGTTAACAAGTACTGCCGCTTGCGGAGGGCACAGTCTTCGAACTCCCTGCTGGGCCATTTGTGATCGCTGCACCCAACGAGGTATACTTCGTACAATGACGACAGTTAAAGAGATATTAGAGATAGAGGGGATAGAAGGAGCCAAGATCTAAGATAACCCCCCCTGGAGGACGAGATATTGATTGCTAATGGGTTTGACTAACTGAAGAATCTGAAAGCAGCTGTTAGAGGTCATTTGATGTCTCCAAGCTCTGAAGATTCGGGCTATGAGGTGTACAAACTATATATGGGTAGACAAAGGCGAAGTTACGAAGTACTCATCGGCAAAACGCCGCCTGTCAGTACTTTTTATATCATATTTTGTCTTGCGACGACATGGGTGTGGTTGCATAAGCCACTGGTTTTATCAAGACATCCCACACCCACCCCCAACAAGAAAGACTATCCGTTTGCGCAACATAACATAAAGAGGCCTCAAAACTGTTTATTTTAGAGAGAAACCCCGTCGCAGCTATCAATATGCACACTGGTCGCGGATAATCTCAGAAGCCACTTGCTTAACTGTTGAGAATTCACCATGGTGGATGAATACTTGTTGCAACCTAATCGATCATTGAAGCAACATCTATTGTATCGAATGAAACCTAATCTTAAACGATGTGATCTTCTCCAGCCCACAAGTCGAATTGTTAAGCGAAAATGTGTGAAAAAAATGCCGTGGCTATCAGGGGAGTGTAGCATCAGATACTATTAGGTATCATTGCTTGCCGTTAGTTGCGGCCTCACCGACTCGGTACCTAACTAGTGAGGTGGTGCGTACCTAAAGTACCCTTGACTTGACAATGTGTGGCTATCAAAATAATATCGTGAAGTGGGGAGCTTGACAACAGTTTTATTCGGGTCGCACAGCAGCCTGCACCCCCGGCCGATAGGCTGTAGACCAACGCATTGCAGCAAATAATCTACGATCTATATATGCGCATATAGCTATATACGTACTGCGTACTCCGTATATATATTCAACAGCACAGAATACAGAGTGTATAATGTGGTTGATGGAAGTGATTTTATGCTAAGGGTAAAATGTATGGACTGAGGATGTACAGAAAGGGGGCTGCGATAAAGGAGAGGTGAGCCCACTTTTGCCAGCGATGAACGGAGACCTAGCTTCGCCAGGGCGTCTAGGATGAAGCTCAGTGCATTGACAACGAGTTACACCGACCGACTATCCCGCACGACAATGGGCCCCTATGGAAGTGACCTGCCAATCGCCGCATATCTCGTTGACAGGGCTCCCTGAGGTGGACTTGGCAGTAAACCTGGGGAAAGCAGCCTGGTTGGGCCGGGAGACCTGTTGAGATCTTGTAAAGATATTAGTTGAATATAAATGCTGCTAGAGGTGAGTGTCATTGATGATTTGATTGGACTTTTATGTCCTAGTATCTGATCGTGGGCTGCGGGAACGAAGGGCGGGGACAACCTTCTACAGCGATGTACGGATATGGAGTAACTTGTGCTATGTATATCGTACTTTGAGCGGCTAGGCCTATGGGGGGTGCTTCGTGGCAAGCTTGCATGATTCGAAACCTAGCGCCCGCTTCCATGCTTGTGTTGGCTCTTCCACCGCTCATTCGAGGTCGGATACTGCTCGAACTCAAGCAGCCTCACTGGTACGGTCAGGTCCTAGCATATTACATACTTACATGGAAAGTCGTCGAGATGGATGAGACACATAGCCCTGCTCCCATCCCGAAATCGAGACTGACGTCAAGGGTGCCTGGAGCCAACAACCCCCAGAGAAAAAGCAACGGTAACGGACAACTCCATATTTTGGCCGTGCAACTTCCCATCTTTCAGAGTGACCAGATACGGGGGGTAGTAGAGCCCCCTCCACATCCCATCATCCGTACTCCGTACTCCGTATACACGGCTGTAATTACCGAGAGAAATGAGAATATGTGTGCTAGATTGTGGGGAGTATGACGAGAAATTGAAACTTCGTCTGTGTGTTTGGGGATGCTCGTTTCTTTTTCCTCCCACAGGTTCAAGGGAGCCGGTGATCAGAGTTCCCCGTATGCACTCGCTGGACTCGAGAGTTCGATCAGCGTTCATGACCGTCTTTCTGCCATCGCTCGTGGGCAGCAAGCAGTGAGACGTAGTTGAGCGTGCTTGCTTGATCATCTCTCATCTCTGGTACCATAATATATGTAAAACGGACAGACCCTACGGCTGCACGCCGTGCAGGATGCACAGGTTCTGGGCCTTGTGCCAGTGAGCGACTGAGAAGTTTGGGACTCCGGGCCGCTGTGATTGGGCCGTATATCGGGTGCTGGATGTCTCCACCCACGTCGTCGTGCATGCGTCGATATATGCACCTAAGAGATGGCACCATGTACCTTGCAATCTGATGCGTCGTCCAGATGCACAAAACACTAATATCTCGTAGCCGATAGCTTGCTCTGAGCGCCTTTCCGTCTGCTGTGCCAGCTGTGCTATGTGCGAGTGAAGGTGTCCGTCTCCCTCGACAGCCGTCCTGGCACCGTTGACGTTCCTCCGGCCCATCTTCAGCGGTTGGCGTTGGGGGTGGCTGAAGTCACTGGTACGGCTCACGACGAGGATTCAGCGCCAAAAGAGCGAGTTGTTGGGCAAGGACAAAGTAGCGGTGACCCCTCAGTGGGCCCAAGTAGCGGGTAGCCCTGCCTGACGCAACCCTATTTGTTTAGAATTTTGAGTGTTTCTGCAAGACTATTCCAATCAGAAAATAGAAATCGGCGAATATTTAGGCGTTGTGGAATATCCAGGGGGGTTGACGGACGGCCATTCGTCCAGAGCAGCGCTGCTATCTGTACGTAGGGTTGCCCTCGTCGCTGATGCTCAAGCTGCTGCAGCCATTGAACTGAATCCCCGCTGTCTATCACATAATATTGTCCCTCTTCCTCTTTCTTCATCTCCCTCTTTGCCTCCTTTCCTTTTCTTCCTCTGGGTTCCCCGGCTTCTTCTGCCTCCTGTCTCGCTACTCTGCTGGCACTCACTCCCTCCCCAAGTCTCACAGGGACTTCCACGCTCTGTACAACAACCTATTTTTCTTGCTTTCCCTTCGTTCGTTTCCCGACGATCTGGCTGTCTTTCTCCCGCTGTCACTTTGTCTTAGTTTAGAGAGATCCCCCGTATGTACCAACCGCTCTGGGCATTTGTGTGAACCCGTCCAACTTGGGGTCGAGCCTTTAAGGAACCTTTTGAGATGACCCTGCTCACCCCCTTCTACCAGGCATCACGATCGACTTCCTAGATCTGACCCAATTGACCTGCCCTGGGGGGGAACGCCATCGAACAGTTACCCCGCCAAAAAGAGCATAATTCCGCACCGTGTACTCCGTAGACCAGCCAGTACCGAGTTGACAGCGGCAGCAGTTGAGAACCCGGAGTTTGCTGCTCGCGGAAAAAGGTTCAGGGCACGCCGGCAAACGGGATCAGCCGCCACCCTCGAACAAGCCCGACGACTCGTTATCCTGGGTTCTGCCTTCGTTAAATCGTCCAGCCGTAAGTCACCACGTCGTTTTGCCTCATCTCTCGCCCCCCTTTTGTTACTTTTCGCTGGGCTGGCCGTGTGTCTGGGTTGTGGTTTGACTTCCGACCATTTCGTTCCCTGCGAGAGAAGTCGTCCGGGTTTTCCTTTTTGGCGTTCTGCGGCAGCGTGACGCGGAAACCTCACCGCCTTAGCTCCCCTGAAATCTATCCCAGACAGAGACTCTCCTCGACTCCTCCTCCGCGACGCCCTTCTGCTCCTGTCTGTTATCGCACAGTTCTGCTCGCTGTGGCGGCCGTTTGCGTGTATATGTTTAAATTGAATTATTTTCCGCGTATATATCTGCATCATGTCTGACAATGTTTATGAGTTTTCGCGAGCAGATGCCTGGAAATATGACCTTTAGAAACAGCTTCAGCGGGAAGCTCGACGACTTCGGCGGACCGTCTCCTCAGTCCCCTCCTTCAGAGACGGCCTTCTCTGCGTTCCCGTCGCCTCAGGGAAGCCAGAAGAGCTTCGTCCATACCATCAACCCCCAGCCATCGACGACCAGCGACGTCCGGTCCACCATGCAGCGACGTTTTACCACCGAGTCGGCCACGCTGCCGCAGTGGAACGGCTTCAATCAGCAGCCATTGAAGCAGGCAGAACAATTAGATATATTGTCATCGGTGAGTTCAATGGTCCTTTGTCCTGGTTCAGATGGTGTGATCGAGCTGTGTCGGTTGGTTGGGTTGAAGTGAGGTCGGATATAATAGGGCTGCCTATATTCTACCGCGGGCATATAGTGCTTCATTACTTCACTTGATATTGCCTTATCATTCACTTTGGCTAACAGAACTGTTTTCCTTCACTAGGCCACCCATCTTCATAAATCTCAGCTTGTGAGCAGATCCCCCTCTGTCTTCTTTCTGTCCTCCTCTTAGCAACACACCCCGTCTTCTCCCCTTATAACCAACCTTCAACCTCTCCCCCTCCTTTAAACCACCCCCCTCCTTAAACCACACCTGATACCAGCATCTTCTACAAGATCTGCTGTGATATCCACCCTACAAAGTCAATATCTGCTAGTTGGTTCGCCCGTGCTACGTTCATTCTAACAGGCTTTTAGTTTGAGAAGAAACGACAGCATATTGAGTATATGCGAGAACAGAAACGACGATTTGAAGCAGACCTAAAGATCCTTGATCTCCAACAGGAGAAAGAAAGGCAAGAGATGGACCAGATTGCCAGAGACCTTGCCCAGGTTGGCCTCAACGGTCCAGTCAGCGAACCAACAACCCCGCCTGAGTACTACCGCGAGAGCGGCTTCCCCACTGCCCTCTCTCGCCCAGCTCGATTCTCCATTTCAAATGGACAGGCGTTGTCCCCATTTGGGAGCGTGTTTTCACCAACATCTCAAGTGACTTCTCCTACAAGCAACCAGCCTTCGAACCAGGAGGCCGCCAACCGTACTGGCATGGGGTTGCGTCGAAACTCAGAGCAGACCTACGGAGCAGCCTTTACAGGATTCAGAGCTGGCCATGCGTAAGTTTAACCAATAATATGTGATGAGCTGGTGGTGACCTCGAGCCAGTTCACTTATCTACCTTTGCAGTCCCATTTATACTAATTGTTATGAACTCATTAGAAGCCGATACTCCCTGTCATCTAACGTTTTTGGATCAGCCCTTCCACCTGTCTCATCTCGTGGCAACGGATTCAATAACCACATGGGATTTGGCTCACTTTTTGCATCCAAGAACCCCCTCGAGGATGAGGAAGATAAACCAAAGCATGAAGATCGTATATCCACCCCAGATGTGAAGAGCTACCTTCGCATGACCGATCCAGATGACAAGTTCCCCACGCTGATGCGAAGAGATGATAATCCAGCGGTTGTAAGTTCATGCTCTACTCTGTTCTCATTCACTTTATCCTCAACTTGCCGAGCTTTACTGACCCACCACCTTTATTTAACCTTAAATAGCTCTCCGCCAATTCTGCAGCTGTTGATTTTGCAAATTCCCGCACGCCTGTTCCTGAGAACTTTAATGGTAATGGCCGTCATCATGCAGTCCGCCACAGCCTGCCTCAGAACTCATTGTCATGGCTTCCCGATACCTCAGAATCCATGCACCAAGCCGGAACTACTAATGGAGGTGGTGCAGGGCATTACCATGTTGGACGCCATGTGAACCGTCTTTCTTTGGAAAGCAACCTCTCAGGACTGGGTGCTCTTAACACATCCACCCACCAGTCAAACAACAATATCGCCCATCATCGACCAACATCTTTGCAGTTGTCCTATTCTGCTAATGATGTTCCTACCACCCATAATGGATTCCACACTGATTCTACTGCGAGAACTCAAGCTGAGATTACTCACAATAACTATCAGACTCATAGTCGAATGCATTCTCGCAGCAATGGTGGATCTGCAAACACTACTCCGCCAACCCCGCAATCAGCATCTGACCGTGAGGAGCCAGGTCCTAGCATTCCATCGTTTCAGCCAACTTTCCAGCCTAATGCTGTGTCCCATGCCCTGATCTTGACATCTCCAACCACTATTGCCCCGAGCGCAAATGGGTCCACCACCCCTACTCCAAGCACTTTTGCAACACCAGTTTATGGATATGGAATGCAAGCATATGCCCCAGCTCCTTTACAGGTCAATGGAAACTACCATACCGCGGTTCAGGGCCATCCTATGTTCGGAACGTATGGAGCACCACCACCACCGCAACAACAACAGGCGAACAACTATGCTCGATTTGCTGAGAGTCCTCGTACCTCCCAGGGACGCCGCAGTGGAGATGCTGAAAACCCATTGAACCGTTTTGGAAATGTTCCCCTTGAGAACTACTCTGGTGAAATCTATGGAATGTGCAAGGATCAGCACGGTTGTCGTTATCTTCAGAGAAAGCTCGAAGAAGGTTTGCCTGAGCATGTTCAGATCATCTTCCGTGAAACTCAGATGCATGTGGTTGAGCTGATGACTGGTAAGATGAAAATTCTACGCCTTCAACGTTGGGATTATGCTGACAACTATATTTAGATCCATTCGGCAACTATCTTTGCCAAAAGTTGCTTGAATTTACCAACGATGAGCAGCGTACTGGCCTCATCAACATTGCTGCCCCTCACTTGGTACAGATTGCATTGAATCAACATGGAACTCGCGCACTTCAGAAAATGATTGAATTTATTTCAACTCCCGAACAGGTTAGATACCGCGTTGAGCTATACTTTTGGTCCCTGACTAATCATATATGTATAGATCCAAACTGTCATCAACGCGCTTAGCGGTCAGGTGGTTGACCTCGTCCAGGACCTGAACGGAAACCATGTGATCCAAAAGTGCCTGAACCGACTCTCGGCTCCGGATGCTCAGGTACTAACTCTCTTTTAGTATACATTTTTTGGACATCAGCTTACTTTTATATAGTTTATCTACGACGCTGTTGGCAAAGAATGTGTCGCTGTTGGCACACATCGTCATGGTTGCTGTGTCCTTCAGCGATGCATTGACCATGCATCTGGAGACCAGCGTGCGAGACTCATTGAGCAAATCACCAAGAGCTCCTATTCGCTTGTTCAGGATCCTTTTGGGAACTACGTCATTCAGTATATCTGTGCGTTTTATGCCCCTTTCCTCACCTTGGATTAGTGATACTAACAGAAAATAGTGGACCTTGGAGAACCTCTGTTCACTGGACCACTTTGTGCGACCTTCCAAGGAAGCATTCCATCCCTCTCGAAGCAAAAGTTCAGTTCCAACGTTATTGAGAAATGTATCCGTACTTCCGACTTCAACATGCGCCGTGCCTTCATCAAGGAGATGTTGTTGCCCCACGAACTTCCCAACATGCTGCGTGACTCGTTTGCAAACTACGTTATCCAGACCGCCATGGACTTTGCCGATCCGGAATCCCGTAATACTTTGATTGAAGCCGTACGTCCGTTGTTGCCAGGCATCCGATCGCAGCCACACGGCCGCCGCATTGCAGGAAAGATCATGACTCTTGATTCTCATGCTCGTTCCAATGGCACAACTGGACCAGCTCCAGGAGCCCCATTGGCGCTCGATGAAGTACGAGGTGGTTTCCAGCAGCCTTATACCCTTCCTGCCAATCAATATGGCTCTCAGTTCAACTCCTCAGAGGCTTCAACGACTGCCCCATCCGCGGCTGTTTCTGAATCTGAATTTGCCGAAGCTCGCTCCCCTCGTAGCGAGAGTGGGAATACGACCATCTTTAGCCCTGTTCCTCAACACACCAGCCACGCCATCAACGGTATCAACAACATGAATGGCATTAACAACATGAACGGTATCAACGGTGTTAACGGACTTAATGGATCGAACCCTCATGGATTCAACAACATTTTCTAACTCGGACGAGGGCAGAATTGTATCAACATCCATTGCGTGGAACTGCAACCTCCTCACTGCGCAATGTTTTCATTTCTCAAACCTGTAACACCAGCATGATACGATGCCACGACTCATGATTTTACGGCTCTGATTTTAAAGAATATAAATTCTTACCGCGACGAGAACAGCATTATCGGCAAGACTTCCAATATCAAATACACAAAATCATCCTTTTTACACCTTCCGACTGCATACCGTTAAGACGCATCTTCTTGGAATCTTTGACGATGCCATTTTTCCCACATATGACGATTTTGACATACATCCGTTTCTCTGGTCTTCCAGATTAACTTGGCCCTACCTAACGAATTTGCATTGTTCGCCATTGGTCCCGTCGACTTAGCATATTCAGTCTTCCACGAGGGGATATGGATGATATCTCTTTTACTTCTTGTTATGTTCACCTTTTGCCATTATGCTGATGCATGATATGGCTTTTACATACATTCCGCCCACCTTCAAATACCTACCTTCCTTTTTTTTTTGCTTCCCTGCACTTGAGGGATTTCCTGCTTTACTTTGTTCCTTTACTTCCTTCCTCCATCTTCCCTTTGTTCATTTGTGTTTTCAATCTGGTTACTTTTTCTCCTTTCCGTGGATATGTGACATAGCGACCCTTCGACATATAAGGCCATGGTCTCTTTCCTGGTCTCGGGCACACACACAAAGAAGTCCAACAAATGCCTTTTGGCTGTGGGTTCTCTCTTTGAAGTCCCTAGGGAACTATGTCCATATCTGGTTTTTGTGGTTTCATGATTTCTTTCCTATTCCAATTTGTGAGCCTGACTTACAACTTTATCCCTTTTGATTCCTAGGCTTTGCCTGCCACTCCATGACACATCCTTGCTCAAGCCAAATTTCAAGGATTTCGCCAGACTGATTCGTCGGGTTCGATCACGTCCAACCTCGACCAGGCTGGCTACCACAGTGAGCAGTTGCCTCATGTTTTTTTTCGTCTTTACTTTCCATCCTATCTCCCTTTTGCTTCTTTTTTTTCTTTTCGTGATTTACACTCCTACCCTGATATGCCTATGCAACAAATTATGTACCATCAGTTGTGTTCTGCATTGTTTTGCATTCATGTATCTATATGAGCCCCAATTTCTGGAAGCTCAAATGTTAACAAGATGTTGCTTTTTACCCATGAGCCCCAGTTGACCTAAATTCCGACACACCCACCGATACTCTACACCACCTCTAGTTATTTGATGTTTGCCTTTGCAAGTAAAGTTTTGTTTTATCAGCCTGCAAGTTAGTTAGCAAGTTAGCAAGTTCGCAAGTACAATTAAGCACTACTTTTCGATTTAGCTCCAGGTACGGAGTACCCATATTATGCTTAAATTTAGTGGCCGCCGTGTTCCAAGTTCGTCGTCGGGGGGCACGAACAATTAAGCCTCGCCTTGCGCATGCAGAGACATGGAATGTGCTGTTAGAGGCCCAGAGATCCATGCCGCAGGAAGTTTGGCCTGTCCAGGGCTCGAGTAACCTTAAATCGAAGCGCGCTGCCGCCGTACAAACCTTAAATCTTTAAATCAACGCGCCAATTAGCTAAGCTCAGGAACGTCTCCAACTTCGCGAGATGCGCTGGACGAACAAACCCAGGCTTGTTCACACTCTCTACCAGCCTGCAAGCCAGCTTCAAGGGTCTCTTCATGTTGCCAAACGAGCTTGTTCTATCTCTCTCTCGGCAATGGCCTTGCAGAGAGCTGCAAGCTAGGCAATTGGCTTATCTATTATGCGTTCGTAGAAATCTCCCTACGGCCTCTCTATACAGTTTTATTGATAGCCGATATCTTGTCATTATGCTAACTGCTTTGCCCGATTATCTAAATAGACTTCCTCCCTATCTTCTCCTCCCTCAGTGATAGTTCATGGACCTAAAGGTTCCGGGAAATCGACTATCTTAAGAGCCTTGCTTCAAACGTACGCCGAGAGCCAGAGAGACGAAAATGCAAAGGGAGACCGCAGTCCCGGGCTAGTCCCCAAAGCGAAAAGGCAAAAGCTGTCTGTAAATCACCAGGATAACCCAGAGGCACGTCGCTTTTGCTATGCGATAGTGAATGTTGCGGAGTGCATATCCGCAAACCACTTACTGATGAAGATCGTTTCGAATACGATCGATGCAATGCAACGGGGTATAGATGGAGGATTAGATGGCGAGTGGATGCAGAGTATTGGTGTTTTACGATGCGAACATGTGAGCTCGCTTCCAGGACTGCTTGGGAATATCCTAGGTAAAGCGGGCTGCCAACAGTTTGTGCTGTTGTTAGATGGCATAGACGAGCTACGAGAAGGTGGACAAATGCTACTTGCGGCATTGTCTCAGATTGGCGAGATGGTACGTACATCCGTTTACTTTCCTCGAGATGGCACACTAGTGTGGAGATATTCAAACATAACCTAATGCGATCCGATTCAACCTCCTAGTTGCCAAACGTCTCCGTGATATTTACGTCAAAGTTCACACCCCGCCCACTCCTACTCCATACTGCTGGCGTACCACATGTCAACTTTCCTCCTTACACACGCGCAGAAACTATAGCAATTCTCACCAATTTACCTCCGCCAGTCCTACCAGAACTATCGGAAGCCACCGCTGCGAAGCTATACCCGCCATTTTTGACAACTCTATATGATTCATTGATTGGCCCAACGGCAGGGACGGTTTCTATTTTCCAATCCGCATGCGAGAAGCTCTGGCCACGGTTTGTTGCCCCTATATTAAACCGCGAGCCACCGCCGGGAGGGAACCTGGCAGAATGGGACTTCCCTCGACTCCTGGTGAGGAACAGATCATTGTATCAACACCAAGGAGAACAATTATTGAGCCATCATATTGTTTCTGACGACTATACAACGATACCTACCACTTCGACTTCATCCATAAAACGCCCAGCCTTCACTTTACCTTCTCTTCCATATTTACCGACTCTCGTGCTTACTTCTGCCTTCCTTGCCGCACATATACCCCCTCGCCTTGATTTAGGCCTTTTTTCAAAGTTCACACCATCAACTAAACGCCGTAGGAGGCGTTTAAATTTTGGTGCCCAGCAGAAAACATCTAATAAGCCAGATGAAGACCAGCCTGAAGGTACTCTGAAGAAAGGTGGGAAGGGTGGGAATCAGTCTAAGGTGCCTAAACGAGCTACCAATACCAACTCTGTCCCTGGAGGCACACGTGGAGGCCGAAGTGGCTACTTCGTTAGCCCACATTCCTTTACCCTGGAAAGACTTCTCGCAGTTTATCGCGCCATAGATCCAAATCCACCGTTAGTTGATAGTATATCTTTAGCAGATACGATATACCCGGAGCTAGCGACTTTGCAGCGTTTGCGTCTCCTTGTCCCCGCTTCTGCCGTAGCAGCTGCTGCTGGAGGAATTGTGGACGGAGCAGAGAAGTGGTGCCTAAATATCAATGCAATGGTTAGCTCTGGAAACTCCATCAGCGATGAATGGGTTGTAGAGATGGCCAAGGGAATAGGAGTGGAGGTTGAGGAATACCTGGGACTTGGATGACGGATTTTCAACGAGAAGCACATATAAGCGAATGAATTTACTAGCCATCGAAAACATATGTTTACTCTAACTCCATCTTGCCAATTACCTATCCAAATTCCCAGTTCCGAACATTCCCTGTTGCACACCGCAATATTCACCAGCCCAAGTTTGCTGCCCTTGGTAAATCCACGAATTACAGTACAGCCTTCGAACGTTTCACAGAAACCCCTCATCACTTCTTAGGGTTGTATGTAGCAAATCCGCGACGTCCCCAGGATATTACCCATCAAACTTGTCTAGGACTTTATTTGACCGACTCTTATTGAGCGAACCCTCCACTCCCTGTCCCATATCACACTTACCATTTTACTCTACCTTGCCATTGATACTATAGCCTCCTGGAAGCCATCTTTGACCAGGTCAATATGTGTCAATCAAGCCTTTTTAAGGCACTGTTCGCCCTCTGGCTAGGCATGCAAATGTTGCACCTCGTTCAAGGTATGTACAATGCTCCCCATGAGCCGATGATTGGGGTATAGTTACTAGTACGATCCAGTACTAATACTGCACATAGCATATAGCTCTCCCAAGTCCTGTGCCATGATAGATGAAAACTATTTCTGCTGTCCTGGATCATTAGTCGGGGTGCGTTCCTTGAACGGTGTTCTTCAATCTGGAGAGTGCTGTATCCCACGGCGGCGTATAGCCGACAGAGCTCAGGGAGCGGAGACGAGTAAGTGATAATATATTGTTTTTATTAGTATTTCGGCATCGATAGGTCATACTTATACTGACCCAACCAGAAAGCAGAATCGAAATGCCGCGCTGACGAGATTTCAGTGCCTGTTACAGCAAGCAATTATAACGACCGAGTTGCAGAAGCTATTGGGAAGAACTCGCCAAGTAGCGGATCCTCGAAGGCTGCTGGTCATAGTAATATCTCGCATGGAGGCAGTGCTTTGGCTGCGTCTAGAATATCCGTGATAATGTATGCAATACTTGCGGTGGAGATTCTGGGTATACTACTCTTGTAAACTTCTTGCGCAAGGTAACAGTCCCAGTGTTTCCTGGAAAAGAGTTAGGTTAGCATAGCTTCTTTAGTGGCCTTCAAATTTCAGATTCCACGCCATCCATGCCGAATTGGGGTGCAAAAAAATGTTTTCACACAAAGTAAAGCCAAGTAATATGGACAAGAGTAGATATATTCACCGTTACCGCAATTGTAGTCTAGGTATAAGTTGAAGTAGCCAGATAACCACCCAGCCCACCTTGCTTCCTAACCACCAGGCCATTTCTCATGTGTAGTAAATTTGCTCCTGACCACATCAGCGATCTTTGTGTCGCTGCCCAAATGCCATGTATAAAAATATGAAACAGACAAGAAGATGGATGGAACCAGTTATTGAAGCTTAGCTTGTGGTCCGTTTGGGGTCCCTGAATGGTAAAGCTTCAGATACTTGCGGAACCGCCCACCAATCGTGCCACCGAGACTGCGACCCAACCTCAGGGATCTCAATCGCGAGATTGAGAGGTATGGAGGGATCTTTAGATAAGATAGTTTTTTTTACAGTGTCAATAGCTATACTTGTTGCAATGCATGCCCGGAGCATGTTTTTGGCATTTTTAATCCAATCACTCTCCAAGCCTGACACGGTCTTCGAAGGTTTCTCGCCCGGTACGAGGTAAGGACCATCCGCCAAGTATCTTTCGAGTCCCTTCTTTGCTTCAGCTACAGCTCGCACCGCTCTGTTTAGAACTGCCTTATCGCTCTCTCCATCTAATGTGGCTTCACGTTCGTATATATCAAAGGGCACCACTTCTGGTAGAGAAATCGGAAGGAACGGCTTCATGCGGAGCTCATAACGAAGTTTTGACGCCGAGTAACCCGGCGATGAAGTGCAATTCAGATTAATCAAGTTATGGCGTGAAAGGAGAGTGTACAAGGCGTGTAATGCTATGGAGAATGCATCGGTGACGCCGAGTTCTGTAGATAAGCGGTCGAGGAGGTTAAAGGTGCGTTCGCGGGCTCGTATACACTCCTCAACGTTTGTGCGTGATTTTTCGCTGGACCTGGATAATGCTCTTTGGCCCTCGGTGACAACACATGCCCGTATGCGATCAAGATGAACGAGGTGGGTAGAACATAGATGTGATAGATACCAGTACATCCCCTGGAATTCCCCCGAGGAATATATCGATAACTCAAACCCTAGCTGCGTTACAAGACGTATCTGTTGGAGTTTATGATGATACGTCCAACTGCTTAACGGATAGGCATAGGTTGGCTCCTCCCCATGAATATATATAGGAGCTTCTAAAGTCCATGTGCGGAGTTGAGTGTCACATTCCTCAGCCTTGAAATAGAGAAAGCTATTAATAATTATTGTGTGAATTATCAGGGGCTAAATAACCACATACCTCAGCTTGTAACCTATCCCAGTCGACAATGTTATGACAAAGCGTGCGTCGTACTCGACAGCGATTTAAACAAATGGTTCGGAAGGAATCGATGAAAGGCTTTAAAGGTCAGTAGGAGCACTGTAGAGGAGAAAAACAAGATAACTTTACCTGGGCAATCCGCTGTAAAAAAGTGTCCATTTGTTTAACCATTTGGAACTTGGGGTGGGAAGGGGCTTCCACCTCCTCGTTCTTGGAATCGAATAATGGGCTAAATGGAAGAACAAGATCTTTCATACTACCGCAGCAGAAATTCTCTGCTGGCAATATACCAAGGATCTGAGAATCAAGGAGCAGGAGTGATTGCGCCAAAGACCGGATATAAACACACGGCTGTGGTTTACGGGATTGTAAGGTCCATAATAAATTCTAGCAGAGAGTCAGCATTGCACATACCATAGTGACCATGATAAAACCCATCGAACTTGCTATTGGTACCTACATATAAGGTAAATGCGCTACATGAATCAAGGATTTCTTGTAAGTCGATAGCGTCCTGGCAGAATCGTTTTAGGTATGATATGGCACTCTGCGATTCAATTTTTATTATTGGTCTGGGAGGGACAGTACTTGCGAGTCGCCGCTGAAGCTTTTCGCTAAAGGCATCTTCGACAGGCTTCCCTAATGAAAGAGATTTCTGCACAAGATCTATTTGGTTCAACGTCGAACGTAAGCTTCTCGTAGACCGCGACTGTGCCAGAGCAAGATCCAAAGCCAGGGAATCCAGGAAATGGCGCCGGAATTCAAGCCGATCGAGGAGTGCGCGCTTAACGGTTTCCTCCATAGGTTTTGCTTCGTTATTCAGCCATTCAGTGGCATTATCAAGGAGTACTATAATTTCCTTAGCTTTGACGCTGGGAAGTAACTTCCTGCCGTATAACTGGGTGCTAAAATCTTCCTCCTATAGTAGGTCAGTTTAATGGTTTTTGTCCGTTTTGAGGAAACTAATGTGCCGAACCTCGTAATAAAACTCCGATGCGATCCTCTCATGAACATAGCTGCATGACTTGATCAGTGAGAGGCAGTACGCTCTCAGCACAATATTAACCATGCCTCCTGCTCCGGTATTGTCGTCATTTTCTGGAGCTGGTGAAGCCCGGTCGTCGAATCTTGCGTCTTCGAGAGACTTGGGGACCGGCCATAGCAAGCGATCGAGATATATTGATGTAAATAGTGTCTGCGAGAGCGGATGGCCCATTTGCCATGCTACCTATATAGCTCCAAAATGATATCAGAATGGTCAGCGTTTGGGCTCTCACTTTGAGCAAAACCATGCAAAGCACATCGGTGATGGCATATACCTCATGGCATAAGAGCTGGTCCATGATCCCTAAAACCTCCTCTGGAAGTAGGGCTCTCATCACATCGTAATTATGGTCTAGTGTCTCTCCAGGAGCGAGGTAGCCGCTATCCATCTTGGAATCCATAATCTGCACGACCGCAACGCCTGTAAGCCATATGTCCTGATATAACCAAGATCACCCCGTCGTGATCAGAATATGCAATGCCGGCTTGTGTATCTGACCTCCAGGGCCCCCACGGCCTCGAATAATGTGAAGTATTCATCCTTGACGAGTTCACCGATGACGAGCGCTATATATCGCATCCAACGTTAGATTCGCTTCAACGATAAGACAATCGGATTTCCTCTAGAGACAAACCTGACGCCGCACTTGTGAACTTCTCCGTAATATTGCAATACATCCTCTCAGAGCTATCCTTCATGGTGGTGGTTGACCGTATGTTCAGGGGCGGGGCAAATAGGCCAAATCGTAGTGATTCAAAGATGACGGCCCAAGCAAAGAAAGAAATCAGGCACCTAGCAACATGAACACTATTGCGACGAGCTAGAAAGAGTTGGGCCCTATTATGAGATCTGGCCAAAAGTCAAGGTGTTTGTTTGAGAGAATGCTGGCGATAAAGAAAACTACGGCACTGAAAGTGCGGCCATTTTTGATATGATACAATTAAGGACCTCGTGCTGAGTCAAGATACAACACTTCAAGACGTTGTTACCAGACGAATCGTATATGCAATTGAGTCCAAGAAAATGAGTATTGAACGATTCAATTTTCTCTATGAAATTGATACAAGATATATTTAACACTCCTTGTGCAGTCTATCACCGAATGTTGTTGTACAAGGCCACGACGAGTTCCGGCCATGCATCCTCCCACTTCATTGCACGACACTCAGTCAACTGATCTTCCGCCATAAATCATTTATTTCGCTACCTGGCCCTCGTTCATCTGGGCACCGAGGTCGACGATCTCGCCTTGCTTGCCATTCTATAATCAATTCCGGGTCACAGGTCAGTCGGGTCCGGACACAAGCAGAGATAGCATCATCAAATCGACGCGAGAACCGGACAGCTATGCACTAACCTTCCAGTGGGCGTACTTGAGCTCAGCAGGAGCCTGAGACTCGGCCTTGACACGGAGTTCTGGCTTGAGAGATCGACGGACTGCCTGAGCAGCGACGGTGAGGTAGCGGTTGTAGCTAAAGGAGCAACCGGGTCAGCAATTGAAGCGGAGCAGGCGGAATACAGAGGGCAGGGCATGTACGTACGTCAAACCGGCGGCTTTCCACGCGAAGGTCATGGTGAATAGTGTAGTGTTGACGACTGCGACGTTGACTGCTTGAATGGTGGTTGCTCTTTTGTCGTTTCTTCGCTGCGACCTCAAGTTTGTCTCTCTGGTCACGTGATGTCACCGCCAGATTTTATACGGCACAACCTGCACTCATGCACTCCAGCACTCCACGACGCGATTTACATGCTAACAGGTAGACTGTCAATTGATTTAGGATGTCTAGAGCGGCTTTACTCGGCAGTCGGTACGAACCAGTGCCATTTGAACGACGGTTTGTCCAGAGCGAAGTTCCTGAACGAGACCCGAGATCCAGACGGCGTGTTTAGGTGAAATGCTCATATCAGAGAGATGCGGACTCTCGGGCTAGTTATCGAGGAAAACTTCCGCACGAAGCCTGACAAAGCTCATGTTGCCATTTGAGCCGTTGATCTTTCGACTTCTCTTTGGTTTGTTTCGAAATATGGCACATCGGATGGGAAACACTACCTGTGGCTTAACTCGATCCTAGCACCACCACTCTTCTCATATAATCCAGGACTAAGCTTAGATGAAAGTGCTCAGATGAAAGTGGCCTGTGGTCTGATGGACAGTGTCATGACAATCACTCTTTGAGTTATAAAACGCAGCACATCAGAAACATAACAAGAAGGTTGCAGCCCATTATATATCGCTTTTACTCAGCTATACCATGTTGAGAAACCGCAGTGAGGCTAATCAACTTGTAGCAGGAATATGGATAACAGAGTGGACAACGCCAGGACAATGCTCACTTCTTCTCACCTGTGCTATGGGGGAAGCCTGTAGTTGGAAGTGAAGATTTGTTTCATAGGGATCGCCCTACTAAGACTAACAAACTCGCAGTCACTTTATGCTCATTGTTCCGGACTGCCTCGTCACGCAACGTGGGACCTTTCTTAAATATAAGTCTAAACAGGCGGAGCTTGGTTGACAACCTTCTTTTAAGTCTAAACGGGTGTTCGGGGTCATTCTTAATGAGAGAACATCTCTTGCTCCCGCCAGCCTTGCAGGGAATGTGGTTCTTTCAATATCCACTGCACTGGCCCAAGACAATGTTATAATAAGCCACCAGGCCTAGGAGTTAAGCCTCATTTGTCCAAATTGCTGCACATCCAGCTAGATATCTGCATGTAGAACAATCCAGTGGTATGGTACAGGATGCATGAATCGGCCGTCCCGCTCCAGGTCCGCGGCACTGGCGTATGTTTTCTTTTTCTATGACTTGAACCAGCCTCTGCGTAGGGGTCCGGAGCGGTGAGCGATCATAAGCCGTATATACTTTCGACTGAAGGGAAAGCCGAATGTGCTATTTTCTGGTGGGGTGCCGCTAAGGAGGCGGATAAATGATATAAACTCTATACATTCCCGCTAGATGATCCTCGAGAAACACCAGCTCATTTAGATGGAGGCAAAACGACGGGGTATCGAAGGGGGTATCGTTTCGCTGTCTGAAGGGCTAGAATATAGAAAAAAAAGTGCAGAAGGTTCCTCGCGTAACTGTTATTGCACAAGAACGCCCGCATGATCGAGGTGTGAGAGCGGTTGGGCCCGTAACCCAGTGGGCTGGGACTATAGTGCATATAAACAATGCATTGCGGTGCTGCAGCTTTCTCCTCCAAAAACAACATCTAGTATATGCAGCCGATCATGTCGTCGCGTTGACTAGCAACACAAAACCTTCAAGAATTGCCGAACAGGCTGAACACCAGTACCATAACCCTGGAGGGAACTATCAGGTCGGCTAAGGGCACAACCAGAGGACTGGGTTAGGCCGCGAGCATCTCACTTGCCAGATATCAGATTCCTCGCGTTCTTGTCCCTTGATTCCCCGTCAACAATCCTCTCAGATATCACACTAATACAGCCCAAGCGACTGGTACTGAGAGCACCCCCTCCTTCTAGCCTTCACCCTCCTTTCAACCTCCTCTTCACCATCAGCTTCTCCACCTTACCTTAACAACCACCAACCCGTCTCTCTAGCAACCAGAAGCTCCCCTCCGTTGCGTGTCACCTTCTTACCAGAGAGCTCCAGTTACCTCGACCTCGAGAACGCAGCCGAGCACCTCGAAAACTCACTTTTTGACAGAGACAAGTAAGTTTTGTTTATCCCCAGATAAAGGCTCACTTTTGGTTCGCAGCTGGGTTGCCGTATGAAGCCATAGAGGAATTGGAGGCTATCTCGTTCCATAAGTTAGCCATAGGACGCTGGTGGCTAACATTGATCACATTAGCAAAACAGACTCCGAAGATATGGCCGGCACTAAGAAAGAAAAGACAGCTGAAGCTGGCAAGAGCGCTGCAAAGACAGCCAAAGATGGACCCAATCCCAGCAAGACGCTGTGCCGACCACCAACTAGAAACATCGTTCGCTGGAATGGTATGTATAAAACAATATCCATACCCCACAGCCGAGAAGGGTGAAAGAGCAGGCTCAGTCTAACGTTGACCAGACGACCTGGATAGAAAACTCCTCCTCTCAATCCAGTCGGCATGCAACAGACTTGGAGTTCGTGTCCCATGGACTGAGGTCGCGAATCTGATGCAAAATGGTATCACAGACGGTGCAATCGTGCAGCATTTGGCAAAGCTACGCATCCGAATGGTTAACGCCGGTCTGGATGTTCCACCACCACTCCGTCGAGGTGGAGCTACCTCACCCTTAAAGTCCGCTGCAGCCACTGATACTCCTGAAACATCTGCCACTGTTGCTTCTGGGAAAGGCAATGCACGCAAGAAGGCAACGAAGCGGTCCTCATATGACTCTGGCGACGAAAGCTTTGATGAGGGCAAAAAACCCAACAAAAAGGCGAAAACAAGTAAGGGAAAGTCCAATGCAGGCAAGACAAAACGCAAACCGAAGCGTACCGCCCCTAAATCGGATGACGATACGGAGGATAGCGGTGTAGATGGATTTGAGGTCACTAGCGATACCGAGTCTGTCAACGAACCTGTTGACCAAGAGTACGTCGCTACTGGAGAAGATTTTGCAAGCTTTCGATACGATCGATCCAGAGGCGCGTCTTCTACCAGCGAACTGTCCAAGCCAAACGAGCCTGAAGCTTCTCAGAAGCCAAGCGACGGTGTGAACCCTTCCTACCCAATTCACCATGCGAACGTAAACGAAGCAGCTATGCAGGGTATTCCAGGCGTGGGAGAACCTATTACCGGAATAGGCGAAATTCAGACAATGCAATTCGGTAACGAAATTCCCACGAACAACCAGCAAGGCTTTGCTATAGGCATTGACCAAGCCATTTCCACGGACAACCAGCAAGGCTTTGCTTTGGGTATTGACCAAGCCATTCCCACGAACAACCAGCAAGGCTTTGCTTTGGGTATTGATCAAGCTATTCCCCCAACATTCACTCCACAAGTCGAGATGGATAACATCGCGGGTCCATCGTCCTGGACGGGAAATCCTATGGCTGGCGAGCAGTATCAGGTGCCCCAACAGTTCCCGGAGGTAAACAGCTTTGACTTCATCAACGACGGCATGGATCACCATGCGCCTTTCGTTCCAGATCTTCCACCTCATCCATTCCCAAACCAGTTCGGTCTCGATCACAACTCTCAGCTGCCATTTATCGAGATGGATTCCGTTGACCCAGTCACATTACTGGCCTTTGCTATGCAGGAAGACGAGGACCAGACGCAGGCAGAGCCATCGAACCAAGCATTCGACTGGTCATTTGAGTCTGAGGTTCCTCCCACTGCGCCAAACGAGGAAGAATGCTTTGACGACCTTATGCAGCAACTGACAACGGTTTGATAGTGAAGTCAGCCAGGCCCGATCACTAAATAGATGTCACAAAGCCCTCAGTTAAAATCTGCAGCAAAGTTCACCTAAGGCTCAATATCCACGAGAATGAGAAATGAGACAGGCGTTTGCCCATACTACAGTTCAGCGGTCTTTTTGATATTCCACACACATTGTTTTCTGGAAGGTGCCTCCCCTGGTTTAAAATTCTGGTTATCAGGCCATCCTAATTTTAATTCTGCTTTCATTCATTGATTTTGTTTTGTTTCACTTGCTTCATCCCAGGTCACATTAGACCGAGTTCAAAGTCATAGATAGGCGGCCATACCCCGAGCGGCGTTGCTGATACCCAGTTTTCATATCTCAGGACATTCCAGTTGGGCGTTGGCGAGCTGAAGATATTCTGTTGAGCAATAGGCTTTTGGTAACCTGCATCTGGCTGCGTTTCTTCCTGATATCGGACGATGTTTCTTAAAAAAAAGTGATATTAGACATGGGCGTCAAAGTGACTTTATGTTGAGCGAAAAAGGATTTAATATAACGTTTCCTCATAAAACTATGATACCTGTGCATACAAATAAAGGATGATATCGTCCATTCACTACTTTGCATCCAAGTGAACTCATCATTCCCTGGTATCTCGATCTATACAGACCAAATTCCATGGCTTGTCGTCAGATTTCCCGAAACGGAAAGGAGCTCAACCCATGTCTCACGTGACTTACTAAGGGAAAAAGAAAACGCCAAGACTTCTGGAGAACTTGCTCGAAACATCAATTTTTTTTCTCTTCTTCCAAACTCCCCTTGCAACCTTTCTTCATCTTCACTCTCTTCACGCCAGACACGACTTCTGTCCCCGTTGTCATCTATACCCTTCTTTAATTAGGAGTTTTTGGTTCTTTGTGGGCTACTTTCGCATCTCTTTTATTCCGCTTTAATAATATTATTCCCCCAGTCAAGATGCAGCGAGCTCTCTCTGCTACCTCCAGGGCTTCGGTCCTCTCGTCCGCTGCTTCTACCCGGACTCAACTCTCCCAATTCCGACCAGCTCTTGCTGCTGGCATTAGCCTTCAGCAGCAGCGTTACGCTCACAAGGTAGGATTGCACAATCTCGCCTCTGGGAGGCAGACAATTGCAGCTTCTGTTTACGAGGACATGGGCTAACGGGTTATCGTACAATAGGAGATCAAATTCGGTGTTGACGCCCGCGCCTCGCTTCTAAAGGGTATCGACACTCTTGCAAAGGCTGTTACTGCTACATTGGGTCCCAAGGGCCGAAATGTTTTAATAGAATCCCCATACGGCTCCCCAAAGATCACAAAGGGTATGTTCCTATCGTCTTTTATTTTTCTTCTTATGCTATCCAAGGATGAAACTAATTCAATTGAACTACAGATGGTGTCACCGTCGCCAAGGCCGTTGCTTTGGAAGATAAATTCGAAAACTTGGGAGCTCGTCTTCTCCAGGATGTAGCTTCAAAGACCAACGAAGTTGCTGGTGACGGAACTACCACCGCCACTGTTCTCGCCCGTGCTATCTTCTCCGAAACCGTTAAGAACGTTGCTGCTGGCTGCAACCCAATGGATCTCCGTAGAGGTATCCAGGCTGCTGTTCAGTCCGTCGTCGAATATCTCCAGGCCAACAAGAGAGATATCACCACCACTGAAGAAATTGCCCAGGTTGCCACCATCTCTGCCAATGGAGACCTCCTCGTTGGAAAATTGATCTCCAACGCCATGGAGAAGGTTGGCAAGGAAGGTGTCATCACTGTCAAGGACGGAAAGACCATCGAGGACGAACTCGAGGTTACCGAGGGTATGCGATTCGACCGTGGTTACACTTCCCCATACTTCATTACCGACACCAAGACCCAGAAGGTCGAGTTCGAGAAGCCCCTTATCCTCCTTTCTGAAAAGAAGATCTCTGCCGTCCAAGACATCCTCCCAGCCCTCGAGGCTTCCACCACCCTTCGCCGCCCATTGGTCATCATTGCTGAAGACATTGATGGCGAGGCTCTCGCTGTCTGTATCCTCAACAAACTCCGTGGCCAACTCCAGGTTGCCGCTGTCAAGGCTCCCGGATTCGGTGACAACCGCAAGAGCATCCTCGGTGACCTTGGTATCCTCACCAACGCTACCGTTTTCACTGATGAGCTCGACATGAAGCTCGACAAGGCTACCCCTGAGATGCTCGGCTCCACCGGATCCATCACCATCACCAAGGAGGACACCATCATCCTCAACGGGGAAGGTAGCAAGGATGCCATTGCCCAGCGCTGTGAGCAGATCCGTGGCGTCATCTCTGACCCTGCCACCTCTGACTACGAGAAGGAGAAGCTCCAGGAGCGTTTGGCCAAGCTCTCTGGCGGTGTTGCCGTCATTAAGGTCGGTGGTGCCTCTGAGGTCGAGGTCGGCGAGAAGAAGGACCGTGTCGTTGATGCCCTCAACGCCACCCGTGCTGCCGTCGAGGAAGGTATCCTTCCCGGTGGTGGTACCGCTCTTCTCAAGGCCGCTGCCAACGGTCTTGCTGACGTTAAGCCAACCAACTTTGACCAGCAGCTCGGTGTTAGCATTGTGAAGAGTGCCATCACCCGCCCAGCTCGCACCATTGTCGAGAATGCCGGCCTTGAGGGAAGCGTTGTCGTCGGCAAGCTCACCGATGAATTTGCTGGTGACTTCAACCGTGGATTCGACAGCTCCAAGGGAGAGTACGTTGACATGATTGCTGCCGGTATCGTCGACCCACTTAAGGTTGTCCGAACTGCCCTTGTTGATGCCAGCGGTGTTGCCTCTCTCCTCGGAACTACTGAGGTTGCCATCGTCGAGGCTCCTGAGCCCAAGTCTGCTCCCGCCCCTGGCGGCATGCCCGGAATGGGTGGCATGGGCGGCATGGGCGGTATGTATTAAAATGATTAACATGTTTAATGCGCCCCTGCTTCTACCGTTTTACAATTCCCTCTATGTCTTAAAATGCTCTATTTGGCGTGCTACATTATTTTTGTAACTTATATTTCCTTTCTTACTCCTACTCCATCTCCCTCATCTCACTCAGTTCCTATATCTGTTGTTCTACACCCCAACTCCAGAGATCTGTACCATAACTACCTCCATACAACACTAACTTGACGATGAAAACATCTCTCCACTCTCGCCCTCGTGTCATTTCACCTTATGCGTTTGTTATCACCTCTGGAATAGAGAAAACCGCAGTTGAAGAGGTCAAGGGCGGTAGCAGGCGACATGGGCGTGAACGTTAGGGCTTCTAGCCGGCGTCTTCCATGGTCATGTACTTATATCATAATACGAATTCGAAGATACTGTCTACACATTTCCTTACGAGTAAATATGCTGAGTATATCCGCTAAGAAAACCCCCTACGTTGGCGGACAAAGGCTGAAAACCAACGCTGTAACCGTCAGCCACGCGGCCAGTTTAATATTGCAAGGCAGTGCAAGTATTTTTGTATAATTTTTCCAGCTGTCGACGAAGTTATATTTTTATTTTCGAATTATAGGATGAAGTAAAGATGATATTTCGATTACACAAGAAAATGCATTTATTAACTGCTGCCTACTTGTAGAATCAAAGACGAGGATGAAAGCCCGCACATCAGCAGGCTCCAGCATAGGACAGAATATCCCTTGATAAATGGCAATGCCTGGGGCTATATCTGTCGATTACGTATATTCGAGTGAGGCTGGTCGTAGGAGTTACTTGTTGCCTAGTTACTCCCAGCAACCGATATTTTTGTATGGCGTATCGCGGTACATCCCCCCACCACAAGCAAAATAAGAAACATCTCAGCCCCGCCATCACTCTGTTGCTTCCATCACAAAACCACACCGTTTGCCAACAACCGTATCTCCGTCTCCCCCTGTCACGGTGACCACTTATAATCTTGCAACGTCCTCTTCATCGACGGCCTTTCCTTTCGAGCTTGTAAGTTGCCATTGTTTGGACCCCTCGCCACTATTACAACGGCGCTACTGGCCGCCCCTTTTCTCTCTCCAGAAGAACCGTGTCCCTCGATCCCACTAACATACATCCCTTCGTTGATTTACAGTCCTAGACATCCTCAAGAGGTCCCAGCTATTGCATTCTAGTGTAATCATGTCGGTATGCTTAAAAGAACCCCCCCGTCGAAGTGGTGTACCCCTTTAGAAACTAACGGTGTCTTCCCCTCATACAGGTCGCATCTGGGTACGTCTTCCTTACCTCTACCTCTACCGCCCTCATATATACGTTCCGTGGACAGAACGAGCTTTTGGGAATCACGGCTCCCAAGGCAAACGCTTGTCTCGATTGGATATTACTATAACGAAATGTCTGGGTCCACTGGCTAATGTGCGGGCTATACACAGAGTTTCGATACACCCTGACTGCATCACTGCATACGAGAAGTTACGACTTGGAAAGGGAGCTGGAAGGACAAAGTACATCATCTTCAAGATCTCCGATGACAAGAAGGAGGTTGTCGTCGATGATATCTCCACCGAAACAGACTATGAGGTTTTCCGTGAGAAGCTAGTCTCCTCCAGGGACGCCAAGGGAAAGCCTGTCCCTCGATATGCTGCATTGGATGTCGAGTTTGAGCTCGAGGCTGGAGAAGGATGGCGGTAAGTTTATATCTATATGTGCCATGCTTCCAGTGGCCACCCTTCGATCACTTTCACTAACATATCAAAACAGACAGAAGATCGTTTTCATTTCCTGGGTTCCTACTGAGACACCAGTCCTCGTAAGACCCTTTCTTTCCAGGATATATAAAACTACAGAATATCTTTCTAACAGACATCTGCTTTAGTGGTCCATGATCTACGCCACCACCAGACAGACCCTCAAGGACGCCCTTCACCCACACGTCAGCATCCAGGCCGACGACCCATCCGAAATCGAATGGTCTCACGTATTGGCAGAGGCCGGTGGCAAGAAGGCTAGCAAGTAGATAGTTATGAAATATCTGTGGGAACCCAAGGGACCTTTGACACCGTCACACAAATAGCATTTTGCCAGTGTTTTGATATCTCCTGTGATGATATAGCGTGCCGGTGGCTATTATGTTTCTATCCCCTCCTCTTTCACTTCTGACCATATCAATAATGCAAATTCGACACCACACCATGGGTCAAATTTCGTTTCCTTAGATCTATGAAGCTATATCTCGTGTGTAGATACCCGCTGTTTATAGAGCTTCTCGACGCCGCTCCTTCACACCGGTAATTGTTCTCTCAACCTGCACACTTCGTAGTAGCTCTCTGTAATCGCCCTGATGCGTGGTCACAGTTATATGTCGGCCTGTCAATCTTCTTGTATGTCCGCGGAGAATCGGCCATCCAACGAGGAATTGGAGCGTATGCGTCGGGAGGGAACATCCTGTGAGTCTAGGCCGTCAACCCACGCTATCTGCTTCTGCCGAGAACGAGGAAAACAGCATCGTGGAGGCGTATGTGTGCATCGTCTCTCTAGACGAGCGTCGCTTCTACCATGTATATGTGCTTGCTGTTGAGTGTGGACGTCGCAGCCAATCACAGCACCGCAATTTCCACGCTGAGTCAGCACCACGGAAACTTTCGTATCATATCATTCAAACCTCACAACATCCCAACTTCCTCTCTTCCAAGCGGTGATTTCAGGTCTGCAACTCTCCCTCCCGGCCCAGGAATCGATCTCCATCCACGCCTCGCCCTCTCTCCCTCAGTTCGTCTCTCTCCAATTAGGCCACCATGTCCTTCCGAGCCACCCCACGGGCCGTCGCGGGCACCGTCCGCTCCGTCTCGACTACATGCTCAAAAACCACTGTACGAAGCAATCATGTTTCATCAATTGGCTGCCTCAGCGCCCGTGTGCCAGTGAACAACCAGTCTGCGTCTCCCTCCAAACAGCAGGTCCGCTCTGCCTCCTCGGAACACGCCATTGCCAACCCTGTCCTCGCCGGAATCGAGAAGCGCTGGGAAGCCATGCCTCCTCAAGATCAGGCAGAATTGTGGATGAAGTTGAGAGACCGAATGAAGGTTGACTGGAAGGAAATGACTCTACAAGAGAAGCGAGCTGGTAGGTGATATTTTTATAACCATTGAGCATCAGTGAAACGTTTCTCGCGGAGTCTGCGGCTACGGGTACCTGAAACCGGCGTCATCAATTTATCAGACCTCTGAGCTCCATTGTGTCATTATATTGCGCCGAGGGAACGACCTTGGTTATTTACAGCGAAGAAAAGCCCTTTGCTAACTCGTTTCTTGCCACAATAGCTTACTGGATCGCCTTCGGTCCCCATGGCCCCCGTGCTGAGACCCCCAAGGGTGAGGGTATGAAGATCCTCGTTCAGATAATGAAATACGTCGTTATCTCTGCCGGTGTCTTTTATGCAACTCGTCTCCTCGCCAACCCTCCACCAAAGACCATGACCAAGGAATGGCAAGAAGCTACAAACGAATATGCTCTGGTACGATATATATCAACCTTTTTTCTTTTTCATATAAATTCTCACTCCGATAATGGCTTTGGATGGCTTCTAACATATATTTCCCCTCCAACAGAAAGAGAAGCTCGACCCCATCACTGGTATCAGCAGCGAAGGATATTCTGGCAAGGGTTTTGTACAAAGCCCACCAGCTGGCAAATAGATTCGATAACTTAATACGAAGATCCACAAAGAAAAAGACAAGACTTCCAAGACTAAACGTGAAGGCTTCTCTTTTACAGAATTTCGTTTTTGTCAGTGTGCCTGCCTTGGGGATTTTATATACCCGAACGCACATTCCAGATCAACTTGTGCAATATCAGAAAAAAACAACAATTAAAACTGTATTAATGGAATTGGAGACTGTATAGCCTATTCTTTTCCTTTCTCTTTCTTTTTTTTTCTCGTTCTGTCTGAAAGGAGGATTGCAATACTTGCCCTCTCCGTCCTCTTTACAGGTGTGCATATATCGACACTGGACACGGTCAAGGATGGAGCTCAACCCTCTCCCGATGATATATCCCCGTCCACCTGCCGTCATCCCCTCGATTTCCTATGTTGTTTTCTTGCCTGTACTTCATGTTCTATATATATAGCAAGTCATAGTTCTTTCGTTTCTCTCGGTCCGCTGTCAACTCATTTAGAACGTGTTCCAATGCTGTACAATTTACTACGATGCTACCGAGATGCCAGTCAATGTAGATAATCCAACTATTTGGTGGATTTTATATATCAAAGTACTCCGTATGCGTACCCTATTTTAGTAAACATGGCGGACTGGTGGGGCGACAATATCGTATGATTCTTGCAACAAACAAACAGTGATCTAACGACGTATATTCTACCAATTTACCAGTCAGTTAGAGCTTCGATGATATAAGATTGTTCGCCCGTTATCAAGTTCCATCTTTCGTCTGTACATTATAGCTATGCTGCTCTCCAAGCCTCGTTCCCAGACTTCGTTCCCAGCGATCCATAATTGCATACATTTACTTAAAAATCGCTCATCGTCCATACGTCCAAGTATCCAAAACATCCAATCATTAAATTCGACTATTGGCCTGCTATAAAATAAAACCAAGCTCGAACGACTGGGATTCATATATCCGCGCCTGTGCATGAACCGGGCGATGGATAAAACAAGATTTCCTGCTTAGCGATGACGTTCTGGCCAACAAGGACGGGGAGAGAGGAAAGGTGTAACCACTGTGCCGCCCCAGGCACATAACCTGCTCTTGAATGGAGGAGATAAGGAAAATAAGAAGCTAGTGGTAATCCCGGTGTTTGTCTCACTCAAGAGCAGAGGCGTTGCCACTTATTTTCTCCTGTCTTTTGTTGAGCTATTCTCCCCTCCGTCGTACTGCACCCCTGGGAGCTATCTTATCCCTCGTTCCTTGTCAACCCTTGGACCGATACACCCCTCGATTGACCGGCCAACAGCTCTCTGCACGGCTTTCGAAGTGCCCGTATAAATATCCGGGCTCTACCAAGTAAAGGTCAAGATGCTAAAACATACTTCTCCGCATGAGCCTATGGCTGCAAAGACGCCCAACGGCGCTCAGCAGGAACATACTTCTCCACAGGAACCTGTAGCTGCAAAGACTCCAGACGGCACCGGTCAGTATATGGAATACACTTTCATCTGTCCCTTCATGCAATCTTATTCAAACGACCTGGTTCCAACTTAACCTTTAAATAGGAGTCGTTGATTTGGATCCGTGGCTCGAGCCGTTCAAGGACGCTCTGAGAAGTAGATACAAAAGGACAACAGACTGGATCAAGAAGATCGACGAGACCGAGGGCGGACTAGAGAAGTTCAGCAAGGTATGTTCTCTAGTTCTATATCTAGACTGGGACTTTATAAAAGGTGAATGCTCGTGAAGTCGTCTGGGCTGATCAATATATACAGGGCTACGAGAAGTTTGGCTTTAATGTTAAGAGCAATGGCGATATCACGTATCGAGAATGGGCCCCCAACGCGGTTGCGGCGCACCTCATCGGCGATTTTAGTGAGTATACCATGTTATTATGCCAGTCTATGCATTAAACTAATATATGCACGAAAAGACAAATGGGATCGAACTGCGACGCCGCTGAAGAAGGATGACTTTGGCGTCTGGGAAGGTATCCTTCCGTCAAAAGATGGACAGCTTGCAATTCCACATAATAGCAAAGTTAAGGTACGATTCCCCATGATCTATACAAGGGAAAGAGTGCTGATCACCGGAGTAGATTACAATGACCACGCCATCTGGAGAGCAAATTGACAGGATACCAACTTGGACGACTAGAGTCACTCAGGATCTCAGTGTCTCCCCACTCTATGATAATGTATTCTGGCACCCACCCAAGGAGGAGCGATACACGTTCAAACACACCGCTCCTCCAAAGCCAGAGTCACTTCGAATCTATGAGGCGCATGTGGGGATATCATCCCCCAAGACGGAGGTTGCAACGTATGAGAATTTCACCAAGGTGATGCTCCCCCGTATCAAATACCTGGGGTATAATGCCATTCAGCTCATGGCAATCATGGAGCATGCATACTATGCAAGCTTTGGCTACCAAGTCAACAACTTTTTCGCCGCAAGCAGTCGTTATGGTACCCCAGAAGGCTTGAAGGAGTTGATAGACACGGCTCATAGCATGGGTATCGTGGTTCTCCTTGACGTGGTACACAGCCACGCGTCCAAGAACGTGTTGGATGGCCTCAACATGTTTGATGGGACCGATCACCTCTACTTCCACGCGGGAGGAAAGGGTAATCATGATCTCTGGGACAGCCGTCTCTTCAATTATGGAAGCCATGAAGTTTTGAGGTTCCTTCTAAGCAACCTGAGATTCTGGATGGAGGAGTATCAATTTGATGGCTTCCGATTTGACGGGGTCACAAGCATGCTGTACACTCATCATGGAATCGGAACGTAAGTGCTATTCCTGTTTTTCACATCGATATGCGGTATATTCTAACATGTATAGTGGATTTTCCGGTGGATACCATGAATACTTTGGTCCGTCCGTTGACGACGAAGGGATCACTTATCTCAGCATAGCTAATGAGATGCTCCATCAAATCTATCCAAACTGCATCACGGTCGCAGAGGACGTCTCTGGAATGCCTGCGCTGTGCTTGCCCCTAGCACTAGGAGGTGTCGGGTTCGATTACCGCCTGGCCATGGCAGTCCCGGACATGTATATCAAACTGCTGAAGGAGAAGACTGATGAAGAGTGGGATATGGCCAACTTGGCATTCACGCTTACCAACCGCAGACATGGCGAGAAGGCAATCGCATATGCTGAAAGTCATGACCAGGCGTATGTACCCTGAAATATCTCCACAGTTCTCAAAACTAGGCTAACAATGCATGATAGGCTCGTCGGGGACAAGACATTGATGATGTGGCTTTGTGACAAGGAGATGTACACAAACATGTCTGTCTTGACCGAGCTGACTCCCGCCATCGAACGTGGTATGAGCCTGCACAAGATGATCCGGCTGGTCACACACGGCCTGGGAGGAGAAGGCTACCTCAACTTCGAGGGCAACGAGTTCGGCCACCCCGAATGGCTCGATTTCCCTCGTGAAGGCAACAACAACAGCTTCTGGTATGCGAGAAGACAGCTGAATCTGACAGAAGATGACCTCCTTCGATACAAGTTCCTGAACGAGTTCGACAGGAAGATGCAGCTCACTGAAGAAAAGTATGCCTGGCTTCGTTCGCCACAGGCGTACGTTAGCCTCAAGAACGAGAAAGACAAGGTCCTGGTGTTTGAAAGGGCCGGACTACTCTGGGTGTTCAACTTCCATCCTTCCAGCAGCTTCACTGCCTACCGCGTGGGCGTTGAACAAGCAGGTACGTATCGCATCGTCATTGACACGGACGACAGCGAGTTTGGAGGATTCAACCGCAACGCCAGAGGAACGAGGTTCTTTACCACGGATATGGAGTGGAACGGGCGTAAAAACTATGCAGAACTGTATCTCCCGACGAGAACAGCCCTGGTAAGTTCCAGGTTCAGCCTTTTATGCAAGCTGAAACGCGGATGCTGACTGTCATATAGGTTCTCGCCCTCGAAGACACTCTGTAGAGACTACCGCAGACTCTCTACTCCGTAGTACTTTCATAGCACAGTGCCCAGTAATAACATAATAACCATAATCAAGTCTGTTATTTATTCTGATATTGATATTGATGTACTTGGCAGAGTGGACCGGCAACAAACGGACACCTGTAATTTTTCCACCACACAAAAAGCCGGACTTGGCTGGACGGAAGGCATTTACGAAGGCTGTTCCTGTAATACAATATAATACTGCATCTGTATACTCGTAACCTCACGCTAAACCCTGGCGTATCCGGAAGTACCAAGATGAGACGCATCCCTGTATTTACGTACCGTGACCACTAGCCGTATCCTAAATCAGTGACCACACCCGAACAGCTTTCTCGCTCTTTCTTCCCTTTTGCTTCAACCTCACCTCTTCATCCTCCTCCATCCACCCTCCACTCTTCACGCATTTCACCATGTTCAAGAGGTAAGATACAGGCTCAATGCACTCAATGGACCCTCACCACGCACCAGACTGCGTTTGCTGACCAGTTTTCCTCGCGTTAGCGGCGTTGCCCGGACCTTCGGAAGGTCTGCATTTGCACGACCTGCCTCCTCTGTCCTCTCTTCCACCCGACCAGCCTTCAAGAACAATGCTCTCCAAGCTCTCACAGCCAGATATGCCAGCACGGATGCTGCCAATGTCGGCAAGATCCATCAGGTCATCGGTGCCGTCGTTGACGGTACGTTTGGGCCCCGTAAACACGGTCGATGAAGAAATTTCATCATCTCGTCCGGTTGCCATTGGCATCAATTGAGCGACCTAGCTCGACTGCAATGCCATTGGTGATGGATAGACCTCGTTTTTGATGATGAAACTGATGAATTTGTACAGTGAAATTCGATACCGAAGTTCTTCCCTCCATTCTCAACGGTTTGGTGACCGACAATGGCGGACAGAAGCTCGTCCTCGAGGTTGCTGTAAGTATTCTCCGCATCAATTGCCACAGCAATTCGATGTCGTTGATGGCTAACTCGACGGCTTAGCAACATTTGGGTGAGAGAGTCGTGCGAACAATTGCTATGGACGGTACGTGTTGATATAACTCTCCAGCCTTGGCGTCAATTTCAAACCCAATAAATTCCAATACTAACATATCTTGAACTATAGGTACCGAAGGTCTCGTCCGTGGTGCCAAGGTCACTGACACTGGCTCCCCCATCATGATTCCTGTCGGTCCTGGTACTCTCGGCCGTATCATGAACGTCACTGGTGACCCAATTGACGAGCGCGGCCCAATCAAGGGTGTCAAGATGGCCCCCATCCACGCTGAAGCCCCAGAGTTCGTTGAGCAATCAACCTCTGCTGAGGTTCTCGTCACTGGTATCAAGGTCGTCGATCTCCTTGCCCCATATGCCCGTGGTGGTAAGATTGGTCTCTTCGGTGGTGCCGGTGTCGGTAAGACTGTGTTCATCCAGGAGTTGATTGTAAGTTATTGGAATACCCCATACTCATCGTTTCGAAATACTAATATACTGTAGAACAACATTGCCAAGGCCCACGGTGGTTACTCTGTCTTCACCGGTGTCGGAGAGCGAACCCGTGAAGGAAACGATCTGTACCATGAAATGCAGGAAACCCGTGTCATCCAACTTGATGGCGAGTCCAAGGTCGCCCTGGTCTTCGGTCAGATGAACGAGCCCCCAGGTGCTCGTGCCCGTGTTGCCCTTACTGGTTTGACCATTGCTGAGTACTTCCGTGATGAGGAAGGTCAAGACGGTGAGTTTCCTACAGAAATACTCAGATATAAATGATGGTGAAATTTCTAACGTGGTTTGCTAGTGCTTCTCTTCATCGACAACATTTTCCGTTTCACTCAGGCTGGTTCCGAAGTGTCTGCCCTGCTTGGTCGTATCCCATCTGCCGTCGGTTACCAACCCACTCTCGCCGTCGACATGGGTGGTATGCAGGAACGTATTACCACCACCACCAAGGGTTCCATTACCTCCGTCCAGGCCGTCTACGTCCCTGCTGACGATTTGACTGATCCTGCTCCTGCCACCACCTTCGCCCATTTGGACGCCACTACTGTCTTGTCCCGTGGTATCTCTGAGTTGGGTATCTACCCAGCTGTCGACCCTCTTGACTCTAAGTCTCGTATGCTTGACCCCCGTATTGTCGGTGAGGACCACTACAACACCGCCTCTCGTGTCCAGCAGATGTTGCAAGAGTACAAGTCCCTCCAAGATATCATTGCTATTTTGGGTATGGACGAATTGTCGGAAGCTGACAAGCTTACCGTCGAGCGTGCCCGTAAAATGCAACGTTTCCTCTCCCAACCCTTCACTGTTGCCCACGTCTTCACTGGTATCGAGGGTACCCTTGTCGACTTGAAGGACACCATCCGAAGCTTCAAGGCCATCATCAACGGTGAATGCGATGATCTCCCAGAAGGTACGTTATTCCTCCATCCATAATATCCCTTTTCTTTGAATAACTACTAACTCATAATTTGCAGCTGCCTTCTACATGGTTGGAGACATCGAGTCCGCCCGCGCCAAGGGTGAGAAGATCTTGGCTGAGCTTGAAAAACAATAGATGTGTGAAGATATGTAGATTAAAGAAACCACTCACCTTGTATCCCAAGCTTTGATTCCTGTTCATTTTAATTTAGTCTTCCCAGGAAACCTCTTTTTCATTTGTCGAAAGAAATGTATTTTTTTTGTAAGTTGATTGATATACGGACGGGCATCACTTGATATTTCCACGATCGAGAACTGTTTTATAGATATCATCCAAGGTCAGAATGTCCTTTGCTGTGTGCGTACTCTTCCATCCTTGTAACCTCCTCACTGCAACCGTAGCCCCAGGCCACGATGGCGAATATCCAACATTAGCGTCAACAATACTACGTTGCCACCAAGTCCATTTTATCGCTTCGTCCATGGCCTTGACCTCACTAATGCCCTCAACCAGTATTCCCCTAACCCGCCAGTTCGACCGGCCAAAACATCCGTCTGGAGGACTACTCCGGATAGAGTAAAAAGGTCGTCTCAAGCCGTGACTTCACACACACTAACACACGAACTGCAGCCACCTTCCCTTATCCCTCTGCATGTCTCTCTCTCTCTCTCTCTCTTGTCCCTCTGCAACTACGCCGTGGGGCCCTTCCAGCCAGCAGCTCGTGTCGGGCGTTGATATCTCACTCTCTGGTCCGTTGGCTAAGCCTCACAAGCCGGAATATACGGACACTTTGCCTGATGAAGACGCTTACTCAGCCTCTACCTCGGGCTGCTCTTCGGCGGGCCTCTTGGGCTGTGCTCTTCACATGTTCTGACGGGCGCGCAAGAGATGCCGAAATGGGAATACGAGGCCTGAGAGCTCCAGAAGAGCGCACTGGAGACTAACTTTTCTAGCTGGCCGGGGTTGGGACTACGGGGAACCTGGGAACTAGAGAGAGGCAGCAATGTTTACGGCGGTACTGCCTACAGATTACGTCCTCCTGGAGGGCTTTGCTGGGTGGGAAAAACGAGGAGTTTACGAGCGATATCCCCATCCACAGCTCGACAGGGCGTTTCCTGATGCCGCCTGATGAGGAAATGGAATCGTATCTTCTCTCTGGCTCGATCAGCTCTTCTCCGTATGCAGTAAAGAGCGTCCGAGCCAGTAAATTAGGGTTAAGCTAACTCGGCCAAATCGACAGCTGGGGGTGGAGTGTAGGGGTGGCATGGACAAGACTTTTTTCGTCATCCGGAAGCGACATAAATACCAACTTCCAACCCGGGGCTGGCGTGGGGACGTATATATTCTCTCTCGGTGTCCGTCCGGAGTAGATATACCCTTACTGGAGTTTCTGCATTCTAGATAGAGTGCCGATAACTTCGTTGTGTTCTCTTTTCCCGTTTTGTCCTTCCGTCCCTTTTCTAGATCACGACACATATATTGAGTACCATGAGAAGTACAACGTACTTGGCGGCCCTGCTGCCGCTTCTCGGAGCATCATATGCTGCACCGGAAGGTACCCGATGCCGCTGCACACCAGATCAGTCATGTTGGCCATCGTCAAGTCTATGGCAGACATTAAACAGAACCCTATCAGGGAACCTCGTCGCCGTCAAGCCCGTCGGATCAGTCTGCCACGACCCGACATATAACGGAGGACTTTGCGAGAATGTGCATGCTATGCAGTCGAATTCCCTCTGGAGGTCCTCGAAGCCAGGTGCAGTTCAGAATATCAACTGGGAGACATGGCCGGAAAAGAACGAATCATGCTATATCGACGGCCCTCGACAGGCTCCTTGCGGACAGGGCAGAGTCCCACTATACTCTGCTGTCGTCCACTGCCCTCAGGATATCCAAAAGGCAGTTCGCTTTGCAAGCAGATACAACCTTCGTCTGGTCATCAAGAATACTGGACATGACTTCCTTGGACGATCAACTGGGCCCGAATCCATGCAGATATTGACCCATAATATGAAGGAGATGAACTTCACTGATAACTTCGTGCCAGAGGGTAAGCGGGATGGTAGGGGTATTGGTCAAGCCGTCACCATTGGTGCTGGAGTTCAGCTGTTCGAGTTGTATGACGCTGCTGGCAAGAGGGGAATCACACAGGTTATTGGCCTATCAACCACAGTCGGGGCAGCAGGCGGGTATATCCAGGGTGGAGGCCACTCGCCCCTGGGGCCTTGGAAGGGGATGTCTACCGACCATGTTTTGGAGTACAAGGTCGTCACTGCAGATGTAAGTGTATACACCTCCCTTTTATCCCCATAAACACCAACTGACAGTTTCTCCAGGCGAAATTTGTGACTGCAAATGAATACAAGAACCCAGATCTGTTCTGGGCTTTGAGAGGCGGTGGTGGAGGAACGTTCGGCGTCGTTACCAGCGTCACTCTCCGGACTTTCCAGGATGTTCCAACCATCGCGTCACAGCTCAACATCACCATGGCCGGCAAGGCGAACGAATCCTACTGGGACGCGGTCGAGAAATTCCAAGCATTTATGCCAAACCTCAGTGATGCGGGCGGTTCAGGGTATTATTATCTCGTCCCTAACATCACTCTTGGTGGTCAGAACGCTGCCGCCGTCGTCACCTCATTCTACTTTGTCAATAAGACCGATAAAGCTTATGTTGACAAACTCTACAAACCTCTGTTTGCGAGCCTGTCAGCAATCCCGCGCATCAACGTGGCCAACGCCAATGTCCTGGCACCATCCTCAACTGAAGCCTTCCGGCCTGTATTCGGTGCTACACCACCACAAGATGGAGGTGGCATAAACATCCTGGGGTCTAGGTTGTACTCCAGAAAGCTCTTCGAAACCCCAGGTGGCGCTGCAAATCTCACAGCCGCCATTTCCAAACTCCAGTTTAACAACCTGCAAGTTGCCATCGGACATCTCGTTGCTGGTGGACAGGTTGCCAAGAACAAGGATATCAGAAGTGCTCTCAACCCATCTTGGAGAAAGGCGTTGGTTCACCTAGCGATTCCCCGCGAGTGGGATATCAGTGCCACATTCGCAGAGCAGGAAAGAGTCTCGACCAAGCTCACACAGGTCGAGATACCCATGTTAGCTGCCGTGGAGCCAGATATGGGCGCTTATACCAACGAAGCCGACGTCAACGAACCAAAGTTTCAACAGACCTTCTGGGGCTCGAATTACGGCATGCTCCTCCGCATCAAGAAAAAGTGGGATCCGAGAGGTCTGTTCTTCGTTCGCGCGGGAGTAGGGAGCGAGCCTTGGGATAAACAGGGGTTGTGTCGAGCATAGCAATAATAATAATGATGATAATGTGGCGCTGGTTAGAACATCGGCTGCTCGGCTTTGGTTATTTGAGTCTCGGCATAGGCTGATTAAATAGTTAATGATATTGCTTAATACTGCAACGTGTCTGTTTCTGTCAAGTTGACAACCTTGGATAGTTCTAGGATGAAAGAGAGTAGAGTCTGGAGTATCAGGAGTTGGAAGAGAAGAGGATGTTTTTATCTGATCGAGTCACGTGGAGATAAGATGGCTGCGGGGAGTCACATGTTCTTACCCCAGGTCGACGTTGCTGTAGACCGACTTGCTGCAACCGCCTCTGTCAACACAACTCGCATACACGCCCACAGCAATAGACAGCCTCCGATCCATGAGGTTCCTCTGTCCGTCCAGCTCTCTGCTCGTCCGGCCAGGGATGATGACGGTGACGGCGTCTGCCGCCCACTCCCGAGCTCGACTCTCGTACCTCGCCCTCTACTCAGTCCGTCGGAGCTTCTCAACTTCGGCTCGGAAGTCTACCCAGTTCCATAGATCCGATTTCACCAACCAGCCATATACGGGCAGCTATGAGACAGGAATACCTACACCGGGTCCATTGGGCTCTACACCTTCGTTCGGTGTTCCTCGGGTCACGCCCAAGGTGCTGAAGCAGCACTTGGACAACTTCGTAGTTGGACAGGACCGTGCAAAGAGGGTGCTGAGCGTTGCAGTCTACAACCATTACCAGAGAGTCCAGGAGCTACAGAGGAGGCTGGAGGAACATGAAGAGCTTCTCGCACAGAGAGCACGAAGGGAATCAATGGAGAGTCATCCGGTAGAAGGTGTGAAACCCCGTATCGGGCTAGGTGACGCAGCCTAGTAGTCTATCGTTCTATCGTTACATTCATTCCTAACCGATTCTATGGTGGATGTAGATGAGTTTCCAGGTCAGCAGCGGACCATACATCTTTCCTCCCCAAGGAGATACTATGATGACAATTTACCTCCAGGACGAGATCCTCTTGTTGACTCGTCCATTAACATGTTGGAGAAGTCCAACATACTTTTACTAGGGCCGTCAGGCGTGGGGAAGACGTTGATGGCAAAGACCCTTGCCCGCGTCCTCTCAGTGCCTTTTAGTATGTCCGACTGCACGCCGTTCACCCAAGCCGGCTACATCGGAGAAGACGCAGATGTATGCGTACACCGGCTACTTGCAGCTGCAAACTACGACGTTGAACAGGCCGAAAGAGGCATCATCTGTCTTGACGAAATCGACAAGATCGCCACAGCGAAAGTAAGTCATGGCAAGGACGTCAGCGGCGAAGGAGTACAGCAGGCGTTGTTGAAAATAATCGAGGGCACCACAATACAAATCCAAGCCAAACCTGAACGAAACGCTTCTCGTCCCGGGTCTGGAGGATCACAAAATTTCCCCGGCGGAAATGCCTCTGGAGGATCTTCATATAACCCAACTTCGGGCTCATCTGGAAAAGCGGAAGTGTACAATATTCGAACAGACAACATACTCTTCATATTTTCCGGGGCGTTTGTAGGTCTGCAGAAAGTTATCATGGATCGTATATCCCGCGGGTCCATTGGGTTTGGACAGCCACTACGGGCATCCTCGTCTCACAACGACTCAACACAGGCGAAAAACAACGCACCTATCCCTATTCTCCCCGGCTCTCAGGAAGAAGCACTATATAAGCAACACCTCCCTTTTTTTACGCCAACACAAACACCTACATCACCAGATGAAGAACCCATATATTTTAACCCTCTTGACCTAGCTACACCTAGCGACCTCCAAACTTACGGCTTTATACCAGAACTGATTGGCCGTATTCCTATCACATCTGCGTTATCCCCGTTATCACACGCCCTTCTCCTCCGGATTCTCACCGAGCCTCGCAATTCATTAGTAAATCAATATACCACTCTTTTTGCCCTTTCCGGAATAGAACTACGTTTTACCACTGCTGCTCTCCACAGGATTGCGTCAAATGCATTCGCCATGTCCACCGGAGCGCGCGCCCTACGAACAGAAATGGAATCCATTTTAGCAGATGCAATGTTCGAAGCACCAGGATCAAGTGTGAAATTTGTCCTTGTTACAGAGGTCGTTGCGGCACGAAAGGAGAAAGCCGTGTATCTTTCTCGTGGTCAAAGTGGAAAGTTCCATGCCTTGATCGCTGCAGAGGAAGGCGAATGGGAAGAACATATGAAGAGAGAGAAAGGGGATAGATCGAAGGGAGGCAAGGGCGGAAACCACTCACATAGCTTTGAGGAGTGGAGGTCACGCTCGACTGCAGGGTCAGCCGTGAGCGGAAGCTCTTAATTTATAGGGATGCAAGCGTTATTACCTGGCGTTGGAATTTGTATATAACAGGAGTATGGGTGATTTCATATCTCTTAAACGAATAACGACTGGAGTATTTGTTACTATTAATTTCCTGCTCCATTCTAGCACCTTTACATGTGTGCCAATGAGAAGTCCCTTTCAAATACTCCAGAACATTATCCAATATTCTGATGGAAAAGTTAAACAAGTTGAGGTAAACTTCAAAAGAAGAAACGAACTCACGCCTAGATGGGTATTATACAAGAGACAAAACGCCATTCCCCGTCCTTTTATAAGCTCCTGGGAATACAACCATATTAAGCCCCATTTGTATGTACTGTTTTATTAACATTGTCGGAGAGATGCTGGTCGTTCCGACTTTCCGTGGGCCCAGATGACTTCGCATCGGTAGCCTCAATACCAGCTTTCATGTGTCTGAAACGGAACTCTGGGTAATTCAGTGAGTCGATCTAATAATAGTAACTATATTAGTCTCAGTAGCGGTATTGAAGAGCTTTCCTGCCTTAATTTCTCCAGCGACATGACCTGGCATCTTTGAGAGTAAGGAATGACTTACATGGGTCCAACTCTTCCATCTCAACAGAGGTTTGCAATGAGTTATCACAGAAAAGTGTCTAAATTTTTCAACGTTCATGATTGCCCAGCCAGCGAAATACTCTACCAAGTGGTCGGTATTTCGTTCTTCTTGTGTCAAGCCCCTGGGTATAGTTGGGTGGTCGTTTTCAGGTCTGCAGCCATAACCAGGTAAATGGCGGGTAGAGATGATGGGATGATGCTGACCCTCATCATCGGTTTCGCCGTCTAGACTATCGGGAGACCCTTCTCGATAGGCATTGTAATGTCCAGTAGGATAGTCAGGTATGAGGGCCTTGATAAAACAGTAGATATGAAATAGGCTAGATGGGACCTGAAAGTTAGCCAGTTTCAATGTTTCTAAAATGGAAATGTAATAATGGTCACTTACGTCTCATCGGGCCACGTCTGACATCGTTCAAGTAACCAATCTTCTATAGTTGGCCGGAAAAACAACTTTCGGGTGCCTTTGGCCTCGCTATTCTGGAAGCTAGTGAAGAACCATTCCATAACCCTCAGTGCATTTTTGGAGTCATGAAGGATGAAGTCTTCGGTAATGAGGATTACGTGACCGTCGGGAAATAAACGTAGAATGTGGCAATTGTCGTCTACCCATTTGATTGGTGAAGCTAGGGATATTCTGAACATGCTTGTTCCGTGGTGGAGGAGTTGCTGAAGTTTTGGCATACTATCATAGGACTTAAACTTCTGATGGGACTGTATAAATGATAAACGACCCTATTAGTTGCATAGCCCTTTAGACATAGGGAAGATAGTAATGATAGTACTTACTAAAATTACACCTTGGGTTTCTCCGGTTGGCACGGTTGCCTCTTTTACGAACCGTTCCCAATCTCCCGGAATTCTATGACAGTAAGGTGGTATTCTTTTAAATATCAAAAATTGTTGGACCAGCTGATACTCCTCCTCCATCTCTTCGGGGAAAAGGATATAAAAAACATGTTTCGGATTCTTCTGCTTTGTAGAAAAACTTAGTTCCTCGAAGGAGATTCCAAATTCTTTCCAGAAGTAGGCCACAATATTTAGATCACGGTTAATTTTGGGCAGTGATCTAGGAGCAGCTTCTCGTGTGGGAGATGGTTCTCGCAAAGGAGGTGCTTCTCGTGGAGGCGGTGGTACTCGCAAAGGGAGAGATTCTCGTACGGAGGGTTCTTGCAACGGGGGCTGTTCTGGCAGAGGGGGTGGTATTTGCGATGGGAAAGATTCTCGCAAGGAGAGCTGTTCACGCAGGGGACTTGATGGCTTTTGCAAATGAGGCTGTTTTTCTGGAGCTGGCAATCGTGGTGTATTGATAACGACACTTGTAGTTGTCTGTGAAGACACCCCAGCTATTGGGGGGTTTAGAGTGCCCTTAGCTGGCGGTTCAGCCGATGGTACTGGTTCTAGAGGCGGCGGTGGCAGTGGTGGAGGGGGAGGAGGAGGAGGAGGTGGTGGTGGTGGTGGCGGTTGGGTCAACTCAGCGATGCTGAATCGACTTGTTACGGCAAGCTGGAGGTGCTTAGAAAAGGGGAAGGAATGATTTACGTTGAGAAAGCCCCATTCGGCCGCCTTAGACGAGTAAATGACTAGGTTGCACTGACGTTCTGGGTGGTTGGAAGACCAGAAAGCAATTGACCGAGTCTGAAGTAAATAGTCCGCCATATCCTTTACCTCGTCAGCCGTATCGTCATATGGCGCAACATAGCCGTGGCCAAATATTCTGTTGGGTCTCTATAATTAAAGACGGTGATTAATGATAAGAATTTGTAGCTTTGGAAAAGAGTTCATTACCTACCTGTTGACACATGTCACGATATTTATCCAAGGAACAGACTTGTCCAAAGTCAAGAGCAATACGATAGTCTCTCTTGAGAGAAACAAGCATCTTTTTAATCTGAAAATGAAGGCCCACGAAGCGTACATCTCCAATGATCTTTTTCTGCGCGCCAAATAGTAGATACACCAGAACATCACCTTTGTCAAAGGAGCGCCACTGGCGTGGTTTCTGGGTATCCATATTGTCACGAGGCTCGACGGTTCGATCCTGTAACGATGGCACAATTTCTGGATTGCGCATAATCGTAGCTGGGTTACGGTCGCCTACTTCATCAAATCTGCTTGGCCGTATGTTGACCAACGGCATGCCAGGAGCCCATGAACTGCCTCCTACCCACCGTGGAGGTGGGTCTTCGTATGAGTCTCTCCGAGGTGGAACTGGCGAAGGTGGCCTCCTTGGCTGGGGTTGGTGCATTGGAGCCAATTCTGGAGCTGGCTGTTGCTGTGCCGGTCTTGCTTCGGTCGGAGTCCCTGATACCTGAGCTGGATTTATAAGTCTATCATTCGAAGCAGGAACTTCTGGTTGATTTACAGGGGCTCTCTCAGGTAGAGCGTTAGTATCATTGGTTTCATTCGCGTCATTAGTATCTGGGGGCGGCGGATCTGTAGGTGTGGTGTTCGAAGGAGAATCATCTTCATTTTGGGCAACGAATAAGTCTTCTGACGAAGGTGTCCTGGGTCGTTTTCTAGATATCAACCTTTCCGGGAGGGTTGATCCTGCTGTAGCTGTTAACCACTCGCTGGGAGGCCGAAGGTCAAGTTGGGATATATCAGGAGCCCTCTCAGCCCGGGACATCTTTTGGTGTTTCCATTGGTTGGAAAGGGTTCGAAAAAGTCCGTCATTAGGAGGCTTCGTGGGTTGTCGTCTCCCTGCTGTCACCACAGACGGACCACCCCTACGAGCAGTTGAGCGTGCAGGAAAATCAAATGAGACGGCCGTAGAGACAGTGTTGTTGGCGTTCGAACTGGGCGTTGAAGATGGTTTTGTGAGTGGCTTGTCCTGAGGGGGTTTGGTATTGATAGGAAGTTTTCTGGTGGAAAGTTTTGGAGTAGGGCGCTCGGAATGTTTTATAGTTGGAGGTACTGTCTGTGCTGCTTTTGATGCCGAAGCAGGAGGTATCTTGATCTGCTTGGGCGGTTGAGAGGCCTGGCGCAATGCTGTCTTAAAGGACCGGCCATTTCCTGTGTCCGGATTGCCCCTGGTACCAGCAGATACTGGTGTCCTCCGAATTGGCGACGACTTCTTCTTTGGCAGCAGCTCAATTCGCCCCTTTCCCGAGCTAGGGGAGCTTTCGTCCGTAGACTCACCGCTGCTATCGTCGCTGCTGCTTTCACTGGCTTCCTTATCGCCCTTTAAGCCGGCCTTTTCTTCTTCAGATTCACTCTCACCAAGTCCAAGGCGCATCCGCTTAAGTCTTCGTTTTCTCTTCCTTCGCTTCGTGGCTTCTTCAACATCTTTAACAAGCTTCTCAAACGCAGCCAGGTCAAATTTGGGCTCTGTTCCTCGCTTAATTGCCTCCTTCTTCTCGTTCCATTCCTTTAGAGTAGTTTCAGGGTCTCCAAAATTCTCAACTGGCTCCCAGGACGACCGGTGCAAGGGGTATCCCTCCCACTTGACAAGGTATTCTAGTTCCCCTGTACTTGTGGCTCTTTCGGCCAGCACTCCCACGATGTTGTATTCATCTCTGGGCTCACTGGGCGCTGTAGAGGTGACCGAGATGGCATCATCATCATACTCGTCCTTGTCTACGGCGCGTCTAGCCATCTGAACCGGACAGGCCTAAACAGAGAGTGATACGTTCAAGTTGACCAAAAATAAGCGAGAGGAGCTTGTCATTCTTAGCTAGCTATCTAGCTGTAGAGAAGTACAGGCGCGGCTGCTGTAACTAGATGAGAACAGCTTCGTGTGTTTCTCTTCACTTACTTATAGCGCGGTAACCTGCTCAGCTCACTCCAGTCCATCCTAAGAGGCCATGCAGCCTAGAGACGCGCCCCAGGCTTCTCTGCTTCTCTGCCTCTCTTGACGTTGTCGTTGTCGTCTCTTTTTACATTTCCAACATCGAATTTCACATAGAAGTTCTGATATTGCGCTAAACTACTTTGGGCCTATCAATGACATAACCAGTCTTTATTACTCAGCAAGTCAACCATAAGTCACTTGTACCTTATCTTGAGTGGTAGACAGCATGTAAATTAAGGTACCATATACCCCAGGCAGACTACGCCGTAAAAGCACAACAACCAAACCGCCGTCAAATCCACCAAGTCAGGGGAGCGTCCGTACTAGCTACATCTGCCCTCTTGTTACGAACATTAGACACGAACAGCTGGCCTCTGGGAGAAATTCTACACATCTCATTCGCACCTCGAAGTCCTCTGACTTATTACGCCTTGCGGTTCCGGTCTACAACTCCCGCTTCAACCTCTTTTTACTCCCTGTTCTCACTCTGAGGAAGCCCTGCTGCCTGCTCCTATCGGGATTCCCTCACAGCCGTCCTCATGGCTAACGACGAATATGATGTGAGTTATCCGGCTGCTGAGCACCTTTCGGTTCATGAGATCTAACGCATGACCCATAATATAGTTCCTTTTCAAGGGTTTGTCGCCGCTCCCCGCACGCCTATCCGCATGCCACCAAGATCTAGCTGAAGGCGCCCCCCCTCCGGCATCAAGGGACAGAGAGATAGCTAACGACCTTCGATTTGTATAGTGGTGCTCATTGGAGACTCTGGAGTCGGAAAGTCCAACCTGCTTAGCCGATTCACGCGCAACGAATTCAACCTTGATTCCAAGTCTACGATTGGTGTAGAGTTCGCTACTCGATCTATCCAGGTCGACTCGAAGACCATCAAGTCTCAGATCTGGGATACTGCCGGACAGGAAAGATACCGCGCTATAACTTCTGCCTACTACCGTGGCGCTGTCGGTGCGCTCCTCGTTTACGATGTCAGCAAACACCAGACATATGAAAATGTTACTCGGTGGTTGAAGGAGCTACGGGATCATGCCGACTCGAATATCGTCATCATGCTGGTCGGGAATAAGAGCGATCTTAGACATTTAAGGGCTGTGCCAACAGAGGAGGCCAAGCAATTTGCGAGTACGTTATGATCCTCTCCGGGGTAATGATATAACTCTACAATCCTTTACTAACCTTATTATGTGATAGGCGACAACAACCTCTCATTCATCGAGACATCTGCTTTGGATGCAAGCAACGTTGAACTTGCCTTCCAAAATATCCTTACCGGTAAGAGGCCCTGTTTCGTATGCCAACCTTTGCCTTGAACCTTGATCTGACCATGCCCTTTCTATAGAAATCTTCCGTATTGTATCGAGTAAGGCTCTTGAGAGTGGCGATTCTTCCGCAAACCAGCTCGGTGACCGCAAGGTCGTAGAGATCACCAAGACTCCCGACTCCGAGAAGAAACCAGGGTGCTGTTGATCGAGCCCCCCCTTGTTTCTACGTGTTTACGTTGGATGTCATTCAATGTGCAAAGCAACTCTGAAGGGTACTACTGGTGGCTGGAGCTTCATATACTGGCTTTCTTTTGTGCTGTGTTTACATTTCTGCTTTTCCCGCCTCCGTTCCCTTCTTCATCCGGCTTAGGATATGATCGGTTTCCCTTCTTTTCCAGACCCAATTCTACAACGAACTTTTTTATGTTAGGAAATGTCTTCTTCTTTTTTTTTGTCCTTCTTACATCCTAATTATTTTCTAACTCCCTTCCTATATCCTCGCGGTATCCCTGTGGGTTTAATTTTCACCACCGGCAGCTTTCCTTCTTCCTTCTAGCCATGCTCATATTTAAGAATGCCTTCCCTGTCCTGTCCACTCCACCGCCCATCTTTTCGACAAGTCAGAAACTTAAATCACCAAACCTGAAATATGAATGATAATGGCATATGCGGAGACTGGAGCAATTATTTGTGAGAGACGTTCGAAGCAGGACGGATGGCAGCACTACTTGTCTCGTTTCACCTGTGTTCCATACATGTATGATAAAGATTAACATTTCATTCTCAGTTCTAGGCGGCTCGTGCGGAAAATTAAATAATGCGTCGAATAAGAATGTCCTATTGGGTCACTTGATAGCCTTAAAAACAAAAGCAAAGGATTCAAGGAGCTAGCGTTTATCGGGCTTAATCTTTTATAGTTGCATCTCGGAGATCTTAAAACGAATTGAAAAGCAGAGTAATGATAAATTAATGCAGCCAAAGGCCGAGGCTCACAGGAAACTAAGTATATCAATATTAAAGGAGAAAAAAAAATAACCGAGCTCAATATCTCACGAAACACCGTTCATGGACACTCAATAGAACATTCAAAGTGAACCATCAGAAACCCGTCTTCGCGATGCCTAGTTCCTGGTCACAGATAGCATCTTTGAAAGCATCTAGATCTTCTCCGCGCTCATTAATTACCCACTCAAGGGTCTGACCGAAGGTTTCACCGTTATTCTCAAACCAGTCTCCGATTGACTTGACGTATCGTTCAACTTGCTCCTTGAGCCGCGCATTCTCCCTCAGCCAGATGACCTGTCCCGGATCGAGTTTCAACATGTCTTCCACCACGTAGTAGTGTGGAATTTCATCACCCCAGCCTTCGATGCCTGGGTCATGATATAGATCAGAACGGAACTTGGTGGCATACTTGTTCGTTGAGCCGGTAAGGTAACCTGCGCCAAGACGATCGTGCTTCGAAGGGTCAAGGAAGAAGGTTTCCTGCTCGTGCGGAGGAGTGTGCGAGCGATAGGGATCTGCAAAGTGAAAGTCGGATGAACCGTGCAAAGGTGGGTAGTTCAAGTGAATGTTAAATGACAGGGACTGTGCATTCTCCGGAAAGCGCTTGTGGAACTTTCGTTGGATTGTACCATTGCTGGGGCAAATGTGATTCTGCACCACTTCTCGAATCACTAGTCGTGTATCTTCCATCTCAGCCAGTTCACCAGTCGACCAATTATGTAGCAACTCCGCTCGCTCGCGAACTACTCCAAGTACAGCTCGCGATGCACGTGGATAAAATGGGCTATGAAAAGAACGAGAATATAGCCACAATCGATAAATGGCACGACGAAGGGTGTACCGTTCGTCGTCTGTCAATAGTCGTCTATCCTCGAAGTCAATCTTCCACTTCTTGACAGGATAAATCTCCTCCCACTTTTTTGCAACACGCCCAACCGCAACGATTTGTTGGAGTAAGTTCATCGAAAGCGGAGCTTCACGAATCATATGCGCTGGCTGGCTGGAGTTCTGAGTCACAAGTTGAATAATATCTTTCAGCGGTCCATACTCGGCTTCTGCGGCGTAGGCGAGCAGCGGTAACTTTTGGGATGATGCAAAAATGCCGTGAAAGCGGCGACAGGTAAGTGCTAGATTCAAGACGTCGGCAATAGACGTGCAAGATTGGAATATTTGGAGCAATAGCTCCGTCGGAAATAGATAAGTCAACATTCTGGCAGTAAATCGATAGTTCCTAGTAATTCCGTACTTGTTAGCTCGGTTGTCCGTATATTACAACTATAAGGCGGACATACACTTCTGTAATTTAATTTTGGTTCTTCAACCTCAGGTGTAGTCTAATTTTGGGGCGCAGATTGACCTTAACTGATCCGTTTGGTGACAAAATAAAGGATAATAAAATAATAGAGTATTAAGAAAAAGATTCTGATACCACCGGGAAGCAACGACACGGACAGATAGTTGATAGCTCCCTATTCAAGGTAAATATATCAAGCAATCTCTCCGTGGACGGTAACGTATGGTTCAAAGGGAGGCCACCCCTCCGTCCCGGGGGGCTATAAAAAGGGTGATCACATCCCCGTGATCATTGATCAATGGTAGATTCACACTAGAAGTGTCTCGAAGCCGCAGAGGGCTGGAGCTGATAGAAAGCGCCATTGTTGTGTAGATGGTGGTTGAGAAGAAAAGGAAGAAAGCTCGAAAGTTGAAGTCGCGCGCTGGAATATTTTGATTATGTAATGCTAATTTACATTGAACTGGGCTTGGCATTAAAATGCTTGGCTTTTGATATCAAGATGAAATCGAAGGAGGATGAATGAAAATGCATCAGATTAATAGTTGGACTCCTATTTACACCGGCCAGCTTTTAGAACGTCACGGATATTTGAATAGCAAAAGATCCAGTTTCCACCCCAAGACCCAGGAAGTAAAAAAATGAAACTCAGAAAGGGAACATTGACTATGCGAACAAGACCCTTGAATCGAGCTCATCCACCTTCTTGTCTTTTGATCCCTCAGTATTAAGTCCTAGCTCCGTCTTCTTGACATTTCTATCAATCTGTCCCGTCCTTCTGGCGGTGTATCGAGTGGCCTTCTTAATGCGAATCTCACGACGAACCTGGTTAGGGCTAACATATTCGCGATTTTCATAGATAACCGGTCCACCAAAGCTTCCTTCTAAGATCACGATGGGTGTCAAGACAAATCGTGGCCCAATTTCCACTAGAGAGATTTCAGGCCCGCCCTTGGTGGCGCTGGTGCCCTTTGATTTCTTCTTCTTTTCTTTCGCAGCCTTTTCAAGCTCCTCTTCGGCCTTCTTAGTGGCGGTAGCCACATCTGTCTCCCTAATTTCGTAAACGCGGATCCATATTTTCCCATCCACGGCGAATATACCAATCACTCGATCGATAAAGGGCTTCATCCCTCTAACGCCTCGCTTTGGCACGCTGAAAACGCTTCGTAGCATTTCCCTGACCAAACCCCTCCATTCATTTCCCTTTTGTAGAACAACGTTATCATCAAAGGATGGGTCAAAGACGACAATTCCTCGCCCACCCTTGAGACAGTTACCAGCGAATCCGGTACCCAGTTCGCCCATGGTATGTAAATTGGTGACGCTGAATTTGATGGTGGGTCCGTTTGGAGGCCGTGAGAGCCACAGGTATAGATCCTGACCTTGTTTGCGCGCCTCGAGGAAAAAGACTACATTGCAAGAATGGAGATCGGCGAGTGAGTTGAGGAGAAAGTTGTATCCTTGAGATTTTTTGGTGTCGAGTTTGCTTTCTTTATACGTGTGTGGGAGGAGGGCGGTAAGGTCGGTAACAAGGTGACGGTGTCTATTCAGCAATTAGCACCATACTACGTACGATTTTTTAAGAAAAGAGGGGAAAGGCGTACCTGTACGAAACACCTCTCGAGGTAAGCACTAGAACTCTAGTTTTAGGCATAAAAGAGGGATTCTTTTGCGATTGTGGGCTCTTCTTTGGCGTCGTCTTTACGGCGCCATCTTCATCTTCACCATCCTCCTCCTCATCCTCTAGATCATCTTCGTCTGATATTTCCTCGTCCTCGTCGCCGTCACTGCTGACCTCGTCGTCAAACTCCTCCATCATGTCAACGTCCATGTCCTCATTGTCGTCATCATCCCTGGAAACATCATTCTTCTTCCGTTTCGAAAGCGATTTATAAACAGAAGCCATTTTATCTGCAGCAATTGGGAAAATTGTCGAGTTATTTCGTTTTGCGCAGGTTCTAAGAGCTCTTTCACCATAATTTTTTTAAAGATAAATTATATTGCCAAACCCTACCGCCTTAAATGGTCACGTGTACTCCAAAACCTAAAAATATCCAAGCTTTTTTATCCAATCGCCACAAAAATATAAAAATGGAAGAAAGGACGGAAGAGAGAGGAGAGGAGAGGATAAGAATGATGTAATAAGTAGTAGATAATTTCGTCGTGCTTTTTCCAAATTCATCAAACAAATGTATCGCTACGAAAAACAGCTCTCAAAGCGCAATCATCATGATGTCATAAGATGGTCAAGTTACAATTTCAACGAGACAAGTATGAAAAGAGTACATCAGTTCTCTCCGTTTGAGAGTTACCTCCCCCAATTGCCAGAGTATCCTCCGACATCGCCGCCGTAATGCTGCTGCTGCTGAGGTGGTATGTAGTCATTACGTGGAGGCATGCCGGATTGATATCCACCATATTGTTGCTGCGACTGCTGCCATGACGACCCGTTTCCAGGGTTACTATGCTGCCTTGGGATTCCAAACTGGCCACCGGGAGGCCCTTGGATAGGGTCCTGATATACAGGCCTACCCTGATCCATATGAGAGTCATATATCGGGTTTGGGCCGAATCCGGCTGGTGGTGGTGGAAGATTCCTTGGCAGGCTTTCTGGCTCTCTATACCTGTGGTCATAGTTTCCTGTGGGAGGGCCCCTGGGGGGGTAGGGCTGGCCTGCCGGGCCTGCCTGATACTTTGCATACGACTCTTGCTGTCTCTCCGTCTGTCTTTTCCTCTGTGCTTCACGGTGAGACACGGGGAAGACCGGAGGAGCATTAGGGTCCTGGTTGAGAAGGGTGATTCCGTGTTCCTGGCTTCTATGGCTCTGGCTTGGAGAGACACGAGGGGGGAATTTTCCGGGAGTCACTGGGATGGGCTGGTTTGCAAAACGTGGATCTCCTTGCTGTGGCGGGCCGCCAAATGAGCGAGCGTTGGGATCGTGCATCTGGCCTCCATAAAACTGGCCTTGTGGACTTGGATTCATGGGCATACCGTTTCCATGTTGTCCCATGGGGACACCACCGCCTTGGACGGGGTTTTCATTATAGGACTGGGGTTGAGGGGGGAATTGTTGCTGTAGTTGGTTGGAAGGTGAGCCCGAGGTGGTATGGAACCCTTGTACCTGGCTAGGTAGAGATATGGGCTGTTGGGGTGTATTGCTACCAACCCGTGAATGGCTTGGCTTTGAAGCTGTCAGCTAGAAAGGTCTCAGAAGAACAAGGTGACTGAACATACGCTATTATGGGTCATCATTTCGTCCTGACTGGCCATGGCAGAGAGATCAGGTATGGCGTGAACCGGTGTATTCTGCGCCGAGGAACGTGAGTGTTGAGTGACATCGCCAGCAACCGGCGTTCTTTGTGACCTCGGAGAAGTGCTCTGAGGCGAGAGCTGCTGTGTAGCCTGTGACGAACAAAAAAAGAATGGAAACGGATCAGCCCCGTCATCCCGAGTAACCAGACAGACCCTAGAAGATAAAGAAATCGTTCCCACGTACCGCGAAGTTGCCGTTCCCACCCCACTTCCCATTCCTGACCTCCATCAATTCCCTTGTGGCTTCGGATTCGGGCGAAGTGGAACTCATGGTGTGAGGCGAGGGATACGGCCCAGGACTGGCGGCCGAATGGGGGGTCGATGAAGTCGAAGCGATGAAGGGTTCAGTTGGGATCTCCCATTGGGATTTCCTGGTTACCGGCTGGACATAATACCATCGTTGCTGGCGTCCGTCCCACTGGGCAAGCCTATACGGGTCAATATATACGGCGACATGAAGATATAAATGAAGAGATAGATAAAGGAATAGATGAGAGATACATACCATCCCTCGGGGAGGACTGGCGGTGACGACGACGGCCCAGCGGCATCCGGGCTCATCACCCTCGACGCCTGCGGGCTCATGGTGCCTGCTGCTGAGAGCCGTAGCTTGTCTGTATGATCAGACCGGGCGACAGCACGTATATCTAATCGCCGATGTCGAACCAGCAACAAACGGCCAAACCTCGGAGTGGGAAGAGGGTATTAAATATAGTATAACGAATAGAGGTAGCTATATATCCGTCGTTCCAGGATTATCAGCCACACAAAAGCCAGACTAGCCCAGTAGTCGATAGCAAAGAAGCCCAACCGCGCGAGAGAGATGATATTAAGAATAAAAACGAGCGCGGAGAGGAGGAGAGACGGCTGCTATTGAGTTTGCATGGTGATGTGATTAGTCGTAGATCGGTATATGTCGATGTGATAAGAAAACGCAGAGCAGGGAAATCTGGTCTATCAGGCGGAGATGTCTGGTTCCCCCTTACTGTACAATGCAACGAGCCAACTGGAGAGCGAGAAGCAAAGGAAGAAGCAAGAAGCAGAAGAAGAAGAAGAACAGGAGAAGTGCAAAGGGAGCAAGGATGTAGGAGGTTGTGGTGGTTGTATTTTTGGTGGTTGGGATGCACGGCGTATCGCCCGTACGGATAAAATACACCCTCCCCCTCGCACTTTTTCCTCTTTTCCTCTTCCTCTTTTTCTCTTTTTCTTCTTTTTCTTCTTTTCTTTTTCTCTCGTGCCTAACTAAGGTCAGGTATGAACTGGTAAGGATGGGTGGTTGCATGGGCGACTGTGTTCTGGGCTGCGGCTCGCCCTTGATGCCCAACGGCGAGACTTGGGCATGGGAATCTACATACGTACGCCGTATCTTGGTCTGGCAACCATGGACTACCCCTATACTCCGTATACAAGCCAGGGAGCGTTTGCTAGCAGAGTTTCGAGTTTCGCATATCGGCCTGCAAGGGAGGCCAGGGCATGCGGCAGTCCGTCTCGTGCCCAGCTAGAGCTAAGTAATATGGTATTAATATAGCCTATAACTCCGCACAAGGTCCCTGAGCACTTGTTTGCTTCCCCAGTATGCATATGCCCCTTTAAGTCCCCGAAAGTACGCCGTAGACTCCCAGTAGACACCCTCCGTTTTGATAACCCCCAATGCAGCTAAGTATGATAAAGAAATGGAATAAAGAATACAAAACCCCAAAGTTTTCACTCCACAAAAATCAGTCTGGGACCTCTGTTTCTTATTATTATTATCGATCGTTCACCATGCGTCGTTAATGTCAAAGTCGTCTCCATCCCAGTCGTCGTCTCCGCTGATTTCATGGTCGCTGAGGTTCTCTGCTGGCAGGATAGTGTCTGCAGGCCGCAGGTTGTCGATCCGGATCTTGACCACGTTGCACATGCCTTGCTCGGTGGCGCCAGGATGTTGCTGCTCCCGGGTTGGAGAGGCCATCGTGTTTCGGCTCGATAAATAGCCTGACGGCGTTCCGTGATCGCTGGACCGTTCGCTATCGTCACTGTCCTTGGGCGACCTGCGCTCCGCCAGACGTCGACTCTTTCTCTTCGGCACCTTGTCTTCCGTGGCGCCATCTTGGGCAAGACGAGAAGAGTCCGACGCCGCTGCTCTAGGTGACGGCGTACGCTCCTGCACTGGCGGCTTCGAGCTCCCGTTAGAAACACTGCTCGGAAGCGCAGACCTTCTCAGAAACGTTCGCTCCAGAGTTCGAACCCACTCCTCTCGGAACTGAGCACGATCCCGCCAGTCAGTCTTCAGAATCGCGGTAAGGGTGAGCGTGCGTAGATATTTCAGACGCGGAGCGGCTTCTATCAGCGACTTGAACACGGCTTCTGCGGTGGTGATGTCCCATTTACGCAGACGCTCGAGCTCGAGAGTTTCCAGGTTAGTCGGCCAGGTCGGCACTTGGCCGGGGTGAAGGAGGAGCTCAAAGTGCGGTTCGACATCATGAGCAAGCGTGTAGCCAGAGCTAAAATTTAGATCCATCCTGAAAACGCGCAGGAGAGGGCAGGATGCTCGCAGTCCCACAGTGAAGGACATGTCAATCTCCTTATTGTGAGCCAGGTTGAGAACCTCCAGCTTCCGCCCATGCTCGAGCAAGAAACTCGCCAGGCTCTCCGAGTCCACGCCTTCGCATTGGTCTAGAGATAGCACCCTCAAGTCGACCGGCAACATGAAAAGAAAATCAACGGGTAGCACGCATTTGCTAAACTCCAATACGGAAAGGTTTGGGAGAGCTGCAAGCGATGAGGCTAGATGTTGAGCCGGAGATGGCTGCCTTTCGCCGTCCAGAGACCGCTGTGTCTCCGGTGGCTCATACGGCCAGAGTTTATAAAATCGCAGCGCCCTGAGCAGCTGGAACATGGGATGGAGATGAAAGTCTTTCAATCTCGACAACTGCACTCTAGCACTCCATTCCCAGCTATGAAGCTGGATGTGTTCTGCTGGCATCCAGTCAAACCAGTTCTCCAGAAACGAGAACAGAAACGGCTTCGACAGCTTCCTAGGGGTATCGCTGGGATCGCGGATTCGGAGATGCTTCAGCTGCGGCGTAACATATAGAAGCCTACGTAGGGATGGGCCGTCCACATTGCTTGTATCGCCATGGACATCCAGACACTTTACCTTGTTGCGATAGTTGGTCGCCAGCTTGCTTTGATCCAAGGTCAACAATGCTCCCATGCCTTCCAGCCGAGCAAGGGAGAACGTGGGCGGAGAATAATACAGCGCCGCAACGGCCGGCTCGAAAAAGGATCTACAAAGTCGACTAACTGCCAGTAGCCACCTTACCGATTTCCATGTCTCGGCGGTATTAGTCCCCTCCCCCATGGGCGCGGCACCCAGGAAGATACCGAAGAGAACATGATAAGGAAGGGTCTGCCATGGAGGGATGTTGCCTGAGTCAATAAGCGGTATCATCTCAAGGTCAGCGTCGCCTTCCGGCTTGAGCTGTTTGGGGGAGGTCGTAAGGGCCTTGCGAGAAGCTTGAACGAAGAGAGCTCGCTTCTTGCGGTTCGAGGACGACCTTGTTATGCGTGCGGCCAGCGGTTTGCTGCTCTGCGGCGAGGTTTGTTCGGGCTGAGGTTCTTCAGAAGGGCGGAGCTCAGGGTATATCAACGGCCGGCGGCGAACGGCTGCGGGGGAGCCATCTGAGCCGTAAACCTCATCCGAGTCTGAGCTGTCTTCACGGTAAGTCTTCACTCGAGCACTGGTCAAGCGCAGCGGACGACTCGAGTGTCTCGGGGGGTTGGCGGGTAAAGGGCGAAGACTTGGAGCCATACTGCGGCAGGGACAGGCGCATCGTTGACAGTAAGAGATAAGTGAGGTGGGCGAGCAGGCTGCAGACGGATAAAGGGCCAAACCGCAGTGATATACCGCAGTGATATACAGAACAAGGGGAATTAACGTAAATCAACCAGTGATATCAGGACATCTTCACCCCGTTCTCCCATTGACAGTATTACAGACGTGAATGTTGATAGTTTCTTCACTGGACGTTCCGTCAAATCGCCAAATCGGGAAGAGATCTTGATCCCGTGACCGCGATCGATTTAAGGTTCGGAAGATAGTTGATCCGATAGATAAGATCTTATGTCAGCATTTAACATTATATACCTTCACCCTTAACTCAACTCCCACTCCGCTCTATACTCTACTCTCTCTATATCATATATATTATTCCATACATAGAGACGCTCAAGCAAACGGTGAATAAGTGCTATGCATGTGGGGGCAAAAGCAAGCATCATCACATGACACCTGCTATTTGATGACCGTGCATAAATTAATTTGTCTTAGCATGGAGATTGTTGCTATTTATATCTCGCGACCTTTTGACGCCAAAAGGTGAAACAGCTCCAACTTGCCCCGATTAACGTGGGATGCTGGGAGCTTCGCCGTATAGACAACGCTCGCGAGGACGGCCCAGCACCGGCTCTCCGTATACGACCGCGAATTGGCTCTCGAATCGCCATATGGCAGCCTCCCGTTCCGCCGGCGGTACCTCGTGAATGCGCATACCCGACACCCCAGCTTCCCCCCAAGGAAATGCAATTCGCTTGCACAAGGCTGAAGACGAGCCAGTATGGACGGGCTCCCCAAGCTAGGAGCTGAGGACGGGCCCCATAGACGGCCGCAGTCATCTAACAATCTCGAGCACGAGCAGCCGTTTACTAAATATCCCGACACCCCAGAGCCACAGCAGCACCAGCACCAGCAGGTAATACCGCAGACCAGCAACAACCATAGCCCCCCGCTAGGAAACAGCACCAGCACCAGCAGCGCGCATAACGGTGGCAGTGGGAGGTATGCCATGTCGCAGATGAACCGCGACGTTGCACCGAGCGGCCTTCAACCGTCTCCCAGAGATCCCCGGTCTGCTATCTTATCCCGACGCTCGCCATCGGCCGTGTCCATGTCCCCTCCGGTGTCTGTCCTGTCCCAGGAACGCCAGAACGAGCGTCTCTCCTCCGTCGAATCACGATCTCTCCCCTCACACGATATCACGGATGCGAGTATTGACGATGCGTTTGTCGAATTTATCATGTATTGCAACCCGAGTATACCCAGTTCCACGAACACGACAGAGCTTCGACGCATGTTTAGGTCACCACCTCGCAGTGAAGGGAAGAACTTTAGCACCTACACGCTCTGGGAGTTGATACAGAAGCTTGATCGCAAGGAATTGAGGACCTGGATCCAGCTGGCCATAGAACTTGGTGTAGAACCGCCGTCTGTGGAGAAGAAGCAGAGCACGCAAAAGGTTCAACAATATGCCGTGCGCCTAAAGGTTAGACTGGCATTCCGTTCCCGTTATTGTTGTCGTTGTCGTCTCTGTGTTGTTGCTATCTTGATCCTGACCTTCTTCCAGCGCTGGATGCGTGCCATGCATATAGATGCCTTTTTTGAATTCTGCTTAGGACACCAACATCCATATTACACGAAGGTGCACTCACTAACCGAACAGGAGGAAGAGTGCCGTGATGGCGTACCCAGAGAGGAAGACCTAGCCTTACGAGCCCTTGTGCCGGAGTGGAAGCCCAAACGAGGCCGCAAAAGGGTCGATGAGGTTGGCGTTGAACCCAAACAGCAAAAGAGATCCCGTTTATATACTCCAAACTCTGCAGTTGAGGGAAGTTACCCTACTGACGAGATACCCCAAAGTTCAATGCCCTGGAGCGCATATCCTGATTCCGCCGAACACCACTCTGTCGGTTGGTCGGCAGGCCCAACGACACAGCTGGGCGGCTCAGGAACTCCTAATCGCATGGCAACGCCAGAGCGGCCTATAGACAGCCAGGCCAATTCACGGTGGAGTTTCCCCATCCATAGATCTCCGCCATTCCAATATCCACAGTCCGCAGTTACTCCGCGCCATCGTGAACTTGATGCCTTATTCTCAAACGAGCCGCAGTCTGCTACTACGCCATCATCTGCAGAGAGAGTGAATGGCAAACGGCGAGTGCGACCAACTGTTTCTTCAGCTTGGCTGGGAAATAATCCTTCCGCTGGAAAGGCTAGAGGTCGCCCATTGCAGGGAGCAGGTGTCGATGGTCCACCTTCATCGCTTTCAACAAATGTTATCATTAACCCTGACATTCATCCCAACGGCCCTTTACCTATCAGCGCTCCACATTTAGGGCCACCTATCAGTAATGAGGCGGCAGCAGCCAATGTAGCCCAACCGCCTCGGAACTATGCCCCCTCAAGACCTACCAAATTACATCTCCAAGTCCCAAAATCCGCAGGGACACCGATTCGCCTTGCAACTCCGCCTTTATTGTTAGTCAATGGCCAGAATGGTTCGGCCGGTAACGCAGATTCAACGCGTAACCCTACCGGGGAAATCGGCCCAAATGCAAACGAAGCGTCTGCCTCCTTCGGCCTTACGCTTGAACAAGTCGACGAAGCTCTATCACGCGAGATACAAGGGGCAACTCTATTTGGAAGAACAACGCCTCTTAGCGCCGCTGAATCTCGGGCCATTGCCCACTCAACCCTCCAACAAGTCAGATCACAATGCCATCCTGACACTTCACTAACTGTAGTCGCCAGCTACTGTGCCTTCTCCCTCGGGCTTGGCCATAAACTTGGCCTAGCCTGTAAGGCCCCAGACCAAATGAAGATCAAATTCGAACCTGGCACACCTGACGATCGAATCCGCGTACATTGCCCGCCAGATGACCCTGCCCACAATATCTCACGACCCCCGTTTTCTATTAGTTATACACTTTCTTACGACTTTTCTCCTACTCCTGGCGCCAAGTCCCAGGTGTCTATTCGAGGTAGCGCTCCTTCGCAGATGACGCTGGATGAAGACAGTACAGCTCAATATAGCCATTACAGGCATGGGGAGCAACGCACAACCGTTGGCGGCGAGGACGGTATATCTGACGATGAAGACAGTTTAGAATTTGGCATGACTGACAGGGACTGGAAACAGCGATACTTGCTTCTACGGCAACAGACCAAAAAGAAAGACGCTGCCCTTTTGAAATATAAGAAACATATCCTTGAAGCTGTCATGACCGATATCTGAACTTGATTATGCCCATTTTCTTCTTATTTTTACTTTATTTACTTTTTGCTTTATTTCCGTTTAACCTTTGAAGACCCGATACCCAGTTCTGACATATTTTGAATTTTCGGTTTTGGATTTTGGAGCTCTATATACCCCAGTTTACATCTCTAAAGCTTTGTATTACTATTATTTAATTCCAAATTTCCATCCTACTTGCGCCAGAATCATTTACTGGTGCCTTTCCATTATCTACTCTCTGATTGGATCTCCGTCAAAATTGAGATATATCCTTGTTGCTTCCCTAAACTAAGTATCTCCCAGAGCTATTGACTATATCGATCATCATGGCTCATGTCAATGGCAACCGTTAAAAAAGACAGGATATCTGCAAGACAAAAAAAGAAACTTGAATGTCCATCTTCATACTGTTTGCACCTCCAAAGAGCTCTCAGATTGGACATAGCCATCTGCAGCACTTGGATTCATCGCCATCCCATCCAATACCATCCCATCTAATACCATCCCATCTAATAGGGACACACAAGCGCAAATGCAGAACTCGCCCTACGCGATATCAGCTTCCATTTCGGCCCCATTTTTCCCTTCGATCTTCGCACCGGTGTTGCAGAATAGCTCGAACATGGCCTCTTCGTTACCGTCCGCTGGGGCTTGGGCCAAGAACGGATCGTTGGAAGTACGCAATGGAGATTTATTGTCCGCTTCTTCGCCTTCAGCCTTGTCAGACGCATCAGAGTCCAAAATCTTTGCTTCGGACTTGTACTTCTTGGTGGGACTACCGCTGTTCGCCGCCTTGGGCTTGCGCTTGGTAGGAGTCTTTGCCACTCCAGCAGCCTTGGGCTTGGTGGGAGTCTTGCGAGGGGTTTTGGGCTTTGCTCCCGCTCCGGCTTTCTTGGGGGTCTGGGCTGGAGATCCTGGTGCACCGTCCTCATCTCCGCCATCGTTGGATGATGGGTGGACACCATTTCCCTTCAAGATGCGTTCGTAACGCTTTGCACTATGAGTTGACTCATGTGTCAGCATGTGCAATCCAATAAGTTGGATCAAATTGGTATCAATCGAGGTCCAACTCACGCTGCTCCTTTGGTAACGATACCACATTCCTCGGCAACCGCTCCGAAGTCAACCTTTATACACCATTAGCCCGGGACATACATGGAGGAGATATATCGCTGGATATACCAGCCATGTGGAGTATATACGTACCTTCCCACTGTTCGAATGCTTGATACATTTGATCAAGAAGATGCACGTCTCTTCAGGAGTGACTCGCGACATTTTGACAAGTTAACTCTCAGTTCTGTTTGTTTTACTGCAGGCCAGTATCAGCAGGCTGTTGGGTGCCAATGATCATGAGAGAAGATGATGATTGGTGCTGAGAGTTCAAGATGCTTGAGAGACAAGTAGTTGAGTGAAGGTAGAAGGAATGAAACTTGCCTTAAAGCTGAGAAACCAGGAGGGAGATATAAGAGGGTGGAAGGGGATGATATGGAAGTGAGGAACAAGATGTCTATAACCAACTATCTGAACCCTCACTTAATCTCAAGCAGAATCAAGGCAGCTGCACTCACTTGCTGTCCAGAACTCAAGCAGTATGCTATGGTTAATGAGATAGAACAGCACAGTCAGAAACACAAATCAGAAAAAGCTAGTAGGGTGTGCAATTCATCTGGTTTCCTAATGCTGGTGATATAGAGCAAGGGTGCTAGTTGTTTAAACAGCTTCAGTGAAAAGAAAAGGACAACCAACCTTGCTTTTTGATGGCTGAATGCTTAATAGCAGGAGGATGAGGATGCTAGATGTCAGTAATGAGCAAGAGAATCTGATGTCCAGAAAGGGAAGAAAGAAGAGAAAGGAGGGCATTTTATAGTTGTGAAAACAATGAAGCGCGCTAAGGCTCATAAGGCGCTCATAATAGAGACGCGTTACAAAACAACAAGTGAGATACCCTTATATCTTCCGTAGAGTACTTGCTCAATGGGGCCAAAGGTGTATGAACCTGCCCACTCTCTATCTTATGGCCCAGGAGGATGGCTATAGAAGACGACTCCCTCAGTACACTATGGAATAGTCATTGCTTCAACTCTTACCTTGCCACCAAGCGAACTCATCCCCCGTTATAACAAAGTAGAAAAGTAATATGTGGTTTGAGAATATTTAAAGCTCCATGGATTTGCTATTGGTGTATTACATCGGATCCAACCTGTCTTCTCTAGCCTGAAATAATGGCCTCAAACCCAGTAAAGCAAGTACATATTTGAGACCATGGCTACTATCAAAATCCCGTCATCTCTGGGCCTGAAACTTGAAAGCAGCAGAGGCACAAAAGAAACTCGAAGGTGGAGCAGGAAAGGAGAAATCTCAGGAGTAGAGCCGCCTCGTTCGAGAGCAGAAGGGTATTAACAATCTCCGTGAGAAAGTTGCCTTTAATGGAAAAGTAATGAAAAAAAAAATGGGTGAAGGAAATTGGAGATATTTGTGCATGGAAAACTCGCATTGCGATTATGTGGGCAAAGGGATAAGTCGAAAAGATTTTCGTAAGCAGCCCCTAGTATAAGTTAGATACCGACTTCGGGCCCAGCATGGAAATGATTTGGAAAGGGGGAATATTACCTGGCTGGCAATGCAGTATCATCTAAGCAACATTCTCATCCGTAGCATCCTTCGAAACCCCTTCATCTTCAGCCTTGGGTTCGGTCTTAGGCTCAGTCTTAGGGACCTCTGCCTCATCTTCTTTGGGATCCACATTCTCTTTCTCGTTGGAAGCAGCGGCAGTTTTACGCTTGCGACCGCCGCCGTTGGCAGCAGGCTTCCTACCACGCTTTGCAGGGCTGCCGCTAGGCTTGGCTTCTTCCTCATCGCCTTCTGCTTTGGCCTTCAATGGTCCACGAGCTGCTTTGGGCCCCTTGCGAGGAGTCTTGGGAGCGGCCGGGGTGGCACCGTCTGCACCAGCTTCGGCACCATCGGCAGCACCAATACCCCATTTCTTCTTGATTGCACGTAAGCGGTTTCCCACTGAGTTGTGATTTTTATAGCCCAAGCCCTCAGCAACGGCAGCCAGGTCCACCTAGAATAATATGATTAGCCGCTATGGTTAAAATGGTTGAGGGTTGTAAGGATATCTCTATGACCAACTTACATTGAACGGCCCATTAAGGTGCTTGAAGCATTCAGCCATGAAGGCGATATCAGTCATTTGCTTGCCGGAATTCTCACCGGAGTTCTCGTTCGTATCAGCCATGGTTTCGAGACTGGATGTTCAGAAGTAAGGGGAAAGTTTGCTGGGTCTTGAGATGTAGATGAAGAAGCAAGTAAAATGACGTTTGCAGTGATGTCCTAGCGAAAAGAGGAATGTGCTGATGATGTGGGTGAGAAAAGAGGAGGAGGAGGAAAGAGGGGAGAATGTGGGTTTTATAGTAAAATCTCTGAGCAAAGATCGAGGCGGAACTTATCCTAGGGCAAGCATAGAATGTGTTCCGTGTGACCAAGCCGTAGCCGAGTTCGGTTCATATAGCGGTGATGAGGACACAGGCGAGGCGATACCTGGTATCTGTCGAGATTATGAGGCCGATTGTCTCTTGAACCAAGCAGTATCTGGGCCAAAATACTTTCAGATCAAGACAGCCATATGGACAACCTGGAGGTAGTTAAGACCTCACATTCATTGACTATCTGTAAGAAGCGTTGACGCCAAACAGCTACTAAGAGCTGCGTGAGGCAAGATAGCACTCAAAGATGTAGCGCGATAGGGGGTGTGGCCAGAGGGCAAAGCCAGCGTCATGTCAGATATTAGTCCTAGAACACTAAAGGCAGTGTTCTATAAACCATTATCAACCCAGCAATGTGTTTGTGACTCTCTATTAACTAGAGAATGCCCCAAATTATGGTATCATAGTATTATTATCCAAAGAGCATATCAAGATAAAGTAATGGCCAAGCTTACTTTGCATATTCAGCTATCTTGAAGGTTGAGAACTTCAAGGAAACGACGTGTAGATATAAGATATAGTGGTAAAAGTCCAGTTTCCTTGCATTTTGACAAAAATAAAACAGATACAAAGTGTCTGGCATCCTTCTTTGAAAAAGCACACAGAGACTCCAGAGATGTGAAGTTACAAAAGTTGAAGGGGCAGAAGAAAATCCCCTTTTTAAACCAACATCCACGTGACATCCACCTAGAACTCCAAGACACTCACAGATTTGGTTCTGACTTGATGTAAAGATCCTGCATCTCAGCTTCACCGTCCGCCCTCTCGGTCTTGACCTGTATCCAATTCTCTCCAAACGGCGGAGTCGGGTAGCCAACGACGGGCTCCGGGGTGAAAGAAGGCATCGTCAGGTCCGCGGGAGAGACAGTCGAGAAATCGTAAAACTGGTTATGGACTAGCGTATTCTCCATGCTCCTGGGAATAGCTGATGCCATATCTTGCGGATAGAAATACTGCGGCGACACTCCGACTCCAAATCCAGGCTCTGCTTTCACTTCTGGCTCCTGTTTGACGGCTGGACTGGGCCCTGCTGTGGGAGAACGCTCCATGTTGCGTGCTGGCTCATCAAACATTGCCTTCTTGGATTTCGGAGTTTCTGCCTTGGGCTTTTTCACACGAGGTGTACGGGCGGTTGTTGTATTCCCTTCCATGTGTTGTCGAAATCGAGAGAATCGCATCCGTGCAGCATGGCCGTTGGTTATCTCCAGCTGGGATGCAACCAGGTTCCAATCGATCTGGCATCTATGATTAGCCTCTGTTTGCTTCCGGAATACAGAATCAGCGATCATTTTATGTTAACCTACCGATTTCAAGTCCAGCTGCTTCAAAATCGTGTATAGGAATTTTGTTGTTTGGCCGTCCGCCGGCATGGTTTTGCTTCGCTTGACGGTTGCCATGGTATCAGAAGGCTGTCAGGATGGATATGTTGGGAGGAACAGGAATCGGATCAAGATAGAATTGGAATAACTTGGAAGTTCTTCTTGGGTGTGCTTGCGGTTAGTTCCTCTCCTGGTGTAGGCAGGTTGTTGAAATGAACACTGATGAATCCTGATGAACAAATGTGCAGTTCCAGAGAGGGAGATGCAGGGTAGATATGCCCGCTCACTCTACCCCATTGCCTATTACTTCAGCTCTAGATCTATGACAACAATAATGATCTAGCAGTGTAGTATGCTGCAAGACACGGACCTAGCATTGTCATAATTCCTTTGATGTTGGAATTTAGATATTGCTGAAAGGCTTCCCCTTAGGTATCTTCAACATACCAAGAACATAGCCCTTTGTGTTTCTATACCATCACTGATAATACCCTGCCTGACTATGGCTCTATTTTGTTTGATACACGTAGAATTCCCAGAGAAGGCCAGACTTCAATGAAGTTTGATAGATACCTATGTGCATCTTTCTTGTTTATATGGTATTACAGAGGACACAGCTTCTATGGAGACTCCTTTTCCTGGGAAATTCATATATGGGACATGCTCTACTCTTGGATATTTGACTTCCATGGAATCAGGTCTCAATGCTGGATATGCAATTTTCTGAATAATCTTAACTCTGTTTCACCTTGACACATTTCCTACAATCACACTCGTATATCCCTTCTCTATCTCTCGACCTCGAAGCTACCATGTAAAAAAAGGAGAGTGGCAACGTCTCCATGTTGTCTTGGTGTCACTCTTTTTCACCAAGAGCTGAGGCGTGACGGATAATCAATCACTATCTTCGGACATCGTCTTGCCTCCGCGCTTGACTTTTTTGGCAGGCTTAGCGTCGTCGTTCGCGTCAAGACCACTCTCATCCCCTTCTGCGGATTTCTTGGGGGGCCTGCCACGCTTGGGTTTGATAGGGGTTGTGGGCGCTGAAGACACGTCGCCGTCCGATGGAGTCATCTTGGACTTAATGCGAGCGAGGCGCTTATGGATGGCATTCGTCGTGCATTCTAATTTCCAGGTTAGACATTAGAATTGCGAATACCTCTGAGAAGCGGAATAGGAGGGGAGGCCGTGTTTTTGAGGCCTCTTGTCAGACTTACCATTACCCATCACTTTCGCAACGGCAGGGAAATCAATTTTCGTGACGGATGTAGTAATTATGGCAAACAAGAGCTGATTCCAACGATTCCCGTTAATACCAATGAAACTCGAGTCCATACGCCAAACTTGTCAAGAACATATTCATGCATACCTTTGCATCAGCGGCGTCATCCCACACAATTTTAGCCATCTTGTATTTTCTGAGTAGAGATAGGGATGGATTCCTTGAGCGAATCTGTATCGAGTTGCCTGGTAGGGACGAATGTCAAGGTACTTTGGACAGGAGAAACGGGTCACTTGGTTTGTTAGGAAAACGAACAAATATCAAGAGGCCCGGGGATGATTGGGAGAATAAATACCTTCTGCCATGAGAAGTTGTGTTATTATTCTATAACACAACATCGCTATGGTAACAACAGGCTAAAACCACGGGACTTGCCTCTCAGCAACACAGTCGACATATACAGGGACATTTATTCGAAACAGGCTTTCTAGGTATCTAAACGATATGACTATAGGAATTCCGGCCATGGTATTGTGATCTCTCCCTATATTCGGCCATCCGGGATGATATCAGCCAATGTTCCGAGCCCAACGTGGAATTGAATTCATTGTCGGTTTAGACATCCAAGCCTAGCTGTATGGATAAGTTTAAGGATGCGTCTCGCTCCGTCATTCCAACTAAAGGAAAGAAAAGAATAAACAAATACGTTACTGATTTCAGTTGGATAAAGAGGTCCATCGATGACAATGAAATCTCATTGTAACTGGACCAGAAATCCTGGGTGGTTGTCTTGCATTTACCCAAAAACTGCCTAATACCTCAACCATACATTTATCTACAAATTAAAAGGCATTTCCGCCAGCAGTGTCTGCTTCTCTTTTGGTCTAGAGTCCAGAATCCGATCCAGCAGTTTCCAGCTCATGCATATAATTATAAATACTATTTCATACCTTAAGAATGGCAAAGTATCCAATTAGACAACAGTAGTCCGTTCTCTGGCTACAATTATGAGGAATGGCCTAGAAATCATAGAAAATACCCTTCTAGGAAGCAGATTTAAGGACTAGGCCAGAGAGTAAGTCTGGGGATAAGTTCAGGGACTGGGGTTGGGGAAGAGTTATTCAGAGGAAACTAACGGGGAAAGCGTTTTGAGAATAGAGGCTAGTTATCCTACCTCCAGTGTATCTAAGACTTGCGAGATACGTGAGTAGGATAGTTAAAGGTAGTGAGATCTTTTCCAGCGATTAAAGGAATATTTACAATATATAAAATATAAAAAGGAAGTTAAACGGGGGCAGCCCTAGAGAAAGACATAGAGAAATAAGGAGAAGTGTGGCTCCAAGAAATTTGAAGGTAGTTCTTGAGTCCTGTAGGTGATACTAACTGCGTATCTAACATGGTCAAAAAAGAGATACTGAAGCTTGTGTCGTGAGTCGTTTGTATAGGTAATTGTCCCACCCTCATTACAATAAACGAGGTCGTCATCCGCTTTGTCGAATATGGGACGTGGAAGGGCGTGCGATGGAATAGATGACCGTGGAGCGGATATGCTATGGGAGGCGTAGGTACAAGGCGTGGGCGCCAAACCTCGCAGGTGTATGAGAAAGTGCTATATGGCCGGCCAGGATTCCGTCGAATAGCGTAATGAATGAAGAATATATACAGAGCGCGGCATGGCCATCACGCTCATTGCTCCTTGTGTCGAGTGGCGTCCATTTCCCAAACTTGGGAAGTATCAGGTAGCTCAGCCATGGGTGGATGCTGATTTCCATACCCTCCAGCCGCTGCCTTTTCGGCCTCGAGGATGGTTGGTATCGAGGCAGCTGGCGCATGTGGCTGGGGTCCTGTTACAGGCGAGGCTGGAAGAGAATCGAGCTCTTGGAACCCGTTCTTCGGTGGGCGTGGGGCGAATGGATCGGGAGATGAGTCACTTGGAGCTGCTGCCTTCGCTTTGCGTAAACGATATATAAAATAACCAAAGAATGCAAGTCCTCCCACGCCTGCTATTGATGCAATCACGGCTCCAGCAATTACACCGCCTGATACAGGCGTTGCGGCATGAGGATGCTTTGGCCGTCGAGTTGGTCTCCCCGTGTTAATGGGCGTCTCCATCAAAGTGCCAGTTGTAGTGCCAGTTGTAGAGCCAGTTGTAGGCTCGCCTGTGGATGAAGTAGTCGTCTCAGATGTGGTAGAGGGTGGGGAGGGCTCCGCAGAAGACCCTGTAGATGTTGGCCTGGTAGAACTGCTGGTTGTAATTGACTCGCTCTTCGAGCTGGTGCTAGTCATAGATGTAGATTTGTCTGACTTTGTTGATGGGTCTGGAAGCTCCTCGCCTTCTTTGTTGACTAGAAACGATCTAACCCAAGGCTGGCCGAGCTTTCGCGGTCCCCAGATTGGGCATGACCACCCATTGCGGTCCTGGCAATTGTCGTCCGCAAACAAGTTAATACAATAACGCCCTGTTTCTTTCGGGTTCCAACTGTAAAATTTCCCCTGGTCCATATTCATCTTTTTGCAGGAATGCCTGCCCGAACCGGTCTCGACATGAGCCGCATTATCTGTATCGTGCCACACGAATGACCACGCATTCGCTGAACTAATTAATAGGAGGAGTCCTAGAACAAAATGGCATAGAAATGCCAATCGGGAAGCCATGTCGACTATGGCATCACCGCAAGAAAAGCGTCACAATCAACTGAGAGAAGAATAGATATTATCCCGAGGTACTTGAATAACCTCGTGAATAACCTCGTCGTCTCAGTGAGGTTATAAAAGAAAGAAAAAGGAGGTGATGGCTCTGGTGATGAAAGTTGTTTTCCTTCAAGCAGAGCCGCAGCAGTAGAACATCAACAAGAAATAAACCAGGTACGAGCTGCAGGGGAGAGCAGCATCGTAATATGAGATTCACAGCTGATTAGAATACCAAGTTTCGAAGCAGTTCTCAGGGCTTAGAAAAGGTGCATTGCTCCACCTCGGCTTTTTGTTTGTCTGGTTGGGCGTAAGCTCGTATTCTAGAATTAGAGATCCACCGCTCTGCCATCAACAGGCCATCATTTACTGCAAGCAGTCTAGAGTCAAGGGTATCCTGCATCTTCAACACGAGCAACTCCAAAATTAACAAGCACCGAGAGCCATCACCGGGCTCCGTGGACCGCGGAGCACCCAGCGGCGATTCGGAGTACGGAGTACGGAGTAACTGTGTTACGATATTGGCCTGCTCACGGACTCTCTCATCGTCTTTCCCAACCATGCATGGAACCAAGCCAGTAAACCACGGCATTGTTCCCCGTTGTGTAAAAATGTATATGAGTTTCGGGCCAATGGGTGTATATTCAGGGGTCAAAGTTGCAGTTTATGTATGTAAGCGTTGCGCCAAGATACGCACATGATGATTAAGCAGGACGCACTCCCTCCCATCTTTATACAGCCTATCTTCACTGTGATGTTTACATTCACTTTGATATTCCCTTATATTACGTCGAACTCGCCTGGAATGCAGCAGCTGCTAAGAAGGTTTGGTTGTAGCAAGCCGACTCTGGACCCCCGTCATCTGGACAGGCGCCCTTTTACCGCACACACCTAATACGCTACGGCCTTTACCGTCCCCTGAGTTGTAGACGCCTTGTTACCATGCCACGATATGAGGCATACCTTTCCCATGCAACCGTAAGCCTGCATACGAGACGAGTATGCGGCCACCGGGATTATTAACATGTCCTCCAAGTCTCATGCATAATCTCAATAGCGGATGAAGTTCTGGTGAGACGCTACCCTCGATTCCCTGTGATTTCTGTCTGGTCTGTTCTAACATCTGCGTTTTAGTTCAGTGGTATCGGAATCTTAGACTTCTTCCCCTACCAGCATCAACCGTGGGTGCAAAACGGCCATGGCTAATTTTCTAGTTAACAGTCAAGCAGTCTCCCCACGAAAATACCATGGGGGGACTCTCCGGATACACTACTCCATACATCAGTTTTATGCAACATGATTCAGCGATTAGATGTGGCCAATTATTTAGTCATGCATTTCCAGGAGCTGAAAATGTATACAATAACAAATATTCTAACAGAAGGCAAATAAAACAAAAAAACATACTCAATTTTTAATGCTGCCTTAAACCAAGGTTCGCCTACTATCATCTATATAGCCGACGCTGCGACCATGCATGATATCACAGCTTTAATAATGTAGTGAACCTTTAGGCTTGGCACACCAGTAAGCAAAAAGTTAGGCTTTAATGAAATTCCCTGCAGCCTGACGAAGGAAAAAATAAATTGTTTGGTGTGATATCGAAGGAAGCAAAAAAGAAATTCTGACCGACGCAGGACTCGAACCTGCAAATCTCCTGATTCGTAGTCAGGCGCCTTAACCAATTGGGCCAGTCGGCCTGATTTGATGTTGATCCACAGGGGCAAGTTTCACTAACTTTCGAAACTCGAAGCTGGTGGGAAAGTCTCTATTTTGTAGCATGCGACATTTGATGTTTAAAGGAAGACTTAGAATTGCCTTTGGATTTATCTAACTAAACGGATTCTGCGGCATGCAGTAAAACCGGCCTCTGTCGCGAAAAAGGAACTTTGCATGTCCCATCGCAAATGCAAATGGAGCTGACAGGGAGAGATTTTGAAAAGAAAACATTATTTGGAAAAGAGAAGATGAGAAATCCATTTCATCGCCAACGTTCCGCCAGAGCATAAGATCCAGAGATCAACTTGAAATCCCCAAAGATGATGTCGCAAATTTTGATCCGGCCATGAGGTGTGCGAGTTTAAATGAAGACTTCGTCTTTCACCAAGTCGTCCATGTCTTCATCGTCGTCTTCCTCATCACCGTTTGCTGGGGCGAATTCGCTAACGTCGCTCTGATATTTTATCTCATCTTCGTCAGTATGGTTCTCGTTATATGAAATCATACCCAAGGGCATGGCAGGGGCAGTCCTCACGCGTTTACCCAAAGGCTTTTGCGTAAAGACATCTTCCAGCTGCCCGTTAAAAACGAGATTTCCCTCGGTATCTTCTTCCTTGACTGGTCCACCATTGTTTCTCGGAGTTGGAGTTCCGGGCGACTCCTCTTCTCCTTTCAAACCCTTCTTCTTAGAGCCGCCGGTACGAGAACGCTTCGTGCTTGACTTTGAGCCTCCGGCTTTGGGTCCACGCTTGCGGGAAGCCGGAGTTGCAGGAGTACTGGTGCTGGATACTCCGTTTTTGGCTGCGGCCGCTTTGGCGAGGCTTCGAATCTTATGGATTCGCTCCGTAATAGCTCTGGGGGTGGGACGGTTGTCATCACTCGTAGCAGCTATTGAAGATGTTAGGCGTATATTTATTTCTATAGGATGGGTTGACAGGTTGACGTACGCCATGCCTCCGAGATCTTCTTCGTGTCCACGGTAATGTCGTGAGTCTCAATGAACTTGATCAGCAACTATAGTGGGTTAGTATGGCCGACTCAACAAACATTAAAAAAACCCCAAGCTGGGGGAGGGAAGTGTGATGTGGAAGCGAGCATCTTCTAAACAACAGATGTAAAGCAAAATATGAAGCAACTTGAAGGAAAGATAAAATAAAGTGTATCTGATCTGGGATATTGGGTATGGGGATAAAAGTCACAGGGCATGCAAAGGATAATACCAGCTGGTCATTCTCGCTTGTCCAACGCATTGGCATCTTGCTGGATAGTTAAGATGGTGTGAGGATGTAATAGTAGTTAGTAGTGATTAAAAAGATCTGGAATTTGTGGTGCCAGCGAGTCACTTTCTGTGGGTAGTTTGGTTTTGAAGTTGAGGTGTAGTTGAGATATAGTAGAAGCGAGGGTTGGCGAAAGAAGATATTGAACTTTAAGTGAGGTAAAAAGTAGAGAAGAGTTAAAAGAAAGATGTGACAAGAGAGGAAATAAGAGGAGGGTTTTATATGTGCGGTTACTGTAGCAATCTAGTAAACAGGGACCCAAGCTAAGGAGTAGTGCGAGTGTCCTATGTAGTGAGTTAGTAAACGCCAGAAGATGCTAGGTAAAGAGCAACACATATTGTAGATAGTACAATTTGGTGTTGTAGCTAATCAAGTGTAGCTCAGTTCACCATAAGATGTAAATTAAACTAGAGCAGAATTGAAGTACTAGTAGTACTTAGGTGAGGCAATGCCCCTAAATAACTAACGCAAGCAAATTGCCCTATTTAAGGAAGAAGAAATGAATGCTGTACCAAGTACACTATGTGTATCTTCTGTAGTAGTAGGAAGGCTGCAGCATTCAGGTGTTCAGGTGTCTTGAAGTTATTATGCAGTTTACTCAATAGGTGAGTATTGAAGCTGTTGTTGTTAGCTAGTAGGTGGTGAGCTTAGGCCTAGATAAGGAGTATTTATAGGGGCAAAACCTTAACTAGTGCACAGGCCATGAACCTTAAATGAACTACTTTGTTCGCATCTCAACATCAACCTTTATCTATACCAGCATAGACAGTAAGACTTAACTCCAACTTTTAGTTATACTGCTATGGATAATAGTACTTAAGGAAGGTCTTAGTTACACTATTCTGATAATAAGACTCAAGTCTCTTTGTTCTACCTGTGTATTGATGGATATAATTGTACTAGCTACAATTAACAATTCCCCGACGAGGTGGAGGTTGAAGGCCACTGTGACAGTTAATTTTGTTCTACTCTCGAGACAAACAGCTCTGTCTTCTCGGCCTCTTGATCCCATGTTCTCTATAGACTTCCCTCTGGTACCACACCTGCATTACTTGGCAACTTGTGAGCTCACTGGCAAAGTATTTCATCCCTTGACTTCCGATCTCATACGCCACTCTGAAGCTAGCCTCGGTACACTCTAGAATTCTAACCTTTGGGGTTGATCTTAAGAAACGTCAAGGTTTTAAGGATAGGTCTTCTATCTCGACTTTGACCGCCACAACTTATCAGCAACTTTTGCAAGATGAGTTATACTGTCTATACCGGCAAATTGAAATGAAGCCATATGAAAAGATGACACATTACCATCATAGATTCTCGGGTGTATAGGGAAGATTATACCGATCATTTTGTATGGCCACAGTACTGCAGAGAACTGGACGCTGTTGCGTGGGCCCTCAACCTATGATTACATTTTAGCAATGTAGGGTGTGAAATCGAGGATTAACTAATATAATATCTGCATTGGCGATTAATATGGCCTTGGCTACTTTTTGTTGATTTCTGGAGAAAATATCCGAGATAGTACAGATACCTGTATTACCTGCACCATTGCGAGACGCATATATATACACGTAGCTGCGATCAAGCCATGACCTCGAATCTATCTTATTTGTATGCTTAGGCTGCCAATGCACAGTCCCTGAGCGTAGGTTTTGGATAATGTGATAACCAGCGTTCCTTTGGGGATGAGGAGTCGCCGACTCTCTACAGAATTGACATCTCCTTACAGTGCTTTATGTGTGTTTGACGCGACTTCCTGTGGCGGGGTATTACCCTTTAATAACACACTAGCGAGCCCCTGGATCTTTCTTACAGGCAAACGCCGAGTCATGTCCTCCTCCAACCTTCAAAGTACAACTCCCCCAAATATACCCCACAACCTAACAATTTGCGACGTCTTCAACATCTCAAGACGAACTCGTTGCCATTCCAGCTCAGATCTCGATAACTGTTAGCGTTGATCACTTTATTTGCTCGACCATGGTTATCCCGTGGGATAAAGAGAACGTTGAAAGGATAATCGCAGCCCTACTTGCTGCTCATCCTGAACTTAGTGTATGGCCCTTTTCCCCTCTCCTTGAGTCTAGGTACCGTCGCCGAATTACTACTTCGTGGCTGGCTTAAACATATAGCCGGTTCCATATTAATTGAAAGCAGTGATTTGTTTTGCTATCCTTGTTTTGAATGTTTCCCTTGTACTTGTACCAAAGTAGCCGTCTTGAATGTTATACCTGCCCTTACTGACCAACATCCTATATTAGCCCGATTACCGGACCATGGCAGTCTACTTTGGCAGGGGAGCTTCATACGATACCATATACAATCAATTTAGGAAATACCGGCAGGAGGCAGATTTGATGGTCCCAAACGGCCTTAGGCGGACGGCTCCGTCTACCCCCAATCGTCGTCGGCCTGCGACTACATCTACTCCACGGAGTGGAAGAGGTAGCGTTACCAAGTCTGTTTCTGCAACGAAAACGGCATATACCAAGGCATACCTTGAAACACCTACCAAAAAGGGCATCATTAAGAAGGAAGGAAACCGCGATGATCCAATTGTACTCGAAGATGAAGACGACAATGACGCGTTTGTCGTCAAACGTGAGAGAGAGGACGCCAAACCGAGTGCCGCAGCCAGCGAGGTAAAGCGTGAACCCGTTATAGCGATGGAAGCTATTTCGACGCAGTGGTATGACCAAGGATTCGGGCGATTGCACATATGTTTCAGCTTCTGGGATATTTGGTGAACAGCACAATGAATAGGTTAATAACTACTATGGGGCCCCTCGGTTTCTTATGTACACTGGCGACTATGAACCTGTTACTCAGAGAATAAGATGGACACTTTTGTTTGCGCTGGTGAATGATAATGAATAATGTCCGGTATTCTATCACGTTTGTTCTATGGTTGATATTTGATCTATGTTCTGTTCTAATATATGGCTAAAGGGATACGGTATCCCTCGACTATACAACTTTGCTCATCCCGACTTACTCCACTGCAATGGCCAAATAACGGGCCACAATACTCCAGTAACGAAGCGGATCAAGTCTCATGTGGCCAACGTGAGGAGACCCCGTGAATTTCTCTCTTTCGACATGATAATTCTCGCTTGCGGCTTCATACGAATGTTCCTCAACGTCTTTCCAGGAGATCAAGTCGTCCAGCTCCGAATAAACGTAACATCGTTTCACCCGGCTATCAATGAGTTTAGAATCAGTCGATGCCCTCCAGGCCAGCTCAGTAGGATATTCCAGTCCAAGCAACCGGCAGTAGGCGAATCCACACAATAACCCAACCCAAACAAATATTCCTGCAAAAAAGCGAGGAAGAAAGGACTTCGGAAGGCCGTACGAGATCGCTCGGTGAGCTCCCGACAAACTGGACTTGCCAGGGCAACTGTCCATTATGAGCGATTTCAGTGGAAGCGGCTTGTTGGTTGCCTTGCGGTATGCGAGTGCTATGCTTCGAAGGGTAACGGACCCACCGTTCGAGAAGAGATGGAGGTACAGCTGGTCATCGGGAGACATTCCAAGAGCTGAGGAAGAAGTGCTTGGAGATAGCAAGACATCCACCGCCGGCTGAACACGCCGCATTTGAGCAGCCTCTGAAGCGTTGAAGAATAGATCGGAGGAAGATGTGAGAACAAAAATTATCCGCGCATTGGGTGCGAGCTTGGTATATTCCGAGACGTATTTGCTCGCATAGCGGAGCTGAGCATCCATCCAGAAAAGAATGACGATGGTCAAGCGAGATGAAGCCGTGACAACAGGCGTGGTGCCATAATTGTTGGTTTCCCCGTCCACCGGCGTACGGAAATCACGTAGCCAGATCGAAGGGCCGATCTTGACAAAGGAGGGATCTATCACCGGTGGCAGCTTTTCTAACGGAGAAGCCATGTTTCGATGTCTGGATGGTTGGAAGTGTTTGTCTTCTCTCTCTCTCTCTCTCCTCCATCAGGGGCTCCCCTCCCTGGCTATATGAACCAATCTAGACAGCCGAGGGGGGCGGTCACAGGCCCATTCATTATCCTTCAACGACGTGTCGGAGGTGCCGGAGGATCCCCCCTAACGTAGCGCCATAGGCTAGCGGCTGCTCGACGTCTCAGAATTACGGTCAAAGAAAATACGAGGGCGAGACGGTAACCGGTGGTCGAGATTTGTAGGATTGGCACCCGAGCAGCGCTTGATTGGCAACCGCCGGCGGAGGGACAGGAACCAGAGGCTCAAGAGACACGAACAAAGAGTCCAGGGTACGGGTAAGCTAAACTAGGTCGCACAATATGCCGCTGAATTGCTATTCTCTAAAACGGCTCGTGTCTAGATCTGACCGAGCCATAAGGTACACAAAATCCGAACGCCCAGCCAGCCGTGGAAATCCATCCATTGGTATTTTTTTTTTCTTAAAATTTACTTCGAGCGGCTTGATCTTCCGCCTAGTGTCCGCCCTTTATCTTCTTTTCTGTGTCACTTCCGGAGGCTGGAGTGGACTGTCCTGCAAGCCCTGACCCTTTCTTCTTTCCCCGTAGAGTCTGGCCAGTTCCTAGAAATTTAGGTTGTGAATCCGCTTCGGGGGACGGGTCGCTGGAGTCCTTCTTCTTCACTGGGGTGATGGCATAGCCAAAGAATAGTTTACCTGGCGGCAGTCGTAGTGGCTGTGGGCCGTTTGTTCTTCGCGTGGGAGGAGCGGGCGGTGGATTGCTAGATTTTCCAGAAGCTGGCGTTGCGGATTTAGGAGTAGAGGTTTTGCTTCCCTTCTTCATATTGAGTCGTTGGCCGCTCCCGTGGAAGTTGGACAATGCTGCGTTAGCTGCTCTCGCGGTATCATTCGATCCTGGAGCGATTGCGGTATAGTTGATCGACTGCGCCATTGTGCCGTGGGAATGAATTGTCCCGCCGGCGGTCAGAGGGCCACCCGCAACACTACTCGACGGGGTACTAGTCCCGCTTACTCGTTTTGGTTCCTCATATCCCACTGGCGGTGCAAAGTCGACTTCCAAATCGGTTTCTAGTACGGAGAGAGCATTCTGACTTGTCTCGGGCTTCGTCTCTAGGACGGCCATCTCATATATCTGATCATTGTAGGAAAACGTAAAGACATCGCCCTTGGTTAGACAGGAGAAGTTTCGGAATGCGTTCTCAAGCACGGCCTTGGGGTCACTGATATCGAGGAATGACGTTGATTGAGCTTGAAGCTTGATTCTGGATCCCGGGGGAAGGTCTGTTGATTTTATCTGTACCAGGTCTCCTGGTTCTAGCAAAAGCGTTTGCATAATCTATTCAGCCAACACCGTTAGTAACCGACGGATCTCACCGGGGACTCGTATAGATCGGTCTTCTTCACGCACCCAAAATGGCAGATATATCTTCCCTTCCTCAGCAATGAACTCCAGCACACCAGCATGCGTCATCCGTTGCTTCGCACCGTTATGTAGTTCAAAAAGCATGGGATAGGTGATGTGTAGTCGAGTGAGCTTATCCAACGCACTTGGTGGCATGATCACCTTGCCTCCATGGTTCACATTCTCACGTTCGGGGCCTGGAAGCATCGCTACCGGGTAGCACCGATAGTATTCGTCAAATCGTCGTGAAGAGTGTGTCTGATGGCGCATCATGGAAGGGTGGAGGATCCCGTCCATAGGGTCATCGTTGTAGAATCCGGCCTAGAACAGGGTACGATACGGTTAACGGTCGGTTGGCCTAGAGATAATATCTGACTACTCACCATTACGACGCTCTATTCCAAGATATCGCCGGTCTAGTGTTCTGGTTTCTTCAAGGTGGGAGGCAGGCAAATATCTGTGGAGGCCAGGCAGAGCTTAGACGAAGCTACCAAGAAGCTAACATAAGCCAGAAATATGTCGAAGATGATAGACCAGCTGCAGCCTGAACTGCCTAGAGATAAACCCAATCTGACGCCTAGAGATATGCCTGCTGATGCCTGGTCCTGGTGTTCGTGGTGTCGATGTAGTTGGTGTCTTCAGCTTCATGTCCGCTGGTGGGAGATCCAAAAGCAGTGACGCAAAAGAGTCAAACAGTGCAAACAAGCAACTCGCCGACCTCCGAGCTTCGTCCATCTATATACATCACGGCGCAGAAACACGGCGCAAGACGAACACCCATCTGTGACGTGAATAGAGCTTGTATCCGGTCGTCATTCTAGCCGATACATACATTCCGTGCAGCCATGGCGTCCTCGTTCGCAAGACCGAAGCGAGGGGGCGACGAAGACGACACAGACGGTGCGCCGCAATCCTCGTCGAAAAAACCTCGCTTTGATATCCGCAACCCCTCTGCACTCGCGCCAGATGCCCTGGAAAATGACGCCGTTTTAGACGCAGATGAGTTTGGCCATAGAGGTCAGAGGGTCCGTCGCAACGCCGTGAAAGTGGAAGGATTTGAGTCGGACAGCGAGAACGAAGGCTTCGATGCCCGCGCTGAAGCCAAATCAAACGCCAAAAAGAAGGAAGCACAGGCCGCGGACGATGATGACATATTTGCGGAGCTTGAGGATGACTTTGGGGAAGGTGACGAAGACAACAAGGACGGCGTGAAGGAGAAGAAGCAAGTTCGGTTTTTGGAAACGGACGAGATTGAAGGACAGGTTAATTCTTCGCGAGCCGGGCGGAAGGTCACCCTCGATACCCATACGGCTGGCGGAAAGGGAAAAGGACGGGCAGTCGACGGGGAAGACGATGACGATAGCGCCAGTGACGTGGGTGATGAGGACCGCGCAGCACTCCCAGAAAACGTGGACAAGGAGCTCGGAGCTGGTGGTAAAAAGGAGCATGCGCCTCTTCTCGATGCATTTAACATGCGAGCAGAGCAAGAGGACGGTCGCTTCGACGATGCAGGCAACTATGTTCGAAAGGCAATGGACCCAGATGCCGTCCACGATTCATGGCTTGAAGGAGTTTCCAAAAAGGATATGCGAAAGGCTAGAGAAGCGGCCGAAAAGCGAGAGGAGGAACGACGCCAACAGTCCTTTGCTGCAGACAAGATACTGACGTCCGACGTTCTGAAGACACTAATACAACACCTTGATCGAGGAGAGACTATTCTGGAAGCCCTGGGCAGGCTAGGCAAGGGACTAAAACATCGACCGAAATGGCAGAACAAGAACAAAAAACACCATAAAAAGGCAAACGGTGCTGCTGACGATGTGGAAATGCAGGACGAGGACCCCAAAGAGATAGAGAGGAAGCGGGCTGTGGAAGAAATCACTGAAGCTGCCGATATACTACTTAGCCGTGGCCAAACAGAGATCTACGACGCAGAGCGAGCGCTTCTCATCAGGCAATATCAACGAGAGACGGGGGAGGAGTGGGTGGACCCTCCTCGCCCTGAATCTACAGACTCGATGGCAGCTGAAGGGGGAAGTGATATGTGGGAGTTCCGCTGGTCGGACGCCCGTGACGGTGGTATAATACACGGGCCTTATGACCGAGCAACTATGCAGTCATGGAGCAGCGCTGGATATTTTACTGAGGGTGGAGCGGAGTTTAAAAACACCGGAAGTTCAGGTCCATGGAGGCTAGGAGACCCCTTTTCATGACGTTTAGGTGATAATGGGGGTCTTTGGACGGCCCTCCTGTGTAAGTTATATGTATGTTTCAATTTGCGGGTATACCAAAGCCTTTCGATTTACGATAACGAGGATGTTCTTGCTATGCGCAGGCAGGATATTGCAAAAGGGCTCTATTTCTATTAGTATGAAGTAGATATTTCCACCTAGAACCCGCCGAAAGGGGTGTATCGACGCCATATTTCGTATCGGACAGCCCGTTATCAAAGTTTTGTTTCCCCCGCAAGCCCAACGCGCCAAACTCGTAGCAAAAAGAATACAATACAAAGGGACACGGTCATAAAAGTAGGAGTAAGCCAAGTCGATTAAATTAAGAGACTTCCATAGGATCGCCGCCATTGACTGCAGCCGTAGTAAAGCTGACATTCCCGGCATCACTGATAAACCGTTTTTCAAACTCGTTGACAAATTTGACGCTTCGTGCAGGATCATAGAAAAGGCTATAGCTGCGCTTGATATCTTCAATTCCGACTTCTTTGGATTTCCGCTTTTGGCTGAGGAGGGTTGAAGTCGCGATGATGTTGCTGGCGTAGCGTAGGCCGGATTCCTGTCCAATCTTAGTTAAAAGAGCGAGCGCATCTGGGCTGAGGTCAATCTCCTCTTCTTGTGCACGAATGGCAAGGATCTCCTTTAGATCTTCCATGCCATAAGGCTGGGTGCTGACGATAACAACTCTGTCTAGGAAATCCAATGGCAGGCCATGAGGAGATTGGTATGTTGTGCCCCGTATCCTAGTGTTGCCTCTGTTGCTAGCCATGATAACGATTGGCGCCAGCTCTGCCTCCAGTGCGCGGTTGATGTAAGAGAAGCACTCGATGTCGAGCATGTGTACTTCGTCGATGAAAAGAACTCCAGGAATAATTTCTGCCTTTCCTTCCTCCTTCCATTCACCAACTTTTGAGTTAATCTGGTCGCGGACTTCGCTTCGTATCTCGCCGGTGTCTCCGGAGAAGAGTGCCAAGAAACCCTGGCTTCTCGAATTTATCACATCAATCTCATGAAGACTAACTGTGTGCACGACCTCCTTTCGAACCTGAAGTTCGCCCTCGGGGCATTGGACGAATTTGGTATCGGGACCCATTGCATCATAATCTCGCGATCTGGCGAAGGATCGGCCTAGTTTTGTGATCTTCCCAGCCGCCTTGTCGATGGAAATAACGTCACCCGCCATAACACGCTCCTTAGTCATGGAATCAATCATCTTCGTTCCCATGTCGTAGACGGTTTCCATGTCCGTAGTTTTAATAGTCAACTTTCCTTGTTTGTTGCCCTATGGAAATGGCGCTGTCAGCTTCTCGATTTACCGCGGTCAAAGGAAAAGACAAGCTTACCCCCGTAACACTGCGGTCTATCTGGATCTCAACGACTTCTCCCTCAATGATCTCACTCTCCTCTTTTATCCTCACGCCAATCGACTTCCGGAAAGCTTGGGTAAGAGCTTCTGTTTTCGACATCTCCAACGAGAATATCTCAGAGGACGCAAGCATTGTGAATGGAACATCTGGGCCCAGCGACTGGGCCATGCCCATAGCAATGGCAGTCTTTCCGGTGCTGGGTGGTCCTGCAACGAGCACCGCCCGCCCTGCAATCTTGCCCTCCTTGACCATCTGCAGTATGACGGCAGCCGCCTTCCGGGCCTTTTGCTGGCCAACTAGCCCCTGCGACGAGGCGCGAGTCTGAAGCGTATCCGGATCAACACCGAGACCTCGGATATGGGAATGCGCCGCGACCAAGTTGAGACCCCGTAGGTCTCTGCCTTCGGAGACGGTGGTGATGGGCTAGATGGAACTGTCAGCGCAGTACGGTATATCCGACCGAAGCTCGGGGGAAACTCACAGCCGCCATTGTAAAAGTGTATCCTCTTCCAGGGGCCTTTAACCTATCGAGCAAGTGTCTGCAGCAGAGTCGAGTGTCTTGTTGATGTGTTTTTGTTCCAGCTTCCACTTTCTTCTTCTTCTTCTTTGGGAAAAGCAAGCTCGACGGATCTTTGTTTTGCCGGGCCGATCAGTGCCGCTTTTATGTATTTTTATTCTTTTTTATTTATTTATTCATCTTTTTTCTTTATTTATTATTTGTATTTATATTTTTACTCTTTATCATAAACATAAATGCTATGACCATATAATATGTGTACACACGCGCTGTCAAGCCTCTTATAGCTGGTTATTGAGTACTAAGCTCAGAGCTCCCCACTCTAGCTTAATAGCTATAGGAATACGCGCCTTATCATGGTGGCAGACGCGCCTTAGGATCAGTAAATATAGTACTCTGTAGATATATCACTGTAATTCTTGCAACTATTCTTGATATCGCGCTTGTGTAGATCTATAATTGCGGAAATAGTTAAGCGCATTAAACTTTGTGATAGTTAACAAGTTACATATCATAATCTTTGCCTATATTAAAAAAAAAAAAAAACAAGAAAAATCCTGACATGTAGCCCATCCAACATATATCAATCAAGGCATCTCACCCTTTCCTTACTTCTCTTTGTATATATCAAGAGGCCTGGTTGACTAGGTGAACGCTTGGATGTAAATATTATACCCTTTATTGACCATCTCGTCCTCGTTGAGACCCTATATAAGTTCTACTCTTCTCTCTTTCTCCTTCGTGTTTACCAACTAGCTGATGTAGCTATTGAATGTGACGTCCTGTGAGCTCCTGTGAGTGTTCCCTTTTTCTACTTATCCTGCTATGTGATCTCAAACTGATATAAAGATGTCCAATCGCAGTTCGAGCCATCTCGCGGTTTTCGCTCTCTGCGACTCTCCTTGAGGCCATCGAAGGCGGCTATAGGAAGGCCATGAAGGAGGATTAATATACTCGCTGCTATCTGCTAAAACGCCCTGCGGAGGAATTCTATGATAGATACCGCAAGGCCGAATCGCGTCCGCGCACCTACAACCATGGCTACTCCTCAGCGTACCACTGGAACTTGCAATTTCGAGCCCCCGACAGGACCTCGAGCCGCACAAATCGACATGTCTCGAGACCCTCGCCGTATGCCCCGAAACGAACCTCCGTCTCAGAATAATCCCCCAGCTCCAACCGTACAGGATACAGTACGCGTTCTCAGGCAACTTACCGAAGAAGTAGCTGAAGTCACCAATATCAAAGGCGCAAGAGATCGGCTAATGAGGAAACGCCGTACGGAAGAGCAGACTTTCAGGAAAGCAAAAGAACGCGGGCATGCATACCCATCTTTGCTACAAAGTTTGAGGTCAGGAATGGAGGATCGAGATAAAGAGCTGAAGCGGATAGAGGAGCGATTCAACACGCGTACTGCAAAGAAGGAGAATCTTATGCTCTCTTTAGCAAATCTCATTCACAACCCACCCAGCAAAGCACCCCAGCATGACCAAGTAGCAGAGGACCTGCGGAAAACCAATGCTGACCTACTAAAGATCAAAGATGAGATATCTAGTATGAAAGAGTCTAACAACTTAAGACATTCTGCCATGGAAGAGCGCGCTAGCGCCAACTCCCAGATACTCGATAAGCTTAAGGGTGACCTAGAGTTCAATTCGAATTCTATGAAACAACACGTCTCGGAAATTGGTTCCTTGGACTCTAGGCTGGTGTCATTTCAGGCTTCACTCGATCGGATCAAGGTGCTTTCAGCAACTCTCGAGGCTTTCAAACTTACCATGAAAAATGATATCGATATCAAAAACACCAAGTTGGAATCCCTGGAGAAAAAGGTCAGGGAAATCACGGAAACCCTAGATACATCCAAGTCCGACGAGCAAACCCAGTCAAACCACGCAGCCGAAGAACTTCGTTTAAACATGAAGGCCATCACGGAGCAGGTCAATGCAATGGTTGAAGCTTCTAAGAATCAATTTTCACGCATTGATGAAGTGGTTAAAAGCAAAATCTCTATAATAGAGAAGGATGTTAATGCTTTGGTAAAGGACAAAATACCATCTCTCGAGGTTCAGGCCACCAATAGTGCTAAAGCGATTCAAGATTCCGCTTTAAGACGCAGTGAGGCTTCTTTGAATAATCTGACGCCATCACCCATCCCAATCAGTGATAAGACCATTAGGGTAGACATGCAAACTTTGTCCGATGAGATCGACGGTCTTCGGGAGATCCAAAAGAGCAAGGACGAGCTTCTGTCAAAGGCTTTAGATGATGCCCAACTCGCTATGGACAAATTCAGCCAGGATATCATTGGTCTAAGACAGACCGTTGCATCGATTAATCCCCAGGCGTTAAACCATAAATTCAACGAGTTACATGGTCATTTTATGGGCAACATCAATGCACTGAATAAACAGATTGCAGCTGCTTATGCTGCTGTTCACTCCCTAGAAGACCGATACAGTCAACTTACCACTGAACCAATCGTACGCCAGATGGTCTTGGCCATGCAAGAAATGTATCCTCACGCGAGCAAAGTTGAAGCCGACATTGTGAACATATTGCAGACGGTAAATGAACATCTTACGCAGATTAAAGCTCACTCGGCCAATATCAGTGTCTTAGAGGCAGCTCAAGTGAAAGCAAAAGAGGCCAGTGATGGTCTTATTGCCTTCCTTCATACCGAAAAGAAGGAAATCACAGGGCAAATGAAGACTGTCCAATCGAAGACAGATGAATTAGAAGAAAGCTTCCTGCAAAGTCTTGCCGAACATGGGGCCGATCTTAGGAGCACAATGGAAGAGCTCAAGGACATAAAGGCCCAGGTTCAAATGATGACAGTTAAAAAACCGGTTCCCACCGTTCCGCAAGCTCAAACGTCTCGCGAAATGAGCTCTACTACACCGTCAGAAGGACATGGCAGATCGTCAACACCCCAGTCGGATTTGGACAGACATAGACATAAGAAGAGGAAACGAGACATGAGATCACCCAGTCACCCTGAGTCTAACAATCCTAAACTCGGTGATAGATAGCGGGTTACTTTTGTGGTGATCAATCGCAGCGGGCTTCTTGAATATATCAACCAACCTCTCTCCTTGTATATTTCATTTTCTTACCTTTAACTTTGATACCCATTTTTTCTTCTTACAACCTTCATTTAATTTTTCTATATGAGTTTATTGGAGGTATGAGTTTATTGGAGGTATGAGTTTATTGGAGGTCCGATACGGCTTCATATTGGGAGTGCAAAGGTGGTGTCCCGTTCGTGCATAGTACATATCCATTGTCTTTGGTGCGAAAATTGCGTAATGCCTCAGATAGCCACTTTCTCAAGATCAGTCGTATGAAATAGCTAATAGAATACCTTGTTTCATTCTAGAGTGATACACTAATTTTATACTATCTATCCCCTAAGAACGCAAAGTATCCAAACTAGGGTATCTCTTATTGGTTATGAGTATATTACTGGGAAACATCCGGCTTACACCCAAGGAGCGGGCCCAGGGAGTATCCTTATGGGTGCAGAGGGTAGTTGAAATGTATATATACCAACGAAACAAATACTACTTGAGTTAACCATCAATTGCGGAACATATATCAGCCATAGCGGCTCCTTTCATTAAACTCCCAGCCTCTAGTTATTTATATAGGATAGGTCCATAGCAAACGAAATCTCCCCTCCCAAAAAAATATATCGTAAAACCTCCATACCAGCTCATAGAGCGTTGGTTTCTCTGGCTACCTCACGAATCTGAGACACAACGGCGTCGACGTCGTTGAATTTGATCGGCAGTCGATGATCACCATCCCACTCGACAAGGCGTGTACTGCTCTTCACAAAATAACTCTCACGCAGGTCTCTGTGAAGAGGTAAACCTGGGTCTCGACGCCCGTGGACGTGGACTGTCGGTATCTGTAGAAGCTCGCTAGGCGCAGTATCTTCCGATCGTCCAGAAGCTGAGCTGCCAGCGCTGTTCTCGTTTCCAAGATCCAGGCCTAATTCCAAGAATGGCCCCCGTCCATTCATTATCACGCCAAATTTAAAGTCGAACGAGTTTTCGTCTCGCATGTTCAGCTCTGCTTGAACCTGCTGCTTCATCAAAATGCTTGCACTTGTCTTTGCGCCCTGGCTGAATCCCAATATGCCAACCCATTCACCGGTTGCTCCCCTTGCGTCATCCTCTGCCATCGCCTCTCGGAGTATCTGCTCCACGTAATTCAATGTTTGTCCCCCAAAGTCCTCGGTCACACCAGGCTTCCAGTTGTGCCAGCAGTAGAATGGCGCAAAGTCTTCGTAGACGGAGACGATGCCAGGGCCCGGGGGGCTAGGAAACGGCGCATCGACAAAACATAATCTGAACGTGGACTTGAGATGCGCTCTTATAACGCGGCACTGGGTATGAAAGATCTTCGCATTGGAGCCACCGCCATGGAGACAGAGGATTCGTGGCAGGTGGAGGGTTTCTATATCCGCCGTCACGTCTATTCCGGGCATCGTAATGTCCTATCGTAACGTCTTATCGTAACGTCTGGAGCTGATAATCAATGCCAGCAATAAGACCGTAGGAAGATGATATTCAAGCAAGCTGAAGTGCTGCGGGGACAAGTATATGGACTCGGGTCCGCGTTACACTGATTTCTCCAGCTTTCGCCCAGCGATGCAAGATATTATGATTAACTGTGAAGGTCAGACGGGCCCAACTGTTTCTCTGGGGATGTTTGAAGAAAGAAAGATGTCCCAAATAAAAAATCTTCCAGGTATTCCTGACACAGCCTTCCCAGGACCCCTGTCGAGTATTCGGAGCCCGAAGGGATAGATTAATAAACAACTAGCCGACTGGAAATTCGGAGGGTTTATGAGTTGGACAACAAAGAATCTGAGTGATAAAGGACTGGCAGTGATAGATTATTATAAGAGACTCTGGCATCAGCTTCGACTGAAATATCTTGTGGAGAATCATTTTCTAGTCCAACCGCAGGCGGGTATACCGCATTTCCACGGAGGAATATACAACCCCCATCGCACCGAGGAGGATTCATCACTAGCGATAGAAAGGCCAATCCATTGTCCTGTAGTTAGCGTAGTTGAGTATTTTGGGGCCCATCGGCACCAAACACGTATATATCTGCCATCTCAATTCATTAGACAATCTCAGAGTGGTATCTGGACATAATAGTTAACTAGCTAGCTAGTGGTTCTCCATTCCTAGGCTAACAGCTCTCTATATACATGTTACAGCAAACCACCAGCTGAGATACCTACATTGGTGTGAGTCGACAGTCAGGCTCCTATCCTTAAGCCAGCCCACGCTTGTTTCTCTCAAGCCATTAGCTTGAACGACCAAATGAATACCCCGGAGCCCCTCCAGCCATCACAGCATGTCTGTGCAAGTTATTTTGAGGATATTCTTGTTGGGAATGCAGCGGTTTATAGTCAGTGTCCAAGCCGGTAGACATACGCATTACTTGAGCCATTTTCCTCCTCACTGCTGGAGATCGGCTTGGTGCCGAGATGGCCAGCGCCCCGTTGCAGTGACGTCGGGAAACTCGGATACGTTAGATGGGGATTTTTCGTATCTGGAGTGTATATAAGGTCGCTCCTCTATATAATAATCATAGAGAGGCCATCATCATGCTCTTTTCTCTGCGGAAGCCCATTTAATCAATCATTGCATAAAACTGACTAAAAACAAAATGACTGATACGTCTATTGTCGGCAACTGGTATAACCAGAATGTCACGTTGGAGCATGATAGACTTGTGAAGTCACGCATCGAGTACTCTATCACAATGAGAGTAATTAAGAAGTGCCTTGAGGAGCTAGCCACTACCTCGGACGACCAGATCCGCATTCTCGATATCGGAGGGGGAACAGGAAGATATGGTTTGACATTCTCCCTAGATCTCCGCCTCCTCCGCTCAGATGATAGAAAGAAGAGACGTTAACACATCTCATAGCTGTCGAGCTAGCGAAACAAGGCCATTCCGTAACCCTTTCGGATATTTCACAGTCAGAACTAGACTATGCCGCCCAGTTTGCCAGTCAAAACGGTGTGACTCTTGCGAAAATTGTGCAGGTAGATGCTCGCCAAGTGAGAGACAACGAGCTGCTCTTTCAACATGGCTTCTACGACCTTGTCCTCTGCATGGGCCCAATGTATCATCTCCTCGAGGAATCTGAGAGGGTATCTCTGCTTGAGTCATGCGCTTTGATGACGAAACCGGGAGGCTTCGTTATAGCCGCCTTCGTTACAAAATATGCGCATCTTCGCGACCTGGCGCAAAAAGACCCGAAACGTCTAAAGGATGAGCGGGAGTTCTATACCCAATATTTCTCGACGGGAAAGTATACGCGCAATTCCAACGCCATCGTTTCTCATCATGTCGACGTGGGTGAGGTGCAGGGGCTATTCAACAAAGTACAAGACAGGAAGGTGGTGGATATCGTCCTTGAAAAGTTAATTGGGTGCGAAGCGTTTCTGGGTGGTGGTTTGGCGGCGAATATGGACTTGAATGATAGCGAAACGTACGAGGCTTGGGTGGAAGTTTTAGTGAGATACTCGACAGATATTCACGCGCTGGGAGCATCGGACCACATCGCTGCGGTTGCCCGTCGTATCAACAGGAATAATACTTAAATATTCTCTCCGCGCTGAAAGGAGATTTATGTACTCACTGTCTGAAGTTCAGTGAATTGGGCACTATAGAGTGAATATAGATAAAGAGAACAGCCTACCTTTGATGTCATCTCATCGATGAAAGTAATATGTCGGATCAAGACTGGAAGAGGTACATCGGCCTCTTTGGTATTAAGAATGCTCTCATCTCTGGAAACTAGATGGCAATGGATACATAGGGAGCAGCATATCAAGGTGAATTAGAGGTAAAACCATTAGCGTCAAAGACATCAAATCAGCCGTAGCCGTAATGACGTTGACTCTGAGAAGATTGGTGTCCTTGGGATATGCTCATCAGGGGTATGCCACTCAAGCCGACTTCGCATCAAAGCCTGCACAGCTTCCGCAATTTTTTGGGTCGGAACCATGGCACAGCAGGGTTACGATCAGAATACTGCCAATGATGGCATTTTAAAATGTCAGCTCGAAACGGCGGCAAAGGACCGTGCCGGTGATATTACAGGGGAGAAGGTTCCGCCCGTTCATCTGCTGTTTGAACGCCGGAAGATGCGCCCGAGTCATTTCGTAATTTCATGATGTATGCCACCCCAGAGCAACTATCGTTCTTGCCTAAAAGTTGGGATCTGATAGCGAACTTCGATGGCTTTCTCGTACTGCTATATTGTCAGTCCAAGACAGAGGCGACAACAGAGTGGTATATTGAGAATGGGATCGCAAAGGCAAAAGAGCCAGAGGAGCTTATTGCTATCGAGACCTGACACACGCATATTTATATGATAAAGCTTGTGAGTTTCCGTAAGATTCGGCCAAAGGCACAGTTACAGGCCATGTATCCAGACTACTGATGTTAATGCACCTTAGGTCTCGAGGAATCATGTAGAGATACCCTCAGACCTTGCTTTATGCCATCCTTAAACTTGATCTTGGGAAAATGAATGGAATATAGGAACCACGACGGTTTGGGAGAGTCGTCCGTATAACTAATCTAGGGAATGATTAGCCTCTTGTTAAGCAACAGGGAGGTACCCTGCACACGAAGAAACATCCAGCAAAACACGTCACATGTGTTTCGGGGACAGGTTCCGTCTTTTGAGTCCGTGTATCCCGTTGTAGCATTTGCTAGTGGCCGTACCGTACGGAGTATCCCCGCATATGTGCCCCATCCGATGCCGAAGAGAATGAGGTATCTCTGGTAGTTTGATGTTCATCCTTTTACTCCGTATATATCGCGGTGATCGAAGGATCAATAAGCGTTCCCCTGGGCAAGTTGAGTATGTCACGTGGATAGATCACCTGATATCAAATGGCGCTTGGTTTCTTCTTTCTCCTGGTTTCTTCTCTTCACCATCACCATCACCATCACCAGTTCATGACGGAGCCGCCTCTGGCTGCCACTGCGAGGTTACAGGAACATGACCGGCCACTAAGGTCAGCGAGCCTAACTCGATTAAGGCAATGTGAATTTCATCTCCAAATTAGCCACTATGATGCTGGACCCTGGTATCGTCACGATGGGGTGTTCGCTTGAGCCGTGCCAAACAACCAATTGTTACCAAGCCAAATATAAACCCTGGCTAGTACTCCGTGCACCAAATTCTGCAATGCGCTCGTGATGGACAAGGTATCTTACTTTGCCGCCACTTGCCCTTACTAGCCAGATCTAATGTTCAGCACGCCATTTGATGCTCTGGCTTACCAGGGCCCTGTTATGACGAGAACGGCGACTTACACGGCCTATGGGCGATAGTTTTACTATATATGGCCGTCTATACCCCGCATATCGTATAATGATATTCTCGAACGCCACTATCTTGAGCTTTGCCTCCTGCCGTTTATTTACCCCAGCTTCTGCATGAACCCTGGCAATGCAACCCAACGCAGCCCCATCGGGTTCTTAATTTATGCTTTCTCGGTATAAAGCAATAACAGGTCAGCACATACAGGCGTGGGTTATCTTCGGGAATCTCTTGACGGCATGCCCTTCTTCTCGGATAAAGGATAAAATGCCGAGATATATAAGTATGGCGCAGGAGATGTCAATCTCCCGAGGTCTGGATGATCAGTTCCAAGCCAGTTCGTTTCAGTTTCAATTGTATACCTTTTTGGTAGATATTCGCCATCAAGATGCGTTCGGTCCTGTCGTTCGCGCTGCTTGCGGCCAATGTGGTCTCTGCAGCCGTCGTGGCCCCCTTTGACTATTCTGGATACAAGGTCATCCGTATCCCTACCCAGAAAGGGAACGTCAAGGAGGTGCAAAGAATCATTACTGATCTGAACCTTGACACCTGGAAGTACCCCAAGACTGAAGGCCAGAATGCGGATATCGTGGTCCCTCCAAAGCAGATTCCCTCCTTTATGGAGCGCATCGCTGGAATGGATAGTCAAATCATGCACGAGAATCTTGGCATGTCAATCAGCAACGAGACCTCCTTCGAGGCCTACGAGGGTAAGCCACGCTTCGTTAGCCCTGGCGGTATAGAGTGATAACAGCGCTGACTTGTTCATCGTTAGCTGGTTTTGCCCCTGATATCAATTGGTTCAAGTCATACCACAGTTACCAGGACCATATTTCCTACCTCCAGGACCTGCAAGGTCTATTCCGCAGCCGCTCGGAATTTGTAGACGCAGGAAAGAGTCACGAAGGTCGCACGATCCCCGCCCTCCACCTCTGGGGTAAGAGTGGAAAGAACTCGAAGCCAGCCATCATCTTCCACGGAACCATCCATGCCCGTGAATGGATCACCACCATGGTATGTTGAACTTTCCTGCTCTAATATCCTTGCGACAACTTTGACTCACAAGCCACAACAGGTCACCGAATACTTGGCTTGGTCTCTCCTCTCCCAATACAACAACAACGAAGATATTACCTCGATTGTCGACAACTTTGATATCTGGGTTTTCCCAATTGTTAACCCAGATGGTAAGTGTTTCTTCGACCGTGAGCCGCATTTTTGTCAGGGTGTTTAACTAAGCGCGGCATTTAAACATAGGCTTTGCGTATACCCAGACCAACAATCGTCTGTGGCGCAAGAACCGTCAACCCAACCCCAACGCCAGATGCCCTGGACGTGATCTCAACCGCAACTACCCCTACCAGTGGGTCGGACCTGGATCCTCATCCAACCCTTGCTCCGATACTTACAGAGGTTCGACTCCCTAATACATCGTTTGCTCAAATATTGCAATAAACACATCTAACTCGTGGCTTTCCGTATTTTCTAGGCGCTCAAGCTGGTGATGGAACTGAGATCAAGGTTCACATTGCTAACATGAAGAAGATCTCAGCCTACCATGGCATTGCCATGTTCGTTGACTGGCACTCTTACGGCCAGCTCTTTATGTCGCGTAAGTCAAGTCAACCATGTCTCTCACGTCCCTACTCGTCAAGTCTTTTGGGGCCCAATAAACTCACATAGCCTTTCCCATCTATTATAGCATACGGATACTCTTGCACTGCCCGCCCAAGTACCGATGCCAGACATCAGGAACTTTCCAAAATCTTTGCCCAGGCCTTGAAGGCCGTGCACGGAACTCCATTCAAGACCGGCCCTATCTGCAGCACCATCTACCAAGTTAACGGCGACAGTGTCGACTGGGCTCTCGAGGTCCTTAAGGTGAAGCTGTCTTTGACTGCTGAACTCCGTGACACCGGATCCAGTGGATTTGTCCTCCCAGCTGCCCAGATTATCCCAAGTGGTGAGGAGACTCTTGCTGGAACAGTTGCTATGTTGAAGGCTGTGATCAGCGGTTGAGTAGGGTCTGGAGATGATGAATATATGAGCAAATGGATGTATATAGTTGACCATGATCGTACATAAATATTAAGAGACTTTTTCTGTCTTGTGATCATATATTGAATCTCAAAGTATTTCTTAGCATTGTTTAGGCATAGTCTACCATGCCCATGACGTCTTTGTGTTTAACTGATTCTCCTAAACATGTTCAACCCAAAATCCGTAGGCTTCCGTATCAAATAGGCCGTGTACGTTGATATAAGGTATAGATTAGCTTCTACCTGGCTGCCGATCAAAGAGCGTCATCAACACCCTGAACGAAGGATTTTCAAGGAATATCTTTGTAATTCCGATCCATTATTAATAGGTCATCGGGAGTCGGCAACGAGATATTCGGTCAATGTGGCGATCGACCGGGTATATTTTGCAGATCCTGTTTCAGGAGGGAGATGTTAAGTCAACGACGATCGTTGTATTATGCTAATAATAGTGGCAGGTCTTGCATGGAATGGTGATGAGATCTAGAGATATTAATGGTGATGGGAAAGAAATCACTTTGGCGGGGGAACAAGATTTATATCGAAATTGACCCCACCATCGATCCAGGAACCAATTGTTCACGACAAAGCCCCTGAACATTAACATCAACGTCAACTACCATTGACTGTAATATACAATAAACATGGCCACCGATAAACAACACCAGAAAAGAGATGGGGAGGAAGAGGAAGAAGAGGAAGACCTCCTTGCTGCTCTTGAAGCAGAAGAAGACGACCCCAAATACCGCGCCAACCGTATAAAACAGCTTCAATCAGAGTTATCCGACACCAAGTCCGCTGCCCAAAACTCCAATAATACCTCCAATACCACGTTCGACGCCGGTACGTCGGAGGTGACTTCGCTATCTACGGGGACAGACGCCGTTGTGACGACCCTACTCAACAATTCCCTTTACCCAACTCTCCCAAACGACCAGTCGCTCCTAGACTTCTCCACGCAAATATACCGATGCGTTATCCATTTCTTCCACTCCGGTTTTGCGCGCTGCAGCATAATGGATAAACACATTACAACTCTTGCTGAGGCTCATAATAAGCGGGGGAAGGACGATGCGCGATTCGCTCGTGTCGATGTGCGGAATGTGCCTTTTATTGTTGAGAAATTGAAGATTCGGGTATTGCCCTGCGTTCTTGGGTTTATTGATGGGGCCGTTGTGGAGAGGATTACAGGTTTTGAAGGACTGGTTGATATGAATGCTTTGATGGGCAAGAAAGGTGCTGCGGACAGCAGTGGTGACGAGTTTAAAACAAGCATGTTGGAGTTTAGGCTTGTTCAGAGTGGGCTATTGAAAAATGCGGTATTGTATGGGGATAACGTCGACGATGACGACGATGATAGGGATGAGGATGAGGTTAATGAGAGAACGGGGAAACGGAAAACCATACGGACAGGGAAAACGATGAAAAGAAGAGACGATGGCGAGGAGGATGACTTAGACTGGGATTGAGCGGAGAATGATATCGTCTGATTGATTTGGACTACCTCGGCGTCGGATGGTACGCTCGAACGGGCAGACGAGCCATATACCTCCTCCCTTCTCTGCATTAGCCGTCCAGGCTGGGAGAACGGTTTCGTTTTCATGCTCCCATCTGCTAGCCTAAGCTATAAGCACAGCAGGATGGCAATGGCATATGATTCCTTTAAAAGGAGCCCGAATATAAAACATAGCTTCCCGCATTCCACTTGAGGGGAAGGAACGAACTACGCAAACGTATATACCACACAGGGCACATCTACTCTATGGAGCAGACAATTTCAAAAAAACACACGCTTTCAACACTTTATAAGTACAGTAGAGGCATGGTATTGCATAAAACTCGAGAGTAGGATTTGATAGCATTACAACAGGAACTTCCAATGACTACCTGCATGACAGACCGATAATGAAACCCAAACAGTAAGGAGAGCGAATACTAACAAGAGGAAACTTCCACGTATTGGAAGTAGCCAAGACCCAAATTCACCATTCTTGAACACGCGGGATAAAGAATCGACATTTAAAAGGAAATATGTAGACAGGGCCATCAAAACGAGCAAAAACGGATGGTTGAGGCATCATGAAGGGAAACACGGGGGGAGAAAAGGTATAAATATCAACCAACTTCCAGTAATGGCGAGGAAAGGGGTAGAGAGAAGAGAAATGTTGGCTTGACTCGGTAGAGATACGAGTGCCGATGAATAGCAGGTCAAGGATTCTAGCATGACGAGGAATCATTAACCATGCATGATGCTGCGTGGAAGCAGAGGCTAAGTGAGAATTGACTGACAATACAATGGAAAAGAAGAAAGGAAGAAGAATTCTAAGTTGGTTTCAAAAAAAAAAGTGAACATAGGGCCACATAGGGAATAGAAAGCCCAGCCTATGGATGCCTTTGACATGTGAAATAGAAAGCACGGAAAACCGAGACAATTGTATTAGCCGCTGCAAGGACAAACAAAAGTACATATTAAACAATGGCACGTTTCACTGGAAAAGGACACGAATAAAAAAAAAGTAGAAGAAAGCCGGCCGTTTCCTGTTTATCATGATAGGGGGTGGATGTCTTTAAATTTCAACAGTCTTCATGTCGTCTAATGCATCTGCGTCTAGGCCTTTTGGTGGATTTGGCTGTGGTGTGGAGGTGGTGGTAGACTTGTTCTTATCAGGTGTGGAGGTGTTGTCTTTGGAAGGAGTTTCACCATTTGCTGTCTGTTCTGAAACTGTCTCTGTCTTTGTTTCAGGGCCAGGGAAAGGTTCGGCTTGCTGCTGCAACACGGGAGAAGACAGATCGACTAGGTCGTCTGATTTCCTTAGCTTGCTTTGAACCTTCAAGTCTAGGTCATTTTTATTGTTGGAGTTCACTGGAGAGGATGTTTCTTCTGTCACGCGTGCAAGAGGGCTCGACACGCCCAATGCCGCCGCAGGACTTCCGGTTGGACCACGAGAGGGGAATCGATGAGGAGACCTGCCTCTACTATCCTCGCTGGGGGTTGGGCTACCGTATGGAGAATCCCTAGTCGTTTTACCATTGACGTTTGTATTAACTCCGAGTCCGTTAGGTCGTTTTTTAGGTTGTCGTCTGCCATGCTTCTGGTCAGTTCTCCAACGGAGAATTTCCAGGTATGGAGGTTCGGCTTGTCTGAATGGCTTCAGCTTCAATTCGCCTCCTTCCTCATCAACGAAAACGTGTGGTGAGTGTAGGTCGTCTGCTACAGTTGCAAGGAACGCCGCCCATGACCTCGCAATAACGTACTTGCAGTCATAGTCACGGCCGAAGATGATGACTTGTCCCCATTTTCCAGCTGGTCCAGGTGCGAGATCAATAGCAATGTTGTTGCCACCCCAATCTCTGGCCAGAGGAATCCATGCGGGATGAGCATAGGCCTTTTGTATGGCTCGAGGAGGCTGTGAGTCTTGTCTATCAAGCAGCTCCTGTCTCCATAGGTGGTTCGAGGCGTTTTGATGGGCTGTTGGTGGCGGTGGTGGTGCCGAGGACGACGATGCAGCTGCACCGCCGTAAGCCTTCAGGGGTGGTTGAGGATGGGTGACCGTGGAACCACTGAGGAATTCTTCATTGACAGTCCTCCAGTTTTTCCATTCTTGAACGATTTCTTCACAGTCGAGAAGCATACAGCCAAATATGATACCAGTTGGAAGACCGCCACGTTCTTGTCCGTCGTGAACCTGCAACGACTCGCGGACTTCTAATGGCAGGCTGCAGTCTAGGTCATGCTCGAGCTCGTTGACGTCATTCTGGGTGCAGCCTTCACACAGCTGGTCAAACAGCTCCTCATAGTTGCTCTCGACCCATCGATCGATTTTCCTCCATGAGTGGGTCACAGGGGGTGGTGGAGGAGCGCCATCATGAAAGCTCTGCATCTGTATCTCTCCGCCTTCCATTGCACTCTGGTCGAGTTTCTGAGAGGATAACGACCGCATGCCGGGAGAATATGGTCTTGTCGGGGAAGTTAATGTATGTGAGGTTGAGGACCGACTGAGAGACGGTGGCTCGTCAAAGGAATTAGAGAGGTCCGGCCGAGACTCAATGGCGCTCGTTGCCACGGAGGTGAGCGGTGCATCGCGACTCTGGCTGAGAGGAACGTGCTGGCCGGTCCTGTAAGGAGAGTCGTGTGATGCATGGCGGTCGTTAGAGGTCATGGTATGCCAGAAGGAGCGCCATGTCGAGGAGAATCTACCAGCATCACAGGGTTAGTTTATCAGTTAATAAACGCGAGCGTCAACAACCAGGTTCCAACTTACGAGGCCGCCATTTCGTATACTAAGGAAATAAGGACTCGTCAAGCCGGGAGGGCAGATATAACGAGACAAAGCCTGCTGTGATCAACTGTTGTCAGAGTAGTTGTTGAGGCAAGCTCCTGGTCCGGATGAGTCCAAGCTAGGGGGTTTGCTGAGCTAATCTCAAAACTTGGAAGGGCCGTAGATATTATTGTATGGGGTGCAATGCAGGTCCCGGGAGGGCCTATATACTGCAGTCTCCGAGTCTCTGCCTTTAGATGGGCGGCTACCTCGAGCAGGGAGATGTGACGAGCCGCCACTGGCTAGCGGGCGGTTGTCCTTGGTACGTGGAGGAGCAGGAGGAAGCCAGCGCGGTTACCGGTCGCCAGGGACGCAGAACAACGCCAGGACAGCGAGACGACGCGTGTGAGATATGCTCGATCGGGCTCAGCCGTCGATTGACGCCTGTACAGCTGTCGGTGAGGATGGGCGGAGCGGGTGGACGGCGATGGGAGTGAAGTCCAGGGAGAAGTTCGAGATGTTCGAGGAGGAAGAAGAAGAGAAAACGAAATTACGGCATGTGGTAACGGCCGGTATCGTGGCTCGTGCATAAGGAGAGAACACCCGCCAATCACGCCCGCCCAGGCCCGCCCAAGCCACGCTCAAGCCACAGAGAGTGACCTGAAACACAGTGGAGATCGCCATATTAGCCTATGTACCTCTGGCCCGCTGTTTTGGTATTACCGTTGCCCTGTATTTATATATCGAAACTCCGAAGACTTTTTTTTCCCCTGTCTGACTTCTATATTTACATTCTGATAAAGAGAGTTGAGAGTTGCCCGACGGGAGATGTGAGTGGCTGCTGGTTAGTGGTCGTGTTCCTGGCCCCAGCGGATGTCGAAGATAACCCCCGTCCCGCGGCCAGGACACGGCAGTGGTGGCAAATTGGTACTGCTTCTGCTTGAACAGCGCAACCCAGGTCCAATAAAGTGCACTGTTTCATGCCTGACGGACGCAGTATCCTGCATGGGTGTCTTCACCTCCTTTCCCCTTGGACATACGGAGTGCATGCGTCTACATACATATACGTTTGAGGCATGCTTGAACGATTTCTCTTGTGGCGGGAGCTTCCAGGATTCACGTTCGTGTGGCAACCCCCTGAAAACCTTGTGGACTGGAGTCAGGCTGCTCATAGGACAATCCAGGCTCAAGCAATGTCACCTAGGTGTCATTAAGGCTTTAGTCAAGGTCAAAGGTCGGCTTAGAGTGCATCAAGCAACCGCCCACTAATCACCACTTCGTCATTGGCCCTGCTCTACAACGTGGGCCTGAATCGGTGGAAGATGAGATGAGATCGGGTTTACTACTGATATGGAATGAAACGTCTAATGTTATACGGAGTATGGAGGGAGAAAATGCGGGTGAGCGAGGGTGGTATTATTGCAGCGAACGAAACTATCCGTTGAGTGGTACGGAGTAGAAAAAATGACCATGAACCGCCAACAGTAAAGTCGAGAGACGAGAGACTTCGTTGAATGTCCTGTTCGGCGATTTGACACTGGCGAGGAATGGAGACAAGGAAAGAGACCGTGGACAAACGAGTGTGACAATGCTTGGAAGAAGACATCAGTGGAAGAACAGAATACAAAACCCGAAATGAGAAGACATAAGTAGTAAAACAACGAGAGAAGAGACAAAAAGGACAAGAATTAGTGAAAGTCAAGGTGTTGAGTGAAGACAGTGTGTATAGGCGAGATATAGGGGCCATCAGTGCAAGTAAAGAACTCCATCATCCCAGCACATGCATACCATAATCAAGTAGCTAGCGGCCAGCCGAATCATCCATCCAGGTCCTCATACGAAAGAACCTAGGCATTAGGTGTATTCCTTAGAAAGATCGAGTCATGAAAAACTTCCGCCGGGTTTCTCCCATCCACCGAATCGAATAGAATAAACAGCCAAGCCAAGGCGCAGGTTGAAATGCGAAACATGAGCGAAGGAAAAAAGAAAGGAAATCAAAAAACTCCAGAATATCCTCATCTGACGCCTTGCTGTGCTGTACTAGAAAAATGAAAGAGGTTCCAGTTGTATGGCAGATAGATAAGAAACGAAGACACAAGACTTAGACTCCGGCCTTGAGAACCCGATTAAAACCATGACCATAACAAACATGCTTCCATAGCCCTGGTTGACATCGCAGATGATAAAACTCTGGGGGGGTGAAAAGAAAACGAAGGAAACTAAGCAGGGCTTGACTGAAATACGCATGATAAAGCAAGACCAAACACAGATGACGAAGGCAAGTGGAAAGAAACGCCGTTGAAAAGAAGGGCAAGATCGGGCAAATATAGCAACGTGGGAATTAGCAATTAAAACAATTTCCAACACGGCTTAGGACTGGCTATGCGTGTTGGAATATGCCCAAAAAGCGAGGTGCAAATCAATTGCCCATCTATATAGACATAGTTCCCCCCGGCCCCATAAATCGTTGATGAGACTTGCAAAGGCGTTATTAGGCAATGGTCTGCTCCATGTTGTTGGGGCTACGGCCATCGCCGACGTTAAGCTTCAAAATACGACGTAAGTCATCCTCCATGCGTTTGGTTTCCGTAGCATCTAATCTTGGTGGTGCACCGTTTCTAGCAGGCGGTGTGGCAGACAGCGGAGGCATCGTGCGGTTCGGGGTGGGAGATACGAACCCGCCGGGGGATCCATGATAGCTTTGGTGAGCAGGAGGAGCGCTGGAAAGCTGGGTATATCTCGCAGACCGCTGGCGGGGCGGAGTGACGGGGCTAGTTGGAGAAACCACCGTCCGGAGGCTGGAAGACGGGGCACGATGAGGTTGGGCGCACAAGGATGCTAGGTACTGTTGTGGAACACTGCTATTGCTTTCAGGCCCATGTTCATTGCGAGTCCCTAGAGGCCTGCCGCTATGGGTAAACGGTACTGGAGAAGTGGGGCCTGAAGCATAACGGATACCGTACTCTCCTGACATTCTAAAACTGTTGCCAGCAGGGTTCGATTGGTCGGTGAGTCTTGGAGATGCCGACGCAGCGCGTTGTGCGGTTGGATTGAGAAGTAGATTCTTAAGTGCCTCGCTCTTGATTTTAGCTTCGCTTTCTTGCGTCGAGGCTGGCTGTTTTCCTGGGCTGGTAGCACGGAGAGCATTCATCCGATCTCTATAAGAAGTAGCGAAAGACGGACCGATCGGGGACGATCGTGCATCAGAGCCCTCTAATTCTAGGGGGAACAGTCCACTGTTGGCCTGTCCTTCATGTTGCTGAGAACGCATCACGTTTCTGGATGGCGGCGTGGAAGCTCTAGAGTCTTCAAGTTCACTTAACGGGTTCGTAGTCCTCGCCTGTCTGGCAGCTTTGAAAAGAAAGTCTAGGGGTGAGGCCGTACCGGCCTCTTGCTGGGCCAGTAAGGTATTGTTGGCCTTTGTTGGAGTGGTGTTTCCTGGATCCGAGTCCGGTGAGTCATCCTGGAGGTCGTCCGAGGTAGGATAGTCGGTTTCCGGCACTGATTTCGAAAAGAACGACGGTATTGGGAGTGCGGACGGCGCCGGGGAGGCATGGAAGGTTGGTCCGGCATAGTGCGGGCTATCCCGGAAGGTTGGCGACTTGATAGAGGGCTGGGATGAGGTATGACGATGGCCGTGGCTCGCCTGCTGAGCGGGAGCGGGGGAATTCTTGACGTTATCTTTATTTTTCTTTACCGAGCGTCCCTTCTTTGATTTGGCGGCGCTTTCGGGGCCGTTGTTTGCTGAATCACTGACAGCCCTCACATCTCGAGCTGTTGCTGGACCAGGCTGCTGCGAGGTGGTTTCGGCAGCAGCGTTTTTCGACGAAGGAGTTCGCTTCTGGTTTCGTCGAGCGCTTCGTGGCGCCTTGGGCGTCGTGGGAACCGGAGATGACATCTTGTCGCTGGTTCGGGTATGTGGCTTAATAAATATGCAGCCTTGTATATAAATATAGTAGGAAATAGAGAAAAGGAAATAAACAGAGCAGGACGAACGTTCAAAGACAAAAAATAAAAGCAACAAGCACGCAACAAAGCAGGTCTATTGGCGCTGAAATTCACTGCTAGATAGGCAAAAAGATGGACAGCCTGGACGGTCACGACTCTGCGGTGTTGTTCACTTGTAATCGGGGCTTTCTGAATGGCGACGGCTGGAGGTGTTGGCTTATTTTAGCGACTGGAGAAGTGTGAGGCGCAAAAGAAAACAAGGGCGATCCCCTCAACATATTCATCACGTAGCGGCGGCGACTGGGGTCCTGAGAGTTTCACGTTGGCGGCGGGAAGAGGCGACGGTTTTGGGGGCTGTTTCTGGGGGTCTTTTGGGGTTGAGGTTGACGTTGGGCGCGAGAAAGGCGAGCGAGATGCGCAAGCTTCGATGTCGCTTCTTTGGGCGGGCAAGGCTTCATGTGACTCGGGCGGGCCTTCTTATCTCCGGCGGCGCTTTTGTCCCTGAACCGCCCGAACAAGCACGAAAGAATATCGATGACGCAGTTGGAGCTGGGCTTGGGCGATCGGACGTGAGTAACTTGAGGACTAGCTGGACGCTTGACGGTTGGCATTGAAATAGGACCGGATACACGCTGCGTATAGGTACACACAAGGTACGGGGGAAGCCTGTCTTGCTGCGGTCATGTACTAATGGAAGGCAACAGCCGCTTCCCTAGCTACAGCACATCCTAGAGACACACCGAATTTACCAACGACACGCTTCCAGTTCACACTGTTCACTTGCACGAAGCTGATGACTGTTTGTCCCACCTAAACCATGGCAGACGTTGAGATGACAGACGCTGCGGGAGACGCAGGCAAGGGAAAGGCCGTGTCGAAGAACGTGAAGGGAGACGCAGCTGCTGAGGGCAAGAAGAGATTCGAGGTGAAAAAGGTGTGTGATACTGGGGTTTCTTCTTGCATTTGTCTATCTGAGACCCGCTGATCTGATACGGAACAGTGGAATGCAGTTGCTCTCTGGGCATGGGATATTATCGTAGACAACTGTGCTATTTGTCGAAACCACATCATGGACCTATGTTAGTCCCCAGACGCAGGAAACCCGCCTACGTATAAGTATCTAACCGTGTGCAGGTATCGAGTGCCAGGCGAACCAGGGCTCATCTACCACAGAGGAATGCACAGTTGCCTGGGGAATCTGCAATGTACGTGACTATTCTCTCTGGTGGCCGTTTCTATTTCATCGGCTAACATATCTATTTCCAGCATGCCTTCCACTTCCACTGCATCTCGAGATGGCTGAGAACCCGACAAGTATGCCCGCTTGACAACAGGGACTGGGAGTTCCAGAAATACGGACGATAGATGTGTGACCTCTTGCTATTTTACGCTAGCATGGCTAGCAGTTCATCGGTTACTGCAATAAAAAGATACGACCTTTTTACGACATTCAAACAAAGGCCCAAGGTACCGGCGTATGTAGTTCATGGACTTTGAAGTTATGGGATACCAATAAAGACCCGGTTATTATTATTGTAAATCCTTTCGAAAGGAGCCCATGTCGGCTCGTTTCGGCTCTCCTTCCCACCTGGACCAAGGCAGAAACGGTCGCGTGAGGGCAGGGTAGACCCTCCCATAGTATAATAATGAATGCGTAAACCGACCAGCGCTATTAAATGTGAGACTTGCGCAACCCAAAACCTGATAAAGAACAGAAAGGTATCCCCCTCAACTCCTCGCCTTGTCAATAATGATGTCGTCTCTGCCCACCCCTCCAGTCCCGGTGACCAGCCACGACTCAGGGCGCTGGTTGTAAATAGGCCACGGTGGTACGACAACCAACATCGTCAATACGGTGCCGGCCGTCATTGTCCAGAGCGTCAGGAAGACATCCTCGAACGCATATCCAACCACGAATGCGACGACCTAAACACCAACACTGTTATTATTCCGTACTCGAAATCTTCCCATAACCGAGATATAAAATCCAATATCCAATGCATATTCCAATGCGTATTAACGAGAGGGTATACTGACGGCGAGTATGCTCAGGAGGCCGGTTATCAAGTAGTCCGTTGCTCGTTGGCCATGGAAGTCCTATATCACAGTGGTTAGTTACCGAATAGCTCGGAGAGTTTAGGGAAACTGACAATTGGGCCGTCAAGGGCTTCCCGGAGAGGACCAAGTAGCTCGTCCATGGTTCATATACTGTTTCCTTCTCTACTCCGTGGTCTATGGATTGCAACTCGCTTTCCCCAGAACTTGAGCGATCTGGCCGTTGCACCTGCTTAGTCAGATATACACGTGATCCACACGGTTTTATCTTCAACTTTTCGACTTTCGACCACAATCAACGACCATTCTTCCTCCATGAGTCTCCTGTTCCTACAATATGCCATACTCACTCGTCAGGGTTTAACAATGAACGTTTATACAGATAATATGACGTCTTATAGAACATTACGAGACGGCTGCCCTCCAATATTAGCCGGGTCATGCAGAATATACTCTCCAGCCACTCCAGGGTTCTGTTAGTCGGTAATAAATCAAGGCAGCTTTGCTTGCGCCAGCTTCCCCTTGACTGATGTCATGTTTATCTATCTCACTCGGTGTGCATATAATTTCTTGGCCAACGATCAGCAGGCTAAGCTTTCCGGTCCCAGGATGGAGACTAATTAAGCATCCTGAGCTGGGAAAGCCATCAGATGCCGTACCGGTGGGCAACGGATCGCCCTCTAACTACCCGGCAGCTATCGACAGCAGCATAGCCGGATGGATGCTAAACGTGGCCGCCATCATCGATGCTATTAGGTATGTATCTACTGGGAGCAGGTATCTAACAATATGGAGTAACTTGTTATATGTATGTCGCCATTATTCCCCACTAGCCAAAATGATCCCGGTAGTTATGCTTCCAAATCCTCCCTTATGCACCGTTTCTATTTACATTTCCCTATGTATAAACACTGTTTATATGACTCGAACGTCTCGGCAAGTACAATGCTAGTACCCGTCCTTGTCCACCCCGCTCTCCTGGTATACCTTCAAACTATACTTCGCAAACTTACTGCACGCCCTAACCCGCGGCCCATACCGGGTGAGCAAGGGCGGAATGATGCAGAATATAGTGGCCACCGCCGCGAGAACAGAGGTTGCCAGGTTTGCACCCAACCCTTCATACATCTTGCCCGCGAATAATGGGAAGATTGCGGAAAGAGTGGAGCGCACGAGTGACAAGGCTGCAAATCCACTCGCCGAGTAGCTTAAGTAGCTGTCGGCTAGGTAGCCGGCGAGGACTGCGTCGAACTCATTTACTGCATAACCGATCAGCACCAGAGAGAGACCAGATACAATCCAGCTGACTCCCTGAGCGTGTGGCGGTATAGTCCAGGCGAACCACCAGAGGCCCACTGCTAGGACTGGAGCGCCAATTGAGAACCCGATGAGCTTGTGTTCGGGCTGCAATGTCTTCCCGTCTCTCTGGTATCTGACAATTGTCTTATAGTCGATTATGCGGGTGAACAGGCCGCAGATCAGACCGACGCCAATAGCAAGGAAGGGGAGTGATGAGGTAGTTTTAGTGAACCCCAGCTGTTCATATATCGGAGGCAGAGCTTCTGTGAAGAGATATATCAGGGCAAAAGCTATGGCACTTATCGTGGCCACTAGGAAGACAATGGGCTCTGTAAAAAACAGCTTGATAGGACGGAAGAGGGCGACCCGGATAAACGTGTTCATGTCGGGAGTGTGGTCGGGATTTAAGGCCACTAGAGTATCGATACCCGTGATCTTCCGCAATTTGGCTACCTCTTGAGCGAGAAGCAATGATGGCCTGGACTCGCGAATTCCGAAAAGAAGACATGTGATGAGGGCCGTGAAAATGGCTGCCACATAGAAGACCCATCGCCTGTAACGAACAAACGTCAATAAGGGATGTTAGGTGTTAGACGAGAGGCGGATCAAACTCACCAGTCCAATAGAATAATGATATAAATGCTCATGATGGGTCCAAGGATCAGACCCATGTTAGCGACCACGGCCCAGGTGAAGATCAACCAGATGCGGTCCTTGGAATTGAAAATATCTTCGATACTCCCTGCCACCACAATGGTCGGCATGGCGGATAGGAATCCGGAGAAGAATCGGCCCACCACGACTCCGGATATAGAGGGAACAAGCCCAATCATGAGACAGAAGACGCTATACAGCGCGGTGCTGATGATATATAGCTTCTTGCGGCCAAAGGCTTCTGAGTACGGCGGGAATATTATACCCCCAATTCCCTGGCCTAGCAGATATCTGATAGACGAGCAGGTGATGGTCAGTAAGTAGTATACCCAGACTGACAGAGAATCAACATACACTGAAACAAATATGAAGACACCCAGGGTACGACTAATGCCAAACTCATGTCGTGCATGATCGGCGGCGGCGCTCTGCATGGCATTAAGATTAGCATCATGTCATGATTGGGTTCTGATAAGCTATTGACTTACTCCTGCAGTGCTAACAGCCGTTCTGCACGTGGATAAATACCCGTCAGTAAGCAGAACAATCGTGAACGGAAGGGAGAGGGGGAGGCCCTACGTGAAGAGATCTAGAATGATAATCAACCCGCTATCATAGATCTTTCGTAGTGGGCGCCAGTTTCGAGGGTGATTCGGGTTCGAGCTTAACCAGCGTATATGCTCGCCATCGAGGGTATATTCAAGTCCATGTTCTTCTAGGAGAGTCGATAGTCTATCCTGCTCCTGTGTGAGCACAGAGCCCCCGATCTTCACCATGGAGATTGAAGGCAGAGAGGCCCCCGTGTTAGTTGGAGGCCGCGATGGAAGGTGGCTATATTCAGACATTTTGGGAGGTTGAAATGGTAGAATGAATTATGGATATCGTGGCTGGCTTGGAAGGACGGGCTCCCACATCTGTAGTCTTTGTAGCCAGGAGAAGGACGGGGATGCTTCCTTTGTAGAATGGCTAATTGAGGATATCACAGGTGTTGGAGATAATATTTCGACGGAATATGGCGCAAATTTCTTTGAGCTGGATAGTCCGCATGTTTTAGGACCCATCATATCATGCAGATATGAGGACGTGATATTGCCCCAACGCCCTGTGCGCCGAAGGATCTGCAAACAGGCTCAAGCGACGCAGCTGGATGGACCAGTGGATTCTCCGGACTTCATAATGAGGTCTGAAGGCAACCCCGAACCACGCACAAACTATATATAAATATGTCTAGGCCGTTGAGTTATTGCCCCTGGCTTGTCGTTGTAGCGCTCGGATCTGTACGCTAGTTCCGCTCTTTGTGATAGTCATATTCACTAGGCGAAATCTCCTCGGAAAGATTTAGACTATCACTATTTTAGGTTCGTTCATAGCCTTTGCGCTGCACGTTAGCTCCCAGCTTCAAATAGTTACGTGGGGACGATCCTTGGTAGTCCCCTGGTGCTTGGACGATTTCTAGAACGTCCCGAAATAATATATTCTCTTGGTTCCGAAGCTGCGCTCGAGGATAGGGCGTGAAGAAAAAACCCTGGCCAGAACGTGCTGAGTGCTGGGATGGTCGGTAGATAACGGCCCCTGCTAGGGTTATATGCATGGCAATATCATCCTTCAGAGCGCAGAGATACCCTGAAGTGGACGACGACGACTGATTATACCCGTAGCTACGGAGTACATCGGTGTTAGCTAAAGGTTTGTGTTGGCTCAATTTTGCCCGTTATGGTATCAGAATATCAGCATCCATGGGAGAGACGTGCTGGCAACAATACGGACACTAATAGCATGGCAAGCTGAAGATAACAAGGTCGAGTCGGAGATGCCGCTGTCCGATTTCCAACTCCCCTGGAGAACCCTATTGGGATGCAATGCAATGCAATGCAATATTTAAGTGGAAATTAGGTCATGGATAGCTTTAAGCAACGCGTCAACACGTAGCAGAGCAATGCCGAACGACTCGGAGCTGAATTTGGGCTCAAATCTGAACGGCACGGTGTTGAATATGAGCACCTGGGTCAGGTCCTCTACGTTGAATGGCTCTGCCATGATTTGAAATCCTCAATCATGCGGACTTGACGGAATCATGCCATGGCAAAAGTGAACGTTGGCGGGGCCAGACTTATCCGACCCCTCCCGATATGCCAGCGAAAGAATTCGTCATTGAGAGCAGCGTGTTCAGCTGAATTGGGAGGTCAGGAAGGCTGAATGGCTATATATTGGGGGCGTTGGAGGAGAGGAGAAGGCACATATCTCAACATATCCAAGACGCCGAACCCGGATCAGAATAACCAAGGCATTCCCATCACCATGGCGGTTATTGCCATTGCTCTCGTCCTGATTCTCCTCTATATTATTTCCATTATCATCTTCCGCAGCAAAGACCAAAAGGGTATATCCCAAGAGGGGTTCATCCAGCAGGTTATCCAGTTGCTCCAGAGCATTGACCAGCAAAAAGCGCCTCAGGTCACAAAGATAATAAAAAGGTATATTATGAGCATATCCCGTCTAGGGGAATGACAAGTAACCTCCTATAGGAAAGCGCTAGAAGCAACCTTTGGTCCAACGACATGGCAAAGACAGTCCTATGACGCCTTCCAGGCCGCTGTCTGTTCGACAGACCCTGTGGCATTCCCATGTGTCTATGCCACCAAGGGTTTCAAGGCCAGGGAACACCGTTACATCTTCCTAGAATCCGAAGACATGAACAACAAGAGGAACATTGCCACTTTGTCCGCTGCTCTCAAGGAATACCTCACCACACCACACTCTGAACTCGGCCCCAACACCAGTCTCGTGGTTCTCTTCCCCATCACCGACACTCCATTGACAGCTCAGGAATACCACAAGACATACTGGGACTGCCTCCGCGCGCTGCGAAAGGTAGACACCAAGCCATGGCCTGCAAATATCCCAACCGATACCGACACCCCGCTCTGGAAGTTTTGCTTCAACGGGGAACCCGTATTTAGTGCTGCCATGACGCCTTCCCATGTGAAGCGGCGTTCCCGATACGCGCCATGTTTCTGCATCGTCTTTCAACCGAACTTTGTGTTTGATATCTTATTCGCCACGGAATTGAAGAAGAACGGGGCCATCTCAAAGGTGCGTGGGCTGCTGGCAGACTTTGACGAAGTGCCAATTAGCCCGGAATTGAAGAGTTACGGGGATGTCACGGGCCGGGAGAGCAAGCAATATTTCATCATGGATGAGAATCATTCTTCTCCGCCTTGCCCTTACCCGACGCTCGATTGATGGTGTTCACGGGTCAAACGTCTGAGGGCATGATAGAGCCTAAAGGATAAAACATGGATATTCTGTTCTTTAGGGATAGTAATGAACCCAAATGGATAATTGTGGTGTTTTGTCCATCCTCTGTTGACTTGTCACTTCGGAAGATAGTAGGCCCAGGATATTGCTCTTGGGTAAACATCCAGGCCCGTTGTTTCGGTATAGGTCTCCGGTGATTGGTAGGAGATATTTTGATATATGGGTATCACGGTTATGAAATCCATGGTGTGCGGTGGAGAAAGTCCGAGGAAAGAGCCCTAAAGAATGGACTCTACGTCTAGACTTTGGGCGTCATGTGACATGTTCTCATGTCTTTGCAATCCCATATTCATGCATTCTCTTATCGTGCATTCTCCATATCATGCATTCTCCATATCATGCATTCTCCATATCATGCATTCTCCGAATTTTCGTTTGTATCCATATCTTGCGACGACATCCGTTCCCAGCGGAATTCCTGCGAGCACACCACCCTGCAATCAATCCGTCGTCGTCACTCTCGTAGGGGCCCAATGCCTATGGTCCAATCAGCTCAATGCCCACTGCTGATTACTAACCGACAATAAACAGCCTGAAACGGAGTATGGCCGACATATAGACAGTCTGGACGCAGTTCAACCGCAACTTTGCGATGAAACTTTGCAGGCTTTTGCAGCCGCTCCCCATGTCGATGATTCATCCTGTCATCGGGATTTGGTTGACTGACATGGACCATATGACCGATGGGCGCAGAGATAAGACGATGTGGCGTCTCCGTATATCAAATCGGATCAAACGAGGAAGAAAATAAAAGAAGAAAAAAGGGATCCATTGGGAGTCGTCTGGCCTTGGAGTCTAGTGGATATCAAGAAGCCACAAACTCCATATCTATATACAGACACAGCTGAGAAGCCGCCACAGGGGTCATGCAGATGCACGTCCATCAGCCCTATCCGTCCGTACTCTGCTCTCTTCCGTTATGGCCGGCAAGAAGCGTGAAGAGTCCTGTCGACGTCGACGTCTGGTATCAGGTTGATATCATGTCGTTATAGCGCAGTGGCGGACTCTCGCCCTATTCACCAATGCCAAGCGCAGGTCATCACGCGCTAGTCCTCTTTCGGCCTCCTGGGCAAAGAATTTTTCTTCTTCATAGTTAGTCAGCAGTTTCTTAATATAAGCCCGTTGGGTCGCCAGCTTTTGCCGACCGCCACTGCACAACTGCACAACTGCACACCACCGACCACCACCCGTATATCAACCCTTCAAAAGCCCGTCGTCGCAGCAGCCAGACGAGCGTACAGTGTTATATCAGCCAGGCAGAAGCTAATCTGCCGTTGAAGCGTCTCTTTGGGTCCTTTCTGACTCGAGATACCCGGCCTGCTGGTGACTGTGAGAGCAGCTACGACAGCAGCATCCTCTTCCGCTCACCTCCTTACCCAGCGACTCTGGAGCCTCGACGCTCCCATTCTGAAAACTCAGGCAAGTTGGCGGGGCTTAACTATATTCAGAACTCCTTCCTCCACCCTCTCCTGGGCCCAAAGTTCCGGGTCTTTGTCGGGGGAGATATCCGACCTCCATAACTTGACTCCCGCGCAATTTATGGCAACACGCGAAGCAATACACGTTGAACAGACTCAGCCAGCCCTTTCTCGAGGGCTAGGCTGGACCGGACTATCCGACTAAAGTGAGCGTTGCCACTTTCAAACTTATCAATTCACATTGTCGTTCAAGATTGTAAGGTGGGCGCTTTCGTGCGCGTTCACGCTTTCACGCAGACCCATTAGACCAGCATACTCTCTGCAATTGGCAATTTAAACAAGAAGCACCGCACATCAAGATGAGCGAATCACCAAGATCAGACAAGTGCCAGACCAGGTACAGCACTCCTGCCCCGGAACTGGATGACCATCGATTCCAGGCCGAAGGACTGCCCAGGGTAGACACCATGGAGAGTCCAGTCCCGCAGAGCATGCCGGGGGCTCCCGGCCTGCCTGAAATTCAGCCAACTGCCAACAACCAGCCAATCCATGACGGGACCCCCAGATATAGAGATTTTGAGCATGCTGTTATGGACGACGATGAGGAAGCAGACATGGACAGACTTGGAGCCCGGAGGATTTCAGTTAACCCAATGGGCGCTCGATTGAACCCCAACGAGCTCCGCCGACCCTCCGTGACTTCCTCGCATACGTCAGTTTCGACCTCTCCTCCAAACTCCGTCGAGGCATTCGCCGAGCCCCGTCGACGTGAGCGGGCAAACACAATGGAGAGCCAGATGCCCGGAGAGCGTGAACTCCATCTCCATCGCACCATATCGGCGGCTTCGCATCATCGCAGGCCAACTTTCAGCAACGCCAGCGCCATTCGTCCTGGTAGCGTGGACCTCCGAGTCAACCCAACTGAAGAGGCAGATGTGTGTTTCGCACCACCGGCATTCGAAGAGCCAGGTCGTACACCTATTATTGACTACGAGGAACTTGAAGAATTCGTCGCTCTGAGCAACAAAGCCAACAAGGAAAATCGCTCAGCTCAGCGTGCAACCCAGCGCAAGCATAGCATGAGCTCTCAGAGCAAACATCTCCACAACTTCCCGGGCCTCCGCACGGGAGACAGCAAGGTCGACGTTCCTAACATCGTAATGACACCATGCTCTACCGAGAAGTCAAACGAGACCGTCCAGCTGGCCGGAGAAGATCTAGGCAAATTTGACTCGGACGAACCGGTGGGCGAAAAGAGCGGCCTTGAAGCCCTGAAAAATGCCAACGACCCGCACCGCTTCAGCTTCTTCTCCTCTGAGTTTGAAAGCACCGTCCATGCCGCTGAGATCGGAGACCTTGTGCTTCCCGGTGACTCGTTCCGTGATCTCTTCCAGCTTAGCCCTGATGGAGGAGTTTGGTGGCTTGACGTCGTTAATGCGACCAGCGAAGAGATTGGTGCTATTTCTCGCGCTTTCTCCATCCATCCTTTGACGGCCGAAGATATCATGACCCAGGAAGCGCGTGAGAAGGTCGAGCTGTTCCGCCAGTATTACTTTGTCTGTTTCCGTACCTTCTATCAGATGGATAAAGCCAGCGAAGAATATCTAGAGCCAGTCAACTTATACATGGTGGTGTTCCGGGAGGGCGTTATTTCGTTCAGCTTCGTGGACAATCCTCATGCCGCTAATGTGAGGAAGCGAATTGGAAAGCTACGTGAATATGTGTCTTTGAGCAGTGATTGGATTTGCTATGCCATGATGTAAGTCCACAATAACACTTTCGTTGACTTTGTGTACATATAACTAACCGTCTTCCAACAGTGACGACATTGTCGACAGCTTCGGCCCTGTGATTCGCGAAATCGAAGTCGAATCCGAAGCTATTGAGGATCACGTCTACGTCGCCCGCCTCGAGGACTTCAACCTCTTCCTCCCGCAGATCGGCGGCCTGCGTAAGAAAGTAATGAGTCTTATGCGTCTCCTCGGCGGGAAGGCAGATGTTATCAAGGGGTTCGCCAAACGCTGCAACGAGCAATACTCGGTCACCCCTCGCGGCGATATCGGGCTGTACCTGGGTGATATTCAAGACCACGTTGTGACCATGATGTCGAGCTTGGGCCATTTTGAAAAGATGCTCAGTCGCTCACATGGTAACTATCTAGCCCAGGTGAACGTGACAAACATCATGGTGGGCAATAGAGTGAACGAGGTGCTGAGTAAGATCACTTTCCTGGCGAGTATCCTTGTTCCAATGAACTTGATCTGTGGTCTTTTCGGAATGAACGTCCGTATCCCTGGCCAGCACACCGATAACCTCCACTGGTTCTTCGGTATTGTGGGGGTTATCGTTCTGATCTCCATTGTCAGCCTGACCTTCGCGCGTCGGTACAAACTCCTGTGAGGAACCTGTTTAAGGTTGCCATGGATATCGGCGGACATGCCTTATGAATTTTTTTTTCTGATTTTCATTCGACCCTTCGTCCAGTTTTCTTTGTTAATACATTGCAGTTCGTTGTTGATATTGAGTTTTGGGTTTTAACTGTTTATTTTTGGATTTAAGTAATCAAGGCGATATTGGCTTCATCGACTTTCTTTTAATCATTCTTGACTACCTGCCCTGTAATTATATTAAACCGTACGGAGTACTTAATCGCAACCAATTCACCTTTTGATATCGACGTTTATTTTTAGCCTCGACGATAGGTTACGTAATCCCGCGATTCATTACTTAGGGGAGCAACGAGCAACCCAGCTAAGAACAGGCGTCGGGATAGTTGGAATCAAACTTGAACGCAACCACGACATGAGACGGAATAGATATAATGATAAACGCCAGGAGAATAATACGCTCTTCCATCACTCGTTTTCTCTTTAATCTATCTGAGGGATACTCCGCTGCCTCGATGATTAGTTCTGCCTTGGTTCCAGATACTCGGTGATAAGACGGCCGCCTCGTTCAAAGAACCAACCCAACTCCTCCCTTCGTTCGCCCACTATATCCTTATATCGGCGTGCAGATGCCTTGGCCGAAGCTCACTCCTCTTCAGTCCCGCTTTGCTGCCTCCCTTGCCGCCACTCTCCTTCTCGTCATCCTCTACTTTGTCCTCTCCAGCCCACACCTCGCATACGCGGCCGACGTTGATGCTGTGATATTAGAGCGGTATGGCTCTCCAGATGCGCCGATAGCAGATACCCATGGCCAGCTATCTGATCTAGTGGGTGAAGATGCGCTGGTTGCTGAAGACGGGGTTGATATTGAGGAGAGGGCAGCACCGGGGACAGAGGCTCTAGCAAACAATGTTGCGAAATTGAAGAATATAAAGATTGGTGAAACGCAGTATTGGGTCTTCCCGAAGGAAGCGTTGCGTGGCCCCAAGTCACCGGCAACGCTCGGTCTTCCATCAGACATTGGTCTTGTCACTGGTATCGAGTCAAGACACTCGGAGGAATCTCCTGACCTAGAGGGTCGAGATAGCAACCTATCGCGCCGCACTACAGCCGTATACATCACAGCGAATACCTGCCTCCAACCAGGCCTCAACACAACCCGTGAAGCTAAGGATGCTGGTCCCCCTCAGCTGGAACTGTACGTGTCCACCAGCAAATCGGTTGACAGACCTGGTCCACATACCAAGGAGGGATCTGGCGTTATTCACAAACCGTTTGATGGCGGTTATGTTAACGTAAATCCAACCGCAGACGGAGACGTATATATCTCCGTTTCCGCACCAAACAACACCCGATATGCGGGGATATATAACTACGAATTGGCAGCTTCTATTGACGCCCCTTTCCACGGCCTTGATAACACTACGTCTTTTCTTTACTTTGTCGATGGAGATAGCGATGCCGCGCTACTGCAGACGAACGATACCACCAATGCAGAGCCTGACTCTGAAGTATATAAGCAATGGCTGGCCTTGAACCCACCGCCATTTACATTATTCGCGCACAACATGAACGACTCCGCAATTGTTGGACTTCAACATTCATTCTGCGGGTTACAGAACAATGCACAAATCAGCAACAAACAGAAAAGCCTCGACGTTGGTATGACGAGTCGAGGCATGGACCGGAAACCCAAGGAGCAGATCTATGCTAAGGGCCTCAACAGCAGCTCTATTTATTATGGATTTTTAGCCATGGAAGGAAATTCCACGGCTTCTGGAGATAAAGTGGTTGGAGGTGGTGGAAAGGTGTGGAAGGCAATGAACTTCACAACCAAGAGGGGTGAGTTAGAACCCAGAGACTCGAGCTACTGGCCTCCTGCTAATATATCTCATTAAAGAAAACAACTGCGCCATTGTATATAACTTGAAATTCTGCTCCGAAGTCGCCTATGCAGTGCCTTCAAACCCAAGTCTCAATGTCACCCAACTTAGCGAGATTTACGACACGCAAGCCGCGAAAGCATTTGAGAATTTCACCTACTCCCTTCAGCAAATACCTTGCGATGCCCCATCAACAGAACAGTACTCTCTCGCAACGAACTGCTCAAAATGCAAAAACGCATATAAACAATGGCTTTGCGCCGTTACGATACCCAGGTGTCAAGATTACTCGAGTGATCTAACGTTTCTTCGCCCAAGAAACACTGGGCAAATGTTTATCAACGGGACTATGCTACCAGATGAGGACGTGAATCGACAAAGAGTCTTAACGAACTCTTCTCGAAATTCCCTCATTGATACCCTGATCAAACCCGGGCCATACAAAGAGGTTCTACCCTGCCAGGACCTATGTCACGTCTTGGTCCAGAGCTGCCCTGCGTCATTTGGATTCGGATGCCCGACGGGTCCATGGTTTAACGACTCTTATGGAACACGAAGTCCCAATGGCGATATTACGTGCAGTTACCTCGGAGCCGCGTACTTCCTAAACTCGGCCTGGAAGTCTGTGGATGGGATGAAAGTCATCTTTACCTTTACTATTACGTTTTGGGCAGTCGTTTGGGGTATCGTTCACTGGGACTGATCTGAAACGGCCATACCGACAACCGATCGTATAATTTCGGCACCAGATCTCAAACAAAGCCAAGTATAGTGGACAGCCCCCATAGTTCATCAAAATGAAACGTTAGTTTGGCCTTCGACCCATGTACGGTCCAGACTCCATCGTGGACTGGTGATCAATGGGCGATTGAACCTCACGTGATAAGAACTTCTAGTCAGTGCTCGACGCCGAAGACAAATCACAGAACGACTCTCTATTGCCACAGTATAACCCTAGTTGTGAGGGCTAGGGATCTCGATAGCTGCAAGATACAAGACACAAGACGGCAGATCCAGTTTCAGGTCTTCGTGCATATACGGTCTTGTTCCTGGAGAAAGATTGCTTCACGAGGTCCAGCATATTCTCTAGGCGAGGTCATACCAAATTTATTAGAAAGGAGGATACGGGTCTTCTGTCGAGACGTTGGAGGTATTTTGGACCGGTTTTTGGGTAGCCATGGGTTTCGAATTTTTGGTGAAAATGGAAGCAAGGCGCAGGGCGTTATTTTTTGACTGTACGGAGTACTATCATTGTACCTTCTATGCCACACCAAGTAGAATGTATTCAGGCTTATGACTGAATCAGTTAATGATTGAGTGTGAGAAATGTCTAAAAATAATTAGACTCATTAGTCTATAGTAGTCGTAATATTTATACAAAGGTTCGTTACTGGGCAGAGCGCCTCAGCACAGTCTATTTAGCCCTCTTCGGGGTAGGCGTCCACATATTCTTTCTGCCGGTTGGTGTACCCGCCGTCACAGCTCTTCTCGGAGTACTATTACCTACTTGAGCCCAAAGCCTTTGGGCGGCAGGGGTCAGGGCTGCTTTGCTCATCGCAGGAGTTTTGGACCTGGACGATCTATCGCCCGATTTCCCAAAGGCGATAACCGGGCTACTAGGGAACATCGGAACAGGGGTTCGCGTCTCGTTCATCGCCTTTTCGGTTCTGTTATTCTTCGCCACCCGTTCCACCATACGGTGAAGCAGCAACTCTCGCCTTCCGCTTTCTTTGAGCTTAAAGGGATTTGGTGTAGATCCGGATGTTTGGCTTTCAAGAAGTTTGAGGTGATAAGCCTCTTCATCCTCGTCGATATGCCCTGTTGGCGGTTCGGGTTCGTCTTCGTCGACAAAGGCGTATCCGTTTACGCGAGGAGTTTCACCGCCAGTGAACCCCGGCTCAGAATCCGTAGGTCGTGGTCGTCCAGCTATTGCGTCACGAACCGCCGATAAGGAAGGAGATGGCGGGACTGCCGATTGTCGATCCGCGTCTGTATGTTCAATTGAAGGTCTGAGGCGGGTATTATGGTATATAACTTGCTTCTCTCCCATTCTGGACGTGGCCTCTCGCTTCTGCTGAACGGATTCAACCTCATCCTCCACGGATGAAGGGATGAACATGAAAGAATTCTCGGGTTTCGACTTCCATCCATCCGGCCTTGCTGGACGTTCGTCCGCCACGACCCTTGTATCGGATAATTTCAAAAGCTGCTTCTCTTTACTTCCATCCGGCGCAGCCCGAGCTTCTAGTCTTTTTGCTTCCCGCTTTTTATGTACTAACTCTCTAGCGGATGGGATCTTATTCCCACTCCATAGCCATGCGTATTTCTCTCTTCTCTTTGTATTCTGTTTATCGAGCACCTTGTTAAACGATTCGTTGTCTTCGCTTGTGTATTTTTGTTGAAAGGCACCCAGCCCCATATTTCTAATCTTCGACGAGACTCCTCCGTTCACCGAGCTTGTCGCAACGGAACCCACAGTACCGGGCGTGGCACAAGACACCGGGGTATCTCCCTTCCAGCCTCTGGGCGTGTTCTTATTCGTAACTGGCGTACGGCCGGGAGTAGCCATATTGGACACACTGGGAGCCCTCTCGCGGTCTGGCGTCATGGATGTCCCAGCATACCTTCTCTGCGATCCTGGTGTCATTACTTGCGCCATCCTTCTTCCCGCGGTGGCAATCCATTCCTTGTCCTTCGATTCGAGAGCATCGAGATAATCCTGTTGAGCTTGAGTTTCCAGTAAGCCGGGGAAAAAGTCTCGGGCGACAATATGTGACAAGGCATCGGTGTAATCGTCTTCGTCAAGGGCTACCGGTGGTCGTTTGATGCGTTTGCAGGGTGGCGGAGGAGGCATCAGTTGCGTGTCCGATGACCGCTTTGCAACCGCCTGTGATGATGGAGTGGCCATGGTTGCGTTGCTGAGACTCTTATGTGTCTTCCGCTAGTCGTCGACGCCTCGAGATCGAAGGGAGGGGAGAGGTGAGATAGATATCATGCAACGAGGCTTCAAAAGATCAACCTTTGGAACTATGACGGCAATTCACCCACGTGACTAAAATAACGGAAAATAGTAAATGCGCAAAGTTGACTTAAAGTTATTAATCAGCGTTTTAAGCTTTACCGTTAAGCTTTCAAAGTTATGCTTAATGAAATATTTGGAACGAGGTTTGTTTTGATGATATTCGATGTTTTTATTTAGCTGTAACGAAATATCTCCTTGATACTCAAAAAAAAAAAAAAAAGTGAATTAGCCTATTCACTAAATGAGTGGCACGCCCCCCCAAGAATACAAATTAGCAAGACTTGCCACCACCATTCATAGCTTCCACGGCCAGAATAATGCTCACGGGCTCCCCCATTATGATACCAGCCAACCCAGCAAATCCGTTCCCCCGAACCGAATAACAATGAATTGAACCACAAAATAAAATGCCAAGCGATGGTTGAAAACGAAAAAACAGGTGATAAAAGCAAGGATTTTTGCGCACCGTCCAAAGTCTAATGAATACCCTGGGTGAATTAAAACAAAAAAGGAAAAAGAAAAAAAAAGCGGATGACAAGACGCGTGTTTGCAATATGCTGGACAAAAGGAGAAGTTGGTACAAATAAAAGATTTTGCTCGTATGCTCGAAATGACAATAAGATCAATCAATCAATGAATGAACAATGATAAGACGAATGGAAAATCATAGTTAAATGCCAGCCCGTAGGGCCGGAGGGAGATTAGAATATAAATCGTATGCCTGCGAATCTTGCTCATTATCGAAAAGAAAAAAGGGTTTGTGTAAGAGAGTTTGGAAGAAGGGAGAGTTGCCAGCACGTATATGCATGATCATAAGGGTCGTTGAATGGGTCTAGGAAAGGGTATAAAAATCACGTCTATAGCGAGGGGGACGAGAGTCGAATAGAAAGGTACTTTCTGTACCAGTGTTTTAGCTGACTCGTGGCGCTGGTGCTCCAGCAACCGGGAACAGCGAGTATGAAGGCCGGTTCTTACGAACGCCTCCACGAGTTAAAGTTGAAGAGCGCTTTCGTGTTGCCCTGGCGCCTGGACAGTCAGAGGATTCTAAAACTGACGCGGACTTGGAGCGATCGTGCATTGGGATGGATGGGATTGCAGTAGGATCGATGCCAGAGACAGATGCGAATGGCATGCGATGCACGCCTTCACGGCCAAATGGGAGAGATCGCGAGTAAACTGGAGAAGCAGAAGGGCGTGGCATCACTGGCTTATCCGCCAATGGGCTGCTTGGTGCCTCACGATCAACCATCTCACGGCTGCAGTTCGGACTATGGATGAGGTCTGGAACGCTGTTGGTGGAGGTGGAAGAGCGATGTTTACGCACAATCGAGGCAGCGCGAGACAACATCATACTTTCCTGCGAGTTGCACTTGCTTAGAGTGGAGGAGCCGGTTCGAGAGTAGGCGGGCTCATCGATATGGTATTCATCGTCTTCATGGATATCTGAAATCACGTGTGTGTATACTGAGTCATGTGACACGTGTTCAAAGTGTGTCTCCAAAACTTGGATTTCGCTGGTCCTGGGCTTTTTATCAACAGAGTCGTTGGTCGGCGGGAAGATTCCGAACGAGTGGTTGAAGATGGCTGGGCTGGCGGTCTCGCTATCGGCCCTGGTTGATGCCGATAATCCGGATGAGGGTTGAAGCTCTGGCGTTGTCTGGCCAGACTTGCTTGTGTCCAAGGGGTGAAGGTAAAACGAGCCAGAGTCAGTCTTGAAACGGCCTGAATTGTCGCCTTCATCGTGGGGAGAGTATTTGCAGTCCCTCTGTTCTTCTGCGGAGCTACGGTGCCAGTCGAAATTCGAATTTGATTCGGCGGCATGCTCGTAGCAATAGTCGATATCGGCCTCCCAGGACGCATTGGAAGCATGCATTCCAACTGCCTCGGCAGGACTGTTGGGGCCAGCTGGTAGTGGAGAATTGCCTTGTCGATGGGAAGGAATGACGGGAGAGTGCATATCTTCATAGTCGAAGCGTGTTTCTTGGAGGGGGGCCAGCAAAATTGTTGGCTTTTTCGATTCAGAGCGAGCCTCGGGTTCAGGTTCGGATTGGTAGGGAGTTGGGTCGAAAGCTATGACATGGCTACTGCGGACGGAGGAGTTCTCATCCTCTTCAGGAACGCCGTCTAAACGGATAAGCGGCGATGGCTTGGTAGACGATGCGTTATGCTCATCGGGGCTAAATGCACGACCTATTTCTTCAGCCGGTTCTGCGACAGGCTCCGGTTCCAACGGCGACACCGCATACCCAACAGCATCTTCGACCGGGGCGTCCTCTACCGGAGACAGGGACAGACCGTTCAATCCCATGAGTCCATCGACAGAGTTGTTTGCACGGCGGGCGTATTCGGGGTTTGTTGCCATCCTCGAAGACCTCCTCGGCGGAGGTATCATGGTAGGAGCGAATGGTTGCCGTACGATCCTAGAAACAGGTCGAGAGAAGTTCTCAACTGAATGTGATGTTCTCCTGAGTGGCCTGCTCTCGGGGGAGACGTGGATCGTCGAGATCGGTGAACCTGGAGGGCTACGGGTAAAAAGGGACGGGGCATCGGGGGCGAGGGTATCGAGGCTCCAGTCTGATTCCTCTTCGGCGGTATAAGGTCGATATGAAAGGTTCTGAGCGTGTATACCCTTCAGCTCAGAGTTCGGTCGTTGGGAAGCGCGGATAATAGAGAATTCTGTGGCGAGGTCGTGCGGATGAGTGAGCTCAATAGGTGGTAATTGCCCACGGCTGGTGTGAGTAATATGTTGAAAATGAAAGGGCTCCGAGATACTGCTTTTGAGAGTTGCATCTGCATATATCATCGTTAACAAAAGGAGCCAAAAAAGAAAGACAAAGCATGTGGTGTGAACATACGTGCGTCACTGTTTCTCTGTCGATGCATACGACGGAGGACGGCTGGCCGCTCCCGCTTACTCTTCTGTTTCTCTCTCTCCTTCTCCTTCTCGCCATACCAGACTTGGTCGCTCGACATTTCGTCCTCTTCGTCCACGGTGAGTGTGTCTGAAAGGTTAAACTTGCTTCCCTGGCGTCTGAGGATGCGATTGCCGCGCGAGAAGAACGACTTGCCCGAGCTCTCCTCCTTCTCTAGTGGGAGGACGAAATCAAACGCACCCTTGCTACCGTCGTGGGAGGAACGTTTCGAAGATTGCTCGCCAGAAGATGTCATAGATGAGGCAGGGGATATACTCGAGGAAGTGTTCGAGTTTCCAGTATTACTGCGGGAACGCAGGCCAAGAACAGACAGACGTTTTGGACTTTGCGTGCCGACGTTGTTGCGAGTGCGTGATGGACTCCCTGATCGGCTTGTGGAGGTTGACATGAAAGGTAGCTCCCGCAAGATCTGCTCATGATACCATTGGGAAGTTGAGGGCTGTGACGAGGTCTGGGGTCGAGGGAGTAAAGCAGGAGACGACGAGGACGAGGATGTATACTGTTCAAAAAACGACATGGCGACTGGCCCACAGATAGGCAATGGGATATATTATCAAGTTAAAGTTCCAGGGAGGACGGTGGGCGATAACGGAGACTGAGGGAGGAAGACCTGAGGCCAAGGGGACATGCGTCTATCTCCACATACGCCCACGCGAAGGGCCAGGGGAGTATGTAAAATATAAAAAAAAATGAAAAAAATGAAAAAAAATTGGTCGGAGGGATAGTCCTTGTTTGGTGTGGTGTGCTTTTTGCCTGGGCAGCCGGGATTATGCCTCACCAGGAGCAGCAGTAGCAGCCAGAAGCAGGGGGTTTGAGAAGGCTAGCGAGGCACCATAGAAAAGCACTGGCAGTTGGAGTTGATGCTATATTGGTAAACTGGAGCTTGGTCAAAGCAAACCTCGCACCCACGATCTTAATTGAGACGGATAAAGCCAGCGTCTCGGTTTCTGTAAGATGAGTCGTAGTAAAAGGAAGGGCGAGAAAATGAACGAGCTAGAAATGCAAACAACCAGTGTATGAGCAAGCGACCCAAAAGTAGGCACCCTGTGAGAAGTTAAAAAGGTCACGTAACCCTCTTTGACAGGGAAGTATCGTTGGGAACTCTGTAGTGACCAAGTGTCGATTAGATATCAGGCTGGTGGGATGGAAATCCTTGATGCAGCAGCAGCAGAGAGAGAGGCAGTAGGACGGACCGGGGACAGAGCAGGGAAGACGGACAGATATGTGGCCCATTGCGGAGGAGGCCATACAATTAATAGGAAACCGAGCAAAAGAGACGACGCTCAAGGCGCTGCGTGTGATGGAGTCCCTCGTCTAGTCTGGCTGGGGCGGAGTTATCAAGACGAGCAGATCCCACCTGCAGGAACGGGAACCATGGGAGGTGACTTTGGGCCCTTGTAACCTAACAGCTTGCGTACTTACCAGGTACCAGTCCACAGCAGGGGACGAGCGAGATGGTCTGTCTCATTGGCCGCGATCGTTACCCGGTTAATCCTCCGTATATATGCCCTGTATACACTAGCAACATCCCAGGTCATGTTGTTATTAATATATGCCTCTGTTTTCTTTTTCCCACCGCTTGGAAAACGCCCTGTCTAGGCCAGTAGCCGACCGAGTATAACACACCCTTTACACCCTTTTGCCGGAGTGATTGTGAGGATTTCAGATGTGCTGATCATCCAGCTTTGTACGATATCAATCCGTATCGTGTCCCCCTTTTCCACGTCAATTGAGGCAAATTCTCGAGTTGCGTGTCTATGAGGGAAAAGACACATGAAACGCCATGGTGTTGTTTTTTCTTTTGCTTTTTTTTGTTTTTTCCTGCTCTGTAATTTTTTACGGTTGGTGTGCCAGCCGTTTCAGCATCTTGTCTTCATCGAAACCGAGAAAAGTCAACCATAAAAATAAAAAAGATTAATCGTCCAACGGCAAAGGAAAAGAGGCGTTTGAGCCGTCCGTATAATAGCTGAATCCCGCCAATCATGGCCGTCTCGCCTTTCCGCTTTCTTCTCATTCCCATTTGTGCGATGCAACAAGCAGCTCGAGGAGCATACAATGCAGCGAATGCACGAAAGATGCAACGCTACTGCAGATGGCATAACACCAGGCCAAGGGAGGCGGTCGACCAGGGCCAGGGTGTCGTAGGTGTAGGTGTAGAGAGAGAGAGAGAGAGAGAGAGAGAGAGAGAGAGAGACGTACGTCGTCAGTCGCTTGTCAACGCCGACGACGAATCCACCGCTTAGTCCTCCATAGCAGCGTCTGTAATCTCTGTTTTCGTCGCTTCTGACGCCTAAGCAGTCCACGCTCGTTCGATGTTTCTCGTCCACTGGTAAAGGGGCGTCGGCCGATAAACTTCAGCCAGAAACAACGGCGCAAGGGACGACCCATCGGCCTATGCCAGTAGCAGCAAAGCGTCCGGCCACAGGCAGCATCATTGGTGGTTTTGGGGCGAGCATCCAACACTCCGGGATTGTCTGCCGTCTCGTCTTTCAGGGGGCGCGAGCTCGCCTCATTGGGTGTCCATGCGAACCGCGGCCGCGACAGCTTGGGCACCGAGAGCAGAAAACGGCCGAGCAAGAAGCAGGTGGAACCGGCTGTCTCTACGGAGTATACAGGTGGATGAGACTGTATAGGTGGTGGATGAGACTGAGTGCGAGTGCGAGTGCGAGTGTGATGGCTGACGGGATCGCCATAACTATCGCCATATGGACGGGCTTCAGGCTGCGAGGGCGTCGCGCAAACGCATGATATCTACATGGACACTGCATGAATGTCTGTATTGTGCCGTGCCTAAACGCCTTCTTGACTGCTTGACTAGCATCTACTGGCATCGACTGCATCTGACAGCAAGGGAGACGACACATCGCCGACTACCTGCACGCCACAGTCACGACGCGGGAGCCTATATGTGACAGTTATATAGTACGGCATCCCTAAGATCTAGTCGATCTACCAGCTCTAGAGTACGGAGCATACAATCCAGCACGGGGTATATATCTAGTACGGAGTACATATCTGGTACGGAGAATGTCAAGATATGGCATCAAGATGCTACGATACACTCTGGTTTCACGGCGGAGAATAAACGGCGCCTGGAGAGAGGTTGCTTTTTCGACTATCCATGAAACAACAAGAGAATGGCTTGACAAGCCTGACCCGACAAGAGCTTAGGGCCATGTCAGATACAACGCATCGCAAAGCATAATTCCGCCCTGCAAATAGTGCAGAGAGACTATGCTTACGCGCAGGGAGCTTTACGAGGCCTCCAAGGACACCCCCAGAAAAGCCGATATAAGCTACAGGACGTATTTAATGACTTGCGTGATCTTTAACAGCAGAGTCATTATATATCCACTTCCCCGTCCCCGATTGTACCGGCGATCTCTCTGGTCGGGGGTTAAAGACTTCCTATTACGTTTCCCACGGCGATCCAACGACCATATCCATACTTATATCACCCTCTCTTATCGCCCATCACCAACTCTCATCCATGGTAGCGACCTGAGCCTGTATGGGTAACGACCGGAGATCCTCCAGTTACTCCGTATATATCTCCCTAGTGGCGAACCTTCGCCATCGAATGAACCATTCTTTGCTCTGCAAGGACTAAGCATAGACACATGGTTGACCCCCTTTTCTGACAGGACAGCGAATAGCACCGATCGGCATGGCATGGCTTGCATCTCGCGCGTATTCCGTGCAACCACGAACTCCCATGCAGGGATGCCGCATGTCAGACCATGGGCGCGCACCCATATTTTAAGACTCCGTAGAGGAGCGCCCATCTCCATCGTTCAACTCGGTTCATCTAGATGGAGAAATGTGTTATCCCCCATGTGATTATGCAAATCCATAGCTTCACGACTATCCGACGGAAAGCACATGAATCAAGACACAAGACACATGCAAAGGGAGCTGACTCTACGGAGAAACCGGCACGAACTCGATCTCATCGACCGTTGAGCTATTCAAGCCACTGCAAGCCATCCTGCAGCAGATCTCAAACAGCAAAGCTACACACTCCAGTATTTAAGACCGTCGGAAACGCAGAGCTGGTATCCGTCGTTACCTTGGCTCCTGTTCCGCTCTTATGGACTAGTAAGGCGGAATCCTTCGGGGTGCATATACATATAAAAAGCAAGCAGAGCAGCAGTAGCACCCAGCAACAAAAGACATTGTTTCTAGAAGAGGCCTATGAGTAAGGCCCAAACGCGGCCAGTCAGACGTATCAGACGTATCAGACGCCACACGAGCGTAGCATAAACGACAGCGTTTCTGCGTCTCCTCTGGATAAGGCAGAGTCGAGTTGTGCATATCAACTTCCAACGGGCGACCTGGCGGCCACCTTCAACCTCTTACCGCTTGCCCAGGTCTACACGTGTGACGGCCTGCTGTCAGTGGTCCGGACAGCCTTGCGCTTTTCCTTTCCCGCCGCCGGCCCGTCCTGCTGCGTAGGTTGGTATACGTAAGTTGGTATGGGGGGAGGGGAGTCGCTACTTTTAAGCATCGTGTTCATGCGTGTTCCAGCGGCTATCACGCTTGCAGGAATTTATCGCCCACCCTGTAGCACATTCGTTTCATATATATTCATGGACTGGATATCATGTATACGTCTCCAGCTCGGCCCCTTTGCCGAAGTGGTCCTCTCTCTCGCGCCGAATCTTCCGAACACTTGAGGCCGGACTATATATTTGGATCGGCCGTACGGAGGGAGTATGTGCTGAATAGTCGACGATCGTCGCGGGTTGACAGTGCACATGGTATCAGGCTCTGTGTTTTGTGTAAGGACGAGCTTTGCCTTGCAGAAGATCAGCGAAAAGCCTTACATATATTGATGCTAAACTCCCCATCACACCCAGCTAACACCGGCTGACAACAGGGCCCGTCCTGGCAGGCAGAGTAGCCATCCTCAGGATCAACCAAGACGTCCAATGCAGGCGAAAGACCATTGCCCAAAAACTGATGTCGCTGGCTCACGGCGGCCGCAGCGGTCTACCAGGGGTCGGAAACGTGTATGCCATGCTGATAGAAACACGATCTATGGGACATAACGTGCTCTTGGCGCAGTGCAGGCTGGGGATTGGGATTGAATTAGCATCTTCCCGTATATATCTTTCTCTCCGCCGAAAAATTTCCGCCGAAAGATGCTTGTTCGCGTTTATGCACGATGTAGTCCGTTGACGGGCCATCACGAACAACTTCACGAGAAGACCAGATCCACGGCCGGAGATGCCCTTTCTCCCGGGCCAAGTCCACGGCTTTGCATCCTTCACTCGCCGCAGCGTCCTCCGCCATATACATTGTATACATCGTACTACATACGGGAGTACGCAAGGACAGGCCGCCAGGCCGCCTCTCCATATCAATCCCTACCGTTTGACCAGGTTTTGTATGGCTGGATACGGACACGCTGCTGTGGTGAGTGAGTCGACTCTTACATAGCATAGTGCTTCTATAGAAAGGAACTTCGAATCACAAACTGCATGAATCATTCACCGATGCATTGAAATCTCCATCTTCATTAGGCTATCGTTCGGAGCTGACAGATACAGAGTATGTATCGGTGGTATCGCTCCCCTGTTGCTATCCACTCCCATCCTCCGGGCAGAGGGTCCTGCTAGCCTATGGATGCCCTGGCCTCGCAGGGGCATTATGCATGAATTAGGACCTTGTTCATAATACAATCGCATACAGAATGCCCGCACCTACGAAATACTATAACGGATCGCGATCATATCCAAGACCAAGGCCCAGGGATATCTCCTCGTGAATTAAAAGCTAGATCCCTACGATTCTTCCGGAAGCTGCAGACGCGAGCCCGTGCAAAAGCTACAAATTCTAGAAAGGAATTATACTCTAGGAGAATGGGAAAAGATATTATTAGTACATTTCGCTTGGCTCAACGAGGTGCGTCCGAGATGGGGAAAAGCAGCGTAACCCCTGGGCGGGATCTAGACAGGGAGGGATCTCAAGAAGACGTGAGTACCTTGCCTATAACATGAGAAATATTTCTCTAAATATTTCCCGCTTTCACGGCCTATCACCATGGAAGGAAATCAAGAAAGGAAGGAGAAAATAGGCCAGACTGGTTGATCTCTCTGAAATACGAGGTTTAATCCACCTAGTTCCCGTGCGTTATGCAAGGAACAAGTATATGGAAGGGCCCTTTTCTGGCCTTACGAGCGCGCCAGCTCGAAACCCCCTCTCACTTACATAAAGCGGGATGGAGGGAACAGGGTTGAACCGCCGTATCCCCCGGAGCAGACTGCCTCACTCGCCATTTTCAGGTTACAAAGCCCCATGCCCGCCCTTGTCAGAAAAACGCACGCCTATGGGGAACCTCGGAATAGGAACCTTAACCATCTTTCCCTCATGGCAGCAGGAGCAATATGGAAGAAGCATAAAATGTGAGATATGCTATTATGTATGCTTCTATTTTTAAGCGTCAGCTATGATACATAATAGATTATTTTACCCACCGCTAGATGATATCATCTCGTTTTGGCGCTGCGTTGGTTGGCCAATTCTTTGTTGGCCCAACTGCCATTCTTGCATCCGGTTGTGCGTGCCTTGGACGACGAGGGTGATATGCAGGGCATGGATGCCGCGTATTTTTCTGCTTTCTCGTTACTCCGTACTTCTAGGCGGCCGGAGTGGTTGAAGACGTTTATCTCAGCTTGTCGTGCATATTTGCTGTATACAGCATTAACGCCTCAAGATATAGACATGGAACGTTCCTCCGATGTAATCCTCTAGGAAAGAGGTCTGTTGATCAGTAAGAGCGAACAATCAATGCAGTCTCGCGAGTGTCGTTTGTCTGTGATACAACATCCTCTCTCTCATCCTTCAAGAGGGGCCAAAAATATGATCGTAACGTCAGGTTCGGGATAACCCTACCGACACGCTCTTTTTATAAAAAATGTCTTCAGCTGCGTTTCTGCCTATAACCAATGCCTTTCTCCCTTGGCCCTCCATTCCTCGCCCACCCAACACTAGATTTGGCCATTATGCAGGAAGCTCCTCCACTCCGGTTGGCAATCCCCAACATCATTAAACAACATCCGATAATAACGAGGATAGTGAGATATTTCATACGGTCTGACGCACTCCGTACATATTGTTTTTATCTGCATGAAGTTAACCATCGTCTGCCAACATCTATTTTTATAAGACGTCATATCCGCAATCGAGCTGGGAGATATCACGACTCGGTCGAGATGCCAACTTCGATCATCGAAGTCGAGGGATGCTGGTCGGCACTTTTGACCGCTTTTCTTTTTCCTCAGGCACGGCGGGGGGAAGCGGAAGACCACATTCCAACTGGTCCTATGGCTGGAAATTTAACCGAGCTGCAAATCCTGAAGAAAGTTGAAGTTGCACCGATTCTTCTTCCTCTCCCACTCCCTCTCATCTATCCTTCTCGTTTTCGGGATGCAAGATGGCGGAGTTGCAGGCGGGTTGGACAATATTTTCATTCAGCCGTACCTGCAGCCGGAAACGTCTGTTAGAGTTGATTAAATCGTATCCGGATACATGCACATGAAGTATCCTCGCGGGCTTCTTCGAGTGCTGCGTAGATGGATGTGGTGATCCAGTCCGGCCTGCTGGCGGCCTCCCGCAGGCCCGAGGCATGTATAATTGAATATTCGGCACCGAGGACATAAGACATGGCACATTGAAGATTTGAGGGAAAAACAAAGGCCTTCTTCAGTACCTGGCGTTATGAATATCCTATTCCAGCAAGCGAATCGCAAGCGAATCGCAAGCGAAGCCTGGCTAGCGAAAAAGACGTGTCCACCTACACTCTCACAGATCATCGTCATGGCAAGAGTCAAGAGTCAAGAGCCGAAGCGAAGGTCTGGATCAACCTGGTCCATTTGGCTTGGAGATTCGACGGCAGAGAGAGTCTGTCGTTGTTCATCTGGTATTCCAGTCTGTAATCTAATTGCCGAGATGTATAGCATCCATCTTTCCTGATATCTGCGATGCTCGAGTATATCTCTGGCCTGGCTATAATAGTATAGGAGCAATCTGCTTGCTCCTTATCAAGGTCGAACGCTCAACAGCGACTTGACATAAAGCGGCTATATAAGCCAGTATAATCGTTATAGATCTCCTGTGTAGATGCTAGATCTGTCCGGCATCTCGGTTGACTCCACCGCGCTTGATTCTCCGCATGCAAGGTCGTAATTCCATGTTCAACATCCTATCTTGACCATCAAGACAGCTCGCCAGCGGTCGTTTGTTGCAGCTCTCAGCCTGGTCAGAAGTCGCAAGGGAGAAAAGTCCCGGTGGCAAGGCTGGCTCTGTTCAACCCATCTGAAAACTCCCCGCGTTCTACCCTGCGATGACTGCAGCTTGCCATCAATATCCATGACCCTTGTCGTACGGCGCATACTGGATTGATACTCGAATATTCGGCTTCTGCTATCTGCTGCGAGGAGCTGTTATAATTCACGAGCAACGATGAACCCTCCGCGGAAGCGTCCATGGTCTGTCGCGGAGCTCTCGTCCAACCCGTCGAACCCGTCGCCGCCAGAGGCATTGCACCATCTACACAATGGAGCCGGCGATATGGCAATGTATCAGTCTCCAGACAGCTCGACAAAGACTCCCAACACCCCTCCGGTCCCGCTGGGGATGGCGCCTCCCGATTCACCCAAAATCAGCGTCGCGGTGACCAGCCGCAAGTCGACGGCATGTCCGGCCTGTAGGAAACAGAAGGTCTGGGAGCATTGAACCACAGTATATAATACGTTTTCAATGGCGGACGGCTGCTAATTCAGAATGGTAGACCAAATGTGTCATGGACGACGACACCCCGCCATGCAAGCGTTGCGCAGAGCGCGGTCTTGAATGCTCGCCGAATAAGTCAATACAGGATATAATGACCGAGCAGGCGAGGTAGATATATACATTTGATGGCCCTGCTTAAGCTACGCGCATAGTTCTAATCTATATCTTTGCAGATGGAATTCCCGAATGAATCGCTACTTTTCTCACCTCCAAACAGCTCTGAATGAAGCTAGGGCAGCATTATCCCTTCCTTCCATATCCGCAGCAGATGAATTGGCTGTCAAGGAAGAGGACGTGAAAACCTCTCGGCGTGAACATATAGATGAACGCCACAACCAGCTTGACGTTACCATGGAGTCGGACACGCTCGCCTCTGCTCCAGTGCGGTCCCTCTACGAAGTCACAAAGTCAAGCGAGGTGCACGAAGGGTCAGCCCAGTTTTCAGGCCTGGTCATGGAGCCGGATTTTGTTTCTCGAGGCGTCATTACTCAGGCGGAAGCCGACCAGCTCACCAAAACGTATCTGACTCGGCTGGACCACTTCTTCTACGACCATCTACAGAAATACGCAGACATTAGCGAAGTTCGAAAGACATCTACTCTACTTGCATTAACCCTATGCACGGTGGCAGCTTTACATGATCCCCTAGGCACCGAGGCATACGATAAGCTCAGCCGGGAACTACGTAGCGTCACCTCCTCGTTTATGTTCCGCAACCATTTGGGGCTGGAAGACATCAAGGCTCTGTGTATGGGCTCATACTGGCTAGGAAACCTTACCTGGGTATTATCTGGCCTTGTCCTCAGGAAAGCAATCGGAATGCAGTACCACACAGCCCATATGAACCAGCCACAAACCGATAAGGAGGCGTTCGGCAAGTCACAGATGTGGCTTTTGATATTCCTAGCCAACGAGCAGATATCGCTACTCCATGCATCTCCGGCTTGTGGGGTAGAAGCCGGGTATATCAACTGGAAGAATCACCTGTCATCTCCATTTTCCGGTGAAATCGACCTGAGACTTATCAGCCATATCGACCTACTCTTACTTCTAGGGAGAGTGAGGCAGACATATGGGGTAGATGCGACGAAAGCCATTCCATTAGCACTTATTCCGCAGCTTCGAGATTACCTTGCACAGTTGGATCGATGGTCCCATACATGGACAGGAAGACTGGCGCGGAATAAATGGCTGGGAAACTTCCCATCGCAAGCTGTTAAGCTTCATTTCCGGTTCGCAAAGTTTTTCATATGCTCTCACGCCTTCCGAGGGTTAAACGTGGAATCTGTCTCTATACCCCTGGCACCAGAATTACAAGACATTGCAGCCTGTGCAGTCACGACCGCCATCTCTATCCTGGAACTACTGATCGAGTCTGACGAGTTGCGCGCATACTTGGTTGGAATTCCGCATTACTTCCATACCATGTTTGCCTTTGCAGCAGTCTTCCTCCTTAAGGTTGCAACGCGTAATAGGCAACATGTCCACGTTGATACTCACCTGGTGTTTCGTACCAGCCGTCGGGTTCTAGAAGTATTTCAACATTGTCCTTGCGCTAAGCAGCATCTTGTACATCGAATTGCGGAAGGGTTGAAGGGTATGATTGAGCGGTGTGAGGGACAAATCGCAACTGACGGCTCTAGCCACCCTGTCAACAGGGTAATGAACAGGGAGCATCAGATACCGTCATCGATGGCACCCCCACCAACAAGTACTGCCCACTCTGAGATGGTTTCTCAGGAAATGCTGTCATGGTTCAATTTGGAGAATTTTGATTTTCTATCCATGTCCCCGCCCACCTGGAATACTGAGTTTTAGTTACAAATGATGGCCAGCCATTTTGTTGCATTATATTTTGAGAGAATCCGGCACAGCAGCGGTCTCAGAACTTGGATGATACCCATGTTGTATTTATAGCATTTTTGTATATTGTCACCTTCTTCCCCTCTATTTTTTTTTTATTTATACCCTCTATTGACTGTTGTCTAGTATATATTATGCACTTTTTGCTGTATATATGTAGACTAACCGCCATTGCAGCCAGACTTATTTGCCTATATGGTGTTATCTTGGATGTTTGTTGCAACTTTGGAAGCTGGTAGCAAACATCTACGAGTTGCGAATGGTGATGCTCTATTCTCTACTCGCACTCTATCTTAACCAACGCTCCTTTCGCACGAATCTTGCAGAAGTATAAGTCCTTCTCACTAAACATCCAGATACCGCCCTTTACGAAGCAAAAGTTCGCCGTTGTACATCCAACAATGATCTTACCGACTAGAACGCCATTTGGATCCCAAACGTGTACCCCATCTCCGCAACCGGCATATACATATCCGTTCTCGTCACATTTAATCCCGTCAGGCACCCCCAAATCGCAAAATGCAAATGTCCTTCTGTTTGCAATTCTAGTCCCCTTGTCAACCACATCGTAAACGTATATCGTCCCGGCATTTCTATAGTTGAATTTGAACTTGTGTCCGTCTCCAGAGTGGCTGCGAGCCTTTACCGCGCCTGTATCAGTAACATACAGGAGTGAATAATCAGGACTAAAGCAGAGGCCGTTGCACATATCGAATCCGTCGGCTAAGACTGAGCATTCGTTCGTCGAGGGCCGAAACCTGTATACATGCGCTGGGAGGAGGGGGTCAGGACGAAAGCCCTGCTCGTGGCCGTATGTTGGGTCTGTAAACCAGATATCTCCTGTATCATGGTGGATCACGACGTCATTCACGGAGGAGAACTCTCGACCGTGGAAGTTGTTTATCATGATTTCAGATTCTTTTGTAACTGGGTCGACAAGGACAAGCCCCGACGGCATGGAATGGTCCCCTTGAGAGCAATAGAGGATTCTATCAGGTTGTGATCCGACATCGCCCCGATATCGAGCAGAGGCATGAACAGATGCAGTTTTTCCAGGGTAGTTGCATGCCCCATTCGCCTGCACAACTTCAGGATAATCGAGCTTTTCAATCTTGTGCGTATCGCAGTTTATGGCGTATAGATCAATCGGGTCGCAGGTCTGGAAGTTAGATGTAAAATACACTGAATTGGTCGCGCGAATGTATACACCCGCCTCGTGTGCGAATTGCTCCCCTTTCTCTCTTCGTTCCTCGATAAGTTGTATTTTGGGGGCTGAGCCGATAACGTCCCTTATGAATCGTTCATCGTAGACACAGAACGAGGGTGTTTTGCTGAAAGAACGCGCATATTCTGGATCTTTAACAGCGCGAGATTTGTCGACATGGACGATTTCGGTGATTTCCGCAGTCATGATTCCTGTAGTCCCGTTCAGTGAAGGCGTTGTCCATTCAGATATCAATTCCCTCCATATAGAGTAGGTTGAAGTAGGTATGGAGGTTTGGGCAGGGTTTCTACATTTAAGGTGGAGGGCCGAAAACACCGAGCAAATCGGCATTACTCCGTTTATATAGGAGTGACCTCAGGATCGTAGTTTTAAGAACTAGATATTATTATAAAGGCATACCGTTCAAATTATAAACAAGGTTTATCGAAAGATGATAGTTAAAATACATTGGTTGTTCTTGGAAGGTGATTCATTGCCAAATATAATGGTAGAACGCCAGCATAATGTGGGAGTTTGAAGACTGATCTCATGCCGAAGGAATTTTTTCATTTGCAAGATCCAGGGTTAAAATGAAAACTGGAATACAGACGGTAGATAGGAAAAGGGCAAAATCAAAGAACGCAAGTTAAATCGCTTTGATATCCGGGATAATTTCTCACGACGCCACCAATAAATAAGACACGAGAAGAATGAAAATGGTACACGCAAGTAGCGAGATGTAGAAGGCTTCCGAGGGTGGGAAGGGGATCTAATGGTATCGACGAACTGGCTTCAGGCAGCAGTAAACGGCCAGACCTTGGTTTCATGGGTGGCGTGAGTTCACTCCTCTTCTTCGGCACCCTTCATGTCGACATCTTTATCAGCATCGTCGTTGCCGGCTGGCGATTTCTCATCGAAGAGGTCATCGTTATCATCATCCCCAGTGGGAGCTGCCTCTTTCCCCCCTTCTTCATCTTCGTCGTCATCATCTTCAATGCGCAAATTGGTCTTCTTCCGTCGTCGGTGTACAAGAGCATCTTCATCCTCGTCATCGTTCCGACCTGGCGCGGGTGATCCAGATTTGTCGTCCTCGCCGTTGACTTCGGCATTATCAGCCTCGCTTTCCGATTCAACGACGATTTCGGTACTCTTGAATTTACTCGACTTCGCGTTTCCTCTTCGCTCAAGGCGTCTTCTCTTTCTAGGAGCAGCAGAACGTTCATCCTCTTCTCCTTCAGACGATGATCCAGAGTGTCGTGATTCGCTTTCTTGCCTACTCTTATCCGCATCTGCTTTCTTCTTTCGTTTGCTGCCCTTTGCTTTCTTCTGTTGCCTTTTAACCTTATCTCCAGTCTCGCTGTCGGTCGTGTACTCGGCAGCTTCCCTCGACCTCTCCTCATCGATACGCATTGCGGTGAGCCGTTCAGCTTCTTCAATCATCAGCTGTCGTTCCTCCGCCATTTGCCGCTTTCTCTCCTTTTCAGCCTCTTCGACCTTTCGTTTCTCTTCTTCACGTCGTTTTAATTCTGCGTCTCGTAGCTCTCTGGCTTGCTGCAGCTTGGCGGCGTTCTTTTCTTCATATTCCTTTTGGCTCTGAAGGGTTCGTTGAAGTTGGTTTCGGATCGTGTTCCTACCCATAGTTGCTCGGGATTCTAGAGAGCTGCGGGGGTAAGGAGGATTCTTTGAGTTTGCGATCTTATCAAAGGCTTCAATTGCTGCCGTTAGGCCGTTTATCGCCTCTTCGATTTCTTCAGATGATTTTTGGGCTTCTGGAAGGCTGATAGCAAGAAGTGCTATCTCGTTTTGAACAAAGGCGATGTTGAATGCAAGATGGATCTGGTCTGGGGCAACGGAACGTGCGCGTTCCGCATATTCCAACGCGGTTTTCATAGCCACTAAATTCTGTTCTTGCTTGCCCTTTAGGAACCAAACACGGCCAAGACATGCAAGAATCTGAGCATCTCTAGCTCTATCTTTTGAGAGTGAGATCTCGTACTATTAATTGATTAGCCAAAACCGTATACACTGATATGGGGTAATGTCAGGATAGCCCATACGTTTTCAATAGACTTGGTAAACTGCCTCAACTCTGCAAAGACGTGGCCCAAGTTAAGGTACACACTCGAGTCGCGCAGAGTATCTCGAATCTTTGAAAATATCTGCACTGCCGTTGAATAGTCCTTTCGATCATCAACTAACGCGATGGCAATACCTTGGGCAGCATATGCGTTCTTCGGGTCAAGTTGAAGAGCCTTGTCGAAAAACTCAACTGCCTTCTCATATATCTTGCGCCGTTTTTCTTTATCTTGTTCGCCATCTCGCCTCATATCTCGACCTGTGAGGAGATATAGATTGCCCATTCCCGTCAAGGCATATCGGTCATGCTTGTCATATCCCTGTAAGGTATGCTTGTAATGCCTTTGCTCATGGTCCTCTGCCAGATTGGCCACGCGACGTTTCGACTTACTGAGATACCAACCAAATAGTGCCCGTACTTCCATGTTGGTTGCTTCCGCCTCATAAAGTTTCGCCATCCTCTTCGGCCCTTCATCGGTAGGACTTTGACGGAGCGCGATGTAAGTAAGTCGCGCATTTGCTTCAACATAATCACTGTGTCTCTCTAACAAGCCCTCATAGACCTTCTTGGCTTCGTCTGGCATACCCGCCGCCTCGTACGTACGAGCAAGATTGTAGCTGATGGTGGTAACGTATGCGTCCGTATCGGAGGCATCCTCTCGCTCTTGCGCTTTTACACAGGCGTTGAGAGCAGTTTGGAGCATATTTCTCGCCAGTTCAATCTTGTCGGCCTGGTACAGGAAGCAGCCGATGTTGTTGAGTAGCTGAGGCGCAAGCCGCTCGCGAAGGATTTCCGTCATAGCTTCTTCACCCTCGACATCATCTGGTCGTTCATCATCAGGAATCTGAGCCAGTTGCATTTCTTCAACCTGGTTGAGACACTGTACGCTCTTTTCCGGAGCGGTGACCTCGTATAGCCTAGCAAGATAGAGTAACACGGACTCGTCTGGTGTGAGTTTCTTTTCCGCTTTCCAAGACGTTCGCACAGATTCGAGTAGTGAGATTGCCTTCTTGGCTTCGGCCGATTTGTCTTCCTTTGTATTGCTGGCCGCAAAAACTTCATCGGCATATAAAGATCCAAGGAGGGCCATGGCTTCGGGGTTTTTGGTCTGCTGTATAATCTTTTCTAGTCGGAACTTGGCACCATCGAAATCTTTCCTCTTCACTTGCATTTGGACTGCACCGAATTTGGCGGGCGGATATCCCTTGTCGGCTCCGCCTCTTGCCTGGTCCGATCTGTTGTAGTATTCCAGCGCTCGCTCTGGATCGCCTTCGGTGTGTTCCTTTCTAGCCAGCAGATACCAACCATCACTAGCGATGGCATTGACATCCGTGAGCTCGATAGCTTTGCGTGCAAGGGCTTCGACAGTGGGGAAATGTTTGCGGAGGAGGAAATAGCTGCCAAATGTGGCACAGGTCATCGGGTACTCTTTATCAAGTTTGAACGCTTTCTGGGTGTACTGGGTCATGGCGGTCTTGTAGAGAGAGGTGAATTCCGGGTCGTTGGTCGAATGGCGCGAGCTGTCATGCAAGTAATACGCAGCTAGAAGAATATTGGCCGCCTTTGAGTCAGGGTTTAACGTCAATGCCCTATTCCACGCAACCTTTGCCTGGTCTTTAAAGTCAAGCTGCCAAAGACAACACCCAATCCCAATTCGCGGATCCGGATCTCTCATGTTTGGCATTTTCACCAGGGCCTCCTGGTATCCCTCCAAGGCCTCGCCGTACCGTCCAAGCATATAGTTTGCTCTCGCACGGCCCAAAATGGCCATGATATTGCGGCCGCCAAACGCCTTTGAAGACTCGTCGAAACATTTTATGGCCTGTTGCAAACATTCAACGCGTTCCGACGTATCAACAGTACCAGGCCTGACCGGTTTCGAAGGAGGTTGTAAGGAAGCACGGAGGATAGAAAGCACACCACGGGCAAGGAACAGCGGAGGGAAAGCAGGGTTCAGCCGCGAGGCCTCGTTCAGAGTCGCCGTTGCAGCTTGCAGATAGAATTCTTTCGTCTTTGCTTCGGAGTAAAGCTGGCCCTCTGGGGCAACTCGAGGAGCTTGTCTGCTTTTGATCAGGTATAGCCAGCAAATCCAGCCCAGCAGACTTAGTCTTTCCTTCGTAGCACCATGCGCAAGTGAGGCTAGGCCACGGGTGAGAATTTCAATGGCATGATCGATCTGTTTTTGCTTCGCGTACGCCAGAGCAATGATGACCCAGAAATTCTTCGCGGCCTTTTCGTTATCAAGAAGGGTGCAGAGCTCTGTAGGGTCGTCGGGGAGTTCTTGTAAGCTGATTTCGACCTCGCTGTCGAACGTAGAGGCGGGAATGTCTATGGCGGAAGGAATATCGGAGAATCGAGGGTTCATCATCGCCGCAGCAGCTTTGGACACGGCATCTAGGCCATTGCTGCCGTTGGCAACGCCGTTCTGAAGGGGCGGCGCCATGACGGGGCGCGCAAAGCGTGTTGTCGCACGCCGGGACGAGGGAAAGTGGTTAGGAGAGCTGCGAGAGGCTGGAAGATCTCATCATCTATCGGGAGAAGGGCGGAGGACGGGTCTGCAGGTAGAAGCGAGAGTGAGACTGGCCACCTCTTGCGCGGGAAGACGGAGGATCGAGAGAGCTCGTTAGCAACACTGAATTATCTCCAGCAGGATGAAAGTTGAAGCTTTCTTTAACAGGTCACGTGGTACGACAATATCACGAAGACGAAGACGAGGAAGAAGTAAATATATGAATAAGAGATATCAGGCCCGCGAGGACTCTTAGCTACTCTGGATGATGTCTGACAGGTGTCCTCCTCCCACGTCCAACGCCCAAATAAGTTCTATGCTACCATAACCCGCCTCATGGAGAAGAGATGTTCGCCCCTGACCAAAGAATAGCACCTCCAACGCCCACGATTTAGAAGGGAATGATGAGAAAAAAAAAAAAGAAAACGCTATCATAACCGTGAGTAGACTTTAAAAACTGGGAATAAGAAACACTGAATCATCTCAACCGTAATACCTCCGAAATAGCTGGATCAGGGCTGCAAGTATAGCAGGAATCGTAAACACTCTAGCGATCTCGATCCAATAGCCCAGTCGTACCTCGCCTTCGACGTAGCCGTGGTTTTTACCGGATGTGGTTTGGATATCAGGGCTGTTCGGGTCGACCTCGACCAAGTCTGCGTCCTCGAATGGAGGGAATTTGCCAGTTTCGATGAACTTGTCCAGGAGGGCATCCTTCTCAGCCCAGCGGTCGAATAACCAGGTTTCAAAATGTTCTTGATTATCCAGTGGAATATCAGCAAGGGCAAACCGTCTCCAGTAGAAGTTAACAACCCTCGGCGGGCGGCACTTTAGGTATGTAGAGCGGATGGTAAAGTAGCTATCAGGGTAACTCCCTTTCCTATATCAGATATTAGCAAGATCCATGCATAGATCAAGGCTGGATACATACGGTGGACCCTCGTAACCCATCGTACAGTCATAGACATAGTCGACCGTGCCTCTTAGCTGCTGTAGGCAAAAGAAAAGCCCCGTAGTGCGTGGAATAAGCTCATGCTTATAAGAATTAATACTCTGCTTCGTCCCGTATGCATCGCTAACTTCTTTAGTATGTGTTGACAGGTTGGTTCCCTCGGGAAAGATCAACAGCCACATCGGATTGAAGACGGGGGAACCGGGAGCAGAGTCGCCGCGTTGTCGACAGAGCCGGTTCAGACGATGCTGCAGTCGAGGCTTGTCGGCCATCCACTTGCGGGCCATGAAGATGAAGCCGTACAGCGCCATCCCCTGCCCCACCAGCGGAATGTACTTGAGTGATTCCTTGAGGATGATGTAGATGTGTCCATGCATCTGGTTCGTATACGCAACCCACCACAGGTACAGCCAGTCGGTGTAGACCTGGTGATTTGCAATCAGGACCATACGCTCAGGAAACCGAGTCTGGATCCCTCCGTTCGACGTGAGAGTAACCTGACCGAGCACACTCCTATCACCACTGACGCGGACAGGGGTCGGGGCACTCCACTCGGTCAGCGCAGTGATCGCGAGGCCAAACGACTCCTTTGTCCTGGCCATGTATGCATTGAAATAGTCTCTATCGATGAAGTAGAGCGGCAGTCCGACCACCTGGGACACCACGATGCAGACGCAGCAGCAGGAGAACCACGCAACGAGGAGAAAGCTGCGCACGATCTGGGCCAGTATGCCATAGTTCGGCGGCTCTCGCTCATAGATATGTCTAGACGACTTCATGAGGTCTGGTCCAGCACTCTTCTTGCCAGCGGCTTTCCCGCCTGTCAGAGACGACGCCTTCCGGTGGTGCCTTGCTCGCGACGGCATCGAGCTGGAAGTTCAGAAGTTCGTGTATTCCTCTATCTGGCTCAGGGCAAGCTTCTTCTCTACAGAGCCCCGGCCAGAGAACCCGGATGCTCCGATATCTAGTTATATATATCAGGAAGAGCCCAAAGGATGCGACAAACCACGTGTCTGGACAGGTGTGACGGCGTCAGTCTCGCAGCAGCTTGCACAAGACGGTCAGATGGAGTAGAAGTGGGAGAGAGACGGGGTGGAAGCTGAAGAGAAGATGAGAAGAAGAAGACGAGGGAGATGCTCTGTCTTTATCTCTGCCTAGATCCTGCCAGCGATATGCCGCACGCAAGGCCGCACTGCCCGTCTGCTCGCCTTTGCCTGCTGACCGAGGCAGGGCACTTCCACGGCCGAGTTCTGCCTGCTCCTTTCCTGCTCACGGAGGCGTCTTCTTCTTCTTCTACTCGAATATATCTCTTATACACACCCTGCCCCCATCCTGGTTCTATCTCGATGTCTTTTATATCTTCGTTCCATGCAGGATGTAGATGCTGACTAAGAGGTGCATGTGACTTGGACCGTTCTGGATGACTCAGCTTTAGGCATAGTAAACGTCATATAGACTGAAGTTATGCGTTGATGTATAGATTATTCAATATTTAACTATGTATATATTCAATTATGTATACAGGGGATACCCCAACTTATATTCACTCTTGACTCTTGAAAGTGAATTGTGGCGCTTCAATTTAACCAGTTGTTCACCTTTGGCATATGGTCGTATGGAGGAGACTGTCCGTTGTAAAAAAGATCAATGTGAGGAGGCTGAAGCCTGGATCTAGGGCAGCGATACCAGAAGGCCAACAAGGGTTATCCTCCAACCCATCTCTATATGGTGGATTTGCCAAACTCGGGGCCGCGTGGGAACGTTGACAAGCACCATCGTCTGCGTTAAATCACCAGCCCTTATGACCCTCCTTCTAAATTCCTGATCAGAGAGAGCCTTGACCGGGCCGATGAAGCAAGCTCCCGACCATATCCGACCATCTCCTCCATTTTCTCTGGCAGGTACCCCTGGAGCGGTTATAGTAAGCAGCTCCCCAAGATATATAGCTGCATAATACTAGTATAGGCAAGCCCCGAGACCTCGTATAGCTTGAGGCCTGAGAACGTTGATATAGAGCACGACAGGGGCTTCCTCGGAAAAAATTCCAACAGTGTGATAAAATGTTGGTATTATTCCGTTTCTTTTGTTTTTCAACACTACGGCAGGTATGATATTAAATATTGAAAATGTACGCTGTGCCCTCAACACCATGCATGCCTGCTACATCGACCGTCTATAAGTTTGGGTCTTCGTCAGGGTCCACATTGTCGGGATACTTCTCCATCAGCCGCTTTTGTATATCTTTAAGACATTCCAACTTATTGTATTGTTCAAGGTCAGGCCAGCCATGCTCTCGATAAATCCCTTGCAAAAACTCAATAAACCCAGACGAATCGTGGTAATGATGGACATCGACAACAGTGAGCGTACTAGTGGGGACGAAGAGCAGACGGCGAAACTGATCCTTGAGAATCTCAAAGAAGTCTGGAATGGCCCAGTATGCACCCTCGGCGCGCCACTCCGCCTCACTCATCGATGCGTATTCGTACGGGTCGTCCCAGACTCGCTCGCAGGGGGCATCAGAGTCATGTTGAATATCTCCGGGACACTCTGGCCAATAAATAACGCCAAGCTCTGTATCGAGGAAAATGGGGAAATTATTCCGCCCACCACTTGTGAGGCTAACAACATGAGGCGGCACATCATTCTCGTAATAGCCCTCTGAGCACGATTTAACGCCCTCGAGCTTGGACCTGCCCTGATTTACGTAGGTACAAGAAGCCTCCCAATTTGCAAATTGGCTGTACGGGAAGGCCTGGGGTTCGCCATTTCCTGGCCGGCGGATATAGGGAAGATGCCGCAGCAGCGACCCGACTTCGTCCGTCTTGCCCAACTGTTGTATGGCACTAGGGGTAACCGAGGGCCAGCCTCCTTCTGGCGGCTCCAGGATATCGCTCTCCTTCAGGTACAGGGTGGTAAGAAACTGGTAATAACCACGGACTGCGGCGATGCTTTCCTGGCGTGAGTAGGTGATGTCGCAAAGCTCCGGCATATTGACAGGCGGGCCGGTTTGACAGGTTGCGTAGAATGTTGTAGGATACTCGTTTGACTGTGCAAGATGCCTGTATCCTTATTGTTCTTGTAGGGTATCACAAACACATCCGGGTCTGGTGGTGGGAATTTATGTATTTATGTCAAGGCCACCAGAGACGGGCGCGTAAATCTCCGAGCGTCCAGGGTGCCGTAAATTTATTTCCATAGAATTATTGATATCCCTGTCAAAAACCCCTTCTCACATACTACGTATAGAGCCGAGGGTTGGCCATTGGTCATGCCTCTCCCGCTGTCCCTGGTGCTTGATCAGGGTAAACTTGCTAAATGTAACGGTAGAGCGCCCTGGCCGCCAAGGGTCAAGGACACCGAGAAATTACCTTGGCCTTCTCAAAAGCAGCATATTCAGGATGTACTTACATTCACACTGGATGATTTTCAATTCAACAGAGCAGCTCCCTGAGTCTTTGGTATAAGGGATACAATATGTAGTATAACAAGGAGCTATTGGTTAGAGGAGGCTTTAAATAATAGATGCTATTCGTTAAATTTAGCCCCTGCATATAATTTCTACTCATTCTATTGGTTAATATAACTTATTAGAGTTTATTATTTACAATAAAAAGTTGGAAGCGGAAAAATATTAAATTAGGTAATCTATAGTATTACTAATATCTTGTATTCCATGGTGAGGTCATAAAGAAAGAAAAGACAAAAGAAAAGGGAGAAGACGAGAAGAGAAGACGAGAAGAGAAGAAGAGAAGACGAGAAGAGAAGAAGAAGAGGACGAGAGCACGCGAGTCGAGGCCGGTGATATCCTGACCATGTTCATCTACCCGTACAGAGATTTCGTCTGATCGCATCTGGAACAGTTGTCTGGGGTTGAAGAGCTACGGGACGAACGGGATGGTAACATATATCAGTATGCCTCATATTCATAACCCTGCTGTAGCGATATACTAATTTGAGCTCTGCTTCTAGATATTTAGACGCCGGGATACTTGTATGATTTCGACATTGATCACGCGCTTTTTCCTATTCTAAAGATACCAGCGTCACCATGAAGCGCTGTAGCAATATACTAGCTAATATCGCCGCTCCCTTTGCAACTTGCCGTCGTTCATTTTCCGTGAGCGCGAGGCTGCGGCAGATCGAAGATATCAACACCCTTTCCAGCAGGGTATTTCCAAGATATGAAGGTGTGCGTTGGTTCGGACCTTAGCTATGCTATATTTGGTGTGCTAATAAGGATTGAGATATACAGAATCAAGAGGGAGCGATTTACTTGCCTTGCAATGGCCAGTTCCGCCGCAGAACATCCTCCTGATGAAGAAGAAGGGTGCCCCAGAGGTGACTCGGTCGGTGGTTGAATTCGCAAAGTATGACTCTACACGATGGTCTAAAGGAATATACTAAAGCATTTTTAGTCACATTAAATCGACGTACTCGCCGATATCCGTGATTCTCGAACGGGAGACAGCCGCTGAGATACACGAGTCCCTGCCGTTCCCCGTTTACACCAACCTGTCCGATCCGTCGATACCTCCTGAAAACGTAGACCTGATAGTCACGTTGGGCGGTGATGGGACCATTCTGCGCGCATCTTCGCTCTTCGCGACGTCCAAGATCGTACCTCCAATACTCTCATTCAGCATGGGAACCCTGGGGTTCCTAGGGGAGTGGAAATTCTCAGAATACAAAGGAGCGTTTCGAGAAGTCTACATGTCCGGCGCGGGACTCGGTGAGCGAGCGCCTGCACTCGAGAACAGTCCGCCTCTTTGTGCGGGTAACGAAGAAGCTGGAGGTGGTTGGTCGTCCTTGCGCGGGAAGTCGATGGGCATGTCACGAAGCGCTCGCATACTGGTCCGCAGCAGACTACGAGTGGGTGTATTTACGCCGGACGGGGAGCCGGTGCACAGTAACGGTGTCACCCTCTCTTCGCCATCTGATGCCGACACCGGCGTCTACGCGATGAACGAAGTGGTGATCCACCGCGGTAGACAGCCACATCTCGCGATCGTCGAGGTTTTCGTTGGTGGCCGTTTCCTCACTGAAGCCGTTGCAGATGGCATGATCGTCGCAACACCGACAGGGAGCACAGCATACAGTCTCTCATGCGGCGGGAGCATCATCCATCCACTCGTGTCTTCCCTCCTCCTAACGCCCATCTGTGCACGGAGTCTCAGTTTCCGGTCCCTGGTCGTTCCGTCCCGAACGCCCGTGACGCTTCGACTGAGTGAGAAGAATCGCGGACGGGAGGTAGAAGTTAGCATTGACGGGGTCACGATGACCCAGGGCCTGCGGGTCGGCATGGAAGTTCGTGTCTGGGGCGAGGACATCAAAGTCATCGATGGAGCATGGTATGGGGGTGTGCCTTGCGTGATGCGCAAGACTGTCGGCGAAGGCGGTGCGGCCGATGGCTGGGTCGGCGGTCTCAACGGGCTTCTCAAGTTCAACTATCCCTTTGGTTCGGAGACGTGACGCATATATACATCATGGGAGTTTTGGTACGGAGTATTGCTGGATTTTTTTGGAATTTTTGGGATATCTAGCATGGGCTGCGTTTGGGCGCTTTCCACTGTTGGTGATCTTCATATATGTATAAAACCCCTGTGTTAATCTACTCCATCCTTGCATCCAGGAAACAGCATCAACCAAGCTAAAGGCGTCCATCCGGCCAGGAGTCCGCATACTGGGCTCTCCTGAATCTGGAAAAGCAGCGTCTCACAGCAGATGTACATGCCGACCAGAATCCTACATGTCGATTGAAACCAGCTTAAGGTTGGCTATCGTGCAACTCCAGCTACTATGTATATAACTACAGATTGTTTCAACGGCCGTCGCTTTCTTCGGCCCCTTCCGCCAAAAAATAGGGGTACAAGCACTAACTCGAGACCTCGGGAACTAAGCGTTGGAAGTTGAAACATCAGCTAGCTATATAATGATTCCTCTTATAGCCCGTAATCCGTATACTCCGTACTTTGCTAGAGCCGTAGATAGTTGTGTTGCACGGGGTCAGATATATTGATATTGAATCTGATACATATCTCCCAGGCCATCCACGAAGCTTCGTCAATACTCGTAGTGCAGTGCATCTATCCAAGCCTATCGAAGAAGCGTGCGGCAGACCTTTATACTTAATTACTTAATTATATTCGTATCCTTAGCAGCAGCCAACTAAATCCAACTTGGCCAGGGGTTAGGAGCTCCATCGCCTGGGATCTGTTCCTTGTTAGGGGTTCCAGGACAAACGAACACCGAGAGAGAGAGAACAGAGAGAGCAAGTGAATAATGACAGTAATGACAGCTGGTATATTCGTCTTCACTCCTTGACACTGCTGCCTTCGTCTATCCGTTTTACCATCTCCTTAGCCACCGGCGGCACATCTCCTATCCAGAACAGGGGACTGTATCACTTCTTCTGGTCAAACCAATATAATCCCGTCTCTGGCGGCAGGGAACAGCTTCTGGGTAAGTTCCAGCCTGTGCTCTCCATGTCAAGTCCATCCTCCATCCTGTCTGCGCTGCTCGCTGTCTGGTGGTCTTGCTGGGTTGCAGTCGATCGCTTTTAGCGCCCCCCCTTGCTGATTGACGACTATATCTGGCCAAGGAAGAACAACCACCACAATCACTCCTATACAGAACACATAACATATCTACATCTCCTCTCCCTCCGTCCTCCAGCTTGCTCGCGATCTGCCTGCGGTTGCTGAGGATCCGGTTGTATTACACTTCGCCCAAGCCGAAACTGGATCTCCCCTTGCCCCCTAGACAAATCCACACGACAGCAACCCCCGGCCAGTGACGCGGTGGAAACGTCGCCAGAACAACCGACACGGCGTTGCTCTGCTCTCGTCGCAGGCCGCGTTGCCCTCGTTGACGAGCCGGATGACTAGCTGAGGCTAACCGACCTGCGAACATGGCTTCATCACAGTCAAAGTGAGTCCTGATCTACCCCTCAGACTGCGGCGTTGAACCCATGTCCTTGTCAAGTCCGCTTGGAAGCAGAGAAAAAAAGAAAACACAAACGGGGGAGCCAGAGAAAACGCCTTCGAACCTGTTACGTTTCTATCTAAATGCGGGAAATTTGGAGAAGGATTGAAACCCGGGGAATTTTTGTTGCCCAAGAGACTAACTGGAGCCCAGCATGTATTCGCGCGAGCAGTTCATGAACCCAGGACCGGCTCCTCGCCCTCCCACCGACCGGCCTCAACTGAGCACGATCTCTACGATGTCTTCGGTCTCGTCTGCTGCTACCACCTTCGATCGAATGGGTCTTAATTCGCCCTCTACCCCGTCACTCTCCATATTCCCGAATTCGTCCTCGCTCTCGTTGAGCCAAAAGACCGGTCAGGGAGGCGTGGCTGTGATCAAGGAAGGATATGTTAGATGTAAAGAGGACAAGTTCCTGGCCAGCTGGAACCAACGGTATCTCGTCCTACGCGAATTCCGCCTCGACTTCCTCAAGAATGAGACCGGCAAGAGCGTGCTCTCGATCCAGCTCAATAATGTTATGAACGTGACCCGGTCTGAGGATACCAAGATGGCATTCGAGATCACCCGTGTTGCAAACCCGAAAGACGCAAACTCCCGCAGTCCCTTGACAGGTCGGGATATCGCAACGAAGACGATAACGTGCGAAGTAAAGAGTGACGATGAAATCTACGACTGGATCGATAAGATATACGAACGATGTCCGGGTATGGGAGGGGTCAGCAACCCGACGAATTTCAGCCATCAGATTCACGTCGGATTTGATCCGCAGACGGGAGCGTTCGTTGGTCTTCCACCGGAGTGGGAGAAGCTCTTGACGGCCTCAGCTATCACCAAGGAGGACTACAAGAAGAACCCACAGGCCGTCATCGAAGTTCTAGAGTTCTACTCTGATATCAAAATGCGCGAGCAAAACCCTCAATATTTCCCTGGAATGAGCACTCCATCTCCACCGAGCATGCAAGCTCTACGCAGCCACGGTGTAGCCCCTCCGAGACCGCCTCCGCCTTCTGGTTTACAGCGCCTTGATACCAACCAATCCTCGCGCACACACGATGATAGATCGCCCAGCGCGTCGCCGGCACAATCAAACCGTAAGGGATCAGACGCTGCCGACCGCTCATATGATCAGCAGTACAATCCAGATCGTTCCAAAGAGATGCCACATCCGGATCAACGACGACGAATGGAGGAAGAGGCACGTCGTATCCGCGAAGCGCAACGACAACGTGAAGAGGAACAAAACCGACGAGAGCAGGAAGCTTATAATGCATCACTACCCAAGACTCGAGTACCACTTGCGCAGCAGGAGCTCGGTGGATATGGTGGCTCACGCGAACCGGCCAGTAGTACATCTAGCAGCCGATATAACCCTTCTCGTCCTGCACCACAGGCTCCCTCGAGCGAACGATCTCGACAGCCACAGCAAGACTCGTCGAGACCAATAAACGCACAGCGCCCTGCTCCTTCACCACCAAGAAACGGAGCACCATCATCACATTCCAGAGACGACAATGGATCTCTTCGCAGCGCTCCTCGCCCAGACCAAAGCCGACAGCAGCCATCTGCTTCACGCTATGCAGGGAATGACAGCCGTAGCCCAGCTCGCACCCAGGCCCGCCAGCCAAACGGCTCCGCGGCCTCAGGTCAACCACCCAGCCGTCTCCCGGCTCCTGTTCAGGCAGTTAAACCCCTTAACATCGCTAACAAGCACGGCCCTGCTGGCAAATCGAATGGAGTTGCTGATGGTGTCCGTCAAGCTGAGGCTGCTCTGACTAAGAAACCAGAGCCATCTCGTCAAAAGGATGTCCGAATGTCAACAATGTCAGAAAGCGAGGTTATGGAGAGACTTCGACAAGTCGTTTCAAAAGAGAATCCAAACGAGTCGTACAGCAAGCAACGGAAGATTGGACAGGGTGCTTCGGGATCGGTATACGTTGCTCGTGTTAAGGAGAACGCAAGCTCACCCGTGGCCCGTGAAATATACCGCACACACGGTCCTCGTGGACAGGTTGCCATTAAACAAATGGATCTAAGAAGCCAACCTCGCAAGGAACTCATTGTTAACGAAATTATCGTGATGAAGGATAGTCAGCATCCAAATATCGTTAACTTCCTTGACTCGTTCTTACAGGAATCAAGCAATGAACTATGGGTAGTCATGGAGTTTATGGAAGGAGGAGCATTGACTGATGTTATTGAACAAAACCCTGTGATCCAGGAGGATCAGATCTCAACCATCTGCTACGAGGTAAGATTTATGTTTTCGATTCAGTTGTGCATACGGCAATGCTGACATCATTCTAGACTTGCAAAGGCTTAGCCCATCTACACGGTCAAAATATTATCCATCGTGATATCAAGAGTGACAATGTCCTTTTGGATAGAGTTGGAAACGTGAAAATTAGTAAGTTCTCCCACTCCGCTGGTGAACACCCATCGTAAATTGCGCTGTTTTTAACCCACATCTCTAGCTGATTTTGGTTTCTGTGCCAAACTTACCGAGTCGAAGAGCAAGCGTGCAACTATGGTCGGAACCCCGTACTGGATGGCTCCAGAGGTCGTCAAGCAGAAAGAGTACGGCCCAAGGGTCGACGTATGGTCTCTTGGAATCATGGCTATTGAGCTGATCGAGTCCGAACCACCGTACCTGAACGAAGAGCCACTCAAGGCTCTATACCTCATCGCCACAAACGGTACCCCATGCCTCAAGAAGCCAGAGAAACTCAGCAAGGAGCTTAAATCCTTCCTCAGCGTATGTCTCTGTGTCGATGTCAGAAGCCGTGCCTCATCTGATGAACTATTGTCACACGAATTCCTTAAAAATGGATGCAGCTTGGCCAGCCTTGCTGAGCTGCTACGATTCAAGAAAAACGCCGCTCAATAGAGTGATGAACTCCACGTTGATTTTTTAAACTTGGGCTATTTTCACGTGCTATTGTCCTTTTCTTTCTTCACTTATCTTTTTATTTGCAATTTGAACGTTCTCCTCCCGCTTCTCTTTTTCGTTTTCTCTAATTTTATCATGTGATGAATGGAGAATTATACCTCTTTCTATACAAAGGGGGGAGGATTGCTGTATTTACTGCCTGTCATTTCCTTTCTTCTTTTGCTTTGCTGGTTTTTGACACTTTTTCTTCAACTTCTTTTGCCTTCTTCCTACTTTTGACTGCCACTGCTGCTCTGGGTATCTTACGGTCAAAATATACGATTCTATAATGAAACATCAATGATAAAGGAGCAATTGGGAATCTTGAAGCCTTGACACATGTCTCATATCTTGATCGCGGAGTTATGAAATGGCGATGTCAATAGTTAGGCAGCTGTTTGGTTTTTGTAGACTAGGCTTGCAGACATTTCGGGAATGTGGAATAGAGACTTGATGCCTGTTACTCTTCTTTTCCCCCCTCCTCCATTGGTATCGGGCGTTGCTAGCTTAGCATATTCACCAATTTTAATTCCAACCCTGTTCCTAGCACAATATGCAGCTAGGTTTTAGTTCCCAGCCCCTCTCCCGTCTATCCTCTTATTAAAAAAAGATAAAAGGTAATTTCATTGCTCATGAACCATCAATGGCATCCAACCCTATCTAACATCTTCTCGTCGAAACCATCACAAAATATAAATAATCAGAAATCAAAATGATAGACCTCTGCCGTTAAACAACCTTGACAACCACCTAGCATTAAAAATCATAACGATACCAGGTCCCGAAAATGTCGTACGTATATAGTCCGTATATGTATGCATAGATTAAGCCATAATCTGGCCAACAAATCCGGCCAATTCGCCAAAAAATACACCGCGAAGCACCACTTCGCCTTCCTCGAGGGCCCAATGGCCAGCATCTGAGAGTTTTTTCTTCCATGCCTCGCGCTGTTCCTCGGGTAGGTCTTCCCATTTTTTAGCTTTCGAATGATCTATACCGTGCTTATTCTCGCCTGCTGAGAGGACAGTAGACTGAGCTGATATTTCCGATCCAAGATCATGGACAACGATAGCTTCATGTGGTTTATCAGAGGTAGAGGAACCGGCTTTCGCCTTGGCCCGTGATAGGGACGATACCAGCTCTCGAAGTGGCTGTGATGCGGATTTGAATTGGGGGATGTCTTGTAATGAAGGGCCAGACGTGCGGGCATTCGGGTGACCGTTCTCAAACATATATGGTCGTGCTAGCATTTCGCGAAGACGCGGGCTCAGCCAGTTAGTAGCGCCCAAGGTAGGTGGAACACCGCCCCGAATTTCCGTGAAAGCTTGAAGGAAGAAAGCACCCAAAGCAACGACAAATATGGCCACGAGAGAGCTAAATATAGTGTTGGTAAGTTCCGACATGCCAGGAGCGACGAGGACGTATCGTGGATGTTTAGAAGTGGTAGGATAAGGAGATAGCGGGAAAGTGTGGACAATGGCCGTATTTCCCACACTGACGGATGCCAGTTTTACGAACTGGGGTCGCACTTCTGACGTAACAGGCAGGGTTGGAGGAATGAATGTTGAAAACGCTATCCTCGTCATCGAAAACGGATGGACATCGGTAAAGGTAGTGTAATGTTGTAGTTTCCCAACTTGGCCCTTGGACGCAGACTCAAGAGTGAACACTTCAATAGAGAGATCGCTGCCCGAGACAGCGATGATACTTTGGCTTTCACCAGCAGGTGACTGAGATAGCCGACAGATATCCAAACCTAGCCCAATCTTCATTGACCTGTGGAGGCGTTTCCTTCGAGTGATTGTCCACTTCGACGTCTGGGTGGGCAAGGAGATAACCACTAGCTCGCATCCGCTGCGGCCATGGTAATTTTGAAGTAAAAGTAGGGTATTTGTGGAAATAAAGCGCACAGCCCTTATCTTGCTGCTTTTCGGCCCTTCACCGACTTTATATATAGACTCTACTTGCAAGCCTCGTTTCGACGATATCGAGATATTCGATAGATAAACCTCCTTTCCGTCCGTATAGGCCAATTTAAAGGTACCGTCTTCGCTCGAGTCTATAATATCCACATCCTCCACTTCTTCTTGAGCTCCTAGCATGACACGCCCTAGGACGTTTGGCGAAGCTACGGATTGCGCCTCAGCTTCGAAAAGAACGAGTTCTCCACGAGGAGCCAAGCCGGTAGCGATTGCACCGATGCGATGCGAACCTTCGCCCTTCCATGGGGAGAGTCGTAGTATTCGCTGGTAGGTTTCTCCTTCGGCGGATTTTGACGCCTGTGGCCTGAATAACGAGACCTGTGATAAGGCCCTGGTCTTTGCCTCACCGACCTTCACATACTCTGCGCTATCACCGCCGTAGCTCCCGTTCTTTAAACCTGCAGCTGCGTTTCGTCTGGGAGGGTATACAATTTCGAAGGACCGTAGATGTTTGTTGTTGTCTCGTTTCTGTTCAGTCTGGGAGCTGTTTATTCCAGCAAGAGCTACGATATCACTGTCGCTGCACTGCAAAACGCCCAAAGATGTGACTGAATCCTCATCGCGAGAGAGCTCGATGTCGACTACCTCCGATATCTCTTCGCGCCGGGACGTATCGAGTAGGGACTAAAAGAGCAACGAGCCCGGCCACGTCAGCTACCCATATCCTCGCTTAAGAGACGGTATGCATCTGCCCTTCATACCACCCCGGAATGGGCTATTCTTACGATTTTGTTCCCAACGCCACTGCGTCCTTCACCGCCGCCCCCTCCCACCAGCAGGAACCCATGGTTGCGGGGATCGAAATCAGCCGCAAAGAGCGGGCAGGAAAGCGTTATTTTGGACGAAGTGATTTTAGGCGCCATTGTATCATGCTCGAGCGTGGAACGACTCTCGATATCGCGCCGTACTGCGTCTGCGGAGATTTGTATATAAAGGAGGTGTTTTGGTCTCGTTGGCGGTTGGGAGAAGTCGCTAAACCGCTTTGGGATGCGCGGCTCGAGGCTTTAAAATGACATCACGCAAAACTCAATTGGTATTTCTTTTTTCTCCTTTTCTTCGACGATACTGGCTGTTACAAAATATATATTTATTATAAGTACTCGACAGGATGTGTATTACTCCACGTCCTGGCCCGTGAACTCGGGCAGGCGGTCCGTGATATCCTTCCAGGTCTCGTCTCCATCTACCAGGCTCTTGACGGCGTTGCAGATCTCATCTTCACTGGCGCGGACCTGTTTCATGGTATCTCGGTCACGGAGAGTGTAGGTGTTATCCTTGACCGACTGGAAATCAGCCGTGATACCGAAGGGGGTACCTAGCTCGTCGTTTCTCGAGTAACGCTTGCCGATACTGGCGGAAGAATCATCAACGCGGTTGGAAACACCGAGGCGGCGCAGCTTGAGAGTCAGGCGCTGGACGAGTGGCTGGAAGGATGCATGGTTGGAAAGGGGGACCAGCAGCACCTTGGTAGGAGCAACACTGGGTGGGAAAGAGAGCACCTAGAAGGAGGACATTAGCAAATCATTCAGAAAAAAAAAGTAGAATAGGGGTAGGTAAGCACTTACGGCACGAGCTTCATCGCCAGGCCTTGACCAGTATGCATGTTCCATCAAACAGTAAAGTATCCTACCAATTCCGAATGACGGCTCAATGACATTGGGAGTGTACTCTCGAACGTTTTCTACCCTGGTACGCTTCTCAATCTGGACAAGGTCCTTGCCAATCTCGACTGTGCCTTCACCAACTCCCTCTACCGTAATTTCAATCTTGCCGTTCTTCTCAAGGTCGACAGAAAGCTTCTCTCGGACATCCTGAGTCAGGGCCTCAATTGCCGTTTCGACCGTTTTGCTATCCTTCTTGAAGCGAGGGCCGAACTTCTTCTTATCGATATCAACTTGCCATTCCTCGATTCGAAGTGGCTCCGCTCGCGTCTCCCTCACGACAAGAGGGGCGCCAGTCTTGTTCTTGTGGACAGACAAGTCGTACGCACTCCTGTCAGCGCAGCCAACACACTCAATCCAGCCATAACTGGTCAATAATTCTGCATCCCAGCAATCGGTTGCGTAATGGGCCATTTCATTCTTCATATGCTGGCGCCATCTAATTTTAGACTCATCTATACCGATCTTCTGGAGGAACAGATAGATACGGGCAAGGAAGTAACCCAACGTCTCGTTGTCTACAAGACCGGTTTCGACAGCCTTTTCAATGCTCATATGTGTCGTAGTCGTGCTACCGGAGAGTTGGACCTCACGGTTTAAAAAAGCCAATTCCACATCCTTCACTTCATGGAAACGGGGATGTTTCTTCCCACCCTCAGGGTCCACAAAATGTTCAATCTCTGCCATTAGAAACTCGCGCACACGGAGGAGGCCGGAACGTGGGGAGATTTCGTTGCGGAAGGATTTACCAATACAGGCGGAAGCAAAGGGCATAGACTGCTGGTTGAACTCTAGGAGCTTCTGGAAGTTAAGGAACTGTCCCTGGGCTGTCTCTGGCCGGAGGTAACCAGCGAGGTTGCTGCTTGGGCCAATCGAGGTCTGGAACATGAGATTGAACGAGACTGGTGGAAGCAGTTCACCATTGGTAGCAGGGTTCTTGATATCATATTTCACAATGAGGGCGCCGAGTTCCGGACCGTCGTAGTTGTCGATTTGGGCCAGTACTTCCTCATACTCGGCCACAACTGCGTCGTCCAGCTTAACGATCTTTGTTTCCTTGACCTTCTTCTTCCTCTTGGCGTCCTTCTCCTCGTCTACTACGACCTTCTGGCCGCGAGCTTCTTTATCACCCTTCAGCCGCGATTCTAGGACCTCCTCCACCAGATGGTCTGCTCGGAAGATCTCGCCGGTCTTTGGGTCCTTGCACATCCAGTCGGCAAACTTGTCGACATGGCCACTGGTTTTTAGAACCTCGTGGGGCGTAAGCATTGAGGTATCGACTTCGAGCATGTCCTCCTCCAGAACAAAGTGTTTCCTCCACAGGTCGACAATATTGGCTTGTAATGCACAGCCGGGAGGGCCATAGTCGTAGAGACCCGATACCCCGCCATAGATTTCAAAGGAGGGGGTGTAGAATAGACGTCTCCGGAGGACGCTCTCGCATACGACGCGGTCAAAGGGCTGGCCTGTTTTTGTGGTAGCCATATTGGCAACAGGCGGTGGTTTGGTAGAGATTTGTGCGCCCCGGAAGACTAGGTTCCTGGGAAGACTGGCTCGCGGGGGGTAAAGTTGTGGTCTCGGGAGTCGTGAAAAAATGCGAGGGAACCGGAATTGGTTCATCCAAGATCTAATGCAAGAACACACAACAACAAACGGAGGATGGCGCGGAGAGAGGAAGCGCAGGTAAAGGGAGAATGACAGAGAAGAAGTTCTTTTTTATGTAACTTGAGTTCACGAGATAAAAATGATTCATCGTCCTCCGAGTCATCGCCAGGAACGGAATCAGAGCAGGAGACTGGCCGGCAAAAGGATAATCCGACAAGCTTTGAGAAGCTTCAAAAAAAAAAAAAAAAAATATCCCATATCTACAAATATATCGTTGGCGTGGGAAAAACAGTTTAGAACGGCTTTCAGGACTGAAGATGGCTAAATCTAACGGGCCCCAGCCATCTGGGATGGAATATAAACCAGTCAACAAGCTAAAACGACAGCAGCTCCATATCAGACGCAAGCAGACCAAGGACGCAGAGACACGAGCATTGCGCTTTGCCAGACGGAAGGAAGAAGCAAAGAACCCGAAATTGAAAGCGGAACGATTGAAGCGGAATGTACCCTTGACATTGGAGAGAAAGCGAGTGTGGGATGACACCGGCAGCGATGTTGAAGATGGGCTAGGGTTGAGCTTCGACGTGGAGAGAATAAAGCGACGAAAACAAGAAGAGGAGCAGGAGAAGGAGGAGAAAGATGATTTGATACCCTCGGGAGACGAAGCTGGTAGCGGTGACGATGCCTCAGACGATGTCGACAGTATGGTTGATTTCGGCAGCGATGAGGACGTGGAAGACGGAGAAGAAGACAAACCAAGTCAGAAATCTGGTCCCCAGACAAGGAAGAACAGAGTCCCATCCGCCACAGAACGAGCAACGAGCCCTACACAGTCGACTCGAAGCACGAATATTGATTTTGCGCCTGATGCGCTTGCTGCGAAATTCCCCAGTCTCTTCCCAACCGAAACTCCTCCACCACCTAAAATACTAATCACGACCTCGCTAAATTCCACCCTTCACCAGCAAGCCAAACTTCTAACAGAGTTTTTCCCTAACAGTGTCTATATCCGCCGCTCGGCGCATAGATATAGTCATAAATTCTCCATACGAGAGATTTCATCCTTTGCCGCCAATCGAAACTATACCGCTGTTGTGGTGTTGGAGGAGGACCTGAAACGTGTCTCGGGCCTGACTATAGTACACCTTCCCGTTGGACCGACATTTCATTTTTCCATTAGCAACTGGATAGAGGGCAAAAAGCTCCCTGGACACGGAAATCCAACCGGCCACTGGCCTGAACTTATCCTTAACAATTTCCGGACTCCGCTTGGCCTATTGACCGCTCACTTATTCCGCACCCTGTTTCCACCACAGCCGGAGTTACAGGGGAGGCAAGTGGTGACATTGCATAATCAGCGTGATTATATATTTGTCAGGCGGCATCGATATATGTTCCGCGACAAGAGAGAGACTGAGAAATGCGTAGTTGACGCTAATGGGGTAGAGATGAAGGGTGTGGAGGGGATTCGTGCAGGTTTACAAGAGCTAGGCCCACGTTTTACTCTAAAACTACGGCGAATCGATAAAGGGATTCAGAGGAAGAGTGGTCAAGATTGGGAGTGGAAGGGCCGCATGGAAAAAGTCCGAACGAAATTCCAACTTTAGTTGATACCCTGTTTAATGCCATTATTGACTCTTGGACTTGGATACCCCCTAAAAAGGCGCGATTTGTATATCTATTCTCTACTAAGTCTAGGTCAACAACCCTTTAAATAAGTTTGGTTTAAATATCAAGTTGATGCGGCTTAAAATGGCTGCGCTAACGAGCGAGTTAGTATTTTGTTTCCAAGTTTGATACATCCGTGTAGGCATAACACAGACTTTTTCACTAGAGAACAAATATAATTAACAATACAAGCGAGTTTGGACAATATTCCAACATATACCCATACTACTCCGCTGGGAAAGTCACTGATTAATAATTGGAATGGATGACACTGATCGTCATCTCATCCTCCAAAGTTCACTCCACGGAATCCCACTATCGATTGCAATGTCACGTCATTTTAAAGGATCTTGAGGTAGATATCGATGCAGTTAAACAGAGTTAAATACATTTAGACCAAAAAATATGTCCATTCTAAGTCTTCCTCGCGAACTCCGAGACATCATCGTCGACATTGTCTTAACGTCTACAGTTTCCATGCCCACCAAACCAGCGGCCACGGAAAAACGAGATGGACCTACATCCGGAGCCGAAGAGCACAGGGAAGCCAAGGAAGAATACACTACCACTAGCCTTCCTCTCCTCCTCGTTAATCGACAGTTTTACGCTGAGACGAAAGATGCTATTGGCAAATTCTTGGAGGAAGACGAACTGCAGAATCGGCCTATATGGGGAACAAGGAGGAAACGGCGAGAGCTAACCTACAAGTTCGATATAATGCTTGTTAATGATACCTACGTGTGGCCGAGCCGAGTTTGCGTTCCATTTCTGGCTCGACGAGTTGATAACGTGGACGTGACTATCCAGGCTTTTGGTACTGCCCCAGTTACAAGGGAAACCCTTTCAGGTGTGAATGCGTTCAAAAGTGATATGGGTGCAACAGAGGTTCAATGGTCCTTCTACCGCCTGTTAGTATATCTTCTCAGACATGGCCCTCGAAGGGAAATGTGGACTCAAAGAAGACCGCTTCAAAACAAAAGCATCAAAGGAGGATTACGGCCAACCAGTCCAAATAACAACACGGCCATTGGTGTCCTAACGATAGACTTTCAGAAATCTACAGATAACATCGCAACCGATGATATATTTGACAACTGGACCGAATCCGAGGAGTACTATTCATTTGCAGAATGGAAATCATGCCGAGGCAACCCATTTCAAGAGAAAGGCTGGGAAGACGTTCACCGCATAGTCGTTCGTCCCCAGTGGCTGAAGCGCTATTTAGTCTCGCGCCTCATGTACATGTTGAGTATGAACTACCATGCCGCCGAATATAGCTCTATCCTATACGAAACGATTGGGAGCATAAAGATTTTGCTTGATGGGGTTTTTCAAACGGAGGTACATCTTGCTGAGAAACTGGCAGCCTTGAGGTATGATAATGCAACGGATACATTTGGACACTTACAGAGAGAGGACCGGTTGGATGCATTTTGGAAGTGGAAAAGGGAAGCTCTGAGGCTGCGAAGGGAACGGGGCTTGCCTGTTATTTATCCAACGGACCCTGAGCTCGAGGATATTCCACCCACTGTTTGACGTGAAATCTTCCGCTTTCATATCGGCATTGCCCCAATATCTTTCTTCTTTTAAATATGAATTCTCGGTTGAATAACATCTGGACTGCTGGTATATGTAAAGTACTAGTTGAATTCTGTCTTTTGTACTAATTTCTCCTTTCGTCTAGATCTCAGCCCAATCGGGAATATAGGCAACAAGACGAATGATAAAGGCTAATAAAACAAATTTCATGGAAGGAGAGCGAGCACAGAAATCGCTCGGTGAGTACAATACAGAGGATGCTCCATAGCCAACGAAAAACAACTTTGTCGCTCATCTGCTGTGTAATGTAATGCAAGTCGAGAAACCATGTATGAGGACCGGGAACGGCGAGCCAAAGGTGAGCCAAGGCTTGGTAAGAGGGAAAGGAAACATAAGGTAAGGTATTGGGAAAATGGTATATCAAGAATTTTCAACTCAAACTTGCAGGGTGGTGGGTATTGGAATAGCTTTATTATAATAAACTATTCAACGAAGGGAAGGTCAATTTGAAGTGAAGGAAATTATGGGTTCAATGAATGATTATAAGGGGGAATTGGATAGGAGGGTTTATTTTCCTGCACTTCGCCGGATGGATGAAAGCATGATTGGCGCCTCTGCCGGGCCAAATTCTATAAGAAGAGCCTTGCCATCGTCTATGGTCAGATGCTCTCTTCGCCTGCATCGTCTTGCTGGTAGCCACTCCGGTCAAGGCTTCTATCTGGCATATCTGCTGGGAGTGGAGGAGGTGGAGGAGGGGGGGGAGTTCCATATGAATTTTCCTTCCCTGGCGATCTCGAGCTAGGTGTGTTATCATCATCTAGGTAGACTTCGTCATCCCTTTTTCTCTTTAACCCCCCGTCAAAATCGTCAACCGCCATAGAATTACCAGGGCTCATCGGTGGTGGCGGTGGCGGAGGTACTGGAGGAGATTCAGATCGTTGCCGTTTGGAAGGGGACGATCCTTCAAATGTTTCATTAATGGCCTCCCCTATTGCATTCTCAACATCGCGCTTCCTCTTTAGGCTGCCTCCTAGTGTCACACCTTCATCTTCCTGCGGTGATGAACCTTGGATTCCCTCTTGATTGAGGTCATCATTGTCGGATAGATTAACATCACCTTCAGCATCGCTTTCATCTTGTTTATCCACACCAGCATCAACTTGTTCCTGCGAGCCATTGTTTGTCGACTTGTTGTGCTTGCTTCTATACTCGGCTTTCTTTTTCTCATGCGCTCGGTGTTTTGCAACAGCCTTGTCAAAGTATTCTTTACAATACTTTTTCACTTGCTTTATTTGCTTTTCATTAATCTTTGTTGGATCACTAACACGGTTATTCTTAAAATCAGAATTCACAAGCTTTTTGCCAACCTATTAACAGTTTAGGATCAGTTTTATAGTTCTTCATGTGGTTATAATAAAGTAAATAACCTACCTCCTTTGCATATCGCTTTAGGTCTTCCTTGGGCAGCTTGTGTTTGAATTTATCCATCACATACTTGACGTGTGGGAACAGCTATAAAGCAGTAAGGTTAGTTTATACCATGATCGAGGTAAGGGCAAGAATTTGACGCGCATAACATACAGTATTTTCGTAAAGCCTTTTCTGTTTCTCCTCACTATATGATTTCCATTTTTGCTTGTGTGCCTTCTTTTCCGGGACATCGGCGGGAGTTGCAGGAGTGGCAGACTTATCCTTAGATTTAGGGGTGTCCTCTTTTGTATTCATGATTCCGTCGATGATATCCTGTAGTGTTTTATCCTTTGATTCAGGCTTTGGTGGAGGAGGTGGCTGTGGTGCAGGCGCTGTTGGCCGGGCCCATGTAGTATCGCCTCGAGCAGAGTAGTAGTATGTTTTCCCATTAGCCTCTGCCGCAAACCATCCAGAAGGTAATGGGTTGAATGGGCGACGGAATTGCCGTGGCCCTTGATGGTATGTGTTTCTGTGGGACTTTCCACCTCTATTAAGAGCTGCCGGACCACGCGGGGCAACCCTGGTAGGGTCAACTGAAGGAGATCGGGGAGACCTAGAGCGTGATTTTGATCTCGACTTCCGTGGGCGATCCTCGCGCATTTCTCTGCGCTCAAATTGTTTTGCGGAAGGTACATTAACTATCGTAGCGGGGTCTCTCTTCATACGAGGAATTCGATAACCAACTTCGAGGGCAGACCAAATCTCGAGTAGTGAAGCAGCTTGTTTCTCGACTCGCTCATCGCCACACTCCGTCAGTGGCTTGACAGTAGTTTCAATCTTGGAATCGATGATTTTGTTGCGAGTAAGTCGTGGGAATCTATCCAAGATCTGGAGAATCTGCAAGACAACGTTGAAGTCTTCTTTCCAAGTAGCAAGCTGCGAGTTGAGAATCTGATAACCGTGCATTTTAACAATCCTGTTGGTGACCCGTTCATCCTCACAGCGCTGAATACGGCCTAGCAGCTTAACAGCAATCCACTTCTCTTTGCATTGCATGAGAGTTGCCATGACCTTTGTGACGCCCTCTTCGTCCAGTGATTTGGGCTGGAATCTATCGACATATTCCTCGTCATCCTCGGAAGTCTTCTTCTTCTTTGGGCGTTTTGGAAGAGCAGTGTCCCAGCTATCCAGATCGTCAATTCCCAAAGCTTCAATTGTGGCATTAGATAGCTTCGTTGCTCGTTCTGTCTGTGTCTTCCCACCGATGTAGCCGAGACAGTTTGCCTCTCCACAGTAGCATGGCTGGGGATCGGCGCCATACCGGTCCACGTTGTAGTTAAAGACCAACTCTTCACCCGCCTTGACATACCGTTCAGCGAATATGCCCATGCGGAGTTTTTCCCCAACGACCCATTTATCGATATAGCAATTGGGGTTGCAGGAATGATTGCAGAATCTCCCCAGGTTGCCTTTTCTTGTTGCGTCAACAAATTCGCCCTTGTTCAATGACATGAAGTAGAAATGTTTGATTCCTTCCTCGTCATACTGAATCATACGCCGTCTAAACTGTGGTTCGTTGATAACTTCACCAATATACTCGTAGATGAAGTCATTGGGTCGAAGATCGGTATTAGCACGAAGTCCGAATCCTTTCTTCTCTGTCTTGATAACAGTAACATCAGCATATTGTCGTTGCTGGAACCGTTGATTCTGGCAATTGTCGCCGCATCCACAGTTCTGAACACATTCCATCTTTGTCGCCCTATTGATGCAATCGGTGTCTTCTCCGCATGCTTCATTTATTCCTGTCTTGGGGTCTATACCAGTCTTAGTTAGCCCATGTATAGTTATTCTTATATATATATATATATATATATAAAAAGGTAGGAAAGATAAAGAAGTAAGATAAACGGGCAAGACAATGAGAGTGCAATGCGTCCTTGAAGGTAAAAGGTTTCTGTGATAAACTGGACAAGTCTATATAGGGGATTACTCACTCCACTCTTCTGCGCAGTCACACTCCATGGCATGATCAGTGTAACCCATATTCTTATTTGAATACGTGCAGGCATCCATTACTTGAAAAAGGGAGGTAGCCTCTTCAGTGCTGTCTGGGAGATGGTCGAACATCTGCGGCTGCCTTGGAACAACCTTCTTAGAGGCAGAGCGAGCCAGCTTCGGAGGCTGACCCGGCTCTTGTTTGACGGTGATGTCGCCTCCAACTTTTTCTTCAGGTTCATCATCTTTTAGGGTTGAAGAGGACCTCTCGGGCGATGAGACTGCTGATGATTTGGCTGGCGTGGCGGGAGTGCCATTGGCCTCGCCATTCTTAGAAGGCCTGCCATTGAGGGATACATCCTCTGTCGAGTTGTCTAGCTCCAGCTTCATCTCTGTTACCGCATCTGCTACAGATTCTGCCTTCGCATCAACATCATCATGGCGAGCCATGAGGCTAACGGGAAACTCCCTTAGATGGCGTCTATCCGTCAAAGCTGCGATGCTTCAAGTAAAAAAGTAATGATCGGACCTAGCGAGAAAGGCTAGAGAGGACAGATTTTGCGACTCCAAGCCCCTCATCAACACACTCTTACGCTCTCGCGGTGTTTTGGTTCTTTGACGCCTTTTTTTGCTGTCCGGGGATCGGAAATCTACCGCCAAGACGCCGTCGACCATGCAGCCCCTACCGCGAGAAACTGTTACCGACTGCCACTACCCCCAGGCCGATAGATGTACGGAGTACGGTAGAGCAGTAGGGTGGTGAGATGGCGAGGCTCAGGGGGCGCCGTGAAGACGTTAAAAATGCGTGAGGTTTGAACGTTGTTCGACTTTAGAAGTTTTCGAAGTTTTTGGGGGTGAATGAAAGACGAAAAGGGCAGTGGCACAGTGGCAATAGTGGCAATACGTGGATGTAAAGGGAGGGAGATAAAAACCGACGGGCTGAAGAGAAAAAACCGAGCTCCGGGCGCAGTGAAGAGTTGATATGGGTGCCTGGCATGCACGGAATAGAAAATAAAAGGCCGAGACGAGGCAGAGGGAGTGAGAGCTGGTGATGAAGATGGAGAGACACAGGTTCTTGGAGTCCCCCTCGGATGAAAGGCGATGGGAAGATGCGATTTTCAGTGAATAGCCAGCATCAAAGCTGCCCAAAGAAACATGTCCTCTCCTCGTGATGCTTCTATTGTGTCCTCCTAGAGGGCGTCTCTCTATATATCCCAGGTGCTGCAGGGCTCTTTTAACTCCTCTTGGTGGTCAGATGGTGGTATGGCAGTCAAGCTGCAGGGCATAGTCGTAAATCAAGTATCAGTGACTCCCAGTGGATCAGTGATATAATCTCTCCAGATATCTGCAACTCTTCTCCCCTATCCGTCCTGGAAATAGCCTGATAGAAACAAAAAAGAAGGCTGGTTGAAGACACCAATGGCTTTGGATGGTTTGAGGTGAGGTCGAAAGGCAAGAAGATTTTCTAATAAAAAGTTGAGGTGGCTTAGGTGAGTGGCAGTAGCACTAGTTCCAAACTCCAGCAAAAAAAAAAAAAAAAACAAACGAGACCAACCGCTCTGGCAGGCCTCAACCACTCACTAACTAGAACTAATAACATGCTGGTCCTTCGTTCAGGCCGAACGGACTTTGGGCCCTTGTACGTACATCGGGGAAACGATCATCCTCAACCCAGGGATTATCACCATCGGAGATTCTTTGGCAGAATCCCGCAGAACTGCTTTTCCAGGGGACCCTTATAACCATACATCAAATTGACAGTTCCTGGCAAACGTGTCGAAACAGCCGGAGACATGAACGATGGTCTTCAGCGGTCCAAGGCATTCAAGACGTCAGGACGTCCAGGAAACCGGAATCGCCATGCCCATGCGGGCCAGAGAGGGCACTATACCCATATAATAGCCTGCCCGGCTGCCCCAGGCATCATTTGTCCAACTTAATCGGCATGTACCAGTCGGCCCGCCACAAGCACGAGACGGATGTTGCCAAGATGCAAGGCCGAACCGACGAGGACCTGATTCCGGCCAAAAACCATCGAACCTACCAAGCTGGTATGTAGTTCATGGGCCATAATCACAATTCACCATTCACCATTCACCATGTTTCCAGTGTTTGTTGGTTGCAATCTGTATAACGGCAATGCTGAAGACGAAAATCGGATTATCGGAAAGACGTTTTCAAACAGTCATTGAATATTCAGGAGAAATATCCAGATTGATTGCACAATGTAACCGCAAATCGGTCAAACCAACCGTTAAAGTATGAGAGTAATTGGGTTAGTAAGATGGTGCGGAAGGCGATGAAGATGCGCCTGGCCATGGCTGAGGGTCGTACCCTGAGATAAAGCTGTTGCTGCATCACACCAAAAGTTGGGGCCGGGTTTGGGACATAGTAGCCAAGTAGATTCGTGTCGAAGGTATGAACACCTGATACGACGCGTCCGGAGAGACATGAGGGTGTCAAAGAGAGGTATAGTCGATGTCACGGTATGAAGCACAGGTGAGAGAGCAAAAAAGGGGCGGAAGACGCTTTACCTGCAGCAGCACCCAACAAAAAACAAACCATCAAGTATAGTTGATAACAGCCAAATGTATATAAACTTCCCATTCTGTATCGATGATCGGAAGTTCATAACAGGCCATCACGGACTGACTCTGCTTAGTTATATGAAAGCGCGACCTGAAACCCAAAAACATGAGAGGCGCGAATTCCCATGTCCGCATCAAGAGGACGGCTTGATTGGCGGATGATCAACACGGCCAGTGCCATAGTCCGGAGTAAATCAGTTGACTGGCAGCCTCTGTACGCATGTTGAACAGAGCGGTGCTGCTTGGTTCGTGGGCAGCAAGCGAGTTTCGAAGGTTTGTGAGATGGACGGGGGATTCGCGGGTAAGGCTGATGATATCCATTGATTGGATCGAAGAGCATTTCATTGGCAACTAGTGCTCGTGTCTTCCATACGTCAGGCAGACCAGCAAATGCATATTGATACATTACACTCCCTGTGTCCATGGAACTCCACGGGTCGAGTTGTGATACTCAAAAGTATCCCGCAGTCTGCAGATGCAGGCTCGATGTCGATGTAGCGGCGGCAGACAGCGTATGTTCGATGGGCCCCAGGCGAATGTAAAACATTCTGCAGCGCCATATAGCACTCCTCTCATCCGTCTTTCATCTCTCTCTATCGCCGCCGTCGTCAATAACACGCTCGCTGAAGACCAGGCGCGGGCGAGCTCTCAGCGAAGTGACAGACCGCCATCCAACGCGCAACTGTCCTGCGAATATGTACAAGTACGGAGTACTTAATGCATATCTTCCAAACGCATTTCTCACTGCGATACTCGAGGTTTCACGCCTAAGAAACATGTTAACAAACCGAGTCGTGAGATGAAAAGTCGTTGCTTCGGGCTAGAGGCGAGAGCTCTTGACCGCAAACAGAGCCAAGCTTCATATTTCAACCTCACCAAAATGTTGATAGACAAACGAAGCTCCTCAACTCCAACAACCACCGTATAATATGAGATAACATCCCTATACTTACGTCTTTGGCTTTATTATTTGCGACAGAAACGCTTCCGGGTCGCCTTTAGATCGCGATATTGTCGCGACGTAAAGGCGGTGGGGAAACCGGCAAAGCTCGACGTCTAGAGATGTCTCTACGAATATGAGCTAGAAATATATATACCCCATTCCATACTCCAGGTCTCTCTCCTCTACTTTTAGATTATATCTATATTATTGATATATGTGATAAAGTACGATGGTGCCAACATGAATTATCTTACCATATACACGGTTCTTATCTGGCTCCTCCACCTGACGGCAGGCTTCCCCAGTGGAATATATGGCTGTGATGAAAAACAGACCAGCCTGGTAAAGAGAGGAATCACCGATTCCATTCTAGTTGTGAGGTTCCATGTTGTTTTACTTCAACGACAACCAGTCCTATATTATAATCTAATACTTTGTGAATAGGCTCGCGCAGCGCTTATTCGACTGAAAGATCTTCATACTATTCTCAAATGGGAGCCCAATGGAAAGACTAATATTGGTGGGCATGACCGAGCTGCTCTTGAGACCTTTGAATCCATATACGGCCAAGTATATTGGGGCAGAGGGAGGAGTGAGAATTCGGGTGGGCTTAGCCTTTTGCGAGATATCATAAGTTATTAACCCTGGGCAATTTTTCCCGGCTAGATTTAATGCTAAATTGTACGATTTAGCCCGCACGGAGAACTTCCTGAGGAGCGCAACTGAGCGGAACCCGGATATTGATATATGGTGTAGTGAAGATTTCTTCACCAAGGAATACCCAAAGGATATCGAAGGTATGACAGATTCATACGCCATGCCGTTATTACCGCTGCCCCACTGGATATTCTTTCTCCAATCTTCACTAACGTAATTGCTCCTGGTTTGTCTAGTGATTGACAAGGAGGACTGGTGGGATAGTCGTCCTGCCGAAAGAGGCGGCCAAGTACTAGTCGAAAATAGGTGGGTTGGGTGTAATGATGACTATGCCTACTCGAGAAACGTAGAACTGGACGATGGGAAGACAATAACGGTTCTGGTGCTCTGCCCGCCTTCATTTGAGGAATGGAGTAACAGCCAGTTTAGTGGTCCCCTTGCAGATATCCGAGCAATGGATATGAAAAAGGATACCCCCCTGGACAAAATTACTGAGAATAACATAGCTGGCACCCTTCTTCATGAGTTCTCTCACGCGGAAACACTTCTGTCAGGGCTAGAAACAGGTACGTATTATGCCCCAGGTTTATTTCGCGCGCGGTCAAATATAGCGCCTCGAGCGCCATAGCTTTTGTGGCTAAAAAAAAATCTGGAAAACCAGTGGACGTAAATAATTCCGAGGGGAATAGTTACGGCTGGGAGGCAATTACGCTGCTTGCAAAGGAGACCAGAGATGGTGCTTTGGACAACGGTGGTGAGTTCTCTGCTGTGCGACCCAACTAAAGGCCTGGTAACCTTGTATCTATAGCTACTAACAAGGTTTAAACAACATAGACAGCTATATGTTCATACTCATGGGTAAGCCACTTCCTATGCCTAATGGGGAGGCGCGTACATTTTATTCTAGCTAACTGGCCTACCTGCAGCACTGTACCTCGACAAAAATAACTGGTATAGTGGAATAGCTCAAGAAGTGCCACCTCTCGCTCATGGCGTCCTGGAAGAGGAAGAGGATGGGAACCCTAAGCATGAGCCCACGAACGATAGCTGATTTTATCTGCTCAAAATTTTAGGCGGCTATTATGAGTGGCCTGGGAGAATAACAACCTGTCATATTTCACTAAGCTTCTTGGCCGGTCCCAAAGCTATTCATCTCTTTGCAATTCGTCCGTAGTTAAACGGAAGAGCACGCCTGAAATGCAAATTACAACCTGCTGACAGCTAATATGAACATGCCAACCGTTGCTACTGTATGGTCGTCTGTAGTGCAAGCAAGGGTCCACCAACACGAACTGAGTACGGAACATACTCATACATATCCAGACCAAGTGGAGCTGATATACAGAGTACCCGGCCAGCGGATGATTCGCATATCTTACTAGCGCCCTCTACCTGTCTGGCCTGACGTTTGGTGTACTCCATACACCAAGAGGAAGCAGAAGAAGCCGAAGAAGAAGAAAACACGAGAAAAAAGAGGAAGGTCATGTTGCAGAGTCGGACTGGAGCAGAACGAGGGAGAGAGGGAATGCAGCTGCAGCGCAACCTGTTCAGTCATGGCAATGTACCAAGCCGGAAGATACTTTTGACAATGTACTCCGTACTCCGTATCAAACAACGTTACACCGGACAGGCGGGAGATACACGAGCTGTGAGCAAAAAGGTAGAAGAATAGACGTTTACACCGGCGTCCGGTGCCTGGCTAGTAACAGACTAATAAACCCTGCTAGTCGAGAGAGGAGATTGGGTTCCTAAACTTGTTCTACCCTATCTATATCTCCTCCCTCCCCCCTAGTCGACGGTGTACGGTGCTACAGATGATAATCTACCTGCACGCCCAACGATCTCCATTCCAGCCAGATCCCCCCTGGCCAGCCGCCCTCTTCTTTGTTTGTTTCTCGTGGGTTGCGCAGCAGCAGCAGCAGGGCGGCTCCAATCATCCAGCTTCCCTGCAACATGGCTCCTCCCCGTCTGTGTTGCCCTCCAATTACAGATCTTTCCGTGCCTCTCCACGTCGGATCCATCCTATCCTCCGCGAGAAGCTCAACCTAAACAGCTCCAGGGCGAGCACGCAACCCGAGAATAGCCTTAGGTTCTGGCGCCTAGTTAGGGCTCTTATAGGGAGCGAAGCGAGGATCAGCTGCTTGTGGGAACAGACGGGCTTATCGACGTGGATTGAACCAGTATATAGAAGCAACCAGCTATCACCGAAAAAGGGAGCAAATGAGGGAGAGTAAAATAAGATAAAACAAAAATATTAAAAAAAGAAAACCGACCAACACGCAGCTTCACTGGCATGGGTTTAATTTTGGAGCCCCCAAATCTTCCCTCGTTGACGCCCTGTGCGACGAGGCTTATCGGCCAAACTTCGAGAACAGCTTCCGGGGCACTTGTTTCTAGATGTCTCAGGACTTTTGTTTCGTTTGAATTACAGAGTTACATTCCACCAAACAGCCAAACAGAAAATGTTATCCACAGGATTTCATCACGACACTGCAGCCAATCACCAACGGCCAATCTACGCTTTGAAGCATTTGTTCCTGGCCGATATGCGCAATTAGCACAAGCAAATAATGATATGATCGCTGATAAGGCCGGTCTTCCGGCTTCTGGCTACCAACCAGTATCGGACAGGACGAAGGAATTACACGATCAAAGTTTGGCCCCGATATTGGTCAATCTATATACTCCGTACAGGCGCTTCAGTTAAATCGAAACTATTTGCCACGGAGTACAACTCATTCGTCCACAAACAGACGGCGCTTGATAGTGGCAACGGCCGGGCGACTCACATCCTGAGGTCAAGAGAAGCAGCAGCAGCACGAATAAGAAAAGAAAAGAAAAAAAGAGGACCAGGTCTGCAGGTTTCCTAGGCCAGCTCCACCCCCCAGTCTGCCCTCTGGCATCCGGCGCTGGTATCACTTTGGGGCTGCGTGTGTCCCTCTCCTATTTGAAGGATTGTACGGAGTATACGTTCCTCAGTCGGAAGAAAACGACGAAATAAGAAGGATAACAGAAAAAGGAAAGAGGAAAAAGGGTAAAGAAAAAGGAACGGGAGACCAGCCCTCCGGAGCGATCTTCTAGCCGGCCGCAACACATCCTCGTTCCCTGCAGCTGCATGCGACTGCTTCACGGGTGTCGTCTCTCGTCGTCTCTCTGCTGCCTGGACGCGTTTATGGCCGCCGTCCTGTCCTGCCCTCCTGTCGTGACCAAGACGGAGGAGGCAGAGGCACGATCTCTCAAGGCCGGCTAGGTGTTTCAAGCCTTGCTGGCCCGTCAATCGGGTTTTCCGTCCTCACTGATTGGCCGCTTGATGCTCGAAAATATCCAAGCAACTCCTGCCTGCATGCCTGCAACGGGCTAGCCTGGCGAGTTTTGGATTCATCTCTTGCATGAAGAGACGTACCCACTGGGATCGGTACTTCATTTTGTGTGGCTGCCTCGCCCAAACGGCTTGTACCTCTTCCAGCGAACTGAAAAAAAGAGGCCCTCCTGGTATTTAAACGGTATCGACGTGACCGTAGCTGTACTTGCGAGTACCTTTTTTCCCCATAAAAATCAACCTTCTTTTGTTCTCGCGGTCTTTCCAACCTCATCGCTAACTATCTCACCTCCTGTCTCTCTCTCTCTTCTTCCTCTTCCTCTTCTTCCTCTTCTTCTTCTTCCTCCTCCTCCTCCTCCTCCTCTTCTTCTTCCTCCTCTTCTTCCCCTTCTCGCCCTTCTCCCTTTGCCTCTTACGGCCCTTTTATTCCCCCTGTTTCCCCGTTGCCCCGTTGCCCCGTCCCCCGTTCCCTTCCCCCATCACTCGTTTCAAGTCTCTCCTTGATGTTCCCGGAATAACGAACTCGCGTTGTCCATTCCAGCAGTGCTCATTGATACGCCCGTTATCTCAAGCTATACTGCCCCGTCCGGCCAAAAATCAATGCAAAACCGGCCAAATCAATGCCCCAGCTTCTTTGTCGCACACCCAGAAACACTGCTCTAGTTGTCCTACGAATGAATTAAATACGAGCTTCTTATTTACTTTCCTGTTACGCTTTTTTTATGCTTTATTCTTCTTTTTTTTGTTTGCTTCACCAATCCCCAATCCCCGTTAGCTCAATGGTGACAACTACTACCACCCTCGTGGCTAGTATCCTTGTACCAACATAATTCTTTCCTGCCGACTTACATATTCCCGCTGTACACACACACAATCTCTCTCACACTCACTCTCTCTGTCCTGGGTTTCAATTGCGTGTCGCCACTCCCGCGCCCACGCTTCCGTTCGTTATTATATACAAGATTCCCTTTCTGTGGCCTCGCGCTGCCGCTGCCGCTTGCTCAGCTATTCGTTGCTGAAGGAAAACGGGTTACGGCTTTGATCAAAACATCTCTTGAACCCTCCCCCACGTCCCGGAGTGTGGGGTTATTTACCGTTGGTTGGATCTCTGTTGTTTTTTTTACCATCAATCCAATCTTCATTTCTCTACCTTCGTTTTGCGCAGCTGCTTGCTGGCTGTAGCAACTCCCCATTTCGTCCAAACTATTTCATCAGCTACTTTCGACTACGACGTGTGAACTTAGCTCTCTCATCCCCTCTACCGCGAGTCTGCTGCAATTTTCCTTGTGTATCTTGCTCGGTTTTTATATGAGCTGTCAACATATGTGCATTCGTTCCTATTTCAGTTGTACATGATCCGGATATGTCCCACCAACAGGACAAACTATGGACGGAGGAGGAGAGGGTACTGATATCATTTCCTTTAACCCGTATATATCTTTTGTTCTATTGGTCCCCGCTGACTTGGATATGTTTTTCTTCCCTCACAGAACTTTCTACTTACTGAGATATTGAAGAAAGCGGGAATCTCCTCGGCGTACCTCTTCAGTATTATCAGGGAGAACCGTATAGCCCCGAGCTGGATGGAGATTCCACTTCCACCGGGTAACAACCCCCTCAACCCCCCCATCACCCACCAAAGTGATCTTTATTCAGCAGGATTGTCTGGACGATGATGTTCACTGTTCACTCCGCGCACACGCTTTAACAGCATATATTGACTGTTGGATACGTAGGGCGGTCACTCAGCTCCTGCCAAACGGCGTTCTATCGCATGGAACAGGAGTACACGAGTCAACAGTACAGACAGAGTCTCCCGGGACCAACCACCCTGCAGATGTCCCCGATTATTGGGAAACGACCGCCGCCTGGAACGTTAGAGAGGCCGTCATCCTCCGCTCCCCGCGCCATTCAACCAAAACCGCGCCCTGAAGCCGAACGATACTCCGAAATCCGCCCTGGGGTGCCGATTCCCCGTGTCCCAGAACCTCGTCGTGGAGAACCTCCGCGCAAACGTGGACGACCAAGCAAATTAGATATACAGCAACGTAATCGGAGAGCTGAAGAAGAAGCCGCTCGATTACAGCCTCACCTCGCTCGACCGAATCATACACCAAGAGCTGGCTATAGAGTAGGACCTCCGCACACAGCATCTCCGGGAGGACCCCAAACCCCGTACTCTCCTGCAATGGCCCAACGACCACCTCCATCCGAGCAAATGCGCGAGCCCGACCCGCCAACGCCAATGAGTGTACAGTATCATGGGACCGAGACACCACCATCACAGATACAGGGCATACAGGCGCAAAGAATACCTCGACCGCAGCCAATACAACCGCGAGTGGAGGGTGGCGCGATGCTACAGGATTCGCCGATGATTATAGAAGCAAAAGAACCCAGTAGGGCAGCTCCAGATCCAGATCCTCGCATGTCTCCTACATCTGGGCCGGTAAGCGGCAATGGCCAACGACCGGAAGGCACAACAACAATAGCTGCAACAAAACCAGAGTCCCCGGTTAGCCGGGAACGAGCGTCATCTATACAAGCCGCTGAAGGCCTAGAAGAAGACAAGGGTTCATAGCGACCCGCAAGGGGCAGCACACATATCATGATATGATACTTAGCGCCCCATAAAAGCCAGTCGCGTGGACGAAATACGATATAAGGAGTAATGAGGTCGACAGAGACATATCCTTTCATGAACCAAGTCGCGATGACTTGATGCGAAAACGTAGCCAAGCCGTTCGCCCGCGTTTCCATTTTGTTTTTGCTTTATTTCTTTTTTTTTATTCTTTTTTTTCTCGAAAATTTGCCTTTCCTTCCCGTCCTTCTCTCAGACCACTGCCTCCCAAACGAAGTTACGAATCCAGCCTAATATGGAATCGATTTCACTGCGCGCGCTCTTTCGCCCTACCTATCTACGCTTTTCGGAGGTTTCACGGCCGGTATTCCCTATCGGGAACAGTCTTGTTCCCAATTTCTTTTATCCTACTGGAAGAGGAATCTTGATGAGACGGTGTCTCTTCCTCTTGGTCTAAAAATGCGTGGGAGGCAAATCTGATCATTTAGCAAATTTCACGGACCTGTTGTTATATCGTCTTAAAATTGTTGTTTTTTTGTTTTTTTGTTTTTATTGGTTTTGTTTGTTGTTTTGCTTGTAATTCTCGCTCTGTCTATCTGGTCTCCATCCGCATGGGATATATTTTGGCCCCCTTTGGTTGAATGGCCGCACCATTCATCGAATATTCGACCCTTCCAGACGTCTTGAAGGTCGTCAAAGCCTCGCTTCTTTTACGCGTTCCTGGCCGATGTCTCCTTTGCGCCTGCATGGAGACCCTGGAAAGCTGCTATCATTCTGGCAAAAGGGGCCGAAGCACCAAACGGTCTCGTTCCGTGTCAACTACCCGCCAATCATCATCCACGGGACCCAGCTCTTTCTCTCCTTCGTTTGGCTCATACCCATTTCTCCTTTGTACTGATGTAACTGTTTGCTGCGCTGCTTGTTTCATTTGATTTACTTCAAAAGCTACGCTCCTAATGAACAATGTACGAATAGATTTGGCCTGTTTTTATCTATGAATCAACGAGATATTATCCAATCACATTATTTTCCCTCTCTCCAACGGCCAGCCAGGCTAACTGACCGTTTGTCCGCTGCTCCCCTGCCTTTACATCTACTCCGTACACCTTGTCTGTTCGTAAATAAAAGCCCTCTTCTAGAAAACATGACACCGATAAGGTTATATTCATTTAATTGACTTTCTAGAGCCAATCGAACAATACTCGCTCATCGCATCCTCTCCTTAGGCTATTTTACCTAACAGTTTGCCAGGGCAATAGGGAGTTGCCCCCTACGGTTTAGCGCCTGCAGAGCCGCTTCCCAGGCTATATCGACGGTCTTATATATCAACAACCTCGCTCTGATCTCGCGGCAAGACAGGATTGAGCGTCGAGGGCGATCCGGCCGCGCAACGTCATTCCCACCATGAGTGTGCTCGGTCTTTGCTTGTCTCATCTCTTCCCATGAAGCCGGGATCACTTGTCCGCCGGACGAACGCGCTGGTCAAGACCGGCGATATCTATCCTACTGGGCCATTCCTCACCTCCTAGAGACGCCGACTGCTTATAACCTTTTATCACGCTGCTATCCGACTTCGACCGTGGGTACACACTGCTTTGTCCAAAATCTATGTTTTGTGGCTGCCTGGGGAGCTCTTCCGTATAGCCTATCTAGCATCAGTTGCCTACACCGCCACGGCTAAGACCGCACAGTACAGCTGGGATTCCTCCTGCCTATTTATTCGAATCTCGAGCTTCTTTGTCTCAAGTATAGACTGCTGCAGTCGAATTATCCAGAGAATATCCTGTTAATGGCTGCTTCTTCAGACGGACGCACGGACCTTTCGGCTCTTTATATCCAATACATAACCCTAGCATTCGCCCATATTGCAACCTATTGCATCATGCAGTTGGGTTGCCTACTGAGTTGGCACGATATGGACCAAGGGAAATTGCACGAACAGACATCAGGAAGTTCGCTTAGCTGCTGGCGTCGTGTTTATTCTAAGGAAAGGCTTCAACTAACGCATAGACAGGCAGCAGGGATCTCAGGGTGAGAACGCAGTCAGCGCCACGGCAGACTTCCAACTGGCCAGGGGCAAATGACCCCTTGAACCAGGAGACGCCTTTCAAACATGGGACTCTTTATCCATCACGGGCCATTCCCTTCAAGGTTGCTCCCAGTAGCCTAAGATCTACTATTCACGTGATAGATATTCGCATTAAATATAGATGCAAGGGGTTCCCAAGGGCCTTCTAAACGATAATCCTGGAGCTGAGCCTGTCCCTGAGTCTCCGCGGGGTACTTACTATACTGGTCGGAGCCTGCCAGGCTCACCGGGGGCGACTCCTGTATTCGGGCTTTTCCTCCTGATACAAGTATGTACTTTCACACCAAAGTGTACGTACCTGCAGGGAACATATGTATACACAATGACTTTTATGCATACATGACAAGCATATGGCTTGCATATGTCGCTCGCTTATTCCGTGACTACCCATCAACTGGTATCCTCTAGGAGTCGAGTCCAAGGCACAGGTAGAGCCATTAGGTTAAGCCCTTGTGCAGTTATCTGCTCTATCAGGGGGGGATCAGTGGATATATACGTCTAACTAGACTGCCGCTGCGTGAGATCGAGTCAATGGTGTATATGCAGGCGCGGACTTACTCGATATGATCCTACCCGAAAACCCAAAGACAGTGTGGGAGGAAGGGGGGTTAATGGCTATGCCCGATACGGAATTGAACAGCACCTCGTTCTTCATTGTCTATAGGGGCATCTTACTAGTTTGAACGGGACGGACAAGCCTTAAATTGGCCTTAAATTGATTGATTAGCCGCCCGGAAAGGGGTAGGATCTATATGTAGGAGATCTCTCACGTAACCGTAGCCTATTCGTATGCAGTTTCCCCTCGGGGTATAGTGCCATAGAGCTCTTGACGGGGAATCGCAAATCGCAGGCAGGGTATAAGGCGTCTCTGGGTCCGTGACCGTGGCCCTTATCTCGAGGCCAGGACGAAACAACAAGGAAAACTCCTGGAAGGTTTCGGGGGCGACGGTTACCGAACACCCGTGCATGGATCGGTAGAAGGCTGATGCAACCATTATAAAGTAGCAAGGGTATATCCATAGCTATCTATATATATCCGCTCTCCAGCCCCCAAATCTCAGCAGGGGAAAATAGAAAAGAGAAGGAGGATAAGCCGACAAAAAGAAGATGAGATATGATATATTGAAAACACGCTAAAACGTTACTTCATAGACGAAACAGAACAAGGCTAGCCCTCAGGTCAAACGGTCCCAGCAATGCTTAAATCTCTAATCTCCTGCAGCACCTGTTCTACCTTATTATCCAGGTTACCGGCAGCATACTCCTCTCTCGTGTCCGAGTCGAGATACTGCTGAACCTGAGCCATACGGCTGTACGCCTCAGCACAAAAACGGAGCTGAATCTTGACCAGAGCCTCGAACGATGGGTCGAGGTAGGGAACCCGCAGATCGATAAGCTGGGGCAATTCGTTATATAGTTGTTCATTTAATTGGTCGTAGGCCTGTTTGGCCATTTCAGCGTCCTTTTCGGCGCGCGGTAGCTTGGTGGCATCCTTGTCTGGTTTTTCCACGAGCTTCTTGACTTTGGCACGCATAGAGTCGTAGTCGAGAAGCTTGTGGTTGCGTTTCTTGATGCATTCGTTGATGTCGGGGAAGTATGCACAGAAACGAGAAATTGGGTCAAGAACAGTTGTTCTAGGGACACGTTAAACTGATGAATCTCAATTTGCAAGTGCAAGATGAGTGGACGAGGATTGCTAACCTGTAGGGCCCATCGAGAGCCTTGATCGTTTCTGCGTCCAGATCTTCAACGGCCTGCTTGTAACTCCTGCTCACTCCATCCTTGGCACCAGCATCGCCGTAAAAGGCGTCAATAGTCTCGGCAATTCGCATCTGAGAAGCAGTCATAGCTAGTAAGACTATTAGCGACCTGTTCTGTGAGACACCAGGGCTGAATGGCAGTGCTAACCTCGCAATGAGTCCAAATACCCCTTTGCCTCCTTCTGCAGCCTATTCGCCGCGGATTCCATTGTGCGATAACGTCTTTCTTCAATTTCATAGTCGCGATCATTGGTCTTCTCAACATGACCTGTTATCCCCCAGTGTCAGCCTTGTCCAAACAGCGTACAGGTCCAGGTTCGAGCAGACGTACCAGTCTTCATCATCACCTGGGTCGTTGCCCGGTTGACATTTTTCTTAAATCCTAATCGAAAAAACCGCATCAGCCTCAGTCATTGGAAAGCCCAGATCGATAATCGAATCTAGCTGACTAGTTGAAGAGAAATTCGCCGGGATCCCGCTGCATCCACATACCAGCCCAAGACATCGTAGAGTCGTCGCGAACAGTAACAAGCTATCAAAGCGAGGTTGATAAACAATGAGGAGTAGAACCCAAAGGCTATCAAGCGTTTATCTGGAGCAAGGTTCGCTGGTATAACGGCGTCGAGCGAATTCCTTCTTTTGGCGGGGCAGCGATAGCTTGCGTGTTCGCACGGAGCTGATTTCGGAGGCGTAGAACAGGCGGGTATACTCGCTGGTGGTGTAGTCAGGATAATTAGCAGGATCGCAGGTCTGTTCTATGTATCTGGACAGATGGTAGACTTGCTAACAGGGCGAACTGGTCGATGGTTCGGTCCAAGTTCGCTCGATGCGCTGGTTGAGTTGGATGTGGCTGTGGAGGGCGCGCGGCTTGGCGCTTATGTGGCGCATACGTCACGTGAAGAATGGAGCTGATATCTGTTTATAGAACAAGATATAACGATTCACTGGATGGTATAGACATTATCACTGAGATGAAGGGTAGATATGATGCTGATGCCGTGGATGGCACTTATAAGGCTAATCTAGCACATAAACATTGAGATATACAAATGCAAAGGGGCTAGCAACGGTAGTAAGATGTATATACAGGCTACTGCTATGTAAATGCCAGCCGATATAGAGACCTCAGGTTGCGGCGGCAGTCAATAAATCCAACATGAACGAAGACTAAGCCAACATACCAGCCAAGAAAGAGCACCAAGAAAAGATAAGATCAGATCAGATAACGCCGTCGTAAGTCATAAGCGAAAAATCAATCGCGCCAACCGGAAGTAACTATAAACAGGGATGTTTGTTTTTATTCCTCCTCCTCCCCCTTCATTTTCTCCCTCCTCCTCTTCCTTTTTTTTTTCTCTCGGACATTCCCCGACTCGACCGCCGATCGCCATATGCTAGTGATTGGTAGGGGTCCATCCGTATGGGGGATGCGGATAAGGCATGAATGGGCGCGAGTGAGGCAGTAGTTCGTACCCAGCCCGCGGGAGAAGCAAAACGCCAAAAAAGAAAAGAACGCTCCGTATCAAGGCACGAAGGAAGGGAATCGTTCATCCCGTATCTCCCCATCTCCACCTTGGCTACGGAGTAGTCCGTATCGCGTGAGGATGCAGATGCATGCGAGCCACGTTGGAGGGCAGGGTTCTCTAGATAAGCCATAGAAGGCCGATCTAAAAAGAAAAGAAACGATAAAAAACAAAACAAGCAATAAGCAATGACGAAATAACAGCCGATCGAAATGTGGGATGATGGTGTGTTTCTCGGCGTGGATATAGTGTGGTATATATGTGCAGAGAGAGTATGGTGATATATGCAAAAGGAAGAGAGAACCGACCACCCAACCAACCGAAGAAGAGAGAGAGAGAGAACGAGAAATACGTTAAATCATATATCTAATCAATCGACCGTATAATATCGAATCCAACCCCAGTCCAAATCCAAGTAAAGCAAGGCAAGACCATATCACGTATCCCTGTGCATATGAATTCATCGCAAGCCAATGCCAATACCTATTTGGCAAAAAGTAGAGTTTATAACATGAAAGAAGAATAGAAACGGAAAAGGGGTAGTGTAGTGGATGTGGATGGGGCACATATATAGGCACAGAATAAGTATTGTCAGCGCCAGAGAGAGAGATGGAGAGGAAGGGAGGGAGAGAAAGATAAGGAGAAAGAGAAAGAAAGTAATTCGGAATATAGAGAAATGATCGTAATTCATTAGACCAACCAAACCACCTAGTAGAACCACCGACCATCGGTAGAACTACACCAAGAAGTGCCATAGCCACCGCGGTCGAAGGCAAAAGGCCAAGGACCCGCGATCCCGACCACAACCACAACCAAAAACGCAAACAGGGGGGGAAGGGAAAGCGGAAAAAGAAAGGAGTAAGCCACCCAACTTGCATCATAGAAAGTCAGTTAGCCAGCCCGTTCCGTTCCTTTTCATCTATCCTTCTTTATTTTTCTCGTTCGTCGGCCCACCAATCGGACCCGTGCCGTGACCACTTCTATCAGCAGTAACGGCATCGGAAGCGGAAGTGAAATTCATTCCGTGAGTCAAGCGTGTTAGGTTAGAATCCCTCTTCACCAGCTTTGCACAGCTTGATATCCCTCACCCATTCGGATTTGAGAACCTGTGAAGCTGTAATTCGACGACCTGGGTTGGGGTCGAGGATGGAATAGATGACATTCCTGCAGCGTGCCTATACAGAGAACCATCGTTAGTAAGCACATCATGCATAGAAGTGAAAAAAAAAATCGGTACTCACGCGATGCAGGGTTTCGATAGGCGCATAGCCATCTTCATCTCTCCTCCCTTCCAGATATCGATCGTAGAATTCATCCTCCTCCTTCTGCGCCTGACGCCATAGATGTCTACCTGTCCTCATGGCCATGTAAATCACACCCGTAGCCCAAAGATCGACAGCTCTGGGATCGAATTCCTTGTCCACATATTCCTCTGGCGCAATGTATGGCGCAGACCCACATAAACCGGCGGTCATGTGAGCCTCTTTTTCCCACGCCATGCGGAAACATTCACCGTTGCCAAAGTCCGTGATCTTGAGTGCACCGTGCGTAGTGAGTAGGAGGTTTTCCGGCTTGAGATCTCGATGGGCCACGCCCATCTCGTGCATGTATTCGACTCCACGCATGAGCTGTTTGAAGTAGCAGTCTGCCTCGCCCACGTCGAGTTTCCCAGCGGCGAGGATAAGCGTGTAGAGGTCTCCACCGGCGCAGTACTCCATGACCTCGCAGTAGTCGCCTTTAGCGTCCTGCATGAGATCGAGGGTGTGGATGATGTTTGGATGGCGGAGGGAGGAGGAGATGCAGAATTCAGACGTGAGGCGTTTTTGGTATTTCTTGACCGTTTCCTGGGGACGACGGCGGAATTCCTTGACGGCATAGACGTGTTCTGTCTTGGAGTCCTTGGGGTCGATCTTGTGGGAGATACGGACGATACCGAAGGCACCACGGCCGACGATTTCATGGCACTTGCCGTATTTGTCGACGAGGGAGGCGGTGTTGTTAGGACCGCCCTTCTTGTCGGTCGCCATCTTCTCCTTTTCTGTCTTGAGCTGGTCGACCCAGGTAGACATGAGGGAGAGCTGCTGCTGGTCGTCGGCCTGGGGCTGGGCGTGAGGGTCCTCCTTCTTCTTGCCGGCACCGATCATGTCCCGTAGCATGTCTGAGAGCTTCTCCTGGCGTTTGGTGGACTTGAGAGTGTGTATGTGGGTGCCGTCCGGGAGGATCTCGAAGCGTTTCTGGGGCTGGACTGGTTCCTTGCCCTTCTCGACCTTCTTGTCTGCCGGTTTAGACTCTGGTTTCTTGTCCGGCACCTTCTGGTCCACCTTCTTGTCTGCTGGGACGGTGGCTGGCGATGGTGGAGGCAGCATCGGGGTGGCAGGAACTGCTTCTCCATTAGACCTGGGCGGGTCCTGGGCCGGTCTGCTGGGAGAAGCAGCGGCCGACGTCGTCGACGAGCGAGTCTGCGAGAACATGCGGGAGATCCTGTTGGTCATCTTTGCCTTGGGGGGTTTCTGGGGAGAGATCGAAGAGAGGGCCGAGGCGGTTGTGGCGGTGGAAGAAGCGGTGTTGGGAGGACCAGGAGCCGTGGTAGCAGACGGTGGACGAACAGGAGAAGCAGCAGCAGCCAGGTGAGTGTCCTCCATGGCGCGTGTTATCTGGTCTCCATGCTGCGAGTGTGAGGTCGAGGAGGAGACGGAGGACGGGGCCGGGGAGGAGAGCGGCGTTAGTGAATTCATGTGCGGTAGACGGAGAAGGTGATAGCCGAGGAGAAGCAAGGAGGAGAGCAGCAAAAAGAGACGAGAAGAGGAAGAAGAAAAGAAGCCAGGCAGGGCCCGGCAGTCAGCGCGACGACAAAACGGTCGGAGCAACTGTGCTGCTATATATGTAACTGGTGTGTGGGGTGTGTAGTGTAGGTGTGTGTGTGTGTAGAAATGAGGTTGAAGAAAAGGCGAAACGGCGGAGGAGGAGGTGGGCAGGTGGCTTAGTCAGCCACCGCACTCTCTTTCCTGCGGATTTCTTGCTTTTGCTGCTTGCGTTGTGGCTTGGTCAGCGCCTAATCGCGCCTGTCATAGCTGGGCATCGAGCTGCATACCTCTGCATAGGTCGGCATGCACCACCACCGCCGCTCCAGTGCATCACGATGCAGCACGATGCACGAAGATGCAGGAAGATGCAGGAAGATGCATGTCGTAAATCGCGCACCAGGAAACCCGCGGGCCCCGGAAAGCGGGCGTCGCTTCCCCCAGCGTGGACTTGCCCGATCAGGACACCCGCCGGAACATTCCTGCTGACTAACGCCAAGCCTTCAGCCACAAGCTTATCTCAGCTTGATATAAGAGAAAGTTGTGATAGACGAGAGAAGTGAGAAGTGAGAAGCTGATGGAGTGAAAAGGCAGTGTTGAGTGCGTGCTACAGTACTCGTAAGACAGGCTGGCCTAGATCTACCTCTCCTCTGTACGATGTACGCTGTACGCTCCTGCTTGGTGCTACCAGTCCTAGCCCTATCAGCCTACTGGCAACAGCCGCAGCAGCCGGCAGCCCTACCGTGGTGACCTTGGTCTGACATTGGTCTGACATTGCTCTTGGCGCGACTGTAGCTGAAGAAGCTGAGATGGCTGCCCCGGGCCGGCCGCCGAGTCGGTGTTTGGCCGTGGTCTGTGGGTAGGTATGTACATGCATGGCCAGGTATCCGTCAGGCCTCTCTGTGGCTTGTTGTTGAATCCCGTCCAGCTTGTTACTTCATCGCTCTTGGCCTGTCTTGGCGTTGTCTACTCGATCGGACAGCTGTGACATATAGTATGGCATCGACTATCGCCCAGGCATGTACCAGAACTATGACAGGACTCGGGTCTAGACCACAATTAACATCTATATCAACCGTCCAGGGGAAAGATACGTACCACAAACTGTTCCAGTGACTCTTCGAAGAGCTCGTTATACACGCCCACGCCGCCAGGGTGCTCGACGGGGGACAGAGGGTTCTTGACGACTACCACCGCATCACGAGTTAGCATATCTTCCTGCATTATAGGGGGACGGGCGCTGGCTGACCGTATTCTACGTAGAGGTTGACGTATATCTGGTGCAGGGCCAGGCGCATGTTGTTCGCCTTGGTGTCCGTCATCATCACAAACTTCAGGTTCGTCGGCGTCTCGTAGTAGTGTAGCTTATACTGGCCCGTTCGGTAGCACACAAAGCTGTCCGCATCCACGTTAGCTCTCCTCTTCTATCCTAGATCGGGTGTTATACTTGTCGTCATCACCACCTAGCTTCCGCACCATGTTCCGCAGCGAGAAGACGGCGCCGAAGACCAGTCGCGTGTCCGTAGAGACCGGCTTGTGGGTGTCCTTGGAGAGGCCGTTGGAGAGGGCTCCTGGTCCGTCAGATGGGTGCGAGTCCTTGATACCTCCTCCGCCGACTGCGCTCGCACGCGGGTACCATTGGCGCTGGTATATGCATTCCGCTGGTCTCTGTTAGCATCGCCGTCTTCTCGCTGCGGGGAAACGCTCTACTTACCGTGTCGGTCGAAGATGAAGAACGAGTAGACGACCATGGTGCAGAGCTGTCGATATATGTTCTGCTTAACTGTTTACCACTTTAGCTCTCCAAAGGGGGAAACGCTGGTCCACGTGACTCTACTAAACCTCCGCCTCGAAAGTCTTGTTGGACCGTCCAAGTAGATATACAACAACAACAACCTCGAGCTCGTCGACTCTTCTGCTTCCTGGAGAAATCCCGGTGTCTCGACGTCGAAGGCTGGTTGGACTTCTCTTGCAGAGTACGTAAGCGGCCGATTTAAAACCGAACGCCCGCTTGCCTTGCCCGAGCATCGATCGCGATAGGACGGGCCAAGCAGCCAACCGTTCGCCGATTTAAACAAAAAAAATAAAAAAGATACAGCCCTTATACTCGACGCCATGATCTAGTTCTGGTCAAGGCCTGTAGCTTGACTTTGATGAAACGTCTCCTTGATTGCCGAAACTCCTATACACATCGCTACTCTCACCTGTGGCGGAACACCATGAAGTCGTATTGATCACCTAGATCAAGTCCCGGTCGACCGCCATACCCCACATCCATTCAGCCTTCCCCTGTGCATGCACCTTGGATGCTTGGACGCACGCGTGGGCAGACAGACGGTCAGATATATCGAGTGCATGTTTTGAGGCAGCTCAAGCGCAGTCTTGCTCCCAGTCTTGACGGTAATGTCTAGATACCATGTCTCCTCCGCTCCTCGTCGCTCCTCACTAATGCCTGATCGCTAGATGGACGCCGATCCCATCTCAAAGCACGGCCGGACGGCCCAACTTGCTCTAGACACAAAATATGTCTCGTCGACAAGCTCGGAGCCCAGTCAGAATGCCCTCAAGAGGTATGTCGTCGTCTTCTCTGACCTGGATGGCTGTACACCGGACTGACGGACATGGCACAGCGCCAGGCCCTCCTCCGGCTCCTACGATAGCCCCCTGAGGCAGCATGCTCGGTATCCCATGGCCCCGCGACAAGTCAAAGTTCGTTCATCCCGTCTACGCGCCCAAACCGTTTTCCGTAATGATTCGATTCGATTGACTAATGAATAGCCGTGTCAAGGAAACCCTCAATGCCCAGTCGACGTATACCAACAGCCAGGACGATAACACCGCAGAACACCGTATAAATCAATACTTGATCAAGCAGGAGATTGGCAGGGGCTCGTTCGGTGCCGTCCATCTAGCTACGGATCAGTACGGACAGGAATATGTATATCTTGATGAGCTGCTGGAAATTGTTCATCTCCTTTGTCTAACTCTCGTCTAGGCAGTTAAAGAATTCTCCAAGTCACGACTACGGAAACGCGCCCAGTCCCATGTTCTACGCCGTCGACCGGGTAGGCATCCTGGCGTCCAGCCGGCAGGTGTTGGCTTCAATTCACCGCTCCATAGACACCCGTCTGGACTCGACGAAGCCGAGAATAGGAATTCACTGTACCTTATCAAAGAAGAGATTGCCATCATGAAGAAGCTCAACCACAGCAATCTTGTATCGTTGATAGAGGTGCTAGACGACCCCACCGAAGACTCGCTCTACATGGTCATGGAGATGTGCAAGAAGGGAGTCATCATGAAAGTCGGCCTTGGTGAACAGGCAGACCCGTACAGCGAAGAAAACTGCCGCTGCTGGTTCCGGGACCTTATCCTGGGTATCGAATATCTACACACCCAGGGAATCGTGCATCGCGATATAAAGCCTGATAACTGCCTATTGACTAATGACGACGTCCTCAAAATCGTTGACTTTGGTGTCTCGGAGATGTTTGAAAAAACTTCTGATATGTATATTGCCAAGTCAGCTGGGTCGCCTGCTTTTATCCCGCCAGAGCTGTGTGTGGCCAAACATGGCGAGATCTCCGGTCGAGCGGTAGACGTATGGTCCATGGGCGTAACGTTGTATTGTCTTCGATACGGACGTATTCCGTTCCACACAAGCAATATATTTGATCTGTATAACTCCATTAGAGAAGATCAGGTGGAGCTACCGGGTGAGACGAACGAGGATTTTAAGGATCTCATGGAGAGAATTCTAGAGAAGGACCCTACGAAGAGAATCACCATGCCGCAAATAAGAGTAGGTGTAGCCATTTTGATTGCTTTTCTTTTTTCCTATCTGCTGATTCACAGGTTTAGGACCATCCGTGGGTTACCAAACGCGGTGCAGACCCCCTTTTATCCGAAGAGGAGAATACTGCGACCCTCGTAGGGCCGCCAACAGACGAAGAGATGGATTCTGCCATCACAAAAAATCTCGGACACGCACTTATAGTAGTATGTCTTGACCAATGTCTACGTCTATGGTCCTATTCTTGACTAACCTCCCTCGATCAACAGGTAAAAGCCGTTCAGAAGTTCAAGAGACTCATCAATGATGGAAGCCCACTGCAGATGGAAAGCATTCTCGGCGAGGGCGAAGAAGCACACTTCGTCAAGCCCCCTCTTATCATGGGAGAGGAGGAAGAAGAAGAGTTCAGTGCAGTCTTGCATCATCGGAGTATCAAAGAGCACGTCTATCCAAGACGGCCGAACCAACCCAAGCGACCAAGCCAGGGAACTACCGAGAAGCCATCTCACATCTCACTCCCATCTCCAAACACTGTTGAAGTCTGCCAATCACCATCACCCCAATACCAGACCACTCCCAGGGCCAGTTCACCAACAAAATCAGCCGGCCTAGAAGGAACTCGTGGGCATGCCCGTGATCCGCTAGAGGAAGAAATGCTATTTCTCAACATTGGCCCGTCAAATTTCAGCCCTGACTCCGAAGGCTCGTCAACCCAGCCTAATCTCGCCGAAGACAAAATTTCCATATCCTCAGTAACTGACGGGATCCACATACCTCCCAACCCTCTCGTTGCTGATACACCCATGATTGTCAGCGAGTCTCCTCCCGCAGCAGACTATGATATCTATGAGACAGCGTACAAGGAGATAATCGACCGAATCACCAACCAGAGCCGTGAACGTCAATCGCCTACGCCAAAGGTATATCTCAACCGAAGAGTTGAGAAGAAAGCAACCGGCGTCTCTGGCCTATGGACGCAAGCTAGGAAGGATAGCATGATGTCAGGTTCATCTAATCCTTCAGTCCTCACCGCTACCGCCCCTAATCGCCCTCCTCCTCGTCCTAGCCCTATTAAGCGATTCACAGCTGCTGCTGCGTCTTTCGCCGCATCCTCGGGCCAACGGTCACCGTCACCGTTGGCAGTGGCTGTTGCCGTAAACGATGATGGAGCCGGATTAAGTCAAGGGACCAATATTAGTCCTATACAAACCTCCGCATCGCCAATACCCTGTTCTTCATCTGTACCTGCGACAACTGCGTCCCCCACCGCTCTCTCTCCCGTCGAAGACGCCAAAACGGGTCTATAAGCGCTTCTCGCATCTGGTAAATGAGGGAAACAGTAAGATCACGAAAGATGACGGCAATGACTATATGATATCGGCGTATATCAGGACTTGATTTATTTTAGCACGTCTCCCCCATCCAGGTGGTGGGAAGCATTGGGGGGAATGGTGCGTATCTCCCCTTACTGTTATCATTTTTATTTTATATACACGGCCTTCCTTCGCCATCTTCTCCACCACTTGTTTAAATCGTTGATATTGGGACGGGTCATGTATCGCAATGCAATTTATATAAATCGTAAATATACATAAAGGATACTCAGGTATAAATGACTATACAGCTCATGAATTCTAGTCATTAGGTCTATTCTATTCTATCGCTAGTCGTACAAATCACAGTATCCAACAGCGTAAATAGCCGCCCACAAATCAACATATATCTTATATCCGGCTTTCACCCGTCAACACCGCAGGTGGCTCGTCGGGCTCCATCGCCTTATAAATCCGCAATATCTCTCTTTCTAATAACTGCTGTAAGTCGGTCCCTTTAGCGGCTAGAGCATCATGTTGGGACTTCGATATCGACTTTAACAGATAATCAGACACCGCGTCTCTTTCACGGGATACAGGTCTTCCAACCCCAATGGCCAGCCGCATTAACGCCGTCGGGGTTTTCGAAGATGGTCCACCACCACCGGAAGAGAGTAACTTGGCTTTAACCAGGCTCTCCACCGCACTCTTAATCCCATTATGGCCCTTCGAGCTCATTTCCGGCCCACCATACCGAAGAAATAAATTCCCATACGACCGTTCCAACTCGTCATGCAGTAATATCAAGTTCGTCGTCCGGTTATGTGTCATGGGCTTCATCCCCTTTGCTTTCTTCTTCCCTACTCCCAAGGGAGGAACGGGGATATCAGGTACAATATTCTCCCGTGCAAGCCATGATTTATACGCCCTCGCCAACGACGGGCCCGACGTATTCATATAGCTCGGCGATTGCCAGAGGGTAAGCCGGCTCTGGGTCTTGGGGAGGTATGTTTCCGCCGTTAGGCCGTTGCTGAGACTAGGATCGGGGCTGAATGGGCCGGCGTTCATGAGCTCAGCGAAGGAGCGGAGGAGGATGTGACCGGCACTGTGGAGGGTGTTGTAGTAGGTTGGGCCTGGATTGCCGATCGAGGCGATGAAGAACGAGGATGTATGTGTAGAAGCCATGGCTTTTTCGAGTTTATCTCTCTTTGATCGTGCTATTTTTCGTGCTTGTTAATTAGATTTTGCGCGCGCTCTCACTCAAGGTAAAATGCAAGTGATGATGCGTTTCTTCTTCCGTGGAGACAAACCCTTCTATAATAACACTCTCTCGCGAGTCGCTCTGGTTCCGCGCTCCCTGACCAAAACCGCCGAAGACTTGTGTTTGATGCTGCCTCCTTTGCTCTACCTTCGCATGACTCGCAGATGTTTGGGAGGACGATGCGCCAAGACGGGCCCAGAGCTGTGGGCCATCCGGCTTCTATTTAAGCATCAATTTAAGCATGGTTACAACATTCAACTTCGTCAACATGGATGATTTTGAGGAAGCCGGATGCTAGCGAACGGGAGACGAGCTTGAGATGGCCTTGAATGGCCCTTTACTTTTGCCAACTAGGTTCGATAGGTTATCAGCTTTAGATTGCTAGCCTGATGGCTCATTCTTGCTCATTCTTATGTACATCCCTGCGGACGATCTCCCAGCCTTGGGGGGCTAGATCGGAATATATAGAGAGAGCATGAACACTCTGTCAGGCAAGGCTTCAATCAGACCATCCAGATACACACAAAGCCTCGGGGTGTCGATTTGAACCATATAAACAGGCAATGGCTCCCTTGGATCACCCCCAGCTCCCTGCTGAGCAGCCAGGGACAAACGCGACCACGAGCGTATTATCAGACCGCGAGAAACAGCCAAATTCAACATCAGTCCTCGGTTCTCCTCTAGAATCATCAGGGTCCAGGGAAGACAGCACGACCACGGGCCAAGATAAGGACATAGAGACTACAGAGACTTACCCCCAGGGTGCCAAACTGTTCTTCATTATCCTCGCCATTATTCTCAGCATCTTCCTCGCCTCTCTAGACCTTGTGAGAACCCCTCCAGCTTTGTATATGCTAGCCCTATCTACGTAATAAATATCTAACCTACCATTGTCAGACCATCGTTGCAACAGCAATCCCTAAAATCACAGATGAGTTTCGTGGCCTTGATAAGGTATCATGGTACGGATCTGCATTTTTCATGACCAACGGTGGCTTCCAGTCATCTTGGGGCAAGGCCTACAAATACTTCTCACTCAAGTCCACGTTTCTTGCCTCCGTCGGCGTTTTCGAGGTAGGCAGCTTGGTGTGCGCTCTAGCACCAAACTCCACGACCCTTATTGTCGGCCGTGCTATCACCGGCCTAGGCGCCGCAGGAATCGGGACTGGTGCATACACTATCATCGCCTTTGTCGCGGAACCCAAAAAACGGGCCATGTATACTGGCTTCGTCGGGGTGTCTTATGGCATTGCCTCTGTGATCGGCCCCCTGATAGGGGGAATCTTTGCAGACAAAGTATCATGGCGCTGGTGCTTCTATATCAACTTGCCAGTCGGTGGTATTGCAGGCTTCATCATATTCCTCTTTTTCACACTCCTGATACCGCTAAACCCGTCATGGCGACCTGGAAGGAAAGGTTCTTGCAAATGGATCCTGTCGGTACTGCTATGATGATGGGTGCGATCGTGGCATACCTCCTAGCCATGCAATCTGGCGGACAGACCAAGCCATGGAACAGCAGTGAGGTGATTGGTCTCCTAGTTGGCTGTGTTGCCATCTTGATCGCTTTTGTTTTCTGGGAGACTTTCCAGGGCGAGCGAGCCATGGTAGTCCCACGCCTCTTCAAGAAACTCAACGTCGGAACGAGCTGCATTTTCACATTCTTCTTTTCCGGTTCCTACTTTCTCGTCATATATTACCTACCCATCTACTTCCAGAGCATTCATGACGCTAGCCCCACTATGTCAGGTGTGTACAACCTCCCGCTCATCTTGGCCGTCACTATCACCATGATTTCTTCTGGTATATTCATTTCAGGGGTCGGTTTTGTTGATTTTGTAATGGTCCTCGGCTCTTTGATTGCAATTATCGCGGCCGGATTGCTCTCCACCTTTGACATCGGCACTGCCCCAGCAAAATGGATTGGCTATCAAATTCTCGGCGGTATCGGTTGGGGTATGGCATTCCAGGTTCCAATCATTGTTAGCCAAGGCAATGCAGATCCTAAGGATATGTCATCGATAACGGCTATCGTCTTGTGTAGGTCCTTAATCCGTGAATATAAAGGGGGAAACAATGGCTAACAGGAGTTTCTTCAAAGTCTTTATGAATGCCGGCGGCACTTCATTTGTTTCGGCAGCACAAGCAGCATTTGTCAACAGGATGATTACCACTCTACCTTCCACTGCTCCCAGCGTTAACCCAGCCGAAGTTATTGCCACAGGGGCCACTCAGATCCGAGCCGCCTTTTCGGCTACTGAGGTGCCTGGAATTGTTGAGGCTTACACGGCTGGCATCAAGCTAGCCTTGGCCATCTCTATTGGTGCGACGGGAGCGGCCTTCATCGTTAGCGTGTTCGGGAGCGGCCTGCATAGGCTTACTGCAAAGCTCAAAGAGGAAGCAGGTAATGTTGTCTGAGCTGAGGGTTCAAGGACGCTAAAGTCTGGGTGAATTTGATTGTAAAAGCACCGTGCAGCTTCGCTAACGACGGTCGAACCACCAATCGAAGCTCCCGTCAAAGTTTCATGGCGCCGAGCTCACTGCACCTTCAGAAGTAGCGGCATGTCTGAGCTCGCGAAGCTGAAACTCGGCAGCAAGGGGAAGTTCGTTGTACAAGTATACATGGAATTGTCTAACCTCTCTGCACGGATGCCTCATGAAATATGAATATAGCATATGATACCCTGAATAATCAAATAGATCGTTACTACTGAATATAAATATATTAGATCCAAAAAGTTCTATGTTATCTAGAATCAACGGAGCTAATCGAGGAGATAGATAATCTACTACCACTAGAGCCTCCCTATCGATTAGGAACTGTTCGCACACATCACGACACGGGCCGAAGTTTCAATATTGAAGTATATAAGGAAATGCAACCAAGCCACCCCCACGGAATCGTGTTTCAACTGTTCCCGGGAAGGGAAATTTTATCCTGATGGGGGCTAATTGTGCAATCCCGCAGCGACAACGGGATTAATGAGGGGCCTCACCTTTACACGAATGCAACCAATGTCGGGAGAGAGGGAGTTCCCTCACGCCTGGGCCTGGGCCTGCAGATGCATGATTAAATAGTTACCGTTAAAATTACGGTAAAACCAGGGAGCCTTGCAGATTGAACTTCCCTATCCCGCTTCGACGTCAAGACATGGATGTCTCCCATATCGACCGACGATCATCTTTGGCGGAGTGCCTATAAGCGGCATGTCCTCCCGGTGCATGGTACAGGATTACAGATCCAAAAGCTTGGGGTGCATGCACCAAAGTGACCACAGGAACAATCACGCTATTCCACATGTCCCAACGGATTGGAACAGGTTCGAAAAGGAATATTTGAAAAGCAAAGAGCCAGTGGCGCTGAATCAGAGAGGATCTGATGTCCGAAGAGCGTTGGATCAAGCCCCTTCAATATCCGTGCGCTCATTTTTCCTTTTTCCCAGGAATTTGATCCCCTATTCCCACCTCCCAGTGTCCCGGGAACCTTGAGGGCGATAGGTCGGCCACTATGGGCCACTAGGGGATCATTCTTGCGTTCTTTTGCGACCATCTGCCCCGCTAGGAAATCGTCTTGACGGACACGACTCAGCCCGCGGTGGGCGCGCTTGCCAACCCAACCACCTGGTAACGTTCATAATTGGATCACAGGCAGGAGAAAAGCAGTGAGGGTGCGTTGTTCAAGAAAAAGAAAAATGAAGGCAGAAAAATTACGCAAGGTCGGTTAACGGGCCATCTCCGTGTACCCCTTTGTATGGTAATATGCGGAAGCATAGCGGTAACGAGCTGTAGCATCGACAATGAATGAACAATGACGTAGATCCCGCATATAGTACTCCGTATTGCCGTAATAGGAGAAAGAGTTGAACAATTCCTCTACAGCTATCCCGTAGACGATGTACGCCGTAAGCTGGTATCAAGTTCCTCGGCTGGTTTGGGCCATGGGAAGACGCCTGATACTAGTGCGTTAGCTAGCTCAGCTCGTATAGAATTTTGACTCAGGTCATGGATAGAACAATGACTCAACAGGAAGCCACCTCCAGCTTATATACTCCGTATTATGTGCTCCGTAGACAGAGAAATAACTCCATAAGGCATCATAATTCTGAATTTTCAATATGGCCACAAGTAGAAGAGGGGGCAGCCGCTCCTATGGAAACGCGAAACGTGATTCTCATCGATGTCAAGACCCGCGAAGGGAGCAAATCCGGCAGCAACTTAGCATTATCTCCGAAGAAACCAAAGATCTCATACCATTGGTTCTAGATCGGACACAGGAATGCTCGGACGGGTTCCTCATCCACGGCCCCGGTGTTCCACGCCTCAAGGCCGAGAATTGCCCTGGGTTTACCGGCGTAAGGGTGCGTGTCATGGAACAAGACACATTTGATGCCGCAATTCACTTGACCAATAAGAATGACCAGAACGCCATCTCAAATACCACCGCCACAAGTGCGAATGATAATACAACCGCGGAACCCGACTATGGACATACATGCATTCTCAACATGGCCAGCGCAAAAAGACCAGGTGGGGGCTGGTTGTCAGGAGCTGCAGCACAAGAAGAATCGCTCTGTCGACGGAGTACACTTATTGAAACTCTCAAGGAAGGGTTCTACCGGATCCCAAAGTGTGGAGCTATCTATTCGCCTTCGGTCGTTGTGTTTAGAAGCAGCCGGGCGCTTGGGCATAAATTGATGGACCTAGACGACCCAGATTCCCTGCCTATCGTGAGTGCCATTAGTGTTGCTGCCCTTGTGAGACCACCAGTGAAGACTGTGAGGGTTATTACAGGCTCGAATAACGACGGAGGCGAGGCAGCTACACCATCTGCGTCATCAAAGCAGGTCTATGAGCGAGCGTCAGATAGGGAAACAATGAAAGATAAAATGCGGCTTATTCTTAGGGTTTCGGCATCGAAGGGACACAGACGAATTGTTTTGGGTGCTTTCGGCTGTGGAGCATTTGGAAATCCCAGGGAGGATGCAGCTGATTGTTGGGCAGAGGTGTTTGGCGAAGCCGAGTTTCAAGGTGGATGGTGGAAAGATGTTATCTTTGCTATCCTTGATCCACCAGTTCGGCCTGGCCAGAACCAACAGGGCTGTGGGAATGCTGGTGCCTATATTGGGAGGTTGGATGGATTGCCAGTGTCGCCTCAATGAGTGCCTTATCCTGCAGCTCGGGGGTGAAATCAAGTTTGCAACTGTGCAAGTCAAGCGGTACATAGCAGGCTGTGGAAGAGTAACGGATGACAGGGCCCATGGGTATTTTTGTACCACATAAGCCGATTTGGTGAGATATGGACAATTTACTGACCAATAGAAATGGATCAGGAGTCTTTAGCTGAACAGATCAGTTCCCGGAACCAGGTCTACGGGACCAGAGGCTGTAAATTAGCAATTTATTCTTCATAAAATACATAACCACAGCTTATATTCACCGTATGTGGCACGGAGATGCCGGGCATACTATCAGTAGCCCTCGACATATCAGCTTACCGTATCCCTAGATGAATCGTCTGATTGTCTGCCTCATTTTGTTGGTGCGATGGGAGTAGGCAAGCGGAAAATGATATAGATGCGTGCCACCACCGTTTTCCAATTCCGGCGAGAACCCAGAATGTCGGTGAAAAGGATCAAGCGATATGGACAGGGATGATGCCGGTAACACATCGGCTCCATCAAGCCCGCAGCAAGATAAACGTCCATGGTTGGCCCACTCGACTGGATCAGAAGCTACCATGGAATATGGAATACACGTTGACATCGGTTCTAACACGGCGATCAGGCCCATCCGGAATCCAAGGGATGCGGAAGCGGCTTTGCAGAAATATCGGCCGGCCACCTCCGAGATAGGAGAGAAATATATCACCCGTCATATTCGCGTGCATCGTACCCTTACGTGGTCCTATCCAACATTAAGTATCATATGCACGAGTCATAGGAAGCACACCGAGGACGCAAAATACTGAAGCAACTCAAAAAAAATCTCACTTAGAACAAAGGAAAGGGGGTCACTGATTAATAATGATCATGCAGTGCCCCGTTCCAGACAACAATCCCCTGTCATGCAGCCAGCAACTTGTTAGTTCATGAATCTCTGAGTGCGCCGGGATGACGGGAAAGAAGGGGATTGGATGCCAGAACGGCTTGGGGTGATGAGCTGATGTGAAGAGTTATGGGTATCACTCCACTACCACAGGCTCATACCCTTGCATCAGCTAGAGTGGTGTGGAAGCGACGTCAAGCCACTGTAGGCCATGGAACGCAGATATTTGGGCACGGTGAGAATTGGTCGTAACTTAGGTGACTCCATGACGAGAGATCATGACCGTATTTGTAGTGATACCCTGTGCTGCCTATACTCCGTACATATTTGATATAGAAATATGTACCCTGAGCGTGCAGTTGAAATATGGTGCCCACTTCCCCGGACCCGTCAACCAGGTTCGCTGCCGGCTAGCTCATCACACATCAAACCACAGCGATTCGTTAGATCGTACGGAGTACGGAGTACAACGGACGGGTTCTTTTGCGGGCACTGGGTAACGACGAAAATGGGGCCGCAGCTGCATATAAATCCTTGGTGTGGTAATATATATGGGTGTGTTCCTCCCTCTGTAATGGTACCAAATGAGAGCTAAAGAAGCAAAAAATAAGCGTTGACCAGATCCCACCGCTCTGGGTCAGGGGCTGTTAGCCGAAGAAGTCCGCGGTGTCATCGTGCCCTTCCATCCGAGTTCTTTTCGACTTCCTTCCCTCGATCCCCCTTTTTGCCCTGAGATTCGCTGCACTGCCTCGCCATCGCACGAATCGCAAGTGCAAAGGTGCAGGCAGCTGGCTATCGTGGACTCCTGCGCAGGTGAAACATGCCATTTCTCGGAATAAAACTAAGGGATAGGCGCGGGATGCTGACACGTTTTGGTCACGATGTATCATCCAGATGTGGAGTCGCTGGGCTTGGACTATTTCATGCACGACGAGAAAGCTAAAAGAAAAGAAAAGAAAAAGGAAAGGGAAAGGAGGAAAAGAAAAGAACCCTGAAACTCCTCTGGCTGGGAGATGCCGTGCGACCATTTCCTATCGCTGGTGCGTGCTTGCGCCGGATTCAACTCTCCCGACGAATGCAAACCGAAAAACGAGGGTGTCGCATGTTGCTGGTGTACTCCGTAATGGATGAGGGTTTAATCTTAGCTCGAGTCTGGGCTGAGCTTGCAATGGGGAGACTCTCACTGTACTTGGCAACATTGAGTCTAGTTAATATATACGAAGCCAATTTCTCGCCTTTCACTTCACTCTCTTCATTCACGCTTTCTCCAATGACCATCACGAATAGGGGAGAAAAAGAAAAACGGAATTCCTACTTGAGGACCCCCTAGGCACTCAAATGACAGGCGCATCACAGCATAAAACGATCCTTGAATTGCTTCCTTTTACTCCTGCTGCTGCACGTCAATAAACTCGGGGCTTCGGGCTAATGCTGTTGTAAGATAGGGTGTGGTTATATTCGAAGAAGTGAGTTTTTTCCCTTTCTATTCTCCTCTGAGAAATATATCCTATCTCGAGAAGCTGGCGGGGCGGGTTTGTCGTCGTTTCTTGATTGTGTGTCTATATTGGCCTTGGACCTAACGTAGTTGGTTATAGACGGACGTCATGTCATGGCCCAAACGAAATCTCATACACATAATCTCCCGCGAGGGGGATCCTTTGACATGGACATAGATATGCCAGATGAAGGCGATGTCCCTGATATAGATATCGATATCAGTTCAGACGGACAGCATTCTTCCCTGGCTCCCGGCGAAAGCACTACAAATGCAGGGTAAGTCCAAATGGCTTGTTATCAAGAGAAGCTTCTCTTATCGAATAAAGCTGGAATGGTCTCATTGATTAATCAACGCCCTTTTCCAGTTCAACAAAGTCCTTATCAGAACATGCCTTCCAAGTGGTGGAAGAGAACGGCCGTCAGTATTGTGACAATACATATTTCATGCCCAACGATGAACGGGAACAGACTCGCCTGAACATTATTCATCAAATGTACCTCATTATCTTAGAAGGTCGATTAATGAAATGTGCTCTACCTCAATCTATCAGAAGAGTCCTCGATGTTGGCTCCGGACCTGGTGATTGGGCTCTTGCCATGGGTGAAGCGTACCCAAACACAGAAATAATAGCGACCGATATTAGTCTATTCGACACTGAATCAGTCGGCATCTGTCCGCCGAATGTTTCCTTCCAAATCGACGATGCCCAGGAGGAATGGACCTTTCATGAACCTTTCGATTTTATTCACGTTCGAGGGTTAGGCGGCGGAGTGTCCGATTGGTCATTCTTTTACCAGCAAACCTACCAGCACCTTGCCCCTGGCGGGCTTATTCAGGTAGCTGACTGTGCCCTCATTGCAAACGACTTTAGCATGCCAAACTCTCCCCCAAATTCATACCTTAGCATTTACCTGGCTGCAATCAGCTCTGCCGCAGAAGTGGCAGGATTCCCACGGAGCTTCGATCATTTCCGCCCTGCCGCACTAGAAGCAGCCGGATTTACTGATATCCGTGTATACGACACCCATATCCCCGTGGGCACATGGCCTGAGGATCCGTTGGAGAAAACCCTTGGGAAAATGACATTGATCGTACTGTTTGAAGGCCTCGAGGCTTCCAGTATGCGTCTCTTAACGAAATATCTTGGATGGAGCGCAGATGACGTTATAGATCTGTGTGAGAAGGTGCAATTAGAAATATTGAACAGTGAGGGTATGGGGGGATTGGTAAAGATACTAGTGGCAAGAAAACCGCGATAGTGAAGCCCCCCCTTTCTCTCTCTCCCCGGTTGATCCTTATCTTGCTGTTACATGCGTTTTTGACCAAGATAATTATAATGATTGGAATGAATTCTCTACGACGCGTTCAAAATATCCATTGTACCAGATTCGTACCATCACGTGTTGAACCCAATTAGGAAATACAACCTCCTCGACATTTTTACACCATCCCCTAGCATGTCTATGTCTGTGTCTATATCCTCCCCATTAGCTCGTACGAGGTGCATCGACGAGCGTTGAAAATTCTCGTTTGTTGATTTTTTCTGGCACCTTATCCTGGTTTTACTTGATACCCCTATCCATGGAAAGTCAGGAAATCGTTTCGTCTAAAAGCCTCGTTTGCTCTCCGAGTGGGGATAAAGTGGCCACATATATTAATGAACTTCTGATTTCAATATTCGATGAATTGTCTAAACCTGACGGCCGCCCTTCTATATCCCTGAAACGACGTTCAACTCATACAACGTACGCGTTAAACCCAGAGACAAGTGCACTAGAGTCAAAGGATGAAGCCCACATCTGCACATACTCCTGGCCGGGGAAGACAACACAAGAGGGCTGGCGGTTTGGTATGAAAATGTTGCACCATGCAATCCATGATCTATATTTCTCCGCCTTTCGCTAGGATTTCCAACTGGACTACTAAATAAATGAATGTGGTATTAGGTGTTGTTGCGAGGATATTGGGCCTCATATCGGAAGCAGTTAATGGAGACTTTATAAGCTCAAAAAGAGACATCTTCTACCAAGATCCAGTATACTTCGGATCCCAGCAACTTGTGGACAGATACGTTGATGATATTGCCTTCACAATCGGGGTTGATCGGACGGCGTTACATGTGGTATGTCATTTATTCCATCTCTATCAAACTCTTCAATATGCTAATATTGTCTGTCTAGGCAGCGGCAGCGAAGGGAATGATAGGTGGAAGATTTAGGGTTGGATTCAAAAACGGCTCGTTAATAGAAATCGATACTTACACTGAGGTTACTATACATATGCGGATGCATTGTCGTACATTGGCTATGTGCTAAACAGCTTTCCAGGGTGTTTCTATCCCAAGGATTGACGAAATCGACCGGGTGGATATGTCTGGCATTTCATGGATACTGGTTATAGAGAAAGAGGTACGCCTTTTTTTATACCCTGTCTTGTCTTCTAGAAATTGAGCGCAAAGGTTTCCAATTAGGCGGTCTTCCGTCGTTTGGTGACATCTGGCTACTACAAAACATCAACAGCAGGGAATGGGGTACTCTTAACCGTAAGGAACACTTCATTCTCCTTTGTTTATAAATCTACAAAGTACCCAGAGTCTAATATTGGCTATATTTATCCAGGGAAAGGGATACCCGGATCTCAGTTGTAGAGAATTTCTACGCCTTCTCTCGCAGTCCAGTTACCAAGGATCCAACCTTAGCCCACTTTCCTGCAATTCTGCTCCTATATCTCCCCCAATATACATATTGGTTGACAGTGATCCGGATGGAATGGCAATTATGTCGACCTACAAATATGGGTCGATGGCGCAAGCCCATCAAAATGCAAATCCCAACGTACCCACAATCCAATGGATAGGACTACATGCTTCTGAGATGATATCAACCGTAGAAGTCCAAATAGGTCGTCACTGATTCCAATGAGCCAACGCGATCGAAAAAAGGCCGAAGCTATGCTCAAACGGAACCCTAGTTTTACCGAAGATGGACCAGAACCAACATGGCGGAGGGAGTTACAAGTACTTCTAATGGTGAACATGAAGGCTGAAATAGAAATCTTATATGAGTTAGATGGTGGCATAGAGGGATGGCTTGATAAAACGTTGTCGAAGTTATGCTGATTTATAAATTTCCCCGACATGATATCACATAGTTACTGAGATTCCGTGCTGTCCGTACAGAGAACACATAAATTGCCTTGAAAAGAAGAGGATTAACAAGGTTAACCAAACAACGTATATGCAGATACTAAAAAACAGCCATATCTCTATAAAAACGCTAAAGTGACCCTCAAAGATGCATTCGTAATGAGTGACATAAATCCTTCCGCAGACTTGACACACTCAAGGGCAGAGGTTAACAGACACAACCACCAGGATAGGCTTCTCTAGCTGATCAGAGTCCCAGCCCCTTTCTCACTTCCTCCCGCACCCGCGATTCATAGTCAGATCTTCTTTCTCTCCACATCTTAGCTGCCTCCACGTTCGCGGGACTCTCATCATTAGGCTCCGCTAACATACTCATAACACTGATGAGAATCTTTTCGACGCTCTGAATCGGGCTCCAGCGCTCGGATGCGTGTTCGTAGTGGTTTGGATCATCACCAGGTGGGTGTAGAATGGAGATACACACATTCCCATTTTCAAATACTATATTATTCGCGCAGTTAGAGATTCATCCGGTGAACTCGGCGGGAATATGGCCAAGGAAAGACTCAATCTCACTATTAGGATGCCACATGCTCTCTAAAAATCTCATTGATGGCGGACTGAGAGGGTAGTCTTTAGGGAATTTCAGTTCTGCTGCGAATACCCCTCCTTCAAACGGGGTTCCTTCGGGTCCCTGTACTAAGGCTTCCCATAGAAACATATCGTCTTCTGTTACGGGCCCGGCTGTAATTCCATCTGGAGGAGAGGTAGAGAGGAGCTTGTATTCGTGGAATAATCGCTTTTGGGCAACGGATGTGGCCATGGTCTCGGGGTTCTGGGAAACGTTGGCGCCGGGTGACTGTGGGCACGGAATCTATGGGAGAAGGCTGGAGACTCTTATGTAGCAAGATATTGAACTTGGTGCCCTTCTATATCGTCTTCGTGGGTTTGCTCTTGCGGGTGGCCTTGGGTTGTTAGATATGCAAGTTGGTGGACGAGAGAATGAGGTGTGGGGCAGGCAAGCTTTCGGCATAAATTTAAACCTGGGGAGAGAAAGCATCTATTTCCATGCCCCTTTATATACGGCGGTCTTTTGAATATTCTACATATTTATTTTGTTACAGTTTCCGTCCTCATAATTCCAGACAAGATGACGATGCTTAAAAAAAGTCATCATCACCACCGTCACCCCATGAATCGCCACCGTCCCCGGGCCATGCATCCTGTTGGTTTCCCGAAGAAGGGCCCCCGTCTCTTTGATCCCAAGGATATTGATCGGCCTCTCCCCATACTTCTTCGTTTGTCCCTTGCTCAACGTTCCCATATTGCTGTTCCTGCTGTCCTTCTACATGCTGAGTTTGCTGCGCGGGCTCGTGGGCCGTAGAGCTTCCTCTATGCATAGCTTCATACCCTGCTAGTGTGCCAGCACCAACTGCCCCTGCTGCTGCACCCTCCATGGCTCCGGCTCCTCCGCCAGCTGCTGCTGCCCCAGTGCCGCCTCCACCAAGACCAAATAGCGGGATTGGCATTATACCTGGGCCGCCGCTATGACGGCTGAAATAGTCGAAGTCGATAGTCACAGCAGTTGCAAGCATAACCGCTCGTTGATCTAGTGTCATGCTCGGCGCAGGGGTAGATTGTAACGTCGATGTGCCCGTTGACTGCATATCCTCGGCCATACCAGCTGAATCCATGCGCAGGGCGTAAACGCCAGTGTCTGTGAATATCTCTCGGGCGAAGCCTGCAAAGTTGCGGTTCACAGAGCCCAAAAGGTGCGATTCGGCCGAGCGTACTGAGAAATCCCATGATAGGAACGGTTCATCAACATGAGCAAACTGACGTAGGCTTTTCTCTGGGGGTACTGCCGGTTGCTGAGGCTCTATATGTGAGGGTGTGACAGAGGCGTGTGGGTGGGAAAGGAATAGGTTGTACTTTCGCCTGAGAGGTGCCCAGCGCTGCTGTGCTGCTCCTATTACCCGCATCTGTGAATGAACCAATGGAGATACTTTGACAGACCCTTCTTGCAGGCCTGATGTATTCTGCTGTAAGTCGATCAAGGGTGCATGAGATCCAGCTGTGTTATTGTGTGGGTCGAACACAAAGATCGTAGAGTTGATCCAAGAAAATGGTCGATGGAACTGTTGTATATTAGCTGAAATATATAATAAATGTATTAAAGGTTCTTCGTACCCGCAAAACTTCATTCTGGTTCTTGTCGAAGACATGGGTGACGAAAGGCCGATGGGTATGTAGCCACTGACGGGAGAGCATAGAGCCCATTCCTTTCTCTTCCTCGGCCATATACCCTATATGATTGCCCTGTGCATCTAGAATAACATATCTATTCGCCTGCTCAAAGCCACTAGGTGTTTAACATGAGATTAGCCCGGTATTCAACAGTCATTCTCTGGCCGTGGTTTATCATCACTCACAGCAAAACATTCATCATCTCCAACTGTCTTTGAACAACCAAACCCGAGTTAACCAGAATTTGGCTAGCAGGATGGTTCTCTTTAAGGAGTCCATCTGGGTCCTCTGGAATATGGACAGGGGCAAGCAGACTGTTATTCCGTGGATCAGTGCCGCGGATTGTGGATGATATATCATCTTGCCCTTCTGGTCCAGGAGAGCCGGAGCCTTTATCCGGTATACCTCTAGAAGAAGAGTGATTAGAGGGTCTGGGTCGCGGTATTGGCCTTTGCGATCTCCTTGACCATGGGCTTGGTCTCAGTGATGCGTATCTCGCTGTGGGAAGCCCTGTCGCCACGAGACGGACAGGTTTTAATCGCACCGGCGGATGTAATGATCGAATTAACCGGGGGAATTCCATTGTTATATATCGCGAATATTCATATTTTTAAGAATGAAGGCCGTTCAAAGGCTTTGTTTGGGTATTCGGTGCAAGTTGTAGCTGGTCAAAATATTTTTTAAAACATGAGGTGTTATGACTTAATCGTGGCTTGGGAAGAGAATACTGGGTACTCTATACAACCACCTTACCTGGTTCTATACTGTGATAATTTGAACCTACCCTATATTAATATAAAGCCGAGAGACGGGCCTAAATACTCAATAAAAAACAAACGCTCCGCATTGTGGCTACAAGCCTAACAGGCCTTGGTATAAATACATGAATAATATCGCTAATCCCAATGATAACCTCCTAACGCCAGGGGAACAACGTGTTCATTCATCGTATATAAGTTAGAGCACATTCCCCTATGCCCAACTGTCTAAGATTTCGAGCAGGATGTGCCTGACATGGTCATATCAATCCCTTGCGAGCAAGTTCTATCTTCCGGGCGGTTTCACCGGCTTTGAAGCCTCCCTTGGAGGCACATATCGCGCTGCCTTCACCAAGCTCGAATTTATCCTCGACCTGGGGGTGTGCGCAAGGACAATGGTGCGGAACGGCGACGCAGGCTAAGGTTCCAGGACATAGGTAATTGGAACAGTGCGCTATAGATATCGATTAGTAGTTATCCAGACCAAGAGGGTTACTGGGTGCATACCTCCGTTATAAGTATTCTGATACCATGCGCTATCGCTTGGTACATTGCCGCCTTGACCGTGGGATTCCTGGTGCTGCTGGCCGCTGCCACCAAACATCTGCTCGAAGAACTGGAACTGGGCTTGGGCGGTGGTAAAGAAGAAAAGTCCCAGCAGGACTGTTCGCAGCATGTTCGCCATGTCTCGTCTGAGGAATAGCTCCCGTCCTCCAGATCTGATGTGTTAGAAGCGCCTAGATGAAAAGTACTTGGACCGTGAAGCTCCTCAAAGTAAACACGTTGCTCTATCAAAAGCGTTTCCGGCTGCTGCGAATAGTAGATCACGTGATGTTGAAATTTGAACTTGGGCAAACTTGAGCTTCACAGCAGGAAAAAAGGTCGAAACGCAGCAGCGAAATTCGGCGGAAAAGGCGACTGCTCCCACAACAACACCATCTGAAGGTCGGGTCTAGGATACGTTCGAGTATCTCGCCTCGATCCATTGGATATACCATGTTACAACCGCAATTGAGGGCGCCCTTGAGGCTCCTCGACGGACTTTTCGCCCAATGCACAGCTCAAACCTCCGGACAATGCTATCGATCGCATTCGCAGTTCTCCCGACGAACCTTTAGCTCAAAGCCTCTCACACACTCTCTTATTCAATCTCAGTCGCGGCCTCAACAATTGTCCATCCTCTCGCAGCTTGGCCAGGTCCGATACGCCTCCCACAACTCGCAAGGTAGCGGTGCCAACAAGCACTCCAGGAACTCGCCGGGACGAAGACTCGGGGCTAAAAAGACAGGCGGCCAGGCTGTCGTTACGGGGAATATCATCTTCAGACAAAGAGGCACGAAATGGTTTCCCGGTGAGAATGTCGGGATGGGAAGGGACCATACGCTCTTTGCCCTTCAGAAAGGATTCGTCAAGTATTACATGGACCCCGAGCGACATCCTACGAGGAAATATATCGGTGTTGTCTTCAACAAGGACGACAAACTGCCTACTCCGAAAAACGCAGTGACTAGAAGACGATTGTCTATGGTCGCTGTCCCAAGAAAGACCGAACCCCCCGTGGATCAGCCGGAGGGTTCGTCAACGCCCGTCAAGTTGACGCTAGTTTCATCTTCAGGACCCAGCTTCGGATCCGGATACATGACTCGTGAAGCAAATTGGGAGATTGGACGGGCTGCTGTGAAAGCTGGAATCAAGGTCGGGGAATGGAAGCGAAAGGACCGCTGGACGGCTTGGAGACGGAAGCTGGAGAAGATAAGGAGGGTTGCGCAGATGAAGGAGCTAAAGAAGAAGAAGAAGATCAAGGTGAAGATCTGATTAAGCTACATTTGACTTGTAATTCATACTGTTTGACTGGTTTTTCATTGTACAATAAGACGGAGCTACTGACATATTTATTTTCATTTCCTCCACTTTCTCCCTGGGTATCAAATTTCTGCTACCACCAAGCTCTAGAGTGCATATATTCATGAAGGTCATCTAAAGAATAAGGTCATAACTGTTAACTATTAGCTCTTCTGAACTCCCGTATAACCAGGTCACAACGGGCCGCAGTTATCTGTCAAATAATCGACCTAGTATCAAAACTTGACAAAGGAATTCGCTATCCAATATCCTGATGCTTTTACCATTTTCAGCCCTCCTCTTCATGCTACCACGGTTTGCGCCTTCTGATGCTTTACTAGATCGCCCGCGATTTCGTACCGCAACGGCAGAGGCGGATTGTAGCTTGGATAGAGCCCCCCGCGCCGTTGCGGCGGCACTCTCGTCACCAACGTATATCCAGTCCCAGCTGCTACTCCCATTTTCCCAACCCTTTGGTTTAGGATCTAGGTCTGTAGCCTGGGATATTATATCAAGAGCAGCTTGAAGCGTTTGAACGGGGTAAACCCGCTCAGCACCCAATGCACAAGTGAGAAACGCGTAGGCTTTTCGTTGCTGTGCTGCTTGCTTGCGGCCCATTACAAACAGCATAAACTGGTTGGCAAAGACCCTCGGGCGGACAGAAATTGTGTCGAAGAGCTTAGCTGCGGATGGAGGATATGAAGTGAGGATCCGAGATTTCACGGCATTGTCAAGGAATATAGAGGATCCTGCAGCAAGAAGATATGGCTCCCATTCCACGACTTTCTGTTTTTCGATACACTCGTACACCCACTGGCCAGCAAGGCAAGGCAGATTAAGAGCCAAGGCCTGCATGTATTTGGCGCGCCGGGAGTACTGGTCGGTGATTAGGCACGTAAAACCCATCTCTTTAGCCCTTGGGGTCAGTGTTAGGGGCCCTTCGGTTTTAACCTGTTCAGCCGTGGAAGTAGGCAGCGCGAGTGCCCACGAAGAATGTTCGAATAACTGATCAAAGCCGTCCTTGAGGATTACTCCGCCGTTATCAGAAAGCATGGACTCGACATCTTTTCCTCTTTTCTCATTCCCGGAGTAGGAAAGAGCAAAAGCCATCCCAGAAAATATGCCCGTTCGTTCAGGTTCAAGGTTCGGAGTCTGTGAAGCTTGGGTGATGCGACTCTGCATACTTTGCTCCATGGTCTGGTGCACAGCTGATCGTGAATCCCTTAGTAGTGAGGACCTAGGCGAGTAAGGACGTTCTCCAAACCGAGACCATAAGTTTTGATCCATGTATATCTTAGAAATGGGAACGGATATACTCCGCGGGATCTTTACTTTGGGTACAATTTTAGTCAACTTTCGTTTCAAGCGAACGGTTGTATGGCCGTAGATGTCAGACATCTGTTTATCCCAATCACTCATATTTTCGTCCGGATCGATGGGCGATTGTATTTTCGTGCCGAATCCTGTAACATAGTGCGGAACCTTGGGCACATCGGGGAGGTTGACCTTTACAATGTCGCCGATTTTCAATTCCAAGGTTTTAGCCCCCCGAATATCAATTTTCTCGGGTTTGTCGGAGTCTTCAAAGCGAACAAGAATCCGCTGACTGGTAACGCCATCAGAGGTAGCAACACAGACAGCTGGGTAATATCCAGTGGGCCGACCGTTGAAGAAGGCGAAGATGTGATTTGCAGCTATAACTTCTTTATTGGCCTCCTCTAAGTTCTGGTCAAGTTCATGTATCGAGCTACTTGGCTCTGTTCTGGTTTGTAGAGAGGGCGAGCTGGGGGTGCGGGATAGGGCTTCGAGTGGAGTTAAGGACGAGCTTGATGGATGTTGGATAACCACTGCTTCGAGTACCTTATATTTTTTTCGTGAATGAGTCAGGCCATCTTTTTGCACCTTCTTCTGTGTGTTATTGACGGTTCGAGGAGGCTCGGGCTTCTGGGTCTCCTTTTGGGGAGAAACCACAACGTCCCAAATATCAGTGGCGTCTTCATCACTGGGAGATTCTAATGTCTGAGGCGGGGGTCTAGGTGTTGTTTGAGGAGATTTGAGTGGCTCGTCAGCCCCATGATCAACCGGGGACATATGAATTTGTGTGGAAGTATTGTCTAGCTCGTTAGCTAAAGAACGTTGGTGGGTTTGCACAAGACTCTCGATTCTCCTGCCATCATTTCCTCGTCTCCTTTTGAAGGGGGAACCGCCGGAAGCAATCATTGATTGAAACATTCGATCTTCTGCGTTGATTAAACGGATTTCGTTTATAGGGATATCGGAAACCGCTGGTCGTGGGGATTCGTCCGAGGCAATAGCCGTCATACTCCTCCGCTGGCGTCCACTGGGGCTGGATAAGATTGCTTGAACACGACGAGATGTACGGCTGGCCGCAAGCTCCTGAGACCCAAGTGATTGTAATATGCCGGAGCCCCTGAATCGTGGCGGATCGGGCAGGTTATCATCCTCATCCGTTCCATCAACAGTCTCATCAACCCGTGCAAGGTGGCCGGCAACGGTAATAGGCCGGGAAAGGGAGCGTCGCTGGCCGGCAGGACTGGTCTCAGGAATCGTTCGTAACAAGTCTCTCGTATCTAAGATTGGTTGGGAGGGGGTCTCGAAGACTCGTGAAGTTATAGAAGACTCTTTGCCCGGCTTTTGCAACTCAGAGTCATCCTTATCATGAGTTGGGTGATGGGAAGAAAGTAGACTCTGGTTAACCGCTTTCGGTAAGGGTGAGGGTGAAGGCTGAATCTGGGGTACCGATAACTCGTCATCATCATCAGGCTGGCTCTGGATAATTCTGTCGATATCCTGTATAGGGGGTGACGAGGGTATTCGTTTGAGCAGGCCCCTCCGTCTCCTTTCGTGATCATTCGACGTGATTCTATGACCTAAAAACGTCGTATCCCGAGCTAATTCTTTCCCCTGTGTGCCATATTGAAGGACAAAATCCCAAGAATTCCCGCTTGTTTCTGGCTGTGAAGCCCACGGTGGACGTATTCCTTGCCCAGAATTTGGAGCATGGCCAACAGATAGCCTTTCCGTGGGAGAACAGAGCAACCCAGCGGCCCTTTGACGGTTGGCTGATGGACTCTGATCAAGGTCCAGGACCGTGGATAGCGCACTATGCGTACTAACAGCAATATTTGAAGTCTGGACGGGGCCACTGTCAACATTTTCCTTGTCCTCTTCACCAAACGATTGGGTGCGCTGGGAGCTGCGTGGTTGAGGAATCATGCAAATTTCCTCTTGTTCTGTTTCAACTTCACTGTCCTCCCCTCGGTCAGTGTTGATAGCTTGCTCTTCATCGTTGCTCTCTAGCACCGGCCGTAGAGCCTTCTCTCTATGAACAGTATGGAGAGCAGCTAGAGGCGGCGAAGATGAGACGCTTCGTTTGGAGTTTCTCCGCGAAACCGCCCTCGCCGGAGCTTTGATATTTTCAAACTCTTTCCGAGCCTCGTTTTTAGATTGCATCTGCCGTATCCGGCGTTCAATAGCCGATTCTCCATCTTGAAATATATCGTCGTCCCTGTCAATGAGACCGGGCTCGGATTGTTGTCTTAAACTTCGTTTTTCTCGCTCAGTTTGCGATTCCATCATTGATATATAATTTGCTTCTGGTTCTATCGGGTCAGGTCGGGATATTGAGGAAGTTAAAGCAATGGACGAGAATGGGGTACGCATTGGCCGCTGGATAGGGATATTTGGTGATGGCATATCAGAGGGTAGCTCCAGCCGGGGCATACGGGCAGAAGGGGATGATGCAGCCTGCGTTGCGTTAAAAAGCTGGCTTAACGCCATGACAGACCCTGGGGTCTTATTTTCTGGTTTGAATGGGTTCCGAACGGTCGATGGAGTAACAGTATTTGCGAGATTTGAAAAGCTTCGGCCTGCTTGCACCGCCGGTGTGCTGGTATTGAAACGTTGTGACTCCGGAAATGGCTCATACTGCGTTGGAGAGGAATTTCCGATATCAGAAGCCTGCGACCCTCTGTCCTCGTGGGGGTTATCGGGCCCCGCGGCGTTGTCAAATTCAGAAAACAAATCCACATGCCCAGTGTCGCCCTCATTGAGTGTCATTTGTGTAGTCCCGCCATCTGTGCCTTCAATAATATGTATAAATGGCCCCTCCGTAGAGTTATCCTCCATGGTCCTGCTATTCAATAAACCCTCGTAAACGGACTGAGAAACCGGTTGGGTATCGCCCAAAAAGCTCCCTGAGGGTGATCTTTCTCCATCCTGGGGCTCTGGCGTGGTATTCGACCTTGACAGCCTAGAAGATTTTATGCTCGACATGGCTGCGTTGTGCGTCGGTTGTTTGTCGTGCTCATCAGAGAGATCGTGTTTTACGCTCGAGGTAGGAGAACAGGTAGGTTTCTCTGCAGCAGCCAAAGACTGTTTGCTGAGCTTTCCATATTCAAATATTGGACCATAATCCGCGGCCTTGGATGTCAGGCGTCGCGTAATTGCAAACGCTGTGTGTCTGTTCAGCGACGTTTGAGATTCCTATGTTGGCAAACCATGTTTTAGTCGTTGATATATGCACGCAGGCAGGGATGATGGATCACTCACATTGAGGCCTAAGGCTGCATTTTTTATATAGGTTAAATCAAGGCTGTCTTCCTGGGTTTCCATTGCGGAAACATAATTGAAGAAGAAGTGCTCGTATGGGCTTTCCGGGGTGCAAATTACAATAATCTCGGAGTTTCGTGGTCGAGGCAAGGATGTTCCCACGCGCCGAGACGCGACACGCTAGCATATCCAATATGGCTGTTTTCGGACATTCACACTTTACCATCTTCATCACTTTCACGGATGCAGTTTTATTTCTAGCATTGGAGATAATATTATGAGTTAGTATACGGAGTATAACTCATATTTGTCTACGGGAAGCTAATTTAAGTAAGTGTGGCACTGTTCAATGTTCAATGCAAGATATAAATACATGGTATCAATACATCAAGAATATTCAATCACGGCTTCGGTTGGGCACCCATCGTTTGACGGCTAGCTCCCGAACCTCATAGCTTTTCAAGAGCTCGCCGATATCCTGTTCGTCTGGCTTATTCTCAGTCGAGGGCGGCGGTATTTCCACAAAACACAATATGAGGCTCTTTTTAACCTGTGCCTGCACTCTGTTTATGCAATGAAGCCACCACCATGTATGGTTCAGTTTTGCGGCCACCTGCTTCCGTCTCTCTTCCGTTTCCTTCCAGTATGGATGGCTATAGGACGGTAGAAGGTTGATGGCGAACTCGGCATGTGAGAAGACCGGTCCCCGGTTATAGAGGAGTAAATCGACGCCAAACTTGACTCCGGATCGAACGACCCATCCGAGGGAGCGGAAGTGATGATAGGCGACGTAGGAGATCATGAACCGGTCGTCAGGCTCGGGCATCGCGGACGGATCTTGTGGCGGGAAGTATGAATGCTGGCGGAGCAAGGCAAGGAGCGATTGAGGTTTGAGTATTGTGTTTCTGGTATCATCATATACCTCAAGGACTCCGAGGCCATAAGCGAGGAAGAAAGCATCCTCGCTGGAGAGTTGAAGATGTTCCTCATCTTCTATCTCGGTGCTGTCTTTTACTTCCGCTACTTCCACCATCGGTGCGAAGCGGACAGACTTAGTGCGATTCATGACTGTCTTTTCAGAGTCGTTTACGAGGCTGCCATTTCCTGCAGGAGTAGTAGACCCGGTCCTTTGCTCCTGGGCGGGAGGACTGCCTGAGGCTGACTTCTCTTCATTGAGACTGCGTGAAGACGCATCATCCAGAGCCGACGGGCCTTTGTCTGTTGCAGGCCCGTCAACAAGCTTGCCCTCGGCCCTTAGCTGTTCAGCAATGGCTTCTTTCTCTTTCCTTGCTCTTTCCAGCTTAAATTCTCGTCTTTCTACTCGCCTCATCCCGGTAACCTCTTCGCTTGTATTTTCGCCCATAAGTCCTCTTCTCTTCTTCTCCCGTTCCAGCCAGGAGGGCTCACTTCTACTAAGGCTACCTTTACCGAAGAAACCCATCTCCCATAATACACGAATGGTTTTGGGATCTGTGACATGGACGGAAGAAGTGGAGGCGTCAAAATAAGCTGAACATGTTACTGGATGAGGCGGTGATATATAGAAGGTGAGATAGGAGAGAGCAATACTGAGGAGAGAGAGAGGGTTGTGTGGTATTAAAGGAGGTAATGGGTGAACAGTTATAGGTAAAGGAAACCGATGCAAGTGTTTATAGTTGGGCCGACGAGGTCGACCTTTAGCCCCGCCATTCTGTGAAGCTGCCTTCTCTGGCTGAACGGGCTTTGACTCTGGAATCGAGGCCATGGAGGCTGGCTTAATATACACCTAGATATCCTTGAAACTGGTATTAGCACGACAGCCAGCCACATGAAGTATATTGGAAAACATAAAGAGTAAAGGTGCTACTTCAATTGCAGAATATGACTCAGATACCGTTGTAGTAATAAGCACCATCATTGACAATCGCTAGAAATCAGTGCTCTTGTCTAGGTTGCGAATTCGATGTCATCACCGTCACACGCTGCAATTCTCTTTCTCGGTCCAATACTGTAGGGAAGGGGAGGAGTATGCTTACAGGAGCTAGTCAGAGAGCGTCGATTCTAGTGCTCATCTCTGTTGCAAACTCCCATCCACGGCTGACGAAGAGGCCAAAAAATCAGTTAGTTAGTTGCAAGCGAACGGCTTTCATTATACCAACATCCTGTTTCCTTTACCGTTGAGGAGAGGTTTGTTTGTGCTGTCATGATAGGAAAATTCGAGCTTTAAAAGAGTTTTCCCAGATTAGTGCGAGAACGGCGCGGCAAAATGTATCTCCGGTCAAGGATTCTTGGGATAGAAATAATTTTTGACGTTGAAAGCTTCAGATAAAAAGTGCAGCAGGAGAACATTTATACCGCTACTAGATACCGGTTAGATCACGTCGCAATGTAAGTAACGGTTCATTCGCCTACCTACTTTACACGCATGTTTCTAATAGGCTATAACAGCATGCATTTGATGTACACACTCGACGCTGAGGGCAAGCGAGTCTATACCCTCAAGAAAGTGCTTAACGGCCAGGTCACCAAATCCGCGCACCCTGCTAGATTCTCTCCAGATGACAAGTACTCGAGGTAAGCAGAATCTTGTTAATTTTTTACAATTTGATATTTGCGCATAGATGCTGACTACAATTGCCATTCACAGACAACGAGTTACCTTGAAGAAGCGATATGGGCTACTTCTGACCCAGCAACCTGGTACGTTGGAGCCAAAAATCAACCCAGAACGTCCCTCACTCGCCGATTGATAGATTGCTAACGGTTTATTTCTACGTTAGAAGCGAAAGTTTGAAGTGAGCGGGCTTAAAAACGGCGGCGCATGGCGTTTTACATTTGTGGGATTCACATCGGATTTGGCATGTCGGAAATAAAGAAGAATTTTTTACAAGATGATAAGCGCCTAATTCACAGTCAAGCCTTTTGACCATTTTATTTGGCATTCACGAATTCTTGCCCTATATATTCTTTGGACAGAAATCAACGTTCATAAACAGAAAGCCCACACCCTTAATCTCATGAATATGAAATGAATCGACATCTTGAATTCTGCCTACTTTTGCGTCTATAAATCGTTATTCCCATGCATAAATCATAATTAAACCGTCATGCCCGCTCAATCCTTGTCTATCTCCGTTTCCTTGAATTGACATTGCGGCCGGCTCCCACCTTAATTCTACCACCGGCCCTTTGCCTGTCTCCGCTCAAGATGGAGGGTAGATAATCATCGTCCATCAGATCTCTTCCCTTTTTCTTCCTCCTCTCTTCCTCCGTGACAGCCCTGATATGCTCTTTTTGGTCCTCGGCCAATATCAACCCCATCCCCCATCCACCCTTTCCGCCACCAGAACCGCTCCATTTCGTATTGGCCGTGCCAGCAATTGGCTTGGGGATACTGTACTTATTCCCCCGATTGTTCCATTGCATATTCTTCTTTAAATGCGTTCTGAACTCACCCTTGGAAGAAGTCGAGCAAGAGACTCGGTTCAGTGTGGGCTGCCCACATCGAGGACAAAACTGCTTGCTCATATCCCTTGTTATCAAGAAGCAGCCATGGCAACGCATGACGTAGGATTTTAATTGGCGAATTCGCTGCATGTTACTTGGCGAGAGGATGTTGAGGTTCATTTGTAGGAGGACGTTCTGCATAGCAAAATCCCCAGTGATGGTTGCAACTTGCATTATTTTCGCTTCTTCAGAGGCGGTACCGAGTGCCGCGTCGCGAATCTGTCGTTTCTTCAAGTTTGAAGGTGTGATCCAGCCGTCGGGGTCTGAATCTGATTCATCGACGGGCGCTGAATCCTGGTCTTCTTCGTCTTCATTGCTCTCACCATGGCCGTCGATGTCATCGACTTTAGCATCTTCATCTGGAAGATCAGTCGGCTGATCCGTTGGTTCTTTCGCAGCAGCTTCAGAGCTCTCTTTAAGCGAAGTCTCTTCTACTTTTTTAGTAACCTCTTCCACTGCTGTATCATCCTGTTTCTCTTCCGGTTTCTCTTCCTGCTGAACTTCAGGCGTTTCTTCTTGTTTCTCTTCTGGTGTCTCTTCTAGCATATCTTCCTGCCCCTCTGCATTATCTTCTCTTTGTTCTTCGTCATCCTGTTTAGTGACTTTCGCCGTTGCTAAATGCGCAGGAGGTGCCCCATTTATACCCTTCTGTCCAGGTTCTCGTCTTAATCTCCAATCGCCCTCATTTCGTTCACACTCTACCTCATAGGCCAATGCTAGAATCTCCAAATCATTCTTGCTAAGAACTTCCCGGTCGCCAGTTTTCCGCGCAAATTCAGCCACGACTTTAAGACTATCTGGCTTCGGAGATCGCTGGGTTAGAAATGGGAGGTAGAGGGTTTCGATTCGGCGACGGGCATCTGGGTCTCGTATTTCAGAAATTACCGACGGTGTGGTGATGAGGGCGTGTGATTGTGAGAGCAGGGTTGAAATTTGGGGTACGTTCTTGATCAGCGGTCCGGCATCGAGAACTATGGTGTGGACTGGCTTAGCCGGTTCGCTGGTATCAGTGGGCTCAGACATGGTTATTTTTCTAAGGGATATATGGCTTGCACTGGCGTTGTGCTGGTGCTGGTGGATGTAATAATTGCTTGCCAAAACTCGATAAGAATTTATATGAGTGGGGTCTGTGCGTTGATCAAGCTTATCTTATCAGCGCCCCCCGCCGGCTGCCCGTTTGAGTAACATGGCACTGGGGGGACCTGGAGGATTTTAGTCGTTAGAGACGAGATAGATAATAGATTGTTGACTTCACTATGTAGAGATATATTCTACTAAGCTATAATACCTATTCTAGGCTAACAGGAGACCTTTCGCATGATAGATCGAGATCAACATGGGAAGACCATAACCAACTCGCTTCCATATCTAACTAAATGTCCGAAAAATGCAAAATCCAGAATGCTTCACTTACTCCAGGGACATAATGTACCCATCTAAAAGCTCTCAAAGTCCTTGTCGACGTCCTGGAAGTAATCGAAGAAACCCTTGAACATCTGCACGCCGAGGCCAGGATCAAGGCTACCAGTCGTAGCTCTGATACTGTGCATGCTCAGCTGTGGGATTCCAACATCAATAGCCCTCATACCAATTCGCGCGCTCGACATCGGTCCAATCGTACCACCGCTGCGGCTGTCATTTCTAATTTGGAACACCTGAAGCTTGCATCCACACTTCTCGGCCAGCCGCTGGAAAAGGGCGGTACTGACGCCCTCAGTAGTCATGTGGCCATTTGGGTCGGCGGAAATGGCAACACCATAGTTCAATCGTGGTGAATGATTCTCGAGGTAGGCGTTGAGGAAGTTGGGGTTCACGGCGTGGGTGACGTCGGATGAGACTAGGAAGCTGTTCGCGACAGTCTGGGAGAGCACATTGGGCCCATAAGAATGAGAGAAGGTTTCGGCAATTCGCTCCATGACGCTGCTCATGAAGTTGGAATTGGCTCCGCCGCGAAGCAAACTGCCAATTTCCTCATCGTCGAACATTCCTACCATCTTGACGATTCCGGGGGAGGCGCTGTCGGGGGAGGATAGGAGTGCCTGGTGAGCACTGTAGCAGCACAACTTATCGTCAATGCGGCCAGCGAAGATGAGGTCCTTGTGCAGACCGCCAACCTGTGCTGGCTGGATATCGAATAGCTCGAGCTCCCAGTTGATTATGGTGTTAGGGTCTTCGATATCTAGCTCACTGGCAATGACCTTAACCAAGTCCTCAGGCTGGGTGGACACAAAGTTGCCGGCATCCAGAGCCTCCTCATCCCCGCCCACAGTTGATTGTTTCGGGCCCTTGAAAAGATCCGAGTTATCGACTCCAATAATAGGCGTCATTTGGGTCTCCTTGTTAAAGGGTCCAACGGCAGCGGCACCAAAGTGAGGAGCGAGGGTAGGAATTCGAGCAATCGGCCAGTCCAACTTGACCAATTTCTTCTCAACGATTCCAGTTTTGGCATCACGGACCAAAACCCGACCACCGATACCGAGATCACGATCCCACCAGGTAGAGTTCATGGCACCAGCATACGGCGCAACCCCGAGCTGGACATACCCGGCCTTGTTGTCCAGTTTTGGAATTGGCTTGAGCTTCGTGCACAGCGCATCAACATGGCCAGCGACTATTCCCATACCATTGCCCGCCTGGTATTCCTTGCCTACTGCGAAGGAGATGATGGCACTGTCGTTGCGGGTAACGTAGTATTTACCTCCGCGTTTGAGCTTGGAAGACCACGTCTCACGCTCGGTGAGCTTGGTGTATCCGTGGGATTCCAGCTGAGCGGCGAACGCAGCAACGGCGTGGAAGATCGTTGGGTTCGCAGTCATGAACTCGCAGAAGGGCTTAGTATAGGCTTCGGGGTGGAAGCCAGTACGGTGAATGGTGTCATCTTGAGGTCGTGTGGCCAGCGGGCGATGCTGGAGGTTGGACTGAGACTGCGACTGATGTTCGCTGAACGAGCCGAAAGAGCCGAACGACGGGATTTTCTTCGTCATCGTGGCCGACCGTATATATCGATGTATGAAGTAATTATGCAGCGTTCAGTTCAGAGTGGTTATTGAATATGCCCGAGAAGAAAGAAGTTGAGAGAGCTGGATACGGCGAGCGGTTGAGTGAGTCAATAACGAAGAAGACAGGTATGACGGCACTCTTCGGTATTTAAGCAATGAGACTCAAAATTGGGGAAAGCTGGAGCTAAACCATGGCGCCGCCTGTGATTGATTTCTGTAACCCCAGGAACCCCATCCATGGCGCATTCCCGGGGCTGTCCAGGGGGTGATTGGCTATATGAAGAAGCCCCTGGGCAGCCCAAACCCAGCCACCAGGCGCTGTTACGGGCATGTCGTGAGACGCTCATCGGGGGTCTTTGATCACCTTTGACAACTGTATCGATTGCTTTGTTCGACCTAGAGGCAGGCGTTCATGTTCATGCCCGCGACGTAGAAGGTGAAATGGTCATTCTTCGGTTACGAGGTCCCCGTATATGAAGCTCATGTGGCCGCAACCGTTTAGATAGTGCTCGATGGTGGCTTGCTAGCTTCAAGTGTGACCAGTTGCTAGCTGTCGATAATCGTCGACTGGTTGACTGGCCTGGTTGGATTATTCTCATCACCCAAGGCTGGCATTCATTTGGTGTTCGCCATAGAGCAGACCTCTACTCCGTATATCGAAGTCTCCAGCTGAGGTAAATAACGATGGACTGGCTGGCACCACGATCAAATAGCCTACTGTCGATAGGAACAATACTCACACATCCTCCTTGTCTGCCATGTCTGATGCGATTATGGTTAAGGGCTGATATGGCCTCTGTATGATTGTGATTAAGGATTTGATATGTCCTTCTTGTCAGAATCTTGCATCCATAACCCTTGGTGTCAGTCGCTGTATAGACAAAGGCTTGATAAGCCACCCACCACGCGTCAACGAGAGAAAAAGACGGCCATCGGTGCCCGAGAGCGAGATCAACAGCTAACGAGGGACATGACGAACTGATACGAAGATAGAGGCGGGAGACAGGCCGTCTTGAGCGCGCGTCGTGGTCGATACGCTCTTAAGGCCGTTAGCAACCTCCAACGTCCCGCGTACGGACGAAAGGATAGGAACATCACCAACCCTGGCAAGCATCGAACCAACCTCTCTAGCCGCCGTCAATAGTCAGTCAACAGGTCAATACAGTGGACACTCAACCTCAGTGAACTCTTGCGAGCATCGCTTCTACCGAGAAACTGCGTTACATATGGCGTTTAATCACCGACATCATCCCTTTGCTATCATCTATATAACCCTAGAATGAGCCAGAGCGCAATCTCCAACATAACCAACATGGATGTTTCATAACCTTTACTTAAATACCTGTTGGACATGCGTGAAGCTCTTCACAGCCCCAATGGCAAACCCTTGGCCTGGTCCACTTGTTCCTTCGGCTCGAGAACCGCCAGGAGTTTCACGCAGCCTTTCGACTCTTGGTTGCTCGTATACTTGCAGCGCACATATCATCTTATGCGCTTACAAGTGAATTTTATGCCTTGGCCAGGGCTCTCTCCCGGTCCGCCCGCCACGGTCTCCGCGCGTCATCGGCGCATTTCCATTTCTAAAACAATATCTCCACCGGACGCCTATATAATAATATATCATTTTCGTCCCCCATATTAACAGCTAAATTATCGTTTCCCCCGCAAATACGTCTTATATGTGGTGATATGCTGCGTCGAATATTAGCACCTTTTACCTGTTGATACCACTGGCTGGCGGTTTGGTGTGTAAAAAGTGCCGGAACCATGGCTTTCATACGGCAGGTTTGGGCACTTACCAGGAAGAACTTCCTGATTGCGCTGGTTCGACCATACATTACAACGCCACTACGAGCTTTCTTGCTTCCGGTGATTTTAATTGCCTTCTTGTTGGTGATTCCTTATATATTGGCTTGCCCTGAGACGTGACCGCTTATCCTTCTGCCTAGATCATTTGCTCGTAATTTGTTTGTCGTCCCGTCGAAATATGGAATTGCACCAGCCACGCCTCTCTTAGCTCTCGGTGATGCCCTGAACTCGGTGTCTTCTTCACGGACAAATGTGGTCTTCGTCAATAATGGCTTCACTAATGGTGATATCGCACGAGTTATCGACCAGGTCTCCATGCCTGTCCGTGCAAGTGGGAAATCTGCCACTGTACTATCGTCAACCGATGCAGTCCAGGATATCTGCAAAAGCTCGATCTTGGGCACAAGCTCTTGTGTAGCTGTTGCTGTCTTTGCCTCCTCCCCGACTGAGGGAAACGGCCGCAAATGGAACTATACTATCAAGGCTGACGGTGCTCTCGGGAAGAATATCGATGTCAAGTCGACCACCAACGATGCGCAAACATATATTCTCCCGTTCCAGCACGCCATCGACTGGGCAATAGCTTCTGTCAATGGTACAGCCGGACCAACTAACCAACAGGTCAGTGTCCTTTATCCTAGTTGACCTATAGTTATTACCCTATTATATCTAACCTAGGAAAATATACTAGGTCATGCAATACCCCTATACGTCGAAATCTGAAGAAGAGCGTATCAAGGATACTCGTATCAGATATACTGGCACGATCATCGATATCCTAGGCATCGCGTTCCTCGTGGGTAGCATTGGTATCACGTATCAGTTGACTGGCATTGTTGCAACCGAGCGAGAGCTGGGCATTTCCCAGCTTATTGACTGCATGATACCGACCACAAGTCCCTGGAAATCCCAAGCTGCACGTTTCCTCGCAGTCCATCTCGCACTCGACGCTATCTACTTGCCAGGCTGGGTCGCAATGGCCATAATCCTGAAAGCTGTTGTCTTTACCAAATCCTCCGTGGGTATACAGATCATATTCCAGCTCCTATCCGGCCTATCCTTGGCCTCGTTTGCTTTGTTCGGGGCATCGTTCTTCAAAAAGGCACAACTCAGTGGAATTGCAGTCGTTATCACCTCATTGGTCCTCGGTATCATTGCTCAAGTCGTCCGACCATCTAGTGCCGCTGCTGTTGCTATTCTATCCTTCCTGTTCCCACCTATGAACTATATCAATTTTGTCGTTTTCATGGCGAGATGGGAAAGGCAGGATCAAGCGACCAATCTAGTCAAGGGTGCCCCAGAAAGTCCCTGGAGTATTCCCGGGATTGCCTTTTGGATATTTGCCCTCATTCATATTATAGTTTTCCCTGCCCTTGCCGCCCTTGTCGAGCGTCTACTTCATGGCACTGGGTCAAAGTGCAGGAAGAGCATAAGATCAGATTCAGCTTCTCATGCCGTCGTTCTTAGCGGTTTCTCAAAGCAGTATAAACCAAGCTGGTTTTACCGAACAGTCGCCCCGATTTTCGGAAGTCGACGAGAAACAGTCTTGGCTGTCGACAACCTCAACCTCCGCGTCACCAAGGGTGAAATCATGGTGCTTCTGGGAGCTAACGGCAGTGGGAAATCAACAACACTCGACGCCATATCGGGAGTTTCAAAAACGACATCTGGAGAGGTCTCTGTGGCCTACCCTGAAAATGCGGGAGGTTTCGGCATGTGCCCTCAGAAGAACGTTATTTGGGACAAACTTACTGTTCAAGAGCATATCTCGATCTTTAATGGTTTGAAAACTCTTGGGAAGCCTGACACTAAGGAGCAAATCGCGGAGCTTGTAGCTGCCTGCGACTTGGATAAGAAACTAAGCGCCCGCGCAGGAACTCTATCTGGTGGTCAGAAGAGAAAGCTCCAATTAGCTATGATGTTCACGGGTGGATCATCAGTTTGCTGTGTTGATGAGGTTTCATCCGGTCTCGACCCGATTTCTAGACGAAAGATATGGGACATTCTCCTGGCTGAACGCGGAAAACGAACCATTTTACTCACGACCCATTTCCTCGATGAAGCCGATGTGATCGCCGACAGCATTGCAATCTTGTCCAAGGGTGTCCTTAAGGCTGAAGGTTCTAGCGTTGAACTCAAGCACAAGCTTGGATCCGGCTATAGAATATACGTTTATCAAGGGCTTACGTCGGAGAAATTGCAATTACCAGATACCCTGCGGACAGAGGTTCTTCACGACCAGGTTATCTACACCGTCCCCGATTCTTCACAGGCAGCGAATTTTGTAAGGCAACTGGAGGAAAATGGAATTACTGAGTACCGTGTTAGTGGTCCAACTATTGAGGATGTGTTCTTAAAGGTTGCCGAAGAGATTCAATACGAAGCTGAAGCTTGGGACGAGGATGGGAAGAGCGGGAAAGGATCTGACAAGACTCCGCATCTCCTCACTGGCCGTCGAATTGGAATGGCTCAACAGGCATGGATCTTGATATGCAAAAGAGCTACGATTCTCCGTCGAAACTATCTCCCCAGTATTGCCGCGTTCCTACTCCCCATCATTGCAGCTGGATTGGTATCTCTTTTGATGAAGGATTACACACTTCCCGCATGCAACGGGCCCGCCGCATTCTCTGAATCCGACGTCAACTCCTTTTTAAACCAGGTTAAGCTGAAGCTGGTAATTGGACCACGCAGCAAACTTACGGCAGAAAGTTTGTTATCCCTTGGTGGTAGAGTTGGAGGCGCTGGTGGTGGTTCGCTCCCAGCAAATGTCACCAATGCTCTGCGTGACGGCACTCATATCGTGGACACTCTCCAGGAGTTCAACGATTACATTAGTACTAACTTCCGGAATATTACTCCCGGCGGATTCTACCTTGGAGATGACATGTCGCCGCCGACGCTCGCGTGGAAAGGAAATGGAGGCGTTGCCTTGGCCTCAATTCTACAAAACCAAATGGATAATCTTTTGAACAATGTCTCTATCTCTACCCAGTACCAGATCCTCGAGGTGCCATGGATATCGTCAGCCTCAAGCACACTCCAACTTGTCATCTACCTAGGCCTGGCCTTGTCGGCCTATCCGGCTTTCTTCGCTCTTTATCTTACCGTGGAGAAGCTTCGGCATGTTAGGGACCTACACTACAGCAATGGTGTCAGGAGTCTTCCACTATGGCTTTCCTACTTATCATTTGACTTTACTATTGCCCTTACTTCTACTGTTATAATGGTAGTAGTTTTCAGAGCGGTTTCCTCAAGCTGGTACCATTTGGAATATCTTTTTGTCGTGTTTTTCCTCTACGCCATTACGGCGACGCTATTCGCATATATCGTTTCAGTATTCGCTTCATCGCAACTGGCTGCCTTCGCTTTTGCAGCTGGAGGACAAGCGTAAGTAGTCCCAATCGACTTCCGAAGTCAATGAGCACTAACATTATTTGCTTTAGGATACTATTCCTCGTCTACCTCATTGCATATATGAGTGTGGTTACCTATGCACCAACGGAAAAGGTACAAAGCCTCCTATTAGTAGTGCACTTCGCTATTGCTGTGATATCGCCCATCGGCAATGTAATCCGCGCCCTCTTCGTTGCCTTGAATGTCTTCTCGACCATCTGCAGAGATAAAGAGATAGTCAGTTACCCCGGTGATATTACGGCATATGGTGGCCCTATCCTTTACCTCATTTTGCAAGCGTTTGTATTGTTTGGGGTACTCTTATTCTGGGACTCGGGTCTATCATTCCGTCGCTTTACGAAAACAAAAAGATCTGATGCAGAGGAAGAAGTAAATGGTGACCCAAACATTGGAAATGAACTCCAGCGTGTGTCGAGTTCTAATGATGGCCTCCGTGCCATCCACTTGACCAAGTCGTTTGGAAAATTCACTGCAGTCGATGATGTTACGTTCGGTGTTCCCCGTGGTGAAGTATTCGCTCTCCTCGGTCCTAACGGTGCTGGAAAGTCCACCATTATCAGTTTAATCCGAGGAGACCTTCAGCCCTCCAACAGCAGCGGCGAAATATTTGTCGAAAATACACCAGTCACTACACAGCGAGCTACCGCACGCTCCCATATGGGCGTTTGTCCACAGTTTGACGCCATGGATCAGCTTACTGTGCTCGAACATCTAAGGTTCTATGCACGCATTCGAGGAATTCCAGACGTGGAGCATAATGTCCGCGAAGTTATCCGAGCCGTAGGTCTTATGCTTTATGGTAACAGAATGGCCATGCAGCTTTCAGGTGGAAACAAGAGGAAACTATCTCTTGGAATTGCATTGATGGGAAATCCAACAGTGCTCTTGTTGGATGAGCCATCGTCAGGAATGGACGCAGCTTCAAAACGAGTTATGTGGCGCACGCTTGAGTCAGTCGTCCCCGGCCGGTCGCTGGTCTTGACAACTCATTCGATGGAAGAAGCCGATGCGCTAGCTACCCGTGCTGGTATCATGGCCAAACGAATGCTCGCCATCGGCACTACCGATGATCTCCGCCGCCGTCATGGAAATGCATATCACGTCCATATTGTCCACAAGGACGCACCACATACCTCCGAAGTAGACATGGCAGAAATCCGCGATTGGATCGCTAATACCCTCCCGAGCGCATCGGTCGAACGAAAGACCTACCACGGCCAACTTCGATTCAGCCTGAGCGGCTCATCCCCCCTTTCTGACTTACGGGACGGTACATCTGACCGACGGCGCCAGACCAGCGAGGATGACTACATCTCTCCTGATTCCCCTGGAACTGCGCAAAGCAATGGCAACCACGATAGCCGCATCGGTACTAGCAAACTCTTCTCACTCCTTGAGCAGAACAAAGAACGCCTTGGCTTCGCCTATTATTCTGTCAGCCAAACTACACTTGACCAAGTGTTTTTGACAATAGTCGGGCAGCACAACATCAAAGAAGAAGGCGAGTAATATGTTCCATCGTGTTAGATATATGTATGTTTCTATGTCTAATTTTCTTCTGTCCCTTCTTTCTATTCTTATCCGTGTATATAATGACACTTAATGTTGTTTATTCAAACCTATCCATATGTACATACCCCATTTTTCGGTTCGTTTATGAAGCAGGAGGGCCACTACTGGAAAATAAATTGATATTGCTATTGATAACTATGGAACCACTTGAAAACCTACAAATATATTTTATTAATTAAAGGCTACTCTATATCACACCTTATACAGGCGAGGGTTCGGCTTTGGTGTCTAAAAATAACGTTTATGGGTTTTTGGGCGCCACACAACATGAAGTTCAAACATCACGGAGATGCGCTGGTCAAGGCCTCAAGGCCTCAAGCTTGCAGGTAGCTAGCATGATGAATGCTATCACCGAGGCCATCACTGAGGCCACCACAACAATTGATATGGGCTTTCACCCGCCCATTATTCAAACTGGAGTACCTTCCAGCCCTCCAGAGAAGGTGATTTACCCCGGTTTCCTGGAAACTCGGCGGAGAATGAGAGAGCTATCCCCATGGAGTCATAGAACGCTATCATACAGTCGAATAGTCTATATGAACAGCAACGTCACGGTTTTGCTCCAAGTTTCTCTTAATCCCATTCTTTTTCTCTGGCCGATTCAGCAGAGGTTCTTGTGAAACTACTTTGTTTCATGCGAGCACTGCATATATCACAGTTACACAATCTGGAATTGGGCGAATCTCAAATCGGCTCTGGAATCACAATTCTCACACACTCTCGTACTCTCCTTGGGCCATAGCTTGTCAGAAACCAGCAGTATATACTATATCATTATGAAAGTCAAGCCGGAAGATGGGAACAAAGCCTCAGCCGCTGAAATAGCGAGCGCCGAACCTATGGAGACGCCGCAGTCGAAATGGAAGGTCTCTAAATCCGGTGATGGCGATACTGCCATGACCCTATTCTCAAGCCCAGATGACCTCCATGAATTTGTCGATCCGAAGGAGGCGCGAAAATTACTCTGGAAAATCGACTTAATTATTCTCCCTTATCTCGCTGTCTGTTATGCGTTCTTCTATATAGATAAGGTCAGTTAACTCCAGAAACGCAGCCAGGGCAGGCGAAATTCTTGAATGGTAAACTAGTACCTGATAATCTGACTTATTTTATTTCTGATGGCCCGCTAGACAACTCTTAAGTTATGCAGCAATTTTTGGAATTCGGTAGGACTTGAATCTAAAAGGGACTCAATACAGCTGGCTTAGCAGTCTCTTCTACTTTGGATTTTTGATATGGGCATTCCCTACCAATTTTTTGTTACAGAAGTACCCCATTGGTAAGAATCATTCATCGTCGTTTAACCCCCTAGACCTTGGTTGGATCAATTATTAATCTAATTCAACTTCAACAGGGAAATACCTTGGGGTAAACATCTTCATGTGGTTTTTTATACTCTTAATCGCTCTTCCTTACCATTATCTACTAAACTAGGCTATTATAGGGGCTTCTTTTTAGTGCTCCCAGCGGCATGTAAGGATTTCACGACCCTTGCAGTGCTTCGTACTCTGGCAGGTGCAGCCGAAGCTTGTTCAGACCCGGGATTTCTCCTCATCACGAGTATGTGGTATACACGAAAAGAACAGCCTATACGACTCGGTTTATGGTACACCGCGAACGGGTTCGGCATCGCCCTAGGAGGCCTCCTTGGATACGGTATCGGAAGTATCAAGGGTGTGCTGCCATCATGGAAATTCGAATTTATTATTATGTAAGTTCAAAGTACTATATATATTCTTGCTTTTATCACCAACAAAGTACTAATCCAGTTACTTAGTGGAGCATTATGCTGCGTTTGGGGAATTGTAATTTTCCTCCTCCTTCCTGATTCCCCGGTGACGGCTCCATTCCTCTGCCCGAGGGACCGTCGCAGAGCGGTTGAGCGAGTTCGGTCTAATCAAACAGGAGTCGAAAATAAAAGATTAAGCCATACCAGATACAGGAAGCGCTTTTGGACTACAAGCTTTATCTTTTTTTCTTGCTTGGCTTGGTGTGAGTAGATAGTGACATTACATCATGTTACATGCTCTAATTCTTAACGATATCTATTTGCAGGTGCAATATTCCCAATGGAGGTATATCAAACTTTGGAACTATTATCATCAAGGGATTTGGGTTCTCCACACTTGTCACCACATTGATGCAGGTGAGATTGTCTTCTGTGAAATTTACAACCTAAATCAACCCTGTACTAACCAGTATAATTTTTTGTGGTCTAGGTACCATACGGATTTATCATTGCCGTATCGATCTTATTCTGCGTATACCTTAACAACAAGTTCGAGAATCGAAGGTGTCTTTTTATAATCATTTTCCTTCTACCTAATATTGCGGGCGCCTTTGGACTCCGTTTTCTTGAGCACGACCAAAAGGCAGGACGACTTCTTTGCTACTATCTGACCGGACCATACAATGCTGCTTCCGTCTTGATACTCAGCCTGCAGATTGCAAACACAGCTGGTAAGTATTCTTCCATCTTATAGCCGGAATACATCTCTGATATCCCTCATAGGCCACACAAAGAAGGTGGTCACAAGTGCAGTTCTATTCTTAGGATATTGCACTGGGAACATAGCTGGTCCATTTTTTTATATTGCTGAACAATCGTAAGATTCTTCATCCCATTAGCGTATCAAGAATATAAATAAGTGGACATTAACGTAACATTATACAGGCCGTCATATCCCCTTGGGATCTGGTCTATGATAGTCTCACATTTCATCGAAGTGGCCGTCATATCGCTGCTGGGGCTCCTGCTATGGAGGGAAAATAACCGTCGTGACCACATTCAATCTCAACAAGAAGGTGGCTTGGAAGGGCGTGATCTTGACTCAACGGCATTCTCTGATATGACAGATAGGGAAAACCTCAAGTATGTTCCAGCCCCCTTGACCTAGTTTTTACGTTACCCCACAGCCTCCTCCACTCTTTTCGGCCCGTCCCGGTGGCTACTACAGTTTACTAATTTTGGTTCCAATCATTGCTAGTTTTCGATACATTTATTAGTCAAGTTAGTTCATCTGCGTATATACTCGAGTATTACGATTGCTATTTTTTCTCAGATAATTACAACCCACCCCCCAAATCTATGCTACCAAATGTTATTTCCGTTGCAAATCATACCATTGAGGTACGCCGGAGGGTTAAATTTATAAGTATGTAGATATATGGTTGGTCACGAAACAGGAGGGTGGGGAACGAGTAAATCATATATATCTTGAATGCCATACAGGTTATTATTTAATATGTACCCGGACGTGCGAACGTAGACGCAGTCCGCATTTAAAGTAAGCAACAACAAAAATAGAAGCAAAGGTTTATATAAAGTCCAAGACACGTGTATATCTTATCGGCCGTTGAAACGCATAAGAATTACTGGTAAAATAAAACGGGGAAACAAACTTTTAAACCGAATAGCAACGGGGTACTGAATTTCAACGGTTTACCGTCGATTGAAGTTGAAATATCGGGACTAGACAGAGATACTTCGTTAGTGATATGTCCATACAAAATCATAGAGGAGCAAAGCGTAGTACTTACGCCAATAAATAGCAGGAGCAAGTTCGTTCCAATAAAGGCAGCGAAAATACCCATGTCTCTCCACCTATTATCAAACGACATCCCGAAGACCCTGTAAAACTCATCGCCGACCTTGTATGCACAATATTCGCACATATCTGTGGCATTATTAACTAAATACCCAGGTCCGCCATTGGAGAAGAACTTCTCCATATAGGAGCCACAGGTTTCGCCAGGCGGTGCGGTGAATCGATTTAGCTCTAGGCCTGCGCATTTGACTTCTTGCCCATGGAGTTCGGTCACAACCATGCCACTGACAAGGCGTGTAAACGGATCCAACTCATGAAGCCACACACGCCAGAATTTAGGGATTTGAGGCTTTGGTACAGCAACACCACATAGTAGCGCGAAGATAACTATAATCGGGGGGTTGAGAAGGACCGCTGTAAATGTGCTGGGTGTCAAAGCTGAAATTGCCTGGCCCAAGGTTACAGAAAATATCTCCGTAATCAAAACCATGAGGAATTGATATCCTGCTCGGCTTGACTCTGTGCGGAGACCGGGCATATAGTAGAGCGGTAGGTAAAAGCACACTGCACAAATAATGCTGTAAGGAAGCTCGGCAAGCACCATTGCCAACGCGAATGGGAATTGTCTGTAGGCTTTTGCCGCTGATTCCCGATAGAAGATCAGACGAGATAAGTCATACTTGGGCTCTACTTGAGCTAAGATCAGAGCAGGGAGAACGGTAACCTGGAAGATGACGAAAACTCGATACTGGAGTGACGTTCGAGATTTATCTAGATTTAGGAATGAGAGGCCGGTAATCAAGGCGACAGCAACATGGCTGTAAAGGCGAGTAAAGCCATAGTTCGGGGATCTCCAGAACGACAAATTCGTCCGGTGACAGACGACCTTTATCTGATGCCATAATGGAGTGGCATACTCTTTCTCAGACTCTGGATCGATGGCCTGGCCGTCAGTGGTTTGCATCCGACTTGACTTCATTTCAACAATGCCAGTTTTAACATTCGCTAGCTCAGGCGACGTGCGCCAAATGTCACCCCAGTCCCGGTTTCCTATACGTGGGGCTTGGCCAGCGCCAATTGCATCAAGCATCCATTCAGCTGGGTTTGCTTGAGGGGGACAGTCGGCACCGTTTCTGTGGAAGTAGTCGATAAGGACATTCGCATCCCTACCAATGTCGCCAAAGTATACACACTCACCACCACGCTGAAGTAAAAGGAGGCGATCAAAATTTTCGAACAGGGCAGAGTTGGGTTGATGGATTGTGCAAAGGATGGCTTGGCCAGCGGCAGCTAGCTTTCGAAGGAATCGAACGATATTGAAGGCAGACTGGCTGTCAAGGCCAGACGTGGGCTCGTCAAGGAATAGTAGGAGCTGTGGCTTTGCAGCTAACTCCACGCCGATAGTTACTCGTTTTCGCTCCTCGACCGACAGCCCAGTTTCGGGGCTACCAATGATAGCATCCGCGAGGTTTTCCAGCTCAAGGAGTGAAATGATTTCTTCAACATATGCGAATTTTTCCGATTCTGGAGTAGCGTATGGTTGACGGAGGGTTGCAGAGAAACGGAGGGCCTCGCGGACAGTCTGTGTAGGTTCATGCACGTCAAGTTGCTCAGCGTAGGACGTTCCACGTTGGAAGGCAGTGCCTCTAGGACGACCATCAACCAGGACATCACCAGTAACAACTCCAATGTTTTTACGCGAGGCCAGAACATCAAGAAGTGTCGTTTTACCAGCACCACTAGCACCCATGAGAGCAGTGAGTTTTCCTGGCTCAACATATCCATAAACACTGTTTAAAAGACGCCGTGTCCCCCCAGGAACAGGCACCTCGTAGCAGAGATTCTCCCAGGTTAGGACGGCTTTAGATGTGACCTGCAAGTCCGATCCGGTGTCGTCAATCCGCTTCTGTTGTCGGTCGGTCTTCTTCTTCATTAGTTTTCCGTTGAGGTCCTTGAGTTCCTTTGATTCTTTCGCAAAGAAAGTGACAGTTTTTCCACCAGCGCCAAACGTGAGCACCTCACCAAGGAAAGCGTTAGCGAACAAGAATGCGACGATTAAAACGACGATGATACCCCAGTTTTTCCATTGATCGGCCGTTTGATAATTGAACGCTAGACTGAGGTAGTTGAACCCTGGAATAGTAGTTGACCCCGGATCACCACCAGGCAAAGTGCAAACTTGATGCGCGAAATCCGAATACCCTGGTCCAGCAGGGATAAGGGAGTCAGACTCACAAGTCATGGTAAGGCGGCTGAATTCGTTGATCATCATCGATGAGAATCCAAGGCCAAGGGGATTGATATAAAATATCCATCGAAGCCAAACCTGCTGGCTATGCCATTGAATTAGATAACCGGACGTCAGGACATAAAATGAAATCAGCACAGAGACTCCCTTCAAAGCATAGTTGAAATCGGGGCAAAGGCAGCCAACGGTACGGAAAAATAGTGTCATGGCAAGGTATCCCGTTATTATGACTAGGACGAATGAGAAGAATGCTCCTGCGTCTAGCACAAGACCGCACATGAAATAGACGATAATACTAAACACAAAAATCAAGGTCGAAGAGAAAGCCATGTCGACTACAACCTGGGCGATCCATAGAGCACTTGGGCGGTAGAAGGTAAAGGCACGTTGTTTGTTGATGATCGGGCGTCCCAACATTGTCGATGCAAGTTCACCGAATGCTTGAAAAGCGTTGAAAAGTAGAGCGATAAAGAGGAGACCACCACGGGTGAATGCGCCAGCACTGGTTTCTGGAAGCCTTAGCCAGACTGTTCCGATAATAATAGCTATTGAGATTGAGGTGATCCATGAGACAGTAAGAGAGAATTTGTCCTGCCATTTAATCAAGAATTGTCGGTTCATGAGCGCATAGACCTGCAAGTAAAATGGCACCGAGTAGACGGAGGATTTCGAGGTGAACTTTCGTTTGGCTTCACGATGGGCAATCTCAAAGTCCTCTTGAATGTGTTTCTCCTCCTCGAGCGTAGTGCGATATCGGGCCATCTCATCGTCTAGATCTTTATTGAACTTTGATTCATCAAAGGCTTTAACCAAATCAGCTGGAGTGGATGGAACGTTGGTTTCATTTCGTCCTTCCTTATATTCCCTTTCAAAAGGATCGGTACAGCCAGTAAGGTAATCAGGGGTGGTTTGACGCGGTTTTTCTTTGAATCCTAAGCCTTCAAAATAGCCACGGGCTTCGTCAATTGGTCCAAAGAAAACTTGACGACCTTGATCTAGTACCATCACTTTATCAAACTGGTTATAGATGTTCTCTGACGCTTGGTATAGCGATACGAAGGTGGTTGTCTTATAGATATTGGTCATAATCCGGAGAGACTTGGCGAAATCCAGAGCTGTCGACGCATCCAACCCACGAGTAGTGTTATCCCATGCTAAGACAGTGGCTGCAGTAACCATCATTTCGGCGATACTGACTCGTTTCCTCTCGCCTCCAGAGACACCTCGCATAAACTGGTTACCAACGATGGTGTTGATAGTGTGCTCAATGTTAAACATTTTAAGTAGTAGGTTGATGATCTATAGACATGGTTAGATATGGTGGAGGTTTGGCATAAGTATTCGAGGGGTTGGGGAAGCCTTGCCTTCTTCTTAAATTCAGCCTTTGAGAGTCCTGCTGGCCGTTTACCAGGGGTTTTGGTATCCAGGGCGAAGCTAAGAGTCTGCCCTACAGTGAGAGAGGGATGATGGATATCATCTTCTTGATTGTAGACTGCCTCTCCGCGGTAACGCTTCGCAAAGTTATCTGAATCGAAGGGCCCATAGAGAACCTCACCATCGATACCAGTGTATCCGAATCTCTGGTTTGCTATCACCTTCAAAAAGGTCGTACACCCTGAAGAGGGCTTACCCAGAACCAAGACCATCTCACCTGGCTTAGCTACACCTTTGAAGTCCTTTAGGATTTCGAACTCTTTGCCCTTCTTCGCAAATCCTAGCATGCTGTAAATCGTGGCCGGCACGTTGAGAAAATCAATTACGGCATCGGGGAACGTTCGTACGGCATGCTTTACTCCACCGATACCACGAACAGTGAGGCCGTCCCATATAACACCTTTGAGAAGTTAGTATGAACCCTTGGAAAGGTTTCCCAGGTAATCCGGTAACTCACCTATTCTCTTTGGTCGTATTCCAGCTTCTGCCTCTGCATCCCGGGAGCCATGAAGGGCAGCCTCCAGGTCAAACTGCTCGTCGTGGTCAGAGGCGCCTTCAATATCGTAAGAACCCTTCTCTTTTATCCCGTTTTGTTCTCGGGAGAAAGGCCGTTTCGATTTCTCCGAAATTCTAGACAACTCCTTGCTCAAGATAGCAAAGTCTTCTTCCGCCTGCTGTACATTGACCCCCCCAGTCGGTTGTGTCAAGCCCTGGCGGTTGGCATTCCTCAGGTTCTCCCGTTCACGCTCATAGTCACTACCAGTAAATATAGTGTCCGAATCCGAGCTTTCACTGGGGAATTCTGATTTGGAAGAATTAGCCCCCGCGGTACTTGAAGCCATGGATATTGTTCTTTCCAATATCAGGTATCACTGTTGTATCCCTCAATACATATGCATGGGGAGGAAGTCGGCGATGTCGAGTTTGATATTAGGTGTTTAGGAAAACCTCGTAGTAACCACCAGCCAGGTGATAAAACGAAACCAAAGGCTATAAGGAAAATAGGAAGAGGCAAACTGAAGAAATTTGGATGATGCTTTTATTGAAATGTAATTATGGCAAGTCAACCGGGAAAGCCGATATATTTATATACGCAGGGACGGGGAATGCGCCCTATCGTTATGCGGAAGAGAGGAAAGTAAGAGGAGGACGAAGAAGAATATCAAGGGAGATTCACCAACCGTAATTGAACAGGGTTTTGGATCCAGAGTGTCTTCTTACTTAACCTTGTGTGGGGCCGGAAAAGATTCAATCTCGGACTTCGAAAGACCGAGGGGGAAGATATCTAGAACAGGCCCACTCTCGCCCGGGCACGAAGGCGTTGGTGCTGTTGGCACCGTATTTTCGTTGCAGTTCTCTCGGACTTGCTCGACTCACCCCCTTGACAGGCATGCCCGGAGCCGCCCTCGGCAATTGGCCATCCATGGTAGAGGAAGCTTGACTCGCCAGCAGACATCCAGGATATGCACTTTGCCATTGCCTCTGGCAGGGAAGGTGACTCATTATGACTGTGTTTCATGTTTGCCATGGCTCTTCATGCTTTCTTCTGGCCGGAGATGTGTTTTAGACGTCATTTTTTTCGTCCGTCCGCAGTTCCCGAGAATACCTAGAAACAAAAAACAAATCATTAGTCAGCGTTGTTCCTCACGTGGAGCGGGATCCTGAAACGGGTTAGCGTTGCGCCTTAGTCAGCTTGGCGACTGCACGCGATTCATGCAAAGACGAAGAAGAGAAGCAAGACAAGACAGCTTCTATCAAATCAGAGGACGCGGATGTCGGCCGTCGCATGGCGGTCACGAAAACATGGCCCAGAGTGTTACACAGACAGCGAGGACGGGCCTCGTATGAAGCATCCCGCGGGGCTCTGAGCACGGATTGACCCAATCAGTATTCACGGAGGCCGTGCTGCCGTGCCATCCGATGACCTATTCTTCCCGTTCACCTTGTTTATCGCACTTGGTCGCCACAATGAAGGGGGTACTTCCGTGCTTCCATACATAGAAGATTGCTGCGTGGGGGAGCTCGCTGGCTAGAAAAGGGGCTTCGCAGCGAGTCAGGTAAAAGTTTGCATTGAATCTAACGTTATTTCCGTTCGTGCAGTCTAATTAAAGTTTTAAGATAATCTTATCTGATGGGAAATTTTAAAGTGCAGGGTGGGGCTGTGCAGGTATTATCTGATGGATAATGCCCATGACAGGTATAAGAGGCAGCTCCGTACCCTAAGATGACATGGAGCTGCTTATGGAGTATCTAGGATGGGAGTGAGATAACGTATAATATTGTGGGGATCCATGTCCACCAAAGATCGCATTGTGGTGCAGTTGAGCTTATGCTTTAACGGGGCTTTCCACGCTCCCTTCGCCCAGCGAGAAAAAGACTACCAGGGTTGTTCGTATATAAATTGGTAATAGGGCGGTGAATTCAAATGGTTCCTGACAAAACGTCCCTGTTTACTCCACCTAGCTCGGATATAAGAACAACGGCCCAAAACGGCCCAAACGGAACGGAAGCAGAACGGATCGCCATTCTCCCACCTTTTACACCTTTTAAGCATAGAACAAACTAGCCAAACAAACTCCACTATTCCTTAAGTTAATCGCATTGTAGAGCAGCTACAGTAATAGTTAACTTGCCTGGATAACTGGATAAGTACTGGGCACGGCCTTATTACGTACTTTCCATCTGCCAAGTAGTTATACGGCTTAATCCCAAATCTTAAAGCCAAGATAATCCCAACTCTTGAACCTTTGTGGTTATCCGGCCGTAAATACTCTGCAGGCAGCATATAAAGCACTGCATTCTATATCAGATATTCATAGGTAGTGAGTTGGAAGCCGGCCTCAGGTTGACCTTAAGTCTATAAAACACCCATTTTATATTGCAATGTACCATTCCTCTTATTGTCACGAATTGTTGTAAGGCCAAATTTCACCCCAAACCCTTCAATATAGGGTCAATTCTCCATCCCATCGAGTGTATAGACAATTGGTGACCCTCTTGTGGTCAACAGTTCTATAAGGCCTGTAGATTGGAGTATATAAAATAATAGTGACTGCTTGGGGATATCGCTGCTTACTCACTCGAGGCACGTCAAAAGAGGCAGTTGTGACCAAGATAACGATATAAACCCGGCCTATCATGTGGAAGATACGGTATTGCTGGGAAATATGACTTCCCATAATCGCGGCGTCGAGGTAGATTGCTAAGCGCGCTCTTCGGCCTAGTAATATCCGAAGTGGTTGGGGGCAGTGCAGCAGTGTCTTGGGTATTCTGTGGCCTGGTAGAAATCCATCATCGGAGTGACTCCCTCCATCATTCCCCATGCACAAAGCCTATTGCCCGACTGAATGGCTTGTGGTGATGAACCCATAGATTAATATCGACTATCGATGCCTAATTACATTGTCAGGCAAAAAAGGGCAATAAGCTCTCCTTGGCGAGTGCTCCGGTAGAAAGTGGTGTTTGGGCATTCAATGTATGTTTATTCCAGCAAGACGATCACGTTCCGGAAAAGGAAAATCCAAATCTTCCAGTAGTTAGGCACGCCAGGCCAAATGTCGACGACTCTGGACAGAGTACTCAATCAGACACCATCCCACGGCGACGACCAGCACAGTGATATCTGGCTTCCGTCTCATCGCAGCGAACAGACATCCAAGCTGCCATACCCGTCACCCAACCTTCAACAATCACGTGCCCAATATACTACACCCGCCTACCCGAGTCGCCAATATGGAGGTTTTGGGCATGAAGAATTCGTTGCCCGGCATATATGCGCTCATGGGCCATGAGAAGTCCAGGCCGTCTTTCCTTTGACGACCGGCAGTTCCAGCAATCCAATGGCGGTCCCTGTCAACGGCGCACTTGTCTATATCAAGTAACGGTTTCAGTGTTACTCGCGGTGGGAGCGGCGGCCGATGAGCCCTCAGTGGTTCATCCTGCTGGAAAGGCAGCAAGGCATCCAGAGTAAAAAAACGGGGCTATGTACCTGCTGCGCCAAGTGGCCGACATCATCTGCTGCATGGAGCGCGATCCCGTCGTTTTTAAACATATAAGACGGCTGCTACCGTCACTCGTTGCCCTCTTTTGAAAAACTTCTGGCTTGAACCTGGCGCCTTAGGCTCCCAGATATATGCGACAGTTCATGGCCTTAAAAGTCGAATGAGTCTTGCCTGACATGCCAGCCTCGGATTTCTCCCCAAGCCAGGATGCAGGCCAGTCTGACCATACTATTGGCCGTCATGCATAGAGACATCAATCAGCGCTAATTAGTCATGTCACTTCTCAGGGAGGCTCTCTATTGAGACAGCCAAATAGTTCCCCTTGATAGCAAGATGATACCCCGTCGGTCTAGCAAGATGTGATATTCAGCACCATCTCGTTCCGTCGATATCAATATCCGGACCCACGGCGGCTGCTGGTCCAAACGAATTCTCCTTCGACCGGGGCACAATTCGTCAATATTTCCGCGGGCGGAGGTAAAGATTTGTTCAAGTACTTCACTACCACTCCAGGCCTGCCTGTCTCGAAACGATTCGGCTCTGGAGTCGATAAAATGTGGCCCCCGTGCATTCGCCAATCCAACCACAATCGCCCACATCCTTCCGCAATCTAAAGGCTGTCATACCCCTCACCCTGTGGTGGAATATCTCGGCTAGGTTATGACATAATTCATGCTTGGTACCTAACGTATTTGCTCTTGTCCGCAAGTCTTCTGAACCGCATGGGAAAGGGCACTACTCGCCCGTGACTTGGCCATCGATTGGGTATCAACGCAGGTGTTACATGCGCACATGATAGCCATTACCACTCCAAAATGAAACACGAGGAGGATCTATTACTGCAATCAGTTGCGATGCGAGGACACGGCAACTCCCCCAGGCAATCCTTTGAACCGCGCTATGAGCCGGCGCAATTTTATGAGCCTCAATGGTAACCGGCTATAAGAAGTTAAATCCTTCGGCATCAGGAGAAACTCAATGGGATTGCTATTTCATACCACGCGAAGCCTACTAACTCTTCTAGTCTTCCTAAGCGCTCATATTGAACGAGATAGCTTACTCTTAATGTTTAAACATCCTCGCTATACAACGATTAATCTATGTTTCTTCGCCCTGGCGCATCGCAATCATTGACCGAAGCTACATATTCTATCCAAACAATGAGTGACGAGAGATACAGACGGCTGAGGTTCCTCTTCAAAGTGGACTACATAGAGCCAAATGACGACAATCCGCGATTCGACGATGATGGGCTTTGGTTGCCTAGGGACGATGGCATTTTCGACAGGCACTCCAGTACTGGATGGCTGCAACGGACTCCGGAGAATGTGACTCGTGTTAGGAACCCCGGAGATGGTGATTTTGCTGTCTGCAGCCTGCTCTACAGATCGGCAACATCATATTTCTTTGCAATTCCAGCGGACTGCACGAAACCCCCTGCCCAGCGGGCCGAGCAACGTTGGAGAAGAATACGTTTCGACGACGACGAGAGCCAGAATCTCTCAGTTGCTACATTTTACGGCACCAGCGTCACACTTGCAGGACGAGGATCTCGCGATTGGGTCCCTGAGCTTCTACCAGATTCATACAATGCTAGCCATTCCAGTGATGTTCCGTTTACGCATCTCACAGGCGACCTCGCCTTGATTGTGGCCCTTATTGCCTCCTCTTGCCCTAGGGAACGAGATGCATCATGTCTCATAGAGACAATGCAACGCTGCTTTAGGCCACCTCGCTGGGTGCGCCACCGATCAGACCCTCAGAGTAAGTCCGCTCGTCGGCATATTAGTTCTTACCAGAGAGCGCTCTAACGGCCACTGAATAGGGATCGACCGTCATGGAGTGGTTGTTACAATTAGACTTGACCCAGAAGCTGGGGACATGCGTGAGTCGAAGGTAGACCTCCAGAAATTTCAGCGTGGCGATTACGGTGCTCTGCTTAAAGCTACGGATAGTCCCAACCTCTGAAAGGGGGTGTAATAGAGTGAGGGAGAGAGAGATAGAGACGAACTACACACTCGTTACATTTGCTTTTCCAGTTTTGGTTGAACATTTCCTTAAACTCATACATACGTCGGTACTTCAGGCTTGTCTGATAGTACCCCCTCTGCGCTGAAGAGTTTATCCCCTTGCCGTCTCCGATGCTTGTTGCCAACGCATTTGATCCCAACCCCCATGTCAGACCCTAGTGAAGTTTATAAGCCTCCAACGTTTTCTCTTTTCTCGTTTCTCTCGGCCTGCTCCTTTCCTCGTTCCGATACATACGTTTTATTCTTTCTTCTGCTTGTGTTATATGCATCTCAGCACCTTGGCAACATTGACACGCGCATATTTCGTTTGTTTGTAGGATTCTCGGTTACACACCGTTCGTAAAGCGGAAGTTGTTATCTTGTCCCTCTCTGCTGCCGAGGGCAACTTTTTGTATGATTTGCCTGCGTTTTGCTCAGTTTTAATGATTCCCGTTCCAAGACATGTTATGTATATTACGGCAGAAAGCGGAATACGAAATACTCAAGAAACGGTTGTATAGATCCGTGATGAACCACAGATTCCTTTATTCCTTTTTTTAAAACCATTATAAATACGCTACTCATGTACGGAATGCAGTTCTAAAAGCCCAAGAGACCCTTTTTTTTCGTTTGGAATCAAGGTAAAGAGCGAGCATAAGCCACCCTACAGCAGCTATTGGGCCTCAGGCAAGCGAACCGCGATATCCCCAGATTGAGTGATGTAGCGCACCCAAGGAAGCGAAGGGTATTGAAGCTACGAGTCAGTATCGAGTCAGCATTGGCCAGCAAAGCAAAAGAAACAGGGATTAGCAAGAAAGCCACATTCCATGGATTGGTGAATGAAGACAATGGAACACACGGAATCGCCCATGCGGGGGAGGTATATGTACGACATGGCAAGCGTGGCAAGGGAGCTAGACAATCGCATCTTGGCACGGGACAGAAACAACACGACGGAGATGAAGGGTGCGGATAGAATATGGGAGCGCCCAGGGCTTGCAGGTTGGTGCATGGGGATGAAAGCGAGTGTAGAGAGTAGATAAAGAGATGAAGAGATAAAGAGAAAGCGCGGAAAGAACAGAAGGAACAGAAAGGGCTGGCATCGTGCCCGTATGTATGACGTACCTTTGGTTCCGTGATCTTTAAGTAGCGGACTTGGATGCCGCTGGTCGTGAAATACGGAATCTCAAATTTGACATTGATAGGCCGCTTCCCTTTTCCGCTTTGTCCTGCACCACCCATGCTTCCGCCAAAGCCACCTGTCATGCCACCGCCATGTTCGTCATCACCCTTGACGGATGGTAGCCCTAACTCTGCGCGCATGAGGAATTCTTTTCCTCCGCCAAACTGCTTGATTTTCCATATAATCGCAGACTTCTCAGGCGCATAGTGGACGGTTCCTACATTTGTTCGGAATCTCGGTGAGTCTGCATCCTCGGGTACTGGGACGAGGATTTCCACGTTGTTAGCTGTGCTACGTCGCTTGAATTGTGCTTTTGCCTGGATGAAAGAAGATCGACAGGTTAGCATTCAAATATTGCTTTTGGTCCCGTCGCAGATGTTATGCGAAGTAGAGGGAATAGGGGTTAACATACCTTTAGCATATATTCCATCCGCGAGCCGGAGTGTGACTCCACCAGACACTCCACCCATATCAACGGTTTCACTTGAGTGTTGAGTCGGTAGCTCATAAGTTCGAACTCGCCGTCTGGCGGAATAAAGCTAATAGTTCTATCGTTTTCGAATCTGGACAGCCGTACACACTGATGGAACTTGACGTCCTCCATTTCCACTGCCTTACCCCTGGTTGCTCGACCAGTTGTTTCGAACATAACTTTGTCATTTAAGCCCAGTCGGAGTTCCGGCATGCCACTGAGGTAGCACTTCATCTTCACAGCTCCCAGAATTTCCGATCGAAGAACGTTTCCGGTAGCAGAAACCAGAAGGTTCAGCGATTCAACGACGTCTAGGAACACCTCATTTTTACGGTATCGAATGCCTTCGCTTCTCCATGAAACGGCGTTTGTAACAGCTATGGGTGGCCGTGCTTGTACTTCCAATTTGTGCGATTCTTGGGTAATGTATCTAGATCGTGGGGAAACAGTAGGTTAGCTATACCCCTCCTCCTATCTCTGGAAACGTTGAACATGTAATCATACTCTTGTAATATTTTGCTTTCTGTCGTTTGTGGATGGCCAAAGTCCATCATCTCATCCAGCAACTCATATATAATGACAAAATTGTCTCGGATACTCTCCTCTTCCAATTCCTTGAAGTATTCCGTAAACACCTCCACAATCTTGTGTAGGAAGAGAAGTATTTCGGCGGCATTTGTGTTTCGCTTCGTGAGCGCGAGGACGTATAGATTGCTATGGCGGATGTAGAGGTACTATGTGCAGTTGGTATTATCAGCAAACATGAGCTGACCATAACTGCGCCCGTCCCAAATCTGAACGTTATGCCTCGCGCAAGAGAATTTACCTACGTTAACGCCCTCGGAGGAAAAACAGGGAGGAACTGCAGAACTCTCTTCTTCGGCTTCGCTGAGTAGGATAGGGAATTTCTCAACCGCGGACATGGGGATATCCCCTCGATAGTTGCGGGCAAGGAGGGTCTGAGGGGAACTCGAATGTCAGTAAAAAATGACAGCACCAAACCTCGAGCCGGGGAAGCACATACCTTGCCCTTCAGGTCCAGGAAGAAAACCGCCGAAGCCATTGTTGAGCGAGATATAAAAACAGGGACCCTCTTCGAATAGCTTCTTCAGAGATGACGGAGGCAACAACGGCTCATATCTAATTCGTCATAGTTTGTTCACAAGAGTAGATGGGGTAATTCTGGCCGTCAATTCATTCCACTGTCAGAGCCGTCGTCAGTACCGTCGTCACTGTCTCCAGCGTCGCATCGAGATCCCGTTTGTTCCTCTCCTTTCGCTGTTATCCGTCTGTAGTTCGTTTCGCTATCTCTAGACACGCCGCTCGACTGCGTGTCCACATCCGGCCTAGCGCCGCCCTATAAAACCCTCCTCCAAAATTTCCGACTTTGAACGTTTTTCTTCTTCTTTTCTTCACAAACGCGCATCCTTCAGACAGTGCTAGCCAACACCTTCGGTCTTGTTTACAGGGCTGATCTCTAATCTTGGCTTCTGGCTTTCTGTCAGGTCATATCAGGGTCTTCAATTGCTGCGCTAAGCGATATTGTGATGCGTAGACCAAAATCATGGACTTCATAAGAACTGGCCGGGCATTTTCATGTTGCGCGGGCGGTGTCAGAGAAGTCATACAATCTCTCGACTAACTACACAGTTGCGTGTTGCAGATTGATAGTAGGAGAGCTGGAGGGGCTAGGTTTACATTCATCCGCCTGTTAATATAGTACAAGCCTTAAGAGGTCGAAATAGAAAGAAAAATATATAAAATACAAACAATTAAGAGCAGAATCTAGGCTCAAAGGTGTCAAACAGAATATCTTCAACGCCATGCCAATGCCATAAGCCAAGTGTATATCTATTTACCGCACTGCCGGTCAGGCGAGTTTGAACCCTAGCGGCTTCAGGATTTTCTCACGGGTTATTTCGTTTGCGACTTTGCTTCCGTTTTCGAGTGCAACGGCTCCAATGACCGCGTACATAGCGTGGGTGTATACCGTATCAACTCCAGATTCAGTCAAGTTTTCCTAAAACGTCCAGTCAGTACGAGCGTATGTAGCATATTTGAGATAAGGCATGGTCCAGCCATGCACCCACCTTTCTTGGTAGCCATCTGAGGACATCACTAATGCCGTAATGTCTAGCAAGGGCGGACATCTCCTTCCTCCGTGTCAATTGGCTCCTCGTGGTCTGAGACAAAACCTCGAGCCCTCTGAGGGCCGGGGACTCGTACGGCTGTCTCCCATGCGAGTCTGGCTTAAGTGGTTGGGCATAGACCGTGGGATTCTGAATGAGAGCAAGTGACGCCTGGAGCATAATTACTTGCTTGCCTAGAGCAGAAGATTACTATCAGCAACGGAGCTATCCCACGTCCGCATCTCTTGGGGCCAGGAAGACATACCAAAATAAGCCAGTCGGTCATTAAATCCTCTCCGTCCCTGGTCAAAACTCTTATGGGTAACCGCCTGCCATTTAACCTCCTCAGATAACAGTTTATCACCGTCTTGTCCTAGCACTCGAACATAAAAGTTGTCCAGCACCGCAGGGTCGGAGTTGACCTTAAATTCCTCCCGGGAGGAGGTGCGCAGTCTCACCGGCGCCTTCATGGCAGGGGGAGTTTGTTGCCATCGCGGAGTCGGAGCTGACACGGTCTGCTGTTCCTGGGGAGCGTGTGTGGATGATATTCTTCGTCGAGAGCTCGATTGGGACTGTGAGCAGAACGGGAGGAGGAAGCGTGGGGCGCGCCGGCGCGCAGGCTGGGCAAAACCAGCAATTGTCTGGATAGGAGCAATTTTGAAAGCCATTGGTAGAAATAGAGGCCTGTCCGTTATGTGTCCGGAGGTATCAAGGCGGCCTGGAAATGTCGTTTCGGTTCAACAGTCGAAGATGCTCCAAAGCTACGAGATTTCTCACACGATCACGCTAGCCCCGATCGGGACAAGTGCAGCTCTCCCAAGTCAACTACGAAGTGAACTACGATCATTCTACTGTTATATACGCTGAAGATTCGATCCATGTTGAACACTTAATAGGACGAGTTGAGCCGTTTTGTCTTTGCATCCCGTTGTGACTCTGAGGCTCGTCCTGATATCTTCATGAATTTAAAGCTGTCGTCCTGATATGACCTACAGCAGGAGTAATGCTGGAGCGATAGAAATCATACCTATGAAGGCTGATAATCCAGTCTTATCCTGTAAAGGGTATATCTGTTGCTTATGTGTTATGGCTATAATAACCCTATAAGAGATGCCATCTTGTCAGTCCGACGCATGATTACTGTCGAGTTACCTGCAAGTGCACGAATTCTCTTGAACTTCAAGATATTTCACTGCAGTACAGGGGATACGCACGATATCTCCCGTCCTCAAGGGATAATAATTTATGTGTTTGCTATTCTTCTCATTACAACCAGGTAATGGGCCTTTTCACGTTCCGTATTCCAGCCGCTCTGGTTGGAGTATAGGACTAGATATATATCCATAACAGATACCGTTTGAGCCGTCTGTTATCTTGCCACCTTGCGGTCTAGCCTCGAGTTTGCTTTGGTTATTGCATAGAGATTGAAAGGGTTATGGTGTGTTTGTTTATATTTCCCCGTTTGGCCGGGTCCATCGCCTTCGTGGGCCTTGCAGCGTTTACTTCGCGGACGGGACCTTCACGGGTGCTCCCATGTTGTTTATTATTACCTGGACCAGAGCTATATCTGCTGTAACCCTCCTACGGGAAGGTATTAAGGCGGCCAGTCAAACGAGAGACCGGCAAGGCGGCTACGAGGGTACAACGGCAGCCTGCATGTTGCCGCTGACAAGCCAACCCACGCAGCATAACTTCATCCTTATGCTCTGTATCATGTTCACGTGTTCTGGTTAGGGCTCCTTTCACATATCTTTTACAAGCTAGCATGGCCAGGCCTTGATAGTATATAAGATAAGGTCCTGTCCAGTGTTACTCTGAGCCTGAAGAGTTTTCTCGTTTAAATAACTTCGCACACACACTCACTCTCACTCTTCCTCACTCTCTCATACTCTCCCACACGCTCAAAAAGAAGCCCTTTGAATATCGCCTTATTAGCTTTCAATCTTCAACCTTCCTCAGCCAGCTCCCTGCAAAAGTACAAGAACACGCACAATGCATTGTACTTTGAACCAAACCAGCAGCCTTTATGGCTTGCAGCTCCAGGTGCCAGAAACTCCACGCTTTCAGCGCAAATTCACCACTGTTGAGAACCCTTTGGTTGAATTCGATGCCGCCAATCCATCTTACGACTTCTCGGTTTCTGGTCCTCTGTCTCCTCGTCCAGCTCCACCAAACCCACCTCCAAGCCCAGCTTGAACTTCAGCATACATGAATATCCGCATCTTCGGTCAAAAATCCCAGAGATGCTTTGATATCAATGCTATCACGCCTACTATGGCTACTCTATTCCACCGAAAATAAGACCAAAAAAAAACTGTTAAATGCGCCATGCCACGTCTAGAACCAGCTGCAATAATTAATACCCCACACCGTCTTCACCATCAATGAAAACCATAACCCAAAAAACCCTATCAAAAAAAGAATTGACTTTCCTCTTAATGCATATGCATCACGACTTCACCCAGCTTCAGCAGTCCGGCCAGCCAAACATAGCAACCAGAACAAACCTTCAGTTACTTAAGCTACAGACAATTATGCTTATTTGAGATTGACTTTCCTAGTTGTGCGGTGAAGGGAAGCAAAGGGCAGAGATTTATTCAATGAAGTTCTGTGGATAGTATGTGTGTCTAGTAGTTTTGTTGGGTACGCTGATGTGTCCCTAGACATCTTGCTTTACCCCATGGCCCTTTAATATAATGTTTAATAAGCCCCCCTACATAGAAAACAAATACCAGCTCTATCATGCACTGTAACTATTTTTCTACAGAAACCCATCATAGATTTATAGAATGTTATCTTAGTTGGGTAAAAAGGCTAAGAATAGATGAAGAATTTCAAAAAACATATACAGTTAACAGTAGACAATAATACAGAGGAGACAGCTGGAAGCTTGGTGGTTCAGGATACTTTAGTATAAAATTAGATAAGAGCCAATGCAAGGGCGCTGGTAAGGGTCAACCCGACCACAGTCCACCCAGTTGTAATGACCTGCTGGTTGGTCAGCTGCTTTCCCATATCCCATACAAGATGTCTCAAGCCGTTGAAGCAATGGAAGGTAAATGGGAGGGCCATGGTGAATTTCAACCCAAGCTTGGCGACGATTGGGAGGGCGGCAAAGGCAGCGGCCAACGACGCGGACTCAAGGTGCCATCCGAGCAGAGGGGAAACGAGATAGGCGCTAGCGAAGATGTAGAGACTGCCAGAGAGAACGGCACCGGTGATACGGTTAAGACTGGATAGGTACCAGGTTATCTGGGGCTGGTAGATGCTGAGATGTGGAGAGACGGGACGGTTAAGGCGCTGTTTGGCCAGGATTTTTGTTGGATCGGTGGTCTCTGATGCAGGTGCAGAGGCAGACGTTGCTGGTCTACAGGAAATTAGCCCTATATCCATCATTTTCCGGTCGTCATGTCGACTTGAAACGAAGGCACGAATTATCGGTTTCGCGACCACACGAGTCCACGAGGAAGTCAAGACGAGGCGTCTGCCGTCCGATAATAGGAACTTCGACTCAACTATGCAAGAACTGACCTGATCTGAGCATAGTTTCCAGTTGCAATGGCAGCCGGCTTCGCGAACTTGGACACCGAGCTTCTGAATGCGGATGGATGTTGTGTCGCAACTAGGACACCAGTCAGTACCACGGCCGACCGGTCAATTGATGCGGTATGAGCACTTACGTCGTCTCAGCGACTGCTGTGCTAGTCTGTTTGAAAACATCTTCGTGTTCGAATGAATTGCTCAGTGTCTTTTACCTTCCAAAGCACATCATGGACAAGCCCAAACCAACGTCCGACATCGATCAAGTTGCCCTCGGCTTATGTAAGAATGGACGGCAGATGTCGGAGCCAATCACAGCCAGGGTGATTACAACACATGACCGGAAGAATAATATCCCGCTCCGTTCCAACTTTGGAAATCTTCAACCTCCTACACACGAAACTTCTTCTTTTCTTCTCTCTCTTCTATCAAGAACCTCAGCTTTCATCTTCGACCGGCTGTTGCCACAGTTCCTGTGGATAACGGACTTGGGATGAAGTAGATGCTTTCCGGCGACATCTCACTCTACGCTGCGGCATTCTGTCGTGGCTCATCGAGATGGTGAGGTTTTGAGAGTGAGAAAGCATATTTCAACCCGTCGTTAATCGCCCAGTCCCCTCCCTCAATGAGCGAGCTGGGTTTCATATCAGGGTCACAAAATGTCATCATTATTCTTGTAATTATCAGATAGTCATTTACCTTATATCAGATACAAAGTCTTGCCAGTTCGAGCTGCCTAATAACAATGAAGCTAAAGCAAATCCATGCCTACCCGCCCCGGAAGAAGAATCGTACTCCACGTCTATAACTCATGCCCTTGAAGCTCTTCAGCTAGATAATGGAATATCAGACTGACGACCTCGTGTAAAGGCTGGGAGGATAAGTGAGGTCACATGATGTGTCATGCGAGACAGGGAGCCTCGGTCCTCGGCCTGTGATTTCTATCTTGGGGAGCGACGCCAGAGCGACTTTCCCTTATGCCGTCGGGGGTGAGCGATGGGAGGACTTTCACCTCCTGGCATATCATACTCCCTTCGCTCACCTGGCATCTTCGTCTGTCGTTGAAACCACACGCTCACTCTCTGCGCTGGAAGAATAGACTCTATACCGAGATACCCTAGATTTGCGTTCAAGATGCCGTTCAATACCCAACTCACCCAGAAGCTAGGGATCAGAAGTCAGTTTATTCTCCGACTCCCTGGAGAGATTTTTTTTCAACGAGTATGCTAACGGATACCTAGTCCCCGTTGTCCAAGGTGGCATGCAATGGGTCGGATACGCTGAACTGGCATCCGCTGTCAGTAATGCCGGTGGTCTTGGAATCGTATGTCCCTTCTCCGTCAGACACCAGCGTTTGTTAACGCTCTTTATCTCAGAAAGCTAACAGTGTAAATCCAACAGCTTACCGCCCTGACACAACCTACTCCCGAAGACCTTCGAAAGGAAATCCGAAAGACTAGAACCCTGACCAAGAACCCGTTCGGCGTAAACCTCACCTTCCTACCGGCCCTCACCCCCCCAGACTACCCCGGCTATGCCAAAGTCATCATCGAAGAAGGTGTCCGCATCGTCGAGACTGCAGGGAACAACCCCGGCCCTATCATCACACAGCTGAAGAAGGCCGGCTGTATCGTTCTTCACAAATGCACAACCATCAGACATGCCAAGTCGGCCATCAAGCTCGGCGTTGACTTTTTGTCCATCGACGGCTTCGAGTGTGCCGGGCACGTTGGAGAGACCGACATCACAAACTTCATCCTGTTGAGCCGTGCCAGACAGGACCTGGGCGTTCCCTTCATTGCATCGGGTGGTTTCGCAGACGGCAACGGCCTAGCAGCTGCCCTGGCTCTGGGCGCCTGTGGAATCAACATGGGCACGCGGTTCATGTGCACCGTTGAGGCACCCATCCATATCAACGTTAAGAAGGCCATCGTGAATGCAGACGAGTCAGACACCCAGCTCCTCCTCCGCCGATGGAGGAATACATCCCGACTCTTCAACAACAAGGTTGCGGCAGAAGCATATAAGATTGAAAAGGAGAGTCAGACGGGCGACTTCAGCGAACTCGCCCATCTCGTGAGCGGGAAACGAGGACGTCAGGTTTTCATAGATGGAGACGTCGATCACGGAGTAAGTACATATCCTTTCCCTTCCCTTCTTGTTCCCGTCCCCGTATTTTGCATTCCACCGGCGTACAGCCTCCCATCCGCCTTTTTTAAATTGCAGCTATACTGACTGTCCCTTTCTTTCCCGTGCGAACAGGTCTGGACTGCAGGACAGGTCATTGGCATTATCCGTGACATCCCAACCTGTGCCGAACTCCTCACTCGTATCGAGAAGGAGGCGGTTGATGTCATGACCTCCACCAGCAAGCTATATACGCCATCCCCCCAGAGCAAGCTCTGACCGCATTTTTACGATTGGAAACCGGGCCAGCATATACTTGATTTAGAATGTTTCAGACATAAGAGCAAATAAACGTGAATATATTTGTATACTCCGTAGAGCTGTCATACATGATATGAATGTATTAATAGTCCACTACCCGTTTTCGGCGTTCGGGGCTCCGAACCTACACTAGACTCTACTCCATGCCTTAGAGATCGATACTGAAGGAACACCGGGCAAAGCAAATACTCCGTCTCAGTGTCGGTTTGAACGTAATTCTCCGGCGCAAGGTAACAAGGTAACAAGGGTGAGAATAAACTAGCTTCCCTTCCGCGGCCCCTGAGCCGAGGTGGAACCTGCGGGACCAAACCAGAGCTCACAACGCATCAAAGTACGGAGCATCAGTATCACTCGCATGCTGTGTTCCCTGGAGAAGCCTCCGCTCGGAGCTGGCGAGTAGACGCTGAGCGATGCGGAAATGCATGGAACTTGCCAGGCTGTCATGCTAGGTGGACGCATCCAACACGCCCACGGCCTGAGCCGTTACACCTCCTGTTTAAATCTCACCGAGCGAGAGAAGACATCGCAATCTCGGTGCGCCAACGGCAGCGAATAACGTCCGCCGGGCTCTAGGGTAAAACATAAAACATTGGGCACAGAGACGTGCAGGGACAGCTGCACTTGCCCCCTTTTTTTACGCCCTCACTCTAAGCTCACGTATCGAAAATGCCCGTTGGATGCAAAGCTGCCATGGATGAAAACGACTGGTTCTTTCAGGCCCGCCCCCCACAGATCTCACCTTTCTAAGATCTCTCCTACCAGTGATGCAACCCCGATTCACGGCTCCCAGACAGCTTTCTCCAGCAGCACGAAACCTGAGCGTGTCTCGGACACTCTGGGTGAAGGCCGTCTGCATTCTAGCAGAGTAAGCGCCTCGTAGTGCAACCCCCTTTCACGCCACGGGCTCTGCTTGCGCTGAAGATCGTCGCCTCGCCCTTTCTGGAGCGAACTTTTTCATTGATGCACGCCGGTTTAATTACATTCTTTTCGACCTTGTTCTGCTGCATCAGCTGCATGAGCTGCATGAGCTGGATTCGTTGATATATTTTATCCATTAGCTGTTCACCCGCCGTTGCAGCCATCCCAAGGCCCCAGAAAAACAACACAAACCCCCAAACGACTTTTTTCTCCCCTCCCACCGTTCCTCACCGCCAGAACTATGACTCTGTTTGTCTCCTTGTTTTCTCGTCGACGTTCTCGCCAGGCCCGCGAGGAGAATGCGTTAGCGAGTGATGCTGCTGGTGCGGCGTCTGCAGTGCAGAAGAATGGGACCAACCAAAAAGCACCTCGGGTTGAGCTCGACCTTCCACACATCAAACCGTCCGAGGGACCACCCCGGCTCGAATTTGATATCGAACCCAGAGACGATGACGACAAGCCCGTGAACCCAGCCTCGGTAGAACTCCCCACGTCGCCACAGAATGGCCGGCCAGAGTCGCCGGGGACGGTGGTGTCCAAGAAACGGTCGTTGTTGTCGGTAAGAAGCTTACAGGGGAACGATGGACAGCAGCCCTTCTCCCAGGAAGGGAGGAGACGGCCTCGTCGGATCTCTGTCTTCTCGTCGCTCAGATCTAGACCTTCGACTGCGATGTCGACTGCAACAGAGCCCGTGCCGGAGCTTCCAAGGTCGCCCATCTCACCACACAGCAGCCGAACTTACTTCCCTCCAGACCCCAAGTTCCAGCTTGATCTGAAGCCAGAGGCCTTTGGCAAGGCGTTTAACGGATCAACCCTGCCCTTTGTTGAAGAAGTGTTTGGGGACAATCCTGAAACATCATCGCAATCTCCCGGCTGGCAGAGTCGTCAAAAGACCAGCACCACTTCAGATTCAGGAAACCATGTTTCACGGGAATGGACATTACCAGATTTATCATCGGTCATCAATGGAGATACCTCGAACACAAATACAAATACAAATACTACAGTAACCCAACCCGGCTCCCCAGCTAATGGAACATCCACTCAGCAAACCACCAACGCCTACTCAGAGACGACAGAAAAGAGTTCATCAGAGACCCTCCCATCGCCGCCATTGCCTACTTCGTCGGGATCAGGATCGGTCAAATCTACTAATCGCAACTCACTAAAGAGATTCCTCAGCAAGAGACAACCACCACACTTGCTTCGGGGCAACACACCATCTCCCCCAACCGCCACCACATCTACTACCACGACAAATGGTGTGGCGGCAGAGTAGCCTTGGATAGGGAGACGATACTTGGGAATGGGAATTTGGTTTAGGCGTCCTAGGTGTTAGCGGAATTCAAGTACACAATAAATTGATACATTGTTATACCCAGAAAATCATTTCTCGGCTGAACCACGTAGGGTATGTAGTATGCAGCATCGTATCAGGTGGCCATGCACGGGAATTACCCTGAAAGAGGCACGTACAGGTGCCTACAGCTATGCCGCTTCTCCTGACACACCTCTTCCGATATCAAGAATGCCATGGTAAATTAAATGCATTAGCCGCATATGCCTGTCGCGTGTCGTGGTATGTGATGATGTGCATGCAGTCCCAATGCACATTCCTCGCATAATCAATAGTAAAACACCCCTGCGTCCTTGTACTGCGCCGCCAGGACTAGCAAAGATAACTTTCCTAGTGTGTAAAATTGAGCAATTGAAAAGACAGGGATAAAATTCTTTCCAAACTACCATGGATAGTGACATGGCTAGCAACATAGGTTCCATGGTATCATTCCGTGTTTACTTCTCATATTAGCCTAGAACATAACCAAACATTATGTCAACTAAATGTAGAAAAGGGAAATTAGCAGCCACATCAATTGGCAACAGGACCAAAAGAGAGGGCATGTAGAGTCTACATGATCCTTATATGTAGTGCGAAAACCAGGATTAAAGCTGAAGCTATGGAGTACACGGATGAAAAGCCAAGTTTTGATGTCCAGGTACAGGGATGTACCCCTTGCATCGGAGGGCGGTGATACGATTATCCGATGCAACAACCTCAGCTGAAGTCACACCCCTGCACGACGTCAACGACATGTCCATTTTGTATTTTACGATACTATTACCTATCACCATATTAAGCGATGAGATACTACAGAGAGCTGCGTAAAGGAAACCTTTCCAGCTTCGATTATTTTTAAATGGTCAAAAGAGAAGATGAGAAGTAAGTGATATACTGACAACTCTATTGAATGCCACTGTAGAGATATGCAGACGCAAAGGATGTGTATTAAGTACTAAGAGTATTATTATCTAATAAGAAAGACCGACAAGCAGTGGAGGTGGATGTTCGACCCCGAATCTCAACCCCTTCAAGAACAAATGAGATATTAGGAAAGGAGAGACACGATGACATTGGCCTGGAAGAGACCACCAAGGTGAGTGCCGGTTGATGTAGGCTGAACCAAGCTCTGATTCAAGACCATCGGTGTCGAGTGTCGGAGGGCATTGGATGATACCCTGTCGGCTGCTAAATGGGCGAAGCCATTTAGAGGATGTTGTGAACAGCACACTTGAGGTCGACGTTGGCGTTGACGAGACCAACCTAATTGCATTGTTAGCTGTGAAGTGATGGGAGTGATTGATGAGTGTTGCATACCTGGTTGGTGTCACCAGTCTCGCAGCAAGAGACCTGGGTCTTGCACTTGGAGTTGAGCAAGTCCTGGATTCCAACGAGGGCTGTGAAAAGATAAGGTTAGAAGATGGTTCTGAAGAATGAGGCTGAAGTCAATGCTTACCAGCAACGTCGAGCTTGGAGCAACCCTTCATGAGGGAGAGTTCGCTAATGTCGAGGTTGTTGAGGATTGGCAAGAGGCCAGCAGCGGTCTGGGGAGAGATCTTCTTGACGTGCTCGTTGCAGCAAGAGACCTGGTTGTTGGAGCCACAGTTCTTCTCAAACTTCTGCATGTTGAACTTGAAGTCACGCTCCTGCTGAGGAGAGTATCTGGAGCCTGGGACGGCAACAACGGCGGTGGCAAGGGCCAAAACAGCGGTAGCAACGGAGAACTTCATTTTGAATGATTTTGGGGTTTGTAAGAAGATTTCTTAAAAAAGAAGTTGTTTGTTGAGGATTGAAACTGTTTGGAGTTGCTGTGAGATGCTTGAGAGTGATGCTGATGAAGAAAAAAAAGGTAGGAGATGGGGAGAACTCGAGCTCCTTATATAGACCATCTGGAGATGGTTGACAGCCCTTCTTGGGACTGGAAAGGGGCTACTGGCAGACAATACTGTGTGACAGATTGAACTCAAAGGACAGGGAGATATCGTCCTTGCCACTTTGGGGTTGGATTGCAAATCCCGCCGCCTCCTCGTTTGCACAGGATCTAGTCTATGCGGTATTAAGATCGGCAGGCCTTAGCATACATGCACAGATTCAACTCCAAGTGCACTTTGGCTAAAGGATGCGCCCCCATCAAGCATTGAGAAATTTTTGTCTTTCCACCGCTAGGAAAAACCACGGTACCCGATAGGTCAGATCATATCAACAAAGCAGGGCATGCAGCCCTGGAGCCCGGTCACGTAGCTCCCACCGAAGTCGCACAGCGTGGAATGTACATTCGCCTATCCTGGACAAGGCCAAAACAGATAGCTGTGATACTCGAAAAACGATATCTGCGGCTTGGATGCTATTTCCAAGGCCTCCCCGTCAATGTAGGAAAGCCACAATATTGACAATAATTGCTTTTTTGTATCAAATAGAGGCTCTTGGTTGGAATGGGAGCTCAGCGACTGAATGGGGGCCCTTCAAGGATAAGTGGGCATCACCAACACAACTGCCCTGCTGAGTCCTGTGGATCCCGACGATGGTTTTTTTTTACCTTTACACGTTGCATAATAATAAGAACTATGGAGCCAACAAAGCTTTATGCAGAGATATTAGTAAGGTGGTCCCAGCAAACTTCAAGCTTGAATCAATAGCGCGCAAAGAGGCCTAGTGGCTACGGGTAGGAGGAATGATCTAGACGCGAGGTTCCTTGCGCCAGGCGGCAACAAAGAAAAGGCCCTTCCACACCCTGGGTTAGTAGGTGTCAGGCAGGCCTAAGAACTAATAGTCCAGAGCACTAACAAGTCCAGGACCGGACGTTCGCTTCCCGGCGTTAGATATTGGCCCCTCATATATCGTTCGCCCATAGTTTCATCCATCGCTCTGGTTCCTGCGTTGGAGTACGGCAAGCTCAAGGTCTGAGGTACGGAACATCCGGACGGTACGTACATTGGCCGTCGCACAGGTGTAACTCGAAGCCATCATGCGTCGCCAGCTTTACTCGTCACTCTTCAGTCTCCCTTGTTTTTTTTTTCTTTTTTTTCTCTCTCCCTCTGCTGTCCGAGATCTCGCAGGATTGACGCGTACACGGTGCGATGTACGGTTATCACTCCGCATCAAGAGGTGTTTTGATACCTTTCAGTGGCAAAGGTCTTCAATGCTACCCCGGATTCCCAGGTAGCTGATTATCACTGGAGCCTTCACGGTCGTATTATTAGAATGCGGCGACTTTGAGTACTCCGTCTGCCATGCTCTGAATGTACCTGTGCAGTCCCCAGACCGCGGCCGATCAGGGGGCGCTGTCAAAGCTGCTCGTATTCGAACTGGGGTGTTTGAGCCTGGCCGAAAGGGGGAAAACGTTAAGCTTAGCTAATCCGCCGGCCCTGTAGATCATCTGCTCGTCTAGGTCTAGCGTGCCCGGTCCAAAAGCGGTGCTGATCGACGTCGATATCCACGGCCCCTTTTTTATTTCGATCTTTGCTGCATCTTCGCTACACATCTCACCTCGAAGACTCGACCTGTAGGACGTCCAGGGGAGACACTTGACAGCCCAGATTCATACTGTGGGTCGCCCGGCGCAGGCACTCGAGCTCGACAGCGAGATAAAAATAAAAATATCTCGCCAATTGCTAGATCTGAGCATGCATTGGTTACGACCGTGAGCAGAGGCCGCTCGCTCGGTTGTCAATCGATCTATCCGATCTTCAGAATCCCATTATCGATTTATTTATTTTCAACGAGGGAATTACGGAGTACGATTATACGGAGTAAACGGCGAAGACAGTCGAGGTTTGACTCTCCCTTTTCTGACTGTCAATTCGGCACATGGAGATCGGTTAATTTCGTCAAGGACCGTCCATGGTGACGCTGGTGCAACCTCCTGCTGCCAGCGCTCAGCATTTGCCATCCAGTCAATCATGCCTACAGAGTACATTTTTTTTTTCGTACAACCCTATGCTCGGATCCTAGGTCACGTTAAGTGGCGGCTGCTATTCTCCGCCCACGGGCTTTTGCTTCCGTGGGGAGGCCTTCCATCTCCGGGGCGGTCTGAGCCAGGGCAACGCCAGTGTTCCACTCCAACTGACTAATTGTCTAGGCATATCAGCGCAGCAATTCGATCGGCGTTCATCCAGTTCCTCGCAGGACACTTTGACCGGATGCCGGCAAACATTTCTTCAGGCAACTGGCTTTGAGCGGTCAAGGAACAGTGAACCATGGTTAGAATTAAAACTTGGTTCCTGGAAGTCAAAACATCCATAATCTATTCAATGGACCGAAACCTTCCAGCATCTCCATAAGGCCTCCATCCTTAGGGATTGTCGAGGTCAGCACATACCCCCAGCCACCCCCCTTTGCTTATCAATATGAGCTGCATTTCCCTGATTTTGCGGCCCTCGATTTGGTAGAAGATCGAGGTGACATGCATCGGATCTTCATTTACTTCTCATCCAAGTTGCATGCCGATGGGCGATGTGACATACTGCTGTGTTGTACAGGGAACAAGCCCCTTCCCAGTCATTCGTTTTGTTGATGGCTATCCTCGATGCTGGCTCGATCCAGCTGTCCTTCCACAGTAAGAAGGGGAGCAGCAACTTCCACCAGCAAACTCGCTGGCACAAGGTCGTGGAATGCATTGTGTTCTCCTCATACGCGAACATGATTAATTGCAAGAACTTCAGCAGATTCACCCTAGACGAATACCGGTTACTCCGTAGTTGGTAGCAACTGCATGAAATTCTGACTGACTTGGGTCGGATGCCGGATGTTGGCTTCCGGGTTTACCACCCTCTACGGAGCACTCTTCTATCGTTTCCCCCTTTTTATTGATATCGAGCAATCGAGGACGGCTGCATTCATATCGACTTGGGTGCTTTCCTTTGCTATAACAACACGATTTCCTGACAAAACCCTCATGCCAACTCCCTCTGCCATTTCCCAAGTCAAAGAACAACTTCCACCGCAGTACAGCCAGCTATCTACCCCGCCTTCTCAATTTTCCTCCCTCCCACTTGTCCTCGTCGACTATATATCGCCAGCCCTTTGCTAAATGACTTGTCTCATGTACCACTTGAACATAGGCGGGGTAGCTTGAACCATCGGTACGCTGTATGAAAGCATGTCTACTTGCAACATAATGCAGTAACTTGCGGAACGCTGGCGTCAGTAAAAAAGGAAACCTACGTCAAATCCGTGGCTTCGATCTTTTGCTTTCCCCCTCACACAGTCCGATCTTTGTCACCCGTTATATCGGTACCTCTACCGGGTTCCTAACCGTCAAAAATTAAGACTTTATGTCAGACGCATGCCACAGTAACGAGCTGTACCATGGCCTTGAGTATAAGGATTTTGCAGAAGATAACTTTGCAACGTTGAGCGGTACAAGACAATCGTACGGGTTTGCGGCTTAGACGTTTCGGGCAAACTTCCGCTATTTCCCATTTGCTCCAGCCCCGCAACCTGTGTTCCCTGTGTAGAAATCTCTCCTCCGGCTGTATTAAAATCTCCCACTCCGGACCCGTAGATCATATCATTGCACTGCGTATGTTGTAGAAAGCTCTTGCCTTATATATGGGCGTCATGTGACTCTCTGTTTCGGCAGTCCCGAGTCGGCAATCACCAACGGGGACTCAGCATGGAAATCGCCATAATAGGTACCTTATGCGGTACTATCGGCGCGATTCTCTTGAAGAAAATAGAAAGACGCTGACTATATTATTCAGCTACAGTAAGGATAATACTCCCGTTCGGCATAACATTAAACACTATTCACTTGAGCCCAGAAACATAGATGTACTTATATGAGATATATGGCGTGATGAGGGGTTAGTCCTCGGCAGTAGAGGCCACATCCTATAAATAAATGGAAGATAAAGAAAATAGGCAAGGGCGTGCGTTTTAATGGACATCTTGTACCCGTACTTGTGCTGTTGGTTTTAACAACGGCGACGTTGGGGTATATTCTCCCCAATGATGATGTGTATAGTCCAGTGATGCTGTGTATAGTGGGGTTATATACCGGTACGTATGTAGCCAAGGTGAATTCTAGCATATGTGTCCCGAATAAATGAAAATAAATGAACCCGTTCTCTCCGGTGGGTAACGAGTCGAGAATGTATGTAGATGTGGCACTCGGGAATGACGCTTGTCACACTCATCCAGAATTCTAACTTGATAGAAATCTTAGAGTCATTGGGATTTTGACCATGTAATGTGCAAGGGCCTATATCTGTCTATAAGACAACCCAAAGTAAAATAAACTACGCTCAGAGAGAGTCTATGGATAGGTTTCAGTTGATAGTTGACATCGAAAATATAATTTTATTTTAAAAGATTAAACAAAAAATGTTGATATTCGGTATCACGGCGTTATCCCTACCATTTTTAATGGGATTGGCTACTAAGTGTCTCACCGAAGAAGACACCATCAATAAGCCTAGATTATGACTAGATATAGCCTATAGAAATACTTTTATATACCAAATATCAGTGAACAACGTCCTATCTATGTAAAAAAAGCGACTCGAGACTCGGATATCACGTGACATAAAAACTAACACGTAAGCAGTTTAGCGTCTTAGGGCTTTTTCTACCTTGAGTAACCAACCATTTCCAGCGTTGCTTCTTGGTCTTCTTGTCGCCGTCCGTTTCTTGTTCTACCACGCAGTCTTGCGATGACACGAGCACCGGGCGTGTACAAATGGTTTCCTATATTCATATACCATAGCTCTATTTATATGCAATAATGGCAGCGAATGCGCCTGCGGACTCAACCCGTCCTGCTGACGAACAGACACTACCTGGTGGCCAGTCCAGATCTCCAGACCCGGAACCCACGTCGAAGAAGCAGGAAGACGAGTCCCAGCAGGACCGAGAGGACTATAATAAGGAAGATGACGAGAAGGATGAGGGTGAGGTGAATTCTGGAGGTGTCAAGGATGACGCGCAACCTCCTCTCCCTGATGAAGAAGTTCCTCCCCTTCCCGATGAGCCGGTGCCGGCGGACGTGGAAGATGATGGATGGGATGCAATGTGGGATGATAATGCACAGGCCTATTATTTCTATAACCGCGTTACCGGTCTCTCGCAGTGGGAGAACCCTCGTGTGCCAGACGCAACACAGGCAGTGCTACCAGTGCAGCCGGGGCCCCCGGGGGTCAGCGAGGAGGATAGAAAGACAGCGGAAGAAGCCAGACAACAAGCCCCCCAACAACCACGAGCTGCCGGCGGGTATGACCCAGCTATACACGGTGACTACGACCCGACAGCCTGGTACGCCCAACAAACCGAAGAGGCTCCCTCCGCACCAGCTGCTGCTGTCCCTGAATACCCTAATGTCCGGTATACTGCAACGGGCTCGTTCAATCGGTTCACCGGCAAATGGCAATCTGCAGTATTAAGGCCAGAGAACTTCAATGACGAGAACAAGAATCATCGGCAGCTGAACGCCTTCTTTGACGTTGACGCTGCAGCCAACAGCCATGAAGGGAAAAGTCTCAAGGCTGAGCGGAGTGGAAAGAAGTTGACAAGGAAAGAGCTCAAGGCATTTAAGGAAAAAAGGCGAGAAAGGAAAGAGGAAAAACGCAGGGCCTGGCTGCGAGATTGAACCACTCCCTTCGATCAGCTCGGACCAAATTTTTTGTATACTGATGGGAACTAAGTTTTTAATACCGGCTAGCTTCCAGTCGTTTAGATTTATGTTGTTTTTTGCATCAATGGGGCGGGAGAGGAGATGATCCCCTTGGTTTTGGGCGAGCGTCTTGGATAAACTGGCGTTGGGCGCTTCGATACTTTATTTACATCGCATCGCATAGCTTCTACTCTATTAGTTCTAATGAAATTAGAATTGCCTTTACGTCATGCATGTATTACTTCTTGAGTTATCATAGAATACCTAACCGGCAATTTCATCGTACCAATGGTTCACGTGACTATAACGGGTGGAGGGTTGATTTTTGAAATTTGAAGGCTTGATATATTGGAGATTTCGAAGTGCAAGTTGTTTAGGTTTTGGAGTACAGGCCTTCGAAAACATCTGCAGTAAGTATTATTATTTTCCTATATCCTCAATATATCCTTTGACGTTTGATTGAATGGCGTTCTGTTGAGTTGAATAAATATACCCCTCCAAAAAAAAAAGTGCCGAATATTTATGATATCATCAGATATGAGAAAAAAAAAGATATCTCGAACACAACCCTCTTTCACCTGAGTGAAGATTGATTTTTGTTTGAAAAGCACCCAGATATTAACATTCACCTAGGGAGCAAATATCACAACCAAAGTTTTTAGCAAAGCTCGAGGAGGAAGTCCTTGAATTTCAACCTTCAACCCTCAGATAGAACAAATACCGAAAAAAATCACCCACTACACGAAGGAGTGATGGATACCACAAAAACACATTCCCTACCCTTTGAGGCAGTGGATGATTTGATCTACGACGCCCGTGCAGGCGATCTTGAATCTCTGCAAGCAGATATCACGAAATTTAGTCAAGAATATAACTGCTCACCTGCCGATATAATCAAGGCTGCCATCGATGCAGAAGACGAGAGTGAAGGAGGTACTGGGTCGTGCCTTTTACACTGGCCTGCAGCCAACGGAAATGCCGGTATGTTATTATCGACTTTACCAACTGATATTTATCAAATTGCTAATCGCATGCTATTTAGAAATATTAAAATACCTGCTCAGCCTGCTTAAGGTGCAGAATGGGGAACAAGACTCTTCAAATATTCAAATCATAAACCATAAGAACCATTCTGGGAACACGCCGCTGCACTGGGCGGCTCTCAACTCTCATTTGGAATGTGTCAAGGCTCTTGTTGAAGCGGGGGCGGATATAATTATAAAGAATAACGCGGGACATGATACTGTTTTTGTGGCTGAGCAGTCTGATTGGAATGCAACTGCTACCACGGAAGAAGAGGGCAAGGAAGAGGATACTGTAGGGTTAGAAGGAGAGAAGGTAGAGGGAGATGAGGCTGAAGCTGAAGTCGAAAGCTCCACGCCGCGAGAGATGACGAAGGGCCAACAGGTGGTAGAATGGTTGTTGACTTGCGAGAAGGGTTCGGATGTAGAAAAGAGTGCTGTCGAAGATGTTGATGCGGCGATGGGTGAAGGTGATGCTAGTTCAAGCAAGTAGGCGACTTCGTCCTGTATCTTACAGTTGACAAAAGGGAAGGGAAATAACGTTAGAATGCACCCAGCCAAGTGAATTAATAAAATCTTTAGTGTTCAGTTGAATTACAATAAATAATTATTTGTTAGTGGAATTTCATTATATTATCCTCAAGGGCTGGCTAGCTGAGAGAAGAAACAAGAACCCACACAACTCCTACATTAACCGCCATGAACACTCGACATCAGCATTAACGAGGCCTAACACTCCAAGCAAAACGTTCTATATTTACAAGCCATTTAAAAAGGGTTTAGACGGCCCCAAATAGGGCAGGTGTATAACCAGCAGCATCAAACAAGACACTAAACCAATGAGAATAAGAAAGGGGAAGTATTAGGTAGTGGGTGATTAGTATATGTGTAAAAAAAGGAAAAGAAAGGCAAGATGGGTTTTCGTGTATGTGTGAGCATGAAAAAAAAGAGTAAATAAAGAAGGCGATACGGAAAGAGAAGAAAGAGAAAGAGTATCGGCTTGTTAAAAGAAGACGGAGGAAAGGAGACGCGTTAGTGAAAAGAGTGTTGGCGTAAGTTAAAGTAATCGACTTGTTTCGTCGAGGTCGATGGCGGCAGCGGTAGTTTTCATACCAATTTTGGTCAAATTCTCTATTGGGGTTCTCCGTCGAACTTCGCAACTGTCGTCTGACCCGTACGATCGTTGCGAATGGCCGTTCATGTTGCTGCTCAGCACACCATTGGATGGTCGCTTCTTAGAGACCGGACCAACGGCATGAGCTACGTTGTCCATTCCAACCCTGAACTCACGATCCCTCCATATGATGGTTGCGCCACCAAACACGCTCCATATCCATATGGGTAGAGCAAGTGTTTCCCGACCAAGCCATGCTAGGAACCATTCTGGGAACGAGCGTCTGGCAATCGAGCCTGGGGGTGGAGGACGCGCGAACTGTGGTGTGTTTTCGTCTACTTCGATGGTGATGGAGGAGAGGAGGGTTCGGTATAGCATGAAGTCCATCAGCATCCAGACGAAGGTACTCAGACCCCAGACTAATCCAAAGGCGTGCCATGTTGATAGGAAATTTGAGCAGTATTGGCTTCCGAACAGGAGAGGAGGGAGGGCGGTAGTGATGCCGAACGCGAGATAGGCGGAGCACAGGAAGCATTCAATTCCGGGTTCCACAATCGTTGCCATGATGACGATGTATTTTCGAACACGGATCCAGCGGACACGACGGTCGATGTATGATGAAACGGGCATCTTGGCGACTGGTTGAATGGCGAGGTCACCGAAAACGAGATCATGTTTACCCCATTCACTCTGCCCTTCTGTCTCTTCTGCGAGTTTACCGTTCCACATGCGTTCGCCGAGAAGGTGATCTTCGCAGATGTTGTCGGATAGAGAGTCTAATCCGGGCCGTCGAGGATATGGTCGAGAAGGTATGCAGTGATTCAAGGTGACCTGGTCAAGATGCGAACGTCGGAACATGGTAGACTTTCCAACCACGCAGGGAGCAACAAGGACGGTGTTGATTGCGCAGTACATCTTCGCGTGCGAGGAGGAAAGGAATATCTCTTCCAGTCGTCCACCACCGATCGAAAGAATGGACTGGACGGGAGAAGTCGGTGTAGGTGCTGCTGGCGCGTGGCCATTGGGAGAAGATTTGAGCATGCCGTTGCCGTTGCCGTTGCCGTTACCGTTCATCGACTTGGTAGGAGGGAAGATGGCGTTTCTCTCAAAGTCCCTCGCGGCCACTTCGCTGTCGACGTCGACAACAATTGGTAGGTGGTGGACAAACTTGTATTTCTGACCCTTGGAATCCAGTCCACACAGACGCTCTACCATCCTGCTGCAGACTCCCTTCCCTAGCCAGACGTTGCAATCTATAACCCAGACGACATCACCTTTCAGTTCACGATATGCCTGGCTCATGTTGCGAATCTTCGGGTTTGGCCCCAGCTCATGGTCTTCATATTTTGGCTCGAGGTAGAGACGAGCGTCTATCTCTGGGAAACGCGCGAGGACCTTTTCTATGACGGGGTAGGCGGGATCGTCCTTTGAAGAGACGCAGAGAGAGATGCTCAGCTTGTCCCTGGGGTAGTCCTGGAGAAAGCTGGACGCCAGGTTCTCGTAGAGGTATGGCTCGAGGCCTTTGATGGGCCGGATGATGGTGACATGGGGGAGGTTAGGGTCTGTGAGAGCTCTGGTCGCTTTTGGGAGAGGTTTGGAGTATTTTCTGAATCTACGCCAACGTTAGTCCACCAAAACAGAACAACACAACAATAGAAGTAAAGAGTAACTCACATCTGTATAGCCCCTATCGTGCTGACGGTCACGACGAAGAGGTACCAGCCGATGGACAACCAGCCAGCAGCAACCAGCCAGAGACTCTGGCCATGTTGACTGCAGGTGGTGACCGAGTTAACCAGCGCGCTTTCGGCCACCATGGATCGCGAGCACACAGAGCTGTCTGACGGTGTTATATCTATCCCTAGCTGGAGAGGGCCGGCGGTATGCTATCGAGTATCGAGGAGGTTTCAGCAGCTCAGGACAAGCTCATACCTCAGGGGACCAGGAGCCAGGAAAAAAAAGAGTGCATGGGCTAGCCCCTCCTTGCAAATAAACGGTAATGATAGATCTGTCTATGCAGCCAAGAGACGTCTTTCCAGCGGACTGAAGGAGGACCGGAGAGAGCGAGGGCGGAGGGAGGATAGAAAAAGCGAAGAAAGGAGGAGAAAGAAAGGCCCGGCGGCGGTGGTGGCTGCGATCGATATGTGCTACTCCCGTCAAAGATTAAGGAGTAACTAGGTACTTTAGTATGGCAAGCTCGAGAAAAAGAAGCGGCCCACCGACTTACTTAATTTTAAGCCGTGGATCCCGCCTGAGCACGCCAATCAGTGAAAGACGATGGTTGCATGCGAAGCTTGGGATAGGACGAGTCTGATTATCCCTGTACGGAGTACGACAGGCCAGGAGGGATCAAGGGATCCCGAGGAATAACCGTGAAGAATATGGACTCCGTAGATACGACTATGGATGACTATTTATTCGTGCTCCATCCGCTTCACATAGTCGAATATCGTGTCTCAACCTCGACGATGCTCCGGACATCGCCAACACAAACACCAACATATCAACATATATATCAGACACCACCATATGGATATATCTTCAGATATAACGCTTCGTCACCCGCTTCGTCACCGCGGCGTTCCTGGTGGCTCGAAATAGATCTCTCATGGTGGCCCCCAAGCGCGACTCATGGACGGCGCAAACCTAGTTCCTTTTTCCCCTTTTCTCCTTTTTCCCGCTGCTCTCCCCTTTTCCAGCATCACTCGACTCTTTACTCGATCGGGGCCCTAGCTCTTTATTCTCGCGGCATCCTCATCGATCTCATCTCATCTGCCTCATCCCATCTGAGTATCCTCTCATATCACTCACTCGTCTCTGGTGCTTGGTGGTGATTTCGCCACTGCGGGAAATAACAGCCTTCTCTGTCCGTCGCTCAACCAGGATGTTTATTTGTGCCTGAAATACTGTTGCCGTTTCAGTGCCTGAGCCGGAGAAAATTTCATCCCTAGCAAGAAGAGACTTTTCGAAAGGCGTACGTATACCGCGTACGTAGGACCATTTAGGATAGCTGAACCGAAAAATCGATGTTGGACTCGTTAGCCGGGGTCCTCGTAACCGCCAACTGCTCGAATATAGCGGGCCAATCGGGGCCATGTTCATCGTGCCAGGCCAGCATTTGTCTCCGAGAGCATCGATGCTGTGGCTGTGCTGCACTCGACAGAACACAAAGACCACTGGACAGACGATGTCGCGTGCCGCAGGGCTATCTTCGCTAGCGAGAGACTTGAAACGCCGTTAGCAGATACGCCGAGCTGGAAGATGTAGGGTAAAGAGTAAAGGTAGAGAGTAGAGCTTCAAACGCTGAATCGCTGGTGTGGCACAAGCTTCTCGGCAGCCAGAAGCTTGTTTCTTGCTGCGAAACCCAACTTCAACTTCTCAACCACCTCTACCACATCTGCTGCTCAACCAGATGAGTATAGATGGATGGCTGTGGTGACTACTCTGCAACCCGGCTGAGGATGCGGATGCAACGTAGCAGCAGTAGAGGCGGTAGGTGAGATGTCCGGGATATCTCGAGCTCGTTGACCGACTGGCCTATAGGAATATTCTCGAGGCGGGTACATGGACGACCCGACAGTATCCTATACCTTGCATTGCATTCGCGTGCTATTAGCTACTGTGGCCCTCGAACCTTTGGTTCTACCTCCGATGGCATACTTCTGCGGGATACGGACGACCTTCCGCCCTGGCGCACTTACCAGACCACAGATACATGTCTCCCCGTGCTTTCTCATGTATAAAACAATGGTACCAGCCAGCTTGACACCTTGCTGCGCCACGGCCGGATCTATGTCTCTTCCATTCGCTGGGAAAAGGTGATTGCTATGAGGGATTTATCGCACCTATACCGGCCCCAAGCACCGGCTCAGCTGAGGCCGACCTGATACCCCGTTTACTCGGCCAGGACATGACATTCATCGGCTGGAATGGAGGATTCTGCGGCCAAGTTAGTAGCCTGTGCGTAGCTATTAACTGGTTTGGGAAACTATATGCTGGAGTCTGTCGTTTTTGATATCTCTGCGTCTATGACGTAGATGGTGTGTTCATATAGCCGATGTAGCATCGGCGAGCAATATATAAACCCATCGATGACTGCTAACATCTCCTCACCACTTCAACTCGTTTGATTATCCTGTTGTGTTCTCTCTTACGTCGTGATTGCACCTCGTCCAAGTATGGCAGAGACTGACGCCGAAAAGGCCGACGCGCAGCCAGGCATGCGTCTTCGCTATGCAGACGATGAACACCAACAAGACAATCGGCGCCGCTCTCTCGCCAGGACATCATCGATTTCTTCCATGTCGCTGAGGAGTGCGCGGAGGGTTGTCCCGGCAGAAACGGTTCTTCCGATTACATATCGTACTCTGTGCGTTACAGCTTGTCTTCACAGGCTCTTACCTTCTCACTTACATGCAATGATAGCTCCTACAACGTCGAAGAGTCAATTCAAAGAGCGGGCGAACCGCCGATCAAAGGGACCCCACAGGGTGTTGACGGTGGGTTTCAACTATACTACCGGCTGAATTGCAATTTTGCTGACCCACGCTCTCGATATACTAGGCATCTCGGAGCTGGACTGGCATTTGATACCGGTCGACGACCTGGTATCACGATTGAACACTTCCATCTCCCAAGGCCTGTCTGCTGATCAAGCTCAGCGGCGCATCATAGAGTATGGCAAGAACGCTCCCACCCGGCCACGTACCGAATGGTTCCGCAAAATCATGGGATACTTCTTTGGCGGGTTTGGCCTCTTGCTTCTGACCGGATGTATCCTTGTTTTCATCGCTTGGAAGCCGCTGGGGGATCCTCCAGCCCTCGCGAACCTAGCACTTGCCATTGTCCTCCTTGCTGTCTTCTTTATCCAAGCCGGTTTCAATGCCTGGCAGGATTGGTCGTCCTCGAGGGTTATGGCTTCAATTACCACCATGCTTCCTGATGACTGCTCAGCTATCCGGGATGCTACCACAGTGGTCATGTCTGCTGTTGACTTGGTGCCCGGCGACGTGATCAAAATCAAACAGGGAAATAAGCTGCCATCCGATGTTCGATTTGTGGAAGTTTCGCTTGATGCAAAGTTCGACAGATCCATACTCACCGGTGCGCTCTTCCATTGAACCTGAGTCATTATATTCGCTAACTGCTCCCCAGGTGAATCGGAACCCGTTGAAGGGACGCTTGATTCTACTGATAAGAATTTCTTAGAGGCCCGCTGTATCGGCCTTCAAGGAACACATTGCGTTTCGGGAACAGCTACCGGCGTCTGTATTGCGACGGGAGACAAAACAGTGTTCGGACGCATCGCCAATCTAACGAACAAGCCGAACCACGGATTTACGCCAATACAGAAGGAAATATTACGCTTTGTCTTGATCATCGTCAGCTTCATTGCTTCTGTCGTGATACTTGTCGTGGTTGTCTGGTACATTTTACTTTCCAACCCCGTCATACATTTATTCCACTAACTCTACCTAGGGCTGCATGGCTTAGAAAGTCACATCCGGACTGGATCAACATACCACTGCTTATAGTCAACTGCGTGAGTGTCGGCATAGCGTTTGTCCCTGAAGGTCTCCCCGTCGCCGTCGCACTGAGTCTCACCATTGGAGCCAAAATCATGAGAAAGAATAATATCCTTTGCAAGTCCCTTGCAACAGTGGAAACACTTGGTTCTGTCTCCGTGATTTGTTCCGACAAGACAGGCACCTTGACTAAAGTAAGAGAATACCACCAGTTACCCCGAAACTTTGTCATTCTGACGCATTTTTCTACGTCATAGAATGAGATGTTTGTAACCGACTGCTTTTCAGGCAGGCTTGAATACGGGGCGGACGACGTGACACGGTCCCTAGCTATCGGATGCAAAGACTCGTCATCCTATAATGCTGCTCTTGAACGTACTCGAATTCTAGGTGCTCTATGTAACGCCGCCGAAATAGATGCATCGACCCTGAAACTTCCGGCGCAGTCCATGAAAATCCACGGAGATCCTACTGACCAAGCCATCTTACGATTCTCAGAGTCCTTGAAACCAACGCAGGAACTAAGGATGCAGTGGAAAAAGGTCTTTGAAATTGCGTTCAGTAGTAAGAACAAGTTCATGATCCGGATAATGTCACCAATGGCCTTGGGAAATCCAGATAACACTCCAGAATTCAGTCCGGACATGTAAGTCCCCAATTGATCACGATATTTTAACCCTCCTGCTTATCAAAAATAGGGAACTGTCTATTAAAGGAGCACCTGATATCTTGCTGCCACGATGCCGTACGGCCCTTCAACCCGATGGATCAACAGCTCCGTTATCAGATATGGATATAGCAAACATTGAAAGAGCAAAGGACAAATGGTCTAATGAAGGAAAGAGAGTCATCCTCCTCGCTAGAAAAAGTGTTTCGCAAGCCGTTGGCGCTAGTCTAAAGCTGAATCATGCAGAGAAATCTGTCATGGACTACGCAAGATCGGACTTGACTTTTGTTGGCATGTGGGCGTTGATTGATCCCTTGGTTGGTTACCATCTATCTAGCAGGATTTCAGCGACATTGCAGCTTCTAATGGATAATTTAGAGAGATGAAATCCCGGACGTCATCAAAACACTACGAAGGGCTGGTATAAGGATTCTGATGGTAAGAAAGCATCTCATTCCTTGTTGCTCCTGCAATTCTAACGTTTCACACAGGTAACTGGTGATTTCAAGCTCACGGCCCAAGCTATCGCAGTGGACTGTGGCATAATCAAATCTCAGCGCCACCCAGTCCATTCCATCGACCATCTGCACCGTGACTTTGAATTCGTGGAGCACGATAAAGAGAAAGAAGAGATCAACCTTTGCCCTCTAGTCATCAGCGGACCAGAGCTAATCACCCTTAATGAAAACCAGTGGAACCAACTCTGTACTTACCAGGAGATCGTTTTCGCTCGTACAACTCCCGATCAGAAACTGCGAATTGTAAAAGAATTCCAGTCCCGGGATAATATCGTCGCAATGACGGGTGACGGTGTAAACGACGCTCCTGCCCTGAAAGCTGCTGATGTTGGCGTGGCACTGGGGAGCGGGTCCGATATCGCTATTGAGGCTGCGGATATGGTTCTACTAGACTCATTCTCTGCTATCGTCGAGGCAGTGAAGTATGGCCGTGTTACGTTTGGTGAGTCCCGTTCCCGATGCTCCTTGTTAAGGCAGTATCAGCATACATCTACTTACCGATAATAGATAACTTGAAGAAAACCATCTGCTACCTTCTACCGGCAGGGAGCTTTAGCGAACTTTGTAAGCTCAGGCTCCCTTCTTGACATCGATGGTCTTATTTGCTAACTCTACTATGTAGGGCCTGTCCTGGCAAATACCTTTCTCGGTATCCCCCAGGCTCTATCATCATTCCTCATGGTAAGCTCACTTACATTTCACCCGCGATATAAACCAAACATAACTGACTCTAACCGCCATGACCGTAGGTAATCATTTGGTAAGATAGCCTTCTGGTCATTTGTCCTTGCGGTATCTATTGACTAACCCCCTCTGAAGCTTATTTACCGATGCTGCTGGCGCCATTACATTATCATACGAACAGCCAGAGATGGACGTTCTACTTCGACCGCCACGCAACCAAAAAACAGACCGACTGGTAAATGGCCAATTCATCCTCCATGCCTACGGTTTCATCGGCGTCTATGAGTGTATGCTCTCGTTTGTGATGGCGTTCTGGTATATGTCGGTATGTTATCCCAACCTCTGCAAATGAAAGTAATTGGCGAGAGTATCGTGTGTCTGACATATATCTCTACCCTCTTAATAGCGGCGCGGGATTCCATTCAACGCCATGCTTCTTAAGTTCGGCAAATTGGATCCACAATATGACCCGGCCTACGTCGCTGAAATTGCCAACAAGGCGTCCTCTATCTACTTCGTCAACCTCATTATTATACAATTCTTCAATTTGTTGGCTACCCGAACTAGACGATTGAGCATATTCCAACAGCCACCGATATTCAACAAGCAAACGCAGAACCCCCTCCTGTTCGCGGCTATGTTGTTTTCACTTATGGTCATTTTCATCTGTAAGCATCAATGTATCAGTCAAACTGGACTGTTTTTCTATGGAGCATAACTAACGTTAACGCTTTAGTCTGCTATATTCCTGGGATTCAAAATACAGTCGGTACCGCAACTGTTCCGGTGGAACATTTCTTCCTCCCTATAGCCTTTGGGCTGGGTCTGCTTATGTTAGATGAGACGAGGAAGTATTTCATTCGCAAATATCCGAAAGGTCTATTGGCAAGGCTTTCGTGGTAGAGTAAGGGGTTCGATGATAACCTGGGCTGTCATTTAATTCCCAAGTCTCAACCTTATATTTAGCATTACGATTTTTGTCCACGCGCAATGAACTGACGAATGGTACAATATACAGCGCTGGAAGGTAGATGATAGGTTTTTTTGGGGGGGAAATTTGGCTACGTAGCTCATTATGATTTTCAAAACTTCGAGGTAGATACAAGATATCATTCCTTGTACGTCCTTTCCTCATGTAACATGATGTTGCATCTTCTCCCTCGTTAACATAGAAAAAGTAAAAAGTAGAGTTCCAGGATCTAGGTATCAACGGTCCCTCTCTAGTCACAACCGTCACTTCGCCTGATACGCCTGTATTCCATTATTCGCAATTAAAGATCAAAAATAATGCCCTAGATCGGAAATAGGGCGAGGTTGTGAATACATCACTTCCTCTTCTTTCGTATTAAAGTGCCGCTTAAAACATTCACGACGGGTGCGATTGGCGCTGACTGTTCCTGGGACAGTATTTTTGGATCAAGACCAACTGCTTCTGAGCCTTGTTGCTCCTGCTGAGATGTTGAGCTATCGTGAGAAGACGCGGTCGTACTTTCGCCCGGGGTAGGCAAGATGATGCTGGGCTGCCTCTTTCGTTTCCGTATTATTCCACCACTAAGTAGATTCGTGGCCACGGCTGACTCTCCAGTAGACGAAGTCGAGGTTGTTGGCGGTGGTCCGGTTAAGGGTCCCTTCCCTGTAATTCTCAAGCCTTCCTTGGGGCACCCCGTTAAAGAAGAGAGCTCTTCAACCCATAGTTTTGTGTTGATAGTCGCGTCGTGCTGGTTAGAAAAATCAAGGTCAAGGAGATAATCTGAGAGACCTTTATAGTCGCTGTTGCTGATGGGAATTATCGAGCCGTCTCGATCGTTTTCGGGGGCTTCCAACGAGCGTTCGGCAGCGCTCTTCCCCTTTGTCTCTTCCTCTTCGCCATTCGGGGGTTGATCCTTGGCAGCTGAATCGGTTGTGGTAGGTGGTTTTTCTACTGCCGTCTCAATGGTGGCGGGTAGTGGCTTGACAATCATCCAAAGAAACCCAACTAGCCTCCCAGCTGAACATTCCTGTCGATAGGACATCATTTCCCAAAACTGATCAAGAGACTTCACACTATGCCATTGTCCTGAGTTTTTCAGGCCGTGTGGGGGATCCTCCTCAGTTATCTCATCGTCGAGGTCAATAAGGAACCGCGCTTTCGGGTCGTCAGGGAACCGAGGGACTAGACACCGTGGGGGCGCATCGGGGTAAGAGCAGATTTGGTGAAGGGGGTAATTGAGTCTCCAGCGACCTCCAGCACCATTATTGGCCCTCTCATTCTTTGGAAGGAAGTTCCTTGTTTCGAATGTATCGCAGCCGGGAACAATGAGATGAGATGTAACTGATTGTCCGCAAGCAGGGGATGAGGTAGCGGTAGGAGGCCTGGGTCCAGTATCGCTACCTTCCAGCTCTATGCACTGCATGACGGGATCAATCACACGGCACCACCACTTTATCAAGCCTCGATCATCCAGTATGTGTTTCCCCTTGTTTTCTGAGCTGCCTGGGAAGAGGTATTGGTCCTGAGCTCGCGCAAATAGGGAGAGAACAAGGTTAACATCAGGTCTCTGGTAAATGCGCACAAGATAATATAAAAATACACTCAAGACATTCCTAGTCAATGAGTATGCTGCTGGTGAGTCTGGATCACGATTCAGGAGAGACAGATAGCCAGTGGAATCAGCTTTAGACACAAAGAGAGTTGATAACTTGTCTGTTGTGTATACCAAGACCTCAATTGCAAAGACAAGCAGCTCATTAGCATCAGAGCTATTGTCACCCTCTGTGTGTTGATCTGGGTCTATCTCCTTCTCATGGCCTGTATTAATTGAGACAGCCAGGAAATGCTGCTTGCATATTGTTGCCTCAACAGGCTCACCTACGGGAGGTGAGAAGATCGGTGGACATGGGGTTGGAGCACCAACGACATGTCTTACCACTAGATTTACATCCTGGCGGATGGCCTGGCTGAGTGCTTCCTCTAGCGACACCGGACCCATGGAAATAAGATAAAAGACACAGCTTCAGCACGGTATCAGCAACAGCAACAAGATATCCACTGCGGTATAGAACTCTTGATATAGAGAACCTTGGTTGGTTCAAGATGCACGATCGATCGAGACTTGGCATGCTTAGTAAGGGCTTAATAACAATCTTAGTAAGCTCTTAGTAAGGACGCTTAATAAAGGTTTAGATAAGCATCGAGGTCATCTTCCGAGGTTGGAGATGGGAAACATCGGCTCTCCTTCACTTCGATACTATACGGAGTACCAACTGACGACTGAGATGTCGACTACGCGGAGATCTGAACTGACTGGAACTGGATAAGACGCGGTCAGAAGCATGGGTTGCGGGTTGCTAACGCCAGGATTCGAGACCCTGCTCTCTACAATGGTCAAAGGATGGGACCAGCCTGAGCTTATCGAGTTTTGATGACTATATCTATTGGGATATATCTTACTTGCTTGCATGCTATAGGTCGATGACAGCAGGGTTCGGGCAGGCCTCCGATGTTGGTGTCGGACCTAGGATATTCAGCTATGCGCTCAGCCGTCTTACGCGGAGGCCAGCACAAGATGCATCCTTTATGCCATCTCTGATTTAATTGGAGCCAGCTGGTTACTCAAAGATGATGCTTGCCGCATGCATAAAGGATGTCAAGGTCATAGTAAGGCCGTACGACTAAATATATATACTCTAGGATCCCCCGCATCTCATCCAATTGACCCCCTAGAACGATTCCAGCGCCCGTCATTACAACACATACCCAACACCTCGCATCCAACGACCGCGAAACAGAATCCCCAACACACCAAACATGTCCCTCCTACCCACCGTCCGCCGCATTGTGACCGGCCACAATGACAAAGGAGAAGCTATCTTTGATTCTGATGCCGAATTAGCCCCTTACAACCCCGCTACTCGCGGCCCTGACCCCGCCAAAGAAGGGGAGACCGGCTTCACCACCGTGTTCCGCACCAACGGTGCTCCCGCCGACTGTACCAATCCATGGGTTGATATCCATAACAAAACCGTTCAATTGGCAGATAAAGTCGGCTCGACGGCAAGAGTCGTCGACTTCGCGCCAGGAACTCCCGGCCTGATGCACCGTACCGTCAGTTTAGATTTCGCTATTATCCTGAACGGTGAAATTGAGTTGGAACTTGATAACGGTGTCACCAAGATGGTGAAGCAACACGATATCGTTGTGCAGAGGGGCACCATCCACTCGTGGAATAATAAGAGTTCGGAAAACGTTCGAGTGCTGTTTGTTCTTCTCCCTGCGCAGCCTGTCAAGGTGGGCGATAAGGAGTTGGAGAGTACTCCCCTACCGAAATACTTGCTCGGCACGGCCGGCGAAGAGAATGCAAATCTCTGAGTCGTTTCTATCGGTCGAGATTCTCCTTTGGTTGTCCTTTGCGGCCTGTTGTATACATAAACAGTCATAAAGTTACCACCTATGCAACTGGGCATGGACTTGAATATTAATTTATGATTATAACCATCTAAATCACCGTTAATCACTGTCGCAAAATTAAGCTATATTAATATCGAAGATCCTGGCGCGTAGTAGAGATTCACACTATCCTCAAAAGTACTCTGCCGCAGCATGTACATCATCAGCATTCAACAGGGTAACTCCTTCCTTCCAAAGAGTTCTCCATAGCTCATTTCTCAGGCGAATGGGCCATCCGGGAGTCTCCCAATACCTAGCACCAATACCCTTGGCCTTCGCCTTGTTGAGCTGATCGCGAACAGCCTCAAGCTGAGTGCTGTTCAGTGGGTTCTCGCTATCATTGTGAATATCTCCAACAACTTCCATGAGACTGGTGGAAGCAATTGGCGAGATGAGACGAGTGAATGCACTCAAATCCTTGAGAGGCCCGTCATAGAAGTAATCACGATCCGCAACCGAAACGATCTGGTCGAGGGGAGTACCGCCAGTTCCAATGACGGTGACAGGGCCCGGGACCATGGTCTCGTTGTTTTGGATCTTGGTGAGGTAGTTGGCATCACGGAGTGGTTGGAGAGCCTTGATGATTTGCGGCCACGCTTTCTCGCCAGAGTTCTTGACATCAATCCAGAGATAGAGAGTTTGGCCTGCAGAGGCATCGAAAACACCACTATATATATTGTTTAGTTTACGTCAATGGTTGAAGATGAGGCTGGGGTTCTACTCACTTTCTGGTAACGCTGTGGACAAAGGGAGTCTTGGGGTTCGTCTTCTTGAGGACGTCCATGATGGGATCGATGTAGAGAGACTTGAGAGTACGTTCCTTGGTCAAGGCTGATTGCTCATGGCCAACCTAATGTTACATTGTCAGAGAGAGCTTGGTTAAGTTGACATGTATTCACATACATAGAGAGTGTCATTGATCAAGAAAACATCGGCTTCGATGGAGATACAGCCAGCAGACAGAGCTAGTCGAAGTTAGTACTGATCGGATCATCGAGGAAACGATAGATTAACTATACCGGTATAGAAAGGAACGTCCCTCCAGTAGTCGCTACAGACGAGTTAGCTCAGTCATACCCAGTACCGTCGAAGTACTTACTTGTGTGAATGAACCGGGACAGGAATGATACCGCGAGTCACGTCTGTAGGATATCTATAGATCGGACTCCGGTCGGTGTTTTTCAGTATATTTTGTAGTGGCTCGGAGAAAGCAGCGACAGGCTCGAGGGCGGCCGCGAGCACGACCGCGGAGGCAAGAAAAGAAGTCTTCATCTTTACTATAACCTTACTTCGTTATCGTGAAGAAGACTGGAAGTCCAGTCTCTGGAGTAGTGCCTTTATATATATCCTGAGCGCCCCGGAAGCGGGCAGGTTTAATGAGTGTACGGTCGCGAAGTACAAGGATGAGGTGAGGATGTTTACTTGCCAATTGGTGGTCGTCGCTTTCCACGTGTGAGGCTGGGACGGGACCGCTAGTTGTACATCCTTGGAAGTAGAAATTTATACGAAAGGGACCAGGGTCACGGCTTTAACGCCGAACGAAGGGGATAGATAGATGGAGGTTACGAGGTCATAGTAGTTTCTTTAAGTGTCCCGAGAGGTGAAGACATGGGAGGATACGAGGATGTTGGCCGAGAGAAGCACTAAAATAAGAAAATAAAGCAACGGAGAGGAGCATTAATTATAACGAACAGAGCAGACGCTGGATGGAATAAAGCAAGACTAAAAGATATGCTAAACCTCTCTCACCCGGGCGGTGCCTGACTCTTCCCGTCCTTCCTGGCTGGTAGTACTACTCCGGCCAGTGATGTTTAGACTCCCAATTCGCTGGACCAGGTTACTCCCCACGGCATCAACTGCACCCTTTGGCGCGAGTAACGTCGGGCCCTGTGCTGCTACTTCCTGTACCCTGAATAGTTTGATGGAGGTCCCGTTCCAGACGCCTACCGTTCCAGGAGTCGAGTTCGCCGCGGATCCTACGACCATTTCACTGGCAAAGATGAAGCCCCAGAGGAGCGACTCGTACCAGCCGAGAGAGAGGGGCGACCACTCGAACATGTGTACACGGATGGGAGATGGCTCGGCGAGTATGGATCTGATCTGTGGTGCGGCGGCGAAGGATGGGAGCTCTGCTATTAACGTGCGTGCTTCTGGATTTAGAGACGACTCGAGCGCGACTGCGGGTATACGGTGAGCTATCGACGATATCACACAGAGGATGGTATGGAGAGGCAGTTCCGGGACCCAGGTTTCAATCTATTGTGTTGGATTAGCAACGGTTAATAATAATTAAATTAATCGAGTTAGAATGCACCTACCCATGCCGATGTAGGAACGAAGCCACGAGAGTTAGTGGTGACAGTGGCAGCATAGCTACTGATGCTTGTCATGCTATTTTGACGGGAAAACGTTGGTTGTCCTGCTGGCATTTTACCTCGTGCCTTTTCAGATAGCCCTCTAAGCTGGAGAGGGACAGATTCGTCTAGCGGTGATATAGGTGCAGACCGGAAGCCTTCAGCAGTCGGAGAAACGACTTGCGAAGAGTTATTGCCTTCTCCTTCCTCATCCGAATCATCGTCTCCAATGGCAAACGTCGCATCTTCTTCCGGGACATGACTCAATGGTCGTCTCCCGCTTGCAGCCTCATGGGGGTCGTCATCTCTTGAATGCGAGCGAGAGGTAGTTGAGAAGTCACTGCTGGAGCTAGATGTGGCTTTTCGTAGTTGGTTTTGCTGTTCTATTTCCTGTTGACCGCTTTTTAGAGTGAATGCGCGTAGAGACTCGAACCGGCGCCTAGATTTAAGTACAACGTAGACGAGATATGCGTTTTCTATAACACTGTTAGTAACGCAAAGAGCCACAAATGGTGATCATGGCTAGACTCACTGCTGAACTGATGTTCTACAACAGCGTTTATGAACTCGAGGAGAGAGGATAGAAGGAGATGGTTGGTCTCGTTGGCTAAAAGGAAGCTAGGGGAAGACATTGAAATGAATAATTGAAGAATCTTGGAGCAGCAGGCCGGAGAAAGGCGCTGGGCATAAGCTGCCACATTGTTGATAATGGCTAGCAGGGCTGGGTATACAGCGTCTAGTTTACCCTTACTAGTCGTCATGAGGGTATGGACGGACTACCTTTCGTTAGATCAAGAGATGTCTAAACCAGAAGGATTAAAATGGATAAGAGGATCGACTCACGATGATTAAGAAGTCGCCATAAGTGCCACTGAAATTCTCCAACCGTATGTTAGGTGGTAGAGTTTCTTGGGCTTCGAATTTCCTGAACAGATTTTTCCCAAAGTTCGGCTCAACGCTTAACGTCTGAAGTAAGAAGATGCACATCTTGACTAGACCGTTCTTGGTCGGGTCTGTTTTGTACTCGACTGCGTAGAAAATGCATATGACGATAAAATCATGGGCGCGGTTTGAATCTACGATAAACGATCGGAACCGTTTATTGCATTGAACCATTTCCCAGAATAGCATGAGCATCTCTGGAGCCCACTTTATTGATTTCTGGCTTCCAGGAAGATATGAAGACGTTGCTTGCATCTATATCATAGTTAGAGATGGAACTAGAAAGACTTCGATGCAGCATTTGAAAGAGTATATTAAGCATACCGGTTGGTTGAGTATTCTGGTCATGCCTTCGACCAAGAACTGGAAATCCTGGGGTTGATGCAGCCTTCCGAGGAAGTGTCGGTAATAATTCTTCGGTAGCGTTCCCCGACCATCTTCGGGGATTGGATATAGTACGAGAGCGAGCATTAATTGTAAGCAGTATATGACGAGTATCTGCTTCGGGTCTTTCCAAACAACGTGATCGTAAGGTAGCCGCCACGGAGTTGGGTTATATTTAATTGCCTAGAACGAGGTTAGCTATGGCATCCGTTGCAAGGGACGGAAGGGTAGGCCGTACAGTGTTTAATAGAGAGCAGAGCAGCGACATAACCAGCTTCTTCTCGCCACAGGTAACCAGGTATGTGAACGACTTCACTCCTTTGACAGGTAGAAGATCTTGAGGACGGGGTTAGCTAGGCATAGGAGGATTGAGATGGAGGTTGTGAACCACATACTTGGCTGCATGTACATAGATTGGCCGGTTATGGTGAGCAACAGCCTCAGGACCTCCGTTCTATTGCTCTCAAGCTCTTTATTCGATCCCATCGCAGTATTGCATCCTACACCGCTCTGCCATATAGAATATACCACCTTCCCCTTCGACACTGGCAGTGGTGGTATCGTAAACCCGTTGAAGAATAGTAAGTCTAACAGCGTATCCAGCAGTTCCTCAGCAAGCGGTTTTGCATCCTCATAATCGTCCTCCGTCGTCCTCCTCCTATCAAGCCGCCCATCGTCGTCTTCTTCATCATCGTCCTCGTGGCCACGAGATTCATCAAACAGCACCCGAGACGACAGCTGTGCCTTTCGGGACTTCTTCCGTCTCCTCCTCCAGAAGAACTCATCCTCCCATTCCTCCAAGTTATCGGCCTCGTAAACAAACGGCAGCAAACGTGTCAGGATACGAATGCAGTTCAGCGCATCCTTCGCCGGCGCTATCTCGGGGTCAGGAAATGACGGATGGTGTCGTAATGCAACTAATCGTGAGGTGATGGCCAGTAAAAGCGTTTCTAAATTCGACAGCGAACTATCGCGAGTCCGCCGTATATCGACGGGCGAGAACAAACTGAAGACATCTTCGACCGACTCTGGCAATTCCCAGAACTAACAGATACTCCAAGTCAGCCCATGCGCATTGCTCTTGTAACCACTCCCAGGCTGCTGCTAGTGTAGGCAAATACGTACCCCAGTCCAGTACGGGTCGTCTGGCGGGATGTTGGCCTGCTCGGAGAGTCTGAAGATGCCTTGCTTGAAGACCAGCTTGGACTCTGAGGCACCCATGGCCGGGCGACGCAAGAAGGGGTTATCGAGGTTGGGATCGTGAGCAGTGCCTTCGTGGGTTTAGTTGCGTATACAAACTGGCAGGTTGTGGCGTCTCTTTGAGGCTAAAGAGACTAGTGAGGCCAAGGATCACGAACAACAGTTTGCAGGTTTATCGTCGATAGCACGTCGTATTATTACTTTCCTTCTCTTCGCTTATTTCGCGGTGCGACGGTATTCGCTGTGGGTTGTCGTAGCAAGGTGGGTAGACGTATGGGTTGGAATACTCTGGCATCATCTCAACCGTAGGATGAGTATTTGCTACTTAAACATACCAAGTGAAACAAATTACAACGATGCCTCTACGGATGTCTTATTAACTGGTTTGACATTCCTAGGCGTTGTTGCAGAGTGACGACTAATACAGGCTGCCTGTCGCGAAGGTATATCTACTCCATATGAAACTACTCTCGCTGGTGTATATATCCTGCCTACCTCGCTCTTAAACAAAGAGCATCAGAATAGGCCAGATATAGCATATGGAGGACACCTATACCAATATAGAGTACATCTCAAGATTTACCAAGATAGAAGAAACTGAATTACATAACTCCGATAGCTGAACCAGTAATAATCTTAAGTTTGCATAATCCATGACGTTCCACAAGTATTTCTTTTTGATCTTTCTTCTTTATAGGGACGAAGCAGCAGACAGATGTCGCTTTGCCTGAGGAGAGGTCAAGGAAAGACCACGGTAGGTGACATCTAGCAAACGATCGAGATGCAACATCACCTCGTATCTTATCCCCTCGTATCTCCTGCATCTCTTGCATCTGTTTGATCCTCGCAGGCCACCATGATCGTCGGGTACTTGCACGTCCCTGTCTCTCGCCAAGCCGTCTGATAACGAGGCCAAACACGCAGTCTCAAGACGAGAAAGGGTCGTATTCCCCCATCACAACCAAGTGTATGGAGTACCGGTGTCTGGTAGTAGTGCCTCCATCGACCTCAGCCGTAGTGGCGTCTGAAAAGGCGCTGGAAGCCGTGCGACCTGACGAGCCGGTACAGCCGCCAGCCGGCAGAGCGATGTGCTACTGCGATGTATCAACCAGCAGAAGTTCTGGCGCTTGTGGACCGCGGATGACGCACGATCCCTGCTCTCCACCAGGCTCTTTTTCAACCTCACCTCTTCTTCTCTTCTCTTCTCCTTCACCCTCCTTACTTCTCTCCTCCCTTCCACAACGCCGCCATCTCCATCCTAGACACATCACTGGCGGTGTCTCTATCTTTAGGTACGCCTGCTGCTAGTCGAAGATGCCGAGACTCCCGATCTCCGGCCTAGCGGAGTCAGGTCAGACCGCACATCTTCATCTCCATCTTTGCCCTCATTCCCGACGTCGGACGGCATGGAAGACATATATTCAGGCCTATATAACCTGACATCATCAGACTGGAGTAACTTCTATCCCGCTCGGAGCTCTGGTATCTGTGAAAACCCTGTCGGAGGACCAGGTCTCCCACAACCTCTATGCACAGTGTGCATTTGCCTCTAACTGCCAAATTGGGGTATATTATCTATACGGAGGCATAGCCGGCTTGTGCACTCGCTGCGTGTTATTCACGTCCTTCCCTGACTTATATTCTCACTAAATTTCATATATATAGACTCTGATGATACGCTGAAGGTATCACACACCGCATCTGCCAGCTTATATGCTAATACATGACCTGTCGACCTTTGCGCACCTCGCCAGATAGTCAAAGATCCTAAGGACCGAACAAAACTGATATTGTTAACGTGCTACGTCCCTAGCAATGTTTTGTGGCCGCTGGGAGTCCATGTCTTATAAGGATCGCAGGCGCGAACGTGGATCATCCAACCTGGCAAGAGCCCTATACCCTAAAAAATAATTACAGACCTTCCTGGCGCTTCCTGGCTGATTCGAACTTCCGCTCTCCCCGGCGCTGGGCCCTCCTTTTCTGGACGAAAATCCAACGGATATGCCATTGCGCTATACGAAAATTTTTCGGGAATTCGCCCTTAACAGCCACCGGACAAACCGACCCCCCAGGGTCATTTTTCCCTGGGAATAATTCCAGAATTCCAGGTGTTCCTCGCTGATTCGAACTCCCGCACTCCTGGTCCCCAGTAAACCCCATGGAACGCATATACCACTGAGCTATCCGAAAACGGTTTTGAGAAAGGACCTTATCTGACACCGGACAAACGGGCCGCCAGGGCCATTCTGAGAGGCCTTCAAGACGCTGAAATGCACCTAAATAATTACGATCCCGACGACCAGAGCTGTTTAGGACATATTTATGGTGTACAGAAATAGAGGACATCATGTACACCATTCTAGGACTTCTTTTTACCTATCTCCCCCAAAGTTGCGCGGTAGGATGGAGTTTCTAGCCTGGATGGGTCCCTTAAAAGGCACCGTAAGGTAGAGTATATCACCGAAACCCGTTGGCCTGGTCTAGTGGTGGAAGCTATGGCAATGACGTAATCCCAGATTGGAGGTACATGCCGACCGTGTGTGCTAGTCACCCATTCAGGTTGTGTCCCATAGCGGAAGTCCTAGATGTCTCAGAAAGACGGCGTGGAGGAGAACAACCAAGTCATTGCGACCGAGTTTTCGTAGGGATCATCAGAATCCCGAGCTTTTTTAACAAATATTTAAATGATCTTCCTTATATCTCCTTTCTACGTCGTTTTGAAGACGTTCTGAGATGCCCTTGTCCTCCATACTATGCGCTGGTACTTTGCCTACAAGTACACCTAAGTACCTGCTGTTTCTGAGCGCCGTGGGTTCGAATCCTGAAGCAGGCCAGATAACGCCAGATGAAGACTGCAGCCTGTAAATTCAACGCGTGTTTGATCAGGCTATTTCTGCGAGGGATGAGCTGTATAAATTCTGAAGAAAATTCCCCCTTTTTCAGAATCCCCGTACCCCCTTGGATGTTTCGTTACTGGAAAATGACATTTTCTGCTATGTTTTTATCAACGACGAGCTGCATGTTCAGCCAGATGGTTGCTATCCTTGTCTAAATTATACAGATAGCGTTCTAATACCTTTAGAGAGACATGAAATCGAGAGTAGTTATATTTTCAAGTGACGTTTGTCAAGTTGTTTGTTGTTTTACGCTCTCTTGCCGCGTTCACTGCTTCGCCCCCTTTTTTTTCTCCCTTTCATGACCTGCGACCGTGCGCACTCACCACCAAAATCTTTTGATATCTCTACATCACGTCGCCTGTTTTCGCTTCCCGACGTTGCGTTATGCTCCCTGCCTCTCTGGATACCTGATGCTCGGCCAGTTTTCGTAGATATACCCCTATTGATGCCTAGTGAGTGCCAGGGCGACGAGCAGCCCGTGGAGCAGCCAGCTTCGGCATCCCCAAACCTATCTTTAACCACTTCACTGGCCTATGCTTACTGGAATATAGCTTACCAAGACCCTGAATGAATATCGAGATCGTCTAGTTCCTTTATATGACCGTATGCGCGACAGGATAAAGCCAGTTCTTTTGATAGCGGTCTCCTTTACTCCCTCTGTTAACAACGGCTAGCGACAAGTTACATCTACGCGCCCCTATTGAATGCTGGGAGGGTCCTCATATCTGTCTTTCAGTCGCCCTACTCAGGGGAACAGTTTGATAAGGAGATCGAGACAATGGCTGGTTATAAGGCTGATGAAAGATATTGTTCATGTCGACAAGGGTATGTCCCGTCATTCCTTTGCCAGCCTATCGGAACATCGCAGCCCTTTTGCTAAATGTCTAGATACCACTCTCTACCCTTCTTCATCTCTACCTTGATCCGTTATGATGTTTAGTCTATATCTACTTAGGTTTGGGTAGCTGTTCAAACCCCATTCTCTTCCTGCACATTCAATACCACAATTGAAGAGCATAGCTGACCTAGCAGCCGTCAGCATCGATACAGACTCTGCGGTGTCTTCCGCAGCTTCAAGAAGACCCTCATCCGTCTATTCCGGAAGAAAGTTACCACAGCCGTTAGACATTCGCCGCATTCCAAACCAGAGATAATGCCAACTTCGTTACCACCGCACCTTGAGGCCCAAACCCTAGAGACCGCTCTCCCCAAACAGCATCCCCAACCCCCATTTAGTATCACACAACATACCGCGAATATGGAAGCTGAAATAACAGCTTCCCCGGCGTCTCGTCTCTCGCAGGAGTGCTGCAGCTCTACCAATGATCCACCTTCCAGCTGGTTGATATCAAGCCCTCCCGTCAAGGCCGAAAGCGAAGATGAAGACGGGGCCGAATTTATATCAGAAGCAGACTCAGACTCTATTGAGCTTTTCCTTGAAGCTGGAGATAGCTTTGCCAAACCCTTTAACATGTCATTCATGTCAGTAGCTAGCGATGACCTAGCCGACGACCTTGACGATGGGAAAGTGATGCCCCTTCTGATCGCTGCATATGATATGATCTGCCCAAACGAACTTCAGCGAGGGATTAATGAGGGGACAATTAGCCTCCTTGGGTCAGAGTCGAATTTTGATGAAGTTGATGATGAAGACGACGACGATAGCTATTTTCTTGAATGCTATTCGCAGTTAGATGGCGCTGAAGTGCTATTCAAAGGTGACGATCTGGAGGAATACAAAAAGGCTCCCGGTGGCCGTAGGAAAAAGCCCTTTGTCGAGGGTATATTTAGTTGGATGAAGCGGGTTCCTAGCAATGATGAGAATGAGCTGGCAATTTCATCGTCTGAGAATCCGTCTGAGAATCCGTCTGAGAATCCGTCTGAGAAGGAACCATTGCCTGCAGACCGTGATCTGAAACGAAAGTTGGCATTCAGCGACCTGCATCTTGCATATGAGACTACTGATGAAGAGAGCGTTTATTAGAGGGCATTTTTGCTGGGCCAAGTTGTCTCTGTTTGGCTTTGCTCTGAGTTGATGTTCTTTAGGCATATTACTTGGTTGATATTAATTTTTGGAATGCGTGATTACTTATTTAGCACCTTCATGGCTCTTAAGTTGACAAGGAAACTCCTACAACTGCTCCTTATACTCTTTAGCCTTGCCTTGGGTGTATCTTCTTCTTAAACTCGCCCCCCTTTAAATATCCACCTTTTACCCTTAAGCTTATCCTTATGTCTATCCTCATTTCTATCCCTAAGCCTGGCCTTACACCCGTTCTTAAAATTATTAGAAGTGTATTCTTTAATCTAGCTCTAATAGTTGTAATAATAAGGGGCCGTGACCAACAAAAAACTTCGCGACGCAAGGAAAATAGCCAGGGGAGGATCGTCTTACTACTAGCGAGGGAGAAGTTATTCTGATGCTATTGATAGTATCTCAAAGTCATAATAAACACAACCGAACGGCTGAGGGGGCAACAATGGCCCGTTAATGTGTAATAGCGAAAAATCAAACAATGACACCTTTCGACAGATATCCCAGACTTGCTGGGTATGGTGGCCCAGTCCAGCTATGTCATGAACCAGGTTGATTGCCGTGCTGTTTAGTCTGAACTCGCCGTCGGGCTTTACATAAATAAACCACTTGTTTTTTACAAGCTCAAGAATGTTATTCACGTATGTGGATACGAGATTAACATTTAGATGCGTATGCTCATTTTCATGCCACATCCAGAACATACGCATGCGAGTGTCTTCGATATGCGCTGCGAGCTGCTGCCACTGCCCAGTGCGAAGGAACATTCTGGGACCACAAAGAGTTTCGTGGTAGGTGTAATAGTTGAGAATCTGCCACGATACATCGCCAACCCTCCAGCCCGCTACTCTGCATACTTGCTCTAGCCAGTCCATGATTTTCTGAACCATTTTCGGGTCCATGGCATCCCGTCCTTGATCGTAGCCGTGGAGAATATGGTGTGAAGGTAAACGTTTCTCATCGTTGTTATGGGATATGATCGCATTAGCGACCCCTCTCCATGATAACGGGTTCATCGGTTGTTTGATATTATATGCGCTCTTGGAGAAGCATATCCCACATTCGATGATACTGGATAACGGCTCGAAGACATCCATATATTCGTATAACATGGAATAGAGGCCGAAACATTCTCCCTTTTCCTGTTCCATGAGATTTGCCGCATTCCGGGCTGTATTGATGATCTTCTCAATTTGGTGTATTTGAGGATGACAGATACCGAAATAGTTATCGATAGCCTCGCCAACAAAGATATACAGGAATTCTCCGAAAAATAGGTTGAGCTCCCCGCCCATATTCATCCACGCGTGACAAACATCAATGCCCAGATCTATGAACTCTCTTGCAGAGGCATCAAGGTCGTGGCGAAGAATGAACGTTGTGGCACGAAGCGCCCAGTCAATAGTCGGCTTGTCGATGTACCGTATGGTAGGAAATTTGCGAAACCCCAACTGCCTGGCCTTGGAAGCAAAAGGTTTTCTAGGCTCGGCCATTGTGTTATGCAGACGGGTCGATGTGGATGGGAGTAGGTGTAATCTCTAAATAAACTGGTTAGTTTATGGTAGCGAATGTGAGCTCTGGCTTGAAACTGAATAAAACGACAGTAGTAATGAATATCCATGTATAACGATGGTGTCTGATTGTTGAAGAATCCTCCTTTCTCTATTGACAATAAGAGATGCTTAAGACATAGCCAAAAACCATTCCATGAGGTCCCTGCCTGTAGGAAAGGAAAGCCCGAACCTGGGGTTCCTTATGTATCTCGGAAGGTAGCACCAAGGGGTAAACAGTGATAGATAGCTGTTAGCAAAGGCAGGTACTCGTAGTCTCGGGCAATGAGTAAATGAACATTGAACAGTTAGTAGTGTACATGATCATGGTGCTAATAATATCAACGATGGGGCACAGACATAAAATAGGGGTCGAAAAATAAATTGATACATAAAAAAGTAATAAACGGGAGGGAGATAACTGAACGTGGCGGAAACAAGAAAGGGTGTTCCATTAAATGGACCATTGGTAGTAATGAGGATATTTCGAGCATGTAATTAAGAATTCAACTCCTGAAGGTATATATGTCATCTAAATCCATCGCTCAATTAGGGACAAGAGAGCCAGAAAAAAAAAGTACGGGTAATAATAATAATAATAATAATAATAATAATAATAATAATAGCAACAAACTTGGCGTATTTTTAAGAGTCATGTGAATCATTTCCTTCACCAGTACTTGGCGAGTTTGAAGTATCGCGGCTAGGGATAGCTGGCAATCCAGAGTTAGAGGCAGGAGCAGCTGTACTGGCGGCAATAGTTTTCGCTTCAATTATAGAAGAGAGATGACTGGCAAGCTCACTCCCGCCATCGAGTTTTTCCAACTTGGACCTAAGAAACTGAACATCGGACAACATCCTAATATATTAGGTTAGCGGATGATCAGCCTGCTAGTGCAAGATGTTAAAGAGCACAAGCCTCGACTTACCTTTGTCTAGCTTTCTCTGATTTCAGCGGTGCTTGCTGGAATGCATCCGTCCATTGGTCCTTGTAGCTCGCAAACACGGGGCTCATGATCATCGCGACAATCGATTCAGGTAAATGTTTCGATAGTACCCTGTGTAGTGTTCCAGTCTCCTTGGCCAATATCTCCATGTAAGGGCTGATGGCATTGGTGTTCGATTCTGATTCCCAGTCCATCTTTTTCATAGAGTTAACGTGAACGGAGGCACGAGAACTCATGATGTCAACCAGTTTCTCATGGATACCAGACTGGTGCTCTTGGTAAAGCCGCTTGACCCTGTCAAACTCACCCATCACGGGACTTGATGGGCAATGTCGACGAATAAATTCTCGAACATAGGGAATTAGTGCAATGATAAAGCTCAACGACTGTGATGCAAGAGCAAGGTGCTTGGTGGTGATATTTTTCAACCCCGCGCTCTTTGTGGCTCCCGCACCAAGAATTAATTGTGATGTTCTCGAATTGAAGAGCTTGAGACACTCGAGCAGAATAGGGGCAATATCGGGAACGACGTTTGGTATGCCGGCCATGAAATGTTGAAATTCCTCGATGGCTTGTAGTATCAAAAAGGCAGATTCGGGAAGAATGAATTTCTGTTCATCGATGACCGCGCTTCGAACGCGTTCTTTGCTAGTTCCGGAGCCATTAATGGCTGCCTCTTTGGCTTCTGGCTTTTGCTCCGTGTCATTTACACCTGTGCCCCAGATTCTAGAGGTTGCACCCCACACTTCCGCATCATGCGTACTGGCCTCCAGCACACGGGATAGAAAAGTGTGCTCGCGATCTCCAAAATCTTTGGCATCCCATTTATCCAAATCCATAACCTGGACAATGCGGTGTTTCCAGGCGTCTCCGAAGCTAGACATGAAATTCTTTATTTGTATATCGACGACCGTCTTTAGAGCCGCGCCGCTTCTTCCCGAGATTGCCTCACATTCTTCTGCAAATAGTCTATTGAGGGTGAAGTACTGAAGGAATTGTTGGAGTGAGAAAAACTCTATCTGTCCACTTCGAACTTTCAACACCTTTACAATTTGCGATTGAACTATATCGACGGCTTGGCCAAGCAAGCTCGACATGTCCAAAACTTGGAGAATCTCATCCCTTGCCAAGGTGTTGGGCGACGGGACATTGGCCATCGTATCTAGACTTTGCGAGCTTTGGCTTCTCGTGGGAGATTTCACTGACGTTGGAGTATTCCCCAGGTTGCTGGTGATATCAAGCAAGACCTTCACTTGGACACTTAATCTCCGTAACGCCTCGCTAATGCCGGTATATATGGTAGTGAGCATCGCGAAGGCATCATCCGCGCCCAAAGAACGCAAGTTGCGCGCTAAAATGGATGATTTCTCTTGCTGGTTCAGCTGTCGACCGCCGTGTGTAGAAGCAGACATGATAGACTCATTGTCCTCATCAGTTGAACTGGGAAGGTGGCGGCGTATTATATTCTTCATCTCTCGAAGCACTGCGTTTTTAAAGGAGGTAGCTCCAGTCATAGTATAGCGAGCTCGACCAAGCCCTGAAAGTTCTTTTTGTAGTCTTAACCGCATTTCATTATCCACAGTCATGTACGCCGGTGCACTTGAAGTGGTAGTCCTCTGGCCTCGACGGGTCCTCTGGAATGCTACACCCAGCCGGAGTAATGTCGCCTCCGGAGAAGAGCTTTCAACGTGCCGTCGAAGGTCTTCTAAAAGGATGTTTAGGAACCTGATTTCATATCCTGCGCCTATGCGAGACCGGAGCTGGGCAAAATCATCCGATGCGCGATCAAGGGCGTCGACTCCACGCAGGTCTATAATTCTATGGGTGTCTGTAAGATGTTGGCGTGGTTTGGTCGGCCGTTCACCAACCAGAAGCCGTTCGACATCATCTAGTTCATCAATGGCGTCCTCAAGGTCACCAATTTCGATAAGGTGCTCACATTTTGATACAGACGAGATGACCTCTTGCAGCTGGCAGACAGCATCCGCCAGCCTCCTCACGTTTTCACGTCGACGCTGGAGTTTAACGACCTTCAACCCTCCTTGAGCCATGTCAACATCCAACTTTGCTAGGTCTTCACGCAGCACTTTAATATTATTCACAGAGGTTGCAGCTTCGGTATGGAGATCTCGTAGAGACCCTAGTGCTGAAAAAAAGGATGTAGAGGCAGTTGAAATGAATGAAAGAAGGTGGATTTCCACTGTGTCTAAATACCACGAGAGCTTTTCCTGCAATATGGCATTTGTAGCGAGGGCTTTTCTACTAGGCCGGCGATCAGAGGCTAATTCGTCTCCTGAGCCAGGTCGTCCAGAACTCTTTGGGGAGCTGATAACCTCGGATCGCTCTGACACTATGTCGAAGGTTCTAGGATTTTCAAGCTGGAAGTTCTCGTCAAAATAAACGTTTGGTATGGTCGAAAGCGGCGTTGGCGAGAGTGCCGACCTGTGACTGGATGATGGCCGCGACCGTGGCGCAGAGGGGTCCAGGGGTGTAGATGAAGACTGCCGCCCATGCCCATCGAACGTCTTATGTAGCAACTGGTCAAGCTCTGGAGATGCTAAAGAGGGTGTATTCCTCCTGATTATACTCGTGTCCTGGTCCCCATTCTCCTTGGCATGATGTAAAGCATCATACAGCGACCCGACTTGTAACAAGTATGGTTGAAAGGATGCGGAATCAACATGCGGAATATTCGTCAAGGTCACCGGGGGGATATCACGAGTCGAGGGTGGCCTATAACCGCTAGGCGGAGCAGAGATATGCGGCAGAAGTCCAGTCCGGACGATTGGAGGCTGAAGGAGTGTAGAGATTGCTATCAAGAAAATAAGGCCGTTAGCATTGCCAGAACGCAATCTAGTCCCATAGTAACAGCCAAACACGTACCATTTTGCCCTGCTTCCGCTATAGATCCATGTTGATGGTGCTGTTGTTGCAGCGGCGGATGGAACGTCGATCCCAGGCTTGTGATAGAGCTCGCGTTGGAACTCCTGCGTGATCCAAACCGTGGCCGCGGTACTGGTTTAACGCTCTCGGATTGCTGAAAGGGAGTATGATGGGATATGGACGATTTCGGGGACGACAAGGGTAAGCTATCCACCGATCTCCTCGAGTCTGGCGATGTCATGTCGGACCTGGAGACCATGTGAGGCTCCGTAGTCAGTGACAGCAGTTAGGGCCGTGTTGTCATGACGGCAGGCAGAGGCCGGCGAGCGGGTTATGCAGCACGCAACAAGTGCAGATAGAGAGCTCAGCGCATAGCAGTATCTATAAGGACAGTGGACCGATATCAATCGCGGAGACGGAGGAGAGGCTGCCTCTGCAAACAATATACGATACGTATATCCGGCCTTCTTTGGGCTGAGCTAGGGCCACTTTTGGTCTGGGGAACTCGCAGTCTTGGCGCTAAGCCCCTTTCGGCCTTTTCTTTTGGGCGCTCGGATAATATATTTTCCGCCTCTCCTCCAAAGTTCTTCCATATACAAATAGTAAACAACATATGGAAGTAAACCGACTTCTTGTTAAATAGGTTCAATATACCCATTATCCTTGGTCTTCTTGGCGACTTCTGTGCTAAAGTACCATTACAAGATCGGATTTGGCTTGAGGAAATGGAAACTACTCTCGATGGGCAGGAAAAAGACCTGTTTGTATCGGAAAATCCTGTACTTAGAGCTAAGAAAATGTAGATCTGCTAAAGAAATAGAATGGGACGAGTGGATTCGTAACCATTTCTAGGTGAGTCGATAATATGTATCTTTCCGCAAGTGCCTTTAGGTTGATTCTTGGGTGGGTAATACTCCAGGAAAGAGTTGGGAGTCCTAAAGAAGTGTGTGGGCATGATTTGTAGCTCGCATATGGATGTAAATTTAGAGGAAGGGAAAAGCGATGCTACAATATGATGAGGTATTGTACACCGTACATATTAGAGGCATCACTACCTTATGCAGGGGCTCTCCGTTTATAGGAAAATTGTATATAGACTCGTTGAAGTTGGGATTAATCAGCTCCAAGAAACACATCACCACAAATCCGACATATTAGAATAGTAGTTACTAACATGATATTCTGAACTGCCCCAGGAATGTGAATAGGGTAATGAGTATTAGCCAATTTGGGGCAGTGAATCTCAATCGACCCCATCTAGTTAATTTGCACAAGAGGTAGGAGATAATTGATCAGCCCAGTTACATTCTATGACAAACCATATTGAAACTCGGACAGGGTTCTATATATAGTAGTATCAAAGAAACGGCAGGAATTTTTAGGTGGAGTTTTGGTGTAGGCGCTTATATTGCATACTCCGTACGTGAACCTATAGCTGGGGTTTCGTTGGCTGATAGGGAGTTTACTATCAAACACGACGGCGCGTAGCTATGCGGGGGCCGATCGCCTGAGCCTCGACCACAAAATCCATTGGCTGACCTTCACTACTATCAGGCCATTTCTAGTCCAGCTGTTCTGGGTCAGTTTCAGGCTCGGCGCTACAGAGCACTAACTATACCACCCATGTAAATCCAACAAACCTCATCGCTCAGGATGAATGCCAGTCGTTGTCAATGCAGGCTGGCGGCTAGGTTTATTGGATGTTACCATGCTACGAAGCAATCACATTGTAACAGATGCGCCGCAACCACATATAAGCAGCCCTGACGTAGATATATAAAGGACGACCCAACCGAGACTTGACTTCTCTACTTCAATTCATCAAACCCTCGAAGTCCATAATCACTACCAACCCATCCAGAACTAAAATATCACCTTTCATATTTTGATCCATCTTTCGCCATAGCACCAAACATGGCGCCCAGGGCATTCTCGACGAGTGCTAGATTGATGAGAAAACTCACATGGAGACTTAACGGGACAACGGCGGACGTCACATGGCTGACAGAACAAGTGGACGAGAGCGTCGACCATGTTCCGGGGCTTGAAAGCGTTGTGAGCGGACAGGTAAAGTAGGGATACCACTTAAAAGTGCCTTGAGTACTTTCAGCTCAGCTAACTGTTGGCAGCGGAAACCCCCATGCGACCGCCAAAACTGGCGACCCTTGGCACGGGTCAGTGGAACTGTATAACAAAGCCGGAGACCGAGTCACGTCAGCACATGGCTATCCCAATGGATATATTAAATTCTCCAAAGAAGCAAAATATAAACCCATAAAGCTTCCTCCTCACCCCAAGGCGCCCGTGTACCCGCCAGTTGATCCCGTGGCTTCGAAGCCTCAGCCGAAACCTACGCAATCTGGCTCAAAGGCCACTAAGAAGTGATGAATTGCAAGTGACTGTTTTGGATATTCGATGTTGAGATTGTCTTGGGGTCACGATATACGAAAATTTGCATCTATGAAAGGGAGTCCGAGAGAGAAGCATATGATCATTTGTACCACTATATGCCAAATTATGTTCACTTTTTCTTTATTGAAACAAATGTATGCAAATTCAAAAGACCTTTACCCACTCACCTTTGTAGTTATTATTAGTAAATCGGTTTGCCTCTTAACTGAGAAGCAAGGATAAAAAATCGCTATTGAGAGGGGTATAGGAGGAAGAAACTACAGACGCTCTAGGAGTACTCCATACTAAATCCATATAAAGCATCCATAATTTGATCCTAATAAAGATATATAGCGTATATAAATAAAGAAGGAGTACGGAGTAATTATGAAGGTTGATTAAAAGGCGCCACGGGTTTTTATGGAGTTTATTCTGATCACGTGATATTAAATAAGGGTCGCGCTTTCTTGGCATCACGACCTTTGTTTTCTTATCCTTCCTTCTCACCGTTGATCCAGCACAGCTCCTTTTTTACCACAAGAATCCATATTGAATGTGACTTAGAATGAAATTTATCAGGCATGCAATAACGCGCATGTTCTCCTCCTTATGCAGGAAGCCTTTGCCAATTCCTCGCCCTGGGCCTCTTTTACCTCATGATGAACCTGTCGACGAGGAGGTCTGCCCTGGTTACAATTCAAAGAAATTCTACCCAGCCAGACCTGGAGACGTACTCGCCAATCGCTATCAAATTCTTGTCAAGGTTGGCTGGGGGGTCTCCTCAACAGTATGGTTTGCTCGTGATATGCGAGGGTACCGCTACGTTTATTATATCCATAACTATCGTCCATTGCTAACGAGCTATTAAGATACCATAAGGAACCAGAAAATGTTGTAGCGCTGAAGATAACCAATTCAAACCCGCATACATCTGATGGTGAACGTGAAATTGAGAACCACATTGCTAAAGCAGACCCATCACACCGTGGCCATGCACTTTTTAGAACATTTTCAGAATGTTTCGAGATCAGTGGCCCAGAGGGGAAACATTTATGTTTAGCATATGAACCCATGAGGGAGCCAATATGTCTCTTTCAGAGACGTTTTAAAGATGGGATGATTCCCCTACCAATCGTCAAGACATACATTCGCGTTCTCCTTGCAGGCCTGGATTATATTCATACAGAATGCAAAGTTGTCCATACTGGTAAAACTCTTAATAACCCGATTCCTTTTTTTCAGCCGCCAAGCTTACAGTCTGTTCTGTAGATTTAAAGCTTGAGAATATCATGGTAACCTTCGAAGATCCGGCCGTGCTTGGTGATTTCATGGATTCCATGTATGATCAGCCTATGGAGTACAAAATTGACTCCACAGGTCGACCGGTTTATCGCTGTCACAATGATTTCGGGCCATTGCGGAAACTGAGAAATATACCAAAAATTGTCGACTTTGGCCTGTCTACAAGGCTTGATGGGGAGGACGATTCAGGCGTTTACCCGATTCAGCCAGACCACTATCGCGCGCCGGAGGTTATCCTGGGCTGTGGTTGGAGGATGGGTGCAGATATATGGAATCTAGGCGTTCTTGTGCGCGATGCCCTAACCCCTATTAGAGTTCATATTGCTAACGCTTTGTTAGATTTGGGATATTGTCGATGGCAAAGAACTGTTTCGCCAGGTACATGATACAAAAGGGAGCTACGATGCTAAAACGCATCTTGCAGAGATGATCGCTTTGCTTGGACCCCCTCCCCTAGCGCTGATCTCAAGAATTCAATCAATGGCAGGGTACAAATGGCCAGAGTCTATAAAACGGGAGGACGGCGAGCTTTGTGAAAGTGCAGCACAATACTTTGGTGGCCCGTTCTTTGATAAAGATGGTATATGAATCAACCTCCCTAGGCTATAACCCTACTAATACGCTATATTAGGTAAATTTCTGCATGAGGACTTGATTCCAAACCGAAAGCTTGAAGATACACTCCCTTCCCTAGAAGAAAAGGAAAGAGAGAATTTCCTGTCATTTGCCAAGCTGATGCTTGCATGGCTTCCTGAGGAGCGATTAGCGGCGCGTGAATTGATGGAACATCCGTTTCTTCGACTGAAATAAGCAAGATAGTTTCGTGTATGAATATCAACAGCTCAATATATGACAACTTACCTACTGCCGTGCCCTGCCCCATCTTCACCGAATGTCAATAAGTGTCGAGTCAGCGTCCTCCATCTAATATTATTAGCAATCTAGAGGTTCGATGATCCGAGAATATCCTCATATTAGACATAAAATATGCTCAACCTTCAGTGTTACTAGGCGACTTACGTAGATTTGAACGTCTTGCGGCGCCCGATATTTACACACGGTTAGGTCTGGAGCCCTTTCACTGCATATAACAGACCGCCATCTTCGAACAGATCCCAAGTCTATATGAACAGAGTACTTATTTGACATTTACAAGCATCGAGGTTGAAGTTGAGTTATCTCAGGAACTAAGGGCGGGAGGTCCCGGTTGCGCTAGCCCGAAGCAGCAACTCACGAACCTCAGAGCTGGCCGGTAACTACTAAATAATAAACTTGTATTTAAATATATACGGATATTACAACTATTAGAGAAAGATAGTATAAATAAGATCAAAGTGGCCATTCCACTGGCAGTTCTTTATATCTAATCGTTATTAAGACTGCTGTTGCTATATTAGCGCACCATCCGCCTACTGGAGAGCATCCCTAATTCAATTGCTGTCCGGGGCATTCCCCGGTTTTCGCTATGAACAGTGGCTCTGCCATGGGAGACTGTGCGAGAGAGAGTTCCAGTAGGAATTGTGGCAAAGTCTTCCTCCATGGGGTAACTAAACTGAGAAGATAGAAGGATAATTGCTGACGAATATAAAATACTTCTTTCGTGGGGGTCCTGTTTTATTTGATTTTAGAGAGCAGCCGACACATCACCATCTTTAGTGAGGGCCACTCTCCCAGGCAGTAGGTCGCCACATCGTATGCGCCTACAGATATCCTAAGGTTTAGAACAGGCATGTTGAGTGAAATGATTGACCTCATGCATGGCCTAGCCATCTTCATGGTATTCCTCCTAGCGTCGTCCGTATGCATTTTATGGTGGAAGTTTATTGTAAACACAAATTGATATAAATTTGAGTTGATAACTTTCAAACCGGGCCGGGAGATAAAAATGTTTAAATGCGGGGTATGAGCAAGGATAACGGCCAGCAACTTATGATCGATCAGGATCATGGTAGATCAGAATAAGAAGTCAATTAATCAACCAGCCAATCAATCGATCAAATGAAGCGTAAAATGGGCATCAAACCCAATCGGCTCACAGGGATATCAAATATCAATCCTGAAGGGCATCTGTCGGCCGGTGACAAGGTCAAGATAGTCTACCAGTCTTATTATTGGCATAGTTACGATGTATTGACCGACGTCTTGCCGGTATATCGTACATTGTTGGTCGATAGAAGTAAATTTGCCTTAAAAAGGTGAGATGAGTTGCTGCTTTAGTTGGGCGGCATAATATTTAAAGCGGCGGCAAGTTAAACGCGCTTAGCCGGAAAGGGAAACTACTTTACGCGGTCCAAAAAAAAGCGCGACGCGTCCCTGAACTCAAGCGCCAATTTGCACATCGAAGCATCCCACCGTCAGATATATTCGAGAGATAATTCACTCCGCACACCCAACACGCTCGGCAGTCCATACCTTAATATCTTAAATCTTACAAGCGCAGAGCGATAATGGATCGGAGAACACCTTACTCCCTGAGTGTGCTGCAGCCACAAGCGGACGGACCTGAGGAAGCCAGGAGCAACATCCAGGCCCAACTGCGAGAATTCGTTCTTGCTTTCCAGATTGATAGCACTTTCGTCTACCGGTATGTCTCGTCTGTACGCAGGTAACGGGGAAAGGAACTTCCAGGCTAATCATCTTGTTTTACGATAGAGATCAAATTCGACAGAACGTCCTCATCAACAAATTTTTATGCGATGTTGATGTCGCACACTTGATAGCATACAACGAAGAGCTCGCTCATCGACTCACAACCAACCCACAAGATACAATTCCTTTAGTACGTGGTGCGGAGTGATTGTGCGATTGGTGATGACATGCTTACATCGATTGTTTCTACAGTTTGAAGCCGCCTTAAAACAATGCACACAGAAAATCGTGTACCCATCCCAGAGAGATATCGAATTACCTGAACATCAGCTCCTCCTTCACTCGAGCGTATCGCTAATTTCCATACGAGACCTCAATGCTTCTAACGTCTCAAGCCTCGTTCGCATACCAGGTATCGTTATTGGCGCTTCGACGATTTCATCCAAGGCCACCAAGGTCCATATTCAATGTCGACACTGTCAGGAACCAGACAATATTATCGTAGATGGAGGATTCTCAGGTCTCACTTTGCCGCGGACATGCAAGCGAGTGAGACAACCTAACGAAGACATGTGTCCCATGGACCCTTATTTTATTGTACACGAAAAGTGTCAGTTTGTCGATCAACAAATTATAAAACTCCAAGAAGCCCCCGACCAGGTCCCGGTTGGAGAGCTGCCACGACACATCTTGATTTCCGCCGACAGATATCTTGCCAATCGCGTGGTTCCTGGTACACGGTGCACTATTATGGGAGTGTTCTCCATCTACCAAGCTAAGGGAGGGAAAAAGTCGAACGACTCAGCTCCTGCTATACGAAATCCATATCTTCGAGCGGTTGGAATCACAAGCGATGTCGACCAGACCGCCAAGGGAACGGGAGTATTTACTGAAGAGGAGGAACAAGAGTTTCTTGAGATGAGCAGACGGCCTGATTTATATGAAGTATTTACGGATTGCATTGCGCCGTCGATCTATGGTAACCGCGATATAAAGAAGGCAATTGCATGTCTACTTATGGGCGGTTCAAAAAAGATATTGCCCGACGGCATGCGACTACGTGGTGATATCAATGTTCTCCTCCTTGGTGACCCGGGTACCGCCAAGTCGCAGCTCCTGAAGTTCGTTGAGAGAGTATCACCTATTGCCATTTACACATCTGGCAAAGGATCCTCTGCGGCTGGTCTTACTGCCTCTGTGCAGCGTGATGCGACCACCCGTGAGTTCTATCTAGAAGGAGGTGCGATGGTCCTTGCAGATGGAGGAGTTGTCTGCATTGACGAGTTTGACAAGATGAGGGACGAGGATCGAGTTGCCATCCACGAAGCCATGGAACAGCAGACAATATCCATCGCCAAGGCGGGAATCACGACCATCCTCAACGCCAGAACGTCCGTCTTGGCTGCTGCCAATCCGGTGTTTGGGCGATACGATGACATGAAGACGGCGGGAGAGAACATTGACTTCCAGACCACAATTCTTTCTCGATTTGACATGATCTTCATCGTGCGTGATGCGCATGAGAGAGGCCGGGACCAGAAGATGGCCCGGCATATAATAAGCCTCCATCAGGGCGGAAGGGGGATCGAGGAGCAGACCGAGGCTGAGATACCTCTTGACAAGATGAAGAGGTATATCAGCTACTGCAAATCGTAAGTATTCGTCTTTATTCCGCTGCGGGGTCGTGATTTGGAATATACCAGCCAGCTAATCAAAATGTCAGACGTTGCGCACCAAGGCTTTCTCCAGAAGCCTCAGAGAAACTCTCGTCTCACTTCGTTTCAATCCGTAAGAGGGTGCATCAGGCCGAACTCGACGCTAATGCAAGGTCGTCCATACCAATCACGGTACGTCAGCTCGAAGCCGTGATACGTATCACCGAGTCTCTGGCAAAGTTGTCGCTCTCCCCAATCGCAACGGAAGAGCATGTCGACGAAGCCGTGAGACTGTTCCTTGCATCGACCATGGACGCGGCTGTGCACGGCGACGGCCAGGCGAGCAAGGAACTGTCGGCAGAGGTGAGCAAGATCGAGGACGAGCTAAAACGGCGATTGCCCATTGGATGGACTACAAGCCTGGCCACCCTGCGGCGTGAATTCGTGGATGGTCGAAATTACAACGAGCAGGCATTAAATCGTGCCTTATTGGTGCTACAGCGGAGAGAAAGTATACAGTTCAGAGCCGGGGGTGGTCAGATCTATAGGAACGGACCATGAGTAGCCCTCACTTTTAACGCTTTATATGACCTTTTTTTTTTTAATTTCACCCTCAGCTCTCTTCTCGCCCAACTGTAACCGTACACAGCCGCCATCGCCGCAACCCGGAGTATGCAGGTGATCTCTGCCTGCGCCAGCGCTACGGCCTCGTCTTTGCACAGGGGGGTCGACAGCGCGCCGCCGGGGTACGTGCATTGACACGGCGTCAACACGGCTAGTAATGTAAACGATTTCCGTGCTTATGATGTGGATGGGAGTTCAGTTCATTGGGTGCATGCATGGATAACATGGCGTCGATTCTATCATGTTTCTGTGGGTTACCGAGCAAATCCAGCAAGCCCAGCCCGGTAATACTTGGCTTTCCAAGGCTACACCACAGGCCAGTAAATAGGTCAACTTTTTTTATATAATATCCAGAGGAGAGGAGAAATAAATACGATTTGCAGGAAAAGAACAGGGAAGCCAAGTTTAGTGCAGTTCGGGCTTTATGGTCGAAAGTCGCCTCCCTCGACAATCCCGAGGCTCAAACCTGGAACGCTTTTTGTTTACGAGAAGCAGAACCGCGGAACGGTTTGAACCGTTAGAATATACTAGCGTCGGGTTTCTTTGTCTAAAGAAACAACGGGGTCGAATGAGTAGGAGTTAAATGGGAATTCGCCGCGTGAACGTCATATAAGGAGAGAAAAAAAGGGAGCCAATACAAAGGCAGGATAGGCGGAATTTCCTCCCCCTCACCGGGTATGCATACAGTAGCTCTCTACCACTCTGATCACGTCGCTACGTGGTTGCGCATTGCCTTGCATGAGAGAGATCCCTGGTGACATGCTAGCGGGACGATCCGACACCCGCGGCACTCCGTACAGAGAGGCGCCGGTGTTTAAGAGGCCAACGGCGAAGACGGAGCCCGCATCCTGATGCATGTGTACAATATCAAAAAGCACTCATGGGTCCTTGGGAAGAGGCCAACCACCGGCCAGAAACTCCGGACCAAGGAGGAGGGTTCGTCGAGAGGCGCTAAAGGACAAGGCTCCCCCGGCCTTCCCTTTGTTAGAAACTGGATATCAAACGTCGTAGAGGGGACCGCTCGTCAAGGGCAGTGGGAGCCCAAGCGGGCTGGCCTCCTTTATCTGGGCTGGCTCGACCCGCCCAGGTGTAGGGATATGCACCTGAAAAATGGGTACATCGAATGAAAGAGGACGAGGAGCCTGTTCTTATGACCAAAGCTTGGAAGGATTTACGATGTAGCCCAGCAGCTCATCGTCAGCGTTCAGAAAAACAACGAGAGCTGTTCTAACTCTATTAACTGGGGGGGTTGTACCGGGCTTGGTCATGCAGGGTCGAAGCTGGCGTAAATGCGCATGTTTGATCGTTAATTCACTCGGTTGGCGCCTCTCCAAGGCCATGGTATGGAGGGTGACTGGGTACAAGGCCTCTGACCTGGCAAACTCCGGCTTTATAGGGCCTGCCACGTTGGTTTAAAAGATGCAGGGCGTCCCCCCAGACAAGGGACAATCCAAGAAAACAATTCATCTTCTCTCTCACATCAGACACAGACATGAACAATAGTCAACCGCCCAGGATGCCTCCCTCAGATCCAGAACCACACTCGATACTAGTCGAGAAAACGGCAGGTGGCGTCACGACCATCGGAATCAATAGACCAGACAGGAAGAACGCCATAAATCCACCGACCGCCACGAAATTACGAGCAGCCTTTCTAGACTTTGAAAAGGACCCCAGCCAGAAGATTTGCGTCTTCTATGGCACCGGCGGCACTTTCTGCTCTGGGTTTGATCTCGGCGAGCTGAGGAAATGGGAGAAACCGGCCGAAGACCAGGACAGCTCCAAGAGACGAGATAGCAGCATCACCCGCTCGCATTTCAAGCCCGTGCAGGGTAGGAATGAAGCTCCGCTAGGGCCGGGACGGATGCAGATCGAGAAGCCCGTCATTTGCGCTATATCAGGCCATGCTGTTGCGGGAGGCATGGAACTAAGTTTGCTAGCCGACATTCGCGTGGTTGAAGAGGACGCCATCTTCGGGATATTTAGTCGACGCTTTGGCGTGCCCTTGCTGGACGGCGGCACGGTCCGGCTCCAGGAGATCATCGGCCTGGGGAGGGCGTTGGATATCCTCCTCACAGGCAGGCCGGTGGCAGCAACCGAAGCCATGCATATAGGGCTGGCCGCGAAGGTCGTGCCGAAGGGAGAAGCCTTCAAGGAGGCGATGAAGATGGCACAGTCGCTGGCCGCGGTGCCCCAGGAGTGTCTGAATGCTGATCGAAAAGCATGCTACCACGCTGCGTATAATTCACCTTCGTTCGAAGATGCATTGTCGTATGAGTTCGAGGAAGCGGTAAAAGTTAGCGATCTTGCAATCCACAAGGCCATGAATTTCAACAAACGGGAAAAGGCGAGACTGTGATGATGATAATGACGAAATGACGATGGGAGGAGCATAATACGACATTGAACGAAGCATTCTTTTTTATTATCTTATGTATCACTAATCGACGTCCTTTTTTAATCTTCAATGGCAGCTTTGGTTTCTGTTTCGGTCAAGATAAACGTCTCTAACTTTTCCCGGTGGGCTGGGTGTTATAGAACATGGATGTAGATGAGGCTCTCGCGGCCCCTGACGTAGGCCAAGCAAGGTCATTTGCCAGATTAAACGCTGCATCGTGACGGTTAAACCTCTGTCGGGTCGTAACCAACATTATAGAAGCAAAATCAACACTTATTACCGGGATTGATGTTCAACTTCGGCACTTTGGCAAGGATGGAGAGTTTTATATAGCGTGGAGCAGTTGAACCCCACCATGTTTCGCCGAGCAGCCAGAATGACAGAATAACATAACAGATATTCTACGGTATATATAATATCTTTGTCAACGTATACTAGGTGCCGTATACTAGGTGCAGATAAACATCACCATGGCTCCGTCGATTCGTGTTATCGGCTCTCTGAACGTCGACATGGTCTCTGTGACCTCTCGGTTCCCTGGCCCCGGAGAGACACTGACAGCGACATCCTTCAAAACCAGCCCAGGCGGCAAAGGTGCCAACCAGGCCGTTGCCTGTGGCCGTTTATCTCGATCCCGGCCGTCCCCGAATGCTTCTTCCAAGGATGTGCTGGCAGACGTCGAGATGGTTGGCGCAGTTGGCCGGCTGGACGCACATTTCGAGACACTGCTACAGCCCACACTTAACAAGTCTGGTGTCAGCACGGCGCGAGTACGGACGATAGACGACGAGCATACGGGTGTGGCCGTGATTATCGTCGATGAGTCTGCAGCTGGGGAGAACAGGATACTCTTCTCGCCCAATGCGAATTACACCGGCATGAAGGCTACGGAGGAGGTTATTGGACTTTCGCTGTCTGCCCCGTTACCAGATATCATTGTCCTACAGGCGGAGATTCCGGTTGATACAGTTATTGGTATTTTAAGAGCCGTGGCATCCAAGAAAGAGTTCCAACAAGGAGAGATCGAAGTGGTATTCAACCCCGCACCGGCACCAGAAGGCGGATTACCAGATGATGTATATTGGTCGGTCGAGCATTTGATCATGAACGAGACGGAATGCGAGTTGATGGCACCAAAGGACCTACATGGCCTCGAGGGGCTGTCGGAGGAAGACCGGAGGGATAAAATCGCCGTTCACTTCCATTCGCTAGGCGTGCGGTATGTGATTGTCACCCTCGGTGCGAAAGGGGTGTGGTATAGTGCCGCTCGGCCGGGGAAGATGGCCCAGAAAGATACAAGCAAGTGGGAACGGTTCGTCAATGACATTCCGGCTTCGAAGGTGGAGAAGGTGGTAGACACTACGGGGGCGGGCGATACCTTTGTTGGCGGATATTGTGTACAGGTTGCTCAGTGGAGAGAGCAACGACGGGCTGCAGGGAAGGACTGCTCGGATCTCACGGCCGAGGAATGGAGTGATAGGCATGGACGAGTTACGGAGGAAGCTATTCGGTGGGCGACAAGAGCGTCGGCTCAATGTGTCCAGCGATCCGGAGCGATGGATAGCATCCCATTCCGGGATGAGGTCTAAGGGACGTCACCATATATAGAGGCATGTCAACTGATACATAAACTCCTTAATCTATATAGGTTACTCTCTAATTTTTTTTATCTCGCTCTGTGCAACCTGCACTATAAGTACAAAAACCTGTTGAAGGAGGATAACCCGCCGTGGATAATGGCAGAGGGTAGCTACCCGTGACATCGGTGCTGCATATCACTATCATACCTAACTTGAAATTTGATATGCATCAATATGACCAACTGTACTTTATGGACCGAGGGCGATCACCTTTTCTCGGACCCGTAGTGATATCAGCTGTTTAGATATAGGATCTCGAGCGTAATACACGTTTACTTATGCATCGAGCTGCCTGGTTAATATTAAGTATAGGGCTACATAAGGGAAACCGTTCTACAATAACTTTAGAACGAGAACGAGAGGTTAGCTGACTGACTTGGAAAAAGATCATCTCCCAGCTTGCCTGGTGCAGGGGATTTTTTAACAACCAATTGCTAGCTTCACGGCCTAGGTGCCTCTGCAGCCGCGAATCCTTCTATACTCGTATAGCGCCTTGTCATCCTTGTTCTCTGAAGGAAGACAGGCCGGGGTTGCTTCTATTCATCCCACAAGCCACAACAGTGCAGGTGATGCCATTAACTAAGTGAATCCCTCGATTAACCACTGAATAAACCCCGCGCTGCAGCTAAACAGCATGTCAAGAGTGGCATTGTAGTGTCATGCTTGCCGGGTTGGATTATGGAGATTGGACGACCATAGCATGGGTTACACCATGGCTGCTGCATGCATGCCATGTAATGAAGCGAGAAGACGCCCATATTTTAAATATGACCAGATACCCTAGGAAATAGCCTAGGCTATCCTGAGGCCACCCATTAGATAGCAGAGGGGCCCTTTATTGACTTTACCTTCGTCGTTGCTTTAAATGCGGCATCTTGCCAGATATCCTCTATCTGCAAACGACGCCTTCCAAACAATTGAAGGCACCATGGATGTATATAACAAGAGAGACCCCGTCATTCCACGGCAGAAGCCGATGAAGCTGCTCGTCCTTGGGTTCCCACGGACAGGTACCACCTGTAAGCCGAATCCAAGCCGATAAAACGTAAGGGAAATATATCTCATTGCGTACTATGGCATTCGTCCAATAGCTGTCTGTGCCGCTCTAAAGGTGCTGGGACTCAAGTCGTATCACTGGAACGAAGTGTTCAAGAATCAGAAGAATGGCCACGTCCAGCTCTGGTTGGATGCGATGAATGCCAAATATCATGGGAAGGGAAAGCCGTTCGTGGGCGAGGATTTCGACACCATGCTCTGGGATTATGATGTAAATGGCTCCAATACCCCTATACTATACCAAGCCGGTTGCACAGCTAATGAACATATTGTCCAGGCCGTATCTGACGGACCATGCTGCATCTTCGCCGATGAGCTCCTCGCCGCATATCCTGACGCCAAAGTCATCCTCACCATACGCACCCGAGAGTCCTGGCTCAGATCGATGCAAAACTCCATCCTCGAGGTCCTTTCCTGGAGATCCTGGACCATCCTCTCCTACCTAGACCCTGAATTCTCAGCAGGTTTCTGGGCCCTCTGGAATTGCAATACCGCTATCCTGTCTAGAGGAATAACCCCAGCATGTAGGCCCGAGGCATATCCTGCGCTTCTAGAGACGTTTGATAAACACTATGACCATCTCCGCAAGGTCGTTCCTAAGCATAAGCTGCTAGAGTTCCACCCAAGTCAGGGTTGGGAGCCGCTGTGCCAGTTTCTCAACATTCCTTTACCAGAAGAAGACTTCCCAAACCTCAACCAGCCTATTTCTCTAGTGGAGATTCACAGAGAGTTATATTGGTCTCGGTGGTACCACGTAGCACAGGGGATGGTCAAGAAAGTAGGCATGGTGGGTTTAGTTGTGCTTGCTGCGATATGGATGATGATGATATGAACAAATGGCTGGATATAGAGATGTCATCATAAATCGGTTATCCGGTGTGCCAACTCTCATCACCTGAACGTTATTATTAACAGGTAGCCAACTGGTTAAGCTCCTGACGCCGAAGGTGAGAGCTTCAAGTAATTATACTCCGTACCTCCAGAGGCAATAAACATTAATTGAATCTAATATTGCCTTCCGTACGAGGGTGCCTGAGGTGCCTGGAGGATGGAGTAGAAAGGGGTTAAGGTAAGTTAAGCTCATGGAGACCGAGCAAGGGGTAGATCTGTAATGTTTCCTTTTATGAAGCTGGATGTTTCCCTGTAGACAGAATTGGACACGACATGGGTCGTAGGTACTCCGTAGACTGTTTCAGATAGCATATTCGATCACTCCCTGATTTCTCAGGTTTCTCGTTCCCGTCCCGTCGGACAAGGAGATTATTATTTCATGCACCGGATACGAAGTCCAGGATGCATCCTTGTCCACTGGTTTTTTTGACGCGTTGAAACGCCGTATCAGGAGTACGCCGTCGCGACTTCAGCTATATTCTGCAGACAAACAGACATTAGCACGGTGTATGAAGTACTCCGTAGGTGAAGAGCGATTAAAAAGGCATCGCTTCTCACCACGAGACACCTTGTTTTCTTATTCCCCTTCCTGTTCATTCTCTAGATCTTCTTGGTGGCGGGATCGCGTACAGCTGTCACGGCGCGCATCGCGAAACCACTTTAACCAAGGTTGGCCAGCGTGTGTCTTCTGCAACTTCAACGCCACAAAAACCAAGCATCCCGGCCTGGCGCCTGCAAACAACGTCATGAAGAGCACGAATCGACACGGATCGACTGGCTGAGAGGTTCCGGGACACTGCCTCCTCGCTCTAGTCCCGCGCGACTTTACCCGGTATAGAAGAGGCTTGCTCTCCCCTCGTTCGCCGTCAGCGCTGCACCTCCGCCTCCATCACGATTCCTGTCCATACGCTTGAGGCGCGACGAGAGCGGTTCTGTTCGTCCAGTGGGGTGTCTTGTCTCTCTTTTAATACGCTGCACGCTGGCATTACCGGGGTCCCGCGTCCTGGAACTTGTCGGTCGCGGTCGGTCGTCTGTTTGGTGGTCTATATTGCTGGCGGCTGCGGGCTTCTTCCACCTTCACTTCTTTCATTAGAAGGCTGTCTTTCTTCATTGTCTGGGGATAAACTTCCTGAGAGGCTCTCAATACTCGCCGTATATCCAGAGGTCGATTCTCGCGACCCCTCAGTATATATACGCGGAGCAGAGTCGCGGTCAAAGTCGAGGGAAGCATACGCCAGTGCTCCCTTCACCAATATATCAGTGCTGCATTCTAGCCTGAGAAAACGAACAGAGATGGCGGCAGTTACCTATCCAATGTCTCCTAGTGCGAGGCAGCCCTTCGCGGTCCTGGGTGAAGCCAGACTCCGTACAGTCAACAGCATCAAGAACCAACAGAATGGTAAGACAACTCCCTGCAATATGGCCCTTAAGATAGGCGGAACTTAGAACATGGAATATATAGGCGTGACGGCAAACTCGTTGAAACGTCGACTCGACGTGTCAGAGACGTCTGACTCCGAGAATATCGACCCTCTCCTCGGAGCCTCTCCATCTAAACGTACCAAGGGCAGCCAGATGCACAACGGTTCAATTGACAATACCCACATCTTCGCTAAACCTGCCTTGATAATTAAGAGCCCGGCAAAGGCTCGAAGCGGCAACTCGGAGTTCGCGACTCCAGCCCGCCCTATTCGAGGCCATACGTCCCTTTCAGCCCCTCTCCGGGCCCCGGCTGGTCGTTCGCCAAAAGCAAAGACGAAGAGTGTAAAGGCCTTTGGCCGTCGCAGCCTTGGCTACTGTCGCGTTGATCCCCCAACTATCTCCAAGCGCAACATGCCTCGAGCACCTTTCTCCATCGCCGACGCTCTCAATGGCACTTTCACAGTCTCTCGCCCAGTTGTGCAGCAGACTCCCGCGGCCGTCAAAACAAGACGTCCAAAGGCATGGGAGTTTGAGATCCATACAGACACGGCACAGGATGAGATGGCAAACTTGATGGAACACTCAACCTGTGTTCTCGATATCAGTGATGATGAAGAGAAACAGGCACGGGATACCAGGGGCAAAGAAAACATCCCTCCCCCACAGCTCTTTGATGGAAACAATGAGTCCACGACAACTCAGCAGCCAGCTACTGCGACTAGGAATGTTGAGATGGGAGATGAACCTCGTTCGCCCCTCGGAGAACTTGACGTGAAGTCCTTTGTTCCTGAAGGTGAAGATATCTCTAGCGTCATTGAGATTCCCGAAGACGATGAGGAGACTCCAGCTGAAGAGGCCTCGGCTCCCGTTGAACAATGTCTGGATATCGCTCCCAAAGAACAGCCCAAGACATCTGCTCAGCCAGAACTTCTCACTCACTCTGCAATTGCCGCGCTGCTTGACCGCACCGCTCCAGAGGTCTCTGTTGAGGACCCGACCAAGAAAGACGTAGCCAACGAGTTAGCTCCTGGTGATGCCGAGATAGAAATCTGGGAGAGTGCCAGCGCAGCTGAGGAGGCCTTGACAGCTGTTGCAGAAGCTGATAAGCCTGCCGACTCCACGGCCCCCTTGTCCTAAGAATACTGGTTTGCTCCCTGCTTTTGGTATGATTGATCCATGACGGCCGTTTTCTTTCTCTTTCCCCTTTTTCTCGGGTAGTTTGTGATTTTGCGAGGAGTTTAATGTTTTCAATGGAATGGGTATTGTGTTCGTTTTCAAGGCGCTGTCGGTATCCTGTGTTAGGTGTTCATGGCTGCCTCTTACTTATCCCCTTCACCCATCATCATCATCCTAAAGTCGAATTCTGTTTGCGTGACTATACTGGCCTCGTCCCGGGCCTTTGCTACCCCTAATGAATGAGACGTATACCCCTTCATCTCGAGTTTGCCCTTGTTTTGTCCGTTCTTGACGCTTTAGTTTTACCTATGAGTTACTGCAATGAACCCAACGTCTGATGTTTAGGTCCATCATGTTTGTTTCGCAGCGTCGAGCGAGGTGTCTGTAGCACGCGGTGGCCATGATTTACGAAGGAAGGACGTGAAGTGTGTGCGAAAAGTCGTCCGATGAATTTGCTTTCAAGTTTTGCCTTGCTGTGCGTTTTTTGACTTTTGATATTTCCGTGGTTCGCAGCTCCCTTTGATGCGTTTGCTATTGCCTGCGTAATATATGATCTTTCTGTGTAATTATTGTGATTTTATCTGTTTACATTTGCGGAATTCAGGGAGTTAATGCTCTTCTCTTCAGTCAGTATGCAAGTAACTCATATTCTCGTGGCATCGTTTACTCTACAGTACTAATCTCTCTTCTCGGCTTCACCTGCTTGCTCGTCAAAATCTTCCATTTCCTCATCTTCATCTCCTTCATCTTCCTGCTCCTGATCATGCTCTTCTCCCTCCTCTGCCTCATCCTCCTCCTGTTGCTGGTCATCCCACCTGACTCTCTTCTGGTCTCCGCCAGTAGATCCCCTGGGCCTATCCCTCAGCTTATCCATTTTCCACGGAACGTTTCGAACAACGGTACGAATCTCCGAGACTAGATGTATAGGGACGGCTCCCAGTGTATCATTCGCCGATATTTTATTGATATCCTCGTCACCCTCAACGTGACTCGGCAAGGTGAGGAGAGGCTGCAGTTCTTCTTCGGTAGGCCAGTCCGTACGATTCTCCACCATCAATGACAATTTCTTACGCATTATGGCACGCGCGATTGACAGCGTCACATTACCATACCAGCCGCACGAATAAACATCGCATGTGAGACGCGGTGGGTGAGCTTCTGGTGACGAAGGATCAAGGAGCCGCTGAAGAATAGGATCCGTGATATCCGTTATCATCCATGTCTTACCGTCTCGGGCAAGGGGCGGCTGGCCAGTGAATAAATGAGAATTGATAAGGGAGGGATCAGTATTGTTCTCATACGATAGGCGGGGGATCGTGAGTCGCCTTCCCGAGAGGGGTGTGGTGGTCGGTGTAAAGGGAGCGTTGGGGGCACCTTCAGCCTGATCTCGTCCTTCTGCCTCTGCCGACACGGGGAACATGCGGAACATGAGGGTTTGATAGATGCGGGAATCCGGTGTTGCGCGAGGGTCGTAGCCAAACCTGAAGATCCCGTCGCGCCAGGGGCCGGACCGGAAGAGATACCCGACATATGGAATGGCGAGACGAAGAGCATACTTCTTTTCAGGAGTAGGTAGTTTGTTACGGAGGCCACGACGTGTCCAGGCTGGTCTTTCAGCGAATAAGAGGCGGAGTGCTGCAACGGTGTCGATAACGGTTGGATCCTGGTCTGCAAGCGGTGGGCAGTTGTCTAGTGGTTGCGTCGGCACTGAGGAAGTGTCATAGGATATAAGATGGGTGAGTACTTTCATTGCTCGTTGTGTGTTTGTCGTCGTTACTTGGCCAGAGGAGTCGATTGAACGCCTCACCGTTGGGTTTTGGCGGTATCTATATGCCATTTAGCATTCTGTATCGAAGAAGATCTAGCCTTGCCTGGTCCAGCTGGGTGACTTACAGATATTGGAAGGCAACGTCATTGTTACTTAGAGCAGGGGGTGGAACGATATCAACATTCGATACGGCCCCTTTGGTCATATCAAGTTCAAATTCTTTTAATTTGTCGTCTAGAGCATATAGTTAGCAAGCAATATCCGCATAGTCTGGGCGAGCTCTACTCACACTCAAATGGTAGTACCGTTTCTCGAAACTTTTGTACAAAGGGGCTTCCTGTGGTCGAGTATGCAAAGTCCGGCAGCTCTAGATCATCGTCAGTCGGACATATATATATCTCCGTTCACGGAACAACATACCTCTAAAGACGTGCGTTCGATTCACCTGCCCTACAACATCCACCTGATACTGGCCAGCATTCTCCTGGAGGCGGCGAAGAAGTCCCCGAGCATCTAGCTTGTCAGGAGACATAACAGCGTCCTCGTCATGGCTGTCGACAAACGGATCCTGAGAACCTCGTTTCCGTCTTCGACCTGTTCTCCTGGGCACGCTGACTTTGAGCAGGATGTTATTTGACTGCTTGCTTGTCGACCGTAACGGCCTGCTCATGACATCTTCCGGATTCAAAAGGAGGGTCAGCGGTGAGTCTCGGTGTAAAGAATTTAACATCTAGCACCGGTTAGCAGCTGTGATAAGGTAGAGTAAGGGTATCTGGCTGACTTCTGATATGCCTGAATGTCCCTGGAGGGTATCGATGGCCTTTTCGACATTCTTGACAATACACGGATGCTCTACGCTGACGATATCTTGGGATGGAACGGGATACCATGGTGCAGACCGTTCTCTCCCGCCACCTGGGTTGTTCCCGCGAGACATTGAGATATCTTAACCAGACGTACTTCGTATCAATTCCGTTGTCTGTCTGCATAAAAGTGGTATTGTGAGCATTCCCTGATAGACTGCTCGAGTTGATACTTCTGATATTGCTCCTGTTAAGGCGTTATCCATGTATATACCCCGGTTTGATGCAGTCTGCGCTTATCCCGAGAGCTGACAACTGTCAACTGCTACACTGCTTAACAAATATCGTCTTCATATAGTAAATACAGCGAATATCTACTTGTTCTACCGTCCTAGGGCGTTTCCTGTGGCGTTCACGTGACATCGCAACCTCCAGCTTCGTTTCGAGATGTGAAGACGCCGCGCTCAACTTGTGCTTCGAAACGACCGTCCTGCCTCCCGACTTATGGCTGCTGCAAGACTCAATCTACGCTGACCTCGCGCCCGCCGTGCCTCCATCGCCTGCTGAGCCATCCTGCTCCCCATCGACCTGAGCTCCCCCCGGTCCTTCACCTCTGCGCCGGCGCTCGCCCAATCACGACTTGGCTGGCCCCAGAAGCCGCCCCCCGCCTCTTGCATCGACTCTCACGCTGCCAAAACCCGTCGAGAAGGTCTCCCTGCGACGACAGGACGTGCGAGGACAAGGCTATTCGTACCGCTGCTGTAGGCCTTGGAAGGCTCGAGGTAGGTCGTGCAACATTGCCCCCTTGGTCGTCTTGCTCTCCTTTCTATCTCCCTGGCGGACGGACGGGCTGGCGTTGTTTTGGCCCTGCGCACCCATCGAACCAACCATGTCTGCACCTCGATCTAGTTATCTGTCGCCCGATGCTCCGAGTCCCCCTCCGCACGCTCTCCTTTGCTAGACCTCCTGTATCCCTGATATCGTCCCTGGAGCCAGACAGATCGCTAATCCGACGTATCAGAACGATAGTTTTCAGCAGACTACCCGTCGTTCTCTACCCTCGCCCTCGGCTTCTATCTTTTCCCCATACCTTTCCAAAATAGGGGTAAGGTCGTGGTGGTTGGGCACGGGGTAACTGATACTCTGTTGATGCGGCGGAAGACTCGTGTGAGCAACAATGAAGGGCTTCAGGCAGAGAGTTGTAAGTTGCATGTCAATGGCGTTGCACACTCCACGCACTCTGGAGGCACTCTGGAGGGATTGCAATCCCCCGGACACTACGCAATGCAAGGGATGTAAACTGATGATGTTAGCACGAGCAGCTATCCCGCGCGAAGGACTCGAATAAGTCGTCGAAAAAGAAGGATTCCTCTTCTTCCACTGGTACGTTGTCCCCTGGGGCCTCCGCGAATCTTGGTCAACCAGGGCAAACGTTATCACCGGCAGGCTCGAACCATGGTACACCTACGTCGTCAACAACCGCCGTCAACGAAACAAAGTCGAAGCCCGCCAACGCTCCTGACAATGGAGCCGCCACCGGACTCACCCTGCATCACAACGCTCCCGTTCTGCCCAGCGGCGCACCCAATCAACAGCACTACATTCCACAGCCGCCGCATATAGGAGGACAGATGACGAGCAATGGTCCGGGTACACCAACTCGACAGGGCCTTCCGATGGCTCCGAGCGTGGTTATCAGCCCCAGCGCACCAGTATGTTGGCATCCGTGTTCTGAGATTGATTGTCCCACCCCATTGACCACTATATATATATACAATCGAGTTTGAACCTCTGTCTGCGTGTTTCTATAGCTAATGTCTGGTTTTGTATTAGCACATTCCTCCCCCCGGAGCTGCTGAAACAATGCCTGGTGACCTACAACCACCAAAGACGGGTCAAAAACCACATCTTATCGACAGGCTACAGACCCCCAAGGACATAACTGGCGGGTTCAGGCCCCCACGAAGACAGCATTCGTCACGCTTTGATATCTCAGACCAACGCCAGAGGGAGCTCGAGAAGCTCCCTGGGTTCCACGAAGTGCCTCCCAACCGAAGACAAGACCTTTTCATGCAGAAAATTGATCAATGTAATATCATATTTGACTTCAACGATGCGGCCGGCGATATGAAATCCAAAGAAATCAAACGGCTGGCCCTCCATGAACTTCTCGACTACGTTGCCAACAATCGATCCGTCATCACAGAGCCCATGTACCCTAAGGTGGTGGATATGTTCAGCAAAAATTTGTTCCGGCCTATCCCTCCGCCCGTTAACCCGCAAGGAGATGCGTTTGACCCGGAAGAAGACGAGCCAGTTCTAGAAGTAGCGTGGCCCCATATTCAGGTTGTCTACGAATTCTTCCTTAGGTTCATCGAGAGTCAAGATTTCAGCACCAACATCGCGAAAGCGTATATCGACCATCAATTTGTCCTTCAGGTAAGCCTCACCGCGTTCTAATTTTCCTCCGCCGAAATACTAACAACCGTCCCAGTTGCTCGAACTATTCGACTCAGAAGATCCTCGAGAACGCGACTTTTTGAAAACAACGCTGCATCGTATATATGGAAAATTCTTAAATCTGCGCTCATATATCAGACGGTCGATTAACAACGTCTTCTTCCAATTTATCTACGAAACTGAACGATTTAACGGTATTGCCGAGCTCCTGGAGATTTTAGGCTCGATCATCAACGGCTTCGCGCTGCCCCTGAAGGAAGAGCATAAACTATTCCTGACACGGGTTTTATTACCCATGCATAAAGTTAAGAGTCTGAGCATGTATCATCCGCAGCTGGCGTACTGTATCGTGCAGTTTCTAGAGAAGGATGCCGCCCTGACAGAAGAAGTATGTTACCCCTTTCCCTTCATGGATTTGTGGATAATTATTGACGAACTTGGTTGTTAGGTTGTTCTTGGTCTACTCCGCTACTGGCCGAAAGTGAATAGTACTAAAGAAGTCATGTACCTAAACGAAGTCGAAGATATTTTCGAGGTTATGGAACCTGCAGAGTTTGTAAAGGTGCAAGAGCCTCTGTTCCACCAGCTTGCGAAATCTGTGGCCAGCCCTCATTTCCAGGTAAGTATCATCTGCCCTGCCGTACAGATTTGATGCTTTGTACATGCTAACAGTATTTTGCAGGTTGCGGAACGTGCACTTTACTTTTGGAACAACGAATACTTTTGTAACCTGGTTGGTGATAATGTGGAGACCATTCTCCCGATCATGTTTGCACCTCTTTATGAGAATTCCCAAGGCCATTGGAACAGGTATGCTTTCATCCCGGTTCCCCTTTATTGTCTTTGTCCATAAGTACTTACACTATTATCTACAGGACTATCCATAGCATGGTGTATACCGCGATGAAAATGTTCATGGAGATCAACCCGCAGCTATTTGACGACTGCTCTCACGACTATCGGGAGTACCAAAACTCCACCGAGGCACGGGAAAAGAGCAGACAGGAGAAATGGGACCGTCTGGCCGAGATGGCAAAGACAAAGCGGGAGAGCGCTGAACTACCGGCACCCGAAGGCTCCAAGTCGTCTGATGCTGCTGGGTCAGGCGACGGCCTGGACCCAATAACCCAAGACAGTCAACAGCGACTAAACGCGCTCAAACTGCAAGACGACACCCCGGCCAGCAAGGAACGGCGGCTCAGAGAGGGTCAAAACTCGGTTAGTGCCTCACACGTTGATTAAGCATGGAACGGAACCACGTACCTTGCTTCGCGCTCCCGCCTTGTTTTTTGCATTTGGTTGTATTGTAAAAATTTCCCCCTATGCCCCTTTGTTTTTATTCTTTTTTAGAGACTTTTTTTTTTACTCTTTTTCTGAGCCGGCGTGATCCTAACGTTAGACATACGTTTTGAATTCAGAGGCGTCGCCGTGGATCTATCGATGATTCTCGTGGTAGTGGTGGTAGTGGAGGTACCGGAGCTGGGCGTCGGATTGTGGTGGGAGAGTCACGGAGGCGAGGAGAACGGCGAAGCTCGCTCGGCAGCAGCAGCACTGGGCCCTCACACCCTTCCTCTGTTACTCGTAGCAACTCAACCAGCAAGAGTATGCGGTCCGTTTGAAGCAGGGAGGTCTTTTCTTTCTCCTCGCTGCCAACGATGGCGACTGGGACAGCCCTCGACACAGGTTCGGTACTAAATTATCAAGCGAATTAGACTAATGATGATGCCCCCCTTTCTCCTTGTCGTTTTGTTCAAACTGATGTGCTACCTGATAATGCGTACTTGACTTTCTTGTGAATATGGATTTTTCGTGACTGCCCTCGCCGCCCTTTTACCCCTTACCTCCTTACCTACCTACGCTTGGAGATTGTTATCGGAAACCTGGATTTGCTTCGTTGGGCTGTTCTAGAGATGCGCCTGGGATAGGGGAAAAAAAAACAGGTGTGGAAGGCGTTCTTTGCATGCATGTGGTCCACAGTGGACATCCTACCTTTACGATAACCAGCAATGAAATCTATACCTGTCTTGCATCTCCTTTCTTTCTCCTTTTCTCTTTATTATATCTCTTCTCTCTCCTTGTTCCCTCCTTTAAAGAAGTATATGCAAGTCTCCTACAAAACTACCTTAAACGGCATGTTTGCACTCTAGACAAACCTATTATATCATCATGTTGTCATGAATCCCCTAAACCCGATACGGCCAGCCAAGCCCACGCTAGTCCTCTTTCGGCCCTGACGCAGGACAGAAGTTGCGGGCACGATGCCCCAGGTCCAGATGCTCCAGAGAAATTCACTATCAACACTCGCAGGTCACAGCATCACGGCCACTTCCTCACCCTTACCCTGAGCCACCACGACGCCCATTTACACCTCATACAGCGCCTATTCACTCCTCCGACCTCTACTTCCGTCCAATCTCTCGTCGACGCCGTTCTACCGCCGTTTTCCCGCCACGAAACCGGCTTCTACAGGCTCCAGGATTGCTTGTATAACCCCCTCAAGTCAAGGGTAGGAGGGTCCAGGAACTGCCACCCTGGTGGTGCTGGAGAGCTCTCGGCCGGCCTGAGGGCCTGGCATTAGACTGATTCAAAGGCTGATTGCGGCGGGAATGCCAATTCTGGCTGCGCGCAATCATGGAACGCGAATCGATTGAACGAAATTTCGACGCCTATGTGGCCAAGTTGGGCGACCCAAGTGTTGGTTAGTGGTAATTCCCATGGCGGTTCACCTGCTTTGTTTGATAGTAACTGATCGTTGACTGAAAACGCGTGCTGGATCATTATAGAGCCCAAATTAAAATGCGCCGCTGCGGTCGAGATCCGCGACTCCTTGGAGCAATTATGTTCTGGCGCTACATACCCGATTTTCCTTGCGAAGCTATGGCCGGCGTTCAAGAAAGTACTGAAGGGGGAACCGGTGTTTATCAGCTTGTCATTTGACCAGGTGAGAGAAGACAGTTGCTGATAGAGAGGGTTTCGATGTGGTTTGGGGCTAACAACGTGGTTATGGAACCAGAAACTGCGAAATTGTATCCTGGAGATCCTCCATCGGCTTCCCCTTGAGCTTCCAGAGGTTGAACCATATGCCGGTGACATGGTCGACCTGCTGATAGAGCTTGTCCGAAACGAGAACGAAGAAAATGCAGTCATCTGCATGAAGACGATCATGGACCTACAACGCCGGCAGGTCAGGGCGACGCAATCGCGCGTCCAATCATTCCTGGAGCTCATCCAGAACATGTTCGAGGGCATGCCTCAAGTTGTGAGGGATACATTCGAGACCCCGCAGGTTCAGGGGTCCACGCCTGGAATGCCTTCAACACCAAGCACTGCATCTCAGAACTTCCAGTCCCCGCGACCCAGCTCCCCGGCGACTTCAGTATCCGATCTTGGGCCGGAACAGCAGCAACCAAACCAGCTGCTGGCGAGGGGTATGCACTCGTTCAAGGTCCTTGCGGAGTGTCCAATTATTGTCGTGTCGATTTTCCAAATACATCGCGGCCCTGTGACCACCAACGTAAAGGTGTTCGTCCCTCTGATCAAAGGAATATTACTTCTTCAAGCAAAACCACAAGAGAAAGCACATGCAGAAGCTAAGGCGCGGGGGGATATCTTCACCGGAGTTAGCAAAGAAATCAAGAACAGGGCCGCCTTTGGAGAATTCATCACCCTTCAAGTTAAGACCATGAGCTTCCTTGCTTATCTCCTTAGGGTATATGCAAGTCACCTTCAAGACTTCCTTCCCTCGCTGCCCGGTGTTGTCGTTCGGCTTCTGCAAGATTGTCCAAGGGAGAAATCGAGTGCCAGAAAAGAACTCTTGGTCGCTATTCGTCACATAATAAACTTCAATTACCGCAAAATCTTTCTCGATAAACTGGACGACCTTTTGGACGAGCGGACTTTGATTGGAGACGGCCTTACTGTTTACGAGGCTCTTCGGCCTCTGGCATATAGCATGCTAGCCGACCTGATACACCATGTGCGCGAATCCCTTACTCGAGACCAAATTCGACGTACCCTCGAAGTGTACACCAGAAATCTCCACGACGATCTTCCTGGTACAAGTTTCCAGGCAATGAGCGCTAAACTTCTATTGAACATGGCTGAGAAGATAGCAAGCATGGAAGATAAGAAAGAGGCGCGCTACTTCTTGATTATGATACTTGATGCCATCGGAGATAAATTTGCTACCATGAACTACCAATTCAAGAACGCCGTCAAGACTTCAAAGCTCGTCAAACAGAACGCCGATACCTTGGTCGAAGGATACCTTGCTGACAAGAATCATCCTCCGGATTGGGACGAAACTGATATATTCAACGCAGCGCCGATCAAAGCTACCAACCCTAGGGATAGGAACGCAGATCCAGTCAACGACAACAAGTTCTTGTTCAAGACACTGATAACGGGGCTGAAAGGCCTGTTTTATCAACTCAAGAGTTGTAATCCCGAGGATCTGAAATTGGACCCATCATACACGCCCGTGAACTGGTCAGAGGTCTCATTCGGGTATAACGCTGAAGAAGTCCGCATCATCAAGAAACTCTTCCACGAAGGCGCCGGGCTGTTCAGATACTATGGTGCCGATAACAAGGAGCCTGAAACGCAATACACGACCCCGCTTGAATTCCTCTCTAGCCAGTATATGCGACATATGGGAGGCGAGGAGAAGGAACTTCTTGAAAGTTTTGGGACTATCTTCCACTGCGTTGATACTGCCGCGTTCCATGAAGTTTTCAAGAGCGAGATCCCATATTTACATGATCTTATGCTAGAGCATAGTGCCTTGCTTCACCTTCCCCAATTCTTCCTCGCAAGTGAAGCTACGTCGCCAGCTGTTGCTGGGATGACCCTTCAGTATCTTATGGAGCACATTCACGAAGTTGGTTCCTCAGACGTGAGGAACTCCCGAATTCTCTTGAGGATGTTCAAACTTTCGTTCATGGCCGTGACACTTTTCTCAGCACAGAACGAGCAAGTGCTGCATCCACATGTGACAAAAATTGTGACCAAGTGTATTGAGTTTTCGGTAACTGCGGAAGAACCGATGAATTATTTCTTGCTGCTCAGATCGCTATTCCGAAGCATTGGCGGTGGACGCTTTGAGATACTTTACAAAGAACTTCTCCCGTTGCTGGAAATGCTGCTGGAAACATTCAACAGCCTCCTACTCGGCGCCAGAAAGACACAGGAGCGGGATTTGTACGTCGAACTGACGCTGACTGTGCCTGCGCGACTTAGCCATTTACTTCCACACCTGAGCCATCTCATGAGACCACTAGTTGTTGCCCTCCGCGCAGGATCGGATTTAGTTAGCCAAGGCCTTAGGACTTTGGAGCTTTGCGTCGACAATCTCACTGCCGATTACCTGGATCCTATTATGGCTCCGATAATGGATGAGCTGATGACAGCGCTTTGGGACCATCTCAGGCCTAACCCTTACAGCCACTTCCATGCTCACACAACAATGAGAATTCTGGGGAAACTCGGCGGACGAAACCGAAAATTTCTCAATCACCCCCCTGAGCTATCGTTCCAACAGTACTCTGACGACGTTCCTAGTATGGATGTGAAGCTCATCGGATCTACCAAGGATAGAGCGTTCCCCCTTGATATCGGAATTGACCTAGCTCTTGGGAAACTGTTAGAAACAGTTCCACCCAATGCATCCGCAACTGTCAAGAAGTCCGACGCTTTTTATAAGAAACAGGCCCATCGCATGCTGAGCTCTCAACTAAAGCTCTATATTGGTTTTGAACATCCGCCTGATGATCTGGCAACACTTTTGCGCCTTCAAGCCAATGATCTTGCTGATGGAAAGTTCACTGGAACACTAGATATCTTGGAAAAATCCGATCGCCAATGTTCTGCTTCGAAGAAGCTCGCGCAGGAGACTACTCTAAAGAAGCTTTTGAAAGCCTGCATAGTCGCGACAACAATTCCACACCTAAAACAAAGTGCCACGGCTTTCATGACGGACGTCTGCCGCCATTTCACCATTATTGAGATTGGACGATCTCTTGCACAATCGCGACATATACGGCGCCAGTTTAACGTGTCGCTTGGAGAGGGTCCTCTGTATCTGGATACGAGAACTCTTGCCGATGCTGTTGTCGAGTGCCTGGTATCCGAAGATCCTGCGGTACGCGATGCTGCGAAGGAGGTTATTTTCAACGTCCGAAGCGCTGCTGTTGTTATATTCGGCTCAGCTGAAAAGGCAGGAAAACTCCCGTTCTTCCCACACCTTGGCAGAACGTTTTGCCACGCTTGTCACGATGAGGAATGGTTTACGAAAGCTGCTGGAAGCCTGGGCATCCATCTTTTTGTTACTGAGCTGGACTTGGGAAGTGCCTGGCTAGTTGACCGCCAGGTTGAATTCATTCGTGCGCTTATGTACGTGATCAAAGACACACCTTCGGATTTCCCTGGTGCGACCCGAATTCAAGCCCATAAGACAATAACCCTGATACTTCAAAAATGCAACGAAGGGGTTTCCAAAGATGAGCTGAAGAACGAAAAGAGCAGAGTCTTTGCTTTGTGTGGTGTCTTGAGTTATGAATTAGCTCACATGAACAAATATGTTCGCCATGTTGCTCAGAGTGGAATATCAACTCTTGCAACTACCTTGGGTGCGGAGGTGCACGAACTAATTACCCCCGTCAAGGACCGACTTTTGATGCCAATATTCAACAAACCACTGCGTGCTCTACCGTTTCCCACACAAATTGGTTGCATTGAGGCGATAACATACTGCCTGGGTCTTCGACAAAACATCGTCACCTTTAACGATCAGCTCAATCGCCTACTGATGGAATCGTTAGCTCTTGCTGATGTAGATGACGAATCGTTAGCCGCCAAACCAAACGAGTTCAAGACAGCTGAACAGATAGTTAACCTTCGGGTTTCTTGTCTTCGCCTTCTTTCAATGGCAATGGGCTTCCCCGACTTTGCAAGTGGTCCGCAGAGCCATAGTCGTGCTCGAATTATCGCTTGTTTCTTTAAGTCGTTGTACTCGAGGTCGCCTGAGATTATTGACGCAGCAAACTCTGGGCTGCGCGACGTTCTCACCCAGACCAACAAGTTGCCTAAAGATCTTCTTCAGAACGGACTTCGTCCTATTCTGATGAACCTTCAAGACCCGAAGCGTCTGAGTGTTGCTGGGTTAGATGGTCTGGCACGACTCCTCACTCTCCTGACAAATTATTTCAAAGTTGAGATTGGCTCTCGACTCTTAGACCACATGAGAGTCATTGCGGACGAGAATGTATTGCAGAAAGCATCTTTTGGACTTGTCGAACAGAACCCTCCCATGAAAATTGTTGCAGCCATCTTCAATATTTTCCATCTTCTCCCAGCTGCAGCGACGTCTTTCATGGAGAATCTTGTCAATAAGGTCTTGTACCTGGAAGACCGACTAAGACGAACGTCTAGCAGCCCATTTAGGAAACCGCTCCTTAAATACCTGAACCGATATCCGAAGGAGAGCTGGAATTTCATGCAAACCAAATTCCATGAAGAGAAATATGGAAGATTCTTTGGTCAGCTCTTAGCAGACCCCGAAAGCTCCGCCTTACGTTCTGCCGTCTCTGCTGATACAGAAACCTTCATAAACCTGGCATTCTTGCAAGAGGAGTCTCCTAGCAAAAATACGGCAGCCATCAATGGAATTTACTTCGCTCACTCGGTTTGTTCACATGAGGCTACGAAAGGATGGTTGAAAGCACAGCCAGAACTCAAACGGCGCCTTCTGAACAGTGGCCGGGATTTGAATTCTAAACTTCGAGACGATAAACTACCACCTGACGAGCGGTTGAGGGTTGAACAAGCTCAAGATCAATTGTTGGAAGTTTTCACAATCCACTTTGCTTATTGTCTTGATGATCTTGATTTCCTCTTTGATGTCATTGACAAGATCTCTGCCAATGAATTGAAAACGACGCTCACAATACCGAAATTCTTTTATGAATATATTATCACAAACCCATCTATTAGTTACCGGAGGTCGGTCATCACTCGCTGCTTGGATCTTTATAGCCAGCGCAACTCGGCCCAGAAGTTAAAAACTTATGCATTCCATTACCTGGTTAATCCTATTCTCGCCATGGATGTGAAGAACACCTGGGACAGTCCTACTCCAGGCACGGGGGTGCTTGATCGGAGTTTGACTGACCATATTCATAATCGACTCTGGAAACCACAATTGGGTGACCTCAGTGAAGAATCTAGTCAAGATGGTGTGGATCATTCTCGTATGGAACTTCTTCAACTCTCAGCTCTACTTATCAAGTATCACCATGGCATCGTCCAAGATACCAGGAAGGATATTATCAAATTTGCGTGGAGCTACATTCGGCTTGAAGATACCATTAACAAGTACGGAGCCTATGTGTTGATCAGCTACTTTATAGCTCACTATGAAACCCCCTCGAAGATCGTTGTGCAAATCTATGTTGCCTTGCTAAGAGCCCATCAGAACGAGGGAAAATCCTTGGTCACTCAAGCATTGGAGATCCTGGCGCCTTCACTTCCAAAGAGGATAATTTCCGGACCTGATCCTCGTTTCCCGCTGTGGGCGAGATTGCCACGGCGTATTCTAACTGAAGAAACAGCTAACCTGCAGCAGGTCATGAGCATATTGCAATTCCTCGTTCGACAGCCCGACCTGTTCTACGAAGCCCGTGAAAACTTTATTCCCCTAATAATCCCTTCACTGGTTAAGATTGCGGGCCCCAGTAATCTATCCTTCGATAGTAAAAAGCTGGTTTTGCATTTAGTCACCCTGATCTGGACCTGGGAAGAGAGAAGGGTCGCTGGGCGGCGAGACACACCTTCACCAATATCTACGAAACGAAAGCTGGCCGAGATGCAAGCATCACCATCAATGGGTGCAACTCCACTTCCACCGAAAGAGCGCCCGGAATATACAATTCCACTAGACCTGAGGACTCCTCTTGTGAAGTACCTTGTTACATTCATCTGCAGTCTAGTTGACCGCTTCTCCGTCCCTGCTGCCCGATTCCGAGAACTTCTTCCACCCAAACCTCACCAAGCCCTGGGTAATTATGGAGAAATTTGCAAGAAATCAGTAGTCCTACTTCGTCGTTTCCTCTCACCGGAGTACTGGTCTGATGTGGACATCGATCTTTACCAGAAGGCGTTGGAGCCTGTTTTGTGTGGTGAAAAGGCCGACAAACCCGATGAGAAGCATATCACGGCCATGATTAACGCACTACAAGTTCTACGGTTGCTCTTAGCTGGAAAACCAAATAGCTGGATTCTTGACCGCATGCCTGCTATTCAAAACCTTGTTGAGAAGTCGTTACGATCCGAAAATCCAGAGATCCAAGATTGTTTACATGGTGGCGAGGAAAACATGGACATCTCTCCAAAACTACCACCTCCAATTAAGAGAGTTCTGGATGCACTCCCACAAGAAGAACCTTCCGAAGAAGAAGGGGGTATGGATGTTGATAAGCCGTCTTCTGAATTTGTGACCTTCCTTTCAACTGTGGCAACCGAATCGATCTCAGGCGGCAATTACATGGCTGGAATCAATATTCTTTGGACACTCTCAAAGTGTCAGCCAGCAGAGATGGACCAGCACATTCCTCATGTTATGAAGATCTTCTCACAAAAGCTTGCCAAGGACCATGTTGCAGCCTATACCAATACCCAGTCTGCGGCAAGTCGAGCCATGGAGCAACAAACCTCAGCGCCGGATCCTCATGAATTGGAGGTCGGAATTGACTTGATCTCAAAAACCATTGACCTGATCGCTGTTCGAATGTCGAATTTGGGCGACCAGAGACGGCCTTTCCTTAGTGTATTGGCGCAACTCGTTGAACGGTCTCAGAATGTGCCACTCTGCACCAAGATTCTAGGAATGGTGGAGAACTGGATTTTCCAGCCCACTGAATCCTGGCCGACCCTGAAAGAGAAGACTGCCGTCCTGCATAAGATGTTGCTCTTTGAATCTAGGGCCGATTCGACGATGCTTGGAAAATTCTTAGAGCTTGTTATCCGGGTTTATGAAGATCCCAAGATTACAAGGACTGAACTCACTGTCAGATTGGAACACGCCTTCCTTATTGGCACCAGAGCCCAAGATGTTGATATGCGCACTCGATTCATGTCCATATTTGACAAGAGTTTAACACGCTCCGCCAATACTCGTCTTAGCTATGTTCTCACCTCGCAGAACTGGGACACACTTGCAGAATCATTCTGGCTCACACAAGCTTCCCAACTAGTCATGGGTTCCGTTGACATGACAGCGTCAGTTAAATTACATCCAGACGACTTTACCCTTCCTCCTGCTTCATTCTTATTTGGACACTCCGAAAAAGATCCAGCGAAAGAAAGCATTGTTGTGGACAGCCACCTTGAGGCCCTTGTTGCAGACCAGAAAAGGTTTTCTGCAGAACTCGGGGATGTTAAAGCCCGTGATGTTCTTGAGCCGCTTACTGAGCTTCAACATGCTGACCCTGAAGTTGCATACAAGGTCTGGGTGAGCTTGTTCACGATTTGCTGGTCCTCCTTGACACGAGATGAACGAATCGATTTGGAAAAGGGTATGGTATCGCTTCTTACGCGCGAATACCATCATAGACAAATCGATGAGCGCCCCAATGTTGTCCAGGCCCTTCTTGAAGGAGTGATTAGGGCCACCCCGCGTTTCAAAGTTCCTCCTCATGTAATGAAATTCCTGAGCCGCACTTTTGATGCTTGGTACATGGCTGCTATTGCGCTTGAGCGGTATGCGATTGACCCAGTTATTGACACACCGGTAGTCCGAGAAAGCAACCTGGATGCTCTTGTTGAGATATATGCTGGGCTGCAGGAAGATGATATGTTTTATGGTACCTGGCGACGGCGCTGCAAATTTGTGGAGACAAATGCAGCCCTTTCCTACGAACAACAAGGAATGTGGGATAAGTCTCAGCAGTTGTACGAATCAGCTCAGATCAAAGCACGGACTGGTGCCATTCCATTTGCACAAGCTGAATACTTCCTCTGGGAAGATCACTGGATGATTTGTGCTCAAAAGCTCCAGCAATGGGAAATATTGACTGACTTCGCAAAACACGAAAATTTCAACGACCTGCTTCTGGAAGCTACTTGGCGAAATTTAGAGAACTGGCAAGGCGATACCAACCGTGAACAGATCGACTCTCTTCTAAAGTCAGTCTCAGACGCGCCAACACCTCGCCGAACGTTCTTCCAGGCTTTCATGTCCCTCTTGAAATTTCACACAAAGCAGGAAACGTTGCAGGATTTCAATAACGTGTGTGATGAGTCTATCCAGCTCTCAATCAGAAAATGGCACCAGCTTCCGAAGCGAATCACCAATGCCCATATTCCCATCTTGCAAAACTTCCAGCAGCTTGTGGAGTTACACGATGCAAGTGTCATCTGTACAAGTCTTTCGCAAACTAATGAGCGCAACATGGATACCAAATCAGCCGAATTGAAACTCCTTCTTACCACCTGGCGGGACAGGCTACCTAATGTCTGGGATGACATTAATGCCTGGCAGGATCTCGTTACCTGGCGACAACATATTTTCCAGTTGATCAACTCCACGTATCTCAATCTCCTCCCCCCTCAAACTAACAACGTCGCGAGTAACTCTTATGCTTTCCGAGGATACCACGAAACGGCATGGATCATCAATAGATTTGCCCACGTCGCACGGAAACATCAAATGCCAGACGTCTGCATTAACCAGCTTAGCCGGATCTACACCTTGCCCAATATTGAGATCCAAGAAGCCTTTTTGAAGTTAAGGGAACAAGCCAAGTGCCACTATCAAAACCCGAAAGAACTAAATAGCGGCCTGGAAGTCATCAACAACACCAATCTTAACTACTTCAATTCCCAGCAAAAGGCAGAATTTTACACTCTGAAGGGCATGTTTTTGGCGAAGTTGGACCATGCGAACGAAGCAAATGAAGCGTTCGGTGTTGCCTTGTTCTATGACCTACGTCTAGCTAAGGCATGGGCTGAATGGGGACAATATAGCGACCAACGATTCAAAGCTGATCCCTCTGATATGGATCAGGCTTGCAATGCAATTAGTTGCTACTTGGAGGCAGCTGGTCTGTACAAGAGCCACAAGTCAAGAAAACTGCTTAGCCGTATCTTGTGGTTGTTAAGTCAGGACAACGACGAAGGGAAGATAGCAACTGCTTTTGAGGCCTTCAAAGGAGATACCCCTGTTTGGTACTGGATTACCTTCATACCTCAGCTACTCACAAGCCTTGCGCACCGGGAAGCCAAGCTATGCAAGGCGGTTCTCGGAAAGATTGCCAAACTATATCCTCAATCGCTATTCTTTTTGCTCAGAACTAGCCGTGAGGACTATCTGGGGCTCAAAAAGTCGCAAGAACAGAAACAGGAGAAGCTCAACCGAGCCAAGGCGTCGGGCTCTCCCTCTGTCAAGAGTGGCTCTCCGGAAACCAAACCTTCTCTACTTCCAGACGGCACAGCAGCATCAAGCTCCCCCAGAGCCGTACCCTCGCCCAAACCTGCACCCCCAGCGGCCGCTGGCGCAGGCGTGCAAACTCCTACTGATGCTGATGCCGCGCAAAAGGACAAACAACCCTGGGAGTATGCTGATGAGACAATGGCAGGACTGAAGACAGCGTTCCCCCTACTTGCTTTGACCATGGAAACCATGGTAGACCAGATACACAAAAACTTCAAATGCCCGCCAGACGAAGATGCTTATCGACTTATCGTTGCATTACTCAATGACGGCCTCGCGTATGTCGGCCGTATGCCCACATCGTACGCACAGGATTGCAAACTCCCTCATTCCACCGAAGCGAATATTACACGATTCGCGGAAACTATCCTCCCTGCACACATACGAAAGTCATTTGAGGCTGATTTTGTTATCAAGAAGCCTACAATGTATGAGTACATACATAAGCTACGACGATGGAGGGATAAATTTGAAGAAAAACTGGACCGTCGACCTCAGTTCGCTCACCTTGAGTCCTTTTCTTCTCATCTCAGCGAATTCAAGTTCATGAAATTCGACGAGGTTGAGGTTCCTGGACAATACCTTGAGCACAATGACAAGAACCAAAATTTTGTTCGTATTGATCGATTCTTGCCTCACGTTGATCTTGTACGTGGTATCGGCGTATGTCACCGTCGTTTGAGGATCCGTGGTCACGATGGTAGTTTGCACACATTTGCTGTTCAACACCCGGCCGCCCGCCATTGTCGACGCGAGGAGAGAATGCTGCAACTTTTCAGAATTTTCAACTGTGTTTTGAGGAAACGCAAGGAGAGTCGCCGGCGTAATATCTACTTCCATCTCCCGCTTATGGTTCCTTTTGCACCACATATCCGCCTTGTCAAGGATGACCCGTCTTACATTTCTTTGCAAGGCATATACGAAGATCACTGCCGCCAAACCGGAATGGCCAAAGACGAGCCTGTGCTATTTACGATGGAGAAAATGCGGGCGTTAGCGGAGGCAAAAGCAAATGTAAGTATCTCTATAGGCGACCCAAGTTTAGCTTTATCTTCGGCTGACCGTCCGCAGCGCGTTCCTGAGCAAGCCGCCGTCCTTCGCACGGAGATATTTGATGCTATTCAGAAGAAATGGGTCCCCAACACAATTCTCCTGCAATTCGTCCAGCAAACGTACCCCAACTTCGCAGATTTCTGGCTCTTCAGACGACAATTCTCATACCAATACGCCGCAATTGCATTTATGACCTACGTAATGCATATGGGTAACCGATACCCGAGCAAGATACACATATCCCGACGTACTGGCGATATCTGGAGCTCTGAGTTAATTCCAGCAATGAACTCTGCCAGAGCAATCTTCTACAACCCAGAGCAGGTTCCATTCCGGCTAACGCCTAATATCCAAACTCTGATGGGACCATTGACAACGGAAGGCATATTCGCATGTGCTATTATGGCCATCGCTCGTTGCCTCACTGAGCCAAGACTTGAACTAGAACAACAGCTCAGTATCTTTGTACGAGATGAACTTGTAATGTGGGCTAGCGCTCAGCAGCGTGTCCTGCAACAGCTCAAGGATATGGTGCAGAGTAATATCGACTACATCGTTAACCGAGCGGTCAGCTTGACCAGCTCTCCCGATGGCAACCTTCCTGCGAACCAGTCTGTTATTGACCTCATTTCTCGATCCGTTAACCCTCATAATCTTGCTCAGTGCGATGCCCTATGGATGCCATATATGTGATCGTGCTTCTACTCATGACATCTAGTTCCACCTTTGCCCGCTTCATTTCTCCCTCTTGTATTACTGTTTCTATGAGACTTCTATTCCTTACATCTTTTTCAAAAACTTCTTGCATCTCATGGGCTATTAGGGGTTGTGCCATCGGAACTGCAAAGAAAGCAAGCACACTTTAGCGTGGCGTTTTATGGAGGAAAAGGAGGCTCTCTTATTTTCTTTCCTTTTTGCTTGTTTATATTTCTTATATCTTTTACTGTAACTGACATTAGGTAGATCCTACTTAAAAAAAATAATGTAACTAAGTTAATCGAGTTAATGAATTAGTCAAATCAAATCCCGGGACGCCTTGCTTTGAAGATAAAGAAATCAAATGCCTATTCTACACCATTCATTACCAACGCCAAATGTGATTTATGCAAAGACTAAACAAGAGGGGTCTTTTTCTTTATACCCAAGCCTGCTGAGAATGGTTTTTTGGCCTTTTTTACTCGTTGAAATGAGGGAGGCGGCATCTCGCTTGGAGTTGTAGTATCCTGGTCACCGTTGTCAACAAGCCGTTTGACACGATCACCACTATCTGTCATGAACGCTCTCCTGGCAGCTTCTTCGATTTCTTTATCTTCCTTAGCCTTCGCTTCTTCGGCCTCTGCTTTGGCTCTCAGCAAAGCGAGCTCTTCACCCCCGCCGCGTTCGCCCCTCTCGATCCTCGCGTTCCTTGACCGAATTTCATCCAACGCATCAGCTACCGCCATCTCTCGTTTGGAGTCTTGCATCTTCTCCTCCAGTTCCAGCATCTTGTCCCTTTCCACTCGCTCAACTTCCTCGTTTTCCTCTCGTTCGAGACGGTCAAGGGTTTCATCTTGTGTCTCGTTGACTTCTTCGCTCTTCGCTTGACGCCACGGTTCGAAATTTCTCTTAGCTCCCCGTTCACATACATAGTCCATATTCTTCGGGTCGGTTTTAAAAGTGATTTCGCTCGAGCATCGGGTACATCTGATATAGAATCGATATATTGTGATGTTGAGATACTTCTCATCAGTGGTCTCCTTTCGAGCGTTAAATTTGCGGCCCTTGTAGATGTATTCACCACAATTAGTGCACTTTAAACTGAACGGCGCCATTAGGCGGACGGTTAGGAGTTTAGATCCTGTGGCCCGGAGATGTTTGGGAGTTCGCGTGATGAGCGACGGATCAAAGTCCGGTGGGTAGTATTTCGTAAGGACCTTTCGTTCAGACATATTGACGGGAGTAGATGTGTTCTGTTGAAGAGTATGAGATCTCTGCCACCCTTCTCGAGCTTGTTCTGCTGCTATATCTGAATATCTAGACTTGCGACGTGCGCATCGAGGCGAAAAGCCGGAAGGTCGATGACAGTTATTAGGTAAGCACAAAAATCACGTTACTTGTTTGGCCGGGAGCTTCTGATTGGCCAGTGCACTTCATTTCTACATAAATGCTGCTCGATTATATATGCAAAAAGGCCGTATTAGGAGAAGTAGAGACAGAGGTAAGACGTTGGTCTCATTGTTTAGCCATATACCTCGTATAATCAGCTTAATATCTAGATTCCTCCCCTACTCTAGTACGAGAATATGGCCCCTTTCTTAAGGACCCAACTCTCACGTGACACTCAGCCAGATGGTTGACTACAGCAGCCAGTTAACGAGCACCACCACAACTTGGTTACCGTGGTTTTCTTTCCTGTCCTTCATGGACCACTCTTCTCGGTCGACCTCTTTATTAATCCGGTCTTATTCAATATCTTGCTCTCTTAGGAATTGATTTATATAGAATCTGCTCGGCGATCTGAATCCAACTCTCAGATTCGTTTTTGCAGATATCGCATTTGCAGTAGTGCTCTTGTTTTGCATGCGTGTGGTCGATATGTGGATTGACCAAAAAATCAGCCCATTTTTGGTGTAATATTTTTTCGAGCAGATATTCCATCATAAAGAAGGACATGTAAACGAACCCAGAAGTTGTAGTCGAAGTAAAGATCTAGGTGTTTACGTAATCCACTGTTGTTTTTTATCAGTTGCGAATGTCAACAAGAAACAGAAAGTTATCAAGTCACGGCGGGTGATATACGTGTTTAAGTGTTTATGCTGCTCAAGCCTGATGTCTGCCCTTAACTGGGAGGTTGGCGCCCTATATTGAGTCGTTACATCCCCGATACCCTCTCATACACCGGATAATTGGACTTGGAGTGCTATGGTAGACAGCTCCCGCCTACAAGCCGCCATCAACCATGGAGGAGTTTCTCCGCAGCTGGAGACAGGATGCCCTGAATAAAGGGCAGTACGACTCGGCGATATATATTGGGGATAAAGTGCTTGCTCTGACAAGTGAGCGCATCGATTCCAGAGCCGTTATGATCCGTCGGGCTAACATGACGCTCTAAACACAGACAGCGATAACGACGCATACTGGCTTGCTCAAGTGCACTTTTCGAACAACAACTACACTCGAGCGTTAGCGCTGCTATCTACGAAGGATCTCATTGCTCGAAACTCGTCCTGTCGGTACCTTGCTGCTCATTGCTACATTAAGCAAAATAAATTCGATCTTGCGCTCTCCATTCTAGGCGAACATAACCCTACCCACCTGATCCATAGCGCGAGCAACAGTCGCCGTAAAAAGCCACACCTGAACGGGAATTCCCATGTTACCCTTCGAAACGGTCGTTCCATCCCATCCCGAGCAGACAAAGCGGATCGTGGCGAGACGGATGCGTATCAAGATGTGAATCACATAAAGTACGAGGCGGCGATGTGCTATCTACGGGGCTGCTGTTATGCAAACCAAAATGCCTTCGACCGTGCGAGGGATTGTTACAAGGACGCCGTCCGGATCGACGTACAGTGTTTCGAAGCGTTTGATCGGCTTATGAAAAATTCCCTGATGTCCCCTGCTGAAGAACTCGAGTTTCTTGAATCACTCGACTTTGACTCCATAACGCCGTCTTCAGATATTTCATTATCACAAGAAGCGTCTGAATTCACGAAACTTTTATATACGACTCGGTTATCCAAATACTCATCCACTTCCGCATTGTCTCATGCCACAGAGACTCTATCCACCCATTATAATCTTGCGGATAACTCCGATCTCCTCCTCTCTCGCGCAGAAACACTTTATACACAATGTCGGTTTCCGGAAGCGCTATCATTAACTTCATCGATCCTCTCTGCCTCGGATTCGATGTCCGCTTTAGTTTCCCAAGGGAGTCAAAGCCAAAATCTTGGCCACTCTCCATCTGTCTACCCTCTCCACCTTGCCTGTCTTTACGAAACAGGAGCTACAAACGCGCTTTTCCTACTCGCGCATACCCTATCAGATAATGTTCCTGAGGAATCTTACACATACCTTGCCATTGGCGTCTATTATCTCTCAGTTTCAAAAATTGCGGAAGCAAGGCGATTTTTCTCCAAGTCCTCCCTGCTTGACCCTCATTCAGCCCCAGCTTGGATTGGCTTTGCCCATACATTTGCTGCGGAAGGTGAACATGATCAGGCTATTGCAGCCTATAGCACCGCAGCCAGGTTATTCCAAGGAAGCCATCTACCACAGCTTTTCTTGGGAATGCAGCATCTTGCTTTGAACAACATGGCCCTGGCCCATGAGTATCTTTCTGCAGCTTACTCTATGTCCTCGGGATCTCTTTCCGCTGGCAGTACCCACTCCTCAAGTGTTAACTCCAATGGAACACTATCTAAATCTACTCCCGTGGGAGGCGACCCGTTGGTCCTCAATGAACTTGGGGTAGTCCTGTACCATGAGGCCAATTTAGAAGACGCTATCGATCTATTCCGCCAAGCACTAGCGCTGGCTGTTTCCCTCGAATGTGATCCCAGCGCGTGGCTGGCTACTCGCGCAAATTTGGGTCATGCACTACGTCGTCTAGGCAAACTCGAGGAGGCGCTGTCTGAGTTTGATGAATGTCTTAGAATCGGCGCTGGCGGCTCAACAACTATTTACACAGGCTACACTGGCAGGGCTGGGGCAGGGGCAGTAAGATCTGCCGGTGCTTCTGCAGTAGGTGGTTATGAGGACAGGGGTCTGGTTGGATCGTTCCACACAGCTCGTGGTATAATTTTACTGGAGCTGGATAGAACTACTGAAGCTGTTACAGCCTTGCATGAAGCGGTGCGGGTATTAGGCACCACCGGCGGTGACGCAGCAGCAGGTGCCGGCGTTGCAGGCACTCTACTTTCCAAGGCCCTCGAGATTTGGGCTGTGGAGGAAGAGAGCAGAGAGAAGCCATTCCATGACGCAGCCAGGTCACGGAAAGGGAAAGCCCCTGTCGATAGTACAAGCAGTGAAAGATCGAGGCACAGGCCCTCGGAACAAGCATCATCCTCTAGGTCAAAGGGGTCAAAAAAATCAGTACCAGTGGAGGAATGGACAGATGATGTCGCTGATCGCCCATCTTCCAGCGGCATGGACAGCCAGAGCATAGGCATGGAGCTTGACGGTGAGGCTGATGGCTTGCTTCAACATGCCCTTGCCAAAGTTAGGCCCCGGCAGCCTGTTGCCAACGGTCTAGGGCTTGGGATTGCTCATGATGCATTGTCTCGCTCCGATATACCAGAACCTAGCCGTTCCCGGTCAACAAGGACGACTCGACGTCGGAGCCCTACCCGACGCGGCCCTGGTGGATGATGTGCCTAGCGAAATCCATGGATAGAAATATCGCCTGTCACATAATCCATACGACTCTCGTCGACTTATGGATGATATTTCCCAATGCACACGGATAGCTTCGTGGCACAGAAAACCCACCATTACAATAGCACTATTAAATACGCATCCAAACTAAACGCCAGCGTGGATGTAGGATTGTTTGCAATAGAGGAGCGAGTTGTCCATGAGATTATGAATGATGCATAGCGGCATATCTTATCTGGTTCTATTTTATAACTATGTTTTTTTGGGGAGGGGAACTGTCAATCAGCATCCCATTCAAGATATGTCACTTAAGAAGGCTCCTTTAGCATCCCCCGACTAGGGCATGCGCCTAGTCAAAGGTTATATGCCCTAGGATAGACTTTAGCATACGTTAAGTTAAGTGGAAGACGTATTTTTAATTTTTAAATAGATAAAAGATATTGACCAGTTCAACACATCCATACAGGCCAAGTGCCTAGCGCCTCCAGGCTTCAAGCCTCGCTGGTATACGAAATTCATGACGAGACACGTTATTGTACGACAGTGCCTTGAGTTTTCATCACAGAGAACAAACAGTGAAACCTGAACGCCTAATAGCCCCAAGTGAAAATAATCGAATCACCACATAGCGGAAGGGAGGCTTAACGATATAACCACAATCCATCAGTAAGAAACGGCGTAAATCTTAACAATGCACGAGGTGCAACAGCCTGGTTGAATATTCAACGGGGATAGCCATGCTAGTAGAATCCCCAAAAGTTCACTACCACAGGGGCGGATCTATGTACTCAGCTGCACGGTCTAGCAGTGTCGGAAAACTCCACTCTCCGCTGGCAGAGCTTTCTGGGGTTGGAGGCGGGATCGACCCAGCTCTTGCAGAGGTAACAGAGCTGGCCACAGCCGGGGGAACGGTTTGAGGGTAAATTGATGCGGGAGTATAAGCGCTGCCGGTGGTTGGGACAGCTCCATTTTGCCTGAGATGAACGGCCAACGCCGCGTTAAGCTTTTGAAGGGCTCGAAGGGATTTTATTAGTGGTTTTGCCCACTGAGTCTCTGTGTCGGTGGGTATGCTTGTTAGAACTGCAGTCGCTGTGGGGTCATAAGGAGTTTCCAGCGATGCTTCTGCGAGATTTGCACTGGCTCTCTTTGTCGAGCTTGTGGCGAAAGGAGATGAGCTACCAGCTCCAGTTTTTCGGCTAATATAGGAGGAGTCGTCTTCAGTTGCACGCTCCGTGAGAACGACCTCCAATCGTCGAAGCAAGGTCCAGATATTTGGATCTGTCTTAGATTCACCGACAACAGCAAGTAAGAATGCACTGCTAATGGCCCGCTGAAGACCAATCCAGGATCGCGCAGCTTGCGGGTTCACAGAGTATAACTCCACGTACCCTTCTACCGTCAGCGAAAGGGCGGTGATGCAATCTTTCCGTAACGCAATTGTGGTTGCATCGTTGAGATCTGCATTTTGCCTTAGAGAGGGTCGACATATCTCTGAGGTGATATAGGAAGAATGTAGCTTTAAACCGAGTCTTTCGACATTCTGGCTCAGCGAGGTACAGCGCATAGGGTCACGAAGATACGGTGCTGTATCAGCCAATATGCGTTTCAACTCTGCCCTGTATGTCTGGATCGTGGAATACGCAACCTGGGAACCCGTCGACAGCATACGGCTTCTAACAATATTTAAGGTCAGGGATATAAGCTGGCAAATAGTCTCAAAATATGATCTCCTCCCAGGCTGTGACTCTGGATGGTAAGGGACATCCGGGTGACTAAACGCCATCGCCGACGGCCTATCGTATGAGAGTGAGAAGTGACTATCCTGCCATGCAGTTGCCCACCTACCCGAACCCAGTTAGCCAACTATACTATGAATATGCTAGAGCGAGGTTAGGATGCTATATATTGATTCGCAATCTTACCATACAACCCGCCGGGCATATTGTTGTGTGGGCGAAAACTTGTGAGATTCTACGTGAAGCCCAAGCGACATGCCCATTCGAAGACTCATCCCTTGGTAGAAGTTAGTAAGCCCATAGCGAGGAAGAGAGGGAAATCCAGTACCCAGTAGTACATATGACACTCCAGGATTCATGTTATATGATAGAACGTTGCCGATGATAAGAAGTGTCTGTATTGCCTCCAACGTTGGCTGGGATAGGAAGTTTGTCGCACGTAAGAATTGATAAGAACAGCAGACTAGACGTGAATTAGTATCTTTGTCGATTGCGTCCAACCCATAAAATGCCACGCTTACCATAGACCTGAGATGTCAATTCGCGCTCCTTTCCACTCATATCGGATGATTGACAACCGGCTGCGAGCACAGCGAATAATAGCCCTATGAATGCCGTAGGCATGCCAAAGGGTTTGCTGACTTCATCATTATCATTTTCACTAATTCCAAACGCAGCCCGGTTCCGAAGGGTTAGCTCAAATTTCTCCTCGAACCGCTCGATATCTGAAAGGACAGGGTAGATGATGGCGGCGATATTGCGGTAATATTTAAATAACCTAATAGCTCCCATTAGAAAATCATCTATCAGACAAAGCAGGATATGTAGGACCGGAAACTGCGTACATGCGGCATTGTTTGTCATCCGGAATCGCCGCGCAAACAGATTTGATGTCGTAGGAGGAGGAGTCAGAGGACCACAGGTCGATGAACGGATAAGTGGCAGTCTCGTTGTCCAGGCCCAGCTTCGGGAGCAACCCTCCTTCAAGCAACGCTTGAGTAGCTTCCTTGGATGACCCTCCAAGCAGATAAGCAAGAACAGATCTCGATCCCAGATGTACCGTTCCATTTCCATATTCGTTTTTGGCATGAATCCCTTCCCGATCGGACAGCGGTTCATCCCGTGGAAGTCTGGCTTGGTCAATTGGAGGCTCCGGCGAGACCAACGCTGTTTGGGGTTGATACATGGCATTCGCATCTACTCTCTCCATTTCTGCCCTCAGAGAAGACATAGCACATTCCATATCCTTTAATTTGGAGCAAACGCTCTCCCATTCAACCTTCGATATCGATACTCTCTCGGCATCCGCGGCCATACCGTGCATTTCAATATCGCCAACCGAGACATTTCCGGCACCTTCAAGGCTTCTCGCCCCGTCTTCTGTATCAGGAGGTGGAGGAGTGTTCACATGGCGCTTTTTAGATGGGCGTTCATAGGAACATAAATCAGCGTGGTCCCGTTTCACGCAGCCGTCGCAAGGCAAATTGCGATCGCATTTGACCTTTCGAGTGTGACAGGGATAGCAGGCTTTAGGCTCGCGCACCTTTCGTTTTGTACGGATGATGGCGTCTATTTCTGATTGGGGGAGGTTGGAGAGAGGCGTTGTCGAAGCCATTGCGGTATCTTCCGGAGGTTTGGACTGAGGGGCGAATCAAGGTAGTAGCACGTCGGGCATGGTGTTCAGGGATTGGAATACATGGATGTAGGGCCGCCTGTGCTACCGATTGGACACAAACACCATGGCTGCTGGTGGCCAGCAATACGTACCTACGACCTGTAGGATGGAGGAAATCTGCAGCTGTTTCTTCCAGCCATCGCGATAAAGTCGAAGTGATAGCATGATAGATTAGTCAGCAGCCTCACTTCGGACTAACGACGGGCCGGACGACACGTGACATCATCCTTTTTTGACCAACACCAACAACAACGACAACGACAACGACGACAACGAGGGAGAGAAACAAGGAAAATCAAGGAAGAAACAAGAGAAACGAAAGAGACGAAGAATAAACGAGAGAGGAGAGTCATCTCGCTTGGAGGATGCGGAAGAGGCAGAATGGAAGACCGCAGCTCTAAGCAACAGTAATTAGCGACCTGAGCCAGTTGCTCAAGGCTCCCTGGCTCAGCCATGCTACCAATGACCACCAGGCGACACCGTGAGACGCGTTCCAGAAGTTCGACTGAAGAAACGGCCCTTCGATCGTTGTGAAACCAATCCCGGCGTGCAACCGTGCAGCGAGGCCAGTTGCCCGGCCTCCAATTGTGGCTGGTAGGCAGTAGTGTGAGCCTGGCTCGACAGGCATTCGAGTGTTCTTGCAGCCAACTAGTGAAATCCTACAGAGTACTTCGTACATACACACACTCGCAAGAGTTGCCCGTCCTGTGCTCTCTCCTGCAGCGAGAAAAACAGGGGCATGCCGAGTCTGCCTCTTTTCTCGTTCGATAGACCGCCGGGGTTCCATGCCGTATAATTGCATGGGGCCATGGAGACCGTCCGAGACTTGAGGTCTCAAGGCTCTACGAACGGAGTACAGTTTACGTGAGGAACCCCAAACGGACCTCCGAAATGTCAATGAATCCTCGACACCAACCAGAACCAACTGAGGGCGGAGCACCGGTCCTTCCCGCCTGGATGCCTGATAGGACGCTGCCTTCTCTGTTATGACTCGGCTGCAGGGTAGACGTTAACTAGTCCCGCGGTTTTGGGGCGCTATGAGGGTCTTGGGAAGGCTTTGCATGGGAAGCAGCGCAAGCGAACTCAATTCCCTGCATCCTCCTGATCTCTCGCAACATCCGCACGACACTGGGTTAAACGATTTAATTCCTCTTGGTCAATTGCCAGTTCCATGGGTCCTTGGTTTCATTTTAGCCTTCCGCTACCGACCTATTAGCGCCCACAAGCCCCAGAAGCGCAAGCCCCAAATCACAGGGTCCAAGTGGCAGAAGGTTGGCTAGTTCTTATCAATTAAGTAAGGACCCTCGATCCTGCACGATTTCTCCCTGATCCTACGGAGTACAGGGCCGCGGATTTGCACCAGCATCGGGTATGTGCGACCTACGTGGGTTGGGGGATCATTCTCACCGGCCCCTGCTGCCTGGCGCCGTGCGGTCCTCTATCCCTGCTGGCTTTGAGTCAACACTCGTCTATGGCGTGGGGTTGGATAAACTGCAAATCCACTAGCGATTAGCGTATCCCGCCCCAAGGCAACCCCGAGGCTGAAAATAGCCTCGAGGAACATTTGCTTCGCGGGAAGACTAGCAACTAAGCCACGCCAGTTCCACAGCGGTCGGTTGAAACAATTTGAGGCTTCATGAAGTTACGGAGTATGGCACAGTAGAAATGAAACAAAGGCAAGAGAGGGCCAAAAATGATATATCGACTCTTATCTAAGCAAATATCTATAGAATATGCTACCCCAAACAAACGACATGCAAATGAACAACAACCCCATCGCTATGATACCAAATGTGAGTTGAAAAGTAGAAAGAAAATAAAAAAATCAAATGCAATCGGTACAGGCATGCGATGCCCTCCGCCGTAACAACCCGTCTAATCGTGACAATGATGATGAAAAGAAAAGAAAAGAAAGAAAATAATAACAGAAGATGAAAAACATTCCGAGCATTAGTTAGTCGCTTGAGCGCTGATGAAACCGTGAAGAAAAGAAAATAATAAAAGATAATAGAACAGTAAATGCAGCATCGAGTCGTCTATGCATCAAGAAAAAAGTACATCTAACATCATCGTTAGTAATCTGGCCCTCAAATTTATTCAAACACATGCATGTGCATACCAGGTCTCGTCTCATATCTCATAACGTGGCACTCTCATTTCACGTAAGTGCAGAGGCTGCACGCATCGTGCTGGCAAATGATGCATCGGCAGTGATGCTCGTAAACCTTTGGCCCGTCACCACAGACGCAGCACATGTATAGCGATGTGCCTTGCTGGCGCACCGGAGGGGTGTATCCAGGCATGAAGTCGGCAGGCAATGTGTGCTGCTGTACGGGGTCGTCGAGTGATATCCGGTCGAATGAAGTAGTTGGTGTTGTTACTACCTCGGCGGTCTGGTGGAGTTTGAGGGCCTCTTGGATACAGCAAGGTGATTTTGCACCTGGGTGTTGGCAGTTCAGGCAGGCAGAGCAGTTGTTGATAATCATTGGGCCAAAACCGCACCGACAACAGACCCAGTGAGTAGCCTGCGGCATGGCCCTGGTTACTGGTGAGGACAGGCAATCAAAGTCGTGAGTCAAGTAGTAGTTTATTGCCTGGTTGAGCGCAGTATAGAATGGTAGCGCGCTTTATATAGATATATATACAGAAGATATATAACGTGGAATGCAAGTAGTTAAAGATGCAATGATGTTTGGTTGTTGTAGGTCGTGTGATGTATTGAGTATGTTTCTGGGGATAGAAAGTAAGTGTGAAGATAGGAAACGTGCGTGATATAAATAATGAATCATTTATATGAGTATGAGACGTTGAAGGAAGGGGAGTGGTATAATTGGGGCATCATGAATGCCTGGATTTGCGGGTCTGTATCAGCGGCCTTGAGCGCAACCGCACTATGGTAAGCTTCCTGGCAGTGCATATAACTCGGGTCAGGTGTATTTTGCATCTAGTGAAGAGGTATATTCCGGCTTCCAGGCCGATAAATCACGAGGTAGGCACCAGGGATTGTCCCAGGCGGAATCGCAAAAGGGAGGCCTGGACATAGCTGTGGTTGCCCGGTGCAAGCTCCGCCCCAAATTTAGCGATTAGTGGGGGGAGAGCAGAAAATAGGCACCGATGGTGCCTGTGTCGATCCCGTGAGAGCACTAGGGATGACTCTGCCGGCAGCCATACTCGATCGAAGATAGTTTATGTCAGACGTGCAGGTTGACTCAGAGACCGTTTGACCGCTGCCCATTCAGCTGCTCAAGAATGTCTGCGATAAAGTTGTTTGGAAGCCTTCGCTGCCCTCGCGGTGGAGTCCTTTCCCTGCCCGCCACGCTAAGCCCAAGGCTCCAACGGCGCTAGGCTGGGGCTGCCCAATGGGGGCGCCGCTTGGCTGGAAGCTCACTCGTTGCCTGGTGGTGGAAGAACGATGGAGAAATCGATAGTCTCCGGTCGAGAGTGGAGGATGGATGGAAATAACAACAATATTCATAGTAGCAATTATAATAAAAAGCGGTAATAATATAATAAAAATAGCAATAATAACGAGCAAAAAAAATGCACGGGGACTATACGGGGGGTACCTGAGCGATCCGCGTTTAAGACGGTTATGTTGAACAAGCTGCGCTGCAGATAAGTTAGCTGAAAATTCAGAGAGAAACCGCACCTTGAGATGCAAATAATTTCGGGAGGACTGATCGTTGAGTAATCTAGCATCAAATCCTGAAGAATAAACCTGGGAGCCTGTGAGCCAGCCGTCCCCAAGACAAGGACGAAGGCAGCAGCCTGAGATCCTTGGGATTTCCTGCAGCCTGGATGCAAGGCAGTCATGTTTCAGTGGAGTTGGCTAATCATGCAGGTTCACGACTGACATCCTGTAATAAAAACGTGGAAAAGTGAGAAAGATCAATTTGAAGACAGCCAAGATGGTTGATTGCATGGGAAACGGGGTTTTGGGAGGATCGTTGATTCAGCCTCAAATCGTAACCATCGAAGAACCCCGGTAATTGGGATGTAAAAGTTCGTGTCGAGGTAAATATCCTTCCTCTTGGGCCGACCACAGCCAGTAAGACGCCTATCTGGTGACTGAATTTGTCATGGATGTGTGCAACGTTAGCAACAAGAACGGAAATATTGAACTAGATTGAGTGCTCCCGCAGTGATCGTCTGATCGGGCGTATTATTGGATGATGCCGTGCAAGAAGTTCAATGATGTCTAATGTTAATTATATGATCTGCTCGCACGAGAAACCAAGGCTCCTCGGCCCCAGCTCCGCCCCTCCGTCAAGATGAAACTTGATAAGCAGGGCGAGTCTGGTTTCAGCTGGACCATGACAGTGACAAAATATCACGTCGAGCCAGCGACCGGACCAGGCTGATTATTGCATCCTCACGACAGCACCTCCACGGAGTTGCAACAGCTGTCATCAACTGGCGGCCGCACGTAGAAATGCCTGGGTCCAAGGTTGTTAACTCCCTCTCTCTCTCTCTCTCTGTTTGACGGGGACAGGGAGTCAGCTTACTTTGGCCATCAGTCAGCCTTATTGCACCCGTCCCTTCGTATCGAGCCAAACCTACACTTGTCTCTCTCCGTCTTCCACCGATCCGCCACCGAAACCCTGCAGCCGGGGAGCGGCACTGCTGTTGCTCGCAGATGATGGCGCTTGTTGGTGATCTCCGACAAGATCTGAATATCGCTTCAACCTAACTTTCCCTTTTAGTGCGGGGGGAGAGAAGAGATGTCACATGACTAGATGACTAAGCTGGGCCTGAAGCTGCGTGAGCTTCCTTGCTTTGTTGGACTTGGGCAGTGAAGCTGTTCAACGTCGCATCATCATCAACAGTTAACTATATTATAGCCCTCGGGACCGTGTTATACCACGTTATAGACTTAGCTCTGTGTACAGAGTGCCCGCAGCCTTGCTAGCCTGATGTTCGCTGCTCGACAACTGGGCTGATGGCATGCGATCAGAAAGCTGCCAGTCGAGCTGTTGCGCGAATCATCCCAGCATTTCTAGGCGGGCTTATTGTCTATTGCTGCTATTCTGTTACAAAGGCGTTATGCAGTGAGTCCATATTATCGTCCGACCGTACTTCCGACAGCCGCAACCCGATCGTCCTACTAACGTTCTCCAGTTGATTATCTGATTAACCCGAGTGCCGAGACCGGGTTGAAGCCGCGCACCAGCACCGCTATTGGGATATTGGTTACCTTCTATGTCTTACTCTTCTTCTTGGCTATCACATATCTACGACTACTCCTCACGATAATCTTTTCGCCCGGCTACCTCCCGAGAGGCCCGCAATACTCGAGCTCAGAAAACAAGAAGAAGCGTAAGGGGAAGGGCAAGCATGGTCGAGCCGAGAGTAGCCATGAGAAGCCAGAGGACATACCTTTTCCGCCCATCGGTGATCCCAATGCGAATGGCGAGAAGAATGCCCAGAACTACGATCCGACTGGCCTGGAGGCATTCTATATGAAGGACGTATTTGTATGTCAGCAGGACGGCAGGCCGCCATGGTGTTCTACTTGCTACCAATTCAAGACCGACCGCGCGCATCATTGCAGCGAAGTTGACCGATGCGTGAGAAAGATGGACCATTTCTGTCCCTGGTAGGTGGCCTCGCCGTGAAAAGGGGTAGCCCCTTTGGAAACTATGCTAACTCCTTTGGTAGGGTTGGCGGTGTTGTTAGCGAGACTTCGTTCAAGTTTTTTATTCAATTTTTATTTTATGCGTTGCTCTTTGCCATTTTTAATGGGGTTATAATGGCAATTTTTGTGGCCGAACTCCAAAGAGAGGTAACGAAATCACTCGACTCGACGTTACATTCTATCTCGAAGCTAACATGGTTTGTTTACAGTTTGGTTCTTTGAATATCCACTTCATCGTTATCCTGGCGTCGTAAGTATCCTTGACTGGAACGTCTAATCTTTGGAAACGTGTCTAATCTTCCAATAGATCCAGCTTCTTTGGGCTTTTTCTGGGGGGAATGCTTATTAGCTCCCTCCAGATGGCACTCTGCAATTCCTCGACAATCGAAAGTCTCGATTGGAACACAAAAGTCTGGACCCTCGCGATTTTGATCCCTAGGCCATTCGACCTTGACAATCTCCCAGCAGGCAGTCGCCCGCCATTTCCTATCGTCTCTTACCCTACAACGGCCGCCCGGTCTCCAGACGAACCCACTACGAACGGTTCAGCGGCTCCACGCCGTCAATTCGCCATCTTACACACACGACCAGGCGAGAACCCATTCGACCTTGGAGATCCGTTTGACAATTTAGAGGAAGTCATGGGCCATGGCATACTTGACTGGATTCTACCCATAAAGCATAGCCCATGCGCGTTTCACGACCGCCAGGACAGCATGTATGCTCTTGGTTCAGTTGTCCAGAGGATGAAAAGGGACGCAGGCTTATTGGAAGCCCCCACTCGTAAGTCCGGCCATCAATCTCACGGGTCCAAGAGGAGGCGTAAGGATGGAAGATCCAGCGGCTCCACCCCGTCTTCTCGCTCCACGCATAGCAGGCCACGACGCGAAAGAACCAACACTAACCGAAGACATACAAAGGGTCCTAAACATCGTCGCCATTCTCGCGATAGAGCTAAATTGTCTCGGAAGCAAGGTTTCACCGTCAAAGATACCGAAGGAATCTAACGCCTGCTTAGTTACCACGTATTAGACCAACCACACGCACACACTGTAGACCAATTTTGCATTGATACCCCGTTTGGATACCCCGTTTCCTTTATATATGTATAACTTTTTCCTTCTTATTGTTATGGAGTTTTGCCTCGGTTCGAGTTGCTTTGAGGATTCTCTTTCTCTTCTTTTTTAGGGCCAATAGAGACTAGAAGATCTTGTAATACGCTTGTTTTGGATAAGATGACCATTTTACAGCAGCGAGATGAGAACTGATATTGTAATTTGTCATTTGTTCTCTAAATGATATTGATAAAGATAGAATACACAATCTGTAAGGACTAAGACGGACAAGGTCTATAGAGTAAGGACTGCGGTATAGTAGAAACAGAAAACACTAACATCAAAACAGGAGAGAGTCAAATCTATAAGCTAAGGGATGTTGTAAGGGGTATCGGATATAAGGCTAACACTCATAAGGGAGCAATAGGAAAACAATCGAGCAAGGAAAAACAGGTAAAGTATTCGTCCGGTAAGGGATCCATATATCTAGGGCGTGTAATGTCGGCAATAGGGGCGCATGCTTGGTTATGGTGACATTTCGTAGGGCAGCGTATTGAGCGAGAACCTCAATAAAGTAAGTCTGAGTCGACTGGCCGGAGAACGAAGACTTGGTGTACCGGATAGCATATAGTATGCAGTTTAAAGTGTCGACCCTCTTTATCTCTTGACACGCCGATACAACCATGGCTGTTTGAGGGAATCCAGCGTAACGAAGCAGTTGTTTGCGTGTTGAACTATTGACGGCTTGACGCCATATGCAACGCTAGACGAAATGAATCGCATCTCGACAGCGGTCGCAGCGAAGATGCCCACAGACCAGGCAGCTAGACGGGCGGGTATCGTAGTCGTTGCTCTCCGAGCAGCGGCAGCAATTCCAGCGGTCAGAACCAAACATGTAGTTCTTGAGATCATGCGATTTGGCCCCTGTTTTGGCGGCTCCGGAAGCTCGCCCAGCGGCGTGGTAGTGTCCGGCTGGATTGGCAAAACACATTCTGAGTATGTGCAAAGAAGATTCTGTGAAGTTGAAGGGAGGAGAATGTTTTATAAAAACTTTGAGGGATTTCAGAGTAGGTGTTAGGAGCAGTGTGTGTATGAAGCGTGAGGTTGGAGTTGAGTCGAAAGGAGAAGTCAGTGAGAAGGGGATGGTGCAGGTTAAATAGTCAACAACAACACCTCATCTCTCTCGCTACATGCCGAGCAAAAAGGAGAAAACAAAGGCAGGAGAGCAGTAATGGCGACTATGATGATGCAGAAGCGTTGCTACCTTCCCCGGTGTATGAATTAATTAATGTCAAGAGTCATGCTTCAGTATGCACCGCCCTCGCATTAGCAAACATCATGTTAGAGCAGGAAATGATAGCAAAGGCACACATCTAGGGCCAAAGAATGACATAAAAGAATATGCAAATTTCCTATATAGAGAGTTCTTCTATGGCTGTTTCCAGCAAGGCATCCAGCCTGTAGAACATAGCATGATGTCTGAAAAGTCGGTCAGAACATACCAGAATTCGGCCATACACTAATTTGTTGACGTATATAGATACCAGAGACCGAGACCAATAAACATTGTCAACCGGCCCAGGGCATGGCCAGGTACTTCCACTGCTGTTTCTTCAGCAGCCAAGGCAGAGAGGACACAAGTAGCACTCCATAGAGGCGCATGAGAGGTGCATAGTGGCAGCCTTAGACAAGGCTTGCTGCCTTTCTTGCAGCAATCCTGCCCACAGCCTTGGGCGTTCCATCCCCGGGTTCAGCGAACGTTTGCCATATCTAGCAAAAAGATCCCAGAGTTTTGCTGTGAAGAATCCTGGTATATTATGGAGGGTATCCAGCAGGCAGAGTCCTTGACATAAAAGTGTCATGTCCTTCACAGTTCCTAGAATTGATATCACGAGCAACTCTAGGCAGACTATGAGCATGACGTCTTCAATAATAGTGCCAGTACCCTTTTGAAATGCATCCAGTGATTGTTTCCTGGCCATTAGCCTTGAACACTGCAATGACATTGACATAAACGCCTCCAGTCAGCCATCATTTATGAACATTCTGTGGCATCCAATTCAACGACCATCTCATCACCTTCGCCTCTCAGCCAAGAGATGCTGAATAAACCACTTTATACTCCCAGGTTTATACTTGTCTCTGATGAAATGTTGATTTCTTTGCTGTCAACTTGCTCAACACTAAACATACACGTGACTAAAAACGTCAACTTCTGCCTTCTTCCAACGACGCCGCATCTTCATTAGCGAAGAAGAGATACGGCCCCTCGCGAGGGATATGTCGATACTTACGGAGTACCTTGAGTGCAGCATCACAGCTGGTCCCTCGATGCCACAACGCCACAGTGCCGTCCAGCTCAACTGAGACGGAATATTGAACAGCTCCTGCAAGGCTGTAGCCGTATACGAACCATATCTCTCGTGGCTGTGCTATTCAACCGTTCAATACAGCGAGTCGTGACAGCATCAAGTCTTCTCTCGTGATATACGGAAGCAAAGATGATATCCGGAGGGTGGTGCTCGAGGGTTGAAGGATGCTGTCTGAAGAAGCAAGTCGATGCTATGTGCCTTGGTCAACTCGACTCGACCACCCACGGTTGGAGATAAGGCTTAGCCCGTCGCTTGGGATGCTGGCTGAGCTGTGGATAGTGGATAGCCTGTGCCACAGTTTGATCCTGTTGGTCTTGTTGATTCTGCAGACTCTATACGGAAGCGCTGCTCGGCCTGAGTGTGATGATGCCTTGCTGGATATCAACGACGATGGCGGTACTCTCATCCTTCGCTCCCTTTCAACTACGCTAGAGAACCAGAGAACCAGACAGAGTTGACTAGAATTTAGAATTTCAAGCTTGACAAGGAGAACTATTTTGACCTTTCCTACTTACTTTTTCCTGTAGCCTGAACTCCAATCTTCGACAACCTGAACGGACTGTGGCTTGTCCTTCGATGAGCCTTTCGTCCTGATCATGGGCTCTGCTGCCTGGTGTTAGTAATAGTAGAGAAAGTGACGGTGGTGGCCGGAGGTTTCTGACTCTTATCGCTAGTTATCTCAACCTGCGCCACAGCCTACCAATTGCCATCTTATATATTATATATCTATTTCTCTATTCCTATATCTATCCCAGCATCCAATATATTCATCATACAGACATCAAGACACCAAGACAGACTCAAGACCAAGAACAAGAACAAGTCCAAGATCAATACTAAACTGAAGAGAGTAAGTTGGCGATGCAATGCCTGCTCGGTGACGTCGAGATATCTGACCAACCCCAGCCCACCAAGCTGCAGGTTACTGCAGGTTACTGCAAGTTGCTGCAAGTTGCTGCGAGTTGCTACCGTCAGAGGATCTCTGGCTAATGGCTCGCTTCTTATAGAGATAGAATACGAATCAGCATCTTGCGATCAGCCACTATCGTCTCTTTTCACCCTAGCTATAGACGCACAAATCCACCTCAGAGCGACTCTCCCCTTGCTGCGGTGGCCGCAAGCCAACCAGACACGGACAAGCAGACAGAATACATCGACAGGTATAGAGTGCCTCAGGAGAGATCTTCTCGCCTATATAATTCGTCAGGCTCGCCCTATACCTGGATTGGCTCGTCTTTGGGCACTGAAGGAGTACCCTACACCCCTCCTCCATTCGCAAAGCTCCGCACATCGAGCCAACGTCGCGTATTCCCTCGAGTCGGCAGACAGAGTATAGCCCTCTTGCGGGCTCAGACCGGCGATATGGCGAGTCAGGAGACCCAGGGCAAGGCCAGGAGAGGCCCACGGCTCTCTGGGGCTCGCGAGCTCGAGCTACCGCCCACCTACAACCATGACGGGCGGACCTACACGGCGGGCTTCGAGATGCGTCCTCGCAGCCATACGGTAGCGGTAGAAGCGAGTCGACGGCCGCTGAACCTGCCTAGCTCCCCGGGCCGGCAACCGGTCGTGGCCACGATCAAGCCACGATCGCAGACACACTATCCGTCACCGTCCAGAGATGGCGGAGAGCGTTATATCTTCCCTTCCTCGTCCCACGCACGGCACCGTCAGAAGCCCGCGGGAGGAGTAGGAGGAGATACCGATACGCTGCTATCGCCTGGAGACCGTGAAACCAAGTATAGGAATGGTTACCTTACTCCCGCCAGTAGTAGCAATGCTGGATATCCGAGTCCCGGCAAGGACATCGACGTCCATGACTCGTTCAGCTATACCAATGCCCGGGAACAGTTCTACAGGGACTCCGATGCTATTCGAGAATCCCGTCGTCAGGCTCCGCCTGTGAGGAAGTCAAGACCCCTAAGCTTGACCGGCCTGGAGGCATATCTTCCGCAGATCACTCGTGAGCCCAAGGCCAGTGGCCCTCCGCCATCATCGCGAGGGTTTGCGGGTACTGAAAAGGAAGACGGCCCCCGCAGCTACAAAGAGATAAAGCCACGAGCCGCGGATACTAATAATGCTCCAATTTCAATCCCGCGAACGGCTAATAGCCCCAGACGGAGCAGCACCCACCGTACTCCTGTCTCGCTACACCAGGAGAAGAAACCCTCGTCTCCCGTCCCACGCCGTTCTGGGTACGACGATGTTAGGGATAAAGGATACCAGATACGGCGAGATGCGAATAACATCGTGGTCGTCGATGATAAACTTGAACTCCCCCGTCGTGACCCTCGTCGCAGCATTTCCGGTCAGCCTCCAACCCGTGAACGCGGATATTCTAATCCCCGGGCCCCAGAGGGAATGATGAGCGGCGGTCTTGCAACTGCTGGTCTCGCAAGTGGCTATTCTAAGGAGCCCATAGAGATAACGCCACGGTCAGACGCTCGGAACGGACGAGACAGGCTAGACATACCCAGTCGGGCAGAGGAGAGGTATAGGCCAGCACCAAAACATTGGTCACAAGGAGCAGATGATGGCTATCACTCGGATGGAGACAGGGAGAAATACAGATACAAGCCTTCACCTCCCCGAGAACCAGAACGACGCCCGCGGGACCTCTCGCCAGTTGATTCGGACAGCAAACGGTCAGGACTCTCCCCTCGTCATGACAATTTCGTAGAAATAACACCGAGAGACCCCAACACTACTCCATCGAAGAGATCTCCACCCCCACAACCTTCTGGAACGAGCCCGGAATCACAAACGCCCAAGGGAATTCTCAAACAGCCTACCCAGAAATTCCCCGAAGAGCCCCGCGCTGTCCGAGAGGGCGTCGCTCCTTTAAAGGACGCCCCGAAGAAAGGAGTGCCCACCGGCGCCCGCTGGACCAAGATCGATAGGCGGCTCGTCAGCCCGTCTGCTCTTGAAGGCCGTGAACGTTTCGAGGAACGACCAGACTATGTCATTGTATTGCGTGTGCTATCGAGGGAAGAGATAGAGCAATACGCAGTTGCATCTGCTAAGATACGAGGTAAGACTTGAAACTTTTGACCAGAGTTCGGCGGGGACGGGGACTAATAGTGGGATGTGCAGCGGCTGCTCGCAACCGACGGAATTCCGACCGTAGGTCTCGAGATGAGGATGATATTCGGAGTCGAAGACGCGATATCGACAGTGACGATGACGAAGATAGGGAATCCCAGCTACGGATTGAGCCGCCGCCAAAGGATCCCAGACGATAATTAACTAGTTGACGACTTTCCTTTGCATAATTTTCCACGCTGCATTGCGAATAGCCATGATTACGCATTTCTCAAGGTTAACGATCCATTTTTTCATCTATTTACTCTTATAAATCTACTAAATGCCAAAAAAACATATATAGGAGCCTACAAAAAGTGAATGGTGTTTTTGATTTCCAGCGACATAACTGACATTTACTTATGATCTCTATACCAACCATCCTTACTTAGATGATAGTAGTTACGCCTACTACTTACCTTACCCTCTGGTGATTTACATCTTAATATCTATTCTCTCTGGATTTATTTATTTGACTAGCTTGCATTAGTTAAAACGAAATTACAATAATGAAGGAACAAGTCATCTAAGAAATAAACAAAAGAACAGTCAACTAGATTATCCTTCCAAAGCTATGTATCGGACTATTTACATGCTGGTTTAACAAGAACGCTGTGCTGTGCTGTGCTGTGCCTTATAAATAGAAAATGCGAACATGACGAGGTAAGAAGAGCACAGGGGAGATTATAATAACTGTAACAAAGAGTAGCCAAAATAACATCCAAGATAACGCTGTATAAGCGGTCTGTATCTGTCTATGTTATTTGAGTCAAGTCCATCCAATCCATCTGTGGGTAGGTGGTAAACCTGGTCCAGGTCTGCCGAAGGCTGTACAACAGTGGCCAAAAAGCAAAAAGCAAAAACTATTTACATAAATGCATGTATCAACATCAATCAATAAGTGAGAGAAAAATGTAAGAAATAAAGTAGGGTTGCAAGAAGAAGAAGAATCGCCTGCTCCAATGCTCAAACGTAATAATACCGTGAGCTCGCTGGGCTGAATGGAGAAAAAAAAAAGAAGAAGGACCCGACAATCATGTATATACATGCAGTAGATTGAAAGGTGGCAGAGGATATGCGGTCCGATATATAAAAAGGTGAATATACAAAAGATGTCCAAAATTGTGAGAGGGGTGAAGGTGAGGTGAGGTATAGGAAGAGAAGGGCTGCTGGGTGAGCTGAGCTGGATATCACGAGAAAGAGGAAATGGGAAATGGTATAAAGTAGATCCGTAAGTAGATAGAGGAAAAGTGATGTTTAGTCCGGTATTGGTGAGTAAATCGGAGGTAGGAGAGTTATATGTGCATCGTATGTGAATATATAAAGCTGATCGAGTCGAGTCAGAAGGAAGCTAGTCAATGGTCTTCCCTCCGCAGTCTGGGATTTTGACGCCTGGCTTCAGATTTCGGCCAGGGTCCATGAGACCCCATTTATCTTCCCATTCTTTGCCCGGGGTATTATACACTATCTTCCAAGGCTCATCAAAAGCCTCAAACCTATATAACAGTTAGTAAAAGTATAAAAAGCGCAAAAAAGGAAAAGAAAAAGACGCACCAGAAATAATTTGTTCCGTTCTTGAGAGCTTCGCAAATCCAGCCTTCCATAAAGGTATTCATCTCCTTGATGCTCGCGACAGAACCAGAGGTGGAATCGGCACACTTGTCTTCACCGCAATTGTTACCGCCGGCGCTGGGCCAGCCGATTTCAGAAATAACCTGTACCTTGTCCGTGCCCTGTGTGAGGACGACGTCGTGGGAATCCCAGAACGACCAAGCCCAGGAAGTGCCCTCTTTAGCAGTGACGCCAGCAAAGAACGGATGGACGTTGGACATGACCACGTCAACGATCTTGGTGAGTGGTTTTGTCCAGGCGTCTCCCAGATCGGAGGTAGCGATGGGAAGCTTGAGGTTCAACGAGTCCAGCTCCTGTCTGACGCCGGTGATGTATTTCATTAACTTGGTGATGGTTGACGGATCGTTTTTGCCACGGTATAACACTTCATTGCCGACGATGACGCCCTTGAAGACGGATTTGTCTTCTGTCTTTTCGAGGATTTCGTACAGCTGTTTGATCTGGCGGTCGTTGGTGGTGGTGTTGGTATCGATCCAGACGCCTAGCCAGAGTTTCATCTGTTTAAGCTCGAGACGTTCAAAGGCATGCAGCACCATCTCTGTCTGGTTGCAGTCTGTCCCGTAGAGACGGACGGTATTCGTGAGCTGGGCGAGCACGGCGATGTCGCGGGTGACGTTGTTTTGGCTGGGAGGGTATTTGAGGCAGAGAGGATACTGTGTCCCCCAAGGCGTATAGTCCATGCCAGGGAAGACCTTGTGGAGGTTCTCGTTCTGAAGTTTCTTGATTTCAGGCGAGTTCTTGCCCAGGTCGCCGTTGAGCTTGGTGTCATCTTCTCCAGACTTGGGAGTGCCTCCGGACTTGTTGGGCTCTGAACTGCTTTTATTGGCCAGGATACCTGCAGTGACACCTCCAGCTATAGCGCCGATGATGACTATAGCGACGATGACACCTATAATCCAGAGTCTCTTCTTTCTTGACCGTTCTTCATCCGCAAACACCTTCTTCTCGCCCGTTGCCAGGTTATACTCGCCTCCGGCTCCACCGCCGCCTGGAGGACTGCGTGTTCCAGCACCGGTACCGGCACCGGCTACAGGAACGGCGCCAGCGAAGAGGTTGTTGTGGCTGGAATTCTGGCCGATACTGAGTATTGACCTTCTCTTTGGCTCGGGTATGAATCCGTCATCACCGTCGTCCACGATGTTATGCGGATTGATCGACTCTGGATGCACGGCTCCCAGGCCAGATTCATCCCGTCTATAGGGATCCTCATAGTGGTACCTGACCGGCCCGCCATTGGGGTTGTGGTGCTGTTGCTGGTGCTGGTTCGGGTACTGACTCTGGCCCTGGCTCGGTATGCTCCTCTCAGAGCCAGAGTAATGCGGGCTGGAGTGTCCTGGCGTGAGTGCTCCAACCGGCGCCTGGTATGCGCTGTATCCACCTCCGTTCCCATTATACCTGTCACCCATGTCCCCTTGCCCTATACCATGCATGTCCCTATCGTCTCTATGCATGTCCCTATCATCTCTAATATCCCTAGGCATATCTCTAGGCATGTCTCTCTGCCCGTAACCATGTCCGTGGCCATGGTCATAGCCCGGATCATACCCACCACGCATCGTCTCCTGGTATCCCATCTCCTCGTACGCCCTCGAGTCGTGCAACTGCCTCCGACTCCGACTATATGCCACCCCCGACGCAAGACCAGTCATCCCCCCTCCCGCCGCGCCGTGACCGTAATTGTCCGCTCCGGCCGTGACATCCGACTGCGTCGCCGGATTATGCGGAATGTAATGTTGATCCGGATAATGGAGGTCATCGTACCCATTGTCTCTCATCTGGTTATAGGACATGTCTGGCTGGCGCTGCATGGACGGGTTGACGGGCGAATAGTAGTTATTCTGCGGCGGCATCATGGCTAGGTCCTGCTCTGGTTCAGGAGACGGGTTGCGGTAATATGGCTGGTTATGGTAATGCGACATCCTCTGGTCTGTTCCTGTCCTGATCCAGTTCCTGATCCGAGCATATCAAGCGTATCTTCAAGGTTGGGCGGAGAAGCGGACCGAACCGACTTCAATCTCGAGTCAATTTATCGTCAATATCGAGTCAATATCGAGTCAGTATTATCGTCGGTAGATAGTGTTGTGTTGAGTCGTGCGAGAGTCGTCGTATGATGTGTAGGGGGGTGAAATTGGCCGTTGATGCCAGGAGTACTCGGTAAAGGGGTGAAACACGATCGATCGCATCCGCATCTGCCGCGCAGACGGCAGACCACCACAGAACAGAAAGTCGAACAACGATGTAAAGACGATGAGAGGGAGAGAAGTAGGTAGAGAATAGGGGATGCGATGGAGGCGGAGGGAGGATACGAGTTCGCGAAAGGAGGCTGAGAGAAGCGAGATGTCTCGGCTTAGCGTCAACCGGTAAACACCAACCATTCGTCGTCCAGGACAACCACCAGCCTCAGGATCACACCAGACAAGCCTCAGCATCACGCTGGACGTTGACGACGTTACTGTTTCACCTACGTCTACGGATATGATAACGGATTAACGGCTGATAGCCAAGCGAGGCCAAACAGAGACGAGACTGGCGTCTGACGGAGGCGAAGATCGTGATCTCCATGATACAGAGCGAATCTTGACACTGACCTGAATCACGGAGAGATTACGAGACGCGGACGAGATGAGACGCAGACTCGTGCGAGATGCCGGATATTAGATGAAACATGATCTACACACTACACACACTACACTATACTATGACAGCACTATGACGTATTCATGGATGATAGAGGGAGAGATGCATCATGATCATATCATATCATATTGTTTGCTCATCGTAACAAAGGAAAGGAACCCGCCCAGTACACACATACATAACCGTATATCCATCCCAAAACTTTTAACACAGAACAACATAGTACGTAGAGACAAATAGAACATAAAAGTAGAAGAAAAAGAAACTACTCGACCTCCTCCGCGCTCCTGGAAGATGCAGCAGTCAAGACGGCGGGAGAGGCAGCCTCAACGACCTTCTTGCCTCGTTCAAGCCATCTGCGCTTCCCGACGCGAGTCTCAAAGTACGGCGCTATCTCGCTCGCCTCATGGCCGGCCGTGAGCATGCTGTTACGCATCTTATTGCGATATGCGTCCACTGTATCCGTTAGCCTCGCTCTCTAACCTAACATATGAAGAAGTAAAGAGGGATAACTTACTAGAACGCTGCAAGAATAAAGTCCTACCAGCAAACACCCTGCTCTGCCCCCAACTCATACGATACCCCATATCATTAAGCAGTGCCTCCCGATCTCTCTTCTTCTTACTCAGTTTGGGAACAGCTATGCTTCCCTCCCCCTCAATCATAGGCGCAGGCACCATCGTTCTACCAATAGTTACATCCTCACTGTCAGTACCCGCAACGACGGTACCGGCCGGCGCAGACTCGTCGTCATCTGCATCGAACCTATCGCCTCTTCGCCGGGAGAGACCAAAGGGTGAATGAACTGGGAAATAAGAGCGGGGGAAAACAGAGTTGCTTTTCCTATACGAGTCTGGAATCTCTTTCATGTCGACTTGGTCGAGCATTACTTTGACTCGCACGCGGCATGAGCGTTGCGGGTCTTCGACGAGGATGAATTTTCGGCGTTTGCCTTCTGGGAGGTCGCGAAATTGAGACTGTTCTATGTCGTCGTCTGATGGGCGTTTAGCACTGGCGTTAGGACTGGAGTTTGTCCCTGCTATGGCTGCCTTGTAGTGGTCCATGGATGGATCGCGGAGGGGAGCCATGGAGGGGACGTTGGAGGTGTTTGAGGTAGGGTACTGAGGGTATGCGCCCTGGAAGACGTGAGCTGGTCTGGAGTCCATGTATGCAGCCGTCGAGGGGGCAGACGTGGTGGTTGCTTGTGGGCGGTATTCAGTGCCTGGTGCATATTAGCTACGGACGGGACGATATAAGAGGACGAGAGGAAGACGATATGGACGTGGAGGAGAGAAGATGAGGAACGGCTGGTATGATTGATAGATACACAGCACTGTAACTCTGAATAACACCAACACCAACACCGTCCGATCCAGCATACATAGCCCATACATCCATCATCGATAATATAACACGGCAGACCAGCCAACCAGAGAAGAAAAAAAAGAAAGAAGTGAAAAAGAAGAAAGCTACATCTGCTGAAACATACCGCTAACATCATCGTGCGATCCGTCGGCATGGTGGTGTACGGCCGTCGAGGTGGCCGGCGGCACAGGCAGAGCAGACTGCGGACTGGCGAGATGCGAACTATGCTGGGCCACAGCCTTTCTATTATTCGCCTTCGCCATGCGCTTGACCCTTCGACTGCGCAGACGGGGATCCTGATGCGAGTTCCGCCAGCTGTCGACGGCGCGCTGGATGAGGCCTCTCTTCCCCCGCAGACACGGGTTGAGCTCTGCCAGCGCCCACCCCACGGCGTTGCACTCTGTCTCGTACACGAGCCTGTTGCCGCGGTACTGGTCCTTTGTGCAGCAGGCGCGCGGGTAGACGCAGTTCTCTGTCTTGAAGTCCTGCGAGAGGGTCTCTATGTTGATGTTCTCGACGTCGCAGCGGATGGTGTATTCCATCTTGACGCGGTCGCGAGAGTACTCGAAGGCTATCCACTGGACGCCGTTGGTATCTTGCCGCACGACGAGGGGAGTCGTTGCTGGTATGGGGCCTGGCGCCGCGCCGGAGTTGGGCGAGCTCGAGGGCGGCTGCGGGCGAGACTCGAGCTTCAGTCGAGGGCTGCCCATGGGATGCTGTTGATGCATTTGTTGTGGTGGTGGTTGTTGCTGGTGTTGCTGCTGGTGTTGTTGCTGGTGCTGTGGTGGTGGCTGCTGGTGTATCGGGGCCGAGACGGGGCTCATCATGAGCGGCTGGGAGGTGAGCTGCTGGCCATGGGGCGCGTAGGGCGAGGAGTGTATGGAGTTCATGGGATACTGCGGGTAGGCAGCGTACATGCCGTGGAGGTTGGGCGGCTGGGCGTAGAGGGAGCGGCCATGCTGGTCGTGAGTCTGCGGGCTGGCGACGGAGGCCGGCGAGCTCGACTGCGGCGTGTGGTAGATGGGCGGGTACGGCCGTTGCATGTGCGCGGTCGCCATTTTCTCTTATGTCTATCGTAGCAGTGAAGTCGTAGAGTCGTAGAGTAGCAGACTTCTATCGTAGAGTGTAGAGTGATAGAGGGAGATGCAGTTTATATGATAGATAGAAGAAGGTTCGGAAGTCAAAAGGGATCAACGCGCCCGAAGATGATCTAGAAGAAAGGCGTTGTTAGGCCGCCGGGGCAGGGGAGCATAAAGCTGCCAGGGTGAGACAGTGGGCCACGAACCCTTACGAAAACGAGGCCACTCTCATACATACATACATACAATACACCCTTGCACCTACCCTTACACACTCTCTTACACACTACTACAATTACTCTTCTACTCACTCTTCTACCTACTCTTCTACAACAATTACCTTCTACTCTACATACTCTACCTACTCTACATACTTATCATCATCATCTACTCTATATCTCTCTATATCTCTCTGTGTATAACCTCCTTCCTAATCCGACTCCCCCACGCTTGGCGACATAACTCTTGGCATGGAGATGTTTCCTCTTTCGGCTAGAGCTCCCGAGGCCCGCCTAGTCCCGATCGGGAAGAAGAAGAAAGTAGGAGAGAGCAGAGAGAAGAGACGTAGTGTATAGACAGACGGAGCAGCCACCCGCCAGCCGTCCGTCGTTCCTCGGACGCTAGACATGTGTCTCCCTTCGCCCAGCCAGATACGAGCTTCCAGAAGACCTAAGCTTGCAGGTCGCCAGAATCTGGAGAACCCGGCATGCATGGATGACATGGACAGGCATGACATGGCATGGAGCCGTGGAGGAGGCAGATGGTGGAGGGTAGATGGAGGGATAGTTAGAGATGGAGAGATGGGGAGGGATACGAAAGAGACGTGAAACCCGGTGCCGATCATGGAAGGGGTATTACTTAATGGCAACTCGGCACTTGCTCCATTTACATCCGGCCATCCCTAAGCGAGCTATACCATACTACTATACACGCAGTATAGTATATCTATACCTATACCTACATACATACACTATATACTCATACATATATATACTCATATATATATATATATAAATATATATAAGTACGGAGTATATCTATATACATAGTCGTATGGATATGATATGGATAGATGTATGGATATGGATGGGAGGCGGCTAGCGTCGACCTTGTCCTTGTCGTAAATTAAGTCCGCGCGAGACCTTGTCTTCCCGCTCCATCCCTGCTGGCGCCGTCCTGCCCTGTCCCGTCAGCATGCTCATTTCGATAAACGAAAGCGATGCGGGTATTATGACTAAAGGATACACCTACATCTACATCTATACGGTATGGTATACGGTATGTAGGTGGACCAGACTATAACAGGCGCAGTTAAGCGCTTCGCTGGCATGGATAGCTGAGGATCCCCTCCAGGATGTCTGCGGTTTCATAGCGTCCTCCATCCACGCCCGTTGATTTGCTCTCCCACGCTCTTTTCTTTTGCCTTTATTTTACTTTCTCCTTTCCTTTCTTTTGCCTAGATATTTGCAGTTGCAGTTCGTTACTCCGTCCCGCTAGATGTGCTCCGTACTGGCCTGTCCGTTCGTGCATGATGCGCAGGCCTGCATCGGGTATTGAGCACGGCGCTGTCTGCATCTACTGCATCTGCATAAGCGTGCGAAGACAACGGGAAATGAAAAGGGGCGAGTGCCGTCCAGTATGTAATCATATCATCATGCAATAAGTAATCACAGGCAGCGTCTCGCCCATGGTCCCCGCGCTGGTAAATATCCGTAGCGGAGCATGGAGGATCAGGAGGAGGAGGATAATTTGGCCCAAGTGGGCTCGTCGGTTAGTCCAACTCTCCTCCCATCATCAACTTCTACCAACTTCTTCGTCCAACTTCCTATCTACATTCCATGTGTCAGAGCTTCTCTGCCACCTTTTCTTTTTCGCTGACTAACTTATATGTAACGACGTGGCAGTTACACTTGTTTAGTTTCTTCTCTCTAGTTTCGATGTTAGTTCGATGTTAGTTTCATCGACTCGATAGGAGAAAAGGAAGTGATCAAACCGGGTCGAAGGGATCTTGATCCGCTCACCGTCTTTTAGTCTCGGTCTCATGGAAGCTGTCTTCTTCTCTCCCTCTTCTTCCGCTTCCTCTCCTCGTCTCGTCTCGCCGATCGCTGTATGATGATTTGCATACCTCTACCGACGCTGCCTTTACCGAGACGTACGCCTACGCTACGCCGCGGCCAACACCGACGTCGACGTACAGATAACGCACTTCAGCCTCCGTGTAACACCCTACCTGGAAGGAAAAAATACCCTATTCGCTACATACCTTACATCCACCGTCCATCCAACTTCAACAGTGCCACAGCAGGAGATTTATCGGAATTCCTCAGCCCACAAGCCTAAGCCTGTTTTTAGTCTTGTCGTTTTTCGTTGGTCGCGTTGTTTTTCCATGTTTGCTTTTGCGCATCGCCTCAAATCGCCTGATAGAGTTAATACGGGAATGCATAACTATTGCTGCATACGGCTGTCTACAGAGTTATGTCCGCTATTTGTAGACTATGACGTCGAACGTCGTAATGCCCTCAGCAGTCCGGCTAAGACACTCGTATAGAGTACAGCGCGTACGAGGCGGGCTGAAAGGGAGTCGACCTCGGAGCCACTTGTATGCTGTGGTAATATTCCGGATTTGGATAATAACTGGTCGGAGCAATGGACCAGCTCATCATTATACCGGTGGCACAGTGTCTGGTGGTACGTCGATGAAGCTGCTAGTTCGATACAAGCACATTTGATGCAAAGCCAATTCGTAAACGTCATGTCAAAGCGCGTCTTCATGATTGGACATGGAACTTGTAGAATCATATAACAAGGAATACTTCGCCTCCCTGCACGCACGCCATTCAATTGTTCCATCAAATATGCTTAACCGTCCCAAACTCCTCGTATAGAACTTAATCATACCCATCCTTATTCCACTTAGCACTGGCCCTTCCTCAACTTCCTTCAACTGTGCTCTTCGAACGTCGAAAGTAACACAAAAACGGCCGACAGGGGACAAGGGTAGCTTGACATCCTAGGTGGGGGACAACATGAGGAAAAGAAATCCAGGAAGTACACATATGTGATGCGCGGCATGCACCTACCTCGATCCTTGCTACATCTTGAACAACGATGGCAGAAGGCAAGGAATCGACTGGCTTTTTCCTTGGGACGCAGTTTTCCTGGACTCGGGACTCGGGATTCGGGATCGGGGGGGGCAAACCTGACATGTCGACATGGCATGCATGTAAAAACTGGATCTTCCCTTGCCTGGTTAAGCGCCCATATGGCTTGTATGGTTTGTTGACATCGACATGGTTAAGTATGGTTCGTTGACATATTTGACATGGTTAATCGGTTGGCGGTGACGTCCCAAGATATCAGTCCGTATCCACTGCCAAGTTTTTTCGCTTTCGATTCTTCACCTCTCTCAGCCTCCGGGGTGTAGAGTGTAGAGTGCGGGGGGGGATATTTTGGGCTCAAGGGCCCTAAGATAGAGTTATCTAGATCCTAGTTATATGCCAGCTCGGCGGAAACAGGTAGACGAGGGTTCGCATAGTGTTTTCAGTGGGTACGGCGGGATCGCGTGGAAGGGCAGTAGTCAGGAACAGAGAGAATGCTGGTCAAGTAGATAATATGCCATGGCTGGGCTAACTTTGGTGCCTGACCGAGATGCATCCAGCCTTTGTTGCATGTCAGGTCAGACTGCGACGCCGTTGAGCTGTTATCGTATAAGGAAGAGTCGAGGAGGCATTCCAGAGCAGACGAGAGTGGGTAGTAGTGGTAGAATTGTTCGTTGGCTCGAAAAACCCTAAGGCAAGTAAAGTGTATGTGACTGATATATCTGCCAGTAGACAGTCATGGGACTCATCGAGCAAGTGGTAGCATTGCTAGAGAAAGGTGCCAGTAAGTAACCGCGCATGTTCGGGCTGAGTTTCTGATAGATAAAATCCTCCATTGTCCCGGCGCAAGCGAGAGAAACAGGGGGAAATAGCCGACCTTGGGGTATATTGTAAAAATATCCTGTTCTCGAGGGACGATTCTTGGTATTGTCCGCCGCTTTGAGGGTATTTAGTCTTGTAGTTGGAAGAGGTGCGGAGACCTACTATATCCTTTCTATGGTCATGAGGTTCAATCCTTCTATGTGCCTAGATGCACGAGGTATCGTTATATATTTCTGTACTAATTCCCGTATAATTGGGCAGCCCATTCCTGGACTAAGTGTAGCTCTGGGCGCTGGATCACCTGCTCTCAGTAGGAGTGGGACGTTCAGCTAGCACGCCAGAACAAGCTCGTTCCCCAAAAAGGCGCCGTGTTCGGCTCGAACTCCGGTAGTCGTATTGACTGTGTCTTTTGCGTAAACTCAGCTAGGATAGAACTCTCTTCCTCTGGCCTGCATTTGGTTGGGACGTTAGCTCGATATATCCCATTTTCGGTTAATGATAGAACTCGTATACATACGCAGAAATCGAGTGGCTACTGTCCAGCGGACCGCCGAAGAAGAGTATCGGATTAAGTGGGAGTAGTTCAAGGAGGTGCGATCTCTCCATTCCTGGCGCAAATAATAGGGTATTTTCATTGACCAGTTTGAAGGCGCTTGAGTCTTTCAATACTTCAATGTTGAGCGATTCCAGTAGCTCGGTATCAAGGGTATTAAAAACGGGGTCTTGAGCATAGCATTTTTCAATCCTTGAGGAATCATCTGAACCGGCTAGTAAATGAAATGGGGGTCCATATGTTAGTTAACTTCCTTTATAGATCTATCGTTATTGATGAGGGGTATGATGTCCGGTTGAACACGTAGATGAAAACGTACTCAGTAGATCACGGATGGAGGTAAAGGCAGCCAACTGAAATAAGGAAACGCTTCTACGGTCAACAAGACCACCCCGTAAGAAGCCACTGGGACTTCCTAGCGCTATGCAAACGAGATTTTTCACGATTGCATTTTCCGAACGCGCACCAAAATAGCCGTTCTCCTCAATCGAGGTCTTCAAAGTTTTCCATGTCTGCGATTCTTGCCATCTCTGCTTATGGGATTCATACTGTTCAACAATTTTCTTCAACGTTAGGCCATCTGGAATCTCTGCTGGAGCTAGCTCGTCTAGCAGAGGAGCAGCCGTGGCCTTGGGTGCAGATTGGCTCTCTCGCCTGATATTTCCATTGCGACTTGTAACGTGAGTCCAGCCATCGTCATCCTGGATATTTATGCGCTTACGGGGCAACGCATCCGTATTCTTCCCTCTTCGCGAACTTCGGCGAGGCATGGTAGAAATATAAGGGGTGTATCCGTCTTCGTGCTATTACGACATGATATTCTCGAGCTCTGCTGTTCTGCAAGAAATAATCGGTGGTGCTGTGAATTTCCATTTCCGGCCTAGCGCTGCTCCGGCTATTTATCCCACTGCATTTCACTCTCTAAGTAATACTTTACCTGAGCAGAGAACATAATCAATGCATCGATAGCAGTCTTAAACGCATGTTCTTAGTTCTATGCTTGAGCTCGTCACAACTCTAAACCCAGGTACAAGTCTAAACGGAAGCCGTTGTCCATGTAGTGGTACGCTGAACGGACAAAGACTCGGTGATCATGATTTACTCCATATGTTCATTCAGTGTGCCGGAGAGCTGGATGGTGCTTCGAACCACCTTACGCCGTAGTACAGCTTAATCTCAGGTCGTTGTCGACTAATATATCCTTAACCTATGCAAATTACTCACCGCATCCGGAATCACTTCAACCACTCCAGCCCTGACTGTCGGCATACTTCGTAGGTTATGCTTAACCGTAGCATCGCGCAACAGGGTTGCACCGTGTAGAGTTGGGGCGTATTTCTATAAAATCTCAACTTTAGGAGCTGATTAAGGAGTACCTCCATTCCCTCACAGCCTGAACACCATAATATATTTAATCTGTGTTTTTACCCCTAATGGATGACATTTATATATAATATCACGTGATACAACTACCGTCGACTGCCCGATCGGGACGATTTACTACAAAGACATCAGAGCGTCTACAACGAATTCATGAGTATATATCATGCAGATCTCACAACATCCGTGATCCAGCCCTCCACACAGAGGACGGCGTACTAAACACCCCCCCATATGCAAACGGTTTATCAGGCTTGCTGCATGTGTATCCCATGCTCCGGAGGGGCCATGATTATGAAGCCTCAGTCCCTGCAGCGGACTCCCTGGCCCTAGAGAAGGTTTGTGGCATGGGGGAAGTTTCTATTATTATTGAGATCCACCCGGGCGCTAACTCAGCCAAAGGCAACGATTCGCAGAGACCAGAGTCTTGATCTATACGGGCGAGAGACGAGGCCATAACCTCTGAAAATTACTGTGTATAAGGGATGCGTTACTATACATACACGTCTTATAAGACGTACATCTCCGAATTCGCCTCTCTCCCAGATCCTCCACAGCTGGCATAAAAGACCAGACCAGGCGAAGCACTTGAACGACAAAAGTCTGTTTATGGGGGCGCTTCGACGAAGACCTGTTCTGGCGAATAGGAACAGCCAGCAAGGATATTCGCTGCAAGACCAAGCCCACTGTGATTAGTGCTGCATGTTCACCTTGCAATCACATCGCATCCATGCAACAGGCGAATGGGATGCTGTAGCCCCTTCGATGGCTTGCACGGGCTGCCTCTAATTCGTGAGCTAAACTCTGGCAGTTCGACTCCTTCGCACCCGGTCCAGCAAATCGAGGTACGACAAACGGATGGGCGATCCAGTCGTGCAGGGCACTACTGCGTGTGCACGGGAGACACTGTGCTGAAGGGCTCCATCAGGGCTTCCGAGGAACAAAGACGAAGGCAATTTACCAAACTGCAGACCCTTGACCGAGGAGTTGTGATCACACATCGGCATGGGAGCTCTTCACATTTTAACCGCCCAACATTTCCACCAAGCCGGATAGGCCTGTTCTATTGGCTGGCCTGGACATGCCAGCTTCAAGAAGGGCCCTTGATGCTGGTTCTTCAAAATCCTTGTCGCGAGTACCTGCCCGCCCCCGTACATAATTAGTAGGTGCATCGACCTGTGCCGCTGCGACCGCTTCCGCAGCCCGCAGCCCTCCAAGTCTTCTTCCAAAAGTCGATCAGTGCCCACGATATTTGACTCGAACGGCGCCTATTCAACTCTCTTCCTCCCATCTCGATCACTCCTAATATCTTAACCACCACCTCGTTACCATCCACCACTTAGAGCAGGACTCTCGTCGCAAGTCAAGTAAACCCCTAGAAGGCAGCAAGGCTTCAGCTGAAAGGCAGAGCGTTTCCTTCTCGTCCAATCTTGCTTAACAAAAAAAAAAGCGTTATACCCATCATGCGGACACACTTTTCGTTAGGACCCTTCCTTGGGGTGGTCCTTACCCTCGTCTTTGCGACCATCGCCGCCAAAGGCCACACCGTCATCGTTTACCCCGGATGGAGAGAAAACAACCTACATAGTAACGGAACAGTCGATGAGACTGGTGGAGCCGGTGTTGCGATCAGAGCGAATAGCTCGGAATTGCTATATCCATATGGAATGCAATGGATTTATCCATGTTAGTACTCCCCCGTCTGATATTCGCGACTGTTCAAATTCTTAGATTTCACGGCTAACGATGTTGTCAAACCAGGTGGTGGAACTGTTACTAGCCAGAACCGAACCAAATGGCCTGTCAACGGCGGCGCTATCTCATTCCAGCCTGGCTGGTTTCCCGGCCATAAAACCGCCCTCATCTACATAAACCTCGGAATGGGAACAACGCCATTGAACATGAGTCTCCCCATGGTTTCTCCATTCCAGATCGTTGGACCCACTGTTGCGCCATACCCCGGAACATTCTGCCTGCCTCAGGTTCCGCTACCTGCAAACATCAGCGTGAACATTGGTGATAATGCCACTATTCAAGTTGTTGAAGCAGCACGCCATGGCGCAGTCCTCTACAACGTAAGTTTGATCACCTTACCAGCTGTTTACCTGTTAGCTCTAGGAATCGTTTAACTAACTATGGTGATTTTACTTCAGTGTGTCGATATCACGTTTGCTGACCCCAAGGATGTTGAGCCCGTTACAAGAGAGAACTGTTTCAACTCTACAAACATCACTTCCAGCACCATCTACGCCATCCCAGACAAGCCAACCAACACCGCACATACTACCGCCATATTTACCGCCCTTGGAGTAATGCCCCTCCTCCTTGCCGGCTACTACTTCAGCATAATGTTTTAGGCGCCGACGAAATTCGGAGAGCACAAGACCTGAACTGAAACAGGAAGCTCAAAGACTTATGAAAAATATTTGTGCTACGGAGTTATTTCCTTTGCTGTTATTTGTATTTTATACCCATCTCATTTTCATATCCAGGTTGCCTGGAGTTTCATATGCCTTACTCGGCGCATTTGGACATATTCTGTTGCCTGTTTCCCGGGACGAATATTAATGTTGGTTCCTACTTCTTTTCCTTTGATGTTTTTCTTTTCATGAAGTTAATGCATTGGTTGTGATGGGTCGTGTCACTGTCTTATCAGCGTGGAGAGGCCATGAAAGCAAGGGTATTCGATATATATGCTGCTACTCTAGGCCTAATGGACTTATCTAAACTTCAAAAAACTATATACCCTCCATCCTACTTGTACGTAGCCATATCCACAAGTAACCCAACGCAGATACTCCGCACCTCAACCGCTCTATTGCCAATGGATAAACGCAATGAGGGCATCCACAACTTCCTGGGGTTTCTCTTGCGCTGGCCAATGCCCTGCGTCGTCGACTATGACTTCACAAAAGTCATCACACACATTGTTAGCTAGCTTTTCTATAGCTCCGGGCACTTGATATGTCCCCCAGTCCTTTGCTCCTCCGATATAAAGGCAGGGACATTCAATCTTTCTACCGGCAAAGATGTCGAGATCCCGTTTGTAGTCCGGAACCGACGAAGTTGCCACGCGGTACCAGTTCAGGCCACCCTGGAATCCCGTACGTGAGAATTCGTCCGCGTAGACGGACAATTCAGAGTCTGGTAACCATGCTTGAGATGCCTGTACAGGGAGGGCGCCATCTGCGGCCACATGGAGTGCAACAGCTTGGGGCATTGTTGCGTTGAGGGGCATGACGTAGTAATCTGGCATCTTTGATAGCTCAGAGGCCGTCCATCCTTGAAGTTCGTTAGGCTTGTTATGTGGCCAAGAGGCGCTCTTGAGATAGAAGTACCCGCGTAGAAATGCATGCAGGCCCTGTTCTGGCCTGCTCATATCAGAGTTCGCCGGCCGTGTGGAGAAATACCACTTGTAGTGTTTTCGATTCAATTCAGCCAGGTCTTGGTGGATTGTATCTTGTTTTTGAGTGATTGAGAGCTCTGGAGATCCCACGAATGGATGGCTCATGAACGCTACCCGCCTGAAGAAATCCGGCCTCGCAACAGCACAAAACCCAGCCACTACGGCGCCGAAGTCATGGCCCACAACACACTCTACCCCCTTATATCCAAGGGCGTGAACCAACACAATCGTATCCCGGACGAGATTCATCACTGCAAAGTCACATAGATCGACATTGTCAAAATCTCGAGTGTCCCATCCGGTTGTGCGCCCGAAGCCACGCTGGTCTGGAGCAACGACGTAGTAGCCGGCACTGGCAAGCAGAGGCATCACTTTCCGCCACGAGAAGGCGAGTTCTGGAAAGCCGTGCAGCAGTAGGATAAGCGGCCGATCATGGCCCGGGGTGTATCCTGCTTCAAGTATATGGAAAGATAGTCCACGGGGCGCCGTATCAACCTGTCTCGACGTTATGCCAGCGGGCAGAGGGAGTGGTGGAAGAGCCGCCATGAGTCCGTGAATACCAAGTCCAGCAGTTCCTGAATGATGATTAACAGACGTCTCACTGTTGATATATCATCTCAATCGGCGAAGTTCCGTAGAAGTAGCATATAACTAAGCCGTATGCAAGTCAGCTTCATACGCTCAGATAACAACTCGACGGGCTTCATCCTGGGTTATAAGGTGGCTCTGAAACCATGGATCACGAAGGCAGCAGGCCGTAGAGGCTACCAACCGAGTTACCCGATAACTTGGACCATGGAACAAGGTCAAGAGTCGAATAGTCTTTTCATTTAGCTGGCCGCGAGATAGAGACTGGCCGTTGGGTTTGGGGCGGTTGCGTTGCAAGAGCGCCGTTGTTCGTTATGATATATATTTTTTGGGACAACGAACCACTGGGCGATTTTCCGCGATCTCCATCCAACTTCCCACTCTGCTTTTTTTTCCTTTCTATGCGCAATTGGCTCACCGGCCTGTCACTCTCGTTCTCTTCGCTTGTCGCAACTTTGTATTAAATACTATGAGCAGGCTCCTCTAATACGCTAATCGGCTATACTTATACTATAGCCTTCTGAGACGAAGCTAGTGAGCTATCGATAGCTCGTTCGCATCGCCAACTCTGGACGCAGCGGTCGAAACCCAGCGTTGGCCACCGGGCATCCAGCACTCACCGTCACGCATGATACAGCGGTATCTACTTCTGTCTGGCATCAGCATCTCTCTTGATGAATCCGTATCTATAGCCTAGCAATGTTTCGTCGCAAGAGGAGCGTTCGTCATGCTGTCAGTACCCTTCCGGTTCCATGATATCATCTATCCCCAGGACCGCAACTCCAGGGACCAACTTGAATTATAAGATGAAGCTAATAGTCTCAATAGCCTCTAAATGCCAATCCTTCACCTTCTGCACAGACTGCGGCCGTCCAGGCGTTTCGGGCTTCTCAACATTCGGCACCCAGCCTATCGTCGTCCGCCGCAGCCGCAGCCCTTCGAAGCCATACTCCCCCGCCCACGGCCGTCAAAGATGTCCAGACGAAACGTATGCTCCAGAGGAAGCTGTCTGCTTCGTCCATCGGTAGCTCAAAGGCCAATATACGCTCAGATGGCAAGAATGAAGCACTTCGAAGGACCCGGAGTTCTGGTTCGATGGCCGCCCGGACGTTCAGAGATCCATCACCAGCGCGGACAGGTAGCCCAGCTTCACATCCAGGCGAGATGATACCCGTTCCACCACTCCCACGCGGTTACGCAGCCTCTCCTCCTCCCCATAGAAGTGGAAGCACGGAACCGGGGTACCGGGCAATATCACCGCCAAATGGAGGACGTAGGGCACGATCTGTCTCGAATTCGTCGTCTGGGTTTCCTGATCTCGAGAGACATGGAAGCAGAGGCTCAGTTAATTTCTCATACCCAATGAATCGTCCAAACTCGCCTCGGCTATCAATAGTGTCAGCGGACTCACCGAGAAAGAAAGGCCCGTCATCTCCAAGACCACAGCAACAGTTTCCTACAGAACAGGCGGCAGGGAATACCAGGGAGCCACTGTCTTTGATAGACAGGCCAGTACCGAGCAAAGCACCGGTGTCACAATCTCGACCAACACAGGTTGATCAAGGTACCCAGATAGCGGAGGACGCCTTTGAGGATACGCCAGCTCCTTTCCATGCGCCTGGAATAGAGCCAGATAAGTCTGGAAAGTTGCAAACGGACGAGCGGGTGACGAGGCAAACGGCAGACAGATACTCCCCTCCAACTCACACCGGCGAACTGCATATGGACGACGGCAGTGATACGCACAAGATTGGATCGCCAGCTTCGACCACGCTTGTAAGAAGGCCATCTACTGTTCTAGAACTTCAAGAGGAAGCTGAGAATGATACGCCAAATAAACAGCCCGTGTTTTATCCAACCAGAGATTCCAGCAGGCAGTATCAACCAAGCCAACCAGAACGCAGGGAGCTTGTCAGTGACGAAGACTCAGCTAGTACTCCGAAAGCCGAGGTACCTACACACTTCCAGCAGAACAAAATCCAGGAGGAACCACGATCACTTGCACAAGGGCCTGTTGCATTCCCCCAGAGCACGGTGAAGGAAAGACCTCATTCTTTAAGCCCGAACAGATTCACACGCTTCTCTGAGCAGCTAGAGATACCTGAATCCCAGAAACATCTACACCATCCGCCGCCCAGATCAGTATCCCCGGCGAAACCTGCACTGAAATCAACATCCAATTCCCCATTTGCAGCTCGCCCCGAGAAGCTCTCTTGCCAATGGGGCAAAGCCGGCAGTGAGACATCAGACGGGACCTCATTGATCTCCGACGACGGCTCTAGGGCAGGATGGAAAAAGAAACACGCCAAAGTCAGCTTTGAGGATGAGACCGAGGTCATAGGACATGTTCCCAGTCCTCCTACTTCACCGGAATCGCCAACCCCTTCGAGCCCTCGAACACATGCCTCTTCTAGACCGTGGAACGACAGCCTTACTCGAACAAAACCTAGAGGCGATGATTCAAACGAATTCGAACAGTTCTATACGCCAAGGCCAGCCCTGCCTTCGTTTGGTAGCATACGAGGCCGCAAATCATCAAGTACAGGGGATATGGGGGCTGACTCAAAACTGGGGACGGGCGCAACACCCTCGCCCGCTGATCACGCTATTGGAGAACTCATATCTACTTATAACTTGAGAAACCGGGCAGGGAGGGAAGATATAAAGTCGAATGCGCCCCTACCTCCTGTAGTGACATCACTAGAAGGCACTGGGTATAGCTCATTATCGGAAGATAGCTCTAGTGATGAAGGCGCTGACCTGCGCTGCTTTCCTCCACGTGTTGATAGCATGAACGTCCAGTCTACATCGAGGAGTCTTCCTACCACGGAAACTGGGACGGCCCAACAGCATCAGACCGAAGCGAGTCAAGGGGGAAGCCGCCTAAGCCCAACGCCCGCCATATTCATTCAACCTGCTACCCCAGCCATGGAAGAAGTGGCGTATCACGAGCAACCATCTTCTCAAGTCCCTACCGCTAGTAACTGTGTACCCAATACAGGAACCCAATCGGACCAGCCAAAAAACAGCGCATATCACCAAACGAAGGATGCTAAATCATCAGACCAAGTGGAGGAAGATGAAGATTCTGAGTCGGGGAATAGTGTCTATAGCGATGCCTACGAAGACCTTTCGGATATGGACGGTGACGGCTTTGGCTCGATTGATGCAATTGTTGATAAATCCGTGGGCCCTGCACCTGAGCCGCAGCACTCGAATCAACTGCACCCGCTAGCCGAAGAAAATGAGCAGAGAGAGGCAACGATTGAACCAGATGTTGCAAGGGACTCCCCTCGCGCGGCTGAGACTGTTCCACAATCAAGGCAACGACATACCACCCACGACCAGCAATCTTCTCCATATAGACCATCCGAAGCAGCTGAAAGATATGCGAAACACTCAAACATGCAACCACTGGCTGATCCACCTAAGCCATCTGGAAGACCCCTATTTGAAGACTACCCAACAAATAATTCTACTGCTACCCATCCTTCAGGCTTGAACATACATTCTTCTGGGCAGTTCGATCATCGCTCACCTACTCTACGGCCAATACAAGAGTCCAACGGTGTAGACGAGCAGAAGCCTGTCCATACAAGGCATAAAGCAGCTCAGGGGCAACAACCTCGAAGAACGATGTCGAACGCAAGCGACTCGTCTAGTAGCTTTAAGCGGCCAAAGCGATTTCGTCCAACTGGGAGATATACTCTACGAAGAACTATGAGAGTTGGTAGTCCAAACAATAGCATGGAAGTACTCAGTGATGGTGGCCTACCTTCAAAAGCGTTCGACTATTCGCTAAAGCACCGACCATTTTCTAGCGACAGCCGTCCAGCGATGCGGACAACACTGCGTCAAGCTCCTAGCGCCTCTACGTCAAGATTTTCTGCATTGACTGGTCGAGGCAAAACCGCGAAAACGAACAGTTTTCCTAGAAAACCTCATAAGCCAGGGCTTGAGAAGGCTTTTAGATCGAGATATGAGGACTCTAGCGATGAGGAAGGTGAGGCTATCAAGCTGAGACCCGTCCGCGGCATCCCTAGGAGGAAAAATGAAGTAGAAGGCGACTCGACCGACCTTGACGATAGTTCGGAATACGAAACTACAAGACACGTCCTGAGACGGAAGCGATCGAGTAGACCGAACTCGAAGAGCAATCAAGACCCTGCCATTGCTGCTGCTATAGCTAAGATAATGGCCACGAAGGATATCGAGAATGCAACAGCTTCAGCTAACCACGACCATGCTATCGACCCTAATGTAAAGCAGAAAGGCGGCTTATTTAGCCGTCTCCACCTGTCAAAGCATAAGCCACGGCATAGAGATTCGATGATCCGAAAGCCTGAACTCGAGAGCGATACCAGAAAAGACACTCCTCTAGAACGATCCGAACAAGCTGAAAACGCACCACCACCTGTGCCACACGACGCTTTCTCGAAGCCTACGATAACTACATCTGTCAATGGACGTATTTTAGAACCTTCGGGAAGTGATTGGCAGTCAATAGCGCCCAAGCTCCAGAAACGGTCGAGCAAAATGTCTCAACGACCTGTTTCTGATTCGTGGCCTCTTCGTTCGAATGGACACACCGCTTTCGCCCAGCCTCCCTCCCCGAGCGTGGTTGATAAGAATAAGTCAACAGCTATACCTCTCCAGGATATAAGCAATGGCAAGGACTCTCGTCCTCGCCCTACTACATCTGACGGCATGGTGACAGAGAACAAATCACAGCAAATAAACGAACCAGAAGCCCCAAGCACCCCCTTAAGCCCATCCCGTGGTGAAAAGTCTGCCTGGACGTCTAGATTCCGATCCTCTAGACGTGGAGCAGATGATACCCCTACTGCATCGGCAATATCGGATGTCAACCTTTCATCTCTGCGAACAGATGGTCCGAAACGAGAGAAGAAAGGCAGATTCCCAAAACTGAAAAAGGCATTTGGAATTGCCTGAAGCAAACGCTTGAACACTCATCTTACTGATGTCTTTCTCTAATTTACAATACTCCCCTTCCTTGTTACCCTATTTTCTTTTTGCTATATTTACTATTTATTCACACGGTGCAGGTCTCCTGTATAAATTTCCATACCACTCGCTCTGAACCCCCGCCTCATGACATACACACTCTCTTCTAATCTTTTCTAGCACCTCTTCTTCACTCTTCTTCGAATTGGTATATTCACTTCTTGACATGTTGTTTGTTGCATACGGATTTTGGCACCAGGTTATGTATAAGGGGGCATCATAAAACGCGGATAAGTAATGTTTTGAATGTTCAGTATGACTACTTTCTCTTTATTGTTTGTTTAATATTTTACTCATAGATTGTTTCCTTTATACACCATGCCATAATGATAATAATGCTTTGTCCTTGTACTTTTGAGCCAGCTTATAATTGTCCATATACGCACTTTCGATAAAAAAAATATCCAGGGCTCATATACCTGCTACCGTGCCGGCCAAAACCATCTGTCCCCAAAAGTAAAGTCCCCAACCCACGGCTGCCTTTAGCCAAAAATACCCTCCCTTATCAGCGGATTTCTTGCTAAATGCATCCTTGGCAACGAAGACATCGCTGATGACAAACATCACGGCACCTAGAGCGCGCTGGCCCTGCATCGACAAGCCAGATGGCAGCTGTAACACTGGTGTCGTTGAAGCAGCAGCACCGACCATGCAGCTGATAATCAGGGTATAAACGAATACCAGGTGCCGCATATCATCCGGCACAGAGAGGTTAAGTACATTCGAGCTCATAAGCGAACTGGACGAGTCTTCTGTGCTAGCCTTTGGATATAAAACGCCCAACCACTTCGCAGCCAGCAGCGAGAGTATGGCCATACTTCCGAATACGGGCCATGATATCGTCTGCGCGTCTTGCAGAAAGGCGAGGATATACGCTATATGGGCCGCTGCAAAGGCGCCAATCCCGGCCTGAAAGGATACGGAGATGGAAACTTCTTGATTAGCGCCGTCTTTGTTCTGTTTTGCATAGTCGCTGCGCAAGGGTATTAGGAGTATATCCCCGATGAGAGAGAAGAAGAGGCCCCAGGTGATGAGCTGGCGATATGGTGTAGGTTCATTGAGGGCGAGGAGAAGAGGACCAGCAAGAAAGGCTAGGGAAGAGATTGGTTTGAGGAGACAGTGGCCGATATAGATGGATTTGGTCTCGGAGAGGACCAGAAGAGGCAGGGATGCCAGGAGGAGGTATACTGCAGGGGCTGGAGGGAGGCTGATATGCATCGTGAGTGTGACAATGAGCTTCCTTTCCTATATTTCCTTTTGTTTTTCTTCTTCTTTCTTTTCATCCATGCAGCTGTTGACGCATGAAATGGCCATCCAACAGTTTATACGAGGAAAACATGCCGAAGATGTTGTCTACGGGCCGAGGAAGCTGGATGTTGTGTAAAACATGTGACTTCTCAACGTCATTACCCGATCTGGATATTCTGACTACAACTTCATCTTTTTGATATCTATATACTATGAAGCTACCGTGAGATATGCAATATATATATCGATCGAGTCTACTGGACCATCGCCACACAACGTCGAATGTATGCCTACACGCTACATACGGGGGCAAAGCCCACACTTCATGTGACTTGCCGTGAATCCGAGTTACAGGTCTAACATCCATGAAGATGATCGCGCAGCGGTAGGCAATATCCCGAGCTGCCTGCATCAACCTGGGATTGCCGTTTCTTTTCTTTGTTTTTCCCAAGCCGTATCCAGCGGCGTTAACGGAATTAAGAGGCAGCAGTGAACCTTTTGTCTCTGCGAGTGGGGTATATCAAGATGGACGAGGAATCCGCCGTTGATTCAACTTTTTTTGACCACTACTATATGATCCCCAGATGCAATGGAAGGGACTGAGAAGACCGTTCCCGGCGATGAGAGATGTGCGTCTCTCTCTAAGCCTGAGAAAAGGGACGATGTGGCTGTCGACAGGGTGGCAACAGATATCAGCAACGATATCACCGCCGAAGATGGAGGCAGTACGCAAGATGTTGAAGCTCGCGCTGAAGAAGCGGTTTATTCATCCTTCAGCAAGAGCACCAAGATCTTTATCCTGATGATGGCGACTTTTTCGTCCTTGTTCTCACCCGTGTCTACGACCATCTACCTACCCGCTCTGACGCCTCTCTCGGCTGATCTGAAAGTCTCTAACACCCTGATCAACTTGACCCTGACCACCTATATGATCTTTCAGGCCATCTCGCCTAGCTTCTTTGGTGACTTTGCGGACACCAGCGGCCGAAGACCAGCATACATTACCACATTCGGAGTGTATCTGGCAGCCAATATCGGACTAGCGCTGCAGCACAGCTATGCAGCACTACTGGTGCTACGATGCCTGCAGAGTGCAGGAAGTAGCGCGACAATTGCGATTACGATGGGCGTGATGGCTGACATTGCCACAGTTTCAGAGCGAGGGAGGTATGTAGGCATGGTGCTGACGGGCACTTTGGCCGGTCCTGCTCTCGGCCCAGTGTTGGGTGGTGTTCTTGTGCAGTTTCTTGGATGGAGGTCGACGTTTTGGTTCCTGGTAATTGGCGCGGGGGTGTTTCTGGTGCCATACACGCTATTTGTGCCAGAGACATGCAGGAACGTGGTGGGTGATGGCTCTGTGAAACCACCATGGTGGTGGAGCCGCACGTTGATTGACGTGTGGAAGGGGGGAAAGGGGCACCGGAGTGAAGCAGAGTGGGAGGCAGCTCTGGCAAGGCAGGGAGTGAAGAGACGGCCGGCCCGTTTCCCGAATCCGCTGCAGTGTGCAAAGCTGGTGCTGGAGAAGGATATCGGACTGCTCCTGTTCGTCACTGCGGTGTTGTATGGAGTCTATTACGTCATGCTGACCTCCGTGCCGTCCCTGTATAAGGAGATATACGGCTTCAACGAGTTCCAGGTCGGACTCTGTTTTCTGTACGTTCTTCCTGCTTCTTGGAGTACAAGATACTGCTAACATATATACAGACCGAGTGCAGCAGGGGGCGTCGCGGCAAGCTTTAGCATGGGCCACCTTCTAGACTGGAAATTCAAACGCATCGCTACGAGTCTTGGCCTGCCTGTGGACCGCAAACGAGCACAAAACATCAAGGAATTCCCCATCGAGCGAGCACGGATCACAGTCCTCTTCCCCTTCCTATACGCCGGCATGGCCGCCATGATCGGCTACGGCTGGGCTCTGGACCGCAAGGTGATGCTCGCTGGACCTCTCATACTGCAGTTCGTGGCAGGATTCTGTATGGCGGGCGCCTTCACGTCCACGAGCACGCTGCTGGTGGACCTGTACCCGTCCAACCCATCTGCGGTGACAGCAGCGAGCAACCTGACACGGTGCATGCTGGGAGCTGCCGCGACAGCGTCGTTCAGCCCGATGATCGAGCGGATCGGAGTTGGCTGGTGCTTTACGGTGTGGTGTCTTGTTACTGTGGGGATGACGCCGGGGTTGTGGGCTGTGGTCCGATGGGGTCCCGGGTGGCGGGAGGAGCGGCGGCAGCGAGACCTGAAAGTGCCGGCATAGACATCGAGACATGATTGCTGGTGGTTGCTGGCGATGTTGATGCTGGTTGCTATGGTAAACAGAGTGGCTGGTTTGGGCTTGCTGTGGTTGGCCAGACAACAGGAAGAGCCGAGGCTTATCCCGTGCTGACTCAGCCGGCCAGCCATGTAACGCGCGTACCGTATTACAGACATGAAGCAGATCCATCCAGCATAACACCCAGCTCCCAGCCAGCATTCAGCAGCATCCAATGCAGCATCCAATGCAGCTCCCAGCCTCCAGCAACCCCTAGCGAGATCCCGAGAGTGAAGTAAGCATGTTATAGTGGTGCACAGCCGAGGAGGTCGACGCTGTCAGATGGCTGGGAACAGGCTGGAGCTGGAGTTGGAGCTGGCAGAGCTGGCTGCATGCTGGCGGCTAGGTGGCAACCCAATCACCCAGGTCCACGCCAGCCTCTTACCTTCCTTACCTTACCTCTACCTTACTTCCTTACCTCCTTACCTCTTACCTCCTTACCTACCTTACCATCTACCATCTACCTCTACCACTCACCAGCCATCAATAACATATCCATACTAGATAGTCCAACAATAACATATATATATAAATGACACAGCTGTCTCCGTATCACGTATCATGTATGTAACTGTATGTATGGTGTATGGAGTATGCATGTGACGGACTAACCGGATCGGGCGTGTCGTAAAGTAAACAAACACGCGTATGGTATGGTAAGGGCGCCCCTTGCAAGGACAAATAACAGCTCCCTCGCTTCCTCTTCGTCCTCTTCTTCCCTTCTTCTTCTCTTCTTCTCCCTCCTCCCTCCATCTTCCTTTCACTTCACGCATCTCCAGCATCACCAATTGCACCCATCCCCATCTCACCAGACCCAGAACAAGACCGACTCCTGTCTATCTTCGTTCTACCCACCTCCTTTCTTCCCCATTCCCCGTTGCCGTAGGACTTGAGAGACTTCGTCTTTTCTTGTCTAGCCTTTCGAATTGTCTCCCAGTTCGAAAGGCATTCGAGAAAGGACGCCCCTCAAGCAGCCAATCTGGACTTTGACGCCCGCGTCCCCATCCCCTTCAGTGTCTTCCCGTCGTCGTACCGGAGTGACGCTGCTGTCGCTGTCTCTGAGACTACTCACGAGAGAGTAGAGGGAGAGGCCAAGTTTTCAGGTGCTTCGCGCGTCGGACGGGAAGATACTCGATACGAAGGCCCGCTCCCAGACCCAAGAACCTCTTCTTCTTCTTTCGATCACCGATTCCAGAACGAAGAGTTCCGTCCAGTCGCTGAGTACAAGCACACCACCGTTGTCGCTCACGAGGAGAACCCGCGTCACCACCACCCAGAAGTAGAACTTTCCCGCGAAAGGTCAGTCAACATCTATTATTTCTCACGTTCTACATCCCCTAACCAAGCATAGATACTACGAGACCAAGGACCGTCGAGAGGCAGAATTTGAATCTCAGCTTGATATCACTGAACGCCAGTACCGTGCCCGTACTGATCCTCGCTACCAAGCCCAGTACGAACCTGAACCCCGTCAAGTTCGTGACGTAGACGTTTCCTTCAACCGCTCCTACAGTTCCGTCGACGCCTCCAGACCACCCCAGCCCGTCCGTGAAGTAGACGTTTCCGTCAACCGCTCCTACAGCTCCATCGACGCCTCCAGACCACCCCAGACCGTCCGTGAAGTAGACGTTGCCTACAGCAAAGCCTACGAGCCAATCGACACCAGCCGTCCCCCAGTCGAAGTCCGTGATATCGACTATCAAGGACAGTCCAAGCAGCCAGCTACCCTAAACCTCATCTCTGATCACCGTATCGTTCACGAGAAAGACCCCAAAGCCAAAATGGGTTACTACGACGACGAAGGTCAGTACCACTCCTTCCGCCGTGGAGTCGAGCGTGCTGCCGAACGCGTGCTCCATCCCTTCCACCACCACCACCACCATGGCCATGGTAGCACCCACGAAGACGGAGTTATATCTGACGAGCGCCGCGTCACTGAAGGTGTCACCCGCGAGACCGTCCGTGTCGTCCAGCCCCGTGGTGGACACCCCCCAGACACCATCACCATCCCTTGCCACTTCATCCGCATTGGTGATCTCTTGATCCTCCAGGGCCGCCCTTGCCAGGTTATCCGTGTCTCCGTCTCCCAGCAGACCGGCCAGCACCGCTACCTCGGAGTCGACCTCTTCACCCGCCAACTCCACGAAGAGTCCAGCTTCATCTCCCACCCATCCCAGTCCGTCGTCGTCCAGAGCATGCTCGGCCCCGTCTACAAGACCTACCGTGTCCTTGACATGCGCGACGACAACCGTCTCGTCGCCATGACCGAGTCCGGTGACGTCAAGCAGGGTCTCCGCGTCGTCGACCAGGGTAACCTCTTCAACCGCATCTCCGATGCCTTTGCTGAGGGCCGTGGTTCCGTCCGCGCCCTCGTCATCAACGATGGTGGTCGTGAGCTCGTCGTCGACTACAAGGTCATCCACGGTTCCAGACTCTAAACAAAGGTACGCTCCCACAACCTTAACCTTATCTCTTCCACCCCTTCCCTTCCTTACTAACATACTCTAGAGATTCAAACCAGCCAATCCCATCGTGTGATCGATATCTACTACCCGTGTCCCTTTTACCCTGACTCATGAAAACTTGGATATGGATTTGGGGCTATTGGATATTGTGCCTGCATGTCAGCTGTCAAATGATACTTTTCTCTGGAATTAGTTCTCTCTTATCTCTTTTGTTAATAACTTGAACCCATCTAAGTAGTAGTGAAATCCTTTCCTTTGTCTATGCCTTACTCTCTCTGTCATTGTCATACTCCTAATCAAATCTGTAAAAATGAAAATGGAAATGAAAATGGTCTCTTATTTGCAACCACTTCCCTTGTAGCCTTGTCTCACTTGTACGTCCTTGTCTCACCTGTGTGATCCTGATGTATATGTTGTGTACCCCATACTTGTACGCTGTCTTGCTCTATTGTGTTCCTTTGTTCATGCATGGTAGCACAATGCTGATGATGTGTTTATCCCATATGCACTTACATAAAGGCCGTCCTTTTACTCCCTACCATGATGATTGACCTGCTCTTCACCTCTGTACCAGAAGAACACATAACCTCCATACCCTGAAGAACGCATATACCACCATGGAGTCTCCCCCAGCCCCCCGTCTATTAGACCTACCACTCTCAGTCCGCCTCCAGATATTCTCCTACTGCGTCATCCTCGGTTCCCACCCTCGATTATTCCCCATATACCCCTGGTGTGGAAACCACAGGGTAACCTTAGAAAAAGAGAGAAAACAATCACAGAACCAATACTCTCTTCTCCGCGTATCAAAGCAAATCAACAATGAATGCATTGAGCTCCTCTACGGCCAAAACATGATCAAGCTTCAGTTCCACGGCCACCTCGAAACCAGACTCGAGAGAGAACTAAGACCTTCAACCATGAAACGCATCAGAGACATCACTATCGTCTTTGAACAGGACTATAGTCCCGGGCCTACGTCGCGGCGGAACGGCCCACCGTCCGAAGAGTTATGGGCATCTATCATACCGGGATTGAAACGATTATGTCTCGTCATATATCTGTTGCCATCGCCTACTCATGTAGCTGATATAAACCGCCTTGAGCTGCGATTGAAATGTTTTGCGAAATATCTCACGGCCAAAACGGAGGTTATTCTTGATGATAACGATAATAAGACCGTCACCGATTTAGCAGCCAGGTGTCTTCCTGAAGGATATCAGAGAGCGAATGATACGGAAATTGGCGATCGAGTCTTTCGGAGAGGCGCGTTTGAGAAAGGGAGCCAATACTGGACGCGTGTTAGTAGGCAACTTGCTTCTGCTGCTCGATTTCCGCCGTCGCGGCCATTTGGTTCATCCAGATATTACGATTTTCTACGTTATGATTAGGTTAATCTATTTGTTATGATTCGGGAATATGCGTGTAGAAAGGGGAAATGGATTATTCTTGGTCTTCTGTGCAAGACTCACATCATCGTTCTAGGGAGAATTTACATATAATATTAAAGTGGATTGAAGCTCGGTTATGGGATTTATCTTGTTCCTTTTTCATCTCTATGGTGACCGGGAAATCGTTGCTGGTCTCCAAACATGCAAACTTGACATCCAACACAATCCTCTGGTTTCCCACAACGTCCAAAGACTCCAGCAACCTCCGAGACTCTACGACGCGACCTCTAAACGTCTGGAGCTACTTCCTCTGCTGGTCTCACCTTCACCATGTACAGCACAGAAGAAGCCGCGCGAGCCCTGACACTCTCCAATGCTGAAGCAGCATAATGGAACAGGGAAATTCTGCTGAAATTCAAGGCAGCCATGGAAAAGGATCCTGCGGTAGATCTACTATCAATGTTCCCTGACTCTTATCATCGCGAGCATCAGAATGTTCAGTATTTTCAGCTGTCTTATGCTGGAAGCATCAACCTCCGAGTACTAAACGAACTCCATGACACCCTCAGGCATGAGCCGGAACACCTCTAATAGGACTTTCCCAGAGCTTTGTCGAGTTCCAAATAAGGGCTTTCAAGGAGAGAACGAGAGACTCTTCTGTGTCATCTGGCCCGCTATATACTGATTCTCCTGACTGTGCAAGCAAAGACCACCTGTTCAGATGACGGAAAGATAACTGAAGCGGTTCCAGCAAGACCAAGACGTGTGTGGAACTCAGGGGCTCTTTTCTCAGAAATGCGTTTCTCTTTAGTCGGCACAACTGGGCGCCCAGTCGCCATTGTGATCCTGCGGGTATAACTCACAGGAAATGCAATGAAGACCTCGTCGCCAAAGTTATCACTGGAAATAAAGACCATACAGAGTACACGGGCTTGAAATATCTTGCAGAATGGGCACCTGATGCTCCCGCACCAAGGCCACATGGATTGTTGAACTCCTTCGTTCCTTTATTAAGAATGACCACTCCACTTCAACGCAAGAATTGGTGTTCACCCATCGTGATATAACGACTGATAATATCATGGTGAAACAGGATCCTAGCGGCTGTTATATTATTACTGGGATTATTGATTGGGAGTTTAGTGGCCTTTATCCTGAGTCTATGAATGCACTGGGCTGACTCGCACTTTGAGCCTGGTGGATGAGGATGATTGGTATCTCTATCTACTAGAGAGCATATCTCCATCCTAGTTTCCCGTACGTTGGCTGGTTGATCGACTTTGGGGCATCCATCTCAGAACTACATAGCCCAATCAAGATTGAATACTGGGGAACCTCCCTTATGTGTACAATGGACATATTCGGTGCTTTTTGTAATATGTGTGTGGTACAGATTATTATTATATCACGCCTAAAAATGTTGTGAGTGGACCTATGGGCCTAGCCTTCGGCGTGTCTGAATTGCCCTCGCACCCTGTTCTCCGGCACCCATATATTAACACCCTATACAAGAGTCTATACCGTACATACTACATATTGTACCTAGTAACACCTGGTCTACTACAATCAGTTATATATCCTAGATAGCTAGGAGTCTGTCTTTATATATTTGAATAGCTAAGGACGTTAGCATGCTATCACATTAACCAGTGATGAAGTGGCTGGTTGGAGGTGTCAAGAAACTTGAACCCCGCGGAGTACTCTATATATACGGGATGAATATATACATAGCTACTCCATATTTAGATAATGGTAGTAGTCGGCGCCATCAATATAGTGTTTCATCGTTCCTAGCAGGGGGTTCGCCGTGTATAAAGCCATCCAGCCTGCCCATCACCATTTACCCAGTCCCTTATCTATCATGCATTTAAAACCAGCAACTTGCAACCAGGCCGCAACGCAAGAGGGCCAGATGGACGAGGAAGCGAAAGTCACCTCATCAACGAATAGCGACTTACAGATAGCGAGGCAGAGACACCCCCGCACTTATACAAGCTTTCCCCAATTCCTGGATCTCCCATTTGAAACTCGTCGAGAAATCTATTCGTACTGTCTCGTGCCACGATCGTCTGCCGCTCCCAAAATACGATCACCGGAATGCAACGAACGGGATATCAGCGGTTGGAGAACCCGATGAGAGGGAAGTCCATAGCGAGAGACAGTACACCATCTTCCGTGTCTCAAAGGAAGCTAGCAAGGGCGTGTCTTGCGATATATTATGGTAGAAATTGCTGTGACCCCCGTTGGCAGTGAACAGGAGATGGAAAGGATAAGTGCCGCAAATAGACAGCTGGATAGAGACGTGGTGGTTGTTTGTGCTCGTTATATAACTAAGCGACAAAGTCCCCTGTTCACTCATACCGGCGATCCTTGCCAGATGAACAAGTGTTTTGCTTCATTGTTATCGAATCTGGATCGCTTTTCCATCAAGGTAAAGGATGTGTATGGTGTGCTGCACCGGGGTTTTTTTTTCACCTATAGAGACTGGTTCGAAGCCTATGTGGAGGGCTTTGGTCGATATTTATCCCCCAAGACTATCTTTGGATTTGATAATGGCAGCAGCGAGGTGATCAGCGAGATTATCGGGAAGCATATCCTGCAGCGGCAATCGAAGTCTGCATGATAGCCATATGAGCTGGCAATATTTCATTCTTAACTGGCTTGGGGACAGGGGGTTTATCAGGTATATATACACCTAACCCCTCAGGCCGCTACACCGTATTCCATCCCATCGATCGTATACCCAGCCTCAGCAGCCATGGAGGACCTCGGACTGGCCGTGTCAACTAACACCCCCTTTCGTTTTCTTGATCTCCCTTTTGAAATTCGTCATGAGATTTATTCCCATTGCATCCCCTACAACAGTCACTTTGAGGAGATTCGCTATTTCCGAGCCCGCCCTAGCATGCCACAGTTTAGCAGGACGGCAAACGTCAAGAATAAGCATGCTATTCTCCGTGTGTCAAGACAAGTCAGCGAAGAGTGCTTGAACATGTTATATGGTAGGAACCGCTTCTATATCACCCTCAACGCATCTAGACGATGCCTGGTTGCCAACCGGATCACCGCTGAAAACCGAGCGAGGATCCGAGACGTCGTGGTTATTGTACGTCATATGGGACCAGCATACAGTCGCCAGATGCCAGTGCCAGCTGACGGGCTGTGGTCTTCATTACTGCCCGGCCTGAGACAGCTGAAGATCATTGCAGAGCAGCCGGCGCAGCCTGCTCATTTGCCATATGACCCAGCCCTCGCCGAGAAGATCAGGAGCTGGGCTGGGTGGTTCGGGCCCTTGATGGAGTGCTTTGCCAAGTACCTGACATCTTACACCGTGGTCGAAGTCGATGAGGATGGCAAGGAGGCCACCACGGAGCTTGTCAAGCAGTATCTACCTCATAGGTATCGGACGGTTCGGGACGGTATCCACGGCGATTTTATCTTTCAGAGGGGACGGTTCGCCTTGACAGCATGATCTTCAACACGCATCCCTCGCTCCAAGGATCCCACATTGACCTTACTCTGATCCTGCAATATTTGTGTCTTTTCTTCTGCTTCAACAGTTTTCTCCCCTGCAGATGTTTTTCCCCTTGCCTTATGCCACGTGACGATATGTGGACCCTAAATACTTTAGCCGCGCGGGATCCTCGTCTAGCGCGACTTTATTCTCCTTGTCCCACTTTGAATATCCACACCGCGTCTAACTTTCCCGATCTATATCTCGATTCCCTTATGCCATATAGAGTTGTCTACACTAGGACTCGGATTACCTCGAAAAACACGTTGATTCTGGCCATGAAAAGATGGTTGCATTGACAAGAAGCCGCAGCAAGCAGGGGCAGGCGACCAGACCTATAAGGAAGTTTGATGCTCCTTCCAGTCCTCCTCGCTCTCGCCTGCTGGATCTCCCATTTGAGCTACGCTTGGAGGTCTACTATTACTGCAACCCAGAAAGTGCCAGATCGTTATACCTTCCAACGCAAATACAATCCCTTGGTTTATCGAACATGTGGAGGTTCCACTCAGAATCAGACGGGCTAACAACAACCTTCTCCGGGTGTCGAGACAAATCAGTGAGGAATGTTTGGACATCCTCTACGGAGAAAATGTATTCAGAGTGACTATCACACATGAAAATCACTTCAGAATGCAGAATTACACTTGCCAAACCTCGCACCCACATCTTATCAGCCGAAACATTACAGTTGCAAACCGCAGACGAATCCGCAACCTTCAAATCCAGGCACGTCTGCAGAGTCTGGGTCAATTTAGCTGGAACTGTCGGTTATGGCGTTCGATTCCGACAAAGTTAAGGCGCCTGACTATTTATCTCCGAATATCTTATATGTCATACGATTATCTGACGGATACAGGTGTTGAAATAATGTGGCATAGATGGGCTGCACTGTTTGTGAAACATATTTGCCAAATGATGGCCCCCCGAGCTATACCTGAGCTCACGGTCAGTGACATCGAAGTGAACAAATCGGCAACTAAGGACTATCTATGTATAGATATTGAAAGGGCAAGTGATAACCGCCCGCGTGTCAGTCACTGCTGGATCCCGACCTAACCAAACAATACCTACAAGGCCGCCTGCGTGGCCATCCTGCGCGATGGAGTTCATTGCATTATCGACAGACATGGCAAGCAAGTGGTAATAGTAAACCTCTACATCTTTTCTAATCCTGTCTCTTTGGCTTTTGCATATTTACTTTTTACTCCGTTTTTGTGCTGTTCGGGAAATTTACTTTGAGATAGTTACATGGCTTGAAATGAAGTCAGGATCTACATAATGAATATGCTACCTCAATAAGTTGAACGTAGACCGATGACCTGTTACAGTGACCTTGGTCGGCATATCACTATGATATAAGCTAGATTCAAGAGAGGCTTCATACCAAAGTATAGACATCAAACTATCGAAATGGGTCTGTATTGATTCATAACAAGGCCTAATTTTGATATACACTCAAACAAATAGTAAAAGCAAACATAGCTTGCCTACCGCCTGGATCCATCCGGCATATATGCGCCATTAAACGTCTAGGAAAGCAGACAAGAAGAACGAGAAAAAAAGCAAGTTTAAGACGAAGGTAGAGGAGTCGCAATGCGATAAACGCCGGTTGAATGAAAGGGGGCAAAAAAGAGTAGATTTCCTGCGTGCAGTGGAGCTGGTATCTTATCCAGCCTACCCTGTCCTTGACTTTAGGCGGGTAGGTATTATGGAAATCGCAACGCGAATGCAGATGGGACGAAAAAAAACGAAGAATCAGATCTGAACGTCGGTGAGAGCTATTTTGGCATTGGAGGAAGAAAAGTAATAAGGCAATAACTTGAAAAAACCGCGCCGAAGATGTGATATAACTCCATTCCCTATGTTGATTGATGTTGGTTGAACAGTTGGATATGATCCGTGAAGGCAGTGGAGGGTGAGATTGGAACCCTGGGTATAGAGGTGGATATAGAGGGAAGAGTGTGATTAGATGGATGGGTATTTGATGCCTGAGGGATGCCTTCCGGGGTATTTGCAATGCTATCAAAGCGGATGGCGGGTTTCGAGGAGAGGGGGGACATGTATGTATGTATCGGGTAAAAATAATATGCTTGCGAAGAGAAGAAAGTAAGATGCAAGAAACGGGAACTCCTAATGTACAATGGTATCATATCACATGGCATCAAGTCGAAGGATGGACTAAGACAAGGAGAAGAAATGGCCGGAGTATGGCATGGTGCTTATTTATCGCCATATTTGCCGAACATCTCCTGCCATTTGAAGAGACCTCTGGTCAAGACGTCCATCATCTCGCCGCTGGTGAGGTCTTTGAAGTCTTTCTCTTTGCTAGTCGCATCCGCAGAGGCTGTAGTGGGCGCTGAAGTCGGTGCTTCAGACGTGGAGATGGATGATCCCTGGTTTTCGCCTGTCGCCATACCGTTGGTCAGGCCGTTGACTAGTGCCTCTGCCTTTGCGAGAGTAGCTGCCATGTCGCGGCTGGTTGTTGCTACGGTTGATGTACCGTCGGTCGGCCGGGTAGGCTGTTCCCCGCTCGCGGCCATTTCGACTTGCATTCGTGAAATGAATTCTAGAATGGCAGCTACACGCCGGCGCATGTCGTTCATTGTGGTGCGGTTGGGGTTCATGTAGCGTGGTCGACTTGCTTTGCCAGACTCGCCGTTTGCAGAATATGGACCGTTGGGACCGGCGTTGGCGGCGCTGGTTGGAGAGTCGCCTGTTGCGCCGTCGTCGCGGGACTGGCCACGGCGGGGAGAGTTGGAAGTGGTGTCTGCGGCGCCATTGGGAGGGTCACGGTCTCGGGTATATTGATTGCGACCTAGACGACCGCGGCGGGCTGGAGGGCGACCAGACTTGCGAGTGGCAGGTTTGGGAATGGGTGTGGAGGCCGTTGGAGTGTCTGGAATGGATTGTGCGGGTGCATTAGGAGTAGGTTTTGTTGGAGAAGCGGTTTCTGGGGGTTCAGACTCTGCGAATAGTTAGTGATAAGTCATTCGTAGAGTGGATGGAGGAACGACTTACCTTCGCCTTTGCGACGATCGGCTCTGCTTTTACGGCGGTTAACGGTTTCTGGTACGGTGTCCTTTTCCGGCTCAGGTTCAGGTTCGACCTCCTTCTCGCGCTGGTTTCGGGTGACTCTGGTCTTCTTCTGGTTGCCATTGACACTTGCAGCCTTTGACTTTGACTCTTCCTCTGAGGGAGAGCGAGTGTTGCGCCGGGATGGCTTAGAGCGGGAAGATGGAGACGGCGAGCTTGTGCGCTGTCTCTTAGCAGCTTGTTTGTTTCTACCAACTGGTTAGTTTAACGTCGTTATACGCAGGTGGATGAGACGTACATTTCGCTAACACTGCGACTCCTCTTGCCTCTGCGGCTTCCAGTCTCGTCGACGAGCGAGGCGGTGTCTTCCTTGCTCTCCTCGATGGCTCGACGGAGCAGTTCTTCCTCGTCGTAGGCAGCATCGCGACTGTTCATAGTCCTGCGCTTCGTTCGCGGGGAGGTGTCACTGCCTTTGGACTTTTTGTCCTTTGAAGTTTTGGTAGAGTCTCTGGAGGTTGTCGAGGAGGCGGAGGAGGTAGAGCCGGCCACCGGGAGGTAGTGGGAGGATTTCTGGCTGCGAGATCGTAAGCGTGATGGCCACATTTGAGCTGATAGCGAGGAATGTGTGAAGATGTAGATAAGGAGATGGTAGAATGTAAAAGTAAAGAGTTGACCCGAGTGAGGCCATCTTGTGTGTTGTGAGAACAACTTGCGGTATTGAGCTCGGAATCAATGGTAAACGTGAATCGCAATAACACAGCGGTGAATACACCAGCCACCCATAAAAAAATAGTAAAAGTCGATTGATAAAGACGACTTACCCATGCGGTCCAACGATGATACTGTGCAAATCCTTGCGACATCTCTCGCAGAAATATTCGTCTGGACTCGAAGACTCTTCCATGATGCCCACACATCCTCCATGCTGCCAGACCTTGCACTCATCGCACTGGATGAACAGGCTCCCGGCATCCTCTGACTGCGCATCAGCACCGGCAGCAGCACCAGCAGCACCACCGGCGGCCGTCTCGTCCTTGCTGGCCGCTGCAGCCTTTGGGCCGGCGATGCGATTGGCAGCGTGGGCAGGCAGGCCAGGATAGTCCTGATGCCCACAGATGCAGCGTGTGATCTCCTCCTCGCCTTCCTCGTCGAATTCGTCTCCCGTCAGAGTGACGTCGGCATCGACTTCGACCTCGACCTCCTCGCGGCCCCGGGGCCGTTGCTGGCGAGTGCTGGTCGAGGTGGCGTCGTTCTTCGAGCTGGCGGCATCTGCCACATCGTCGATGGACTGGGAGCGCTGAGCAGCCGTCCTGCGCGGCGGAGTAGGCTTATTACCGTTATTCGACCGCGTGGCGCGCTCTGGTCTGCTGAGGGAGTTGATGGAGCTGGAGGAGGTCGAGTGTTGCATTGCGGTGGGTGCTGGGGCAGCTGGGTGCGTTGCGCGGGCTCGAGAGGAGCGACGAGGGTTCATGGCGGTGGGCGCATGCAAGGAGCAGGTGTTTACTGGAAGAGATATATGCAAACAGAGTGGTATATGGTGGTATTGAGGCCGGTGAGGTGCCAGCCGGTGGTGGAGGATGCAGAGCTCGGTCAGGGCTAAAATTCTCGCTCGATCGCGGCGTCAACGGGCAATTGGGATGGTTAGCAGGTCTGGCGGTGGAACTCAAGTCTCGCGTACGGCTTCAGGCGAGGACGAGGGCTGCTACATGCTCAGAAGCCGGGGGAGAGCGGTGATCGTGGTTGAGGGAGGTCGACGGTTGAGGATGAAGAAGATGGAGAGACGGAGATGGAGGAGTTGGAGGAGACTCGCTAGTTCCCCTCGTCATCGCGCATAACCACCACACAAGAACATACAATCAAGAGAAGACACAAGAGAAGATACAGATATGAGAGAGAAGAGAGAAGAGAGAAGAGAGAAGACGAGAAGATAAAGAAGAGAATATACAGAAAGAATAAAGAGGATGTTGCTCGGTGTCGTGGTTCTACAGTATGTTCCCTCTCCTACTCTCCTACTCTCCTACTCTCCTACTCTCCTACTCTCCTACTCTCCTACTCTCCTACTCTCCTACTCTCCTACTCTCCTACTCTCCTACCTACTCTACCTCTCCTACTATATACAGAGTACTACTTCTACTTCTCTTCTGCTTCTACTGTACTGACTATTCTCTATCTAGGACCATCTTCTCACTCCGACGCTGTCCGCATCACGGTGACTCGAGTACAGAACGAGTACAGAACAAACAGCAGAAGAACAAGCAGCTCAGACAGTTCAAGGAGGTCAGGATAGCTTAAGGAGGTCAAGAGCAAGGTCAAATATACTACAGACAGCCGAATAATAAGTAAAAGGAGTAGAAGTAGAAGTAGAAGTAAAGTAAACGAGCATCGTGACCTACCATAGCAACCAGCAGACCTCTCTCTCTCTCTCTCCCACTCTCTTCTTATATCCTTTCTCTCTTACTCTTACTGTATTCTCTCTCTTTTTCTTACTCTTATTATCTTCTATCTCTCTCCTCTACTTCTATCTCTCCTCTATATCCTCTACTTCTCTCCTCCAGATCGTACCTGACCCAAAACGGCTAGCGTGGCAAGCGAACAGTGAAAGTTGAAGATGAGAACGAGAACAAGAAGCAGAAGAAGCAGATGAAGAACAGCAACACCAGCGACTCTCGACCCTGACGACGAAGCGAAGACGACGAGACGCAGACAGCCTTCATCTCCCGAGCGACGACCAGACGACCAGACGGACTCCAGACGTTGCTCCCTGCTCCCCTTCCGCCTGCTGCATCTCCCGCCTGCTCGCTTCTCCGTGTGATCTGTCAGTGTGCAGCAAGAAACAGCCAGACAGCCAGACTCGGGGCCGGCGTGGTAAGAAGATAGCTACGGTCTATAGCTGCCGTGATCGTGCAGTTTCATCTCTAGGCTTGGTTCGGTGCTGACTTGTGGACTGGGACAGTTGTTCAGTATTGGGCATCCACCCATACCACATAAACACGACCACCACGGAGGAATATCGAGAGAGACGAGAGAGAGGAGGACGAAAAGCTGACAGGACGAGAAGACGAGACGAGCATTCACAGCCACACGCTGCAGCTTGCAGGACGCATTATGGCTGCCACTCTGAGTACGTTGGCCACATATCCATATATCAAGGCACAGGGGTTGATGCTGGCTTTTGATACTGCTCTCTGGAGACGTGAATATTCTCGCTGACGATCTGATGAACCCTCGAACAGGCGGAGCGTACACCTCCGCTCCTGACACACCGTCTCCCATCTTCCCCGAGCGGCTCATCCGGCCGCTGCCCAAGAGACCGCTGCGTTCCCGTCTCTCCTCCGACGCTGCAGACACCATCCTCTACCCTCCCTCACAGCCGACCACACAGCTCTTCTACGGGGCCTACTCGACCACCGGAGACTCCCTGAACGACGCCAAGGTCTACGTCCAGCGTAACATCTACGGCTACGAACACAGTGCTGACGGTGGTGACGGGGACCACGACCACCACGACCACCACCATGACCATCACCACCACGACCACCACGATCATGACCACGAACATGACCACGACCACCACGAACACGAACACGACCACCACGACCGCCACCCTTATGAGGACGGGCTGGAGTCGGGTGAAGATGACGGACCGGTGGTTGTCCGTCGAGGTGTAGGGTTCCAGCGAGCTTCGGTTCCGTCGTCTGCGGTGGGTGGCGCAAAGGGGGCATCGACCGGCACCCAGGACGGCTATGATGCGTTTGAAAATACAAATAATAAGAAAAAGAGGAAGATACCTACGTCCGGCGGGTTAGGATGCCATTCCAGCCTCTCCTCAGAGATTGCAAGCTTGTCTTGCAGCGGGGGTTCTGGTGCTTCGATTTCAGTGGACGATGGCAGCGGGTCGGGTTCATACTACGGCTCAGGGAACCCTGCCTCCCCCGTTGGAACTGCTGGCATGTCAGGTAAAGGTCGATATGGAAGGAATGGCTCTGGCCGTGGTGCTACCGCCCGGACACCGCTCGCTGCCCATTCACCGAACTCATGGTCCACCGGTCGACGTCACGATAGTGCCCTGGCCCAGGAAAACTTTGGTAAATTTTATTCACACCATATATATCTTTATATACTGGACCGTTCTAACACACACACACCCCAGAACCAGGTAAAGACCAAGGTATAATATCTGCAGCAATAGCCAATGCCGCTGCAGCTCTCTCTTCGTCCGCTCCCCAGGGCCAAAAGAGTATCAACTTGCTCGACCAGACCAAAAGATCGGCCCCGGCCAAAACGCAATTCACGTTTACCTGCGAGTCAGATTCCTCTAGAGGCATGGCCTGGCAGTCCGCACACCCGTACTCTCTCCCCGAACACCACCGCTCCGTTGCTCAACCCCCCTTGCCAGGCCAACGGGGGTTCTCTACCCAAGGAACCCAGACAAGTCCCAACATGGCCACCCAAGCAAACCACCAACAACAACAGCAACAGGCTCGTCAACAGCAGCAGCAGCAGCAACAACAACAGCAACAGCAACAGCAGCAACCACCAGGTCAAACCCAGACACCAGCTCCACCGCCTCGAAAACCTCGTCGTTCCGCCCGTGCTATCTACGCCCACGCCGCCCGCCAACGTCGCATCCAACAACAATATACCAACCTCCACCACCCGCCTGACCTCGAAAGCATCTGGATCTGTGAATTCTGCGAATACGAAAGCATCTTCGGCCATCCTCCTGAAGCTCTAATTCGACAATATGAAATAAAGGACCGCAAGGAACGCAGACGATTAGCTGAGAAGCGCCGATTACTTGAAAAGGCCAAGATGAAGGGCCGCAAGGGGAAGAAGGGGAATAAGAACGCCGCCAAACAGAATGCTGCTGCACTGCATGGTCAGAGTCAGGGCCACGTTGACCGAGCTCCTCATCCGAACGATCAGAATATACCACCCGATCACGACGATAATGGCGAAGAGTACGATGATGATTATGAAGATGATGGACATGACGATATACATACAGACGCAGCCCCGCGTATCCCACCCTCAATCCCCAAACACCATCACCCTCCGTCCCCGCCGAATTCAATGCAAGATGGTACCGGTGGTTGCGGCGGCCTGCAGTCGGGAAAAGTTCCAGCTGGTGGAGGAGGTCCTGGACGAGCTGGTTGACGGTTAATCAACGAGCTTACACCTCGTCATGGTTTGCCCAGCTGCTCCCTGCGTCTCTTATTTCATGTTTGTCTCTCCTGTTCCTTCATTTTACTGTACTTGTTCCTTTCCCTTTGTCCGCTTTCTCCCCTTACCTCATGTGCATTCTCCTCGGTGCCTTGTTTATCCCATTTATAACCCATTGCTAGCTCTTAATCACGTTTTGCCGCCCCAGTCCCATCCCAACCCATCCTAACCCCTATCCATATCCCTATCCTTGTTCTTACGTTTTACCCATTTCCCCCCTTATCGTTCCGTTCCATTCCCTTCCCTCATCTATAGATATGAGCGTCATGTCGGCATGTTCCGGTGCTTTCCCATTGATTGTTTCGAGTCTCGTTTATTATCCTGTCATAACGTCCCCACTCTATTTTTACTTCTTACCGCTCTCTTTCATCGCTTCGCTGTTTGGAAGCGTGCTACGCTATGCATTTAGCCTGCATGGCATAGCGCTATTGGAAGCGTCCGCCCTTTTTTTTTTAGATACGATTGTTGTCCTGTGTGGAGGTAGCTGTTTCGGTGGTGAGAGATGTCATCGCTGTGCGGTGTGGTGCAGTCCGGTACGGTATGATGCCGTGTGTTGCTGTGTTAGGGTTCTGGCGATTATCTCAGTCTATATGCTGAGTATACTGTTCGCTACAGTATAGTCGAAGTCCAAAGTCGAAGTCAAAGTCGAGTGAGCTACAATGCTAGCATCAGCTGTGGTTGAAGATGGATGCTAGCATTGGGCTACATACATATACGTACTCCCCCGGGAGATGGGAGATGAGTATAACGAAATATGAAAATAACCATATTCTTCTTCCCGAGTACAATACTTCGCCCCTGCAGTGCATTGTGTCCATGAATAGATGCCTCCTGAAACCCTCGAGTGGATAGAGCGCTTAGAGAACCCTTCACTGTAGCCGCCAGAGCGGGCTTCTTAATTTTAGAACCCAGCGGGTTTATACTCCGTAGATGAAACGAGTAGCCCTGGCCTAGAGTAAACTGTCTTTTCCCCGTCGTTAAACCACATCCTATCCCCTTGACCTGTCCGGGTTGACGGGCGCTAAATGAAGCCGGCGCTTAACCGCCCAGCTATCCCTGAGACCAAGTCAAGGACAACTCCCATCCAATCCATCCCTAGTCAACTAGCAAACCTCAGGCTTAGGATCAGTCTTGGTCTGCTCTGTATTTAGACGGGCCCATCGCAGACCTGAAGAATCTTCATGCGTATAGTATGCGCTGAAACTCCAGGCCGAGCATGTTTCATGATTTGACCTCCCAGGCCATTGTTCATATGCAGCATTTGATTCGAGCATGAGAATGATCCTGGACTTGACAAGCGGTACTTTGCAGCTATCTTTGGCTTAGAGATGGAAGCTATATCGAACAATAGACAATAGGGGGGAGATGTGAAAGGACATATAAGCCGTCCTGTCCTCGAGATATCTTCCTCCCTTCTCTCAGCATCATCAAACAGTCCAGCATTCACCGGTCTTCCTTTTCTTTCCTTGTCGTTTTCTTCTTTTTTCCTTCATTCATCTATTGTCTTATTCATTCAACTAACAGTGTTGTATTCTTTCTGTCCTCCTTCACTTGATACCTACCAGTGGTGCAGCGCACTGCTTCCTTCCTTCATATACCATCTTCTACATTAAATTCTGCTTCTGTGAAGCCAGCCAGTCTCTCGACAGTTTATCAACTTAATCTCTCTTCGCTCATTCACGAATACAAGGGATATATCCAGTTTATAATCTGCGACTTCCCCTTTTACTCAACCAGCTTCAACCACCATATACACTCAGCAACCGAAGACATATCTATCAAAATGCTCGTTGCAGGATTACTTCTCAAAGGCCTCAAGAGCCGCTACTCTACTGGCTCCATCTTCGGTACCCTGGTAGAGTGCTGCATTCGATTCCTCCAGTTCGTCTTCGGCATCGCTATCATCGGGCTGTATGCGCAGGATGTCGACCGGGCTAGAAAACACGGAGACACTCAGGACTCAAGATGGGTTCGTTCTCATCTACTTCCCCCCTACATTTATCGTATATCACATTCTAACAGCCTTCTAGATCTATGCAACTGTCGTGGGAACTCTCTCTGCCATCTCAGGCCTAGTCTACATCCTCATCCCTTGCGCCGTTCGACGCCCTCTCTCCCAAGCAACGTTCATCCACCTACCATGCTTCATCTACGACAGTGTACTGGTAATTCTCTGGCTGACGCAGTTCGGAATCTTCGCCAAGCTGTACATCACCGTCGATGATGAGAAGGACCCTAATCTCAAGCGCATGAAGCACTCCGCCTATATGGACTTGGTCAACCTGTCATTCTGGATGATTACCTGTGCCTGGTGTGGTATTCGCTGGTGGAGAGGGAACAAGGCCGGCGCTGTGCAGAGTAACGAGAAGGCCTTTGATGAAGAGCAACACATTGAGCAGGTTTAATGCTGATTACCCATTTATCTGCCGGTTTTCTTTCCAGGGATATCTCCCTCCAACCTTTGTTGTTTCTGAACCATTTTCTCCCTGTTGTTGTACGGCACGGAACATCCTTTCTTTTGCCTCTAATTTTCCTACGGTGTTCTCTTTAGAGATTTTTTTCCTTTCCTTTTCATTCTTTTTCCTCTACTCTGCTTTGCATCTTCCGGCGCTCAAGGAGTCTTATGCATTTACATTTACAACGCATTAGCATGAGCGAGGACAAGAAAACATAAAACTTGAATAATTTTTTTCCGATATCGCGCTCAATCCATCCATGGGTATACAAAAAGAACGAGATAAAGAAAGGAAGAACAGACCCCTTCCGCCAGGTGATTAACACTCCGCATACCCATTCATCATTCAATACATTATCCATCCATTGCCCGAACTATTCTCATTCCGCCATATCATCCCTCTTTCCCCGTTGCCAGGAAGGAATGTAGATCTATCTATCCATATCCCTATGCTGACGCCTTGGTATATCCCTATCAAGGAGAGGGAGAAGTACAACACTCATAAACTACACATATTCAAAAGATGGGGAACGACGACCTGAATTAGAACTGGGTAAGGCTGGATGACCGGTCCAACTTTATTTGACCGGCCTGGTTTGGGTGGAAGGGGATTTTGAAGTCGACGATCGAGAAACGAGAGGTGGTGGTACATCTGGCGCCGTCGCCGTTGCCGCTGCATTAGATGGTGGTTTGTTATTACTATTAGTATTATTGCCAGCGGCGGTGTTTGAGGAGGAAGAAGGGGTGGGCGAGTGTTTTGATTTCGACTTTGACTTGGATTTCTTCTGTGGCGAAGACGAGGAAGGCTGACAATGGTGCTTTGGCTCAGGCTGTACACCATCAATCAAGTTGGTAAGGGATGATACGTGCTGGTAAGGTTCTTTCTCTTTGACCTGTTTCTTGACGAAGCGGGTGCGGAAGTCCTTTTCAACCAGAGACGCGGAGGAAGGCTGCTCCTGATGTGGGTTGCGGTCTATAGTTACCGCCGAGTTTGAGAGATACTCCTCCAGAAGCCTTTTATCGGCAGGCGTGATATTCGCAGACATTCGTATGTTTGCGGTGAGGCTCCCTTCTTCGGTTGTGTATGAATTTGTCTGCTGGGGCTGGCCCTGTGGTTGTTTAAAGGGGGATCTAAACTGTGGCCTTTTCGATACACTGGAGGGTGTAGGGTTGGGTGGCCTTGCAGTAGGGGCTGGAGGGGGGATATATTAACATTTTGCCCCTTTCAGCAGGGCGCTGGGACTGCTTACATTCTGCAGGACTTTCGTCGAATGGTCCCCTAAACTTCAGTGGAGGCGACTGAGGACGAAGCTCAGCCGAACTCTCGAGAGTCCTCACGGGAAAGGGTCGAGCGATCTTCCTGGGGAGAGAACCTGGCTCCATCTCTTGTGAGTGGGTGAGGTTACTTGCAAAGGTGGTCTTCTTTCTCCTGATGGAACCAGATCGAGATTGATCCGAAGGCTGGTACAGGCTGTCTCCAGAATAAGACGCAGTGACTGCGCCCTTGGAAGGCGAGCCGATCAGCTGCTCGTCCGAGGTTGGCCGTGGTTTCTTCAAGATTGATGGCGGAAGCTGAGTTCTCACGCTGCTGCCTGAAGGGGTGAGCCTGGAGCTGTTGCTTCTGCTTGGCCCCTGAAAAGATGGTGACTTGGGCATGGAGTTGTCGACGTGGAACCCGTGCGGGATAGCCCTAGCTTTAAGGCCGGCGATCTAGATTTCAACAAGTCAGAGTCTGTGTTATTGCTAAAACGGTATTCTCCGGGCGAGTGTTATTCCAGGGTGTTACCTCTCTCTCCTTTCTCAGCCACTCCTCGGTGGTATACGCTCCCTCCGAGATCTGGATGAAGAGCGAGGCCAAGGTGTAGCCACGGATCGTGCAGCTGATACGGCCGTTACTCCATATCCTCCAGAAGAGATTCTCTAGCCGTCGGCCTGCATCTTTCTCCAGGGTGGTCTTGTTTGTCGTGTAGACTAGACCCCTAGTCAATAACCGAGACGGCAGAAGTGACAATGGGAAAGGAGGACGTTACCTCGCCACAACCTCGCCACATCCTCAACCTCGACGTGTGCATCGTGGTTGAGCTCCGAGCGGATGCTGTGGGTGTTGAAGACGATGCCGTGGGGAAGAGCGTCCGTCATGGTCCAGCCGCCCGCGAGACAACGTATATATGCAAAGTGAACTTCAACGCGGCCACCAGCATAAGGATATCACTTGAGACTACCAGAGAATGGCGAAGAGACGGGTGGCTGAGCTGTGGTATATAAAGGTATCGCTGGTATGTATGTTTGCGGTGTGCAGGGTTAAGCTCAACGGGCGCGCATGATCAACATGGCGCGGGTTGACGGCAGCCAACACACGAGCGCAAAGGGGTATTTTAGCTCTCGGTTTGCTGTTCCTGAGGATTGAAGGATCACCAATGCAAGGAAGATGGCGTGTGAAGAGCGGGAAGAAGCTGTGTTGGTGCGAGATGGAGGGGAGAAGAGAAGAAGAGCGGGTGATATAGAAGAGGCGGACGGGGGAGGTCGGCTGCTGCTGCACGTGAAGTGTCCGGATGACCTGCGGGTCCGGTGAGATATGAGCTGAGAGAGAATGGAAGAATAGAAGAATGAAAACGAAGATGGAGATGAAGTAGAGGATAGTAGTAGAAGTAGAGTAGAAGTAGAAGAGGTGAGGTTGTAGAGGTGAGGTTGAGATGTCTCGATCGGGATGTCCCACTACGGCAGAACGCAACAGCTACAACTACACGGAACAACGACAACATACAACGATGGATGATGAGACCAAGATAAAGATGAAGACGAAGATGAAGACGAATAAAACGAAGAAGACGAAGAATATGAAGAGAAGAGAAGACGAAGACGAAGAAGATGGCAAGTCATGTGAGTAGGCCTAAGCCTCGATATAGAACGAAGAATGCAGGACGAGGTCAAGAGGTTAAAGATGGGCCAGACAAGCCGCAGACGAGACGCAGACAGGGGCAGAAGGCTCAGGTTTCAGCCAGAAGCGAGCTTTCGATCGATACCTTGCATCCGAGTCGTCCATCAGCTGTGACAGGCGATATTTCTTTTTCCTACAGGCTGGGATATACCGTCAAGAACCTCGTCTCGAAGTCCCGACATCCTATGCTCTCTCGCCTGTCTCTGCATGTACGGATGCACGATATCGTTCTCGTATCAGCGGCTTTCTCTCCTTTATCATTCTAGTGCGTGCAGCGAGAGGCTGGACTCGACATCATACCCCGGGATACGGGGTGCCTACATAGACGGCAGGGTAAGGATATCGGCAAATGGTGGAAAGCTCGAAAATTACTATTAAAGAGGCAGATCTAACTAACTAGCCAACCGCGGGGAATATGGGCTTTATATGCTGGAAATATGATGTGAGGCTGGAGTCTTCGTCTAGGTGACGGTATACCCGCCGTCAACACGCAGGTCGGCGCCAGTAACGTACTTGCTCGCATCGCTAGTTAGGAAGACGACGGCACCCATCAGGTCCTCCGGGACGCCCATCTTACCCTGGGGGATTAACGAGGTCCATTTCTTGTTAAGGTCTGGGTTGTCGTCGAGGATTTTGCGAGTCCTACATCCGTTAGCATGGATACTGAAAAGGGGATAAACGAGGAGATGGCACGTACAAGGCGGTCAGCATGTATCCTGGACTGATACAGTTAACCCTAATACCGGCACCCGCCCATTCGACGGCCAACGAAGCTGCCAGATGCCGGATTGCCGCCTTTGCAGCGTTATACGGCGCCTGGGGCTGTGGCACATTCACAATTGAGCCAGACATGCTTCCTATCAGCACCATGCTGCCGGGAGCCTTGCGCTCCATAAGATGCTTTGCTACCTCGACCGCAAACAGATACGAGCCGTCGACATTGACGTTCCAGAGCTTCTGGATACGGTCGTACGGGTAGCTGATGGCGTCGAAGTTTTCGGTGAAGCCAGCCGAAGTAACCAGGTGGTCGATCTTGGTGTGTTCCGCGAGGATCCTGGAGATGCTGGAGGTGACGGACTCGGGATCACCGACGTCGGCGTAGTGAGCGGTGATTTTGGGGAGGCTACGAACTATTTAGTGACCGTTATATTGTAGATTGGGTAGCTTGGTAGCTTATACTGACCGGTCAAGGCCTGGGTTCTCCTTTTCAAACTGTTCCAGCAATTTCTTCGCCTGGAGCTCTGCTTCCTGTTCTATAGAGCTGTCAGCCACACCTCAATGCCATTGATAATGCATGTATACGTACGGTTCAAGTCAACAATGGCAAGATCCGAACCAGATGCAACCAATGCCTGGCCCATAACCAGCCCTAATCCACGAGCACCGCCGGTAACTACCGATGTTCGGCCTTCGAGCGAGAACGAGGCCAGCGTCCTCTTGAAATGGCGACCACCCCGGCCCTGCACTATGGGCGTCTGTGGCATCTCGGCATCAGTGGGATACTCGACTCTCACGCTGTCGTCGGTACGGGCCAAGCCGCCCTCGGCATTGATAGTGGCTGCCGGAGCTTTCTCATCTTCCTTGTATAGAGGTGATGAGGATGAGAGGTTGCGGTACGCTTGCTGAGCTCGTCCTGCGGCTGCGGCTGCGACTGCTGGAGACGGGCCACAGGCCGCTCTAAGCAAGGTACTCCTTGCCGATAGTCTGAACATTGTGCTTGCTATCGGTATAACAGGTGTGTTGACAAAGATGTCGACGAGGGAGCAGAAAGGATGGATGCCGTTGGCTATAGAACGTCATAGCATTAGTAACTGAGCTGTACAACGGATGAAACCTGACTCTCACCTTGTCTTCACCAAACCACGGCAGCTTCAGGGATCAGACTAGGATGGTTTGATGCTGATCAGCTTCAGCTTCACCTATCCTCCTTGGCTGTTGATTGTATTTGGTAGACGGAGGAGATGCTCGACCGTCGCGACCAGCTTTATGTGACGAGGTGGAATTGAAGCATGAGGGAAGAGAAAGCAAGGGAGAAACGAAATCTCTTCCCTCAAGTGCCTGGGAGAAGAAATATGGACCTCCCTTCCATTGTTGATCCACCGCCAGGTCACTTGAGCTGAATGGCCGACTTCTTTTATAAGCAAGAAACGAGGATGGGCGGTAACTACGGGAAAGGGATAAGCGATAAGGCAGGGCAGAGGTGAGCTTTATCTGTCTGGGCAACCTTTAACTGGAGCTTTAACTGGGTTTAACTGGGTTTATCTCGGCTTAACTGGAGCTTTATCCCGGCTTAACTGGTTTAACTAGAGGCCAGGGCCCTGGACGGCGCTTTTATCGGTGGAGACGGTGGCGGAGGTGCTTCCAGAAGGCCACGAAGGCCACTCCTTCATTCCTTGGATTATGTATCTTTTTTTATTGATTCTATCGTCTAGATTGATGAGGTATATATACAAAAGGACAGGACTTGGGTTCCGTTTTCCAATAACCGCCAAACTCAAGGGAAAAAGGACTCGTCATCGTATCATCTATCGCGAAAATGTCGCGTTGTAGTAGGTAAAATAGGTATGGCACCGATAAGCCGCACAAAAAGCCATCGTGGCCTGAAAGGGACGTTGGTTTGCTATGTTTCTGTTCCTTGGCCGATCAGCAGGAAGGGGATGTGGAGATTCCTTTATACGGGTGAGATATTTTGACAATGTTGATTGAATCTGCGGTGGATAACTCGGACGAGATATTCCACACTAGACGAGACCAGACCAGACCTTCTCCCATACACACTCGTTCATAAACAAACATTTCATCGTTCACCGTCTTTGATAGCACGGACCGGAGATGGCTGGGCCCCTTACGAGGACTCAGGGGCTTCCGGCTCAGCCGCGAACTCGACCAGTGCAGTGCCAGCCTTGCAGATATCCTATAGATCGCGTTTTGTCAGCATCACATCTAGACTCTTGACTTGAGATATTCTTTTTGTGGACTTACCCCCTGTTTATGCACGATCTTCTCTACAACTCCCTTGATGGGACTCCTGATGACGGTCTCCATCTTCATACTCTCAATAACGACCAGAGGCTGGTCCTTCTCCACTACTGAACCCTCCTCCACCTCCACGCGCAGGATCTTACATGGCATCGGGGCGAGGACGCTGTTGGTCAGCTCCTTGATACCGAGTGCCTTCTCCATCCATTTAGCACGGGGGATTTTGAGCCTGTACTGTCTTCCGTGCTGGAAGGCAGTGGCGCTATCCTCGTCGCGGATGACGGTGGTATCGAGACGGGTGTGTGGGAAGAAAGAGGTAAGGGCCTTGCCATCGGCAGATAGGGAGGCAGTGACGTTACTAAATGTAGTCTCGTTGTTGATGGTGACGTTGTAGCTGGATGGGCCCGTTTGCTGGATCTGTACAGTGGCAGGCGTGGCTTCGGGAGTATTGGGAGCCGTGGCTTCAACAAATGTGAACTGGCGCTGTTGGTAGCCTGGACTGAATCCAACGCCGGCACCAGTGTTTCCGGCTGGGTTGCTGACGCTGGTTCCTGCGATGAAAGTTGAGAGAGCAACTTGGGCCCAAAGCTCGGGCTCAACGGGCTCCTTTGCGAAGAGCTCCTCGCGATGTTTCTCGATGTATCCAGTCTCAACGTCACCAGCAACAAAGTCGGGGCTCTTGCAGACACGCTTGAGGAACTCGATGTTGGTGATTGGGCCTGCGACTTCGTATTGTTCGAGGGCCATGGTGAGGTTGCGGAGGGCTTCGGTGCGGTCGGCACCACGGACGATGAGCTTCGAGATCATAGGGTCGTAATGCGAGGACACTTCGTCACCGGCAACGAAACCGGCGTCGATGCGGACGTCCTCAGACGGCTGTGGAGTGCGGACGTGAATCAGCTTACCAGAGTCAGGCACGAAGTTCTGCTCTGGGTTCTCAGCGTAAATTCGAGCTTCGATGGCGTGGCCCATGGTGGCCATCTTAGCCTCAACTTCTTCCTGGGTGAGAGGAAGAGGAGATCCCTCTGCGACAAGAAGCTGCCAGTGCACGAGATCCTGGCCCGTAACCATCTCAGTAACGGGATGCTCGACTTGCAATCGAGTGTTCATCTCCATGAAGAAGAACTCGCCGGTGTCGTTGTCGAAGATAAACTCGACAGTACCGGCACCTTCATAGCCAACAGCCAAGGCCGCAGCTCTGGCCTTGTCCCAGATATCCTTTCTCGTAGCCTCTGGCAGATGTGGTGCTGGCGACTCCTCGAGAACCTTCTGATGACGGCGTTGGACACTGCAGTCTCTCTCGCCGAGGGCGACGGAGTTTCCGTGCTGGTCTGCAAACACTTGCACTTCGATATGACGTGGAGTGGTGATGTATTTCTCAATAAGCATGTTATCGTCGCCAAAGGAGCTCATGGCTTCCGACTTGGCTGACTTGAGCTGGTCCTGGAATTCGGCAGCGCTACGGGCGATACGCATACCCTTACCGCCACCACCCTTGACGGCTTTGATGAGGACGGGATACTTGATCTTCTCGGCCTCAGCGGCTAGGAAGTTAACATCCTGGTTAGTACCGTGGTAGCCGGGGACGCAGGGAACGCCGGCGGCAGTCATAATTTCCTTCGAGCGACTAACACTGTATTAGACTGACAAGTAGCTATGTAGAGAAAGGTTATAAGACTTACCTCTTGTCACCCATGGCGTCAATGGCTGAAGGTGGTGGTCCGATGAAGATAAGACCGGCATCTGTGCATTTCTTCGCGAAGCCTGCATTCTCACTCAACTGCATCCTGTTAGCACCACCCCACGTCTAGCGTAAATAATGATCATCAAGAGACGTACGAATCCATAGCCAGGATGTATTCCCTTGCATCCCTCCCGTTTGGCAATCTCGATTATACGATCTCCATCCAGATAGGCCGAGGTTTCGCCCAGGTTGAAGGCAAACGGCGAGCTCAAGGCATGCTGTGCGTGAGCGTCAGGGTCTGTATACAGGGTCGTCACACGGATGCCGTGCTGTCCGGCAGTCCTGCCCACACGTCTGTAGGTATACTATTAGCAGAATGTCCAATACCAATTGAATAACAAAGAACGTACAGAGCAATCTCTCCTCGGTTGGCGATGAGGATGGAGTTGAGGGACGTGGTACCCTTGCCAGTAGCTGCAGAAGAGCTCTGGCGGAGGGACGAGGCGGCGAAGAGGGCGCGCTGGGGGATGCGCGAGGCAGAAGCACGCAGGAGGAACGACATGATGAAGTTGAAGCTCGCTGGGTATCTCGACTAGAAGCCCAACACCATGTCCGTGATGTGAAGTTGAAGTTCGATATACAAGCAACTTCGCAGGGAAGAAAATGAAGCCGCGCGAGTTTCCTAGTTCGGCACTTTTGGTGGGCGCGCCGACGGAAAGCGGGCGGTCGGCGGCCGGAACCGGTATTTACCCGGTATTTTCAGCTCGGAGAGGGACACCGAAGTCACGAGGTGCTCGGGATACCTTCCCTTTTTGTTTACACCACGTGATATCTGGCCTATTACGTCAGACACGGAGAAGAAGAAGAAAAAAAGGCGAAGGAACAAGCTGAGACCTTTGGAGCTTCGAAAAACCGGAGTTTGATAGCAAGCAACAACATGACATCATGAGCAACAGGAGAGACGGGTGACCTAGTTTGTCTACGGGCTGCTGCACTTGTTTGATTGTTTGAAGCTGTTTCCAACTTTCACTACCACTTTCGGCGTTTGGTGACATCGGAAGTTACCTTGCAGTTCGGGTACTACCATCGCCAATTGACTGTCCCGTGTCTATAACTGTTGGCTGTGACGGTGTTATACGCCTCTGTATGCAATAAGTTTGCTATATACTCGTCCGCAATTACTTTTTAGTGTTAATTACAGCGTCTTGCTGTCCACCTACCCCGCCCCCGCGGAGAAAAGCACCATGTCCGGCGACGAGGATTACGATGACTTCTTCGAGGAGGAGTACCTCTGGATAGACGCCGGAGATCCTCATATCACCGTAAGAGAGTCCTTTGTCACCCAACTTTAACATGTGGAATGTCTAATGCGGGGGTGAGATAGGATGAAATGGCCATGTTGATAAACCCGGACCCCGTATACTTAGACGACAGAGCCCTATACGCCGCGCTAGAGAGCGATACAGACTGGGACTACCTTACGGACGAGTACTACGATGACGATCCGACTCTGAAACTATGCCGTCGAAAGGAGAAGGCTGCCGCGAGAAGAGAGAAACGTGAAAGCCGGCAACAGGCGCCCATTGACCGGGCCATGTTCTGCGGCGTGTCGTGGCAGGTAGGCCCGCGCGCGGAGAGTAATGGACCAATTTACCAGCCTGGAGATGGAGAGAAGGTGGCCCTGCTCAAGAATTGGCGCGAGGTGTTCCATGAGTCGAAGCCAAAGGGGAAGAAGGCGAACGACAAGCTAAGGTCAGATGGGAAGAAGGTCCGGGCGACGTTCCATAGTCGGTTATCGACGAGGCCACGGCGAGGAAAGGGCAAGAGAGACGAAGATGATGAGGTAGGTATAGACGCTGGAGACGAGGGCGATACAGATGAGATGGATACTGAGAGGAACGGACTGGGTCCTATCAACTGCCCTCCCTCGACATCTCTCCCCCTCCCGCCATCTAAATTTGGCGACAACGCCCAAGATGATGAGACCAATAAACCAGCAAAGAGAGGCCGTGGCCATCCTCGTACTATGCGCGGCGGTGGCTCGCAGCTGAAAGAAGTAACTCTTGCTACTGAAGAGAAAAACCCTGCACCAGGGTTCGAGATCATGGTACCGTCTGCACCCGCCGATGCGGCAGAGTATAAAGAGATTCCAGTTCATGATAAGCCAAAACGGGGGAGAAAAAGAAAGGCGGATTCAGCCGCAGAGCAGGCTACCCCTGCCCTTGCTGATGGCCTCAGCGCTAGCTCTGGCCCTGTAAAGAAGTCTAAGCGCAACAAGGGTGAGAGTGCGAATGGCGCGAGTACTCCGGCCCCTTCTCGGCCTACACGGTCGTCAACGAGGCGGAATTAGATACGTTATTGTCATTGAAGTGTCTGCTATTGTGCGCCTAGATCGCATATCATGTACTATCTTTACATAATACAAGTCTCTTTTGCTGCAATCATCCCGTTATCCAGGGTATATACAATCCATCCTACCATTTAAGAAAATTCCTTGTTGAACGCTCTGCCAATTACCATTCGTCTGATCTCGCTGGTGCCCGCGCCAATCTCGTATAACTTGGCATCCCTCAGTAGCCTTCCGGCTGGGATCTCGTTGATGTATCCGTTACCACCCATGAGCTGGATTGCGTCAAGGGTGCACTCTGTCGCACGCTCAGCAGCATACAGGATGGCGCCAGCACAATCTTGTGTTCGGACTTGAGTCCCTTCAGCGGAGACGGCGGACTGGTCGACGGACCGGGCGGTGGTGTAGGTGAAGGCCCGCGAGGCAGCGAGCTTGGTGTACATATCTGCCAGCTTTCCCTGGATGAGCTGGTTGTGGGCGATGGGCATACCGAACTGTGTGCGGGTGTGCGTGTATGGAAGTACAAGGTCGAGACATGCTTGCATGATACTGCCGAAGGTGGGTTAGTTACCAAGCTGTGATGATAAGCTGTAGAGGGGGGTATCTTACCCTAGTGGTCCAGCGCTAAGAACAAGACGCTCAAGGTCGAGTCCCTCCATCAACACTCTGACACCCTTGTTGAGGTTTCCTAGGACGTTGGCGTGTGGGACAAAGACGTCCTCGAAGATGAGTTCACCAGTGTTGGATCCACGCATGCCGAGCTTGTCGAGCTTGCGGGCACACGAGAAGCCCTTGAAGTTCTTCTCAACCACGAAGGCTGTGATACCCTTTGAGCCGGCATCGGGTTCGGTTTTGGCGTACACGACGATGAAGTCGGCGTCAGGGCCCTACCAATTGTTAGCCAGGAAGTTGAATTGAATTGTAGGCGTAAACGTACGTTGGTAATCCACATCTTGGTGCCATTGAGCACGAATCCACCATCGACAGCCTTGGCCTTGGTCTTCATGCTCACGACGTCAGAGCCGGCCGAGTGTTCGGACATGGCGAGGGCACCAATCTTCTCTCCGGAGATGAGACCGGGTAGGAAGCGCTCCTTCTGCTCTGCCGAGCCATTGAGGCACAGCTGGTTGACGCAGAGCTGCGAGTGGGCGGCATACGAGAGAGCAATGCTTCCTATCCCACGTTAGAACCGTATAAAACCACCTGAAGCAACTGAAATACCTGATGCACGACTAAGCTCCTCCATGACGATACAGTGTGCCTGGTAGCCCATTCCAAGACCACCGTAAGTCTCCTCAGCGGTGATACCCAAGAATCTTCATCTATCCATTAGCTGCTGCTTATCCTAATCTCGAAAGCGGTGGTGGTAGCTACCCGGCTTCGCCAAACTTCTTCCACATCTCCGGAGGGAACTGGTTCTGCTGGTCCGTCCGGGCAGCGACCTCCTCTGGTATCTCGCGCTCTAGAAGCTATCAGCATGATCCTATACCACACAGCAGCTGGAGATACGCACTGGCAAACTCTCGGACGGTGTCCCGGAGCTCGTTCAGCTCCTCATCTGTCGGGGGAGTGAAGCCTTTAGGGTGTTTAGTGGACGCTGCTCGCCATGCCGCAACTGGCACAAACTGTCTCCGGGCGCCCAGCGTAGCTCTGGAGGCCGTACGACCGATAAAACGAGGGAGAATTGGCGACACCATAGTGATATAAAGATACAATCAACAAAGACCAAAGGTGATACTTGGGTATACAAGAAAAGAAGAAGAAGAAGAAGTTGTAAGTTGCCCTCTTTCGGTCCTCGGCTGACTTTCCCTTTCGGCGCTGCGGGCGCGGCTTGCGGCGGCAATACAGCCCGGTAACGCCAGTACAAGTGGGGCTTTCGGCAAACTTCCTCCAGCTTTATTTTCCGGCTTCGTTGACGTCCTGAAGAGGAAATTTCTTCGACCATATACAATTTACTCAGCAGACGACTGAGAATGACAGTATAAACAGCTATATATTGTCCTCTATATTCATTGTTTAAGTGCCGTCTTGACTGTTGTCAATTGTCTCTATTGCATCTCATCTCGACGGAGTACTGGTGATGGCTCTCCGCGCCCCCACCGGGCTGCTGCGTAGCCTGCGATGCGGCCTCAACCAGCAGCTCCCTCGACGAGCTGGCCTCACGCTGAACAGCTCCAGCTACCGGGTCAGGAGCGTCGCCAGCTTCACGCACGCCCACCAGGCCTCTGCCATCTCGGTGCTGCCCACCACCGTCGACACCTCGTCCGCAGACTTCCAGGAGAACGCCAAACAGATGGACGAGGTCCTGCAGAAGATGAACGAGCTGCACGCCAAAATCGCTCAGGGAGGCTCTCAGAAGGCTCGTGATAAGCACATCGCGCGTGGGAAGATGTTGCCCAGAGACAGAGTCACCGCGCTCATCGACCCGGGCACCTCGTTCCTCGAGCTCTCCCCGCTGGCCGGCCACGAAGTCTACCCGGGCGACGATGTGCCCTCCGGCGGCATCATCACTGGAATCGGCATGGTCGAGGGCGTCAACTGCATGATCGTGGCCAACGACAGCACCGTCAAGGGCGGCACCTACTACCCCATCACCGTCAAGAAGCATCTGCGTGCCCAGGCCATTGCTCAGGAGAACAAGCTGCCCTGCATCTACCTCGTCGACTCCGGCGGTGCCAATCTGCCTCATCAGGCCGACGTCTTCCCGGACAAAGAGCATTTCGGTCGTATCTTCTTCAACCAGGCCCGCATGAGCTCGCTCGGCATCCCCCAGATCTCAGTCGTCATGGGTCCCTGTACGGCCGGTGGTGCGTACGTTCCGGCCATGAGTGACGAGTCCATCATTGTCGAGAACCAGGGCACTATCTTCCTTGCTGGACCACCGCTGGTCAAAGCAGCCACCGGTGAAGTCGTTTCCGCTGAGGATCTCGGTGGTGGGAAGCTACACTCCACCATCTCCGGTGTGACCGATTACCTGGCCGTTGACGACGCTCACGCCTTGACGTTGGCCCGCAGGTCGATATCAAACCTCAACTGGCCCAAGACCACCTCGCCATTGACGCCCACATCCACTGCTTCAACAGCTACCGAACCCATCAAAGAACCCCTCTACCCAACTTCCGAGCTCGCCGGAATAATAGGCACCAACCTCCGCCGACAGGTCGACGCCCACGAAATCATTGCCCGTATAGTCGATGGATCGGAATTCTCCGAATTCAAACGCGACTACGGTACCACCCTCGTCACCGGCTTCGCACGCATCTACGGCACCCAGGTCGGAATCGTAGCTAACAACGGCATTCTATTCTCCGAATCCTCCCTCAAGGGCGCGCATTTCATCGAGCTCTGCGCCCAGCGAAACGTCCCCTTGCTCTTCCTACAGAATATCTCCGGTTTCATGGTCGGCGCAGACGCCGAAAAGGGTGGTATTGCGAAGAACGGTGCTAAGCTGGTTACGGCCGTTGCTTGTGCTGATGTTCCTAAGTTCACTGTCGTATATGGCGCCAGTGCTGGCGCAGGTAATTACGGAATGTGGTATGTTATATCCCTTTAATGGCCCCTTTCCCCCCTTTTTATGAAGTTTTATGAAGTCAGGTACTAACTCCCCCCGTAGTGGCCGTGCTTACTCTCCTCGTTTCCTATTCATGTGGCCCAATGCTAAGATCGGTGTCATGGGCTCCGAACAGCTAACCAACGTAATGGCCGCGGTTGGCAAGAACATTGATCCCTCGCTGCGTGACCGTATCGACGCCGAGAGTGAGGCTGTCTTCTCGTCTGCGCGCCTATGGGACGACGGCGTCATCCCACCAGCAGATACGAGAAAGGTATTGGGGCTATGCTTGGCTGCCTCCGTCGGCGGACGTGCCGAGGAAGTAAAGACAAAGTTCGGTGTTTTCAGGATGTAGACGAAACTACATGATTATCCCTTTTCTTACCTAGTTCATGTTATTCTTTTTTTTTTTTGGTTGGTTGGAGGGATACCTGAGCAGAAAATAGAATCATGTACAATTACAGTGCTCGGTGCACGGTTTGAGGTTGAAGTCTACTCCATTACACGGCCCAGCATGATAAATCTATTCCATAGATATAGATAAATAGTTGAAGACAATGAAAGAAGGCAATGTAACGACTCCACGTCAAGCGGAATATTAAAGTCAGGTCAGAAGGAAAGTTGGTAAGTAGAACAGAGAATGTATGAAAAGAAGAAGATAGAAAAAAGAAAACCAATCGAAAGGATGGAAAAGTAAAAATATATATACAGGATAAAAAGATTCCCATACTTTTTTTTGCCTGTAGTGGCTCGCTCGGCTCGGATTTTTCGCTGGAGTCAGTCATGATTATATCGTAATGATTTTTGCTCTTTGCTCTTTTTTTCGTCTTTCGTCTTTCGTCTGACAAAAATTTCCAAGAGCAGAAAATAACAAAGGGGAACTTTTCAGGGAGGTGGTGTTTTAATAAGGGAAAAATATGTATATCACGAAATAAATGGTGTAGCAGAGGATCGACCCATAAAACAAGGTAGAGGATATAAAAAAGAAAATCTTAGAGAGACATAAATAGTAATAGTAGATATCCAAAAAAAAAAAAAAAAAAAAAGAAGATAGGGAAAGTAGCAAACCAGTGATGCGGAAGGGGTATATTAAGGCGGACAGCACAAACAAAGGACGAATCACTTGCAGAGAGAGGCGGTGGACGGTGGAAAGGAGGTGAACGAGCAAACGACGTGACTGGCGGACGGATGGTCAAAGAATCACACAGTCTGTCTTCATCTTTGTCCTCCTTCGATGCCGTCGCTTGTCTGCTCCGCCGCCCGCCTCTTTCTTCCGACTGCTTCCGTAATCTCTATCCCGATCCTTGTTCGAGCGTATATCCTTCCTTATAATCTGCCGGCAGAGATCGATAAACGCTTCGTCGACGTTCGCACGCCTCCGCGCCGAAGTCTCGTAGTACGGCGCATTCCCCCACTGTTGGGATAGTGCGAAGGCGCGTGATCGCGAGACGGCGCGATCCTCTTCGAGATCTGATTTGTTGCCAACGATGACGATGGGGACCTTCTCGTCGTCTTTGATGCGGATGATTTGTTCGCGGAGCTCCTGTAGCTCGTTAAGCGAGGACATGCTGGTTATCGAGAAGACTAGAAGGAAGCCTTCGCCTTGTTTCATGTAGAGTTCTCTGAATGGTTGACTGTTAGTAGCCGCCACAAACTACTGGGCTTGGCCTGAGGGGTAGGGAGGAGTTCGCTGCTTGTGTGGTGTGTTTGAGGATGTCATGGATAAGGTTTCATAGAGATTGAATTACCTCATGGCGGCTATAAAAAGTTGTTAGACTGGGTTTATCATGTGTAGGCCGGGTATTGTGGCTGTTGTGAAGACTTACTGAACTGCTCCGTCCCGGCTGTATCCAGTCTATGGTTCATCAATCAGCAAAGGTTGTTCGTTAGCTCCGGAGGTATAACAGGCCGCGCGGTGTCTATTCTCCGGTGTTATTCGAGAGGATACGTACATTTCGAGAAGGCATGGTCGTCCCTAGAAGAAGTATTAGCGGGTAATCCGGACGGTAAACGATAGGAGTGCAGACTCACATCTACTGCAAGAACCTTCCTGTAGGAATCTTCGATGGTCGGATCGTAGCTTTCAATCCATATATTCTGTACAAACTGGGCTGGGAGCTATCAGCTGGCTGCCATCAACAGAGCGTCCTTTGGTGCTCACCGGTCAAACAGCTCTTTCCAACACCACCTAGGTCCAGTATCAGCAACGTCCAGCGGTGTATAGGGTGTATAGGGTAGCCTACCAGCGCCCAGCACAACGATGTGATATTCCCGCCTGGCACGCCGAAGATAGTTAGCCACGATACTCGCTGGAAGGGTAGATAGGGAGTGTTTGCGCGGAGAGTCCAGGGAAGCGCGCAGAAACTGCGCCGGAGACATCTAGGGCAGACGGGAAAAGAGACAAGAAAGGGCCAATTCGAATGCATACCGTGGCTGACTCTTTGATGCCATCTGAAAGGCGGCAAGCTCGAATAGATTTAATTAATAGGGACGAAGGGACGAGAGAAGTGCGGCGAGCGACGACGCGGCGCGGTGGATCGATGCCAGGGCAAGCAGCTCGAGCGCTTCGGACAGGGAAGCGGAAACAGAGGAAGGATTGCTGCAGCCTCCGCCGAACGGGACCTGCGCGATGCTGGACAGTCTTTGTAGTATAGAAGGGGTTTATTTCTGGGGAGGGATGGCGCAGAGTTGGAGTAGCACAACCGCAGTCACAGCACCACGACACGATGCCCACGACCACCAGCAGGCCGGTTCACTAATATGAGCGACGACGGGCAGCGGACGGACAGAGTCCCAATTTCCCCCCCGAAACAGCCGGACAGTTTAGGTCGAGAGGACAGGTCGAGAGGATAGGTCGACGGGCAAGGGACCGAGATGCCTGTACGCCAAAGAAACCTCCCCGGTGCAACGGTTAGCCAGGAGAACGCCAATATGACGGGAGAACGGACTGGACTGTTCGATTATCAACTTCTTGACTTCTTGACTTCTTGACTTCTCGACAGCCGAACCATGCGCGGTACGAGAAGGCAGCACTGGGCCGGGGTCGAGATGAAGGCGTTTCCAGCAATTGGGGACGGACGGGGATGGGTGTTTCAGCGGCGGACAGCCTGTGTCAGTGTCTTAACGATCCTGGGCCAGTCTGTAGGTATAATCTCTATCTCATTCTGCTGAACCTGCTCGAAGCCGGGGAGAACTTCGCTGTGGGGGCTAAAAGGAGATAAATATGAAGGCAAGCTAATTACCTAACAAGGTTACCTGGCGGGAACTAATAGACGATGGGGGATGGCCGTCTTCGTCTGCTTCTTCTTTTTTCTCCGGGCCCCTTAGCAGAGGGAGGGAGCAGAGGAAGCTGATCATCAGGAGCTGGCGGCCGTCTCGGGGCCTTGGGGGCTACATGGTGATAGGATGTGTAGCCGGTGGCTGCGGGCTGCGTCTCAGGCTCACATTATAACTAGTTTATAGGACTTCAGGCTCAGGCTCAGGCTCAAGTTCAGGCTCAGGCTCAGGCTCAGGCTCAGCTAAAGCGAGATCAAGACATCAGGCATGAACGCCTAGCTCAGGGTTTCTCCCTTAGCCCGACTTCCATTACCCCGGCACCGGCTCTCTTCGTCGCTCCGTATTGGTGGCTATCTACACGCTATACAAGCCGTCCACAGATCACCGCCCGCTATAACTCTGCTCTCCTAACGCTGCTAAGTCTGCTAGGTCTTCTGCTAACTGGAGACCTGGCGCGGCCTTGATAGGTCGGGGAATCGACGGCCAGGATCCAGCGTCCAGCTCCCGAGATGAGACAGGGAACGCAAAAAAGGAAAAAGGAAAAAGAAACGCCGGCTGGTTGACATCTATATCGCGGCCGGCACACGGGCCTTTGGCCTGCAGCCCATGCATCAGTCCCTGCAATCGAGATGAGGAATGCATCGTAGCTAAGACACCGTCGATCTATATCTGCCAGGTCGAGCTGAATGAGATTGCTGGCGTCGTTATGGTCGTCTTTATGATATGTAGAATATATGATGCGTGGCTTGACAGGCTAACACACGCCCTGCATACTCCGTATATACACCGACCTTATGCGTTATCAACATACTCCACAAAGCAGGTATCCTCTGCGGTGCCGTCAAACTGCTCAGCCAGCTTGGCCGGCGCTGTCTGCGTCTGGCTCCCTAACGCCTTGAAAACGTGCGGGAAGACGAGCCGGTCAACGTCCCGCGCCCATAGGAAGTCCAGGTGCTCGTAATGGGCAATCTCGGTTGCGGTAGTATGGCTGGGCAGCTCCTCTAGCATCACGTCGATGTCTACCAGGCTGTCTGAACCGCCGTAGACCAGCACGATGGGCGTCTTGATGTTCTTCGTCGGGAACTTGGCCGGCTTGTAGAAGCGTGACCGCGCAGCGATGCTGAGCATGGAGCCCGCGTCGTCGTCGTACATCTGGAAGCTCTTGTTGCGGATGATCTGGAACCAGTGCACGACCGACTTTGTGCTGGTAGACGAGTACAGGTGGGCATACGCGGCGAGTTTCTGGGCCATGCTGATATTCTTGCCGCTCCAGTTGAACAGGAACGACAACGCCGTGTCGATGATGCGGACAAAGATTGGCGGGTAGAGAATCGCCTGCCACATCGCCGTCGAGCTGAGGATGCTCCGTCGACCGAACGCAAGAAACATCACGTCCGGCGAAGCTTTCACTAACGCATCCACAACCCCATTGCTAAGGCCCGCGGGAGACATGGCCGGTGCCAGCCCAATGAACAGGTTGACCTGCTGGTTCAGCGTCGGATGAATGGACAGCGTTGCAAACGCCTGTGCTGTCCCTTGTGAAAAGCCTATATACGATAACGACGGCTGGCCCGTGACCGAAAGGATATAGTTGATGCTATCCGGGATATCGTGAAAGGCAAACTGGTCCATCGAGAAGTTCCAGAACGCGCTATAAGAGGGCGATAGCGTCGTCGACTTCTTAGAGTACTTGTTGCCACGGTTATTCCCGAGCCAGACATCATACCCCAACTCCACCAGCCGGAATGGCAGACACCTGCTCTCGTCCGTCAAGCAGACCCAAACCTCGCTGCTCATTAGCAGGCCGTGGTGGAGGTAGACGACGGGCTTTCGGGGCGCCTCATGGCCGGCATCGTTGACGTTAGCGTAGGTATGCTGCTCGTCCTTTCGCCAGGGAAGCCTATGTAGTCCCAGCAGGTAGCCGTCCCCCGTCTGGACGACATGTTCTTCGGTCTCGTAACCAAACAGATCACAGAGCTCGGTGAACTCTGACGCCTTTGCGATGTCTGCAGATATGCTATCCTGCTTGGGACGCTTGGGCTGAGCTACCGAGAGCACATGAAACAGCCGCTTCGACTGTCTGTAGCAGATGTTGATAACAGTCTGGGCTGGGGTGGCCATTAGCCCATGGACAAGGACATTAAGGGGTATGTATATGTAGCCAACTCACGAAGGCAGAGGGTGATGATATGAATGATCCCTTCCAGAAACACCAGCCCCAGCGAGATTAGAAGAGCGATATACTCCGTCCTATGCCATTCCATCAGCATCTTCTCCATAAAACCTGCTATCCCAGCCCTGTTTCCTACTTACCAGAGCAGACGGCCGATAAACGGAACTCGCGCCATCATCACAGAACCCCAAGCCACCCGGAAAACAAGAAGCCAGCAGGAAACAAAACCCCAGTCTTAGCCCTGGCGATGCACCATCTATCTCTCTTCTCTTCCTCTTCTTCCTTGATATCTTCTTTTTATATCTTCTTTTTATATCTTCTTCTTCCTTCGCGCTTTCGCATGTGAAAAACCAACTTACGTCATCAAACACGGTATCTGCTTAGTCATTAGTCACGGGACTTGTTTTCCCTCCTAACCCAATCAGGCGATGTTCACTCCGAGATATCAGAAAGAGCTATATAGAAAGACGAAGTTATAGCTCAGCGGGCGTATAGACAACCACCCCCACGCCGCTGCGATGCCGAGTTCGTGTAAAGACCTGCGTACGTTGGACCCGATTCTGCCTGTCTGCTGCTTTGTGCTAGACATGGGCGTTCCCGTGGCTGCACCATCTGACACTGGAGATCCCCATCTGACACGAGACGGTGCTAACTGTGATGTGAACCACAGGCCAGGCGCTGGCGGAATGCCTGCAGGAGTCAGAGTGCATTATGATCCAGCGGAACACGCCCCAGGAATGTCTGCGCTCTCCCAACCTCGAGCAACTGCCCGTCAAATGCCAGCAGCTGAAGAAGTGTCTCAGCGAGTGCAAGTACGCAACCCTCCTTCTTTCTCTGCTTTTGAACACTGTCTAATTGGATACAGACGAGGCATGGTAGACATGCGCAAGCGATTCCGCGGTAACCAGCCCTTCCAGCTCGCCAAAGAGACAGATAGTGCTACCGGCGAGGTCGTGGAGAAGAAAAAGCCTGTCCCGCAGCTCTACGGTGGACGACCGGCGTTCCAGGCCGTCCAGGCCGTCCAGGAGATAAGTGGTGATGAAGTGGTGATGGATCCTGAAAAGACGAGAGGCTTGTAAGGGCTGACTCTACGTGGTGATGGGGGTGCTCTCCGTAAAAGACGGGGCTAGACAGGACTTGCATTCTACAGCGTAAGGATTTCATGAGCATGGCGTTTTGGGTATATACTCATCTCTTGAGGAATTGTACAATATACATATCAGCAATGACTAGTATTGGGGAAGTTATACCATTATTAAAGATAATGTTCTCGTTCACATAGACAAGGGTAGGAAATCATATCATCACTTTTTTCATGTATAATACATCGAATAAATAAGTAATCGGTCAGTCTCGCTTGCCATGAATGATAATTGGGAGCCGAAAAGAAGAGCTTCAAATGAAAATCAGATGAGAAAAAGATATACCACTCCCAAATGCTGTATTTGTTGCTTTATTTATCCCATAAATGATTTTGTTATCTCATTTAATCAATTCTATTGGACTTTTTTCGCTAGGCCGCCTTTCATTGGTGGTGCTGAATAGAGCCAGATCATGACGAATGCAAGGAATCCCCCGATAACTGACCATAGACCGGCGATCCAGACCCATCCGCCGCTGATGCGCCAGCTGCGTGGCCATTCGTCGTGCGCAAAGTGACGCACCGTTACTTCGTGCTTTTCTTCAATGTTGGTCAGGAATGGTCGTTTGTAATTGACGCGGAAGGAGAAGATGCCATGTTGGTCGGGGAGGGTGAAGGAGGTTTGGTAGATGGCGGTGTGTTCTGTCCTGTCCACGGGTTGGAGGTTGAGACGGTGGAAGGGAGATAACATGGTGAATTCCAGTTGGACGGCATCTTCTTCTGGGGCCCAGTAGGGAATCCATTGATCATAGCTGTATTCTGACAACTCGATGGTGAATGTCTAGTAATACATGTCAGATATTGAGCTAGTAAAAGTAAAAAAAGGGAGGAGGATATACGAACCACGTCGTTTTTAATACGGTAGATTGATGGGTTCAGCTCTCTGGTTCCGGATTTCTCGTCACCCTTCTCGTTCAAATGATGTTCAACTCGGGTGACTTTGACAACGCCAGTCTCCTGGAAGGTCCAGGCAGTAAGCTGTTGAGCAAACTGTCTATTGGCGGTTTCTACTTTCTTGCCATTTGGTGCTTGTACCTTGGCCGAAAACCATTCGTTCTTCAAGCTGTCCACTGATCCGAGAACAGTGACTCTAGCAGAGTTTCTTGCTTGCATCGTCGTGGCTAGTGAGAGCTGCGAGCCAGTAGGCAGCTTCTGGTCAATCGATTGCTCGTCATCCCGTATGTCATAACTATACGCCGTAGATGGGGCCCGAATGATAGGAGCCAACAGGGGACTGTCGTTCCCTAGAGACTGTGCGGCAACATTTGGAAGAGCCAACACGCCCTCTCCTCCGAAAAACGGCTTGGTGTCAGGGCGTAGTTTGCCAGGGCGGGGGAGAAGGAGAACATCATGTTTCTCCGCGGCGGATATGGTATCGTAGTTGAAGTGGTCGACAACAACTGGGGCTCGGTCTGGGGAGAGATGTATGTCGAGCTCGAGCAGAAGGGAGCTGATCCCGCTGGAAGTAGGAGCACCGCCAGCTAGGGCGACCAGCACATTTCCATCATCATTGACAAAGTCGAGTAGCGCTTTCGGGCTCAGGGCAGGTCCAAGGCCTATAAATGTTCACGTCAGCCCGGCTCTCATGCACGCCTGCTCCATGAATGAAGGACCCCATGCCACACCTTTAGATTTTGGCGGGAGGACTATAAGATGGTCGTAAGCCCTGGCTCCCAGATGGAATAGAGAGAGCTTGGTATTTTTCGGAGACTCGAATGTAAGTTTGAATCCTCGACCTAGCAAACCGCATGCATATTAGCAAAAGAGTGGCCTTCAATAAACGAGGTACCGCCTCCAAACCCCAGGGTTACATTAGTATGCAGAAAAGACTAACTTTCCAAGTCTGCCCAGAAGGTCGAGAACAGATCCCTTTCAGAGTCGTCCTCCTGGATAACGAGCAGCCTGTCCCCGGCACTGCTCAGGGCGAGCACTGCAGCGCTGTATATGCTCAGGCATAGAAAAGTAAGCAGCCACTTCATCGTGGAGCTTGCGGGAGGCCGCGTTGTAAGTGATCGAGAGGAGGGCAAGGGGCAATTGCTCCCGGACGACGATGCTGTGCAGACAGCTTTCAACAGAGACCTTGATGCGACGGTGGTCTGAGTATCATCGCGATCCCAGGTCGTGGATGGAGGAGTTGTAGCTTGCTCAGCGCATTCGTGTATGTAGCAGTAGTAGCAACGTGTAATCACGTAAGGCAAAGCCAGATGCGCACAACCACGCCAAGCCCCGGCCAACCACAACCGACGCAGACGCAACCTCACATCGTCCATCTCGACAAGCAGACGAGCAGACAGGCAAACGCCATTGACAGCGAACAGCTCGATATACGCCCGTGTTGGTTAGACAGCCGACGGAGCAGCCAGATATACCGCTACACGACGCAATTGGCACCCGACAAAGACCTTTTTTTCGCCTACAAAGAACAGGGGACTATCCACCATGTCGAAACCGTTCTTCTTCTCCCAGCCATTCCGCTACATGCGATGGGCTTCGTATGAAAAGCCAGCCATCTTCTACTCGCTCGTCATCGGCTCTCTCGGTCCTGTAGCGCTCTTCACGCTGCCTCCAATCCGACGATACTTCGGTGATGTCGACCCCGCGGAAGTGCCCTTCTCATATCCAGGTACGCTCCACGCCCTCACGATCATTCGTCTCATCACTCCTGCACTTAATAAGAAAGAACGCTGACCGGATTCTTTTCTGTTAAAAGTTCCCTCTGGGCCAAGGCAGATACCTCAAGGATACGATGACGAGTAGATGGCGAGGCATGGAAATATAGACTCATTCGGCGGCTGGCGAAATAACGGCATCTCAGGGCGCATACGTCTTCCAGTCGACTCCCTACGACGCCTTATACATCTACAACACCACACGAAACTATTTTCTGGCGAAGGTCGCCATACCTATATGATAGGCAATGGATATAATGGAACATGGTGACAATACAACTACAGAGGAAGAGTGCAGCCGTCTGAAAAATCTGTTCATTTTCTATTCTTTTTTCGATTTTTGTACATATATGTCATATTAGCGGCTATTCAGTTGGTTCTTCGGTTCCATTTGTCACTCTTCCTTTACGTGTAAAGGTGAATATTTTACCTGGCAGATCTACAATGTTGAAAGTATGATTAGCTTTCTACATATATCTAGCCCTGATGGCAGGAGTGCCTAATACAATCTCAAAGGCGAGATGACATTCTTACTCATCTCATAATTGAATAGAAGAGGGCAATGTTAGAAAAGAAGTTAATGGGCCTTTGTATTCAGCAAGTATATGTAATAACCGAACGCCCTCTGATGCAACTATCTAGTATGGAAGATATTATCATCGCCATGGCCTTTTTTTCCCCGCATAACGGCAGCGATATAAAAAAACCACGCTCCAAAATATGATGCAAGCCATCATTGAAAAGAAGACCAGAAAAGTTCATCTGCAATGTTATCAAGGGTATTTAAAGGGTGTTCGGGCGTGTGTATGGATATGGATGGATATGGATATGACGAGAAGGTCCAATTATTAAGGAGTATCACCACACAATATCGAACAGATAAAAAACAGCATCAAGACAATGGGGACAAAAAATGAAAAACGAAAGAATAGATCGAAAAACAGCCCTAATGCATCCATCGAGAACGGGTCCAACTGTACATTTAATCAATCGCACGGAAGTTTCGAACACACACACACACGTGAGGTCGGGGGAGAGGGTAGATCAAAGAGAAAGACAACATCGTAGAAAGAAAGAAAAATGATTCACAACAGCCAGCCCAGTTTTAGTCGCAGCGTCCTCGAGTAAGAGGCAAGGAGAAAAAAGAGGAATAATAAAAATAGATCTTGAGAGGAGAAAGTGGCCCGGAGATAAAATTCCGAAGTGGTAGCTGGTCCAAGAGGATATTGAAGCCTGTATGGGCTCATCTCGCGATATATGCAACAGTTGATTTCAAATGAAATCTTTCAGGTGTTTATACCTGGGACAACGGGGTCCAAGTGGTAAAAAGTGGGCTCCAGGATAGGAGTATTCGACTGGCCAATATCATCATCATCATCATTCAATCATTCATTGTAGTCCAGAATAAAACAACGTACATCCCATATTCAGCCACTGTAGCTGTGTGGAATGGAATTGACTACATGGGTTATCCACATAAAAAGAGATTTTGCCCGGGAGACGTGATGTGGGTTAAAAGGGCAGCCAAGAGGGTTGATTCAGAGCAGGCGTGAAAGATACATGTCCTAGAACAAAAGGGAGATATCATGGTGCTAATCCAATCTAGTGGCGTGGGGCTGGATTCCTTGGGTGTCCCCGGTCAGGCTGACGTTCTTGGTAGGTAGATTCCACGGGATATCCGGTCTCCATTATTCTAGGGTCTGGTCCACTCGATGGAGGATATGGAGATGTAGACTGGCCAACAGGGGAGTAGTCACGGTCATTCTCATATCCTTGTCCAGAGTATCGAGGTTGGGACATTCCTCCGCCAGGGTAGGCATAGGCACCCTGGCTGTGGATATACGACTGCTCAGCGGTTGTTACAGGTGGAGTTGGCTGGTTTGAGTAAGGAGCTCCTCCACTGGGAGCATAAGAGCCATTGTCTGGGGTATACCCAGGCTGGTTACCATAGTCTTGGTAGTTTGGCTGGGATTGGTGAGCAGGGTATGATTGGGAAGGTGGGTAAGTAGAGTATGGTTGCTGCGGCTGTTGAGGCTGCTGAGGACGAGAGGACTGGTATGGGACTGGTGGGCGAGTCTGACGGACGGACGAGGAGTCATAGTTTGCTGGTGACCTGTTAGGCGCTGGTGCCATGTTCAGATTATCATAGTAAGTACCTCTAGGCTGGCCACCTTCCTGCCTGCGGATGACCTCTACATCCCAGCGTCTCGAGTCCGCCTTCAAATCTGCAATCATTTCCTATTTTTGCGACGTGAGGTTAGAGACGGTACGATGAATGGGACGAAGCGTAGGTCACCTACAGTTGTCAGATTTCGGTAAGCACGAATAAAGTATCCTGGACGGCCCTGTCATCCGAGTCAGTCATTTCAGTCCTGGTCCAAGATGGATAAAAGAAATTACGAAAGGATATCTAAGACAAAGAAAAAGAGAGGCCGACCTGGTGAGTCCCAGGCCTCACGAGGGCATCCCGTCCAAGGTAACGGCAAATATCTGCTTGGATAACCTCACGGCTAATACCATCTTGATCGATAAAATATTCATTCAGTCGCGTCTGAGGCTCCGGGTCATCATATCTTATGGGTTGTCGCTGCGCCATCTTAATTCCAAGGCACAAAAAGAAAGAAAGAAAAAAGTACTTGGGATCCGGGATTTCACTGCTGGGAGAAAGAGATAGAGAGATATGGAGGGTGGTCCGATTTCCTGGCGGTGGAAGTGGTGATGGTACAGAGAATATTCCAGTTATGTCTCTTCAGAGAGCTGAGGTGGGCCGATGTTGTTGCAGCTGGGCAGTATTATTCCCAATGTCTTTACAAAGGGGATCCAGAGGAGAGAGAACAAGAGAGAGAAGTGGAAGAACTGTGAAAAGCAACCCTCTTGGAAGAAAGAAAGTAGAAATGTAAAAAGTTTTCAAGTGACACAGGAGCAATCCTAAAAGGCTGATAAATATATTCCTTCAGGCAGGGCTCACAGGCAGAGAGATATCACGTTGACCGAGCTTTTGACTGGACAGTGAAGCAACCTATTTGTTGTGCTTGTTTTTCTATTGTGTCTTCCCTTGGGGGTAAAATGTGCAATACCGGATGCAGGGGGTTTCCTCAGGTACGGATCCAAATGGCGGATGTAACAGTCTTTTTGGGGTCCAAATTTATTATACCCACAACAATACCGGAAGCCGTGCAACTGCTCCTCAAAGGTATGATGATGTAGTGGTAGTAGTAGTAGTAGTCTATGGCTGAAACAGAGTAATCCAAAGCGTATGGTAGAGTCTGACGGGAAGCCTGCTGTTCAGTATTGGGTGACCGCGGGAGGGTGAAAACGGCGCAGCGGTCCTTGCTGTGGAAGACTAGGCACCAAGGGATTATGTGAAGCAGAGACGCAGCCGTCGCAGACGCAACAGGGCAGAGCAGGCAGCGAGAGAGTGTTGGATGGCAGAAGTTGAGGTTGTAAACGAGGAGGAAGAAGAAGAGAAGAGAAGAGAGAGAGAGAGAGAGAGAAGTGTCAAGAGGAAGAAAGGGAGCCAGGAGGGGCAAACAGTGGGTCAGGCCAGGTGCAGTGATTGGTTACTGTATTGGGTATGTTTGCTTGGGCCGGACGAGGCAAAAGGAGCCTAAGCGAGCGACGGTTTGATAGACATGAGACGACAAGATGATACTGAGACAGGATACTGAGATACTGAGATGCTGATGAGATACTGATGAGACGGGATACTGAGATACTGATACGATGCTGATGAGATGACGATGAGACGAGATGAGACCAGATCCGGAAGAGATACTGAAAGTCGAGATACGTTTACAGATCATGACGAGACCAGACTCCAACCAAGAAATCAAGAGATGAGCGAGATCAACAAGTAAAGAGCCTGTCTGGCCGTCTGGCCCTAGGCTGCCTGAATTTTCAGCGTCAACAGCGTCCTACCTGGCTGCAAGGAGCGCCGGGTGATTGGGTGGGAGCTGCCGTTGCTGTTAGGCACTCATGCAGCTCTCCTTGGGCACTCATCCAACCCTCCACCCACCGCCACACATCACCATCACCATTACCATCACCGCTCTGAGACTCTCCCTCTTGCTTCTCCCTGGTTCCCTGCAGCAGCAGCAGCATCTCTCAGCCGCTTCGTACGGCCCTGTCATACATACTTAAACTCCCCAGGCGGCCTGCTGAGCGTTCAGCCACCAATCGCGAGATTGGGTGATATTCTCCCTGCTCATATCCGCTCTCCACTTCCGCTTTGGCCCAGCCAATCCTTCCTGCTGCTGCATGGTTAAAAGAATCATGCTACCATACTACTGGATCCCCGGCTTGATACCACCGCCCGGAATGCTTAACGTTGTCATGTTAAGGGTAATTTCACGCTTAAGATGGACGAGATGAGCCTCACAGCACCGTTCTTTTAGGGCTGCTTTGAGGGGTTGTCTGCTTTGGCTAGCAGATGGGGTTGTTATCGCGTGGCTGGTTCGGGGTTATCGGCCTAATTCGAAATGATCTCAGGCTGGTGCAGATGGGCGGTAAAATTCCTTTTTAAACCGCGACGAACAGGCAGTCGATGGTCAGTAAGACGTCCCATCGGGCTCCTCCGACTGGTTGGATCTGCATGCAAGACCCCTCCCGGTCACTTGGATATTATTCGGCGCTAACATGAAGTTGAGAGTGTGACGAATAAAAGGAAAGCTTTATACGATCACGGAAATATTCCCTCTACTATGTAGAAAACCTGGTGGCCGTTGATTCATTCCCGTGCCATTTTTTACACCGGCCAAATCAACAGTCGCGTTCGAAAGACTAGTCTTCTCGTGATACCCCAACTAACATTATATGACTAATATTATATATATACAGGCTTCAGCTTGAGCGGGTATTATGGATAATTTCACAGGTTAGAATCTCGTGAGCTGGCGGCCGGGACGACTCTGAAATTAATACGCGGAAAGTGGATGCGGATATCAAACCGGCTATCTGCTGTCTTGCGCTGCACTACTATCTCCCTTGAATTCAAGGTGACAAGCGTCCCAGTATCCCGATGGGTTGAGCCTGAATCGGTAGGCCAGACAGTGACATTCTCACCCTTTCGGAGCCCAAGTGGATCCGACTCATCAACTTTGCCCTCTTCCTCAGCAAACGCCTCATGCTGGAGTCCGTCAAGCACGTCACTGCCAGATACAACCACCTTCTCCATCCTTGCCTTCGCGTTGGACAGAGCCTGTCTGAATCGGGCCATCCAAGCAAATACTTTAGGATGACTGGTCTTAGAAATGATGTTACCATCCAAGGAGCCCATGCCAACAGCCCAATCAAGAGGCCAGATGGCTGATGAACAGACAAAGAAATGACGCAAATGTCAGCCTTCCAATCGCATCAAAATTGAATCCCAGCCTACCAGGACAGGCTCGGCACAAGCGATAGCAGCAGGGGGATATGGAACACTTACCTTGTATGTCTGCAAGGGTAGGCTTCTCTGTCTTGCGTAGCCACTGCCTCCCATCCGCAAGTAAAGTTGATTCCAAGAAATCGAAAGCCCGCTTCATCTGAACCTGAGCCTCGCCCCGCAAACTCGTCATATCCCCCCTTTCCCACTTCTGCCCGGCGAAAAAGGAGCCCCTATCCTTTACGAACTTGGGGTCCTTGGTCAGTGGGATGTTTCGTGGTATCAATAGGACGGCACTGAGGAAGAGTCCCCCATCCGTCGTCCATGACTCAAGCAGGTTCTCTATCGCTTTCCCTTCGCCGTCTGAATCGGCGGCACCAAGCCTTTCGTCGGGGAAGCGTTCTTCAAGCTTTTGCAGAATCAGTCGGGTGTCACAGTATACATCCTTCCCGATGGTCAGGACGGGAATTCGACGGTACTGGACGCCGAGCGCAGCCAGGTCCGGCCGTGGCATAATTGGTGGTTGCATCTGCAGTTATTATTAGCATGCATGCACCTAGCCCCATGATAGGATACATATCATACGCATTGCTTGTACCGGATTCCACGGAGAGTAAGATACCTGGAAGAAGGAGTTAATTGAATCTCTGTCTCTCATTCATTCTCTCTCCGTTACATAACGTTTATGTACATACCAGGCAATCCGTCTTGCATATGGCGAAAACGAGTAGTGGAATAGAACGGGCGTTGGGTCTGAAGCCATTATGAGTTGTCTTTTGGTGATTATTGGCGGTATATTCGTGCTAATCGTTCTCCAACTTGGGAATGTCTGCGGTTGACCTCTTTATCAAGGGCGTGCTTATCCGTCGGCTGTCGAGATGCCGAGGTAAAATCGTGCACAGGAAATATATTATTCCGAGGCACCGAGGCTGGCTTACCTAATAAACGCGGTGTAACACGATCTATTTATAAGAAGGAAAGACGAAAGTGTGCATAACAGAAACCTGTTATTCGTGCCAAAAAGATATCCTAGTGGGCATTTATATCTCTCAAGCCGGATAGGATCAGGTAGTAACACGAAATCAGAAATCAGAGGATGTCCTATCAATTCTGAAGTTGACAGCTATCTACCATACGCACCGGGCAATGCTTTCTAACTCTCTGACCAGCAGTTACCTGCAGTATAAAGAAGACACCGATGTAGTGGCATCATGGCTTGCGACGACTGCCAAAGTGTGCGGGTATACCAAGAATATAAATCCAGGTCAACAGAAACAAAATCAAAGTGGCAGACTAAAGGGGAAGGCAAGAAAATCCGCACAACACTCTCCCGGCGAGTCATCTGCCTCAAAGCCTTCACTCCCCAATCTACCAACTTATACCATTGCTATTCATGATTTTGTCCCTCTCGCAGAATGCATTGCAAGCTGCGAAAGTCCAAAGGTTCGCGTCCCTGCTACATTTGCCGTAACACTCGAACGAGCAATATCCGCACGACGTCTTCATCATGGTATCCTAGGCGATAGAAGTAAGGCTAAAATTGATGGCCATACTTATTTTATCAGCATTCTAGAGCGCGTTCAGGATACGCTACGCCCTCTTTTTTCTGTAGAAGGGGATACAAACGATAATACCGATAACATGATTAACAACTTTGAGGGGCTAGATGTGCAGGAGCCATCTAACAAGTTTATACAAGCTCCAGATGTCACAACTCCCATACCGCCGACGCCGGATCCAGAAGCTAAATATAAAGCAGAGCTGGCAAAGGATCTGGGCGAGATGTACAGCGCCTTCTGCCTCCTTATCAAGGATTATCAGACATTCCGCGCAGCAATCATGAAAACATGGATGGGCTACCAGCAGGGGGTATTTGACTTGGTTTCTGCCTCTATAATGACCAATACTGCGCTGGATTTCGCCCGACAGCTAGAGAAGGACGCTAAGCCGCTATTTGACAGATTTGGTGGCGCGGAGCAGGTTTTAAGGATGGTGTTTTTGGCGCAATATCGAGAGAAGGGAGAAGATGAAGCCTTCAAAGAACAACCCGGTGATGATATGAACTTTCGTATGTGGGAAGCCTCATCAGGAATCTTCTGGCCCGCCTACATGTGCCTCCAAGAGTTTATCCCCATGGTGAGCAAGTGGAATGTGCCATTGTGCCAACCCGGCTTCTATGGTATATACGATCCTACCAGCAACCGAGAGCAGAAAACACCGCGAGAGAAATTTAAAGAAGACAAGGTTATTCTCACGGAAATTTTCTCCGAATTTGCGTTGCTCTGTCTTTGTGCGCCAGATATTGTGGCACAGGATGAGCTCACGCGTGGCTTGGGTGAAGCGTTCGAAACTCACGAAATCACGCTCTCCCTTGTCTTTGCTACCCAGGTTTACCTTGATATCCACCATATCTTACGAGCAAACGTAAACCGCGGGCTTGATGATTTAATGACTACTGCAGGGTTGATCGATACGTCGATAGAACAGACCCTCAAACATCACCAATCACTCCGTGTGGAAAATTGGCCATTGTCAAATGATCGAGTACTCAAGAATATCCAACAGCAGATCGAAATGTGGGTCAAACGTGACACGGTGGGAGAGGCCAAAATTAGATTGAATCGTCCACCCGGGGAGCCTTTCAAGCTGCTGTCTTCCCATCCCTTGCTTTGCGGATTGATGGCGTACAGCCTCAAGGCCACGTTCCAAGAGGTCAGTGTCATTTTCGCAAATGCTTGGGGCTCGATTATGTATACCTACCATCTCTACAATGCACTAAGACAGGAGAAAATGCTGCAAAATAAGTGGCCAGATATGGATATCGTCATGGGCATGCAAGGCGATGTTTTTGTTGGTGATCCACCCAAAACTCCAGAGGATTATCTAAAACGGTTTACCCTCAGCATGGGGTGGTCAGCAACTGCGTTTGCTAAAGGCAGGCGTCCGGGGACTATACCAGCCTCATCGCGTGGTCCTAGGGGCCTTGAAGAGCTCGCACCAGTAGCGCAGATGTTCAAAGCGAGATTCTGCGAGGGTTCTGATCAGACCGACTGGACACCGGAAGATATTAAACACGTTGTATCCAAGTCAAACTGGGATTGGGATGAAGAGGAAGTATCATCAGAGGGGCTCTCTGTGTTTTCTATTACTCAGGCTGAGAAGAAGAAACAAACCACCACAACCCTAGGACAGATAAACGCGGTCGAGTTACTGGAACGCCTACGGAATGCCATACAAGGGGAATCCCTAGAGCTCAATATACCATATCTTACCCTTCACCGAGTCTGCTGGCTGGTTCTTCGCAAGGTCAATCTACACTGTAGCGAAACTCTTCAAGAAATGTTTGGAGCAGGGTATCTGGAGAAAGAAAACCAGTTACCCTTAGTTGTGGGTTATATTTTCATGGCTGCAACCAATACCAAAAAGCTGGGTGGTTTACCAATGGGTAAGAAATCGGATGTGGTTACTAGTAAGCTAATGCTCAAGGCAGCTGTTATCATGGACAGCTGTATAGAAGATGCTGGGAGGCTCTGCTGCAACGCTCTTGAACAGCATAACATTGTGTTCATGGATGATAGCAATGACGAAGATGAGGACAAGGATGAAGCGTGAAATTGAAGTCCATTTTCTAGTATCTAATCCGTACATCCTTTCCGGAGATCAGAGGGTAGAAAACTACAAATGATACCTCACCGGATGGAGCAAGAAGGTACTTAAAGATATTGGCAGATCCAGTTAAGTTATGATGTTTCCCACGTTGAGCACGTTTAGTTATTAATTTACTAGCTAGGATTCAATATTCTTACGCCTTGTGTCATAACATATTCTTGCCTGATTGAGCTTCCATTTGTTTGTAGTACCGATGAGCTAATAGGATTCTGGAAATTAAAAGGATAATTTAGGCCTTCCAAGTTGTACCCCTAACTGTTAAAACAGAATCCTTCTCACTCTTCCGCAGTTTAATGGCTGACTTTCAGAAGAGATTGTTACGGACGCAACCAGTTGCACACGGCCATAGCCTGGTGAACCTTCAGCTTCGTAGCCGCCATAAGCCACCAGTATCTTCGTATCTCGTCCTTAGAAGCTAGCAGTTGGTAGTACTCTTCGAGCATCGGGTCCCCTTCGGATAATTCTTTAACGCATTGCAGGTAAAAGACACGGTCCCGTCGCATCGTTGGCGTATTCTTTGGCTTACATACTAAATGCCCATCTGTATTGTTTCCGTATTCAACTTCGACCTGATCGTGTGGTGTTTGGAAGTCATGAGTTAAGAAGTTGGGGAAACATGCTGATAATTGGAATGGTATCTTCTCCGCAAAACCGAGGTTAATAATTCTACAAAGTATCAGTGTAAAACAAATAAGTATACCAAATACAAGAAAGAGCACTTACGCCTTAACGTTAAAGTCCTGATCGATAATAATGTTTTCGGTCGATAAGTCGCCATGGACAAGAACGCAAGACGATTGATCCAGGCTCGGTATAAGGTACTCGGCAATCAGATCCATTTGATCCAAGCATCCCTTCTCTGTTGCACCAGGCAGTTTATTTTCTTGTGCTCGCTTTATTTTGCGATTAATGAGTGTTATAATATAGCTAGTTGCCGTGTGTTCTATATGAATAGTTAACAAGAAAGCAAAAGATAAAAAGGCAGTGAAAAAGACGAACCTTTACTTTGTATTTTGAGCAAGTTCAACACAGTCTGAACAACGGATCGAATGCCTTTATTGCGTTGCGGAATATCAGGGCAAGTATCGGTCCACCGCAACTGGGTTCCTTCGACCCATTGGACAGCTATGTACGGATACCGTGCTAAGTTATTGAAACTAGCACTGAATATCTTCAGCTTTGGAGTTCCTGTAATTGCATTCTTCTCAATAGCCAGATGCAGCTCTGCCTCACTCTCTACCAACAGCTCAACATGTCGCGGGAACCGGCGGAATTGTAAGAGGAAGCGAACTGCCCTTTTGAGCCTTCTGAATCCTCAAGAACAACGATAACACACTCGCTACCTCCAAACGGCCTTTTCTGGGTATCCATGATGAAATGGCATTCGAGGCCAAGGGAACGGGACATTTCCCCCTTTAAACCATCCAAGCAGATGCAATCGTACCCTTTAAGTTTCCTTTTTCGACCGAGATTCTCCATTCTTGCTCTTAATAGAATATGAGGTTATTGGCATGCTTGTAAGCACGCACAAGAAAAAATTGGACTTGCAAAGGTAAGTTCAAGCTGATGATGGTCTTCGGGGTGGTGAGTTTGATGTAAATAGTGATGTCTTTTTAGATAATGATGATACCACGGTTAACGTATTCCACCAGTCAACGATCATCACCACTTAATGAACACACCCCAAAAACTCTGCATCCACCAAAACAACCACCTTCCAACAGCCACAAAATGGTCAATGAGGCAGCAATTGTTGCTGCGATTAAAGATTTAAAATCGTAAAAGACTCCTAATTACTCATAAACCGCTAAAAAGTTCAAAATTAACCAAATAATGCTAGCGCAGCGGTATCAAGGTACTATAGTCTTAAGAGCTAAAGCAACATCTATCCATTGCAAAAAGTTGACAAATACACAAGAAGAAGTGCTCCTATAGCATATAAATCAATTATTAGAGAGAGGCCTATCACCTACACCCTAGGTACTACAAAATCTCGTATACGAGCTCACTAAATAGGCTATTAGTATCAACTAGGTGGCTCAGTTCTATAGCTGGCACAAGGATCGCATTAAGAGTCTCTATCTCCGCACTATTGATTAATCTAGGCATATTGCTAATAATTCCAAGCATTTTGAATACTTTTATAAGCTTATAAGTACTTATTTATTAATAGTTAGCTATTAAATTAATATTAACCTCTTCTTTAGCTTAGAGAAGCAATAAATAAGTATAATATTACTCTAGATAATATTTACAACTTTAATAAGAAAGGCTTCCTTATTAGCCTAAGACATACTATTAAATAGGTGGTTCCTATTCATGCGCTTAAAAATAGAAGGATAATAGCTATATAAGATAGAAGTCGTGAGTTTATCTCTCTACTCACTACTATCTCTATAGATAGAGAATAGATTCCTCCTACACTTATTTATAAGGGAGAAAGTAATCTATAAGACACCTAGGTGAACGAATTTGACCCTTAGAGAGAAATAGTATATTTTATAGTATCTCCAAATGGCTAGAGTAATAATAACTTTAGCAAGGAATAGCTTTAAATATTTAATAAGTATATAAAGGCAAAGGCTGGCCAAGGAAGAAGGCTTCTTATTCTAGATGGCCACTTATCTTATATTAATATAGGATTCATCAAATATATAGATAAAAACCGTATCTTACTAGTTATCTTACCTCCACATTCAACACACCGTCTGCAGCCATTAGATGTTGGGATATTTGGGCCATTAGCCAGTATATATTCCCAAGAAGTTAATAATCTCTTACGCAGCGGATATAGGTATCTATTAATGTTAAAGCGAAACTTTTAGAGACTCTTCTACACTATATGGAAAAGAGCTCTTACACTAGCAAATATTAAGTCTGGATTTATAAGTATAGGGATATATTCTATTATGCCTCAATATTAAATAAAATACTTTAATAAGAGACCTCTAACACCTCCAAATATCGATATTGAGCCTCCTACCCCTATTACTATACAGGGTCTCCACCGCGCGGTTAAGAAAGTGCAGCTCCAGTAGTCATTAACCAGCCTTTATATATCAAAGATCATCCGCGCCAGTGAGAGGCTAGTCTTTAATAAAGAGATCTTACTATATAAAAATAAGTCTCTTATAGCTATATTTATATAAGAGAAGAAGAAAAGGAAGCAAGGCAAGGGCTTAGGCCTATTTAAAAAGGATAAAGTAGGCCAAGCGTAGATATTCTCTCTATCTAAGGTTAAAGTAGCAAGGTAGCGAGCTATTAAGGTAGAGACTAAAAAATAAGATAAGATAGCTCAGGCAGAGGAAATAAAGCTTTAATAATTAATTTACCGCGATAATAAGACTTAAAAGGCTATAGAGAAGAAGGCTCAAAGGCTTATAGATCAACAGTAACGTAAGGAGGCTCTTAAAAAGGCCCGCGAGGAGACTATAGTATGGCGCGCAGAGGCAGCAATTAAATAGAAGCGTAAAGCTGGTGAATTAGAAGCTGAGCAAATGGCTAAGAAGGCCAAAAAGGCTCAAAACAACGTCTCAAGCCCTATCTCACCTTCCCAATTAGGAAAGAAGAAGACTTCACCTTCTAAGGTTGCTCCTATCAATCCTATTACTCTAATACCTAATTTCCTATCCCAACCGCGGGGAACCCGTTCCAGGCAAGTTATCAAGCCCAACACTCGTTTCTTTTCTTAATCTATCTAATTTGTATGTAAACTAGAACCCTACTATCGTTATTTAATAGTCAATTTTATTTGTTATTTACGTTGTGTTGAGATATCTCGATATTTACACGCATGTTTGGACGTAAGGAGCATTTGGAGGTGGTGATCGTTGACTGGTGGTGATCGTTGACTGGTGAGATACGTTATGGCTCACGCAGGGTTAGCCCTTTTTCCACACTCATATACAGAGACCCAAAATGGCCTGAATGCGTGAATATCATCATTATTACGCCCATTTGCTCTTATCTTGTAGTGTTCTAGGTTCATCGGTTGATTGACTACGTCTGATGTGAAGAAAGGAGCAGTTAGATATTTTATAGTGGGGTAAGTTCCCGATCGTGATTATATAATTGACTTCACTCCCTCTAAAAGTCATTATCAATCACATGACCAAGCGTTTTTTAACTTTAGTCAGCGTATCCCAACTTTATCAAGTATAAACATCCAGCTTCGAAGACATCATCCTCAGAAACTCCGTTGGAAGGCTCAGAAATATGATATCGACCGCCAACCTGGCATATTCGGGCCTGAAATATACGGCCCTGGCCTGTAGCGATGAATACCAGTTTGCTTCTCCGGAAAGGAGATCCACAGTGAAAATGCCCGAAGATGATTAATGACTCTAATAGCCTCCTATTTGTCCGGAATTACTAGTTACACAAGGGATAGCTATAACACACACGATATGATGAAGTGCAGCAGATCTATATACATTTGACTATGGAGTACCCCGTGCATGAGATACCTCGTTGGATACTCAGTCCCTATTGTCTTTAAAAGATTTGCTGTGCATCTCTCCCGGCACCTATACCAAAAGCTCATCCGCAGCTGCGAGGCTCAAGGAGTGCCTTGGCCCCGCGATGGGATATAGTCATGATTATGGGATCAAGTAGAAAGGCAGCAGTGAGTTGTTATGATCGATATATGGGCTCGATGGCAGATGGGAGTATAAATCCTCGACAGCAGGCAGACTGCTCACTGTGGGACAGGTTCTGACAATGGCCACGAGCCCCGTTCAAAGCTGCCTTAGGGATACAGCCCGAACCCTTGTCAACAGCTCGCCCGAGCCTTGCTAAATGGCTGTTCCTGCTCACCGTCTCCACTCTCAGTTCTTTGGGCGGCCACCTGGAACGCGAAGCTAGAAGAGAAGGCGCAGAGAACGTGCAGCGAAGACGCGGAGAAAATGGAGAAAGGGGGAGAAAAGGGGCCACGGAGGGGGCTGCGTTTGCTTGCTAGAGGCGACCAATCCAGATACGAGAAAATACGGTTAAGTTAAACTACTTGACTGGCCAAATTTGGAACCTAGCCTTGCCAGCATTTCAACTATGACTACAATACCCAACCTCGGGCTGCATGCATACTAGCTGTACCTCGCGTAGATCGTGAGACATGAGATGTTTATACTTTTTTGATATCGAGAGAACTACGGAGTGCACTCTCTACCAGCCTTTGAAGATATATATATATATATATCCAAACGTTGCGTATATATCAGAGACCGCTAAGTCCAACTGGTTTGACTAGACCAGCTGAGCGGTTCGAGCAAAATCTTTTCAAACTAGCAACTGCATCGTTATCACTTCCTGGTGGAATGGTTACCCTGCTACAGCCGCAAACCATGGCGCGTACCCAGTCAAAGGACACAGACAGAAGAAGCAGTTCTAACAGGATACATGCATTCGTCATAGTCCTGTCATTTGTGGGAGCTCTTGTCATCGCTAGTGAGTGTTGCAAACCCTATCTCATTTGAATCGTCAGCTTATAACCACCTACGGAGCAGTCTTTGTAACTTTCGGGTGCATATCGACGGACCTTGGCCTGAACCATCTCTACTATGCTGAGCTGCGAGCCAACGGTACATACGATGTCTCCCTCCGTGTTGGATACTTCGGTGCGCCAGCCCTACCCAACTAATTCGGGAAGTTTACCCAAAGAAACTGACGTCAACAGGGGGCTGCATGTCCATCTCTCGCGCACCCGTAGCCGATGCCGGTGCCAGCGGAAGTTCTTCTACCCGTCGGGCGGTATACTGCATCAAGAACATGCACACCGAAGCCGCGGCCGATCTGAGCGAGAGTTTCCAGGAACACCTTAACGTGACAGGCGATATGCTGGCTTTTACCAACTCATTTCTGAGCATCGCAATTCTGCACGTCAAACACCTCCAAGAAAATGTATTCTTCTATGAACCCGTTGCGATACAAGTAGCTCTTCTTGGTGTTAGTGGCCTGATGCTATTTGCTGCCGTTGGGGCTCCATCACATCGTCGAGGTTACAAGGGCGTTGTTGCCCTTGCTATCTTTCTTGCCACCTTTGCCATCGCCCTGGGCCTCGTCATCGCTATCGGTTCGATCCAGGCCATGAACGCCGTACTAGGTGGAGGCAGGCCTATAAACGAGAAACTGTTTAATGACAGCATTGTTATCTCCCGTGGTAGCAGGCTAGATGGCTTGCAAGGAGCACTCGCAGCCACGACAACGCTTTTCTATGTTCTGATTGGTATGCTCTTTGTTCGATGGAGCTCAGAAGGGGAGAGGGAATGGGGCGGGGAAAACTTCATCCAGGTTCTTCTCCCCGAGAGGCCCGTTTGGGGGCGCCGGGGCAAGGCGATAACGCAATTCTGAAATCTCATATACCTGTGAAGTATGCAAATGTATGTATGCAATTGAAGGCTATCTAGTTAGTCTGGAAGTCGGGAAGTCGATTATGCTAATGAGATATCTAATCCCAAAAACTAGTATCAAATAATTAATTACGAACACGCGAAGCAATGGATCATGAAGATAAAGAGAAGGCTTGAACGTTGGCAAACATAGATGATTTGAACAAGGACTACTACCACTATGGTCTACCAAGGGTGCCACCGGTTGGAATTCAGCTCGAATTCAAATGGAGGTGTTGAACGTAGTTAAATGGTTGAAACGAGAAAAAGAATTATATTTCCCCTCGTCTAACTTTCCTGTGCGTTGCCAGTGTGAAAGCTCTGCAGCCTGCTTATAGATAGTTAACTAGTTATGCAGCCTCTTCGCAAGTCACACTGCTACTTCATCGCAGCCTCGCATAAGCCCACGCTAAAAGACATCGAATAAGGTTCGATATCACTCCACGGAGAAGCCTACCTAAAGCTGCAGGTTACAAAGTAAATCAGCCAAAACGAGAGTTGTTCTCTCGACTGCTAACTATGCTTGCTGGGGGTTCCTCCCCTCGCAGCCTCGTCTGTAGATATGTAGACTTTTGCACCTAGATAGAATAACGGAAACCAAGGGCATCTCTCTCTTTTTGTTAACCAAATTATATACATAAATCATTCTTGAAGGCCACTCCTATTAATTACGTTATATAGAGTATTCACTCCCCAAGATGCCTCTCTACAAAGCAGGGGGCAACCATGTTCCTTCACTTTCACAAGTCTGGATGCAATATACTCTGCTAAACCCCCGGGCAGGTTGTTGGCTGCTGGCTGGCCTCATAAGCCAAAAATAAAGCCAGGAATTCAGAGCCAGATACCCCTTGGCTGAACTTTTTCCATATCACAGACGAAAAGGGATATTATATCGATGCTTATTCACCATGGCTACCATGATGCATTGCCCTATGGCTACCTTTGCTGGTCTGCATTCCAAATGAAGTCAAAAGCAAGTGTGTATTTCCTGGCTTCAACAATACTATCACCTATCTGTCAGATGATGGTAGAGATAGTTTTGATATAAATGCTTATTTTATATATTGTAAAGTGTACCAACTGCGCAACAATATGTTAACGTATTCATTTAGCATAGCTGGGTCAAGTATCTCAGCCAATAACTAGCTTCCCTCGCTAGTTAATTTGCAGTTCTACTGTGCGGTTAAGACTGGAGAGACGAGAGTCGAAAACTGTTCGTGTAGGCAGCCGGAAAGGGTCCGGGATAGGGAGATTTCCGGCAAGGGATATTTACCTTGTTGCTACGAAGGTAAGATCGGTCTTATCGTCGTGCTATAACTCCTCCGGACTCTTTCCTCCTCCATTCTGTGCTTTTATATATAAAAACAGGGGAAGTAAGCTTAATTTAGCGCCGGGTTTTCGTGCCGAGCCGGACCAAAGCCGTGTAACACTCAGATGACACATCACATGACTAGCTCGGCAGGGATGAGAACAACAACCTCAGATTTTTTTCAATCTCTCATCTTTCCCAGGTCACCAACGCTCTTTATCATCCCCAATCACCACTCTTCGCGTTGCGCGCATCCATAACCGTCGCAATGGCAGCCGCTCCCGCTGCTTTGGCCAATGCCATCCCTGAGAAGAAGCCAGAGGGTGCCGCCCTTTACGCTCGGTTCTCCTTTGCCGGTGCCGTCTGCTGTTCCGTCACCCACGGCGCCTTTACTCCAGTCGATGTGTATGTTGTCTATCAATCCACTGTCGAGTATTCACGATGTTCTAACCACACGGTACTTCATACAGCGTCAAGACTAGAATCCAGCTCGACCCCGCCACCTACAACCGTGGTATGATCGGTGGTTTCCGTCAGGTCATTCAAAAGGAGGGTGCCGCTGCTCTCTTGACTGGTGTCGGCCCAACCTTTGCTGGTTACTTCCTGCAGGGTGCTTTTAAATTCGGTGGTTACGAATTTTTCAAGAAGCAAGCCATTGACATCCTCGGCCTCGAAAAGGCACGCCAGAACCGTGCTCTCGTTTACTCTGCCTCTGCTGCCAGTGCTGAATTCTTTGCCTCTATTGCCCTCTGCCCTCTCGAGGCTACCCGTATCCGTCTCGTCTCTGAGCCAGGCTTTGCCAAGGGCCTAATCAGTGGTTTCGGCAAGATTCTCAAGAATGAGGGTATCGGCGCTTTCTACAGCGGTTTCGGACCTATCCTGCTTAAGCAGTACGTTAATTCCAACAACAAACTCAATGGCACAAGAACCAAAAGCTGACATGAATATTTAGGATTCCCTACACTGTGACCAAATTCGTTGCTTATGAAAAGGTTGCCGAGACTATTTTCGGATACCTTGATAAGTCTAAGCTGTCGAACAGTGCCCAAACCGGTGTCAACTTGGCATCTGGTCTCATGGCTGGTTTCGCTGCTGCTATCGTCTCTCAGCCTGCTGATACTATGCTTTCCAAGATCAACAAGACTAAGGGTCTACCTGGTGAGAGCATCGTCTCCCGCCTCGTCAAGATTGCTGGTCAGCTTGGTATCCGTGGTGCCTTCGCTGGTCTTCCTACTCGTTTGTTCATGGTTGGCGGTCTTACTGCTGGTCAATTCGCCATCTACGGTGACATCAAGAAGGCTCTTGGTAAGTTTACATGCATTCTTACCCCCCCTTGCTATGACTGACTTTGTACAATTAGGTGCTACCAACGGTGTTGAAATCGCCAAATAAACGACCCACTGCCAACGTTACAAAATTTTGCATGCTTTAGACAGGAGGAAGGAATATGTTTTGTTATAGAGATGGACGTAGCCAGATCTACGGCCATGAGCAGAAGTTGAGTTGGAGATGGGCACTTTTTTCACTTCAATTACCCCTTTTATCAAGATGCGATGCCCTGCAACCTCTCGCAACTTTAGTGTATAATCATATTGGATCGGCATAAACAGTCATACACTCTGGCGGGCGTTATCATCTTGTTTCAATGACTGCATTAGATTGTATATCCTGTGCTATAGATTTCTTAGCCGTGCAGGCGATCATCTCATGTCTCTTTCTCAATGCAGACGTTGATGTCATGTGTTCACGGTGGACACATATGTCCATTCGCAGTTCGATAACAAGACTTTACAGCCTCGTCATCGCCACTATAACGTGGACTGCTCGAGGATCATCGAACTCATCGATACTTTACAAAACTGACCTACCACTCAGAGAACTCGCAGAACAATTCACTTACGTCGACAACGCGAACAACCCTCTACTGGGCAAACCCTCCAGGAAGACCGCACCCAAGGCACCGAGATAAGTCATAGAGCTCATTCTCTGGGGCATAGCGAACAGGGTATATTTCAACTCAGGCAAGACAGAAGTCGTGCGCTTCTATTTAAAGGCTGTCGAGAGCAATCCGCCATTTACCACGGAGAAGGCCACAAGATAGCTCAAAACCTGGCTCGACAGCAAACTCAGCCCCAAAAGATAGGGGTGGTCAGTCGCCTACCATACGAATGGAGAGGAGAATGATAGGCATTATCTCTCTCCGATGCCGTCCGAGTGATTTATCCAGATCCATGGCTCAGAAGCCTCGTCACGATATAGATACCTCTATATAGTGGCGTGCTGGCTGGCGTGCCAATACCCCCACAGTGGTCTGAATGGAAGAGGATTACAATCTAACGGATTAAAATATATTTATCGAAGTTAGCAGCTTGTCATTTTTTCGTTATAGCGCTATTTACGCTTAAACGGAATCCCAGATACTCAGGCGACCACCTGTGACAAGTTTTCCGTAAGCGTATTTCATTTATCTCACCCCCCAATACCCTCAATTGCGCATCTGCTGCTGCATTACGAGCATCGTGGGGACTTGCTATCATGAAGATAGAAACATTAGCATATATGAAGGACACTATGGTCCTTGCCTACACAAGGTCCGTAGTATAACAAAGATATGATATATTATGTTAGCTCCTACCTAGGGACTGTGATATTACCAATATGACCACTACCTGCTGCGGAAACCGGACTATGCTGGCGTCAAGTTGCACTCGTGCTCTCGAAGAGAGTAGTCCCAATGGCTTAACCAGCCAATGGATGCTAGAAGCTTTCAGTTTCTCCGGTAACCCATCGTGGTATGTGATGTGTCAACGACACTTAGTACCAGATTTCTGATACTGCAGGGTCATGATAAGGTAGATGTTAGTCCATGAAACAAGATAAACTTCTACTGCAACCCTTGGATACCATATAAACAATAGCACCCACTCCTACCTCGTGAGGCCGCGCAAAGTGGAAAATATGACGGACATATCCAATGTCCTTAACTCCTTCACCTACATACATATATCATCCAATTATGGCCCGGAGATAGCTGTCCAATATGCACGTAAGCACCGGAAATTCTCCATTTTGAAAAAGAAATCATAGACTAAAGCTTTAGAATCGTCTTGGCGAGCACATTTGAACTTGTAATTAGAGGCTTTTGAAGTTGATATGCCGTAGATCGAGGTCAACGCCGTTCTCACCAGCGAAAGTAGGCAGCTTAGTAATCTGCTCACGTGCCCTCGGCCGAAGAAGCAACTTCCAAGGTTCGGCCTTTGAGCGCCTTCGACATTTATCTGATAGACGCATTGTACGGAGTATTAGCATTACGTCCATATGAAACTGCCAGGATAGAGGGATATTTGGTTAATCGGCCAGCGTACATGCGTACTGCCATGCCTTCTTGCCAACAACCATGTTTTCAACCAGACTCAGCTCGAAGTCAGCTTCGACATCGAGCTCAATAGCAATCGCATACCACTCACAGGCTGCAAGATATAGCTCTTCACGGCTACGACGTTCATATCCAAACGCCCACCACCCCCCACAGCTTCCATGTCGACGACATATTCACTCCCAGCAATTCCAGCCCTTCGTTCCGCCTACTCCGGCATCTCTCGGAAAGCCTACTCGCGCAAAGACATACCCGCGGACGAGCAAGTGGTTTCGTCGATTCTTCTATCTAGGCCTTTCCGTCGGCACCTTGTACCTAGTCGATAGCCAGTTTAATGCTTCCTGCGTTACTCGTACCACTCGAACATTCGCACTCGGCCTCTTCGTCGCCCTGGATTATAAAATCAACTTTCGGCCTAATCCTCCGCTTGCGAAGTCTATAGCAGCAGTGCATGCTCGAAGTGCGGAGCGGTTGTCTGTTCTTCTTCGTGAGAATGGTGGACTATATCTAAAAATTGGGCAGGCAATTGCCATGCAAGCCGCTGTGCTCCCGCCGGAGTTTCAGAAGATGTTCTCCCGAATGTTCGACGACGCACCTCAGAACGATTGGAAAGATGTCGAGAAGGTGATTAAAGAGGACTTTGGGAAATCCGTTGAAGAGGTATTTGGGGTAGGTTTTGACGGAGATCCTAGCCGTGGAGTCATGGAACGGACGGCCAGAGCCAGTGCTAGTGTAGCCCAGGTTCATTGGGCACGATTAGCAGATGGGAGAGAAGTGGCTATTAAAATTCAAAAGAGGGAGATTGCACGACAGGTAGAGTGGGATCTATGGGCATTTAAGTACGAATATGGATGCTGAATACCCCTCATGACTCTACTCCTAAATATAGCATAGCTAACAACTTACAGGGTTATCTCATATCTTTACTCCAGAGCTTTCGACATTCCGTTCTACAGCCTAGTTCCATTTGTGACTGAGAGGCTCTTCCTGGAAACGGATTTTGAGAATGAAGCGGATAACGCCGAGCGCATGGCAAAATTTATTGCTGGCGAACCGCGACTCCGCAATAGGGTGTATATTCCCAAGGTGTACCGTGAACTTAGCTCCAAGCGAGTCATGACCGCCGAATGGATTGAAGGTGTACGGCTATGGGATAAAGACTCCTTGACCCGGCCCTGGAGAGGAGGGTGGTACCAAGGAAGCCCTGGCTGCCAAGGTGCTCCGCTCCTGCCAACAGACGGTAGAGCGCCTCCTAGTCGTGCTGGAGGTCCCGCCATTATTGACAAACTAAAACCAGACCGTGACTATTGGAAAGGGAAAAATGGTCGTGGCGGTTTAGGCCTGTCTCTAAAGGAAGTCATGACAACCATGGTAGACCTGTTCTCGGCACAGATGTTCCTTTGGGGATGGCTTCACTGCGATCCGCATCCAGGGAACTGGTTTGTCCGCCGACTACCCTCGGGAAAGGCTGAGCTGGTGCTCATAGACCACGGCCTCTACGTCCACATGGATCCAAAATTCAGACATGAATATGCTCGGTTCTGGAAATCTCTATTAACGTTTGACAATTCTGCCATTTCTGAAATAGTAAAGGGCTGGGGTGTGAGAAACCCAGACATGTTCGCATCAGTTACCTTATTACGACCCTACGAAGGCGGTGAGCACACCACGTTTAAGCAGTTAGAAGGCTTGAGCAGAAGGGAGAGAGCTGAGCGTCATTATGCCGCGCAGAAAGCCATGAGTCAAGCCATCCGTGACTTCCTAGGTGATGAGACGAAATGGCCTCATGAGCTCATTTTTATATCCCGCAATTTCCGTATCGTCCAGGGGAACAACCAGTTTCTAGGTTCTCCAGTGAACCGCATCAAAATAACAGGGACCTGGGCATCCCGTGCCTTAATAGAGTCTCCCGATCTCCCACTTGCAGAAAAGATCAGAAACTACGGACGCCACATCATATTCAAATGCGTCTTGTTCACCTCTGACATTGTCTTTTACATCACCAAGATCAGACAGATCTTAGGTCTGGGCGGTGGTATGGAAGACGAGATTGAGGCCCAGATGCAGAATATGGCGAAAGATATGGGCGTCGATTTAAGTCAGCCAGTATTCGAGGGTTGAGGGACCATCTGGATCTGCCATTTGTATACTACCTTCTTCCCTTCGCTGGCTGAAAGGAGGAACAGTCTCTGCCATATACTTGTAAAGGGGATTTTTAGCATGTACTATAGCCACGCAGCTCATTTTAGCGCAAACACGGACTAAATATATATCGTTTGATGACCTCAACTCTTGTCGAATATTTGAACCTCGGCTTTTGGCTTAGTTAATTGGCTCGGCGCGTCTTTCGCGCGTAGTCGCTTAGTTATATAAATAGCATCCTCTTGGCATCTTAGATATAAACCATCTCGATCACGGCGAAACCCCCGGACGTTTTCAATGCGAAACCGCAGTTTTACTAGATCGATCTCTTGCAGGAACTGGAGTTCGCCAACAATGTTCCGAGCGCACTTGGACCATCGATCGTCTCCTTGTTGTCTCCAGGATCGCTTTAGGTTCGTTTGATATGCCCAGGCAAAACTAGCTAGACGACGGAGACGCGGAAGCCATCCCTCTCATGCTCGCTATCGGTAAAGGATGGCATCCGATCCGGCATCTTCCTATGATGAAGATTTGCGACCATCGTCTCAGTTCACTTACCGCCACTTTCAGCTCTTACGATCCTTTTCAACCCGTACCCCACTCCGCGTCATAGCCCATATCGACCTCGATGCATTCTATGCGCAATGTGAAATGGTACGGCTGAATACCCCACGAGACCAACCTCTAGCTGTCCAGCAATGGCAGTCCTTGATTGCGGTCAACTATGCCGCTCGTCCGTTCGGTGTTTCGAGAATGATCACCGCGCAAGAAGCAAAAAAACGTTGTCCGCAATTACTCACACCGCATGTTGCCACGTTTCGAGAGGGAGAAGGAGAGAATTGGGCATATAGGGGCGAAGGAAATTACTCTATCCAGAAGGATAAAGTCTCATTGGATCCGTATCGGGCTGAGTCGAGGAAGATTCTGGCGGTTATGAAAGCGACGCTACTAGCTTGGGCAGAGGGGATCCATGAGGGATGCCGCAGCCACTTTTCTGATCCCGCTGACATGGTGCGGCTTGAAAAAGCTGGTATCGATGAGGTATTTGTGGACCTATCTGCACTAGTATTTGGGACGCTCCTGGAACGGTTTGAAGTACTACGGTCAGCGGAAGCTAGCGAGGGGTTGAAGGAAGGTCTAAACAGGCTCCTTCCTAGACCCCAAACTACTGCCCTTGTATGGGGAGAGGATGACGCATTGATTGACTTGGACACTGGTCAATCAGAAGAGGACGACCCTGAATGGGATGATATTGTCATGCTGGTTGGTTCTGAGATAGTAAAATCCATTAGAACGGCAGTATGGGATCAGCTTAAATACACCTGTTCTGGCGGAATCGCAAGAAATAAAATGATTGCTAAACTAGGAAGCGCCTGCAACAAACCAAATCAACAAACCATCGTCCGCAACCGTGCCATTCAACAGTTCTTGAGCGGCTATAAATTTACGAAAATTCGTTTACTAGGAGGAAAGCTGGGGAAACGGGTCGCTTCAGAGTTCGAAACAGAGCAAATAAGCGATCTACTAAATATTCCTATCGAGCGGCTAAAGAACAAATTGGATGACGACACTGGAACCTGGCTCTATCAAATTATTCGCGGAGAGGACGATAGCGAAGTGACTCCTCGAACAGAAATCAAATCCATGATATCAGCCAAGTCTTTCAATCCTAAACTACGCTCCGTAGAGCAGGCAGAGAAATGGATGCGAATTTTTGTCGCTGAAATCTATGGACGATTGATTGATGAAGGTGTCCTAGAAAACAAACGACGCCCTAAAATGATTACTGTTCATCACCTTGGCCAGAGCCAGGATAAGTCTCGTCAGGCCCATATACCGACTGGCGGGATCATTGATCAGACGTTGCTTTTTGACTTAGCAAAGAACTTACTTCATCAAGTTATCAGCTGGCCGTGTGGCCATTTGTCTCTCACCGTTGGTGGGTTCGAAACAGGGATCAGAGGAAACCAAAGCCTAGATGGTTTCTTTATCCGCGGTGGAGGTGAGAATTTAGTCCAGCGAGACGATGCCGCCGACGACGGCGACGGCAACTCACCGAATGTAGGCTGCAAACCAGAGGAGTTCCCCGGGGACCACGCAGAGCATCAAAGGAAGAAACAAAAAGTGGGTGAGGGATCTGGATTGATTTCTCAATCAAAAACAGGTGGTTTCTTCTCAAGATATAAAAACAGTTCGAGCGAACAACCTGTTGAGACCTGTGGCCCTGAAGAGGTGGATCCGCGAAGTGACCTTCAAACGAATCCAGATGGCTCCCTATCGCCCGACATATGCTCCCGCTGTGGAGAAACCGTGCCAGATTTCATGCGAATAGAACATGACGATTGGCATTTAGCTAAAGATCTAGAAACGCAGGAGCAACGATCGTTGAATGCATCTCGGGTGCGTGGCACTGGGAAAACGAAGCAAACGAGGTTGGCCTTTGGCTAATTCTCCTTTGCAGCCAAAGTTGACCATATATCCGTTTCCATTGAGATGATGGTTTATTTATGATATGCATTTAACCGGCGTTTATTTTCACTACTAGAGCATACATGGCTAAGTGTTCAGGTTTTTGGTTTATATACAGACAGAGTAGCAGCTACATTTAGTTGCTTAATCTATTCTAACTCTCCCGGCATACCCTCTGCTAGGCCTGATGAAGATTTGGCAACAGTGTTACTTCATTTATATAGCCTTCACTATGGAGTACCTTGTAGGCTACTTTAAATGCAACGTATGCAACCCTTTCATCCTATCTTGAAACCAAATCGGGAGTCTATGACAGCGACAAATAGACTCTGCCTTCCTCATAAAGAATAGGTTGCGTCATTCTTTGGTCTCCATTTTTACCTTTGTGTATATCGTATATCGGTTTTCATTAATCCTAGTTCTCTGGTAGTAAGCGATGTTGGATGGATACGGGGTGTGACATCATAGTGTCCTTCCAACTCCAAGCATCGCCAACCCACGTATGCTTCCTTCTCGTTAACTTTGCTATGCCTGCTGTTCTTTCTTTAAATCTGTTGCCGGGCCTTTTTTTCTTGTAATGTCCCCTTTATAACCTTTTAATAAATATATTAGAATCACTTTGGACCCTTCGTTCTTCTTTTCCTCTTTGGTTCAGGTTCCTCTGCTCATCTTGCCTGGCTCTAGATCTAGGTAGTTCGTAGAGCTTTCGATCCGTAACCGTCTATTCTTATCTTTATATCTCAACCTGGGAAGATATTGGAACTGTTTTACCGAACTTTGCTCTGCCTTGAGCTATTGCCTCTCCGGTAAGAGTATGTCCTCGCATTTTTTATGTATATATATAGCAACGGAACGTCTATGAAATAGACTAATAACATTTTCGATATAAACAGCAAACCTACCTTGAAACGCTGCTACGTTGCAGCTTCTCAACCAGATTTGGTACCCAATCGATTTCCAGGAACAAAACCCATCGAGTTTCAGTGTTTCCGCTTCGTTCCATGGCTATCAAGACCCGGTTCCACGATGATGTTCTTTATACTCCAAGGGGGCGTGATGAATTTATCGACCTACGACACCGTAGGGGAAGGCTCTCGCCGCCATTAGATGGGGTAAGAGGAGAAAAACATACTCGTCGTCGACGACGAGGCAAGGATGAAGAATTTGAAGAAGAAATCGAGATTGACTTCGAACGTGAAAGGCACGCAGGACGCCGCAACAGTCCCCGAAGACGAGCAAGGTCACCATCCAGGATTATAGAGAGAGACGAATTTGTACTTCATAGAGAAGAAAGCCCCGGATGGAAGAGAGTGGAACGAGATGACATGATTGCGAGACGAGAGATCGATACATATTCCGAGAGTTCATTTGAAATGGAGCCAGTGGTCCCTGTCCATCATCGGCCGACGCATGTGCATGAAGACATTGTTGAATACCATAGGCATGGCGGACAAGGTACGTATCCTAAGGTCAATTCGATAGGGTTTCATGACGTTCTAAGGCTAATAACCGTTTAGGGCATGCTCACCTACACAGACGAGAGTCGCCGAGACGAACGGATATAGAAGAAATTGAAATTCGAAGGTAGGCGTCAAAAGTTATTTTCCTGGAAGAATGTCTACTGATCGATAGTTAGAAGACATGACCGACCCCCCGGAGGCTATGAGGACGAAAGTACGCTTGAAATCGACGTGGATATTCATAGAGAACAAGAGGGACGGCGTCATAGAGCGCAGACCCACGAACCTTTAGTAATAAGACCTCGCGAGATAGTCCCATCCCACATTCGAGAGGAAGCCGAACATTACAGCCGCCATGTCACGGAAGGGCCGACAATTAATGAGACGTATAGAGACACAAACCGTGACTGGTGCATATTAGATGTGCCTCCGGGAACAAAACGGGCTGCCATGGATGGACTTGGTGGCGCTTGCGAAGAGATACCGTGGCAGAGACATAACGGCGTCCGAAGATCGAGATACATTCATGATGGCCATGAGCATCGGCCATATAGGGGCTTCGGCAACGAAATCCACGGAAAGATCGCAAAACGATACTTGGGAGTCAAGGAAAAGCGTGATGAACTCTGGACGGAAATCACAAAGGATCTAGTTGTGAAGGAAGCCATCGAGAAAGCAGGATATGAATATGAAGAAACAGCCGATTTCTTCTATATCTTTTCATACTTACAATATGTAAGAACTCCATTCCTACCCGGAGCGTGCAAGTCTTCTGAACGGAATGTACTGACGATCTGCTCGTATTCTAGGACGACGTAGCAGAGTTGGTGAAGCTTTCTGAAGATTATCGTTGCCGGCGTCGTGATCGGGTCCTAGAAATCCAGCATGAAAGAGCCAGGTCGCATCCTCCGCCACTTGCGCTTCCACAACCGCATCCGCATCATAAAATGCTCTTGGAGAGGGAAACATCCAGGCCGCTCTGGGACGAAGAGCCAGTCCATGAGACTGAAATCATCATCGATGAGACCCGTAGGTCACGGCGTCGCTCTCCGATACTTAGAGAGCGTATTGTTTGACCGCACTACATTTTTTCGTTTGTAGTTCCAGAGTACTCCGTATGTATCAACACGATTCTCCTATTCGTTTCGGTATTCCAAGTAGGCATGGAGCTTTTATTCAGGCTAAATCTGGAGGGTGGTAATATTTTATTAGTTAATGTATCAAATGAATTGTAGTTTCTTTGTTTCTCTTCCGTGGCCTCTATTAAAAATCAAGGGTTTGATTTTCGTGGTTATCAACAGTGAGATAGATATGTTGATGGTTGTTTTCTATCTACTTTCCCTTTAGAATTTGAATGGTCCAGTCAACACGTGATCATTCGAGATGGCTTCATCTTTTCTCTTTTAGGACAAGAGAACTTCAAGTTGATTCAAGAATCAAACATCAAACCGGCATCTTGAGGATGATAAAATATGCTGCCCTTACGCTCATTCAGTCGCGGAAAATGCCCGTGACTACTGTGAGGCAGACTCTAAATGCATCTTATTGTAATGGTGGGGATCTTCATTATTTGGCCGTTCAAGGGTGAAGTTGAGTCCTGATCAAGGCGCAAGCGATGTTGAAGAACATAGCTAAGTTGCCAATATACCCTGAATAACATAGCGACATCTAAGGATTCTCGGCATGTTTTATTCAATAATCTTCTCAAATTACGCTCTCTACGCCCTGTTGTTCGACTGCCCAGCCACCAGTCGAATCCGAGGCTAGTCTCCTGCATGAAGGAAGGAAACGAGAAAGGGAAAAGCGACAGGGTATCGCTATGAAAGAGGTTTTTCTCTTCTCTTTTCGTCTTTCCTCTTTTTCCCTCTTCCTTCACTCTTCTGGTGCCTCTTTTTATAGACACCGCTGTCGATATGGGATCCAAGAATGATGCCGATGCTCTGCAAGATGGCGGCGATGGCAATGATACCGTCGAATATCCCAATGCCTTTTGGGCATCTTGTGTCTCTGTTGGAGTCGCTCTCGGTCTATTTCTGGTATAATGATCCTACTCCCAGGATCTACTATAGCTATCAAGTGCTAACCCCAATGCATAGGTTGGTTTAGACATGGTAAGCGCCGATACTGCTCACCTTTCTGTCTCTATGTCCCATTGATCTCGGATAGACGATTGTTGCGGCTGCCATCCCTCGTATCACCGATGACTTCAAGGGTATCAACCTTGTTGGCTGGTACGCTTCGGCCTATTTTATTGTGCTGGCTTGCTTCCAGCCCTTCTGGTAACCACCTCTCTCTATATGTATAAAGATATATGGATAAATGTTAATCTTTGCAGGGGCAAGATCTACCCTTTCTTCTCGATCAAGTATACCTTTTTGGCTGCCGTCTTCATCTTTGACCTGGGCTCGCTGCTTGCTGGTACGTTGGTAGCGCTGCATCTATCTAGACCTAGCTGACGGGTTTAGGCCTTGCGCCCAACAGCACTGTCCTTATTGTTGGACGAGCTATAATGGGTGCCGGGGGTGCTGGCATCGCGGCAGGCGGATACGCCATTTTAGGGGTTGTCGTGCGGCCACAGCTACGGCCAATGTTTACTGGCCTGATCACCACCATCTACAGTATTGCCAATGTCCTGGGCCCTATTTTAGGTGGCATCTTTACCCAGCAGGCCACCTGGCGCTGGTGTTTCTACGTCAACCTGCCCATTGGCGGTGTGGCTGGCCTCATTATCTTCTTCCTCTTCCACCCGCCCAAGTCCGCCCACCGGCCCAATACACCGATGAAGGAGAAGCTATCACATATGGACCCCATCGGTATAGCTCTCGCCCTTGCTTCACTTATATTTTTCACGCGCGCACTCGAGGTCGCTGGTATTGAAGAGAAATGGAACTCAGCCGCAGTTATCAGCTTTCTTACCGCGTGCTTCATTTCCGCGGTTGCCTTTGTCGTCTCGCAATATCTTCAGGGAGATCATGCACTCCTTATGTCGCGGATACTTAAACGGCGCGTTGTCGTCGTTGGAATGGCCTACGGTTTCTTCCATGAAGGCGCCTTCTTTCTTCTACTTTACTATATCCCAATATACTTCCAGGTAGTTATGGGTCTCTCCCCCTCACAGGCTGGCGTACACAACCTTCCCCTACTAATTAGTTGTGGCATCGGCTCTACTCTCACGGGTATTCTCGTCTCGCTCTTCGGGCACTATGTACCTCTCATGCTCTGGGCTAGCGCGGGGGGCTGCCTCGCTTCTGGTCTTATCTATACCCTTCACGCAACTTCCACTCCTGCTCAATGGATTGGCTACCAGATTCTAGCCGGTCTGGCCTACGGGTCTGGCCTACCGCTGGCCATCATCGCAGCCCAGGCCCAGACGAAGCCCGAAGACCTTGCCTCGACGACAGCTATGCTGTTATGTATGTTCTTCATTCACGCTCTAGCTTACACTACCCAGCTAATCCTATGTAGTCGCCTTCTGCGTCGGCTCCTCAACATCCCTAGGCGCCGGGCAGTCCGTCTTGAGTAACCTTCTCCTATCGAAGCTACCGTCTCTAGCCCCCACCGTCGACCCTCGTAGCGTCATAGCCACAGGTGCTACTGAGATCCGCCATATATTCCCCGCCGACGCTGTGCCTGGAATTGTCGACGCTTACCTCTTCTGTCTGCGTATTGTCTTTTTAATTGTCACGGCTTATGCCGGTGTCGCCGTCTTCTTTGCCTGCGGCAATAGATGGAAGAGGCTAAAGTTAAAGGGGTAGGAGCTGAATATTCTTAGATACGCGGAGATAGAGCACGGAGTAAGCAAAGGTAAGATGTATCATAAAGTATAAAACTCTCCTCATTCATAAATGCCACCTGCCTCCCTCTCGTCCTCGACGCTTTGTCTAAGTACTCAGTATAATGCGAAGCCAAGATCTAGATTCGTGCTCTGACTTCTCAGAGGTCGGTTACGGTTATAGCAACTCAAGAGAAGCCGACAGAGTCTACGGTTTGATATGGTCAAAGAGTACTCTGTAATAGGTAACTGCTGACCTAAGAAGCGGTTGGCTCAGAATGTTGTTGAGAGGATCAGACTTTCATGCTGTGTAATCTTGAGGTCCGACATATAAGACATTCCCAGCAACGTTTGTCAGGGGTCAAGGCAGTCGCCGTTTGCCCATATATCACAACATCTGCTATAGTTGTCTCCTAATTTCATGTATACGTGAAGGAAATTGCCTTGGTCAGCATTTGGACAAGGGAATCTCTTGGTGTCCGTCGAAAGGCCGAATCCTTAGGCTCAAAAATGTATTTTTGCCCAGCAGTCCGGACCGAAAGAAGGTAGTAGTGCACATGCGAAATCCCTTGTCGGCAGGCAACCTTTAAAGACCCTGCAGAGGCCCTGCTGTGCAAGTACGAGGCCGCAGTTTCACCATATCAAATCGAGAATGTGCAAGTGAACAAATGCACCCGGAGCTAACGGCGGTAAATCACCTGATATCACTCCGTGCAAGGTTATTGAAATTGTTATCTTAGCAAACGATCCCTCGTCATAGCACGGCTCGGAACCAGGATCTTCGGCCCAGGCGGTCTCTAACAGGCTCTAGCAGGGCTCTAGGGTTGGACATAATCGTGGGGTGGCATGTTTCAATTATTGGCTCCACTTGACTGGCTGCCCAGTGTCCTTTGCCACAGTGAGACTCCGTATAAAAGTCGCCTTGTCTCCCGCGGCGAGGACGATTGCCTTTGGGGCCAGTATCTCAAGCGAATAGGGGAGGGTGAATCTGAAACGCCTCCATTTCTACGCAGCCAGGCGCGGCAGAGGGATTAGTCCCAGCGCATAAAGTCGTCCAATATATTCTGTAAATGAAGCAAAACCAACCCACTATCGTCTGGTCTGGTGAACTGCTGATCGCGATCGTGTTTTAGTTATCGGATCTTATCAGGGGGCACCCGGGCCAATGATGGACTTTTAAATTCGGCCAGGGTGGGATTGATATGTCAATGTTATTCCTTGGGAGGCAAAAAAGAGTGAAAAAGCAACAGGAAGAATGGCATTTTCCTTTTTTGTTGCCAATGTAGGGGTTTTCTTTTGTTTTCATTCTTATGTCCGCGGCCCCTGATGTTCGTCCAGTAAAGTTGGAGCGAGTGGGAAATACTTGGTTAGCGGGTCCAGTAAAATGCTGTGAATTTCTGTTCCTGGTTTCCTAGGCAAAGTTAAGGCTTCCACGTAGTTTTTTTTTTTTAGAGCACTGCTGATAAAAGAGGCCCTATTCCAGTGTATATTGACTCGCCTTTTTTAGTGAATTGTCGAGATGGCTGGCGGTTTCTATATATTCTCCCTGCAATGCAGTGGCTGGTGCATATTAGTACGAACCCGACAGGCCGCTGCCACGAGATTTTGTGGATACGCTGGGTCTTGGTGGCGTTCGTTTGCTGGCAAGCTCTTCGTCTTTCTTACCCCCCTGGACACCGCTCCAGCAGGAGGTGGGAACCTCTTTCTACATGCAGGGATGGGGTTGGGACACGATTACTCGCTATCGCACGGTGGGCAATTGGGGCCAGAAATCGTGAACGGCCTGGGAGACAGCGATTGAAGCGGCCGAAGAGCGAAAAGTGTAGAAGTGATGCAGAGAAGTTGATTGCGTAGGTCCTGCAGACGGAATACGATGAGATCTCGATCCGTGGGTGGATATGGCGGCGCTCGGCTTGCAACCATTGAAGCTACAGCGTCGAGATGACAGGGGAAGGACACCCGTGCTGCGTGTTCGTCATGCTCATTAGACGATTACGTTCTTTTTTGTTCCCTTGGAAACAGACGAATTAGCTAGTGCATGATAGTGACTTCTGATGCATAACATACTTGCGTCGTGCGGTGCCATTTGACCGTACGGAGGTCCTCCTGTAGCAGGAGACGAATGTCGTTGACGTGTAGAGACGAACTGGTAGACATCCGGGAGCGCAGTCCTTTAATTCCATCTTTGAACAACCGGGAAATTCTGTCCGACGGCTAAGAGTCAATAATGGAGATATTAATACGTGCTATTAATGCCAGATCCCCAGATATTTTTTTTGTTTATTATGCTCCGTGCATGCACTCCATCCTACGGGCTCCAATTTGCCTTCCATGTCCATAAATGATGTCCATATGCAAGGCACCGTAGTTTAGGTAAAAGGGGCAAGCTCTGACTGCGATGATCAGAGACTCCGTAGATGCTGGAGAGGCGAGCAATGGGGGTGGCTTGATGCTCCGCGGCTACATGCCAACAATGCGAGCTTGTAGATGTCACAGTGTCCTCCCCGGACTCGCGACCGGGCTTGACTCGAGGCCGTTGGCCATGAACAGATATCTCGCAGGACCATTGAACCAGTCGCCGTGTAGCACCGGGACATAGCCAGACCGAAGGGCGAAAAGGCCGGGAGCCACATGGGAAACGACGAAGATATCTTGGAAGACGAAGTCCACTTGGCGGATAAGTACCAAACCTTCTGCACCCGTCGTCTTCTCTTCTTCCAACCTCCCGCTTTATTCTCCCTCTCTATCTTTGCCTCTCTTTACTCCTCCTTCGTGTTGTCTTCTGTCGTTTTCGAGTGGACGCTCGTTGTCGTCGTCTGTTGCTGCCGGCCATCCTCTCGTTGGCTGTCCAGTCCGTAGTCCGGCCTGGGTGACGTTGCCCGGCTCTGCAGCAATTCCTCTCGTTCGACCTTGAGACACCGTTGGAGTCTCAGGGTCTCTCCTCCAGCGTCGGCCGTCGACCGTCGTCCGTCGTTCATCGTTCGCCATCGCCGTCTCGCGTGTATCAACAACGGTTTCTTCCCGGCGTGGCATCGTCGTTATGCGTTGCGATCTCTAAACCCTCGACCGAGCATCTTCCCGTTGAAGGTCTTCTTCCGTCTGCTCTGCCCGTCAGATGGACGTTGAATAGGATCAAAGACAGATCCGCCGCTTTTTCCCTTCCTTTGATTCAGGGGACCAAGAATACACGGATGGTGTAAGTTGCCGTCAGATTCACTGGCCTTGTTTAGTTCCTTGGACCGCTATTGGATTGTTCAAGACAAGTGCTGATGGATGAATGTGTCTTGTGTCATTTAGCCCAGGTTATGAGAAGTTGTTGCTTTTCTTGGAACTCTGCGTTGTGTGCGTGTCTGTGAGTTGCATCTACAACTTCATATCTACTTCAATATCAACCCTATACCACCTATCATCGCCAGGACGATGAGATGAGCTCTGCCGGCCTTCTATCATCTTCCGCCGAGCAGGAACACACTCAAGACCTTTCACCTTTCAGCTTCAGACAACGTTCAAACAACGTCCTCTCAGTTTCTACCTCCTTCACAGCCCAAGCCTCGACCTACTCAGAGCGCTGCTAACAGTTCAACAGTCATAAGCAAGCTTGTATTGTGGAATCGAGGAGCTTCCCGGTCGGCGTGAACCATAACAATGGCTTCTAAACCTCAGGGCGCCCTGAAATCTCTACTCATCTCGCTCTTCGCTCTATATCCAGCTCTATCAGCGGGCGTATCCATCGACTACTGTGCAAAGCTCAATACAGGATCCAATTTCGACTATGGTGAGCCCCCTTTTACCCGTCTTGAGTTGTCGAATAAGACCCCGAGGGACTGACATATCGAGTAGTCGTCGACGGCTTCCAATCTATCGGAGCATGCCAGAAAACATGCGGAGACAAATATGCATTTGCCATCCTGCAAGGGAAGACATGCTGGTGCTCGAATGCCGCCCCTGGAAACACTGTCTCGAACGATAAATGCAATCAGAATTGCCCAGGATACCCTGACGATAAATGCGGAAGTGCCTCGCAAGGCCTATATGCCTACATTGTTCTCGATAAAAAGCCGACCACGACGATAGGTAGCTCGTCTATGACCACCTCGTCGGTTAGTAGTACTCAGTTCTCTCCCTCTTTTCAGCACAATTACTACTCGGCCATCGAGTAGTAATGCTATCGTTTTCATTGAGTCCTCGCGTTCCCCAGTTGGGGATACCCGTTCTTCCCAGTCCCCAACACCCAGAGAAACCGACACTCAACCTCAGTCAACGCAGATGATTTTGACTCAAAGTGTACAGACCACAAGTAGGACTACTGCAAGTTCAGTAACTCGCACCACTACAGAGTCGTCTACCACATCCACAACAATGACCTCATCGTCATCATCCTCTTCCTCTTCCTCCTCTTCCTCCTCCTCTTCTTCTGTAGGGCTATACTTCTTCCCCTGAAAGAGACGGGTTTCGTTTTTCATTCATGTGTTTTACTCATATGCTTTTGAAACTTGTCTTTTTCTCTACAACGAACGAGCTAACCCTTCGTTTATATGCAGTCGTCCACTAAATCATCCTCATCATCAGCTACCGAGACGCCCTCGGTCACCACCGTCGAGGGACAGGTAACTACAATCACTGTTCCCAACGGACCAACCAAAACCAGCACTCCGTCTGAGGGTACAACCAGTTCTTCATTAACTGGCGGTGCAATCGCTGGAATCATCATCGGTACGTTAGCTGCATTCGGCATCTTTGCAGCCATTCTTTTATGGTTCTGCTGCTTCCGTCGCCGCCAACAAACCAAAATCGATGATGGATACCGTTCTCCTTTCCATGAATCTCCAGTTCCCCAGCCTATCTTTGAAAGTACTCTTAGCAGTCGTGTTCCAGCCATGAGAACTACGCCAGTCAATGGAGCGACCGTGGGTAGAAGAGGCAGTACAGCTCGCCTTAGTATCCCTGCCTTCACCGACCATCGAATGAAGAAGGATGCAATGGTCTACGCCAACGGAGGTCGTCATAGCAACGTATCGCTTCAGGATAATCAGGACTATTCCCGTCCCGTATTGCGAGTAAGTACATCAATTCAATTTAAAGCAGGCATGTGTGAGTGAAACTAACTGTCGCTTTCCAGTTGACCAACCCTGATCCGGATGACCGTTGATCACGTACTCTCTCAACTTATGCTGGAACGAACTCTCTCCATTTACGATCAAAGTCTCATCAGTAATCTGAGGTCATTTTATTAGCATGAAACACCTCCTCCCCCAAGCATTTCACGGTCTACCCCATTGCATCGAACCGATACCTTACGATATTTCACACAAACCCTCACAAAACTCATGATCACCGTCGAGCTTCCACGCCGGACTCGAGCTTTTAGCTGATACCCCCCATGCCCACAGTTCCCTCACTTGAGATTGTTTTAACACCCCATTCCCGTATCCCCCATACTTCCCAATTTCCTTTCTAAGATACCATGTTTCCCCTTTTTCACATTTTCCCTTCCTCCATCCCCTTCATGAAAGCATTTAACTTGAATGGCAAGAATCATTGGCGTCAACTGGAACTGTAAACCATGGGAATTCAGGTAACGGGGGTTGTTTTTTGTTACTGTTTCTTCTCCTTGTTCAAACGACGTGTTGTTTTCAGATGCTAAAAAAAGCCATGCATGCATTCTGGAATTCGCGATTTCGAGGCCTGTACCATATCCAAAAACAGCCTACCAAATGAAGCGGCATAATTATTCAAACAACAACAACAACAACAGCGGACGGGCCATCGGAGGCAAATTTGTTTTCTTATCCCAGTCGGGGCTCAGAAGCCCTCGGCTGTTGTGTTTTCAGCAAATTTAATGTCGCAACCGTGCTACTTTATCTTATTCAATAGGGTATATAGCCATTGAAAAAATAATTAAAAAACGTTAATATATTTTACACCTTTCCCTGCTTCGCCTTTTCTCAGATGACTATCACGAGCGAATAGTAGATAATACCGGGGTTGAAGACGATTCCAAATACCCTTATTGATGCTGTGCGGCTGGAGTAGAAAGCCAATTCTGACGTTTACGGTACGTGAGCTCATATCTTAAAAACGGAGCTAAAGAGTGTCATTGGTGTGCTCTATGGTCTACTACACAGTTATGTCAAATATGTATAAGAATATCCTTGATTTTCTTTCTTTCATTGGCGTTACGTATGTAGATAGGGTAAGGGTGGCCTGGCCGATCTACACTTCAGCGTCATCGCGTTCCACAGGCGACGTTCAGTATGTTACAAAAGGCGAGTCTGTATGTTGGAAGGTTGGCATTGGCGAAGGGTTCCATGGCTCGACCGTGGGGGCACTTGAGAGTAGTGAATATAGCTACTATATATGTGGAGACAGACAATATACCAAACAAGTGAAACGGATATTGTGCAACGGGGAGGAAGACTCTCAGCCAGTAGTAAGAATGTCACTCGGTATAGCGGTAAAGGAGTTGTCTTCTATACAACAAGTGGGATAGAGTATAAAGATTTTTTATTGGCTATATGAGAAGACTATAATGTAGGTAAATGCACATAATGGAGTGGGGAAAGGCGACGATAGGGCAAGGTCTATATTCTTCCCACCAGCCCCCTAAGGCACGCCTTCAATAGTAATCAACCTCCACTCGAAGATCTTGCCAGCTGAGGTTCAGAGATCCTACTCTTTCATTAGTAGATAGCGGTTGTAACGCCCGGATTGTTCGTAATAAAGTACTTTCAGTTCATGTCTACCTTCCAACCATACGCTTTTCGATAGTTCGGAAGGTAAAGTAGGTGATAACAGTGAAGGTAGTGTTCAATATCAGCCCTACATCCCCGGCTGGAGTGCCAAACTTAGCGGCAATAGGTCCAATAAACCATGTTGTGTTCATTCCTGGTATTGCGCCAGCCATATAGGACACCACCAGCGATGCTACTGCGGCTAGCCCCCATGGAAGCCTGTGCTTGTCATTCCACGCCGTCAGGTCGTATCCATCGTGTCTCCTAAACCATCTATCCTCCATAAATAAGATAACGGAATAGGCAGCAGTCAGGTATCCTAACATATTTCCCAGGTTTCCAATTAGTTCGATAAGATGGTCTTTACCGAGAACTGATAAGGTCGTGACGAGTATCGCTATTAGGAGACTCCAGATGAATCGAGGAAGATATCGGAAATGCTGGCCCAGGACCTGGATGGACAAGCCACATGAGTAATAATTCGCAATTAGCCCCCCAAGAACGGTGAATAGGAGCATCACAAGCATGAACTTTGACCATGCTAGAGGGTGTGATATCTCTCGAACTACCCCACCAAGACCATGGGATTTGAAGGCTTCTGAAAAGGGGCCCGTTGGATCGAGAGCAATGAGTCCAATGCAAGTGCCGATAATGGAGATGAATACAGATGAAGAGGCAAAGCCAGCAAGAGTCAACGTGGTAAGCTTCCAGGAAGAGATCTTTGTCGGGTAATGGCAGTAGTAATCGGCAATTGCGGTGGACCAGCCAGATGTTCCAGCAACTGTGAATGAGAGGTATGATAGAAAACTAGCCGCGAACCCTTCCCGTCTATGGTTGAAGTATATCATCTCAGGTTTTATATGTGGTGCGCTCTGCCCAAGAAGGACACATAAAAGGACGAACGCAAGGATCCATGAATAGCTTTCGAATTTGTGAATGATCGAGAATCCAAAGAAGGAAATGGCCAGAGACAGGGCAGAAACAATAAATATGCCAACGTTGGTCGAGACGGTGTAGTCGGCAGCTGCCGGGAGTAACTGGCCAGAGACAGTGGTGCTAATGACAGCGTAGCCGGTGCTTAAAATTATATTTAGGATGGAAACTAGCTTTGCGCCTCGATACCCGAATGAGTATCTACAGGATGCCATGGAGCGCAAACCAAGCTATCATCTTCGGGTTAACTATAACAACATCCAGCGGGAAGGACATGTTTGTCATTGGGGATAGAGCTCACCTTCGCACCCAATAAACCACAATTGGCTACCAAAACTGCCCCTAAGAGGGTACCAACGACAGTAGCGACTGCAGCTTCAGATAGAGAAAGCCCCCATTGAGCACCTAGAATGCCTATGGGTAGGCCGCCGGGGTTGCAAAACATACTCCACCACATCAGGAAAGCATTCCAAAGAGATGGCGGCTGTTTATCTTCCTCCTTGATTCGTTCGATTCCTTGAGTCTCAATATTCAGCTTCTGACCCAACCACAACTCTATTTGGCGTAGAACTCGTTCGATTTTGACCGTCTTTATCTCGGGGTTTTCAATGGGGTCCTCTTCTCTCGACTGGATAGAGTCACCTTGCCGAACTTCAGCCTTTTGATCCGACGGTTGCGAGTTTTCGAGATCGAGCCGAAATCCATTGTCGTCTACGACGTTCGCCCCTGGATTGGCCTCATCCTTCGTAGAACCCATTGTGCTCTTGGTAGGTATAGCACTTGGCTTATGGAAGAATCAATATGGAGTACGGAGTACTCTCTGCGGATAAAACGAAGCAGAGAACGTTCGTCAACACGAATTCATGGGATATATGATAACCAGTTATGGTTGCACGGAAACCCTCGCTTGATATTTTGGTACAGCTGTTAAGTGGCGGCCGGGACAAGAACAGCCATATTCAAAATTGGCCTCTAGCATTTGCTGAAAAATGAGCCTGGCAACACCTTGACCCTGGCTGCAGGGCCGCGGCTGCAGGACCATTCGCCCATGAATGTAAGTATATCCCGCTATCTTGAGTAACATTCCAGGCAAGATGGCTGTGATGATCGGTTGTGATATAAATGGGCAAAATCGCCGGGATATCCTTGGGCCAATGACCGCAGGGAATATGCCGCCTAAAATTTGAGGCTTCCCTAAAATATGGCTGCAGCAGTCCATTCAACGAAAACGCTTCTCTAACGCTGACAGGTTCTGTGGTTCTTCACACTTTGAGACATGCTCCCCACAGTGGGATGATATACAATCTGATACAGCGGAAGGGCCGATATAGCCTAGTTGCACCCAAAGCTTGTTATGAGGTCAGAAACCACGAAGTTAGAGGCCACATCCTAACTTTGCGCTACTAAACACTGCATCCTCGATGGATAAGCTTTGCCAAAAGAAAAAGAAATATATGTGCTAGGAAACGTCGTCGAGTCCCTGTGCACTTGAGTACGAGTTCTGGCCGCTTGCGAGCTGTGAATGAAATTTCAACATGATCGAAACTTCAGCCTGACAAGCGAGGTCACTTCATCGACAAGAACGTCTCTCCCATACAAGGCACAGCCTGTATCTGCGCCGAGTACTCCGTAACATGGAGAAACCACATACGGAGCTGGTGACATCCTCCTCCTGCGCGTCATCTGAGTAACTAGTTTTCGGCCGGTATCAGATCTTCGATACCGCGAAAAGACCATGATCCAGCCTTTGAGTGAAGAAATAGCGAGGGCCGCCGTCTCGCCTTTATGTCTTTATATCGATTCGTGTTTTTTATATCGAGAAGTTGCAGAAACGCGACGTTTAAACAGCTGAAACACGTGACATCGGATAGTTTACCCCTTTTCGGGCATACAGGAGCGTTTCCAGATCGGGAGACAACATCCAGAGGACAAGGGAGAAAAGAGAGACAAAGAGCCGGGGGATACATGAATCGCGACCTCTGAGAGGCTGGCGGCAGGGCTATAGCTGCCGTGATATTGGAGACTGTCGAATAACGAACGCCGATGCACGCTCAGTCCAGGGTGTGGTTGATATTATTGCCTGAACGGTGTCAAGGGTAGCACATATACTTGGCCTTGGTGGCCCGGCGTCTACTTACAGGCCCGTGACATGGAGGGTGTTCGGGCATGGATATATACCGAAGAATCCCCCAGATTTGGCCGTATCTCTCGCTCCTTGACCCTATGTCTATGGTCTTGGTATACGCCCGGCACTCTAGTGAGGATGGCAATGGAGCTTGGTCAAATTGGTTATACCAAAATATGGGGCGTCTTCCATGAGATACGCCGAAAGGTTGGTAAAGTTCGCTTGTCCAAGTTAGTCTAATGTTCAACATATACATTGCTTGCTAACCATCTTTTGAAGCAGACTCCACCAATGCTTGTTACAGCGGATTTAACATTGGCTCTCGGAGGCCTTGTTGTTGCAGTGTTAATCCTTTATGTGACTGCTAGGAAGTGGCAGCGTCTGGACATTCACAAGTGCGTGAAAGGGCCCCTCCGGGGCTATCTCTCGAGTTCGTATCCACCGTCCGCTGTGCAGGAAAAGGAGCCTGCCCCATCACCCCAATATCAGGGCCTCCTACCACCACTGCGTAGGGAATTCTTGCAAGATATTCGCCAACCTATATGTTACCAACGTATTCGATGTCCTCCCGTCACGGAAGAACAGGTTAAGCGGTCGATTCTGCCAATGGAGTCAAATTATATGCTTTGCAATGATATTAAATATACCCCAACTGGATTTTCAACTGAAGACATCAAGGCGTTGGGTGACTTTCCCGATTATGCCACTCTGAGTGGTGTTCCATTACCAGAGCCATATCCGGAATTTGATATCGCCAAGGCCATTCCAAGACCTTATAGGCCATTCCGCTGGAATTATCATCAGACAATGTGTACGTTGTTTCGTTACATTTCTTCCTCATGTAATTAAGGCATCAACGGCTTACCTTCATAAAAGCACTCGCAAGGCTGGATACCAATTGGTGGCTTGAGCTGGAGAACACATATAAAGAACGAGTTGCAGAGAGAATGGGCCTCTATCGCAAATGTGGAAAGGAAGTGCTGGATTATCTTCCTGGGTCGGAACTTGCATGCAAGGAACTCATGGAGATGTCTTTACAATTCCTTTGCGCTCGATATCCCCACTACTTTTCCCTTTCCCGAGACAAGCGGTTTTTCAACAATGGTATACTTGGCACAGTAGAGGATCTACAGGCAGCACATCCTATCGAAATATTGATGGCAAATATTCCCGAAGATTTTGCCATTATGTTGAGAGATGAGAAAACAGGAAATTATTACCTACGAGCGGGAGCTACCTGTTCCTCTTTGGGGTGGAACCTTGGGACTAAAATGGGTCTTCAGCTCCACGAGATTCATGGCCCTATTCCTGATTATAAAGAAAAGATGCAATTTTCTATGGGCCGGTACGTTTATCAACCTAGTCTTGGCCATCACATACTAAGCAGAGAAGAAAAAACTAATGAAGCCGAAATAAATAGATACTTCTCAAAAATGCCTACCGATAAGCCCATCCAACGTGGCTCTTGGGGTCTAGAAGTTGATATGCCCCTATACATGCCACCAGGCGACCCTCACGAATTGCTCCGCTTATCTCAAAGTCCGGATCTAAAGCTTTCCGACTGCTACCTTCGAGTAGACTGGCAGTCACTTCGGCGCCTTCCTTTATCAGGCGCCATTGTATTCAACTATCGGGCTGTCTTCACCCCTGTGTCTGAGTTTAAGGATGAACCAGGAATTCCTGGATTATTGGTGAAGATTCTCGAAGAAGCAAAGAAATCAATTATGGAGTACAAGAGTACGTGGCATGTCGAGCACGTTGTTCTGCCTGCGTTCAAGCAGTGGGCAAAAGAGCAGGAAGAGAGTGGTCTGGTAGAGAAAGATTGGAACGTCTGCACTTTGGAGGAGAGCCCGTATTTTAAGGGGTGGGAGGAGAAGTGGCACCATCAGCAGGGGTTTTAATGCCCATGCGACAATGGTGGTGACGACACAAAGGTTGGTTTCATGAAGTTACGATTTACACGCTCTACGCAGCCCTGTAACTGTATTTGCTCTTTAACCGGGAAGATATAGTGTTCCATTTTAGGATACTAATTAACGAAGAAACTATAGCTTGACATTCGCTATTGACTAACTTGGTGTTGTCAAAACATGCTAAACTCGTAGTTCAAGAGACATCTTATAAATGTCAAGAATAAGAAGAGGGTATATCTTGTTGCGTAGAATAATGTCAGCTCCATATTTTACCCGTTTCATTTGAACCGGGCGATTTCCAGCAACTTTTGCCAGCCAGTGGCCTGCGGCTGGAATGCATGACAGGCGTAGTCTTGCCTTATTTGTCGATGGGGTAAGAGGATAGGTCCAACCATACCCTACGAAGGGCCTAGGCGGGTACCCGGAGGCAACTAAGATATTTTCTCAGCTCGAGGAATAATTTGCCTGATATGGCGGAGAACCACCGTAACACGGCTAGAATTCTACCCACAACGTGCATTGGTAGACTAGAGTCACCAGTGGAAGGAGGGAATACCCAGCAGGGTATTATAATGATGCGTGTCGCGTCTGACGAAGTGTTCATCGTAATCACGGACTGGCGCTATCTTCTTTGCCATTTTCACCCTCTGCTTTTTTGTCCTCTACCTCACCCTCCTCACTTTCTTCATCAAGGTCCTCAAGTTCATCATTCAGAGGACTAACCCTTTCTTCCAGCATATCTAAATCTTCCAGTATGCTTCTTGCTGGTATCTTCCATAAAGAGGTTCCGCACACTCGGTCCTTCGTGAGCAAGTCGTCCACAAACTGATCCAGATGCGTCAGCAAGAAACCGTCCTTCGTGCGCCTCTTAAGCTTCCGATAATCCATCAATAGTGGTTCGAGTGTTTTATATATCTCTACCGGCTCAAAGGTAAGTCGCACGTAGAATGCTGCTAGCGCGCGCAGATATTTAAAGTCCCCCGTCGCTTTTAATATTGCCGCATCTGCTTTGTCTTGTGCATCGTCCACGCCATCCTCCGCATCTGAGTTCCCCTCCCTAATGCCTGAGTCTTTCTCCTCATCTGCTTCAGGGTCGTGGAAATTTAAATATTCCAATATCACATCCTTTTCTGGCGCGAGCTGTAGGAGCTTGAAAGCAAGGCAGAGGAACGGAGTAGGTTTCTGTCCAACCCCATATGTCCCGCCTATATGCGTTAATTCAACTGCCCTGTCGCAGAGAGTTGCTGCGTTTAATCCGAAACACTGTTCTTTCCAGTAATAGGAGTCTGTAATTCGGTCTCGTACTGCCTTTTCGAAGAGAGTCGCTGGATTTACACCACGGATCAGAGGACCGGAATAACCACGACTGTCGAGAAGGGCGCTTGCGTCTGCGCGGTGGTGAGACATGATTTTATCCAGTACGGTGTAGGCGGTCGAGAGAGGTGTTTGTAGGAAGAAATAGCGAGTATAAGGGTCCGTTAATTGATCGTGGTAGAAAGTTGAGATGGTATTTTTACCTTGAGCATGGATTAAGATTGAAGGTCTTATCGATAAGGCCGTTGACCCGCCAACGCGTCGCCGTAAACAGAAACCAAGCTTCTATCATCTAGCCAACCTGCAACTCCTCCATCTTGCGACTGGCAAACGGTCTTACAGGATCTTCATTCAGACATTAAACGGCTCGAGAAGGCTTTTATAGGCTCCTCAATCCCCCGGTCCTTCTCGTTTGATAAGGATGCGGCTTTATATATGCGCCATTTACACATAACAAGCTGCTCACATCATGGTACTGCTTAGTTCTTCTACTGTTGGAGTTGCATTGTCATCGTCAATAGTCGGCTTTTTTACCCTCATTCTCTTCTTGTCCGGCTATGTGTTACAGCAACAATCGGTCAGGCACATCCAGGTCGCATTGCAGAAGTCTCCGTCCGCAAACTCCCGCATTGAGCCAACATACCCTTCGGAACCATTATGGGAACAAGGCAGGACCCCTTCCCAACGAGTGGCGGCAGTGAACACAGAAAAGAAGAGAAATATATTTGGAAGGCGGACGAACGCTGGGGTGGAGATTGAACAGGCCCAGCTAGATGAACCGGTTGAGGAAGAAGTTGACAACGAACGAGCTACAGAGAGGGCAACACATGCGGTTCTTCACATTTTAACGAAACCCATCGCATCCGATATATGTTCCACGATTCTCCTTTTTGAAACCCTTGCGTCGAATAGTACTCGCACCACCGAACGAATTCTCCTTTATCCTCAATCATGGGACGCTAGCTCTCCAACGAAAAGTGTCTCCTCCGCCCTCACCATTCTCAAGCAAGCAAGTACTAGGCTCAATGCTGTTGTCCAAGGAATCGATACATCAGATATCCGCCCCAGGGCACTATCTGAAACGCAGATGATAAAAAAGGCGTCGACGCAGCTCATGGAATATGAGAGGGTTATGTTCTTACGTTCTCCGGGGCATCTTATCGATATCAACAAACTGGAACAGATGCTTACATCTGAAATTGGCGAGACAATGCAAGTGGGCTCTTCACGAAGGATCCCGTCTGCCTGGGTTCCAGCAAAGCTTTCTATTACACGGCGTCAGCTACCACCTGCGTTGCTGGTGGCAAGCGATCAGTCTGCCTCTTGGTCCTCTACTGCCGGCAAGGCACCACTACCCAAGCCGCATGTTCTAAATTCCAAGACAATGCAACAGATGAATTTTGTCATGGAGTCATCTGAGTCACCCGGAAGACACCCAGGACCAGCATATGTTTACTTTGAAAGTGATACAGCGAACCGAGGTCGGAATGTGGATATGCATTACACTGAATGGAAGAAGCAAATCCAATCAGTCTGTAAGGGTGTGAACCTTGGCCTTTAGTTTTGTGTTATTATGGGATTCCGGTACTGGCTGGCTTATTTCCTTTTTTATTGACGTTGGAGTTAAAGGTGACAGAGTATACCCGATATTTATCGTATTGTTGGTGGAGGATTATTTGTGTTATATTTTGGCTTATTTAAATGCGGGATGAGGCGGATGTAGCATATTTTGGATATCTAAGTTAATGAGAAATGGGAATTATGATACTTTGAAGAGATATAAATTCATATTACTCAAAACTTTGCCCCATCGGTTCGTGTATTAACTGTAGCATCCGAATACGACTTTCTTCATATATTCTCAAGGGCTCTATAACGGATTACAGATTATAAGTTCTTTCTAACATATTGAATTTCCAACTCTTTTAAAACAAGTGTTTCCCTAGACAGAAATATGGGTTCTCTCGCAGTAAACAAAGGAGGAACGCCACCCACCGATCCCAACCCCATAGACCCAATGAGCGGATGAAAAGGATATCATGACGTTTAAAAAAAAAGAGCCAGTTGTTAGATGCCAATGAACATGGAGAGGTGTAGGGTAGACAAATAAGGTACGATGTAGAGGTAAGATGGTGGGGTAGTAAATGGTGATGATAATAAGACGGCTAAATATGGGGAGCATTGAGTAGTATACGTTTCGGAACAACTAGGATTGTAGGGCAGATATTTCATATCCTAGGAGCACTTCAGTAGTTGTGCCTTCCCATCCACGGTTTCCGCCTGTAGATATTAAATATCTGCAGGCATTATCCATATAGAGCTGCGAAATGGTGCCAGTGCGGTGACCGGGGATAATTAGGAAAGGGACCGAAGATCTAGAGGTTTGCTCTTCTCTCAAATCATACAATCGCAGGATATCGTGGGATGCACTATCAGATTGAGAATTGAGTTAGCAATGCAGGATAAGGGGTAATGGCTATTTGGGTTCACAAAGGAAAGAGAAGATAGCGAGGACACATACCAGATCAGATGCCTGCCATTAGGCATTATTTTAAGGGCAGACACTGCACCGCTTCCGTGTGGGAATCTAAATGTGCGCTGCGGATCACGAAGCCCTTTATGAAGGCTGTACTCCTCGACAGTGCCATTTCTTCTACCAACATAAATATAGTTGCCATCAGGAGACCAGCATGCACTCATACACCATGGAGGGCTATTCCGCGGTGTTATACGAGCAATTGGGTCCGGTTGCCTCCGGTCCCACACCCGAATAGCTCCGTCCATCGAAGCAGCTAGGAAGGTATTGTTGGAGTTACATTCCATATCATTGGTCATCGTGCTCCTTTCCGGAGCTGCCGCTGAAGATTCTAAATCTTCTGCATGCGGAAGACCACTCATCACCGAGTCAGAGATTCCGTTGACCTGGGAGTCTTGTGGTTCTTGTTTGGTGGATTGAAGCTGGCTTGTGGCAGTTGATTCAGGGATGGTCTCTGTCTGGGACTCAGAATTTGAGATCGTGCCATTGGGCATGGCGTTTGAGGGATTCACTTCAGGTTCTCTCCGCGGTCCTGGCTGCTTTTGTTTGATCCCATTAGCGAGTGCTTGAGAGAACTCGTCATCCTCCGCTGCAAAAGCACCACCGGAGGGTGCATCGGCATCCCCTCCGCCCTCTGCATCGCCAAATAGAGAATCAGCCTCGAAAAGCGAATCGGCTGGCGATCCCGCTTGTTGGTCTGTCGCTTGACTATCCTTGTGGCTGCCCCCTTCACCGTTTACGAAGCTTTGATTTCCTGAGGGAGGAGCGCGGTAGTTTGACGAATATGTTCCGTTTGTTAGTGACCGCTCCACAATTTCCCGTGGGACGGGCAGACTCGATTCAGGGCGGAATTCAATAGCGGAGATTTGTCCAACACTTGATCCAAAAGCACGCCTTACTTTCCCAGTGTCAAGATCCCATTCTAGGACTGTCTTATCCCAACTCCCGGATAAGAGTGATCGCTCGTCTTGGGTAAGGGATAAGACTGATACGGCGGAGGTATGCTGCCTGAGAACAGCAATCTCTTTGCCTTCATCATGACGTACAGACTGCAGCCGTATATTCCCCGATTCCAGACCTGAGAGTAGCCATAACCCTTCGGCTTGGGCGGCAAGAGAGTACACAGGTGACAGAGCATTGCCATCCATATTCTCCCAGTAGTTCATCAAGACACCCGCTTTGACAACACTGTCGACGAAAGGATGTCGCTGAGCAACAGTCAGCATGAGTTTACTGTTTATAGAATCAACCCAATTAAACCTTCGAACGTATCCGTCAGAGCCACCAGTAAAAACCCAGCGCATATCGGCAGTTGAGGTGACGGTATTAATCGAGGTGCTATGGGGAGCTGCCGTGGTGGGAGCAATATCGTAGGTCGTAGCCGTCAGCGCTTCTGGGCGGACCTGTGGCCGATACATAAAGGGCTGATCTGGGACTGGATCGAGCGTAGGCGCAGTTACTATCACTTCCGGATTCTGGGTATTTGCCCGCGCCTGGCTTTCCGAGTCGACGACACTTGAGTTGGAAGGGGAGTCTGGCTCGGGCTCAGGTTCAGGGTCAGCGTCGACATCCAGTTCGTCCACGTCTCGCATGGTATCGTCCATGCCATTGTCAGAGCTGCCATCTTGCGATCCTATTAAGCGTCGGGTATCTCCAGTTAGAGCCTCGCTTTTTATACCAAGCAGGGAAACTGCGGAAGTTGGTCGTCGTCTCACTTACCTGCCATATCGCGGTTATCATCGTCATCCAGAATTGAAGGCATTGTAAGCCTGGTCGGAGTCTTCTTAAACAACACGTTATATAGAGGGCCGATTGGTAGCGGCTACTGGTTCGGAGCGGTATTGGGGTCGGGATGCGCCAGTTACAGAGTGTAGATCAGAACTTGCATACCAGGCTTCAGCGAGTGAAGAACTCATTGTCTTCTAGAGGCTACATGGACCCACAGCGACAGCAGAGAGGCGAGCCTTGAATTTCCAATGGTCGCATGGACGAAGAATCTCCAGGTTCCTCCCGGTGATCGCAAGAAAGTAAGCGTGATGTAACCGCGCTTCGGCGCTCCGGCGCTTGTGCGGCTATCGGGGAAACACTAATCCGGATATATAATTCACCTCCTTCGAACTTCCTATCTTCACTTTATACAAGACAAATATTCTTGATCCTCCTGGTAGAAGGCAGCTGCTGACTTTTACTACTCATTGCAAGTAGTACTACCTAGAGACTTGGCTACCAGGCTCATATTGATATCCCTGCAGCCATGCGCTGCCACCTCCGCCGTTTACACATGGAGAGACAAGCAGCAGCATCAGTGTTTTACTCTTCCAATGACCAGTTAATTTCTAGATGCGGGCTCCCGACGCCCGCTCTTACCATACTATGTTTCTTTACTTCAGATAAAGAATGGCAGGGCTGCTTTGTTTACATCGTAGTCAGCAAAGCTTTTCCTCTAACAGTTGATGTCAATATCAAGCACTGCTCTCACAAGAGCTTGAACTCCCTTCTTTCTCTCCTGTCTCACCCTTCCTTTCTCTCGCATGCATTGAAGGCATTGTGCTGACTGTGTTGCAGTATTGTCTATAGCAGTTGCTATTGCACCGTTGGCACCTCTCCCTTCATCACCCTTCCTATCACGTCCTCTACTTTTTCTTCTTCTTCTCGAGCCTTTATTGTGTGCATAGCCATATTGGCATCTTGCATGTTCTCTCGTGTTCCCTTTGCTCAGCTGTCACCTCCTCTGCCTGAGGTCACCTTCACTCGAGCTTCGTTGCAAAGCTTTTACTGCCTCCGTTCCGTCCTCCTTCCTCTGCAGATTTTGGGTCAGGTCAATGAATTTACCTGCTACCCGTTGACTTCAGCTAAAAGGGTCATTCAACGCTCGGGCCGGCAATGTGGAGTCGAGATTTTCGACGAGGCCGAGGTCGAGGTGGACCACCTCTTCATCGCCCGTTCATCGAGTCTCCACCAACAATCCAGATAGACAAGGAGATCAGAGAATATGTTACCAAGGCGGCTCGTTCTGGTACGCCTGGGACTTGGACCGCGAAGCCTGAATTACCAGCCTCTGGAGAGATCTTGGGCCTTGATGATGGAGAGGTAATTTCTCTGGGTGTCAATCAGCTTCAGGGCCCGTGGCCATCGAGTGAAAACTACTTGAAGACTCATTACGAGCTTCTCCGTGAGGATGCAGTTGCCCCGCTGCGAGATGCTGTTGCGTATTTCCGTCATGACCCGAAAATGTCAGACTCCCCTCATTGCTGTGTCTATGAAAAGGTATGCATCCATTAAGAGACGACGAAAAACGTGACTGCTTGATTGCTGACCTCTCCCTCATCAAGGTTCATATGGTCGGAATGACCTTTGCACAAGCTGGCATCGCGGTCAGAGTCCAATTCTCCACAGTTAGAGCAGGCAAGAAAATTGTATGGGAATACTCAAAGCGGTTGATGACAGGAAATATTGTGGCGTTATCTCCAGCAAACGATGCATTCCAAACTAAATGTATCGTAGCGACTATTGCCGCAAGACCTTTGGATGGCCTAAAAGCATCACCACCCGAGATAGACCTCTTCTTTGCACGCCCAGAAGACGCTGAATTTGACTATCAGCAGGCGTGGGTCATGGTCGAGGGCAGGGTTGGATATTTTGAGGCTGCTAGACATACCTTGAGTGCGTTGCAGAAGCTGACAAGTGAGAGGTGAGCGTTATGAGCGCATACGGGTCTACCCATCGAGACTAACGTTGATATACAGCTTTCCTCTCTCGGAATACATCTGCGATCTTAAGCCTAAGATCGAGGCCCCGCGGTATCTGCAGGAAAACCCCATGATTAGGATGTCCACGGTACTACCTGATGAAAATATCTCCCAAACTATCGATATCAACAAAGAATGGCCTAAACACCCTGAATCTCTCGACCCGTCGCAATGGAAAGCTTTCCAGCAGATAATGACAAAAAGATTATCGATAGTTCAAGGTCCACCAGGCACAGGAAAAACTCACGTCTCTGTTATGGCTGTAAAAGCGATGCTGGATAATATTCAGCGTGGTGACCCCCCCATAATTATCGCCGCGCAGACAAACCATGCACTGGATCAACTTCTGCGCCATATCTCGAAGTTTGAAGAGAAATACGTTCGTCTAGGTGGAAGGAGCATGGACACCGATATCAGGATGCGCACTGTATTTGAGTTACGGAAAAAGAACAATCTGCCATCTACTATCGGGGGTGCCCTTGGCCCTGCTAGGAAAGAGTTGCGTGAGCTGACAGAGCAGGTTATTGAGTTACTATCTCCATTCAGGATCGAAAATGCTCGCGCCCCTCTGCAGCCATCGTTGTTTTTGAACATGGGAGTTATCTCTATAGCCCAGCATGATTCACTCATCAACGGCGCTGCTGGATGGGTACGTGCAGGTGACCAGGCTGACCCGATGTCAGTGTGGCTTGGTGATAGCCTGGTAAAATTTGAAGTCCTCTATAAACAGGAAACTTTTGGTTTTGCTGAGGAAGATATAGATCTCGAGTATGAGCAACTGAAAGAGCTTGAGGCGGAGCATGGCTTAGACGATGATGACTATGAAACCCTGAAAGGCCAATACATCGGCATGAGGGAGTTTTGTACCGCCCGGGGACCTGCCATCTACTCAGGGAAATCCGTTGAAAGCAACTACTTGAAGTACGAAGACATGTGGAAGATCCCCAGCGGTGCCCGCGCTGCGACTTACGCGTTGCTTCAGAAGCGTGTAAAGGAAGTGGTACGTCGCAAGTTTTGTGGCATGCTCGAGAGGTACAACACCGTATGCAGGAACCTCAAGATTGGGAAATGGGAAAGAGATTCTATCATACTTCGAGATTCACGAGTAGTTGGCATGACTACTACGGGTCTGAGCAAGTATCGGGCTCTTGTCTCAAGCCTCCATCCAAAGATCATATTGATCGAAGAGGCTGCTGAGGTTATTGAGTCCCCTGTTACTGTAGCTTGCATGGAGTCCCTGCAACATCTTATTTTAGTTGGTGACCATCAGCAGCTCCGGGGTAGTTGCTCCATGCAGGAACTGGAAGGAGACCCATTTTATCTCAACATCTCGATGTTTGAAAGGCTTGTTCGAAACTCGATTCCGTTCAGGCGCTTAACTAGCCAAAGACGTATGGCCCCAGAGATTCGACGAATCCTCTCGCCCATCTACAGTGACCTGCTTGACCATCCCAGCGTCCTGACCCGGCCAGATGTACCCGGTATGGGAGGAATCAACTCCTACTTCTTCACACACACATGGCCTGAATCTTTTGATAGCTTGTCTTCAAAATACAACGCGAATGAGGCAAAAATGATTGTAGGCTTCTATGTCTATCTTCATATGAACGGTGTTCCTGTTCAGGATATCACCGTTCTAACATTCTACAATGGGCAACGTAAAAAGATTCTCAAAGCATTGAAAGATAACCCACTTTTCCAAGGACAATACGCAAAAGTTGTTACGGTCGACTCATATCAAGGAGAAGAAAATGAAATTGTGCTCTTATCCTTAGTACGAAGCAACGACTACGATAATATTGGCTTCCTTGCAACCGAAAATCGCGTCTGTGTTGCCTTATCTCGCGCCAAACGTGGTTTTTATATCTTCGGCAATGCAGAATCGCTGGCTATATCCAACGGCTTATGGTGGCAGGTGACACAAATAATGAGAAAGGAGCCGAAGCGTTTGGGATACTTCTTACCCCTAACATGCAAGAAGCACCAAACTAGGACTTTGATTAGCAGTATGTTTCCACATGCACCAATGACACAAGTCCAGCCTTGCTAATACCTTCCACTAGATGAAAATGCATGGTCGGATAACGACGGTGGATGCTCGCAACGATGCGGAGAGAAATTAAGCTGTGGTCATACATGCCCTCTACTTTGCCATGCGTAAGGACCTTATTTCCGTTCCTTCGCCTATCTAATTTGATTCACTGACCTCGCTTTAGCCTCTGCCATTCCAAGCTACAATGTCAAGTGAAATGCGACCGCACGCTTCCATGTGGTCACAAGTGCACCGACCTATGCTTTCGTGATTGCAAATGTCCTTGTGCATCGGCAAATCGCCCGGCACTCTCAAGCACGGCAAAAAAACGGCCTGTTATCCCCCGAGCAGCCGAATTTCTCCTGTCCGATGCAAATGCTGAAGAACGCGCTTTGCTTGCTAAACGCTACCAAAACTTTGCGACTGGTGGTGGTGCCCAAATTGAAGATGCACGGTTGGCAAAAGAGGCAGAAAATTTAGCCTTGCAAGAACGTTTGCAGAAGATGGACGAAGAGGCGTGCATAGACTTGTTTGGAGACGAAAATTTGCCCAACTCGCCTACCAAGGCCAAGCAGGAGATTTCCGAGGTCATCTCTGGCGGGAATGGTGGCGTTCGGATGAAGTTCACACAGTTTTACTCTAACTCTGGGGCCCCAGCCAAGTATGGTAATGACGACGATAAAGCGCCTAGCTTGCTAGATTAACTAGGTTAGTACTGAACTCGAATGGTTTAGTGCAATGGACCGAGTGCTTTCATTGAGGGCGGGTATCTTTCTACTGGTATCTATTTGGGACTGAGAAAATGTTACCTATCCAGGCTTTCGAGGTATATAGGAACTATAATATCTCCTAGCATCCCTTAGAGACCAGGAACTGCTCATTTGGTGTTTGCTTTGGCTAGTCATTTAGAGTAGATAGCTCGTAATAACAATAAAATGCCTTCTTCACCCACAACACAAGTTAAGTTCAAAGACAATGTAGCAGCTTTCAAATATAGAAAAGTCAAGAATGTAATATAATGGCTTTACACTATATGATTTGCTATATGCTAAATAGTTAAAGGCCACAATCGAATCACCACAGCTTTTCCAACGATACTACTGTAGATAAAGAAAAGAACGACGTTTATAGATAAAGAATAAATATAGGGATAGGAAAAATAATACAACTTCTTTTTTTATTAAGGGTGAAAAAAATAGGGAACAACAGGATAGGGTATTCATTTGACTATGAATTAACCAAGAAACGGATGTTGAAATCGAACTCAAGAATCATCCACTAATCTGTGTTGTTCCCAGGCCTTCTTCGCTGCTTCTAGCAACGCTTCCATATTACCGCTGTTCTCACACATACTTCTGAAGATACCTCCTTCTTTGTTGATTAGTTGCCATGGACCATCATACTCCATCACCTCTCCATGGTCAAGAACAAGGACTCTATCGTAATCGATGATTGTTTGCAGGCGATGTGCGATAGTTAGGATGGTATTGTTACCTCTTAACTCGCGAAGGGTGTCTTGGATCTTGGAATCAGTAGCATAATCAATCGAGGCAGTTGCTTCATCCATTAGTAGAACCTTTGGAGATTTGAGTAGAGCTCTGGCTAGGCAGAGGAGTTGTCGTTGGCCTTGAGAGAGGTTGGATCCAGATTCAGTAATGGCTGACTCGAGGTTCAAGAAAATGTTTTTGTTTTCTTGCAGATGTGCGGCGCCAGGATCAGTGTCAGTGGTGCTGCCATTCGCGGTTCCGATAAGGGTGTTGGAATCCTGTGTGGTATCATCTTCAAGCAATAGTGGAGCCGATTCTGAGTGTTGCTCGAGAGCCGTATTGGAGGTGTGTTCTGTTTCTTCTGGGCCAGTCATGGCTGGACCGATGAGATGAACTTGACGTAGAGCAGTAAAGATCTCTTCGTCAGTGAACAGACCGAATGGATCCAAGTTAGTTCGAATCGTGCCTGTGAAAAGGGTAGGATCTTGTGGCACAATAGTGATATTTTGTCTAAGATCTTGAAGGCCAATCAATCCAATATCAACATCATCGATTAAAATTTTTCCACCTTCCGCTTCGAGGCCTCGGAATAGAGCCAATGCTAGGGAACTTTTCCCTGCACCGGTTCTGCCGACAATACCGACACGTTCACCCGGTTGGATTTCAAAGCTCACACCCTTCAGTACTCGATCTAGGTCAGAGCGATATCTGGTGGAATAATCAACGAACTTGACGGCACCCCTACTTGGCCAGATCCCAGCCGGTTTTGCCTCGGGAATGAGTGCGGGTGCCTCTTGCTCCACCTTCATGTACTCCTCCACACGCTCAACTGAATTCATGTTTTGTTCATTTTCCGAATAAAGTCGGACCAACCAAAGAATATTTTCAGAGAAGGTAATGGCGTACGTCATTGCTAAACCAGCTGCTCCGGCATCGACAGTCCTAGCACTTAGGATGAGGAATGTCGCCGCGAAAAATGACACGAATGCACCAATAATGTCAATTCTGAACGCAAGCCAACGGTTCGCGGCCCAAAGGTAGATGTAAGGCCGGTTATAGGTATTGATTAGACCATGGTTGTCCAGGATGAAGCGTGCACCATCGCCGTAGGCTCGGATCGTCACAACACCATTCAAGGTTTCACCGAATTGCTGGTATAGAGGACTTCGCTGGATAGACTCCAGTCGCTTGAGATCACGCGAGGTATTTATATAGAAAGCACCGAGAGCAATGTACATTATCGTGATAAAGAAACCGGCGATCAAGAACTTGGGCGTGATAATGGAGATTAGGATGACGATCATAGCTATTGCGGCGGCACAGTGTATTACACCGATAGCGGTGGCTGCAACATCTTGATCTATGGACTGAATATCCTTGGAGAATCGATTCATAATCCGACCCAGAGGAGTGGAGTCAAAGAATTTGAACTTCGCGTGCATCACAGATCGCAGTAGCCATCCATGAGTTTTTTTTGATGCGTGAATAGAACCCAAAAAGAATATCCACTCTCTGAAGAAAGTGATAATGACGTATGCAACGGCGAGCACGAGATATATCCAAAGGTAGTATGATTCGTCAATGTCGGCATACTTCCTACTGCTAGTAGAGAGTTGAGGGTCCTTGGGAGCTTGGGAGATGAGAGACATGGCAGCGGTATTTGCAAACTTGATGCTCGGAATATCGAAGCCAGTAGCCATTGTGCTTTGAGTGCTATTCCTGATTTCATAGGCATTTGCCCACTCTCTGATCCAAACATTCGGTGCCAAAGATGCTAGCTGATGGACGAAAAAGAAAAACATTGCTAATACCCAGAAATACCATGGTCCCATGGCTCGGAGGTACATGTAGATAGTCGACATAGCAACACTTCCGGTAACCTTCACTTCCTCGTTAGAGGGTGGTGAAGCAGCGGTAGCTTTCTTCTTCTTCAGTGGCTTTACGCCTCCATTCGTTGCGGTAGTCGCAGCATTCTTTGCCTGGGCATCGACAACTTCTTCGAGGTTAGAAGGTACACGAGAGGCAAGTTGAGAAACACCGCGTGAGTTAGCTCCCGATTGGAGGATATCATCTTCGATAGCTCCAGCGTCTATCAGATCCTTGGGTGAGCCTTGCGCCGTAACACGTCCGTTCTTGAGTATGACTGCATATTCGGCTTGTGGTAAGACAAGTGAAACGTTGTGGGTGACCAGGATACATGTTCGGTTCATCATTAGCGGACCAAGCACGGCGTTGTTGAAGATGTGCTTGGCTGTGTGCGAGTCAACAGCGCTGAGACAGTCATCAAGAAGCAAATGGCGAGCGCTACTATACATTGCGCGAGCGAGTGATATTCGCTGCTTCTGCCCTCCTGAAAGACTAATACCCTTCTCACCAACGAGGGTCTGGTCTCCAGCATCCAAGATTTCGAGATCACGTTCCAACGAGCAAGCCTTGATAACGGCTTCATATCGGTTTTCATTATAGGATGACGCGAAGATAATGTTCTCTTTAATTGTGTTGTTCACAAGCCAGGCTTCCTGGGCACAGTATGCAACGCTTTCTGTTAATGAAGTCATCGGGTCAGGGTGAAGGTCAGCTCGATCGCTGGTCCCTCCAGGCAAAGACACAGAACCCTTGACCAAGCTCATCTCTCCCAACAGAGCCATCAGTAAGGACGTTTTTCCAGATCCAGTGGGACCAGCGATGATATTCAATTTTCCAAGCTGGAAGTTAACGTTGACATCGATCAGGCGGAAAGCTGGAGCAGTGCTGCTCAAGACACTGCTAGGTTCCGCCTTGCCAGAGCCCCATGACAAAGTAGCATTCTCCAAACAGATTTTCGGTTCAGCCTGGGTACTGCATTCTTTCAATTGTTGGTATTTTTCTGTTTCTTCCTCGCTCAAGAATTCTTCAACACGGTCAATGGATACCTTGGCTTCGAGGACGTGCGCTGCCATGTCTGCTAGCCTATCTAGCGGGACGCGGAGTAAGGAAAACATAGACAAGGCAGGGAATGCGATAGACGGGATCAACTTCTTGTTCTCGACGGTTGTAAAGATGTAGAAAGTGCAGAGCGTTGTGAGAAGCGGTGTACCGTAGAAAAGAGTCACAGCCCAAGCCCAGAGCAAATAACGTGCACGAATATGTCGCAGTTCGATCTGTCTCTTTTCATCGATAATACTCTCAAAGCGATGTTCCCAGGCAAAGTATTTGATGATTCGGATATTCTGTAATACTTCGTTCGTGGCATGGATACGAGCATCGGTAGCCGCAAGGATCTTGTACTGGACAGCTCGGAATCTGCTGGCGATGTAAACGTTTAATGGCGAGATTAGGATAGTCATTGCAACTCCAGCCAGAGAGCTGACACCCATGACCTGGTAGAGGAAGTACACGGCGACGACAAGCTGGGTGGGAACACTGGCCCAAAGGAAATGTAGATATGCGCAGATTTCGCTGACTTTGAACGAGTCGATAGCCATCAAATTGATAATCTTTCCCAAGTTGGCCTGTCCATCAGATTCCTTCTTTTTACCAGCATCTTCACCCTTGCCCTTGCTTTTCTTAGAGGTCTTCGCTTTGTCCTTGTCTTCATCCTCGTCCTTGGTGGCGCTACCGACGAATGCACCAGCTTTGCGTCTGAGCGCTTTGGCATATAGCTCGCCGACGATAATTGCTCGAAGTTTGACGCTGAGCTCTCTGCCCAGCCATAGAGATTGACCGTCTCCTACTGCTTGGATAGCTCCACACACGAACATGAGAACAACGTAAAGCCATGCAGCGCTTCCAGGCGTGTCGTCGGGGTTTTCCACGTACTCCAAGATGAACTTGAGAAGCCAGGTGGGGAGGAAGGTGAAGAGACTGGCAAGAATTGCCCAGAGACCCTGGATAAGCAGATCGCGATCAAAGTACCCTATGAGGTTCCATGCCATGGTACAAGCCTTCTTGTACTGTCGGAAGCTCGCCAAAACCACGGTTGCATGGGATTCCGGCTTGAGATTCCAGACATCTTTGATATCCAATGACTTCTTATATCCTAGTCCAATGAAGGAGTCCATCCACGAGAAGCTAGCTAGAGAGAAAAGACTGGCGAACTGGTCTTTGGGAGGAGTTAGGCCGTCTTCATGCTGGACAAGTATCGTCTTTTCGCCTTTGCGGGTAGTAATGGCAATCAGGAACAGGATCGACGAGAGTGCAAAATCTACTGCAAAGAAAGGTATGGTATTAATTCGTGGCTGGTGGATAAAGACCGAGCGGAACGGGAACACGATGAGGAGCCATTGCACCGAGTATAGGATTGTAGTATGATTCCAGAGTGCTGGCAACGATGGACACCGGGATGCTGAGGAGGCGAGTCTCACAACGGTCAAGGCCAGGATGTATATCCATGAAGCCAACCGCGTGATTATAGTGGTCTGGACGTGGCTGTCATTAATGACAGCGGCAATAGCAATGCCATTGGTAACAACCTGACCAGCCAAGGCAAGTATCTCGATCGTGTTAAGGACAATCTTCCCGCGTGGCTTGTCGGGCTCGATAACGACGTCTGCGGTGCGACTGATGACTTTATTGAGCATCAAATCGCTCTCTTCATCTCCATCGTCCCTGTATCCGCCCTCGTCGGCTCCATCGGCGTGTACGTCCACGATATCAGACGGGGCCTGCTTGTACTGCTTTCTTCGGTATTCGGCAATATGGTAAAGGGCGACATGAGCAAGGACGAGAAACAGCGAGACGCCACAGGCAGCTATAGGTAGAACAAAACCGAGATACCTGATTTCGATATCATAATCAGTTTTTATTATTTATGATACGGAGACGTGAAGGGAGGAAAAAGAAACAAGAAACTCTGGCAAGGGTTGCTCACTTTCGCTGGAAGCACTGTGACAGGTCGTCAACGTCCCATATCGGGCTGCCACCGCAGTCTTCCATGGCGAGCAGACGCAGAAGACGAGACGGCGTCTGCAGCAGCTTCTTGACGTGCGTGTTCGTTTCTCTTTCTCCGTCGGTGTAATAATATTTCAAGGGCGTAGTTTTGTTATCAGATGCAGCATGTTAAACAGCCAGGACGGGGCCAAGCTCTCTGGCCAATGAAAGGAGACTCTGTACAACCGGCAGACACCAGACAGCTCCAGACATCGCAATCAAACGAGTACAGTACTCCGTCCACGCTCGAGTGTTATATTATTTATTCTTGCTAAAGGGTTGGGGAGAGATAGGACGCCGGGACGGCGGAAGGCAAAGCTGCACTTTTAAGCGTAGGCAGTAACCACGGACGACGCGATGGCTTACGAGCTTGCCGGGGCAGCCTGACTCACGGCGGGACCTGGTTTCTCGAGTAACACGGCTCCGACACGCCAGATGCAGCGTCCACCAGCATTAATGGACCAGCATCGACTCCCATCTCCAATCTCGCGCCGTGTGGAAGGGCGAGGCAGGGGGGCCCTCGTGATGCTCTAGGCCGTATTCGCGGTGGGGGGTTGATTCCTGACTCTTTATCCGGATATCTCTTTCATACGACTAACTACGGATCAGGGATAGCTATAGGCATACTTTACCGGCATCTACGCGTTAACAGCTGCAACAGTGGGAGGCATGTTCCTGGATCGATTAAGCGCAGGAAGGATGAGAGGGCGAGATACACCAGGTGCTAGAATTGACGGGATTGACGGCGTGGGATGCTCTCTTCCACTACCAAGAGCTGCAATCCCTGCACCAACCGTTACGCCACCAGACTGAGGCGTATTCTATTTAGGTCTCGGGCAAAGTACCATCACTGAAGCTATACAGATGACGCCGGCAGGCGTCCGGGATCGATGCTCTCACCGCTGACAGCGTCCGGGGTAAAAGTTAGAGATAAAGCGCCAACGAAGAGAGAAGCCGAAGAGGGTGAAGGGAATACTCCTCCTTCTGCTCGAGCCCTAGCGCGCTGCCCTAGCGCTAGTCTAGCTTGGCCACAGGCATGTTTCAGCTCCGTCAACGCAGCTTTCAACGAACGTATCTCCGTCATCGTCTTGATATCCCATCTTGCCCTACTGAGTAGGAAACTTTTAAGGGAGCTGGACTTCGACAAGCTGTACTATCAGAATATTACCTTGTATACGACCTTCAAATGAACGGAAACAGTACCTATTTACTCCATTTCCACTTCGACTTTGCTTTTTTGCGTATTTATCTGATCTTTTCCTTCCCGCCATAAAAATGATAACACGTGATTTGGAACAACGATGATCCGTTATCTTATCAATCTCTCGGCGTTTCGGCGTTTCTTCCCCTCTCCAGCTTTCATGCAACTGGTTTCAATATGGACAAGATTATCTATATCCATGCCATGCAGCATGCAATATTGGCTTTTAAAGGCCATCGATCATGCATGAATCTCACCGCTCCCATCGATGCTGACGACGGCTGATTGGCGGCCTCTGACTCACTGAAAGGCAGCTGGACCAGGCGAATACGGGGTATCTCTTATCCCTGCCCGAGTCTCCTGGCGGGGAAGATCACCATCTTCCCTAGGAGCTCTTTATATTCCACCAGTTTGGTCAGATTACTCGACTTTAGATAACCAGTCTATTATTACGGAGATAGGTATAGTAACTATTGACAGAGATTTACCAGCATACCGCCATTGTGCAGCAATATCTTTCTATCCATGGTTGGTAAGAAATACCAGTATTTTACCTAAATTTGACCATTGAAGCCTGCCTTGACTCATCCATTCATCAAGAAGATTAACTTCAGGCAGCAACCTCGTATTATGTATGTGATATCCAAATCATCTCTTGTGAAACCCTACCCCAAACATCAGAACCAGACACAGTCCTTCCTCCTGCTCTCCTCCTTTCTTCTTTCCGTTCGTCTTTACAAACAGCAACTCAATATGGAAAACTATTATCCGTTTAATGAAGTGGCACAGTTATGTGTTATCAGATTAGATTCTATATTTTACTATCCAGAGCTATCAAAGCAACAGCGATAGTGAGAACAGGGGGGATGGTACGTCAAGCTATATACACCGTACATAATAACCGAACTCCATCGGTATTTAGCAGCCCTCGGGGAGTTTGTTGCTGCCAGTTCGCGTGGTAGCATCGTATTTAGCATCAACACCAAGGCCACGCTTGGCGAATGCCTTCCAGAGCTCGCACTTGTTAGAGCCGTTGGTGAGGTTCTTGTCGGCATCGATGATAGCATCACGAGCCTGGACGAAGTTGGGGTCGCAAGGTTGGCTAGAGAAACGTTAGTATTTAAGTCTTGGGAATAAGGAAAAGATTAAATAGGGAGTAACTAACATGGCCATTCCATCTAGGACCAGCTTCATGGCGAGGTTGCGGCCGTCAGTTGGGACACCGTTCTTCAAGTTTGGTAGAATCCTGCCGATGTCTCCCTTGCCGTGCTTGTCGATGAGGTTCCAGAGGACCTCGTACAGCATCGTTGCCCAGATCGTGCCGATGGCGTGGACAGAAGTCAACCCATCAACATTCACATACATAAATGTGTTGGTTTGAAGGTTGGTCGAATATGGCTGCTTACGGATACCACCTGGTCGGTTTGATGCCCATTCTCCCATGGTATAGTCGGTAGAGTGAGTGTCACGAGCCTTTAGGCGGATGGCAGTTGCGAAGAAGTCACTCCAGCCCTCACCCATACCACCAGCTTCAAGAGTGGACAAACAACGGGTGTTGGAGGGGCCACCAGTAAGACGGTTGGAGACTATCGAGCACAGTCATGTTAGTGTTCGTTTTTCTAATGAGGTTGTCGTAGAATAAGGGGTAAACACTCACCACCATGGGTATACTCGTGAATAACGATGCCGGCTTCAAAACAGCCATCACGCTCAGGAGTGGAAGCATTCCAGGTGTACATTCTCATACGGCCAGGTTGGCCATCTGGGGGAGTAGCAAAGTTGGCGTTGTTCACACCAGAGCCATCCTGGGCATTAAGGATTGTAAAGTCATTGCCTACACCACCCTTGTTGTAGTTATTGAACTGGAAGTTTCCTGCCTTCTCGTTGAAACCAAGGATATAGAGAAGATCATGGTAGACATTGCTGGTGTAGAACAACTGGGTAATAGCAGCATCCTTGTAGGAAGATGGGGGAGTCATGGCCAAGCTGTATGGGTATTTGAAGATAAAGAGTGGGTTCTTAGGGCGGTAGTTGTTTTCATAGTCTCTGCCGCCAGTTGGGTTATCCTGTGCGATAGCGTTGTTGCCACGAGTAGTTGGGTACCAGCCAGTGCCGTCAATGTGCCAGTTGCGAGAACGGGTCTTAAACCAAGGGTCGAAGATAGAAGTGCGGTTTCCCTCGGTTGGATCATTGATACCCCAAGGACTATATTCCAGTTAGCTTCTATTCCCATGATGGTCGTGAATCAATAACATACTAGACTTGATAATCAGCGGCCGCAACGTAATCAATGACATTGTGGACTTCCTCGTTCTTCTTAGCATCAACGTATGTGAGGAGCCAGTTGTCACCGATGTCGGTTTCGACCTTCCAGGCAAGGGCAAGGCCGTTGTCCTTCTTGACGTAGACAAGCTTGGCCTTGGGGTCAGAGAGAGCTCCAGTGGTGCCCTCAAGCTTGAAGTTCTCCTTGCCTTCAAGGGGGGTGGCCTTGACGCTACCAGCCTTGGCTGTGACAGGGAGGTTCAAGGTTTTGATAGCACCAGTCAGGGCGTTGACCGGGTCAGAGAAATCGCGTTTAACCATTGGGTCGGCCTTGGGAATCTCTCTATCGTAAAAGGAGTTTCCGAATGAGAAGACTTTACCGTCACGGCCAATCTGATAACCATTTATTAGCCAAATACCCTGTATAATATGTATATATGCCGTCACTTACGTTGACGTTGAAGTCGGTGTTATCAATATCAATTCCATGGGCAGTCTGACGGAAGTGGACATGGCTAATGCCACTGTCGCCGGTATAGTGATCATCAACAACGCGGAAGGTGGCCTTTGGAAGGGTCTTCTTCACCAAGTTGGTGGCTGTGGAAACATAGTCGCCGCCCTCGACGCTGGAGACGGTGAAGCTGTTCTGAGCCTGATCAACAACGGCATCACTCTTGGTGTATTTGGCGGTCTGTGGGAGGCGGAAGGAAGTGATATCAATAGTGCGGCGGCTGATGCCAGCGTTGGTATGGGCAGGGTGGCCGAGCACATTCAAGGGAAGAGCCAGCAGCCCAGCGAGTAAAAGACCATGCATGATGGTTGAGAGGGGGGGTTTCTGCCTCACTGGTGATAAAAGGAGGGGATGAGGAATCAAGGGAAGCTGCTGCTGCTTCTAAATCTCTTCATGGAGAGATTTGACAGGACTTATATAGAGTGCTCACTCCCCCTGCTTGTCCTAAAATAAGTACTCCGTAGCAGTAATCACTTGGAGTACTAGGTCTCCTAGGCCTATACAAGGGCCATGAAGTATAATTGTCCAAATCTATCCCTTTCCGCAAGTTTCCCCAGTGCCCAGCACTGTGCGTGGAGCAGATAGCCAGAGACTCCCCTGCGCATCTCAGGTCCTAGGTCGTGGCAAGCCTCATGCTGCATCGTTAGACTGAGTGCTTGATTGCCGGCTTCATGGCCAACTTGGCAGCCCCCGCGGATGGGGAAATAGCGGGTATCACACATAGTCCAGCGAGATAGGGCATCCGGTGGGTTTTTTCTTATCATTTTTTTCTTATTTTTTTCCCGCTCAAGCCAGACTAACGGCTTAGGAAGGGAAAAGAACTTCCAGTGCGAGGGTATCAAATGCCTGGACAGGATCTCAAGGCCTAGCCTTTGCCCAAGGTAGGTATATGTTCAGGGGAGTCGAACGTGCGATGGAGAGGTGATGGAGATGGACGTTAGGGTCGATGGCCCTGCTGGCGTTCGTGCTGGCCGGGGATATCGACTTACAGGGGAAATCCATGCTTCCGGGCCTCGATACGAGCGGCGAGACACGAGAGGAAGGTTCCATGCCACTTCTAGAACTCCAATCACGCCTTTGCGATTTATATCTTCTCGCGACGGGATCTCGTTCCAGTCTATCATTCTCCTGGGGTCGTGAAAGTCCCAAATCCTAACACGCGAGCTATACATGGCCTCCAGCACGGCGCCAGTGGTCGTCTATCAGTTTCAAAGCAAACCGGCCAGGATACCATGCAAACCAGCGCCGGCGTCTAAAAGATAAAAAGCGGGCAGTTCTCCTAGCGCCTGGTTGTCATATTCGCTGCTAATTAGTGACCATCCTGCAAGTTCCTGCCGAGGGCGTGAAGCTAGTTGAGCTTGGTTGAACCCTGCTCCGATCTCGAGTATGTAACGTGGCGACCGTTGCAATGGATAGAGAGGCCGATATCATCCTTAAAGTCCGGGAGGGAATATATTGCCCGCCCTCCGACTCGGAAAATTGTTAGACTTGCCTGGCTCCGGAGTTAGGCCATGGTTATGGGCATGGGAGGCGGCGGCCCAAGGGCTATCTCTCCCTTCTCGCTATACGTGTTGGCAGATATTTTTTATATGCATAGTACGTGCATTATCGCCTCGGCCTCGGGCAAGGGCCGTTTCTGGGGGATGATTCCGTGATATGAGGCTATCCGCATATAACCATACCTGCTGTAATGCAGAAGCGAGCAATATATGGGGTATGGGGTATACATCTGGGGCCTGAACCATGAGGGCAAGCGTCTCTCCGACTTCTCCGGCCAAACTCTGCATGTGCAGATAGACTATATGTTCTATTTCAAGCGTCGGCGATCAACAGAGGAAACATGCTAAATCAGACGCTGGAGAATTAAATATGCTGGTACCACGGGGGATTTTCCAGGCACCGCCAGCTAGGGATCGCACGTTCTTTTGCACATCTCCCTCGCTTCGTATAAGAAGTTTAACCATCGTTCCGGTCCACCGGCGGCCAAGGCCTCTCTCCAGGGTTAGCTGTGCTGTCCTGCTATCAATGTACGATGTTTCAGGGGCATATATATACTTAATATAACGCGATGCGAGGGCTAGTGGCAAGCAGCAGGTGACACTGCATTATACCTACCCTTGGCCTTCCTTCAGCCATCTATTACACTGACCCTGGCATCAGGTATAGACCTCGTGATCACTCGTGGAAGGTAGTGAATTTAGGAGATTAGCCGAGGGAAAGTTGTAAGGCAGTATATCTATGATAGATACACTACACTATATCTTCTGATCAGAGATTGCATCTCGTATCGAAGCCCATGGAACGGTGCCAAACGCCCCATGCCAGTTTAAGCTCGCAAGTAAGGATCTTGTTCTAGACGAAGCCTCGATACGAGCACGATGATTATACGCATGCCATTTGACTTTGGCTTCCTATATAAATTCTGAAAAAAGAGGCAGTTCACGGTGGCCCTCCCGCTGTTTCTCGACCAGCTGATCTAGTTATTGAGCTGTAGGTTTGGTGATGGTGGAGAAGAGTTACATGAGTTCCTTAACGACGGCAGGGTTATTCCACTTGGCAAGCATTCGATATTTCCCCAGCTCCTGCAAGTATAGGCGGCTGGAACGGTGGCCGTCGATTGTCCAGTCTCCTGGCGACCTTTTCCCTGGAAGATACATCTCGCTGCTCAACAGAGAGGCGTAGTGATGCTCTATCCTTTCCCGTCTCTGAACCCTCATAATCACCCCGAAATTGCACCGTGCCAGGATATGACCGTTGTCCTTGCCCGTCTGTCAGAGTCCAGGCCGCGGGGGCCATGGAAAGGGATTGGCAGTGTAGTTCTGACGCCATGGCAGCTCGTCCATTTGAGCCTGTACTCGTTCAGTGGCTCGTTATCGAGCGGCAGCAGGCCCTGAATCGTGGCCTTCCCATTCCCACAGCCAGACACGATGCATCTGAGGATGCTAACGTCAGTGGTGGAAGTGTGGCATCGCTTCCCTTGGTGTAGTGCAGGTACGATATCAGACTCCAATCATGGGTGTAGCGCATTATCGTCTCCAGGTAGTACTTTGTACACCGAGCCTGTCAAGAAGTTAGTCAAGGCAACGGAATACTGATTTCATCCAAAGTCCTATCATTCTGTGTATACTGATGGCATAGCCATTCATATCAACGACCAATGACTGTGCTAGACGTGTATGCTGCAAAGACAGATAGACACCCTGATGAATGTTCATACAGATGTTGTCAGCAAGTGTTGACATGTTAAAGGACAGGACTCTCATTCTCAACACACCATCTACCTGTCTTATTCTCTCGTCCTGTCTCTCCTCTTTTGTCTGTCTCCTATGTCTGCTGCAAAACGTCATTGTTCTTGTGTGTTCGGCGATAGGCACCAAAATTGGGGTCATGTGGGTCGCTCGGCCCTTGGAGGCGCCCAACAATATCACGATGTATCTTTTAAGAGCCTTCAAGGGGCAAGGCCGAAGTGATGAACCCTCACGCGCCCAACTTTTAGACGGAATCTTCACCTCTCCTCGCCTTCCGGGGACTCAGCGGCTTTCTCTTCTTTCGTTAATCACCCTGAACAGCCCGGTCCTTCTATCCGAACCAGCCTCGCGATCGCTTATCGGCAAACTTCGAGACCAGAGCCGCCGTCGTCTTTCGTGCTAGTCATGGCCGAACGCATTTTGATGAACGAGTACAAGGCGTTGGTGAAGGAGAAATGGCTAAACATCGAGGTGGGTTGATTTCCCTTGCTCTCATCTTACGATAGTTGCTGATTACCGTGTCTTATTTTAATAACAGTTAAACAACGATGACATCTTCAACTGGAACATCGCTTTGATCGTCCTGAACCCGGACTCGCTCTACCACGGCGGCTACTTTAAAGGGAAAATCACCTTCCCTCATAACTATCCCTATTCACCACCGCGTAAGGGTTCCCGCTGCTGCCTGGCCTCCGATATCCACGATTCATGAGCAAGGGTTATAACGAGTCATGAAACACAACTAACACCTGTACAGAATTCAGATTCACTCCTTCTCTCTGGCACCCCAACATCTACGACAACGGCTACGTGTGCATCTCCATTCTACACAAACCTGGCGAGGACGAAATGTCCGGTGAACTCGCCTCTGAACGCTGGTCGCCCGCCCAACGAGTTGAATCCGTCTTGATCTCGATCATCTCCCTTCTCGATGACGCCGAAGTCAGCTCGCCAGCTAACGTCGAGGCCGGTGTGCAGCTCCGTAGTAACCCCGGAGCATACAAGAAGCGTGTAAAGTCGGAAGTCGAGAGGTCGATGAAAGATATTCCAGAAGGATATGAAATGCCTACTTCTCATGAAGCCACGATCGCACGCCCCACCAAGCCCGTTGAGCGAGACGAGGACTTCTGGGTCGACAGCGGGGACGAGGACTCCTTTGAGGATATGTTTGGTGGCAGTGACTCAGAGTGCGAGGGTGATTTTACGCTTGACGACCAGGACACCGGAAGTGAACCCGAGACTACTGAATCATCGTGATGACAAGCTGTTATGGAGTGAGAACGTCTTACTCGCAGTGCTCGACATCTTTTCCCTCCCCATTCTCATCTTCGGTTCCATTTCTTTCGATTGCCTTTCTCGTTGCCTGGTGCATCGGCTATAAGGGTCATGGGTGCAACATATGGCATTTTCTTAACATTTAGCAAGCGGAGTTTATGGCCGGCGTTATTTTCAAGATGGCAGGGAGTGGCTAGATTTTTTCAATTTTCCTTGTCCTCTTCGTTCATAGCAAATCTAGAGCGTACACAAATCAATCTTACTTTCTTCTCTCATTATGCTATTATAGTATTGTTTATGAGAACTGGAATCTGTAAGAAGGAGGTACCGGGTGACAGATTAGTCCGTCGTCAGTTTCCATGCCCTAATTAACTTAACTCACGTCCCAAGTAAATGTCCTAGCGTTCTCATTTTGTGAGGTCAAACTGAGAATGTCATGATGTTGAAACGGATGAATTTGTACGATGAGCAGAGGGTATGTCCCCTGAACTGTTCGAGCTTGAGGAAATTCAGTCGTTGTAACTCTCTTCTTCCTAATGCTTCTTGCGACCCCGTAAGGACCGACGATATTTCATAAATACTCTTCTTAGAGATACCGTGGAACACCCAATACGAGCAACACGTTATACTGTTGTACATTATTAGTCACACCCATCCTGGGATCCGAAAGAGGAACATTCTGTTGCAGCAAGATCACGACTCCACCTGATGACACTAAAATCCAGTTGATGAGTCAGTCCGTCTAGACCAGAAAGGCTCCTTGTTCGCAGGGTATTGAAGATGCAATCGACCAAATATCTTAAACCATAATAGTCGAGATCTCGAGGTTTATCTACACACAAAGTTTCCAGCTCAAGCTAATGCATTTCCCTCTTCGGTGGAAATGCTAAGTAAATAGCACTGGTTACCTTACAGAAGGACAAGTGCGTAACATAGAGATTCTCAATATTTCTCCAACTAGATTGCGTGGCGTTAACAGCTCGTCCGATAAGTTAATGAAGCACTAAGACGAGACCCAGCCATCGACGAGTTTAGAGGCATTCGATGTCCTCAAGGTCGAGAAGATAAATGTAGATCGTTATCGATGCTCCACTTTTATTTACTCCAAAAATAATAAGCTTTTCAGGCACAACCTAAAATAAGCACCGACCACCAAACCTCTTCAGCTATTAAATTTGCTGAGGTGGAATAACTTTGGTCTGGCCCTCTGGAGGGAGTAGACGGGTAGTTTGGGCTATTCTATACAGCGTGTTTGCATTAATTTCTTTATTTGAATATCTTTGATGAGCTAGTTTCACAATATTAAACATATGGTAAATTATCTAATTAAAGAGACGGTACCTTAAGTACCAGGTTCAAATAAAGCTATCTCAAATAGGCTGGTACCTGAAAGCTACCAGCTCTCTAAAAAGGTACGGGGTAGAGTGCCGGAAGATAATCTCTTTCTCTAATAGCTAGCAAGCCTGAAAGTAGAGGCAAACTGGCACTGTGCTGCCAACTGCTATGCATTCTTGCGTGGAGAAGAGGTTGCGGGGTAAAGTGATTGACTTACTGCCCACTATCCAAACCTAATAATATGCGGCTCCATAGTTTGTGAATAATTCTTAGGTATGGAATGGAACGTGCCAAATTGAAAAAGCTATGGCTACACTATTTAACTGTAGAAAGCTATATATTGAGTACCTAGGTAGGAAAAGAGACGAGCATGGATCGAGTGCATGATGTATGACTAATGCATTACATGATATTCTACATGTTATATTTACGTCATATGATGTTTACTTAATTACTAAGCATAAAATTTCCTAATATGGGAAAGTCTGGCGTATTAATAGCATGACTAATGATGTTACATATCAATACTGAAAATACCATATCACACCCAATAGAACTATGTATTTATGTATATTAGTGTATATGTCATACCCCCAAGCCACCATCATGTGATCGCATCATCGCGCGTGGCGGCTCAAACGGAACAAGCTAGATATATCTATCTCCTCCTCTCAAACATACGTCAGTTACGCCATCAACACTCTACGCAGCTTCAACACCACGAAACAGCGACGGAGCTTTATCTAAAGTCGTTTATCGGTGATATCTTTCTGCTGAAGTTATAACGCACGGCAAAATGCCGTCGACTATTCGATACACAGAGGCCCCCCAACGGGATTCTATGGATGCCCAGCAGTATCCTCAGGCCCCTCCATCGTACCAGGATGCCTCTGGCCCTTCCGTTGGCGTGTACGGAACCCAGAGAACCGAAGACGATAATGTTCCTGATGACTTCAAGGTGAGTTACATCTGCAGCGAAGTTCCGAGAGTTGTTCGGTTATGATGTTGCCTAACTTGATAGCAACGCCCTTACTAACTGGTTTTACGTACAGTTCGGAGGTTCTGTCGCGGAAGCAACTCTGCCTATCCGCATGCAGTTCGTTCGCAAAGTCTACTCCATTCTGTAAGTTGCATCCCAACCAGCTCGATACTAAAATAGGAGCTTACCTTCTTCCAACTTAGAACCGTCCAGCTCATCCTTACCACCGGCCTGAGTTCCGTATCATTCTTCAACACTGGCTACAAACATTGGATACAGTCGCAGCCTTGGCTGATGATCGGTTCGCTCATCGGAGCCATCGTCTTTATGCTGCTCACCTACTGGAAACGCAAAAGCTATCCCACCAACCTTCTATTCCTCAGTGGCTTTACGCTCCTTGAGGGATATGCCGTCAGCGTCATCACTTCATTTTATGACTCCAAGATCGTCATGCAGGCGCTTGTGATAACCATGGGCTTGTTTATTGGCTTGACTTTGTTCGCCTGCCAGACCAAATACGATTTCACCGGATGGATGCCATATCTCTTTGGCGCACTCTGGTTCATGGTTATTTTCGGCTTCGTGGCAGCTTTCTTCCCTATGGGTAAGACTATGGATCTGGTATATGGAGGTGTAGGCGCTTTGATATTTAGCGGCTATATCCTGGTTGATACCCAGCTGGTGATGCGACACTACCATGTCGAAGAGGAGATTGCCGCTGCTATCTCCCTCTACCTAGACATTATCAACTTGTTCTTGTCTATCTTGAGAATCCTCAACAGCCAGAGCAACAACTAAGGGGTCAGACTTGAAGGGTACGACGGAGGAGAGTAAAGCACAGTTGTCTTTGCGTCCGATTTTTCTTTTTGCGGAGCTTGGTTTTCCTATATATTTTTTCTAATAGTTATTAGCGCTCTGTATTTGTTCTTAATTCCATGTATATCACTAGCTTATATTAACTGATCCCCAATCACTACATACCGTCCATAATCTGTAGCCATAATAATATCGTAGCTTCTACCTAGGTACGTAGTAAAAGCGTAATAACTAAGCACAATCTTTCAAATTGGTATTGATTGATACTACTAGGTGTGAATTCGTCGTATATATCACACGTCTCTGTACATCAACAAGTCGGCCGTGCAATATACCACACGAGATCAAGGCGAGGGAGCCGTCGCTGAGTCCAGAAAGCACTGAAAAACCAAAAAAAAAAAAACTCCATTGGAGGCAAAGGATAACTATCCAAATGGGGGATATAGTTATGTATAGAAAGAGAAGATAAATCACGCTCAAGTACAATATGAGTGGTTTGTGGGAACAGTAAGGAGAGAAGAAAGAACAAACTGAATTGTCACATCGGAGAAAACCACCGACACAGAATGAATGGAAAGGCGCGAGGCTAATACTCCGTATGCAAACTCCAAGCAAAGTAAAAGAAGTATACTCCTCGGAATTTAACCGGGAAATTGTGTAAATATATGCTCTATCCGTCTTAGGACCAAGGGAAACGTCGAATCGTGGGTCAGAGGAACAAATTGTGGATGGTAGTGGTGGTGGTGTTAATACAACAGGGTCACACCGTAAGCCTATATTCCACCTATCAAATGTTGGCTGAAATAAGAGTGCCGCAGGTGACCGTAGTAGGCGAAATTGCGATAATTAGAAGATCATATGTGCTGCAGCGTTGTATCCAGGAAAAAATAGGTAAGGTTGATAAAAATGACTGGTCGATGATCGATGATAAGCTCAGTCGCCTATCCTTTAACGTCTGATGCCAGGAAGAATGTGTTTGTGACTAGGCACACGACCATGACCACAACTCCGTAGACAGCAAGCGCCAAACTTAGTTTTCGGAGAAGACCTCGACGCCATTGTTTTGTAGATCGCGACATGAAGGTAGAATAGGACCGTCCAAGAAGGCTTTGTCCGGCAGCCGCGTTGCTAGAAACCGAATCTACTTCGTCAGCTATTTCATCTGCTGCCAGTTCATCGTCTTCTTTCATTAGGCGTTGGTGCGCCGCAGATTCAGGAGATGAAATCTTGTAGTAGAACAATCCTGGGAGAATGAAACTAATGCTTGTGCTTCCGGTAGCGCCAACATATGCCAGCACTGCTTCGAGTGATGAGACGGTCATGGCAACAATGTAACTCAGAACAATGATCACAGTTGTGATAATCGCGAAACGCATATCACTCATGCCATCGCTTGGAGCATTGTTTCGTGGTAGTAGTGGGTTGCGATTCGGAGAATTGCTTCCAGCAAGAGTCGGTTTCCTGTTTGGTCGCCATTTTAGGACGGCATCTAGGGATGCTCTGCATGGATGTATTTGCAGAGGATAGGAGAACACAACGAGGATGACGATGGCGGCTCGCGCAATTGTAGACGTCAGCGACGGCGCATACATGCCGACAATGTTTCCACCAATAGTATCGCCAAATGACAGGTAGCCAGTGACGCCGACTAGGACATAGGTTGCTGCGGCGCTGCCGATGCTTGCTACGATAACGCTCGTCGTTCTATAGTGGCTGTCATTGGCAATTTCGTTGAGGATCGAGAACATCTATAAACGGCAATGCGCATCAGTAAGCTGTAACTCTGAAAGGAGAAGAGGTCTTCAAAAAACGTACATTTTGATGGCAAGTATATGCAAAGACGATCACCGGGAATACACTCAAGGCGGAGATTAGGCCCTGCCATTCAATTATGCGGATAGGGCCACGGTCCGCCATGGTATCTCCCTTGATAAAATGGGCAACCACCAGGATGACAAGGTATCCGATCGAGATCAATGCGACAATACTAGTGTATTTCAACGAGTCTAGTCTTCGTAGAAATGACAGCGGAATAACAATCAACCTAAGAGAATCCATATCGGTCAGTGAAACCAGGTACTCATACCTGCGCGCGGGGGGGATCTCACATGAAAGCCGTAACCCAAAAATGGCGGTCGTATAAGAAATCAACTCCGGAAGTACCTCCTACGAACCCTTCGATGACTCCAGGCATCAAATCTCCAATAATGATTAGATAGCTGACACCGACACCGAAACATTTAATCGAAATTGCTGCATCGAATATCACTGCCGCATTCGGATATGTGATTTGAGAGAGGGCAAAAAACGAAGACGAGCCTCTCTCCAGATATCGTGCACATCTCGTCTGCAAGTATAGGCCGAATGCCGACGTCAGGCCAGCCCATAGAACAACCGTCACACCCAGAAACATTCCCATGCGCGAGATTGCGTGTGGCATCGCCAGAGCTCCTGCACCAACAACTGTACACCGTATTAGCCGGCATTCCCATAACGCCCTCTCCTTCACGTAGAACTCACTGGTGTTGACCAGGTTGATAACACTGCTTGTCCATCCTGCCTGTCCGACCACTCCAACGTCCTTTTTGCCAGGCCACTGTCGCCTATCTCGCCGTGTTAGCCCCGGTAACCGCAAGCATTGTAAGATACCCGAGAATTTGCCTCCTCGCCGGAAAGGAGCCCATTTACCTGCGACTTCGACCACTTCCTGCAGCGGCAGCAGCACCGCCAGCCCCGGTATCATCGTCCATGGCTGCGTATATGTCGCTCGGTAGAGCCGTCTCGAGTGCAGTATGGGGGTTCTGGGGTCGTTAAAATAGGTTTCAGTTCGAGGATGCGGGTGTCAACCCCAAGACATATCTTTTTATCCGGCGGTGACGGAACACGGAGATGAAAGACGGAGAGGACGGCGTGGGAGAAAATGTCAACGTAAGAGAATGGCCGTTCCAGTCGTTAACCATGCAAGGAGTAACATATGTGTTTTGTTTTGGCCGGGATTGCGATCGAACTATGCTTGGAGTGTTCCCTGCAAAAAAGGCCCCTTTGGCCCCGATAAGGCACACGACCGACGCTTACATAACCGCGGTGTCTTCTGATGCTACAGTTCGCTTCTTACTTTGATATACGCATCTAGAGGAGATATAGGAGGCAAAGGGCTTTACGGAGGGTCAGCCGACATATTAGAGACGTGGTCTACATCTTGGGCGAGGGTTTGCCCCAGCTTCCCGACTGCACCGATGCCAGCAGGCCATCGTCTACCTCGCTCAAGTCGCCTACAGTGTTCCCCGGCCTTCCCAGCGGCCCTTCGTCGTTGAACATGGCTACCCTTCGCACCGACTTGGACACTTCGAGGATGGTTCCGCCCTTGATTTTGATCACGGCGTCGCCGTCGGTCGGGATTCCTAGACTCGACTCGCTGATCTCGTTCTGCTGAACCAGGGCAAGCATCACGGTGGCAACCTGCTCAGGTGTAACCCATTCGCTGTTCTCCTCATCGACCATCCGCAGCTTATCTGGATTGTCGGTCCAGAGCGGCGTTTTGATCAGACCGGGGGCCACGGCAGTGACACGTATTCCGATCTTGTCTAATTTTGATAGTGATCGAACAAACCCGTTGATTGCATGCTTTGATGCCGCATAGATTGGACCGCTAAATGTAGCCACCTGGCCCGCTATGCTAGAGGTGTGAACTATCGATTTCGGAGTTGTGGCGTTTGCAAAGCGAGCTACAGCAAGTTGAGTGGTGCGAATTGGATGGACGATGTTGATATCAACCTGTGCATATCGCGAGCCAGACACTCGATCTCGGCTTTCGGCTGAACCAGGCGGGTTCCAGAAACCAGAGAAGGCCTGTTTGGATCAGAGTCTGTTAACGATAATTAACGTGAACTGGTGGGAGATCGATGGCTTACTGGTTCGAAAACTCCGGCCCCAGGACAGACCACGTCTACGCCTCCAAACTCGGCTTCTGCAACTTCGAACATCCTTTCAAGCTGTGCCCAGTCTGTCACGTCCGTCTTCTGGAAGACAGCTCGAGGCGTCGAGGAAGAGTATTTATCGACCAGCTCTTGTGCCTCTGGCCGCAATGCAAGGTCTGCAAAAACGCAGTTGCAGCCATTCTCTAGAAGTAGCCTGGCAAAGCATAGGTTGATTCCTTTTGCATAGATCAGTATCACGCTCTGGTAGACGGAGTAGCAGCTTTCTACTCACCGGAACCAGAGCCGGTTACAATTGCGGTTTTGCCTTTGACGGATCTATCCATTTTTTCACTCTATTCCCACAGCGAGACTGTGTAAGATCGTAGATATGAAATGCACCGAAGAATACTAGCCGATCTATCTAAGCCCCTCTTATTCGTGCCACAGAAGTACCTACGTAAGCCTCGGTCTCGCGGAGGATAACGAGCTGTCGGGGTGTTTCTCTGAGTAGCTGGATCCTTAGACTGGAATACAGATATATCCATTTATGCAAACACAGCTGAACCTGTTCCTCTTCCTATATCCATACATGTCCATACAATAATGTCTGCTATCCATGGATGGCTGTGTCATGACTAAGACCTGTGCCAAGACTACGTAACTCCTAAGATCAACTCCACGCTTTCTAGCAGCAACATCAGCCAGATACAACGAGCAACCCGGTGCATTCAATTGAACACCTCTACTGCACCACTGTCAAATGCTAGCGGTAAGCCGGTAATACAATGCGGCTTGGAGCAGCATACCTGCTGTGGGCATCAATTGTTCCCGCAGCGTTAGCAATTCTCGCGGACGAGGCTTATCAAATCGACTACCACCATGCACTCCTAGGAACTCCCCGTACAGACACCACCTTCTTCCACCGACCGAGCCCATCCTCGATAGCTTCGCTACTATATACGCACTCGGAGAAGGACATCCTCGGAGCCGTTAACCCGAAAGACGGTTCACTTGTATGGAGACATAATATCTCAGACTACTTCCCCCAGGCATCCGACAATGCCTTTCTCCGAGCAGCGGATGGAGACGAGGCGGTAGTCAGCGCATTCGGGAACGGTGTCTCTTCATGGGGTGCAGCGGACGGGAGGTTTCAGTGGATCCAGCGGTTTTCGGATGGGGAAGTCAGGGACCTTGAGCTGGTTCGCTCGTCTGACGGATTAGAGGGAAACGCGCAGGATGTTTTGGTACTTACAGGAGATAAGAAAGGTGTTGTGAGGCGCTTGGATGGCGGCTTGGGCGATCTAATGTGGGAACATCGAGACGAGAGGTACGTTTTTCATGTTTGGGTGATCATCTACACTACATCTCCAGCGCTGACCCCTCCCGCCTTTAGTGACGATGTTCCATTCCAGCTATCCGTAGCATCCAAGACCGAAGCCTATTATATATCATTACACCCGGTTTCCCGAACAGGATACAAAATCAAAGTCACCACCCTGGATTTGAACAGCGGACGGGCTGGCAAGCTATATACACTGAGCTCCGAGACTGAAGTATCAGGGCCGGAATCGGTTCTATTTGTTGGCGGAAACGCGGCAGCGCCTTTGATTGCTTGGACGGACAAGGGGAATATCGTTCTCAAACTCAACGTACTTGGATCCAATACCGTCGACTCTATAAATGTTGATAATGCGGAGGTTCGCCAAATTCGAATCCATGCATCTCGGAGCTCAAAGAGCCCCGCGCACTTCCTGGTGGAATATCGTACGGAATCGGCTTCTTGGGCTGAAGTCTACCATATCAATCGCGAGTCCATGACCACATCCAAAATCTATAGTCTCCCGGTGGTTCAGGGAAATTCAGTCATGAGCGCTAGCACCAGCACCGGTGACGATAGCCTTTACTTTACACGCATTACTCCCGCAGAGATCAGCATATACTCATCTGTTTCCGATGCGGCCCTAGGGAAGTGGAAACCTAGTGAAATGGCTGCAGGGAACGCCCAGCATGCCACTTCTGAGGTCGTTGTACTAGACTCAGGGGTTTCCGTTCGATTTGCTCGAGTGGAAGAGTCTGGCGATTGGTCTCTGGTTCTAAACGGGCAATATCAATGGAGCAGGCCAGAGTCCCTTACTGATGCAATTGCCTCTGCATGGGCTGATGTGAATGACGGTGTAACCTTGGCCCACGAGCTCGAGGTCGAAGGCCACCAGAGCGTACCAATGGCTTATACCCATAGATTAATCCGACATTTGAAAGACCTACAACAACACCTCCCCGATTGGCTGATGGAAATGCCTATGCGGGTCTTGACCAGCTTCATGCCTAACGATATCAGCGACCTTATCCAGTTTGGCTTTGGGCAACAAGTTATTCTTGCGACTCGGACTGGGCGTGTCGCAATGCTTGACTCGGGACGTCAAGGCAAAGTTATGTGGAATATCAAAGCTGTAGAAAATGATTCTGACTGGGGTGTGAAAGCCATCACAACCCAACAAGGGCTTGCCACCGTCCATGTAGATGATGGCAGCTCTCTTCAGGTGAACGTCACCACCGGCGTGATCACGATGCGTACAGCACCAACGCAGAAAGTTTCATCAATCATGTTTGTCCCAGAAGGCTCATCAGAGGTCAAGGTCGGCGTTGAAGAAAACGGCGTACCCATTGCATCTGCTTACGCCAACGGGATTGACAACTTCCTCGTCACACGCAGCGGTGAGAAGAAAATATTGGGCTGGCACACCGGGAAATCTAAAGCTCCAATGTGGGAATTCACGGTTCCGGAAGGCCAAAAGATCATACATGCCACTGCGCGACCAGCTCATGATCCCGTTGCGTCGATAGGCAAGGTATTGGGCAACCGATCTGTTCTTTACAAATATCTAAACCCGAACCTTGCCCTCGTTACAGCAACCGGTGAATCCAGTGTGGATTTCTACCTCCTTGATGGTGTCTCGGGCCAGATCCTACATACAGCAGGCTATACTGAAGTTGACACCACCCAACCCATCGCCTCGATCATTTCCGAGAACTGGTTCGCCTATTCCTTCTGGTCAGATACTAGCGAAAGGTCGGAGGCAAAGGGCTATCAACTTATAGTTTCGGAGCTATATGAGTCGTCTCTTCCCAATGACCGTGGTATCCTCGGAGATGCGGCGAACTACTCAAGCATCAGCACTAACAACATTGCCCTGCCTCATGTTATATCTCAAGCGTACATGATACCCGAAGCCATTTCCAACATGGCTGTCACCCAAACCCGGCAAGGAATATCAATCAGGCAGCTATTGTGCACCCTCCCAGCTTCGAACAGCATCGTCGGAATTCCACGGCCTGTTCTTGAACCACGTCGTCCAGTTGGACGTGAACCCACTCCACAAGAAGCTGAGGAAGGATTAATGAAGTATAACCCGAACCTAGAATTCGATCCCAGATGGTATCTTACACATTCCCGAGAAGTATTCGGTATTCAGCACATCGAATCCAGCCCCACATTACTTGAGAGCACAACTTTAATATTCTCATACGGTTTTGATATCTTCGGCACCCGTGTTGCCCCAAGTCAACCTTTCGATCTGTTAGGGAAAGGGTTCTCGAAGATCCAGCTTCTACTCACTGTTGTAGCATTAATGGCTGGTGTCAGCGCCCTGGCTCCTTTGGTATGTTTTCAAGAAACATCTCCCCTCCTAGCCTCGTTGATATATAATATACTGACGGACGCGATCAATATTCTAGGCTCGAAGCAAACAAGTAAATCTCCTTTGGAAATCATCTTAGGAAAAAAGGCGTCTTTGATTGGAGGTATATTGAACTACATAATGTTACAAAATCTTATTAATGCCATGACATCTACAACTGTTTAACGTCTGAAATTATTATACTTACCATGTACCACCGAATTTTGCTAATCACTTCCTCGAGCCCCTGGCAGCGAATACGTTAATATTCACCGAGTTGAGAGGGCCTGTTGGCCCACTATGAATTGCAACTCTTCTCCTTTGAACAAGTAGTGTTACAATAGTACATTTATTAGCCGAAACTGTTAAGTATCCCGCTAGACTTGCTAACACCCCAAGTAAATGAAGAGAAAAACGAAAAACGAAGAGGTATAATACAAAGAACTGATGGCTTTGCTTTCGAGCTCCATATAAGTGAAAGCGCTCAGGAAATAGCTGGGACTAATAACCGCAGTGAAGAGCAGGACGAAGAGTCAAAGTAAGCATTAAACATAAATATCTGAATTTCGCACCGCCCATGCCACTCTTACGTGCATGATCATCGCCACCTGTTTTTATTAGCTTCTTCAGCTTTGGCATCTGAAAATTCGCTCCAGGGTACAGGAGCTTCAGCGGCATCGTTATCAAATCGCGTCCCCGTGAATTTACATTCGGCTCCCATCGCAGGAAAGCTTCCTACGCCTTTGAATTGTATTGCCTTGTCGTCAAGGAATTCTATAGTGCCTGAATTCCCATCACCATTGTGGATTTGACCTTCACTTGTTTCGCGGCCTCGCCATTTGAAGTAGAGTTTCATGGCCCCATTATCAAGTGTGCTTTTGATCTTTTTGGGTGGAGGTTCGTCGCTCTCATCGTCCTCATTAGACTCTTCCTCTTATCAATTGAGCAAGTTAGCATTTTGTATACAAGGATGATAGATGGGGGTAGTAAACGACATACCAGAGCTGTCTTCACCCTTCTCCACTTTATCTTGGAAAGCATCCAATGCTTCTTCAGTCGTAGCCAGTAGCATAGTGCCTTCCACTATTCCCAAGTCAAAAGACGCGATAAGGCCGTTAGGATCCAAATCGGAGGTGCTGATAGATATCTCCATATCCTCTGCCTCTTTTGGCCACTCTTCCGTAATGGTAGGGCATTCTATAGCGTAAGTGCCCAAGAATTTCTTCAGAGGGTTTGCAGCAGGTCTCCCCCTCCCCCTTCCAGGTGTGTCCTTGGGTGTTCCATTGGCCTTTGCAGCCGTCTTTGCGGGAGTTTCATCACCTGCATCAACAGGGTTCTTTCTAGGTCGCCCTCGTCCGCGCGTAGGAGTGCCCTGCGCGTCGGCCTTGACCGCAGCTTCACCCACTGGCGTTTTGCGCGGTCTCCCTCTCTTCCCTGGCTGATCTGATGTAGATTGAACGGCGGTCTTGGGTTTAGGTGCTGCTTGTCCGTCCGTCTTTGGCGGCCGTCCTCTTTTCCTTGGTTGGCCCGAGGCATCTAGAACAACAGGCTTGGTCTTGGACTTTGCTACTCCTCCATCCGCTGGCGGACGTCCTCTCTTCCTAGGCTGGCCATCGGGGCCCAAGACGACAGGTTTGGGTGGTACTGGACCGCCTTCTTTTGGAGGTCGACCGCGTTTCCGCACCGGCGCAGCTGCTTCGGAATTGGTCATTGGGCGAAGGCAAGATGGGCAACGAGAATGAGTGCCGTCGAACGCAATTGATATAGAAGAGCTGAAGCTTCAAGAAGGAAACGTAAGGGGGGAATAGGTGGGAAGGTTGGAAATCGCGTTGTATAAAAGGTCAAAATAAAGAGCTGGGCGCTGTGACAAAGCAACGTCCAACCCCCGGCCTAGCGATGTTTCTGATATCAACCTTTCCACCAAGAGCTGAGAGGGCTAAAGAAGAGATGAGAGGAGGTAGTAAGAAGGCATTGTTTTAATTAAATCAATTTTTGGGCAATTGTTATCACAGCCAGAACGAAAAAAGAAAACATCGGTCTCAAATCATCGTGTATGAATTGCTTTTTGGCTATCCCCAGACCCCCTTTTATTTAATTATGGCCGCAGTCGCTATCCTAGCATGGATATCCAGGGAATAGCTGGCGGAGATGTAAAACCGGGGATATTATATATACGATGAAGCCAAATATAGATATAACAAATAATCTGTATACACAACAATTCCATTAAAACGTTAGGATGAGATACAAACAGAAATCTGTATTATGTTTCAAAGCATCGATGTAAAAGCAGGCAGCGGGGGTATTTCTTTAGAAAGGAGATCGTTAGATATAGATTATTTAGCGTCAAGGAAATATCGAGTGGAGAGACGTTTTCATGCAGAGGCAACGGCATTCGCAGCAACAGGGGCGACGTTTTCGCACTGAGACAAGGCAGCCTTCTCCAGATCATTCGATAGCTGTACAGTGGGATCCGGGGATTCACTCTTCGCCTCTTCTATAACTTCTGCATCCTGCTTCTCACTCTGGCTCACATGTAGCGGGAATGTCTTCCTCCTTTCCTCTCCCTTGATGCTGCCCAGGACTTCTATTCTGTCATTATGAACTGTAGCGGGTCCCTTGATGAAGTTGGATTTCCTTGCTTCGGCCCCTTCCGTAGCTTCCCCGCTGGAATTTTCTTTTTCATCTGGCTTATCGGCGTAGGGGCCCACTATCTCACAAGAACCTACAAGGGCTCTCGCAGGCTCGTCCAGGTTTGGCATGTCGCCCCAGTCCCAGTCGAGCTCACCACCGTAGCGTTTCGGGATATCGGCAGGATCCATAAATGATGAGAGAGTCGGTTGTACATCGGCAGCAGAAAGAATGAATATCTTTGATGTTGTGCCAGGATCGAACCAACGCTTTATCCAGCCCCAGACTGTAGGGAAGAATACGGGTGCTCCTATAATCTTTTTTTGCCATGGCAATTTTGCCCGGTCAGTTATGCATTCCATCAGCTTACGAGGAAGGAATTGCATATGACTTACAAATATTCTATCTAGGGTCTCTGGATAATGCGCCGTAGCTAGAGTACTCGCATCCTGCATGTGACCCTTCAAATTCCAAAACTGCTTTAATCCCACTCCAGTTATATCAACAATATTTGTAGTATTAACAATAGGAGACTCCGGGTTCGGCCGGTCCAGACGGGTGCATAACGGTAGGACGAAGCGGACCATGTTCTCGTATAGTGCAAATAGACGGAGCAATCTTGGGGGAACCTTTGAAGAGGCATGGGTGGAGGAAGTAGCAGTGTTAGCTGCAGACGAGGTATAGGCGGTCATATTCTTGTTATTGAGGTGTTTTATCACGTAGACGTAGATGGGGATGCCCCTTCGGTCACGTCGGCCAGTCCATTGGGGGTACTAGAATGACATCAGTAAAGACATACAAAGGGAGAGGATCTATAACTGACCACTCTACGAGCTTGTTCGTACGAATCGACATCAAAGTTCTCGTACAGAGCATCGATGTCGTTCTCCTTTCGCCATTCCTCGGTGGATTGAAACTGGGCCAGGGCACCGTTAACATCGAACCTACGAGCTCGCAGGAAGCGTCTATCCAGGAGAAACGATCAATTAGAACCTCATACACCGTCTACCGAGCAAGTAATAGCGAGTATAGTTATAGGTTGCACGTACAGCAAGGTTGAATCGTCATGACTCGCTTCCCCGCCGTCCTCTGCGGGCGTATATATCTTCCGCGCTTCGCATTCTTTCTTAAACGCATCAAGTGCCTCCGTCTGCACCTCTGACAAGTGGTTCAGATGGCCTGACAGCGGATCAGAGGCCGAAGCGCTGGCTGTCGACTGGTTGGTCTCCAGCTTGTTAAGCTGCGGCGGCTTTGCCTGGTTCGTCGGGGTTTCATCGAGCGACATGGTTGTCTAGCGATCTAGAGAAGTTGAGTCCACACTGAAAAAAGCCACTCTGACAGCGAACAGAGGTCCGAAGGAGCAGAGAAAAGCAGAGCAACAGGACAGACCGCGCAGGTCAAGTATTTAGAAGCAAACCAGCAATACGGACTCGCCAGTCTGCTGATGCCGACGGCTCTTTTTTCGTCCGGAAGCCACGGCTTTGCGCCTTACATAAGGTTGAGGCTGGATCCACGCCGATCTGCTAATTATTCAGTTTCAATAGAGACTGTATATCGGACGGAGCTGCAGGGCGCGGGTCGGAGCCATGGACCAGAGGGATCAGGCTGGCGTGCAGGAATATTGAAAGACCGGCGCCACAGGCGTTTTCCCCGACTTCTTCGGCCAGGTAACATCTACATCTACGATACATGTACTTCTACATCTACGGATACATCTCGAGTACGAGTACGCGGTCAGTTAGATGGAGTTACGAGTAGGGAGTGATTGGAATCGTGATTTCGTTGTTCGCCGGCTATAGATATATGACGGTTGAAAAGAAGTTTTTGTTATCCATCCCAATGAGAAAAAGGAAAAGGAGTTATGAAAAAAGGGGTAGGACATATTTAATCCTCGGTGAGATCTCCATACTCCCACATTCCTCTTCGCTCCTGTTTTGCCTCCTCCTCCAGTTTGCGCAGGTTGGCCAGCGTATCGTTGCACGCGCGTTCCCAGGGCTTCAGTTTACGTGGGACCATAGCCAGGCCTTCACGCACCACTTCAGCATTGATGCTCTGCTCCAAGTTCTGAGAGGCAGAAGCGTCAAGCAGGGTGACATGCAGGATGCCATCGGCGATATGGTCGACATTGGCAACCAGTTCGCGATCGGCAGTCTGTGCCGCCAGGAACTGCATGGCTTCACTAAGATACTCCGGGGAAGTGGGGAACTGGAGGAACGACATGACGGCATCGACGGCCTGTGGCTTTAGTTTCTGCTGGGAGAACTGAGGTGCGAGTGGCCGCAGTCTTGACCATGGGACCTTCTCCGAGTTTCCGTAGTCGATATACACGACATCTGCCTCCTTGGCTTCCCGGTCGTTGCGTCGGATCTTGGCCCGATACCATTCGTTATCCTCGGTAAATCGGGCTGCAACCAGGTCACCAGCCTTGGGGGGTCCATCCAGAGGTTTGTCGTTCGCTTTGTTGATGTGGAATGCTCGGAACGAGTTCATGAGATCTGTGAGGCCGGTTGTGCCAGCTCCGATTTGCTGGAGTTTGAGCTTGCCGCCTTCATCAACGTGTGTGAGCATCACGTCGCGGTAATCTCTTCCTCGTGTTGGGACCTCCGCTGTAGCTCCAGCGCTGGTAGCGGCGGGAGTACCCTCCTCGTCTCCAGCGTCCTGGCTCGGGTCCCAATTATGCCATAGCCCCTTTCTACCTTCTTTGGCCTTTGCCTCGGCGGCAAACAATTCCATTCCATGACCAGACTGTTCAGCAGAGTAGGCGTGGACCGTTGCGAGACCCTCCTCCACGAGGAGCTTTGCGAAATTTTCTCTGTTGACATAAAGGGTTCCGATGAAGCCACCGACCTTATCGATAGTCTCGACATCAATCTCAACGTCACGCTGCATACATCTGCGGTTTGCAAAGTCGTGGGCTTCCTGGCCAAAGGGCTCCGACTTCTCGTTGGCGTTCCTTGCAGACCGGGGAGCACGGATTCCAGAAAGGACAAAGGTGAGCTTAGCATTGTCTCGTGGTATCAAAACTGTAAATCTCGAGCCAGATTTGACAAAGTCAACAACACCGGTAACCTTCTTCTGCCTCTGTAGAACGGAGCATTCCATCTTAGCTTTTTGGACGCTCTCGGAGTAATCCTGGAACTGCTTGGCCTTTGGAGGTTTTGATGACCACATCCCCTTTTCGTCTTTCTGGGCTTTCTCCTCGGCAAGCAGGAGAGAATCGTAGTCTGGAGATCGGTCATCATCATCACGGCGGTGGCGGATGACAGAAGCATATCCAGCTTCGACCATGCTGAGTGCTACATTGGTGTTTCCAACCATAACGGTACCAACCTCACGCTCCTCAAACCCTTCAGAGGCCGGTTTCTTTCCATTGATAGTAACTTTGACATGTTTGCCGATAAGCTTCTTGCGGAGGAATTCCTTCGCATCTGCTCCAAAGGGTGCCTGTTTTGGGTCAGATGGTTTAGGCTGTCTGATGCTGCTCAGGCTTATCTTCTTCTCGGCTCCAGTCTTGCTCCTAAGGAATATCGTGTCTGCATTCAATACTCTGCTGACCACGAGATCAGTATCCGCAGCAGCAGCAGCTTTGGGAGCAACATGGCTTGTAAACAGCCCCTTGCGTCCATCCTTAGCAGATTTCTCGGCTTGTCTGAATGTAGCCATTTCTGCTCCCAGCAAAGTAGAATGATGGTCCGCGCATCTCGCAAGTCCGGCCTCGAGTAAGAATTTGGCGATGTTTCCAACAGGGTGTAAAACGGTACCCACGAGCTGATTCTGAGGCGTGAGCCCAAGTAATGTAACCTTCACCTTTCTCTGCAGCAACCGCATTTCAACGAACATCTGTGCCTGGTCTCCATAGGGCTCTCCGGCCTGTTCTGACCCATCTGAAGGGTTTACTCGCTTAGTAGCCGGTGCACGAATGCCAGCCGCAACGACCAGTGTTTGGACGTGTTTCTTTGGAGAGATGAGCAGACGGATGAGGAATCTGTCTCCGCTCAACACCTTTTCCACGACTGAATCAATCTGAGTTCCCTTCAGGCTTCCAAGTAGCTCTTGTGGATCCTTCACCTCGTATGACATATCGATGTTGTCCTCGCCTGCCCATACACCTTTCGATTCCGATTTGGCACGAGACTCGAGCTCTCTCAGGTTGTTCAGTAGGGTCACTGCATCCTCGGTTTCGTCTCTCCTCCCCGCGTCTTCTCGAACCTTGGCCCAGCCCTCGGAAACACAGAGCTCTGGTAGCTCCTTGCCCTCGCTGTTTGGGATCTTGACGATGCCATACTCCCGTTTGGCACCGGTGGGGATAGCGTACAGCACCTGGAACTGTACTACTTTGCCGACGAGAAGCTCACGGAGGAATTCTCGAGATTGGAACGCAAACGGCTAGTGAACACATTATCGAATAAGCAAGCAGATTTAGATATAGAGGGGTAGTAAACCAGGTGTAACAAAGTGGACAGTAGCAAAGACAAAGCCCTGGGATGTTAACTCACCTCGTCTCCTTCTCTCTTCAATCTTGGAGCAGAGACATAGGCCAGGCTCAAGATGCGTTCCTGGGTTGGGTTCGAGACATGCACCAGCACCACTGTGTCTCCGGACAAAACGCTTTTAACACGGGCTTCCAAAAGAGGCATTGTGGCGTGTGCGGGGAGCGAGATAAGGGAGAACAGGGAGAATAGGAGCTGATGGATGGTTTGTAAAAGGGGCACCAGGTACAGACACAATGTACTTGGGAGATTGTGAATGAAGTGAAAGGAAGTAAAGTGGTTGGGCCTACGTGGACTCAATATTGAAACCAAAGTGACCACGTTTTTGGTGATTTGTGTGTTTGGCCTCTTGATGTTTTAGAGTGCAGGGGTAAATCCGGGGTTGAAAACCAAAACATCGCATGCCCATAACACCTGCCAACTTCATTTACAGCATATACCAGTATCACTGCGAGGTGACTGTCGTATTCACAGAAGCTAGATGATGATACCAGTAGCAGCTCTACCATTCTATTGATGGATATTCACCATCCTGTCATGGTGCAGTATATCCCATCTATGAGCTATATACCCATAAAAAGGTCAAGAATGCATAGCTAACAGTTGATAGATAACAGTCATTCCTATGCTCCAGGGCTCATTGATTTCTAAGAAACAGGATGCCATCAGTCATATCATCCATCCCATCAGTACGAACGATATTCAAAGAGCCAAGCACCGGCCAAACAGGGATACCATGCTCTAGCTATGCTTTACGGAGTAGATACCGTGAATAAATCTCCGGAGCTTCCGTTTTGATCGAACTATAAACGAAGACTACATCAGACGGACGGAATACAAGTTACACGGGCCGCCGGTGACATTCGGGCGTTACCAGCCTCGCGATAGCTGATTGCTAGAATCCAGTCAGGCGTGTTGCTATTTTGACCAGCCGCCTCCGCTTCTTCCGTGCTCGATATTACCCGAAAAGCTAAGGAAGAATGGCGTTACCAGAAAGGATTCATAGGTCATACGGGCCGCCTCCAAAGACCAAGCCCGAGGCCACCTCTGCAAGTACATTCTACATTTCCATGTCATATGACTACGGTATATGACTACGGTATATTTTGACAGCCTGATGCATGAGAGTAATAAAGCGAGGCAATTTCCGAATAAAGAACTGGAAACTATATTTTCGTGACTGTCGTAAGAATAGAAAAAGAACTATGGAATAATCTAGTTCAAAGGATTAAGAAGCAATATATATATATATATATATATAGTAATGTTTTGCTCATGCGTCAATGTTGACCGCCAAAAAACGAAGTCCTCCAATAAGCCACCAAGCTCGCTAAAATAAACGCCTAACGTACCATCCGCCTGGACGCCGTCGGGCATAAGTGAACATAAAATCGTAACCGAGTATCGAAGCTAATTACTGAGTGCAAGGATACGTAACATGTATGTCACCTGACATCGTGGAAGGGTGAGGATGTATCTGTATCCCGTCGAGAAGTGGAAAGGGGTTATATGTGATGCCCAGATAAGGTGGCTCCGGCATCTGTAAAGGTTCGGCGGAAATGGGAGGCTCCGGAGGGGCCCCACGGAACCGTTGTATGAGAACATTGGTGTCGAGTTCCCGTTCGGTTTGGGAGTCATCGTCAAGAGATCTTTCGGTCTGGCCAGCAGACGGTGTAGTATCAAATGATGCCCCGATCGGGAAGTCCTCTGGTAGTAAGGACGCAAGCTGTAACTGGTGATTTTCAAGGTTACATACCCGAATCACCACTTCGAGTACCTTGCGTACTTGCTGGGCCACGATATAGGTCTGTTCTAGCTCGAGTAACGTGCGAACACAGACTATTAGACATTGGAACTCCTGGCTAACGTCTGCGTTTCGTCGTTCTGTTATGTCGGCAATAAGCGTCGTTGAGACTGTTGATATGACATGCAAACTTATGCCACTCAGAGTTGTTGCGTTGCCGTAATTGACTCGGTAGTCCTCCATGTACCGAGTGGCATCGATGGCATGTTTGACACAGATGAGGCGGAACTGAGACGAGTAGCCGCTTCTCTCTGAGTCTTCTATGCCGAAATTTGCAAGTGGGCGATACAATAATATTACCGCCGCACAATATTGCATACTATCACATATATTTAGCATTTGGATTCAGTTGATATCGCTAGAGAGAAGGGAGCCATACTGTAAAACAGAAACAGACGGGGGTGAATCCCTCTGGTATTGAAGCGAGACGTGAAGTCCGTCATACCAGCCCTTAAGACGGTCACCGAGCTCGTTTACTCGGCTCATGGTGCATTTGTTTTGATTTCTATATGGTTAGCTCCCTGTTCGTACCTGATACTAACCAGGGGGGTTTTGTTTGGGGTCACATACAGAGATTCGCAAATGAAGCCTACTATTTCGAGTAGACCACTCCAGGCATCAGCCAACCGAGCTTCCCAGCTTGGCGTCATTCCATTTACTGCTGCGCCGGGCCGAGGTGCTGTCACCTCTCCATCAAGTCTCAAACAGTACTGGCGGCCAAGATATAGCGACCATAGTCTATATTGGCATATTAGCAAACCGAGATAGAATATGATATTCAACAACAGGGCGATCTCACCTGTCAAATACGACACAGCCCCAGAATGCAATATTGCGGGCTTCCATGTCCATGGGAGTCATCCTATCAGACAAGGAAGAGCAGTCACGATGCAGACCTAAATCCAGTGCCAACCGACATGCAGTCCCTGGGGAAAGTCGTCAGTCAAAAGGCCGTTATTTGTGCTTACTATGTTTTGTAACATACCTGTCAAAACCCAGCCCTTGGTATCTTGCGAGAATGCGCAGTAAATCACTGATAGCAATAGTAGTGACTGTACAGTAGTGACATGTGGGCGTTTCAACTCTTCGTCGACAAGCTTGGAAGCGGCGGCAAACAAAGGGGGTAGCTCCTCCGTTGGCGAGAGGCCAGGCGACAACACCATAGCACGGATTTCTGGCCGGTGAGAAATGCGCGCAGCACACGCCATGATGCAGTAGAGGAGTGCTTTGCTATAAAACTTGGTTTGGCCAGTTGCCATATCCCTCAAGAAAGCTTCCTTGTGTAGGATTTGAAGCTCAGTGTGTTGGAATTTCCAGTACAGGTTGAGCAAGTAGTCTTGGGTTTCAGGGTCTATTTCGCAGACATCTACCTTGGGACTGGTTGAGAATTCTCCCCATGTTCGCACGATAGATGAGGCCACGGTATCAGTCAAATGTAGGCTTGAAGTTGGACCAAAATATCGAAGTTGGCCTTCAGAGTCATAGTTCAGTTGATACCGCCCGTCACAAAGACGAGCGATTATATTATCCGGCACCTTCTGCCTTAGTAGTGATACCGGTGACTCTGGTGGTGAACACTGAGCAATGCCGCGGATAGTATGAAAGTTTTGCGACTGGGCTTTGCGGAGTGCCTCGCTCTGCTTCAATGCAAGTTCCAGGTCATGGATGCGCTGGTGTAATTCACGGATGTGTCGTTTGGACGACGGGCGTTTCCGTTCGTCTACCTCTGGACCTGGGCACGGTATCCCTAGCTTTTTGCATTTTTTGCATCCTCCTTCTTCAAGCAGGCATTTTATCTTCTTTGAGCGGCAGTTAAGACAGGCCAACGTGTAATTCGACCCAGTGCTTTTCGTTGAATCTCTTCTTCCTTGAGCTAGCGACGACCGCCTCGAGGGCAACTGTGCTACCGATTGACGTCGAGGTGGGGTTGATGGTTCCGCTACGAGATGAGCGTGGATAGGAGGATGCACAGTTGAGAGAGAGTATGGCTGGAGAGCAACCGAATAGCGAGGCGGCTGCTCTAGATGTTGTGGAAAGGTTGGAGGGGCGTCGGCTTCCCGTGGGAAGCCCCAGTTCTGTTGACGTTTTTGAAGCGCATACAAGACATCATCCCCTTCCGTGAGAGGAACAGGGAAATTCGGCATCGGGGCGTTGCGCTGGTCCATTATCGCAGTTCGGGGGCAATCGCATGCTTTGAAAGCCAGGCCTTTTTCGAAACCGGTTCGTGCCTAAGGCTGACAGGTTAGATATCAATGACAAGAGAATTCTACCACGACATCCAAACTGCCTGAAGCCAGGGCTCTCGGCCCTCCCAGGAAGTACGTTGAGAAAGGGACCGAAGCCGTACTTGCACAGGATGTACAGATAACAGAGTACCTGGTGTGTCAGGATGCTGATCACTCAGCCTGGCCCGTTTTCTCGACTGAGAAATCAGGAGATAAGAGGACCGAAACGCAGGCGAGGGTCAAAACATATATTTATCCCTAAAGGTTATGCAGAGTGAAAAACGTTCATATCTGCATGTCATGGGTGAGCATCAGCCCTAGGAAGAAAGGTACGGTTTCGTTCCTTCGCAATAGATGAACACGCCCAAAAGGTATGGATAAGAGAAGCTCCAAAAAACGAGAGTACCGATTCCCGCGAGCCTGGGACGGTATGGGCGCGGAGACTCCGGTCCACTCAAGCATTCGAGGTCCAGAACACTAAAGCGGAAAATGCTCTGAGTCGCTTTGCCTGTGCACAATCGGGGCTCATGATTCATGGCTAGACAACCTTGGGGCGTGCTTGGCTGGCCGCTGTTCGAACTCAAAGTGGTGACGAGCGTCCGAAAGGCCGGGCCAAAAGCACTTTTTGAACCGCGTGCGAATGCGGATGCCGGCGTGGGATTCGAGCAAAGACCGCCTTCTCCGTGGTGGAGACATGGAGCCGGGACTTCGGGGTCTTCCAATAAAAATGAAGCTGATGGCAAATCAAGGGCATTAAGCGCGGGCCTCGGGATCGAAGTAATCCCGAAGATGTCTCAATGGACGCAGTAGTAATTTCATTATTGCTGTTGCCCCCATTCCTGTGGCGGTTGAGGCTGGTTTAATCCAATATTAGCACTTGCGCGATTGGTCCATGATTTTAGGCGAGCTGAGAGCCATCCCGTTCATCCCTGTCAAACGTTTTGCACGGTGATCCATGTGATGCACAGCTAGTCTCGCTGGCAAAAAGTAAGTGACTACCCCGTACAAGGTACTCCGTCTGGCGTAGAGAGTATATAGAGCACAGCAGGTACTTCGTATTCCAGTGATATAGATTAATATCTCGCAACAATAGACAAGGATGGCGACGTGAAGTGTGCCGAACGGTCCGTGGCCCGTAAGCTGAGAAATCCTTCTCGTCTTCTTGACGAATCGCCACGCCTAAGCATATATTGCGATACGAGTAAGGCTAACGGTAGGAGATTATGAGCTATCTGATATGATCTCATTTATGCGTGGGCATCGATCCCGCTCGGACTATTCGAGGTGGCACACTCACTGGGAACGGTCGGAGTTAAGAATTACAAATAGCTCCTAACCGCGCCAGGAACCCGGGGAAGGGATCGCCTGTACGCCATGCAGCCTTAACGAATTCGTATACTCCGTATTGACCGAGTCATTGGAATGAAGAAGGATGCAAAAGGGGAGGCAAAGGTTGAAGGTTGAAGGTTGAAGCTGAAGGTTGAAGCTGAAGGTTGAGGTTGAGATTGAAGGTTGGAGGTTGAAAGGTTGAAGTTGGCTGGGCCAGCACATGATTTCCTAAACAGGCGATGGCCCTCGACTACAGGCATTTTACCCCTTTCAGGCGTGGATATAACTCGGAATTGACATAGCTAGGAGGAAGATAGTATGCATGGAGACTTATGCAGTACTAAGCCCACTGGTAGATCTAGGTGATGTACAAATGGTGCCAACTTGTGCAGCATACAAGATCTACGCCTAACGAACGATCACGTTGATCACCTATCAAAAAAAGTGGGCGTACTATGGTTAACTCAAGCCTCACTTGTGGGGGTGCCGACATTACTTTGATGTTGGTGGATTGTCAAATCAAGCTTCATTAATTTATAGAGTAGCTGATTTCACACGGTATGAAAATAAGAGGGTAAACCATTTTCTCCTACCGTCTCACCTTTTTTCCGATTAGGCATGGAGTATACACACAAATCATATATTCCTATCTATGCAGAGATGCCAATGACACCTAGATAATAAACAATTAGCACATATCTAGATCTGAGTCTCATGTATACATACCACAAGCAGGACGGGGACCAGCGTTTCCGGTCTTCTTGGACTCCTCGTTTCCACCCTGGCCAAGGTCATCGGTGCCTGCGTGGCAGACGATGGTGCGCTAAAAGAACCACGTTAGTTCTAGCGCAGTCGACTAGAGGAAAGGTAGTAAACATACGCCCACAACGGAGTGTTCACCGATCAGCTTGATCAGCTTGTCCTGGGTGGAGCCAACGGCGTTGCCCTGCGCATCGGTGCTGATGTTGCCCAAGTCTCCAACATGGCGGATCTCATCGGTGGGAGCACCGTGGGTCTTGTTGAATGGGTTGACTGTGGAATAGTTAGCATCGAACTCTGTATAGCAATAGTGCAGTGGTACGTACAGTGAGGGCCGGCGGAGGTGCAGCCGTTGGTGTTGTCACCGAACTGGTGGATGTGGAAACCACGCTGCGCGTTGGCGTCATGGCCGGTGATGTTCCATGAGATGGTGGTGGGCGAAGACTCGGACTCTTGCTCGAAGGTGACGGTGCCCTTGACGTTGGAGTCACCACGGACGACAGCAACTACATCGTGAAAACGTCATGATCAGCAGGAGAACTGGACAGATTATAGGACAGAGAATAGGACAGAGAATAGGAGGCGGATTATATATAGTCCCCGATCTACCTTGATGGCAGAAGAGTGCTCAAATTCTCTCACCCATTCCCACCGGCATGACAGGGATGGAATGGACTGGACTAGCTTACCTGCTTTGACCATTGTGGATGATTTCTTAGGTTTCGTCTTTAGCTTCCGAGTGTTTAATGTACAGATGAGCGGGCTGATTGAGGAGTAGAAACAGGCGAAGAAGAGAAGAACGAGAGGAAGAAGTGCAGATAAAAGCAGGCCTGGTCCCTCGCTCGTAAGCCGGAGCCGATGGTGGGGGGCAGCAAGTGTACGTGGAATTGTAAACATCCGCTCCATGCTCTTCAGCCATACTGCACCGCACCATACTACACTACGGTATACTGGTCTAAACTGCCATATGAAGCAATTGGTCTACACTGCTCACAGCTTATCTTCACCTTTCCCTTCTCTTTTCTCTTTTTCTTCATCTTCATCTCTTCATTTTCACCTTTGTTTGTTTTTTGCTCTTCCTACGATGACGTAATATCACGAGATTTACCCCTCGTGATGACTAATTATATGAGTCATGTGACTTAACTTGTGCCGCGGCTTCCGCTTGCGGCATCAGCAGTAACTGGACGGATTTATTGTTCATTTCTTGTTCATTCTATCAAGGGGTTTCATAGATACATGGCATGAGTTGGGGTTTTAAGGATAGGAAGCAAGTGTTTTCTTTTCATTATACCGTCGCAGTTTCAGGTCATTCTGTCATTCTGCGTACGATCGGCCGAGATAAAAAAGGGAAGAAAAGAGAAGGGAAGCTGAGAAAGAGAGAGAAGTCATCAATTTAGAGTAAATAAACGCTCGCTTTTACTCATGCGAAGGCCTGGATCTTTTCCTTGATGATGCCCTTGAGGGTAACGGCGTCGGCGGCGAACTTGGAGATACCTTCTCGGAGCTTCTCGACGGCCATCTGCTCCTCGTTGAAGTCGAATCGGAAAAGAGCCTCGTTGTTTAGGTAGCTGCGCTTGGGGATGTCGAGACCAGCAGCACCGGCTGGGTCAAGCTTCTTGGGCACGGCGGCCTTGGAGCTGTACAGCTCTTCAAGGAGGTTGGGCTGTGAGTCGTTAGTACTAATACTATCCCAGAGAGGAAGAATGGTAGGAACATACAGAGATAGTCAGGTAGTCGCATCCAGCAAGCTCGGTGATTTCACCAATGTTTCTGAACGAGGCACCCATGACAATGGTGTTGTAGCCGTGCTTCTTGTAGTAGTTGAAGATGTTCTGCACGCTCTTGACACCTGGATCCTCCCCGGCGGAGTACTCTCGCTTCATAGCAGCCTTGTACCAGTCAAGGATTCGGCCGACGAAGGGGGAGATGAGGTAGGCACCAGCTTCGGCGGCAGCGATGGCCTGGACGAGAGAGAACATGAGGGTCAAGTTGCAGTTGATGCCGTGTTGCGACTGCAAGATGTGTGCGGCCTGGATACCTTCCCAGGTGGAGGCGACCTTGATCAAGATTCTCTCCTTCTTGATGCCGACGGATTCGTAGAGCTGTGTCCTGTTAGTGCCGTTCATCACTATATTACCGGCCGTAGACATACCTCGATGATGCGGAGAGCCTTCTTGACGGAAGCCTGGGTGTCGAAGGAATAGTGGGCGTCAACCTCGGTAGAGACCTTTCCTGGAATGATGGCAAGAATCTCCTTTCCGAACTCTACGAGTAATCGGTCCAAAGCAGCGTCGACTTGTGCATCGAGGTCGGAGCCCTATCATATCCATCAGTTATATAGTTCATAGAACCAGCAAAGACGAGCGAGCTGTCTTCACATACGTTTTGCTTGCCGTAAGCAATAGCAGCATCGATAAGCTTAGCGTATTCTGGCTTCTTGGAAGCGGCGAGGATCAGGGAGGGGTTAGTGGTGGCATCTTGAGGCTTGTATTTGCCGATAGCTGGGCGGTTGAATTCATGTTAGCTGCGGGAGTCCCGGATTTGACATAGTCGAGCCGTATCACGCAGCATAAACTCGACATAGGATTGACAGTATACGTACTTGCAAAGTCACCTATATTCATCCCAAAGCTTCACGTTAGCCGGTATATCCTCTTATCTCAGGCGAGAGCCCCTCATCCCGCCCCTCATTCCATCACTCGAGTCTTACCGGAGTCGCAAACAACGGTCTACCTTCACCATCAGCTCAAGGCCCAAGGAGGCGGCATTGCAAGAAAGACACCCAAACTTACCGTGCCAGAGGCCTTCAATTGCTCAAGAGAAGTAGACATCTTCGCAAACGTATCTTGCTATCAAGCTACCACTTCTGTGTCGTCGTGGCGGCGTAGGAATCAATTCAGCAGACCGGAACAGTCTGCACGTCGTATATGAAGATGAAAGAATCACTCTTTGGGTATAAGCTGAAAGATGGAGATAGAAAAAGTCGTTCTTTATGATCGAGCGGGCGCCGTGGTTCATATAAACCCACGTTGCCGGAGGTGGCGAGCTTTGGTTGGATAAGCAGCTTCCGTTTTGGCGGGGTCCCCTGGGTTCTCAGGTCGAGGTACTTCCCGGGCCTAACCCCGCGGGCAGGGTACTTGTCTGCGAAACTCGGATGACCGTACCGCGCTTAGGAATCAGCCCTTAGCCTAGCCTACGGCTCTTAGGAATCATTTCACTTCCACCATGGCTTTTGCTACTTGTATCACCCGCAGTCATAGGACAATGGAATAGTCGGTAAGAGATCATTTCTGCAACTTGACTAACTACTGTGCCATTTCTAACACGCTGATAGGCAATTCATGGCTACGGCAGTGATAGCTAAGGATTAGTTAGCTGATGAGCCGTTCTCAGTGTAACAACTTACGGCGCGATTGGTATGTGGCATCCAAGTATTGGTTTTGGGCTTCGGCCTGCTAGTGATAGTCTGTTTAGGGAATACCTAGGTCAGTTATGTTGGAAGATGGAACTACTATATATCCAACCAGTAACCAGGAAGAAACTAGATTATACCATGTGTAGTTCATCGATGGGATGGTGATCATCAAAATCCTCCTTATTTCCACCAACCAACTGACAAAGATTGAGTCTCACCTGCTCATCCATTTCATCCTTCTGTTCTCCGGACAATAGTTGTATATGGTCACCAAGTGAGGTAAACAACCTGAAGTATTCTGGTCGATAAAGGTCCAATAAATCTGATCAAACACGGAGCTACGTCTCGCAGCCAGACATACCTAAAGCAAGTTTGTAGCCATAGAGTGTTCCATTCGTGTAGAAAGGTGTTCCTCCTCCGAAAGGGTGTGTTTCCCTATCTTTTCTTCCTCACACTCTCTTAGAGCCTTCAAAAATAGGTGAAAGCATGAGATAGCGGGTTATAAGCTGATTGTGATCAAATTCTCAGCCTTCTGGGCTTATCAGTAAAATCCAACAAGGAGCTATATATGAGAATTCAGCAGGCGCAACGTCCGTAAACTCCCAGTCAATAGCTCCAGGTCGCAGAATTTCTCAGCATAAGTAAGAAAATTTGAAGGGAGAAGGCATTGCAGTATAGCCTGAATGACCCTTGGCTATGGTTAGTTGAGATGTCACTGACGACTTTCAAAAATAGGTACCGGGCCGCGACTTTCTTCTTGCAATCTTGTTCATTATCAACAGCATTGTTCTGCTGCAACCAGAGGTGAGAAACCTCCTCCATCGCGAGGGGCTTGAATTAGTCTATAGTTGGGCGGAATGCGTGTAAGGAAAAATTGCTTTCGGGTATATTTGCAGACAACATCAATTCGTTCATATTAAACGTAAGAGGCCGGCCAGTAGCCCTAAAAGTCCTTTCTCTCTCCTCAAGTACCCCGATAATGTCGAATCAGAGTTTGATAGTTCAAGAACAAGAGTAGCCATCCCGTGATAAGCTCTCTTTAGGCTGCGATCGCGTATTTGGGGGTTTAGGACAGGACTTCCCCTCTAGGAACGATCTTTAAGGAGCTCAGATAGAGGCACTCCTTCGACGAATGGCATGACAATGTATGGGCCTGACCAGCATATGCCAGTGCCCAAAACGTCGGGGACAGGTAAGTATTGGGGTATTACGGCGTAGGTAGTTTATCGTTGCGACCTCGTGCTTTACCTTTTCCTGGCGAAGTATGGCTTTTCCACAGACATGCAGATTTGGGGTTGCTAGGTGGTATGAAGACTGAGACATTATTTTTTGAAAGAGAGTAAATTAGTAGCAGCTTCTTATCTAGGTAGCCGCTTATTCTTGCGAGCTAGTTAGATCACGTGTTGACCAAAATTAGCCGCGCGCTTCCAACGCTTGTGAGTTTGCTGCCACGCATAGTGAAGTTTGCTATATATATTGGAGTTACAAAATGAGCTGAATTAAAAATCCTTTTTGACGCGGCGAGCAAGAGGCAGTTCGCGTTGGTCCAAGTCTTGGGTACATTCTGTATCGGGGCAAAGGTAGCGATTCTGGTGGCCATGAAGCTGAGGATAGAATCACGACCATACTCTAGCTACACAGTGGCGCCACTCGGTGGACAATGAATGGATGTTAGCAGAAGCGATCCAGCTCATAAGTGGCGCCTTCATTGATGGACTGAATGTTGATACTTTCAGCTGGCAATTTTGGCATGTTCGTCCGGTTGGCACATCTGAGTTTAGCAGTAATGGTAGGTGATGCAAGAGGAACGCCTTCTAATGATGATTCTTGTTGGATAGCGAAGATACTTTGGTATGATATGTAATAAAGCTAATGAAGACAGCACTTAGAGGAAAGCAGACCAGCCAGGCAAGAGTAACTACCGCGGACAGTTACACCCTCTCGCAGCCAAACATCGTCGCTCAATCCCGGATGAGCAGGTCACGAAGGGCTCCAACGGCCTATACAGGCAACGGATTGAATGGCGTGCGAAATGCTCGACGCCGCCGTAGCCTATAACCTAGCCCCGCGAGGATTTGAAGTGGGCTTTATGGGTGATAGTACTGAATGCGGGTATATCAAATGGCCATAGAAACTGGACTCTGAGCGGATATCCAACAATTCCGTGATATTGAATATGGGGGTATAGCTACTCTGAAGGATCGCAAGAACGAGATCCGGCTGCTTGGCCACGTTATGTGTAGTAAACTAGTCGACACGGCGATTGGTTCGGATTTCACGAGTGGAACAGGTTAGTAGGCACCCCTGCGCGAAAAGATCAAGTCCACTTCCACGGCCTGTGGGAATGCCGTAGGGATATGGTTGTCCATGGCCACCAGAGGCCGCCGGGCGAGAAGAACGTCGGGTAGGAGGAGAAATCTGCACTTAGCATGGGTATTTATACTTGGTCATATTAGCTCAACCAGAGTTTTTTCCCCTTCTTTTACTCTATTTTCGAAGAAGAAAACATCGATATGTGGAGTAGCTATGTCTTAGCTTCTTTGCCATCAAGAGCTAAACTAGGCGAAAGACAGGGATGGAATGATTTATCTTCCTTGTGCTGGAACTCGCGAATGAGACATAGCCTTCAACTAACGTTTGCTGCTTGTCTGGAGCAGCGATAACTAGCTGGATAGAGAACAACGCCGAGAACAGAGTTTACATGGGCGCTCGAGGCATATCTCAAATGTAACATTGTAGGCATTCCTTGCATAGATATGGAGTCAATAGACTGATATAGACTCTGCAAGCCTGTCGTTTATATTAAAAGCCAGGGACAAAGGATTAAAATGCCGGCCCGCCGCCTTGGCGTCTAGTCATGGTCTGGTTGAGCCTCTCTTTTTACTTCTAGTGGTCTCACACTGTACGTAAATATAGGAGATAATTATATCGGAGGGGATTTAGCCTCGACAGGGTGTCTGATGTACGTAAAGGATGCAGTGGACTATGCTTGCATACTCCGTAGTTACATCGATGTAGCCTGCAGCCTGCCTCAAGCATCAGGGTTACGTGACTACCTGTGGGCATATAATGGTGATATGGACTTGAGGCTGAAGTAGATAACTATATAAACCCCCATAGAACAGACATACCTGAGTCTAGCATCATCATCTTCTTCTTCATCATCCTTCTCGTTTCCCTCTCACCCATCAATACCCATAAAACACATCAACAACCAGAAAGATGCAGCTCAACTACCTTCTTACCCTGGCATTGCTCCCGGAGCTCCTCGTTGCCAGAGTTCTCCTCCCCCGTGGAGATTCCTGTTCCCACTTTGCAATCGCCAACAAGGGAGATACGTGTGAGAGCTTCTCTAAGACCTGGGTCATGACCGTTGCCAACCTCAAGGCATTGAATCCTGGTATCAACTGTCTGGACTTGGAGGCTGATAAGGAGTACTGTGTTACCCCTATCGTCCCGCGGGGTGCACCAACAACTACTGGCACACCTACCCCTACGACTACCTCGGTTCCCTTCCCTTCCCCTACCCTGCCGGGCCTCGCGAAGGACTGTGATAAGTTCCATAAAATCGTGCCTTATGACTACTGCGACAAAATCCAGACGATGTACAACATCAGCACTGCCCAGTTTAGGGAATGGAACCCTTACATTAACTCCTGTATGTATCCCTTTTCTCCCTTATTAACACGGATCCGAAACTGACATGTAACGATAGACTGCAGTAACCTCTTGCCAGACTACTACGCTTGTGTTCACGTTCCCGGCACCATCATGACGCCTATTCCGCAGCCACTGATGCCTGGTGTCGTGGCCAATTGCACAAAGTACCATTTGACGAAGGAGGGTGAGACCTGCTTCAGCATTACCCAGGAAGCAGGTATCACGTTTGATCAATTCAGATCCTGGAACACAGAGGTTGGAGCGTATTGTAACATATGGCTTAACTACTATGTCTGTATTGGAGTCTAAGCCGTTCATCGTGGATGGGTTTAGAATAGCCCATTTTTCCTAGAGGCGTGGTTAAACAATATGTTTAGATCACAGCCCCTAATTACTTAATGAGAAAGAAGAATACCAGCACTTGTATGTATATATAATGAGTAGGCTATACGGCTACTAGAGAACAATATTAACAGTCATAATTATCATCATAATCTATAGAAGAGAAAGCAGGATACCAACCAGCCCTGGACAAGAGCGATGGCTCTAATGGCGCTGCACACAATTCCACTCATAAACCTGTCCTGATTCGTCGCCTGTATACACAACATGCGATAGCGGTAGGATACAGGTGATCCCTGCGAGAGCTGCTGCTCCATCGCCACGAGAGGTGTTAACATGATGTAACTGGCGAATAAGATCGAGTTCGAATACGCCGTCTCGGATACATTTGCTCCATATCTATGATATCACACGGTCAAAAATTTGTATTAGACGCCAGAGGAAAGGTAAGAGCGCATATAAGGAGGAACTTACGTTTACGAGGCCCTTACGATGACCAGTGAAGAATAGTTCGAGCTCTAGCCATTCGTTGCCGACGCCTTCGTAGAAGGCACATGACAGTACATTGTCGTCCGCCTGCTCACAGACCGCTCTTTCAAGAAGCAGGGTGCCGTTAAGAGTATAAAGGCTCACTAGGTTGCCGCGACATACTGCAATATTCCCTGTTGCGTCATTTATCCGAGCACACTAGAGGATGGAGTCAGCTTCAGGGTGTTCAAAAACAAGAATTAGCAAACTCGGGATAGATGTCTTACATTAACTGTTGGGCCGGATGGTAGCTCCCTGATAAACTCGAGTCTGTTAAGGTCCCATAACATGACCTTACCGTCCTTCGACGCTGATAGAATGGTGCTAAACGATCTTGACACAGCCAGGATCGTGACAGGCGATCGATGCCCAAAAAGTGACGCTTTAGGGAGGAGGTCGACGGATCGAGATGTTGACGTAAAGGACCAGACAGCTATCGTACAATCAGTGCCAGAGGTGATCAATGTCTGGGAATCAGCAAATATAGCACAGGATAGTTGTCCGATATGGACATGTTCGAAATGACCGATTAACTACAAATGAAGAGCATGGTTAGCTCTGTTCACTTTCCAGATAGCCGTTAGTAGGGGTTTAAATTACCTTTCTTGAATCAGCAGCATAAAATCGGACGCTACCATCCGAGAATCCCCATTCCATATATTTATCATATACTGGAGGAATGTTAAGGCGAAATGCCGCTGCACAGAGTAGTCTGTCCTGTTTAACAGAGAATGACAACGACGCCACCCGCTCTTGAATATCTGGTGGTAATGTTAGATTAACATGAGATTTAGGCGGAGGATTAACATATGCTTACCAAGTAAAGTAAATGGTAGACGGGTTAAAGACTCTGCGGCAGTGTCTAGGCGGCCAGGTTTGTGTTGCGCCTCTTCCCGCGCTGGATGGTGTTTATGGAACACCTGGTGAGGGGTTTGTCCAAAGTTATGTATAATGCCTATCGTTGCTAGTCTCTCCATTGGATCTTCAATGCTGTCAAGATCTTTGGCACCGCGGTATGACAAATGGTGGAACACGTTGACGGATTCAAGAGCTGCTTCACCTCGTTGTTTAGCACCAAATACTAAATCAATCCACTGATGTAGATTCCGGGTAACAAACGGGCTCTCGAGTGCTTCACGATGTTTGGCTATAAATATCCTAGGGTCTCCTTTCGCCCAGGGAGGAAGTTCCACAGAATCAATGGATTGACCTGTGCTTTGTCGTACTCCAAAATCATAGTTGTTTGAATTGGATAGGAATTCTGGCAAGTAGAAAAACTCAGGAATTAGTTCTCTGACATCGGTCATATTTACTCGGGACGCTGAATTCCATGCGTCTGGGATCGAGAAAAATAGACGATCGGCATGGTCAAACGCCCCGCCCTGCAGTAGGAGATATGATTTCACGAATGGCTGAAGTCGTATTAGGTATGAGCATACGATCATGGCGGAGGAGTAGTGCGTCCCATAATGAAACGGAGGGGCGTTCTCATCGCCCATTTCTGCAAAGGACTGATATCTACTTCTGAAATCAGCTTCCCGGGCCATAGTTTGACATCCCATTGGTTTCGAAAGGTCCCGGAATGTTCTTGGGTTTGTGAGATCCAACTCCTCGCTAGTGTAGTCGGCGAGAATCCAGGGGAATACTGGATATTGGGTCAAATCATTGAAGGTTCGACCTGCCAGTGTATTGACTAGCATTAGATAATGGAAGTTTGACATCTCCCCCTTCAACCATTTCCGTGTCGCCGGATGAGAAGGCAGTTGGCTAAACACGTTGACAAATTTCGATCCAAAGAATTGTGAGCTATTCCCTTCACTGCGCAGAGTTTCAAAACGCCAGGAGTCCTCGGGCAGGTTGCTGTTTCCATGAATCTGGGGCGCTCGAGAAGTAAGCTCGTTATATAACTCGTTGCGTAACTTGGCAGAAATTAGTGTGAGTAGATAACTACGCCCATCAGAGAAGAATATCTCCAATGCCACGTCACGGAAGAGGAATTGGCGCTTCGAGACGCTGATCACATCCGCCCAAATCCAGCTCCTGGATCGATGGCCTCCATTGTCCTGCTTGCGATCATCAGATTCCCGGCCAGAAATCACGCGTACATAAGGATCCCGTTCCTCAGGGAGCGCTTGTGATACATGCACTATCTCGCAGTCTGAACGCTGGAAGAAGTTATCCATTATATAGAGACTGATTTTTCCAAGGATCAGAAGGCCTTCACATGCTTCAAGCCCAATTATACGAGAGATGTTACACACGTATTGAACCTGATCGCCGCGCTGGAGATTTTTCATGACTTTGCGATTTTTATCTTCATAAGGGTCGTTGCCTGTTGGCTCATCAATCAGTTCGAAGCTATCTTCAGTGGCAGATTTGCCTTCGGACTCGTTATCAAGAGACTCCGTATCAACGGTGTCAGCAACCATAGTGGCGGGCGAGAGAGCGACAACGTCGCTATCAGAAACAGAACGGACTCGAACATCCAACTTGACATCAGGCGTTTCATTAGTGGCTCTTCTCTTCGGCTGATAGTCTTGTTTCCCAGTGGTATCGTCTGGAGTAACTCGTAGCCGCATTCTACTGCGTCCTTCTGTCTGATCTAAACGCCATTTATGCTTCGTTTTGGTAGCAAGGAAGCCATTTTCACGCCTCAAGTTTGAATATATGCGAGAGAACGCGGAGGCCATGAAGTTAAAATCATCCTGCTGGTCTTGGATAGCTCGCTGATGCTTTAAGCCCTCCGAAACAGATATGTTTGCCGTCCAGTGTCCAAATGTAATATCGTGTTTACGGAGGATTTCCTCGTTCGCTGACTCGGTCTGGGTCCACTGTCTTAGCTTCTCCTTTCTTTTGGATGCTCGTAAACGTGCAGTTTCCTGGGTCTTGCTGTTTTCATCACGAACAAAACTTTCCCAGCCCTTGCATAGAGCACCAAAGAAGAAACAATCCAGGTCATCACGTTGATCATCGATCCAATGGAGAAAACTGTCATCATCCATCCCCATAAGTTTTTGGAAGCCTAAGGATAGGCGCCGATGGAGCGACGGGGTAGCCTGGCTGAGAATGGCAGACGTTTCAGACGGTTTCTGAACGAGGGTGATTCTCCACAGCCCAGCTGCTGCCACACGCACGTCCTCCTTTTCTGTCACAATTTTAGAGTAGAGTAAATAATATATTAGTTGGAGTTGGTCGTTTGGAGTCTCCTCGTGAGACAAGAGGACCGTTTGCCAGTAAGCGAGCCGCTGTAAAAACGAAAATGCATTTTGGCCTTCAGCTGCGGACAATCGTAGGAGGACAGTCCGGAAGACTGTTGAACGAATGCTTGAAATCGTTTGGCTACAAAGTCTGACACTCTTCAGCGACGCAACCTCAGGCTCCTGCAAGTACTCAAGAATAGGCCCAATAAAGTTCAATGTTGCCATTGCACCGTCAATGAACCATCCGCCGTAAACAGCTTCAGCCACCTGTGAAAGCAGCCGGGACAGATTGTTTAGCACGCGAGGCTCAACCAGTACTTTATGGTCTTTCGAAATCTTGTTTTCCACATGTGCAAGTAGATTCCTGAGGAGCCAAGATTCAAAATAGATTTGGTGTTCCACGAACCCTGGAGGAATTCTGACGAATAAAAGCAATCCTGGAAACTCCTTACGCCCGAACAGTTGATCTGTGTAAATGGCCAGGAGAATCTCAAGGATGTCATTCGCGATAGGGTTGGCCGGACGAGGGCTTGCAGCATCGGACATAGGTGCGACAATTTGCTGCAAGCGCGCAGATGAAGGGGAGTATTTGGATTTATCTGAGGAGACTAGGATAAAGGATGATGTACGGCGAAGTTGATCGTTGCTATCCCGCATATCCATATCCTTCACCGTGCTGGTACGTACTATAGGTCGTGCACCTGGAAGAGGCTGAATGGTTACAGTATCCCCGCCAAATCTGAGTCCCTGCGAGTTGGACTCTAGTTCGAAGCCTGCGTTAACTATGTCGGAGCCAACCACCACTGGGTATAAAGCTCGGAGAAGTTCATCAATATAATTGGACGTTCCCGCAAAATCCCGAAAATTTTGGGACTTTTCGTGGATATGAGCGAGGAAACCAACGACCGTTTTTAGGAGCTCATTATCTGTGGGTACATTACCCGCAATAGTAGTATCTGCAAAATTTGATCAGTATGGGATAAAGGAGAGGATTATGACGAGGAACCCACGAAAGGGAAGATAGCACAAACCTGATCGTAAAGAGCTACTCGCGGAGTTTGCCCTTGGGCGCACCAAGTATACACTGTCCTCGTCATCTGTATGGACAGAAGGAGAAGCCCCCCTCGGCACCACTGTCGCTTTCAACCCAAGCTGAAGCATGCCTGTGAGCACAGGCAGTACCTCTGGGAACGAGACTTTGAGATTTTCAGGAGAGGAAAACAAACGCCGAAGATCCGTACTATCAGCGTTTCTGTCTAAACTTATATGCCCCGGATCTATGCCAAAGAGTATCGAGAAACACAGCGGCCACAGGGGAGCCAAGTTCCACCATCGCTTTAGACGCTGTCGCATAATCACAAAGCCGCCAGTCTTCTCTGCAAACTTTTTGGTGTAGGCGGTTCCATGAACAATGAATAGGCGGGAGAGAATTCTTGTGACCAGTATCACAACTTCTGGCTTGTCTTCTGAAAGAAGGTATAGAAGCCACTATAATACGGGAGAATAGGTTATAAAAAAAATACTATATAGCTTGGGTGTATGATTAGAACATACCTTGTTTGTGACTGTCCTAGCAAATTTTTGGATACTAACTGTATCCTCACTATTACAGAAGACATCGGTAAACACACGCAGGATTTCTACCCCTATCTGTTCTTTTGAAAGACAGCTTGAAATGTGGTCTGGTTGTGAGAGGCCTGGGCGCCGGAATCGCAGATCCAGGCGGATGTTCTTATTTTTGTTTAATTTGCTCACAGGCTGCTTTACTGTGTGGATCGAGAACGTGATAAAGAGTGATACAGAGCGAAGTACTTCAGCAGTCATGCATGAGCCCACCAGACTCTTAAAAGCAGGGACAAATAGCTTCAAGGTTGTTGCTGTGAAGGTTTCAGCCTTAAGCGCTTCTATAAGCCTTTTAATCACACCTGCAGAAGAGTTAGCATATCCTGATTCTGTGAGGTATTGCGTTTAATATTAGCAACATACGCATTCTCGACAGCCGCTTTGAGTTAAACCGATGGTAATGGCTTTCCACACAGAAGGTTTGAAACTGAGAATAGTATATTTCCAGTAATGGCATATCCCCTTGCCTCCATATATCCAGGTCTATGAGAAGAATCCGGTAGGCCAGTGGGTTGATTATGAGAGATTTCTTTGGACTCTCAAAGTCGTAACCCACAAATTTTAACACGGGTATTAGAAGCTCCATTGCAGCCTCATTTCGTTCCTGCATGGTGCTACAAACTGCAGTGGTCTTCAGGGGGCCATTCTGGACAGGAGAGGCAAAGCCAAGTTTTTCCCGTAAGAGTAGAGCAAGTATACCATAGCCGTTCTCTTTTTCCATGGCCTCGCTATTTCTCCAGTTATCTTGTACTGCTTCAAATAGTAGTTCCAGAGCAAGACGTAGGGACTCCCGGCTTGTAGCAGATTCAACTAGGCTGAGGTGAACACCTGCACAGCCACCAATCCTCCAGCTGGCATCATCCAAAGACTGTGGAACTATGACAACAGGATCGCCAGTAAGTATTGCAACACCATGGGGTTGTGTCAAGGCATCGTTAATTGCAGGAACGGCCCCATTTACAACCACCGAGTTACCTTTTATCTTGGTAAGCTGGGTTAAGGTCTTGCCTGCGTTCTTCGAAAGTGATTTCACCAGTTGTGATTCATCAATATTATTGGTATCATCGTCATCTAGGACCGAGGTAGGCGATATATTGAGGAGAACAGAGCTTTCCGGAATGAGAATACTACCTTTTTGTCTAATCACAGAAACAATATCTGACTTTTCCTCCTTTCCTGGGTGGAGGTTCTCATTGCGTAAATTTAACGTTGCTGAGGCCCGATACGTCTGAAAAGAGCCTAGACAGTCCTGGAAGTTACCATAATATCTGGGTCCAAGATGGCATAGGACGGCAATGAGGTCATCGTTAAAGGCTTCATCAAACAGGATTGCAGATGCAAGCGACCATTTCGAGAAGGATACCCCCTTTCCAACCCGAACGGCAAGATCCTGAGGAGTCCCTAAGAATGCCTGTATCCGCGGTGCCTTCTGGGTGGGACGATTCTTTGGTACAACCGGGTAATCTGCTTTGAGTTGCTCTGCAAATTCACCGTTTACAAAGAGCAGAGCACGTGATGCAGACAGTGTTTTAGGTCGTTTATGCACGATACAGATATGGTACCACTGGCCCGGTAAGAACGTTGTGGCTTTGAAACGGACGCTGGGTCTAGCGCCCTTGATTGAGGTCTGCAAAATAAGGTTGTGAGTGTCCTTTTCAAGATAGACCAGGACAAAGCACGTCTGAGTTGCATCAAAGGCGCCGAAGAGAGTAGTGTGGCTGTTTGGCTCAAAATTATCAACTCGTGCCCACACAGTTAGAGTATAACCACTGGAAGTAATGGACGGAAACGGTTTCCCTAAAGTTGGCAGTTCAATTGAGCAGTATCCATGGGATGACAGATCGAAATGAACACACGGAGGGCTCTTGGAAGACTTTAGAGCATCTAAAAGAAATCTGGAAACCTCAGGTAGTTGCTGGGCCTTTTGATAGAGTTGCTGGGCCTTTTGATAGAGTTGGATGGCATCCTGTAGTGAATTGACTCCGTGTTGGCATAGTATAGATGCCAGCTTGAGGTATACTCCTAACTCATCCTTTGGCCTTTCAGGGACTGTTACGATTGTTAGCAAGGGGGAGAGAATTCCTGTGGAATGGAGGGCAAGACAGTTCCGCCGCGATAGCGAGGCAAGGCGAGTAAGGCATAGCGGGACTGCTAGCCGAAGAATGGGATAGCTCTCTGTCTTGGAGCTTTGCACAAGCCACAGTCGCAGCAAAGGTCCAAAAAACTCCGCGTTTTCCACCATCTCTCCGCTGCCTAGAGTGTCGTTCACGGTCTCGGAGAGTGTAAGCAAGGGGTTTGGCCCGGAGCTTTCAGCTCTTTTCCTAACTGTAGTGAAAAACTGTGACATGGTCTCCTGCCCCAATCCTGCAGCCAAAAGACCTCCATAAAAGATTTCCACATCATGGGGATTCCCCAGCTTGGCCGCTAGGCTAGCTAGAGTCCGTTCAAACGTCGCAATGCCTGCTCCATTGTCTCGTTTGACAAAGTATCGTTTATTCCCAGGGTCATCCTTCAAACTCTCCGCGATTATACCTAGCGCATCTTTGACAGTTGAGAGGAGCAGTTTCCTGTCCGTGTCACTTATTATTTCTGGTTTGTATAGCTCCGCCAAATATTCTAGGAGATTCAAGACGGTCTCGAATCCTTTGAGTTGACGGAACAGGCCTTTCACCTCTTGCGGGTGATGGTCGTCGATAAGCGTATGGCGTATAAGCAGGAGATGTTCCGTTGCTCCTGAAACCTCGTCGATTGACCGTAGAGGACTCTGACAGAAGCTAACAAGTCCGTCTATTGCTGGGACGAGTTTCGGGGTGAGCCTGTCTGAGGGGGCTGCGGACGACGACCCTCTCGCGCGGGTTTGCGCACTGCTCATTTTGGCCCGATACGCAGTGCAAGATATCTGTTGCTATCGACCATCAATACCATCGCGTGATTCAACTAGGCATTGTTGGTAGTATAAGGTCGTTGTATTGTTGGTATAACGGGAAGGGAATTTTGGGCGCAGAACTGATTCCGTATCCCCTCGATCATGCCATTAACGTATAGTTTTGAAAGACGAACCCGGTGAGACCCCAGGCAAGTTATTCTGGACCTGGACGGGGAGTGATTCGTTCAGCTTGAAGCTGCGCGATGTCCTTCGCTTCTTCCTTCACTTATCGCGGCGAGACATATCACGTGGTAATAATAGTTAAAGCTTATCGCGCCGTTAGTAAGCAGAGGGCTGAAACGGGAAAATAGTTACTCCGTACATGGACAGCAGGACAACATAAAATATAGAGAGCAAAATGAGATATGTGCCTTTGTCTTGCCTTGATAAGGACGAGTGGCTTATTTAATGGTGCATTTGCTGTCTGGCATACAGATTGGATTCTTTAGTCGATGCTTCTTAGGCCTAAGGCTAATCCAAGTTGGAGTTTCATTTTGAAATTCATATCCAGTTCTCTAAGAAATGAGATATATTTTAAATATGCGTCTTATACAGACCTCTTAACATCGTGGAATCCAAATAGACGCAGTTGAAGCTCTGTACTTATGAAGAAACCATAGGTCAGATAGCTCCTTAGCAAAGTCAGCTGACCACTGGACGTTTCGTTCGTTTGTCTGCTAGTACGGGCCGGGATGGCCGGTAGGTGGCGGTTTCAACTATGTCTTGAGAATAGCTCTGGCGTCTTCCTTCCGCCTGGATAACGGCAGGACCATAAAGGCAAAGTGGTACGGACTCTGTAATTGTGTATTCCGTAGCTTGAGCTATGGACTGGACCTGGCGCTAACGACAGATCCTTGCTGCCGTGAGTTAGCTGCCTGCTGCCTAGAACTGCCGCCAGACCCGGTGTCCAGACGTAGTACGAGATGCACTGCGCTCTTCCTCTCCGTCTTCATCACCATCACCATGTACGGAATACTTGTACTCAGCCAGGACTATGATATACCTGTCGTAAGTGTAAAGTCGTGTGAGGTCAAAATGGGGCTGGGGCAACGTGACCACCGCTGAACTTACATAATCCACTTGAGGTGGACATGTGACGTGATAGATGAGTCAGCATGGGGTTCTTACATCATCCGCGCCGAACCCCGGCCAAGCTCCCTCTTGCTCGTCATCCCAACATCACCTCCTCTTCCTCTTCCTCTTCCTCTCTTCCTCTTCCTCTTCCTCTCTTCCTCTCCATCTTCCTTTCACTTCACTCATCAGCCTGTTCTCGCCGTCTTCCCTACTGTCTGCTGTGTCTATCACCTCCCGAGCTTCCCATCTTTATCCCACTGCTTGATCTGCCCTTGTCGTCGCCATGAAGGGCCTTCTCAGCCTCTCGGTGCTGCCGCTGCTGGCATCCGCCTCTCCCATGATCGTTGACTCCATCCACAAAGATGCTGCCCCCATCCTCTCCTCTACAAATGCCAAAGACATTCCAGATTCCTACATAGTCGTCTTTAAGAAGGGCGTTTCCTCCACCTCAGCTCTAGCTCACCAGAGCTGGGTCCAGGACATCCACACCTCCATCGAGTCGAAGCGTATGAAGAAACGCAACCAGTTCACATTCAAGAACGAAGCTTTCGATGGCCTGAAGCACACCTTTGACATTGCCGGTGGCCTTGTTGGCTACTCTGGTCACTTCGATGAGGAGGTCATCGAGCAAGTCCGCAGACACCCTGACGTAAGTAACCGCCGAGCAGGCTGAAGCTAGTTAGCACAGCTCCCAGCCACACCGTTTTTGGCTTGCATACTAACCGGAACATAGGTTGAATACATCGAGCGAGACTCCGAGGTCCACACCTTGGGAGCTGTCACCGAGTCCAGTGCTCCTTGGGGCTTGGCTCGTATCTCTCACCGTGAGAAGCTCAACTTCGGCACATTCAACAAATACATATATGCCGCCGACGGTGGTGAGGGTGTCGACGCCTACATCATCGACACCGGCACCAACGTCCAGCACGTTGACTTCGAGGGCCGTGCCAGCTGGGGCAAGACTATCCCAGAGAACGATGACGACTTCGACGGTAACGGTCACGGAACTCACTGCTCTGGCACCGTTGCCGGAAAGAAATACGGTGTTGCCAAGAAGGCACACGTCCATGCCGTCAAGGTCTTGAGAACCAGCGGTTCTGGTACCATGTCTGACGTTGTCAAGGGTGTCCAATGGGCAGCTGAGAGCCACTTGAAGCAGGTCGGTGAGGCCAAGAAGGGCTCCCGAAAGGGCTTCAAGGGAAGTGTTGCCAACATGAGTTTGGGAGGCGGCAAGTCTGTCACCTTGGACCGTGTTGTCGACCAAGCTGTCGCTGTTGGAATGCACTTCGCCGTTGCTGCTGGTAACGACAACGCTGATGCCTGCAACTACTCCCCTGCTGCTTCCGAGAACTCCATCACCGTCGGTGCCTCAACCCTTGCTGATGAGCGTGCCTACTTCTCCAACTTCGGTAAATGCACTGACATCTTCGGCCCTGGCTTGAACATCCAGTCTACCTGGATCGGAAGCAAGCACGCCGTTAACACCATCTCTGGAACCTCCATGGCCTCCCCTCACATCTGTGGTCTACTGGCCTACTTCCTCTCTCTCCAGCCAGCCTCTGACTCTGCTTTCGCCGTTGCTGAAATCACCCCAGCTGAGATGAAGGCCAACATGATCTCCATCGCCACCAAGAACATCCTCACCGATATCCCAGCAGACACTCCCAACGTAAGTATCCTTCGTACAACGTCTACTTAGCACCTACTAACACACTTCTCTTATAGCTCCTCGCATGGAACGGTGGTGGCTCTGACAACTACAAGGAGATCATCGGAGGCAAGGAGAACTCCACCAAGGGTAGCTCCACCACCCTCACCGAGAAGCTCGAGAAATTGGCCGAGGAAGGCCTCACTGCAATCTACAACGAGCTCAAAGACGCCGTGGTTGTATAGACGTTGTATAGATCTGTTCTATATAAATACCCCGCTCCTGGCAATGTTGCAAGTGACAACGCATAGCCAGCCGGCCCTGTACGCGCATTACGTCGTTCCATCATCTGGAACGACACCCAACGCGCGCATACACGAATTTGACTAATGGTACCCTTGAATCTCTCAGCCTTGGCGCAGACGACATTGTTTTGTTTATCTTTTCTTTGGGTGTGATACTACTACGTACTGCTTTTCCCTCTCGGCTTTGGATCAGGGGACAGATTTCCTTTTTCTTCTACAACCTTGTATGCTTTATCCTTACTTGCATCGCATGATTCCGTTCGTTCCAGGGCTGCTCTTGTTCTTGTCATGTTATCATTAGCTGTTTTCGGCCTCCTTCCCTCCAGGCGCATAGATAGTTCGTGCGATTATTCGCCGTATGCCACACTCCTGAGAGACTAAGCGTATATCAAAGCCGTTAGATAAAGCGACACATTAGACAATGCAAGTCATACATCTACGCGAACTCGGTGCTACTTTTCTTGTTCAAGTTCCTTGTTTTGGGTTACACTACACTCGGGGCTCGGGATGGGTGTAACCCCCTGCCATGGTGGGAAGCTATCGCACAACGTCTCCAGCTGACATGCTGCTTCAAGGGTTCGGCAGGGTTGAGTTCCTGCGATCTACATGTGCTATGCGCGATTATACATATGAGCTACACCGAAAGGCGAGTTTAAAAAATACTGATCACACTACCATTTCTGCGTTTATTTTGCCTCTTTGAGCCCGTGAAATGTATGACTGTAAAGTAGATCTACCTCCCGTGACGTCGTGAGCCCCCATAATTACCTGAATTACACGGGTCACCAAGCATACTCTTCCCTTTATCGTGAGACGCAGATTGATCAGACTCTTCTGATATCTGACCGCCGTATTCTTCCCCATTAGATTCGTTCTCGTCTTCCTCTTCCTCCTCCTCCTCATCCTCGTCAGTACTAGTAGAATTATTTCGCTGTTCTTTACCATCATCATCAATCATACCAGGTCGTTTCTTTCGTTCAAAGTCCTGCGCATGCGCGTTGGCTAACATACTGCCCACTCGAGCCAGCGTTCCGCTAGGAGGGCCATTATCTTCGCGCGAGAAGCGTCTACGCCGAAGCGAGCTAGTGGTATCTGCGCCTTCCCCGTTCTCAAGATCAGGCATAAGTGTCGAGTTATCGCCCGTGAGAGCTGTGGTTTTACCCGTTGACAGGCGGCCAAGGGGGTGAGGAGGCGAGGGTTTAGCTGGGCCTTGCGTATATGTGGTGGATGCTGGGGGGATGGAAGGAAGAGCTTCTTCGTCAGACTGTGTGACTGACATATCATATGGCAGTGGAATGTCTCTTGAAGCTCGAAACCGGCCGACGTTGGTGCAATGCTCGTTCTCGACACGGAAGATAGTCCATATTCCTCTGCGGAATACTTCGGATAGCGAAACGGCAAAACTTAGCACCGCCGAGTGCTGGATGTCGTTTATAAATATCGCATATAAGATCCAGTTAAATCGCAGTATGGGATCGATTGCCATGGCGGCGTAGTATACCCATCGACGTCGGAAGCCGAGGAAATCACGTAAATACGGGTTCTTAGAGTAAGGGTTGCATAGACTCCAGTCCATAGCCAAGTCCCAGACAGACGAGTAGATGGCGTTGAGACACGCAAAGGTAATGAATATAGCTCTTAGAGTATCCGACTTGTCAATCCGGTATAAGCTGAGAGTTAGGTAGTAAAGGATTGAAAAGGAGTATTTGCCAAAGTTGACTAGGTGGGGAAAGGCGTTGCGGGTATCGTAATATCGGCGAAGACACTGAAAGCCACGCCATATTGAAGGTACCGTAGTAACGAACCCAAGTGCGCGGGAGTGAGAGGAATTGCACATGGGTGGGTCGCCCCATTTATTTGCGTATAGACAAAAGAAGAGTGCGATATTCTGTATTACGAGATGTTAGCTTGTGCCTTAGCTGTGTTTCGATTGTACTTACCCCCATGGCGTACGTCTGTGAGCAATACATGTCCCCCAGAAAGAAGTCTCTGAATTCCACAGGATAGAGCCCTGCAAGGAGTAATCTCCACTATACGACTGTTAATCCTTGAAGATCATATGCAATGGGGATAAGAGGTAAACTCACATTAGAATATGCCCACCAAAGCCTGCTCCGGTAGTATAAAATGCGGGCAGGGAAAAATAACGTAATGACCGTGAGCCCGATCAAAATAACCGGCCAGTATATATATAAGGCATTTACCCAGCGAAAGTTTAACCACATGAACAATCCTAGGAGAAGACTAAAGAAGCACGGTAACTAGATAATTATCAGCACTATTACAAGTATTGCGTTTTTTTATAGTCACTTACCTCTGAAAGCTGGCGCCAATCCAAAACATGGCGGGTATCATATTCAAAAACAAAAATATAATTTATCTTAGACACGGTCCAGACTCTACAGTCTAGGCAGAAGAAGAAGAAATGGACAAGGATAAGAAAGTATCCCCCATATATCTAGCGTAATGGATGTGTTAGAATCGTATATCCGGCAATAAGGGTTTTGGGTGGCCATACCTGAAGAAGATAGCTGGTTTCGATCTTCCTGCCGAGATCATCATCTACTAGATGTTCAACAGCATGGGAAAGTCCCTGGGCAGCAAAAACAAGACCAGCAGCAAGTAGCAACCCGCTACGGAACGAATTCTGGGAGTAATCCGCTGATCTCATCGCTTTCCCTCGTAGTTTACGGGTAGCCACTTTGCGGTTCCCTCGCTCAAAGTATCGAGCATACAGGTCTTCAACCGCAACAAGATGGTTCTCGACAACATCACTTTGAACGAACCATGCTTTATTGACCTTTTCAGTCATATACCTGCCCGTCGGCCGAGAGTATGACATCTTGTCATATTTTTTGTTCATCTTCCGGAAAGCCTTTCTGTTCAAGTCTGCATAGGATTTAAGCAGCTCTAGGCCACGGTAAAACTCCAAGAGGGCGAGTTTAAGTTTCCTTTTTGCGGAGTTGTAAGGTACACCTTGGTAGTCCGGGCGAGTTACGAAATCTCTCTGTTCGTCGGCCATTGCCCTCGGAACCGGGCCTCTGGGTGTTGCCAGTTGTGTCATTGCCTTTGTAGTCTTCCCCATATGGGATCTACTGCTACGAGTTAGTGGCCTGGTCCAGTTAGCGGCAGTCTGGGCGACTGGGGCTTTGGGAACGTGGGAGTTTCCATTAGCTTCAGATTTGAGACGGTCCTTCTTCATCCTAAGCTCTTCCATGCGAGTGTCGCGCATGACATGGAGCTGGTCTCTAAGCACGTTCAGTCGATTTGTCGATTCGTCTTCCTTTAACTTGTAAAATGCTTCGATTTTTGCGAGCTCCTTGTCCATAAAGGCAAAGAATTCAGTTTCCTTAGTCCTCAGCTCGGCCAGAGCTTGTTCATGCGCGGGGACTTGGGCTTTGGAAGGCTCGTATTCTGGATAGGACGAGAAGATCCGGTGTATAAACGAAGGTCTCGGCCCAGGTGTTCCAACAGTAGGCCTCCGATCTCCAATCTGTTTTCGCGCCTGCCCTCGTCGAGATTGCGCACTTTGCCCCCGCTTAGGGTTCGTCTGTGTGTTTGTACTAGCTGCTGGAAGGTCATCTTTGTGTAAAGTGGCAGATTCGTTGCGAGGAGTAAAGTATGTGTCGTCCGGGTCGATGGCGGGCTCTGGAAGCTTCAGTGACGCAGGAACTAAGGATGGTGAGGCATTCCGGCTTGCCCGTGGCGGGACAATACTGCCATATCCCTCTGCCTGATCGAATCGAGATGCCGGAGTTCGAAGAGGCGACCGTTCTGGCGCATCCAAGTTGGCGGAATCACCGACATGACGCTGTGTTACATTGCCGAGCCCAGCTATCTCAGTCGGTGTCAGCGGGAACTGAAGGGAATCTCGACGTGTCGTGCTGAGTTGACTGAATCTTCGTCTTCCGGGGGTCCATGATGCCTGTTCGACATGTCTAAGAGCTCTCGCGATGGCCTTGACTTTTTTCTTCCCGCTCTATAAAAAATAGTTCCGATAAGGGTTAGCTGGTGATCGGCATTGTCGTAGGATTGCTTGGTCTTATAGCTTACCTTGTAGTTTAGATACTTCGCCCGCCATTCAGGAACCAGCTCCCGTTCAAGGTCTCTATTCGTACATGGTCAGTCCAACGGGTATCCAAGTATTTATACAAGGTGGGAAGCCGTGGTCTTACTTTGCAAACTTCATTCTCTCGTGTGTCTCTAGATAGATTCATTGCAGACTGCCGGTGGACAAACTGTGTCTCGACGTCATTTGCCATTGATCGCCTGTGAGGTGAAATACTGGAGCCTCGAAGCCGCGAGCTTGCATCGATATATATATACAAATATCGATCCCGGCCAGTAATTTGATTTCTCAAAGTGGGCGCGAAACCGGCTTGGGCATGACCCCACGTGTCTGCTGAGTCATCAGAAAGAAGCAACGACAAAAGAAGCAAGTCCAACCTCGCTCCATCCTTTTGCTTTTCGTCGTCGACAGAACAACTTGTCAAGAGACGGCAAAGACTCAACGACAGGCTGAGAAGACGGATGGGACGAGACGGAAGAGATGGAACAGGGCATGGGTCACAGACGGGATGGACGCGGGTAGACGACCTGGCGCTGCTGTTTGGTCGGCAGGATGCATCACACAGATGCCGTACTAACGGTTGTGATTGGCGTGACAACAAACGCCTTGCCCCTGCAAGAGAGCTAGCATCGCGTCATGGGCTCTAGAACTGCTGAGGGGGCGATGCGAGGACGATTTGAAGACGAAAAGAGGGATACGATCTCGCCTCCACGGAGCAGACCGTTCTGCAGGCTTGAACGATTGGGCGAGCCTCTGTTTGCCGGGAAACATCTGTTCGTATCGTGTTCCTGGACCGCTGTACAACCGGAGCTCTCTATTTGCCAGCAACTCTTCAGTCGTGTGATTGCTCGCCTGCCAATCAGGTTACAACCCGTACGAACTGCAGGCATATTGAATGCCCTTGCAGCCACCACGCGAGGGAGTGACACTATGAAACTGACGCTAAGTTGGACGAATTAGGTTGCCGTTCTCCTCCCGTCGTGTGCTCTCGATGCCGACATCCCGCAGAGGCCCCTGCTAGACGGTGATCACACTTGATCTTAATGAAGATTAAATTTGCTAACCCTTGCGAAGTATGTACACTATGAAAGCTACTACTAGCTTTTCAAGCCCAGCATAAACATGTTTAATTGTCATCATCCAACTACATCAATCATGGCTAACCTATGGCCTGGTTTCTTGAGCGTCGCATTGCTTAAATAGTGACGTGGAGATGGTAAGGAGTATAGGCCGGCAGCCAATACTGAGACATTTCTGAGCAAGGCCGACGCAAATCTCAATCCGTCATAGTTATTTACATCATCAAACCTATATCTCCGAGGGACCTGTTGCGTTGACCACTCCGGCTTGGAAAGAAAGTCGGTGAGAAAGCATAGCAAGAGCAAAAAGGAATGTTTTGAAGAGGGGTCCGGGATGCCTTTACAAGCGAGCCTTCTCCTAGGATGCATAGGTGCCTATCTATACTTGGGGCAAGTCAAAGTAGCATCTGTTTACGTTTCTTTTTCGGTAGATAGTTCCACCACACTGCCGCCTGTGTCGTGGCACATCCCTATCGTTCCGTGAGGAGGCCCAATTCGAACCTGAACGGTTCGGCGGAGTATAAGGATACTTAGACCGGCACATAGATGCCGTACTTCTCGTAATCGAAGTGTTCCAGGTTAGGTATGCTTTCAGCCCAGCCATCGTCTATCTTTCCTAGCTGCCAGTCGTCTCAGACCTCGAACATCCCCGACCTCCCGGCCAGCACATCCTTCTCTCTCGCTTGATTTCGACCGCTACATCTGGATGCGGAACCCAGACAACTCTCCTCCCCGCCCGTCTTCCAGCCTCTACCCCAGCTACGCTATCTTCGAAAACCAAACATTCGTTTGGCAGGATTGCTTTTTCGCCGGGTTCAACCGCAGAGTTCAAACACCTGCAATGCGACCAAATATATGTCAGGTGCTGGTTTTCCGTGGGCCTTTGGCACCGGGGGGTCATATACAAACCCATTAAACCGTACTACCGGTGCTGCGCCTTTAAACGCAGGCTATAAGATAGCTCTTGTTCTTTTATATAACGTATGCCTTTGCTTATCAAGGTTTATTTATTAGTATTTAGTTAAAACTATTTGTTATTTTAGAATAGTTAGCTTTTATCCTTAGTAGAGAAATACTAAAGAATTTTGGTCTATAGAGTAGGATTTTCTTGAACCAAAAAGCAACATTACTTAATAGCTACAATAGTTGGCGTTCGACAAGTTGACAGGTTTGTAAGGCGTTCTCCCTGCATTATCTGCGTTGAATATAGCATCTCCCCGCGTTATCAGTGTTGAATGCAGTATCTCCCTCTTCTCCTTGTTCTTCCTATTCTCCTGACGATTTTGGGGAGGTATATGTGCTTAGGAGTATGTTCTTGGGAGTAGGATATACCGCATTATCTATATTGAATACAGTATCTCCCTCTGCCCCTGTTGTGTCATTGACGTTTGTCGAACTAAAATCAAGTATTAGTTTGCCGACATCTTCATCCCAGAAGTCTGAAAGCCGCCCTGCCCATTAGTATGTTTCTTCTTGTTCTTCCTCTTCTCCTAACGATTTTGGGGAGGTATATATGCTTGGGAGTATGTGCTTGGGAGTAGGAGATACTGCATTATCTGTGTTGAAGATAGCAACCCTCGACGCGTTCTATATTCCAGTTAGTAGGATATTATTTTCGCTACTATGGAAGATATATTAGCCATTTCATACATACTAGTATGGGGTCTGCGTTGATGAACTATCAGCACGGAATTATACTATATATAGTACTAATGGCTACCAGAGTAACATCTGTAATCCTAACCCGGCGATAACATGGCCCTCCCAGGCTTGCATTTTGCTTGATTCTACTTATTTTTATTTTTTTATTTTATTTTTGATTCAGTGGTGCGTTATAATAGGCCGTCTAAGGGAGAAAAGAGGGAAAAGAAGAGTATGAAATCGACAGCATGAGATAAAGTCGGAGACAATATTCACTATGTCTTGGGGTGCAACTCACGCCACTGATATAATCCAACCATCCGATGGGACATTAGGGCTTTTTGCGCCTTTGGTGTAGTCGTTCTGACAGATAATAAGCCTGGATAGTCGTGAATTTATCATGCACTCGTGGAGGTACTTCTATTAATGTGTTGTTAGTGAGAAGAGGAGGAGGAGGAGGAGGAGGAGGTCGGGATGTTGTGATCGGGCAAGAGACCTACCTTCTACTGGAAAGGAAAATAGGAGGAAGTCCAAGTAAAGAGGACAGGGAAAGAAGGCGAAGAGCTGTATTATTCATATTCCTCTACGCCTTTTTAGAACCATTAATATAGAAGGATAGCGCGATCCCCTGATAACCCCTTCGCCAACGCAGATTATGTTGATAGCACAAGAAATCATGGCCAAAACTCTTCCACGCTAGTCCTCACTAGATCTCTTCGCGCTTGTTTTAAGGGTCTTGGCATGAGAGTGGAGTCATCGGATGTTTACGCTAGTCCAAAGCCGGCGTGCCCTCTTCCATTTGTAGTTAGTTTCAGCCCGATAGCCGCCCGATAGTCCCACTTCGCGCCTGTTTCGGCAGTCTTGGCAAGAGAGTGGAGTCATCGCAGGCGCTAGTCCCAAACGGGGGTGTCCTCTAGAGTCGATGACCTCAGACGTTCCTGCTGCTGCCGACATATAAACATCTCGACTTCCTCCCTCTTCTTTCTCTCTCTTTCTCGTCTTCTTCTCTCGAGACTTCTTCTCTGCCCAGAAAGACATATTCTCTGCTTAGCAAGTCTCTTCCGTTAGTTTTCTGTCTCCTGTCGAAGACCGTCGCCATCCGTGCCCCTCCCAAACCCAACCGTCCCCCCCCCACCTCCCGTCAGGTTTGTGACTTATCCTCGCTCTACATGGTTGTGTATACTAACTTGTACTACGATTACGCAGAATGAGGGCTTCCATCGATCCTGAACAAGGCGACAGCCGTCTAGAGCAGTTCAAGGCGGCGTTGGATGTCTGCATCAAACAGCGCAATAATTTTCATCAAGTCGTCACGGCGTTTTCGGTCAGATACGAAGACGACGACACCGGAGCCATTTCAGACGCTGCACAATTCAAAGGGTTCGCGCAAGTATTCGGTCTAGGCAAAGTGGAAGAATGCGTCCTGAGCGCAAATGATCGCATGCCAGGCTGGACGCTGATGGGACGCCTCATGGAACATTTGAAGTCCGCAACTAAAGATTTCTCTGAGGACACACGAGGCAGGCTATTAGTGATTCTCCATTACGCCGGCCACGAGGATGACGATCCCATACGCGGCCTGCTGCTGAAACCTGCTTCTACCTCAAAACCAGCCTTCAGATTCGACATAGTGGCAGACGTTATTGAGCAATTTTCAGTAGCGTCGAACATCCCGGTCGATGTTGTGATGATACTAGACTGCTGTTTCGCTGGCGCTGCAGCGCTCGACCCTTCCCTCCGCTACCCTCTCTCGATCGGTACTTTCGAGCTGCTTGCGGCCGTCTCAGAGGACTATACCGCCCCTAGTTCCTCAGATGTCATCGTCACGCGCCGCACACTTACTGCAAAGTTGGCAAGGGCAGCCGCAGAGGCGCGAGGACAGTTAGAGTCCGTCGACTTTGCGGAACTTCTCACCCGCTCGCACAATCTATCTCATGCGAAGTTCCCAGTGCACAAACTCCTCAGCGGCTCCACTTCAATTCGTCTGCGATTCCCCAGGCACACAGAGTCCTCCCCAGCCTTCGGTCCTCATCTCGAGCCGGCGCATGAGCACAACACATACAAAGTCATCATGTCCTGTCATCTTCCAGAAGAGCCTGGTTCCACGGCGCTGGCAGATTTTTTTGTGTGGATCGAGAGTCTTGATCATACCCTCGGCATCCGCGTGGACTCGATGTACAAAACTCAGTCCACTGGACTCATAATCTCCGCGCCTTACTCAATCTTCGTCACCCTTAAAACCCTCGTCGGCGCCAAACTGATTTTCGGTGCAGGACAACTTACTTAACTAAATCGACTTGCTGACATCCAACCCACCTTCTCGTCCCCGGCCTGACTTCAGTAAAGAGAATAAACTACCGGCGAGCGCGACATATCAACCGGCCGCGTCAAAATAGCTTCTGCATACTTATGGAGTAACTGTCTAGAACCCACTTGTACAATATCAGTTTTCAGTATATTTAGCTAATAGTATAATTATAACTACGATTAAGTGGTATTATGGCATTGGACCGTCGTTTTCTTAGTACGGCGGACTATGCCCATGCGCGTCTATTCTCCTTGTCTTGATCTATAAATATAGAATTCTAACTCTATCTAGAAAGTTTATTTTGTACTAAATAGTCTTTACTTTGTTTCGACAATAATAATAAGCTCTAAACACAAAATTATCATTGTAAGCGGTGAGTTGACTGTCGAAGCTGTTTAGAAGGGGTGTGTGGATAGCCGGAAAGGTGTGACTGTATCACTTGGCGGTGGCCTAGTTATTTAACTAATTTAAGTGTAAAATAACGATATGTGACGTTAATATCCAATATCATATCACAGGTGCTCTTTTTTTAATAAACAACGTAAGAAGAAGGCGTTTGGTGATAGTGGCAGCTGTCGTATCGGTCGCAGCCGGCCTTAGTTATCACCACCCACTGGCTGTCAACTCGCGTTCGGAGGCGTCGTTATTGCCAGCGCCGGCACCCGTGACGCGAAACTGCAATATCTCGAACGCCGCGACGAGCTTTGAAGTCGCACTTGATACGTTAAGTAAAGCTAAGAAATCCTCAGAATGGTTAAACTACCATCCTAATATGGTGTATAATTAGGGCTCAGGTTCTCTTCGCGTCTTACGAGTCCCCATCTTCTTTAATTCCTATCGCTGCGAGGGAGGTGCAAAAATGCCCCGAGGCAAACGGCGCTCAAAGCTCGCCCGTGAGCAACCAAAGAAATCTCTACTCTCAAAGACCGCCGGCAAGCAACCAAGGAAGTCTCTACTTCGGTGCTCGGCACTTACACATTCCTTCGAAGCATGCAAAAACCGCGCGACTGTCTCACCGGTCGTGAACGGGCTCCCGGTCTGCTGGGCTCATCGAACTCTCGGCCGCACGGTAACCTCCTGCCAGGCAGTGCTCAGCAACAATCGCAAATGCCTTAAGAAGATTCCCTGGTCCGAAAGGCGACAGGTCTGTCGTGAACATGTGGATTTTCCCTTGCCGTGCCACATAATGAAGCTTCCGACCGAACTTCGCCAACACATTTTTTCATATATTCTGTATGAATATCAAGGCCAATATGCTCCATACTACACATATCACAGTTTTGTGAACAGAATGTTCTTAAGTCGTCAGATTTTTGAGGAAGCAACCGATGTCCTCTATCGAAACGTGACATGCGGTATCAACTTCTACGGCAAAGATACATACATCATGGGAAGGAAATGCCGGTTAGTTCAGCCTGGTACCTGGCAGAATTTCAAACAGTTTTGCTTTAAGCTTGATCCTTTTCGATGGAGTGAGACAGCCCTCCATAGTCTTAATCTTGTTGTGGCACAGCTTCATGGTTCCAATATCAAGCTCAATCTTACTTTTGAATTATTCTGGATTCGATATTCTTACCTTCAAGAAATTGAAGCTACCTATGATACTCTATGTAGGTGCTTGGATGCTTTTCGGCCACTAGGAAGAGTGCAGGAGGCCCGAGTGACAATACAACCCGATTTGCCTGAAAGATGGACAACGCGAATACCAAGAGGGACAGAAGCCGTGGTCATTGAATCAAAATGGACAAGCTATTACGAAGAATGGGTTAGAGACATGGAGCGCGGGTGCTGTGCTTAAAGGAATATGAGGACCTTGGCCTGTCGCTCAAGGAGCTCGAAACCAGGCGTGTTTTCTACAGGGAACTGTCATCAGCAACGCGTATATGTAGTACTCCATCAGGTGCGTTGATCTTTTCATCTGGCGGCTCTTCCGTATAAGACACCAGGGTGGGCATAACCGTTCGCCGAGGGCCCGAAAACGGCCCTTGGCTGCAATCCATTGCAGTATCTAGGGATAATGGTAGAGTGGAACAGTGGTTCTTACGCTCCGAGAACTCGCCCAGTTCATATATGGATGCACTTTTAGATCAAACCTCCAAACAATACAGGATACAGCGAGATAACTATCTTCCAAGGCGAACATGACAGCGTCTATTCCGCTGACAAGATATAATGCCTCCTCTCCCTAAACAGAGCGACTTCCCACCCTCGCTGACCCTCACAATAACCCCGCCAGACTCCCCGCGATCAACAAACATCCTCATCCTCCTCCACGGGCTAGGAGATACACCAGCTCCCTTCGCCAGCTTTGCATCTGCTCTTCACTTGCCCGAAACAAGCTGTATAACCGTTCAGGCTCCGGTTCCACTGCCATTTGACCTCCCCGGCTTCCACTGGGGCGACGACATTGTCTTTGAAGCAGACTCGCTAGACCAGGATCCTGGGTTTACTCGCGCTACCCGCCTAATAGTTACCGATCTCATACGGTCAACATTGATTGATAAGCTAGGCTACAGGGCTCGTGAGATTCTCCTTTTTGGATATGCGCAAGGTGCGAGTGTAGCGCTGAGCGCGGCGTTGGAGTTTCATCGGTCTGAAGGTAGTCTAGGAGAACTGGGCGGCATCATTGCTATTGGCGGAGTTCTGCCCCTATCGGCCATCAAAGAGCAAGGGAGCAGACAGAATAAGTCACCTAGTCCGGTGCTGGTGTTGGGTGGTAATGGTGCCCAGAGTGCTGTTTCGGATGTAGGCACTCGTCGGACGAAGGAGGAGTTCGAGTACGTGGACGTCGTTCGCTGGAAGGGGAAGAGAGAAGATACCATGCCTCGGAATAGGGATGAGATGATGCCGATAATGCAGTTCTTTGCTAGACGGCTACGTAGCACTAGTGGTGTGCCTGAAGGGAGCATAGAGCTGACCTAACCCTGACTGGCCTGCGATGGAAACGTCGAGGAAGATATCTTAAACAATTCATAATCCAGTGGGTATAATTACAAGGAAGAAAAATCTCTTATCTATCATACATTTGATAAAGCCTGCTTGGCCTTGAGGATGCTCTCCTTGGCTTCCGTTTCTATCACCGGAGTCGCTGGTCTGTTTCCATCACGTACTACCATCCTCATAGAATCTTCCGTGTGCCTAAGTGCCTTGCGACCTTCTTCGCGGATTTCAGTCTCCCAGTTTTTGCGGGCCAAGTGCCATTTCTTTTGCTGTCTCCCAAGAGAGTATATCAACCCCACCACAGCAAAGGTCCCGGCTTCGGACATAGAAGTGGTGGTTGTAGAGATATAGGTCAAGGCAGATAGGGCTGAAGTTAACCCTGTAGTCGACAAGCTGAACATGACAAGGTTTTGGGCAATAGTGTGCAGGGGCATGATGGAAGATGAAGTGAGTCTATCCCGGCTTTCCGTGATTTGTGTTCGCCATGGCGAGGAATCAGAGGAGTTGGAGGACTGGCTGGGAGATTTATCCTCTGACTTTGTATTAGGTAGAGGATCTTCTTCAGCATTCGAAGAGGAACTCTGCTCTAATAACCGGGCTTGTTGGAATCGTCCACCAATCCACAAGGCCTCCTTCTCCGCCTGCACAAGCCACTGCCTCTGGAGCAGGCTCGAGCATATCATCGCAACATCGTCGACGCGCCAGAATAGCTTCCACCACACTAGACTCTGCCAGGTCTTGCAACTAAAAGCTTCATCCAATGAGCTCTGGAGCTCACCATGAGCCCTCTCCGCCCACGCAGTTATCGTGGCATCTAGCGACTCCCGTACCTCTTCAGGCACCGAACTGGCCTGTACGCCGGCTAACCCCTTTTTCTCTTCCTGCTCTATCTTAGCATCCGCCTCATTCAGCACCGAATCAAGCAAATTCCGCAGGTCAGGGGACACAGCTTGATCTGTAGCAACCGTCGAGAGCCAGTCAATAATTGGCTGAACCCCGCTGCCATCCCACCCTTCCTGGTAGGCCATCGCATTTTGGGCTGATTGGCGGAACTTATCCAGCGCCACCTCGGCACGGTCGATATCAACAAAAGAAATCTCTCCAGCTGTACTCTCGGGAGCCTTGCTCAAGCCGAGTTGAAATACGGCTCGAGTTGAACTCAGCTCGCCCTCCTTCGCCTGGCTAGCTAATTTGCTATATGCGAGTAGGCCATCGATTCCGTTTCCGCATATTATGGACCTGTGCACGGGGTACTGAATGTGCGTGTCAGGGCTTCCGGCCGTGGATGGAATGGCGATTGTAGGAACCTGCAGAGAGTCTGCAACAGAGCCATTTGATAGGGTTATATTGGTACCTAGAGATGAAATTAGAACCTCTAGATTCGCTTTCCGTAAAATGCTGGATGGTATCGAGATTGTCGGTAGTAGATTATTTGAAGACGCGACTTCAAATGTGTCTCCGTATCTATATCAAACCCCATACGTGTTAGCTCCATCTATCACATAGTTGACAGAGCGGCTAACCTTATAAGAAAACTACCGGATTCATCGATATTGCCGGAATCAAGGCGAGCTTCCCAGTCCTCTTTTGGACCTAATGGATCGGCGAGCAGTAACCGTACAAGTCTCGCAGCAGCCTGAGTGCTGCCCAACCCGAAGACTACCACACAGAGTAAGAGTTAGCTTGGATACGAAACAATTCTTTCTCTACACAAGTACGGACAACCAGAGCTCCGACAGCCACTCACCCGCAACCCGTATCACTGGATTCTCAGTCTCTATCCCCCTCTGCGCCAATTGCAGTCTACTCAAATTGACATGACTCCCAGACACATCTTTAACTTCATTTAAAGCCTTATAAAGCTCCTGGAACCGCTCCGGTATATTCTTCGTAGCATTGACGATCGATGAGCCGGGAAATGTTGATGCGGAGCGTTTGGTGGTCGTCCGTCTGGGAGCTTGTTGTACGTGGAGGTGGCGGATCTGCGAGCATGACGGGCAGAAGAAGAATCTGTTGGCTAGGACCGGCGTCCTCTTGAGGAGGGAGACATGGGATTTTGCGGGCATTGGGGTTGACGCGCGCCGAGCTGCTGGTGGTTTGGATATTCGTTGTTTCGTCGCTGGTATAAATATTTTGAAGGTTGGACCTGGTTCGAAGGCTTGGCATCCACTTTTACTACGACATCCATAAACAGCGTCCCTACAATAGTTATCTGGGTATTTACATGCCTACAGCAGCTATCCTGGGTATTCAGAATAACTAAACTACGGCTAGTCTGCGGTGAGATTATCCAGTAACTCCGTATCTCATATTGATATTGACAAGGTCGATTAAGCTAAAGGAATGAGCCGCCGTGCTATTCCACGCTTGTATCATGTATCATGGAAAAAGAATCGAACCAGTCATTTATCCCTCATTGCAAACAGATATTACTATTCCTTTTTTCTTTCTCATTTCCACTCGACATGGCAAGAATTAGAGGAGTGGTCGGTCGTGTCCACATGGAGCCGGGAATGGCTAAGCAACATCATTATCAAATCCTTCTTGTTCGTGAAAACATGTTTAGATTCCTACAGGATATGCAACTGATGCAATTATCCTAGCGAAGTTTAAGGGTCTTGGTATCATCACCGAGGGGTCATTCAATCAATTCAAAAAAGCAAAAGGGTTCAAATTTTGGGGGCCTCGCCATAGCCAAATGGGGTGTTAAACCCGGGGTCGTAATGATGGGGTGGGAATGGGAATGTTGGGGGATGAATACGGTAAAAGAATGAGATCCCAAAATTATGTTTCCCGTTTGCGTGGTCTGCCAGATCCAGACGACCTTGAAGTGATGTTAGATGGTTCAAAAAGAAATTATAGGCAGTGGCGTTGTGAACTTACATGCTAATTCTCCGAGCTACATTTGTAAGATGTGTGTCGTTCTCCGCCTCGCGGGCGGCACGTTCCAAGGCCTGCCTTCGATCCTCTTCGACACGCTTGGTGACCTCTTCGTGGGTTGGGGGTAGTCGTTCGTTCTGCAAATCGACTTTTCGGGCATCCTCAAAGTTATGAATGGCCTGTTTGATACCCTCGGCACCCAGCATAAGGGTTCCTGCAGGTAAGCGTCCACCAGTAGCAGTCTTGAGTTCCGTGACCCGCTCGGATTCTTCTCGTAGCACTTGGAACACGCGAGACAGACGACCAATGGCAAGGATTTTGTTTTTGATGGCACGTCGTTTAAATTCGATACTCTCTGGATCAGTTGACGGAAGAGTTGGCGATGGCGGTGTCTCAGATGCTGATAACGGCGTCTCCTCCTCCAGCTCTTCCTTCGAGCATGTGTTAAGAATGGCAATGAGCATATCTGTAATTTTCTCTCCGACGAACGGTAGCGACCATGTAAACACATCCATGAAGTTAGGGAGCCAGTATGGGTGGGGTGAGCAGTTAAACTGGCGAATGTTCATGACATTGTTTTCATACTTCAGGACGGCTGCTTTGTTGTTGTAGACATCGAGGTAGTTGGGGGCACTGAAGATGGTCATGACACTAGGGAATCCGGTGGTTCGTGTTTTGCGATACATTCTGTATCCCGCATCTTGGGCCTCGTGGGCTCGGATAATGGACAGCAGGTTGTTCTTCTCCAGGAACGCACAGGCGGCGTGGTAGGAGAAGAAATACGAGCACCCTCGAACATTGTTGTGGATGAAATGTTCACCTGTCTTTTCCTGGCCAAAGTCCTCCAGAGGATCAGCCCATAGAATGTCACACATCAGTCCATACGTTGGCGGTTCCCTGAAACGGTCAATCTATAAGATGTTAGTATACTTCCATATAGCAGTGCAGGGGAAAGCATACCGTTTTCAAGTCTTCTAGCGTATGCAGTTCTGGGCTCAAACCGCCGTGAATGCAAAGGAACTGCTTGTTCATGATTGCAGCCAAAGGCAGTGCGCAAAATGCTTCTGTGCAGGCATCGTAGACTCTCTCAGAGTACTTGTGTTTACATTCCAGCTTGAAGGTAAAGTAGTCCGTAAGATGGCGACATTCATGGTTCCCGCGCAACAACCACAGGCTGTTGGGATACCATATTTTTAAAGTCCATAGGTACAACACGCACTGGGAAACATGTTAAATAAAGCCCTGAAATATATGATCGACCATAATCTACTCACCTCGATACTGAAATAACCTCTATCAACGTAGTCTCCAAGGAAGAGATATCGTGTCTCTGCGGGGTCACCTCCCACTTCAAACAGCTTCATCAAATCGTAGTACTGCCCGTGAACGTCACCGCAAACTGTGATAGGAGCATCCATCTCGAGCAGATTCGGCTCCGACCTGAGGATCTGGCCACCGGTGTTGATGATCCATAGTGCCTGCTCCTCTGTGAGACGCCCTTCGCGGAAGAAGTGCTGTTTGAGGAACTTTAGGTCCGGCTTGGTGGGATCTTCGCTGGACCAGAACTGCTCGTTCGTCGGTGTGTTGAATGCCGGCGCTTGCACCTCTGCGATTGACCGTCAGCATCTTATGCGCCAGACAATCAGGGAGGGATGTATATGTATAGAGGGGGGGGGGGGGGGGGACAACAAACCCTTGCAGACTCGCTCCTGGGTGGATACCTGAGTGCCATCTTCCATCGTATGGAGGGTGAAGTCTATCTCAGGGACGGGCTTCTTCTCCGTAACCGCTTGTACCAGTTTCCCTTCCATGCTGGCTGCTTGTTCGGTGGCGCAGCCTGAGTCTAGGAGACCTGTGAGGGGTACAGAACGATATACCTGGACAATCTCGACCGCCGACACGAACGGGCGAGGGGCGCAGCTCGACGGTAGGCTCTCGGCGATGCAGAGACGGAGGACAGGGAGCGAGAGTCGAGGCAGAGGGCGCGGCCGGGAGGTTGAGGTCGTCGCGTGTTCGAGGGCGAGGATAGGGCTGACGGTGTAGATAGAGAGGGCAGCAGGGTGGCTTTTTGGTCGTTGGGCACTAGCGAATGCCGGGAATGCTTGGCCGCGAGGACAGAAAGACAGGCAGACGGTCGATTGGGATGTCTGGTCGAGTAAACTGGCTGATGTCGAAGCTGCAGACGGTGATGTATCTCGAGAAGCCGCTGTCTCGCAAAGTTTGACGTCTATAGGAAGCGTTCACTAAGTGGATGGTTCAGCCGCCGCTCGTTCTCATTTGCTGCATCTCGACATCGTCATTAATCCTATATTACACTCTACGGAGTATATCTGTCTACTGTCTACTGAATACAATGTTCGATTCAGAGAGTGAGTGTCTACAGGCTGTATACCGGACAGAGCTGACCGTCTACAGAACCGCATCCCATCCTCGCCCAGATCCCACTGACGGTCTCGCCGTTCATCTCGCTGCCCACGGCGACGACGCTGCCATACACATACAAGTCGATACCTTCATCCCTGCCGCCGTCCGTCACCGTCGACGCCAGCAGCTCAGAGAAGCCGAAATACGTCATCTCGTCCAGTGGCCATGCTGCTCACCCCGCAGACATACTCGCAACCTGCCAGGCCCTGGCTGATCATATGAAAACGAGACAGGCAGAGGGAGACGCCGCCATCAAGGAGTGGGAAGAGTCCATCAAGCAGCGAGAGCTGGCCGAGAAGCGTCGGGTTGCTCCTGGCTGGCTAGACAGGGAGGAGAAGCTGCTACAGCCAACTCACGCCGCTGGACACGCTTCAGCCGGAGCACATCAGAGTCTCCTAGACAGGCCGTTGATGGAGCAGGCAGACAAGGACACCGCATCGGCAATGGAACCCAGGAGCGAGGGTGTAGAGCTTGATCGTGCATTTGGTGGCCTGGGGTTAAAACGGTGACCCCAGTACCACGTTCTCAAACTCGTCAAATATCGATACCCATACATCTACCTTTGTCCAGCTTAGAGAAATGCAAGGGTGCAAAGATTAAATCTGTCGTGGGATTGAACTACGTGTCTAGGACTTGGGCTCGTTTCTTTAGAATGGCATTCAAAGCGATTACCTGCACTGGGACAATTCTCAGTGATAAGGATTTCGTATTTTGCATCGCATTGCCAAACTATCACGTTCGCAGATCATCATTCCGACAAAGCATACACCATTACTAACTCGACACTACCTAAGTCATACATGATATCTCGACTTCCATGTCCCATTTGTGGTGTGACTCTTATTCCCTCGACTCAATAGTATTTGGTGGATGTGAAGTCAATGGTCGTCTTCCCAATGACCCGCCCCTGGGAGCTGGTCTCAAATCTCAGCACGCCGTCCTGGGCTCCGAAAATGACTTTTACCCAACATTGAAGTTTGTACATGACCTTTCCTGCGACTATCTTGGACTGAAAAAGGCTCATGTCAACATCAGTGAGGTCCATAGTAATAATACCGACTTTCCGAATGCCTAAAAATATGCGTCAGGAGTGTATCGGTAGGCAGTGACAAGAAATATACACACCTTCGCCCTCTATCCGTTTAGGGGCTTCTTTCAAATCACATGAGTAGAGCGAAAATGTGCTCAATAACGGATCACTCGAAGCATGGGTTTGTTCGAAGAAGACAGAGTATAGGCGGCCGTCAGTATATTTTTCTCCCTGAGGGTCACCGTTAGATATTTCCTCGTAGGAGTGAAACTATCAAAAACCTTTGCAATAGCCCAATCCATGATTCCCTGCACCATTTTAATGCCTGTGAAATCGTCAATGAAAGAGTGTTTTTCGTCATCAATACCCTCCCGGAATGGGATACTCCAGCAAAATCCATAGTGTCGACGACATCTTTTTGTGGTTGGCTGAAGGCCATGGAGACCACGAAGCGCGGCGCCTCTCACAATGGTTGCTTGTCTAATAGTGAAACCTGTCAGCTTTCTGGCTGGATAGGAACAGGCATCTTACGTACGGGTTGTCGGGGACTGTGATTGTAATGTCACGGAACTTCGCTTTGAAGGCACGTCGAAGGTATTCCGAGTCGCCGAACCCCCCGACGAGAATGATCCGCTAGTTCATGTCAGCCTTTATAAAACGGACGTTGATGGGGCAAGACTCATATCCATACATTAATTTTAATACGCTCAGCGTCTGCATTTGCGTCATCGATTTGCCGGCGCACAAGCCCGATGATCTGGTCAACAACAGGGTCAAACATCTGCCGAAGGTCGTCACTAAATCGTGGTTTTATTAGCGCTGTCTCACACTCCACGGCCAGTTTCTTACTTGGTGATTAGAACATGGCGCTCCTCTTCGTCAAAATGATCTGGATCAGGGTCGTGGACCGTCATGTTAAGTGGGATTTCGTGGACCTCCTCCTCGAAGGTACTATATCCGAAATCCTTTTTAACGAACTCGAATTTTTTCATGAATTCACTTCCTGGGCCCTTCTTCTTTGGAGGAAGTTTGTCAAAGGCCTCCCCAAACCGCGTCGACATGAGATGGTAGAAGTTTCGGTCAATCGCCGTCGAACCACATTTACCTCCTATATTTCCTCGTTAGTGACTGACCAAGGGTACATATGCTCATGATCCAGACACTTACCAATCCCGGTGCAAAGCTCTTCAAACGACAAAGCAGGATTGACTTGGTTGATCAGATATGTCGTTATATCCTTTGTTTGACCAGTCAGATCTCTAGTACACATCCGTACCAGGGGGAAATCACTTACTACGGTGCCTCCTCCGCAGTCACAGACCAACACACCGTCGCCAGCCTAAATCGGCTCCGTTAGCTGCAGGTTTGAACATGATTTGTGAGCACAACCGACCTTGACGGAAGCTCCGAGGCCATCGGTAGTTGTCTTTTTCAAGGCTGCGATAGCGGCAGCTTCTGGCTCTGTGATCATGAAAATTTTGTCGTCTGGTCTAGCGAGGCTGCTGCCAAAACCTGCTCTTTGAGCTGCCTGCTTCGTATGAGCTTTTGCTTGGTCTGACCAAATAGCTGGCACGGTAAACCAGTATTCCACCGGAGTAATACGCAAAGTTTCCTCAGTGATCTGCTTTTCAATCAGCTTAAAAATGTGATCATGAACCTCCGTCAAAAAGTCTGCTACAACGTCTGCCGCACTCTTGCCTTCGGGCAATCCCATTATCCCCATTGCAGATGCATCCTCTAAGGTGGCATCGTCAAACTTTGTCAGGGGTGTGTTTCCATCCAGGAGCAACTTTGTCCAGGAGTATGCTGTCATTCCAGGCTCAACTTGGAAACCCCATCTCGAATGCTGAATCCGCGGGTTGTCCGCTGGATAAGCGATGCGGGAAGGCGTTTTAAAAACCGTTTCCGTATCTCTTGCCGGCCCTGGCCAGGTTCCAATTACAATGATATCCTTGATATCGTGGCTTGCAGTGCTAACGTAACTCGCCCCTGGATACCTGTCAGCTTGCCTATCTCAAAAGACGAATGGTAACCTGGGGCATATCACCTGTATATGTTGTACCATAATCAACACCCACAACGATTTTGTGAGTTGACGACATTGGGGCGGCAAGCCCATTCGTATTCACAGGCATCCTTCGGCTTTTCTGGCCGTTGGCCTTGACGGATGAGTTACGGTGGCTTTTCTTTCTGATGTGTCCAACAAGTGAGAAAGAAGGAGAAAGGATGACCCTAGCCTCAAATAAATAAGTGCACTTTGTGGGCTCATCTCTCTTCTGGAAGTGACTCGCTTCCAGGGTTGATTGGTGAAAATTCTGCATCACCGGGAAGTTCCTGTTTGACGGTGATATTTCCCACAGACTAGTTATTTTACCTCTCTAGCCTATATTCCTTGGACCTGAGGTTTTCGACCGTCACATCTCAGAGCCTGCCAATGTTATATGTCGCCTTACACGAGAAACACCCGGGAATCCTATGATGGATAGTCAAATGACTGAAGCCTATGAGGTATATTAATATCCTCATTCGCGTGCATGTTTACGGTTTAGTTTATCGCGGCTAACTGTCATGCTCAAGCAGAACAGGGAAGCCCATGAAGGCCAGCAAGTTGAAGCCGAATCCAAGCTAAGCTCACAGCGAGCTTCTGCCAGGCCCGGCTTTAATATCCCAGAGTACTTTCGTAGCTTTGTAAGTCACTTCATGCACCTATATTTGTTGAGTTTCTTGTTAATCCAACACAAACAGCTTCCAATGTCATCGAAACAGGAACTAGCAGGGTCCTATACTGCTTCAGATCATGCTAAGAATGCCCATCGGGGTATAGCCAACGATATGGAGATGCTAAAGTCACAGATACAGAAGCTTGAAAGCCAGATGTCATACAACCAATCTGAATACCACCAGAGAATCGAGCGACGTGATCTCGAAATCTCTAACCTGAAAGCTCATATACAAGAAATATGTGCGGAATTTCATAGGAAAGAAGCTTCACTGTTGGCTTGCTGCAACAACGAAATTATATCCAGGGACACACACATCAGACAGCTGCACAAAGCCATGGATTCGCTACACCAGGACCTCGCTGGTACACATGATTACAACAAGAAACTACAGGAACAAGTCCGCGTTGCTCAAGAAGGTGCATTTCGCTCTATGAAGGAAGCCGCATGGGTTCCTAAGGAGGATGGGGCTATTCGTGATGAATTCTCCAGACTAGAAGAAAAATTGAGGTCATGGGTGAAAACATACGCTGTGTCCGATTTTAACAGCTTACCTCCCCTTCCGGACAGCGAGAAAACTGAAATTACAAAATATCTCTCTGGGTGTATTGCACACGGTGGTTGGGATTCCTTGATCGCAAAAATGACTCCAAGTTTGAGAAAACGATCTCCTATTCTCTTCACCCATGCCATGCTAGCTGCGCATATGTTTGAGATGGTATTCCATTGCCCTTTTTTTGCCTTTCGAGATATCGACGGAGCATCAAATGTAGTTTCTAGATCTGGATTATCCCGCTTATATCAAGCCTTGATAGAAGGTAAATGGATCATTCCCCGGACTCCATGATACCCGAAGAGAAACTAACATCTATATAGTTGCCCCGGCTGAAGCACATGTATGGCGTTCACAGCTGCTACGCATTCTAACTCTGTCTCCGCCCGGCACGACCAAAACGCCCTTATTGTCGTTAGAAGCACTAGAAAAAAGCTGCACTCGGCTAGCTGATGGTTTTCTCAGAGGGCCTGCACAGTGGCTTTTTAAGCAAGGTGAAACCGAACCAATCCTACACAAGCGAAATCAGGAGCTATATCAACTTTACAAGAGCGCGGGTCAACTATCCATTTCAATTTGGTGCCAAAGGGCTTTCATAGACTGTCACTACCTTCTCTTAGGAAAATCAAGTCTTTTCTCCAAAAGTGGACACTTGATGGTCGCGCATCGCCTCCACCACCTCGACGAAGACGACGACAGATTGGATGGTAAAGAGATTCTGGCCCTTATTCAGCCGGCACTGGTCGCATTTGGAAACGAGGACGCCGAAAACTATGACAAGTGGAAGGTTTGGTCGCGCGCAGTTGTCCTGGTTGATGAAGGATCGTCCAACAAAAATCCTGCGGAAGCCTCGAAACAGAGGTGATCAAAGACCAGCTGCCTGCCTATCCCAGCCAATCACTTTCGGATACTTTTGCTGGGTTGTTTAAACAATGTGCAAGTATACGTGAAGCCTGTACCATCACAATTACCCAGTTTATTATTGCCCTCTTTGATAGTTGTTGTACGCACTATCTTCGAGATCCAAATGTCGTGGGCCTTTTAATACAACTAGAGATCCAAAAATAATCACCTTCATTGTTTTCTTCCCGCATGCCTCGTAGATAGCAGCGTGATACTTCCGTAGATTGCCCGGTATAAATCCAGGCCTCAACATAGTAGTTCTTTTCACTGCAGCTCTCCTATCAAGTAGTGAATGTCGTTTTATAGATGCGAAGTTGAAGATGACGACGAAATAAGCTTTGATCTTATCAATCTTTTTTGCTCCACCAAGCTCCCCTCAGTCGAATCTTTGTTTTTTGCGACCTCATCGACCAACCAACCGACAGCCAACAGGACACTTCTCAGCTTAACCATTGGAGCAAGGACAAAGTTGATACCGATTTTTAAAGGGACTGCCTTCTATCAGCGCGATGGAGATCCTCCACGAAGCACCGGATGCCTCCTCATTCATACCGCTCGCCGAGCATCAGTCCCGAACCCCAGCATCGTTCTACTCGGGTCCTCCAATTCTATACCACTCCAGTGAAAGATGTAAAGTGATCATTCTTGAGCGTGATCTATTAGCTTCTCCGGCATTGAACAGCTTGCGGTCTTCTCAGGCAGGTGGCGCGGGCGCCTCGAATGGCGCTGCATCTGGACAAAACAATACCGTGTCTGGCGCAACAGCGGGAGATGAGACAATGGGAGAAGATAAAGAAGTATCCCTTCAGGATATTAATGTTTGGGTCACTTCTGAGTATGATACCCCCCGCACTCTTTTGCTTTTGAAGTGGGATGGATTACGACTAAAAACTTCGTTTCTCTACGCAAAGCTAACTAGCTAATTCTTTAAAAGGAAATTGTTACTATTCTCTATTCCAACTTCTGGTGGTGTCGCGATACCATATCCATTGATCTCATTGCACGCAATTCAGCGACTCCCACTACCAGACTCCTCCGACAATGATACCGTGCAGGGTCTCTATATGCAGCTGGCCACCACGAGCGGCGGTGACGAGAATATGGACGAGGACGTAGACGAGGATAGCATCTCGCTTACCATTATTCCCCAGCCCACGCTGCCCGTCCAGCCCACTGACGCCACCGCAGCCTCTACGACCAATGATGAAACAACCCTTCTCGAGGAAAGTAAATCAACCCAGTCCCAAATCGAGGCCCTCTTCGAAGCCGTATCTGCGTGCTCCAACCTCCATCCAGATCCTGTGGAGCACGACGATGAAGATAGATACGAGGATGCAGCCGAAGGTGAGGAATTCCAACAGCAGCTTCAAGGTAGTACCTTATACCAAGGTGGTCTGATTTTCCCTGGAAACAATACAGGCGGTTTACCTCCAGCACTTCCCGGAAGCGGTGGCTGGATCACGGCGGAGAATGCTCACGAATATTTCGACGAGGATGGAAACTGGAAAGGCGGAGAGGAAGCTCCCCTTGGCGCCGGGGCTGGTACTGTGAGACCTCGCGCCGATGAAGCTGATGAAATGGACGAAGGCGATGCTCCAAAAGAGGGAAATGGCGCGGGAGGAGATGAATCGAAGTGGCGCAGAACCGAGTGAATCACTCCTCGCAGGGAGTGTTGTTGAGGTTACGAATACAAGTACCTCGTGGGGCATAATATGTAGCGATGCCATATGAATAAGAGTGGAAAGAGCTAAGTGACCTAGCTTCCGTCAAAAGCATACATTAACTAGATGATAACGATAACATACCAATAAAGACCTCATTATACGCATTATTATATGCTTATATGCTTACATGCCTTGGAGTATATGTGGAACCTGAAGAACAAGGGGTATGGAGTGTAGCTCCAGCGATCAAGGGCAGCCTATAGACAAATATGCCAGCTTCCAGCGAATGACAATGGCTTCCCCTGAACAAAAGCAATGACTGACTATTGTATGGTTAGGCTATCGCCAATACATTATCCATATCCTTTTTCAAGCACTTCCATTATTAGAACTACTTTGAACCGAGCCGGCTCAACTTCTACCTCCTACAATCTCCTCCGGCCAGCACTTTCCATTCAAACTTCCAAAGCCACCTTCAATCATCGAAACGGCCGCTTTGCTAAATCATATTTCCCAACTGGACTTGCTGATTAAAATATTACACCAATTTCGTTAATTGCGAGTGACGGCCCACTTCACTGATAGTATCACTATCGGCTGGCTTTTTCAGCGGAGGGTTAACTAGGTCTGCGGCATCTTCGTTGACGCCCGGTCAGTTACAATACCAGAGCCCCGAAATGAGAAGCTTTTACAAGGCTCATCGGCGACGTGGATATTCGAGCCTTCCCTAACTCCTCCTGTCATCTTGATAGACGAGACAGGAGACGGCGACCTGGGAACATCCTTCGCTTGCGTATTGTTGGCTGACAATATAGGTGAGGGGTAGTCGAAAGGCGAATTCCGGCCAGCGACATGCTCTCTTGGTTCATTATGGGATTCCTACATCTGCGTTAGTTGACGGACCATATTGCTTCAGAGGGTACCGCAATCCTTGCTTACCCTGGGCCTTCGCTGAGACCCCCTGGTGTATCGATCATGGACATCATAAGCCTGGCACTCAGGGACCAGAGTCGACGACCGAAATGCGTTGGCTGGGGTTACAGCACCTGTATGGGATTTTTATTATTTAAACTGAATGGCAACCAGGGGTTCGCTTACTTACTTCGTTCTTCATTGATTTCACGCAAGATATTTGTCAAGAACCGTCTCTCAAACCAGCTCAGCATGAAAATCAAGACGGCTAGTAGGAATATTGCCAACGTTAATAGGATCAGCGTAAGGGAAACGAATTCTGGTGCCATATTTGCCTAGTAAAGGTGTTGAAGGCTTCAATTATTTTGCCAATCCAGCCAATGGGGGAGGTTATTCAACTATAGTGATGGAGGTAGTTATCATAAAAACCAATGATTTGGATGGAGAGAACGTATAATGGGTAGAAAGAATGCCGGGATTCAATCATCCTTTAAAGGAAGATATCAGAGCTATCTTTCGCAATTTGATATAGTTAGGTGATTGCTTTCGCGGGAGGTTATCAGAACTCCCAAAGGTACAAACTAACTACGAGGAAACAACTAAAAGGTTAGAAGGCCATCTGTAACTGTGTCTACACGGTCATGCTCTAACGTAGGATAGTTTGCACTACTATGCTAAACGGTGATGTTTCCTCAGGTATTTCGTTACATATAGGTGTTTTAGATACTGTTTTCCACTCATTTGATCCCTAAATTATTTGGCTATCAAGTAGGATATTTGCCTGACCGGGGTACCCCCTAACAACAATATAGCCAAATAAATATCGACCGGAACCGCAAACAAATACATAACACAATAGTTTGACACAGTAGTTAAAGGAGCCATACTTTAAAGAATCAAGCACTGACCAGTCAAGGGTCGTGGCCTTGGGGACAAAGCAAAAATGCGAGCGTATAACTAGCAAACATATTTATGGAATGTTAGTATTATTTACTTCTATTACTCCGAGCTATGATGGATACGATATAGACGTACTTACCTCTCTTTTATATTTAATACCCTTTAAAAGGGTGTCATCCTATAAATCGTATTCATATTTTATGATTTTGCTCTGGGCAAAACGAAGGGTAAAATCCGGGCTTTAATAGCCCTTTACGTACAAAATCTTTTCTCACGCATAATTCAGGCGTAACAATAGTGGAGTAAAGAAAGTGTCTTTAGTTCTCCGTATGCATAATGAGCAGGAAAGCGGCCAAATAGGACAAAAGGTAAGGGAATGAATAGGGTACCCAGCCCCTAAATAGGAGGAACAGGATCAACTTCGGTATCAACTCTTGGGCCGACGGGCTTTCCTAGAAGATCTAGCAGGCTATCGATGATAGCCTTAGACATGACTTCTAGAGCACCTGGCTCGAGAAGTGTCATCAAGACGGTTGAAGTTTGGCACCTTTCGGGCAAAGCCACCCCATCCATGCGATCTCGTAGCCATATGATTGCCTCCGGGGCACCTGTCACGGCCAAAACGGTGTGGATAGAAAGTATGTCCCGTCTGTAGTCGACCGATGCTCCAGATGCGCAATACTGTTCCACTAGATCATCAGTGTCGGATATTGGGCTTATTTCATCGTTGACTGACTTGAGGAGTAAAAGAGGAGCAGTCGGAATTCCCTGGGGCAAGGCATTGTGATCTAAAATCCTTTTAACCTCCGGGTTTTCGAATAAGCCCGACTCTTTCCCTCCTCTGAAGTAGCTAAAAATATCCTCACTTTTAAAATCCAGAGAGACCGCCCCGGAACACTTTGTCGCCGCGTTCATAAATTTCGTTCGCGTGACTGTTAGCAGATACGACTCGAGGATGGGCTTCATGTACAAGTATTCATGCGAGAGACCGAGAACACCAGATACAATGATTCCCGCATCAAACCCTCTGTTAAGACTCTCAAGAGCCGTCCTGATGCTCGGAACCATGCCGCCGAGCGCGACTCCAACAATGTTTAGCTCTGGTGCGTAGGAAGACTGTAATTCAGCCGCGAATCCACTTGCAACACTCCCTCCAGAAGTCCCCCACATGGTGATCGCTGCATCCGGGGATACACCGGTATATTCAGAGGAAGCGAGGGTAGCTCTGATGCCATCCAATGTAGCGTAGCCTGCACGCCAGTTGGCTAAGAACGCAGCATTCGGGCCCTCGTAATCTGGTATGGTAACGACCCATCCATTTTCCAGGGCAGCAGTGATGAGAAGCAACTCGCTCTGTATGACGATTGTTCCAAGCTCGCCACCCGGATCAGAGTTGAGCTGGAGGGCATATGACGGAGCGCAGTTGATAAATGCTGCATCTTCAACCACTTGATACGACAGTAGCTTGGACATATTTGCATTGTAGGGAACCAAAATGCTCGAAACGGTGGCCGTTGGCTTCCGGAAGGTGTCAGACGAGCGGTATAAAACCTGATGGGTGCTAGCTAGGTTGATCGGAACAAGCCTGAATAACGCAATAGGGAAAGGGGTTGCTCGATATCTTAATATCGTGCCTGGCTCAGCGTTCTCGTATCCCGGAGGAGGACGGTAGAATGGGTCTTCGGACGGCGGAAGCGGAGCATCCTGGTCTGGGGGAAATATCGCAGGTTCGATAGGGGTTGCAGAGGAAATAAGGGACAGAAAGAGAATGAATAGCCCCAGGACCACAGATGCAAGAATCATGTTGACCCTTGTTTATTCTAGGTCAAGAAATGGTCGAAAAGAGCGACGACCGGCCGTAGAGCGTCTGATAGGATATCCCAAAGAAGACGCTGAAGGGTACGTATTCCACGATGGCCATGAGGTATAGGGAAGAGCCGATATATATAGGACATAGAGGTATCTATATAAATCTCCAAAAGGCGATCTATATGAGAGAAACTCCCGGATGAATTGTTTCTGGTCCATATTGGTGGAAGGCGCAACAAGCGTGTCCCTCCCTTTGAGTATCTCATCCTCCATCGCAGCAAGTATAACGTAGATTCTATCCGTATGGAATATTTAATTATTCTCCCGAATAGCTTCTCTAGTCCGTTGTCATCCTTCTCCGTTGTTGTTTTTCTGTGACTCCTCCGTATGCCAAACCCCTTGTTTTGTACTCCGTAGAGTCAACCAATAAAAAGGCCCGAAAGGCAAAGAATATCATTGGCTTTTGGTTGGCTCAAATCCCTGGTAGTTGTTAATAATTAGCGGATTAAATATAAATAACGAACCCTGGAACATCGACTTTCCTCGTCCTGATTTATTTCTACAAGTTCATGGACTAGTATGTATGGCTATGTATGAATTAGTTTGGCTTCCAACAAGTCTCTATGTAAATTAATACAAGTCATTCTCGCCATTTCCATCATTCTCATCTTGTCGCGCAAGTAAAATCTGTCGGACAGCTCTGTTCCTCTCTCCATCGCATAGCATTCTCGACTCCTGCTCCCGTCTCGTATCTTCAATACTCTCCTGCTCACCATCAAGCCATGCCTGAGCTTTCAGGATAAGTCTGTCTGAGAACCTTTCAATCGGCTTATACCAGGGGCGATTCCCATGTATCCCATCCTCAGGAGCTGCGCACATCCTATCCAGTGCTGTTTCTGTAGGCCCTAAAATGTCATCTCGAAGCCGCTCTGTTTCGGGATGAAAGTATTTAGAAATACCAAGTGAAGTAATATCGTCTGAGTGGTCGCGAGTGTGAGATGCAGATCGAGATGGAGATACCTCTGTCTCCCTTCCTCGATGCTGAGAGCTGTTGACAGCAACATCTGGGGCCACCAGGTCGCTCGATGTCTGCTGTAGCAGCTGTATACCTTCTCCGTCCTCGTCGTCACTCAAGTCGTGTTCTTCGAGTGTATTATAGTTCCCCTCTGCCTCCGTGTCTATGGCAGGGCGCGCGCTGTGTCTGTTGCTTCTTTGATACCCTCGACGTGCGCATAGAACCCATTCCTTCATCGCTAATACCGAGACGTACTTCCACATCATATATATGGTAAGAAAAATATAGATGGTTATCGCTAGTATCAGGATTAAATCGGCAATAAAGACGGAAGATTCTGGGTGCATATCTTGGGCGGTTGGCAGCTCGGTGTCGCCCCCCCGTGAAGCAAGAAGGCTAAGTGACGACGTTGATGTATGACCAGCGAGTAAGGAGAGGTTGTCGACGTCGCTTTGGAAGCTTGACGATGCCATGGAGCTGGAGCTGGATGCCGTTGTGCTGGTTGATTGTATGGCTGGTTGATGTTGTGGCTTCACGAGAGAAGGCATCTTCCGAGCAATGCGGCATCCCAGGACAACACAGGAGAGTTACATTCAACCCACAAAGGACGAGACTGAATGATACAAGCCAAGGGAAGTCTCTATGCCAAAACTGCACGCATCGTTATTCGAAACGTAAGCAAGGCCAAGAGACATCTTCATACCTCAATCAAGGGATGCTTACGAGAGCTATAGACGCCTTCTACGATCGATTGGGCCTCCTGGATATGAGATATGATGTCACGAACAGGCTGCAGTACCGCAGAACGACGGATACCAAGTCTCTACACATTGCCTGGTTGGATGAAAGAAGATAGAGGGAAAGATACATCGGCGGTGGCAAGCCCCTTTTCACCATGCCTTTCGTCCCTACGAGGTTCTTTCAACACAGACAAAGTCTTCTACCCTGAAACAAACTGGAGCTGCAATTACTATGCCATCATATCGTATAGTGATATCGTTTCTTTGCTCTCGGGTTAAAATGCCATTGTCCCTGACATCTGGTCGCCTTACAATAGTCTTTATGGACTTGCCTCTGAAAAAAATCTCGTTACTTGATATCCCCCGGTTATGCTCTGATGCTCTACCACGGTATCAATATACCACGAACCAGCATTTTCTATGTGATTTTGTCACTCTAACGTCATGGAATGAGGAATGGATGCCCATAAAGAGGCCCCCCTCGACCCCTTCCCTCCATCTTTCCTATTTTCTCACCATCACTCAGAAAGCGAGCACTCGTACGCCAAACACTGCCAAAAACAACAACTCAGAAACTCCTGAATCTCGTTTTTCGAAAACACACACACACACACACACACACAGTGTCCAGACCTTGGACATAAGAAAAGATTTATATATACATATATATATATATATATATATACCAACACCGGCCAGCGTTAGTAGCTTCCCCCTATCCTAAAATTTCCTCCACCACTCTCCTACCTGTCACGCTCTCTGAAAGTTGTCCTAACCAATTACGCAGCGCAAAATGGCCATCAAAACCAAGGACAACAAGGCCGGCAAGGGCGGCAAAATCAACAAGAAAACTGCCGCCAAAAGCGGCCCTAAGACGCCCAAGATTATCTTGGTCGTCTTCCCTCATCGAGCCTTCAAACCAAAGAGGGTTTTCAGGCTCACACTGTGGAGAAGCCGCCGGGTCATCGTCCAGGACCCGGCCATCAATGGGTGGCGGCCCATTGTCATGCTTCTCCACGGTCCGCTCCCCAAGGACCTGGTCTCCCCCGAAGGAGAGGAGAAGTGAACCCACGGGGGAAGACGAGGAAACGGGTCCGGTTTTATTTTGATTTTTTTTCTTATTTTCATCTAATCATGTACAAGATTTGTTATTGTATCCGATCATTACATTCCTTTCCTGTACTTTTACCATCATGTATTTGTTAAGTTACGATGGAACGAACGCTATGGAAGGTTATGAGCCTCTTTATTCAATATAGCTTTCCATCCTAGATAGTAGATATGAGCACCGTCTTGTATCCCCGAATATAACTCTATTACAAAATTTACCCTTCAAATCTCCCTGGCGTCGTAAGAATGTCCCATGACTCACTGTAGCGATACTTTGTATGCTCGCCACTGCTCCCTACGCAGGCCAAGTCAAGTCCCTATAAGCTGTAGGGAAGATAAGCCTGTCAGGTTTGACACTCACTAATCACTTAGGTCTCTATCTGTATTCTTATCCTTAGATTAAGAAGTAGATTGGTCTCACCTCTGTCCTTTGGCGTAAGGGGTCGCCAGAGGCCGAGACAGTAATGGTACAGCTAGAACGAAGCTATACGCAGATGCAGTATATACACCCCCTACATTAATAAAAAATATTTAAAGTAAAGGGTATCAAATTAAATAACTCTCCACATCTTAGTCGTATCCCTTATGCATAGGATTTTCCATCCGAACGTCATCCCTAGCAGTATCACAGTATGATTGATCTAGCCAGCACAAAAAGGAGCACAACCACACCTGAGACGACTTCAGCTAGAGATCACCCAGCCTAAAGTAACAAAATGATACCTTCAAGTCCTTGCCCTTATCAGTGAGCACTACGACCTGGATACTACGTTAACTACGGGACCACTCTGCATATAGCCATCAAAGTCACATGGATGCATCTCTACCAAACCGAATATCCAGGACATCATCTGCATGCAAAGGCAGCAATAAAAATGGAAAGCCATTTATTTGGCAATAATTTCTCCAAGACCTCAACAGTTTATAACTCTACTAACGAAAATTTTGCAAAGATTCCCATTCCGGTTGCAAACGCCCAATTAGACAGCATCGAAACATAACTAATAACCAACATACAAATGCGGAAATAGTAGGAAGTCACAAAGAAATAGAATCGAGAAGAGGTAAAAGGTATTGCCAGGGTAAAGCGAATCATCCGTATCGTCGCAGTGTTTTGTTATGAACCGACATTTCGAGGGGGCGAAGATTGAGAGAGAAAAAAAAAAAGGCGAGCCGTGGACGTAAGAGTAAAGGTAGTGGGAAATACGTAATATTAAGAGAAACAGCAAGGGTATAAGAAAGAGCTCAAAAAGACGACAGTAAACACATATGGACGCGGGTGGCCGTGCAGAGTAAAATATCGAACCATTTCGACAAAACGGGTCACGACTTTTCATCCATCCCATCCATCTCAACGTCATCTTTTTGATCTGGCATAGGGATGGGAAGCTTTTGATCCAAGCTATCCTCAAATGGAGGTGGTTGCGGCATATTATGTTGGTATGATGGATTATTGTTGGCAGAAGGCTTTGGTCGCCGTAGTGTCTCACACCAGTTTTCGGCGCTGACCAGTGTGTCGTTCACGACTTTGCTGACCTGACCCATCATATCGAGGCCTTCTTCAGCTAGCACTAGAACGCGGAAAGCTCTTGTTCTCATGTCAGACTCAGGCGCAGAATCGTCTGCTGGTACGTTTGAGTTGAACGCCAGGCGGAATCGTTGGGGTAAAGATGTGAGGTGCCTTCGAACAAGGTTGCGAGCATTCTCTGGCAGTGCTCCGCCAGCGTACTTTGAAACCACATCAACGACCATCTTTAGAGTTTGCAGGACATCGCCTTTGACCTGCTGGATTTGTAGCAAGAGCACTGCAGGGCTCCGCTGGTTGCCCTCGTTGTTCGCCTTGGTATCTGTGCCTGACTGACTTGAGGAGTCCCACTCCTTTAGTGCCTCTTTTAGGCCGTCTACAGACGTCCCAATGCGAGTGTTTGCCCACTGTAGCCAGGTGAGACAGTAAGTCAAACTTCGCAACGACTCCTCGCTCATCGCTACTCCGAGGCCCGAGGTGGAGATCATAAGTCGATTTTGCCAGGAGTATCGGTCTTGTGAATTCTGGGGCTGTTGGCTTCCCTTGTACAACTCGTCGTATTTAGGGGAAGAAACGTTGTCGTATGGGGGCAAGGGTTCAGAGGAAAGGGTGGACGACCGCCTCGTGTGATTAGTGTGGAGGTCATTCATGCCTTTCTCGATATCTGCAGTCTCCACGGCCTGGTCATGATTTGAATTGGAGTTTGGGTTGGCCGTAACGCTCTCCCTGCGTTGTAGAGCCCATCTGATTCCGCCTTCGACTCCGGTTCGTCTACCAACCGATCCTACTGTGTTCACAACACGAGGGCCGATATTGCGTTCAAGGAACTCGGCACCGTACTTGAACTTGGGAGAGTATGTTTTGGACGATGTGTAGACGGACATGGAACTATTGATGGCGGAAGATAGTAACGGATGGGATGTGATCAGTGACAAGAGGGGTTCCTGTTCTCTCATCTCAGAGGTCTGCGTGGTAGAGGATGTAGAGTCGTTTGAAGCGCGTGTCGGGACAGGAGTATGGGTGTATTCTAATTAAAACGTTCCAACGGTCAGACGAGAGCTATGAAAACAGGGTAAAGAACAGGGCCTTACCTGAGCGTAGCCCTTCGAGGGCCTGAGCAGCTTCAATATCATCCATAGAAATAACGCTAGTAGCCCGTCTAGAGCGGCTTTCACTCCCAACACTGTCTACTTCCATGTCGTTGGAGTGTGTTTGCTCGGCACCAGGAGGGTGATATTGAGGAGGAGGAGAGTCCGTCATGACTTCTGGCTGTTGCTGCTGCTGCTGCTGTGTATAGCTAGGAAGGGATGACGGGGTATCCTGCAAGTCGACCTGACGGACAGAATCCTGGCAGTCTCCATTCGAAGGAAAAGCTTGAAGCATCGTTGCCAAAAATTATCTCATGTCCAAACTTCGCCTAAAACGCTTCTCGCGGTTACGCCGTTTGCGGGTTTCACGTGGAAAATGATGGTATTATCTTGGCGATATGGATTGAAGAACTAGACGTGAATCGACAACGTCAGGGTGTGTAGGAGTGTAACTGTTCTCCTCAGAGTGTCAAGGGCCACGTCGAGATGATATATATCAAGATTGACCAGTTCGCTGGGCGTCAAGGGCTGGGGAGTGCCGTGTGATAAGAATGAAAGAAGCTCAGCCTCATGCGCGGGTATCCACCATCACTAGATGCCAATCAGCCAGGTAGGAGCATCCACGGCGCAGCGCAATGCAGCCCTAACAGCACGAGTAAGACGAGATAGTCTGCCGCGTCCAGAGGAGATAGAACTAGCCGCCGAGAAAACTTCGCTCTAGCAGAGGCAGAAGCGTCAAAAAAGTCGAGGATGCGAGGATGTTGCTCGCGATAAAAAAGGGAAGGACGGAAAGCAGCTCGTGACATGTGACTGCTTGGGGTAAGCATGTGATTCTGGCTTAGTCATGGAAGGCCCGTCAGTTGATTGGTCAGCAGGGAGACAGCGCTTATGTCCTAATCGGGAAGGTCTCAAGTCACGCCGCCAAGACATCCATATCATCCTTATCCTTATCGTGTCTTATCTAATCAGATAGGGCAGGTTTGATAGATAGGAAAAGCAGATGGGAAAGGCGCCATCTTTATCGTCTGTATATCTCGTCTCCCTCTCTGTCGGCCAGGATAGGACTTCGGACTCGATGTATGATAGAACGGCCTCGTGTAAACACGGAAACCACCGTAGCGGGATGCCAAACACGTGGTATCATTTACGTAACGGCCGTCCCAAACCCAAAGAGGAATATGGAACGCTGTGCTTGTAAGGGGTTCCAGATAGCGTAGAACATGTAGAACATGTATAGAAGTATAAGCATCTAAGCGTCAAACAGGTAGAATCCGATTCAAAAAAGTTAATCTAACATAAGGCAAACACGTCGTGGGGTAGCCGATCTTTGGTACGTCAAAATCGATGCCCCCCCATCTAATCAAACCAGAACATGGATAGGCCTGGTAACGACTTGCCTCAGATAACCATATATCTTACAAAACGGGTTCTCCATCAGCGACCAAGAAAGAAACAAGGGGAAGAACCGGGAATCCCAACAAATCCGAAAGTCAGTTTTGCGTCAGCCATGGCCGGTCCGTTTCGTTTCGACAGGAGGGGGAACCAGGAGTTTCACATAGAGACGAAAACAAGTAGTCCAACACCTTATCCTAGTCCCTGCATATCACAAAATGCTCGCTAATGCAAAAAGTCTTGAGGTCTAGTTATCACAACCGTCTACTTTGTAGCTCGCCAAAAGGAAGAAAAAGGGTATATCGCTTAGAAGTAAAATCAGAATCAAACAAGAAAAGTAAAGAAAAGAAAAAATATCGAAGGAGACCAAGAATCCAAAGTATTGTGGTGTACGGAGATACGGAGTTGCCAGGCGGAATCAAAAGGTCACCACCGGTCACCACCATCATCTTCATCAAGGAATGTAGAGAATTCCGCGTTCTCTTCCATCTCATAGAGGAATGCAGTGGCTGCCGCGTACTCTTCCGCCTCCGCCTTGCGGCGATCCGCTTCCACTTTCTTTGCCCGTGAATTGTTCACATCCAGGAGTTGGTAAATAGCTGGCGTGACGTAACGGCACTGACCGTTGGCCGTACACTTGATTCCACAGAGGACCTTGGCCGTTGCGTACCATGGGAAAGGTTTTTCAGAGTACTGCTCGTATGCACAAGAAGCAAGGAACGTCTGCCATTCATATTCAGAGAATCTCCATATAATGCTGCGGTCATGTTCAAAGTGAGGAGCGCGGATCGCCATCAAGAACTCGTTGGCAAGAGTGATTCTACCTTCGGTGGATAGTTTATCTCTCACAACATTCCAGTCTTCAAAGACTTTCTTCACCTTCTTCCTAATGCCTTGTATGGTGTCCAGCAATATGGTGCTATTTTTCACATCTCGTTCGTAGTTGGCAAGGTCCCATGCCTTTTTCCATATCGCCACAAGGTCTCTGTCGGTCCTGCATATGTTTATCGAAGGGCAATCATTGTTCAAGCGGGCTAAAATCCTCTTTCTCTCCGTCTCGATAACCTGGAATTTGAGATAGTCAATGATATCGTCCGGCTTAGGGGTTGAGATATCAGAGTCTTTATATGCAGGATTATCGCTAGTAGGTTTGCCTAGAGTCTTACGGAATGCACGTCGGTTTTCCGGCGGGTATTCGTACCCTGATTTTCGAGTATCGGCGAGATGGCTGAGTAAACAGGAGAAGTCCACTGCGTTAGGAGATCCGATACCACCTAAAGAGTAACAATACCGCTCATGCTCATTGGTGCACAGGCCAAGTGTATTCGGTGAGAGGTTGAAATGGAAAGCTTTGGCCATAAATTCGTCAAATGGAGTATTGCCCAGCGGTTTAGATATTTTGATCAGGCCATATTTCTCTGGTTGTGGTATTTCGTGAGATGGCTGGTTATGGAATGGGCTTACCAGCTCTGGATCCCAGCAAACCCAAACTTCATCACCGTCGTAGTCACCACCAGAAAGCAACGAGGCAAGCGGAACGTCACCTGTTGTAGGGAATATAGCCACATTCTTTAAATGTCTCAGGGCAGGATGAAATACTGCCCGGCGCTTTTGAATATCAGCGGGTAAATGAGCGGGAGCACGCGCCACAAGAACGTCAATGCCGTCTAGATCTAGATCTCCAGAATCATCATCCCAGCACTCTCCAAATGCAAGGTGGATCTCGTCTTCTTTGAGTACCCCGTACGGATCAGCAATGCAATAAGCGTAGGTTGACTGGGGAATCTTTATCTTAAGACATTCTAGACTCTCGAGGAAGTCTCTAAGATATAATTCGAAGAGCGTTCGCAAGAAATATAGCTTAGATGGCAGAAACCCAGCATCAAGAAGTAATTTGATCTGCTCCGTTTTGTCGGGCGGAAAGCCATCAGTAATCTTTGTCCCAGTGTAGCCAAAATCACCTATCCGTCTGATCCAGGTACGGCAAGCAGCCGAATCCCCTTTCTGAAGGATTTCAAGCAGGCCATCGTAGTACTTGTCTAGCTCTCTATAGATAATGGAAGCTAGGTACTCCTTTTTAATGCCGCCATTTTTTAGAACCATCAAGAATTGGGTGTTAAGGTGGACTGGTCGAAGTGGTCTAGCACAGGATGAAACGTCAAAAGTCAACTGATGCTTATCTAGTTGCACACTTCTGTCGCAAGGCGGGGGCTGGATCTTCAGCTGAGACGCATTTATGACCAGCCAATAGCCTCTTTTAGCATCAACATCAGCGTTGAAGGATGCGAAAGCTTGGTCTTCTCGTCTCACTTGGTCGTCTCGTGCAACTACCCAAATACCTTTAGCGCCTGCAAACCTGCCCTGAAAACATGCTGGAACAGAAGTGAGGCCTAGGCACTTCGTGATAGCAATCCCTAGGGATTTCGACATCAATGAACAGCCATCACTCATCAGTTCTTGCCTTGGATCATTGTTATAAATGACTTCCTCGGGTAGGAGAGTAATAGTTGGGCAGGTTCTAGAGAACCCTAAGCGTATTCTGTTATAAAGCTTACAGTCCTGCTGGTGTTTATTCCTAACAAGGGGAATATGCCAATTGACCAGTTGCTTTAATGTTATAGGTGTCAAGCCATCACCATCAGTAGCGAATAGAAATACCTTACTTCTAACCCCGCCACCACTTGATGCTGTCTTTGGCCTCGATTTAACATCCTCAATGAAGAATGTACGCCATACGCGGCCGAAAAGGTGGTGTTCTTTCATGGAAAGCCAACCAGAGAGAGCCTTCCTAAATAACAGGGCCTCACTACCGGTTTTGTCAGGATGTTTAGAAGGGATTGTTACTTCTAAAAACCTATCAGCTCCGAACCGGCGAGCAAATCTGTGGCTTGTCTCGAGTTTAAGGGGGTTTAAGGACAAGCTCAATGTTCCACCTTGCCATTCAAGTTGGCCGCTAAAAACAACCATCGACCCTTTTTCTGGATGTTTAAAATGCCCAACCGATAGCTGCCAAACTTCGGCCTTTGTTCTCTCTAATGCCTTCGTATATGGTGCACGGCTCAGGATGTTCCAGAATACATCGTATGACTGATCGTTAGGAAGCATATTCTCTGGAAATATGACTTTGGGTGACAGGCCATACGCCCGTGCCACACGCTCAGCCTCATACCTATACCGCAGGGGAATGTCCTTAGAATAGGTAGTCCGCTTCGAAAAAGGGCCAGTTTGTACAAGGTTGAGAATTTCTCTTTCTATTCTCTCTTCGGTTAAAGGGCCATCCCTAGCAGGAGGACCGGTAACGGGATACCTAATAGACGGCGGTTCAGGGATATTGATGGCAAAGGAAATGGCGGGGATATTGCTGGCGAAGGAGGTGGCTGGCGTGGTAGTGCGAGAAGTGGTTGAGAAAATGTTTGAAACAACAGTCGAAGGAGTGGAAGTAAAGCTCAGTTCTTCAGTGATGCTCTTATTGATAGGGAGCTGCTTTTTTGACCGGGGTGACTCGGTACCGCTCGGGCTCTTTGTGACTTTCATAATGCTATTCATCTTTGGCTGATGTTTCTTATGATTTGGAGTTGTTAAGGGCCTGGGCTCTTTCCCTGATGAACCCCGACGGATTGCCGTGCACTCTTCGAGCTTTAGCTGCCTTTGCCTCTTAGGGGAATTCTGGATTCTCACCATTATAATCAGTCAAGACTTCTGCAACAAAATCGAAATCAAAGCCATCAAACTCGTCGAAATCGGAAAGCGTATAGGTATCAGAACCGTAACCGCCATCGCAATCGTCGGATGAAGAGGGTGTATCAAATTCAAAAACGGGGGATGAAGGCGCTGTGGAAAATACCTCGATATTATTATCCTGTCGCCGCTTAATTGGTTGCGTTCTAGTTTCAGGAGGGATCACCCTAGTTTCAGGAGGGATCACAATTGTGGTAGCAGTAGTTGTGGTAGAGGTGAAGCTTTCACGTCTCGATAGGTTGAAGGGTGGGCTATCGGAATTCGCTATGCTGTTCCTGACAAGCCAAACCTCGCTCGATAGACATTTATGCAGTTCTTCAGTTAAATCGTTCTTATGATTCTCTGATAGTCTTCTTGCCTGGGGTGGATTTCCGCGTCGGGGGAAGATTGATGAAAATGTTTGGTTTGACTGCACCCTCCAGCCAGGTATATTACCCAATGCCCATTCCTCGACACTGGATATAGCGCCTGCGAGGTTCCCTCCTTTGAAGTGTAAATACGTAATGTGTGAAACACATTTCTCTGAAACTGCCGTGTTTTGCGAAGATGGTGTGGTGTATTCCCCAGTAGGCACTGGCAGGTCGGTACCGAAGTGTATATTGAGATCGCGAACAATTCGGCCGACCTCACTGCCTGGTTTTTTAGTCTGAGGGCCGGCCATTATGGCAGGAACAGATTGATATCAATGCGCGAACAGATGGAAAATCTAACGAAAAGAGCAAATAGGAGATGATAATGGCGAGTATGCGCTAAACAGAAAGTCAGCCTGATCAAAAATGAAGTAGGCAAGGTACATACCTGATATCCCGTCGTGATAGAAGTAAAACACCCCGCTATGCACCTATTCAGCCGTTGCGACTCGAAATTGAGGCCGTTGTGATGCAACGGCTGCAGAACGCGGATCAAGGAAGCGTCGCTATCGATGCGTAAACAAAGCCAAACACGCAAAGAACATGGCAAAAAAATGAACTAATGAACGCTCAAAGAGAACGACGGGAGCAGCATCGATGCCATTGACAGGTTTGCGAGGCTGTCGAATGCGCAATTGTGATGTTGAGGAAAACGCTTCCTTGTCTGCAGGATGGTCGTTGGTTGGTGCAGGAGAGAGAGGGGCACGGCTAGAGTGCATAAGTTAGTTCGTACTTATAAAGCTAGCGACTCTTACCAACCAGCCCCCTTCTTTATTTTTGTATTTTCTTTTTGAGCGTTCTTTTTCCTCGTATGTACCAATCACGAAGAGCTATTCAGACAAGGTGCGAGGAGATGATGGGAGGTTGGGCCCTGGTCTTTAACCCTGTCACCGCGCATAAACGAGGGGACGGCCCGGGGAAGCAAGAGGAGAAGAAAGCAATCGGGAACGAATGAGACAGATAGATGACTTTAATTATTTTATATACAAGGGCAAAATGAACAAGTCAACCGCTCAAATGGAATTCATGAACAATCCATGCCTAGGAGGAGGGTGAGGTGAAAACAGGTCTCTAGAATAGCCAAGATACGAAGGTCCTGTAGAACCAGCCAGCATCACCATTCTGCTCCCTCTTAAGTGTCTCCTGGGCAAGGAACTCTGCCTCTTCACGGTCAATCTCTTCCTTGCCGCTCCAGAGGTCAGCCTCTTCGGGCTTAACGCCCTTGCACTTCGTATAGAATTTGTATCCAAAGAGGAGGATAAGGAAGACGGGGAGACCAAGGTAGGAGGTGATGAAATTCTTGTAGTCGAAGTTTCCGTAGGTCTTGGGGCTGGGAACAAAGACGTTGAAACTCTTGGTGATAGCGATGAGGATGCAGAATGCGCATGCACCATAACTTCCGGCCAGGCCCAATGGGGCCTTGAATGCAAGAGAGGTCTCTGGCACGTTTTGAGCTCTGCGGGCACGCACGAAGTAGATGTGGGTTACCAGGATAGAGATCCAGGAGAGGAGACCGAACATGGTGACCAGGTTGACGAAGTAGCCGAACACAACCTTGGAGTCATCAGAGACGTTCAAGTATGCCAACAGGGCAAAACAAGTCGAAAGGGCGAGCGCATAGATGGGGACTCCGCTGCGGTTGGTCCTTGCGAGGATGGCAGGGGCCTTACCCTCTCGAGCCAAGCCATAGATGGTTCGGGTTGCGATGTAGAGATCGGAGTTGGCTGCGGAGAAGACGAAGATCAGGATACAGCCGTTAAAGATCGAAGGTAGGACCTTGATTCCGGCAATCTGGATGGCGACGACAAATGGAGAAGCACTGGCACTGTTCGAGGACTTGTTTGCGAAGAGGAGGTCTGGGTGGTTGAATGGAACGACCATTCCAAGGAAGAGGATACTGAGACAGTAGAAGAACAAGATTCGGTAGAAGGTCAACTTGATGGCGCGAGGGATCGTCTTCCTAGGGTTCTGGGCTTCTCCAACGGTCACACCGACAAGCTCGGTTCCGAGGTATGCGAACGTAGCCTGAACCATCGTAGACCAGAAGGCAAGGAATCGGCCAGCTGAGCCGCCTTTGATGTATGTATTGAAAGCTCCCGGATCCTTCCAGTATCGGAACCCTTTCCTGTCGTGGTCTGGGCCACCGCCGAGAGCCAAAATAAAGGTCAATAGCATGATTCCGAGGATGATAACGACCTTGAACGAGGAGAGCCAGAACTCGAATTCACCAAAGAACTTGATACCGAAGTAATTGATGCTAACGATCAGGATCAAGAAGATTGTGATCCATACACCTGGGTTAACAACGTCTCGTTTAACCCAATATGATATGACTAGTGCGGCTGCCGTTAACTGATTCGGTGTGATGATAATGTACTTGCAATAGTAACTAATATAGCCATACGGTTAGCACGACGCGCATTTTTCAGGGTAATATCACAAAGGCCGACTAACGAGTATCCTAACGCAAAACCTAGAGCAGGGTCGCAGAATCTCACGGCATATCCGGTAAATCCACTGGCAAGTGGAAGCCATGCGGCCATTTCACCGAGAGCACTCATAACAATCCAGACGACAAAACCAACGATAAGATAAGAGATAAAGACAGATCCGGGCTGTGTCTTGTATCAGTCTCCGTAGTAGTTATCTCACCAGACTCAGGGGTTTCAACTTACACCAGCCCTTGCAAGAGCAGCTCCAGTACCAATAATTAAACCAGTTCCAATTGCGCCACCGATGGCTATATAGAGTGACGATTAGCTACGTTGTCCACGTCCCAGCGCAAACGAGTCAACTATCAACCGTACCAATCATAGTAATGTGTCGAGATTTCAGTCCACGGTGTAGCTTATTGTGTGGATCGGTCTCGATGATATCACCAGTCTGGTCCGAAAACTCCTCCTTCGTCTGCATCGTCTCGGAGAGAGGGCCATCCTTCTGTTCCCAGGTCGCCATGGCGGGCGAAGGGCAAAGTCGGAGATGAGGCAATGAAGAATCCGTTCAGCGCGCCACAAGGACTGCCCAAGACCGGAATATACGGTGCGGGATGGGATGCGGAGAGCTTGAACGCCGTGCTGATACCAGAGGTCAAGGGGAACTCCCTCAGAAGGCGGGCGCAAAAAGACTTTATATAACGGCAAGCCCAAGATGGAACATGACATCGAAGAAAAAAATCGGAAAAGTGGGCAAGGACCCTCTCGTCCCCATTTAACCATCCTGGGGTTGCAGAGAGATTCCGGCTTAACGCCATCTCCAACCCTGGGTCATGGTAAGTATCCCGAAGTATGTCCCATAGCTGGAGCGAGGGTGGTATTAGCACCCTTGGATCTCATTGGAGCGGCGCCGTGGAGTGACGGTACGTACTGAGCACGACTGCAAATGGGAGACTCCCGCGAGCAGCAGCCTATCAAACGGAGCCTATATCGCAAGCGTTCGGGAGCGGTCATTTGTAGATGGCACCCAAAACTATGAAATTGCTGGGGATTGTTTAGTCGAACGTTGGATCCATGTCGTCCGGGGTTGCAATAACGGCATGGGACCCCTGCGCAGTCCGACAGCCACTTGGGCACCGGAGCTATGCACCTAAGCCGAGATTCACCCAGGCCGGTCGTCCACGGAGTAAGCCGCAAGGCGAACTGCTGTCGCACAGCTTCAAGCGGCTCGTCCTCCGTCTGTAGATGCCACTCCCACGGCATCGATGCCCGGCCCCCCCAACACAGGCGTGGTTAGAGAGGGGCGATCGAGGGCAAGGTTGCGCGGCCAGCAGACAAGGCCAGCTTGGCAGGCATCTAAGCCGTGAGTTAAAGGCGGGAGAAGGGAAAAGCTTCCACGGATGTTCGATTTCGACCACTGTGAATACGAATAACTAGTTGACTGGTTGCTGGATCCAGAGAAAGTTCCTTTTTCGGGAAGAGTCATGTGATTGGCCCTTCGTCCAGCTAAACAAAAACAGTATGGGGCATTCTTTGAACAACAATTGCAGCCTCAGTCTCAGTCTCAGGCCCAGGATCGGTCTCTGCTGTCCTCGAGCTGCCGAAGATAAGATATCGGAAGACAAGCTCTGATTCTCTATCAGGAGTCTCCATGCAATTACTCAATACTGTGGCGCCAGACATGTCTGATGACGGTCACGCCTGTCGGGGGCCATACCGAAGCAAATATCCCAGCCTCTCCACCGAGTTTTAATACTAGAGGTTTTAAGTACTGACCCAGGTCCCTGTAGAGTCTAGGGCAGACAGCCGAAATCTCAGCCTGAGATAACTTACTCTGATCCGCTGCCCGTTAAGAAAGAATTCTCCGCATCCAGTGCTTGTCCGAACAGTTATCTAGCGCTGCAAGGTCATACATCATACATACATATATAAGAGGATGAACCTTTGCTCGCAGGAAGGGACCCTCAAACTACGTATGGAATCTCCACTATCAACCAGCTTTTTCAACCACCCGGACGGGGCAAACTGTCGTCCTGGACCATGAACCTGACTATCGCCGCGACTTACCGTCGTGGAGCCGGGATTGGAAATGTTTCTCTGCCTGCTATCGTCGGCCCTTGCGAGATCTCTCAAAAGCATCGTGTTTCCGTCGTCTGACAGGCCCTTTTCCTGCCCTCGGGGCTGCTTGGGAGCCAGGGGGGAGGTGACCTGGCTCTGCTTGGCATGCTCTTGTCCTCTCCGTGATATTAAACGAGATAACAGAGCGACTAATTGGGAAGAACCATGCAAAAGGGTACATGAACGGATAACAGCGAGTATTCTTCAATACCGGAGTTTTATTTCTCTACCATGATGGATCCTTTTGATGTCAAAGTAAGGGCGTGAAGACCTTCAGTCACGGGACCCTGAGCTCCATATATTACGCCCAAACGGGCAGCAAAACAACAAGTCTCTATTGTTTGAGTGGTGGCGACCAGGGCACCGCAAAGAAGCATGCATCCTACCGCGCTACTCAGAAAGAACAAATTATACTTGCCATGGTGTGGGACATGCATACATTATTGCCACGACCTGTCGTCATGTTTGTGAGACTGTGGGGTTCAGCCTCGGCCGATGGATGCTTCGTGTATTCCTTCGAATGACCATATATAAAAACTATCTATGGGCGCACAGATATATAAGGCGGGCAACGCCTCGCAGCAGAGGTCGCATGCACAGCTCTCACCTCTCAGCCCCGCAGTCAGGATGCCTTTTTTCGCCAGCTTTAGATGAAAACCTCGTATCTCTCCTCCACACTCACCCCGTGCCAAGGCGTCTCGCTCGCTAACCATCGCTGAAGCCATCGCCAAGGGCTTATCGTGCTTATCCCACGCTCGGCCAACAGAATTCACCACCACCAGAAGTGTCTCTCCGCGCAGCAAAGCTTGAGACAGGGTCACAGCCTTGGCTTCCTTCCCTCCCCCAGGTCTATTGTGCTTTTGGAGAGAGGGTTGCGCGATTTTGGAAGTTGGAGTACGGAGTGCAGCCCGGCAGGGATAAGAATAGCAATCAATATATACTAACAATAGCATCCTGGATAGTTGTTAGGTTTCTCCGCGTTTACTGTTCCTCATGGCCGGGAAACATCGTTGGAAGGATCTGCTGGGGGGCGATCTTTAGTTAATGATCACGTGTTATAAAGTCGCCCGCCCAGCCATGGACAAGAACACAGAGTTGCGACTTTGCGATGTGCCACGGCACCGTTGCACTCAGCGAGCGAGTGTGTGAGTTTACCCCAGAAAACAGCCAGAGCTACCAAAGTCGGTTCTGCGCCAGCTGGTGGATTTTTCTGGAAGGCTCCTTAGCCTGCCGAATACGCCATTTATGCATGATCGACCAGTCTACACCATAGGGCGTGATGCTTAGCCCTCACTTCCTCCGGAGCTTCCGCCATCTGGAGTGCTTTGAAATTCTCAGGCAATATTCGTTATCAGACTGGAAGAACCTAGGCCCTGTAGCTGGGAATTAAATATCCGAGATCATATGTCCGACGGATCACAGCCCTGTTCGTCCGGGCCATTCGCGTGGACGCAAGCGCCCAGCAAAACTCGTTAGTCGCCGGTGAATGCCAACTCGGCAGTCGGGCTCTTGGGCCATGGAGCATAATCCGCAGGGCATGTTTCGCGTGGCGGAATCCTTCACGGCCGTGCATGCATGGTCTTTGCCGGAACGCCCTGAGCTGCGGGCATCACATACCATTTGAGATACCATGGCTGCTCAGCATAAACAAAGGGCAAAAACACCATTCGCTACGTATGGATATTTATATCGTAATTATGGATAGCATTGAAACATGTTAGTCCATGAATTGATCGATTCAAAGCTACGCTAGGGCTTTCTACCAGCTCCATCTATCCCATTGATTCCCAGCACCGCTTCCAAGCCCATAATCCCAAGAAACAAAAATCATACAAGAACAAAAAGGGAAATTTTGCAGAACGGGCGGTGTAGCCAAGCTGTATCGTTGAGGATGTGTTCCTGGTTCATTAGAAACGGGTATCTTTGAACGGCCCTTACAACATTATGAAAAGCCAATAAATTAATGGGGCGTGTGGAGATAGCGAGAACTGCGGGAGGCGTAGTAGGGTATATATAGAAGGTATGTCTCGAGTCGTGGCATATTTGGCTGTGAAATAATTTCATCAACCAAGTCCTGTAGTGTGCCCGTTCGGTACGCTACCCGGAGTGTCAGAATATGAAAGCGGGAACCCATCACTGCTGCCACCTGAGGATCCTTTAGCAAACCCTTCCCGCGCCAGCATCGTATTCATAACTGCACAGTTATATGCGGCCTCGCCAGGCGGTATCACAACAAGTATGTAGGTGTTATCGGTAAACAGGCCTAAGAACACGTTGAACTGTGGAGTTTTGGTGTGCATAACCAGAAAACTCGCCGATGCAGGGGTAGTATGTGTATTCCTCGCAGCACAGTGCTTGAACGCCTTCATGATATTCGATAGCCGTTCATGGCGATCATATATAGGATTTAATTTGCCAATCTCGGACGTCACAGATGTGATGGTTAAAAACGTCGATCGTTCAAACAGGACCACTTCTTCCGCATCAATTTTCGCTGCAAACGCAGTCAAGAACCGTTCTATGACAGTAAGGTTAGGAATAAGTTTATGCACAATCCCCGCCCAAGCTTTATACAAGGACTGGTCCCATATACTGCTGCCGAAGGTATCGATTGTAAACGAACCCGATCGAGCACGAATCAGAGCTGAACGTTCCTCGCATATTCGTCTTCGATGCTCCGTCTGGATTAGATCGAGCTTATGGATGAGACAGAAGACGTAGGCATTTGGACTGAATTCTTGGAGTGCGCCCATGATGGAGCCGTAAGTATCTAGGTCACGTTCGACTTCGCGGGATTCGATATCGAAGACGTATACCAGCACCGCCACGTCGGAAAATATATTCTCTCTCTGCGAGGCCAGGTAGGTTTCCATGAACGCGTCTTGTCTAAGGGCCGCCAGAAATATGTTAGAAACTAGTCACAGTCACTTGGTGGAGGGGGTCGAGTCAAGGCAGAAAGGAGCGTACCCTCCACAGTCCCATAGATTCAGAGTCAAGTTTCCAATGAACTTGACATGACTGTGTTCCACGTCGATAGTTGCCCCAAGCCGCCGTACATCCTTTGCGACGTAGTTGCTAAATATAATCGATCGCATAGAGGACTTCCCCGAGCCACTTTTGCCCATCAGCAGGACCTTCCGCTTCTTCTTTTTCATATCCATTGCTGCGTCTGTGTCGCAGATTTGGGGGACCGGTTAAATAGTCGGAAATAAGGCCGCGAGCACAAAAGTAAAGCAGCAGCTGTTTGCGAATAAAGAAGCGTGGTGGAGGAAGATGGGATCTGGGGAGAAACCGAGAACTGACGTAGTGATGTATTGGAAAGTTTGGGATTGCCTAGTTGGGGTTAACGTATCTCACCACTCGGTGACCGCCACCACTCGATGACCACCCATCAAAATAAACACCGATATCACCACCCCCCCCTACATGTATTAATATATCCACAACAACGCGAATAACAAATTAAATTAGATATTAAATAACGATAGTAGAGCTCTAGTTTACATATTAATTAGTTAGGTTAGAAAAACAAACGAGTGTTGGGCTTGATAGTTCGGCCAGAACGTGTTTCTCTGCCATGGGATAAGAAATTGAGTAATGAAGGGACAGGATCGATTGGAGCCACCTTTGTGGGTGACTTCTTCTTCTTTCCTAATTTGGAAGGTGAGATAGGGCTCGGGGCGTTGATTTGGGCCTTTTTGGCCTTCTTAGCCATTCGCTGGGCTTCCTGTTCACCGGCCTTACGCTTCCTTTCCAGCGCTGCTTGCTCGCGCTGAGCAGCTGCCTCTATTTGGGCCTTCTCACGGGCCTCCTTCCGTTCCTGCTGCTCTTTAAGCCTTTGGGCCTTCTTCTCTGCAGCCTCTTGAGCCTTTGTATCGCGATTTATCAATCGCTGAAGCTTTAACTCTTCGGCCTGAGCTATCTGGGCCTGTTTTTCTTGCTCGATATCCAGAGCTCTCTTCCTTGCTGCATCAACTTTAGAAGGAGAAAAGAACTGGGCCTGGCCGGCTTTCTCTTTATCAAAAAGGCCCAATCCTTTGCCTCTCTTCCTTCGTTGCTTCTCAATAATCAAAGCACCGCTAAGAGCTTGATTTTCATGCCGCAAAATATCATTATTAAAGACAAGTTGCTCACTGGCTCGAATTATCTTTTGGATATAGTCTCTTTCTGCAAGAGACTGGCGGAGATACACCTTTTTGCTTATCCGGCGGAGGCCTCGTATCGTAATAGGAGTAGAAGGCTCTGCAGCTGCATTTACTGGAGTAATTGGCCGTTCTTGCTGGAAATATTGCAGCTGTCTCTGTGGCTCAAGAGGATAGATACCCGTTGCTCTAAAGCTAGACTTGATATTCTCCTCTGTAAGAGCTTTACACTATGCAGTATAAAAGAGCTTCCAAAAGTCTCTCTTCCTAATTGAGAGATATCCGAGGCCTCCCCGTATTAGGTTGTTGACTTCTTGGGAATATGCACTGGCTAGTGGCCCAAATATCCCAACATCTAACGGCTGGAGACGGTGAGTTGAATGGGGAGGAAGGATGGCAAGAAAGATACGGTTTCGATCAGCGTAGTCAATAAATCGCATATTAATATGAGAAGAGTGCCCATCAAGGATGAGGAGCCTCCTTGCCCTGCTGGCCTTTATCTTTGTATGTTTATCGAAGACTTTCTCTAACCACTCTAGGCCATAATTATCAGAGCTCCAACCGTTTGGTGATGCTGCAAAATATGCAGTTTGTTCCTCCGGGGAGTAGTTATCTAACCAGGTGTCTTGTAGATCTCCTTCTCCCTTATAAATAAGTGTAGGAGGAATCCTTTCCCCATCTGCAGAGATAGCAGCAAGTAGAGAGATAAATTCCCTATTTCCATCATGAACGGTAGTTATCCTCTTATTCTTTAGCGAATAGATAGGGACTACGCGTTTTACTGCATGTCCAAGCCTAATTAGGAAGCCTTTCTCATCAAAGTTATAGATATTACTAGGAGTAATATTATATTTATCAACCACCTTCCCTAGCTAAAGAAGAGGGTATTAGTAACGAGATATCTAATAAATAATAAATATTTAAGCACTTGCAAGATCGTAGAAATGCTCAAAATGGGTAGAGTTATCCGCAATATGCCTATATTGATCGATCGTTCGAAGATATCTTGATGTTATCCGGGCCTGATGCCTCTTGCAAAATCGAGATACCCAATTGATGCCAACTGGCTGTTTGGTGAGCTCTAGAACGAGATTTGCAATGATTTGAGGTGTAGGAGATAGGCCTCTATTCGATAAACGTTCGATATACTGCAAAAGGACTTCCTCTTGAGTATCTGTTAACTTTTTGCGATGAGTTGAGGTGGCTTCCTTATTGGACACTGTTTTGCCTGAATATCGACGCGCAAGAGTCCTCCGATCGATTTTCCACTTTCTGGCTGTTTGTGCGTAATTAGGGACGTCCTGCAATCTCAAATCTTCAATCGCACAAGCAATTGCTTCTTCATTAGGCATGTTGTGGGTGGTTAAAGATAGGTGGTTGTCGAGATGAAGATTTTTGTTGGGGTGGTCATCGAGTGGTGGCGGTCATCGAGTGGTGAGATACGTTAACTAGTGTGGCTGGTCGCTTTCTTTCTTCCACCCGCAAGTTTCGCAGCTCAACCTCGATCAATAGGACCAATACCTGCGAGAGGATCAACTATGCGGCGTCTCGGTAATAACCCTGCAGCAGATCCTTTTCTGTCTACATGTTTGCAGACCTGAACCTCGAACCGGGATTCGACGCTGCCAGGGCCCTGTCCCACGCATCCAAATGTGTCACATACTATGGACTAGAGACCAAATTTTCCGGTTGACGAATAACTGGGTGTATAGGGACAAGATATATACCCTAGCGGAATCTTATTGGATATCACTTTTGCTGATTCCAAGCTTGATGCGAACGCGTTACGAGATCCAACACACCAGTGTTTATACCCCTGCTCATATGCACAGGTCCATGGTGCTTTTCGTTCTAATATCAGTGTGTTAAGCGCTTATTTATCGCAGAATAACACCTCGGTGTGTCAGCATTGGCTCGATGATGATATTCGGCCCGGATTTTAACTTCACCTGGCCAACCGACTGCCACCTGAGCAGTATCTTGAAGCTTAGGGACAGAGTTATGAGAACACAGTTTTGGGCTGAGATGAGATTTAATGTGATGGAACGCTTCAAATAAAGCAGAACTACGATGGAAAGTGGTGAGGCTGCGGTTTCAAGAAGTTATATCCTATAACATAGGCTACCGCACCTACCATCATACCACATACCACAAGGAAGTATCTCGTAGGCTTTGGGACTTTGGGAGTATGGATTTTGGAGAATTCGAGAAACCCGAGAGTTATTGGTAACATGAAGGGCCATAAGAGAATTGGAACGGCAGGATATAGAGCTTGAATTGCTTGGGACACAGACCAGGTAACACACACTTGCAAAGGAACAAGATCTGCGCATCACATATCATATGGCTTTCGAGGTGTCGAGCTGTTGTATATCTAGCAATTGCCCTTTTTAACAATGACATTCCAACCTTGGCTATCAAACTCCTGTCCCCTTACAGAGACGACATGATGCTGGGCACATAGATCGAGAATATCTTGAGCATAAGATGCAAGATCTCTGCAAGGCATGGAAGCCTCATGGAAGTTCTGCTAAACAGTTAATATAGTATACATTACACCCAAAAAAAAAAAAAATCAAATGAGGCTTACATCATTGCAGATGAAGATCCCAGAGCCGTAGGAGCAGCTGACTCGATTACATTCTCGTGCTTTAGGACGACAAATTCCTCAAAGGCCTCTAAGATAGCTGATACCTGATTGAATAAATTTTACCTGCGCTGCATCACCTAGCGGATGGCAATTGATTTCGGTCTTTACCGTTTAGGCCATTAGTAAATGAGTCCGATTTATAAAACCGCGGAAACTTCAAGTTTCAAGGCCATTGTCAAGTAGCTACCTTGGAACGGGTCCGGATCTTATGACCGGAATCTTCATCATGGAAGATCGCTGGATCGAATAGGGACCCGGCAAGATGTTCGATCTGGGAATAGATTTCTTCAACACTGCCTTCGAGAGTCATGTTCTCTCCACCGGGTATTATCGGACCGACATATGTCATCGGGCGTATTGGATACGGGAATGGGGCTGCGACTGGGTTTGCGTAAACCTATTATCGCATTAAGTACTATTCAACTGCGATGATTCAAAATTCATTGTATGAATGAAGAATTATATTACCTGGGCGGCATTAAGGCTTAAAAGCCCGGTAACAAGAATCGAAACAAAATCAAGCTTCATATTGTAGTTGACGTATCGTAAAACCGGGGAGATAGACTGAGCTTGTTCTGGAAAACGGTTCAAGAATATGATGTTGGGGGACGGCGCGTCCCTTATAGGCAAGAAATCAAAGCCTATACTCTATTAACTGGTTGCATTCATTCCGGAAAAGTCCATTACAATAATTTCGTCACTATAAAAGCGTGACTTTCTCCGAGAAACTGCGATACCTTTATATAATCCTCTCGAGTAACTGCCCCTGGGATCCTTTATACTTGCGTATCTTTAAGAGTGGGACCAGCAAGCGCCAAGACCCGTAAGTGGACTAGTGCCCGAAGCCACCAGGCGCGAAGCGCGCCAAGCTTGGTTGTAAGCGCGATCTCTGTGGACGTTCTCCTTTGTTCTTTACGGTGACAACATCGCATTGTACGCCCATCGCAGCAGCGTCAGTTACTCAAGCCTAGCCTTTTATATGAGCATTTGCTTATGTGGTACAAAGAACCTCTTACCTAAGTGGGACGTGTATTGCTCACCGCACTGTGACAAGGAAGGCACCTAGATACTCCAACTCTGCAAACCAAATAGTTATATACTTGAGATATGATAGTTCATCGAGTACCCGGAGGGAAACCCCTAGTTTCAAGTATTTACTATCTCGCCTACAATAACAACGTTTACATCTCCCTGGATAGCCGATACGTTTTCTTCTTCAAACTACCTTCAATTGTATTCCTTTGTTGTTACGTGTTTCTTTATTAATATTCGGCTTTCCGCTGGATATCAAGTAATTAAGTAATCAAATAAACAAAAGGATTCCCACTTCAGCCGGGCGTCATCTGTAATGATTCTATTGAGGAAGTGTCGCGCCAAAATGGAGTACTGGTTCTTCCGCAACGCCCCGTTTGCCTCTCATATATCTACATCGGAGACCACTTAAAATATATACTGTATAATGTGATTTAGGATAAATCTATAAAACGAAGTTTCAGCTATAAAGAGTCATCCTCCCTAAAATGAAAGTTATCTCAGCATATTCTTCAGAACCCAACCTGCATCCTTATCGTATCTTAACGTTATTTCAAGGCCAATTTTCATATTGACAACATGAAGCTCGACGCTGCACTTGTTACAGTGCTTTCCTTGGGGACTTTTCTGGTACAGCCACTTCCAGCCCCGTTTGAATTCATTGGTATATATAATCTAACGTAGTGGGCAGGTCCAAGCAAATCCTATCATGCCAGGCCTTCCTGTGAAAGGTGCAATGAAATACGTTGGCCCAATAACACCTGGAGGAGCGAACGTGACCCTTGAGGGCACCGCTGAGCATATCCATGCTCAGATCTTGAAGCTCAACCCTAAGTTCAACCCGGGTGACTTTCATGATGACAAGAGCGACCACGAGCTCCGCACTCGTTCCAAGGTGGGTAAAAATAGTCCCCGTATTATCAAATACGTCACTAATAGCTTTCTATAAAGACGAATACTATCTGTGGCAAGATTGCCGGAGGGAGGGCAAATATCAGACATATCGATGCTGGGATTCGTTACTTGAATTCCCTTCCGGGAGGCTGCTATGCACCAGCAGGACCACGGGCGTGCATTCGAATCAGCTGCTCCTACGGTTCTGCAATCTATCTCTGCAATGATGTAAGTCTGCCGGATAATTCTCTACGTATATACCATATACTTACCTGTTGTAGAATAACCATAGCATTTCGCCATCATGCAAATACCTTGCTACATTTGCAGCGGATATTGGGAATGCATGCCGTTATAATCGGAGGTACATTAACGGCCAGGAGTTTGATAGTGATCGCTACAATGTTATCGTAAGAGGAGACGATTGTTGACGTTGTAAAGACATGTCGGTCATCGTATCTAGATCTGATCCGTTGAACTGATAGCTTAAGCTGTACGGTGCTTGTCGTTAGACCCTGCTATTAGCCCTGTCTCGACTCATCTATGATTCTACGTTTAGAAACATCGACTGTGGCTGGCGAGTGCATCATAGCGGCAAAGGCTAGAATAACGCCAAGCAATGCTAGACGGCCTCGAACGGTCCGACTCGCCCCAACTATAAGCTTGGAGAGTAATAGCTCGAGAGGTTAGGAGCCGGAATCATAGCGTATAGCTTTAATAATTGCCAGTAGTATCGACGCCGTATACCGTACTGAAGAGCGTACGGAGTAGACGGAACATCACAGCTGTCCGGTCAGTAGTGAAGTCCAATACAACGAGGTTTGAACAGAATAAGTGGTGGCCATGTGGCTTGGTGATGTGCAGAGTAGCGTATGTGAGATTCTTATTTCCAAAGCGCACGACGACTGCCCGGTAAATTGAGGTTCGTTGAGGATTGGAAACAACCTCTAGGCGCCGGAGATGCGACAACTGAGCCCGTGTTGGCCTGGACGAGGGCTGAGTTGAGAAATGTAACGCTGGCCGGGTTTGAGCCGTCTCTCAAACGTTCAGGTCGTCGTCCTCGTACGTTGCTGGGGTCCTTGGCCCGGGTTGTCACAGGTGCGTCAGCAGTTTGTTTGTCGCTTCTGCCATGATCGAGGTAAATAGGTCGGGCCGCTTGGCGACGGGCATGATAACAGGGCGTAATAAGTGTGCCGGGATAAAAACGAGGTCGGGGGGTTTGGGTGAGTTGGCGGGAGTCCTGCCTTGAAGCTGTGAGATAGACGATATACGCCCGCTTCCTGTCCGGACCAGCTCGTAAAGCCTTCGTAGGCTCCAACCAGAAGCTTCCTGGCTGTGATTTGTCGCGAGTGGAAGATGTCAACCTGGAGTCTGCCTGGTGAGATAGGCCAACTCCTCCACATAGAAGAAGACGAAGACGAAGCAGAAGAAGCAGAAGAAGCAGAAGAAGACGAGCAGAAGACGAGCAGAGAGGCCGACGAGATAGCATCCAGTAGATACTCAGCTATAGATGTAGGCCATTGAGGTGAAACGAGCAACGCGACGTTGTTTGGCAGATGAAAAATCGCATTACTTAATTAGGCTCAAGACAACCTCCACCCTCGAGAAAAAAAGCCGCCCACTTGTTCCTTTCGTCCTCAACCACCTCAACCTCGCCAGAAGATTTCCTCTCTCTTCACGTCTTCTGCCCTCCCACCTCCGACCTCCGTAATCCTCTATCTATCCTTACTCACACTCTCTTTTCCTTCGTCGTCGTTCTGTTTTTATTTTTCTTTTCTTTCTTGGGGGCTTTCTTCGTCGGGTTTTCCTTTGCCGTCCTATCTGCTGTTTCTAGCTCGGAGGGAAACTTGAAGACCAGGACAGCTCGCTCGTCTCTCGACATCCTATATCTATTCCTCCGTCCTCACGCTCCGGACAGCCCGGTAGATCCTGTCGGCGGCCATGGCATCCATCCAGTCTCCCACTCCCAAGCTCGACCGTTACATCATCATCCACGTCGCTACTACATGTGATGAGCATGGCGTCTACGTTACAAAGGACTCTGCTGAAGTCATCGAGCTCGGATGGATACTCCTCGACACCAAGAACTGTGAAGAAGTAGGCCTCTCCCGCTGCTCCGTGGTGGCTTTCCTTTTTTACCCCGTTCTCGCAGGCCGAATTGCTGATATCAATTCCTCTTAGATCCATCGTGAAAGCATTCTTGTGAAACCGGTCAACACTCCCATCACGCCTCTCTGCAGTACGTCTCCAATCTGTTCGGCTTCATCGAGCTCGGCACCTTGGAATGGATAAAAAAGATAGCTAACTGGGACGTTCTAGCGAGCTTGACAACCCTTACGTGGGAACATGTTCGGTCCGCAGGTACCTTCCGTGACGCCATCAACCGGTTCGATACATTCGCTCAAGAGAACCTGGTATCCAAGAACCTCGAGTTCGCCTTTGTGACGCTGGATTCCTGGGACATGCGCGTGCAGCTGCCTAGGGAGGCCCGGGACAAAGCTGTTGTGCTACCCCCGTATCTGCAGCATTCCCGTACCTTTGACCTCAGGACGGAATATCAACGCTGGCAGCAGCATCACCCAGAGTCCCTCCCTTTCGGGCCAAGTGACCTGGCCAACATCTGTGCCGCCCTTGAAGTCGAGCCGGTCCAGTCCTCCGCTCCCATCAAGCACAACCTCCCCTTCCACCTACAAGCGCTCGCTCCTGCCTCGCCTCGCCGGGCAATGGAAGAAGTCATCACGCTCGCTCGAGTGCTTCGTGGGCTGATTCGCAAGTCTCAGCCACCACACGAGCACCCGGAGATTATGACCCGCCCCATGGATGCTAGAGCGGATGTTCGTGCGTTCTTGGCGGAGCGTAGTAAGGTTTTGCACATGAGTGGTCTGCCCCATGATACTACACAGTCTGAACTGGAGAGCTGGTATACTCAATTCGGCGGACGTCCCATCGCTTTCTGGACCCTGAGAACCCCAGACCAACACAAGCCCACCGGCACCGGCTTCGCAGTCTTCTCTTCCCACGAGGAGGTGAGTATTAGAAGCCTCTTTTTTTTTCACTCCGTATAATATCTGACACTCTGAGATATATAGGCTGCTGAGAGTCTTTGCATGAACGGCCGTGCCTTGAACGACAAAGCTATTGAAGTCTCCCCTTCCTCGAGCCGTGTTCTCGACCGTGCTGCGGAAATTCTCGCTCCGTTCCCACCTAGCAAGAACCGTCCTCGTCCTGGTGATTGGACTTGTCCATCATGCGGCTTCTCCAACTTCCAGCGCCGTACCGCTTGCTTCCGCTGCTCGTATCCGGCCGTTGGCTCCGGTCCGGACCCAATGCCGTACCCTTACGCGTACGGACCACCAAACATGATGCCACCACCTCACCACATGGGCCACCACGGAGGCCACGGAGGCCACGGTGGACATGGTGGACATGGCGGTCACGGCGGTCATGGTATGGGCCATCACTCGAGAGGAATGGGAGGAAACGGCGGTGTTGTCCCATTCCGTGCTGGAGACTGGAAGTGTGGCTCTGACGGCTGTGGCTACCACAACTTTGCGAAAAACATCAACTGTCTCCGCTGTGGTGGCCCACGCTCAGGTGCTGCTGTTGTCGCCGACTCTGCATTCCCAACTCCTATGGACCCGCAGTCCGGGTTTGGCATGAGCGGCCCGGCCTCCATGGCTACCGCTCCAGGAGCAGGTCCGTTTGCTTCCAGTGGAGGTAACTTCGGTGGATTTGGCCAACAGTTCGGTGGCCCACCAAGCACCTATTCCCTCCCATCCGGACTCGGTAACGCACCTGGACCGTACCCACCCATGGGCCAAATGAACCATGGCGGTTACGGGTCCACGAGTGCATCTCAGTCCGTAGCATCATTCGGAAACCCTGCTACTCAGGCTGCATTTACCGCTGCTGACCACACCCCACAGCCTGTCGGCACTTCCAATGGCGGATTCTATGGTGGTGATGGAGCATCGGATCCTTTCGCCTTTCTCTCAACCGGCCTCGGCGGGCTAACTGTTGGAGATGAATCACATGGACGCAGAAATGGAGCATCCGCCAACAAATCCCCTGCTTAAGCCCCTGAACCGCTGGGGCTCCATGAAAAGCTTGATTTACCTTGCAAGAACTTAGCCAACCCCCCAGCACATTACGTGCGGTGTCCCAGCACGATATACCACCGATTTATACAGGTCTAAGACCCAAAAATTGCTCGCCTAGACCTTCCCAGAATACCGCAACTGTGAAGGAATTAGTTCTCTTTTTTTATTTTTCGTTTCTCATACACGTTGCTCATTCTTCCCCTGCCACGCATTTATTTTTTGGTTTAGCTCCTTTTCTTTTTATTTTTTTTTTTGACGGCCTCGGTCTCCTACCATCTTATCCTGACCTGAACCGAGGATTCATCCAACCCTCGCAATGCTTCCGGTTTGCCGTAGAAGCGAAAGCCTCAACCATAGCCACGAGACAACAACACCAATGTCGACTGGCAACCTTCCTTTAATTGTCGTTGCCGCAAAGCAATAGTGCAATAGACCGTCCGGATAGCACTCGATTGCGTGAACTTGGAATTTCCGCGGGTTTATACTTCTTTTTTTGGACTTTTGGAGCGGGGTGCGGAATGTTTGATGGATGCTTCTTCTTTTTACTGGCATTTTGAGCGAAAGAGATATACCAACGCAAACTCTTCTTTTGGAAATACAACAGCGAAACAACAAAAGCAAAAGAACGGTATCCAAAAAATCGGAAGGAAATTGGAAATGGGTTACAGAAAGATGGTTTTCCTAAATCTGCGCTTGGCGGAACTTGGATTTTGTTTTGTTGCTTTTGCTTTTAAAAGAATTTGACAGAGTCGGATTGGGAGGGGGGAAATACAGCGGGTGGAAAAAAGAAAAGCAGGAGAGTTGGGAGTACTTATATGTGGCATGTGGCATGGTCTCTGCCGGAATTTTCTTTGTCTCCTTTGTCGTTTGTCGTTTGCCTTGCTTGCCTGCCTTGCCTTGTTATTCATTTTACTATTACTACTTTTTGGTCTATATTTATCTTATCCCCTGCCCCCTTTCTTTGTTTTGCCCCTTTAATATGTTATTGTTATGTTGTTGCTGTGTTGATTCTCTCTCGATCTTTGAAGGGTTGCCCATGAACGGACAATGCAAGGGTAGTTTTGGTTGCAGGATGGAGTGTTTTCCTTTGGCCATCAGTTGGAAATGGGTTGGCTCTTTTTTGGGATGGCATGTGGGTTGTTTTTTGGAGTGTGGCTTGGTGGAATCTCCTTTAATTATTCTTCATTGAGTCTTTCTCTCTTTTTTCAGGCCTCTCAGATTGTTCTGTTTTACTAGTGAAAACCTCCTTCATAACTTTGTCTATTTTAATTCCACCTTGCCCCCTTTTCATATGGTTTCATCCTTCCCTCTGTATCCTTCGAGTGCTGTCGTGGTTTTACTGCATTCCTGCTACACTATTTGAAATGTGCATTTTACAATTTGTCGCCATACACATCCCTCCTCCTAATATCGTCCGGGCAAGATTATTTCTCGGCTTTTGGCAGTGTTAACACACATACCTTCTAGCCAAATTGTATTTACCTACTCTAGATTGGTGCGATTAACGAAGACACGAGAAATAAAACCAAATTCTCTACTCTGACTTGTTTAAGGGCATTCATGGGATGAATATCAACCTTTATAGAATTAGTGGGAATTGAAAAAGGCCGTTCAATGCATTAATATTGACACTAAGGAAACGGTATATAATCCGACCAGCTTAATGAGCACAATTAAGATGGGCAAAAAGCGCAAAAAGTAAATTTTAATATCTTTCACTCGGTCTCATCACCCGTTACTGTGCTTGCCACACTCTCGGACCTGCGAACTGATGATTGCCTCCTTGCAACTACCGTATCATCACCCTCATCTTCCTCTTCTTCCTCAATTCGACTTATATTGCTTAGTGCCACTGAGCTAGCTCTACTAGGAGCCTGGGACAGTACTGTCACTTCTGTCTCATCCTCTTCCTCGATCGGTTCATCCTTAATGCGAACTCTTTCTTTTCTCCCGGGTCGCGCAGATACTGAGCTAGTATCCATATCAGCCGTCTTGACTATACCAGCAAGCAGTTTCAAGACAGAGTTCTTTGCCTTCACAAGTGCATTTCGGCTCGCAGCATCACCCGCAACACCAGCTGAAATAGCCTGGTCTAAGAGATCTTTGACGAGAAGAGGTAGCTCATCGTCGTCTTCTTGGAGTTGCGAAGTCATGTTATCCGTTCTGATACTTGATCGTCGACTCTCTCGATCGTCAGGTGCACCCTCTGGAACACGAGAGCTGGCTCTTGAGGAGGGCATGGGGGCTGGAGTTGGCAGATGTAGTTTGCTTAGCATGGAAAGGAGGTATTTTCTTTCTTCTCGTGGTGCAGTAGCGAACCCTCCAACACCTAGAACACGCTGTAGGATATCCTTGGTGAGAGCCAGGTGAAGACTTTCACTAGGTCGAAGCATTGAATTAGTCGAAAGGCTGGCCGGTGCCAGGGGGTCTCCTCCTCCACCCAAACCAATAATACGACGGTCGTCTGTCCATTCAGTTAACATCCCAACGACACCTGTCATAAGCGCCTTCGTCTCTTTTTCGCCAACACTTCCATCTATTTCACCGTCACTATCCTCCTCTGCCTCAAGGGCATAGAAGTCATCGACAGCTGCGAGAACAGTGCGAATTGCTGGTACTGCAATTCTTCGCATATGTTGGGCATTGGTTATGTGCGAATGGCAATAAACGGGGAAGAAGTAAGTCAATGCTTGTCTGAGCGCTAAGTTATCACGCGTCCTGGGGTTGAAGAACGCTAGAACAAGTGATTGTAAGAGTGTAGCAACGGAGTTATCGTTAAATTCCTTGATCGATGGTGGGATGGATGGGCTGGATGGAGAAAGGGCATTGGTAAGGAGCATTTTGGTTAATGCAATGACTGCCGCACTCTGAGCATGAGGTAGAGTTGATGTCTTCAGAGCCTTTGCAAAGGCTTTCAGGAGCGGCTTTTGGAATGGTGGTGGGGTCACAGTGTTGGGGTCGTTAGGTGATGCAATGGGTGCAAGGAGCGAGTTGTGTGTTGTGACTATATCCGATAGGATCCTCAGGGCCATTTCTTGAAGTGATTCGTGGCCCTTGGTGTAGCAATGGATAAATAAACCCATGTTCTCCTCCGCGAGTGACTGTTATAGAAGTTAGTAAGCCCCTTAGAAGGCAAATAAGATGTTCACCACGAATAATACATACCTTATCTAACAAGCAACATAGCCCCAGGCATTCAAGCCCCCTTTCTCGGATAGGAGCCTCATGACTTCGGACAGCCGGGACAACCAGGTTGTTCAACATGGTAACGAGGTGAACGTTATCCTGAAGATTGCCTTCCACATTTTGAAGCATGCACTGTGCAATGTAGAGACATTTCATATTGACCACAATTTCCTTGAGAACCTTAGCCTTTGCCTCTTCTTTATTGAAGGGTACTTCGCTGGCTTGTTCGGAATCATCTTCATCCCCTCCCCCAGCACCACTAACACCACTTTGGCGCTTATCTTTCTGTACTTGTCTAGCGCTTTCCTCGCTAATTTCTGATTTAGCTGACACAAAGCTGTCCTCAGAGACAATGGTATCGTGAACTTCAGCCACAGCTTCGAGAACAACACTGCAAAATTCACCCTCACCAGCGGCATTGGGGCTGCAGACACATCGCAATACCTCGACGGTAAGCTTCGTTATTTCCTCAGGAAGATTAGAGACAGCCAAGGTCTCTCGCAGGAGAGAAAACATCTTCCTTCGCCCAACCTCATCACTGTAGTCAAGCGTTAGGCAGATATAGAGCAGCTGTTCAACGATGAACTCGTATTCCATCGTCTGCTCTTCACCTCCCTCTGCCTCTTCAGGGTTGTCCAGCCTCACGAGAAGCGTGGTCGCATACTTGTGTAGATAGAATGCCATAGCGGTGACTTCGGGAATTTTCTCGTCGGCGAGATCTTCAAGCCTTCCGTTTCCCTCCTGCCTACAGAAGGCGTTAAAGCTTCGAGCCATGAAAGCTGATTCCGCCGTCAGGTTCTCCCAGAACTGTTGGTCGAATGTAACTGCATCGCGGTAGTCCGGCCTACCTTCCCAGAAATTCTTCATCGCTTCGTGTGCAATTCCATTCTCTACACCAGAGTTCACTACATCGATGCGCTCCAAAAGCTCAGTAAGAGCAGCAACCGTCGGAGATGAGGACTTTTCTTCATCCTCCCCTGCCTCCTCCGTTCTATATGAGCTCGCACAATCTTCAATCCAGCGATCGTAGAACAGCCGCCCAGTTGCCTTCCTGACGCTTTCGTCACGATCTCGCATGCCCCAGCGTAATAGTTTCTCTCGCATGGAGAGTGAAAGATGGCGAAAGTCACCGAGTGTCGGTAGCAATCGGGTATATAGAGCCCGTCGAGTAGGGCCATCAATATCTCGTGCTCTTTCAAGGAGAAATGGTAGGGTGGATGGTGTGAGCGGAAGGTTAAGAAGGAGTGTACGCCGTACCTCAGCACTTGTGTCATTTTGAAGCACATCGAGGAGCTTCTCCAGGAGAGCTGATGGGCTGTCGCCGTTGTTTCCTTCCTCGTCCTCCTCATCATTTCCAGCTAGCCTCCCAAGACCCATCACAGCCTGTACCCGAACAGTGGGCTCTTTATCTCTGATCCTCTTGACCAAACCCTGCCTTATCAAATTGTAAAGTTCGTCATCGATAGAATCCAGTGAATTCACTATATGCGAAATAATTTGTGTAGTTCGGTACCGAACCGTCTTATCTTTCGCGGCGAGCAACGGTATTAGACTTGAGACGATAGTGAATGTCAATCGTGACGAAGGGGTTTCTGGCAGCCCACGCGTCTCGTCAGGATCGCCTTCAGAATATATTTCAAGATCTGTAGCAAGTCGTTAGTTATTTGGTGTGTTTTGCCCAGCCCAACTTGATATTCTGAGCGCTTACCCTTATCAGTGGCAGACTTCAGGAACGTGCCCAAGAATTTAATCACACGATCTGCGGCCCCCTCAGCCTTCTTCACCGACACTACTCGAAGTAGACATCGGCATATCTCAATATTCAACTCCTTTTCTGGAAGACCACCGCCAGCCACATCTCCATGGATCTCACTAAGACGGGAGCCCTTTTTCCCATCTACCTTTGTTGTGCGAAGCCCACAGCAAAGTTCCTGAATTTTCCTCAGCTTCACTGCGAGTTTCCTGTGACCGGTAATTGCGCGCTGCGCATCTGCAAATATATCGACTACATTTGAGCGAAGGGACGAGGAGGTTGTTGGTAGCGCTGGCTCTTCTGGAATATAAATAGTCGGCGCATTCGTTGGCGGCACGGACGATTTGCGTGTGGAAGCAGTCGACGAAGCGCGGGTAGAGGAGCGTCCGGGCATTATAAACCGCAATTCGATCTCAGATATATAGGCTTGAAACGTAGCAAGGCAGTGGACAGCCCCTTGTCAATTCTGATTGAACGTGAGGAGGACGAGGGGCAACAAGGGTTCGAATGCGCAAGAGCGAGGGAATAAGCTGGCTAGGTGTTGGATTTGGCCACGATGCAACTGGAGGCCAATGTCAAAACAACGTCTCCGTCCGGTATTGGTGTGAATACTGATATTGCGATAAAAACATGCGGCTTGTTGCTTGCTGGTCTCTGGCGGTTGTCAATTTTGCCCTTTTGGGACCAAGTAAACAAACAACCGATAAGATAAGCGCCATGACGCTAGTCCCTTTTTAGCATGTCCACCCGAGTGCCGCGGGATCACCTAAAACGGAAATAGAACACTTATCCGTTGCTATCAACAGTATATGTAGCTCGAGTCTGTTTACACGGTACATTATATCTTAAGATATTGCCCTTTTGCCGTGCGTTTGGCGTTCCTAATAACATTTATTGACTTCAAGAGTTCCCAACATGATCACGCAATATATACTTCTGACTAATCATACGGCGGTCTCTCCTCCGCATTTAACATCCGAAGATTGAGACGATTCGGCTTCCTTCCTGTCTTCAATTGAAGCCATTTATCTCTTCATATTGGTTGGATATATATATGCTACAGACAACATGTTTAGCAGAGGTGCCCGAACTTTCACCTCGACTGCACTGAGAGCTGCAGAGAGTGCGGCACAGATGGAGGCAAGGAACACTTATGGCATCGGCGTTTCCAAAGCTCAAGGTGTGGTGAAAGGCCTGACTGGAGGTAGGATAATATGAAAATCTTTATAATTTCAGTTATCATTTTGCGTTTGAAGCTAATGGATAGCAGCAATTGGAAACACTCCCCTGATCCGCTTAAACCGCCTCTCCGAACAGACCGGCTGCAACATCCTTGGAAAGGCCGAATTCCAAAATCCTGGGGGCAGTGTGAAGGACCGAGCTGCGCTATTCGTTGTCAAAGATGCCGAGGAGCGAGGTTTACTTAAACCAGGCGGCACTGTCGTTGAGGGAACTGCAGGAAACACCGGAATCGGTCTGGCGCATGTCTGCCGATCGAAGGGATACAAGCTTGTTATCTACATGCCTAATACTCAATCGCAAGGCAAAATCGACTTGTTAAGGCTGCTCGGTGCGGAGGTATACCCAGTCCCCGCTGTTGCCTTTGACAATCCAGAGAACTACAACCACCAAGCCCGAAGACATGCCGAATCCCTGGACAACGCAGTCTGGACGAACCAGTTCGACAACATAGCCAATCGAAGAGCACATATTGAAACCACTGGTCCTGAAATCTGGGCCCAAACGGAAGGGAAGGTTGACGCTTTCACATGTGCGACTGGAACTGGTGGCACGTTGGCGGGAGTGACCAGATATCTCAAGACTGTGAGTAATGGCAAGGTGAAATCTTTCCTTGCCGATCCTCCAGGAAGTGTGCTGTATAGCTACATCTCTAGCGGAGGAAACCTCATAGAGCGCACTGGAAGCAGCATCACAGAAGGAATTGGCCAGGGCCGTGTTACGGACAATCTACAGCCTGATATCGATCTCATAGATGGGGCGCTTACCATCAGCGACGAGAAGAGCATTGAAATGGTGTACCGATGTCTCGACGAGGAAGGTCTGTATCTCGGCGCCAGCTCTGCCCTAAACGTTGTTGCTGCGAAAGAGGTGGCGGAGAAGCTCGGAGAGGGTCACACCGTCGTTACGATGCTCTGCGATGGTGCCTATAGATACGCGGATCGGCTGTTTTCTGATAAGTGGTTGAAGACCAAGAACCTTAGAGGCGCGATACCCCAGCATCTCGAGAAATATATTGTGCTGCCATAATTTTGGAATTGTACGGTTATACTTGGTTTAGCGCAATACCAAGGAAGCAAATATAGAATTGAAAAAAAACATGTATGATTGAGAATAGAATGCCTCCCTATGCCTGAGTATAGGGAGCAGGTATTGGCATAATTATAAGATACTAAAAACAAAAGAAAACTCCTTTTTTTTGCCCCTTGGAATCGCTCATAACAACCGTGCTTGTTCGCTAAACAAGCTGAAAGACGAATTTAGACCACCCAATTTTAAACAATATTAACGTTCCAAGATGCCCCGTAGCCGTTGTAAACCACTCCACGAATATTCCACTGAGAGAATTCCGGTTGAGTGTTTCCGCCTCCGTCGGTGGCACGAGAATATATAGTCATATCCTCGCCCCGTTCGGCTTTGACTTGAACCTTCCAGAGAGTCCAGCTCCACTTGGACTGTGGTTTATTATCTTGGATCTCGGCATCGACCCAGGTTTTCCCGCCATCCGTTGAGACTTCAACGCGGACAACTGGTCCTTGGCTGCCTGCAGGGACGGCGTAGCCCTTAACTTCCAAGCAGCCGTCCGAAGATAGCTTAACGGTGTCTCCATCATCTGGGACAGCGACGACGGAGTTCACTGGCATAGCCTGGATTGACGGTACGGTGCTCCAGTACTTTTCTGCGATTTCCCATGTACTTGCCTCTACGGGGAGGACTCTGTAATCGTGTTGTTGGTAAAAATTGGGCGACTCCTCGGCCTGAACGGTAATTCGATCGAGCCATTTCACCCAGCGTGCGCCAGCAACTCCAGGTACAACTACCCGAACCGGGAAGCCATACTCTGGTAGTAGAGGTTTATCGTTCATCTGCCAACAATTAGCCCTCATGCACACTTAAGGTGGGGAGGGGGAGAGAGAAGAATGAACATATTCTTACCTCAAGTGCCAAGATAACTTCTTGATCCATCTGCATAGCTCTCCATAGTTCGATGCTCACACCATAATAATCGTCGTCCTGGCACGGTGCTTGAAAACAGGCAAAAGCAACGTTTAACATGCTTTCTTCCGGGTTTTTATCCTTGAGTTGGGCTCTCGTCAAAATGTCTCTCAGGCGCGGGCCCTTCCACTTGCAATTCATCATGGCTCCGTCGGCCCAGTCGACGCCGTGAACCTCCTTTAGCTTTGTGCGCATTGTATGCCGCCTGTTTCCAGCGCACTGTAAGGCACATACGACTTCATGTTGAGGGAATTCGTTTCTGAGTTGTGATACGGAGATGGCAAATGGAGCATCGACCTCGCCGTCGATAGTGATAAAATGCCTTGCACCATTTATCTGGGGGATGACGCTGTGATTTCGATTGTATGCTCCCTTTGTTGTTATAAAACTATATAGGTTGTGGATAGAAGTTAGTTATGTGCGGAGAATTAAAGACACCAATCACACACCCTGTTGCGGGAAGGGAATACGAGCGGCAGCAGTTGCAGGGGTTGCACATCGTATTCTGGAAGAACATCCGGCGGTACGCTGACATGATGTACATAAAACAAAATATAACATACCTAGATACAAGCTCCTTGATGGGTGGTTCGCGGTTCAGGATCTCGGTCAGTATCTGGGACTTTGTCTACGCCAACGAGTCAGTCAGTAGCACAGCGACGATGGCAAGGTGGCGAGACCATACATTGCTCATTGTGAGATATTCTCTGATGCGCCTCAGCAAGCGGCCAAGGGGCTCATTGAAGAGGAATTCCTTGATCTGACTGAATAAGGCCCTAAAGGCCTCTATCAAATCTGGGTGCAACATGATGGTTAGTCAGAGAAACGTCCGTGATTGCCTGCGGTTTTTCCTGTTCCCGCCGTCTCGGGGGCACAGCTATCCATTTATATAATGGCTTTTTTTACCTTCTTGTGCGCTGCCAGATGATCAAGCCGTGTAACAAAGACAGCTCTCTAAGGGCAGATAGACCAGCCAAGGGATAGTCCAACTCCACACGGGCTTCATATCATGACTGCTTGATGGCGACGGCCTGTTTTCGGCTCTGGACTGGAGCTGCTGGTGCAGGCGGCGCGTCGGTGGCTTGCTGCTAAGCTATGCACGCATGGACTATCGGCGGTACGGTGGATAACAATTCTCCTGACCGGGAGAAAAGGGAGAGAAGAAGGTTATTGTCAGGGATTGTCCTGAGGCGAGCTATCTTGAAGCTATCTTGCAGCTTTGTTGGCGCTTTGTTGGCGGTACAGACAAGGACGAGCGGAAAGCGCGGAGGATGCGGATGCGAGCGCGAGCAGGCTCTTCGTGGTAAAACACATTTCTCTTCAGTGACGACTGCGTACACAGCGTTCCTTGGGCCGGGGATCTGTGTCTGCTCAAGTCAGCGATGCGCCACCAGCTCGATGTTCAAACCGGCTAGTGTGACGTAAATTTACGGCCACATCGCCAAGCGCCTTGAAAAATATGCTTGCCGGCCGATAGGACAGCTCTGTTTTTGCGCTTTGGTCGGCGCAATTCTCAGATCGCTCGCTGCTTGTGTATCGTCGCTGGCCGGTCTGGCTGCGAGTTGTGTTTGCTGGCCGAAGGTGCAAGGAAGTTGTCCGGTATTTTCAGATTAATATATCATTATTCTTGGCATCAAATGCGTACAGCCCCTATATTACAATATCTAGACTCCTCTACGGAGCGTCTGTATATGAGTCTCGTCCCTGCTGAGGGAGGGCAGCCGGCTCGTCTCCCCTAGGATAAACCGGAGACCAGCTAGCCACGGCCGCCGCTGATCGCCCTGCCAGCGCCGATGAACTGGACGCCCTGCGGAGACCAAGCGGGCTTGATAAGAACATGTGTCTTGGGCAGTCCAGAGCACCGAGCACGAGTAAGGTCGACACGCCGGCCGAATTCCACATGTACGCCAAGAGTCATAGCCAACCATATTCTATCCAGGACACCCATCCGAGCAACGCCAAGTATACGCCGGTAGTATAGTAATAGTCCGCCAAATAGCACCCGCACCCGCCTCCTGTAAATCGTACAATTATCACCAAATATTCGAGTGGAAAGGGTAGGCTCTGAAAGGGAGAGAGACTCGGCCGGCAGTTTCCGGGGGGGAGAAGTCGTCTAAACGGTTCTTAATAAAAGTCGGCTTAGTCGGAAGGTTGTCTCATGTATGCATCGATGGCCGCACTGAAAGCTGCAAAGCCGGCACATCCTAGAAGCGCCGCCTGCGGGCCTGCTTTGGCACCGAGTATCCCACCAGTAATACAGCCAGCAGCCACACCGTTGGCGAGGTCGTTTTTGGCCCGTAAGCCTTCAATGCAGCATTCGGTACCGCTAAAAAGAGCACCGACAACAGCGAAATTCTTTGCGCTGCTGTATGATCGAGCTCCCATATCCTTGAATCCTCGTCGAAGTTGTTCGCGGACCGGTAGGGCGGAGATTTCTCGGCCTTGAGGTGTGAGGGGTGTATCGTATGACATCTATCCAGAGGAAGTAGTAGAAAGGTAAGCGATTGGGCCAACATACTCCAGGGCTGTAACGGCACGCATGGATAAGTTAGACGGGATTATTCAGACATACACTGCTCATGAACAAGCCGAATGCACCTCCTAGCGCAAAGCCCATTCCTCCTGCCATCACCGTCTTCACCGGACACGACTCCATGGCACCGGTCATCTGCCAAACGAAAGGATTCATCAGTACATCTTCTCTCAACCCGTGCCCAAATATGTCAAAAAAAAAAAAAAAAACATGTTTGGTATAACTCACCATTCTAACCATAGCCTGCTCCTGCTCATTCAGCCCACTGGTTGTCGGAGGGAGTCCCGCGGATGTCATTCCGGGGGCAACCCTCGCGGAGCCGCTGGATCCTGGAAAATTCATCGTTTATCGGACGGCCAGGGTTTTCTCGAAGTGTGTCAAGTTTATCAACAGCCTAGTTCTAGCAAGTGGTGATCGGGTCGCGCACGAAAAAGGAGCGGCTATAAAGAAGAGAAATGGAAACGACGTAAGGGAATATTAAAAGCAATAAATCAAACAACAGCCCGGAGCTCAGAACGCCGGTCGAAGGTCTTGGATAGCATCGAATGCCTCTTCTTTTGATATCTCCAGCTCGATTTCGTATTCAGACTCGAAAAATGTTTCCGGAGCGGAAGATCCTTTCGGAGTATATTTATGACTAATCCTTGGCAATACCCCCTTTATTTGCGTCCCGTGATTGTAACATGATTACTAAGCAATATTATTACTTAAATAGGATAAGCGTTGTATATAATACAGCTGACTCAGCGTTGTTCACATTAATACATGGAATACCATAATGGACCAATAATATTTCAGTATTAATGATGTTTCTTGTATGGACTGTTACACTACCTGGGAATATCGAATATGGATAGCAATGAGGACGGTCAAAAAATATCGTTAATAACAATAAACACAAGATACTCCTAGGATCAGTAAATGGGGGGTCAAAAGGGGACAACGAATAAATATACAATGGAATAGAAAGCGCCTCTTAGAGCCGGCTCGGCTCATAAGAATGATAAATCAGAGGTAAATCTCCCAAAGAACGCTGGTTAAAAATATAATGAAAGCAAACGCCGACGTATCAAGTCCGTAAATTCGTTTATAAATCTCCAAAGTCATGGCAGGTTTCTCCTGTCAATGAATAGCCTGTAGATTCCTCATATATGTATATATATATGTGTGTGTGTGTGTGTGTGTTTGTGTGGATATAATGATTCAACCGTGGTCGTCGTGTCGTGGGTATCTCATGCAGTTTTGAGATAGGAAATTGAAGTACAGTGTGATTGTAAAGTCTAGTCGTCTTTTGGTCCTTTGTTTGCGTTGTCTGATCTGGCCGGGGATAAACTTCGCTCCCACTCAGCCATCAAAGTTGAAGCAGTGCGAGTCAATTTCGAAGGTGTGGATTTGGTCAGGACTGGCCATGGTATGCCATCTGGATGTTCGGGACTGCTAACAGTCTCCACGTCCATGTCCCTATAATCCGCCACGCTATTTAGGCGTTAGTTGCGAGTGGATAACAGGATGGGGGGAGGACGCTGTATATATGCTGACCTTGCACTCGTTCGTGGGCTGCTAGCATTTGTCGATGGTGAATGGTCCCTTTTAGATGGGAATGTAGAACTGCTTGAGGACGGTGTGTGAGACTTTGGCTGCGGTTGAGGGCTATCCCATATGTCCCAGTTATCATCTACATCCAATAAACTTTGTTGGAGGCCAAGGCCATTGGTGCTTGACTTCTTTTGATTCCGGTTTGCAGGTTTGCTTGACTGTGCCTTGTTTGGAGCAGCGACACCAAACTCTTCCCAAAAATCGGTATCCGAAGCAGTGCCATGTTTATTTTGCCTGGCAGCAGTGGCTGGCCTCGAAGATGTTGATCGCCCGCTCCTCGAAGGTGTTGCCGAGTGGTTTCGGGAACCTGCCCCGCCTGCTCCTGACCTATTTATGAATTGGTCCGGGCGTTGATATATTTGGGAGGTCCGTGATTGGGTCGCGTTGATACCTTCGTCTCCCACCGTTGCCTGACGAATATCTTCGAGGAACGTCCACAGCCCGTCCTTGAAATCTGTGGCCATCTGCTTTCCTGTCCGTACGAGGGCTTCAGTAGTTGCATCCTGGGGTATGGGTGGAAGAGACCTTCGCCATAAGCCTTTGTCCTGTAGAGATTTCTGTCTTGCGGGGATGAGGATATTTTGTTTGCCGCCGTTTGGCTCTCGGTCAACGGAGGGAAGAGTTGCAGATCTAGGGTAACCAGACGGTCGTGCGCTCCTTGTATCGTTCGGTTGCGGGAATGTAGGACTGAAATCATCCCTGGCCGAGGCGAGGAGCGAGAGGGTACGTGTATGGCGAGAGCTCTGAAAAACGGTCCTCGCCTTGGATGGTGGATTTGTGCCTGCCAGGTGTGACACAGAATGCCTCGAGCCGTGCCGTCTCTCAAAATCACGACTAAGCCTGTTCTGACCGGATGTCAATGATGCGTCGCTCTCAGCGGGGGACTGAATAGTTCCTGTTTCCTCGGCCTGGTTTCCTTCCATTGCAGCTTGTCTCAGCGGCTTCATCGCCTCCGCACGATGGACAACCTGGGTTATCTTTCTGCCCTTTTCGTTTTGCTCCCACTGTTTCTTCAAAGTCGTAAGCTCCAGTTCTGCCCTCTGTAGTTCTTCCTTGAGCTCCAACACCTTCCGTTCCTGGGCAGCGAGGGCCGTGAGGAACCCATAGCCCTCATCCGGAGGCTCATTCAACATAGCGATTGATGGCGAGGCTCGATGAGGTGTCGGCATGGTCGGTGATGGCGAATCCAGAGGTGTATGTTTAGATGCTGGCGAGTCGTTGCCCGAGCGCGGTCCGTTTACCAACTCCGGTGGAATGTTGATAGGAAAATTGAGAGTGAGCCTCTTTGTATGCCTAGCAGCGCCATTCGGCCGTGGAGGAAGCGATGCTCGCTGCCGTTGCCTCTGGCTGTCGAAACATGGTTGCGAGGCCGGTGAAAGTTCTGGGCCTGGTGGCTCCTCCATGGTTCCGCAATAACCGTTGGATGGCGGAGTGGGTAGACGGGCGTTCAGAGGATCTCAGCGAAGGTACGGAGTATCGAGGTCAGGATGGAGGCCAGCAGCGAGAGCCATCGCCCTTGATGCCGTCTGGTTGTTATGTGCGTCGAAAACAAGACATTTTGTTTACCGGTGGAGCTCGACAAGCGCTCAGGGGGAGATTGCTTCGTGGTGGTCTGCAGCTTGGGGCCGCCGAGTACAAGGATAGTCACGTGAAAAGGTACCTTCACACCAAACTTGCGCGTGGGGGTACTTGCTGCGTCGTACTCCCCTTTGGACCATCCACGTCACCTCGTCCCCTGAGATACTATGTATATGATAGCAGGATATTTTATTCAGAAAAGCCCGGCTGCTCAATGGAGACGTAAAAGCGGACCTCATGTCAAGGCCTCCAGAATGACAGCCCCTCGGCAGTGATATTCATCTCAACAGATGGGCAAAGCTATCTTTTAAGATCGTCGTCCTCTGGGCTTGCAATTCAGGGGAGTATCAATCACCGTCCTCCGTCGACAACAACCCTGAACAACAACCCTGAACAACAACCCTGAAATACGGTGATACAGCGCCTTTTACATCATCTCCTTCATGATATGTACATTCATGACATTGGTTAGATAACGCCGCCTCAGGCACAATGCATGAGAGAGCCAACTTCTTGTGACCACCAAACATAATAGGCGTATCTATCCTGCTTCATACTGATCTCCTCAATACTCTAACACCTCTGCTTTTAATCATCTTCCCGTCAACCTAGCCGCCCTAGATATTAGCTATAAAGATACACCTCGTAGTGACATTCTCGAGTATCCGGCCGCCGCTGTAACTCCAACTGCAGGGAGATCTTAGTCTGGTTTTTACCGGAGAGATGAGAACCGTGATTGATGATTAGTTTTACATTGGATTTTCAAACACCCACCTTCTCATCTCCGTTATCTCTTACCTCCTTGTCTTGCTTATAAAAGGATACCTCCGCAAAATTTGAACCTCATTCGACCACAGAATTGAGGTTTACTACAATGCATTTTATTTCTATATCCAGAGCTCAAATACCAAACCGGCAATTCTTGATATCAAAACCTTCCATCCAGTCTACTGTGAATAGAGAGATGTACCTTTGACTGCCAACTTCACCATTCTTGATCACATATCGTACGTGATAGCAAAAGGGCTGGTGTATTACATAGAGACAACAAATAGAAACTCTCAAAACGAGCAAGCTATATTCGTATCGTATCTACCGCTGCATATCACTGTCCGAAAATCCTTTCGAGGCCATACAAGTCCGGGTAGCAATAGCGTAGTTAGCACATGCACCGGGATGGCCACACCAGCTGACATAGTGATCATTTGAACGAAGGGAAAAAAACAGAAAATGGAGGGAAAAAGAAACAAGAAATGAAGAGAAAATGAAATAGATAGAACCGGCCACACGAAATAGCTGTCAGGATAATTCTCTGACAGTTCAGGTGCATGAGCTTTCAGATTTGATGTCCTGACCTTCGTCCTTCTTCTTCATCGAATGCGCAAGCCATGTACATCTTCTCCGTCCATCAATCCAGATCACCACATCCTCACCCTCGGTTTGCGCTTCTATTAGGCTCAGGTGTTCAAAATCAATCATGCAGTACTGGACTTTGTATTCCTCCTTCTGCGACTCATGCTCCAATTCAGAAATTCTCCCCATGGTTGTATCTTTCACCTCTGGTGGAGATGAGAGACCGATAAGCTCCTGTATTTTTTGTGGAGATGTCAAGGGCCCCGTAGTGTTGATAATAATGGGATATAGCTTCTCCTTCAACTCTCCAGTACGTGAAGCTTTACGAAATGCCTCCCATTGGCACTCTGTCTCCGTTTTCAAGCCATATGCAAGCCATGCATTCCTTCTGCCGCCGTGAAACCATATCATCACCATTTCTCCATAAGATTGACGCATTATTGTATATCGATGGTCAGTCTCAACCTCACAATATTGCACTCTATCTTCCCTTTCGGCTGCAATGGATTCTTCCTCAAACAAAGATGCCGTGGGTGCCGACCCCATTTTTGGGGTTGACGGTAATTTGAGAACCTCTTGTACCTTCTCCGGCGACGTAAAAGGCCCTGAGCTGGTGATGAGAATTGGAGTCCACAGCTTCTTCACAGTCCCATTGCGGCGATCTCTGCGAAGGGCCTCCCATGCCTCTCCCCACTTGGCAAGTCTAGCTTCTTTCTCCGATGCCTTGCTTGCCTCATATCTGGCCTTAGCGAACCAGCCATACTCCATATCACTCTGGTTAACCATACTTGATCGTTTGCTCTGATAGACGTCAGTTAGTGCAGGAGGACATGTGGTATTGAGGTAGTTTGACGCCACTTACGGCAGCGAGTCGGGTTGAGCAAGTCAAACAGGAGAGTTTGCAGCGAAGTGCGTGTGAAAGATGGGATATTCCAGATGAAAGTGGTTGTATGAATCAGGCTTTATTATCACCAGATATTCCGTACACTAATGTTGGATTTGTGCTGGTAAACCGAGTTCAAGAGCTGTCGTGTTGTGTACAGAGTACGTCGTGAGTGCCTAGTTCTTGAAAGGGAGACCCGTGGGGTTCCGTCAGGTGATCCCTTCTCTTGGCGGCGCTTAGCCAAACCTAAGCGTCTATATTTAAACTCACGGCTCAAGAGTTCCGACTTCATAGTTCATGCGGTCTCCACCAACACATCAAGTACCAGAGAAGTTGGTGGTATTATAAGCGCCATCTATCCATTGGTATCTAGTGCTTCACTAATGCATAAGGTATGCGTACGCGCCATCCATTCATTGGTATCTAATGACTCCTTTTCACTACTGGGTTATACATGTGCATAACCGCTATTAACAATCTCCACCTCGGCGGCTGAGCAGACGGGTTCTAGAGAGTATGACTTTGTCCAATGGCTTGAGACTACTACCGTAAAAATAAAGAGCCATGAAACAGCAAGTTCCATGGGGGCCGCAACCAGGCTATTGATAGCTGGAGTCGGACGAGGTTGCCTTGAGACGTGGCCCCCATTGCCTTCTAGTCTCCTACAAGGGGGTTTCTGGAAGTCCGCGCTTAGAGCAGCTCGCGGAAGGTATATAACGCCTCTGAATTGCTTCGTTCAGGAAACGACTCCCATCCTCTTCTTTCTATCATCACAGCAAGCTACTACTAAAGAACACCAACTCTTACAATCCCTCTTTGAATTATTCTCTGAATTACGTTTTTTACAACTCTACATCCATTTACACAATGTCTGCATCCAAGCTTGAATTTGGCATCGAAATGGAATTATACCTCAGGCCGAAACACCCAGGTTTAGAGAACATGATGAAATCACATGGCTGCCTTGCTAAAGGCAACACAAGGGAACAGGACCGTAAGGCGTTTCGAATGGCCCTTACCGATATACTAGAGCCAGACATCCCAACACAATGCGATGTGACCGGTAATTACCTTAAATGGACTGTGGCTGATGAAGATCTTGATGAGACTGAGGCAACTCATGGCTACTGTAAGTTTATGACCCACCGTATCTAACTATTTGAGCCAAGTTAGGTGGCTGGAATTGCCTTGTGAATTATTTGGTAAAGACCGTTACTGATAGAATTTAGTCCCATGCGAAATCGTTTCTCGCGTCCTTGATAGCGATGGAAATTGGGACGAAGAGATTGACAATATGTTCAATGCATTGTTGCACAACTACGACCTCCTGCTTACGCGTGGTTGCGCTATGCACGTCCATGTCTCGCCTCACAATGGTACGTACACTTTAAGCCAGCTGCAGAGCATTCTAAAAGCGGCTCTTTACTACGAAAGGGCCCTGGCAGTGATTATGCCAGCCGAGCGCAAAGATACCCCATGGGCCGAACCCAATATGAGGATGATACGAAACTGCGAGAAAAATATCAACAAGGTTCCGCAGACGACATGGGCGCCGGTATTTAATGAAATCGACAATTGCAAATTCATACCAACACTGCTTGCACACGTGAATTGCAGTAAACGACAGGTGTCCTGGAACTTCTCCAATGTGGTTAACCCTTGCGGGACCGTCGAATTTCGTCGTCCGCCAGGAGTTAAGTCCGCCGCAGACGCTAAGCACTGGGCTGCACTCACCATGGGATTCGTGGCTGAGGCAATGAGGCAAGATTGGAAGGCGGTCCGAACGACCAAGACCCACCCTTCGACTGACACCCTTCGTTCTGTCATTACTAGAGGGGCTCGTTCGCTTGGAAGCCCAGTTCAGGCTGTTCTGAACCCTATGTTAATGGCTGATATCAACATGCCAGCCACGGTATTATCTGTTGAGGAGCGGCAGAAGATCAAGCAGAAGATCGAGAAGAAAGCGAAGAAGCATAGCGTGTTCGTTGAAAATGTTTGTTCCTCCACTCTGCATCCGATTAGAATGGCATTGCTAACGTTTAAATATCTAGGTCATCAACTCCCGACCTAATACTCCCGTGGGGCATAAGTGATGACGACCACTCTAGAGCCACTTATACCAAAGCCTAGTTTTCGTCATTTGTATCAATACAGTCTTTTACGCACACAAAATTAATCAACCGTGATGGGAATCAACAGAGCGCGAAGACAAAAAGAAAACTTCAGGCTGTAATAGCGGCATAAATGATGATAATAGTTAGATTGTGTGTTTTTGTTTTTGTTTTTGTTTTTTTGTCTTTTTTTCTGTCTTTTTATTTTCTGTCCTTTTGTTTTTTTGTATTCTTAGAATGGCTGTGTCGGGCTTTGTATTTTGCGTCTATTAGTTGCTCATATATCGAATTTAACTTTTGATTCCAAAGGGTATTTATGAAAAGAGGGATTGAAGCGCTGCGCATTGCGCGACGCCGTAGTATTAATTAAGATATATTAATTAAAATAGTACCTATTAATTAAACCACACCCTGTCTACCTATTAAATAGCCGATATATCTCACCCAAATACGAGCCGTTTAAAGGTTATAACTATGACCATATTATTTACCGGCAATACTAAATATACTAAGGCTACGCGTAGATTCCCCTTATGATTATCTCTATTCCCTATCCTCTCTCCCCTATCTACGGCTATAACTATTAAATACTTTGAAAGGTAAAAAGGGCTAGTAGAAGACTATCCCTGTTCCTTTTGCAACTACAAAGACTGCCTATTGATATAATCAAATATTTGAAGACCTTTCGAATGCTGTACAGATAAAAAAATCTTTCAAATTTGCGAATATACTCAACATCTAATATGGTACAAGATTTTGATGGAGCACGGAGACATAAAGTCTCAATAATAGACAAAGAAAGAATCAAGACTGTCAAAAGGAGAAAAAAGAGGAACCGGGCTTCCATTGCAACCTTGCAACTTCCGAACGGGAACCAATAAGGGACCGAGAGCAAAAATCAACGCAAGCCGCCTAACGCCAATGCAGATGGACCGAGTATTAAAAGGAGCGTCAGGTTCCAGTTCCTGCAGGAAGGCGTTGTAGCTCATTTCTTAAGGGCAATCAGAATGCCACCAACGAATGGTAAAGGAATAAAAGAGACTCCAAAAAGACAACCACCCATATATGACTCGAAACAAGTCGAAAAATATCACAAGGAATGCAACAGGAAACATGACCCAAACAATAAACGCGAAATCTCTGATAATGTACACTCAGCGTACGGAGTAGTTGAGGGTGGGAAGACTGGATGTAGGTTGAGGTGGAAAACAACGAAAGAGAGCCCGACATGTGGTATTATACCGCAGGCCATCTGTTTCGGAGGCCGTCCGTCCAGCGAGTATATAGTACGTCAGCAAGTTGTTTGGTATGCTCCATGCCAGGTGGGTGTTGGCCGGGAACGTTATTTCCAGATTGCCAACCCTGATCCGATTGAACCTGAACAGATTGACGCCGTCTGTGACTTTTCAGATGGGGATTGTTCTGAGCAAGGACAAGCCTTGGTTTCTGCGGTGATTCCGGCGTCGGTTTTGGGAAAACAGTGGATAATTTGGGGTCACTGTGATGGATTAGATTAGGATCACGTTTATGACTATGTCGATTGTAGGGAATCACTTACGCCTGCAGTTTTTCATACGAGGATTTGACTATCTGATATAATCCTTCAGGATCAATCATTTCAAGGTCACTAAATGCCTCTGCTAGCCTAGATATTGCCTCCCGTTTCTCCTGGTCGCAGGTATTCGCCAACACCTCCTGGCAAGTCAGGCCGACACCCACGTTATACATTCTCCGACCCAAGATCGCTTCTTTGCTGTTGGGTTCGCTGAAGAGTGTTTTAGGTGCAGAGTTCTCACTCATCCCTGGAATAAACCCGGCCGTGCTACTGATAGAGCTCTGTTTGTCGGAGACCCGACGAAACTGCCTCACAGTCGAAGGCGTATTCCCGAAAGTCATGTCTAGGCCCAAGGGCTGTTTGACGCCACTAGATCGTCGTCGTGTCGAGCGTTTAGATGATGATCTACTCACTGTACCCCGCGTACGGCGGACAGTTGAGTTGGCAACAGGCCTTGGACTAGGTGTCTCGTTTTCAAGGTTCAAGTTGGCAACAGGCCTTGGACTAGGTGTCTCGTTTTCAAGGTTCAAGTTGCGCATCGGCTCAGACGGCTCGTCAACGTATTCAGGGACGGAGACTGATGGCTGCCTCTTCGTATGTAAGCTCTTCGATGGTGTTCCGGCGCCAGGTTTTATCGTATCGAAAACCCAAGCATCATCGTCAACGTTTTTATTTGTGAGTGTATCCCTGAAATGAGTTAGTCTTCATAATAAGGCGAGGAGAAGGGAGCATGTCATACATTGGTTCAGCATAGTATTTGATGTTAGCTGCAAGACCTTTGGTGGCCTCCCATTCTTGCCGGCGTTGAATGAGCTCTTGGAGAGCCTCGGTTTTTCCTGCACCGCGGATAAACTTGTGCTTAAGCAATTCCTTTGCAGTCGGACGCTTATCGGGGTCCTTCTCCAGGCACTGCGCGATGAAATCTCTGAGTTGCCAGCTGTAAGTTGCTCCTTCTAGCCGCGGGGCAGATGCCTTTGGTATCAAGAACAGCACCTTCATCGGATGTGTGCTCGCATGTGGTGGTTCGCCGTTTATCATCTCCATTGCGGTAATACCAAGGGACCAAATATCTGCTTTGAAATCATATCCTGCTTGCTGAATAACTTCCGGCGCCATCCAAAATGGGGTTCCGACGAAGGTGTTTCGTTGCGATTTGATGTTTGTGAGCTGGGCGGCAACACCAAAGTCCGCCAGCTTCACCTTTCCAGTGTGCGAAAGGAGGACGTTCGCAGCCTTGATATCACGATGGATCTTGCCCTCTTGATGAAGGTAGTCTAAACCAAGTAGAAGTTGCTGGCAGATAATAGCGATATGCGCCTCGTTGAATACCCCTGGTTTGAGCTGTATAAGTTAGAACCGCGAAGTTATCACCAAAGCCGGGGGGGGGGAGTCAGAATGTCCTAACCAGGTCCAAGCAAGATCCTCCTCCTAGATATTCCATCACAATCCATAATTTATATCCGCGGAGGAAACTTGTCTTATATTGCGTGACATACGGACTGGCGCAAGTCGACAGCACCGTAATTTCCTGCTGGATTTCTTGTATATCGTCATCGCTGGACTCGAGGTCAATCTAGAGCGCACAGTCACCAGTTAGTTATGAGCTCGTAAAGCTATCATCCCAAGCCTAAACCATACATGTTTGATAGCAACAATCTCTCCCGTAGCCCGGTCAATGGCTTTATAAACAGTTCCAAAGCTTCCACCTACAGCGTTATCAATGTCATTAGCACAGTACACGACACGGCCCATAATGATAAACACTTACTTCCAAGCTCCTCCAGCATCTGGTACTTCGCTGCCATCCCACTTTCGTCCGCCATTGCTGCGTGAAGAGAACGCTCTCACCCCTATCCCAGGTCGGAGGAAGGACGTAGCTCGAAGGCGCTTGATCGCGACCTCGAGAGGCTCCTGTGAGAGGAAGTGATGTGTTGTCGACGGCGACGTCTCTGATCCTCAAAAGCTGCAGCTCGACCTGTACTTGAGCATGGAAGATGCCAATTTTGCAGCATTCGAGGTCGTCAACATCGTCGTCTATGGCAACAGCCGTAGCTAAATCCGCTAGCTCGGAAAGCCAACCGCGGAACCCCTGAAACACGTGACCTGTAGGAAGCTCAGGGTTCAAGCCGAGAATTGCTTTTTTCTTTCTTTTATACTGGAGGTTGACATAAGATAGTGGTGGTCATGCTCATACATATGAAGGTGATATCTCTAAAGCTATGGATACGGTTGGCGATCAAATATACTTATAAGGGTTCATGATCCCATTCTTTGAAACAACAAAACCGTTAGTTGGAAGGCAGATCAAGGAAGAATGGGCTCCTACTCACCGGATCATAGAGCTTCTTTAGTTGCTGCATCAGTTTAACCATTGTCTCATTCCTGCTGTACCCGATATATTCCTTCTTTGCGATTCCTAAGCCGTGTTCTGCGCTGATACTGCCATTGCGCTTCGAGATCCACTCGTATACCCAAGGCTCGATCACCTTTTCGACTTCCTTGCTGTACTGGCGCACCGCAACGTTCAGATGGAGGTTCGAATCGCCCATATGTCCGTAACCAACAACTTTATGAACGGGGAAACTGTCATCATCTCCAATGAGGCCCGCCTTGGTGAGTCGTTCTCGCGTATCTTCAACAAGCTGGTATAGCTCTGTTAGTGGTATCGAGACGTCGTACTTGTATGTGCCGCCTAGATGGCTGAGGGATTCAGTCACGCCTTCACGCCAACGCCAAAGTGCTTGAGCTTGTGATTCATCTTGGGCTAATACGCCATCCGCAACGATGGATTCACCCATCACATGCTCGAGAAAAGCTTCCAGCTTCTCGCTATCGTGTTCGCCATTTGAGCCACTTGTTTCAACAAGGCAATAGAATGGATATGACCCTTCAAGTGGGTGTTTCAAGCCGGTCACTTGACGAACCGCATCTTGACTTGCCCCATCCATCAATTCGAAAGCGGACAGAATCTCTGATAACTGCCCCTTTGCCTCCAAAAACGCTTTGCGAGCAAGTTCAAAGCTCTCCAGTCCAAAGAATGCAACATTTGTTGCCTTTGGTCGTTGAGCACATATAATCGAAACTCCGGTGATGATTCCTATCGTCCCTTCACCTCCGATAAATAGCTGTTTTAAATCGTAACCCGTGTTATTCTTCCTCAGTAGGGACATATCCTCCATTATCGTACCGTCAGGTAGTACCGCCTCAATCCCAAGAACATTACCGTGTAAACTTCCATAACGGAGTAGCCGTAGCCCACCAGCATTCGTTGCAACATTGCCGCCAATATGGCATGAACCTTTTGCACCTAGATCGAGAGGGAAGATATGGTTCTTTTCGGCCAAGAATGTATCTGCCACTTCTAATATCACACCCGCATCAACGGCCAGAACCCCCGAGTTCTCGTCAAATGATCGAATATTATTCATCCGAGAAAGGTTGACGACGATTTCGTCAAACACCGGGACCGATCCGCCCACCAACCCGGTATTCCCACCCTGAGGCACCACTGCGAGCTTCTGCGCATTGCAATATTGCAGTATTTTGCTCACTTCCTGTGTAGACTTAGGCTTTAGTACCAATTTTGCGTGTCCGCGGTATTTTTTCATCCAGTCTCGGTTGAAGGGCTCGATATCGTCCGTAGCATCTGCTGTGACTCCGTCCACCACTGCAGAGCCTCCTCCAAGCAGATCCTTGAAGAATTGGACATGTTCTCCAGTCAATTGCGAAAAGCTTGGGTCTCTTTTCAATTTTGGATACGCATCGGTAGTAAACTTTGCCTGTTTCGAGGTTGGTACGTTGGCGGTTTCGGGGAGACGGAGGCTTGGAGCGGAGGAGAAGTGCGCGATAGCTGTGCGTGGGAGGTAATGAGCGACGTTATTTCGGCGCCCCGTCGTCCCGGAACGACGGAGTGCGTACGATAGCCCTCTTGCACACGACATTGCCAGGATCTTTTGTGATCTGCGAGGTTCACGATGGATGATTGTAAAGGTTGAGTATCATCAAAGAGCTCTGTATTGCCGACCTCGGAATTAAAATCCCGTGATTGTAACTAACTAAATAATTGGCGAGGTCAACCTTAGCAGTTCCGAACGCCGGATCGGAACAACAAATTGGAACAACATTATCAGTAAATAGTTAGTATATTAATATCAGAACTTTATAATATTTACTATCAGTAGCGGACAGTCATGTTGGTCAGGATAATAGGTATTAGGATCGCCGGTTGGCGAGGATCATCTTTACTTCAGGACTTTGTGGCGCGAGAGCCGTCGGGGTTGACGGCAGCCCATAAAAGGGCGACTATGGTAGGTCTCGCGATGAGCATCGTGATGGTGCACATATAGAGATAAATAATTGAAGATAGGTGATAATTAAAGGGGCCATGCCATATACATGCATATATATAGATATGCATCCCCTTTAGTACCTGTTCAAAGTCTTGGTATGATTGTTAGGTTGCAGGTTAATATATTTGATCCCAGTACCTTAACTATTGGCTCCTCCACGCGGGTGTAACTTTAGGGTAGGTCGGTCACTTGTAATATCAAAGGTCGTAGAAGACATACAATAGTCAGGGTCCAATCGAGCGAGAGGACCTGAATTGCATACGTAAACTAGGGAATACATAAGTATAGGCTGATTTATGTATCCCATGGTCCGATACTATACCCCCCCATGGCATTCGGGCCAGAATATAACACCGAGCATAGTATAAGGAGGATTGCAGTATTATCACGCCAGCCACTCGTGAGGCCAACGACATGAGGTGGTACCCTCTCTGCATGTATATATGATTGGGACGTGTCCCTGACCCTTCGGCCGTTAAGCGACCGGACTAGATCTGAGCACAGCTACTTGGCCAATCAGCGAAATAGAGAAATGGGATAGGCTGACTCTCCAATCCCAAAGTTGTAGGAGGAGCCATATAAGGCAAATAGCGGAGTAGAGCAGCAACTGTCTTGTCTTTGCCGATGGCGAGCATGGCTTCGTCGGTGATTGATGGCTAGCCTCCTTCTGGTGGCTCGAGAACAAGGTCTTCCTTGATATACATCGTGGTTAGAAACTGCTGGTAGTAGTCACGGATTGCGGCAATGCAGTCCTGGCGCCTAAATATTATTTATATCAAATATATGTAACAGTTACTAGGTATATATGGAGTACTGGCTTGCTTTACATGGTAATAGTTCAAACCCCTGTATTTCTCGTATTGTAATCTAGCCGGTTTATAACTATGTTTAGTTTGTCATATACCTTGCATGCATCCACTTTCACCTTTTGGTTTCCTTATCTCCTGGTATTTGCGGTTTTGCTGTGCCATTGAGTGTCGCCAGTGTATAGAGATACTCTTTGATCCTATACTAAATAAAGCAGCTACCCGCCTAAGAATACTATATACAGTCATTACCATTTCGTTCCTCGACTTCGGAAAACGTAATGAAGATATCGAGCCTTCTGCTACTGGCGGTCTCCGCTACATTGCTACTAGGGTATTTGACGATGTCGCCACGATCCTGCCCAGCGACCGGCCGACCATCACTATTGACTCCTGGCAGTGTGTGACGGACAATCTCACCAAGTTCTTCGAGATGCCTACACCAACCGGTGCGCTGTTGACGGCTATCGGATCCTTCCCCTTACTGGGTCTATCTCGGTTAGGTACCTTTTGTATCTGCGTTCTTAGAGGCGCACACTATATCCATCGAAAATATGTCCTGGACCATCATTCAGCAGAATCTTACGTCGGGCCCTTGCAATTTGTAAAATGACCCCGTTCACAGCAAATGATAAAATGACTATGAGTAGTAATTTTAAGAAAATTCGATCAAGTGTTAATGTAATAGTATAACTCTATGATAATGGTCCGATCTAGATTCCAAGTCAAAATCACGGAACACACGGATTGGATATTCCAGACCGCAGTATGAAAGATAGGGACATGGAATACCGGAAATAAAAAGGAGTCTTGGCTATGAGCCAATATGTAGAGCCTCCAGAGAACGGGAGATACTCAGCTGCCCAGAGGCCGGAGTACACTGCCAAGAGTTGGCCCTGGCAGCGGGCCGTGCGGCTCTAAGCGGCTTTGACGCGGCCAAGTGGGTAATTAACTACTCACTAGCGGCTCTGTGGGGAACGTATAAAAGTCTGTTTATATATGTTGTATATAGAGGGGTTGGCTATAGTGATATCGTTACTCCGTGGAGTACAGGGGAAAACTTCGGTTCAGGTCTATTGCATGGTTGTTACGTCGGAGCTACCTCCTTGCTCCTTCATAATCGTCTGTATCGCTTCTTCTCTATTGTCATCTCTTATAGGAAAAATGTCCTGAATTCCATAAAAATATGACTGTTAATAAATAGGCTACCGTTCTATTGCTTCTAGCTACATTGGATGCTCTGGAAAAAGATAGTAAGGCTAGTAGAATCTCAGAGTCAAAATTTGAATACCATTCTAATATCACGTCATACTATAGCCGGTGGTCGAACAGGGAGATAGCTATTCAATATTTACTAGCAAATACCCCGGGCGCACGTTAAAAGACCTAAGTACCTTCAATACAGGTATAGGAAATCAATGTCAACTCTTATTGGAAGGTCACTATATATGTTTATTCTTCTTCTTTTTCATTATTAGTTATAGGGCTAGAGCTGAGCTAGATATAGATTTGCACAAGAATTGCCAGTTAGACCCCGACTGCAACAACAAGCAACACAAATCCGCTAGATAAGAAGGTAAAAACAAAAATTCCCTGTAGTCTAGTTGCAGGATCACTAATATAAGATTCTAGATTAAGTTCTTAGCGTATATAGCCGGATCCTATCGTTCTGTGCTTTCTTCTAAGACTTTCTATGCTTTAAAGCTTCCTCTATTATCCTACACGAGCTCGTATCTATTATCTCTAAAGGGAGTATATATAAGATATCTCCTATAGCTATATTGGGATCTACCAAGTGCTTTAGTAAAAATATCAGGGTAATTGCAACGATACACAACCCATTAAGGGAACCGGAATTTACTACTGGCCTTGAGATATAGCCGAAGGAAACTGTGCTATAATCGACCTTCGGAAGCGCACACAAGGTAGATAGAGCGTTCCTATTCGCAGCTGTATACATACAGAGTATAGAGTACATATGGTTATGGTGCTTACTATGTGTGTATGAGATTAGTGAACGCGCATCATCACTGTCCTAGTTCAACTCTTCACGGTCCCTAAGATGCCTCCTTAATATCTTTCCACTGGTACCCCTCGGAATTTCTTCAATGAATTCGACGCCGCCAGAAAGCCACTTGTAGAAGGCTTTGTGGGTTTCAACATAATGTTTGATATCACTCATCAGTAGATTATCTTCGGTTGTCACTCCTGGTTCTCTCACTACAAACGCTTTCGGCACTTTTAGACCATTGTCATCCTCCACGCCAATGACGGCTGCATCAGCAATTACTGGATGTGTGACAAGGAGTGCTTCCAGCTCAGCGGGGGCGACTCGAAAGCCCTATATTCAGATTTAATTTTAGTTTACTTTAACAATATTGAAGAAGCCGAAGTCGAAGCTGGCGATTACCTTGACATTTATGAGCTCCGTAACCCGATCAATGATGAAAACATGATCATCACCATTCTCATTGGGTCTGAACATGGCCTCATCTCCTGTTCGGAGCCAATTATTTTGAAATACCTCTTTTGTCGCCGGTTCATTATGAAGATACCCCAAGGCGACTGTTGGGCCCTTCAACCATAGCTCACCGGGCTCATTGTGATTCGTTATGTCGACTCCGTCTGAAGATACCAACCGTGCTTCAAGCAATGAGGACATTGGCCCTGAGGACCCAATATATATATCGTGTGTACCAGTGATCGTGACAACCCCAGTCATTTCGGTAAGTCCTAGGATCCCACAATTAACTTACAAACTGGCTCGACATGAATGACACCGAGAGTACAAAAAAACCTTACCATAAGCTTGTCTAAGATTCCATTTTGGTTGTATCGCATGTAGATCCTCCACGATCTCAGGTAGCAGCGGAGCACCCCCGACAATGATCTGGCGAATACTACTGAGGTCAAACTTCCCCATGAGCTCTTCATTTTCGACGAGTTTGATCAACATTGGGGGAACCTATAGCACATCGGTGATCAGTCATTGCCCCTGTACGTCTTTTCCTTGTTTTCGAAAGGAGTCTAGACTACTCACGAGATATACGGTGGTTATCTGGTATTCCTGGATCGCTTGAAATAGGCCATCAACTTCGAACCTGGGCGAGACAACCACGGACTCCCCCTGATATGCAGCAGCGTTGGCGACTACAAGGCCGTATATGTGGCTAAATAGCACTGGCCCTGCAATTATATCTTTCTGGTCGTTCTCCCGGCCGGATTCCCCAAACGCCTGAAGCAATAGGATCTGGGCAATCATATTCTGATGCGAAATCATAACTCCTTTCTATGCATCTGTGTTAGCAGCAAGGATCTAGCTGTTCTAGATATATAGACACACACCCGCGACCCAAATGTCCCACTGGTGACACACAAATAAGCGCATTGCTGGGTACCCTGTCCCTTTTCCCACCGTAATGGCTCAATTTCATCCAGATTTGAGCCACTGTCAATCAGCTGGGATACCGTAGTGAATTTTTGGGGGTCAGAGGTTTTGGTCGCCTCCTCCCCAGGCGTGTCTAGGAGATACACATGCTCCCTAGGAATTCCACAGCTCTCTGCGGCTGTCACTGCCGTAGCGAGAAGGGATGTGCATGTGAATAATGCAACGGCCTTCGATTCTCTAAGGAACTGTATAAGTTCCTCTGTGGAGGACGTTGGATTTGCCAATGCTGCTATTCCCGATAGTCGATGAACAGCCCACCCAAGTGGTAGGTAATCAGCCTGGTCATGAGAGAGCGTTAACTCACTACTTGTTGGCCACCTTTTTGGAAAACCTTCGAATAAATCACTATGGCCCGAAATTAATGGGAAACGATATCATACCGTGTTTAGCGAAAATATGCCAACCACCTTATTCCACTCAGACCCTTGATTCGGGTGCCATCCTAGTTGTTGGGACAAAGACTTCGCGAGATGCTCTACTCTGTTGCGTACTTCAACTGCAGTATAGCTATCTCCTGAGCCTGGAAGGAATGGGGTTTTAGATTCAGCAAAGAGCGCCCGTCCGTGTTGTTCATCGAGGATAAATTCACAAAGAGGTATAGAGTCCAGAACCGAAATAGGCGCAGCCCAGCTAGGAGCACGGAACACCATGGCTTTCAACAATATAGTTAAACAAACTCGCCAGTCGTCAATGTGTCTACAATATCTTGCACCAACGAAGTCATCTCACAGGTGGGGTATACGGATTGAAACATGGGTTACATGGCATGGCCAAGAGTCGGCTGTGGGAGGCCATCGTGGCTCGAAAAATAGAATATTCTGATTTGCTGTAGATTTAAATTGCTAATATGACCGTTTTCTACTAGATCAGATTGCTGAATACGCTGAATGCCGTTAACGATAATTTACTAGCGCATTTACAGAAACTGATTGCGCGTCTCCGTATTAAACACGCATGAATGGTCCTCCTCAAATATAAAACCATGCAAGCTATGTCAGGGATCAATCTATTCCTCCGTGATCCTGGAATGGCAGGTTTTGCAAGGGTTCCTCTCATTTTCCCTCTGTCTCTACAATTTCTATCCCTTGCTAAGGGAAATTGGCCCCTTTTGTATCGGCGGTTGCGATTCTAGTTTAGTTATATAAAGTTCTACGCGTTTAAAGACGATAAAATTGCCCACCTCCGCGTCTATTAAATGCGCCCATTTCAGTTCTATATATATATAAAATATGTATTAAAAGACGAAACGTCGTTATTGCCCCTCGCTTCATAGCGTTTCTCCTCCCTTAACGTGACACTGCGTTTTGCAGTAGCTGAAATCAGTTCTCCGAGAAATATATTGAATATCCGCTCTAGGCTCGGTCTCCCGCGTTCCTGAATTCGAAAAACGTTCTTTTCTTTGTATTGAAAGATGCTGCCATAGATGAAAAAGAACTTCCCTCAAAAGTTGGACACCATTTGCAACCATTCCTCTCTGGATTCGACTCTGCCCGCCCGGACTCTCCTGGTGAAATAATCATCATGCCCGATGTGGATGAGTTCAGCGGTCGATATCGCCACCCGCGATACACGCATTCCGACAGTAGGAGAGGATCTAAGATAGTCGTCGGTTTGATATCTACAGCTTTTGTGCCCTGCTGACGGAGTTAGGAAGACGGGGAACAGTTGACATGATGCAAAAGGAATATACGGCGCAGAAAAAGAGGGTTCAGCAAAAGCCACAGATCCCCACTCCTCCACCTTCGTTGCAGGATTTCCAGCGGTACTCGCAGACTCGGTGCGTTGAATCCCTTGGGTTTAGAATGGAAAAGATTTGTATGAATGCCATTAGATTCTGCTTAAATGGTAGTGGGCATATGGAAGAATCCGAAGCTCCGGGTCCTGACGCGGCCGTAGAAGAGCTGTTGGTTGATAGGCTAAAATAACGAAGTTGTTGTTGAGCTCTCTAAGTGTACTGTTCAGGTAGACCAGAGAACCAAATAGTTTTACCAGCTTAAAGATCTTCGTTATGATACAACTAGGATCGCATTCTGGGTAGAGCACACGCTTAATCAGACACCACCCTCTGCTTCTTCTGAATTATGACCTCAGCATTTCCACTCCATTACTTAGCAATCTTGGCACAAGATACCTCACAATACACCATTGTACCTTCGACTATTTTCTAGTCTTTAGCTCTCGGGTTCATGCATGAAGCTATCAGCTAGCTACCCCAGGGACAACTATGACTCACCTTACGCCGCGGTCCTCGACATGGTGCATCGTCATGATACTTCCAACGATTTGTTGCTTGCTCATTTCAATAGGAGGAAACACCCCATAAGCTGGAAGTAGGGGTATAGTGGTGGAAGAGCATCATACTCTTCGCACGTAGAGGAATAATTGGCGAGCTAATGATCTGGCTGCTGGTGCCCTCGGACGCGTTTAAAAGTATCATTATATTATTTGCCAGAATACCCATAGCTCAATGGAGTATGCTACATTTGTAGATCGTATAAACAATGAGAGTGAAATTCCTAACGGCCAGGTTAAGAAAAGGAAGATTAAGCTTAAAAACTCCCGAACTTTAGGTCTCACTTGGTGTCCACGTCACGTGATACTTCTCCTTGTTCATGGTCGGACCTCGTTAGTTAGCTTAGGTGGTTATCCTTTCAAACTAGCAAGATATTCAAGACCTCTCTTCTTTGTAACTTCCTTGACATAATCTTCTCCCTTCTCCCCGAATATGTCCACACCCCAAAAGAGCGGTTGGCTTGCGCGGGCATTACGGTCGAGGGCGTTAATTTCCTCGATAGCAGACTGCGAAAGCTCAAAGTCTGTAAATTTGCAAGTTAGAAGTTAACGCAATAACAGCTATCTAGGTAGGATTGGATGTTCAACTAGCCTTTAAAATTGTCGATGATTCTTTCGGCCGTCACGCTCTTGGGGAGGACAATAGTACCTCGCTGAACGTGCCATGCAATTAGGACTCGAGCAGGGCTTACTCCATGTTCCTTCGCGATTTTATGAATCACCTCATCATCCATAGCCCTACAAAGGTTCGTCGCTTGTCAGTCAAAGTGATGCTTTATTACTCATGTATAACGAGTATAAGGTTCGATCAATGGCATACCGAGGCATGTTATGAAGACTGTTTCCCAAGGGGCTGTACGCTTCCAAGAATATATTCTTTCCGACAGGTATTTCTTCAATTCGGTTTGTTGAAAGTACGGATGTGTTTCTACCTGGTTTATCGCTGGCGGTATCTCTGCACTATAGCCCTGTCAGGTTGATATAGAACATATCTCAACATGTAGCGCGAAAGAAAAGGTGGACGGTGAGTACATGGTTTAGAAATGGCACTTACTATTTGAGCAGGTCATCGATCCTCTCCTTGCTGAAGTTGCTTACACCGATACTCCTTACTTTGCCTTTCTTAACCAAGGCTTCCATCGCCTTCCAGGTGTCTTTCATAGTAACCTCCGTGTCCAACTGGAGCTGGCCCGTTTCTGCATCCTTTGGCAGCAATATCTCACCTGGGATAAAGGCCACGGGCCAATGAACCAAGTAGAGATCTAAATAGCTAAACCCAAGGTCTCGAAGGGTCTTATCGCAAGCAGGTTCGACGTTCTCAGGTCGATGGTGAATATTCCATAATTTGGAAGTCAAGAAAACCTCTTCGCGAGGAACTCCTGAGTTTTTCAACCCCAAGCCAACTTCTACTTCATTCCTATAAGCGAATGCACCGTCGATGTGTCTGTACCCTGCTTTCAACGCTACCTCAACGGCCTTTTCGACTTCATGTTGCTTGGATTGCTGCGGATCGAAGTTATAAAGCAAGTTAATCACAGGACGCAACGTGGACATCGAAATTAGGGAATCATCGTTTACCAACCCAAGTTCCCAATCCGACTGCTGGTATCTTAAACCCCGAGTTTAGAGTAAACGTAACTTTGCTCGCCATTGGTGTGTCTAGCTCAAAGAGTCCCTGTGAATAATCACCTTCTCGACGTATTGCGTGGCAAAGGAGCCTTGGTTTATAGTCGACATTCCCGAGGCCCCTCACTCGTACGAAAGCCGCATATCGCTACCCCCCACCTTTGTCCCTTGTCCCTGCAGAGTTGCGATCGTTATCCAGACCAATAAGCTTGCCCTGACGAGGTTGGACGATAACGTCAGATGTGAGCTGTCTACATTTCAGCCCATCTGACGTCTGCGGTCCGCGGGATGCCTCTTCCCCGTATTCTCCCTGGCATTTTACCTGACAAGGTCCCCAGTCCTCTACTTCTCTATCTTTGCCTTCATTGAACGGATGTTTAAATCCCTCTAGGAATTATCCAGATACTGTGTTATTTGACTTACCGCCCGGCCGACTGATCGCATGTACTCGGTAGTTCGTAATCATGTAGTCACCGTCTCCCTGCGCCCTCAATCACCAAGATATGCTAACAGACTCCTAAGACGTGGCTCCATTGAGTGTAAACATAAGATTCCTAGCCAGGGTCATAGCCTACTGTTGAACGGAGATTCGGTGTAATACTGCCTGATCGTACGAAACACGTTAGTCAACTACGCCGTTTCATTAAATATCAGTGTCAGCTCTCCATCATCGAACAAATGCTACGCCCGGCGTTTTAACGCCTGTTTCAGCTGTAGCTGGCATCTCCGCGATGGCAAGATACATGGCCGTATGAGGAACATAAATAGGAGCTCAATATCGTGTATTTAGATGATCAGTGCTTGATAGATTGAAATCTCATAGATTGCTCCAGACCCACCTGACCAATCAAATCAATCAAATATCTCGTATCTCAGACCTACCAAGTAGCTGGATAACGGGGGAGAGGAATTGGGCACGGCCTGTGAAGTAGTGAATTAAACGGTTAGTTAGAAACTGTCCATATCCACAACAGGAAAACATATAATATTCTACTAAAGGTTAGCATATTTGACAATAATTGAGATATACAGGTTTTATTGATCCTCAACTTCTTAAAAATGTAGGAAGTAGCAAAAATTTGCCTAATACACACCTTGTCATTCCACCATTCCCACAGCAGCTCTCCAAATATTTATTGTTCTTAGTGATAGGAAGGCCATGGGGGTATATGGAATATGCGGCCTTTGCTGAACGATTGACACTAATATAGAAAGGCAGCCATACCGCCGATAATAGTCCAGTTCATCGAAGGAAAGGCTCAGGATTTGCGTGTGCTCACTATCAGAGCCTACATCCTGCTATATTAGTGACACGCCATGGTGGATTGAAGATCATCAAAGGCTATTGGATCTAGACGCCTCATGCTGAGTATCAAGATCGGTGTTGTATCCAAGATGACCAAACCTGGTTCCACAAGGATAGGAGTGAAGCGTAATTTTGCTATCCTCCATGATAATCGAGGTGATGCTGTTGATATTGGTTTAGGTAGCAAGTCTATTGTCCAATTCATATGAAATCAATACCTAGCTAGCTATTGCATTTGGTTGATCGTCCTATCTAGGGGCCTGGGAGGGCTTTTATGGCTAAACGGCGGTCGTATACTGGATATCTTAGCAGCAGGGTATCCCACTGCAGCGTAAAGCTAACCCATAGTAGTAAGGGAGCCTCCTGAGTAAATATTATAGGCATGTAGTTATCAAAACAGGAAGAAAAGAACAAGCTGGGGTGTGAAGCGAATATTTACGTGAGCCGCGCGCTTATCTTGGCGCGCGGTGCTGGAACCAAGCTCCAAGGCACCCGCAACTCACGTCAACACAGGTGTCTCCATGCGAAGCTCTCTTCAACAACAGTCCGCCCTACCACCACTCAGACAAACCACAAACTCTCCTCTGTTCATTTGTATTCTTCTAGTCCTGACATTCGAGGTTGTGTGGTGATCAATTCAACAGCTCAGCATGGCTTCAGGATACGACAGAGCTCTTTCAGGTAGGTGAACTCACTCCCAACGCTGGCTACAATCCCTTTTGCTAACATAGGCGCAACAGTCTTCAGGTATGGTGCTACACATTGCTCTACTATATATATCCCTCCCTAATGCGTTGGTATAGTCCCGATGGACACGTCTTCCAGGTAGAGTATGCCTTGGAGGCCGTCAAGCGAGGTACGCAAGCCCGAATTCCCCTCCGTACAGCTCCGTTCTCAAGCTCCGCCAAACTTACATGAAACAGGCACCTGCGCCGTTGGAGTTAAGGGCGAGGGAATCGTAGTGCTTGGCTGTGAGAAACGTTCGGCGATGAAATTACAAGATACACGGATTACGCCTTCGAAAATCGGCCTGATTGATAACCATGTTTGCCTTGCCTTTGCTGGTCTTAACGCCGATGCTAGAATATTGGTGGACAAAGCTAGAGTCGAAGCCCAATCACACCGACTTACGGTTGAAGACCCAGTGACGATCGAGTACATCACGAAATATGTTGCTGGTGTGCAACAACGATACACGCAGAGCGGTGGTGTTCGCCCATTCGGAATTAGTACCCTAATCGTTGGCTTCGACAATGGCGACAAAACCCCACGACTCTACCAGACAGAACCCTCCGGCATATACTCTGCATGGTATGTTTAAACAGTGGCGAGGGAATATATGGGACTATTGCTAAGAGGTTACTTTAGGAAAGCAAATGCCATCGGTCGATCAAGCAAGACTGTTAGAGAGTTCCTCGAAAGACATCACAAGGATGGTATGGACCGGGAAGCCACTATCCAGCTTACCATCAAGTCCCTTCTCGAGGTCGTGCAGACTGGGGCCAAGAATATCGAAATCGCCATCATGGCTCCCGGCAAGCCTATGGAGCTCCTTCCCAGCGACCAGATTGAGGACCACGTCAAGAGCATAGAGGCAGAGAAGCAGGAGGAGGCAGCCAAGAAGAAGACTGGCCGGACTCCAGGAACTGGAACTGCTGCGATATTGACCAGACAAGCCGGCGAAGGCTCGTCCAGCTGAATGGATAGCTAAGACATAGGAGAAGTGAATAGATGTCAGGACGAATTACAGTTATAAAACTTCTTATTTTACGCCATGTGCATGCTCATGTATCGGGTATAAATTATTTAAATCGCTGTATCTCTCCCACACGACCACCAAAGCCCACCCTCCTTCGTATCTCTTTTCATCGTAAAACATCACAAGCCCTCAGCTTGAAATCAGCCCTTTATCCAAGTCGATTTGGCGCATCTTTAACATCAAATATAGAGCGTTCTTCCTCTGGCTTCAATCGCTCATCCTTCAACATTCTCGCATCCTTTCTTGGGTCTTCTCCCTCCAGGTTCACCACCGGTTTAGGCGTAAGGGCATCGAGCACGAAATGGTTATCGCAGTGTGGGCAATACTCGTCACTATAACCAGCCAAAGTCAGATCAACGTCAACCATAGCCGGTTCAAAGCACAACACTTACCTCTCTTCAAACTCAGCTGCGTCCTTTCGAAAGCATTTCTTGCACTTTTTGCAGGCAAGGGTCTATCCTCCCGTTAGACGTGTTTAACCCTATATCCGTCTCGCTCTATATCCTGCTCACCATTTCCATGGACTGAAGCAGCGCATGGCTTTCCTGTTCCTTGTGGCAATCCGCACAGTCAAACCACCTACGGCCTAATGAAATAAGTAACGGTTTCCCAACGTCGATTATCCGGCAGCCTTACAGCATGGCGATCGAACCGAGACCTGGGCGTTGAGGATATGCTTGCTGCAATTCAGGACACAGTCAACTTAGCCGACTTTCTACTTGAGCAAACGCAGCATAGGGTGTATATGGCGTACCACATCTCGATCAGCACTGAGCAGCGATACAGAGAAATAGATGTTGGTCGAGTGCACAACGAGTGCTGCGAATAAATGTATCCCACCAACTCGTCCAGTCCAAAGTCAAGGTCAAGGGTGGGCTGTCGAAGATGTAACCGCAGAACAACTAGTATTGTCAGGTGCGTAAGACGTCGTATTTATACAACCAACAGGCATTAAGCACACAGCTTGACCGTATATTTATACCAATACTATCATCTCTATAAACTTACGCAGATAGAGAAATTCTCTAGGCCATTTCACTATGCGATGATGATTACTTTAGACAGAGGTTTCAGGGGTACGAGAGTAGCAGTTAAATATACCTAGGTATGATTGGTTGATATGCTTAGTAATATTAATAAAGTGACCAATAATATCGAGTAACGCGAACCAATCACATAATTATATTACACTAAATACCACTCAAACACACTGAATATCCTCGTTTCAACAATAAGATGAGAACCATATAATATTATATATTATTTTGGTGTTACTATGAAATGTCTAGCTCATCAAGTACTCCGTATTGTCGTGGGCTTTTGTTGATGCAGTCACCTATAGAATACCAAGTTTTTCCAGTAATACTCGGTAACTCGGATATTACGAGCCGGGATCCTCCAAAAAGGGGTGGCAGCTACAAGCGTCAACGAGGAATGCTTATAATGATGCGTTAAGCAAATATGAATAGTCAAGGTCGATCTGCGATATAGGTTTTGTTCCTTTTTCCTTCTTCACGTTCGTCATCGTTTACGCGGTCAGGGCGCAGTTCCTGTTCTTCAGCCAGGAGGCCGGAGCAAGCAGCTTCCGTCTGGCGCCATGGACAAGCTCGACATGCCAAAGCCACCCCTATAAAACGATGCCAGGAACAACTCTTCCTGCACTCTTAATTAGCGGAGTCAGGATACTTTCTATCTATCCCTGGACCTTAAGTACATATAATGGTCGCTCATACGGAGCAGAAGTACGACTTTGGCGGGCCGTAAGTTCATTTTCTCCGGCTATACTCTCCGCATAGCTCAGAAAGATTCTAATATGATACCCTAGGCTAGGCGCTACTGCCATTACATTTGGGCTTCCTGTTCTTCTCAACGTCTTTGCATTTGGCTGTAATGATGTGGCCGGCTGCCCGATACCGTCCCTCCTGCACCCTAGCACTTTTTCTTGGGACCAGTTCAAGTTGGAGACCGGATGGCCAAAGGGTGGCATCTGGGACCTCTTTAGCTTGAAAGTCACCGGTGTCATGCTGTGCTACTACCTCGTGAGTATGATTCTCTGGAGGATTCTTCCCGCGCAAGAAACCCAGGGCACGAAACTGGTACATCATGGCCGGCCGTTAAATTATCGATTCAACGGTGAGTTATATGCTTGAAGTTCAAGATGTAAGATGTCTATGTACGGCCATAGCTGATAATTCTTTGCCTAGCGTTCATCTCCAGCATTGTTCATCTAGTCTTCTGTGCTGTTGGAACGCACTTTCAGGGAGCCGATTTCTTCGTCTGGACGTATATCACAGACAACTATATCCAGTTGTTGATAGCCAACATTGTGATAGCTTATGCGATCTCTATCTTCGTATATGCCAACAGCTTCACCGTGAACACAAACTATCCTAACAGCGAGCTCCGCGAATTAGCCATACGGGGCAACACAGGCAACACAATCTACGATTTCTATATCGGTCGTGAGCTGAACCCGCGAGTCACACTTCCAATCTTTGGGGAAGTCGATCTCAAGACCTGGTTAGAAATGCGTCCTGGTCTAACTGGCTGGATCCTACTCGATCTCGCGTTTGCTGCAAAGCAGTACCGCACCTACGGCTACCTCTCCGATAGCATGATATTTACTGCTTTCGTGCAAGCATTTTACGCGCTGGATGGGCAACGCAAGGAGTCCAACATCCTAACCATGATGGACACTACTACCGACGGCCTGGGATTCATGCTCACCTTCGGCGACATTGTTTGGGTACCTTTCCTCTACTCGACTCAGTGCCGCTACCTGTCCGTCTACCCCGTACACCTCGGATGGGTGGGCGTCGCGATCGTGAGCGCCGTGTTTTCTCTAGGACTGTACATATTCCGAGCATCAAACACGCAAAAGGACGTTTTCCGTACACGGCCCGACGATCCAAGCGTGGCAGGGCTGTCGTACATACAAACCAAGCGTGGAACGAGACTGCTCACGGCAGGATGGTGGGGGACGTCTCGCCATATCAACTACTTTGGTGACTGGCTACAGGCATCGCCCTTTAGTTGGCCTACCGGTCTAGCTGGCTATATGATCGTTCCAGCCGGGAGTGTTGCCGCTGCGTCTCATACCTTCACGATGCTTGATGGTCGGGAAGTAGTGCAAGGCGAGGCTAAGGGCTGGGGAATGATCTTTACATACTTCTATGTGCTGTACTTTGCCGTTTTGCTGATGCACCGCGAGCGCAGAGACGACGGAGCGTGTTTGAAGAAGTATGGCGAGGACTGGAAAAGGTACAGGGAAATAGTCAAGTGGAGGATCCTGCCTTGGGTGTACTAGATGGAAGCTTGGGATAATACATAGACTAGAGTTGGTTCTATAGATGCAAATCTTTGTCTCTCTTCTTTATTCTCTAATATAGTTCCAGACTAGGCTGAAGATTAGAGGCTATCTTTATCTGATTATCGCCTATCCTTAACTTCCGGCTCGTTCTACAATAGCCGTATATCTGTCTTTTGCTGTCCTGCGCATCTTATCCTACTCCTATCTACATCCTACATATCCATAGCTGCCCTATCTTAAACCCCCCATAGACTTGACCTATAGACATAACCGATAGACATAACCTATAGTCTTAACCTATCGACTTAACTATAGACTTAACTATAGACTTAACCTCCCTATCTAGATATCTATGTATATAAAGTGCGTGGTGATAACAGTTTAACGAGGAGATGGTGCGTGGCATCTGCATCGGCCACCAAGATCTGTGTGGAGCCTGGTGGGGAAGGCCGTGGCGCGTGGCAGTAGTACCTGGACGATGGATAACATGGTGACGTCGCTGGTCACTCCACGTAATTTCATGTCGCCAACTCCGTCCTCTGCGTACAATTTCTTCTTCCTCCCGCCTCTCCGCCATCAGCTGAAATGAAAAGGACAGTTCACGATTCTCAATATCAGGTCCGACTATTCAGAAAAAGCAAAGACGGAGGCACGCCCTAGGTGGTTTCCAACGCAGGCTCGCCCTCTCAGCTGCCATCTCGAATGAGCCACCCGCCAAATCCATCGCTTCCTCCCAGCAGTTCTGGGATGTTTGGCTTGGATTTCGTCGTTGCCTGCAGCCATACCCAGTCTCATACCGTCGCCTCTGGTGCCTGGATGTTTACACCCTTTGTTGAATTATTGAAGGAAGTTCGGGTGGTTGCCTTTGGACGGTTGGTTTGGTGGAATATAATTTAACAGAAGCTTGTGGCGGCCCTATCCTGCGTTTACCATGAGTGCAAACGAGGAGGAGGGAACTGATCAGCAGCCTATCGTGAGTCGCAAACTACCCTGCCGTCCCTGTTTCAAGACATCGTGGAGCTAATCGATATGTTATCCATTATAGAGGCCGGTGTCGTCGCTCCTGTCCCATTTCGAGAACCTCTCCCATACCAAACGTGCGCCTGAAGCTCAAGATGGACCTGGATCGTTATTAAAAGCACCAACGCCAGCAGATAATGCTACGGCAGGCCGGATTTCACTAGATCTGCCCCGATCCAACTCGCCATGGGGGGGTTCACAGCGGCCCACCCAAAGCTTCCTACGGCCCCAGCAGACTGGGGATTCTCCAACCCGTCGTCTCCAGGCACGTCCGTTGTCTATGAATATACAATCTACACCTCCTGGACGGCCAGTGTTTACCGTTGAGTCGCCACGACCTTCTCCGGAACCGAATTTCCCGCAGAATCAGAGTCTCCCGCAGAACCAGAGCCGCGCATCCTACGCCCTACACGTTCCTAATGGACATTCAACGTTGAACGAACCGTCTACCAGCCCTGCCTCCTCTTCTCGCACCTCCACTCGTCCTACGACCCCTCTCAGTGATCCTTCTAATACGGCTCCAATAGACGGCCGGCGTACGACTCCAGTGAGCCAGCGCACTGGGAATAATGGGAAAAGTACCTCTGTGCCTCCACCTGTAAACAGGGCGGAGAAGCCGAAGATACCAGCTAAGAAACCCGGCATATCACCCAACCATGATGTCACAACCTCGAATACATTGGCTCCTTCGTCTTCGTCCCAGCGTACATCGATGGAAGATAGGGTATCACCCTTCAGCACACCTCCTAGCAGCCCGGAGAAAATACCGGGGGCATCAAAGTTCAATGGCGTCCCTGAACTCACGAGCCTGAGTGAGCTAGATACGCCAACCCGAATTCCTAAAACTCAGCAAGGTCTACGTTCACAATCAGGGCCTATTTCTCGCGAAGGTCCGCCAGTGTCGAGATTAACAAAGCAGAAGAATTTAATCACCGACATGGCTCCCAGTTCGATCCCCCCTCACCCTCAACCAGCCATAGGCGCCAAAATCATGAGTGTGGCTACCACCACGCCGACGCCCGGCGGTAGTTATGATCCAGAAAATAGGCAAAGTGCGCCGAGACGACGTCTATCACCTGCGCCGCCGCGTAGGCTGGAGACACCACAGACCTTTGTGCCTCCTTCCAGGGATGAGCCACCCAGCCCTCAAAGAGTAGTGTCTGCTACGGAACCCCAGAAACAAAGCACATTCAAACCACCACCTAGGTCATCTAGCATAAAATATGTGAAGCCAACGCCTCCTCCGCCTCCCCCGCCTCGCAGAGACACAAGTAATCTCTCGGCGAAATCCACTCAACATACAGACAAGCCTCCGCCTCCGCCTCCGCCTCCACCTGCAAACCCACCAGTACGACAGCGGCCGCCAGCAGCCATCCATTCCAGTGACCAAGATGCAGTTAAGTTCCTAGAACAGCTTACTCGCTCATCACATCGCGCTGAGCCTGCTGTTGTGACCGATTCGGATATCCATCCAGATGCCACTCATACAAACCGTCGCCCACCATTTTTCAGATCGGGTGCCGCTGGTGTCCACACCAAGTATGATACCCGGGTGTTCGATGTTTGTGGACAGTACGCTTGTACGACAGGTTACTTTACCAGGGTTTGGGATCTTGTGACAGGAGAGATGATCATGAGTCTAAACCACGGCGAAACAGTAAAGGGCTCTGCCATTGCGTTCAAACCCGGAAGGAGTATTGATGAGGAGGGAGCCTTAATCTGGATTGGTACAACTGCCGGCGAGATACAGGAGGTCGACGTTAGAACCCAATCTATCGTCAATACCCGACCTGCCCACTCTCGACGGGAAATTATCAGGATATACAGGTACCAGAAGGAACTCTGGTCATTAGACGACGAAGGGAAACTCCTGGTCTGGGTTCCAGATGAGTCAGGCTCACCGAATCTGCAATATAGCTATAACCACCCGTACGACCGGATGGTAAAGGGGCACACCTTTTCGATGGTTGTAGGCGATATAATCTGGTACGCGACAGGCAAGGAGGTACGGCTATATCAACCTCATGCCCAGGATACTACTTTCCAGGTTCTCAAATCGCCGCTAGGCAAACATCACGCCAGTGAGGTAACTTGTGGAACGATGTCTACGAAAAACGGTGGCATGGTATATCTTGGCCACGCAGATGGCAAATTGACCATTTACAGCTCTCAGGATTATGCCTATCTTGGAACTGTTACTGTCAGCATGTACAAGATCAGTTCGCTGGCTGCTGTTGGGGACTATCTATGGGCAAGCTATAAGACCGGCATGATTTACGTGTACGATACGTCAACGAGTCCATGGACAGTCAAAAAGGACTGGAATGCGCATGACCATGGAGTTTGTGGAATGACACTTGACCTAAGCTCTGTGTGGACGATTAATAAACTTCAAGTCGTATCTCTTGGTGTCGATAATTATATCCGTGTCTGGGATGCTATGCTTGAGGATGACTGGCTAGGTATGTTCAGCCGCCACTAAATTTATCTTGGAACTTTATGAAGTGAAGTGATAATTAACACCCAATCTAGAGGCAAAGATGCAAAGCAAGGATGTCGAATACTGCCAATTCCGAGAAATTTCTGCAGCGATCGTAACATGGAATGCTGGTGCAGTTGTTCCTGGAAAACTGCCAAATAGCAACTTCATACGAGATGCTATTCACCCAGAGAATGCACCGGATATTCTAGTCTTTGGTTTCCAAGAGCTTGTAGACTTGGAAGACAAGAAGATCACAGCAAGTTAGTAAACGTGATTCTTTTAGCTCTTTTTCAGGAAATCGCTAACCCCTTCCTTCCAGAGAGCTTTCTCAAGGGAAAAAAGAAGGACGCAGACAAAGAGACGATGAGTCGGCAGTATCGTGTGTGGAAGGATTATCTCGCATCATGTATCAGAGACCATATGCCAAATAACGAGTCATATGTCCTTCTACACACAGCAAGCCTTATCGGCTTGTTTACTTGTGTATTTGTAAGACAAGATACGCGCGAACGGATTTCAAACGTAAGCGCGGCAGAGGTTAAGCGAGGAATGGGTGGACTCCATGGGAACAAGGTATATACCAACCAATACCCCTTACTTTCTTAGTTTCTGAAATGCTAACCGCTATCGTCAGGGCGCACTTATCCTCCGATTTTTCTTAGACGACAGCTCACTATGCTTTGTCAATTGTCATTTAGCCGCAGGTCAAACCCAGACAGCGAACAGAAACAACGACATCGCCGCAATCATGGAAAGTGAGGCACTTCCTAAAGAGCCAAGCATGTCAGCTCGAATAGATCGATTCGCCGGCGGCGGAGACGGATCCATGATTCTCGATCATGAAATTTGCATCTTAAATGGCGATCTCAACTACCGTATTGACTCGATTCCGCGAAATACAGTGATAGAAGCGGTTAAAGCCAATAACCTCCCGAAACTCCTAGACAGGGACCAACTTCTAGCTTCAAAGCGAAAGAATCCTGGGTTCCGACTTCGTACATTTAACGAAGCACCAATCACGTTTGCACCAACGTATAAATACGATGTGGGAACTGATGATTATGATTCGAGCGAGAAGAAGCGAGCTCCGGCATGGTGTGATCGACTTCTATATCGTGGGTTCGGCCGTGTCAAGCAGCTAGAGTATAGACGGCACGAAGTCCGTGTTTCCGACCACAGGCCTGTTAGCGGTACTTTCAAGATGCGTGTCAAATCTATAATTCCAAAAAAGCGCACAGCCACATGGGAGGCTTGTCAGGAGGAATTTCTCCAGGAGAGACAGCGTTTAGCAACCGAAGCTAGGTATGCATGTATCTCCCTTTCTCACCATACTATCAACTGCTAACCTGGCTAAATAGCGTTTCTTACCTTGTTCGTTTTCTCGGGTTAAGTCCACGAGAAGCCTATACATTAATAACAACTCCGCCATGAGCATGATATCCAGCCTTGCCCTTTACTTCTCCTTGTGCGATGAAAGAGTTTTCATCTCATACGCGCTCACGAATTTATGATACCACATAGAACCAGTGATGACGAGCGAATGCCTATATCTTTATCATCCCAATAATTGCATTTAATTCGACCCCCAATCTCTTCCTTTACCTTTTCGAGCCCTGAGCTTCTTCGTTTCTTGTAAATAGCTTCTCCGCATACTTGAGCTTGAGGTTTACCGGTTTCTACTGGGTTCTTAAGAGGCTAACTTATATCTATAATGAGCTAATTGCATCAGGGTACTGTTTTCTTAATGTCACTGGGTTTTGTGGAAATTCTGCTGGACTGTTAGAGAAGAATTACTGCTCCAAGTCACCTAATTCATGGTGCTATTTAATGGATACCTTAAGTCAAGAGCGCACCAGGGTAATCTCAAGGAACCATCTAAGAGTAAGCCTAGCTTAGGTCTAAGGGCATCTTTAACCAAATGGTAGTTAAGGGCAGTCTTCTCAAGTGTCAGTCATCGGGTAAGATGTCCAGGCGTGCAAAGCAGCAGGCCATTAACATCCACCGTTTCCGATATATGTGCCTCCTCATTCGCTTTCTTCTCCGCTTCATCCACCTCAGGATACAACCTACAGTTCAAATAATAGCTGATATCGCTCTCCCCATCAAACTCTTCAGTCGTGAACCCACTCCCCAAATACCCCCATCGATTCCCACTCCAATACTCAATCTCATAATCTTCAAACTTGGGTTCCGACATAACGTCAAAAAACGCCAGCCTGCTACCAGGCCACATCACAATATTTCCATCTTTCCTCCCTTGCTTGAACCAACTACTACACGCATCCGACCAAGCGGTACGTTGGAGGTAGACTTTTGCATGTTCACGGAATGCAGCTGCGGCACTCTCCTTGGGACTTAGGCGCCGTATATGTTCCTTGCGCATCTTCTTAATCACTTGCATAAAGTAGTTGGAATATAGGGTGAGAAGAGGTAGAACGGATCCCTGTGCTAGGGGTCCATATGGGCCAGTATATGTGAAATAATTTGGTACACGGGGTACGCCGACTGCTACGTAGGCGTCTGGTTCTTCGGCCCAGCGTGTAGCGAGGTCCTGTTTATCTAGCCCAATGATGGGGAAGCGAGGGCGGAATGTGGTATCGAATCCAGTCGCGCAGATGATGACGTCGACTTCTACTTCTCTTCCGTCTGGATCGAGGAACCCCTTTTCTGTTATGCGTTTGATGCCTTCGGTATAACAAGTTGTCTTCTCTCCCACCAGAGCTTCTAGATATCCGTTTCCTGGCGTAGCGCGTCGACAACCCACATTAAAATTGGTCGGGATTATATTGTCTTTTAGCCGTTGGTTATCTCCCAGCTTTGATGTCATTTCGTTGTAAGAGAACTATTCTCAAGGAGGTTAATAAATAGCGGTTTTATTGGGTAGATAAGTGCTTACCTCGTTTGCATCGTCAGACTCTTTACTGTTCCTTAGAATAAAACGAAATCTCCCATTCAGCTCATTCTCGACCATCTTCCTATACCTTCTATACTTTTCTGGGTCACTCCGCCATATCTCCTTTTGTGCTTCGTCATCTAGGTATGAAGCGGTCGTTAGTCCAGTGTTCCTGTATCAGAGAAAAAGGTGCCGACGGACAGGCAAAATTCGATCCTCCCTCCCCAGCAAACTTCTGCCCAAACCCAGCCGTGACCCATGTCGGTGTTCTCACCCATGTATACACTCTCGCAGCATCGTTATAGATGGATGCAACTGTTTGGACTCCCGAGCTTCCGGAACCTATGACAGCAATGCGTTTCCCTCGCAAGTCATAACCTTCATCATACCGTGCAGTATGGAAGAGTTTGCCTTTGAAGGACATAATCCCGGGAATATCTGGCCATTTCCAAGCACTTTCATATATATAAGCATCCAGGGTAGAATTACTTATTATATGAAGGGTAAAGATAAAAAAATATCCTCACTTCAAGATGCCAGTTCCGCTCAAGAGCAAATCACATTCTTCCACCCACGTCTTGATGATCTTGTCTGCCGTATCTCGTTCCTCAAGCGAGATCGACCATTTCGATCTATCCTCATCCCACTCCGCGTGCGTGACTGTCGTCCGTAACCGGATATACTTCATCATCCCTTCTTCCTCAACGATCTTTCTAAAGTATTCCCAGATCTCCTTCGAGGGAGAATAATACCGTGTCCAGTCAGGATTAGGTCTCCAGGGGAATTGGTAGCTGGCGCTGGGCACATCGCAGGCACACCCTGGGTATCGATTCTCCAGCCAGGTGCCGCCAACATCATGGTTCTTGTCAAAACATGCAAATTCCACGCCAGAGCCAGGCCCAAACTCCTTGGTAACATGGTGCAAGAAATCGATTCCTGCTGGTCCACAGCCGACCATTATTATCTTGAACGACTCCTTTCCCGGCCGTGGTTCATTGATCATATGGTCTGTGACGCGATACCCGCTCGGGGCGACAGAACCCCATTCCTCAGAGAAAATCGGCCGATCGATCGATGCTGGATGGGGGATATTGGGGTTGTTGCTCCCCAGACATCGCGGCCGCGACTCTCCACGAGCAGCCATGTTCGGTATTCTCATTCATCCAACAAGCACTGTCTTCTAGCAAAGTGTCTTCCAGGGTATCTGCTGGCAAGGAACACGACACGCAGGCCGGGTATTTGTCCCTTGCATGGTATATAAAGTGAGGGGAGCAAAAAGAGAAAAGAAAAGAGCAAAAAATAGAATGACAAGGGTGGGATTCGAACCCACGCCCTCAACGAGGACCAGAATATCAGTGGTGAGAGATCACCGGTGAATATTTCTAATTAAGGTTAGCCTTAATCTGGCGCCTTAGACCGCTCGGCCACCTTGCCTGTTTCTTGTTTTATGCATGGAACACTGTCCTTTTGACCTCCCACAACCATGCTCTACAGCCACGGCCATACATACATCGAGATGCAGACTATATCTTCTATAGAGCTTGTTTGTCTATGTTATCGATTGATCTAAGCAACTAATATCCTAAGCCTATGGTCAAGTTCCTCGCCTTGTACTATAATAATGTTAACGAATTCTGTATTCACAAACATATTCCCTAACTTACACAGCTATTTGACCTCATTATATTCCAGCACAAAGCCGAGCCGAAGTTGCATCCCTCCCTCTTTCAAGTCATGCCTTTTCTCCCTGTATCGTAGCCACGACGTTCCTGGAATGTTTACTGGTGCGGAATTCAAGGTACCATATTCCCTGCCATGTGCCTGTCGCCAAACGGCCGTTCGTAATCGGGATGGTCACAGATGCTCCGATAAGGGCAGATTTGACATGGGCCTAGCAGAATCCGGGTGGTCAGACCAACGGTTTCAATGATCACAGAATAATGGTATCATACCGGCATGTCATCTGGTCCCTCTGCACTATGGCGGTATAGGTTCCCCTTCTTGTCTTCAGGCGCTATCCTGTCCAGAGCATCACTCATATCCGCTCGCACATCCTCGTCCCAATTCTCATTCAAACTCAATGCGCAACTCGTATGCTGAACGAAAAGATTAAGTAAACCCGTCTTGTACGAGGCAATCTCTGGAAGCTCGGATAATATATGGTCTGTGATCAGGTATGATCCGCGCGAACGGCTGGGGAGAGAGATCTTTTTCTGGAACCAGGACATCGTTGGAGTTGGAGGAGTGCAGATTTCCGTGCAGAGCTGTAATTTCGGTTGCGGAGGGGCACTGGGTGGTTCGGGCCGGGAAAATATCAAGTCAAAGAGAAAATATGGAACGGTTATGAAAAGATCTGGGAAGAAGGCGAGGATGAAGAGGAGGACGAGGAAGACTTGAAGCCACGAAGATCTGTTTGATGGGGTTTGGAACGACGTCATGGATGCGGGGCCACTAGGTAAATACAACTTCAAAAAGATCCGCTGGATATTCAAAGCAAGATGTTTAATTGAACTATATATGATATCAGATGGGCTATAGTGTTGAAGAAAAGATGCAAAATAGGATAAATGCTTTTGAGGCCTGGCCTCTTAAGATATGATGCTATGTCACACGGAGTGGTGGGAAGAGAGTGCTTGTTTATGCTTCGATCTTCTCACTGGAATCGTTTATACCAGTCCACTTAGGCTTTCCATCTGGAATATCAACCACTCTCTGTGAGTAGAATATATGGCAGCTAACAGTCACCCCGCCAGGCGTCAGAGACCCGCACTTGATGTCAAGATGGCAGGAAAATAGATCTATACGTTACTTACCTAGGTGAAAATAGTTTTCTCATCCCCTCGCCGTCTTCTCCAGAGCCAAACCTGATCAGCTCTGGGAATAAAAGGACGACGTTCCTCCCTTCGTCCATGATCATAGAATGGCAATATGAACACGAGACCTTACACGGCAGGTTATGGCCCCGTTCCTTTGCGCTGCTGTTATAAAAGTCCAACCCCCGAGGGCCATCCACGAACCTGAGGTCAGACTTTTCAAATATCGCCGCCCACTGGAATGGAGCTCCTGGAGTCGGTGTTAAAATGGAGAGACGACGATGAAGATAGGTTTCAATGGCGAGTGTTGCTGACCGTGTAGCACCTGGCAGCCTCGACAGTGACAGAATTTGGAATCCAAGGGCTGTTTTCTGTTTATCTCATATACAATACGTCCGCACTGGCAGTGTGCCCGCCATTGCACTTCGCCGAATTGTTCTTCTGGCTGATCCTCGTATGGAGGGCTATTCATCCACTTCTCCATTCTGGAATTTGTCCTGAGTGATTTTAACAGCCGATATCTCAGTAACATATTTCGACTCCTTCTCATCAATAACAACTAGTTATATAGCTGGAGTATTTACTCCTTGTAGCCGATATCTAGGTATCTGTTTCCTATGACGTCACGCAGTTAGCATCAACCTCTTGCCAGCTGGTTTTCGCCGTGTAGCTTCTTCGAGTATCCATCATAGCTTTCACCAAATATGCAGATAGGAGGTCTTCCACCTAGTCGTGATATCGAGGATACCATGAGAAGTGTCGATAGAAGGCAGGCCGACGTTGTGTTTAGTTATGTAATAGCGCCCTCTACCTGCATCTCGGCTTGTCGGTAAAAATGCGGGAAATCAACAAAAGAGCCGAGGAACAGCTCGAGGAGATGAGGAGATGAGGAGAACAGCTAGGCAACTATTCACATACTGTAACCTCTCTTTTGTTCATTAAATATTATTTGATTGACCCTTTCTTTACACAAACATTTTATATCCATATATCGTTACTCTAAGCCGAGATAACCAAAACTACAAGGAACGATGTCGTTGTCATCTAACCCGCCGAGCTCACCATTCTACACCGTCTCCTGCCCGGATCCCGGGGTTCTACTAGCAACTATAAACCGTCCCCGGCAAATGAACTCGATCCCTTTCCAGGGCCACTGGGACTTCGAGAAGCTATGGACTTGGTTCGAAAATGAGGGATCTATGCAAGTTGCTATTATCACTGGTGCCGGTGATAAGGCATTCTGTGCCGGACAAGATTTACTTGAGATCGAAAAGAACGCGCTGAATCCTCCTTCCGAGCCTTACTTGACTGGCCACCCTAAGTCAGGGTTTGCCGGTCTCAGCCAGAGGAAAGGAAAGAAGCCCGTCATTGCTGCTGTGAACGGGTTCGCTTTTGGGGGTGGATTTGAAATATGCTTGAATTGGTATGTCTGAGCCTGTATAGTTTCCATACTGGACATATTTTTTTGACAATATACCATTTCAGTGACATGGTTGTTGCTTCTCCAAAGGCTCGGTTCTCTCTACCTGAAGCGAAGCGTGGTGTATATGCCGCTGCTGGTGGACTGGCTCGTCTTATGCGCATCGTCGGGTTGCAGGTTGCATCTGAAATTGCGATGACAGGCCGAGTTATCTCTCCTGAACAAGGCAAAGCCTGGCAATTTGTGAATCGCATCTCTAAAACACACGAGTCCTTGATCGAAGAGACATTGGAGCTAGCTAGGGAGATCTCACAGTTGAGTCCTGATGCTGTTATCGTCACAAAGGCTGGACTTCGAGAAGCATGGGAGACTGGAAATGTTGAAGTTGCTGTAGGGAATACGAGGGTCATGTATGATAGGAAGCTTCATGCTGGTGAGAATTTGGCAGAAGGTATGATATGCACTTCTATACTACTAAAACAGGTCCCATGCTAACTTGGTGTCTTCACTAGGTCTTGCTGCATTCCGAGAGAAGAGGAAGCCGAAGTGGGTCAAGTCACAGCTGTGATCTTTTTTTCGCTGCTTAGTAGTCTACTATTTTTGTTCTAGCCGAGCGTTACCTTATTACCTGCTTTGTTTTATTTTGTATCTTCTCGGCGAGTGGACGGGGAATTTTGTCAATTTAGTAGCTCCTCCTACGTTTGACATATAGGCTTAGCATGCCCTGGGGCCATTCTAACCTTTATATTCACAAGAACGATCTAATATCAGCCAACAAGGATACATTGATGGGATGTACATAATGAATACATAATTGATTTAAAAAAAAGAACTGCAGTCACACTATAAATCTAACCTATCGCTGCTCAAAGCCGGATGGAGTGATACGTTGTGATTCATTGACTTCCGCTGCATCTCCGGTAGGGTCAAGAGGATACGAGGTTCTGGGCTGAGCCTCGAGCACTGGACGGTGGTGTTCGTTGGCCTAGAAGATGAGACAGGTTAGCATGAGAATATCAAAGCTATATAGTAAGCCATATCTTATATATCCGAGGGAATAACTCACGAATGGAAGACCGCAGTATTCGCAAGGGCAGATTTGGGGCTTATCGGTGTTGATGAATATTCTGGGGTGGCCTAGTGGACCACCACCTCCGTCACAGGATACGATTCTCTCTTTCGTCCATCGTACGGGCTGCTTGTGGATTAGGTCAATGGCAGCATATGGTTGAGGCTATATGTTTTAGACACAGTTAGCCCACTATCCACCGATAGAGCCTCCAATTGAAGCCATAACCCGCCAAAATACCTCCCAAATGTTCGGGGAATATCTATACTCGGCTGACTGACCTGGTGATCTATGATCGTCTGTTCAAATCGTGGACCAGTCATGGCCTTAGCCCTCTCTTTCTGGCTCTTTGCCCAAGTGGTGGCTCTGTTAGGGGCCTGCATGGCGAGCTGGCTCTGCGCCTGCTCAACCGTCTCCTGCATCGAGGCAGGTTGCCTGCCCATTGAAGATACAGGAGTGGCATTGGTCTCGGATACGCTCGTTACGGGCTTCGCAGGGTTTGGGTTGTTGGTGGGAATGGTGTTTTCGCTCAGGCGAGGGACCGTCGAGGTGTATGTGGCGCGCGGGACGAAACGGGACGACTGCGCCGTCAAAATGCACAGCCGTGAGCGTGCGGACGACAACATTCTGGCGGTGCTGATGCTGTTGTTTGTCGAAGCAGTTGTTGGAGATGGGTAGATTGACTTGTTGCTGATGGAAGGTGGTTTGGCTGTTGCCGCTTTAAGCGCGCAAGCGGCGCTGCTTGGCTGGACACTCTAAAATTTATCGCTAGACATAAAAGAACCGCGACTACAAAAGAACTTCGCCTTGTTAGAAAATAATTATACCATTTTGACAGCGTCTACAGCAGTTCGGAGCATTTGCAATTGACATATAACTCGAGGCGACTGTCATAGAGACTGCTGCAACCATGTCACAACCAAAGGGCATGTCCTCGAGACTGCTCACGATGAAGGTAATGCGACAGTGATATCTCGTTTGATATATATGCTAATATGGTAATCTAGTTTATGCAACGCGCAGCTGCTTCCGGAGCTGGAAATAACTCTTCTCGCGTACAAACACCACCAGACTCTCCAAGTCGGAGGCTAGACGATGATACATCTACTCCTTCGTCTAAGCGACGGAAATTTGAGAATTCACCCTCACACCGAGCAAGTGCCAACGGTTCAGATATGGATGCCATATCAGCGGCCATTCGGGCTGAAGACAGCAAGCGGTCAGCAGCTATAGCACGACAGGCAGCGGATGCGGGAGAAACTGAATGGGTGCTGGAGTTTCCTGCTGGAACTATAAAATCTGTAGCACCCCAGAGGCGCCCAGCACCGATTGCTAAACCGATGTCTGAAGCTGACGCAGAAGGCGAACCTGCATATGAAGGAAGAAAAAGCTATGGAGGTTTTAAGAAGAAGCGCCAAACAGAGGTGAGAGCACCATTTCTATATCTCTATGGCTGTACTGACGTAAATCCCACCTAGGTCCCTGAGCCTTCAGAAATAGCTAAATCGGATCCAAAGTCCAAAGACACTCGTAAAGACCACTTTAACGATGCTGTGAGGATAGGCCAGATCTCATCGGGAGGCGGCAACAAAGGAAGCAACTCACATGGGGGGAGGAGACACAAAGGTCGATAATAAGTTGCTGGCCGCGTGACCGCGTTTATGCTGCATCTTTTCGGACAGGCGATATATTTGGTTTTTAAGCGTGTTTTTATATGCATTGAATATGCCACGGTTTTGGCATCTCGATTGTCTGCTATTTACTCAATGATACCCTTGTGTATACTGTTACTACGGCCTCATATTGCATTACGTATTATATATGGTTGTCCACTGAATATGCAAGCCTACGTAGGCTCTTACGTCTTCATCATAGCTTCGCCTTATCATTTCGTTCCTTCTCTTCCCACCTCGCCTTCTCTCGATAATTCAGGGCCAGATTCCACGCTGCTACTCCAACACCCAACGGTGGCACCAGTAACAAAACCCATGCCCACCACCGCGGGCTTGTCGAACTGATATGGTTGATTGCGCGTCGAACCTCCACCTCGAGTGCTGCCTTATCCCCGTCGTTCCAAACGATGACACCCCTCGCATTCTCCGTCCCTCTAAATTCCGCCCGCTTGACCTTTCCGTGTACGTCTCCCTGACTCTTCACACGATTCTCTGCGTCTTCAGCTGTAAGATGAGGGTCTCTATCACGTAGCCTCTGCATTTGGACCGCGGGGTCTTTGACTCCAACCACAATCACCGTTCCGCACAAAGCATCCAAACCGCTCTCAAAGAGTAGCGGTACATCCAAAACCACCGCCCAGTGGCCATGTATATAGTACCAAAGCAAGGCACGATACATCTCCCATCTCACGGCAGGGTGTACGATGCCATTGAGAACTGCTCGATCCTTCCTTCGCTCTGGGGAATCACCGAATACCCGTCTTCCAAGGACCGGCCTGTTCAAGGGCTTTCCCTTACCCGGCTGTTCTTCTGGGAGCAGCAAATCGGGCGTCGTAGGTCCAAAGTAATCGACTATGGTGCGGTATCCGGCTGTACCTGGCTCGACGACTTTTCGAGCTAGTACATCTGCGTCGATTATGGGGAGGTTATATGGAGGCGAGGTGAGGAGGGATGACACGGTGGATTTGCCCGTGGCTATCGAGCCGGTTAAGCCGATAAGAAGCATATTGCGTACCGGAGTTCTGCGAATCCTAGGTTATGCTGGAGCCGCTGGGAAGGACAACCAGGCAACCGTGGATCGATGTATAGACTGTGTGATACCGTATTGTTTAGTGGTGATGATAGTGTTTGGGTGGTGTCCTCGCAAACAAGTTGATTAAATAACTACAAACGTCACTGGCGATAAATGGAGATGCCTCGGCCCAAACCATCCACTGTTTACACCAATAATATCTAGATCGTAAACTACAAATCGTTATTGCCGGGCCAGCACTTGAATATTATGAATTATGTTTGGTACAGGCAAGATATTAACTCTCAAGTGGGAGAATCTGCCTTGAACATTCTTTATACCAAGTGTGTAGAGAAGATATGAGGCGCTGTGAGTGAGCATATGCAATCGACGTTGATATCAAATATAACTTTATCTTGTTGATTTGCTTATTGATTTACCGGCTAAACCATCCCATAAAAGAAGCCTTAAACAAACGAAAAGGAAGAAAGACAGAGGAAACAAGCATACACGCGGTCCAGGCTAGAAATCTACCAGCAAAGAGAATTGAACTAAAGACGGAGACAACACATTTATTGCTGGTCTCCGGGCGCAAATTCATCCATTCCAATGTCTCCTCCATTGACCGCGTCTTCACCACCGGCCAATACTTTGGTCCGTGGAACTGCCCCATTGCTAGCCTGGTGGCCAGGAGTAACGGCCACAACGTTATCGTCCTCATCTACGAACTCAAAGTTATATCGAGACAGTAAGTGAGGAATTGCCGAGAGCTGAGGTCCGTAGCGGGCAGTGTTGTCATATAATTCGAAGAGGGGGACTGCAAGAAGTTTCATGTTCTTGGGGACTGAGAGGACTTCTATATTGGGGGTCAGTTTCGTACTTCTTGATCCACGTCTACTAGCATATATCGATGCAGGTGGAAGGAAAGAACTTACTCTTCTTGGGAAGTTGAAGGAAATATAACTTCTTGCACTCCTTGGGCCGCGTTACGTGTCCTGGTAGGAAGGGGTACATAAATGTTTCGAAGTTTGGCCGCCACCATTGTGCCAGTGTGTCGCCAACTTCCCAATCTTCATTAACACCTTCGCCAGTAAATTGCGATCCAACGGGGGCTAGCCTCTCGTTTAACCTCGACTTGAATCCTTCAATCTCGTCATCTGAATGTTGTAGATAATCACCGGGTCTGGATATAAAGCTGGTCAGTTACTGAAGGTCTTATATTATAAACTTGGATTCTTCGACGGCTCTTACAGTTTGAAGAAAGCATTCGCAATCTGTAGCATGAGGACATGTGGATGGTTATGTTCGTGGCATACTAGCACACCTTCACAAGTCCGTCGCATTCCATACTGTTCGTAGTGTTCCTCTAGACGCTTCAAGCGCGCTAGGACAGAAGGATCTTCCTCGGGCTGTGTCTCTTTCGTGCCAAACGTATAGTTTGATAGAGGGTATAATCTGATGGTCTTTGGTTGGTTCGCGGAGAAGGATTCAGGTATGATAGGTCTAGAAGGGAACATATATCAGTTCAAAGTCCAAATAATAGTATAATATACAGACCCATCGAGCTTCGCACTCAATAGCTCAAAGGTCTTGGGGTGCTGGTGCTGCTGTGGGGGAGTGAACTTACGGACGTGAGCTTTGAAGCGATATTGGGGATACCGCGGACATTGTTGCTGATGCTCTGTCAAGTAAACGACCTTAGTTATCTTTGAGACCACAGTTTAGATCGAGTAAATGCTCAGATGGCGCGCCAATTCGTTGTCCTTCGTTGCTGGAGCTCGAGCTCTTGTTTGTGCCTCTATCAGTAGCTCATGTCAGGTGACTGAGATATCACGGATAATATATCCACCGACAGTAGAAAATTATATAATTATTCCGAAATATACCACGTGACTATTGTTGGTTGCCAAGGCTGTCATATAGAGAAGGGAATAAGGAGAAAGAGAAGAAAAGGAGAAGGAAAATATGCCAGAGAGTAAAAAAATCTATCTAAAGTATGTGAGTAAGTGCCTCTACATGTGTACTTCGATGACAAGTCCGTCTAATACAATGCGCCCATGCAACACTTCCACGGCGCCACTCATTTATGATATGCCCAAATCAAAACAATGCCTTCATAAAGTATACACTAGGTTGCAACTGACTATCCAAGCAAGGAGTGTATATGGTCAGCTCGCGATAAACAACCTATGATAATGGCTAGGACGGAGCTTGGAACGCTGATCGGTCCTAGAGCTTTGGGTCGAAGTCTTCAAATTCGGACAAGTCGACCACCGGAACTGTAGCGGCACTGACACTAAGACGTGCTTTAAATTCAGGAACGTTGGTAATGAACGTCTGCTTGCGGTGGGGAGGTTCATTGCCCTTGGTAACGATGCCATTAGCATCGCCGTTCGCAGAAACTTCCTTGGATTCAGGTTCTTTGTCCCCGTTGGTAACGGTTTTCACACCAGCTTGTGTGAGCAAATTAGGCAAAAGCCCCTTGGCTGGCTCTAGAAGCTTCGTGGCTTCATCCTCTGCCATCTTCAAGGCTGAAGTCAAGTGATCGCGCACGGTGGAGACGATTCCATCTAAGTTATTGCTGGAGATGGTGATGTCCTTGAAGGCTTCCTTGAATTTGTCTGCATCAACCTTGGCTCCAGCTGCGCCGAGGAACTGCTCAATCTTAGAGATCACAGCGCCTTTCTGCTCTGGCGAAGCAATGAGGCTTGCACTCGCCTGTGCCTTCATGTGAATAGAAAGCTTTGCGCGAGTTGCAGAATTGGGGTTGATGTACTGGCGGTAAAACTCGATGATATCATCCTTGGTCAATTCCTCCAAGACCTCGACATCGGTTTCATGTTGTGTGAAATCGAAATACTCCGAGCCAATATGAGACCAGAATCGACCGGTTTCGGAACCGAGGTTTTTCAACTTCTCCAATCTCTTGTTGATGATGCTTCGTCTGTGACCCTCGAATTCTTCATCGGACATAGAAGCAAGGGTCGCTCCGTAGTTCTCAAGGAAGGAATCAATGCGAGTCTCCAGGTACTGGTTGTCTCGCTCACTCTGGATGATTACACGATAACCCAGGGTTGTCGAGGAATAGCGAGCACCGCTCCAGACAACGTAGCCTAGTTGCTCCTTCGTTCGGAGCTGGTCAAATGCAGGCTCGTTTGTCATTTGTCCGAACAGCAAGCATTTTGCACGTAACATGGGGTCGGTAAGAGCTCCAACGAAGAGATAGTACTCGATGCAGTGGTTGATGTTAGCAGGATCCTTGAGGGTTTCTTCGTAGATGTAATTGCTTCCAGGAGGAATGATCATATTCCTGCGGACATGCCACTGAGACTGTGGGAGTGTTCTCGGTTTAAGGGTCGACTCAATCAAGTCGGTAAGTTTAAGCGCGTCTTCCTTGTAGAGATTGCCGTGGGCCAAGATCTCAATATGCGTTTGACGAAGCAACTGAGGGAAGAAGGCTGCGACATCCTCGAGCTCGATGTGATCTAGCTCGGGAGCCAACTGCTCATTAATCCAAGCTTTCTCGGCCGTCAGGTACCTCGTGAAGCTGCCGACCTGGTAGTATGGAAGCTGGTAATCAGAGTTCTTATAACCCCGAGCCATGCGTTCCTTGACGATTTTGAATCGGTCTGGTTTGATCTCGAGATCCCTCATGATCAACAGAACCTTTTCAAGCAACACTGCCATCTTATCGTTGTATCCCACAATCGCTACCTCCAAGCCGAAAACGCTGGGAGATAGATCGTAGTCCAATCCTGCTAGCTCTGCATCATATGAGTATTCGGTCAGGGCATCCCTAACCAAACTGCAGTAGATTTTGGCCATCACGTTATTTCCAGGGGTAGCATATACCAGGGGACTTCGGAGGGTAATCTCCAACGCCGCCTTAGGAACCCAGAAAGTGTCATCTTTCTTGAACCAGGTTCTGACCTTTTCATCCATTCGAATCAGACTTGGTCGTTTAGCGGGTTCTGCTACCTCCTTCTTCTCAACGTCGAGTCTAGTTGGAACGAACTCGTTCTTATGTGGCATGTGTAATTCCGGAATTCTACCCTTGGGTGATTCCAAGGAGTGACGAATCTCAGAAAGCAAGTCCTCTGGAACCTTCTCCACCTTATACTCAGTGCCGTACCATTTTTCCTTCTGGTCCCAGTCACCAGGGAATGTCTGGGATACGATTTCGATATTGAAATTGTCAGCATTAAGCTGGGCGAGTCCCTTTGAAATAAGTTCGGGTTCAAACTTGCGCAACAAAGTCGAGCCGCTCAGGAGCCATTCACGCGGGTATGGTTTCTGCATAACGCTGCTAAGGCTGCTTGTGAATCGGCTGGCTGGAGTCTTCTGCTTGAACTTGAAATCGACTTCAGAAAGGTTCTTCATCTCGTCGAAGATCCACTGCTCAGGTGCCCGTTCCTTGATTAAAGAAATGTACTGGAAGACGGTCTTGATGACCTCTTTGTAATGATGCAAGCCATCCTCCGTCAGACGAACGGATACGTTAAACAATGACGATCCAGGGCAGATGGGCATCGAACCGGCTGAAAGTTCAGTTGCCCATCCCTTGGACTTAATGTATGCAAGTATACTGCCAGGACCCTCATGTCCGATCAAGTGGCTGATATAGCGACTCGGCTGGGACTCATACAAATCTTCCTCGTCCGGGTAAGGGAAGAAGATATCCAGGGTTCTGCTATCCATCACGGGCTTTGCAAAAACCATCTTCAGCATATCATCCTTCCCAAATACCTCGATATCATCCCATCTATTTTGGGGCAAATCCTTGTTCTTCACGTCTGCAAATAGTTCTGCAACCCATCCCTCCAATTCATCTAATGGCTCTCTGCCCAAGACAACAAGCTTCATCCGGTTTGCAGAGTAGTGCTTATCATGGAACTTCATGAACTCGGTCCTGACATCTAGTCCACGCTCCTGGGGGTCATCCCGAAGGGTCTTCAGGTTTCCTGTGGAAAAGTGGTGATAGGGATGCTTTGGATTGGAGAGGGATTTGTTTAGCTGCAGCATACGCCACGGATCACTCTGCAGGTTCTTCTTGTTTTCTGAATCGACAGCTTGGAGCTCACGGTCTAGTGTGGACGGGAGGAAAAGCGGAGCGATGAAAAACTGGGCGAATCTGTCAAGAGCACCGTATAACGGCGGTGTCAGATCACTTATCGAGGAGCTGGCACTGTTTGTTGCCCCTCCTACGGTAAGATGAGACATCTTGTCTGCCATAGTTCCGACTGGAGTTGGAGCCTGGGACGGCGTAGCGGATGGCGTAGCAGACGGAGCTTTGGATCGGGGATGAGAGGTAGCAGCAACCTCAAAGAAATAGTTTGTCTCTGTTGCAGCGGTATATGCATTCGAGTGACCGGAGTGTGAGGCAAGATACTGGTTGTAGTCATTCTCCTTTGGGTACTATAGCTCGCAAACAATATATTAATATGATTCAACCCCAGACGGAAGGCCAAAAAAAAAAAAAAAAAAAAAAAAAACTCATCGTACCTTTTCAGTGCCCATGAAGAGGAGATGCTCGACCGCGTGAGCCATGCCAGGCATGTCATCGTCGTCAGAGAAGTTCCCTACGTTGACGTTGACCGAAGCACTGGCCTTATCAGTATCCGGGTCATGGACCAGAAGAGCCTCGAGCTTGTTTGGCAATCTGATCACACGATATGTGCGGTTATCGACAGACGGCTTCTCGAGGCTGTCAGCCAAATGCTCGACCTGCGCCATCTTTGCTAACGGACGCGAGGTCTGGAGTCGTGTGGTCGTGCTATATGTGACAGCAGAAACTCGAGGTCGAACAGCCGTCAGCGTCAACGGAGTGGAACGCGTGAGGCGCAGCCGTGACGGTGAAACGAAAGCGACAGATTTGCCGCTGAAGAAATGAGTGCGAGCAGACGGGAGAGACCGGCTTGATATTGCGTTTGAAAGCCTGCTCGCAAGGAACCTTGGAGGCATACAGGGAGCTCAGTCTGAAAGGGGCGGCGCAGGGGGGAAAACGGCGCAGGACGAGGAGCTAGACGGGCTGCGAGATCGAAGGTGAGCTTCTCATACCGGTGCCGGACGCTCGAAACACGACTTACTACTAGATCCGGGCAGGAAAAGGGCGAAGGAGGCGGTGGTGACGGTCTGGTGGTGACACTGTGTTGTTCCCCTAGTGCAACCGGAGCCCTCGAGCCCTATTTAGTGGTCCCCTTGCTCCTCCTGTTGCCCTGCTCCATCCCTCAGGCCTGGAGAACCCCCAGAAGACGGTTGCTTGGGCCGTCTACCCTTGCCAGCAGAGAGTGCTGGGCAGATGGGATGCCGTTGACGTGTGCTGGCGAGCCGTACGTCCAGCTCACAGCCGAGCTATGCTTCCTTTTTGCGCTGATTCTGCTCTACTCTTAAACTAATATGAGGCTACGTCTACAGGCGCACCTCCGTATCGGCGGCTAAAATGGCTGTGAAGAGTTCCGTTAAGCGCTGGTCTCATATATATTGATCCGTCACATCCATCGCCATGGGGAACGACATCTGCTTCTCGCGGTGGCCGTCCACGATTTCCAGATATCTCCAGGCGTTGATGTCAGGGTTTGCCATGTGTGGACATCGGGCCGAAATATTCTTCATGCCTTGCTGGTGTATTCCGTGCAGCGGTTTGTACTACAACTCCTCCGGGGGGTACAGAGGACTGGATAAGTCGCCTAATACTCGCTCTAGACTCGCCATGTCACCAGAATCTACCTTGATGGCTATTCGTATAGAAAAGGCGATATCGCACCCAATCCTCCAATGAGATATAAGCAAAATGGCGATAATATGCACAACCAGCCCAGCCGTGTCGGACAAGGTGGCTATACTTGAATATCCCATGACGTCAGGCTAACTTGTTGATCTATTGCAACGAGCAGGTCAGGTTCTCTGTCGGGTACGACTCCTTCCTATGGCCATTGTCCAATAGCAGACGATATCATATCATTTACTATCTGCCGTATAGTAAAATACAAAATCTTCCAACGGCTGATACCGAACCTAGCTCACTGGTTCTGTTTTTACTTGATTCGACGTCTCTTCTAGATATAACGATCTATCTAGCCCCTTTTCTGGGGCTCTGTTACGAGCCCTTGCCTCTGTTATACATAGTTCGGAATGCTCTCGATCAACATCAGGCCAGCCATAATCACATTGATTAAGAGTTGACCTGCGAGGACCACGAATGTAATAGGCCATTCAATCTCCTTTATTAAGAGTACTCTCTCGGTTCTGTCAAACCATATATGGAACGAGTTTTTTGAACGTCCCAAAACAAAGGGCACGCCATTCAGGAGCATGATACCTACGCATATAAAGTCGTCGAAGACACTAAAAAGTGCATCGAGGGTGATTCTAGGGCCATGGCCATTCTACCTGCAGCGTTAACCCGCACGACTTATAGCATGTGAAGTCATGCATTATTTGTGAGCTTATGCAATAATGTATCACAAGCCAATTCACGGTTGGGAAAGACGTGCAAAGCCACACTCGAAGACACCCGGTCGCTACCTAGGTAGGCATCTCCCCAGTCCTGTTGCATCACTGGCATCAAAGAGAGTTTTGTCTCTAACAAATGTAAACAGATCAGGAAACTAGCTTCCAAATCAAAGTGGCGAAAGATGGTGAAAGATTTCAAGAAGAACTCAATGAGTTGGGAGTAAGCAGAGAATAAGGAAGGCCGGTGAGACTTATGTTGAGCTCCAGTGTTATTACATGTGCTGACCAGCAAGATGTATCTTCAGGTCGAGCCGCCCCCTATATAACTACCTAGTATAGTTGAAGGAAGATGAGGATTTGCCGAACCCCCTGTTGGTACTCGGTCTGGATTACCGTGGAAGGCAGGCCGCTTCAATCGCCCCGAGTTGACGAGGCACGGTTAGCGTGAGGTGAGTGCCTAATCTCCTGTTTCTCTATAACCATTTAGATATATGCGTTGCAGTAAACGCATCGGCTCCATGATCCCCAATAACTATCGCCCGAAACTAGACGAGCCAAGGACGTTCTAGAGAATAACAGGCGTATCCTTGCTTATAACGGACCCCTTCGAGGAACTCGAGAGGAGAAGGAATCGCTTAGGCTAGTTATCGATAATTCGCGACTTACGAACACCGCCATAGCTAGACACTCCGATGCACTCCGAGTGAGGTATGCCGATAGGCCAGACTGTCGGCTGCATGGAATACGTCAAGGCCACTACTCTATCCACAGTGCGGGTTTCTCCAGGATTCCAGCACAGTTTGGCGGTCCGAGCACAGGGCGGAAAAGCAAATCAAACGGCTTTTAATCGTCTTGGATCGGATCAAATGGTGGCACCGTTTAGTCGCCTTTTGAATCCATGTGCATATCGAGTGTATAATTTGAAGGCCTTACCAACAAAGGAAGGAAGGCGCCTTGCAGGCTTCTAATCTTCTCACTCTGCTAAATGCATAACTGGACCAGCGGGACCAACTTTGGCCGTGATATCTTATCATATATCCTCCGTGCGTAGGGTATATTCCAAGGCATCATCATGGTCGATGCTTTCTAGTTTAAAGTCGAAGACAACCGCGGCTAGAATCCTTTCCTCTCAGCAACATCTCCAGGCTACATTAGCCGCATAGACTACGCCTCAATACCGGCGGATTAACCATATGCTGATGCTTGAGCTTGATAGACAAAGCGGTTTTCAACTCAAAGGATACATGGGAAGCCTGCATCGAACCCGAAGACATCGGCGCGGTGTTGGTAGTCAATCAGATAATTACTACTCACCTGCGTAATCTAAATAGGGTTCAGCTTTATCATTTACACCAAGCAACGCTCTCTCTGGTAGAATTTCTCTTCAATTCATTGTAAACTGGACGGCCAGGGGGGTGTATGCAGCGACTATCCTAGTTTGAAATTTAGACGAAGCCTGCTCCGTTATTTGTGTTCAATTATTCTTCCCTTGCTACCAGGGTCATCCCTAAAGCAGGGCCCGGAGCATTCGACAAAGCTGAGGGATCATAAGAGAATGATAGCACAGGTATTTAAAGCAGAGTAAAATAGAGCTTGGTCGTAAATACACTAAACTATTAAACTAACACGGAATCCTATATCTATCTTAAGAGCTACTTTTCATCCAAACTACTATTTTGAAATACCATTTAAATAGATCTCTGATCCAACGTGTGCTTGTGACTATATATGTCGATTTGCATTATGCTGCCAACAACGCTGTACAGTCAAAGTGGGGTAGAGTAACATACAGGCCATCTTCAGTGTGACCCCGGATTTTCCACATATTAAACAGAAATGCATAGCTAGTTACCCTGCTCTTAATAATATACAGAGTCAGTGCCGTGGAGCAGCTTGCAGCCAATGGCCAACGCAAAAATGTTCACGGTGGCCCAGCAGATCGACAATGGAGGCTCTATAGAAGCCATAGATAGTGCCCAACGTTTTCTATTATCCATCTCCGGCTCTCGTTGCTCTATATACAACAGTTGTAACTTGTTGACATTCTGGATTCCTACGGACGACAGGCATCACACGTGACCCTAATGGGAAATTTTCGAGCAGACAAGAAACTTGCTCCCTCCATCGCTCGATCCTCCATATCGTTGGCTTTTACTCGATGCACCCTCGACTTCCGCGCCAGGGGATCGGGTAGCCAAGCCATCGGGATGCTATTCATATGGGTTATTCCCTATATCTAGACCCCAGCATTCCTCCTGTCGATCATCCCGGTACTTCCTTTAAACCCATGCGGTCATATAAAGATCAAAAAAGGAATATAGTCTTGTTTGCTATGCAGCGCTCGGCACTAAAGGTCGCATTACGGTCTCGCCTCCGGAAGGCCTATCCAACTCCCATACCATGGGTTAATACGGGAAGACTCACCGTCAGACTATGACTTTCTCCGGAACGTACTATTGTCTACCGGTCCCTCTAGACCCTCTACCATGTAGATTCGAGAAGGGTATAGGTGGCGATGCGGTATTTCCGAGATATCCTACTTTGAAAAGAGTCCAGCTCATGATATATCAGTCGGCCACATGCGGCCTTGGTGGTAAGGGAGCGAAGAAGATAAAAGGCCAGCTTCTCGCCCAGAGGAAGGGAGATAAAAAACCAGAACAAATCCAAAGAATCCAGCAAACTGCGCTTTTTCTACCATACCAATTACGGAACGATTATCTTGTTTGCTCATTCCAGCAATCATCCTCCAAAGTCACAATGAAGGTCCTCGCCCTCGTCTCTCTTGCCTCCGTTGCCGCTGGTGTGACTATCAGAAACCACATCGAAGACAACTGCAGGGGCAGCTACCTCGAATTCACCAACATCCCACCAAGAGTCTGTGCTGTTGCCATCTATGAAAACACTATAAAGGGTGCTGTTACTGTCGCCTTTTCCGGGTTGCCGTCATTCTCGCCCATGTATGGCTGGCAGGCCCGTGACAGTTATACATGCGGTACGATCGTGAAGGGTGACAATGTCGGACCCACCGACAGCAAGTGTCTTGCAAAGCTTTCCAGTTCCGCTCTATACTCTGGCAGCAGCTGGAGCCAGGCAGGACTGCGTAACGTCAAAGGAGGGAGGGATACAACCTGCACGGGCAAAGCGGCCCCCAATGCGATTGTCCTGAACGATGGACACAAGTACGCCGTCGACAACATGGATGCCGAAATGTTCAAATCGCTATACCGCATGGTCGCCAAGGGAGCTACGTCTCAGGAATTGCCAGCCGAGTATGCTGCATTTGAGGTTGAAATGGAGACTGCTGAGCAGCGCGCCCAAGAGATCCAGGCTTAGGCAGCTGACAACTGCCTTCGTACACGGTTGAATTGACACTGAATGCGGATGAACTGTGATATGGCAATATGGTCGAATAGCGAGTCTGTTTTCGTTTGCGATGGCTACCTGTGTACTATGTCTTTGATATAGACATTTACTGCAATATATTGTCAAACTGGAGGATATAAGGTTCTAATCAGATTAGCTATTACTGCGAGGACAATGGAACTACTGTTAACTCTGAACTCCTCAAGTCTCTCACATCAGCTTCGTAGATGAGCTGCCTGCTTGTCCTTGGTACTCCGTATGTGGTCTTAAAAATGGCTGTAAATTATATGATTGGCTAACAAAATATGTCTCTTATTGGTTGAAACTCTATACAATTATTCTATCACGTGTTGGTACCTTGCATTAGCGTCTCCTAACCAGCCAATTACAACAAGTGAAAACTTGCTATCAACATGAAAAAGCGAAGACTCTTTGACCTTCTCCTTATTATATTGATAGGGCAACCTTCTAATTGCTTTAAACTTCTATCTTAAACCGAGGTCCTGATAAATTTCTTACTCGAAGGTCTAAAGCCATTGCCTTCTCCTATAGATAGCAACCTCTCTATATAGTTAGGGCGACGACTAAGTGCTTGAATGCCCGTGTTTGCAGGAGCATTTGCTCGGATTGAACATGGTACTGAAGTGCGATTAGCATACTGACTGTTGCTCTTTAGTTTTTTCCATGGTGTAGCATAATTTGACCACTTTGTTGCAGAATGAAGTCGGCCATAAAATAAAATAAAAAAGCTCCTAGCCAGGATCGAACTGGCGTCGTCGGAATCAAAATCCGATGTGCTACCACTACACCATAGAAGCGAGTACTCAGAGGCGAATCGAACTCCGGTAGTTTATACGTAGTCCAGTCCACTGCGACTTTATCTACTTCGAGGTGAGGACATAAATAATAACCACATTATATTGAATCATAAAATTCGTCACTTGAGGGTGCTATAATATTAGAGCCAATATACCTCTGATAACCCCCCTGTAGACCCAAAAAAAACATAAACCAAAAATCTTGGATATCTTAGGTATAGCTGTGTCTATCGATCGGAAGCCGTCTAAGACTCTATCAAAGGGTGTATCGGAAAGATGGAGACCCCTCGATCATCAGCTCGCCCCGGTCTGCCTTGCGATTAGATCTCCAGAAATGCAAGCTCAGCGCCGCGGCTACGAGGAGAAGAACTAGCTGGGACCTGTATATTGGGACGTTAGTTAATATATGGAGTGAAAATAGGCATAGAAGTGGAGTGGATGTTAACATACGTGATTGCAGCCCATATTCCAGGGATATAAGCTGGAGCGTCCTGGGATCTAAATACCAAACTACCAGCAATGCCGCCAATTCCTCCGAACCCAACCAAGGTAGCACTAGCAAGAGCTCTAGTCCATTGGCCACGGATATTATTGGCTTGGTATGCCATGACAGCTGGGACATTGGCGTTTGCCCCTGCAGTAGCGAGGAAGACTCCCGCATATCTCAAGACGTTGCCCTTTCCGAAACCCATCATTGGCAGACCAATTAGGGTGATGATGGTGTTTAAGACGATGATCGGTGCGCGTGTACGGTATTTATCCGCAAACCAGGACGACGAGTACATCAGGATTGCAGCGAAACCGTACGGTGGTGCGATTAGGCACTGTGACTGACCGACATCAAATCCTAGCCCATCGGCTAGAATGATTGGTAGGAAATATGCAATTGCGTAGGAGACTGTCGTAGAACAGCTAGTGGGAATAACCATGTTAGGAAGATGAAAATAAAAGGGGAAATACATCCTTGAAATAGAATGAGGTGGGAAACGTACAAGAAAATCATTGCAAAGCCCCAGATCTTCAAGTCTAAGGCTGGACGGAGAAATTTCCCCAAGGCGAAGGGCTCGAAGTGCGCATCACCGCGATCACGATTGACTCGTCTAATGACGAAGGCGAGCTCTTTCTCGTTGAGAAATCCCCATGCGCCCGAGGCTCGATCGGGGAAGTTAACGAGGAAGATATAACTTAGGAAAGCAACCATGATCGAAATCTATAGAGAATATTAGTAGCTGTCCCTAAAAATAGACCCTATATCTGAGTACTTACCACTCCTTCCATGATGAAGATCCACCTCCAGCCACGGATGCCCTGAATCCCTTCCATATGGCTGAGGCCAAAGGCAAGGATACCAGAGAGCGAAGCAGCAACGGCGCCAATGATGTAGAAGACAGAGTATCGCTTTTGGACCTCATCTAATATACTCGTCAGCGCTCATATTTCTATCATTGGTTCGGAGGAGAGACTCACGTCGACAATACCAAGTAGATAGCAGATAAACTGTTCCAGGGAAGAACCCAGCTTCAAGGAATCCTAATAGTGCTCGGAGACCAGCCATTTCTTGCCAGTTCTTGACGAAGCCAAAGCCCTATTGAGTAACTGTCAGTATCGACCTTCCCAAGTGACAGGTAGAATGAACGTACAATTAGAATGATACCCCATGTGAATATGATCGCTGATATGAATATTCTTGGGCCAATTTTCCTGATGGCTACCGTGGCAATTGGCTGAGCAATGATGTATGTAACGAAGAATACCAGAACAATGATCGACTATTGAACAATTGATTAGCCGAGCGTCCTTCCAACATGGACTGATAGAGGGTAGACGAACGTATCTGAATCCTATCTTAAGACCTAGGTCCTTTGTCATACTAAAGATTGAATGGTCAGCTTCCTGGACAGAGCAGATATAGATAGCATCCTTACCCAGCGATGGCAGCCACCGAGGTGTTCGTCCTGTCCATCAGACTGATGAGATATCCCACACCACATATCACCACCAGCCGGGCGTCGATGCGATGAATGATCTTGCGCTGCTCCTGGCGAGAGAACTCCTCATCCTCATCGATATCTGTCGGGCTAGGGACGTTCTTCGAGACATCGTCAACATGGTCCGCAGCCAACTGCGACGCTTTCTCCTCGTCGCTTCCCATCTCCGCAAATGTTCGTGCCAGTTTATTAAGAATTAGAAGAAGCAGACTTCTGCCGGAGTGATCTTTGACAGGGTAAAAAGAAAGCCACGAAAAGAAAACAGCGAGGGATCAGCGAATATATACGCCATCTCAGCTTCCCCTTTATGTACATCATGCAACGCGCGACTCCATGTCGAACAAGCCATGTCTAGCGGAATTACCCCCGAATAGAGAGACAGACAAACACGCCGGAACTCTACTTTCCCTCCCCCGCATTCACTGATGGGCTGTTAAAGAGATATCTCGAAGGCTGGAACTTTCAGACAGACCAGCGAGCGAACCAGCCAAGCGCCGAACTGAAGACGCCGGCGATGTCGCTGTCCATAGCGTGCGGGACAGGCTTGAAAACAGCTTGGCCAACATCTCAGCGAACCTTGAAAAACGGGGGATTCGGGCTGGTGGCCAGTTGCAATTCGATCGACAGTGAAAAGGAATAACCGAAACCTCCTCGACGGGCGATGAAGTGCCTCGGTAGGCCTTGTAGGCGCCAGGAAGCGAAACTTGCTACATGGAAGTTCCCCGTCGCCTCAGACTTGGATCTTGGATCTTGCTTCCCCGGAATCTGGGGAATAACGTGGAGAAACGGCCAATGATGGAGCTGAGACCGGGTCCAACGCCGTGAATTGGTGGAGATATCAGAGTCAGATACAACGAAGACACAACGATAGACAACGATAGACACACTTGATAGGGATGTTGGTGTCTTCCTGTCAGCTCTGGATCAGCCGTGATGGCTGAATTCATGCATAGTATACAGGGATCCCACGCCTGTGACAAGCTTGATATGAACGCACAGCGACATCGTCCAAGCACCAGCCAAGATAGAAGACAAGATGTGGTCGAGCTAAAGCTGCCATGCTCGGAGCCGCCGTTCGCCACGAGCAGTCGCGGGCTCGTATCATGTCTTAGCTATGGGGAAATACGGACAGCTGCCTCCATACGAATATCTGCTCCGCTTAGCTTTTACTCTCGGTCGACGTCCTATATAGGCTACGTGGGAAAAGTGATGAAGCCATGAAGAATCGTAGAATAGTTCGGGTTCACGTAACTAACTAGTGGGGAATAATTAAAGCAAACATTATGTGCCGTGATAAGAACATGCGGTAGGACTATGCGTGGCTGGAAAGATGAGCGAGAGGGAATAAATGAATCAGAAGCAGCCTGTGATGCTGTCTACCGTCTATGATCCGTTTTCTAAACAGCACCAGACGCGTCCCCAGCTCCGTCAACAAATCCTCCGCTCTTCTCGTTGGATCCAGCCCCGACGTGGCCCATCTCAGCGGCGAAGGTGCTGTGTGGTTTCCACTTGGAGGAGGTGATTGGTGTGGTCTCCTCCATCATCTTGTCGACTTGCTCGAGGGTAAGGCCTTTGGTCTCATAGATGAAGAAGAAGGCATACAGGAAGCAGCCGACGCAGAGAGAGCCCCAGATGAAAAACACCTTGGCGCCGAGATTGGCCTTGTCGGTTCCGACGAGGAATGGGGTGATGACAGCAATGATCTATAGAGTAAGCGTTAGTAACATGACAATATATATATATATATTGGAAAGGGAGATGAACGTACGCAGTTCCAGAGCCAGTTGGAGGCGGTGGAAAGACCGACACCTCTGGATCGAATGGGCAAGGGATAGATCTCGCCAATGACGACCCAAGCACCGGGACCCCAGGTGGAAGCGAAGAAGAAGATGTAGAGACAGATGAGGGCGATCATCGCAGACACGGCGCTCTTGTTCTCGCCATCGGTCACACCAATGATAGCCACGATGAACTCGCAGGTAAACATGCCGACGGCACCCCAGATGAGAAGCGGACGACGGCCGAACTTTTCGATAGCCCAGAAGGATACAGGGGTGGAGCAGACGTTGACCAGCGTGGTGATTAGGCCGATCAAGAAGGGGTTTTCGATGGTGCCCAGGTCCTGGAAGAAGGTGGTGCCAAAGTAGAAGATGAAGTTGATACCAGTGAACTGCTGGAACATCTGAAGGGCGGTTCCGAGGATGATACGACGGATGTTGCTGGCCGGGTTGAAGAGACTTCCGCTGAAGCAGTGGAACCAGGACGCCCAGTAGCCGTTGGGGACAGCCTGCATCTCATATTCGTGGTTGGCGACAATCTCGGCGAGTTCCTCCTTGATATACTCCGAGTCGCGGTCCTGGCCTCTGAGCCGGGCGAGGACGGTCTGCGCATCTTCCAGCTTGCCTCGCTTGACGAAGTATCGAGGGGATTCGGGCAGTAGGAACAAACCGCCAGCCAGGATGAGAGCCCATAGCATCTGGAGGGCAATCGGGATACGGTAGGAGCCCGAATCCTGGCGCGACTGGGTTCCGTAGTCGACACAGGAGGCCATGAGCAGGCCGATGGTGATGCAGAACTGGTATCCAGAGACGATGGCGCCTCTGACCTTCTTGGGCGCGATCTCAGACATGTAGAGGACGATGATGGCAGAGACGAAGCCGACACCGAACCCGGCAATCAGACGGCCGGCGACGAGCAGGTTGAGCCCCGAGGAAGCAGTCTGCAGGATGACGCCGACGATGAAGATACCGCATCCCGCGATGATGGTGGTTCGACGGCCGATGAAGTCAGCCAGGTCACCGGCGATGATGGCACCGAAAAAGGTGCCGGCAGAGAGAATGGAGGTGATCAGAGACTTCTGCCACGAGGGCAAGGTAAACTTGTCCGAGCCAGGAGGGAAATCCGACTTCTTGAGGCCGGTGAAGAGGGTGATGAAGTATTCCATGCCCATCACACCGCTGATATAACCAGAGTCGAAGCCGAAGAAGATACCACCGAATGCCGCGAACGCGCACATAAAGTACGCCTTCGTCGTCACCGGGGCCTCAACGCGAGACACGTCCGCTGTGCCCGCCATGGTAGCTGCTGATGTTTGCGTGGGCGGTCGATGTCGATGTTGATGTCAATGTTGGTGAGATGAGGCTCGAAGCTCGAAGGTGAAGTTCCCAGCTCTTATCTGTCGTTGCTTTTTCCCTGACTCGTACAACAGACCAAGAAACACAACAATGGACAACAGACAATAGACAAGAAGCAATAGACAGGGAGCAGTAGACAGGAGGGACGAGGATCCTTATATTGCATCCTCTGCCGCCCCGTCCCAGCTGCTACTCAACGATACTGCATGGCAATGTCTCCCTTCGGCGACCCCAGGCTGATCCCTGGAACATATCGCAGGCTTTTGGCGGCCCAGGGATAGGAAAAACCTTCCATCATGCAGCGAGGGCATGTGAGTGGACGCTGGCTGGTTTTGACCTCCGTCCTTTTTCTTTTTTGCATTCGCTCGTCCTGGACCGGGATACACCGATGGTATAGGAGACGTGGCTGTGGCACCGGTACGGCCTTGGAGACGGAGAAAAGCGCCGATGCGAGCACCAATATTCAACACTACAACTCTTGTCTTTTTACAGACTTTACAGACAGCGGCTGGAGATGAACTGACCTGGGGAAGAAAGCCTACTGCTGGTCCAACCAGGGGCTTCCATATCTTCCAATCAGCTTCTCCAATCAGCTTCTGGCGGGCGCATCCTCCCAGCGAGCCTGCAACTTGGCGGCTAGAGGATGGGACGATGTGACCCTGAACTACCACCCATGCCGAAGGAAGACGGCCATGTCAGTGTCGAGGAACGAAGCCAGAGGTCGGCTTTGGCCGTGCTCGCGCTCCATCGAACCTGGAATTTTGACGAGACAGGCGAGGATGGAGACCGTCTGGCCAAAACCTGCAAAGCTTCGTCTGCTGGTGGACATGCAACTTAGACCTCGCAACTTACAACTTCTGGTATCACACTCGCGTGGCCCGGATTTTTGATCAACAGGTCAACCATGTGGCGGTTCCCGTATCAGGAGACGAGATTATCTCCACAAACGCGGCCTACAGTACGCATCTCATCTCGCTCTCGTCTCGTCTCATCTCATGCAAGACAGCACTATGTACATTCCAAGCTACGGCATCTCAAACCGAACGAGTCAAGCTAAGCACGGAACGTAGCTACCGGCGGGAGCACGACTAGCTACCACCGAACAAGCTTTAAGCCCTCAAAGACGAGCGTCGCCTAAGATTACACTGCTCGTACGGATACAGGAGCGTACTCTGCATACGAATGCTTAATTGCTTTCTGGCCCAGGCAGCGGGGGCGGGCACTGGAGCTGTTAGGCCTGTCAAAGCATGTGGTTACATCCGAATTGACTGGCGACTTGAAAAAAAAAAAATCTCCTCTTGGGGTCCAAACCCCAACGGCCGGCCGTGCTTAAAAGGGCCATGGTCTCCATTCTCCTCATGTCACCCGCCGCTGGATGTTGGGATCGCCGTTATCGCCAGCAGACGGAGGCAGCAAGGCAGCAAGGCTAGCCGTCTAGGCGAATGAAATACTACCAGAAGTTACGGTCTCGTCCTTGGCTCAGATGCGCGTGCGAGATGGGCAAGGGTCTGGGGCAAATACTTTTTTGGCTCTCTGATAATGCGATATGCACGTCGCCGCCCACTCGTTTGCATGCACAGCATAACTTCGGAAAACCTCCACTCTGCATCATCCCACCTGATGGCTGCTGGAGTAGAAGTAAGTACGGAGAGTGTGGTATCATTGGATGCTGGAGGGCACGGAGCTCTTGTTGTTACCATCGCATTTTGCCCAAGCGTCGGGAAAAGAGGGTTGATAGTTGATTTACCGCGAACGGCCTGGCCGTCTTGGGTCGATGTTAATAGCCGACTGAAAACATCCCTATTCTTAGAACGCAAAATTCTCACGTCCCACAACCACAGCACACCTCTCTCCACCTTTTCATTCTGACTGAAGCTTGCTGGAAGGGCAGTGTTCCCACGGGGATGGAAAGCGAATCGGGTTTAAAAAGGTATTATGTACGGAGTACAGGGCTAAGACAAAGATAGGAGGCAAATTGAAGACCCGACTATACGGAGTATTTATCACCGTGGCTATTTTATCGTACCGTGCTTCGACTTATCGTCATCTAGAACCATACCACACGAACTATGACTAGGTATAGCAGCTATGATAATGTCTTGTACTTATTTTCCAGTCAACATCATGAACTACTATCCGAAACATCGGCCTCGATCTTCCCCAGTATCCACTTAAACACGTCTGGTTTGTGATTCACCAGCATCTCGTTCAGAGTATGGGCCTCCATCGACTTTACAAGCCGTCCATATCGCTTGAACTGCTTCTTGTTGGATTCCTGCCCCTCCCAGACCATATGTCGGTGAGAGACGAAAACAATAGAGTTCTGTTTTTTTAAGTGTGAGTTCATGCTACTGCTTTGTCTACGGACGCGTAGATTATGGGGAGCCAGTTGCCTGATTGGAGAACGACTTACATCTCTGTACCATTTGGAGAGCCAGGTGATCGTGTTGCTCGCCACTGCGCGGACAGGGTTTTCCGCGACAAAACAGATCACGCCGCTCACCATGCTGTGAACCCGCTCTGCAAAGCACTTGGGTCAGAATTTTATCCGTCTTCAGAAACATAATGTTAGAAATAAATACCTTTATTAATGAGGAGATTTGCTAGGCCAAGGAACGCATCGCCGACGCCCATGAAGAATATGCGGGAGGCATCGTTGGTCCTAAAAGTAAATTATCAGTCACGTAGTCCGGGGTACAGTAGAGCATTTCCATTCCCCGCATACTCAATGTAGTTCTCCCACAGGTACTCTGCAAGTTGTTCTGAAAATAGGGCCCTATTGGGGCTCTCCCGTTCGTAGCTTCTTGATTTTTGCTAGGCCAATCATGTTAGTTAACGGCAATGTACCGGCGACTGCCTGCAGCTGCTATATCCACTTACATCGGCTTCTGATATGTGCTTAGGAATATTGACGTCTATAACCCCCATGTTATGTTCAACCGCCCACGAAACATACTCCTTGACATTATCAGCCTTGTCCTAGTTAGCTATTCGATTATAGTCTTTTCTCAGGTTGCCGCGGTGCCGGCCGGGGTGTCGTACCAGCCATGTATTATGAGCCTCCAACACATTAGTTACAGGGTGCGGAATACCCATCAGCTCGGGACTGTTAAGTTACACCGTTAGTTTCAGCTGAGAGCACGGCATGGCAATGACAGGGCCAGAATTGGTCATATGGCCGATAGCTGAGAGGGTTAAATAGAGTAAGCTTACGGATCGTGAAATATGACAAGCAAAGTATTAGCCTTGTCATAATTATTGCTGTGTAACGCAGTTTTATTAGTTGCATATCGCATAGTGGTGGCGGGAACGGCTTCTAGCCCTCTCACCTTGCAAGCACTTGATTTTCGAAAGATTTGGATATGGTATCTCGGTAGATGTATAGGCTGGTGAGTTTATGTTCGTCGTAGAGCTGCTTCGCTTGGTATTGACGGATGATATCTAGACGGAAAGAATTGTTAGGACCTTCCCATTGTCTTTGAGAGTCGTCTAATTTCAGGAGTTCTTACCGTGAACACGATTCCCTACAAAGTTCGACGCAGGGCCTGAAAACATGAATTAGTATGCATATATTATCCAGCAATGTATGGATGAGACCTACCTTTCGGGTACATGCACTTCCAGTATCGTGAGTGGATCATAGCCACTTCCCGCACCGTCTCAACCGCTGGCCGCGAAGCCGATGGCGCAACAAGCCGGTCCGGGGGTTCCCCCATCAAGGTTCTCGTAACTGCAAGTGCCGATTTGGAGATCGAGCGGAAATTATAACCGCCTTCCAAGCACACGGCGACCTTCCCGTTGGCTAGGTTCATAAGCATGCGCGTCATGTGTGAGTAGCACGGGGGCGTAACGAAACAGCCTCCAAGCTCGTCTCCGGCAGCAGCATCGAATCCAGCAGAGACTAGAAAATGTTAGATAAACGAATTATAAGAGAGTCTTTGAGGTAGCTTACTGATAACGAGGTCTGGATCGAATTCATAGCCAATGGGCATGACTACTTCCTGGAAAGCATAGAGATAGTCTCCATCTCCCATTCCTTGTGCTGGCCACGGGATATTGACGTTCCTAGCTAATCGTTAGCAGAGCGAGTTAACTCAACATCAGCTGGACAGTAAACCCACTTTCCGAGACCATTTCCTTCACCGCAATAATCCCAATTCCCTTCGTCTCCACCAGGGTAAAAGCTACCGTCTCGATAAACGTGGATAGAAATGTACAAAACGTTTGGATCGTCATAGAACATCTTTTGAACTCCGTTGCCTAGGATAAATTAGACAAATCAAAGTCACAACACGTGGTAACCGGGTTCATATATACTCACCATGGTGCACATCCCTATCAAAAACTGAGGTTAGCTCAAGTTTTTTTATCCAACGTCTAAAATACAATTCTCAGCTTACCAGTCCAATATCAAAATCTTGCGACACTTATCACCAAGAACATGCTGACACGCCCTCGCAGCCACAGAGACATTGTTGAATAAACAAAATCCCATAGTCTTGCTGGTCTCTGCATGATGGCCTGGTGGCCGAATCACTGCAATTGCATTCTTAACCTTCTCTTCTGCAACGGCTTTACACGTCTCGATAGCGCCACCGCATGATAGAAGTGCCGAGGTGAACGTCAACGAGTTGAAATAAATCGAGTCACGAGTTTGTTCCAGCTCAATCAGCTCGTCTTCAGACATATCTGTACCACTGTCTTAGTTCTCTTATTTGCTTTTCCCGAAACGTTAAGTGGAGGTTAAGATATACATACCCTTTGTGCTCTTCACAAAATCATAGTGTTCCTTTGTATGCACCAATGTGATTTCAGCCTCCGTCGCATCCCGCGCTTCAATCCGCTTCAACGGCTGAGGTACAAATGGTCCTGAAAACTCCGTTCCGTCGGCTATGAGTCCGGCCTTCCCTAGCTCGCGATAGATATAATACACGCGCCTAGGGTCTTCTGGATGCACATCCAACGTCGGTTTCACCTCACAATGATACCGCATACGATTATCGTAGCAATAGCCCGTTGGGAGCGCGGCACGGTGCAATGCCCTACTGCGTCCCTCATGGTGATCAGACCAGTCCGATTCCTCTCCGTCTTCGTCAATGGCAGTATCTGGTTCCTGTTTCGGGTGCGTGATATGCTCTGCCGGACGAGGGGTGCCGGTTGTAGGGTCATTGCCTGGCGTAGAGATGCCGGCCTGGTGATCTTCGATTTCCTTGATTAGTTTGGCAGGGCTATGAACCTTTTGGTGAAAAGTTGCCATGAGCGATTGAGTTTCTTTGGACTCATGCTGGGCCTCCGGAGTGAGGGATTGGTCCTCTGCAGAGGGAGGCGAGGGGCGACCGCCTCCGATGGGGATGGTGGTGCGCCCTGCTCTGGTCGAGGGAGCTGGTGGGCGGGCTTCACCCATGACCACGTCTTCATCCCCGTCCATAATCCCAGGGGCGTATGCTGTATGCTGTAAACGTATGATAGATAGATATGTCAGAGCTCAATGGTCATAGTACAAGCAGATATCATAAAGAAAGAACAGTTCAATCAAACTAGCCAATTCCTCTTCCTGTCTTTTAAAGGCTCAGAAGAGCAGAATGGCAGCTTTTAATGGGGGTGTAATGCAGGGGCTTCACCCAGAATAAATAAGACACAGAAAAACAAGACAACTGAGGAATAAAAGTGAAAGTGAAATCAGATGCACAGCCCCCCTATCAATTTATACATGCATACTACAAATCAGCAGAGAGAGGAAGAACGAAGAACTGAAAAAAAGCACCTGGTGGCTCTTGAAAAAGAAGCTTCCTTAGAGCATCACCACAAACAATGCGATGGAGATGTATAGAGATATAGATAGAAGTAGACAACAGAGATCAGCAGAGACAAACAAGTATAAAATAGCAGTATAGATGGTATCTCAACACCCTGAGCTGCCTATGCCAGGAAGTAAGGGGTATAACGCTGTGTGCGCTCTTCAGGGCCAGGTGAATGCAAGTATGAAGCCGCGATGCTCAAGGTAACTTTTGATGGCTTGAGAAAGATGAGCAAACTCACGTGATGTTTATATCTGCACGTGACTAGCTAGCACTGCAAAAAGGGATGAAGAT